TACGTAGAGGTATAATAGATACTATAGAGGGCTCTAAGTGGAATGTTATAACGTTCCACTAGAGCATCTAGGTTAGGTAGGTTTCTTAATAAGAGATTAATAGTTTAACTTTCTCTATCGATTTAGCGAAAAAAAAGGTTTTAGTACTCCTTAAAAATACCGAGTAGTGTTATTAATAGAACCTATAATTAATTCTCTAAAGGGCTCTAAATAGGGCGTATTATAGTATCCTATTAAAGTATCTTAGTTAGGATACCCTATCTTAGTAGGATATACTCGAGTAGGATATACCTATATAACTAAATATATATAGACTTGTAACTTAATCTATAGAGAGTCCTAAGTAGAGTAATATAATATCCTACTAGAGTATCTAGGTTAGCGTAACAATTTGGCTTAGTACTAACCTCTAGATAGCGACGACTTCTACGACGTATTTATAACGCTACGAGTATTATATAAGCTTAAGATTCTTATACGTAACTTAGTGCATTATACGCTATCGTTTAGCGTCCTATTTATAGAATTAAAGCGACTTTGAAATCCTAACCCTAGGCCCAAATCCCACCCGTAACTTCCGCTTGCTATACTATCCCTCGCTTACCCTTTTATCTTTATAACGAAAAGCTATCTAGATACGACCACCAAGGGTATGTGTATCTCCCAAACGCCATCTCATGCCAACAGTACAACATATAGCATCATTCTAGGTTTGACGGATACAACACGGTATCGATTGTGCCAAAGTTCTCCTTGATGGTTCGCGCTGATACGAAACGCTGCAACAGTGTGAAAGTGCCCGCTTTGTCGTTCGTGCCACTGGCGCGAGAGCCGCCAAAGGGCTGATGGCCCGGCATTGCGCCAGTGCATTGATCACTGGATGAAGTTAGCCTCTACTAGTTGGTGCTGCAGTCTTTAGAAGGACTCACTTGATGTAGAAGTTGCCGGCACTGAAGCGAAGATGCTCTATCGCATCCGCTACGACCCTCCGATCTTTCGCAAAAATCGCTCCAGTTAGCGCAAAAGGCGAGCATTCGTCGATGGTTTTGTAAAGCTCTGGCCCAAAGCTTTCGTCCTCATACACATGCACAGCCAGAACTGGACCGAAGATCTCTTCACTCAGGAATGGCGAGCTTGCGTCCTTCACCTTGAGAACTGTCGGTCGCTACATGAATTGGTTAGCAACCACTTGTGACTCTTGCTTGAAGGCGCAGCGTATGACATACAATGTACAGCCCCATAGAGTCGTCGCATTCTCCACCAGCGATGATCTCTACGGTCTCATCCTTGATCGCTCGAGAGATGAAACCAGACACTCGCTGGTACGCAGCCTTGCTGATGACGGGACCGCAGAAGTCGGTGAAGTTGTCACCCATCGTCAACTGCTTGGTTTCTGCTGCCAGGGTTTCGAAAAACTCATCGGCGCAGGATCTTGGAACGTAGGCTCGCGAGCAAGCGCTGCACTTTTGTCCCTGGTACTCAAATGAAGCTCTGATTGTCTTCAGTGCCGCATTTCGAATGTTTGCCGACTTGTGGATGAGGTGGAAGTTCTTGCCCGATGTCTCGCCGATCATGCGAGGGTAGGAGACGTAAGAGGTGATATTTGAGCCGACAGACGCATATATCTTCTGGAAGACATCGGTGCTGCCTGTAAAATGGACAGCACTAAGATGCTTGTTGGCAAGGACGACCTTGGTGATGGCTTCGGCGTCTCCAGGGATGAACTGCATCACGCCTGGAGGCATCCCAGCTTCGATCATGATCTCGTTGAACAACCACGACGAAAGCACGGCTCCAGGGCTCGGCTTCCATACGACTACGTTACCAACGATCAATGGAGCGAGGACCAGATTGACCGCAAGAGCAGTAAAGTTGAAGGGGCAAATGGCGTAGACGAAACCATCCAGAGGGCGAACTTCAGAGCGACTGCGGTCACTATTAGCAAGCCTGCATCATTCGTGATGACGGGGCTGACAAACTTCCACACTCCAGGGGCGTTGAACGGAGGCTGCTCTTGATACATCCGTTCGGCGAGCGTGGGAAAAGTCCTCAAGAAATCAATTGACTAGAAGATTGTCAGCAGTCTTCTCTCGATGTTTCGTTTGGCGGGAGCGCCACGGGACGCACCTCTGCAATGCAGTCGATATCGGCTTGGTAGGCATTCTTGCCTTGTCCAAGCATGGTCGCTGCCATCATCTGATACTTGTAGTCATTTTGGAAGAGATACGCTGCCCTGTAGAAGACGGCTGCGCGCTGGTGAAGGGGCATTGCAAGCCATTCTGCTTTGGCAGCGAGAGCGCCCTTGATGGCCTCCTGCACAGTAGTGGCCGACGCTCCTTGAACTCGCGCCAATACATGCTGCTGGTTGAACGGCGAGAGCTGGTCGAACGAGTGGTCGCTGGGTACCTAACGAACGACGTGAGCTTTCGACTACTGAACGGCCAGCTTCCCAACGTACGGGTTCTCCGTTAACGACGGGGCGGATGTCGCGGGCTGGTGCGTTCTTGAGCTGGTCTACAGCCTTCGAAAGCTCTGTCCTGTCCTGCGAGGCCGGCTCATATGTCGTCTGAAGCGTTGTGTCAGTAATAATAGAATATCAAGGTATGAAGTGAGGGTGCCCGTACAAACTTCTCCGTTGCCAACGCTGGCAGCCGAAACGCTCCGAGAACGGCGGACATGATGACTAACAACCGCGAGAGATACAACTCGTCCAGTCTTGCAATGCTATCGCTTTCCAGTCACTGTAGGAATAGCATCAACAATCGCACAGGAGGCAGCACTTAAGCAGGGGAGACTCGTTCACATGTGACCCGCCGAAGAGTTGGCACCGCAAGACGAATGCTGGTCGTCGTTCGCTCTGCATGGTGCAGCTTCTCGCGCCGAGCAAAGTAACTTCTCGCCCCGAACAAAGTCGCTTGACACCACAGTCTGGAACATTGACCGCGATAATGGCCGTACAGACAGTGTGGACCGAGCGAGACTTCCCTTGGATTGCCAAGGTAACCGCCAGTTCGCCAGCTGTGGCAAGACGGACCAGCCTCGCAGTGTATATGGCCAAAGGCTACATGATACGACCTAAGAGTGATTGAAAGGGTACAGTGACAGTATACTGCTTCTGTTCGCGCGTTCAGTCGCTATGGCTGCCCTTTCTGCTGTCGTTCTTCTCGCTTTTGCTGTCTTTACGCTGCTTGTTGTTGTTGCGGTCTTCGTCCGCAAACAACCGACGAGAGTACGACAGTATCAGCCATTTGGTGGGTGTCTGACCGTAGGTTTCCTACCCATGAGCATCAATGGTTGACGTGCTGGCAGTGTCTATTCAGCCGACAGCGTCTGACTTTGTGTGGAACAGCAAAGGCGAGATTCCATACAGACCGTGGAAGAATGGACCCCACCACGTTACGATGGGTGAGCATCGATACTCCTACATCGCCCTCCAAACTGTCACTGACGGCAAACCTCTCCACAAACAGGTCTGCAGAAGACTGACTTAGAACGATGGATCGAGATCGACAAAAGCTATCTCCAGAAGTACCAGATCAAAAAGTCATTAATCCACACTCACCGGGATGAAGTGACATGCGCTTCGCCGGAGTGCAAAGGTCCAGCACATGAAGCACTGCTACTCCTTGTGGACGTCTTGACCCAGCGGTACCCATCAATGTTTGTCAAGCCCAATGGTCACTCCATCAAGAACCTCGTGACTGGCGACATGTGGGATTTGAAGCCTAGTTCTACAAATTGGGAGAAATACCATCCTTTGGAGGTGATGGGATTACTGGCGACGGATGATTTCTTCATCTTGGAGAATGATCCGACGACGGGGGTCACGGCGTTGAAAGGCGGCTGCGTCTGCTTTCCAGGTAAGAGAATCTGCGAGCCACACCTGTATTTGAGCGACTCTGCTGACAATCAATTGACAGCGGGCTGGAAGATCGAGGAGCGTGTTGGCCTATCGTTATGGCAGATCCATGCAGGCAAAGTCCCACACTACGAGCAAGCCCTCTCCAAGTCAATGGACCGCTTCTTTCTTCGCATGAAGAGCGGCAACCTTACCTCAAGGTTCAACTACGCCATCGACGATTCCGACGATTTGTTTCGCCGGCACTCGCACCACAACCTCTCCAACGAGCATGATGCTCCCCTCCTAAAGCTTGAGGACCTTCATCTCCGGGTCGAACGACAAGTGCTGCAGCGCTTACCGGAGAGTGGCGCTCTTCTGTTTTCGATCAGAACATATGTCACGCCCATCACAGAAGTTACAAAGGACAGGGCGGTCGCCGAGGCGCTGAGGACGAGTACAAGGAGCTACGACGAGAAGCTTTCGGCTTACAAGAACCAGCCTTTGTGGAATGATGCTCTACAGAAACACTTGTCGGAGGTTCTTGGAGATGATGATCTCAGACAGGACTCTGCTGTCGCAGAGGCTGCTGAGTGACTGATTCACCTTCATGCGTATGCTGAGGTAGGAAGCGCAGGATAGCAGGCTACTGCAGGAGGCTTGAATAAATGGCGTACAAGCAGGATTCTTTTACGAGATAAGAATGCAGAGAAGGGTAGATGGTTGGTCGGACACAGATGAGCGCCGGACTAGAGATAGCGTGTTCGCAGCGGCTTCAAGTCATCAATTCGAGTTCAATGTACTTCAACGTTGTTCAGGTGAGCATGATAGAGCACCCCATCTCCTTCATCACCGACCTCCAATCTACGGGACCAAGGCCGCTGGTGACACCACACAGCGACCCATCTGCATCCGTCTGCCGGTCGACTCGTCGCCAAACTTCCATTGCCAACTCTTTCGCACGAGCAATGTTTCCAATACCTCTCTTCGAAGCTCTGTTGAATAGGATAAGCGCCCTTCGGCGCAGCTGAACGTCGAAAGCCTCCGCTGCAGCAATAAAGACTGGCCAGAGAGTATTGGCAGGCTGCACGCTCGACCCTTTGGTCAGCGCATCGATGTTCTCCAAATGGTCGAAAACCCTTCCCACCAACGTCTGATATGTGGCGCCCGGCGCTGGTAACTCATGGCTTTGGTCCAGGTCACCCCTCAATTCGCCATGTCGATGCTCTGGGCCAGAAAGGTTGTCCAGACCACTTCTTGCGAGAATGCGGCCGAAGAAGACAATCACCGCGTAGTGGAAAGCCCACTGGTGGTTCTCGGCGAGCTCATCCCGAATGACGGGTGGCAGGGAAGCCTGAACACCGTTGATGGGAGAACCACCCATTCGGGCTTCGGGAGTAGCGCCGCTGAACGAAGATGCGCTCGAATCGTCACCTTTCGAAGCAAAAGCCGCCTTATCCCTTTCGACAGCAAACAGCTCGGATCTCAGCGCGTCTATGGACGTCGGTAAAAGATCCAATTCTCGCTCACTCACATCTTCGTTTACAAGTTGTCGCTCGATTTGCAGAGCGCGGTGGAGGTGGGAGATCGTCCTCAAGCTAATACCGAAAGAAATGTCCAAGTTGTATTCTGCGGTGGATGGAAACGTGACCGTTTGGTCGTAGTCTCGCTCCTCTGCTTCGTGTTGTCCCTCGCTGACGATAGGATTCGATGCCTGGAACGGAAGCGCTGCGATGTTTGCCGTGACACCGAGATGTCGGTTCGCTACCTTCGCAGTGGTCGCAATGACCACGTAACACTTGAACATCTGGTAGAGTGTCCTGGCTGTGGCGCTCGATTGCCAGAACTCCGGTCCGCCAGCCCGCTCCGCGGTATTCCTCGCGAGATCCAGATGAGCGTCACAACGCAGAGTCTCGCCGCCGAACACATCGGCTTGAAGCATCGATAGAGCCGCAGCTAGAAGGGTGTATTTGTTGTCATCCGACTGTCTGGCAAGGTGGCCTGTTGCCTCCAGAATTAACTTCTCTGCCTCCTTTCCGTGAGCTTCTGTGTCTCGACGGAGGTGGGCGCGAGTGTTCTCAATTTGCTGCATGTGGGAGCCGGCCACGCAGAGAAGAGCATGGTGAAGTGCAGCAGTGAAACGTGACGGCCGATGATGAGTAGCCAGCGGGAGATAGATCTGAAGATACGGATTGCGTGAAGGATCGATGGTTGGCATCAGAAAAGGGCTGACCACGCTTTGGTAGTGCCGCAAAAGCCCGGGGTCGTCTTCTCCGATGTAGCCAGTGGTCTGCTCATTGATTGATTTTCTCGGGTGATTAACGCTGTCACTGCCACGGTCCTCCTCGGTCATTCCTGCGACATGGTTCCCGTCATAGGCAGCAGGCGGCGTGGTGACATAGAACAACCTTCCGTAATCCCGTTGGACAGACGCCGGTGCTGCCGTGACTCTCGCCTTTGACCCGGTGTTGGGTACACGGGCTTCGACATTGAAGTAGTCACGTGCACTGGCGGGAGACCCGGTCCGATTGAAGCCGTGACAGGTGTGTCGACGAGAACGCTCGCAGTTGGCGCAAACTGGTCGACGGCCATCGCACTGGGTGCATATTAGCAACAGCTGCACCAATGGACAGACAACCCGGCTGCTATCTCACCTTGATCTTACGTTCGCGGCATGTCTGACAGCCCTAGTGCATGCATATCAGCCAGTTGAGAAAGGCAGCGGGGCTGATGGATTGGCCTTCTACCTTGTACAACCGGCCGCGACGTCGCTTTGGCGGCGGAGGTGACTCGCGAGCATCCAATGCAGTCGAAAGGTCATTGTATGGGGCGAACGGGGACCAGGATTGATTGGGTACGTCCTCAACAAGGCCTTGCAGCCATTGCTCTGAGGTAGGATCGAGGCTGGAGCCGAGGAGCCATTGATCGATCTCGAGATGGGGGTCCCCGCCGGCCCACGTGCCCGAGGGTTGGGAGTACATGTTGTCGTGATCCATAGAGCGAGGAATGGCTAGATGGGGTGGGTATTTCCACAGAGCGAAGTTGGGGACGACTTGTCAGCGAACACACTTGGCCGAGCGCTCTGGCCGGAAATGCTCGGCGGGGAAGAAGCGAACTCGGCAACCTAATATCTCGCTGCTGTCAAGGGGCGAGATGGATACTCGCACAATGCTGTAGACCCCTCTCGTCGCTCACATAACAATGTGCCTACTTGGTGCAAGAGGACGGCCACCAGTCGAGATAGGGATGCACGGTGAGAGACAGCTGTATCATCATGTCTCCTCTTGAGCCACCGTCTTCCATCTTCCATCGCAATCCGGTGCACAAATACCCAGCGGCCAGCTCGGGCGATGGCATTTACATTACCGCCAAAGATGGATCCAAGACCCTCGACGGCAGCAGCGGAGCAGCAGTATCCTGCCTGGGACACGGTCACCCTGCTGTAATCGATGCCATCGTCCAGCAAGCCAGGCAGATGGCCTTCGCCCACACCTCCTTCTTCACCAGCGGTCCGGCCGAAGAGCTTGCGGCACTGCTAGTAGCCTCGGGCGGCGAGGATGCGTTCAAGAAATGCATGTTCGTTAGTTCCGGCTCGGAGGCGGTAGAGTCGGCACTCAAAGTCGCTCGTCAATACCACATTGCGAACGGCAAGCCCAACCGTGTCAACATCATCTCGCGACGTCACTCGTACCATGGCAACACTTTGGGCGCAATGGCGGCCGGCTGGAATCCGTCACGCAGAGAGCCATTCGCGCCTATGCTATCGCCTGTTTTCCACCATGTCTCGCCCTTTTTCTACTCGCGTGATGGCCGGCCTGACGAGTCTGCAGACGGCTACTGCCAACGCATGATCGACGAATTCGACGAAATGTTCGCTTCTCTCGGTCCGAACACTGTCGCCGCGGTCATGGTCGAGACTGCTTCGGGTGCGACGTTGGGTGCTGTCCCTGCGACCTCACAATACCTTCGAAGGCTGCGAAATCTCTGCCACAAACATGGCGCCTTGCTTATCCTGGACGAGGTCATGTGCGGTATGGGTCGATTGGGTAGAACGCATGCCTGGCAGGCCATTGGAGGCTCTTCACCTGACATCCAAACTATTGGGAAAGGCCTTGGTGCAGGCTACCAGCCCATTTCCGCCGTGCTGGTGTCTCCAAGTGTGCACAATGCTATTGAAAATGCGCATGGCGAGCACCCGTTCGTCACCGGACACACATACCAGGGTCATTCGATCGGCTGTGCGGCTGCTCTCGCTACTCAAAAGTACATCGAGGAGCAGCATTTACTACAGAACGTCCAGCGAAACGGAGAATTGTTGACAAAGGAGCTCGCTTCTGCTGTCCCAGGGCTGAAGGAGGTTAGAGGAAGTGGCATGTTCCAGGCTGTTGAGTTTCAGTCCACACCAGACGATCCGATTGCCGCCAAAGTCGCCAAAGCGTGCATGAAGAATGGGTTGGCCGTTTATCTGTGCTCTCCTCTGGTGGATGCTGTCCTATTTGCACCACCATTCATCATCACGGAGTGCGAGATTCAGTTGATGGTGTCAATATTTGTCCGATCAGTCACAGAAGTGGTGGTAGGGTAGTAGACTTGAAGTCGTTAGGCTGATTTCAATTGTAGCCAACGGTGGTATATCTGCGATGCTCGCACGAAAATTGGTTGTGCATCACCAGGTTCCGACTCACTGGGAGAAGATAGCTAGGTTATGCTTCCTCGCTTTGATGATCAGAAGATCATCTGGCCGTTGCAACAAGTGGTTGGCCACTCCCTCCTTGTCTACCCTGTGGCTGTATCGCACTGCTTATGCTGAAGATAGTTATCCATCGGCCACAATCAGACACCGAAGCTCCACATGTGTAGCCTCCTCTTCTTCATCACTTGGCGCTGACCGACTACCGCTTCATGGTTTTCACCGCACAAGCGCTGCGAGCGCACCCCCAAGGCTGGCCAAACACCTTACCAGACGAAATGCCATGAACACTCTTGAATGCCTCTCCTCGAGAGCAATATCCCTCGTGAGAAGGGTTGCTTGCACCTCTATGCCCACAGTCACTCAGGCAAGGAGATGTCGTGCGCTGCCTCTTGGCTTTCCACGGTGATCACCATATCGCTCTCGCATTCACTTCCGCTACAACATGTACCCTCTCATAGCGTTGTCAGGATGGACCTCCTTCTCACTTGGCAATGCTGGGCCAACACTTCAATCTCGTTCTTTCTACCGCATTGGAGTGGGGGACAGAGAGCAGAGAGGCTCCTGCAATCTCAGGAAGCGCAACAGTAGAATGGTGGGTCCTAGTATAAAGCCATGCAAGTTCTCGACACCAGCCAGTGAGTCTTTTTCACACGCATCCATTGTCGAGACGAAGAGCCTACGATACTAGCAGCTCCTTCGCAGCTTCGTTGTCCTTACATATTCATTCGCTTTACGATGGCTTCCTCTATGGCGGTTGGAGTCATCGTTGGATTGGCTTCTTTCTCATCGGCTTTTCCGATGTCTTCACCTGTACATTCCGTCTTCCGAAGACAAGAGTCGAGCGACTTGTGCACCAACGCCGACCTTTCAAGGCCGGAAGGGTATCATCGTCTCGACCCAGTGCACGCTCCATTGCTAACATTTCCTTCAGCGCTGCTGCCAAATGGAACGATTTCGGTGTCGGCGCCCGGCTCGATCAGTACATTGGAGATCAAGGCGCAGCCAACTGGGTGAACACCCTGGCATCCGAGTCTTTCCCCGGCTCCGGCGACCCTGGTTCTTTTGGCTGCGGCAGTCGTGACCAGCCGTGCATGAGCGGCTTGGATTTAGACACCTGCGGAGTCATGGCTGCGGACGATCGTGGCACCGACTTCTGGATACTCAACGCAGTGCAGAAGATGCATGTATGTCTTGACCTTACCACTCCGAGTACGTATCAAGCTTTGCTAATACTCAGATGCCAGGCTGCGTTCGAACGGGCACACGAGAATCTGCAAGACTCAATCATCGACAGCTCGCTCTCCGTCAGCGGCATTGCCAGTGACTTCAAGATCGACTTCGCCAGCGACGACAAGATTCTGCGCTACGTTGCAGCCGCTTTCGGCATGGCTGGAGGTATGATCGGATACGGCAGCGGCCCGATTGTGAACGCTCTCAAGACGTCGGCAACAATGTTCGGAGCGGCGTTTGCAACAACCGGTGTGAATCAGCAGCCGGCGATCGATCCCTCGAAGGCTATGGACTCAGCTCTCAAGGAGGTCTTCGAATCGCAAAGGAGGATGCTCGATGGTATCTTGAAGCTCGCTGTTGGTGGTGGAGGTGACTATGACTCGCTTCCTGACCAGGTCGGTCCATAGTCAGGGTTGACCGAAGTCCGCTGAGACTGACATTATCTTCCAGTCCGGAGACTACTCGACCTCTGTGGCAAGGTTTATGGCAGATGGTATGTATCCCGATGGCAACGTGCCATTCGAGACCTGAGCATACTTCATGGACCTCGCGCTAATCTCCATGGCTCAGGCAAGTTCCTGTTGCAAGGAGATCTCGTCAACCAGTACTTCTCTAAAGGTTACGAGATGTTGAACAAAAAGCTTGTTGGTCAGTCTGTTCATCTCTCCCACAAGAGTGGTTCCAAATATTAACCCTCCATCTTATTACGCAGACATTGCTCTTCAACAATTTGGTTATCAGGTGCTTGCGGACAAAAACTACGAAGACGCTGAGAGCTGCGGTGCAAACTATGGCGCACACTGGCTTGATCTCGACGGCGGACGCTGCATGCGCCTGACATACGAGGACAACTGGACCGGAAAGTGGTTGCCCGCTCCTGAGGAAGTCGTCAAGGCGGTAGAGGAGAATTACGGTGAGCATACTTTCCAGATGCTGATTGAACTTGGACTCATTCTAATCCTTTGTCACAGGCATGGATATCTTCGGGTACTTTGGTAATCTCTGCGACTGCCACATTAACGGCAATGGAGAGGTGGATCTTGGAAATCTCGCCACCGACGGTAATATCCCGCAGTGCTTCTACAACCTTGCTTGTCAAGATGCCGACATCTGCTGTGAGCGAATCTCTCTGTCCTATTTGTTCTACGGGCTAACGTCAGCTGCAGTGGACGAAGAAGGCGATCATGACTGGTACATCTGCTGGCCCGACGCGGACTTCAACGACTCTCCAGCGCCTGCACCCACAGAACCAGAAGGGCCAGAAACCGAGCCCACGGAGCCTGCGTTCCCATCTGACCGCGATGACACTGGCTGCTATTCTGGCGGTCTCAGCTGGAGTGATCTGCATGGAGACGGCAGTGAGACCGACACCCAGTACGTACGGTCTCTTTCCTAGTCGACATATCTTGAGCAGCGTTTGCGTCTCCAGACAAATGCTGACACTTTTGACAGGGAAGTGAAAAACGACATTTCCACAAGATGCCAGGCAGCGGATGGAACCATTCTTGGTCTGAACGACTTCTGGTGGGACTGCACTGAGTGGGGAATCGAAGGCGGCGGCGTCAACCATGTAGGTTCATTCTTCAAGCCCAGCAAATTGCCCAATACAGCGGATCAACAACCTGCTACCGTCTGTCACACACATGAGACTCTCGCTGACCCTGTTCCTAGATCTGGTGGGAGATCCAAACGGAAGGCGACTCCACCGACGAAGTCACAATCACCTACGATACCTGCAACTCAGCTTTGAGCACAGAGCTGGGTGGCTGCTCGACCGGTAGCGAACAAAATCATGATGGGTTATGGGTAAGTCACAGTTCGGCCTGCGAGACGGCTTGGAGTCGACGACACTCGAACACCGGCTAACGTACTGCTCACGACGAAGTTCAAGATCGATCCTCAGGCAGGTTCGTGCCCATACCAGAAGGGATAGAGATGGAAGCGGCGATGATGTGTAGTCGTTCGCTATCCTCCAGCGACCGCAGTTGGCAAAGGAGAGCGCATTGGAGATTGAGATTTCTCAAATGTCACGGTGCGACGAGAAAGACTAAGAGGGAGAGATGTACATGATTTCTGAAGTTTTGGGTAGCTCGTTCAGTTCGTTGCACGTACATTCATTGAGAGACGCTAAATGCTTGTATCAGACCACGTCAGGGTCAAGATGGCCAACCCGGACCACCATGCTTCGCAAGCTCTTTCGTTGTCCATTCCCACAGTTCGTCCGCCATGTGCTGGTCAGTGGCATAAGCGCTGCGAGTAGTGTGCTTGCCGACAGGCTCATAATATTCCCCACTCTCTAGCACGCCCTTCTGCACTTTCGCCGCTCGCGCACCAAAGCGTATTGTGGGCGCCCTTCTCGGGCTTGACGCCGCTCAACCACAGGAACGGCGCGATGACAAAGTGCGGTACCTTGACGCCGTCTGCTTTGGCATAGCCATCTGTCTGCACGATCCCAGGGTGTTGCGAGACGGCGGTGATGCTCGGATAGAGTTGAGCCAGCTTGCGAGCGAAGAGTATGTTGGCAAGCTTAGAGTGGCCGTAGCGCTGCGAAGCAGAGTCGAAGGCGTCAGCGTTGAAGGCTTCTGAGAGCACGATGCCCTTCGACGGGGCAGATCTGTGTGCCATGAGAGATGTGGTAACAACAACGCGGACATCGGAGTCTCCTAGCGTTGTGGTATGGAGAAGCTTCGGCAGCAAAAGCTGAGTCAGAAGAGCGTGGCCAAGATGGTTGACACCAATATGGATCTCATAGCCTTCCTTGGATTTGTTCGATGCAACACCCGCGATGCCTGCATTCAAGAGTAGGAGATCTAGGCGATCGGTCTTTTCATTGACCGCTTCTGCGCACTGCCGCACGCTTTCCACGGAGGCAAGGTCCAGCTGGAGGATATCGATCTGTGCTTTCGGGTGTGCCTTGACTGCAGCATCAACTACAGGTCGGGCATTAGAGACATTGCGTGAGCAAAGGAAGATGCGAGCTGGGTTGTGCCCGGCGAGCCCATGGACCGCTGCTGCACCGATGCCTGCGTTGCCTGATGAAGATCAATCAGAGTCGCCCGCTTGTGCTGAAAGACAACCTACCGCCCGTTATCAGTATCACCTTGCCGTCGAGGCTTGGGACGTCTTTCGAAGGGTCGAAATGCATGGCTGCCGACTTCTATCTTACTCAGATAGTGATCGAGTGGAAGTGGCTACCAGAACTGTCTCCTTACAGGAGGAGCCTGCAGCTTTTGTACCTTGCCCGTCGTCGGCAGATGGTGCCATGGGTCGTATTCGGCGAAGGAGGGTAGGCCTGCTGTTGACACCTAGGTAGCATAGGCATAGTCTCCCGTGACCTCGCCTTTAGCATCGGCGTTTACGCTGTCGCCGGGCCAGACTCCAATTCGTCGAGGGGCCATTTTGACTACGCTGCATACCGCTTACTAAGGAGTGGTGACTTCAGCTCCTGCTGCGTACAAACTTCCGAATCTATTTAGTCCATCTTTGGTGCATGTGTCGTGGTGCGGCTCAAGGAAGAAGTCCATGTGAAGAGGGAAGGTGTCTCGGAGCCCTAAACCAGTGGCCTCAGCTTTCCGAGGTTCGCGAGTAATTCGCGTTTTCAGCGCGTTCAACAATCTACAAGCAGGTACATCTACTCACCACTTGAACAATGGAGTATGAGAAATGCTACGTATACGAACCTGAAGGCCAGGGACCGGCGAAACGACGTCAAATCGAGCCCCAAGGCTTGCAGGCATCGTGGAAGCTCCGGCGTGAAGCGTACCAGGCTGCATGGCGAGCGCAGAAGGCCCAGATTGATGTACGGTGATCACATGTGACAGACACATGGCGGTTCACTAATCATGGCCATAGGCTAAACTGAGTGACTTGAATGCATACGCTGTCCGCAGCCTCACCGCCTTCCTGGACGAAGCGGCGCAGAGCCCACAGTCCAGCGCCATCCCAACCGCCATCTTGTCCACGGGCCCGGAAGCGTCATCCTCCACCGCTGTTACGGAACAGCTGTCTCGAGACCAGAATGCTCAAAAGTGCAGGGTATTCCTGTCCATCTCTGCGAGTACTGGACCGAACCTCAAAGCGCTGTTGAAAGCGATCATTCAGAAAGCCACTTCCCGTCAGGAGAGCCCGGATGATGATGATGAGGACGACGAAGTCACGACGCGGAAGAAGGGCGCAAAGCTGTTGAACTACGACTTGCAACTTCTGGCTGACTACGTGTCAGAACGTCAACTTGAGCAAGTTGCCATTGCTGTGGGTGACACGGAGGGATTCGACAGCGACCTGCTCTCGGAACTGGTCGAACTGCTAGGCTACTGGTGCGACCGCATCCCGGTCGTCCTTTTGCTCAGCGTGGCCACGTCTGCCGAATCTCTGCAGCAGCGGCTCTCGCGATCAGCCGTCAGATGCCTCAAAGGCCAGATGTTCGACGTCGCAGCTTCCGCCATCCAGCTTGAGCACGCACTGGAAGCTGTCGTTGCCGATCACCCGACCATATGGCCAGGATCTGACCTGATCGGCCTCATTCTTGAGCGGCAGAGCGACTATATCCAGAGCATCGACAGCTTTACTCATGCGATCCAGTACACGTACATGTCTCATTACTCCGCCAACGCCCTCTCCATCCTCCTGATACCCAGTATCAAGTTTGCAAACATCCCACCTGACCACTTCGAAGCATTGCGCAACGTCGACTCTTTCCGCCAGCATTGCAGGGGCATCCTCGATGACAACCAAGCCTCGCGTGTTCGCGAACTTCTCGACTCAGACGAAAAACTGTTCAACCTGGCCGCAGACAGCATTCGCGATCTTCGGGACCGTCTCAACTCGATGCTTCCCGCCATGAAACTGCTGCAGCACATCCAGGACATCCTGCACAGCTACCCAGTCACCCCTACTATGCCTTTCAGCAAAGCGTACAAACTCGCAATGGCTGGCCGCTTAACACAAGACTCCAGCTTCATCCGCTCGATGCTCCTCTCCGTCAGAAAATCGCAGCAGCACATCATTGGGCAAGTGCTGCAAGCATTCAACATCTCCAGCATCCCAGCGACCTTCCGCTCTCAGGCAGAGACATTGGGAAAAGAGTTGATCCGTCTGTCAGCCAGCGCAGCGGGCGAAAATGTCCAACTGCGAAGCGAGGAATCGGTCAAAAACTCGACGCTTCGTACAACGGTCGTTGCGCAGAAGGTCGAGCTGAGCAAACAGAAGGCCACATTGTCGAAACGAGACGAATCGTATACAAAGTTGCTTCGCCGTCTGAGCGATCTGCTGGAGCGGTACTTCGGGGAGGCACTGGTCGATCCGAAGACATGCTTATTCCACGAGCTGGTGGTGTACGACTTGCGATCGCCATACCGCGATACCTTCACTCCCAGACCACGGCAAGCCATCGAAAGGGCGCTGGCAACGCCGCACGATTATCTTGACTGCGATTGCTGCGGCCCAGATGCTGCGAGCCGTGGCAAGGAGATGATGCTGGCGTCTTCACAACCGACAACAGCTGTGCTGTACCAGCTCTACTTGGAATCCGGCAGTCTCATCAATGTCAACGATCTCAGGCAGGCATTCCTGGCTGTTACAGCTGAGGATGGCAGGTCGGAGGAGGAGAACACGGCCTTGTTCCAACGGGCGCTGGCTGAGTTGCGAAGCCTTGGGTTTGTCAAAGGGACGAGGAAGAGGGCTGATCATGTTGCCAAGGTCGCTTGGAGAGGACTTTGATGAAGCATGCTTGAGCTTTGGGAAGCCCTGATGATTTAGTGACAAGCAGAGCTTTTACTAGAACTGCTTCCGCCGCCAAATGCGAGGTACCCAAGGAAAGCTCCAAAACCAACTGCAAGCATGATCCACCCGTTGTACGTCATGAACAAGAGCCTGACTCGAATCAGTATAAAGGCAAATTGTAGCGGTAGGGTCCATTAGATCAGAAGACTCACATGATGAACATGGAATAAAACACCTGCACACCATAAAACGTCGCCTTGACCAACTTCCCTTGCTTCTCCTGCGAGCCCCCTGCGAGCGCGAGGAGTGAGCTTCGTTCCGTCTCAAGAGGTGCTTGTCACCAATCAGGTCGACATCAAGGGCACATCAGGACTGTGGGTACTTACTTCCGCCTACTCTCTGCTCTCGCGCAGACATCATTCGAGCCTGCCGCTCTTCGTATCCCCGTGACATGGCGCGCAAGGCTTCGTAGCCGGCTGTCAACACCACCACGGCGATGAGGGAGGTGATGAGGGACCAGGTGCCGGTGACTCGCCATTGGGGGAAGACGATGCAGAGATTTTCGGTTGACCAGGTGAAGAGCATCTGTAGGATATCAGAACAGAATAGGGTACATAGCAGGGTGTTGGGAGGGCATACATTCATACTGCACATTGGCGAATCGTCGCCAGGCATATCCATGCCGCCGTGATCGTGGTGGGTGTGGGCCATCGTCGTTTGATGTCAGAACGTTGATTAGATTTCGAAACAATCGTTAGCCAGATCTGTTCGTACGATGTGTCGATGTGCAGTCGAGATGAGAAGTCGTCGCCTTGAGAGCTGCCACCTCAACCTCAGCTCGAAGCGCCAAGTCGTCTACCTCACCCGCTATCTAACACCACACGACCTACATCATTCTCCTACAAGCGACCCGGACCGCCAGGGAATGCGTCTCTTCCCCCTGGACCGGCCGCTCCCTCGAGCAGCATGCTCGCCCTCCGCCTGACCCCTCGCACTCTCCCGCTCCGCCGCCTGCCCATCCTCCTCCAGACCCGGACGCGCCACGACGACAACCGCTCCCGCGACCCGCAGATCGGGCTCACCACCCCAGTCCCCAGCGATGCACCCGACGTCCGCAGCACCAGCCCCTTCTACTTCGAAGCTGGCTGGGCAGGCTGGGCCAAACGACCTACTCGACCCTTCCCTCCGCCTTTCTTCTCCCCGCCGAGCGGCTCCTTCTCAGATCCGCTGTCTACGCACAACCGCGCCCAGGATCGCCGGCCCAAAGTCAATGGACAGATGATCCGAGGCGTCACGAATGGGGACGATGCGTTACTAGCAAGCCCGAGCTTGGTCGGGGTAAATGATGGGGTCGGCGCATGGGGACAGAAGGAGAGGGGATGCGCGCCGCTCTGGAGTCGACTGATTATGCATTTCTGGGCAATAGCAGCGGAGGGCGATGAGTATGGCGGAGGGAAGAGCGAGCCAGATCCGGTGAAATACCTGGACGAGGCGTACAACCATACGAAAGAGGCGCTTAGTGAGCCGAACGAGTGGTTGGGGACGACGACGGCTTGCTCGGCGCTGCTTCATTACACGGAGGACGGAGATGCGAAGCCAATTGCCTTGATCACGCAGCTGGGCGACTCAAAGTGCCTAGTCGTCCGCGCGACAGCGCCAGATGCAGAGCACAGGAGCGAGATCATCTTCGGCACAGAAGAGCAATGGCATTACTTCGACTGCCCACGACAGCTCGGCACGAACTCACCAGACGAGCCTCTGGTCAACGCCGTGCTCTCCAAGATCGAGATCCAGGAAGACGACATCGTCCTGGCCATGTCCGACGGCGTGACGGACAACCTCTGGGAAGAGGAGATCGCCGACACGGCTGTGGACACGCTCAAAGCATGGCGGGATGGAGATAAGGGCAAGCTGGATGAGGGCATGCGTCATGTCGCGCAGGAGATTGTGTTAGCTGCGCGGAAGATTGCCGAAGATCCCTTCGCCGCAAGTCCGTTCATGGAACGTGGGGTGGACGAGGGGCTGGCGATCGAGGGCGGTAAGCTGGATGATATATCCGTGGTGGCGGCAATATGTCGACGCAGAGATGGGAACGATAAAGGGTGAGAGTTCTGAAAGAATTGGAGACTGGAAACATACTACGCACTCGGATCAAGACGAGACACTTGATACGGGTCCCCAATAGCCCGCTAATCGCATCGGTCGCTGCCACTTGAGTCTCCTCCGCGATTCAGCAACGATCATACCACAGCCGGGTTCGCACCTGAGCCACGTTGAGGCGGAAGAGAGGAGAGGTCAGGACCGAAGAAACGTGAAGGCAACCCGAACTGCATCGTAGAATGGGCACAAGCGGCGAGATGGATGGACAAGGTACAGAGGTTGGAAATCTCGTGACAGAGCATTGATGCGGCGTGGGATGCAGACAGGTGGCGTGGGTATTGGACATCTAATGTACACTTCACCAGCCCTTCTTCATCTTCTTCTTCCCACCCAGCTTTTCTGCCTCCCGCTCGACCTCTGCAAGCGCTTCTCCCGCCTTCCGCTTCCCCTTGTCGCCCTCCTCTTTTCTCTGCGACTTCACGCTCACAGTCGCACTCTTCCGCCCTTTCTTCTCGGCGTCTCTTACCTGGCGTTCGGCATCTTGCCACCCGGCAGCGCCGTTGGCCGCGGCATACTTTTCGAGCGGCAGCGTATCGATCATGCCTCGTATCCGTGCCCTCTCTTCCTCATCTCGCTCGAACTCGGCGCCGGCATCTGCGAGTTCGGCGTTGAGGTCGGCACCGATGGTCTCCATGTCCACGTTCGCTCCGCCGTTGACGCCGTCTTCGTCTGCGCCGCCGTTCATGGCTTGAGGTACCGCGGGCATTCCTTCCTGTATAGCACCCGACTGTATCGAACGGAAGTGCGTGGCGACCTTCCTCACGACCTTGACAAACATGGCCATGACCTGGCCGATCTGCAGTCCGAGTTCCCTCTCCACGTCTTCCAGCCCCTTTCTTTGAAGCCCTACTGCGCAAAGCAGCGCCTGCTGCACCCCAGAGAGTCTGATGCCATTCTCGTTGCGTATCCGGCCAGTGAAAAACAACGAGGCAATGTGGGGCATGAGATCCAGTATAACATGCCAGTCTAGCATGTTGTCGGCGTAGGAGTCGAGACGCTTGAGGTCCCAAGGGCTGAAGAGAGCATCCAGCTCTGCTTTTGACTTCAGTGGCGTTGCCTGCTCTGCAGCTGTGAGCAGGTTGACGCCCATGTGTGCCGACTCGTCGATGGCAAGAGCTTGCACCGAGCCGAATTGTCTGAACTGATACGACAGCAAGCTGAGGAAGCGTCGATGGAAGTCTTTAGCGTATGCTCCAAGCCATGCTGGATCGCTCGTCCCGGCTTCGTTGTCCAGTGTCCGGAGCATCACACACGTATGCTCCCCAGTCAGTTCGTTGGCTGTCTGTCTCATGTACACCGGTACGAAACCTCCTCGCTTCCAGAATTTGTGCAACGGCTGTGTGAGACCGTAGCTGACACCCAGGTAATCTAGCGCTGCCGGTCTTCGTTCGGATAGACGCGCAAACAGTGGCGGCATAGCATGGATATCTCTCACCTTCACGTTGTCCGTGAGTAGGCTGTTTTGTTCGATCTCAGCGTCTGTCACACGAGTCATCTCTGCCTCATGCACATCTGCTTGGCTCTCAGCGCCTTCGTCCAAGCTGACATGCTTGCCCTCGTAGAACTCTGTAAGAAGCTGGAGTGCTCGTGATCCATAGCCCATTCCGGCATGATCCGGGTTTGTAGCAATTCTGACAACCCTAGCACCGCTCAAGCCAGCAAACTCGGAGTCCTGAAATTGCTGGCTGACCAGCCATGGTATCAAGTCGCCCCCCGCCCGCTGACCGCGCGAGAGCGAGTTTAGTACGCTCTCGCGAGATATTTGTCCTTCAAGCGCAACTTGTAGTACGCAGAGAATGTCCGGTAATCGATTTGTGTCCTCTTTGACCGGAGGCACGAGCACGAAGAGCTGATGAGCAGGGGCGTCAGACATGAGTTGGAGGTCGTTTGGGGAGTTCTTGTAGTGGGATGCGACATATAGAGCCATCATCGATTGCAAGAACTTCTCGCTGACTGGGTGGAAGGAGAAGAGGGTATCTCGGTTGACCTGCAGGAGCTGGCACTCGGAGGGGTGTGGTGTGCCGTGAACGCTCATGGATCGAGGGAGAGTTGCATCAAGGCACAGAAGTCGGTTGAGCCATGACTCGACTGGGTCTCCCTGGGCGTATCGAATTGGATCTGACAGGGTAATCTCGCGCAACGAGCGGGACGACGTGCCCACGTTTGCGCCATCGCTGTGTTTGCTCGCAGTGCGATCTGTGACCTTTTCGTCTCCCTTGAGTTTTGACAGCCCTCTCGACTGCTCTCGAAGTTGCTGCACGAGTTTTAGAGAGAGCGATCGCCCGGTGCCCTCGTATCCATTGATCGTACTCGCCATGAACACAAGATACGGTCCCATGAGCTTCCGCACCAAAGGCAATGGAATCGCTGCGGCTTCATCGATCACCAGCAATTCGGCCTGGCCCAGTGTGTATGCATCCTGAGGCTGAATGTACTGTATTGTCTGGCGATGCTGCCTATGCACGTTGACTCGCACGATGGCTTTATTGAAGTCGGGGTTGGTGGATTGGATGATGGTGTAGTCACTGTGGTCGAGATATCCCAAGGCGTCGAAGCCTTTGAACACGAACTCGAACAGAGTCTTCAAATTCTCAGGTGAAGGTGACGTAATGAAGATGTTGCTGTAACCGTATGCGATAGCGGCAGCGATCGCCACTCCCAGGGCAGCCGACTTGCCTCGTCCACGAGCAGCCGTCAGTGCCACCGTGCTGGATAGCGTCTTTTCTTTGATCGCTTCAACGAATGTAAGAAGTGCTTTGGCCTGGTCAGTGGTCCGCGCCAGCTGTACGAGTGGTCCAATGGGTTGTGTATCGGCGAAGCTCTCTTTGACGTCTTCCAATTCCCGTCTTGCAACCTCTCTGCCGTCCTCCTCGCCGTTCGTCAAGCTCTTCTCAATCACGTTCTTGCCACCAGATATAGGGAGCACGTTCATCTCATCGTCCACCACTAAGCAGTTTCCACAGCTTCCCAGGCTCAAAATGAATCGTTCGTTGAATCGCGCAACAACATCACCATGTGCTTCCGTCCGGTACCTCGAGTGGACGTCCATGCTCATGGTGTAGAGCTGCTTCAAGCTGTTCATGCCTTTGAGCAAAAGCAGAACTAGCCCACCGCCCTCGACAGTTTCCACTGTCCTCGCCAGAAGATTTGGTGTCACCGCTTCGAAATCTTGCAATATGCACATGCCGTATGTGTTGCCCAGGATCTTCTCCGTCTCTTTGTAGTAAACATATCGAATGTTCTGCGTGCTCACGAACAGTTCGAAAGGGTCCTCGACGTCGGCGTCCCGAATGCCTCGCTTGATCTCTTTCTTGATCTTCTTCTCTCGCTTCTTGCGATGCGACGAGAAGCCGAGGAGCTTGTTCTTGTACGCCCACAACACCGACTTGTTGAGCTTGATGTCGAGGTTAAGCAGGATGTGGTAGAGATTGACAATGACATCCTTCTGCCGGTCGCCCACGACGACGAAGAAGGTGCGGTGCTTGGAGTTGGTGCCGTTGCGGATCAGCGCTGGTATGCGCGCATCAATCGCCTTCTTCGGCATCTTGACTGGTACAAGACGCAGGTGTACTCAAGATGTCAAGGTCGGTTCGTCGTATGACGGCGTACGCTCGACATCCTGTGTAAAACGGCTTGACGGATGAGTATACTACCTCGACCGGTGCTCTAATTGTCGTAAGTTTGGTGGTGCTCTTAGCGATGTTGGGTAGATGTGCGAAGCTGTCGCATGTGAAAAGTTTCGAGGTCTGTTCTGGAATAAGCTTTCCCCGCGATATGCTAGGCTAGTCCCGCTCGGCAGCGGCCGTCGCTTCCGCGCTGGCGGCGCTCTCCACAAGAGCCTCACTGATCACGACGCCAACGCGCTGTCATCTTTCAACAGAATACCGACCAGCACTCCCTGCCAGCACAATGGCAGAAAACGTCCCACCCGGCTCAGCAAATCAATCCAACAACGCCGCCGACCAGCCTGGCCGGCCATACTACGAGTCTCTGCGCGCGACGCTCCGTCAAACCATCGAGAAGAAGCGCAAGCTCGACGAGCAGATCGCGGCAGTTGAAGAGCAGATTTTCAAGGCGGAAGGCAGCTACTTGGAAGACACCGCAGGTTCGGGCAACATAGTGCGTGGCTTCGATGGCTGGGTCAAGGGCGTACAGGTCGGCGGACGGGGTGCGGCAGACGACAGGCGGAGGGGGCGCGTGAGAGACGACGACCGCGTCTTCAGCAGAAGCTCGGTCAGCTGGATGAAGGTGAACCACCTCATATCGCATTGACGAGTACTACTGTCACGACGAGATGCTAAGAGTGGTGCAGGCGCAGGACGGCTCTGATTCAAACCCGACCTCGCATGCACCAACGCCTACGGCCTCCCTCGCTGGCGGCATGTCGACCAGAGATACCAACAAGACCGGCAACAAGAAGAAGAGGGCTGCCGACAAGGACGATGACGAGGATGGGAAGACCATGAAGAGAGGCAAGATCTCTTACGGCCGAGATTGATATGTCCACACTGCCCCCTTCTATCTGCCGTTTAGCGAGGTGTTTGGCGTAGTCGGCCTGGTAGAACAGATATGATACCCTGGTATGAACTGGTTTCGGGCTTCGGAAGCTCTCATGGCTTCCTGGTACGATGACGCTTACTGTCTCGAGCTGGCCTCGTGCTCCAGGCATGGTGCAAAAGAATGGTGATTGATGTAAGTCCTGCTCACCACTCACGATAGCACTTGACCTCTACAACGCACACGCCTGCTGCTTATCATGTTGATGTCGGTAGCGCTGCTACAGGGCCTGCCGGGGATGCTCCGTTCTGGCCCAGACGAGACACGTCAACCGGTCTAGGTCTCTGTGGTGGTACCGCGCACAGTGGGCTGACCATTTACGTGAGGTGCTTCGGCAACTGTGTGGAAGACTACAAAGAGGATTTGCACACAATGGCCTATGCATCTGATCGGATTTGCGGCCTCTGCCGTCAGCGACAGTGATGCCATCTCATTCGTCCAGCCACGAATCCTCTACAGGCTTGATCTATGCCACCAATACACTCTCTGGCAGGATGAAGGAGCTCACGGAGGCTACGGAGGTAAGGGTAGTTGACATTTCAACCGCTACTGCAACCGCACATTCGCGCCAGCCGGAATCTGATCTCCGGGGAAGTCTTGGATCTCTCACTAGGCTCGCCTACCATTTCGGCCAACGAGGCGGTCGCGAAGCATGAACACGGAAACTGCCACGATCCAGCTTTGAACGGGACCTCGCGCTCGCGACTCAGCATACCATGCAGCCAAGAACGACAAGATGAGGGGAAGCCCAGAACCTGATTCTATGCCAAGCACGGCAGATCTCACAGTGATCCTCGCGTGGGATGCACGCGTTGGAGACTGTGGAGATATATTTCATCTGGGGACCCCAGAACCAGGAGAAGCGAGATTACTTAGGTCTTTACCGAGCGAGCCTTTCTCAAACCTTACTCTAGCGCCGCACCCACTCCATTCTTCCTCGACAAGTCTATCAGACCATCGCCTTGCTCAGAGGTGTACTCAACGCCAATGGAGGGTACGATACCGGATGAGAACATCAACCCGTCGGGCAAGCACGATGCCGAAGTCCTGCACACCGAAAACCTCCACGACGAAGACTTGAAGACCGAGAGAACGGAACTCACACGAGCTCAGATTCGGCGGTTTGGCATCCTTCAAGATGTTCGCGTGTTGCCCATGCTTGGAGTCATCTACGCCGTGAGCATTCTGGACCGCATCAATGTGAGATTCGCTCGCTGCCCTGTACAACTGCGTCTCGACTGACACATCTCAGATCGGCTCCGCGAAAGTCCTGGGCATGGAAGAGGACCTCAATCTGGGCGACGCAACCCGATATTCGATCATCCTCTTGCTGTTCTTTCCCTCATACGCCCTGACCGATGTCCCATCCAACTGGATCCTAACAAAGGTCTCCCCGCGCTTGTGGCTCGCTTTCTTGATGTTCGGCTGGGGCGCCATACTCTGCGGCATGGGCTTCACGCACAACTGGCAGGTCGTGGCCTTTCTGCGATTCATGCTCGGTGCCTTTGAAGGAGGTGTCCTGCCCGGCGTCACGTTTGTCATTGCTTGCTGGTGAGTGCGAATACATCCTATTCAGTTACCCCAGAGGTCTGATTGTTCGCAGGTACACCAAGCCCGAGCTGCACAAGCGCATAGCAGCGGCCTACGGCGTCGGCTTGATCTCATCCGGTTTCGCAGGTATCCTCTCTTTTGGTCTCGGGCAGCTGGACGGCGTTCACGGCATGAGCGGATGGAGGTGGATCTTCTCGATCGAGGGTGGCGCTACCATGCTGCTAGGAGCCGTCGCACCGCTCTTCTTGCCCTCCTTCCCAGAAAAAGCAAGTTGGCTCAAACCAGCTCACCGCGAACATCTCTTCGAGAAGCTTCATCGTGACCACGGCCATGCTGAGCAGGAGAAGGTGACACTGAGAACTTTCAGAAACGTCAGCACCGACTGGCTCTTCTGGCTTCAAGGATCAGTCTACTGCTTCAACGTCGGAACGGCAAATGCGACTGCTTTCTTCGCTCCTACAATCATTGCGGTAAGCCATATCTATCCTCTTGCTTCGTGGCAAGGCTGACCATTCTCGAACAGGGTCTTGGATACGATGGTCTCCAAGCCTCTCTGCGATCAGGCTTTCCGTTCTTCGCTGCGCTCGGTTTGCTGATGATCACGTCGACGATCTCCGATCGTTTTCAGCGTCGTGCGACAACGTGCCTCTTCACGATCACGCTTATGATCATCGGGCTTATCATCATGCGTGAGAATGCTGGGTTCAGCCGTGAGTATAGCGCAGCAATCTATCTTTGTCACGGTGCCGTCCAAGAGCTAACCCTCATCTCAACAGCTGGCGTCCGCTACACCGGAATCTTCTTCCTAACAATGGGCGTCCACAGCACCGTGCCAGCCCTCCTCGCCTTCAACCAAAGCAACACCCTAGGCGCAGCAAACCGAGCCATCAGCAGCGGCATGTTGATCGCTTGCGGGGCCATCGGTGGTATCATCGGAAGCTTGATTTTTCGCGGGCAGGATGCGCCCGGCTACGCTCCGGGCATTTACACCACGATTGGGTTTTGTGTATACAACATCTTCGCGCTGCTTGTCTGTATCTTCGCGTACAGAAAGAGGAACCAGCGGATAGCGCAGGGTGAGGTTTTAGAGGGCGCTCCGGAGGGCTACAGGTTCAGTCTGTAGTGTCATGTAATGGACCCAGGTCGTACGACTTTACGCCTTTCGTGAGGGCATCATATTATTCGTCATTGACCTGACTCATTGGGAACATTGAACGACAAGATTCAAGGGAGCTTAAACGTGCGGTCGTTTCCTGCCGGCGTTGTCATCGACGTAGGGTATCCGACGTCACCTGCAGCAGGATGTACACGGTACTACCAGAGATTCTGGAGAGTGCAAAGGTATCGTATGTGGCAACAAGAGACAACCAGGAACAAGACACACATGCCTCTCGAGTCCATGCAGAGCTAGGCATGAATGTGCCAGCGCGGCCTCCGGCGACTTCAACGGCAGGATTCGGCGGAAAACGAAACCTTTGTCCAGCAGCCGAGTACTGGATGCGCGAGGCGGTGCAGTCGGACCGTGATGAGGCCTCGAACGCAAGAGCCGCGGTGGAATGTGTAGCATCAAGCGTTCCCAACTTTGGGCTCGGTAGCATTTGGAGCGGCATCCTCAGTCCAAGTGGAGAAACTCTATACTGACTGCATATCCCTCGCGCTGTTGGTAGACACCCTCACGCTCGGCCGTCAGGCCGCCTTGCCGCTTCATACTGCGGCTCGAGATCTCCATCAGCGATGATTCGACCCTTTGCGGTGGCAGATACGAGCATGATAAACATCTCAAATTCAGATTTCCAGGCAGCTACCGGGCGATTGTAGATACTGGCGCACCAAACGCGCCAAATGCGAATCCGAGCGGGTCTTCGGTTGATGAGACGGTTGAGGGCAAGCAGGCCCTCGAGGACGTTTATATTCATCGCTTGGTCATCTGGAAGGATGCATCGTCCTCGGTTGGTGGATTCACCGTCACATTTGCTGCTTGATCGTCGATCCATGTCGGAGAACGTGTAGATGGATCCATCTCTTGCGCTGAAGCTGGCTGTTGAATGACGCGGAGAGTACCTCCAATTCTGTGTGTCGTTAGAATATAGAATTGGAGGTACTCCCCGGCATCGTTGTTTGTCACGCCCATTATAAGCTATTCAGATTGTCTCGAAATAACCTCGATGACAAAATGCAGGCATGATGATGGGAATGTGCTTAAGGTTTAAAACCAACATGTTGTAGGCGGACGTCCACGGGGATTTTCACGGCACGGCAATCGAGAATCCTCCCGAACGGTGGTGTTGTCCGTCTGTTCTACACCAAAACCAAACCATGGAACGAGCAGTAGCATCATACAATTCGCTACTGATAGCAGTGGCGTCCACAGATTGGTCCACCTACGGCAGTGCGGACGAATGCGAAGACCCACGACAGCCCATTTCACCATTTAGACTGTGATGGAGAACGGTGCTCGTTGTCAACTCCGCCTCCACGATCCCCGTCCGTTATAAATGGAGCTCCATATGAGAAGGTTTGCGGCGCAATGCTCTCCGTAGTCTCCTCTCTGTTGAGCATAAGACAGTAGAGATGCGCAGGAACTTTCCATGGTCCCCCATCACTCTTGTTCATTTGCCCGACGACGACGAACCAGAACCGTCCATGGACCAACCAATGAACCTCAGGAGTCCGCACCGACCGATCAGGGTCGGAGTCATCTTGGTGAACTCGTGAGTTGTCAGGAGTTCATCCCTAAGACAGGCCGCATCTAGCTGAAGTATAGGACAGGAAGACAGAGATTCTTGACGTAGCTCCTGTCGACATCTTCTCCGCCCTCTCAAAAGAGTTCCTCCACAACTACCCAGCGCACATGATCTCCGACGCAAGGAAAGAACAAGCCTTGGAATGTGAATTCCACTGGGTCACCGAGACGGGCAGGCCTGGCAGGCTGACCGCAGGAGCTGTCGTTCAGGCCACCCATAGCTTTATCACATGCCCGCCCTTGGATATCGCCCTGATGGGCGCACACGACTCGACGTATGCATTGAGCCGAGCAGAGATCGATTTCGTCAAGAAGACTCACGACGGCTGCTTGGCGTTTCTCTTCGTATGTGGTGGCTTCCAGGCAGCATTGCAGTCCGGTTTGCTTGAAGACAAGACCGCCACCGCTCCACGGCCGATGATCGAATGGCTTCGCAGGAACAACTCTGAGGTAGACTGGGTGACAAGGCGCTGGGCTCGGGATGGAAAGGTCTGGACCAGCGGAGCGTTGCTTAATGGGATTGATATGACGAAGGCGTTTGTCGAAGAGATCTGGGGTGGCCCAGGCACGTTGGCGGATTTCAGCCTGCGTTCGGGTGGTTATCCAGACAGAGACGTCAATTATGCCGACGTTCAAGGCGAGCTGTAGGAAGAGAAGAGTTGGACTCATCGCGCTCTCCCTCTGAACCCCGCTATCATAGGACCATACCTTGCACCCATGTTCATTAACAGCAGGCCAAAGACGACTCCAATCATGAAGATGGCGCTGGAATGCCAATCCTGAGACTCGCTCGATGAAGGCCACGATATTTGAGCATCCACTTGACTAGGACTTTGAACAGCATGTGCCATAGTCGATGTCGTCGGTTGGCTGTTTTCGGTACGATCGAGATGGTACGGCTGCGAAGTGCCGAGCGTGGTGGTGTTTGCTGCGATAGCACAAGCATACACGCTGCCATGTAGACCATTTGCAACAAGTACAGTCTCGAATCCAGTTCGTGCGCCCCGTACAAGCGGCTCAGCCGTCTCATCGGAAGCAAAGAGCTCCCAGAAAGCGAACTCAGTGGCGCCGTTCCAGCTCACATGGCATACGGTAACGTTGTTCTCCTTCTCCGCAGCAGCATAGGAGCATCTGATTGCAACTGGCTCGCTGGGCGTGGCCTTAAAGTCGAATTTGTAAGCACGATAAGTACCAAGGTGCGAAGGGACCAGATGGGCTTCTTGCAGCACATTGCCTTCGCTATCAAACTCCGTTGTGTATCCATTGTCGCCCCAGTGGACGAACACGTTGCCATTATCCAGAAGCTGAACGTTCCCACGGTAGAAGCCGAGCTTTCCGTCTGGCCTGGGCCACTGTTTGACCAGGCTGGCCATGTTTTCGTTTTCGTTTACTTGGACCAAATATGCTGCAGAAGTTGCAGAGGTCTCGTGGTGGCTGTCCGCGGCGTTATTGAGGAAGGATATGAGCGTCTTCCCGCTGTTTTCATCCATAAACCGAGCATGGTGCTGCCGTGAGAAGTTGAACCCGTCCATGGCCAAGCTTGACCTCAAGCCACCCAGGCGCCAGATGATGGAGCGATCCTTGCAAGAAATTTTGTAGATGGAGTCAGTGTGTCTTCCGGAGAGCAGGTAGTTGCCGTCCGAGTCCCGATCGACGGAGTTTATATGGCTGGGATGAGGTCAGCGCTCCTCCCACTTAAGCCATGCAGAGCTCAACTCACAACCAGTCCCATTCGGTGCTCGTCTCCTCTTCGGGACGGATCTCGGTCGACTCAGACACATGGATGTTGTCTAGAACCCGCCATCTAAATGCAATGCTGCCTGTCGAATCGAGTTCGAGAAAGCCTCCGTCCCAGACAAGGACATTCTCAGAGGTCTCAGGATCAGTGAAGTTGGAGGATCCATCATAAAGAACAAGCGCGCCCCCGTCGCCAAGTCTCGTGAACTCGTGGAAGTTGTAGTTGGGACCTTCTCCAGTAGGCTCTACCGAGTCCATGACGGTGTAATTGTCATCCCAGATTAGACCGCCGCCACGGTTGTGCCACATGTCGAGTCCGGTCGGCTGCCCTTCCACAAAGCTAGAGAAGCCATGCTCTCCATCCTCGTCCCACGTCCTGAAGTCAAAGGTGTTGCGGTTCTTGACGTCGCATGCGCCACTCCATACCAGGTCCTGCAGCAAGGTCAGCTACGTACAGGCGGCTTGACACTTCACATCTCACTCCGCGATTATCGTAAATGTGCGGCCCGATCTGGCAAAGACTTGCAGAGCCAGACTGTGCTCCAAGATCGGCATATGGTGCAACGAACCAGTATCCAGAGTTGAGGCTTTCGGGCTTGTAGGTCGTGACGTTGTAGCGTGGCGGCCTCAGATCCGGCCTCTTCCTCTGTCAGCATAGCTTGAAGCAGAGCATGAGTGTCACACTCACTGATACAAATGTCAAGTCAGAAGCCACGAGGCGCATCATGCCAGGTTGTCCCTCGCTGGCCATGACTGTCGCCGCCAGCGCGAGTGCCGCCGTAGGCCATCGAAGTATCATCTCATCGAATATCGGGTCCCGGACATGTTCTTGCACAGTCTGTATGACTGGTTTAGAGTCTGGAAGAAGGAGAGCATGAAAGTCAAGGAGAGAGAAAAAGGTCAACTTATTAGCTTGTATCACGATGCCTACTATAGATGAAACAGGCTAATGTGCGTTCAGCCAGCTCGCCCGCGAGCGTCTGTGATAGTAACAAGTTGCTGGCATACATGTTGAGACCAAGCAAGGCAATCGATTGAGAGCACGATGGAGTCAAGATAAGAAGTGAGGAGAGGAGAGCGAAAGGGAGCATTTCTGGGTCTTTGAAGGCTGGACTAGAACTAGACTAAACCTAAATAGGTGGGCGACTCCTACGAGACGCATTCGATTCCAATTTGTCCTGCTCTCGATCAACACCACCTCGATCTAATCGGCACTCGGGACGTTCATACTGGTACGGTATCAGCTTTGTTCATGCGACAACATGGCATCCAGTACTTACTTGAACACAACCGCCTTCGCCTGCATCCAGTCATACAAGCCATACTTGCCAGACTCCCTGCCGTATCCGCTCTGCTTCATCCCGCCAAATGGCGCGCTCAGGAGTCCACCGTATGGGGCGTTGATGGTCACGGTGCCAGCTTCCAACAATGTACTGACACGCATCGCACGCGTCACATCGCCCGTATAGATCGAGGCGGCAAGACCGTAAGTGGTGTCGTTGGCAAGTTCAATCGCCTCTTCCTCCGTCTTGAACGTCTTGATGCTTATCACAGGACCAAAGATCTCGTCGGTGAAGATCTTCGCCTTCGAATCGGGGTTGAGATAGATAGTGGGCTCGATGAAGCAGCCCTTCTCGCCCTTCCGGACACCGCCTGTGATGACTTCCGCTCCAGACGACTTGCCGGTTTCCAGGAACGACATGACGCGCTCGTACTGGGCTTGATCCGCAAGAGGTCCAAGAGCTGTCTTCTCATCGGATGGATCGGACATGACTTCGGAAAGCTTTTCGAATCTCTGCTTCAAGCCTTCGATGAACTTTGGCGCGATCTTCTCCTGCACCAACGCCCTACTGCATGCAGCGCAAATCTGGCCCGTGTTGGCCAGGAAGCCTTGCGAGTTCATAGCGAGGGCATTTTCAAGATTTGCATCGTTGAAGATCAGTGCCGGTGACTTGCCACCCACTTGTCCTTTGTCAGTGCTGTCACCAATGCAGATCGGGCACTGGTCCTGGACTTACATTCGAGCGTAACGCGCTTCAGGTTGGACTTGGTGGCAGCGTCCTGGACCTTGCGACCACTGGCGATGGATCCGGTGAAGCTGATCTTGCCAATATCCATGTGTGCTGCTATCAATGCACCTGTCTTGCCAGGACCAGAAACTACAGCACGTCAGTGGACGATGTCCCGCCTGCGGTGGAGAGGAGATTCATACCGATGTTGATGACGCCTGGAGGAAAGCCCGCCTCTTTGATGAGCTCGCCCAGCGCAATGGCACCAAGCGGCGACTTCTCTGAAGCCTTGAAGACGAAAGTGTTGCCAACGGCAATGGCTGCCGCGATCTTCTTCACGGCGGTGACCTGTGTCGCGTTCCAAGCAGCTGTTCCTAACATTAGCTTCACGTCTCTCATGAGGGAGCAATCATCTCGAACCAATGCCACCGCAGACACCGTACGGCATGTACTGCACCATCTTCATCTTTCCATCGCCATCATCAGGGAACGACTCTCCCTCAATCTTGTCGCACCAGCCGGCGTAGTACCTCCAGTACGCCACAGTCGAGGCGATGAACTTCTTAGCCGCGCTAATCGGCTGACCCATACAGATGGTCTCTAACATGGCCAACTTCGCAGCGTCGCGCTCGACAAGGTCGGCCATCTTCAACATGAGCTTTGCCTTCTGGGCTGCGGGGACCGTCCGCCAGGATTTGTAGGCCTTGCCCGCAGCATCAACAGCAGCGTCGACATCGGCCTCGCCGGCGGCGTGGACACCTTCGACGACGAGAGAGCCATCGTTTGGGCTGTTCACGGAAAATGTCTCGCCAGCTTTAGATTTGACGTACTGCAGGCAGGATGTGAACATCAGTCTGCACGTTTGCCGCTTTGATCCATTGTTTGACAAACCTCGTTATTGATGAACAGCCTGGTTTCGTACGACATTTTGACGAGTTGCAGTGACTATAACAAGAGGAACGAGCAACTAATTTGCAAACTGTACTGAGACGAAGATGGTTGACAGAAATGAGTTCTGCTACTGACTGACGACACGTCCTTGGTATAAGCCGATGAGGGGCAAAGCTGCCCCTCCAGAGTGAGAGCAGAGCAGAAGTGTTCGGCAATCAACCTCCGAGAACGAGCAAGTCGACCACACCTCTTGACCTTCGGCTCCTCTCACACGGACCTGAAGGGGGAGGGAAGATCTTGCTCTAGTATCTTGCAATGCACCCCGCGTCGTAAGGGCGGCTGATGCGTTGGTACTATGCAAAGGGTACACAGCATATAGTCAAGCAGTGGGTAACCCACATCGGACGCATGTCTGCGTTGCTACAGCTGATCCCGGTCGCGTTCCCATCATTATGCCTTCTGAACACACCCACTTTCCCTGTGAGGGTTTTACTGTTCGCTGAACAGATTCAGAGGCACCAGATCCGACTTTCAGCACACGAGTACACAAATTTCGCTCGCAACGGGCTTACCAGGTCAATCACGGTCCAGCTGCTCATGCGTGAGATGGTAGGCTATTCTCGCTCTCACACATTCTCGATACTTACCGCTCGTTCCACGATGCCTGCTTCCCATGCCGGCGGACATTTTCTCACATCCTCGTAGTAAACCGCACCGTGAATCTCAAGCCTTTCACAATACTGCTCCATATTCGAGCTTCCAACCAGCCAGTCCACGTTGACTTGGCCCTCCATACCCATGTAGCGCACTACACTCGTTCGAAGTAGTTCCCCATTTTTCCGCCAGATATAATAGACCCAAACCGGCTGCTTCTGTAATTCGACCTCGTCCTTGTCTTGAACAGCATCCGGCCAGCCAAATATATACTGGCTTCGATTCAGCTGTCTTTCCAGGGCGGCGTTACAGGGAAAGTCCTCGCGCGCCCAGCTGCGTGGTGTGACTTTCACTGCCCGCAGCGCCTCATACGTAGGCAGACTTCTAGGTGTTCAGCACTGTTGAGGTCCATCCTCAACGAGTGGGCGTCATCCTGAAGCGCAAACAGGCGCCGCCCCAGAAGGCAGTAGTCCGCGATAGCTGCACAGCTGGTCTGGAGATACAAGATTGGACCTTCATGAGGGCCAGCAGGGCGCGAAGTAGTTAACGAGGCTTTCACCATGAATGTGCCGCCTGTACCAAAAGTACGCGGCGAAGGAGGCGTCGGTACGGGCTCTGGTTCAGCGACTAGGTCGTCCAGGGATTGTCCTTGCAGCCAGAGTGCACTCCATAGTCGTGAGATGATTCCATTTGGATAGACGGTGAAGGGGGATAGATAGCGAGCCGGTAAAATGTGAATGAAGTGCGCCAAGGTTGCCCGCCATCCGATTGCTGTTGCCTCTTCAGATGCTCTGTCAGTAGGAGGCGCCTAAACGTACATATACATCCCCTCCACGCCTCTGTCCGATTTTACGCGCCCAAACAGCAAGGCCGTAGGTGAAGTACAGGGCCGGGGTAAGTTCGAGACCAACGATGTTTCAAGCCAGGGTAGACATGCAACAGGCTCCGTCAATCCATCTGTACCGGCTTCTCTTCGTCCTGGCGGCCCCGACCCTGGAGTAGGTAATGGTCCGGCAGTCCCTGATTACCGAAACCCTCACAAAGATTTGGTGACCACGGAATGTGGATGAGGTTGGATCGACAGTGGAGGAGAACCCGCCCGCTACCCTCCGCATCTGCCCAACTTGGCGCCTCCTCCCCGGATAGGCAGGTGTGGTATAGACGAAACGAAGGTTATTGGTGGATTCAATTCATCCTGACTTTATACTAGACGCTCCTGCTAATGAAAATATTGTTTTACAGTTGTGGTCAGCTGGCCTCCCCGCTGCTCCCAACGCATGAATATGGGGCTCGCGAGAGTGAAGGGCGAGGTGGCGCTGCTACATAAGAAGCCCAAGCACCGACAAGCAAGGCCACAAGCCAGACGGTATACTTGGCAGAATCCAACCCAGTAGCCAAGCAAGCAAAATCAACCCGCCATGGCCTCTTCGTCCCGTCTTCAGCTGGCCGCCGGCCTCATCGCCACCGCTTCCCTCGTCGCCGCCGCACCCTGCGATCTGTACGCCTCAGGAAACACTCCCTGCGTCGCCGCCCACTCCACGACCCGCGCCCTCTACAGCTCCTACGCCGGCCCTCTGTACCAAGTGAAGCGCAACTCGGACGGCAAGACCAAGAACATCAAGCCCAAGATCGCCGGCGGCGTCGCGCACTCCGCAGCCCAGGACTCCTTCTGCGCCAGCACCACCTGCGTCATTACCACCATCTACGACCAATCCGGCCGACGCAACGACCTGACTCCCGCACCACCAGGCGGCGCTGCTGCAGGCCCTGGCTCAAATGGCTTCGACTTGCCTGCAGACGCCACCGCGGCTCCTGTAACGCTCGATGGCCAGCGTGCCTATGGCGTGTACATCAGCCCCGGCATGGGCTACCGCAACGACGACACCTCCGGCATCGCCACAGCCGACGAGCCGCAAGGCATCTACGCCGTGCTAGACGGCACGCACTACAACGACGGCTGCTGCTTCGACTATGGTAAGTAAACACTGTCCCGAGTTTACCTGTCTAGGAAGGAAAAAAATGCTGACCGAAAATTTCTAGGCAACGCCGAGACCTCCAACGACGACACAGGCAACGGGCACATGGAAGCCATCTACTTCGGCAACAACAGCTTTTGGGGCGCGGGTGCCGGGAACGGACCGTGGATCATGGCTGATCTTGAGAACGGCTTGTTCTCCGGTATGAACCCCGAGGAGAATCCGAACGACCCGTCCATTACCGCCCGCTTCGTGACGGCGGTCGTGAAGGGCAAGCCGAACCACTGGGCCATTCGTGGTGGTGATGCGACGAGTGGAGGGTTGGGGACGTATTACAACGGTGCGCGGCCGAGTGTGGAGGGGTACAACCCCATGAGCAAGGAGGGAGCGATCATCCTGGGCATTGGCGGTGACAACAGCATCAGTGGACAAGGCACCTTCTACGAGGGCGTCATGACCTCTGGATACCCGTCGAACAAGGTGGAGAACCAGGTGCAGGCGAATATTGTTGATGCGCGGTATGCTACTGCTTAGGTCGTTAGCTTGCTAACGGGGGTGCTTGGATGATTCACTGAAAAGTCTTGAAACTCGCTGCAATGCCGTTGCTTCGTGGTCCGAATTCAGGGCTCATTCCGTGTAGTTGCATGCTCGCTAAGACTCTCGACAAAGTGCCGTCTGAGAAGAACGCTCAAGTGTCAAACTGCATCAGTCGTGTCTCATCTACCCATCTTGGTGATCATCATGTTGTCCCTCGCTCAAAATTCCATGGCACGTCGGTGTATAGATTCAAGACAGATCATCTGCCTTGCATGTTGTTCATCTTCGAAGCCGCAGGCTGATCCGGACGAGGAAGCTAGGGCTCGCAACGTTTCAGAGTAACTGGACCCGCGGCTCGGTCCAATATAGCAGGCGCTTGGTTAACAACGTGCGTCCAGGATAATGAAGTCTGATTTGTGTCGAAGGTCTGCTCGGCGCTTGCCCGTGTCGCTTGACGTGTAGCTGAAGTCGAGCACAGGAGCGTGGTCGTGGAGCCTTCGGATTTGTGAACATCTCAGACTCATCATCGCTGCTTCAAGATCTCTATTCCGCCGAAGAGGACGAAGCCGTCAGTAAAGTCCCGTGTCCGTCTGCGGAGAGATGGAGTTGAAGAGGAAGAGGCCTTGCGCACCTGTTAAGAACTCCTCGCTGTCACACACATTCTTGTCAGCAACTCACTCCCATGTCGTAAAGAATGATGACAACTTACAAGCTCATCGTAATGTACCCATCCCGATCGGTGTCAAATCGCTTAAACACATCCGTCATCCGCTTCAGACTAATGCACGCCTGCACGAACAGATCGAAGGACAAAACCTTCTCCCGCTCGCCGTCATCCCCTCTGCCTCTCGAATGCTTCTTCGCGTACGTGCCAAACAGCAACGCGACGAAGTTCGGACTCAGCCGGTAGCCGAAAGCGACCAGCGCGTCCTGGAACTCTTGTAAGGAGATGTTGCCAGAGCGATCGAGGTCGAATTTGTCAAAGAGACCGCGCCATGCAGCGAGGAAGCCCCAGAGGCCGCAGAACTCGTCGAAGTTGATTGTTCCAGAGCGGTCGGTGTCGAACATGCGGACCTGTTCATGCGTCAGCCCTGTTCGTGAGAGACAGATCGGTAAATTGAGTACTCACCATCATCCGCACAGTATGCATGTCAAAAGCAGTGTAATCGCCATTCACCAACGCTCGACTCAGTTCCGCTTCACTCAACTGCCCGGTCCGATCTTTGTCCACCTGCAAGAAAAGCGGCCACAGCGCATCGCGGTCATTCTGATCTCTCGGCGGCGCCACAGTAGGCGGTCGCTGCTGCTCAGGTATCGGCGGGCGGTTGTGATATTGTGGTGGCGGGGCTTGGCCATAGTTCGCAGGCGGTGGTGGCGAGCCGTAGGTGTTTCGAGGTGGAGGCGCTTGCTGCTGCTGTTGTCCGTAGCCGTACTGCTGCTGCGAGTTTTGTGGAGGAGGCTGCTGACCGTAGCGAGGCGAGTTGTTGTTCTCGTAGCGTGGGGAGGCTACACGATTGTAGTCATTGTAGCCGCCTGAGGCCTGCCCATAGTTTTGAGATGGTGGAGGCTGCGAGCCATAACCTCCGCTGGGAGGAGGTGGTGTGCGGCCGTAAGCCTGTTGCTGACCTGGCGGCGGAGGCACGGGCTTGTTGTAGTTCGCAGGACTCGAGCCGGAGTGTTGGCGAGGTGGAGGCGCGGCGCTGGAGGAGGGCTTGCCTGGGTTCAGCATCTGCGCTGCCTGCTCGGGTTCGGCGTGTCTGTGATATGATCGGCGCATTAGCGATGACTTCCTCAAGCTGCTGCTTTGCCGCATATGGACTGCTTGTTAGAATAAAGGAAGGACCTACGCAGGTAGAGCATCGGGGTTATAGCCGCGATTGTAGGCCATCTTGTCCCACCGTCACCACCCTCTTCGCCGCTTCGTGACGCCTTTGTTGCCTTGGGCGCACTGGATTTACTCTGGCTAGTGGCGAAGGATCAATGCTCCTGGTGCTCACGCGACAGACGGCCTCGAAGTATACGTAATCCTCGCACTGGATGACTCGCAGATTCGGGACAAGGCTGGCTGTTGTCGCGGCGGATGTTGAGTCGAAGTGGTTCGCGAGCTGATGCTGAGATGTTGTTCCTCTTATGTGGCGGGCGGCGGTGCGCACAACGAAAGCGAGTCGAGCAAGGCTGAGTGTCTGAGTGTACCGTGAGCCGCGTTGTCGCGAGAGAAGGAGGGGTCATGTTGGCGGGCGAAGCTGAAGGCTGGGCTGATGCATTGGCGTCTTCTTCACATCATGAGACTGAGCAATATCTTCATAAGCCTACCATTCCACATGCGAGGGCAGTATTGACGGGTGGAGATATGAACACTGGATACATTCCATATCCATGGTTAGAAGCTCAATGCGGCCTTGGCCGGCTGTGATTGTCATTCGAGACGCCATCTACTCGAACCGCTCCTTGGTGGTATACAAGCACTGCCTATTGCCTGCGCTTCATCTCCCAAGCGACGATACCCTCCCCTCAAGCCCCCTTACCCACCCCTCAACCACCTTCCCATTTCTCCCATTCGCCTCCTGCGCCTGACTGACCGCTTGCTCAACCTTCCCTAACCCCTCCCTCCATTGCTTCAGTTCCCTCTCCATCTCTCCTTGACTCCTTTCCACATCCTCCAGCACCTGCGCAGCAGACGAGGCAGACGTATGCAGAGTCCGAAGAGACCGCAGCCGGGAGAGCAGAGCGGGTACGGTGGGAGAGAGCGATTGCAGCGTTGGCAGGAGAGTGTAAAGTTGGGAAAGCTGTTGGAGGTCGGCGGAGGAGATTGCTGTAATCTCTTGGTCTGACTCCTCGTCTTCGTCATTCGCTGTGGTGGCGGAGCGGGTAAGGGCGGCGTCGGCTTCAGCGCGTAGCTTTTGAATGCGTGCGCTGGCTGCTTCGATGTTGGCGACAGAGCTGGCCGAGGAAAGGGCAGCGAGTTGTTGATCCAGCACCGTGAGGGATGGCAGTAGTGGCATAGCCGCCGTAGCATCCGTCTGAGTCGCAGAGTCCAGCGCCGATAGCCCCAGCGCAGTCTCTAGACTCGCCAACCTCGTATCAAAGTCCGCGACCTTGCCGACCATCTGCTCCTCCGTAAGATCCGGGTCTTCCTCCTCCTTGCCCTGGTCCCTCACCTCCTTCCCTCCTCTCTTCCGCCTGTCAGTACCATCCACCACCAACCCTCTCAGCAAATCCTCCAACCCCCCAACCCCCTCCCCTCCCTCCCCCTCCCTCTCAGCAAGAACCCTACACTCCTCCACCTCCCTCCTCAACCTTGCAACCCTTTCACCCAGCCCCTCATCCTCCCTCCCCTCCCTACTCCTATACCGCAACCCATACCCCCTCCTCCCCCCAGCATCGACGCGATCGCTCAAGTCCACACCCTTAACTCTAACACCCTTACCCTCGCCATCGAACCTCCGTCTCGCGCGGCCAATGTTGAAGCGTCTCCTGCTCACGACACCGCCGGCGCCGGATTCCGCGTCTGAGGCAGAGTCCGAGAGCTCGTGGGACGTATCCGAGAGTTCGGAGGGTTCGGGGGACGCGGAGGGGGAACGTTGTGTGGAGGTGGTGGTGTCGGTGGTGTCGGCTGTTTCGTAGATGTCGGGTGCGGTGTCGTAGCCGGGAAGGGCGGCGAGGCGGGAGGGTGGGAGCGGGGATGTCATTGTGGAGGGGTCGTGGGTGGAAATGGGTGGTGTAAAGTGTGGTCTAAGGTGTTGTTGTTGTGAGTTCCTGGAAATCAAGCTGTTGGTCTGAGGGAGGAACGCGCTTCTCCCCGCGCACGCGTATAATGTTTGAAAGGATCAGAAAAGCGTACTACGGACGATGGCTAAGGAATGGAAAAAGATAAGACGACGATGTCGTTGAATAATACCGCACACCTGTCGATGCTGATGCTCTCTAGCATAACTCCCGCTAATTAACCACGAAGCCGTTATGAATGCGGACGCTCAAACTCCCATACAATCCAGCCCATATTGCCTTGTCACATTACCATACCATTTCACACGCCGCACAATCCTCCGAGATCTCACACCGCGCTCCCTTGGTCTCGTGACCATAAACCTCCTAGAGCCTCTGCTTCTTCACATCCCCACCCCCTTCTTCATCATTCGCCCTCTTCCTGTCTTCCTCACTCCTAATCCACCCTTGACCGTTAGCCACAACCGGCGTCTGAAAGTTCAGCGGACTCGGCAACATATTAGCGTCCGCTGGCCTGCCAAAACCCCATTCGGGGTAGAACGTGCTCGGGCTCGGCAGTAGATTATCGCTCATGAATCTGCTCGGAAGGGCGGAAATGGGCGTTTCGATATTGTTTTGTTGATTCATGGGTGCTTCGCGGTTGATGGCGTGCGGATTTGTGCTCATTGGTGGCGCAGGGCGGGCGAACGGGTTAGGGGGGCCTTGTGCGCCGGCCGAGAGTAGAGCGCCTGCTGAAGGTGAAGGTGGTGGGAGCACGACGCCATGAGAGGGCATGTGGTGTTGTTGCTGGCCAGTCGCGGTATTGCCAGGGCCGGAAACACTCGTGTCCTCCGGTCCAGACTCAGCCGTGCCTCCTTCGTCGCCTGACTGCTCGCTCGGTATCTGCACTTTCAGTCGTGGTCGCTTCGCGTCTGACTGATTTGTGTTCTGTCGAGTAGGCGCTCTCACGTTAGGCACAGCAGGTACGCTCTCGGTCCGTTGAACAGGCTGCGGCGATCTTTGCGGCGCGCGTCCAGGCGAAGGTCGAGGCGACACACCGTTAGGTCTCAAGCCCGCCACATCCTTTTCTCGTTGCAACCCTGCGACATCGATCGACTGAGAACGTGGCCCACCAGATTCAATCTTCACCTGCGTATCAGAACGCGGAGGCTCGGCGTTATTGGACGATCCCCACGCAGCTGCCAACATCGACCGACTGTCATCAATCGGCGTGAATATGCTATGCGACTTCTGATGCGCGGGCAGTGGCTTTGGCTGAGGTATCGGAGGGCTCGCAAACTGCTGCTGCTGTGGTCGAGGTGAGGGTGACGGCCTACCAGGTTGCTGCTGTGGTCGAGGCGAAGGATGGGGCGGCGGGTGTTGAGGTGGTTGCAGATGTTCTTGTGATGGATGTCGTTGCATGTTCGCTTGTGGTGGCGCTTGCTGCTGAGGGTATCCTGGTGGCATAGAAGATCTTCTGTTATCTTGCATCATCACTTGCTGCATCTGTGGGTGGTTAGGTGGTGGATATGGAGGCGGGTATGATGCGTGCTGTGGTGGAGGAGGGTACGTCGGATGCTGTGGCGGTGGACCAGACACTGGCTGACCAGGCGGTCGTTGCATTTGCGCTGCTGCTTGTGGATTGTAGAACGGTGGGTTGGGCGTGTAGGCGTAGTTTGGCTGTGGCGGCATTGGACCCCCTGCGTGTTGCTGCTGCTGATGTGGCGGGACAAGATTCGAGCTCGTCCGCCGCATGTGTCCTTGGTGGTCTGCCTGTCTTGATGCAGGCCTTGATATCCCTGGAGGCAGCGGTGACGGCCCTCTTTGAAACTGCGGCATACCTCCATTATGCATCGGTGGCGAGCCTTGTGGTGTACCACCTCTAACATGCTGGAAGCCAGGGTGGTGCTGCATGCCCATCATCGGCTGGTCAGGCGCCGGTGTTTCTCTCTCTTCTCCTTCCTCTCCGCCTTCTTCGTCCTCCTCATCATCACCGCCTCCCTTGTCCGCAAAGTCTGTTGGGCCCTTGTGTTCATGCGCGCCACTGTAATAGTGGAAGCGCTGGACCGTCTCGTTGATATCGCCCGACGAATACTCGTACAGCTTCTTGTTGTGGCCGAAGATGATGACAGCGACGTCGACGGAGCACAAGACGGACAACTCGTGCGCCTTCTTAAACAGGCCGCCTTTGCGCTTGAGGAAGGTGACGGATCTGTTGCGATCGTCCCGAATGGGTTTGATCTATAAGATGTTAGTGGTTAGCATTTGATTAGAAGGAGTCGTCGCGCAGGGACGCACCTCTATCTTCCTTCGTCCCATCTTGTCCTGCTTGTACCGCGCATCGACCGGCGCCGTGGTGTCGACCTCGAATCGCCCCGCCTTGTCCTAGGATACAGCGAATCCGAGGAGTGGTGGCCAGTACCGAGTCGGGAAGATGTACGTCGGCGATGCTGCCTCGTCGCAATGTGCCCGTCCAGACGAGTCGCTCTCAAATCCTACGTAGCCAGTCCAGACGAATCAGTCCAATGATGTAGTATGAAACAAAACAACAACCCCACGTTGATGACACGCGCGCTCGCGCCTCAGGAGCACGTTGTTCTGTTCTTAGACTTAAGGTGTTGGAGGTGTGCTATGAAAAGAACAGCAGCGCAACGCTGAGGGGAAAGGAGCCAGAGTCCGCGTGGGCGGGTACGACCGCTCGGCACAGATGGGGTCTAGTGAGGCTGAGCGGGCTTGGAAATCACCCGAGAGGTCGACGTTGCAATGATAACGATATACAATCTACCGATATGGACGTAGAGAACGGCTTCTTCAGCTACCCAGGGCGGCCAAGGTGAAGCGAACGTGTATTGTCATGAGCGGAGAGCTGCCCATCAACATATCTGTCTACACCTCCTCCCCGCAACACTGCCTCACAAACGCCACCGTCTCATCCGGCTTGCTCAAGAACGGCGAGTGCCCCGTTGCAATCTTCTCAACCCGCTTCCACTTCCCACCTGGGATCTGTGTCATCATCTCCTGCTGCTCCGCTGGCAGCCCAACATCCTCCAGCGTGATCAGATAGTTGCTCTCAATCTCCTGCCACGCCGTGAAGGTCGCCGGCGTCCACATGCACCCTTCGCTCCAGTAACCCAGCCGCTTAACTGCTTCCTCCCTTGTCGCTGCATCGCAGTCTTGGAAGAAGAGCTGACCTGGGTCGGTGCCGTTGCCGGTCGGCCAGATCCAGATGCCGGTGTTTGGAATGGCTTCGGCGGACGGGTCCTCGGCGTTAATGAGGGTCATCCATGGAAAGTGCTGGCCACCAACTCCCTGTATGAAGCTGTACCCTTCCATCGGAACGCCAGCGCAAAGGTACACAAGGCCCACAACTCCCTTGCCGTTGGGTTGGTCTGCAGGAAGTAAGCCCTTGGAGGCGCAACTGCCTACGAGCCCGCCGTAGGAATGCATCACGACGACAACGTTGAGGTCTTGATCGATGTAGGACTTGATGGCTGAGGAGGCGGTATCAAGGTCCGGATACAAGTCTTTAGTCGGCTTCTCGTTGCCCGTCGAAGGCAGAGCAATGGTGGTGACCTTGTAACCGGCTTTCTCAAGACCGTCGTGGAGAAGACGGTAGTGCCACCGCTCGTAGAAGGCGCCTGGGACGATGGCGACGGCTGGTTTGGTGGACATGGTGTGTAGTGATTGGATTGCAGGTTGACAAACGTTTGACTGAAGTGGTGGTGAATGAGTTGGAAGCTCCCTCGGAACAGGCACGCCTTTATATGGTGCTGCACCTGCTCATCTGCTCAATGGTTACCGCCAGCATTGGCATAAGAGCTCGAATGCCATTGGCGGCATGAATATCTTCCAACTTTGTCAGCTGCGTAGGAGCTCGGGCACTTTGCTGTTTTCCACCTCCGAGATCTTCCGAATAGGGCTGAGCCGCGGCCGATGCCAAGCTTCCGTGGAGCTGCATGTCCTGAGGTCGTCGAGCAGCATGCTTTCTATCGCAAGTGAGTCTTCCTGGTGCTGCTGCCTCAATGCTCGGCCTGACGCTTCCGGATAATGTCGGCCAAAGGCATGTCGTCTTCATCATAAAAATCGGCAACCTCATCCACACCGAAATCTCCCAACCTTTCTCCTTCCTTGTTCCGCCATCCCTCTTCTCCTGCATCATCCACGATGTTTTCGCGAACGGGAAGTTCCTCTTCCTCAGAGTCTGATGCCTCGCTGTCGGTCTCGACGGCAACGTCATCCTCCCTATGCGCTGTTGGACGGTGCCTCTGCATGTCTTCGAGTCGTTCGTGGAAAGGCTTCCGTCGGACAACGTACTCGCCGTCGGCATCAGCGTGACGAGCCAGGTCGGCTTCCTGCCTTTTGCGAAATTGTGCGACGTCCATTGATTGCGTGAAGCCGTTTCCGGATATATGCTGCCGTGGTACGCGAAACATTCGATCTGGGTCTGGCGGAGGCCATGGTTTGCTGGGATCTGTAGCTTGTTAATCCTGTGCTGGACTTATGCACTTTTCGTTCCTACCTTCTATGCCATTGTGCTCAAACTGTAGCCCGCTCTCCAGGGTCAGACTTCGCGCAAACGGCCAGAACCAAACCAGTGGATTCCGGCTTCCCATCATTGCGCAGAGATTCCGCCAGATGCCCACATCCCAAGGAAATTCTTGTCGCTCGATGCGGATCTTCTTGCCCTCTGGTCCATCGAGATGTCCGCCCAATGTGCGTGCGCGACGAAGCAAAGTCTCGTGTCGTTCGATCTCCCAGCTTTCGATCGTAGTCATGTTCAAAGACATGGACCAGACTGTGCGGCCCAGGAGGAGGATCAGGGCGAAAAGAACCAGTGAGTTCGTCACCACGAGGATGAACACGTGGCTCAGCTGGAAGACATTCGGCCCAAGATACTGCAGCAGAGTCAGTAGCAGCGAATGAGTTAAGTTGGAAAGGACGTACACTGGGCAAGTTCCTCTTTTGCCACAGAACAGCGCACCGCCGGAAGAGAAAGCTCTCGAGGTATATCATCGAGACGACAGCGTAGACAAGGAAGCGGACAAAATGCGGGAATGTGATATGAGAGACACAGTTGGCTGGAGCAAGTATTACCTACCGTTCGTCGCATTGAGATGGAATGTGATGCTGCCTACCTGTCCAGACACAATGATGATCCATCTTGACGATGCAGCTGCAAGCACTTAGCTGACGTCCGCGACTGGTCCCAATGGACATACCGTTCGCAGGCTTTGCAGTGATGCGCTCGCGGCGGCTTGTAAGCATCACACCTACGGCACCACCGTTGCCGTTGAGCCGCCAAAGCTTCGCTGCCTTCATCGCGGAGTAGCCTCTCGTGCCAGTCTTGCGGAATGCGTCCCGGGTCGGTTGTGCAACTTCTCCAGTAGCATATCAGAAGCGATGCCACAAACATGTTAAAGAGGTACGCATCGCCTTTACGAAGCGGCCCCGGATCGGTGTAGACGAAAAGCCATTGCGAAGTGTAGCCCAGGAAGCACACCAGGAGGGTGACGGCAGGTGGTGCGAACTTCTGCAGCGATGGCATGTCGATCTTGGAGGTGGAGATGGAGTGAGTGAAGGTTATTAGAAGTGGAAGTGAAGATGTTCTCACGCTGGCGTCAGCGCCAATCCGGGCTTAGCTTCTTGCGGCCCGCAATCTTAGTCCCACCTCACTTCATCTGTGTCACCAACTCGCACGACAGCAGTCTGAAGACAACCAACGTTTGGCGTAGTTCGTACCCGGACGACCCCTCTTGAAGACCACGCGGTCTCCCGCACCTCCTCCTCTCTCTCACGCGGCCGCCGTTATTGCCTCGACCTGATCCTCTCACTGCAAAGGTCATCGCACAACCCCACCAGAGAAACACCACCACAATACCCAAGCCGGTTGCGGCCGGTCAGTGGTCAGCATGGCGCGGGTCTATGCAGATGTCAACCAGCAGATGCCGCGCGCATACTGGGACTACGACAGCGTCAACATCAGCTGGGGCGTGCTGGAGAACTACGAAGTTGTGCGCAAGATAGGTGCGCATGTCCTGTGGTGAGCGGTGAAGATCTGCTATATCTGACATGTTGTGTAACAGGCCGCGGAAAGTACAGTGAAGTGTTCGAGGGCATCAATGTGGTCAATTACCAGAAATGCGTCATCAAAGTCCTGAAGCCGGTTAAGAAGAAGAAGATAAAGCGAGAGATCAAGATCCTGCAGAACCTCAGCGGTGGTCCGAACATCGTTGCCTTGCTGGACGTTGTGAGAGACAGCCAGAGTAAGACACCGAGCCTGATCTTCGAGCACATCAACAACACCGACTTCAGGACACTCTACCCTAAGTTCCAGGACAAAGATGTGCGTTTCTACATCTACGAACTCCTCAAAGCGCTCGACTTCTGCCATTCGAAAGGCATAATGCATCGAGACGTCAAGCCGCACAATGTGATGATTGATCACGACGCGAAGAAGCTGAGGCTGATCGACTGGGGCCTGGCGGAGTTCTACCACAACGGGACGGAGTACAACGTGCGGGTGGCCAGCCGGTACTTCAAAGGTCCGGAGCTGCTCGTCGACTTCCAGGAGTACGACTACAGTCTTGACATGTGGAGTCTCGGTGCGATGTTTGCCAGTATGATCTTTAGGAAAGAACCATTCTTCCACGGCAACAGCAACAGCGACCAGCTTGTTAAGATTGCGAAGGTGTTGGGGACGGAGGATCTGTTCGACTACCTCGACAAATATGACATCGAGCTGGACGCACAGTACGACGACATTCTTGGCCGATTTCCGAAGAAGAACTGGAGCGCTTTCGTCAATGCGGAGAATCAGCGCTTCGTTAGTAACGATGCCCTCGATTTCCTTGATAAGCTTTTGCGTTACGATCACCAGGTGAGTCTCTTTGCGGCTGGCTACGACGTGAAGAGGTACTGACTTTACTCAGGAGCGTTTGACGGCCAGGGAAGCGATGGCACACCCCTATTTCGAAGAGGTGCGGAATGACGAGATGAACGAGTTGCAGAATGCGGCAAACAACGCACACCAATGACACCAGAGCCGAGCATTACGATTGACGTCGAAGCTGTTGCACGAGAGCGACGCACGATGCGTCACCGTTGGGAGGCAGCGCCGAGACTACCAACTATGCAAGTCGCCTGAAGGGCTGCACCTTCATGAGATGGACATGGATGTCTGTCTGAAGCGACAAACTTCTACACCCACCAACAGCGACCACGATTCATTCCGCCCGCCTGCTTGTTCGGACACTTTCGTCTGCATTCCTTTTCCACGATATGCGGCTTCGCAGGATGGCTCAGCCATGGTGACAATGGAACGATGAATGCTCTCACTCTTATAAAAGCTGATCACTATTCAGCCGATGCAGCGAGTGGACGTCAGGAGTGTTTGTGGGCAGAAGTCGGGGGTCGTCCACCGATCCCGCCGTGATTCAGTATGCTACTAATGAATCAAACTCCAATGTACTTGTCCGTCCCTCCCGCTGCCATGTTACCAATCTTGTTTATGTGCCTGAGCAGCCTCGAAAACCCGGTAAGCTTCAACCGCCAACGCAGTATGCATAGCTGATGATGTACAGCAGATTCAGCCTCCACCACATCGCTCTGCCGCCCTGATGCCCTGCTCTGTACATTTGCTGTTACCGCTTACTTGCTGTCGTCTGCAGATTTGGGTTTGTTGCGTTTGTCCTCGCGCGCATCGTGGGCATTCTCAAAGCGATTGAGTGGGCTTCCATTGTCTGCCGAACATCAGCGGGGTGACGGAGGATTGTAATGGCGTTACACGGACGCCGACTTTGGGTATTTGAGGCTCCTGGATCACTGGCGCCGGCATGGCCATTGGCCTCGCTCGAGTTGCTCGGGATCAAGCCAGCTTGTCTGTGAACACGACAGTCAGCTCCAGCTGTGGTATGAAAGCTTCCTATGCATACACAGCACGACGATCGCGAGCTTCGGATTCTGCTGCTGCCGCCTCGGCAGCGCCTGTACCCACGTCTGCGAGGATGTCCTTACCCCCAGCCTCCGGCACGGTCGACCTGCGTGAGCTTGTCAGCTTGAATAGCGCGGCTTCAACGACCGAGATTTCCCGAATGGCATGACAGCTCGGTCGTTTGCAAGGGTCATACTCATGTGTCCCGGCAAATGCAGTCATCGCCTCGACTTCCGCTGCTCCCGCCGGTGTGCTACGGAATCTTTAGCAACGGTCGTACTATCCAGGTGGGACACCTACGTCGTGAAGCTCCCATTTCCGCCGTCCGAGCCTGTACTGGATGCGGTACCTTGTGCTGAACCATGTGTTGCACTGCGGATCTCGTCAGCGACGACAATGGTGTACGCCCTTGCTACTGACCGGTCACTGCGATCAGACATTTGGCTTCGCTGAGAGTACTTTACTCTGTGGAAGGTTTTACCGTGGTATAGGCTCCAGTGTATCTTGCTGAGAATGTACGAATGAGAAGTTAGTGATAGCAAGCCCCCATCCCCCGGAGCCACTTTATGAATTTCGTTAGACACGATCCCAACTCGACAGCGGCATACGCTCTGCTCCAACGGTGATCCGACCATGAGTAGGCGCTGTCTCTCACCCGTTCTGCTCCATTCATCTCAGTCTCGGGAATTTTCTGGTCCCCTCCTGCATGATTTGCACCTCAGTCCCCTTAACCTGGCTCCGACAACGACCAGACTCGGGCACGACCCGACTCGGGTGGGACCAACGCTTGTACAAGTTGGAACGGCATGAACAATGGGAATCCCCCAACCGCTTGCTTGCGACCTAATCCATCGGTATGCTTCGGGAGGACTGCATCGGGGAGAAACCATTGGCCTCCAAGCCACTGCGCGAACAAAACTCGTCACATCCTGTAGGTGGTATGACCGGACGAAACGACTGTCGATCTGCTAGAGGAATCCTCAAGCCAACGATTTGTCTGGCATTGAGGACTGCTGTGCTAGCTGCACTGACAACACATCCATCACCCGTGGCTCCAGCGTATCGACCATAGAAGTTGCGTTGCACAGATTACCTTTGTCGATAGTGTTGTTGGTAGAGGGGGCTGTGACTGTTTCTGGCCCTGGCATGCAATATTGAAGCGCCGCATACGAGACGCCTCCCGTCAGAGGATATATCTCCCATGCCCGGACGAACGTATCACTGTTGATCCTACTATGGTCGAAACGTCAAAACGTTTGCACACCACACGCCGACGATACAGCCACCCCCCTAAGACACGGCGGATCCAGCGCCATCCGTCTCGTTCCTTCAAAGGGGTGTTGTGGGCTGAACGGTGTCAGTAGAGCACTATCGAACCATCGCCACGCACTTGGCGCCCACTTTGGATGCTCTGTGGAACGCATGCCTCCAGGAGTGTCACAGTATGCTGAACACTCTACAGGATCCAGAGACCCGTCGTCCATACGCCGAGACATACTGTGGCTTGCCATGACGCATGATAAGCTCGATCACCACGTGGGTGCCATCGACAGAAGTCTGGTACCGAACGCCGAACCACCGTTCTACTTCTGGCACCGTTGGAGGCCCTCGTCAGCACACCCACACCTTGTGAAACGCTAGACGGCAAGATTCGAATGAACTCGCAGTGGGAGGCAGCCAGATGTCGTCAACATGATGTCCATCCGCACTTCCGCTGGTGCAAGAGCAACGAATTTCGGTAAGTCGCCCCAACACTTGTGATATCGGGGACACCTCCGTGAGTATTGTGCGAGCACACCTTGTCGGCCCGATTTGCACGCAGCATTGAGTGCACGAGCGTAGTGTGACCCATCTGTCGAGCTCTTTATGCCTCAGTCGGCGAGCTAACAGCAGGTACCACTCCAGCAGTAGTCCACCGACAGCCTGTTCAGTATCGGACACGCACGCATTACGATAGCTTCAAGTTCTTAGGTGCGACACTGCTCGCTGACGCTTTAGGCGAGTTGTCAAGGACTCGAACGAGGTCATGCTGGGTAGAACAGGTGCTCGCCATCAAAGTCACTTCTTTGAGAAAAAGAGTCCAAAGTCCGTACAACGTCAAGAGTGTAACTTGCTAGAGGTACATGTAGCGAAACGGACGCCCTGGCTTGTTCAGTGGCTCGGGGCAACGTAAGGCTGCCACGTTTATGGTTCTCATCGCACAGCATGGGTATTCCCGGCGGATGAACCAAAGCACAGTCGCTGAGAGGGACGCGAACCCAGTTCGCAGCAGTCTCTTGTCCAGAATCCACGACAACACACTATTGAAACAAAAGCCGACACACGAACAGCTCGCTGCGTTGGGACAAAGCTAATCTCCTTGCTCGAAAAGAGTGACTGCTCAATTTAGCTGCCCGGGCGTGCCTGTCAACGCAGATGACCGAGACCTCATGCATCGCTGAGCGTTTCTGGACATACACGCTGTCGGATGTAACAGCAATGCCGCCTGACAGCCAGCCACTCGCTTACCTTCGAAGACCTCACCTCCCTACACCGCTCCAGGCCATGGAAGTACGTCGCCCAGCAAGTTCCGCCATTCGTCTTCACCTCGCATCCCATCTCGAAAAGATTATTCCCTCACAACTTCATCTCCTCAAACTTCTCCAAACTCTGCTGATACACCTTCTGCTCATCCAAAAGCTCCTGCAACTTCCTCTCCTCCTCCTTCCTCACCTCCCCCCTCACCTTCTCGCCCAAACTCCCCAGCACCCGCTCCTGCTCCGAGACACCCTTCGCGGTCGCCTCGAGCTTCGGCTTGAGCCGCTGGATCTCCTTCTCCGGCTCCACCTTGTCGCCGATCTGGACGAAGACGGCGGCGGCGGAAGAGACGGGGTAGACGGCGGAGCCGGCGGGCGGGTACTGGCCTGGGTTGAGGATGGTGAGTTCGGCGAGGTGCTTGCCGGAGAGCGCCTTGATGGCTGCATGTTCGGCGTGCGCGGTGTTGTAGGCTTCGTCGTTGTGCGGTTGGACGAAAGCTTTGCCGTCGTCTTTGATGCCGTACTCCTGGATCAGGGAGCGGACGCCCTTTGAGCAGCCGAGGATGAGTTCGTAGGCACGATCGCTCTCAGGGTCGTCGAGACTTGATTCGTACTGCGGGTAGTCTGCGATGACAATGCTCTTGGTCGTGTCTTTCGGTCTCCTGGGCAGTCGCTGCCACAGCTCTTCAGTGAGGAAGGGCATGATGGGGTGCATCATCCGCAATGCCGAGTCCAGAGCGGTGTACAGGGTATCGATTGCACTTCTCCTCTGCTCCTCGGTACCGTCCCGGATGATAGACTTGCTGTTCTCAATGTAAACATCGCACAGCTCGTACAGCCAGTACCTGTGCAGGGCCTGAGTGACATTCGAGAACTGACGTGTCTCCATTGCCTCGTTGACGTCCTTGGCAGCGATTGTCATCTTGTGAAGGATCCATCGCTCGGGTAAGCTCTCCTTGCCTGTCTTGCCGCCTTTCTCCTGTGGAACAAAGTCGGCAGGCAGGTTTCCAAGTACGTACTTCGTCGCCTGGTATATCTTGTTGCAGAAGTTGCGGTAGGATCGCATAACCTTCACGTCGAAGTTGATGTCGCCACCGCCAGTGGTGTAATTGATGAGCGAGAAGCGAAGAGCGTCAGCACCGCACTCGTCTATGCCATCTGGGAACGCTGACTTTTGCCACTTCGAAGCACGCTCAATCTCCTTGGGCGCGAGGTTTCCAACCTTCAGCTTGTCGGTGAGACCATCCAGAGTAATACCATCCATGATGTCCACCGGGTCGATGACGTTGCCAAGAGACTTGGACATCTTGCGACCTTCAGAATCTCGGATGAGCGAGTGGCAGTAGACTTCAGTAAAGGGCACCTGTCCTGTCATCTTGAGGCCAAAGAAGATCATACGTGCCACCCAGAAGAATAGGATATCCCAGCCCGTTTCGAGCATGGAGGTAGGGTACAGCTTCTGGAGGTCGTGCGTCTGCTCCGGCCAGCCCAGCGTCGAGAAAGGCCAAAGTCCAGATGAGAACCAGGTATCAAGGCAGTCAGGATCCCGCTCCAGCTCAAACTTCTTACCAGGAAACTTCTTCTCCGCTTTCTCTTTGGCCTCTTCCTCAGTAGCACCGCAAACCCAATGACCAGCCTCCGTATCGTACTCCGGCCCGTCTTGCAGCTTCACAAAGTATGCAGGCACTTGGTGGCCCCACCACAGCTGCCTCGACAAGCACCAATCGTCGACATTCTCCATCCACCTGATGTAGGTCTTCTCCGTGCCTTCCGGCATCATCTTGATTTGACCATTCTTCACCACATCGATTGCAGGTCCCGCAAGCGGCTTCATCTGCATCCACCATTGTGGCTTCATCACTGGCTCAATCACGTCTTTGGACTTGTTGCACAGTGGGATCGCCATTTTGTTGTCCGCCTTGCCGACATATAGACCTCGCTTTTCCAGCTCGGTGATCACGCTATATCTGACGTCGAAGCGCTTCTGGCCTTCGAAAATGGGTCCCGCATTTGCGTTCATGAGGCCGTCGTCGGTCAGGATGTTGATGAAGTCCAGGTTGTGCTCCTTGCCTCGCTTGAAATCGTTGAAGTCGTGGGCAGGTGTGATCTTCACAGCACCGGTACCGAAGTCCTTCTCCACAGTCTCGTCGCCGAAGATTGGTAGTAACCGATCAACGAACGGGTGCTTGACATGCTTGCCGATCAGGTGCTTGTAACGCTCGTCGGAAGGGTGTACGGCGACGCCAGAATCGCCCAGCATGGTCTCCGGCCGCGTGGTCGCCACCTCGATCGTCTCGTTCGTACCGTCGATGGGATACTTGAAGTTCCAGATGCAGCCAAACTCGATCTTCTTGTCATATCCAGGTACGTCCAGCTTGGTCGCGCCTTCGAGGTCCTTCTGATCCACCTCCAGATTTGACAAGGCGGTGTTCAGCTTCGTGCACCAGTTCACAAGTCGGTTCGCTCGGTAGATGAGGCCTTCGTCGTGTAACTGAACGAACGTCTTGCGGACAGCTGCGGACAGAATCGGACTCATGGTGAAAGCCTCCCTTGTCCAATCCATTGAGCCACCTAGACGCTTCATGACTTTGTTGATCTTCATGTGATACTCCTCCTTCCACTCCCAGACAGTTTCAACGAACTTCTCGCGACCAAGGTCATGTCTTGTCAGGCCATTCCTCCTGTTGTAGAGCATGTTCTCCACCACACTCTGCGTCGAAATACCGGCATGATCGCAGCCCGGCACATACAGCACAGTCAGTCCCTTCATCCGATTCCACCGTATCAGCGCATCCTGTAAAGAGGTCGCAAGAGCGTGGCCGATATGCAATGCACCAGTGACGTTTGGTGGTGGTATTGAGATGACATATGACCCCTTCGGCTTGACCTCGCCGTTCTCCTGGAACTCAGGCAAGTGGAAGCCTTCCCTCTCCCACCAGTCATACCATGCGCTCTCCACCACAGACGGGATGTAGGCCTTGTGGTATTCGTCGTCTAAAGGCTTGAGAATCTTCTTCTCGCCCTTCGTTGTTTCCTCCACATACGGTGCCAGTTTTTGCTGTTGTTTCTTCTCTTTCTGCTTGGGTTGTGACGCAGCTGCCATAGCCTTCTGCTTCTCCTGCTTCGCTGCGAGCTTCGCTATCTTCTCGGCCTTTGCTTTCTCTTTTGCAAGCTCCTTCTCAGACTTCTGCTTCGTCTCTCCTTTCTTATCGCCGCCATCCTGTCCGGGCGCGTTGTGGCCTTTCAGATCACCATTGGCTGCCTCCAGCACGGCATTCTTCGTGTCATCTGAGGGTGGAGGTGGTTGGCCGGAGACTGGACCAGTCTTCTCGCCGGTAGGATTGTGTGAAGCTGCGTTCAGTGCCATTCTCGAAGGTTGTATGAAGTTTCGTCGAGTCCTGCCAAAGACGGCACATGTGTGGCGCCGGAAAAGCGCTCGAGCGAGTATCGTTGCGACGTGCTCTCGTGATCAAGGCTGTGGGGTGTTGGTGTCGCAAAGGGTGCTCGAGACGTTTCTTGGAATCGTACACGTCGTGTTCGGGGTGGGTTGCACGAAAATTTGCGGTCGTACCAGTGGAGTCAATGGGAGATATGAGTCAAGTTGAGATTCACGTGTCAAAGTGTGGCCTCGATTGGGGAAAAAGCATAAAAGTATAATTCGGAGCCGGCCGGCGCTATTCTAAACTCAAAATGCGCCTGAAGGATGTTGCCTTGCAATTGTCCGATACATTCTATCGCTATCATGGTACAGCGCTGCTGTACGTTGCTTCTGCTTCGAATTATCATCCCGTAACCCACCCCGCCCTCGGCGAGACCCGAACAGAAGCACAGCATCTCCAAACCCGTTGATTCTTTGCCACTCAATCCCATTGATAGTAGACAATATCCACGATGTGAACGCAGTATTAAGAGAAGCATGCTTCGACGTGTCCGGTGATCTACACAGCCTTGCTTCAGCCATCCCCGGAACAACACGTAGTGTCTAGGCAAGTGGTCGACGACAGAGTGAGGCTCCAGAAGCTGGCACTGCACAGAGATCCACGGCAACGGTCCTAAACGTAAGCAACCACCCAGATGGTCTCAAAGTATGGCAGTTGCAGACTCTATACAGGAGCCAGCAGAAGATCCGGACTGTTGTCAATGTAGAGGCAACGGATGTCACCGGGAAGTTCGTTCAAGGCCACATCGTCCCCAACTGCCACACCATATTACAGTAAGTTGCCGACGCGGGTAACAATGGGTCGTTGCATAACATAAGTCCTCCTCAGAGAACTTGGGCGTCCTGTCCAGACAGTAGCACAGGAGCGAAGGCAGCCAGCAAGTACTTCCGCGGGACACAGCTCACCCTACCTAGTCGTCCGTAGCTCCCATCTCATTCTTGATCGAGCCGCAATGACTTCCTTCAGCGATCCAGCGCGCGCTCGCTGGGCATGTACTATTCAATGTCATGTTCTCCAGCCTTCCGATCAGTCTGGCACTGCTCACAAGGTCGTGAGCGCCTGTAGCAGATGCATGTTCCCTGGGATGCTCTGAAGAGTCCCTGGGAGCAGAGATTTGGTTGTCGTGATTTCAAAGAGGCCATCCTCCAGCGCCAGTGGCAAGGACTGTCTTCCAAGGTTCTCTTCATCCTCCAGAGCTGTGCCAGATTCGGGTGGTTCTTGGATTCATCAAAACAGTCTTGGCCTCGTTGTCGTGCTGAACCAAATCCAGTAAAGATGATGATAGAAGGCTCCTTGCCACCCACGTTAGCTTGCAGGACATTATTTGATGCCTGATGCGGCTTGCGTGTTCGTTCATCAGCGACGCAGCAAAGTTGGCGAGGCGGAGCAAGTCGGCGCTTGGCAGATGGTTGACGACAGACTCGTCCCGCTGAGCCTAGGTACTCTAAGCAACACTTCTACCTGTACAATTGCTACACCATTCCTGCGTCTTACTTGATTCAATTGACTGCTAATTGTACGAAGAACATTGCACCCTCACACCCTCACAAAGCTGACCCAGTCCGGCGTCAACAGAGCAGCACAACTCCGATTGAGACCGCTACCTAGACTTGCCCTTGCGGAGGGCAGGCATTGTCTCCGAAGCAACTATGGTATGTCTGACGACACTCGACCTGCTCATAGGGCAGTACTGACAGTCTGCAGGCCGTCACCAAACGAGCCGGGCGAAAGAAGGATGCGGCGCAACCACAGGCCGGCGCAAGCTCAGGCGGTCAACCACAGATCCGAAAAGCAGCCTTCGACACGACGAAGAAGAAGCAAGTCGGCGTATCGGATCTCACACTGATCAGCAAGATCTCCAACGAGGCCATCAACGACAACCTCAAGATCCGCTTCGAGAATGCCGAAATCTACACATACATCGGGCATGTGCTGGTGTCCGTTAACCCGTTCAAAGATCTGGGGATATACACCGATCAGATGCTGCAGAGCTACCAAGGAAAGAACAGGCTGGAAGTGCCGCCGCATGTGTTCGCTATCGCTGAGAGCGCGTACTACAACATGAAGGCATACAACGAGAACCAATGCGTGATTATCTCTGGAGAGTCTGGTGCCGGCAAGACGGAGGCTGCGAAGAGAATCATGCAGTACATTGCGAATGTCTCGGGAGGCAGCAATAGCTCGATCCAGGAGATCAAGGACATGGTGCTGGCGACCAACCCGCTGTTGGAGTCGTTCGGAAATGCGAAGACGCTGCGGAACAACAACTCCTCGCGATTCGGAAAGTACTTGGAGATCCAGTTCAACAGGCAAGGAGAGCCGGTGGGAGCGAACATCAACAATTACCTATTGGAGAAGACGAGAGTGGTGGGGCAGATCAAGGACGAGAGGAACTTCCACATTTTCTACCAGTTCACGAAGGCTGCAAGTCAAGAACACCGAGCGAACTTTGGAGTACAGCAACCGACCACATACACATACACGAGCAAGAGCAAGTGCTACGATGTGCCTGGAATGGACGATGTGGCAGAATTCAAGGACACTCTAAATGCGATGAAGGTCATTGGGCTGAGCCAGCAGGAGCAAGATCAGGTCTTCCGAATGCTCGCTGCTGTTCTGTGGATTGGCAATGTCTCGTTCAAAGAAGATGACCAAGGCAACGCGGCAGTGGTTGATCAATCTGTCATTGACTTTGTCGCATATCTCCTTGAAGTTGAGTCGGCACATGTCAACAAGGTCATGACCATCCGAATCATTGAGACAAGCCGAGGAGGCCGAAGAGGCTCCGTCTACGATTCGCCAATGAACATTGCTCAGGCCACGTCAGTCCGCGATGCTCTATCGAAGGCGATATACAACAACATGTTCGACTGGATTGTGCAGCGAGTCAACCAGGCTCTGCAAGCTCGTGGTACGCCCGCACACAGCATCGGTATTCTGGACATCTACGGCTTCGAGATCTTCGAGCGCAACTCTTTCGAGCAGCTTTGTATCAACTACGTGAACGAGAAGCTGCAGCAGATCTTCATCCAGCTCACATTGAAAACCGAGCAGGAAGAGTATGAGCGGGAACAAATCCAATGGACGCCCATCAAGTACTTTGACAACAAGGTCGTGTGCGAACTGATCGAGGAGAAGAGGCCGCCGGGTGTCTTCTCAGCGCTCAATGATGCTTGCGCGACGGCGTCTGCAGATCCGTCAGCAGCAGACCGGACATTCGTGCAGAGTCTGAACTCCCTGTCTGGCAACCCGAACTTTGCGCCTCGACAAGGACAATTCGTCATCAAGCACTATGCTGGTGATGTGAATTACGCTGTGGAAGGCATGACTGACAAGAACAAGGATCAACTGCTCAAAGACATCCTCAATCTCTGTGCTCAAAGCTCGAACCAGTTCGTGCATACTCTCTTCCCACATGAGGTTGACCAGGACAACCGACGGAGGCCACCCACTGCAGGCGACAAGATCAAGGCCTCGGCGAACGATCTTGTGACGACTCTGATGAAGTGCACGCCCAGCTACATCCGAACCATCAAGCCGAACGAGAACAAAAGCCCAACAGAATTCAACAGCCCGAACGTGCTCCATCAGATCAAATACCTCGGTCTGCAGGAGAACGTTCGCATCCGGCGAGCAGGCTTCGCATATCGACAGACGTACGAGAAGTTCGTGGAGCGCTTCTACCTGCTGTCGCCGAAGTGCAGTTACGCAGGCGAGTATACCTGGACCGGCGATGCGAAGTCGGGCGTGCGGCAGATTCTCAAAGATACCAGCATACCACCTGAGGAATGGCAGATGGGTGTCACGAAAGCCTTCATCAAGACGCCAGAGACGCTGTTCGCGCTGGAAACGATGAGAGACAAGTACTGGCACAACATGGCTATTCGGATACAGCGCGCCTGGCGGAATTACTTGCGCTACCGGACGGAGTGTGCCATTCGGATTCAGAAGTTCTGGAGGAAGAAGAGTGGTGGCGAGCCGTTCCAGGTGCTACGCGACGAAGGCCACAAATTGCTCGGCGGCCGGATGGAGAGGAGAAGATACTCTCTGGTCGGCTACAGGCGGTTTGTTGGCGATTACCTGGGCATCGACAACCGCGGTGGTACTGGCGAGGTCCTCCGCAACAGCGCCAACATCTCTTCGAGCGAGCGTACACTCTTCTCATGTCGAGCTGAATTGCTGGTGTCTAAGCTCGGCCGCTCAAGCAAGCCAGAACCACGCTTTCTCGTCCTCACCAACAAGAGCGTCTACCTCATCAAGCAGGCCATGGTCAACAAGCAGATGCAGATCTTCTCGGAGCGGACTATGCCTGTCGGGTCGATCAAGTTTGTCAGCACGAGCTCGCTGAAGGATGACTGGTTTGCACTCGGTGTCGGCAGCCCTCAGGAGCCGGATCCACTGATCAACTGTATCTTCAAGACTGAGTTCTTTACACAGCTGAGGGTAGCTTCGCGGGGCTCGTTGCAGCTTCAGATCGGCGAGACCATCCAATACAACAAAAAGCCTGGCAAGCTGGCGATCATCAAAGCTATTAAAGATCCCCAGGTGCGGAGAGACGACATCTACAAGTCCGGAGAGGTGCGCACTGGACCTGGTGAGCCGCCGAACAGCGTCAGCAAGCAAACACCGAAGGGCAAGAGCGTGCCTGGTAAGAAGATCACCACTGGCAAATTGCTCAAGAAGAGCGAGGGTGGCAAGCTTTCGCAGCAGGCCAGGAGGCCGATCCCGCAAGCCCAGCCTTTGCCCGGTCAGTCGACATCGAGAGCTCCGGCGGCCGAGAGGGTGGTACCCTCACCACAGCCTCAAGTACAGCAGCAACCGCAAGCCCCACGGCAACCTGTCGCAGCGATGTCGAATGGCACACCAAGCCATGAGCGGAATGTCTCTACTGCTTCGACTGCTTCGTCGACAAGAGCGCCTCCGCCACCACCGCCCCCTGCCGCGGCTGCGCCGCCGAAGGACCCGCAGTACAAGGCTTTGTATGAGTTCCAGGGTCAGACGAGCGGAGAGCTGAGTCTGAAGGCTGGCGAGGTTATCTTCGTCACGCAGAAGGAGACGAATGGTGAGTTCTACAAATCCACTTCCATCTTCAACGCACATGCTAACGTCAACACAGGATGGTGGCTAGCCCGCCGTACCGACTCGTCCGCCTCCGGCTGGGCTCCCGCCGCATACCTTGAGGAAGTCCGCGCCGCCCCACCTCCACCTCCACCGGCTGCAGCTCGACCTGCTCCACCTCCTGCTCCTGCAGCAGCGAAGACCAACGGCGCGCCGGCCGTGAAAGCTAAGCCGACACCCCCAGCGCCTCCAGCGAAACGCCCAGCAAACCGAACCAAACCTTCTGCCCCCGAAGCGCCGAGAGATAGCGGCTACTCGAACGGAGGGACGCCGAATGGCAGTGGTGCTGCGACACCGAGTGGAGGTGGTGGGCCACCGAGCTTGGCAGGAAACCTTGCGGATCTGCTGAAGGCGAGACAGAAGGCTATGCATGATGATGACGATCAGGGCGGGAACAATTGGTAGTTTGCAACAGCTTCTTTGGAGAAAATTTGGGTGCGGTTGGCGTGGTGTTCGGTGGCGCTTGTATATTCGATTTGAGGTTGCCAGATTATTCCATAGACGAATCTGGAGACGAAAGGTCGGGGTAGGAAACAGTGCAGACATTGGATTCACAGCTGATCATTGAATCTTCGCAAACCTGTCACTCTTTAAGAACCTCTCCAAGCCCTCGATAGCTCGTCGAAAATTGTCAGGCGGTATACAGATATGCATCCGCACATAACCCTTCAACTCCTCCTCGTCCGGTCCGAAACAAAGCCTCCCAGGACTGACCAGCACACCCGTCTCCTCCAACAATCCCTGACAGAACAGCAAATCATCCACCGGCCTCACCTCACCACCCTCACCACCCTTCCGTAAAAATCGAACAAACGCAGTCGATCCCCCAGTCGGCACCACACACCTCACGCTCCCCTCCCACACCCTCAAAAACTCCCTCAACAACCCCCAATTCTCCCTCGCAATCTCCAGATTCTTCGCCAATATAGCAGAACAACACCGCGGCCCCAACACCTCCCCCGCAATCCGTTTATCCACCTCACCAACCTCTTGCAGGATCCACTCCCTTACCCTTCGCATCTTCTCGCGGAGCGCAGGGGAAGTAGTAGCAGCCCAACCGATGCGCACGCCGGCGAATCCCCAGGCTTTGCTTAGCGAGCCTGTGACGACGATGCGATCGTAGGATTTGCTGGCGTGCTCGAGGAAAGAGCTCGGGTGCTCCGCGATGTGGAAGAGGGGGCGGAAGATCTCGTCGCAGAAGAGTATGAGATCGTGTTTTGCCGCGAGAGCGACGAGCGCGGCTTGCGTGGACGTAGAGATGGTAGAGCCGGTGGGGTTGTGGGGGTTATTGAGGATGAGCATTTTGGTCTCAGGCTTAATCAGGGCTTCGAGTTCGGGAATGTCGATGGTCCAGTTGTTCTCGTCGCGGAGACGGAGGAAGGAGAGGGTGGCGCCGCAGGCTTTTGCGAGTGAGAAGAGAGGGGCGTAGGTTGGGAAGGTGGAGATGACGTGGTCGCCGGGGGAGAGCAGGCCTTGGAGGACGATAGAGTTGGCGCCTGTGGTGCCGTGGGCGAGGAGGATGTCGGAGGGCTGGACGAAGACTTTTGTGCTGTCGTAGAAGGAGGCGAGGTGGTGGGTCACTGCGTCTGTGGTGGTGTGGGCGGCCGTAAGTTTCATGTCATCGAAATTGAGAGCGGCCGATGTTGCTTCCGGGTCTGTTGATATGGCTTTGAGGTCATTGAGCGACATGGCTGGACCTTGACTGCCTGCTGCTGAGATCTTGACGAGTCCATTGTGGTCTCCATGGCCCCACTGGAGGATGTCAGCCTCTGTTCGATGTGATGGAGGTGGTTGTTACCTTTGCGAGCTCGAAATCACCGAGTTGATTCATGGTCGTCCTTGAAGGATCAGGTTGACAAGAAAATCGGTCCAGAGAGAAGAAGGAATGTTATGAGAGATGGAAGCTTCGTAGCTGAGTCACCACGTGCAGCTTTAAGATGCAGGAAAATGAATAGGGCGTAGGGCTGAACGAGCTATTCCCACTGAAGATGCTGCATGGAGTGGATGCCGAATGGACAGACCAGGAAAGTAGGGAGTTTATATGCATGTACGTGAGATCTGAGAAGATGACTGTATCGAAGCTCTCCCTACCTTTGCTGTGACTCCCCGAGCCATTGGAGATTTCGCGTACTCCCTGTGTTTACTGGCCACTGTACCGCTGTAGCACCTTGCAAATCTTGATACCGACGTAGAAAAGCCAGGCCACATGCCAGTGCTTTGTCTTGGGCAACATTAGAGGCAAGATATTCAATTGATTTCGATGAACATGGGGAGGAGAGAAGGGACCTGAGACCTGAGCCAGTGAAGTTGATGAGTACCTCTGCATTCTGATTGGCTGTTGGACTTTCACATGTTGGCCGAAGCCGCGGTCGGATGTGAGGTGGATTACGCCTCCACTATCGGTCTAAGATGGATCACGAGAGCCTCCACGTTCACATGTCAGACAAAGTGTTCCTCGGTGGTTTCAATCACATGAGCATCTGACCAGACGATTCGTTGTAAGAATTGAAGGGATCCCCAATTGCACCGCCGCCGCCCCAGACCCCATATTCCCGGCACATCTTCACACGAGCCTCGGCTTTTGCTGGACGAGCTAGAGTCGTTCCATTGTCTGCGTGATCGTCTGTTCTACCTCTTCTTCACCTGCTCTCAACTCCTCTCTCATCTCCATCAGCACCCTCTCATTCCATCCATCATGCCCCAGAGAGTCATTGTCGTGGGCGCCGGCTGTGAGTCGCCATCACCAGCAAGCATTGAAGGACCCCGCTGACCCCGAAACAGTGTCGGGCCTGAGCGCCGCTCATACCGTCTACCTCGCTGGTGGCAATGTCGTCCTCCTCGACAAGAACAGTGCGTATAAACGGGCCAGAAGCGGCGAGCGGAGCTGATGTATAACCAGACTTCATGGGTGGCAACTCCACCAAGGCCACCTCCGGCATCAACGGCGCCTTGACCCGCACCCAGGTCGACACCCAGATTGCGGACAGCGTCAAGCAGTTCTACGACGACACCCTCAAGTCTGCACGTGAGAAGGCGAGACCAGACCTCATCAAGGTCCTGACGTACAAGTCGGCTGCCGCTGTTGAATGGCTTCAGGATGTCTTCAACCTCGATCTCACTCTTGTCTCACGGTTGGGGTGCGTACTGCCTCTGACACCAATTCCCCGCAGACGGATGATCTAATAAGATGACAGAGGCCACTCCTTCCCTCGAACACACCGTGGCCACGATGCAAAGTTCCCCGGCATGGCCATCACATACGCCCTCATGCAGCGCTTCGAGGAGCTCGCCGAGCAAGAACCAGACCGAGTAACGCTCGTCAAGAAGGCCAAGGTCAGCAAGGTCAACATGGAGGGCAACACTGCGACCGGTGTAACATACTCTTTCGGCGGCGAGGAAGTCTCAGTTGAAGGCCCTGTCGTGCTTGCGACTGGTGGCTACGCTGCCGATTTCTCCGAGACCTCGCTGCTCAAGAAGCACAGACCCGATACTTTCGACCTCTCGACCACCAACGGCGCCCACGCGACTGGCGATGGCCACAAGATGCTGATGAACATTGGCGCGAATGGCATTGACATGGAGAGCGTGCAGGTTCACCCGACTGGTCTCGTAGACCCCAAGGACCCAACCGCGAAGACAAAGTTCCTGGCTGCCGAAGCACTACGAGGTGAGGGCGGTCTTCTCATCAACAACAAGGGCGAGCGATTCGTCGATGAGCTGCAACACCGCGACTTCGTCTCCAACGAGATGTGGAAGCAAAAGGAGCAGGGTCTGTGGCCCATCCGCCTCATCCTCAACAGCAAAGCCTCCAACACCCTCGATTTCCACACCCGCCACTATTCCGGCCGCGGCCTGATGAAGAAGATGACGGGCAAGCAGCTGGTGGAAGAAATCGGCTGCGGCGAGCAAGCACTCAACAAGACGTTCACCGCCTACAACAAATACGCCAAGGGCGAGGAGAAGGACCCCTTTGACAAGAAATACTTCCACAACTTCCCAGTCGAGGTCAACGACGACTTCCACGTCGCGCAGATGGAGCCAGTGCTGCATTTCACCATGGGCGGCATCGAGATTGACGACAAGGCGCAGTGCTTGAACAGTGAGCACAAGCCTTTCGACGGGCTGTTCGTGTGCGGTGAACTGGCAGGTGGTGTGCACGGTGCTAACCGTCTTGGTGGTTCTTCTCTGCTAGGCTGCGTCGTCTACGGACGTGTTGCCGGCGAGAGCGCGAGCAAGCACCTCTTCCAGCAAGTCCTGAACAGCGAGGGCGGCCAGGCGGCTTCGCGAGCCGGCCAAATCAGCCTGCACATCGACCCCAGCCAGCCCGGAAAAATCTCCGTGGAGTGGAGCAACGGCGCCGGCGCGAGCAGCAGCGACGCATCATCCTCAAAGTCCACCCCTCGCCAGCAAGGCCAAACATCTGCCGGCCCCGTCAAGGCTTCCCCAGCCGATAGCTCAGACCCGGGCAAAGTCACATCCGCCAACAACCCAAAGAAATTCGAGGTGCCCGAGAAGGAGATCTCGCTGGAAGAGGTGGCGAAGCACAACACGAAGGAGGACCTGTGGATCGCGGTCAAGGGCATCGTGATGAACGTGACGGACTGGGTGGACGAGCACCCCGGTGGGCCGCAGGCGCTGTATTCGCATATGGGGAAGGATGTAGGTTTTCTTATCAGTATACACAAATGTGGACGAATGCTGACTTGTTACTGCAGGCGACCGAGGAGTTTGAGATGTTGCACGATGATGAGGTGATTCCCAAGTATGCGCCGAATATTGTCATTGGACGGGTTGCTGGGCAGGAGATTACGCTTGAGTATTAGGACGTTTATATGGGCATTTTGGGGGAAGGATGGATGTTGCACATTTGGCTCTAGGATCTTGAAAATCTGTAGCTTGATCATGACTTCTGTTCCACATTCCAATCGTTCGGAATGTGAGGGTGTTCTTTGGCGGTGTTGGCACGCCGAGTCGTGCTTGCTGCGAGGGTCCGAAATTCGACGTCACTTGTGATTCTGTTTACAATCATCTTAGACAAACTCTCGTCCTGTCTTCTTTGTACCTCACCTACGCCTTTATCCACAAGCCAAAAGGACGTAAACATGGCAGACACAGAGCCCGAGGTGCCGGAGACTCACGTCCTGGCCATTGCCAGCCATGTGCGTGCTCTAATCTCGACCGAACCCTCCAAGGCGTGAAATCACATGCTGACAGAATGGTAAGGTCACTTCCGGGTAAGTCCACGACAAAAAGTACCAACACCACTCCAACAGCACCCGCTGAGATGATATGTCTACAGCTACGTCGGCAACACCATGGCGACCTTCTGCATGCAAACCCTCGGCTGCGAAGTCTCCGCCATCCACACCGTCAACTACAGTACCCTTCTTCCCCTTTCCCTCGTCCTACTCCCATACCAACGAAAGCGTCACAGGCAACCACGTAGGCTACGGCCGCTTCACCGGCCGCAAATCCAGCCCCTCCGAAGTCAGCGACCTCTACACCGGCCTCAAGTCCTCTGGCCTCTCCAACTTCCACATCCTGCTCTCCGGCTACTGCCCTTCCGCCGCTTTAGTCGAGGAAATCGGAAAAATCGCCCGCGAACGCAAACTCGAATCCGCCACTTCGCCCGGGTCGTTCTTCTGGATCCTCGACCCGGTCATGGGGGATAACGGCCGTATCTACGTCGCTGAAGACACCGTGCCCGCGTATCGAGGTCTACTGAGAGACGCGGATTTGATCCTGCCGAACCAGTTCGAAGCGGAGCTGTTGTCTGGCGTGCAGATTACGGATTTGGAGAGTATGACGCGCGCGATTGAGAAGTTGCATACCGAGCATCACGTGCCGCATGTACTCATCACGTCGATCCGCTTCCCGAGCTCGGGGGAGGCGACGCCGGAGGCGAGCGAGGACGATCTCACGTCGACGGGGAAATTAAGCGTCATCGGCTCGAGCGCGACGTCCAACCAGGAGCCACGATTATTCCGGATCACGATACCCTCACTGCCAGTCTATTTCTCTGGCACGGGGGACATGTTCGCCGCGACGCTTGTAGCGAGGCTGCGGCAAGCGGCGTTGCAGGCCGGGGTGCTGGGGAAGCCGAACTGGCGGAGCGAGGACGGTGTGCGGGGGCCTGATTTGCCGCTGGCGAAGGCGACGGAGAAGGTGTTGGCGAGTATGCATGCGGTGTTGGAGGATACGGCGGAGCATTATGCCAAGGCGAAGGCGGATATGGAGGGGGAGGGGGAGTTGAGTGGTGGGGTTGGGGTGGAGGCGGGGCAGGACAAGGAGGTGGAGAGGCATTTGCGGTTGACGAGGGCGGCGGAGGTGAGGGTGGTGCGGAATGCGAGGATGCTTGTGCATCCGCCTGATCTGGAGCAGTTCAAGGCGCAGGCCATCGAGAGCGGTGGGAGTGCGTGAAGGTGTGGGATCGTTAGACCTGGCAGATTTCTACTTCCTCGGACCTATGCTCCCATGAATCTTGATATACTTGCTCGCTCATTCAGATGCATGGAATGCCACCCGGGCTGCTTGGTATATGTCCACAGCCTCACGGCACTCTCGCTCGCTATGCAAGATGACACATCTCCTGCGTCCTGTTCCTGGCACATACTCTTCAGAACACGCTGTGAGATCATCCGTTCGTACACTGATACGACATGCCACTTCCTTCGAACGCCTTCAACACCTAGTCGTACCGCTCTACTCCTCATCGCCGATCTAGACACGCATAGTCAGCCTCGAAACACGACGCAACCTTGATCTGTGGGAATGGGGGTTGGACATACCTTCGGCGCAAGATAGAAGCGCAAATAACTATTATTCGCCAGCCCATACTCGACCAGCAACGGCACCTCGTTGCTCAGACACAGGCGCACCTGCTTGCTCAGCCCACTGGCCTTGCAGAAATTGACGAGGTATTTGAGCGAAAAGGTCAGGGCGACGGGCTCGCTGAGGTTGATCTCCACGTTCTGCGTCTCGTCCTCGACGTTGCTGTGCGGGCGCAGGGAGACGGCGCCGGAGCCGATGTCGCCCGTGCAGGTGAACTTGACGCCTTCTTTTGTGCATTCGATGGCGACTGTTTATTCATATCAGCAGCCACTCCCACTCTTCTCTTCCATCCGCAGGGACGACATACCCGACTCCGACAACTGATTCAAATCCCGACAGATGCGCTGAAACTCCGAGCTCGGCAGCGTCACCGTGGCCGCATACTCGGTATCCGGAATGCCCAAGTGCTCCTGATCGATATCCATCAACTTGATATCATACTCACTGAAGCGATCCGTCTTGGGGTCCTCGAAGACCAAGTTCACCACATCCGGCGTGTCCTCCGCTTTGAGCGTGAGGATGTCTTCGCTCTGCGCCGCGCGCAGCACTTTGGTCAGGGAGGTCAGGTTGATGCCGAGGGCGATGTTGCGGTCGCAGCGGAAGGGGGAGAAGGACTCGGATTTCAGCATCATGGAGACGAGGGCGACGTGCGAGTTGTCCATGGCTTGCAGCGCGATGCCGCTGTCGTTGCAGTCGAAGTTGCAGTCTTGCACCAGGTCTTTGATCGCGTCGACGACCTGGAGATACATTAGCGATGCGCGCGCATGGGTGGAGGAGGAGGAGGAGGAGGAGGAGGAGGAGGGGGTGGTGTACCTTCTTCAGCAGGTTCGCTTCTTCGAGGCGTGCTTCTAGCATGATGGGCGGCTGTTTGAAGGGTTATGGACAGATAGTGCTACAAGTAAGGCGCGAGGTGTATGCGGGAGTTGTTGTGTTTGCGTTGTGGTGAAGATAGGAAAGTGTTTGGTGGGGTACGCGAAGGGAAAGCCACTTAACGCGTCGCTCGCGTTTTTCGAAGAAGCTCAGGCCACTTCTCTTCACGTGCACTTTCACATGTCCTGCATCTGGTTGGACGAGATGGCCGAGAATTCCGATGTAGAAAGCAGATGTTCCGCGCAATTCATACTCAGTCGTGAAGCCATATTCATAATTGTTTCCTACAAATTAAAATCGTACAACTACACAAGAAAGCCGCTCCATCATCCAGACGCCTCGCTAAATCATGACCATCTGCAGCGATGTCCCCCATCATATCGAAGTTATCCTCATCCCATCTTTCGTCGCCTTGGGTGGCCTCTGACTCAAGACCGTCTGCAGCTCCCGCAACATGCCAGTGTTAGACTCCCGCTGCGCTCTCGCGGTCGCCTGCCTGTCCCTTTCCTCCTGCATCTTCAGAATCCTCTCTTCACGGGAAAGCGTGCTGCGCTGTCTGGGCATCGCAACAGCCTCAAAGATCTCTTCATCCGGCGTGGTGGCCATGCTTGAGCGGTTGGACATTGAGTCGCCGGTCAGTGCCTTCAGAGCGTCCATGGGCCCCCCGCCTTCTTCCACCGCGGTGAGGCCGCTGATGCTGGAGATGGGTGAGCGAATGCTCGATCGAACGCTCGAAGCACGAGAGATGCGTCGGTCTTGTTTCGTGAGATTCGACTGAAGGCTGGCTTTGCCGGTCTCCCAGGCGTGCATCAGCTCCTTCAGGTCAGCGCCAATGGACTCGTACTGAGCCATCAAGTTTGGGCCGAGGTCGCTAAGGTCCTCGGACTGTTCGATGGAGCGATTTGTCTCTTCACGGAGAATCTGCATCTTCGCCTGCAGCGAGCGGATGCCAGACGACAGCATGCTGATCTTGCGGACCTGCGTGCGCATCTTATCTCGAGCAGGGAAGGTGGGTGACCTGTTCGCAGGTGTGAGGGGAGTGGCGAGTGTCTCCATCTCGGATAGACATTGCTGAAGCTTCTCAGCATACTGCCCGATGACGCTGGCTTCTTTGCCCATAGCATCGCTTGCCACGCGCCACCGCAAAAAGTCAGGCTTCCCGCCATCGGCTTCCAGAGACATGAGCGAGCTCAGCATGACACGTCGCAGGACGCCTGCCCGGTAACTGAGCACGCGCAGTGATTTGAGAGATTCTGCGTCGTCATCCAGCACGCTCAACGCCTCCGACCCAGCTGCCTCTTTGGCGTCCTGTGGATTGATGTCGTAGATCTCAAAGTACTTCTCAAGATCATCCGCGTCGATCAGGGCCCGAAGTGTCTCGCAGGTGGATATACATGTGGGGATGACGGAAGAGTAAGCATGATACACCAGCTTACGAAGCCGAATGCATCTCCGTGCGGCGGACTGGTCGTCGATTCGCGAGGCTGGTGGCAATGGAGTGCTAAGTCGGTAGCCCTTGGACACCAGCTCCACCTCCTGGATTAGGGAGAGGGCCGAGCTGGCGGAGACCTCGAATGCTTGCCAATTAGCCGTCAATGTCGTGATCTCCGCGACAGCCTGCCGGCGCAAGAACTTGAGCCACTGGCGTCGCACGTAGCCATAGCCCACAAATGCGGTCACGAGGAAGATGGCTAGTACGAGCGCTATCCGGCTCGTGCTGAGGGCGCCGTCCCGGCTGCTGCGCGCCCAGTGGATCAGGTAGACCAACGCAAAGGCCACGATCGCGGTCCCAGTGGCGCCGTAGAGGCTCGTGGCCACGCTAGGCATGGCGGAGCCTTCAGCAGTCCCATCCAGGCCATGATTGGGCAGAGACGGAGGCAGCGCGCCCTGGTCCAGGTACTCGTTCAGCAGCTGCGACGCGACGATGATGTACCGGAAGTGCTCCAAAAAGCGCGCATTGTCGGCACGACCGAGTCGCGAGTTGAGCGCGGTCGACCATGCATTATGTATCCTGCCCAGCGCATTCTTGGGTTTTGACAGGTCGCGAAGAGTGGTTGCGATGGATTTGTGGGTACGAAGGGTCGGTCTGGTGTTCGACCGGGGCGCGAAGGACGTCGGTGTCTCGTCGTTGTATCTGCCCGCCTCTTCGGAAGTGTGATCGTTCTGGACGCTAGTATCTAGTCGTGTGTCCAGGTATCCCTCACCTGTGGTGGTTTTATCAGCGCTGCTGGTCGGCATATGCAGGCGCGGAGGCGCAGGAAAGCACTCACCCTCGAGGTAGGTGGCGAGGGGTGTGCCATCATCGTGAAAGGTCTCCATTCATCCGCATTCGTTCTGCCTGGGCTCGCATCGGGTCCGCAGCATGGGCGGTATGTTGTCGCGAGTGCGTCTCCGGCCGTAGGTTTGTCCGCAGTCTCGGTCGATGTCGTCGATGTCCTTGGGTCGAAGCGCACGGAAAGTAGAAAGCCGGAGTCCGGTATGGAGGGGCAGGCGGTCTAGGAGGTGAAGTGCAGTCTCACGGCGTTTAGCATATGCGCAGTTCAAGACTCAGGGGTGCATGTGAGCGGTCGCCCGTGCGCCTCGACAACCAGAAAGCTGGCAACACCAACCTGGAAGCTGTTTCGTCGCATCTTCTTTCCTGCAACGACGCATGTAAACCTGACGTGACATGTTATGGTCAACAGCGGACTGTGTTTCGGCCGGATGGCATAGCTGAAAACGAGAACAAGAGACGTTCCGTCGCGGGTCGTTCTCGTCTGATCAATCCGCGCGGATCCAGCTCCTGCCCGGACGTCATGCTTGGGAATTTACCACCTTTTCTCGCAAGCCACACTTCACCCAAACATGCATTAGTCACGCCCGTTTCCAACTACACCTCCCAGAGCTCTTGATGCTGATGATGGCATATGACATCTTGATCTATTCTGGACGTGTACAGTAATGCGAGTCGGCCACATCTTCCATCCGCCCGCTTTCCCAAGAGAAGAACATCGTGCGACTTACCATCCCGTCCGAGGGATTCCCGCAGACTCTCCGCTGGAATCAAAAACCAGAAGCCATCAGAGAGCTCAAGAGGGATAGCTTCATGTCCAGACACTTGCTGATGAATAAGCTACACCACCGTTCTGATAGACATGGCCTGACCTCAAGCCTTCGGCCGTCGATCGCATACACCAGAGCAGACAAGTCTCCTGCACGAACGCAAGGCAAGGCAAGACCGCACATCTTCCGCACACATTGCTACTGCTGCTGCTTGGCCAAGAGACTACCGGCTTGCACACTACCACCTCAAGCTTGCTCGTAGGACATACTGCTCCCATCCTGCTTTCAAATCAACAGCCATCTATCGGCGGTTCTATGGCGATGGTGGTTCAACACATGCTTCTAGCCTTGTCCCAAAACACACCTTCTCCTGCCTTCCCCGAACCTCGACACAGCCTTGTAGTCCAGTAGGGTTTAATGGACATATGAATGCAGCTTGAGACTCCGTTCCTGCATGCCACTAACTGCGCCAGGCATGTCGAACCACCCCAGCACGACCGACGGCTCGGTGTTCTCTTCGCTTACACCATGCGCCATTCGCTCGGCAGAACCGCAATGTAAGCATGCACGCGATCGATCTCACCTGTGGCAAGTTTCTTAGTCACTTTTCGTTGCCTGGAAAATGTCTCTCCCCATCTTCTTCGCATCTTCCTTTTCCCTGTGGCTGCGCTACTTCAAACGCCATGGCCTGCCACGATCGCCACTCATGCGAAGCTGCCAGCGACTCATCCTCCAAGGCCAGAACACGACTTGGGATACCCGGAGCATCTTCACGGCCGATCTCCTTCCTTATAATGCCACTGCCTGTCCCCTGCACCGATCTCATACCAAGCTTAAGGCCTCCTACCGGCAATAGATTCAAGTGCCGACGAACTACACTATTGCATGACGTTCTACCGTCCCTTCCTAGCATCCTCCATCACTGTTACGAAGATCATGAGTGAGGAACAGCGGATCAACGTCTGCAAGACAGGGTTGAACCAGATCTACACCATGCTTCGCAACTCGCCACAGAGCTACCGCGACTACCTCAACCTGGGTCGATCGGTGATCGCGCACATCAACTCAACGACGTTCGTGCAACAAGCTGCGCGGACAGCGGAGCAGGCTTGGATGGTCGCGGGCCTGCAACGACTGGCAGCACTCGACGACGGCAACGGCGCTACCTTGGACATCACAACCTGGTGCTCGCAACAGTGGATGCTGTTGCACCAACGAGATCCTCGAAACGTCGGAGCTCTGCGCGGTCTCGGTCAAGCTTGGATGACGCGCGCACAACCCGTGCTGTCGAGAATACACCGAATCGATGGGAGCTCATCTTCCAGCGGCGACAGTGGCAGCAGATCAGTCAGATCAATCACCTCCTCCGAAGACGAACGACAAAATGCCGCAGCTACCGCGGAGGCTGAACGACGATCCGGGACGCAGGACTATGTCGAAGCACGAGGGTACCTCCAGCCCGCGACAGAATATCTCGAGCGAGCTGTGGCCGCTGCAATTGAGCAGGAGACGCTGTCTGGAGATTTGCTGGCGACGGTGGGTTCTCTCGAGATTCTGGTCATTGGAATTGTGTCTAACGTCGAACAACAGACGGCCGAAGCATACATGTCGCTCGGCAACGCCTCGAGTCCGCGGGTCAACGAACGGTTCTTCAGGAGAGCGCTGCAGCTGCTGCGTGCGGCGTCGCAGATCGAGGGCTACAGCTTAAGCCGTTACCTGCAGCAGTACGTCAGCACCAGACGAAGACAGAGGACATGCACACCTCGTACTGACCGCTTCGCAGGTACCTGGACGACTACGGTCGACTGCTCGACTAGCAGCATTGACGCCTTCGAATTGGTCCTTGGAGATGTAACGATACTTCGGTTTGGTTTCGATGAAGCATTGAGCGCAAACAGACAGGGGTTTTGCAGGGCACTGTTGCCGGCAACAGACGATGCAACCTACAATACAGACAAGACACTTCTGGACTTCCGGGAGTGAAGCGTTGAGCGTTTCGTACTCTCGTAGCAACATATATATCTCTTCTCTCCACGAATCTCACTCCAATACCCAAGCTGCATCCACACCTCGTATCAAATAGCACTCATGCCAGTCCTTTGCCTATTCGAGCTCCACAAAGCCAACCTCGTGTGATTACATCTGGTGGAGCTTCTCGTGATTACTGCAGCTCAGTGCCTGTCTACATCTGTCACGGCCGTTACGTCTTCAACCCAACTGAGCCGTCTCTCGTGTCGGCCGACAGACCAAAACCGTCACTGACATCCTCCTTCCCGTTCTCCGACTCTTGACGACGTCGAAATTGGCTTGTTGACTAAGCGACAGAAGGAGTCCGTGCACGATTCGGGTCGGCACCTCCTTCGACTCCGATCTCACCTCACCTCGCAGAATAGTACCGATTCCTCTCTTTCGCCCGCATAACACGACAATCTGACCGCCTGCGGCTCCGAAAGATCTCGGCTTCGCTCCCAACCAAAACACCGCAAACTCCCCAAATCGAACATCCGGTCCGCGAACGGCGCAAGACTTACCGTCAACCTCCCCGCCCTGCGTACATTCAGCCTTACATCCGTAAGCACGCAAAACGACACGTGCAGGATCTAGCGCCCATCAAGAGGTCGACTGCAGCAGCTCCCTCGCCACCGGAACGGACGACCGTCCTCTTCAAGAACCATGCTAGACGAACGCGAACTCGCCACCCGTCCCATAGTCCAAGACAGCGTCCAGCACAACGCCCGCGTGCGTCCCTTTCCCTCCTTCCCACCCAAACAAAACCAGTCTAACCCTTTCCCATTCAGACCGTCTCCAACATCCGCGCCCTCACCGCCTCCCTCTTCGGCGTCGCCGCAGGCACACTCGGCCTCGAATCCATCCCCGGATTCATCTTCTACGCCCTCGGCACCGCCGTGGTCTCGGTGCTCATCTTCGCGTTCAAAGCGGAGAGCGAGCCCAAAGCGTACTTTTACCGGCCGATGGCGGATCTCTGGGCGGGCGATATGTTTGGGGGGTTGATGAGTTTTGTGCTGACTTGGACGTTGTTTTACAATTTGGCCAAGGCGTGAGGGGTGGTTGCTTTGCTGTGGATTGAGCAATCCTGTGATTGGTGATTTGGCAAGGCGCAGACTGTGGTAGCAGAGATGACGACCTACCAGCTGATTGGACAGTGGCAGAAGCCGGGTCGCTGTGGTGGCGTCAAGTCATCTGGTAAGGAAAAGATTCATGAACTGCAGTGATCGTTGCGAGAGGGTGCTATGAACGCACTATAGGTTCCACCGAGACGGCAACAGGCCGTATCAACATCAGCAGTATGACATCCACCTCACATCGGGGCTGCTAGCCGGAGAACAGACCTCCATCTCGTTCCAATCGCACCTCTCAGCACTCTCCATCATCGCAACAGCTCTTTCCATCCAGACCACTCGCTCCAGCGCCACAACATACTCCTGCTAGTCCGACAACATCCCAAACCGTGCCCTAGAAACCCCCTCCAACATCCTCTCCTTCCTCTCTAGCAATCCAATGAATCTCCGACTCTGGCCACTCCCCGGCAAACTCCTCCTCAAACATCTGTACCTCCGACACAAAATGCTCCGGCAACTCACCCACGACCTCCTCACCACCTTCCTCATGACCCGCCAGATCGCCCGTGTCCGTCTCCGTCGCCAACGTCTGGCTGAGATCGCTCTTGTTCCCACCAATGTCCCATCTGCGAGCCCTCCCCTTCGGCATCAATATTGGCGCTGGGGTAGGCGCGCTATCATCCGCTGCTGTCTGCGACGGTGAAGCTCTGAACTCGCTCGGAAAGCTGTCGCGTGGACCGTCCCGGATTGTTACTTCCTCACCCGGCAGAGAAAGGCGCATGCGCTTCTTCGACGGGCTTTCATCTGGATTTGAAGGTGTAAGACGGCGCTTCTTCGGATCCGCGTCGACAGACGTGTTGCCGAAAGCAGAGGCTGGCGTGAGCTTCGATGATGCGCTGAAGCTGCGGCGCATGTCATCGTAGCTGTGAGCTGGTGCTGGCGTTGTGCTTTGACAGCCGGTCGTGGGGCTGTTGGAATCATGATGTGGTGTTGGCTGCGTCGGCTCCGTCTCGCCGCCCAACCCACTGCCCATGTCCATCCCACCCGTGTAGCCCGCGTAGCCCATGTCATTGTTGCTGCCCAACCCGCCCTCCAGCCCACTGCCCACGTTCATTCCTCCCATGTCACTCATGTAGCCCATGCCACCCATGCCACCCATGCGACTCATGTCACCCATGCCGCTCACGCCACCCATGTCGGTCGAACCAGTCATGTTGCCCATGCCGCTCATACCCGTCACGCCACCCATGCCATACATTCCCATTCCACTCATGTCACCCATTTCACTTACCTCTACGCCGCCAGCATTGCTGAACTCCCCAAGCCCCATACCGCTGACCTGAGGCTGGTCAAACACAGAGTCTGATCGATCCGCGCTGCCCTGAACCTGACGTTGACCGCCAGTGCTGCCCTTGGCCCGGGAAGCATGCAGGAAGGCGTTATTGTCGTCCGACAGAGTCTTCAGCGTTTGGAACAGAGGTGTGTTGATCAGCCACGAGCGATCTCCGGCCGGACGCACCGATTCGTTGGGGGCTGGAAGAGTGCCTGTGAAGGTGTACGGTCGATCCTGTATCGAAGCGGCGGACTGCGCTTGCTCTTCTGGCTTGTTCATCGCGTTGCTACCGCCAACGCTGTCCGCATTCTGCTGCGTGGGTACGAATGGCTGATTTGGCTGGCCTAGCCCGCTGCCTTTCATAGCGTTGCCGGAGAAATTGTACGAGCTCGGCGGCCCGGACGCAACCCGGCGAGCCTGTGGAGGAGGCATCATGTCGATGGGCTTCAACGTGGTCGAGGTATGGACGTCCGGACGCTGCATGCCATACGGGCTGACTTGCGATGACGTATGATCCATCTGAGGCAAGAAATTAGGCGTTGCAGCTTGCTGCTGATCGTCCGTGCCAGCTTGGGCAGAAGGTGAGCCGCTTGGCGGACCATATCGCGTCGGTGGTCGCATTTGTGTTTGTGCAGATGCTGATGGTAACTGGCCGGTAGTCTGACGAGCTTGGTTTTCTTCCCGCTCCCTCGCCTGGACACTGCGCTTGATGTAGTCCGGTTTGGCAAGGAGTTGGAGCAACATTGTGTCCGGCAGAATCTGACGAGGTCGGTCGATGCCAGGTGGAGGCCTGGCGGCATTCAGCGCCTTCAGGGTGGCGGGCGAAAAGTCCTGGTCGGTCGTTGGTTCCTGCAGCAGCTGCCGGCGACCTGGGGTAGCACCTTTGCTCTTGCGGCTCCAGTCATTGATCAGCGAGCCCAGATTGGGAGCCGTGTTGGTGCCGCGAGCACTATCTGTGCGCTTCGCTGCTTGGTCCTTCCTCAGTGCTATATTCTTGGTGGGCGATTCTGAGAGGTCCGACTTCTGCGAGTAGACCGATGCCTCGGACTTGTCGGGAGAAGGCTCTCGCGAACTGATGGACGAGCCCAAGCTCTCAGCGTACGCAACCTTCTTGTTCCGAGTTCGGGTACTGCGTCGGAGGCCACCGGCGTCGGAGTCGGGCGTGTCTTGCTTCTTTCCTGAGTTCTTGGCCAGCTTTGGCCGGCCTTTCTTCTTCGGCACCGATGCGACTGCTGGCGCTGGTTGCGCGGGTTGCACTGGTTGTGGCGCCGAGGTAGCCTGCGACGGAGCATCCCCAATGAGGTGTGGGCGCACTGCGGTGTACCCTGCGTTGGCAGCTTGACTGATGTTATGGATATTGGCCGATAAAGGTTGCGCAGGCTGTAAGGCCTGCTTTCCCGTTGCGAAGGGCAGGCCTTGCTGCTGGGCGCGGTGAAGTAGAGTCTCCTGCTGTTTTGCCCTGGCGTACTGAATGAATTCATCGAATGGTGGCGTCCATGGTAGACCAGCCTGCTGAAGACGCTGCTCACGCTGGCGGTAGAATTGGCAGGCTGCCTGTAACGTCAAAATTCTCTGCTGTCGCCTTGCGACCAGCTCATCGCGCTTCTGCAGAGCATTCGTCGCAATCGCAGTGAGCTGAGCATAGCTTGGGTGCTGCAAGCGCAGATCCTGCGACAGCCCCCAGACATCCGCACTCGTATTGAATTGCCTGTGTTGTTGCTGTGCTTGTGCGACTTCATCCTGCGCCTGCTCCAGCTGCAGACGCAACTCTCCGAGCTGTTGATTGACGCTTTCAAGCACGCGGCCGTCAGGGGTCCACTTGCAGTAGAAGCCCCCGAGACCGCATGGCGTCGAAGAGACGTTGTGTTCACTTTGATAATCGCTGCATGCCACCTTCTCATAGAATGGAACCCCTGCCGCCCGCCCGCATTCCTCCTCAATGAGTATAACGTGATTGCAGACGTACCTTGTGAAGCGCTGAAAGCACATGATGCTGGTTGTGGTGAAGCAATAGCGTGTTGAGTGGTCACGCGGTTGTGACTGCCAGGTGAGGAATGTAGTGCGCCGTAAAGCGCGTCTGTGGTGAAGGTGGAGAGTGAAGGGTGAAAAGCTCAGCGTGCTGTGTTTGTTGTTGCTCACCTCACGTCGGTGCAGTCGCGCCAAGGCATATTGATATCGGCTTCGAACGGCCCGGTTGCTCATGGCAAGAGCGATCGTGACTTCCCACGCAACCTCTGACCCTTCTTGAACCAAACGATATCGAGAAGCTCTCCCAGCAACTGACAGAAACACCTCCGCAGTTCATGCCAATACGACAATAAGCCGATGGGCTCATCCATCAGGGGGCTATATCAGCGAGCAGCAGCTGTTCGAGCAGTCCACAGGCATGGCCTTCACTTATGGAACAAGTAAGACGGTACCGGATGTTTCTTTCAACCTTGTCGCGGTTCAATCTCCCGTTCTTTCAAGAGCTCCCAAAGGCTTACTTCCAAGTCGAAGGGCAAGTCGTCCACCTCCGAATGCCACCAAACGGTGCAAACTCATGTGCGGGTCGGTGAAGGATATTATATCATTCACTCTGGTCTGTCGACTGAACAACATTCACCTGAGCTATCATGAAAAGCCAACAGCTGAGCCGGTTTCGAGCAAGCTCTTTAGAGACAGAAAGCCATGGTCGTTCTCGATACTTATCTTACCTAGAGGACGGATCTCAGCTGACGGCTTTCGTACGGCTCTTCTCATGCCGCCCTCTAACCCTCTCGCTGAGTACTTTTGCACCAGGAAGCCGTCCCTCTAAAGGCATCCTTCGTCTGGCGTTTCCAGAGAGGACGACGCTTGACACGTAGTCGTCCCCAGAATGCTGGTGGCGAAAAGCCATTCACTACCAACATCATGGCCTCTTAAACGCAATTTTGGGTATTTGTTTTACTGGCGGCAAAGCCTGCGGCTTGTAGCAACAACACAAGTACGATCTAGACGCGCTGAAAGATGAGGTCGGGAAAGGATGTGGACGTGTTCCAGGACAGCGGCACGATCCTTGCAAGATCTGGGACAAGCTTTCCTTTGTCAATCACTTATTCGGGATTAGCAACGGCACCTGTCAACCTTGAGATCCACGAGTTGCTCTAACACTACAACGTGAGATCGTGCATACTATACCATGCTATCCACCGCAGATTGCAGCCCAATGTTCACACATTCGCTAGCCACTATCTACTACCCCTTCAAGTGGGTTTTGCTTTCTTCGCGGACATTGCTGAAGACCGACTGATCGGCAGCGAATTTGTCGGTCCAGGCAAAACCCGATAAACCCCGATCTCTTACTACATCACCATCTACCTTCTATTTCTCCTTACTCGCGTTTCTTTTGGAACCACTTCGTCATTGACTTCTCTATTTACTACTCTTTGCTTTGGAGGCTTAAGCATGCTTGGTGCAGATTTGTTCACTACCACTCCCTAATCGGCCCCGTCTGCGAGCGCGCTCACGGAAGCCTTCTCCATTCGAACTCCCCTTTCGCTTACCCCACGTTTTTTACCAATCCACATCGCGGAGCGAGAGACAAACAAGACCTCCACGATGAATACCGAGAAGAAGGACGAGAACATTCGCGATGGTGCAGTGGCGCCAGTCACCGCAGCAAATGCGCCAGAAGTAGGAACAGAGAATGGCACACCAGTAGGGCCAGCGAGCGCAACACACCCAACAACAAACAGCGACATGACAGAGAAGGACAGGGAAGCACTGTCGAGCTCGTCGAGTCAAGACGCCGCAGTCGAAGGCAAGTCGGATGAGGAGAAGGGGGAAGAGAAGCAGGCAGAGAAAACGCCAATGGAACAGCGGTCGAAGGGCAAGATCGCGCTGATCATGCTGGCACTGTGCATGGCCGTCTTCCTGGCTGCGCTGGATGTCACCATCATCACAACCGCCTTGCCGACAATAAGTGAACACTTCCACTCTTCAGCCGGGTACACGTGGATCGGTTCTGCGTTCCTGCTCGCCAACTCTGCATCGATACCGTCATGGGGCAAGATTTCGGATATCTTTGGTCGCAAGCCCATGCTGCTGCTGGCGAATATCATCTTCATGATCGGGTCGCTAGTCGCGGCGCTGGCGAACAGCATTGGCATGCTCATTGCTGCGCGGGCGATTCAAGGTATTGGTGGTGGAGGTCTGATCATTCTGGTGAACATCACGATCGGTGATTTGTTCAGTCTGCGGAACCGTGGAGCGTTTTATGGTGTTATTGGTGGTGTCTGGGCGATTGCGTCCTCCATTGGGCCGATCATTGGAGGAGCCTTTACTCAGAGTGTCTCCTGGAGGTGGTGTTTCTACGTACGGCATTCCATTCAATTGACTCATGAAATGTTGCTGACCTTTCTTACCGCAGATCAACTTGCCTCTCGATGGAATCGCCTTCTTCATTCTCCTGTTCTTCCTCGACCTCAAGACACCCCGGACTCCAATCATGGCTGGCTTGAAGGCGATTGACTGGGTTGGCTCACTTACAATCGTCGGCGGCACGCTCATGTTCCTCTTCGCTTTGCAATACGGTGGTGTAACAGCACCTTGGAACTCCGCGCTCGTTCTTTGCCTGCTCATTTTTGGTATCGTCACATGGGTGCTCTTCGGTCTTTGGGAGTGGAAGTTCGCCATCTACCCAATCATGCCCATGGGCATCTTCGGTGGTCGCTCCCGTTTGGCGACACTCGGAGTCGTCTTCTTCCACGGCTACACTTTCATCTCGGCGTCTTACTACCTCCCACTTTACTTCCAAGCAATTCGCGGTGCTTCACCCATCATGTCTGGAGTCTACTTGCTGCCCACTGCGATATCCCTCGCTATCGCTTCGATCGGAACAGGAGTCTTCATCAAAAAGACTGGCCGGTTCCTGCCACCCATCTACTTTGGCATGTTCATGATGACGCTTGGATTTGGCCTGTTCATCGACTTCGACGCTAACAGCAGCTGGACGAAGCTGGTCATCTTTCAGATCATCGCTGGTCTCGGTACCGGGCCCATCTTCCAGGCCCCGATCATTGCCTTACAAGCACACATCAACCCGCGAGACATCGGCACGGCAACTGCCACTCTAGGCTTCGTCCGCCAGCTCGCCACCTCCACCTCCGTCGTCATCGGCGAAGTCGTCTTCCAGAATGAGATGAAGAAGAAATCTTCAACACTCATTCGCGCTCTTGGGCCTCAGCTGGCCCAGCGACTTGGAGGTGGCAACGCAGGCGCGGAAAGCAACCTCATCGACTCTCTTCCACCCGGCCAGCGAAGCGTCGTGCGGGTAGCATTCGCCAACTCGCTCATGCCAATGTGGGCGATGTACACGGCGTTTGCGGCAGCAGGGCTCGTCAGCGCCTTTTTCATCGGACGGAAGACGCTGACCTCGCAGCACGAAGAGACGAAGACTGGTCTCGAGGCGGAGAAGGAGAACGCGGCGGCCAGGAAGCAGGAGAAAGAGGACCACCGTCTGGAGAAGGAGGAGAAGAGGGCCAGCAAGCGGGCAAGTCAGATGTTGTCGCCGAGTGGGAGTACGAGCCAGGTGAACTCGCGGCCGGTGAGCCAGAATGTCAGTCGGGCGCATATCGCGTCAGTGGAGGAGGGGGACGAGGGGCCGCAGGACGTTGAGAAGGGGAGGTTATGATCAAAATTATTTGCATTGATGGAGCATTTCAGCTGGCGGGAAGTTTTGAGTATGGCATAGCAGGGCGTTTGGGGTGCAGAAAGCATGCTGGAGAGGTTGAGATTGTATAGACGTCTCACCTTGGCTTATGTCGGCGACGTCTCGCTGACGGCTGATCATGTGGATAGAGCGATGTGATTACTGTGTCTGACTGTAATACTACTTCTTCAACACAATTGCAGAAACACATCCGCTCTGCGCTTGCGCGTCCATGTTCATTCTGACGACGCCCATAACGTTCATGCCGATGGGAATTTCTCGAAGAGAGTCGATCGAAGTTGCGGCGAGCGGCCTGAACAGCCACCTCAGAGTAGTGGAGCCGGACGCATATTGACTTACAGCGATAAGGGCCTAGTATACGAGCGGTCGACCACGAAGGATGTGCTGGCTTTGGTGCATGTGGAATCGAGAGCTAAACTCCCAATGCCGAGCAGCGGCTGAACCTGGAACGCTTTCACGTTGGCCTCTTGACATGTTAGGAGACAAAATTCTCGTTAGTGGCTGGCATGGTCAAAAGATATGTCGTGTGGAACATGGGAGAACGGTCGACTTCGATGGTGTTCAGACGTTCGCTTCTGCTGATGATCTCTTCTGGTAAATCGAATCCAGGCGGTACGTGCAATCGACGAGGTCATACTTCTTTGCCAGAAAACTAGACGTCCGCCCTAGCGACCGGCTTCAATCTGTCATCATATCCCAACCACAGCATGTCCGGGCGACTGTAATGCCCACTAGCATCAGCGAACGTCTTCGCCTTGGTGACAAGTGACAAGTCTAGATCCGCAATGACGAGCTGCTCATTCGCAGTTTCGGGGGCACTCAAGATCCGCCCGTCCGGGGCGATAACAGCTGACGACCCGACAATGCTGTTTCCCATGACAGGAGCTCCAACCGTCTTCATCTTCTCCAGGCCAGCCTCTGTGATGACGCCGGTGCAGTGGAGGACGAATGATTGGGACTCGATGGCGTAGGCTTGCGCCTGGGTCCGGCAGCCCTCCACGGACATTGAGTAGAAGCCCGGTGAGCCGTCGACGAACGGATCTAGAGGTGGCCACGCAGCTACGTGGATCTGCTCGCCCTGAGAGAAGGTGTAGTACTTCAACAGGGGCTGGATATGCTCCCAGCAGGATAGCCCGCCGACTCGGCCTACTTCAGGTAGTTCGACCACCTTCGCAAGACAAGTCCCTGAAGCATCGCCAAAGATGGTCCGCTCCATGTGTGTGGGCTTCATCTTGCGGCGAGCCATCTGGATTTTGCCGTGCTCATCGATGAGAGCTTGGGAGATGTATACAGAGTCGCCGTCACGCTCTGAGAAGCCTAGAGAGACGTTAATGGTGTTGTCCGCTGCTGCCGTGCAGATACTGCGCATCTCCGGGCTGTCGATCTTGAGAGAGTTCTCGACGTACTTCACGCCGCAATCGAAGTCGACAGGGCGCGACCTAAGACGGTCAGACAACTTCGGATTTGGGAGAAGGCGGTCTACCATATCCATGCCGGGTAGCCGGGGATCCAGCATTCTGGGAAGGCGACGAGCTTCGCGCCTGCTTCTGCTGCTTCTTTGATGATTGTGATGGTCTTGTCTACGGTGCCTTGTAGGTCGAGCCAGATCGGTTCATGCTGCGTTACCGCGACACGAACAGTGTTCGATGTATCTGTTGAACCCATGGTAATTTGTTGCTGCGATGGAGAGGGCGTCCGTTGAACACTAGACATGTCTGTCAGCCGTTCTTGTAAGCCACTGGGCCTCTTATCGCGGAACTGAGCGCTCAAGAGCTAGACTGTAAGGCTGCGGGGCTGAGTCTTAGGTTGTTTGTAGGCAGATTGCTGTACCAAGGCAAGCCCCAAGATACAAGTACATGTATGATCCAACATTCATCGAACTAAGTGGTCTTGATGTCTTGTCCCTCAACCAGCGGTTTTTCATGCTTTGTTCGACGCACCGTTGCCTGGCTGAAGCACGTTGGTCTCGGATTCAGACTTTGAGAGCGTGCCTCAATCTTCCATCCCCTTCCTCCCGTAAGAATGCTGTTGCTGGATGTCGAAGGATATGTCCCAGGTCCCGTAAAAGTAAAAGAGATGTACGTTACCAAGTTGTGCCTCCAAACGGCCTAGGCCCGAGCCAGACCTCACGTCTTCGCAGCGAGTCCTTGGTAGACCAGAAATTCGAGGTATACCGAGCAGACGTCTTCTTGCACGGCAAAATAACAGCAACAGACCACTCCATTGGCAAAAGCAAAAATGAAGGCGTAGAATGTCGCTCCCCTGCCTGGATTCGAACTGCACTTAGAGTCAGTAGGCGGTTGAGAACGATGGGCTTTCATTGAGACAAACCCAGAAACCTTCCGGTACCGTTTGATCGTTGATCTAACAGCCGAACGCGCTAGCCAATTGCGCCACAGAGGATATCAAGCCTCTGATGGATGACAGAGATATCAGGCCTGTGATGGGTGACACAAATTTCTTTTACGTATATATTGGCCGTGTTGCTCAGCAGCCGAGCCATGGCCGAGGGACTGCCGGGGCTGAGAGAACCCCACTTGCGATCAACAGACTGTCTACCTTATCAACACCCTCCAATCCGCTTTCATCACTACCTCCTTACTGGTGGCTTCACCTTTCGAGCATTGGAAAGATGTTATGCTCTTACCCTACATACCGAATTGCACGGCGAGGAACACGAACGTCTCCATCGTTGGCGGCATCCGGCATCAGTGAGCTCGACAAGCTCTCATCGGCACCTGATTATTCCGCGAAGTAGGTCTATAGTTGAGGTATACCTTTGGTTCTTTCCGTCTTACAACCGCTCCCGCAAACACCTCTCATTTCGGATCCAAATCACCAATTCCATCATCCACCATGCCTCAACCCCAACCACCCCCAGATCTCCACATCCCCCCATCCAACAACACAGTAACAGTCTCGATCATCGACACAACCTCCTTCGTAGGCATCTCAGCGTCCAGATTCATGGAACCGCACATCCCCGGGCACGACAAGCTCAACGCAGCATGCTACGCTTTCCTCATCAAGCACAACAATCCAGCGAGCAAGTCAAAGTACGACACCATGCTCTTCGACTTAGGCGTACGAAAAGATCTCGAGAATGCTCCGAAAGTTCTTCGGGATAGGATGGACGACGATGTCACTATCAAGGTTGATAAGAATGTCACTGATATATTTAAAGACCATGGCGAGGACCCGCACGAAGTTGGAGCAGTGATCTGGTCTCATTGGCATTTCGTAAGCATCTTTTCTTCTTCTATCAGGTCAATGGCATCAAATGGCGGGCTCTTCCGGAAGGAAATGGCCGTTGGTATATTGCTATAACGCTTCTCGAATGCCCAAGCATCGTTTCGTGCCATCGAGCAGCCGCATCGCATCACTTGCTATGACCGAGAAACCTCATATCCGACTTCTTGACGAGAATTGCTGTATACCAAGCTTCAAAAAGCCAGCTAAATTCATGCAGCTGTGCTGTCGATCGTCTTGATAATCTGCTTCACTGCTAATCGAACATCGCCAGGACCACACCGGAGATCCCTCAACATTCCCAGCATCCACAGACCTCATAGTTGGACCAGGCTTCAAGAAGACCTTCGTTCCAGCCTACCCTACCGTCGACGACTCGCCCGTAGACGAGCGGGCATGGGAAGGCCGAACCCTCCGTGAGATCGACTTCGACGCTGAAGGCGGCGGTCTGAAGCTCGGGCAGTACAAAGCGTTCGACTTCTACGGTGATGGCAGCTTCTATTTTCTCGACACGCCGGGACACGCTGTGGGCCATATGTGTGGGCTTGCGAGGACGTCTGCAGACCCGCCAGAGTTCATCTTCATGGGTATGTCTTGAGCCAGCGATGCGTCAGAGGACTTGGCTTGCAACTATTCCTCCACTCAACGATGTCACACCATAGAGACTACCATCACGGCGTTGCTGCGGCTGTAGTGGGGACATACGACCCTTCCTCTCGTCACCTCGACTACCAGCCAGATGCATCGACTTTGCCGCTCTCATAGCCGCTCGCTTGATCTCGTGTAGATTCAAGGGCGCACATAGCTAATCTATATGCGTCCAGGCGGCGACATCGCCCACCATGGAGGCGAGTTCAGACCAACACGCTACCTCTCTCTCCCCGATACCGTCGAACCAAACCCCCTTGTGGCCCCTTACACCAAACAAGCCCCAACCTGTCCAGGAGCTATCTTCGAGGCTATCCACCCTCACCAATCAAGCATCGAGCCATTCTACGTCCCGACCAGCAAAGGCGTGCACGCAGACGCCCAGGAGACCAAAACCAGTATTGACAAGCTCGCGGACTTTGACGCCCAGAACAACGTTTTTGTCAACATTGCTCACGACACGAGCTTATACGACGTCGTGGAGTTCTTCCCAAAGACGGCGAATGGATGGAGTCAGAAGCGGTGGAAGGAGGAAGGGACGTGGCGGTTCTTGAGAGACTTTGACACAGGGTCTGAGGAGCATGAGTCATAATAGTCGTTTCGAATGAATGTATAGTAAGACAACTTTTCTCCATACTACAAAACCACTCATCCCCGCCGACAAGATCTCCAAGCCACCGTCTCTTCCCGAGAGCTTAGTTTCTCACAGTTCCGCTGTACTGCGAGCAGCTAACCTGCACGGCCGTGCCCACACCCAGGCCAATCCCATCGTTCTGAAACAATGCCGTGTTCGCACCCGAGTCGATGCACAGGTCAAAGTTGAGGTTGGCACCGTACTGGTTCGTTCCCGAGAGGCCGTTCTGCGCGCACAGCGGGTTGCCGTCCGCGGGGCAGAGGTTGGTGACTTTGACGACGATGCTGTTGCCGGCGTTGGCGACGGTCTTGCCTGAGGAGTCTGTCTGGATCGTGAGCTTCCAGCAGGTTCCGCAGGCCGGGCCGGCGCCGGCACCCTATGAGTTGTGTTAGCAAGTATCTCCTGAAGGGGTATTGGATGGAAAAGACGTACGGGACCGACACCGAACTCGTTCTGGGAGACGGCAGCGGAGAAGCCGGGAGAAGTGTAGAATCCGCAGGCGGTGGTCCTGACGTTGCAGTTGCCGCTGTTCAGTGCGTCGCCGGAGCCATACTGGGTAAAGGAGGCCTTGTAGGTACCACCCTGAGCCGGCGGTTGAGGGGTTGGCGATGACTTTGCGGTCGTCGCTGGCTGAGCTGGGCTTCCACCTGCTCTCGGTTAGAAGGATGGCTTTCAAGTGTGGATAAAGATTGACGAACCGTTGCCGCTCGGAACGCATTGCGAGTAGTACGGATTCGAGTACTGGCACTTGTACCCGCTCACACAGCTGGTAGGGCCCGTATAGCCGTTGCCGCCGCACTGGGCGTAGGCCGCTGCCTGGGCGAGGGCGGTCGAGGCCCCTGCCACGACAAGGAGGATAGAAGCGTACATCTTGCTGATGGAATGAATCGAAAACAGTTTGTCAAAGCCCAATCGACGAATTGAGTGGTAGGGAATGGATGATTGTGTTGACGAAAGACCTACATCGTGCGGCCACCGTCCAGCTCTTATACAGCCCCCTCGTGCCGTGTCCCCATCGTAACGTGCCCACTCTGTCGAGCCTGTCTCACGCTCATCTCCGTCACCACGGCTGGCGGCAACACAACACCAGCGCCATCATGCTCGTTCCGTCACTCCGATATGCCACTCGCAGGGGTCGCTCAGCGTCTCAAAGCACATCAAGACAACCAAGCCATCGATCATCCTTGCTAAGCTTTCTGTCAAGGCGATCAGAGGTCGATCTCCCCGACCCGTTGCAGTTCCGATGGCATTTACCCGTCTCCCCGCGCGGCGCGAAGTCAAGTCTGGGTCGTGGAGTCGAATGTAAGTTTCAGACCAAGAACGTGTCACGATCCCGAACCGTTTTGTCGATTTCCTACGGGCAGTATTGCGGGCACCATCCGCCGCCGCGTGATGGCAGGTATATCTCTCGCGCGCTCAAGAATCGCGTATAGGAGTCTCTCTCCGCTACACTCCGGATGCGGACCTACGTTTCGTTTTCTCTCCCTTCGATCGGCTCGACGGCGTAGTCTTTCAAGCCACTCTGCCTTCAAGCCTTTAAGGACGCAAAATTGAGAGAGTGTCGACTAAGACAAGATACCAGTGGTGCCAGTGAAAAGGAGCTACCCGACCCGCCGTACTGTCCGTAGCAAATCAACTACATCGCCGTTCCGGAGTCCTGGCACAAGAAGGTTTTCCTGAGACGGGAGACGGTGGGCGGGTGATCTGGCAAGGTGGATAGCATGCTTCAGGTTGATTGATTGATGGCAGGTGCACAGGTGCGGAGTAAGCGTAGAGCCCGCAGGAGGCTTCCCTACAACCAACGTCAACGGTCAATCTAGGCTCTCCCAACCCACGACAGCACGGATGTGAAACCGAGGAGATCGTGGAGGTTCGAGAACATCTAGGTGGATGAGAAATCCATTGAAGTCAATAAGCGAGGCAGATCAATGTGGAGCTTATAGGACAGCAGGTGGTGCAGCAATGGTGGTAAACGGGGATATCGACTACTCTCAAACACCCTCCCTATCCAGTCACCTGCCACTATCCACACGCCTCCCCACGCCTCCCCATCATACAAACGAAACGTGCGCTGTCTCTGTCCCACAGTCGCACCGCCCAGCCATCCCCAGCGCATCCACACGCGCAGGGAAGTACACATTAAAGCTGCAATCAAACTACCCTTACACCGACCCATCAACAAGTCGAAGACAGCTGCAGCCGGCCGCTTTCGTCCTCGCTGTCTCTGGCCAGAATGATCCCCATAAAACGCCATGTGATGCAGTATTAAGCCGCTCGAGCGTCAAGGATCGACAAGGAAAGAAGACAATGTGGTATAGTGCGTCCCCCAATTCCCAAATCACAAGTCAAGTCATCCTGGATATTCGCCACAAACGCCTCGCAAACGTATGAAAGTGCAGACGCCGAGTCTGAAGTCATGAGGTGGTGGGTCGTAAAAGCCGTCGCCGGCCGTCGTGAAGAAACTCAATCCCAGTATCCAAGCCAATCACACTTTCGGTGGACTGCTCTTGTCGCCGTGGAGGCCGCCGAGTAATGTTTCTGGCGGGATGCGGTTCAAGTTGCCGTTCCGATGTGAGGCCATCGGGACGTAGCCTTCTCGGCGTCTCCGAGCCCGCTCGACGAGGATCCCGGCAACCACGATGAAGAAAATCAGACCCAGCGCGATCGCGAGACCGATCAGGACAACGAAGCCGACGGCAAGGTTCCCACCACCCATCTTCATGAGTGCTGAGGGGTTGCTGACGAATATGTGAGCGATCGTGCCTTGTGTGCCGTCTTCCTTGTTGGTAAGAGCGAATGGCTCAAAGTCGGTGCCATTGAAGAGCGCAGCACTTGCATTGCCGTAGTTCGGGATGTTGATGTTGCCAACAAGCATCAGGACTTCATCCTTGGGAATATCGTTAGTGGAGTCGTGATCGGAAGTCAGAGTCATGACTTGGATGCCGCGAATGTCTGATCCGTCTCCAAGTCCGTTGATGCGAGACCAAGAGCCATCCATGTAGTGCGAAAGGAAAGGTGAGTTGTCGTCGGACGAAAGACCGGAAGCCCAAAACTCATTGTACCCGCTTGTAGCCGGCGTGAGCACGCTGATCGGGCCTGGTAGAGAACCTGCTCCAGAGTATGCGGTGAATGTCTGCTGGCTCTGCTTCGAGTTGTAGGTGGCCATCGTCGTCTGCTTGCCGCCGACAGTCAGGTCGCCGGCAAGGATGAGCTCCGTCTTCGAAGACCAGAACATGGCAGTGATCGTGCCCTCCAAGCCAAGCCCAGGTGTGTTCCACTGCTGAGCGCTGGCATCGTAGTAGCAGAGTGTAGCGCACGGCAACGACCCTGCTTCCTCGAAACTGCCGCCGACGTAGATGTTGCTTGAATCGGGTTGCGTAGCGACAGCATTGACAACAACATTGTCACCACCAAGCGCTGGTGGATGAGGCGAGGCGATCTCGAGCTGGTCCAGGTCGTAGACGATGAGGCCGTTGATGTCGTTATCACCAACAGTGCCGGTCAAGGACCCTCCTGCGAAGATGAAGTTGTTGTATGCATCCATTGCCATGACTGTAGAGTCGTTGTCGAGCTCCTCTGCTCCTGCGATGTCCTGAGACGACCCACTGTTGTCGACGAAGATGAGGTTGTGCAGAGTCGAACCATCGCTGGCAGTAGCGTCGAAGTGGCCTCCAAAGATGGTCACATTCATGTTGTTATCGTCGTAGAAGAAGCCAGTGTAGACTCCGTCGTGGTCTTGACTGGTCACAGCACGCTTGCGCATCGACGACGACGATGACGAGCTGGGCTGGATGGTAATGCCGAACGACTGAAGCTCGAGATCGCCAGAACCAATCATCTCGGCAGCTCCACTAATGTCCATCGCTTGTGAAGTGATCTGGCCGGCGTAGAGTGGCCACTGCAACCCAGGAACCGGAGTCATCGCCATCAGTCGGCCACTAATAGAAGCGTCGGCATTGGGGATGTTGTTCAGCCATGCGTTCTTGCTTGGCACCCAGACAGCGAACCCATCAGCGTCGAAGGCATCATTGTCGCCGTAGGAGTTGACTGAGCTGAAATTGCCGTTGATGGTGATGCAGTCCTGCTGGTTGCCAGCGGTGATGTTGAGTGCCAATGGTACAATATCCCATACCACGCCGTCCACGCCAGCACCAAGAGTTACCCACTCGTTGGCATCGAGGTCGAAAGCGCCGACATTGTTCAAGCCTTCCTCAGAGTCGTCCACGGTGTTAGTGAAGTTGCCTCCAAGGTACATCAAGGAGCCGTCGAGGTACACAGCCTCCACGTCCGAGTTCAAACCACTACCAGGTGGAGAGGTAGCCTTGCCGCCAATCTTCATGATGTTCTGGATCCCGTCTCCGGTGAAGGTGCCAGCTGCCCAGATCTGGTTTTTGTAGCTGACGACACAATTGATGAGTGCGCCATTATCCAGATCAGCACCAGCGGTATCAATGGTCGAGTCCGAGAAGTCCATCGCAACGGTCGCCTTGTCGGGGTTGTACTCGAAAAGACCGTTCAAACCTCCAGTCGAAGTGACAATATCAAAACGGACTCGCTGTGCGACAATGGTCTGCGGCAGTGGCTGGTCGGCAATGGGCGACAGTGTCACAGAAGGCGTGAAGGAGCCGGAGTCGACGTCGACGTAGCCGTAGTAAATCTGGTCAAACTTGTCGTAGTAGTTGGTCTGCGAGATGGTTGTCGAGACTGGTGGTTGATCCGAGGTCATAGTGCCAGTCATGTTAACATCACCTCGGGTATTACAGCTGTTGTCTTGAAGACAGCCAGGAGTGTAAACCAAGATCGAGTAGTTGCCAGACTGAGCAATGTTCGGCCTGAACACAACTGAAGGACTCTCGGCAACCTGCGCCTTTGTCGTTAATGTTGCAGAGAGGTAGTCCGAGCTTGTCTGCCCATTGTTCGGTATCCTGGTCCAGGTGCCATTGGAGGGAGAGACAGTGGAACTTGAACCGTTGCTAACGCCATCGCACTGCGGCTCGTTGAAGTCATTGATGGCGAAGGAGTAGAGCTCATCCTGGAACATCTCGATGCCAGCAAGACCGCCACCATCGCCATACCACTCGGTAATGAAGATACGGAAGGAGTCCATGCCGACCGCTGGGACCATGTAGAAGTCCTGGTAGGTACTGTTGCCGCGCGGCAGGGGACAGTTGAGGGAGCAAGACCGGTTCTGCCCGTCGACGTCAATGTAGTTGAGGTTTAGGATGCCGCCACTGTTGAGGTTCTCGAAGTAGAACGTCTTCGTGCCACGGCCTTGATACTTGGTGTTGTACAAACGCAGCTTCGTCGGGATGAAGCCGAAAGAAAACTGCCCCTGCCACCAGCCTCCGGTGTTGTCGGCCAGGAGCCAAGTATTGCCAGGTCCGTCCTCCTCACCAGTCTTGCAGATGATGTTCGTGGGGTCGTCGAAGCCAGCAGTTGTCGTGGTACCAGTAGCGCCGATGTCGCCACCCGCGAGATTAATGACCTGCGCGTCAGAATTGATAGAAGCACTGCTGTTGCTGGCACTGCTGCTGCTGCCATTGCCTGCCATGCCAAGCCCACTGAACTCGCCACCAAAGACAATATTACCCGCTGCGTTCTTCTCGATGGAATATACAGGCCCATTGAACCCCGAGAATGGCAAGTTTGTCCACTCAGTTGTCCATGCCATCGCATTCGTCGAGTTCCCCGCCGTAAACATGCCGCCCACATACACCGTGCCCGAATCATCATCACAATAAAGAGAAGATACCTTACCATTGATTCCAGGCAGTGGAGTGATGCCACCAGTGTCCGGGTCCCACAGTGCCACACTTTGTGCTTGCACACCAGCCACGCTTGTGAAGTTTCCGCCGAGTACCACCCCATGCACGGTTCCGCCGCGACGAAATGTGCACATTGCTTCGATGTACGCGTCCGAAAGGCCAAGCGACTCGAAGGCGCCATTGGGATATCGTGTTAGCAGCGACTGGCTGCCATTGGTGTTGAGCACATTCTCCGTCTGCCCTTCATACTGGTACAGCGATATGCTGTCGAAGTCGCCCACCAGCGCGACGCGGCCCAGCTGCGATATGTCGAGGTTCGGTGATGGCGCTTCGGTCGGTGTGAGGGCGTATGTAGGTCTGGCGAAGACTAATGGCGATGTGAGGATGAAGGAGGCCAGCTCGGGGCCAATGGCCAGGAGCTGCGTTAGCAGGTTGCGCATCGCATGCGACGGCGGGTGTCGGGTGTATCGCTGCTGCGTTAACGATAGTGCGGTAGCGATGGAGGGGTGTAGCGATATCGATGCCGAGCGATGGTGTCGAGGGGAGGATCAAGGGCGGTGATGCATGACGATGGAGGACTCGAAGTATAACAGAGCTGTCTTATTCCTCGGTCGGGTCCCACCTGCCGATCTGCGCTGCTGCTGTCTGGGTCGTACCTGCCGTGTGTCGAGAAAGGAAGCTGCTAGAGCGGTCCACGTGATAAATGAGTGAATGGAGGTCGGGTGGTGTCCGCTCTGCGCTGCCTCGTCACCGGTGAGGATGGGGGAGGGTGAGTGAGCAGGCTGCGCGTGTTGGAGGAATGCCAACTCGTTTCCCAGGAGTCGAGCGAGCGAGAGTCCGTCCCGCTCGGGCCTGCCAATCCACTTTCGCTAGAAGGCTTTGGAGCCAATCACGACTTCACTTCAGATTCGCTGCCGGCGCACTAACCATTGGGAACGAGCGATCGAGGATTCTGCTTTTTACTTCGACGGTGAAGGTTCGGACGATGCTTCGTATTCTTCACAGATGGGAAACTCTCTGGCAATGACTGGGCAACATGGATTCAGGTGCACCACTTCAGCTGCGCGCGCGCATGTTATCTACCGAGACACGAGATGCTCACCTCAGACAGAAGTATGGGTTGCGCAGGCCCAATCGCTGGGCGAACATGCACATCCATGTGCTTGTGAAACCGCTCCCAGCCCACCCCATGGAGCCATGAAAGCCTTCGGAGCATCCTGCGATCGCACGAGACAAAATACGACGCAGTGCTCGCGCCGTTCTCTCGGACAGAAGACTTCGCAAACAACAATTTATACACACATGGAATGGCGACGATAGATGTCTGTCGAAATTGGAAAGCAGCGAGCAAACCTCTACCCCAAACCCTACTGCATGCAAGCCACCATTGACTCTGTACTACAGTGTAACCTCTGGGGTACCTACAGCAAGTCTGGGGATGATGCAATTGTGTTGAACCGCCAGCCTCTCTAGGACTCCCTCCCGGTCGCCATAACTTTCTGGCCCATCTGAGCAGTCCAAAGCAGCCTCTTGTTCCCTTCTTCCGTGGCTGGGAGAAGTCCACCGCGTCCAGCGGCGGTGGAACGTACGGGTCCGACATAGCAGGAGACTTCTTGTTCTCTTCAGTGATAAGAAGCTTGATTTTGCCCTGCCGGCGCTTGAACGACGCTTGCTAGTGATGTCCGGACCACACGGTATGCTCAAGTAATGTTCCTAGTTTTGGCACTGCGACGACATCTCCGTTCTAGACGTATCTGATCTACGAACAACGTATGGTACAGGACATTGTGACTTTGACCGGGATATGAGAGGCAGGAGGCAGCAGCAGCACAGCCAACGGCTGCTATTTGTACAAAGGGTATTACAGTAAGTACGAAAAGCTGTTCAGTTGCTCCGATATACTTTGAAAGTACGCGAAGTGCCACTGCTTTCAGTCAAGCCCGCAAGAGCCGTCATGTTTGTTTGCTACTCATGCGTTGTCTTCATTCACCTCGAAGGTAGGACCGTTCACACGGTTGCTGCATAAAACGGACTTCTCCTCTTTAGTCAACCTTCTCGCAACGACTTCACTCGTGATAGACCATCTACGTCTCCTCCATACAGACTAAGCATACATGGCTGAACAACATCAGATCACGGTGAACGGGCGACTTGTCGACGTGTAAGGGGCCCACCTCATAGCATTCGCGACAGCGACTGATGACCATACAGCTGGCGATTCAACAGAGCCCAACAAGAGTCTGGCGTCCTCGCGATCGTCTTCCTAGACGAATTCCAAGACGAACTTCGGCGCCAGCTACTAGGTCCAACACGTCCCACGAAACAAGAAGAACTCTCGAAACTCCAGAAAGCGCTTCGCTCACGGGCAGCGCTCCGGTCAGAACTCACTCTGGGAATGCGAGCTCTCTTCGCAGCGAGCGACGACAGCCACATGCGGATGACCCACGAGGCGTTTCGGCGGATCTGGTCCGTGGAGAAGGTGGAGGCGCTGGTGGAGTGTCTGTTGGGAGAGGCGGAGGCTCTGGCGGAGGAAGTCGGTGGGGAGGAGGGGGAAGAGATCAGGGGATACTTTGGCGTCGGGTGGCTTGATGCTTGAAGGCGAGGCTATGGCGCGATAGGAGTTGCTGAGGTTTGGGATGTTGCGGATTTGATTGCCGCCCTCAAGGTGTTGGGGAGTTGAAGGAGTATACGACGGTCAAGGGGTGGTTTTGCCTGAGCACCGGCAGGATAAGTTAGTGTTCAACTGAGTGCTTACACTGCAAGTCTTGGATACGTTGTTCACAAAATCGAAGATCTTACCGGCGGTGGACCCTCGTTCGTAAAGTGACTCGAGTGGTGTTCATCGCATCTATTCGAATTGCACAAATGCCGGAAAATTTTGTTGTTGTGGTTGTTATCACATGTGCGTGGGTTTTTGACGGAGAGATGAAGTGAATGAAAGCCGGACCTCACCTCTCGGACGATCCCCCGTAGGCTGACAACCTTCATTATAACCTCTCCACGCGCCTATTCCAATCAGTAACCACTCCTTCTACCCGGCCCGCTGAATCGTTCGCGTCAGAATCCATTGAAGTTCGTGGAGAAAAGCTTCAACGATACTGGCATGAATGGTACTACAACAGCGGATGCACTAGATGCTGGTAGGTCGAGGCGCTCATATGCCAGAACCCCGTGCCATATTGATCGCATGAAACAGTGGACTACGACCCCATCGACCACCTCAATGCGCTTTTCTCCCACCCTTCGACCCTCTCCTCTGTCCAGAATGTGTCGACCTCAATTCAGCAGCACCAAAATGGACTCGACGCGAATATATCCTCCCTCATCACCACCCAGACGACCTCGGATGGCGACAGTGTGCGCCGAATACAAGATGCGAAGGCGGAGTTGGCGGAACTCTTCTCAAAGATCGAGGGGGTACGGGAGCGAGCATTGCAGACAGAGCGTACGATCACGGAGATGACCGCGGATATAAAAAGACTGGATAGCACGAAGAGGAATCTCACGCTGTCCATGACCGCCCTGAAGCGACTGCAGATGCTCACAACCGCCTACGAGCAGCTGAGAGCGCTGATACAAAGCAAGCAATATCGGGAATGCGCGCACCTGCTCCAGGCGGTCATGCAGCTCATGGCACATTTCAAAAGCTACCGAAGCATAGACCAGATAGCAGCTCTCAGCCGTAACGTGGCCGACCTGCAACGAGAGCTGCTGGAACAGATATGCGAGGATTTCGAGATCACTTTTGCGAGAGGCGAGGTGCAGCAGAAGAGAGGTATGCTGTCGGAGGCATGTCAGGTCATGGACGCGCTTGGAGATCATGCTCGGTCGAGACTGATCACATGGTACTGCAACACCCAGCTACGCGAGTACCGACAGGTCTTCCGTGGGAACGACGAGGCTGGCTCTCTGGACAACATCGCGCGCCGATACTCCTGGTTCAATCGCATGCTCAAGACGTACGACAGCGAGCATGCGATGCTGTTTCCAGCGCACTGGCGAGTGAACGAGATGCTGGCAAACTCGTTCTGCGAGAGCACAAGGGACGACTACCGGAGCATTCTCCAGAAGTCAATGCGGAGAGCTGACGGCCATCCGCCCGATGTCAATCTATTGCTGTCTTGCTTACAGGAGACCCTCGACTTCGAGCACAGTCTCGAGAAACGCTTTTCAGCTGGCGAGTCACGATCTTCCATGGACACTGTCACCTCGTCTGGCGAAGATAAACGGCACGGCTTCAGCCAGGCCATATCCGAAGCCTTCGAGCCCTACCTCAGCATCTGGGTGGAATCGCAGGACAAGCAGCTGGCTACTCTTATACCGAAGTACCGACAGCAGCCAATTCGAAGCGAAGAAGAAGAGTTCCACTCTCAGCTTGTCATGCCATCCTCCACCGAGCTTTTCCACCAATACCGCGTCACTTTGGCACAGTGTGCTAAGCTATCTACCGGTGGCCGGTTATTGGAGCTCTCCCAGACCTTCGGCAAGTACCTCGATACATATTCACAACAGGTATTGGCATACTTCTTGTCGAACAAGACTGGCGGCCCTTCAGTCGAAGATGCTGTAATCATACTCAACACCGCAGATTACTGCTACACAACCACGAATCAGCTCGAGGAGAAGATCAAAGCGCGTGTGGACGAAGACCTACGCGAAAAGGTTGACATGCAATCACAGGCCGACTCGTTCATGGGCATCGCATCTGCAGCAGTCAGAGCACTTGTAGCGAGGACAGAGGCAGAGTGCGCACCAGCGTGGCGTGAGATGCGAACAGTCTCCTGGAGCAAGATGGACAGCGTCGGCGACCAGAGCAGCTACGTCTCGTATCTCTTGCAGCGAGTCAACGAGCGGAGTAAGGAGATTCTTCGGCATCTGCACAAGCAGCAGTATGCTAGAGCTTACTGCGACAACCTTGTCGACAGCTTGACGAACACCTATATCACCAACATCGTCGCCGTCCGGCCCGTGTCGGAGACTGGAGCGGAGCAGATGTTGCTGGACTCGTATGTGCTGAAGAAGGGTCTGTCCGAGCTCGCGACGCTTAACGCAGAGCCGGGCACACCGGTCAATCAGTCCTTCGTCAAGCGGGTCACACAGAGTATGGCGCGCCTTGATCCGATCCTGAAGACTCTGCAAGTACGATCCTCACCCTCTGAAGGCCTGGTGCAAGCATACCTCATCCACATCAAAGATCGGTCAGAAGCCAACTTCCGGAAGATGCTCGAGCTGAAGGGTATTGTAAAGAAAGATCAAGTCCACCTCATCGAGCTCTTCAATGCGCACAAATCTTCGCCTACGAACGAGAACCTGCAGGCCAGCAACCCGCTCATTGCGTCCCTTCAGCTCACGGCGCAGACTTCAGCGGCAACAGGTGGTCTCTCGGCCCTGAAGGACAGCACAGTCTCACATTCCACACCCTCACTACCAGGGCGCTTCGACCCATCACAATTCGGCACAGCCATCATGAACGCCGCTCGCGACGCAGGCGACCGCTTCGGCTCACCCAACTTGGGCGTCAGCAGCGGAGCCAATACCACAAACCTAGCCAGCCGAGCTACAAGCCCACCTGTGGAGGACGGCATGGCGAACGGCGAAGCGGGACAAGAAAAGGCAACGCTAAATGACAATTTGAAGAACTTTGGCAACTTTTTTAGAAGAGATACTGGTGGCTTTGCTACTGGAGGCTTCTCTACTGGAGGCTTCTCCAAGTTCTCTGTGCCGTTTGGACGGAGAGATGGGAGCTCGGGGCCGCCTGAGAAGTAGCTTCGACACCGCCTGAACGCCAGTAGCATAGCCGTCGCAGCATAAACGACCCATCCTGTTCAACCTTCCGTCGCAAACGCCCGATGTGCTTCACTGCTCGAGCCATGCTCAGTCACTACGCATCCGCTCCACCTCCTCATCAGACGAAGAATCCATCTCCTGCGCATCATAGTCCACTCCGCCACGAAGATCGTTTCCTATGCTCCCATTCGTCGTCTGATGCTCTGCTGGAGTATCGTTGCGAAGCGAAGCTTGCGCGTTCTTGTTAGGGGTCTCGAAGGCAAGTCCGGCACGCTCGTCTCCTCCCTCAGCGTCGCTGCTGGCCTCCTGCTCCTGCTGCTGGTAGAACTTGGCCATTTCGTCGAAGCGCTTCTTGATCTCCTCCTGCTCCTGCATCTCCTTCTCCTTGTCGACCTTGCCGTAGCTAGACGTCTTCTGCTGGGTTGGTCCGCCTTCGAGCCGCTGGAGAAGCTGCGCAACCTTGTCTTGGCCTTCGTCTGGCTTGCTCGCATCGTCCGCATCTTCCCTCATCCTCTCGTCCGCGTACTCGGCTTCGTCGTCCTTGTACTGTACTTCTTTGTCCTCATAGCGGATCTCATCGTCATAGTCTGCGTCTCGGCCTGCTCCGCCGTCCTCACCGTCCTCATTGTGCTCAATCCAGTGCCCCGCGTACGTCCCCTTCTCCTGCAACCCGAGAACCTCCGCCAGCACCCCCAGCTGCTCCCTCTGTCCACGATATGGGCCATGGTTACTGCACCACACCGCTAGTTCCCGCCACTGAATCAACAGCTTCTCATGCGGATCCTTCACCCCCTTGGCCCCCTGCATGCAATAACTCACCATCTCAGGCCCGGCATCATCCATCATGGCATCCACCCTTCCAATCACCTCATCCAGCCACGGCTGCGGAGCGTTGTAAAGAGGTAGCATCTTGTCTTCAACCTCATCGTACTCTGTCTGCGTAGCCTCGACGACGTACGGGTGAAGATTCTCCGGATTAGGCAGCGCGCAGTACCGGTTCCAGAGCGTGACTTCGTAGAGCTCGCGCATCTCCTCGCGTTTCTGGCGGACGGCGTCGCGCATCTTTTCGGCCTGGCGCTTGGTGCGTTTGACGGATTGCTTGACCTCTTCGACTCCGCAGATGTTGCAGAGCGGATGTCCGGGCTCCTCGCTGTAAGAGTCGTCGGTGGCGCATCGGATGTGTTGGCTGAAAGAAGAGAAGGTCAGCTATCAGGCATTGAGATGTGGTCGTGGAGTGAAGTCTTACTGTCTCATGCAACGCCGGCACAAGAGGTAGTCCTGCGGCTTGAAGTACTTGCCGAAGCCTCGCGGTGCCTTTTCGCAGTCGCAGGTGTACTCCGCGCGCTCCTCTTCGTCCGGGCTGAGAGACTCTGGTGTGCTGGCTCGCTTGCGTTTGGCTGGGGCCTGCTTGGTGGGCTTCGACGGGGTGCGCGCCTTGGTGACCTTTTGGGCAGGCATCTTCTTGGGCCCCAAACGCTGTTGGGAAGGAGTCTTGGTGCCCCTGCTACTCCTCGAGGAGCTTGAAGAGGGCGTTTTGGTGGTCTTCTGTCTCTTCATGTTGGGTGGTGTGAGCAGTGTGTGTGGGACGTAGGGGTTAAGAAAGTGGTGGAAAGAAAGAGGGAAGATATAGGACTGCCGATGAAAAGGTCATGTGAGCAAACATTTCCATGTGACGTGGAAGGGTCGTGGAGCAACTTGATTGGTCTGAAGCGATACGAACATTCACTTTGGGTGGAGCAAAATAGAATGAGCTTGTGAATTCCTCTCCAACCAGCTGAACTCAGGACCTTCCACAGGCTTCACCGGGAAGTGTCGCTTTGTGACAGACTCTTTGGAGGATTCTCAGTTCGCTACAGTCTTATGAGCACATGTATTGAAAGTGAGTTGGGTGAGAAGACATACCATGGGCTCCAACGTCTTCCATTCGGTCGTGCCTGTTGCCTCTTCAGTCCTGCTGCCTGTCTATGCGGCCCTCGTCACTGGATCAAATCTCATGTGCACATCTTCACAGCATTTACCACAACCCAGTCGAAGTTGTGGCGACGCTTCGCTGCCAACGCTCGCCAGGCTCCTACCTACATCACATCTCGCCACACTGCGCAATAGAAACATCCTGGTTCGGCTTGTCGTTCTTGCCTGTCCGGACATTCTCAATCTTCCTCACCACGTCTATACCATCCGCGACCTTGCCGAAGACCACGTGCTTGTCGTTCAAGAAAGGCGCAGGGGCAGTCGTGATGAAGAACTGAGAGCCATTCGTGTTTGGGCCAGAGTTCTGCGAAGTATTAGACGCCAGATCCTGCGAATCCTCAAAGATCATAGGAGGCTTACCGCCATAGACAGTAGTCCAGCAGTATCATGTCTCAATTTGAAGTTTTCGTCCGCAAAACTTCGTGTGCCGTAAATGCTGATGCTACCAGTGCCATCGCCGTTCAGAAAGTCGCCTCCTTGAATCATGAAGTCCTTGATCACGCGATGGAACCTGCAGTTCTTGTAGCCTTGCGGTCGACCGGATGGGTTTTTGGTCTCGCCAGTGCAGAACTGCCTGAAGTTCTCGGCGGTTCGTGGCACAATGTCTGCGAAGAGCTCCATCTTGATCCGGCCGAGAGGCTCGCCGCCGAGCGTCACGTCGAAGAAGACCACGGGGTTGGGTTGAGAGGCCATGTCGACGTTTGTTGGGAATGGCGACTTGTCCGTGGATGTTGATGTTAAAGGTGAGGTTATGATGTTGTCTGGCATCTCTGAGACAGGATTAGGGTTGGGGTAGGCACGACGACGACGGCACCCTTTCACAGATATATCTTCCTTCCTTGCATTCTTCTTGTCAAACGGAAGCCTGAGCAGCAAGTTCACTTTTCGAGAGACAATGGCAAACAAAGACGAGGATCTACTGGCGCGACTGAACGCACTCAAGCCATCTTCCGTGAAGCTGACATCCGATCCCATATCGCCTGCTGTTGACGTCGAAGTATCCGAGCCTGCCTCTATCGAAGACAAGCTCGCTGAGCGTCTAAAAGGTCTGCGTGCCGGAGATGCACAAGGGACAGCCAGGCTACCCAATACCTCTGATGGAACCGTAATAACATCCTCTGCCCACGCTGGCGCACCATCTGCTGCTCAGGACAAGGACCCTATTCTGGACTGGCAGCGCGAAAGCAACGATGACCGTACTGTAGATGATCTGCTAGCAGAACTGGGTCCGGATGATCAATGGAAGCTGGACCCGGATGATCCCAAGAACATAGACTCTCTTCTGAAGGAAGCCAAAGCTGCTTTGCCACCTGAGGAAGAGCAAACCGACGAACGTACCGGAGAGGCCCAGGATGGTTCCACGGACAACACCAATGCGGCTGAAGTAGAGCCGACGGCCGCAAAGAAGACAGAGGATCAGCAGGATGACGAAGAGGCTGGCGACTACGTGAAGCGCATCATGGCCGAAATCGAAATGGACCGAAAGTACGGCAAAGACGAGTCGAACGACGAGCCAGAAGGCGATGCTACAGAGCCACCAACCGAATCTTCGCAGACAACTGGACTAGACCTGCCGTCAACACCATCAACATTACCGCCGCCTCCCTCTACCACTCAGCCACCGTCGTACGAAGACAGCGAGCTGGAAGCCCGCTTCTCGAAACTTGGGCTTGATCTACCTTCAACACCAACAGCAGCTCCATCATCAAAGGCCAAAGCCACAAGTAAAGCCGGAGCTTCGAGATTGAAGAAGGCTCAAGCAAAGTCCAGTCTGCCCACTTACACAAACGAGGACATCGACTCTTGGTGCTGCATCTGCAACGAAGACGCTGAAGTCAGGTGTCTTGGCTGCGATGATGATCTCTACTGCTCAGAATGCTGGCGAGAGGGGCATGGTCAAGGACCGGGCCAGGAGAAAGGTCATCGAGCTGTACAGTACAGTCGCAAACCCCCACCAGCTGCTGCATGACGGTGCGGAGCAATATGTCACTATTCAGCCCTTCGCATTGATCCTGGCAGTTCCACCGCCTGGTCCGTCTATACGAGCAACTCTGTGTCAGGCTAGGCTGAAGCGTACCACTTCCTGGTTTGGTCGGCACTCCCGGAGGCATGCAGAACAGCTCGGCCTACAACTCGTGAAAAACTCAAACTCAAACTCAAACGGTGTACGGTCTACTACGAGGCTATCGGCAGTTGACGAAATCAACGACTCACATCCAGGGCTGATGACTGCCAATGCCATCACTCTTGCAGAGTGCTTCGGCATCGATCCACTCCTACGACCCATCATGTCCTTTTCGACCATCTAGTCATGGATGATCGCCCTCGTTCACCGAGGCCGACCAACCGCGGACTCTCCATTAGCATCAGACTGCAACCACTGGGCTTCTAAAACGGTGAGGAGGAGAGCAGTAGTGTAGCAGCGGACTATCTTCAGCAGCTCAGGTTATTTGGCTGCAAACTGTGTTCAAAATCCCACGATCTGCCGAAGAGCGACGTGGTGTAGTCGCTCGGGAGCATCCAATGGTTTGATGGCCCGCCGATGGAATGTTCGCTGCCTATGCTCATTGGAATTCCGTACGAAAGGAGCATGGCTGAGTGTCTGTATCCCCACGACGGAGTCATATTCCGGTGGACATCAGAACCAACCTGGTTGTTCCGCTGTCGAAAAGATGCCGTTCAGTCCCGCTCGGCTAAAGAGTTGTCCCAAACTAGGCTACAATGCAGCGTTGGGGGCGATATCATTCCCTCAATCGACATGTTTTCATACAGATCCACTCCTGGTATAGCAGTTTCTGCTGCTGGATGGAATGCAAGAGAACCACCGCGGTGAGGCTGAAAATGTCCTCCTTGGGGTCTGCTTGGAGGTACGTACGGAGGGCAGGTATATGAACGCTCGAAGGCCTCGTCGAGACTGCTTTCAACTGCTCAACAACTCGAAGTCCGTTCAGCCATACCTTCACAAGTCTACAGACACGCGACTCGAACTTAACCTCCAACAACACCAGCAACAATGTACAAATCCTGCCTCGCCCTCCTGGCTCTCCTGACCTCCGCCAACGCCATCTGCAACCCCGGCGAAATCGGCGTCGGCAGCTCCCAACTCTGCTCCATCGGCAACCCCACCGGCGGCGGCTCCTGCGGCGCCGTGACGGCCGAGATCTTCTCCGACTCCTGCGACGCCCTCGACACGTCCGAGGACAGCGACTTCTGCACCGCCAGCTACACCGACGGATCCACGGTGGCGTGCGATGATGACCACAATGTGACGGGCGCGACGGTGGGCAGGACGGAGTATGGGAGTTGTCGCGCTGTGAGCGGGACGGAGGCGGATTGTTCGGTGGCGGCGTATGGCTATTACTTTGCTTCGTTTTGCTGTGTGCCGGCTTAAGGGGAGCTGAGAGGGGGATTGGTGCTGAGGTGGTGGTGATCGATAGGAGCGGAGCAGTGGGAAAGGGGAGGAAAGGTAGATGCCTGGAGATGATTGTTCTCAGACCCAACATCAAGTCACTCGTTAGAACTTACCTCACCCAGTAAAAGTTTGAGTCTCAAGAGCAATCTATCTAATTCTTTTTATCCTACCCTTGTTGTGCGTATTCTTGAGACGGGCAGATTGTGAGCGTTTCTGTCGTCTAGCTCTATCCTCAATGCGGGTATATACAACGATCCAATTCTACATGCATGACGAAAGCCTCAAAATCTACAACAGCGGGTTCGACCGATACTCAGGCACCTCACCGTTCGCCTGAGGCTTGCCCTTCTTGACCTCGCTGTCGGCGTCCGGTCCATCTTCAGCTATGTCTTGCTCTGCGAGCCACTTCTCTGCTTCGAGTGCGGCCATGCATCCGGAGCCTGTGTCAAACAGTCAGCGCGAGCTTCTTATATATCGAATAGAGGATTGGGTGGGACGTACCTGCTGAAGTCACAGCCTGCCGATACTTCTTATCCTGCACATCTCCCGCTGCAAACACACCGGCAACATTCGTCTCCGTCGTGCCGGGAGTCGTGATCAGATAGCCATCCTCGTCCATCTTCAACTGGTCCTTAAACAAATATGTCGCGGGCTCGTGTCCAACAGCATAGAACAGCCCGTTCGCATCAATCTCCTCCTTCTCTCCCGTCTTGCTGTCCTTGATGACCATACTCCTCATCAAGCCCCTTGGCCCGTCATCGCCCTTGATCTCCGCACCCTGCGTGTTGTACCGAATCTCAACCTTCGGGTTTGAGGCCAATCTCCGTGCGTTGATCTTGCTCGCGCGCAGAACGTCCCTCCTTACCAAGACCGTAACTTTACTCGCCTTCTTCGCAAGATACAGACTCTCCTCCACCGCACTATCCCCACCTCCAATAACCACCAACGGCTTCTCCCTGAAAATCGGCAAACTCCCATCACACACCGCACAAGCGCTCACGCCATTACCCCAGTACTTCTCCTCCCCAGGTAAATCCAACCGTCTCGCCTTCGCGCCCGTAGCAATGATAACAGAATCTGCCGTATGCTCCTCCTCCTCCAAGTTCTCCTCGTCGCCCATAGGATGTAACCAGTACCTAAACGGCCGTTGACTGAGATCAATCTTCCCAACAGTCTGGCTCACAATCTCAGTCCCGCACGCTTCGCTCTGCGCGCGCATCTCGTCCATGAGCGTCGACCCCTTGATCATCTTGTATCCAGGGTAGTTCTCCACTTCGTCCGTTGTGGTCAGTTGGCCTCCGGCGGCTATGCCCAGCGCGAGGAAACCCTCGTACATGACTGGTTTGAGGTCGGCGCGGGAGGCATAGATGGCGGCGGTGTGGCCGGCGGGGCCGGAGCCGATGATGACGAGTTTGCTGTGCATTTTGCGAGTCTGTTGGAGGGTAGAGGTGGTGGTGGAGAGGGCCGCGGGGGCCGCGAGGGGAGTGCTGCTGTTCGCTGGCCGGTAGAAGGAGGCTGCGGCTACGAAGGGGATGGAGATGCTGGAGCGGAGAGGGGTGCCTGCGCGGCGAAAGGCGTTGGCGAACAGTTTGGCGGAGTGTGGTTGAAGTGGTGGTAGTTGTTCTTTGGTCTTTACTCGAGGGTAGTGGCGGGAGGGATTCGTTTTATAGACGAAGCATACAAGACACTTCTCGAAGAGGGAGTGTGATATGTCAGAGGACAGATCATGTAATCTGTGTAGGGTGTGGTGGTTGCAGCCAATGCGCGCTCTAAAGTCAAAAAAGTATTTCTAATGGACGAGGCGAGGTCGGATTCCCACAGCCACGACGTCAGAAGGCAAGTATATCTTCGTGGTGGTCTTATCACCCTGCACTAAGCACACGCGAAAACGAAACACCTGTTATCGTTCTCTGTTACACAATAGACGCCCAAGGTATGAACAGCATGAAAGTGTGGCATCCTCATCGGTCAAGCCGGAGGCAGACGATCGAAGAGGACAACGGAGCCCTGGACACTTGCCAGCCGTGCATAGTAGGAAACAGTGACACAAGATGAATATTGAATCTTTTACTTTCTTCCATATCTGTGCACTAAGCTCAGGATATCTCTTGGGGGTCAAGTCGAGTATAGACAAGACCAAGCGTTAGGCTTAGCCAACTGCTACTCCACCGCCAGCCCTACTTCACAATCGTGACCTTGGTATCTTCACCCAACCCCGAATCTTCTGCGTCCAAGCCCACGCCTACACCGACACCACCCTTCGCCTTCGCAAGCTCCTTGTCGTAGCTGCTCGGATCGATGCCTAGGATGCCGCCGACGTTGTTGCGGTCGCCGGGCACGCTGAACTCGCGGAAGGCGTAGCGCCATTCGTTCAAGAAGAGACGGATGGCTTTGCCGACCTTGTCCTTGCCGTTCTTGCTGTGGTGGCCGGTTCCGCAGATGGCGTAGACAGGTTTCGAAGAACTTTTGTGCTCGAGAAGGCAATCGGAGAGGTAGGAGACGGCTTCTTCAGGATGCAGGCCGTGAAGGTCGACGAAGAGCTCTTTGTAGTTGGACTGATTCTTGTTGCGCTCTTCGTACAACGCGCGTGCAGCCTCGCGGTGCTTCTCGCGCATGAGCGTGTTCTCGTTTTGGCCACGGAGTGAAAGTGCTTTGGCGCCGCGGGCGTCGTTGCGGTTCCAGGCTTGAGCTGCAGATTGTAGGAACTTGTTGCGGAGGCCGCCGTGCTTGAAGGCCTCTTGACGGGCTTTGAGGTAAGCTGCGTTGGCGTTGGAGCCAGTCTCGAGCCAGGGGATGTCGGTGGGTGCGATGATTGCCATAGCTGCTGCGCTGTTCTCGCGTGTAGAGGTGAACGATCGATTATTGCGAAGTCCACGGCGCATGGCCTCACGGCTGTTCGGACCAGGCGATGGCGACATGCGGACGACGTCTGCTAAGTTACCGGGTTGATACTGCTGATGTCCGTGTCCGCCGCGCTTGCCGTGGTGTCTCTTGCCTGCTGGCTTGGCGGCTGCTGATCCCAACGTTGGAAACGCTTCATCGTCCTGGAAATTTGGCTGCTGAGCTGGTGTTGGTGCTCGCGAAGTGTGTCTGCTTCCAGGCCGCGAGTTGGCGCCGCTGCCATGGCGTGGGCCAGTCGGCACGAATGTTGGGAAGAGTCCAGATAGAGATTGCTGGTGTAGAGTCGACGCCAGGCTGGTGGGGTCCATGTTGGGTGCTGACTCGTCGTAGGGATTGCTGGTGGACGGAGTGAGGGCAGGGAAGCTGTCGTAGTCTTGCAGTTGGAAGTTGGGCACGAATTGTTGTGGCGTGTTGGTGCCGCTATTAGCGATGTTGAGCTGCTGCATGAGCGTAGCCGGATCGTGAGAGAACAAGCACGAGTTGCCGGCGATGCAGTTGCCTTGCAGCCAGTACTTGCAAACGTGGTTTTGCACTTCGTGAGCGAAGCGGCAGTCGGCTCGCGCACAGTGGCCGGTCGCAAGCCAGTACCGACAGACAATGGGCGACTTCTGCTGGCCGGCGGGTGTTGCTGGTCGCGATGAGGGTGACATGCTCTTGCCAACGAGGTACGTCCGGTTCTGTTCTGGTAGCGCGGCAGCCATGGTATTGAGCCCGACGCCTTGCACTTCCATGATCGAGTTGACGGTCTGGCCAAGATCAAATCCGTTCGCCTCCAGCAGCTGCTCCAACTCCTCGTCGCTCCTGTTATCCTGAAGGATGTACCGCAGCATATCATATGGGCTCATCTCGGCCGTATACGGGGACATGAACTCTGAAGAGGCACCAAAGCCAGCGTCGCCCAAGCTCGCGTTACTGCTCGCATCATCATTGACCAGCCAGTCGACTGTGTCGCTGCCGTAGTCGCCGTAGTTCTCGGTCGTCGGTGAGGACTCGTTGAACTGATATGCGCTCAGTCTGGGGCTGTGGGGAATGGCTGGGGTAGCTACGGGTAGGCGCGGTGACGCTCGTGGAGATTGGAAGGGTGATTGCGTGGAAGACTTCGTCCTAGCTAGGAAACCTGGTGGTACGGATGGTGTTGCGCTCGAAGGCCGTGGCGATGCGACACCCGACGTTGGCGTACCCGGTCTCTGCAGCCACGGCGCCGGCGAACTCGATCTTACTATCGCCACTCCCCTGACAGGTGGTGGAGTTGACTTCTTATCGGATGCGCTCTTCCATTGCCACAAGGATCCAAGAACGGCATCTTCGAGTGCCTTGCCTTTCAGCGACGTGGGCTCGCCTGCTAATAGTTCCTCCAACTGCTCGATCTTGTCCTCTTCCCCAAGCTCTGCATTCTTCAACGTCGGCCTGCATAGGTCGTAGATCTTGTCGGACACCATCTTCGCTCGCTCTTACGTTCGATCAGAGTGTGCTGAGGTCAGAGCGCGAAGGTCATCTATAGGTGGGATAAGGTGGCTGAGGCTCGCCGCCGGTGTGCATTGCGCGCGGCTACAGTGCTGTCGTGCCGCTTGGTTGTACTCTCTGAGAGTGAAGAGAGTGTGGGCGCGCGCGTGAAGCGAATGTGGCGACCGCCAGCAGTCAAGCAAATGGTCGTTCCGGTGCTCCTCGCTACTGGCCTGTTGATGGTGACCAAGGCCACTCCAAGTTGTGGTTGGCGGCCAGGATTCACGCCGGTTAAGTCCGCGCGATGACGCTAGCTTGATCGGTCAGCAGTGAAGTGAGTGTGAAGCTCCTGATTCTGCCGAAGTGCAAGATGGCTGGCAGTGCTCGCAGTCTCGGGGACGAAGCGACCTTTGGCTGTATGGCTTCGACTTACTGTGTGTGTGTTGTGAAGTGAGGCCGAAGAAGCAAGTCGCAGTACGATCGTGGAAGCTGCTAGTCTGAGCTTAATTTTAGCTCCCATGTGCTCCAGATTGCGTACATAACCAATCAATATCACTTCCACCTCGACATAAACAACAACATATCCTACTGATCAGGATACCACCATGGCTACTGCGACTACTGCAACCTCCCTCCCCGACCAGATCCTCCACCCTCAAAGCCAATCGGCCCCAATCTTCACCTTCGACAACTACCTCAAACAGGCCCTTCCCACCCTCGGCGCGCCCTCCAAACTCACCCGCCCCATCTGCCCCGACTTCACCAAAGGCCACTGTCCCCGCGGCCCCCTCTGTCCAGACCGACACTACGTCCCCAAAGAAGAGCGTTCAGGAATCGGCCACCTCATCTGCAAACACTACCAGCGCGGCCTCTGCAAAAAGGGCGACGCCTGCGAGTTCGCGCATACCTTCAACCTACGCGACGAGCGCGAGTGCAAGGAGTTCTCCAAGTACGGTCTATGTCCGCAAGGCGACGACTGCACGTACCTACACATCCCACCTACGAGCCCGCTGCGACGGCCAGCGTGTCCGCAGTATGCACGCGGGTTCTGTCCGTTAGGACCGTATTGCGCGCTGAGACATATCAAGCATGCGAAGATGTGTCCGTTCTACCTGGCGGGGTTCTGTCCGAATGGGAGGAGTCATCCGCCGGAGGCGGATAAGGTGGTGAGCTGTGAGTTTGGGGCGCACGCGAAGTGGGTGAGGGACGAGGATATGCATCCGAGCAAGCCGGAGGTTAAGAAGGCCAAGGACCCGGAGGTGTTGAGGAGGGAGCAGGAGGAGCGGGAAGAGGAATTTTATGCTGAGGAGGAGCGGAGGAGGGAGAGGCATGAGAGGGGTGAAGGGGGGATGGGTAGGTGGGCTGGGAGGGGCAGGAGAGCAAGGAGGGGCGGGTTCCCGAGCAGGCGATATTGAGGGGAGGACTTCAGAGAAATGCAAATTATGGGATGCTCTTAGCGAGGTGTCTGGTGTTGTTCTGATTAAGACCGCTCGAAAGTCTTGAAAACCACTACCTGATTCTGCATCCTGCAACCTGCAAATATCTGCGGCCCAAAGGCGACTTGAACTCTCCCTATATCGTGATCGAACCTCTCTAGAGCCTGTCACAACGGTTGTTCTCGGCACAGACGGGGGCTAATATTCCGTCCAATTTGCACCTTCTCGCCCGTCTGGATGCACCGCTCGCCCTTCGTCGGTGGCGAAACCGGCCTCGCAACCATTTTGAGATGTTGTGTACCTAATATGCCGTCTACTCGGAGATCTGTCATGTTTCTATGGGACGGCGGGCGCGGATGCGATGAGGCGCCAGCAAGCTGCCTTTGAGAGAAGTGAAGTCGTCGCAATCACGAAGCCTGCACACTGCAATTAGCCTTCGCTGGGAATTTGTTGACACAATGTGGGAGTGCTCACCTGTCGCAGTATTGCGCGAAAACAGGAGATGGTGAAGTTGAGAAAAAGAGGCGTAGGAATGATGTGCTGCCCTACCTTGACCGGAGGCGGACATACATGGTCGATATGACCTTACCGTAAGTTGCATATCTCCTTTATTGGTATTTCCGCCATTCTTTCGCCGGTTTCATATTGTTTATCAGAGTATATGCCACACAAGGCGAAGCTGGCGGGAAGCGGCCTGGTGTTCCAACAAAGAGGGTGCGACGCCAACGCGACATGAGGCCGTCTGCCAGTGCTGCTATCGCCTGATGCTTGCCGCGCATGATCACATGTATGTGTACAGCCTCCTGCGACCCTGGTTGTACGGGATATGGTATGGAGTGAGTGAGGTGAGGTTGATATTCGGTTGGCTTGGCCAAAGTGGAGTAGCGGCAGGGACGAAGAAGCGTCTGCGAGCAAGACATCGGCGTTGCATGCACATGTCGGCCATCGTCGTGCAAAGGTTCATGTTCGCCATCTCGTTGATGATGATGCAGTGTTGAAAAGCTCATCAATTGCCTTCGTTCATTCCTTAGCACCGTCAAATTCTCGGCATCTCGGGAAAAAGGCTCCCTGCAATTAGCCACATCCTCGACGCAGACAAGATACTCTGATATTCGACCCAAGACGACGGCATCGGTGTCAGGACAATCGCTTGAGAGCAATTCGGAACAACAATGATACACCCGTGACAGAAGGGGACACCATGGCGTTGTACGACGTCGATATCAGACCTCAGCTCGACCAGGTCAGCCCAGATATCGCCAACCCACAGTCATCCCGACTCGACGAGGACGACTCAACACTGTCATCCGCAAGCAGTGATCGCTCTGTCAGAAGCGTTGAAAGTACAACCGCCAGCAAGGGCAAGTGGAAGGCCAACATCAACGGCGATTGGCGATATGGATCCTCAGAATCCGCCACCAGTACCGCTATGTCGTCTGTCTCTTCCTCTACGGCTGCTGAAGACAAGACGATAACCCGGCCACAATTTACGAGCCCACTTAAGAAACGAATGTCCGATGGCTCGATCAAGCAACCGCCCCTTCGCCTCAACTCGTCCATTGGCAGCGCTTCAGAGCAGCCACAGGCAGTTCCAGAGCAGCCTCAGCAGGACCAACAAACCCAACATATTCCACCAAAGAAGAAACGCGGTCGACCACCTAAGGACAAGTCGTTGCTCGCTCAACCGGCACCGAAGGCTCCGAAAGCATCACGTATATCAGAGCTGAAAGACGAGGTTCGACCACGCTCATCGATTCCATCACGACTACCCGCCGAGGTCCATGCCAGCCAGGCCATCGAGGCAGCATATGCATCTCGTCTCAATCCCTTCGAGCTACATCGCGGCGAGCATTCTCTTCTCGCCGATCTGCTAATGTCCCACGAAGTCACCGTCTATCTGAACATCCGCAACGCAATTCTACGCCTCTGGCACCAAAACCCACTCTGCGGTGTGACACCAAAGGAGGCGGCTGGCTGTGCGAAAGAGGCACGGTTTTTCGGTCTTGCTGAGGCAGCTTACAAATGGCTTGTGCGGAATGGCTACATCAACTTTGGGTGCGTCGAGACACCGAGAGATGCCGGCATCGCGAAGTCGAGAAGAAGTGGCAAGCAGAAGACAGTGGTGGTAGTGGGTGCTGGGGTATCAGGTCTTACAACAGCCCGGCAGCTAGAACACCTCTTCGAACACGACGCGAAGAGATGGACAGATGTGGGCGAGCGGCCACCGAAAGTCATTGTGCTGGAAGGTCGCAAACGCATCGGAGGTCGTGTTTACTCCAAGCAGCTCCGTGATCAAGTGCCTGGCAGCCTACCAGACGATTTGCGGAACACAGTCGAGATGGGTGCAATGATAGTCACTGGTTTCGAGCACGGCAACCCTCTCGATACGATCATTCGTGGTCAACTGGGGTTGCGGTACCACCTGATGAAAGATGCTCTTACAATCTACGACAGCGATGGCAGGCCGGTGGACGAGCAGAGGGATATGCTGAACACCGAGCTGTACGCAGACATCTCCGATCGCGCAGGCGACTTCCGAGCCGCACCACAAGACACGAATACCTTGAAGGGCGACGAAGAGCTGATCAGCAGATGTCGAGACCCAATCTCGGACGGATTCGCAGACTTCCAGCTAGAGCCGCTGCCTAACCCCATGGACCACCTTCCGCAGTACAAACCTGCAGCGAAGCGTGGAAGACGGCGCAACGCACCACCTCAGACCGAGAAGCTGACCGGCAGAACCCGCGTCATCGAGATGAGTAACGCAACACAAAGCGCAGCTCGAGCGGCAAAGGAGATGGGATGGCAGCTCAGAGAAGGCATCGCCCGGAACCAGTCGATTTCGCTGAATGAGATGGCGAGGGCGTCTTCACACCCTACGCTAGGTTCAGTGATGGACGACGCGATCGAGCAATACCAAGATCTTGTCCAGCTCACACCACAGGACATGCGCATGCTCAACTGGCATCACGCCAACCTCGAATACGCCAACGCCGCGCCAGTGTCCTCGCTCAGTCTCAGTGGTCACGACCAAGACACGGGCAACGAGTTCGAAGGCGCACACTCTGAGATCATCGGCGGCTATACTCAACTACCTCGCGGGCTCATGAACCTACCGACGAAGCTCGACGTCCGATTTGACAGGGTGGTGGATAGTATCCACTACAATGAAGGTGCGCCGGGCGAGAGCGAGTATACTACAAAGGTGGTGTGTAGCGACGGCCAGATCATTGAGGCCGACCAGGTGGTCATGACGGTGCCGCTGGGTGTGCTCAAGGACGATGTCGTGGATTTCGACCCTCCACTTCCTGGGTGGAAATATGGCGTTATCCAGCGCATGGGGTTCGGTCTGCTCAACAAGGTTCGTTTCATTATACACCCTTTCATACAGCTTTCACTAATTCTTCTTCGCAGGTCATCCTTCTGTACGACCAGTCATTCTGGGACGACGACCGCGACATGTTTGGCCTGCTGAACGATGCAGAGCAGCAGAATAGCCTGGATCCAGAAGAGTATGCAAGGAGAAGAGGAAGGTTTTATTTGATATGGAACGCCTCGAAAATCAGCGGAAGGCCAGCACTTGTTGCACTCATGGCCGGACACGCCGCGCACGACGCCGAGACAACAGACAGCAATTCTCTCCTTGCAGAGATCAATGACAGACTTCGTACGGTCTTCTCGCCTGAAAAGGTCACTGCGCCTTCCGAGGTCATTGTCACGAGATGGAAACGAGATCCTTTTACGAGAGGCACATACTCATACGTGGGGCCAAGGACACGCTCTGGCGATTACGATCTCATGGCGAAGCCGGTTGGCAACCTGCACTTTGCTGGTGAGGCCACGTGTGGAACACATCCGGCTACGGTGCATGGCGCGTTTCTGTCTGGCCTGAGAGTCGCGTCAGACGTTATGACAGCTATGACTGGACCAATTGACCTCCCGCTGCCGCTTGTTGGGGCGCCAACTATCAAGCAAGAGACGGTCGCACGCTACAATATGCCTCAGACAGTACCGCTGCCTCCACAGCCATCTATCAGCACGAACACGCCAGCAACAGCACAAGTCAACGCCCCAATAATCAAGCAAGAACACGACCCAACATCCCTAGCCAGCGTGCCAGTCTACGCATCCGCCCCCGCCCCCCCACCGCCCAAACTCGCCGGCCCACCCAAACAAAGCGTATGCGCGCGCGACGATTCCTTCTGGGCCCGCCCGTCCTTCGACCACAACGACCTCGACTACGAAGCCTCCATCGTCGGCACCATCCTCTCCCGCCTCGGCGACCGCCCGCTCAAGCCCAGCCGACCGGGGGTAAACCCCTTCCTCCTCTTCACCAAAGCCAAATGGGACGAGTGCAAAGCGCACTGCAGCCGCGACGCCTCCACGGCCGGGCGCGACGCTATCCGCGCCACGCTGGGGAAGTGGTGGAAAGCTGCTACCGAGGAGGAGAAGCGGCCGTATCTGGAGCAGAGCGAGCAGGCGCAGAAAGTGGCGGATACGCAGCGCAAGGAGTGGGCGGAGGGTGTGGAGAAGTGGGACGCGGAGGCGAGGAGGATTAGGCAGGAGTTTGTGGCGGAGCATCCGCCGCCGGTGGTGCAGGGGGAGGGGGTGGGGGGCAGTAAGAGGAAGAGCAATAATAGTAGTTGGGTGGTGCTGGATCATGTGTGAGGCGTAAGGATGTGAGGGGTAAGGGGAGATGTGTAGGGGATGATGAGGGGTTATGGGAGTATGGGAGGGCTTCAGGAGAAGCGGTTTTGGACTTGCTCGTCGTTATGTGTTATGTTGATATTGCTGAATGTACGCCTTAGACGGGCATTGTTCGACAACCAGTCTCCAATCATCTGGAGACAGCCAGGACGAGACAATTTTGGAGGCGTCGGGGGTGTAGCCATTCACCTGCCGGAGTCTTCGATATTCTCCAGCTGACAATTCCCCATCATTCCAGCCATTGGCTTGCAAATGGTACACGTTCCTCGCGACCAAGACCATCAGCCCCTGCGCCTGCAGATCGATCTATCCGATAGACGAAGTGGAGTCAATCGTGCGTGATAGATCGCATGTCTCGGTCGTCAGCCCGTGCAACCCGTGAATTTTGCATCATCGAAGCGTCGTCGACCGTCCCAGCCGCCTACAGACTTTAATCAATCCTTGAGCCTTGACGGGCGACGACGTCGATAGTGTTTCACACAGTCTTGTTGACATCATGTATGCTTCAGACAGTCATCATTGAGTTGTTTTGCTGAGGGGAAGACTGGGGAAGAGGATAATATAAGAAAGCGTGCTTTGTCCGCCTTGAACTCAACTCTTTCGACTGAACAACAACAACAACTGCCATATTATAGATCCGTATACTCACAACAAAAATACCTCCAAGATGACAGACAACCAGAACCCAGGGTACGCATTGACTTCTCTAAGCCTTCCTGCTAACATTGAAAATATGCTGATTCCTCTCTCCAGCAACTTCGCCAACCGTTCTCAGGAAGAGGTCCAGAACATCGCCTCCAAGGGTGGCCAGTCGAGCCATCAAGGCGGCTTTGCCTCCATGGACGCCGAGAAGCAGGTATGAAGTCAACCTTGCAGTTTTTGCGGAGAATAATGAATTGTTGCTGACAGCCGTTGTAGAAGGACATTGCATCCAAGGGCGGCCAGGCCAGCGGAGGGTCGTTCGAGCCTGGTAGTGAGAAGGCGAAGGAGGCTGGGCAGAAGGGTGGTTCGAAGTCGTAGAGACTTCGGACCAAATCTTCCGTGGAAGTCTTTAAGTGGGCATGAGTGACAATACGTCGACTGAGCTGCATCTGTATGAATTTATGACTGTATTGATATAAACCAAACCTACCTAGGTACATGTCACTCTCTTCCTACGTGTTGGTCATCTGCGTGCCTTGCGTGCTCAAGGGAGACATTCAGCAAGCTTCCATTTGATGATATTTCTTCGCCTCTTGAGATCTTTGCCCATCGATTCCGTCGCCTTTCGCTGGCGATACTTCTCGTTCGTGCTGACCTGGTCTGCGTCCATCGTCCAGTACCTGGCTTTTGCCTAACACTGAGGTGCCCTTGGACATCCCAGCAAAACTTCTGTTTCGTTCGCGGAGTTAGAGACATCTTCAACTGTCCATATCCGTGAATCCGTCCAGATGCATCGCGACTGGCCCGGACCTGCCTCTTCCGACACTTGCGCTGCATACTACTGCATCTCGTGCATCCAGTCTGCATCCAGCTTCGACTCGGCCTTCCAGAAGCACGACTGGCGCGGAGTCGAAGCAAATTGAGTTTTGCTTTGAGACACTTCGAACACGCGGGTTGCGAAGTCATTGGCCGTTTTGCTTTGCAAGCTGCATCTTCCCACGTGCGAATGTTTCTCTTGCCCGCATCTGGAGCACAGTCGCTGGGGAGGGGTAGGCTGATGATGTTGTTACCACCGCTCTAGGACCATCGGCCCTCCACATCCATCGCAGGCTCGCCCTCCAACGCCACGCCATCATCCGCCGCCTCGTTCAACGGAAGCGCAATTGCAAATCCGAGCGGCGCAGACACCGACGAGCTCGCTGCTTGGCCGGGAGCAAGAGACTCGAATTCAGCCGAGAGGCCAGTCAACTGTCACGCTCGTGGGAGTTCGGAGTGCAAGGGTCGTCGTTCGCGCTACTGCTACGCCGCATGCACCTTCGATCCTACGCCAGACCCCTCCCGTGGTGCTTGTGCGGGTGTTGTGGTTAGACGAGACGAATTGCCGCCTTCCACCTGGTCAGCATCCATCTTTCTTCCCAAGATCATGACCTCACCTCTTCCATACCAGCCTCGCTGTCTTTGATCGAACGCGCGCACACATCTGTACGATCACCATCGTTGTACACTCGACACTTCGCACACCCATGTCGCCCACAGCTCGGTAACGTTGTCGCAGCAGCGCCGAGGTTGGGACTGGATACGAGCAGAACAGGCAGGCAGCTTCCCGGACGCACAATGTCCTTCTTGTCGAAGTTCAAAGGCGCATCAGTACGTTCAGCGTAGTGGGATATATGGTATGCGCGGTCGCTAATAACATGCTGCTAGGTTGCAGAAAAGGCGCTGAGTGCGCCGACGAAGAGCACCAAAGACCAGGGCGCACAAGGACCTACACCTTTGGAGAAGCATTTGAAGGACGTCACCGGCCCTATACGATCAGATGGGAGTGACAAGTTCTTTGGTTTCGAAAACGTATGCGCACTACAAATTCTATACCCGAGAGCAAGGCTGACATTATTCGCTTTAGTATGGCTCTACATGGTATGCAGCACGCCCAACAAGACTCGAGCGCAATCGACTAACTCCCGCGACCAGCTATTCTAATTCAATAATACAGTGTCTATACTACTCGGTCCCCTTCCGTTCGCACGTAATCAACTTCCCCTCGCAAGACTACCTCCTCACCCTCAAATCTCCCGACGATGAAGAAGGAGAAGAGAAACCATTCCAACCACGATCGACGAGCACAACACCATGGCCGAATCCCACATCACCAGCTCGCAAAGAGCCTCCTGCGCCCGGTTCGCCTCAAGCGCAGGGAAAGCCAGAAGAGACGAAAGACTCACCGGAATACCGCAAGAGGATGGCGCTGAAGGCAGGCCCGGTGTTGGATATGCGGCACGATAATGCGAATAGATACGGCATGGACGAGTCGCTGTTCACGGCGCTGAAAGACATCTTCGATGCGATCAAGGACAATCAATCGCGGATAGGCGTGATCAGTCCGCACAAGTTCCTAGAGATCCTTCGGAGAGAGAATGAGATGTTCAGATCGGCTATGCACCAGGACGCGCATGAGTTTCTAAACCTGCTGCTGAACCAGGTGGTAGATAATGTTGAGATGTTCGCTAAGCAACATCCGCCGGCAAAGCAAATCGAAGCCAATGGTGCTGCGCCCGAAAAGAAGCTGGAGCTGGACACTTTTACAGGAGCTGTCAAGCCGAGCTCGAACGGCTTCGACACACACTGGGTTCACGATCTCTTCGAAGGTCTGCTCACATCCGAGACACGATGCTTGACCTGCGAGAACACCTCACAACGAGACGAGCCTTTCCTAGACTTGTCGGTGGATCTGGCGGCGCACACATCAGTCACATCATGCTTGCGAAAGTTCTCCGAAGAGGAGATGCTGTGCGAGCGCAACAAATTCCACTGCGATAACTGCGGTGGTCTGCAGGAAGCCGAAAAGCGGATGAAAATCAAGCGATTACCTCGAGTCCTGGCCTTGCATCTGAAGCGCTTCAAATATACGGAAGATCTGCAGCGACTACAGAAGCTCTTCCATCGGGTAGTATATCCCTTCCACCTACGACTCTTCAACACCACCGAGGACGCCGAGGACCAAGACCGGTTGTACGAGCTCTACGCGGTCGTTGTACACATCGGTGGCGGACCCTACCACGGCCACTACGTCAGCATCATCAAGACGCAAGACCGAGGATGGCTGCTGTTCGACGACGAGCTGGTAGAGCCGGTGGACAAGAGCTACGTGCTCAACTTCTTCGGCGGCGAGCCCGTCCCCGGCCTCCAAGACGCAAAGCAACTCGCCTGCGCCTACGTCCTCTTCTACCAAGAAACCACCCTCGAAGCCATGCTCAAAGAGCAAGAAATCGAAGGCCACCAACCCGAAGCCGAAAGCCGCGCCTCGGACGCCGAAACGGCCAAAGAAGGCCTCTCGCCCACCAAAAGCCCGCTCTTCCAACCCGGCAGCGTCACCACCCCGATCACCGAAGAACCCAACGGCTTCGAGAACCTCGCGCACGCCGCCACCGCTCCGGAATTCGCAGAGTCTAAATCTCCCATCACGCAAACGCAAACCACGCCCTTCTCGCCGCTCATGCCCTCGAAATCGCGCAAGGAGCGAAAAGCGGAAGAAAAAGCGCAGAAGGAACGGCAGAAAGCGGAACAAAAAGCCGAGCTGGAGAAACGCGCGGAAGCGTCGCGGAATCGCGTGTCCGCGTGGAAGAAGCAGGATGATGAGCTGAAGGCCGTGTTGGAAGCGAGTAAGCAGACTGCAGCGGACGAAGCGGCGAAGCGCGGGGACGAAACAACGCCAGTCAAGTCTGGTGGTGGGGGGAAGGAGAATGAGAAGGGAGGCTTGTCGCGGTTCAGGCATAGTAGTATGAGTCTGCGCGGGAAACCGAAGTTTCTGGGCGGTGGTAACAAGGGGGAGAAGGAGGGGGAGAAGTTAGCAGTGCCAAGGGAAAGCAGTGAAGGGGGAGCGGCGGAGGAGGAGCGGAAGAGCAAGAATCGGTTTAGTTTGGGGCGGAAGAAGAGTCAGGCTTTGTGAGTGTGGTGATTGTGTGGATGATGGGGTGAAGAGTGGAAAATGGATGTGCATGGCAGGGGCAACTGTTTTGGCATTGTGCTTGCGCGGATAAGGCAGTGGGATCCGGTTTTTGGTTTGTGGTTGTTTTGCGGAGATACCTTTGGAGCGTCGGTGTTTTGATGTTGAGTTGGTCTTGTATGTACCGTCTTGTGTACAACAACCTTTGAGGATGTACAGTGTCGCCCTGCCTTCTCACGTTCCATGACGCCGCCTCTCTGCCGATGGAGCTCGCAAAGTGTCCTTCTACTTCTGCTGGCCCATCCGCCGTCCACCTGGACGGTCTTGCTCGTGCAGCAGCGGCAGGCAATCCTCCTTCCATCCTTCCTTGTCTGTCCTCAACTCGAGAGCGCCTTCGTACGGCCGGCCCTCTTCCCCTCGCGCCGCACGCATGTCTCCGTTGAATCTGTAGTCCTTGTCCATCCGATCATCAACCCTTCCCGCTCAGCCAAAAGCGATCGAGTAGATGATAATCAAGAGATTCAGAAAGATCAACGGTACTATCCTCCCAGTCAGCGTAGCTCTTCCACACGAGACCCTCGAACTCGACATACTCCTCATCAACGTCCTCACCGAATTGATCAAATTAATCATCTTCGCCTTCACGCTCGTGGTATCCTGCATGCCGCCCCCGCCGAATGAGGGTTCGGCTTGTTGGCCGCTTGAGCCCCATCCGACTGTTTCGTTCATCGTTAGCTGTATGGAAGTGGCAGGTTTGAAGGGGGAGGGAGCGGTACTGCGCGCGAGGAAGCGGTCTTCGGAGAGGATGGCTATGCTGTTGACGAGGAGGATGGAGACTGCGAGGTTGTTAGCGGTTGGACATATGAGTTTGGGGAGATTGGGGGAGGGGGACCTTGGAAGAGGCCGCCGAAGCTGGGGAGGAAGACTGTTGCCATGGTCGTTTGCTCTCGTGTTCGGTAGATGTCGTGGCTAAGTGATCCAAGGTCAAAGGAAGAACGCGACTCACAAGGAAAAGTGTAGGTACGTAGCGCAGTCAGCAGCCCCGAGAAAGTGCGGTCGAAGTTCGCAAGCTGTCTTTCAACCTCAGCGCTTGGCAGCCTCGAGGACGATACAGAAACATGACCTTTTTCGCATGTCCCTCTCGACCCATTACCAATGGCGAGCGCTGCAGCTGCAGGCCTTCGGAATGCCTGAGAACAATGGTGTTGCGTCGGCAAGACTGTTCGGTATAAGGCATGCCCATTACTGAAGCTATACCATTCTAACCCATTGTACAGACGCCTCCTTGAACCTCCTCCTGCCAGCAGTAGTACTTCTCCACCTCTTCTGCTCTCCGTATACCAAAGTCGAGGAATCGTTCAATATCCAGGCAACTCACGACATCCTCGAATACGGCATCTCGTTCAGCAACTCCACAGAACTGATCGCCACCAAATACGACCATGTTGACTTCCCAGGCTCTGTCCCTCGAACCTTCGTCGGCGCTGTCGTGCTCGCTGGTCTCGCCTCCCCATTCCGCAGCCTCTTTTCGTCCCCAGACCAGGTCCAGCTCTTCGTCCGCGCCATCCTAGGACTGGCCAACGCGGCAGCGCTCTGGCACATGCGGTATGCGGTCGAGACGGCGTACGGGAAGGCGGCCGGACGATGGTTCATCCTGCTTTCGGCGAGCCAGTTTCATGTGATGTACTATGCTTCGCGGACACTTCCGAACATGTTCGCCTTCATCTTGACGACGGTCGCGCAGCGGAACCTGATCATGGTCAAGTCGATGGCTTCGAAGTCGCGGGTCAGCGTGAAGCGAAGACGGGTAGCGCTGTACCTGCTCACCATCGCTGGTGTTGTATTTCGGTCTGAGATCGCTATACTGCTCGCTGCGGAAACGGCTTACATGCTTGTCCAACGGAGGGCTTCTCTGACCAACGAGGTTATACCAGCCGGCTTACTGGGTGTCTCCATCGGCTTACTCGCGACAATCAGCATCGACTCGGTCTTCTGGCAATCCTTTCCAACCTGGCCAGAGTTCGTCGGCTTCTACTACAACACGATCCTTGGCAAGTCGTCAGAATGGGGCACCAGCCCCTTCCACTACTACTTCACCAATGCGCTCCCTCGCCTGCTGCTGAATCCAATGGTCATTACCGTATGCCTTCCGCTAGCGTTGTCGTCGAAAACGATTGGACGAACCAGCAGCGATGTTCTGATACCACATCTCGCCTTCATCGCAGCCTACAGCTTACTGCCCCATAAAGAATGGAGGTTCATCATCTACAGCATCCCTGCTTTCACCGCGGTAGCTTCTTCAGCGGCTGGGTGGTTCTGGACTCGAAGGGGCAAGTCGATGCTTTACTGGACGTTGAACATGCTTATGATACTGTCGACGATTGCGTCCTTTGTGACCAGCCTAGGACTCCTGTACATCTCCAGCCTCAACTATCCAGGCGGCCAAGCGGTGCATCGCCTGCACCAAAGGACCATCGCTGAGGCCAACGAGTCCGTACGAGTCTACATGGGCAACCTAGCATGCCAAACAGGCGTCACGCGCTTCCAGCAAGTGCGGCCCTCATGGACCTACGACAAGACAGAAAATAACACGAAACTGCACGATCCAATGTTCTGGCAGCAGTTCGACTACGTCCTCTCAGAGGTGCCGGAGCGGGTCATCGGAACATGGACGCCCGTCGAGATTGTGTCTGGCTACGCTGGTGTTACGATCAAACCTGAGGAAGATGATGATGAACTTCCCATGCCGAGCGGTGCGTTGCAGATACTACGAGGGCCGAAGAAGCTTTACGTGTCGATCGCGAGTTTTGTGAGAAGCAGGGTGACGAAGGGTTACTGGCCGGTACCGAAGATGGATCCGAAGATTTATATCCTGCAGAAGCAGCCGACGGCGATGCTGTCTCAGACGTAGTTCGACACCCTGCATCGGCATCAGCTGAACAGCTCAGGGTTCCCAGAGCAGTATGACTTCCGGCGTACTCGATCAAATTCCCATCAGGATCCCGACAATACACACTCCTCAGCCTCCCTACCGCGCCCGTGCGATCGACCACCTGGCCGCCCTCCAGCACCTGGCACCACATCAGCTGCGCCCTCCCAAACAAATCTTGCGGATGTCTCAACTCACCTCCATCCCCGCCCCCTTCCACCCCTGCAGTACCTCATCGATCGGATCCTGCGTCACGAAACACAAATCCGCGCTCCCGGGCTGCACTCGCGCGGCTTTGGGCTCGAATTCTTTGCCGGAGAGATGGAGGTTTAGTTTCTGGGAGCCGAAGAGGAGGGCATGCCTGTCCTCCATACTACCATCAGCGAGTGAATCGATGCGAGCGAAGCCGGCGGTGCGAGCGAAGCGGGCCTTGCGGGCATGCGGACAAGGGGAGAAGGTGGAGGGAAGAGGGCGAGGGCTAGGGAAGGGGGACGCACCGGTCCATGCTGCCGGAGGTAAAGACTTCATGTTTCATGCCTAGTTGGGAGGTGTAGAAGGCGACGGTGTCTTCGATGGAGGCGACGGTAAGGACGACGTGGTCTAGGGATTGGACTTTGCAGGAGGACATTGTAGTATCTGGTGTCTGAAGAAATTGAACGAAATGCTCGATATATGAAGAGTGGTTTGGGTCGTCTTCTGACAAGCGTCCTCGGACAGTTCTGACAGCAAGCTTCAAGGTGGGGGTCTCACAAGCCCTCCAGCCAAATCTGTACAAAGTAGTTTACAGACCGCATACTGTGTCTTGCGGACGACCTGCCAGGTGAGTTGTGAAAGAGAATGATCTCGGAGTCATGGGCTAGTATTACTATATGTACAAGTCAAACTAGGGTAGTGATTCCGGTCCCTCTCCATCATCACCATTTTCCGTCCCAGAACACCTTGCTCAAACAATCATCACGTACACTCCGTAAGCCCAGCCTCCCCTCACAGTAAACACCACCCCACATAAGCGCCAACGCTACCCACACACCCCGTACTCACTCCCCACCACCCTCAGCAACCCTCCCCCTCTTCCTCCGCCGCCTCTCCCTCGCATTCGCCCTCAACGTCTCCGCCGTCAAATACTCCCCCGGCAGCTCGAACTCCCGCTCCCCCATCTCCGGCAAAGGATGTCCGAAAGCCGTCACGTTCCTGCCATGTCGCGACTTCCCCAGCGCGGCTTCGCGGAGGTGGCGTTTGGCGTAGAAGCTCGTGATGGGGACTTCGGGCTCGGGGGGCGGGAGGTAGGCAGGCTGAGATTTAGGTGTGTCTCTGCTTTTCGAGGATAGTTTGATGGTGGTCGAGGATTTGAGCGCGGAGGCGGTTTCTTGCTGCAGTTGTCGCGCGGCGGAGGCGTTGAGGTCGCTGCTCGGGGGGCCGACGCTATCGGCATCCGACTCGTCTGCTTCGTCCTCCCGAGCGGCGAGAGCGGCCTCTTTGTCTAGGCGTTGTTTCTTCTCTTGCTCCTTCCATTGCCGGAACTTGTCGACTAGAGCCTTTACTTCTGCGATGAAGAAGTCGCGTTTGGGCTCGAATTTCTTCGCTTCGCCGTCTGTTATCCCAGTGATGCCTAGGATTTTCAGCCAGTCATGGCCCTGGAGGCCGGCTAGAAGTCTGTCTAGTTGTACTTTCTCATGCATGGCTCGTTCCTTTTCGATATTGCGGAGCTGCTTCTCTTTGCGTTCGGCTCGCTTGTGGGACTTGGAGTAGTGGTCGTCGGACAAGGGATCGACTGGGTTGTCGGGAATGGTACGCGAGATCAGGTCCAGGTTGAGGCTCGGACTGCCATTGTACTGGTTCGAGTTGCTGCGCTGCGGTGTAGCAGGGTACTGAGACCTGTTCGCCGTGCCATTGCGTACACTTGAAGGCGTGCCTTTCACTGCCTTCTTTGCGCCAGGCGAAGCTTGCTCTTGCTTGACCTGCTTCAGCGCATCATCCGCAATGTACAACGTGGTGTCGATCGTCAGAAAGTCTTCCTCCCTCGGCACCTCAAATATCACATCCTCATAATTGGGAAAGTAAATCGCCAACTCGCTCTTCAACCTGGGTCCGTCGTCTTGCGACCGCAGCGTGCGCTTGTCCTCCTGCTTCGGCGGCGCATTGGCGGGTTGCGGTTGCGGGGTGAGCGTAGACACCCTGGTGGTGGACTTTGGCGTCGCCACACCTGATTTGGGGAGGGAGAGGGAAAGGTCGTCTTCGGTGGTGTCGAGCACCGTCCGCACTCCATTGAGCGTCTCGAGCAGCTGCCCATGCGGCTGTGTCAGCTTCACCTGGTTCGGCGGCTTCGGTGGCGCTGATTGGTGGGGGAGGAAGTGGTGGTCGAGTGTCTGCTGCTGCTGCTTGCTGTTGCGGATGCTCAGTTTTCGCTTCTTTGCTGGTCGGCCGTCTTCATCATCTGAGGTGGGTGGTGTCGGCGATGCGGTATAGCGAGGGCGGTTAATGTGATTGTCGTGGTCGGTGGACTGCCGATTGGCGGAGGTGGAGTGACGGTCGTGTTGCGTTGTCTCCCTGCTGGTGCGTGAACGCGACAGAATGGCCATTGCCTGGTTGATGGTGCATCTCGTACTGCTGCACTTGCCTATGAGGGTTTATGCGGCCATTTGGACGCGTTGTGGTGGTGTTTTGAAGCAGAGATGACCTGCTGCACTTTGCGCCCGGTGTGCTCGGACCCCTGGAGAGGTGAAGCTTCTCTGAGACGATTGCTGCTTCTCACAAAAACTCCGCCTTCAACAATTATTTGGACATCTTTCCTACAACGAGAACAATGGCAATCACACGAGACTGATACGTCGATCTGAATGGAAGGGGCGAGCGATACTGCAGCGGTCCAGTCGAAGTCCATGCCAGAAAATCTATTATGTCGTAGCTACCTGCTCTCGTAAGTCATACCGATCACATGCCAAAATGCTCGCTTTCTGTCACAGTCCAACCATATTTTCAGACTGTCCCATGCTATCGTTGCCCTCCGCGTGGCCGTCGGGCCTACATGAACTTCGACGCCAGCGACATGAGCCCTCCCCCACCGCTCGAGTTGTTGCCCATCTCGCTCTTCATGTACATTTTCAAAGCGGCTTCACCGGCCTGTTGGACGGCACTCTGCTTCGACTCCCCCTCAGCAACGTTCCCGGCCGACTGCTGTTGCTCTGTACCAAACTGTCAGCATGCACCTCCTCTACCCCCAGCACAGCCAGCACAGGATAGGACCACTCACCAAACAGCTTAGCAGCCTGCCCCATAGCCATCCCAATAAACTCCTGCTGCGAGCTCTCACCCCCCTCACTCGTCCCCCCATTAAACATCTTCAACGCCTGCATCGCGCTCGCCGCGCCAATCCCCCCACTCGTCGCATTTCCCCCCTCACCTCCCGAGCCGAAGTAGGACTTATGTGCTTTGACCATGTGCTCCTCATCCACGTCCTCGTTGGCGAGGTTGGATTCTTTGGCCTGCAGCATGGCGAGGGCGTTGCCGAAGAGGGACTCGTCGCCGTGGCCGGAGGAGTGGTGTTGGGCGTGCTGTTGGACGCCGGTGATGTCGCCCAGGATGGAGCCGCCGAAGCCGCCGCCGCCGTAGGATGTGCCGCTGGACATTGTGTGGTTTGTTGTTCTAGTGGGTGTTGTCAGCTTGGATGTCTGGTGGAGAGTGGTGTCTGGAGCTCACGGTGTTGTTTAATGAGGTGTTTCGATTCTTGCTTCAGTTGCCTGGTCGTGAAAAGTGGGAAGGTGTGATTCAAGACGTCCAAGTCAAACCTTCACTTACGCGTACCTGGAATATCAACGGGACTAGCAAACCAAATCTCGTAGCCAGCTGCAGGGTGATCGAAGACGGTGATCAGGCCAAGTTCAGCCGTCTCAGTCTAGATCCACCATAGCTCGTTGGTGACGGCTGTGCAACTCAGGCACGATGGCGTAGCGGTGATGTCGCTGCGGGGCGCTTTTTCGAGCTGGGCTGGACAGCAGCATTGAATCAGGAATTCGGGACAAACAGAAGCAATATTGGGAGACGCCTCTTGAAACTGTGGCTTGAGAGGGGGCACGGCAGAAAGCAAAGCATGTGATAGTGAGGTTATTAAGTAGTACTGTGTTAAGTAGTACTGTGTTGTTCCTTCCCGCTTTTTACTCTTTTTCTCTCAATTCCACTGAAGCACGCGACACCACCTACCTACACCACTCCAACCACCAAGCTCAACCACAAGAACACCGCAGCAATGGCCTACAACCACGCCACCAGCACCTACATCCTCATCTTCCTGACCATCATCTTCGGCCTTGTCGGCGGCTACGTGATGTTGTGCGTCCTCATCACTCCACCCTTTGTTCCTTGCCCACCAACTGACGTTTCTTGTGCAATGTAGCTTCGGCATCCCCCCAGAGCTCAAGTCCTGGCTCCAAGAAGAAGCCCTCGAGTACATGGGCGAGAACAAGGCCAGCTACCTCGCCAAAGCAGGCATCGACGCCATCCCCGAGGGTGATCAGAAGGTAGCTCCAGCCCTCTTCAGTCAATTCTGGTGCAGAAAGGGAAGAGATTTGAGTGCTAACGGCGTGATGCAGGAACTCAAGCAGGCCCGCAACAAGATCAAGCAGATGGGCGGTGGAGCGCTGCAGAACCCGCTCGGCAAGTTTGCCGGCGATGCTGGGGATGATATGCAGAAGGATTTCACGAAGAATTTCGGTTAAGGGTGATGGAGAGGTGCGAAGGTGGTAGTCGGTGCAGAAACGAGGTGCCTTAGGTGGAGTGACAAGGCGTCGATGATGATATGAGAATGCGAACGACCGCTGGGAGGAAAGAGAGGCGTCTGGGAGACACTGTACCATAGCCAAGATCAAAAGGATGGAAGACAGGGTATCTAGCTCAAAGCGAAAGAAGAAATCACATCAAGTCTCTCCACCTCTCCCTCTAACCTTCATCCACCCAGCCCTCCCCTTTCCGCCCTCCGCAGCACGAGGCATATCTTCATCATCCGACGGCTTGACCGTCATTACGCTCATAGCAGGACCCTTCATGTTTGCATCAACCTGCCTCCGCGCACCACCAACAAAGACCGCGCGGTCAGCTTCTTGCTCTTCATCCCACTCCTTCGTGTCGATGATGTCCCACTCCGCGCGCTGCGCTTCCTTGCGAAGGTACGACTTTAGCTGGTCCGTGAGCCTGTGGATTGAAACGTCCCAGCTCGAGCCAGGGCCGAATAGGGCGTGACCTTCGTGGCCGGCGAGGGAATGGGAGGCGCTGCTGTGTGAATGAGAGCCGAATTTGGGCTGAGTATCTGCCGTAGCAGGAGCGGAGCCGGTTGTCTTGTCAGTCGCGGTCGTGATGTTACGGAGCAACGACGGCCGCTTGGTGCCGACATTTTCGCTCGGAAGCAGTTTGTAGAGGTTGCGACCAATCTCGCATATGTCGTCGAAGGTCGTGCCCACATCTACCCCTTGCGATCTGCAAAGCCACGCGATGTTGTAGGCTAGCAGCACGACGCCTTCTCGAAAGAGAGCGGCGGCTTTCGGATCTTCCTTTTGAAGCTGAGGGAAAGGTCGGTCAAGGTGAAGGATGCGAGGGCGAGAGAAGCTGCTGTCCTGGAGCTGCTGGCTGGAGGATGTTGTCGGGTAGTGAACATCGTTGGCCCTGTAAGATGAGTCGATGGGCAACACTGCCGCATGCGGGAACTTGTTGTGCGGAAGAATGATCTCGGCCGGTAGGCGCACGGAGAGGTAGTGGCAGCATAGTCCCATGAGCCGGCACACGTTGTCCAGAGACGCCGAGATTAATTGGTAAGATTCGACGGGCTGCTTGCTTCCCTCTGTAGTGTTGACGCTGCCCAGTCTCATCCTGCCGTTGCTCCCGTTCATATCTCTAAGGTCGGGTATAGGCAGGCCGTCCAGCCAATAGAGCGACCTGCCGTCTCGATCCTTGCCCTTCTTCAATCCAGCGAGCGAGCTTTCTGCGCGGCAGATGTACTCTCTTGCTTCAGCGGTGCGTCCATGGATCTTGTTCAGTCGGTGCTCAGCCTTCCGGATCACAGTATACACCGGATCAATAGCACCAAAGTGCTGCTTCTCGAGCTTCTTGCGCTCGCCGGTGATTTCATCCCTTCTCCTGGCATTTTCGTCCTTCTGCCTCGCGGCTGAAGATTTGTACTGCTCAATCTGCTGCTTCAGCTGTTCGGCCTTTGCTGTAATCCGGTTGACTCTTGCTTCTGCTGCCTGCCTTTCGACGTTCGCTCTTTCGAAGCTATGTGATTTCACTCCCACTTCGATCGCGTCGTAATCAGCATCCTCGGGCAACGCAGCGATGACACCGTGATTCCCCGGCCTCAAGATGGCCTCGACATGCGTGTGAGCTTTCTCGCGACTCAGAAGAGCTCCAGCTTGTTCGATCCGAGGCGTGTATAGCGTTGCTTGCACGCAAGATGCGCACAAGGGCTGGCGTCTTTTGTCGAGCAGTCTATGGCAGATGTCGCATTCTATCGCCTCCTTGGTCATCGTGGTATATCAGTAGATCCTCGGTCTAGGAAGAGTGGATGGTTGTGGTAGGTCATGGTGGCTTGAAAGCCAAGGATATCGCGTTTCAATCAGTCGATGGTGCGATAGGTGCGGTCATCGTCTGGACTGGCCGTTCAGTGAGTCTACAATCTTGATGACCTGACTGTTGTCGAGATTGTGCCTGTGATCTTGAAGTGGCACTGGCACGGGACGTCACCGCGCCACGATCGCGCCTGCCTTAACTTAATCTGGCGCTTATCGATACGAGGCACGTGCTCCTACGCGACTTCGAGCTGTCTCCATCGCCTCACTTGACGTATACTACGAACAAGAACCTACTTAACACGGCCCCGCACGAAGCTCACTGGCCGTGACGAAGAATTGCAGTAGATCGCCATGTCTCCGTCACCTAGGAGCTCTCCGCCACGGCGGCCCGAAGATGAGATGCCGGGTGTTCCAGTAAGCCACCCAAACGAAGACGACGACTTTGACGCCGAAGGAATACAAGTCAGCTCGATGAAGACGGCTGTCGACAGCACTCCAGCGGACACCGAACGTGATGCAGCAGCAGAGAGAGCTCAACCGCCGCTACCTCCAACACCAAGCGTGCCAGCTCACAGCACGATGGGACCGCCTACGCTACCAAGTCCAAAGTCGAACGGGCAGTCAGGCCCAGCAAAAGTGCCTCCTTCAGGTCAAGGCTCTAAGAAGCCGTCACCGCCACGGACCAACGGTGGCCAGATGGTCAACGACCCATCCAGGCAGATGCCCAACAGCAGCCACGAGGTCTATTCTGCCGCGCGACACGGTCCCGAGATCGATGAAGACCAAGGGTCGCCCGAACTGTCAGATCAATCCGATCCAGAGGACAGGATCGAGAACTTTGACTGGACGGATCATGAGTCTCGCTACCATGCCAAGATGAACGAGTTTCGCGAAACGGAGAATGAGATAGTGAATGAGTTCCGCTCTTTGTGTCAGGTGAGCACACTGCCTCTACGAAGGTGAACGTGGCTGACCTTCGCAGTACTTCGACGTCTGGGCTCGAGCAGGTGCCGACCAGGAAGTGGATCGAAGCTTCAAACGGATGAAGACGCAAGCAGCGCTTGTGCAGCACCACGAGGATGAACTCGAGAAGACGCGGCAGCACTGTGAGCGTTTCCCAAAGTCTCCTCTCCCATGCCGTATACTAACGTTGTATCTAGACATCGAAGTCGTCAACGCTTTCAAGGGTGCGCTGGCCCTCCTGCAACGATGATGTACGGAGAATAACACCGCCTCCAGCACTAGCATCGATGCTGAGCTCCCTTGGCCAAGCAGAGGTCGAAAAACCTGCCGTGGAGCAACGGAGACCCGCAAAAGGCCGGCCGAACGTCTTCAAACAGTTCTCGGGGCAGTATGATGAGAAGATGGAGACGGACGATGGCTTCAGCGATGTATACCCGGACTTCGACGATGTACATCCTGCTCGATGTGTGATTTTGTGATGATGAAGGGATTTGCTGTTACTTATTTGGAAGCGTTCTTAGCGTTGCTTATACGCATGATACCCCATATAGCTTTGCTTCACTGCTTGCTTTTCAATACGACGAGGTATGCTTGAACAAATTCGGACACTCATATTACCCATGCCTATATATGCTTGCTTCGCCATTTCCGCAGCGGTTGAGATGAGGATTGCCATCGGTCCAGCACTTGGTGCCTAGGCTACGCATCTCTTCCAACACCCCAACTACTTCAGACCGCCTTTGCAGACAAGAGTGTTATCTCAGACCGACAACACAGACGCCCGCTCAGGCATGGAAGCAGGCGCCTGCTCCCGCGCAACATCCGGCGGCATATCCAGCCCTGCAGTCTCCGCGCTCCTCTTCACGCCCGCAGCAGACGGCTGTTCCTGTACTTCCTCCGACTGCTTCTCCTCTGCCGCCTCAGCCTGCTTCGCAGCAGCTTTATTCGCAGCTTTCCGCTCCGCTTTCGTCATCTTCGGCTTCTCGAATGCACCAATCTCCAGTCGCTTGTCCACATCACTCGCAGATTCGCCGAGCTCAGCGTCGTGCCCGAGGGCTTTGACGATGTCGCGGTAGCTTTTCGCAGTCATCATGGATTTGTAAGCGGGGAGTTTGCCGGGTATCATCTGACCCAAGAGGTATTTCGTGTTGCCGAAGCGGTTCTCGACTTCCATGGCTGTCTTGACGTATTCCTTCACGACTTCGTGCCAGGGTGCTTCGCCGCCTTCGTCTTTAGGTTTGAAGACGGACGGATTGGTCTCTGCCGCTGTGGCGATCATCGCACCGTCGACGCCGAACTCAGTGATCAGACCAAGTGCTTCGTCTCGAGATGTGACATCGCCGTTCATCAAGCACGCCACACCCGCTTCTCGGCAAATGTCGGCGATCATGCGCAGCTGGTCTCGAATCGCTCGTTCTCGCGGCCGCATGGGCGTCGTGCGGCAGTGGACCGTCAAGCCTGTAATCCCAGTGTCGCATAGCTGCCTGACAAGTGCCTCAGTCGCTTCCGCCGTATCGAGGATGCGGACCTTGACGCTGATGCCTATCTCGTTCGGCTCGCCGACCTCCTTCACGAGTGCTCTCAAAATGGAGCATAGTAGATCAGGCTTTTTGAGCAGCGCTGCCCCCATGCCACCGGATGTGCTGAACGGCTTCGGGCATCCAGCATTAACATCGATCCCAGCGACGTCAGGAGCGATGAGTTTGGCGGCTTGGACGGCGGTTTCGGGATTCGACGTTCCGATCTGGTAGATCAATTTCTTGCCTTCCTTCTCTGGGTGCAGGCGGTAGATGATGCTCTCTCTCTGGTCTGGGTTGATTGCTGGGTTCTTGGCACCGTTTGATGAGAGGCGCGTGAAGTCAACTGTATTCGTCACAGGGTTGATATGTCTCGCGGTGCCAATGAGAGCCTTGTCGATGGTTTCTGGACCCCATACCAGGTCCGCGCCATATTCGAGAGCGAGCAGTCGTGACGGACATTCTCCTGATCTCACCATCGGGGCCAAAACGATACGGCCGCGGTAATCGACTCCATTCTTTGGGATCGGCACTCGTTTCGCCGTCGATGTCATCGTTGCGAAGAGTCGTTTGGCCAGCATGCCATGCCCAAGTCTGGTTCACAGAAGCCTGATGACGCTAGGAGTCTCTCCACCAGAGTGCTCCAGTTCGCTCTCTTGAGCCTCAAGAATTTTTTGATGTTCCTCGCTGAAGCGTAAGGATATTTTTGATGGCAAGTGGAGTGTCTTCCAAAAGGTTGAAGTGTTGTCAGAGAAGCCGAGCCGAGCGCTAGTTTAGTTCGGTTCCGGCCTGCCGGGATGCAGGGAAGCCGTCCGCAGGCTTGGCTTCTTAGACAACACTTGAGACGGGGAGTGACATATGACCGAAGACGGCGGACGAATAGCATCAGCCATGTTTCTGGTGGCGTTGAATCGTACATTATTATCGCGAGCATCATCAGGCATACGCATTCTTCAAGCGAAAAGTCCTCAGTCTGATACGTGCAACCTATTCTACACAAAGAAACGACTCGCAACCAGTATCAAGCCTGTGCAGAACCGACAACAACGCAAAAATGTACGATAGCTGCGATTTGTGAACAAGAACGTGCTGCAGGAGGTTTGATGAGGCCAGATATCGGAATGCGCGCGAGCAGTGAGAAGAGGCGTGCTAAGGTTCCTCGCCTCTTTGCATGCGCTGATTGGCCCCTCTCGATTCAGGCCGGGGAACGTCACGAACAGACTTCTGAATCCACCATTTTCTCCAGTGCGCAGACAATGTCGATTCAACTGGCGGATGCAGTCTCGATACGACTACAGTGACGGGAAGCTGAAAACAATATTGAACACCTTATGGCAGGGCATCACCACGACCAGAACCAGGACGCAAGAAGTGCGGTCGAAGTACAAGTTTGAGAGGGTCGGGTCATATCGAATCGAACCGCTAGCTGGTATTGGCCCGAGCTTTCATCGCTCACGCCCAAGCCTTCCATCGAAGCCATCCTCCCTCCATCCATCCTTTACACACATTCTCTCCACGCGCGCCGCCGCTTGTTATCGTCTTTTCTACTTCCCCAACACACGACACTGTTGTATCTAGACCTTGCATAACAGGACCTCGGTGATCCACTTTTTCTTACACGGCATCGCCAACCGTGGACTTCCTGCTGGTACGAGATCCGCCTTCTCGTGTACAGCAATCATCTCCAGGCGGCGTCATCCGGCAAATCGACACCTCACCACGCTCTGCTCTGAAGACTACCTCCATACTGGCTCAAATCATCAACAGGCTATCTGATGCCACACCATAGGTGTCCGTAACTGAGATGGCCGAGCCGGCCGTAAATGAGGCACTGCCCTCATCAGCGTCGCAGGTGCCGGGAAAGGAGACCCAACCCGGCGGCGACGCATCAAACCACGATGTTGCGGTATCTTCTGCACTTGCGCCGCAGGAGGAAATGAACATTCCAACATTTCAGGCGATCAACGCCCAAGCTGTTAATCAAAATGCGAGCGCTTCCGTGAACACAGCCGCGCAAGGTCGCAACGATCCGGGTCCGCCACCTCACCGTGCCCCAGTCACACAAAGCCTCCCACAACAGGCACAAACTTCAGCCGGCCCATCTCAACCAACCAAACCACTTCCACAATTTGATGGCATCGACGGCGCGATGTCTGCTGATGCCACCTACGGCACCCGGTCACGAAATCGAGGTGGGAATGCACGACCAAACTACGCAGAGGATCAGGAAATGGATTTCGAGTACTCGTCTTCTACTGCGGCGACAAAGAAGAAGCCTGCGCCGGATTCTGCTACGCCGACCTCGACCTCTCAAAACACCTCTGAGGCCAAACGCGCCCGCGAGTTCGCGCACCTCATCGGCAACGGCACTCCCACCAGCGCAGCCGAAACAGCTGGCAAGGAGGCCACACCAACCGCTGCCATGAATCCTTCCAAAAAGCGGAAGGCTGCTGGACCGCCAGCGACGCTTACGCAGACGCAGACGCCACCTGCTGCAACGAATTCCCCATTGCCGACTGCGTCGCGAAAAATCGCGCCCCCATCAGCTACAGCACGCGAAACCAACATTATGTCATTTTCCAAGCACCGAGCATGTCTGAACAAGAAAGGCGACTTGATCGCAGACGATGGCACGAAGCTCAGCGTGAACGGTAAGCCTGGCGTTCCCCTGACAGAAGCGAGGCGCTGCTTTTCGAGGTGGCAGCCTACCCCGCCTCGAGCGCCAAAGCCAATTTCAACGCTAACAACTCGCCATTTTAGATCACGTGTACCTCGTTTGCGAGCCTCCCGGCGACCCGTACTACCTATGCCGGGTAATGGAGTTCCTGCATGTTCGATCCGATGACCTCTCGTCACCTGTCGATGCCTTGCGCGTCAATTGGTACTACCGACCACGTGACATTGGACGGTTCAGCAGCGACAGTCGATTGCTCTATGCTACGATGCACTCCGACATCTGCCCGTTGACGTCCCTGCGAGGCAAATGCACAATCAAGCATCGATCTGAGATTGAAGATGTCGAAGCATACCGGAAGGAGCGTGACTCATTCTACTTTGTCCAAGTGTTCGATCGATTCATTCGTCGCCAATACGAATGCATCCCAGTCGCACAGATCATCAACGTACCGGAAAAGGTCAAGAAGGCGCTCGACGAGCGATGGAAGTTCGTGGTGGTCGAGATCGGTCGGGTCAAAGAACTGACCAGTGCAGTCAAAACTTGCAAGCGATGCACGAGGTATTGCGCTTCGAGCGATTCCGTCGACTGCGCCATCTGCAAGAACTCATACCACATGAATTGTGTGCAGCCACCATTGCCAAAGAAGCCATCTCGGGGGTTCGCCTGGGCCTGCGGACCCTGCAGTCGAGCGTCGGAGAAGAAGCTCGAGGCGCGCAACACTCCCACGCTCAGTGGCGATGTGACCGAAGCTGATGAGGAGGACTACGCTGAAGAGGAAGTGCCCAGCGCATCGGACGACACCACACGAGCGCCGAGCCCGGTCGGCGACACTGTACTGGATGATCACCCGGCGACTCAAGCAGAGATCGCTATGGCGAAGATGTGGCCGATGCGATATCTTGGGATTCACGCCAGAGTGGAAGACGCTTTACAGTACGACGACCGCGCCATTTATCCTCGAGCGAGTTCGCGACTGGGTCCTCGGCATCAAGCGAACGTCAATGTCTGGCACGGTCGTCCCGTGGAGCTGGTGAAGCCAGCAGAGATCAAGAAGCGATTCACCAAAGGCACCAGTCACAAGAAGGAAGGAAAGCTGACGAAGGAAACACTCGCGGCTCTGGAGGCTGATCGTGAGGAGAAACTCAAGCGGCCCAAATGGGTGCAGGACGAACCACCCGGCTATGTTCCGCGTGGCGAAGACTACCCCAACGATGACCCTCGAAATACTGCCAAGTTGCTATTCAAGATCCCAGAGGAGCCGGAAGAGCAGCCTGCTGGGCAGATAAGTCCAGCACGCGACCAACAAATCGAGACTTTCCTTTCGAAAGCTAAGCCAATGGCAAGAGACATCGGCGTGCCGCCCTTTGGGGTCAATTTCATCGACAAGGCTATGGAGCTGTTGACGATCAACAACTTCGACACGAATGTCGCTCTCAAGCAACTGAAGGGCATGCATCGTGTCAAAGATCTGCACGAGCCAGTCTTGAGCAAGGCTGAGCTTCTCAAGTTCGAAGAGGGCGTCGCGAAGTACGGCTCAGAGCATCGCCTGGTCCGGCTCCATATGAAGACCAACCTCCCGCATTCCGACATTGTGCGCTTTTATTACCTCTGGAAGAAGACACCAAAAGGAAAGGAGATCTGGGGGAACTATGGCAACCGCAAAGGAGGCTCTCGAAAACGCATTGAGAACGATGCTGGCACTCTCGTCCAGCAGTCCGTGGCACATGATGTTGACGACTCGGCCTTCGACAACGACAAGGCCATGAAGAAGAACAAGGGGTTCCAGTGCAAGTTCTGCAGTTCGACCCATTCACGACAATGGAGGCGAGCTCCAGGTGTTTCGCCAGGACAAACGGTGGTTGCAGACGGCAAGAGCGGGAAAGAGAAGGGCACGAAACTTCTTCTGGCCCTCTGCTTGCGCTGCGCTGGACTGTGGCGGAAGTACGCTATTCAATGGGAAGACATTGACGAGGTTGCGAAGAAGGTCGCAGCAGGCGGCGGTCGTGCTTGGAAACGCAAGATCGACGAAGAGCTTCTCCGCGAGCTTGTCGCAGCCAACGAAGCTGCCAGTGTATCAGCCGCCGATCAAGCGACCGCTGCCGTCCCCTCAATCGAGCCCGCTGGCGAGCCACCCAAGAAGAAGTCGAAAATCGAGGAGAAAAAAGCGCCGCCACCGCCTCCGCCGAAAGAACCGACTCCGCCTATCATTCCAAACCAGCCGGTCTGGAAAATTTTACCTTGTGCGATTTGCAAAGGGGAGGAGGATACACTTTCATGCGCGCACTGTCGTCTGACTGTGCATCGAAAGTGCTTTGGCATTGGCGAGCAAGAAGGCGTCAGACCGGATGGGACAGTCAAGTGGGTGTGCGAACAATGCTCAAACGACCGGAACCCGCAAGTTTCGACAGACTACTCTTGCTGCTTGTGCTTGACAGAGGAGACACTCATCGACCTTGTTGAAACACCCAAGGTTTCGCATAAGAAGAAGGATGAACGGGCCAAAGAGAAGGAACGCATGGAGAAAGAGCTGGCCGACAACATGCGAAACGAATACCGCAACAGACAACTTTCGCTGCATCGACCTGTCCTTCCACGAGAACCACTGAAGCGGACGACAGGCAACAACTGGGTTCATGTCCATTGCGCGGTGTGGACGCCGGAGATTCGTTTCAGCGACTCGACGAAGTTCGAGGTTGCGGAAGGCTTCCAAGCAATACCGCAAGCGAAGCACGAGGCTGTATGCAAATTGTGCAAGAACCGGGACCATGCCAACCGCTTCCGCGATGACAAGGGCTCGTGCGTGTCCTGCTTCCAATGCAATGCCAACTTCCACGCATCTTGCGCCTTCGAAGCTGGGTATCTGTTTGGCTTCGACGTCACGCCTGTCAAGGGCTCGCGCAAGGACCAGGTCACTACCGCCACGCTCAATGATGAAACTGGAGCCCTCACTGCCGGCATCTGGTGCAAAGAGCACACGGTCAAGTCACTTGTGCATCCGGTAACCGAGATTGCTGATGTGGAATCTGGCAAAACGGCGCTACAAGTGTTCACCCAGAAGTATAAGCAGGCCGATCTTACCCTGACTGGAACAGTGCGCAAGGCGAACTTCGTCCAAATGACAAAGGAGAAAGGACAGCAAGTGGCGGCATCGGCTTCTAACGGAGGCAGAAGAGAGTCTACTGCGAATAGTATCGCTGCAGCGGTGCGCCGTGGTGCCAGGAACTCTCTAGCGTCGGAGGCCAAAACTGAAGGCGAGAATGGAAGTGTCCAGCCACCAGATGCTACAGACTCAACGGAGCGTCGATGCGCCAAGTGCAAGATCGACTGCACGCCGAGATGGCATCTTGTGGAGCCTGATCTGCCACCGCCAAAGGAAGCCACTCCGCCTAAGTCACCGCCTCGAAGGTTGTCGATGACTCTTGGTGAGATTGCGGATCAGCAGCGTGAGCGAGTGAATGGAGCAAATGGAGCCAATGGCGTTCAAGGCGGGAACAGGCCGCCAGACAATGGACTCAAGATCCGCTTCATGCCTCCTGGTGCAAATGGACGGGCGTGGCAGGGCATGCCGGAGCGGTACCCGCCTCTGAACAACGGACCACTTCACATGAATGGGCCACCGCCGCCGCACGAGCCAAGCTCCAATCCTCCTAGAGAGCAGTACAACCCAGCCATGAACGGCGAAACGTTCCACCACCACGGCATACCTCACGACTCGAGCCAGATGACGGGACAACTCCCAGCAGAGGCCGCTGGTCCCGTCGTCGTTGCTGAGCCACCGAAGGAGTACTTGTGCCACAAGTGCTTCCTGAAGAAGAAGCTCGACCCCACGCCGCCGCCAGAAGAGCCACCCACTCCAGCTCCTCCGCCACCACAGCCCGCACAGCCCTCTCCACCTCGACCGGTCTTCCCAAGCACTTGGGACACTCCATCCGCCCCTCCACAGCCCCCGCAGCCTCAACCCGAGCATGTCCCTCATCCGAGAATGCCATGGCACGAGCCTTCTCGAGCTCAGGCCCAGCCTCCGCCACCCGCGAACGGTATGGGAATGTCGCATTTCGGACCGCCTCCACCGCCGCCTCCCCATGGACCGGGCTTCCAGCCGTTCCACGGCCCGCCGCCTCATTCTCAGAATGGGTTCCAAGGCCCACAGCATCCTGGTCCACCTCCTGGGATGCATGAGAGACACAACAGTTTCGGGTTCGGGCAGCCACCGCATCCAGGTCCACCTCCGGGCATGCAATCGCAGTATGGTCAAGGTTCTCGGCCTCCGCCACTTTCGGGCTTTCCGCCTCATGGACAGCCGATAAACAACGGCATGCCATCGCCGAGGAGTCTACAATATCCTCCGCCGATGCAGTCTCCAACGCATCCACACCAGCCGCACTACCAGGGCTTCCAGCCACCTCCGCCACGCTCACAGGAGTCGCCGTTCCAATCGCACTTAGGGCCTCCAATGGGCGGACCACAACATTACCATAGTCCACAGCCGGGTCGTCCAGAACCTGCCACCTCCCAGCCGCAGATGGGCGGACCACACAACTACAACAGTCCACAGCCCGGACGTCCTGAGCCGGTGACTTCGCAGCCTCCAATGGGTGGACAGCACAACTACAACAGCCCGCTGAACGGTCGTCCTGAACCTGTCACCTCGCAGCCACAGATGCAGCCGACTCTTCTACAGCATCAACCTGGCACGCCATCAGCGCAGCAGCCGCCTACCCCGCAACAACACTTCGCGCCGCAGCATAACAGCCCGCAAGTCAGTCAGTCGCGGCCGGATAGTCAGGCGGGTCGGCCTGCTACGCCTCCTCCAGGAGGTCAAGCGCCTGGCACGCCGACGGTGAATGGGGCTGGAGCGAGCGCGAGTCCGAGTTTGCAGAATTTGCTGCATTGATAGGTGGAGGAGACGATGGATATGGCATGAGGATTGTGTATGGGAGGGGAATTGTATTGAGCGCTTGATGGGATGAGGAGGTTTTGATAGGGTTCTACGTTTTGTGTAGAATAGAGTAAGGATTGAATGATGTTTGAGAAGTTCATAAGGTATCGCTCCCAGTACCTTTCTCGTGCACTGGATGCCACCTGATGCATAACACTGGTGTTGGCTGCATCCCAGAAGATGCAATCTCGAGGGCCCGTATGCTGAGCAAAAATATGCTGAAGAGGCCGAAGCCACCCGTCGTTGTTTAGAGGAGAGGCCAAGGGACAGGATAGTTCTCCGGGACAGGAAGAGCATATAGCCTGTTAGCAGACTCAACAGCAGACGATCGTGTAATGGAGAAAGAGGTACAGACTGGATGATTGCCACCAGCGTCGGCCAGAGATATTGCCAAGCTTTACATGACTCAAGCTTCAAAACTCTAAATGCTGTTTCGATATCTTCACTTGAAGGTCACAAGCCTTGACAACAACACTCTCCGGTCAGTTCGCGCCCTGCGAACATCAGCACCCAGCATGGCGCAGAATCAGAAGGGCAGCGACCCTAATCACCTCTCACAATACAAATATGGCGCTATGTCGAATTTGGTCCTGCAAGCGGACCGAAGATTCGTATCGCGAAGAGGCGACGAGGTTACAGGTGACCCAGAATCACTCGCAGGTCGCATCAACTTGGGCGACATGGGCTCTCGAACCGCACGAGAAGCGGCGCCCGCCCGCCCTCCGGCGCAAGAACAAGCGCGGAAGAGGAAGCGAACAGAGCCATTGCAGAGTTCGAGGGCGGCGGGTATACTGGGCCAAGCAGATCTTGACATCGAGGGTCTGAAATATCGACCGAGAACGGCTGCGACGAAGGATGTCTATGATCTGATCGCCACCAATGTTGCGCAGAAGATGGGAGGCGACTACGGCCTGGCCATTACTGCTTCAGCTACGGATTCGGTGCTGGAGTATTTGAAGGACGACAATCTCAAGGACTTTGATAAGAAGAAGGAGATTGATGATATTCTGGGAATCACCCTGTCGAGCAAAGAATTCAATCAGCTTGTCAATTTGGGCAAGAAGATTACGGATTACGATGCGCAGGATGAAGATGAGGAGATGGGTGATGAGGCCGGAGAAGGCGCAGATATTGATGAGCGCCAAGGTGTTGCCGTTGACTTTGGCGACGAGGACGAGGATGAGGAGGGTGGCGGAAGAACGTACGAAGTGAGAGACGAGGGGGAGGAGTCAGAAGATGAGCTCGCCATGGGGACAGAAGAGGTCGCAGAGGATGACGCACGGCCACCTCAGGATGGCGAGGCGGAAGACGAAGATATGGAAGAGGACGATGGCATGGTCATTGAGAACACTGCAAGACAACGGAAGAGGGAAGATCGCGATCCTATGTTCGTTCCGGCGCACGATATTGATGCATACTGGCTGCAGCGCCAGGTAGGGCAGATCTATGAAGATGCGCACACGCAGTCTGAGAAGACTCAAGAAGCTGATCGCATCATGTCTGAGACTGATGACGCTGGAGAAGAGAAGCCTTTGAGGGAGGTTGAAAACGATCTGATGGAGCTTTTCGACTACGAGCATCCTGAGCTTGTTGGAAAACTCGTCAAGAACAGGGACAAGATCGTCTGGGTCACCCGGTGGCGGAGAGCTGCTGAGGACGAGTCGGCTCGCGTGGCTATCGAAAGGGAGATGGTCAGCGCCGGCCATGCTGGCATACTTAAGGAGCTTCGAGGTCGCGATGAGGCTCCTACGTCTGAGGGCGCAGCAAGGTTGAAGGTGAAGCTGGATCCGATGCAATTGGATGCGAACATTCCGGCCAAGGAGGAAGACGAGAAGAAGGAGGGTCTTGTAGGAGGCATGCAGCCGCGAAAGACGCTCAATCTCGAAGACCTCAAGTTCGACCAGGGCAATCACTTGATGACGAACCAAAGCGTCAAGCTGCCGCAGGGCTCCACCAAGCGAGCGTTCAAGGGTTACGAAGAGATCCATGTACCGGCACCGAAGCGCAAGCAGGAGGCCGGTGAGCAACCCAACATTCCAACCTCTCAGTTGCCAGCATGGGCACAACCTGGTTTCGGAAACTCAAAGGAGCTCAACCGGATCCAGACGAAGTGCTACCCTTCGGCTTTTGAGGACGACGGGAATATGCTGATCTGTGCTCCCACCGGCTCTGGCAAGACAAACGTCGCCATGCTGACGATGCTGCGCGAGATCGGGAAGCACCGAGATCCAACGACTGGTGATATCGATCTGGACAACTTCAAGATCATTTACATTGCGCCTTTGAAAGCGCTCGTGCAAGAGCAGGTTGGCAATTTTGGCAAGCGACTGGAACCGTACGGCATCCAGGTATCTGAGTTGACCGGCGACCGACAGCTCACCAAGCAGCAAATCGCCGAGACGCAGGTCATTGTCACGACGCCAGAGAAATGGGATGTCATCACCCGCAAGGCGACGGACATGAGCTACACTAACCTTGTCCGCCTGATCTGTATCGACGAGATCCATCTTCTCCACGATGACCGTGGGCCTGTGTTGGAAAGCATTGTCAGTCGAACGATTCGCAAGACTGAGCAGACAGGTGACCCAGTACGGATCGTTGGTCTGTCTGCCACCCTACCGAACTATCGCGATGTCGCGACGTTCCTTCGGGTTGATCCCCAGAAAGGACTCTTCCACTTCGACGGCTCTTTTCGACCTTGCCCGCTTAAGCAAGAGTTCATCGGTGTGACAGATAAGAAGGCGATCAAGCAGCTGAAGACCATGAACGAGGTCTGCTACAACAAGGTACTGGAGCAAGTCGGCCAGAATAAGCAGCAGATGCTCATCTTCGTGCACTCCCGGAAAGAGACTGCGAAGACTGCCAAGTTCATCCGCGACAAAGCGCTCGAGATGGAAACCATCGGCCAGATCCTTCGAAGTGATGCTGCAAGCAGAGAGATTTTGCGAGAGGAGGCTGAGCAAGTGCAAAACTCTGATCTGAAGGACGTCATCCCATACGGCTTCGGCATACATCATGCTGGCATGAGCCGAGCGGATCGTACTTCGGTGGAAGAACTGTTCGCTGACGGCGCTATACAAGTCCTTGTCTGCACGGCAACGCTAGCCTGGGGTGTCAACCTTCCCGCGCATACTGTGATCATCAAGGGCACTCAAATTTACTCTCCGGAGAAGGGCAGCTGGGTCGAGCTCAGCCCTCAAGATGTCCTGCAAATGCTTGGGCGTGCTGGTCGGCCACAGTACGATACCTACGGCGAGGGCATCATCATCACCACACAGTCAGAGATGCAGTACTATTTGTCTCTCATGAACCAGCAACTGCCAATCGAGAGTCAATTCATAAGCAAACTGGCAGACAATCTCAATGCCGAGATCGTACTCGGGAGCGTCCGCACGAGAGATGAAGGTGTCGAATGGCTTGGGTACTCGTACCTCTTCGTCAGAATGCTGCGATCACCTGCACTCTACCAGGTTGGTGCAGACTACGACGAAGATGAGACACTCGAGCAGAAGCGAGTCGACCTTATCCATTCTGCTGCGATGGTACTCGAGAAAGCCAGCCTCGTCAAGTACGACAAGAAGACCGGACGCTTCCAGTCGACCGACCTTGGCAGAGTTGCCAGTCACTACTACATCACGCACAACAGCATGTTGACCTACAACATGCAGATCCAGCCTTCAGTATCGCCGATCGAGCTCTTTCGGGTCTTTGCACTAAGTGACGAGTTCAAGTACATCCCGGTGCGGCAGGACGAGAAGCTCGAGCTCGCGAAGCTGCTAGGACGTGTGCCTATTCCAGTCAAGGAGACTATCGATGAGCCTCACTGCAAGATCAACGTCCTGCTCCAGGCATACGTGAGCCGTCTGAAGCTGGACGGCCTGGCGCTAATGGCGGACATGGTCTACGTCACGCAATCAGCTGGACGTATCTTGCGAGCCATGTTCGAGATCGCCCTCAAGAAGGGATGGGCTGGTGTAGCGAAGGACTCGCTTGACCTGTGCAAGATGGCAGAGAAGCGCATGTGGCCGACCATGACGCCTCTCCGGCAATTCCCAGAATGTGGTGCCGACATTATCAAGAAGGCTGAGCGGATTGATGTGCCATGGTCATCATACTTCGACCTTGACCCTCCTCGAATGGGCGAGCTGCTGGGCATGCAGCGACAAGGCAGGCAGGTCTGCGCTATGATCGCCAAGTTCCCGCGATTAGAGCTCAGCGCTCAGGTGCAGCCGGTGACTCGGAGCATGCTACGTGTGGAATTGACGCTCACTCCGAAGTTTGAATGGGATGATAGCCTCCATGGTCGGGCTGAGAGCTGGTGGATAATGGTTGAAGACTGCGATGGTGAAGATATCCTCTTCCACGACCAGTTTCTATTGCGCAAAGAGTACGCAACGGCCGAGATGAACGAGCATTTGGTGGAGTTCACCGTTCCCATCACCGAGCCGATGCCGCCAAACTACTTCATCACGGTCACGAGCGATCGGTGGATGCACGCGGAGAGCAAGCTGGCACTCTCGTTCCAGAAGCTGGTGCTGCCAGAGAAATTCCCAGCGCACACGCCCATACTGGACTTGCAGCCACTGCCTGTCGCCGCTCTCAAGCGACAAGATTTCACTGATCTTTACCAAGACTGGTCGCAATTCAACAAGATCCAGACTCAAACTTTCAACTCCCTGCACCAGTCGGATGACAATGTCTTTGTTGGCTCTCCGACAGGTAGCGGCAAGACTGTTTGCGCGGAGTTCGCTATTCTCAGGCACTGGACCAAAGCAGACAGTGGCAAGGCTGTGTACATTGCGCCGTCCCAGGTACAGGTCGATGCTCGTCACAAAGCATGGCAGACCAGGCTCAACGCAGTAGCCGGTGGGAAAGAGATTGTCAAGCTGACTGGCGAGACCACTGCTGATCTCAAGCTGCTCGATCGTGGTGACTTGATCCTAGCGACGCCCACGCAATGGGACATGATGTCTCGGCAGTGGCAGAGGCGAAAGAATGTGCAGAACACCAAGCTCATCGTCGCGGACGACCTACATCTGCTCGGTGGCCAGGGCGGATATGTCTACGAAGCGGTCATCTCGCGTGCGCAGGCCATTGCCGTCCAGCTCGAGAACGGTCTGCGGGTAGTTGGTCTGAGTGTTTCCTTATCGAACGCCCGCGACATTGGCGAATGGATCGGAGCCAGCAAGCACACGATCTACAACTTCAGCCCGAACGTCCGGCCAATACCACTGAACTTGCATCTGCAGACGTTCAACATTCCTCACTTCCCTTCGCTCATGCTTGCCATGACCAAGCCGACATACCAAGCCATCTTGCAGCACGCTTCGGACAAGCCAGCGATGGCGTTTTTGCCGAGCCGGAAGCAAGTCAGAGCGACTGCCCAGGACTTACTGGCTGCATGTGTTGCGGATGACGACGAAGATCGATTCTTGCAGACCGATCTTGAGCAGCTTGGGCCGGTGCTCAACCGTGTTAAAGAGAAGTCTCTTGCGGAGTCTCTCTCACACGGCATCGCCTACTTCCACGAAGCTCTGGTGGAATCGGACAAGCGCATCGTTGAGAGCTTGTTCACGCAAGGTGCGGTCCAGGTGATGCTCGTCTCTCGCGATTGCTGTTGGGAAGTACAGAGCAATGCCCATCTGGTTGTCATCATGGGCACGCAGTATTTCGAAGGCCGCGAGCATCGGTACATCGACTACCCCATCAGCGAGGTGCTGCAGATGTTTGGCAAGGCTGGCAGACCAGGCAGCGACAAGGACTGCCGTGGTGTGCTGATGTGCCCGGATGTCAAGCGTAACTACTACCGCAAGTTCTTGAGCGAAGCCCTTCCAATCGAAAGTCAACTGCAGTCCTACATGCACGATGCTTTCGTCACCGAGATCAGCACCAAGACGATCGAATCGACCCAGGACGCCGTCGACTGGACGACCTACACCTACTTCTACCGCCGCCTGCTTGCCAACCCGAGCTACTACGGCCTCTCGGACACCAGCCACGAAGGCCTCAGCGCCTACCTCTCGGAGCAAGTCGAGCAGACGCTCAAAGACCTCTCCGACGCCAAGATCATCGAGCTCGACGAAGACGAAGACACCATCACGCCCCTCAACGCCGCCATGATCGGCGCCTACTACAACATCTCCTTTATCACCATGCAGACCCTCCTCCTCTCGCTCCGCCGCACGACCAAACTCAAGGGTATCCTCGAGATCGTCACCGCCGCCACCGAGTTCGAAGACATCCAGATCCGCCGCCATGAGAACCACATCCTGCAGCGCATCTACGACCGCGTGCCTGTGAAGCTGGGCGAGACGAACTTCGAGTCCCCGCACTTCAAAGCGTTCGTACTGCTGCAAGCGCACTTCTCGCGGATGCAACTCACCACCGACCTGGCGAAGGACCAGGAAGTCATCCTGCGCAAAGTGCTCAACCTGCTCAGCGCATGCGTCGACGTCCTTTCGTCAGAAGGACATCTGAACGCCGTGTCCGCCATGGAAATGAGCCAGATGACAGTGCAAGCGATGTGGGACCGCGACTCGCCATTAAAGCAGATCCCGCACTTCGACGACGACGTCATCGAAGCGTGTAAAGCGGCGGACGTGAAGGACGTCTTCGAGTTCATGGACGCCATGGATCCGGCGGAGAATAAGGGGTATAATGCTCTGGTTAAGAGTATGGGGTTAACCAACAAGCAGCTCGGTGACGCCGCTCGTTTCACGAATGAGAGGTACCCGAACGTGGAGTTGACGTTCGAACTCGAGGACCCGGACTCCATCACCGCTGGCTCACCCGCATACGTCAACGTCACCGTCGAGCGCGACGTCGACGAAGACGCTCCTGAGGAACTGGACCTCACAGTCCACGCGCCCTTCTACCCCGTCCCCAAGACGGAGAACTGGTGGCTCGTCATCGGCGAAGAATCCAGCAAAACTCTTTTGGCGATCAAGAGAGTCACGATCGCGCGGAAGTTGAGCACGAGGCTGGAGATGGTGGTGCCGACGGCGGGGAAGAAGGAACTGACGTGTTTTCTGATGAGCGATAGTTACGTGGGTGTTGATCAGGCGCCTAACTTCGAGGTTGAGGTGGGGGAGGGGGAGGAGGAGGACGATGAGGAGGGGGAGGGGGATGAGATGGAGGAGTAGAGTTTGCACATACTGTCCGTCCGTCCGTTAACGTATCGAATTTTGAAAATCTGACGCGAAGCAAACGTGACGAACAAACAACGCCGGACGCTGATGCTCCTGACTCTCGCTATCGCTGTCCCGTCCAAAGTATCGTAGAGCAGGAGAAGAAAAAGTCGTGCATGTACATCACAAACGTCATAAACAGTCTCTCCGCTAAACGTCACCTGTCACTCGCCCAGCACATCCCCTCACGACTCTCCCACATGAAGCGTCGGCATCTTCGCAGCAGCCTTCACCAACTGCCCCAACCTCTTCTCCATCACCGTCCGCCCCGCCAACGTCTCCCACACAAAATGCGGCGCCTTATTCACCACATCCCAGCTCACCAAATTCTCCGTAATCCCCGTCGCCTCCTTCTGCCCGCGTCCCCAATCCTCGCTCCGCCCGGTTTCGATGCCGGAACTCACCACCACCAAAGGCGTGTCGGGGGTTTGGATGGACCGGGAAGTCGAGATCTCGCTTTTTGTCAAGGATTGCGCGACGAGGTTCTCTTGCAACTTCGCTTTGAGCAGTTTTCCTGTTTGATCCGCGTCGACGCCATACACGCGGTCTTCGCGCGTGCGGCCGGCGAAGAGGGCGCCGAGGATGCGGCGGATCCCCAGCGGGGAGATGATGCCGTAGGCCCAGAGTAAGAATCCGCGCGTCGGGGAGCCGATTTGGGAGAGGTGGGATTCGGGCAGGGGGTCGATGAGCATGATTCCAGAAACTTTCTTGTAGTTGCGCGAGGAGAAGATGCGGGAGACGATGCTGCCGTAACCCGCGGAGACGAGGATGAAGGGGCCTTGCTCGCCGGCTTGCGCGAGGGCGTCGGCGAGGTTGTCGGCGGACATGCCGGCCGAGTGCGGGGAGGGCGCGTTGTCGGACCAGGCGTAGCCCGGGCGGTCCCAGTAGCAGTAGCGGTCGATGGTGCCGTTGTTCCAGGCCGCGTAGGCCCAGTGCTCGAGGTCGTATTCGAGGGGCATCTCGGCGGATTCGAGCAGGATGGTGGCGGTGGGCGTGGAGGAGTTTTTGTTGGAGGAGGAGGGCGAGTCGCCGATGCAGGCGAGGTGGACTTTGTATTTGCCGTCGTCGACGCTGTAGCGTTGGCCTTCCGGTTGGAGCGAAGCGTCGCGGGAGCGGAGGACGAGGGTGGCGGTGATGAGGATGGTGATGATGATGTAGATGACGAGGAAGATCTGAATTATAAGTCAGTAAACAGTAGGAATGGGACAGGGAGATATGAGCATACCGTCGCCGCCAACACAGCCAGCCACTGCTTGAGCGTCCTCCTCGTCTCCGGGCGTCCGGTCAGACGCTCCTCTTCCTCCTTCTTGCCCCAAGCGACCAGGCGATCAGTAAAGACGCACCATCCAGCCATAAGCGTAGTCCAAGTGACAGACGCAATACCTGGCGGTCCCTCCTCCGCTCTGATCCGCGGCACAGCAACGATAATGATCAGATCCACCAGCAGCAGAACCGCAATCGTGCTCTGGCAGACTCGCATAGCCAAGCTCGGCGCGGAGAAGAAGAGCAGCGACAACAGAAGCAGGCCAGTGGTCAAGGTGGTAAAGGCAAAGTCGGTGAAGCCCGAGCCGCGCGTGTGTAGTCCCGGGGGCGAGATGAAGATGCTCACGAAGAGCAGGACCCACCAGATGAAGGAGATGGCGAGGACGAGGACGGTGAAGCCGCGGGCGGCGCGGACGGCGAAGAGGTTGTAGGGGGAGACCTGGAGTTTATCAGTACATACTCCCACACACGATTGCTTGTATGGTATGGGACTCACCGCCGGGTCATCAGGATCCAAGTAGCCATCCGAACGGCGGTTGTTCTGCTCCGGAAGCAGTCGGTCTCTCTCCGTGGGTCTGTCCTCTGAGCTTCGAGCCATGTTGGTGTCGTCTCCGTTGGGCTGCTCGTCGTGGTCCTTGTTGTTGCTGCCCCACAGCGTCATTGCAAGCAAGCTCTCAGCTTCTCTTTCTTTCTTTCTCTCACACGGAGCTCGCAGTGTGCACCAAGGAGGAGGAGATGTGGGAGGATAGAGGCGGCGGCGGCGGCGGCAGGAAGGGAAGAGGTGGGTGAGAAGGAGTCAGTCTGGCCCCGCCAGTCGTCTGCTGTTCTGCCTGGCAAAGAGGAGCAAGAGAATGGTGAGTCGAGGTAACCAATAGCTCGCCCTGCACCAGCCTCACAAGCGCAGATTCTAGTGACGATGGCTGTCCGCACGCGGCAGAGAACTTGAAGTCTGGTGGGAGCTAGATCCTGCTGCTCTCTGCGCCACACGCCCGATCTTGCTGCAGTCCGACGTCACGATACACTTTGTTGCCGCTCCAGCTCGGGAAGAGACTTTGGCCTAGACGCTCTCTAGCCGACACTCAAAAGCGGGATTGGGTCTGGACGATACTGCAGAAGAGGCGGTGCTCGAGACGACTTCTGAAGCGAGCAACAACAACAAGACAACCATCGGCGTGCGCGAGGTTCAACCTGGATCATGTCCATCACGGCGATCCGCAGCATGGGTCTGAAGCTCTCCCCTGCCACCGATCTGCACTGGCCCAGACCCCCCACCCATGCACCGATAAGCCGCAGCGTCTGCGTGAGTGACGACAGAATCCTTCCCAAGGACCCAACAACCGGGCAGTCATGTGTGTGGTATGGGCACATTCGACAAGACGGATGGTGGTAGTCGAAGTTCAAAGATGTGTCTTTATGACCGCAAAGGATGGCGACGAGCACGAGTTGACGTGTGAAAGCACGAAAGAATGGAAGCCAACTCTTGATATCCCTCTCACTGTGGCACCACACCATCTCCAGCATCTGTATCAAATGACCCTCCATCACCGACACCTCGCCGTGGTCTGAGGAGCTCCCGCAGCTGTCAAAGCAAGCCACATTCTCCAAGGCCATCGTAAGGTAGCTCTCTTGTGGCTAAGCACAGACGCCTCGCCAACATGAACTTCATCTTGTCCCGACAACTCAAGCCAGGGCAGTCTTCCACAGTCCATCATTGTCAGGCTTATCATTCTGGCAGGAAGAAGTACGTACGGAGAAGGGACGTCTCTTCAACACTGAGTCGGAAGAGAAAGGTGGCAAGGTGGCAAGGCCAAAAGCATTCTTTCATGATATTAACATTTCCACATTAAGCACATCTATATCCTACATATTTACATCTATATCCATGCCTTAAGGCTTCTGCAACTGCTCCTTCCGATAAAACTTGAAGAACCCCACCGCAATCAGCAAATTACACACCAACCCCACCCAGAACCACGCCGTCCACACCGCCCCCGCCCCAGCACTGATGTCCGGGCTCACGGGGCCAGGACCAATCCGATTCGGCGCAACAGCCCTCGCGATGATGGTGGTAATGGACCCCACGACCTGCATCGCCGTCACCGCAAACGCCACGTGCACTCGCGTGAGCGTGCCGAGCAGAATCATGCCCAACCCGACACCCTGCACGGCATCCAGCACGCCGAGCCACAGCCACAGCGACCGGGACACCAGCGCGGAAGCAACATACCCCCCAGCCCAGGGCAGGTAGAGCCCGATATTGCTCGTGCCCCACCAAATCTGCGCCCAGCGCGGCGCGCCCAAACCAATCGCGAACAGCGGCAAGATCCAGCTGTGCGCGCGCGACAGATACCCGAACAGCGCGAGGAACAGGCTCCAGACGCCGATGAAGAAGAGGAGCACGAGGAGGAAGACCTGCCACGTCTCGGCGTGCTGGCTGCCGAACAGGAACGCCCAGTTGCGGCCGTACGGCGCGGAGAGGAAGAAGTTCTGGATGATGGTCGTGACGAGGAACCAGACGATGACTTTCCTCTTCGCAATCGAGGAGTAGAAACTCGGCATCGTCCCGGGCATCTGGCGATAATACGTCGGCAGACCCGTCCACAGCGCCACTCCGATCCCCCACAGCGCGAAAGCGATCGGGATGGTGATGGCGGTGATTTTCCACGTGCCCGCGAAACTGCCTTCGCCCGTGGTAACGTTCCCCAGGGAAGTGCTGCGCGTGATGGCGCTGCCCCACCACCACAGCGCGACGACGTAGATCTGCTGGCTCCCCTGGATGACGCACGCGCGGAAGACCCACGCTTTAATCTGCGCGCCGCCTTCGTCGCCGAAGTTGAGGGAGAAGTAGAAGGCCCCGCTCGCGGAAGCGAGGGAGTAGAAGCCCGTGGCGACGTTCTGGATCCATTGTCGAGTCGAGGGGGACGCGGAGGGCGCGACACCCACCAAGAGGAACGCGAGGCCGTAGAAGAAGAAGGGCGCGGACAGGATGTGCACGCTCGCGAGGCGGCGGAAGAGCACCCACCAGCAGGCGGACGCGGCGAGGTAGATGGACGCGACGACGTAGAGTTTCGACGCCGTCTGTCCGTTCTCCCCCGTGAGGAGCGTGATCTGGTAGCTGTTGGCCGCCATGATCTGGCCCAATGCGAGCAGGAAGGCGTACAGCGGCCAGTCGCCCAGGCGCAGCTGCATCCATTTGCGCATGCCGGTGGGCGGTTTGTAGTCGGCGCCGAGCAGGAACTCGTCCCCGGCGTCTTCGGAGTGGTGGCTCATTTCGTCGGAACCGTGCATCTCGAACGAGTTCCTGCGCGAAGCGAGGGTCGAAGGCGGTTGCGAGTACGTGCGCAGGTTGGTCGACGACCCGTGGTTCTTGAGCCGGCCGAGCTTGGCGTTGCGGAACGTGTTGAACCAGTCCTTCTCCGACTTGACCAGGAACTCTTCGATGATGTAGTCGGAGCTCTCGCTGTTCTTGCTGTTCAGCGCTTTGAGTTTTTCTTCAAATTCGCGGTAGAAGAGCCCTGTGGAGTCGGTGAAGAAGGGGTCGACTTTCTGCAGTTTGAAGTCTGTCCGCTCGCCGACGACGAGTTGGAGCGAGAGCGTGGAGCGGTTGCGCGAGGGCGGGGAGAAGTCTTCTGACAGCGCCGGGGGTGGGGGGAAGAGCCCTGTCGAGGCGTCGGGTGTGGGAGGCTGCGAGAGGGTAGGGGAGCGGAGAGGCCAGGTGTTGTCGCCTTCTCCTAGGGTAGAGGAGTCTCTGACCCGCGCGCGGCCGATGGTGGGCGGTAGTCTGGGGTGTCCATCGTCGTCGGAGTCCGAGAACGCCGCCGCTCCTTCGTGGTCTGTATCGTCGCCACCAGCGTGGAGGGATGCGCTGTCTTCCAGGTCGAGGTCGATGATGGGCGGCATGGACTTCTGCTTGGATTGCTGTCCGACGATACCGTCGGGCTTGTCGGTTGTCCGTGCATGTCCAGGACCTCTGCGAGAGCCCAAGGAAGGCCGTCTGGAGAGTCCACCGCTGGGCTTTGCGTTGTGCTGTGCATACTGTGATGCTGGGGGTGGCTGTACGATCGCCGGAACAGCAGGCACAGGATTGTTGGCCATCTGCGAGAAGCGGAGGTTCGAAGTCGCATGGGACACGTTGCGCGAATGAATCCCGACAGGAGTCGCAGTGCCCGAACGGCCTCCAACTGGAGTCGTAGCGCCCGATGCTGGTGGCGTCTGCATGAATTTGGGCGTTCCTGAATGACTCAGTTCGGTCTCGACCTTGTCGTGGATACGGATCGAGGTGGACTGCAGGATCTCGAGATCTTCCACCCATTGGGCGACCGGGCTGGTTTCAAAGAATTAGTAGGTATGTTCGAAGCGTCGTGGAAAGTGTACTCACAATCGCTGTTTAGCGGATCTGGCTCGCATCATCGCTCGTGTTTCGAATGAAGAATGCATCGCTTCGCTGATGGCTTCCTTGAACTGCTTGATCAAATGTGCCGTCGTCGTGCTCTCAACCGTGAACCACCATCCAGGCATCTGACCCAGACCACCGACTCGAGCGCCTGTGAAAGCATAGTGTCAGCGCTGAATTCCTTATCCTCGGAGTGCAAAGTCAATCAACTCACCAACACCAAGAGCTCCCTTCCTGCCAAACTCCACCGCCACAAGCCCGAACGGTTCATCGCGGGACGGGATCAAAGCGAACTCAGCGCCAGTGAAGACAAACGGCGGCAGGGCGGTAAACACTGGTTTAGAGCACACTCTGCCCGGGTACATTTCCATCAGCCGCTCGAGCTTCAGCGCCGCGAATTTGCCGTACAGATCGATCACAGGCCCGATGGCGATGAGTTGGACGTTCGAGTTGTCCTCGAGGATGGCCTAACGATTACTGTCAGTGAGTGTTCCAAGCTCCTTATCCTCTCGAGAGAAATGCAACGCACCGGGAAAACGTCAGCGATCAAGTCAACGCCCTTCTGCATCGACCATCGCCCGACGAACACGAACAACTCCGCCTTCTCATTCTTCTCCAGGCCAGCCCATTCCTGAGCCTGCACCCGGAACTGAAGGCGCTCCTTCTCGAATGCATCATCGACGTGGATGTCCTTTTCATTCGGCAGCTTCTTGTCCCATTCACCCGTGTCGGAGGGATCTGGGTTCGGCAAGGCTTGGACTTTCTTGAGACCTGTAGAGAGTGAGAGTGGTTAGTGGCAGTCCGATGTTACACGGTTGGAAAGGAATACTCACCCCATAGAATAGGGTATCTCGCAAAAGAGCGCTTGCCGTATTTCTTCGAAACACCGACAGCGCCGAAGCCTTGCTGGAAGACGCGCAGGTACGATGCACCAGCATGCAACAGATTGAAGACCTCGCCGAACATGACGAACTCTGCTACCACCGGCCAAGGCAGATTGAAAACGGATGCGACTTCGTTTCGCTCCTTCTTCGTTCGCATGGGCCACAAGCCTTGAAATTCCGCGTTGTGTAGTGATAGACAAGCCGGAACTGAGCGTGGAAGCAAGTAGAGTGGCGCCACCGTGCCGTGGTAGTCGTTGATGTGGTAGAGATCGATAGGGAAACGAGTAATCGCCTGGGCAATGCACTGGTTCCACGCGGAATAGTAGACTGCGCTGTCCATGTCATCCATACGTGCTGGATACGGCTCGGCTTTCGTCTGCTGCCTGAACACCGGTGCGTCCAGTAGCACATACGTGATGTTGCGGAGCTGATGGTACTGGACCTCCACGTCGTACGTTTGGTCCATGATGGTGACCGTCATAGGCTCGGCCTCTTGGTCTCGCGGATATTCGACGCCACCGACGCAAGGGACGACCCATATGAGATCCTGATGGCCGAGATTCTTGCCCATCAGCTGGGCCATGACGCCCAGCCCACCGATCTTGATCTTGATCTCCCAGTCTTCGATATCGTATTCCATGGTCGCGATAAGTACAGTCCGGCGATGGTCGGGGTTGCGCTTGATGGCATCACTGGTCTGCAGAAACTTGTCGGGCTTGTGCATGAGTGCTGAGAGGAGTCCCGGCTTCTCGTTTTGTTCTTCATCATCTTCGAGCTTCACGAATCGCTTGCGGAAGACAGCCGGGATCCATTGCCTCGCTGGTGCAGCGCCGACTTCGTTGAACTTGACCTTGTAGAAGCTCTGCACATACAACCAGGTGGCCAAGGCTCCCAAGATGACCGGTACGGTCCAGAGAAGGATGTACAGGATGAGCTGCTCCCACATGGATCCGGCGGGCTGAAGTTGAAAGCGCATGCTCCCATCGTCAACGACGAAAACCCACGACAGGTATGGTTTTGGGGGAGGCTTTGTGACGTTGAGTACCAGCTCCGACAACGACGACGGTGGGAGACGATCCAGAACTCCATCGCCGTCCGCGTCTCCGTACACAGCTGTCTGGTCAGGCTGGTCGTCCGGATTGATGCCCCAGACGTTGATTTGCGCCAGAGAGCCATGCGGGCTCCATTCTACCATCCAGGGTCTTCGCCACTCGTGGTCATCGACCAGTTTCATTTGGTTGTCCAGCCCGGCGTCGAATCCATACTGGTTGTACGGTCCGTTCAGGAACAGGTGCGGGAACCTTCTCTTCTTCGTGTCGCCGAGATCCGCTTGCTGGACGTGATCGCTCGACCCAGCCAGTTTGCTGAAGTATTCCACCCGGACGTGGTCGCCCTTCCAGGCCTGCAGCTCCGTCCCTGACCACGGCTGCTTCTGAATGGCTTCGCTCCCCCCGACATAAGGCTTCCAGTCGGAGAAGGACGAGCCAAAGTTCGTGGAGTACCGATACATGTCGGCCCCGGCGGCTGAATGGTGGAGCTTCAACTTATCGCCCTTGCCTTGAGAAAGCAGTGTGGTAGAATAGTTGGCAGATTGCGAAAACACCACTGGATTATCGACTTGGCCGACCCTAAACAGGAACCGATCAACAGAGTCGGTTGTCATGTTCCCGTTCTCAGCGCTTGCGTTGCGGACTGTGAGACTGTGAACACCGTTCGCAACACCAGCGAGTGTGGCCGACCAGGACCAAGTAGATTGAATCGCACCCACAAACGCGGCATCGTCCGGTGCCTCGAGGGTCTTGCAGGAAACGCTGCTCTCATCAACGTTGGGTGTGCTGTCATCGTCGGTCGTTGATCGGAACGTGATGCTCTGCGTGACGCTGTCACAATCCATCTCCACAGAGAACTGCAACTCAACATCGACAGTCTCGGTTCCATCGGCGCCGACCGAGGACAAGATGCGGGCGTCATGGCCAGGAGAGAACTTCGTGATCATCGGCCTCGGCCCTACCCACTGGTCGACCGGCACGTAAGCCTTGTAGGCGTAAGCATCCATCTCAAGAGAGCCGAGACAACCACTTGGCTCGTCAGACCCATTGATACCAAGGGATTGCTTGCTATCCTTCAGGGTATGCTGATCGTAAGGATAGAACAAATTCTTGACAGTTGTCCCACTGGAAAACGGAGAGATGAGAGCAGTCGTGTTGAGATCGGTCGACTTGTCCGAGCAGTCAAACTCGTATGTCCTCGTCCGGTTCAAATTGGAGTAGACAAGCCAGACCAAGGCATCATCACCCAGATCCTGTACTTCAGCATAACTCGAGCGCATGACGGACCACAAGCCAGTCTCTGTCTGGACGCCGCTCGAACCAGGATAGGTGATCTGCACGGTTTGATTCGAGAGCTGCTGGAGGTAGAAGCCATCATTGAGGACTGGGAACGCTTCCCGCAGGTGCATCATGTGATGAATGATGTTGCGGACAGGTGCCGATGGGTCGCGGTGATCATACGCAACAACGGGGTCCTCACAGCCATATCTTGCTGATTCCACTGGAAACTGGTAGTACTGGGTACTACTAAGGGCGTAGCAGCCGTGAGTCTTCCACGCTTCGGCACCAGACATTGCCTGACGTCCGAAGATGTAGTTGCTGGCCGTGTTGTCGAGGACATAGAACGCCTGCTCTTCACCCCACAGCAGAAGCGGAATGCCTGGGAGCAAGATCGAAGTGACGAAGTGGCCCAGAAGTTGTCGCTCGGTGCCTTGAGTAATTGCTGGCCATCGGAACACGTCTTGATTGGTGACGCCAAACATATGGCGAGGATCGAATTCTCCGGTGTTTGCATTGATCTGCAGACAGACGGACAAGAGAGTCAGTAACTGTTCGTGACAAGGTGGAGACTTGCTCATCAGAAACGTACAAGGTCATTTGTGAGCAGAAAGGTGTTCCACTGGTCTACCCAATTTACTGGCGCATCGTAGCCTGCCGCGAGATTGCCGTCCATACCCAGAAAGCGGGTCATCGTTCTGTACGTAGTGTAGTGAAACGCTCCACCTAGGGACAAATGTTAGTGACCGAAACCCCGAAAAAGATGAAGAGCTCGCTCTTCGTCCTACTCACTATCGAGACCCGAAAACTCAGGATCGCGCAAGAAGTATTTCCCACTAGAGTTTGAGGTCAACGTGACGGCCTGGGTGGCATTCTCGGGCAGTTGGTCTGGCTGGCGCCCGCGACCCAAGAAGATGGAAGCGAAGTCGTTCCCGCCCGTGATTTCGCCTGGGAGGAAGAAATTCTGCTTGTTGTACCGTCTTGCGCATGCACGCATGGCTGCGTTCATGTAGCCCATTGCATCGACGGTACTCTGCGTTGCCTTGTCATAGCGGAACCCGTCAACATCAAGCATTGCAATGGCCATGCAATAGAAATGCTCAATCTTAGCGCGGACCGGTGGATGCCATTCCCGGAGACGGTCCTGAACGGATGCGAATTTGGACAATTCACGTCGCCAGTCAGGGTACACGCCAAAAGCCTCAGTGTCTCCATACTGGTCAAACTCGGAGTCATAGCAGCCCTTCATTTTCTCGGTCACGTAGTCGTCGACCGGATAGCCTGTTTCGTTCCAAAACGCTGGGTACTCGCACGTCTTGTTGTAGGTATTCCCAATGTTGAAGTCCCAATATTGTCGATCCGTCTTCCACAGCACCTCATGTTCGTCCAGTGTGAATGGTGTCGTGGTGTTCAGGTAGCCTTCGAAGCCGATGAGGTCGCCCATAGTAGCAAAGGTATTGTCGAGCAGGACGTACATGTCCCGGCTGTGGATTTCGTCGACCAACTTCCGCCATTCGGCGATTGTACCGAAGTGAGGATCAAGGATGGTCAGATCGAGGGGAGAGTAAGAGTCGTAGCCCGAGGGCGCGTTGATAAACGGCGAGCCTGCAATGTACAGGCCCTGCGACCGGTCAGCGTGGCTTCGACGTGGATTCCAAGACAGACTGATGGCATACCTTGACTCCCATGCCCTTGATGTAGTCCAACGTATCAGTGAGGCCATCCAAGTCGCCCCCATGGCGCATCTGATTCGACTGGATGTCATGCTCGAACGCAGTGCCGTTGGAGTTGTCGTTCGAGGGGTCCCCATTGACGAATCTGTCGAGGAACAGAGTATAGAATGGGAACCGCCAGTTCTTGGGTGAGGGTGTGTATTCGTGGCCCTTCCATTCTCCCCAGTAGTCCAAAGGGTCTATCGCAGTCTTGTTCTGGTTGAGGTTGTGTTCTGTATAGGCCGGGTCATATCGGTATGCGGATGAAAGAAAAACGAACGTAGTAAGCAGAACAAGACAGTCGTTAATAATCATATTGCCAAACATAACGAAAGGGTATCACACGCTCGGAAAAGAAAACAGTGCATCAGCATAGAAACATGGAGCGAGAGTAGTTCCAGGAACCAGAGTGTAAAGAAATTGTAGAGGTGCCCATGATTGTTGAAACTACCACAGTCCTTGGAGCAAGACTAAGGAAAGCGCTGGGCTCTATCCTGGTAAGGTGTCGTAACATGGGATGGAGTGATCCATGCGGTCCTATTCTTGTAAATCCTGATTACTTTTGTCAAGCCTCAATCACATCGGAGGCGAGAGACGACAGGGGTGAGCGACTGTATAGGATAGGGATACGGAAGTTGGCGGAGCACGTCACTCGCGGTGTTCCACATGGACACTGGAGTTGCGATCGGGGATGCACGGGATGTCATCCTCAGCGCGTCGCCCGCACGACGAGGCGTATCGAGACTTCCAGAGGACCGTTGTGAGTACAGGACCGCCCCATGACGGCAGAACGTTCGCCCCTCGAGAGGGAGGGACTTCGTAACCTTTGGGCATGCAAAGCAAACGGTGCTCTTCGGGAGTTCGGGAGCCAGGCAGCCTGGAGACCAGATGCGGTTGAGGAGAGGTTCAACTGCAGCCAAACTAGGACGGTTTCAAGCCGCGCACGAATGATGGCCAAGCGGCATGCAGCCAAGATTCCCACGCTTTCGATCAAGACGGACGAAGAAGGGTTGATTTTGCCTCTTCTGATCGTCCCGTGTCCCAAGAGGTATTTGTCGGCGCTGCAGATCATCCTTTGGGCCTCCTGCGTAGCCTCATCCGCGCTCTATGCTGTCCGGCAGCCCGTTGCAGAATAGAGCACTGTCGTCTGCTGCGACGACGAGTCTTGTCCTGCACGTAAACGTCAGTCTCCACCTTGAAATGCTGAAATTGCCACCATGATTTCTGTCGGCCACATGGTTCGAAAGCCGGCATGAACGAAGTGGGCACTTGGGTGGAGTTCCAATTCTGGCCGCATGAGCTGCACAAGGGTCAGCCATGTGCAGCACGAGCGCCTCGTTCTGATTGATGAGATAAGACCCATAAACGAGGGCGGCACACAGCAAGTTCCTGCACACGTGTAGCCGCCAGAACCCGGACGTTGAGGATTGGGATGACGAGGATGGAATAAGCTTCACGCTATGAGACGGCTCGGCGGATCCTGAAGCCAATTCACCCGTCCGCTGGGAAGAAGTGCACAGACGGCGCCTCGGACGCCTCATCACTATATCTGACAAGGCTGACATGATAAGGGCTGCTCAACCTCCAACCACGGCGCGAGAATCTGTTCCGTGCAAATCCCAATCGGGAAAACAGTGCTGGCGGTTATCAACGACCACTCTACATACTTCATCCCTGATCACATGCAAAGAGCCTCAGGAGCCTGGAAAATCCTCCGCGGCGCGATCGGAAAACAGGTTTCTTATCAGGTTTCAAGTGTTTCCAGGAGAGAAAACTCTGCCCTTACATACTTAATTAACTTTACCCCCTCGTAATTCGGTCGTGACAGGAACGAAAGTCTCGTCGCCACTTCGGCGAGGCAGGAGTGCAGATGGCGGAGGGGCGGCCGTTAGCTCCGAGTATAGACAGGAAACGGTACGTACCTTGACTAAAATATTGGCCAGCTTGGCCAGCAGACCTCACATCACGTCAGCCTTTGAAGACGATCAAGTGAGCTGCCCTTCGCCCGGCGTCGCCTGCTATGGCCATTCGACCCCTCTCCTCCGCCCGCGGCCAGACGAGGCTGGCGCCCTCGTGCTCCCGTCCAAGTCCATGGGAGGATGGCTAAGGGAAACTCCAGTTAGAGTTCGATAGCGTTGCAGATCTTACACCCATTCATCGCGATCAAGAAGAAGCCTGGGCTCGAACAGACTGCTAACTCCTCGAAGGTGACGGCGAGTGAGCGACATTGCAAGCAGCTACAATGAAAGCCGCCCACCAGGCGTGCAGACGAGAAACGCGCGCCCTCGAGAGTGGTGTGGCCTTTTCGGGTGCATTTGGGTCTGGAAGAAGACTGCGTGAGATTCCCAGTGGCCTGCTTCCATTGTCCCTCGCTTGGATGGTTCCAGAAGACTGCACTTGTCGTTCCGTTGTACGCAGTCTTGACCTGTCGTTGTAGGAGCGTGACTGTACCTCCTAGCACTTCGAACGCAGAGATGGAGTAGCTTCCAGCAGATGTCCATCGACTCGATAGCTGAGGTAAGAGGTTCGGTTCGGCAAAGAGCCATCGTCTCGTTGGTCGACAGACACTGCTATGACTGTACAACGAGTGTGAGGACGGTACTGTTCCCTTCGAGTACGACAGCGGCTGCCGGAGGAGTATCGACACTTGGTCCAAAGTCAGGTGTGTTTGCACGCTGCGTAAAGGTAGTGTCAAACCAGCCTTGGACATGGAGTCTCCCGTTCTCCCATATCCAAAGCCATTGGACAGCTACACATCGGATAGCATGGTTCTCAATTGCGTGCTGGAAATACATTCTCGATCGGATCTTGGGGATACAGAATGGAGGAGACAGGCCTACTCACCGGTCGTTGAATGCGTGGTGGGCAGCCCCTCCTGCATTCCAGCTGCGACACGGTGGCTTGACTGTAAGCTGATATGGCGGCGGATGGATCAAAATGCTGTCAGACCTGCTGGGAGATTGCTTTGTGTAGTCTTGTTAATTCCAAATGTTATCGTTCGTGTTCTCCATCGTCAGTATCTAGCACTGGCTGTAGTCACAGCAATTTCCAGGTCTCAGGAATGAAGGACGAGTGGGATGATTGCACGCATCTCTAGTTTGCCTCTTAAGTTTCGGAAGGCCGAGTATAAGTGTTGGAAAAGTCCGTCGAGGTTGTGTTGTCAGATGTGAAGAAGAAGGGAATATTCGCATGTGAAACCACATGCAATGACATCCTGTGATATTCCGGCTTCACCACCTTACCACCGCCAGAAGCCGTACCGAATGACCTTCTACCACAACCTTATCCAAGGAGGTCCTGCAGCTGTCAAGCAAGCCACATCCCGGTCCCGACCTAGCCAGCTCCAACACAATGTCTGACCTCTTCCGGCAAAGCATCAACAAGGAAACGCCACCCCGTCCCAAACCTACCCCCATAACCTCCACAGACCCCGACGACAACTCTTCCTCCTCCTCCTCCGCCGACTCCACTGCCTCCATCAACACAGTCCGGCCCACCTCCAGCGAACAACCTCCTCCTCCGGAACACTGGTCTAATTATTTCGCCCAAGAACTATACCTCTCCTCATCCACTCCCACATCATCAGCAACCTACCATGTCTACCTCACCCCACCCACCGACCCCAAAAAGGGACCCCTCTTCATCACCCACCACGGCGCCGGCGCCTCTGGCCTCTCCTTCGCCCTACTAGCCCAAAACCTCCGCCACCGACTCCCTGAAGCCGGAATCCTGTCCCTCGAAGCCCGTGCCCATGGCTCCGTCGTCAAATCCCCAGAAGACGACAAAGAGATCCCAGACTTCTCCATCACGACCCTCACCGCCGACGCTCTAGCCATGATCAACCTCACCGTCGCCCACATGACCTGGCCCACCCTGCCCCCTTCAATCCTCATCGGCCACAGCCTAGGCGGCGCCGTGGTGACCCAACTCGCCACCGACTTTGCCCTGGGCACCGCACTCGTAGGCTACTGCGTGCTAGACGTCGTCGAGGGCTCCGCGCTCGAAGCCCTGGGGCACATGCAAACATACCTCGCATCCCGACCTTCCTCCTTCGCCTCCGTGGACGAAGCAGTAGCCTGGCACACCCGCACGCGCACGATCCGGAACGCGGAATCCGCCAAAGTCTCTGTGCCCGGCCTATTGAAACCCCTCCCTCCGTCCTCTGCAGAAAGCAAAGCGAGCGGGTATACATGGCAAACCAACCTCGCAACAACAACCCCCTACTGGCCCACCTGGTTCACCGACCTCTCCCCTCACTTCCTCACGGCACGGGGGGCCAAACTGCTCATCCTCGCCGGCACAGACCGCTTGGACCGCGAACTGATGATCGGACAGATGCAGGGGAAGTTCCAGCTCACGGTGATACCCGAGGCGGGACACTTTGTGCACGAGGATGCGCCGGAGAAGGTGGGGGAGGTGGTGGAGGGGTTTTGGCGGCGGAATGATCGGGGGAGTATGGTGTTGCCGATGAAGGTGGATCAGATGCTGGCAAAAGGCATGAAAGTCTGAGGGCGCGAGGGAGGAGGGAAGGATGGATATGCTTGATGATAATGATAGCATGACTGCATTAAAAGCAATAGACGTGTGTCCTGCCCCCATTCCATATGTGCAATGCCCCAAGTCCCGCCTCGCCTGCTGGCGTACCCTATCTTGACAGTGATGTAACCCATTATCCGTTACCCAATGCAATGCGATGCCAAAACGAACGCCACCCATCCTTCTATCACACCCCATAGCCCCGTCCATCTATGCCTCAACCCAAAACGACCGCAAACACCGCACACCATGCAAATCCCAAACGCTTCACTGTACAGATCCGGTCAAACCCCCACAGCCATCCCACACTCCCTTTCCATCAGTGTGTGGATGAGATGTGTGGATCACTCAAACGACATACTAACCTCCTTCTCCTTCCCGAAGTCATCATCTCCATCTGCCCAAGGATTATGGACCGGATTCGGCGAGCCATTCGGTCTCGCAGCAGGAGATCCACCAAGAGTAGATGTCGAAGGCAGCGCAGGCGACGTACTCGCGCTCTTCAGCGGCGGTCGTTCAGGAGCGGGGGACGGTGCCGGGCTGAGGGATTGCTGTGAAGGGTTCTTCGAGGAGTAGGCCGGTGGTTGGTGCTCGGAGGGGTCGAACGACATCCTGACGCCATCCTCGCTTTCGTTGTAGCTGGAATGACCGTTCGTATACGCAGACCCAGCAGGACCACTAGCTCTCGTCCCATCGTAACTCTTAGTCTGCCGGAGTCCACCATTAGGTGTCCCAGCTCCACCTGGCGCGGGCGAGCTGTCCGGCCTGGACGCCCCAACGCCACCCTCCACCTTCAAAGCCGGCAACGTACTCTCAATCTCCCTCACGCGCAAATGCCGCTTAATCTCTTCCACATCCCCACCTTCAAGCGCCAACCGCATCGCCTCCGCGCGAATCGCATCAACATCGAACATGACATTCTTCTCCTCCCCCTCCTTTGCCACACGCTCCGCTTCCGCTTCATCCCCCTCCAGAACTTTCTGGCTGCGCTCATCGTACGTCTCCCACTCTTTCTTGGAAATCTTCTTGCGCTTGAAGAAGGATTTGAAACCACCAGCTTTCTGGCCGCCGTTGGCTTGTTCTTTGGCCTCGAGCTCGCGGCGCGCGGCTTCGATTTCGTTGAGCAGTTCGCGCTGGCGCTTCTCGTGGTTCTCCGGGTCCGGGTCTTCGATCTCGTTGAATTCGAGGCCGTCGACTGCCCAACCCACAGATGATAGGAGAGTGGGCATCATGCCGCGGTAGGCCATGTGGCCTGGCACCAGCTCGGTGACGTCTTTGTTCTCGATGCCGGGGACGTCGACGGAAGAGAGGCCGGAGACGCGCATGATGCCGCCACTGGTGGCGCGGAAGAGGTAACCGAGGATCCAGTCGTTGCTCGCGTAGCCGTTGAGGAAGCGTCCGCTTACGACTGTTCGAGCGCGGAGGTATTCTTCATGCTTTGCCACGATAGGGCTGCCGAAGAGATAGACGTTCTGGACCAAGCCGAGGGCGCCGCGTTTGGCGAGTTCTTTCAAGCAAGAGAAGATGACGCGAGAGCCGAGGGAGAAGCCAACAAGGGTGATGGGGCGTACGCCCAAGTTGCGGTCGATGATGGAGTCTGCCAGGATCAAGCCCGTAGCATCTGCGCGGGCGAGGGAGACGGTCCAGGGGTTGTCGATGAGGTAGGAGAGCTTGGTCAGTATGATCGGCAGGCTCAGTCCAGCCATCAACGCCGTCAAGACGGTGGAGGCGAGGATCTGCTGAACGGTCTGCGTGAGAGCTTCGGTGGCAAGGATCTGAATCGTTTGACCAGTCGACTTCAGCATGTCCGGCTCCCAGTTTACAGAGTAGATGTCGCCCATGATAGGGTCAACAGTCGAGAAGGGCAAGCGCACATCGTCAACATTGCCCGTCATCCAGCCGGACACGGTGACGATGAGGTTCGTGCGCTTGTTGTTGAACAGCGGACGGTACTCGAAAGTTTTCACCGCGCCGGTCCGGCGGGCAGAGGATCGCACGCCGATAACAGAGCCAGTGAGTGTGCCGGCCGTGCCGATCAGCGCTGCAGCACCTGTGCCGCCGAGGAAGGTAGATGTGCCTGCTACACCGATCGTCGTGAAGCCGGCAGCAAGACCAGCACCGATGACAGGCGCGAGAACGCCGGCTGAAAGCCCGATCACGAGTCCTCCGCCGACAGTACACAAACCCATGACCATCATTCGCTTGTTGCGTGCTCTCTTCTTACGGGACTCGAGGTGCTCTTCTTCGTTCCAATTCTCCTTGTCGGCCTGTTCTTGCATCTCCAACGCATCCGTGACCCGCTTCTCGAACCTGCAAACCTCCTGCCATTCGACGGAGAGTGCCTCACCAACATGTTCGAGTAGTGTTCGGGAGCGAGCATCGTAAGTGCTGTCGGCGATGAGTAATAAGAAGAGATCACACAAGACAGTCCACCGGATGTCGATATCGAGGTTTTTGCTGCCCTCAATCTGCGACTGGTCGCGGGACGTAAGCTCATCAGCGTCATGTTCTTGGTAAGCAGGCGGCGGGTCAGGAAGTGATGGCGTGCCAGGCACGGACAGGTTTTGAGCCGAATGCCTCTTCTCGAACGTATCCGATGGCCTGGGCGAGCTCATCGAAGGGCGGGCGGAATTTGCAGACTTGAAGGATGATGTCTCGCTTGGGTCATTCGCGTTGGCCGGATTCTTCACGCGCGCATTTGCCATCAAAGCTGGCGTGAGGTCGGACGGCAGCACTCCATGCTCTGCCAGCTGTTCGACCATGACCTGCTCCGCCGAGTCAATCTCCATGTGGCTGTACAACCGTACCATGATCTTCTGGCCCCACATCTTCATGGCTTCGGTCGCGAACTCGATCTGCTTCTTAGCACCCTTCGCTCGCTCGAGGCCATTGACGCTGTCTAGCATCTTGCCTATTGACAGCCGAACCACGCCAACGTAGGCTATGCGCTGTCCTTCGGTAAGGAGCTGCTTCGTCGCTTGCATTTGACTCAGCATGTCTTTACCCTCTTCATCTTCGTCGAACAACGCATTGCTGTTGTGTGGTTCTTTGAAGAGGTAGGCAGTATTGTCATCCATGCTCGTTGCACTCTGCGCATCGTCATCGACTTGCACACGAGTGTATCCCTTGCCAGCACCACCAAGACTAGCATACGTAAGATGCTCGTCTTCCTCCTCATCGTACTCCTTGGCAAGAACCTTGCCCCAGTCGTCGTAGATCCTGTGGGTAGCGTAGGCAGGCATCGCTTGCCATTCGTCCTCCTCCTTGACCTCTTCCTCAATGGTAGGCGCCATCACTTGCTGGTGTGAATACTCTGACACCGAGTTGGCATGCGGTCTCGATGCGCTTGGGCTTTGGCTGGAGGAGGTGTTGCTGCGCTTGCGCCGGTCATTGGAGGGACCGGCGGTGGCTTCGTCTGGCTTCTCTCGATCTGCAGCATCATGCAGTCCTGTGTCTATCCTCTCCGGCGCAGCCTGGGTGGTGGCCTGGGTACTCGTGGTGGGTGCTTCAGCTTTCGCTGTTTCTGTCCCATTGGCCTCAACGTCCGCTGGCTGGTCGGTGGGCTTTTCATCCTCATTGCCCTGCTTCGCTCCCTCCGCCGGTCTCTCTTGCGCATCCTCGAAGACATCTGACTCCGCCAGCGGTCCAGGCCCCCCATTCGCAGACTCCCCCTCTTCCTCGCTCCACCGCCGCCTCCTAGCCGGTCTCACCGGCAGTCCAAACTCGTCCGCCTCCGAGTCCACCTTTGGCGCATCCTTCTTGTCTTGCGCAGCCTCCTCGCCCTTCCCTACCACCCCATTGACCGCGGTAGTCTCCTCCGTCTTGCCGACCTGCTGCGCCTTTCCTCCATCGTCGTCCGCAGGCATTCCTGGTTCGCCTGCACACCTACAGCATGCTAGATCTGCGGATGCAATGTAGCGACTGCTGCATGTGTAGGTTGCTTATTGTCAAATTGACTGGGGTTGTCGTGGTACAAAGTGCTTGTTTCCCAAACAAAGCCCATTGCACCGCAGCCGTTTAGATGCAGGTGAGACGTAAGTTTGAGTTCAGCACGGGCCACTCGAGTATATGCCTTCGACAACTTTTTCGAACTTGCGATATTCAATCTACATCCACGACTGCAAACACCGCTACAATGCGCGCAAAACGCTCGAAACAGTACCGCAAACTGATGCGGCAGTACGAACACCTGGGCTTCCGCAAACCCTACCAAGTCCTCATCGACGCCCAACTAATCCGCGACGCCGCCAAATCTAAGCTCCAGCTCGGCAAACTACTCGAAGATGCCCTCGGAGGCGCAGAAATCAAACCCATGATCACGCAATGCTGTATCCGACATCTCTACAATTCACCCGCGGAGACAGACGCCGAGAAGAGGGAAAAGGACGGCTGGATCGAGGTCGCAAAGGCTGCGGAGCGCAGACGCTGCGGTCACCACGAGCTGGAGGAGCCGCTGAGTGCGCTGGAGTGTCTGCTGAGTGTGGTCGATCCGAAGGGGAGTGGGACGAACAGACATCGGTATGTGGTTGCGAGCCAGGAGCAGGAGGTGAGGGTGAAGATGAGGGGGATTGTGGGGGTGCCGTTGGTTTATCTGAAGCGGAGTGTGATGATTCTGGAGCCGATGGCGGGGGTGACGGAGCAAGCGAGGGATAAGGAGGAGAGGGAGAAGATGAGGGCAGGGTTGAAAGGGAGGAGAAGCGCGCAGGCCGGGGACAAGAGGAAGGCTGAGGAGGATGGGGAGGGTGATGCTGCCGCTGCTGTTACTCAGGAAGCGGTTTCCGGAGATCAGAGCACGCCTGCGCCCAAGAAGAGGAAGATTGGCGGTCCGAAAGGGCCGAACCCTCTGAGCATGAAGAAGCCGAAGAAAGAGAAGGAGAACGAGAAGAAGACTGTGGCTAGAGAGGTAGAGGACGAGCGATCCACGATACGAAAGGCCGAGAAGACTGATCCTCAAGCGAGTGAGAAGGCGGTCGCCGCAGAGAGGGTTGTACAGGGCGCCGGACCTAGTGATGACAAGGCTGAAGGTTCCCGCAAGAGGAGGAGGAAACGGAAGCATACAGAGGCTGAAGGTGGAGGCGAAAATGTTCCTAACATTGCCGCATGAAGAGTTGCTCCCCAGCGTTGCCGAAGGTCGCGGTGCTATACTTATTCTAGAGATACCCAACTACGACACCGATGCACAGCCCTTCCAGTCTCAACACCCCAGTCTCTATTAATGTCAAGTGGAAGTCGTCGTGACTGAGGTGAGTTGAACAGCAGAGTAAGTAGAGATCATCTCATTGTGCTAACAATCCTATTACTGTACAAACACCCTCGCCCAAACTCCAGCGCCTCCTGCTTTTCCAACAAGCACGAAAAGAGAAAGACATTAAATGCGTAACAAGCAGATCGTACAAAATAAAATCCTCCCCAACAACATCTCCCTTACTTCTTGTCACCACCCAAGAAGCCACCAACGATCGGCAGCGAGGACAAACCTCCACCACCGCCCTTCTTCTTCTCCTTCGACCCGCCACCACCGATGCCGAACGACTCGAGCAGCTTGTTGATTCCAAGACCGCCCATGAGCCCATTGACCAGACCGCCGAGACCGAGACCATTGAGCAGCTGCCCAACAAGCCCCAGCACACCAGCCAGCAACAACCCAACGGCCGCCAGGATCTGGAACAGCGGCTGCGTCATCAGGCCCCAGAGCGGGTTCAGCTTCTTCTTCGCATGCGGCATGTCGTTGAGCTTCTTCTTCGCATCATCAACCGTCTTGACCACCGTCGTCGTCAACTCCTTCAGCGTCTCCGCCAGGCGATACTCCTCGGGCGTCGCTTCACCCGTGCCAGCGCGACCCTTCGCCTGCGCAGCGATCCTTCCGTCAGGGTCCAGACCGCGCAGCGAGCCGTTGCACTCCTGCAGCACCCGTCCGGCCTCTTCGATGAGCGGCTTGACGTTGTTGACAAGCTCCTCCTCGTCCAGCTCCTCCTTGGGCGTGCGGTCCGCCTTCTCCATGTGGTCGCTGATCTGCTTGCAGATGGGCTGCATGCGCTCGAGCGTCTGCGTGCAGATGCCGCCCATCTTCTCCGCGATCTCGCGCTCTTCTTCGCGCTTGCGGGCTTCTTCTAGCTCCTCCTCGGTAGGGCCCTCGTACTCTTCCTCGACAATGTTCTCGATGAGCGTGACCTCGCCGATCTTATTGCCGTCGACGTCGACTACGTTGCCGGCGTCGTCGACTTCCTGCCCGACGCAGTGGACGAGGTCGCCCGAGGTAAGCTTGCCCATGATGTCGCCCTGCTCGTCGCGCACCTCGCCCTCCTTGTTGACGCGCTTGCCGGACATGGGGCTGACGCGACGTTCCTTCTCCTCCGGCTCCCAGCGTTCAGCCTTGCCGATGGAGTTGCCGTTCTTGTCGACGATGTCGCCGTCCTCGTCAACAGTGTGGCCGAGCAGTTTCTGGATATCGCCTTCGATGATACGACCGATAATGTCGCCACCAGGTGTGCTGATGGTGCCGTCCTTGTTGATTTGCAGACCCTCAAAGCCGGCGAAGGGACCTTCGGGTGAAGTGTCCTCTCCGTAAACCAGCTCGCAGCGTCCCACAACATTACCGTTGTCATCCCAGATCTGGCCTTGGCCATCGACCTTCTTGCCAATCATGCTCTTGACCTCACCCTCCACGACACGCCCGACGATCTGGCCGGAGAAGTCGACGGCATTGCCGTTCTTGTTAATGCGCGTGCCAGCAAGAGCCGAAAGGTCGACTTCCTCCTCCTCAGGCTCCTCGTAATACTCGGCGTGACCCTTGACGTTGCCGTACTTGTCAAGGATATCACCGTCTTCGTCGACAGCCATGCCGACCAATTTCTTAGCGTTGCCCTCTTCGATGACACCGACGCGATTGCCGTCTTCGTCCTCGACCCAGCCGTCCTTGACCACACGTAGTCCCTCGAGTCCAGCGAATGGGCCCTCTGGGCGGCTAACGCGCTCGTTCTCGGGGATGACCTCGCAGCGACCGACAGCCTTGCCAACATCGTTGTAGATCAAGCCCTGCTCATCGCATTGACGTCCAGCCAGCTCCTTGGCATCACCCTCAACGAGACGGCCAAATGGCACACCATTCTCATCGACAACGTAGCCCTGCTTGTTGAGCGTCTTGCCAGCCAGAATGCTGTTGTCAATCACCTCCTCTTCCTCCTCTGGCAGAGGCTCGGCGTGACCCTTCACGTTGCCGTACTTGTCGAGAATGTCTCCATCCTCGTCGACACTGAGACCGACAAGTCGCTTCGGGTTGCCTTCAACGATCTCGCCAACCTCGTTGCCATCCTCATCGGCGATGCGTCCGCCGTCGATGACACGCAGGCCTTCCAGACCAGCGAAAGGTCCTTCAGGCTTGGACTCACGCTCCTCCTCCGGAATCATCTCGACGCGGCCGATGACCTTGCCCTTGTCGTTCCAGATCTGTCCTTGATCGTCGAGCTCTTTGCCGGAAAGCTCCTTGACACGGCCTTCGACCAAGCGGGCGACAGGTACACCCTCATCGCCAATGACAAGACCAGACTTGTTGACCGTTTTGCCCTGCAAGGACGAGAGGTCGACTGGCTCTTCTTCCGGCTCTGGCTCTTCCTCCTCAGGCTCGTAGCGCTCGGCGTGCCCGACAACAGAACCCTTCTTGTCGATGATGTCTCCGTCCTCGTCAACCTCACGGCCGATAAGCTTCTTCGCGTCGCCCTCGGTGACGTAGCCGACGTTGTATCCATTCTCGTCTTGTACGAAACCATCCTCGACGACGTGCAGGCCCTCGAGACCAGCGAAGATTGCTTCCTCTTCCGGCTCTTCTTGAGGCAAGGTCTGGGCACGACCGATAACATGGCCCTTGTTGTCCCAGAACTGTCCCTCAGCGTCGGAGGTGATGCCGGACTTGGAGAGCTTCTTCGCATCGCCCTCGACGAGTTCACCGACAATGGTGCCGTTGGCGTCGATGAGCTTGCCGGCCTTGTTGACAGACAGGCCTTCGAGGATGGAGAGCGGTGGTAGCTCAGGACCAGTCTCTTCTTCTTCTTCTTCGGCCTCGCCCTCCGCCTCCTCCTGACCTTCTTCCTCACCTTCCTCTTGCGGCATCTCAGGCTCGCCGTCCTCACCAAGGGTAGTGACACGACCAATGACGTTGCCGTCCTTGTCGAGGACATCACCCTGGTCATTGACCTTCTTGCCAGCGCACTCAGAGACGTCGCCGTCAATGAGCTGACCAATGGGCTCACCATCCTCATCGAGGATCATACCCTTCTTGTTGACCTTCAAGCCATCAAGCTTGGTCAGGTCCGGAATGGCAGCCTGCTCTTCCTCAGGTTGAGTCTCTCCAAGCTCTTCGAGCAACTCCTTGGTGGCGTTCTCGGCGGCCTCGCCACGGACGACATTCACGTGACCGATGATGTTGCCCTGCTTGTCAAGCACCTCGCCCTTGTCATTGGCCTTCTTGCCAGCACACTCGGACAGCTCGCCGTCGCGGAGCTCACCAATTTCCTCACCATCCTCATCGAGGATCTTGCCCTTCTTGTTGATCTTCTTGCCATCAAGAATGCGCATGTCAAGGACAGGGCCGCCGGCGAGACGCTCAGCAGCGCCGTCGGCGAGATCAAGAGTTTCGAGGACATTTCCTTCCTCGTCAACAACTTGACCCTCGTCGTTGATCTGGAGGGTGTCGGGGTCGATCTCGCCTTCTTCGATCTTGCGCTTGAGCTCCTCGTCCTGGATGCTGGCGAGGATGTTGCCGCCTTCGTCGACGACTTCGCCGGCGTCGTTGAGCTCCTTGCCTTCAAGGGCCTCGATGCCAGGGAGTTCGTCTTCGATGCCCTCGGCTTCGCCTTCGGCGGCTTCGGCGCCCTCTTCTGCAGCGCCTTCGGCTTCATCGCCAAGCGCGTCTGCTTCGTCAGTGACGCCGTCGACTTGGTCTTCAGCGCCCTCGACGCCCTCCTCGGCGGCCTCCTCAGCAGCGCCAGCGGCAGGGTAGACACCTTGCTCAACAAGGTCTGCGGCGTCATCGTGAATGTCGGCATGGCCGACAACATTTCCATCATCGTCGATGAACTCGCCCTGGTCGTTGAGGGTGGCGTTCTGAAGCTCGGATGGGTCACCATCAGTAACGACACCAATGGTGTTGCCCTCGCTGTCGTAGATGATTCCGTCGACCTGGCACGTAAGACCTTCCATGATGTCGAGGCCAGGCAGTTGTGGGCCAGCCTCCTCATCTTCCTCCTCGCCCTCTTCTGGGCCACCGGCGAACTGGGAGACCTGGTCAAGGTACTCGTCAACGCCCTCTGGAAGCTCCTGGCCTTGCTCGCGAGCCTCCTCGATCTGCTTCTTGACCTGGTCGGGAAGGAGCTCGACTCGGCCAACGAGGTCACCATCTTCGTCCAGAATTTCACCTTCGTCGCCAATGGGGTAGCCAGCGAGGTCTTCAGCGTCACCCTCGGCAAGCTTGCCAACTGGATTGCCTTCGCTGTCGACAACACCGCCATCATCCTGGACTTCAAGACCCTTGAGGATGGAGAGGTCAAGAGGTAGACCCTCTGGTGGTTGGGGTTCCTCCTGGGTGACACCATCGGCAGTCTCTTCAGCGCCCTCTGCAGCGCCCTCGGCTTGGTCTTGGGCACCTTCTGCTGCACCTTCGGCCTGGTCCTGAGCATCCTCTGCAGCGCCTTCAACGCCGTCGGTGGCGCCCTCAACAGCACCTTCGGCCTGGTCTTCGGCACCGTCAGTGGCATCTTCAGCCTCGTCGGTGCCCTCGCCAGCGACCTTCTGTGCCTCATCGAGACCCTCGTCCGCAGTCTCCTCGGCACCTTCGGCGGTCTCTTCGGCTCCTTGCTTGGCGTCGTCGCCGGCTTCCTGAGCGGCACCGGAGGGGTCCTGCGAAGCTTTGCCGGCGAGGCCGGAAGCTTTACCTGCCAAACCTTGAGCACCCTTCAGAAGGCCACCTTGCTGCTCCTCACCTTGCTGTTGCTCCTGGTCCTGGTCATCCTGCTGCTGGTCATCGGTCGCGTCGTCCGCGGATTCGACAGTCTGGCCAGCCTTCTCTGTCGCGTCGTCGGCGACATCTTCTGCGTCATCGCCCGCTTCTTCGGCGGTGTCTTGCGCCTGTTGCTGGGCGCCTTCTACCGCGTTGTCGTCATCGTCATCATTAATGGGTTCCGGAGCGGCCTCCTCGAGACCTTCCTTGGCTTGTTCGCCAGTCTCGCTGACCTTGCTCATGGGGCCCTCATCGTCGTCACCGCCAGCAGAGCTTTGCGCCTGCTCGGCGGTGTCGCCAGCTTGCTGCTTGGCATTGTCGGCGGCGCCCTGAGCAGTCTGCTGAGCTTTGCCGGTGTCTGGCTTCTTGGGCTGCGAAGGAGTGCTAGTCTCTGGCTTCTTCGCGCTGGCAGCCTTCGGAGTTGATGGGGTGCCTTTGCCGCCCGTTGATTGAGCTGATTGACCGAGCTTCTGGGGAGTGTTTTGTGGCTTCCGCGTTAGCTTTGTCGGTGTCTTAGGCGCAGCCTGTTGCTTTCCAGCCGCCGGGGAGGGAGCCATCTTTTGGTTTTGGCTGGCGTCCTTTTGCTGTGGTGTAGGTTGCCGGCTAGAGCGCTTTTGTGACGCAGGCGATGATCTACTTGGGGTAGGAGGGAAGGAGTAGTAGGCGTATTCTTTGGAATTGCTCGTCATGCAAGTCTGACGAGTCTGAGAGGGAAAAAAGAGGAAAGGGAGGGTTAATCGGAGTGTGGCTGGAGCGACGGTCGCTGCATCACTATATACCTGCACGAGAAGTTGGCACACTGGCTGGGATCTCCGACAGGGAACAGGGGCCCTGCTGGGACACAGAAAGCAGAGAGGCGCGTCCGCGTCCAGCGCGAGAATCTCGCACACTTCGCAGCATTGGTGACGTCGGTTGCTGCGCGCCTGCAGGAAGAAATGGGGGAGCTCTGCCAGCTCGCGCCTCAGTGTGGCCAGAGGGTCTCCACGCGGCTCGATTGGGGCCGAGGGCTGGTGCACAACTGGTCGCCGATGCTTGTCACTTCTGCGATCCGCGTTGGCCAGATCAGGAGAACCCTGCCTGTGACAGCGTGGCGGTTCTCCGCTTTGGCAGAGGGAGCCACTGGTGACGTCGCGCGTTACCAGCCTCTGAATTGTTTCTTCTGTCGTTGTTTTGCTTTCGTCTGGTCTTTTCCATGCTGTAGTCGATGTCCAGAGACGAGGTGGAAGAGAAAAAAACGAGGGCAGGCAGCTAAGCTATTCACTCACCTTGCCGTTGAGCCTCTCTCCCTCCGCAGACGAGTTGAGACTGCTCAACAGCAGCTTCTGAGCGTCGATTGCGGCGGGGGAAATGGATGGCTTGTGCGCCCCAATGACCTGCATCGACGATCGAGAAGTTGGTCGCGAAAGTGGCTGCTCGACCGACCCGCAAGCCACATCATCCACCTGCACCGTCCTGTGCAACGCTGCTGTCGCGAGCCGCCGGCGAAAATGTGATCAGTCGCCGCTTTTCTCTCGTTGTGCGGCAGATGGTTGGAGTGGTCCAGCCTCTTCGCATAAATTGCTTTGATGCGGTGACGTCCAAGCTGCCGGGCCGCTAAGGATTCTAGACTCTTTTGGGGAGCCTTTCTAGTCACGTGGAATCAACGTCATTTTTCACTCTCATCTCGTCTTTGAGCGAGCAAATTACAGCCGCGAAAAGCCTCAGCAAGCATGCGAGATTGCAGGACGTCAGATCTATGTAACGATGTGGAACGTGAACCGATTTTCGTACGCCGAACTTCCAGCGCGACGTTGGCAAGGCGTGATGTTGACTTCGAACCAGCGCGTGGTTGGTATGAACTTTGGCCCAGTAAAGGGACCACGCGTTGTGGCGTACGTGGAGGAAGTCGGAAGTCGAACCGGTCTTCGTTGTGGCTGTTTATGAACGATAGACAGAGAACGCGTGGAGCGAACTGAAAGTATCCAAACTCTCACGACTCAGTCGGAGAAAACACCCAGATCAGTACAATGCAGCTGTCAACGGCCGGCTCAATTTGCGTGGCCAGCAAAAGCTTGTATAGCTGGAAGAAACGCTCTGAACTCCTACCCGACTCCCATGACCAGTGGTATCGTGCGATAAAACAACACTCATCAACCCAACGCCCAAAATGCTCACTTGCCCTCCCTCTCAATCCGAAGCTTCCTCATGACCCGATGACTGAAACTCCTCTGCCGTCTCGCCTGCTCCTGCTCCTCCAAAATCTCCCTCTCCTTCGCCGCACTCTGGCTCTTGTCCTTGGCAGCCTCCTCTCGTTCTCGCTTCCCGTCCGGATCAAAGACGTCCTTCACGCCCTGCTGAGCAGTTTTGGCGTGGCGCTTGGCTCCGAGATAGCCTTCTAGCCCTAGCAGGACGGCGTAGGAGCGTGAGACGCTCATTCGGCTGAGGTCTGCGCCATGCTCTTTGAGCGACTTGAGGAACTCCTCGAAGTTCTTCAAAGGAGGAGCGTAGTGGCCGCTCAGAGGCGAGAGTTTGCGCAGTTGGCCGCGTTTGATCTTGATCAGACCTGCTGCTGCAACGCGGGCGCCGCGAAGAAACGAGGAGTGCTGGAAAGCGCCTGATTGCTTGATGCCAACGTATAGCCTGAAGGAGGTGTCGGCGACGAAAATCCACGTATTCTTCTTGGTTGTCTTGCGCAGCATGTGGTTTTTTAGCGACTCCGCGGTTATGTGGTTGACCTTGGACAAGCCTTTGGCGTCGTGGAATTCAGTGTTGACGTATTTTGACGCATCTTCCTGCGACCCAGTGCTGATGTCGGAAAGCGAGCTCGAACTGGAGCCAGCTGGTTCAGGGGGTGGAGCAACGCCCGTGGTTACTTCCCGCCAGCTCGGAGTAGTGTCGTCGATGGTCACGATGCCATCTATGCTGTCCTTGTACTCTGGAGATGTGGTGACAGGATCGCCGTTCTTGTTCCAGCAGAAAAGCCCATCCTTGACGTATACGAGATACCGCTTCCTCTCCTCTCGAGAAAGATACCGTACTCGCTCCCTGTCTAGCCGTGACCTTGGTCGGTCCTCAAGATCGAGCTGCGAACCCTCGCCGAAATCCAGCCAGTAGAAGAAGTTCTCGTTTGTGTCTGCCTTTTTCCACTCTGCATGGTACCGTCTCAAATTGCTACCATACCTGCAAAACGCCACGCAAGGGTCAGCGATTGTCCAACGATGTTGGGGTGTGTCCTGACCTATGCTTCACATCGACCATCTCCAAGAAATACTCCAACCCCATAACCTTCGCATACTTCTCCCTCTCCCTCTTCTGCGCCCTCTTCCGCTCCTTCAGCGCCCTCCTATCCTCCGCATCCCCGACCTCCACATCGCTCTCGGAAGTATCATCGCTCCCAGCCCGCTGCGCAATCGCCCCAATCCTCTTCCACCTATTCCGCGCATTCGAAGGCGACCCAGCACTACTCCCAGACCGATGCTCGCGAGACAGCGGAGCGGTGGAATTGTGGTACTTGGCATCTTTCAGCAACTGCACCCATTTCGTCCCTGGATCCAAGCCGAAGCCTTCGAGCTCTCGCCGTGCTCGGTAGCCACGGTAGTTCTTCTGGATCAGCTTCGCGGCTGTGTTGCGCTGTTCGTCTTCTGGAGAACCCCGCCACTGTTTCCGTTTCTCTGCCCGTTCTCGTGCTCGCGCATCTTGCTTTGCTGCTATTTCGTGCAGCCGTTCCGGCGAAGGGAGGCTTAAGAGTTCACCGGGGGTTTTGATCGCTTCGTATTGGGCAATTGGATGCGTGTCTACGCTTTGATTCTCCTCCTCCATTGCGGCGTCGGCGCATGCTGGGCACTAGCAAGACCAGAGTTGTTACACAGCGTTTCTTTCATGCACTCGATATCGTAGAGCCATATTCGGTCCGCAGCTACCTACCGACAGTCGTCGCGTCGTCCTTCTTGGCAGGTACAGGACCGAATCTTCCGAGTGCAAGGTGTGAAACCTGGAAATGAAGAGGGATCAGCCAGCGTTGTGGTGGGGTTTGTGAGGCTCGTGAGGCTGGCAGAGGAGGAAAGTTGTGGCTGTTCGGATCACATGCAACTCGAGAGGGAAAAGACAGTGCAGAAGTGAACCAAATCAGACGACCGTTGAAAAGGGCTTGGACTTCATGACCAAGTACAAGGCAAGAACCGAAGAGAAACTGGATATCTATCAATGGGTGGAAGGGTTTGTGGCGAACGCATAGGGTATATTTTGCGAAAACTAAGACCTTTCTAGCTATGATACTGCCACACACTCATTCGAGGGTCCGCCGAGCAAAGAGCAAAGACAAATCAGGCTCGGTAGAGAATCTATCGCAACAACGACATTGTAGCGGCATAAGGGAACCCGCGCAAGCTCATGTCTGATATTTCTCTCTGACCGCCCGACTCAAGACTCAATCATTAGCAGAAATCTACATCACCAACCCGTCCTGATGCGACAGCCCTTGCTGCGATCCCATCGGAGCATACGGCATCATCTGGTGGTGCTGGTCCATCAAAGGGTACTGGCCGTGGTCCTGCAAGTGCATCGGAGCCGGGTACTGCATGTTCGCCTGGTGCATCTGCTGGTCATGATGCATTGGGTCGTACTGAAGGTGGTCGTCGTGGGGTTGCATGTTCGGAGCACCTGGTTGAACCTGCATCGGATCCTCGCCATGAAGGGCAGGATCCTGCACCATCTCGCTTTCGTCTCCCAACGCTGCGCCGGCCTGTTCGCCCGTGTAGTCGACTGCCTTCTCGAAGCCCGTTGAACCATCGTTGCGATTGACAATCTCGCCAGTCTTCTGCATCTTGGCTCGCAGCTGACCCATCTTCCGCTTCATGCGCTCCCTCAGCAGCTCGTCGTGTTTGTTGGTGTCCCAGTCGCCCTTGGTGTGGTCCACAAGACCATAGAGCTGCTGATACATCAACCCAAACAACTCCTCGTTGTTTTGACTGTACGTGTACAGCTGATACTGGTGCATGAGGTCTGCGAGCAAGCCTTGAGCGCGCAGCGGCCAGATGTCTTTGCTTTCCACCCACTCGGCGGTAAGATGGTCACGACGGCGACTGCGGCGTTCGAGATCGCGAAGCATGCGCTCTTGACGCTCGGCCGTGCGACGCTTAGATTCTTCAATCTTCTTCTTGCTGCGGGAGTCGCGCTTGGATGGTGGCGGTATTGCTGCAGTCGGGTTGTAAAGCGAGCTGGTTGATGATCTGTTAGCGGACTCCGGCGTTCCTTTCAAGCGGCGCATCTTCAGCTTGAGCTCCACCTCGCGCTTCTGCAATGCGATCTGTTGTAGCTGCAGCTCGATGGTCTCCGCGTCGTCTGGCAAGTCGCCCTCGAAATCCATTAGAGCCGGGTACGGTTGCTGCTGCTGTGGTGTCTGCTGCTCCATCGCCTGTCGGAGTTGGTTCTCTAGTTGTAGGTCTCCCGATCCCGACACAGGCGCGTAGGGCGACTGATACAGCACCAGGCCAGTTGGCTGAGCGGCCGAGGGTGCTATGGCCGGAGTGCGTTGAGCCGGTGCTTGGTCGTCCATTTGGGCACTCATATTCATGCTCTGGTCGTAGTCGTCCTCCTCGTCGTCTTCGTCTTCATCCTCGCCGTCTCCACTCTTGCGACGGTTAGGTCCCTTGGTCTTGCCCGGCTTGAGCTTGTCGCCTTTACGCTCAAACACCCTACGGATGGTTCGCGTGCCGACCACGATCTTGTAGTTGTCGTAGATCCACCACAGCATATCATCGACGGACATGTCCGGCTTGCTCTTAACATGTTCGAATAGTGCCTGTTTGCGGATTAGTTTGTGGATGTCGGCAGCAACGTGAGAGTGGTACTGACCGCTTCGATCTCATCGTTGAGGACGCGATGTCTCCCTGTTCTGCTCTCCGGTGGCTGTCCGCACACGTTAGCATGCTCCGACATCTTCATTCATGACAAGAGTCGCGTACCTTGCCTATCCTGCCCGTCCGCTCCAGCTCCAACTTCCACCGACGTATGGTGCGGTCGGAGACGCCGGTCTCTTTCTCGATGGTCTCTTCATCGCGACCCAGCTCGAGCAGGCTGCGCACCTGTTCGCGCTGTTCGGGGGTGTATGCGCGGCCCATGGCTATGCTTGAGGTCGAAAGTGGACGTTGTGATCGACTTGTGGCAGCCTGGTGATCGGTTTTGCAACGCAGGCTTTCGCGAAGCACAGACTAAGAAGCCAAGACGCTGATTCACGTGACTGTCGACTCCCTTGGCAGCAGTTGCGAACGTCTCCTAATGAACCTGAACTTTAGCAATATTGGAACTGGGAGCAGAGTCCCCTTGACGGAGACGAAAGACCTATGTCAGCAGACTTCACGACCTGGACTGGATACACGATATGGCCATCCAAGAATGTCCGCTACCCGAAGTCGCAGAGGCCCTCAAGCCATATATCAGACGCCGCGAGGAAGTAGCAGAGATCAGAGGCAACCTCCAGAAGCATCTCCATGACCACCTGGACCGAGATGGTTCCCCTCTCACCACCGTCACTCTCAGCGCACCAGGAGTCACCCACCTGGGTTCGCCTCCTTCCTCTTTGACCGGCGTCCGCAGGGCTTACTGGAAAGCACTCGAGGCCCATTCCAAGGCACAAGCGAAGTACGACGGGTTAAAGCAAGAACTGGATCAGATCAGACGGGGCGTCAATGGAGGTCACTCCGATTCGTCCTCAGGCACCGCCACCGAGGACTACATCGCCCTTCTCCGCCAAAAGGAGAAGCACCGCAGGCTCAACGTCATCAACAATGCGCTGTCAAAGACCTCTGGAAGCACGGAGACTGCCTCAGCCAGCAACTTAGACGACTCAATCAGGAAGAAAGTTGGCGAGCTTCCGGTACCACCAAGCACGCAACCGTCCTTCAGCCGAAGCCCAGAGGTGGACGCGAAGATGATGCAGCTGAAGAAAGCGGTGGTATCTTCGAAGCGCCGTGTGGACGAGCAGCGGAGGAATGCGGCCGAGCAAGCTACGGATGCCAATAGAGAAGCTACTACTGCAGAAGCTGAAGTTGCCGGTCTACAGAAAGCACTACAGGAGCTCACCACCTGGATGGAAACTCAACTGACCACCATCGCCGAATCAGAAGCAGATGCACAGCCGGCTGATGGAGGCGCGCGTCAGAACGGTGCAACTGCTGACCCTGAGATTGATCTCGACAATATCGAAACCTTGTACGAAAGCTACCTCGAAGCGCGGCATCGAGTAGTACAAAACACGAACTCTTCCCACATCACAGAAGGCAACACGGAAGAGGCAGCGGAATGGTCGAACAGAAGCAGCACCCAACGAAGTCAGAGCCCGTCGCATCCCAACGCAAAATCGTCTGCTGTAGCCGCACTACCATTCATACGAGCCTTGGCAGCAGCGAAATCCGAAGAGCAGTCTCTCGTGCAGCAGACAGCTTATGTCCGGAAGCAGCTATCTTCCGCCGAAGAAGGCACTGCTCGCCTCATCGAACGCTTAGCAGACGAAAGCCACCTCGTCCATCCCGGTGCATCAAGCGGCAAGGACTGGGCGGAGGCGGGGGCACAAGCGAGTCGAGCGACGAAGGACAGTGTTGCGGACCGCCTGAGGAGTGGTAAAATGTATGCAGGGTCTGCGAAAGAGCAGTATGAGGCCATCGAGGCTCTCCCAAGTTCACTGGATGGACTACATTCTGTAACTTGAGCACGGTACTTGAAGCCATGAGATCGTGTCGTTGTGTATATCATGCTGCTCAAGTCTGCTCAAGCCATGACTGCTTCTTTAGTGGACAGCCGCTTCTCCACGATCATCAGTCTCCTAAGGCGAACTCGTGGCAGTACAGTAGCATGAGGTTCGTTACGCCCGCGGAGAAGAACATAAAGATACTTCTCGAAAGAGATGTGGCAGCCACTGCTCCACCACCACCGGGATTACGCTCCGCTCAATACGACCCTATCCGACTAATCGGACTAGGTCTTCTGAGGATCATGGCCCCAGTTCTTCAACGATCGCGCGCCTGGTGAGAACGAATTGTTAGTCTACAGTCTTCTCAAACATCTGCCTAGAGTGACAGCACTGCAGAACGAGGCATAGCAGTTGATCCGCTTTTGGAGAAGCCTGCCAGTGGTCGATGCGACTTACTTTTCGAATCAGGATCTTGCTTCGCTTTGCCCTCCTGAGCTAGATGGCGTTTATTGTACGAGACTACCTTTCGCATGTGCTGGATGTCATCCTCTTCGTACCTGTATCACCACTGCATTAGCGCACCACTCTGTCAAAGTGATATGCAGGCCAATTGTAGGACGTACTTGCTCGGATCTTTCTTGGGATTCTTCTCCAGAATCGCGATGATCTTGCGGCCACTGTAGAGATGTTAGCACTCTGATCAGGTCAGCTTCGTGTCCGAGGGACGAGGAAGATACCTCTCGTTTCCGACCGTCTCGCCCGAGCCGTCGTCCTTGCTCCAGCCGGAGTCGCTGGACTCTTCCTGCTTCAGCCAGTCTTTTAACTCCTGAGCTGTCATGTTGACGAGCTCGTTGAACTCCCTGGAAGCAATGTTAGCAGTGTTGATGTTGACGGGGAGTTGAGTATGTCCGACTTACTGGATGACTGTTTCGTCGTCTTTTACCATCTTGGGCTCTGAGTGTTGTTGATGTCGTTGCTATCGATCCGAAGGTATCTCAAGCCTGTCTATCTGTCTGTTCTGTGATGTAGAATTCACCAAAACACGGAATCAAGATAAGGAGACAACAATGCGGTGGATGAACCACATCGCGAAAGCATCACAGTACTGTGGTAGAAATGACATCACGACTTGCGGAACGCAGCTTACGATTGTCTGCACGAGGACCTCATGGGCGTAAGCCATTCAACATGTCTCTGGCTTCCCGCTCACCCACACAGAGTGTTTGTGTGTTCGGTCTGGAGATGGTATGAATTAACACGCTGATGGCCTTTCGGCTATGTCAATCCTTCGAGCCTGCCGAGACGGGACGTTAAGTGTTGCGATTCACAATCCCGGCGCAGCATCATTCCACGGATATTGCTGCCGGCACGTGGCCAGCGTGGCCAGATCCTGGCAGTTGGGTGTAGTGCATTGTGCTCGTTAGACTGTTATAAGAAGTCTGCCCTTGGATGTCGTTGTAGCGGCGTGTCCCAGGGCGAAGAGGAAGCCAATATCTCTTCCACCATCCAAGATCGCCTGTCACGGCGCGGTGACGGGGAAGATCTCCCGGCAGCAACCTTGAAATGTGAAGTGGGACTGGACCCATTTGCTTGTTACCGCATGAGCGCGGCGTGCTTCGGAGCCTTTCTCGCGGCGCCATGTGCCTGGTCGTGCATGTGATGAAACACAATATACCGCGTCGTCCCTATAAGCTCCAATCGTAGGCGCGGTGGCGGATGCAATTCGAGTGAATGGTCTGTTAGTGGATGTCGAGGGATAAGTAGATCTTGCTATTGGAGCTAACCTCAAGCGAGGCGGCTCCGTCTGTGCCTTGACCTTCTGGAAAGAAAAGGGTCACTCATGTCCAGCACATGAACGCGATTTCACCTCACTTCTTCTTAGTTGCAGCCGTTCCTTACTCTTCTCTATTCGTACAGCGTTATAGCGCGGCTCTTCACATTTTTCACGGCCCACCGATGCGGCGTAGCAGCAGCCTTGCCAAATCGAGCGGCATATAATTGACGGAGATATAGGAGACGCGACGCGAATGGTAGCTTGCCAGCACATGCGCTCTACCAATATTCCGTCCTTCGAGCACTCACTTCGGCCACCATTCACCTACGCCACTACGCACAGGCAAGGGACACACTTTATCCTGCGCAACACTCCGATCGGCTCGATCACGTATACAGCATTGAAATCGGCATCCGTCCAGCACCATGCCGGGATTCCTCTCGAAGCTTAAGAACAAGGGAGCGCAACCGTCGTCGAAGGGCAAGCACACGCCTGACCTCACCAACGGCAAGGCTACCGAACCTCACAAGCCCAGATGGCAGACGCAATGGACCAGCAAGACGGTGGTGCCAGAGGAGGTGGAGGAGCTCATACATACTTGCACAGCGGAGATGAAGTCAAGAGGTAGGCTATCCTCTATTGAAGGTTGGTTCCAACCAGGCCGCTGACATTTGAGCAGCCGAAGCACTTGATGCGCCATTCCTGCTTCTACCCTTCCGCCCTGCGACAGACGCCAGCGGCGCACGCAGCTTCATTCGCAACTTCTACAGATCCAACGCAGAAGGTTCACACCAATATCGCGGCTCGAGTCTGCAGCAAGAACTGAGGCTCACCGAGCCGATTGTCTTGTGTTCTATCATGAAATGGTGCTGGAGCAGGATGCCTGATGGAGTCGTCGGCTGGTCCGTATATCAGGGCTTCCAGATCGGCGAAAGCGAGTCCAGCTTAGCACGGAACGCATTCGATGAGTTCATTCCTCTGAGCGCAGACTCCACGTCTCGCAAGAACATCATTTACGACTTCTACGATCTCCTGGCAGCAGTAGCTGCGCATGGCAAGACGAACGGTATGGGTGGTCGCAAACTATCACGGCTTGCTGGATGGTGGGCTTTCGATCACTCCGACGATGGAAAAGGTTTCGAAGGAGGGTACCGCTCATGGGCGATGGCTGCGGACGCCTCCAGTCACTTATTCTTCGCCTACCTGCGATCACTCTCGCCCGAAGCCAACCCAGCGATGAGCCTGATCGAGAGAATACCTCGCTCGCTGCAAGCGCTCCTCGCGTCGACCGAGTACCCTCCAGAGACACCCACTCTGATGCAAACGCCGACACCACGAGTGGTCATGATTGTCGATTCGGTCTCACCAACCCCTTTCGCTCTTCTACGCCGAGCCAAGCACTTCGAGTTCAGAGACAGAGACCAAGTTTTGCGCGAATACTCCGAGTTCGAGGACCCGGTGGATGCGCTTACGGAGGAGTGCAAGCGGGTGCTGTATGCAATTTCCTCTACCAATTCATCGGTGGCGCGCTCAAGACATCGAAACCTCACCAAGACGGACGAGAGCTGGTCTGCTTTCCAGAACCTTGGGTTCGGCGACATGGACGAAAAGGCTCTGCAAAAGACTCCGGCGACTCTGAACGGCTCCGCAGCGAAGCCACAATCTGGAGGCCTGCGTTCGGAGCCACGCTCGCGAAATGCTGACCATGCTCGGCCAACTACACCGTCCTGGGCAGATTTCCTATCCTCTGGCTTTGTTGAAGACGATCAGAACCAGACGCCAACTTTGCTCATGCCGCCTGACCACATGCTGCCTCCACTCGGCAGCAGGGCACAGACACCTTCACACATTCCCGAAGGTGATGAGATCGTGGCGCCTGGAGAGCTCGCCGCCATCACTGACATCAACCTCGACGATGCCTTCTGGTGGGTGTGGATGATTAGCTTGGCTAGCGAAGAGCCCCAGGAGCGTAAAGCTGTCTTTGGCCGTTGTGCTGTTATAGAGACCAGCATCATGCATGGCAGGTGGTTGATCATGGAGGAGCAGGTGAAAGGTGCCTCGCCGGATCCACAGGAGGGAGCCTACATTGCTCCTAAGAAGAGCTTTTTCAGCTTCACGAAGCGGGGACGCCTCGGGCGCAAGAGATCCACGAACAAGAAGCCATACGACTCCGAACAGCCGGCGGAGCGCTTGACCTCCGCTACACCAAGCAGGACTAGTCTCGCGCCTGCTCAGCAGTCGAAGATCAAGCAAGCTGCGGCGGCTCTAAAGAGACAAGACACCAAGGATGACGAGACCGCGACCCGACGTGGACGACACGACGATCCTTACGCTTCGAAGACTAACAGCACGTTGACGATGGGATTGCAGACCGAGGCTGGACCTGCGATGAAGTGGATGGGCGCTTACGACAAGCATACCTTGAGGGCTCAGTATCTGGGCGACACCTATGCAGGCACGGGTATGAGCAGAGAGGACCTACTGCTCCGCAAGACTTCGTCGAACAACGTCATTGGCGATCGCACAAGCACGATACCATCCCCGGCTCCTCCGGCTTCACCAAGTGCCAACAATCTACCGGCAAGCTACATGGAGCGCGAGCTTCCAGCTGTGCCTCCGCAAGAACGGACTGTAACCAGCACCACAATACCACAGGAAGAGCAGCCGTCAGCACCACTGCCACCAGCGTCTCCCGAGCTTACGGCTACACCTGCTCGACCTGAAGAGACCCAGCATGACGCCGAGAATGTTCCGATCCCCGATATCGCGGCGCCAACAGCAATGGACAAGGAGATGGCAGTGGGTCCTTCGACTTCACCTACTCGCAACCGAGTATCAAGGAAGCCTGTCTCCCAAGCGCATCCTGCGTTCAGGAAGCAGAGCGTCGATCAGCCGACGTCACCACAGACCCCAACAAGCCCTACCAACAATCTTGCTGCCATCGCTGCTGTAAAAGCGATGCAGACGAGCCCAGAATCCCAGAAGAGCGGCAACGCCAAGCTTAAGAAGCAGAACGCCTCTGGCGCTCCTTCTGGACTGAAGAAGATGTTCGGCCGCAATAAGAAGGACATGTCTAACCGCCAGTCCATGGATGTCAAGCAGAGCAACGGTCTCGCACCTCCAGACCAAGGGCCGATGCGTCGCTTGTCGCTCATGCGCAAGAAACCTTCGCAGCCGCCTACGCCCAAGGATAGTAGGACAAATCTGTCTCATCACTCGGACGCATCCGAATTGGAAGCAGTTCCCGTGATGCCTGCGGCACACGGTCAATTCGACAATCACTCTTCGGCAGCTATCTCGACGACTGAGTCGCAGGATCAAAGGCATGCTGACCAAGAATTCGCACGCTTCGATCAAGGTCCCGCGGACCTGCCAATGACTTCACCTCAACAATCGCCTCCGGAGATCGTTGCCCCGCAGGCTCAGCGTGTCGCCAACCCGCGTATGGATTATCATGCCGGCCCTGAGAGCGGCTACGAGGCTTTTGAGACGCCGTTGGAGCAGCCTGAGCCGGAGATGCAGGACGATGCGCAGTCTGAGGCTACAATGGAAGAGCTGGATGAGGCTTCACCAGCGGAGAAGGATCGTTGGGCCACTATCCGCGAAAACGCTGCACGCAGGGCCGCAAGAGCGAGTGAAGAGCAGAGCATGCAGAGTCGGCCCAGCCAGAGCGCCAGGACGGACGATGGAGAGACGAGTGGAGAGGAGAGTAAGTTGTATTTCCGCGAAGATGGTTGAGGTGGCTAGCTAACGTTCGTGGTAGCTATCGAGTCTCGCGTTGCTCGGATCAAGGCGCGGGTCGCCGAGCTCACCGGCGGTATGGACGGGCAGAAGGGTAGGGCGTGAGCTTCGCAAGCCTTTCGAGATCCCAACGCTCTGCTACCGGGACGGCCGACCCATGGATGACGCGCCCCAAACCAAACTACGATACCGCATTTCCACTCCCACGGTTCACTCTACCGTGAGCTCGAACATCGCGTCGACTTCCTTTTGCATCGATACCCCAAACACATTACACCACTGTCGATACCAACCAATTTTACGGCGTCATGCTAGCGACACACCCTCCCTCACACACCACGCGGACGGGCTTTTCTTTTGTCACTATCGATGGGTATTGAGATACCACTCAGGTTCCGAGCGGGTGTGGACGGGGAATCTTGGAGCGTTGATCTTTTTTGCAGTGACTGTTGTCTTTTCTTGCGAGATACCAATGGAGTGCGTACGTACGTATGGGTGTGTAATTATCTGTAATTATTCTCTATAGAGATGATGTGGACTCTCGGCCATCCTAGACTTTTCAAACACTTTGCACTCCTCAGGCTAGACATCGTACGTACCGTCTGTAGACCGGTGTTGACCTGGCCGGAGGCATCGAATGCATTCCCTTATAGTTATAGAGTTCAGGAGAGTGTCGATCGTACTTGCCCTCAATTTCGAGAAGCTGATTTGGGAGACAAGCTTATCTTGAAGCTTATTTCGACTAGTTCCAAAGGCTCCATAACAACCTCGCTAGAGTTTCTACAGCCCGTAAGAAACTGCGAAGCCCGGCTCGGTAATGGGCTATGGAGCGTTTACTGGATTCTCAACTCAATTTCTCTGGCACTGGAATCCTCTCCGCTGATCCTCACGGTCAATGAACCCAATGGCGGAGAAGGTTACGGCATGACATACTCTGCCTCAATCTTCGACCAGACACTTCAATCCATCTTGAGTTTGCACGGAGAAGACACCTTTTCGAGTTGCTGCTAACTCCAGGAACTGGTATGCTTTCGATGCTGGCTTCAAGTATCCTTCCTTACACATGCATGAGAATGCATTTCCGTGGGCAGCCTGGGCTGAGGGATGTGATAACACGTGCGAGCCTGTGTGTCTGTGGAGGTAAGTAATCTTCTATTTGCCCTATATACCGTTGCCTCTCCCACATAGCAACGGTGTTACAGCACCTTTCCCTCCAATACAGCAGCTGTCATTTGATCCGAGACCATATCAGTCAACTGTTGGTTTCTTCGATTCCCTTCTTCAAGATGTTATAGACACACTGGGATCACCTCAAGGAGTTCTTCTCCGTCGGTAGAAGCAGAGCATCACCTCTCGACGACTCAGGTCACCACCTTTCGTTGAGACTGAGTCACTGAGATGAGCGAACATCGCCCCGACTCACTTGCCGGATCGGGCAGAACTCGGCCACGCAGCGCGGACATCTTCGCGGCAGCAGGCTGGCGCCTGAGCAAACACGGCGACACCGAAACCATCCAATCGGACTCAGGACTACTCTACGCACTCAGGAGACCAAGCAGTCCTCCACCGCCATTGCCGTCACTATCGCCAAATTCTATGGTATCATTGTCAACCGCATCACCTTGCCTCAAATCGAAGCGTGGTTCAGGAGGCATCTACGACGATTACGACGATGACAGCCCAGCTATACCCGACGGAGCGCTCACTCATCATCAGACCGGACACTCTCGACGGGATTCAGCAGCCGGAAGCTTTGACACCACACCTTGAAAGGCCTCCATCTCCTCAGCCATACACTATCAGATCTGTCGCAAACACCCATTACCTGATCGAGAAGGAAGGACTCCCCATCTGGATTGAGAAAGACGAGTGCTGGCTGGGCTCTTCCGCTAGTGATAGCGAAGATGAGAAGGCGACAGCTCCGAAGAAAAGGATATTCACACCACGAGAGATCCTATTCATCACCAACGTTTGCCTGGCTCAACACGTGTCCCTCGCCGCTCTGGCGCAGACGTTCGCCCCGCTCATCGATCTGTCGAGGTTCTACAACATAAATGAGCCCGGCCTGATAGCTTGGCCGACAGCATCCTACTCCTTGACACTCGGCAGCTGCATCTTACCTTCGGCAAGGCTGGGCGACATGTATGGCCATAAGAAGATGGTCATCATCGGCTGGGTGTGGTTCTCTGTAACATCGGTCGCTTGCGGCTTCAGCCAGTACGGGACCATTCAGAATCTCACGCCATGCAGGGCTTTGCAAGGAATCGGACCGGCCCTCCTGGTGCCCAATGGACTCGCGCTGTTTGGGAGAAACTTTCCCATGGGCGTCAAGCGCAATGTGGAGATATCGCTGTTCGGTGGCAGCGGGCCTCTGGGGGTGGTGACCGGTGCTGTCTTCTCGAGCCTCATAGCCGAGACGGCGTCATGGCCGTGGTCGTTCTGGGTCCTTTCAACAGTGGCAGCCTTGATATCGGTACTCTCATACCTCGTCATACCTGCGGACAACCTCCCGCCCCACTTGGATTTGTCGAAGAAATCTCGCAAACATTTCGACTTCTTAGGAGCTTTTACCGGCGTCGGCGGACTAATTCTCATCAACTTCGCTCTCAACCAAGCGCCCCTGGTCAATTGGTCGAATCCATATATCGGAGTCACACTAGGCCTCGGCGTGATCCTGATTGCTGCCTTCGTGTACGTGGAGCTGGTCGTGGCACATCAGCCGCTCATCCCGCTCAAAGGCCTCAAAAAGGTTGCAGGTCTTACATTGTCCTGCGTTGCAGTAGGATGGGCCTCCCACGGTATCTGGTCTTACTACATGTTCCTTCTCATAGAGCAAACCCGACACCATACGCCGCTCGAGGCTTACCTGAGATTCTGGCCCGTTGCGCCGGTCGGGCTAGCAGCAGCACTCGCAGTCAGCTTCCTGCTCAAGCGACTGAGGGTGTCTTTCTTGATGAGCACGGCCATGCTCTGCTTCCTGCTCGGCTGCCTGTTCCTCGTGACGGCGCCTGCGGATCAGGGCTATTTCCCGAATACGTTTTTGAGTGTGATCATCACGCCCTTCGGCATGAACTGGAGCTTCCCGACAGCAGTAATCCTGATGAGCAACGCTGTACATCGAGAACATCAAGGCATTGCCGCAAGTCTGGTCTCGACGATGGTGAATTACAGCATCAGCACTGGTCTTGGTTTAGCCGGTAGCGTTGATCATATCTTACAGCAGAGCACGGCATGTTGGCAGGCTACCGCGCGGCGTGGTATCTCGGGATAGGCCTGGCGGGGGTGGGATTTCTGATCAGCTTGTACTTCATATGGCAGACTAGAGCGAGGAGGTAATGGGTACTTGATCAAGCCAGCTCGGCGAGAGGTTCTCGGAGAGGCGAACAATTTAGACATGTTGATCAGCACTCCGAGCATTTGAGAACATTCTGTCGCTTCGAGAACACCTTTTGTGCCATTCTCCGCGACCCCAATTAATCTCGTGGTATTATCCTGCGACTCATTTGCTGGGAAACCTGGAGATGGTGGAGAAGCGGTTGTTGGCCAGACGAGCTGTTGGAGATGGCTCAAGCTCCAAGGGCGTAGACGCGAGCAGCATTTACAGCGATTGGATCCTGTGACTTCGAAATTTACTTCAAGCAAGGGAGGTGATAACAGAGCAAATTCTCTGAGAAAGCAGGCATAGCAGAACTTAACAGCAGGCTCAACAGTGGGTGTTCGTGGGGGCACCATCGTTGAAGAACTGGGGGCGTGACGCGGGCAAAGACAATTGAACAGACGCCAATGAAGCACGGCCGTAAATTCTGTATCATATCGACAGCACCGAGGAGCGATCAGAACCCTAACCTTCCAAACTTTGACCAGCGTTGACCTCCCCTCATTGTAGCGACAGTGATATACTAACGGCAACGACAGTGCAGCATTCATCACTTAAACATCGTCACCCACACGCAGAGTGGCTGCTGCGCCTTCCCTTCCGCTTCTCCTGGGGCTGAACCGGCGCGATAGGAGCCCAATCATTCCTCAAAATCTCAGCATAACGCTCTTCGCCTTCTCTCTGCTTGTGGGTACGGCAGTGCTCTCGGATCTTGTCGCGTCGAACATGCCAGAAGCCCTCTACGTAACAAGCGAGCTTTGTGACATTTGGATCCGCGAAGCAATGAGCACTCAAGAAGTGCCGTTCGGCATCCTTTTGGCGGCTCAAAGTTGAATCACAATCCGGCTTGGGGCAGGCAAATCTGGATCTGCCGCTGGACGATCCGGATCTTTCGGAGGAAATGCTTGAAGTCGGAGTGTTTCTCGGGATCAACCGCTTCCCTGCCCACTGAGATGGGTTAGAGGGTTCAGTGCCGGCATACTCTTGTGAGGGTCGACTGGGATCGCCGAGACGTGTACCATACGGCATGGAAGCTGCTTGCGGGATAGGCTGATGTTGGACGAGGTTCTGCGCTGTCGGGAGACAAATTTGTCCCTGCATCTGTATACTGCCTGTCTGTATCAAGCGCCCGGGTCCTACTCCGTGTCAGTGTGAGACTATGAAGCGGTGATGTACATGCTGACCCTCGGATGCGGATCGCTGAGTGCCTTGCATTGATGCGATTTGACTGGTAAATTGATCCCACGGTGGTTCGTGTACAGAGCCTGCAACGGCACACCCGTAGTCATATTCGTAATATGATCCGGGTCCAGTTGGGTGCTGGATACCATATGAGGAGTCCGAGATACCGTATGGAGCTCCTTGAAGGGGTCCGAAGCCGACGTTCTGGAGCAGCGTCTCGCCGCCCGTAATAGTGCTCGTTTCCTGCTGCAAATAGCCTGTGCGGTATGGTATACCTTCGAAAACGTAGGTGTCGTCCTCGTAGATATCTCCGAGGCTATTGAAATACTGAGGCTCTTGCATGGTGAGACAGTTTCTCTCAGATGAGATCGAGTAGCGAGAAGATAGATCAGGACAAACGGCCTGTCGCGGGATCACTCAGCCTTTTACGCGGACTGTGCGCAAATCTGGTGACGGTCATGCTCGCACAGAGGGCGCTGCTGCGCGTGTTATCGGCGAATACGAGCAAGAACCAGATTTTGGGGACTCCACCACATACGTGTAGAGCGGAGGCTCGCAAGATCCGCAGTCGAGTCGACAGCGGAGCGTCAAGCAAAAACAGGGGTACTTCCTCCTCAAGCGTCGCCCTCAAGCCTTGATGGCGACCAATAAAACTTCGTGACCCATGCTGTTTGCTTGCGACCGTGTCGTCGTCTCCACCGATAGCACGACGTGGAGCCTGTCAGGTGGTGTCTAAGGTGGTGATGCTGCGGTCCAGATTTTGGAGAGTGTCTGTTCACGCGGTCTCGTGGTGGCTCCGCTGGAAGGTATAGGCCATGCGAACTTGCTCCAACTCCCCAAGGCATTGCCTTGCCTTGTCTGTGTGGCTGTGATGTGTGCCTTAGAGAGCTCTACCCGTAGACGAAGCACCCAATCGACGAGAGTTGCTGTTCCGTGTCACACACTTGCCATAAGAGTGCGGAGGGTGCCCTGGATCTCGAGGTTGCGAGCGTTGTTTGACATGGCGAGTAGCACGACGACCGGCCGTTAGCCAATGAGGGGCATTCGGGAGCTTCCTCCGGGAGAGCTTGACAATGTCCCGGTGAGAATGTCAATATCAAAATCATTCGCACGCCTCTGATTATGTTTTCGCCACAAGTGACCTCGAGCAGTGCCCGGAAGCGGAGAAAGAAGGGAAAGTTATATAGAGACAGTGAGAAGCCTTGTGCTTTGATAAACGGTGGGCACGAGAGAACACATGGGCCACGGAGTGCCTTTCGTACGACTCCGGTGACATACCTCTGTTTCGACACCACTTCAGTGGTCTTGTGTAATCATCACCGAGGCAAGCCCAGACGCAAGGTGTCGCTCGGGGCGGTGCACCGGTGATGCGTTGCATTCGCCTTTGAGCACGAGTGGAACCATGATAATGCCGCAAGGCTGCGCTTAGACACTGGACCGCGGCTGTGGCTTGGGGGCGGCCTCCCAAAGTGATGTTGTCGACCGGTCGCTTCGAAGCGGCACACGACAGACGATCACGGCAGTCTTGCATCTCTGCGCATAGCGCTGAATCCGGATTTTGGCACTTGGCGGAGGACGGAGGGGGGGTAGGGGTGGGAGGAAATTGTCCGGTGAGGTCAAAAGTAGAAAGGAGCTAGCCCAATCGGCTCTAGCTCAGTCACGTGCAGCTTTCCAGAAGTGAATTGGAAGCAACCAAGGGCCAACGGGATGCATCGACAGGTTCGGATACAGTCACTTATCTCATGCAAATAGGGCAAGAATAACTAGCCAGCGCCCTCGCTCTCTTGGTGTGCAGCTGACGATCACGCGCAGCCCGACGAACCATGGTACGAGAAGCAACACAGTGTAACCTCATCCCATACCATCGCTATGCAGGCTCTATACACAACGGACACTTATACTTCTCGTGCCTCGGGTTTTTCCCTTCCCTATAATCGGCATCCAGACACACTTTGTGAAACACATGCCGGCAAGCGAACACAACGAGCGCCAGCCTCCGTGCGTCCTCGTTGTGCGGCTCCTCTGACGACGACTGAGCAGCCTTCGCTTTGCCCCTTTCCAGCCTTCTCGCTTCTTCACCGCCTCCTCGTTCCACCAGCTTCCGTGCCTTGTCGGCCTCTCGCCCTTGCTCTCGGGCGATCCATTCTTCCCAGACGATCTCGCCGATCCCTGGACCCCAGGCACGGCGCTTGCAGTGCTCACAAACTTGGGTTCGGGGCCGCCAACCACGTTGACGGAGGTCGTTGGCTTCTTCGATGTCTGCAAAGACGTCCGAGCCCAGCAAGTCGTAAGCTAACGATAGTACACCCTCTTCGAATGTGTATGCCGAGAAGACGTCCGACAGGACAGCGCGCAGATCGGAGATTGAGGGCGCTGTAGTCGCGGCTCGCGTCAGGAAGGTGCGTAGCACTCGTAAGAAGCTAAGGTGGTCTCGTGCTGCTTTTCGTGTCGTCTGATCGCCGGTGCCTTTGATACTTGGTGTCGCGGTTGCAGCCAGCAACGCTGTGAACGCTTGTTGTACGTTCGACCGGAGCGATGAAGACAGCTTCGGCACATCCATGACCTCGAGATCCACTTCAGTGGGGTGCTCTTCCATATCTCTCAGCGCCTGCGATCCGCTTTTAGTCACTTGCACCACAACGTCCACCAGGTTGAGCCAGAGGTATTCATCAAGGTCCAGATCATCCTCCTTGATCTCCCAAGCAAGGTTTGTACGAGGCCTTGGTCGGCGCTGTGCGTTCGCGCTCTGCCCTTGGCACAGCCAGCTACCGACCTTGGTGTACTTTTCTATGCCGTCAACAAGATCTTGGGCCGCTTCCTGCGTGCCTCGGAAGTCTGGACTTCCGGCAGCGGCATCAATGAGCTCGACGAGCGTATGCTGCAGCCTCTGAAGGTGGGTTGCCAGACGGTCCATTGCATCTCGGGCGAGGCCATCGCGGGTGAGAAGCACAACAGCTGCATCCACGACTCCACTGTCTTCCATCACGGGTAGGACCTCATCAAGGCGTAGGTCGCCAGTAGGCAGTAAGCCAACGTAGTCAGCTACATGAGTCGGATCGTGCTTGCACATGAGCTGTACATAGTGTTCGACGAAAGCAGACTGTTGTTCTTGTGGCAGAGGGCCGTATCCAGAGGCAGTTTGATCTCGCAACAGTGTGGGCTCAAGTAAAGCGCGCAGAAACACAAATTGCGTATATGAGTCCTGCAAGTCCGCTATGCACCGCTGGAGCAGGTCGAATGCGTGTGTGGCAAGTGTCCTGGCCAGAAGCACTGTATTGATTTCGGCCAGCTCCTCTGTGTGCGCTTGGACGACGTCTTTGATGCTTTGCCGCTGCTTCTCGTTGAGTCCTGTGCTTGAACGCAAGCAGTAAGCAATACGATCAAAGACGCCGCCCTTATCCTTAGGATCCTCAAAGTACGTCTCAAGCAGCTCGTTGAGCATTTTGGCGCCCCTGTACACGGACTTCAGCACTCGATAGAAGCGAGCTTCGCGCAAGTCATTGATCAGCGCCGATTGGTCTGAAGGATGATAAGCAGACAGAAGGTACTCGACGCTGAGCTCGCATTCTTCCCGCAACTCTTCGGTAGGCGGTCTGCAGAGTTGCTGTAGAACAGTGTTGAGCAACGAGCCGGAGAGGACGAGCTGGCCTGGGTACTTCGGTAGACTTCGTGCGACGAACATGTCCATGTAGATGATCTGTTCTGGATCAAAATCGCCTTGCTTCATGACGTCGAGTAGAATACTGATCACGTACTGCCTCGTCATCTTATATGCCGGTCTGCTTTGTACGCCGTTGACCTTGCCAGCGCCATTGGTATCGGACTCATCAGGAGAGCTGTTCAGGAAAGCGTCTTCAAATGCTTCGTTGAGCATGCTCATGAAACTGGGTGTATCGAAGCGCAGCAGCAGAACCAAATAGGGGAATGCAGGCTCGTCCTGGGCGTTCGTCGCCGTCCGGAATGATTTCTGGCCCCCTGGAGGCCATGAAGACGGCCGGCCGGAGAACAGATACTCGTAGAGATCAGCTTTGGCTTGGAGAGCAACATTGTCATCTAAAGACTCGCCGCCCGGATACCTCCTTCCAGTGAGCGAGTAGGCGAGGTATGGGTATGTCTTCATGGCAGAGTCGTAGAAAGGATTGGCGGTGATATCTTCATCGTCCGGACCGTCGTCGAGCAGCTTAATGACAGACATGAGGTCGATCAAAGGTGTTACAAAGTCGCCGATGCCTTGCGTCCAGATGTAGATAAGTGCATCGAACAGGCTGTGCTGTCTGCATAGCATAGTGATCTGGTCGAGATCGAAGGACAACGGTTCAAGCCTGCATAGAAGCTCTTCGAGTCGAGCGGCTTGATTTTCTGATATGAAGTAGGCGACCATGGTCTTGACGACTTCAGGCGGAATTGAAGTGACTTCGTCGTCCAACACAAATGGTTCCAGCGTCAAGGTGAAGATATCTTCCTCGTCGGCATCCTCAAATATTTCAAAGACATTTCCAAACAGGTGGTCTTGTTCACACATGATGACGCAGGCATCAAAACACACCGCTGCAAGTTCCCGAAGTCTGGTCTCGCGACCGTCATCGTGCTGCGAGAATGTGTAGTTGAGCGACGCGGAGATCATTGCAAGCAACCGCTCCCTCACCATGGAGTGGCGAGCACTATCGACGTCGGGCAAGCCTACGGTCACGTTGTGTGCACCTCCGCCGTAGTACTCTGTCGCAAGGCGGATGGCTGCAATGTGATCACCAGCTTCCATCAAGGCCATCAGACGGTCTGCCCAATTGGACAATGTACCCACTGTCAGGTCGTTGAAGCCAAGCAAGAATGTCCGGCCCTTATAGACTCGGAAGCTCATGTAGAAAGCATCCGCAACAACACCGTGTAGCGACGGCTCGGCGGAGTTGAGCTGTTCAACCACGCTCTTCAATTGCTGCGAGAACAAGTCTTGGTGATAGACGTGCCGATGGAGCAAGTCGATAGAGTCGGTGACTTGAAGCGACCCGTCTTCGACTATCATAAGTCGTTGACTGATCGTGAGCACGCCGAGGACTGATCTTCCCAACCACTGGACAGCGACTATGGCCTCTTCTGCCCGCCATCGACTCCGGGAGTGGAACTCGAGGCTGGCCGGCTTCGTAGAATCAACAGGCTCGCCACTGTCAACCACTTTCACGTCAAGCACCGTAAGCACGTTTGACCAGCAATAGACAAGCTTCGTGTCTGATGAGCCTTTGCCAGCGTAAGTTCCAGCGGTCTTCAGTTTCACAGCTGGAAACCAAGCAAGGCAACCGCTTAGAGTGCTGTGGGGAGAGATCTCCTTTGGTCTTGCTGACTTGTGCTGAGTCTGTGCCACCGGGGTGGTAGAAACAATGACCAGCAGATATGGGGTCAAGAGCGCTGTTAATCCCATGTTGTCTGTCGGCTGCTCCACGTTACCCAGAGGAAGCGGAGAGAATGCTAGAACAGAGCTGGGCTTGCGACTTCGTTCAATTTGAGGGTCAGCAGGTGGGTATCTGCCTAGAAGTCTCGTCGACTTGATTGTGCGAGTGACTGGACCCAAGCCGCGAGTTGCGAGATGTGAGAAAGCCATGCCACACGAGTCCGCCGATACCAGAGCAGTATGCCGTGTGCCCAAGAAGCCTACATGTAAGATCGCGCAATTGACGACGTGGCCATCCGGGTGTTCTTTCTGCTGCAAGACATTCCGCTCTAATGGCGGTATCCTGAGAAATGGCTGCGATGGTCTGTTGATCTCCCAGGTGAAGATATGGCCGTTTGCATGGCCTGCGGCAATGGTAGAGTAGTCCGCGGCAATAGCCAAAGCTGTCACACTACCGCACTCTGTTGCCTTTGTTCCCTGACCGATGATGATCTTCAAGGTCTGATGATAGTCGAACCCCAGGATAAGCCCTTTCGAAGTCCCAACAGCAATCAAAGCAGACACTGCGAGGCACGTCGGTCGGCCAAAGTTGCGTCTGCCTGCCTCAGAGAACGCTTGACTCGTGATCTTTCGCAGCTTTGTCCATCGAACAACATCCCATGGCGCTTCCGGCGTGTCAGTGTCTGCAGAACCTCCCTGAGAAGATATCTGCGAGATCTGCGAGGATATCGATATCTGGCGAGAATGAGGGGTGAGGAAAGCGGGCGACCCTGTTCGAGATGAAGGTGATCTTGCGGCTGCTGGTCGTGCTTCGAATCTCCTCTCGAATGGTTGCAATGCTCCAGATACGTTACGCATTGCACGCTTCTTTGGCAAAGGGGATGCTCCGCGATCAGGTGAAGACATGAGGGATCCATGTAAAGACGGAGTGTCGTCTGGAATCGAGCCGGAGCCCAATGGGCTTGGTATAGGGCTCTGCATTCGAGGTGTTGTTGGGCCCTCGTCCGGCACGACATCATCTGAGTCTTCAGCACGGCCATGATCAAGCTGAGCATAGTCCTCTTGCATCTCCAAAGCCTCGCTCCATTCGCCTTGATCCCCAGACCCTTCCTCTTCCGCCAAAGCCTCGTCTTCCGCCCAGATGTTGTGCTCTAGATCTCCTTCCGGCACGGCGCCACCCCTCACATCCACTTCCTCCTCTTTGATCCGTTCATCAAGCCTCGCATGGTCGTTTCTGCTTGCCTCGTCGGCCTCTATATCCTCATTGTCGCCGCCAGAGTGGCTGCCTCCAGCATTGGAGCTCATCGGTCCGTTCTGGGAAGTGACATTGCTTCTCAGATAGACACTTTTGTTGTGATGACCCGCAGCTGGGGCTACCCGCGTTCCCTAGATGTATTCGCCAATGCGTAGAGCGATGAGCCCTCTTAGATGTTGTCCGGAGCTTTGGTTCCTGAAGGATGAGGATGTGGCTGTGTTGTTCAAGGTCCCGGCATAAGACTTTCCAGTGATCTCAAGCGTTACCTGCTGAATGCAGTGACCCAGATATGCCCTCTTCCAGAAGGTTCGATCTCTCAGACCAAGTATTCGAGGTTTGAGGTGTTCAAGGCGGCCTTGACGCCGCAAGCCGCATCCGTGCTCCAAGAGCTTCAACTTCCACGGCGAAGCACACCCCAACCACTCCCCTTCCACATCACCCCTACTCCGCTCAAAAGATGTCGGACATAGGCCCAGAATTACCGCCACATCTACTCGCGAAGAGGAAGCGAAAGCAAGAAGAAGCTGCCGAAGCTGCGCCAACTACAGCTTCCGGCGCAAACCAGCCAGCGAGCCCTGGTGGCGGCGAGAAGAGACGGAGAGTGATGGGGCCGGCTATGCCTCCTGCACCGCTGGATGAGAGACCTACGGAACCTCCGAAGGTCCCAGAAGACTCTGATAGCGACGACGATGACGGATATGGGCCTGCATTACCCAGTGGTCCAACAGAGGTACGTGAGGTTCCAAAAAGCTCGTGGGACAGGGTTACTGACGTGCCCAGGCGAACGACGTAGACACAAATGATGGGCCAGGTTACTTGAATCACTCGGACTCCAAGCAAGCTCCAGAGGAGAAGCCAAAGCGAGACGACTGGATGATGATGCCGCCGAAACAGGACGACCTAGCAGCACGCATGGACCCTAGCAAACAACGAGCACGAGGCTTCAATACGGGCAAAGGGGCGAAAGCACCGCAAGCAGGAGGGGAGGACAGCTCGTCGTGGTACGAGACGGCAGAGCAGAAGCAGAAGCGGCTGGCGCACGAGATGATGGGAACATCGAAGCCCAGTACTGTTGGGCCGTCAGGGCCAAGCCAAGCTCCAGATGCGGCGAAAGATGAGGCGGCTGCGAAGAAGATACGGCAGCATACGGTACGCTTCTCCGCCCACGCTTCCGTCTTGGCTCCATCTGCTAACACTGCGTAGGAGAAAACAAGAGGACCATCACTCATGGACCAGCACACAAAGACGACTGGTCCGGACGCAGATGACGACCCGAGCAAACGCGCCTTCGATCGGGAGAAGGATATGGGCAGCGGCATGCGCATCGGACAGACGCAGAGGAAAGAGATGATGAACAAGGCTTCTGGGTTTTCAAGCAAGTTTAGCGGTGGCAGCTATCTATGAATGAGCACAGCGTCGACGACCCCTAAGCCTCACATTCGGACGGTGTTGCACTAGCGAAAGCAAACATTGAGCCGTTGTACGTGCAAGTCCCTCTTCCTTAGACGTTCAAGCGGAAGGTTTGATCTTGCCCTTCCGATGAATCCATCCGAACAGCGGGTCGTGATCCAACGATAATGCATGCACAACTGCACCTACACGTTTAGGATAGTTTCATTACCTAGGTATGTTCGCCGCCCAGAATAGTTTATCAAACAACCTGAAACACGCCTTCAATGAGTCCAAGCGCGAGGTTGAAACAAAGCGCTAGTGATTGACGACGACCCCGGCCACTTGCCCTTGCCGCAACGCAACGTTCATTGTGGAAGTAACCTGAACACACCACCTCGACGCCCTAGACACACCTTCACCCTTTTCTTCGAGCACGCATTGCACCCTGCAAGCGTGTTGGCGACATCTCCCCCTCAGTCCTCTACCCTCGCTTCGACCTCCACATCCCGCTCTTCGTTTGCTGGGCACGAGCAGGGAGCGACTGAGAAACAGCAGCAACGACGAGATTTGGCGAGGCCGACCAACCTCCATCATCAGCGAGTCTGCGTGACATTCTGCGACCGAGCCTACAATGGCGTCGACCCTTTGGAAGAGGCAAGGAGGTCCCATAGGAGACAACAACAACCAAGGATACGGAGGATACAACGGTTACGACAGCTACGATGATGGAGACGTCGACTGGTGGTGGACTTCTGTAAGCTATGTCTGACTGAGCTACATCTACACCGTCTAATAACAGCACCCGCAGACCGGTATGGCCGTGCGCTACGCCATCGTCGCCATCCTCTTCGCCGCCCTCCTCCTCTTCTTCGTTGGCGGCTATTACCACGCCCAACGTCGCGTCCGCCGAGGTCTCCCACCGCTCACATACCACCGCTGGATGGTGAGGAGATCGTACTACTACCCTCCGCAGCAGCAACCGCAGTACCCATATCCGGCTCGGAATAGCTACGGCATGGAGGGATACCCGCCGCCTCCGCCTGCGTACAACAACTATGAAGCGCCGCCGCCGGTATACCAGCCACCACAAGGAGCGAGCAAGGCGATGGCGGACCAGAACTGGCGGGAGACTGGCAGACCTGGTGAGGGGAGTGGTAGCGCTGGAGTTGCGGCACCTGGGCCGGCTGCGCAGTAGCGAGGATTGTGATGCATCTTTGAATTTTGGAGCGTCGGTGGCGAGCATTGTGCATATCATGGTGGAGTCTGGGTCATATCATTGCATCTTTGGCGTGTGGTGGATTGTAAGGGTGAGGTCAGGTTAAGGTCGGAGGACGGGCGATATCCATAGGGAAGGCACGACCATCGCTCCTACTCGCAAGTAGCCAGCATCGTATTCACAACATTGATCAAGTTCCTATTCTCCATCGCCGCCGCAACTCGCTCTTTATCGCCCAGCTGCTTGTTCACCTCATCTGCTGTATTCGACGTGCCCTCTTTAATCCTAACATCGATCCTGAACCGCGGCGGCAAGCAGTTCAGCAACCGCACCTTCACACCCAACCCAATGACTGTCGTAAGCGAGCATGCCGAAGTGGTAGGCGTGATCAGGACTGTCACCGTACTGATGCGCGACCGCGGAGACGTTGGCCCTTTGATGGCGATATCGTCCAGCGTCACCACGCCCAACGAACCAAGCGACAGCGGGTGTTCCGGGTCGGAAATGGTCGAGATAAGGTCGTACACCTCCTGCTCATCGATCTCCTCCCGCGCTTCCTCTTCTGAGTCAGAGTCAGAGGCTTCTGGGGAGGAGAGGGGATCCGCCAGGCTGGGGTAGGCGGGCGCGAGGGAGTCAAAGATTCTTGGCTGCTTCTTCGTGGGCGCTTCGCGTCGGCGAGATGGGAGGTCGGAGGGGTTGATGATGGTCGGATTGGCGTTGTCCTTTTCGGCATCCATGGTGGGCGGTGGTGGTGGATGACGCCAGGGGTGGGGATGGGTGTGGTGTCAGGTCAGCGTCGTAGAATTATGATCCTTCGCAAGCAGGTGGGGTGACGTCGCAAAAGGTGACTAAAACTCTCGGGCCGCCACAGGAAGATCATCCCAGGGAGAGCGATGAAGGTTTCGACGGTGGAGCCGCAACGGTGCACCGGCAGATGGTTTGGGCCGAGGATGTTGAGACGACAAGGATCTACTGGACAGCCCTGCAGGTCGATCAAATTGCTGCTACAGCGGACGAGGGGAGGACCTCCTACATCACGCAGCGGGTACCCGACCAACGAACGATCTGACATCCGGAGCAAAGCACAATCCGCGACACTAGCTGCTGGTTGACTGCACTTGTCTCCTTTTGCCGGAGCCTTATTATTAACTAGCACTCTCCTTAAGTCAGCCCAGTCGCGCAAAGTGAGGTCCTGGGCATTCTTGAGAGTAAGGTACGGACAGACCAGACCTCAACTTCTCGCGCCAGGACGATCTCTTGCTTCCACCGGGACAACGTGCATGTAAAAGGATTCCCGTCCCAAGCTCGCCGCACCACGGATAACGCCAACGCCAACGCCCACACAACCTTGAAAGGCCGGTTGGAGCAGCCGGAAGAGAGATCGACAGCGAACCCCCACCGCTGGTAACTGCATGCTGCAGTGACTTGAGCGACTGCACATAAATCTATATCGATATCTACACCGTCTTGGTGCGTTAGGAGAGGCCATCTGCGTTGTACGGTCACACATTGCTCCCCTCTGGAACCAGCAAACCTCGGATATCGGGCCATGTATCTCCTCGCTTCCTGAAGGATTGATTGGCACCTCGCAACTCTTGAAAACCGTTCCATCTTCTGGTATCGGACGAGAAACCTGGAATAGGCCATACATCCGATGGAACAGCCACCCGCGGGCTCGGCTGCGGCCGCCCATAAGACGTACGTCTTTGTGGACGAGTATAACCGCCACAAGCGATTAAAGGTAATGCGCGCCTGCGATGGCTGTCGCAAGCGGAAGATACGGTGTGACGGCGCACTTCAGAACGGGCCGTGGCCTTGCGGCGCATGTACGCGACTGAAGTTGAAATGCATACCTCCAACACTGGACAACGATGACGAACAGCAACTACCGGACGGCACGATGGGACCGGGCCAGTTCGTCTTCTCGACCGCAGCTCAACCGAGCAGCAGTAGAGCGCAGAGCGATCCTAATCCTGCAGCGCCCCAACAATGGAGCGGATATGCTGCAGCAATTGAAAAACCCGATCTGTCATCGACCGTCCGGCACGATGTGGGTGCCAATGCGTTCTCTTCCCAGATATTCAGCAATCCGCTAGGTCCTCGCCTGGATCGAGGCTTTACGGAGGCAGAATATTTCGCTAGCAATACAGCGCCCGTCCAAATACAACAGCCACGAGGGTCAGCACCACATGTGCTTCGAACACAGTCTGGTGATTCTGGGGCCGACCCTCAGGAAGTGGACGCGAGGGTTCGGGAGCTGTCTGAGCAGATGGGCGAGCTCGCGATTGATCTTTCGTCTGCTGCACCCTACATCACCAACGAGAAGAAGACTCTCGCTGAGACTCCCGCAGTCGAGGAGCTTGATGTCGTACTTCCACCTTCGGTCGGCTCGGATCTTACTGTGAGGATACCACCGGAGATGATGCCGTCAGAGGAACGCGCCATGGACTACTTTGGCTACTTCTTCGAATACGTCCATCCCTATGTGCCTGTATTAGATCGGCATGCGTTCTACGAACAATGGCGAACCGCCAGACATTCTATCTCGCCTCTGATACTGGAAGGTATCTTCGCATGTGTGGCGCGATATCTGGAAGAGCCGATCGAAGTGCGGAAATGGCTGGCTCTGGCTTCGAGGCACGAGGAAAGTTTTCGTGACGTCCCTCGGATAAGCACGATCCAAGCTCTGATGATTCTGACAAAGGCGAGGGAGTTTGTGCCGAAGCGAGGGTACTACTACCGCTCTTGGATGGCTGTGAAGTACATGACTACCATGGCATTCGACCTGGGTATCCACGAGCACCTGGACAAGCATCAAGCAGGCATTGGGTGCGGGCTGAGCACCTCCGATTGTACGGTCCGCACGCGGATGTGGCAGACTCTGTTCGGACTCGAAGTATGGGTTGGCGCTCCTCAAGGACGTACGGACTTTGCCGTGGAGTATGAGACGATCGAGTTCCGGCTACCGACACCGTCTCCGGATATTGACCCATTTGAGCACAGAGCAACGCGAAGGAATACCTTCCTGGCACAGGCTGTCCAGAACGTCAAGCAGACCAATGTTCTCTGGCAGAGAATGCGAAGGCAGAACCCAGAATGGGCGCTCGATCCTACCTTTGTCAGTCGAAATGACCTGATTGCGACGTGGTACAAGAATCTGCCGCCCGACATGCAGATCCACTATACTGACGAGGATACACCTCCCTATCTCGGTGGCGACCATTTCGTGGCGGGTCTGCACACCTATCATCACCTCATCGTGATGATGCAGCATCGACCGCAGCTTCAGACACTGCTGGAGAAGCGGAACCCGAGCTTCAAGGCGCATCTGGACGTTTGCAACGATGCTGCTTCGCGTATCTGCCGGCTTCATGAAGCGTTGTATCGTGACTTTGGTCTACATGGGTTGCAGTTCATGCAGCGAGGTATTGGAATGACTATATACTGCGTGCTGACTTGCATCATGATGCACTTGGTGAGGAATAATCTACTGCTTTAGCACGCATGTACTTCAGCTGACCAAAAGTAGGCAAGCATAACGTCTCCCGACTCCGCGACCAACTCAAGAGCACGCAACCTGTTCACACGGCACATGCGAGTACTCGAGCTATGCGCGCCCTCCGCTAGCCAGGAGGTGCAGGTCCAGATCAACGCCTTACGAGAGGCCTTTAGTCAGGATACCAGCCAGCCGTTTGAGCTTAAGCCGAACCTGGGCCTCCGGAGTCCGGCCTCTGACGAGTATCCTACGCCAGTCAATATGCAAGCGAGCCATAACCCCTCGCTGCACGCAACACCATCCTGGTCCCACCTACAGAATCCCACCTCATCGAAGAACATCAGCCCGGCTACCGACTTTGCGCCCCCATTCGAGGCTAGCACGGTGCAGCCAGTGATGCCCTATACCTCGGTTCCAATGCCAGCGCACCCCGCCTACGCACCACCCGGCGTCCAACAGACCTCCACCCCACCACAGACCGGCTTCAGCATGGCCAACACCGAACCAGCTCCTGTCTGGGATCCGTCAGGCATCTTCCAACAATGGAACACCGCATTTGGAGCTCAGCAGCCACCCCAGCAACCCACTGTCAACGACCCGAGGCTGGCATCGACGTCTGCGTCTATCATACCACCACATCCTGGAGCCCCGCAGGGGGCAATGTTTGCTGCGCGTCAGACGCCCCCGAATGCTGTGCCAGAGATGTCGGCTGTGCCTACAGTCACGCCGATGATGTGGCAGGATGCTTTTACGAATGCTTACATTTCTGGAGGCCACAAGCGGACGCGGGATGACAGTGTTGATTATGGGAGTTATTCGAAGAGGAGAGGATGAAGGATTATTGTTCTATTTGGCTCACTCGAAGTACAGTACCATCAAGCCAGATCGGCTGACCATCTACGAGCAACCACCCATGCGTGAGCCATCTACAAGCCACCTCAGAGGACTGGAGGTCTTGCAGACCTTCAGGAAGCGGGATCCTGTGGTCTGACTACCTTCGCACCTACGAGATCCAGCGGCAACGGTTTGGCTTGGTCAATATGACAGCTTCGGCTTTCGTCGAAGACAGAATGGTCAGTCACCGATCCGTCCTGAGCGAACTGTTCGACACATGCGACGAGCGGCTCTTTGGTCGTAAGAAACTACAGTAAAGCATTTCTGAAGACCTTCCCGACTCCGTTGCCGAACCCTTGTCACCAATCGCCGATCAACACCGACTTCGGCGTCTACAACCTCACCTTGTGGAGGCACTTCGCGGGGAGCCATCAACGTCACGTCAGACACACGCCTGTCGATGATACCACACACGACGATCGACGTAGAGGTTGCGAGATGGCCTCGTGCGAATGCTACGCCGAAAATGTAGATCTGTAGGTAGGCAGCATTAGCGTGTACAGCAGTCGACATTTTGCTCGATAGAACTTCATCAAGAACTATACCATCCAAGCCTCTTCCTCTCACTCTTAGCTTTCTTGTCATTGCTTTGCTTCCACAAAACTCTCGGCCAAGCAGCTTGCACGATGGGGCTATGGAAGCGATCTGCTCCCACGGCGGGAGACGACATCACCCAGTTGAACGGCGACAACAAAGATGACTATGGCGCTCAGAACGAGGAGACTGGCAAGTCCTCTGGCTTCAAGCTAAACAAAGCCGGCGATGGAGATGAGGCAATGGGGCTGTTCTCATCGTCTGCCGATGTACACGAGCCTATCGATCCGCAAGAGGAGAAGAAGGTGGTGCGGAAGATTGATCTGATGATCTTGCCGGTTCGTGTAACTTCGTATCCAAGAGGGACCAGACGCTGATCAACATACAGTACCTGGCAGTCTGTTACTGGTACGCAAGAACATAGATGGCACCGTCAGACGTAACAATGCTAACAGAGACAGCTTCTTCTACATCGACAAAACCACCTTAAGCTATGCCGCCATCTTCGGCATCGAAGAGGACCTCAACCTCCATGGCTCCCAATACAGCTGGCTCAGCTCAATCTTCTACTTTGGCTTTCTCGCCTGGGCGTTACCAACCAACCTACTCCTCCAGCGCCTGCCGGTCGGGCGCTACCTAGGCTTCAACATCTTCCTCTGGGGCTTCTTCTTGATGCTACAGGCCGCGGCGCATAACTTCGCTAGTTTAGCTGCCTTGCGAGCATTGGCTGGAGCTGCGGAGGCAGTGTCGGATCCTTCGTTCATGCTAATCACGTCTATGTGGTATACGCGGCGCCAGCAGCCTGTTCGTATGGGGTTGTGGTATACGGCGAATGGATTTGGCATTGCGCTTGGAGGCCTGCTTGGGTTCGGGATCGGCCATATCCAAGGTGCCCTGCCTTCTTGGAAGTACGAGTTCTTGGTCATCGGTGCGCTATGCTGCGCTTGGGGTATTGTGATGTGAGTATTTCGTTCGTTGAAGTGCGACTGGGTGCTGATACTGCTCCAAGGTTCATCTTCCTACCCGATAGCCCAGTGACGGCAAAAGGACTGTCGCTTCACGAAAAGCGTATAGCCGTCGAACGACTGCGGGAGAACCAGACGGGTGTTGAGAACAAGGTCAGTCCATCTCCGAGACCAGACATCTTACAAGCAGTTACTTACTGACACACCTTCAGCACTTCAAATGGTACCAAGTCAAGGAGACGTTTACAGACTACAAGACCTACCTCTTCTTCATTCTTGGCTGCGTGTGCAACGTCCCCAACGGCGGCATCTCAAATTTTGGCACCATAATCATCCAAGGATTTGGATTCAGCACCCTCGTTACCACGTTGATGCAAATACCCTACGGAACGCTCATCGCCATCTCGATCCTCTCATGCGTCTTTCTAAACGACTACATGTCTCGCAAAGGCCGACAAACTCGGGTGTGGTTCGTTCTACTTTACCTCTGCCCGAACATTGCTGGAGCGTTCGGGCTTCGCTTCTTGTCTGAAGGAAATCAGGGCGGGAGATTGGTGTGCTATTACCTTACCGGACCTTACAATGCGGCGTTTGTTCTGCTGTTGTCGATCACTATTGCGAATACTGCAGGTGAGCTTTCACGTTCTATTTTACCATGTACTTCCATGCTAACCACTGGCTAGGACACACGAAGAAAGTCCTCACGAATGGTATGCTCCAACCTCCTTCTCAATTGCTGTTCAGCAAACTAACCACCACGAATTACAGCCATCCTATTCCTAGGTTACTGCGTGAGTTCAGTCACAACCCTTCCAGCCTCGCCCGCATACTGAAAACATCTACCTCACAGACTGGAAACATAATCGGTCCCTTCTTCTACCTTTCCTCGCAAGAGCCGCGCTACGAGCTCGGCATTTGGAGCATGATCGTCTCGCACCTTATCGAAGCATGCATCGTCTTGCTGCTCCGCTTCTTGCTAAGCCGAGAGAACAAGCGACGCGACAGAATCCAGAGTGCTGAGGCCGGAGGACTCGAGGGAAGGGACCTTGATGCGACCGCTTTTAGCGACATGGTAAAATCGTTGTCCCTATTTGTGGTTCTTGCAAGATGGGAGACATATGCTGACTGCTCTTTGCATACAGACGGACCGGGAGAACATCAATTTCAGGTATATCTACTAGAGGAAGCGTCGGGAGGCTTTGGAGCATGGCGGAGTTGGCGATACGCCATGTTATACATATCTAGAAGAACTTTGAAGACGAGCTGTGCCTCGCTCGTCGAGCATGGGTTCTCCGTCCCGCATAGCTGGTCGAAGGACGAATGGGCTCGCACTCATGATCTAGCTTTCCTTCTCAAGCCGGAGAACTTTCCCTTGGTTTCGCCGGCGGTGAGGTGCTTTCGAACGCAGTACTCCTTTTGATCTCTCAGACGCCCCCATCCAGCACCCCAGTCTCCCTCAACTGCCTCACCAGCTCTCCTTCCAAGAACTTCCCAACGCCCACATCTTCGCTCAAGCCCTTCCTCCGCCTCGTCTTCAGCACGAAATCCCTCGCCGTAGCCTGCGCGCCCGCTGGCTCTAACGGCCGCAGCTTCACACTCTTATCCAGTGGATCTCCAGGCACAACGCTCCATCGATCAAACACCAGCGACAACGTCACCGCGCCTTGCGTGTGGATTCGCAGATCCGTTTCGAAGCCGAAGCTGTCAATGACAGGGATGAGACCTTTGACGGAGTAGAGCGGTGTTCCTGGCACAGGAGCGTCGCTGAGCACGTGTCCTCGTCTCCGGCTTAGGACGGTGTAGAGCGAAGAGACGGCGTTGGCGGGGCCGAGCATCGTGCAAGAGTACATCGGCTCCATCAGACGCGGACCCGCCATCAGGAAGCTGGAGTAGCAGGCTCGTCGTGCTGTAGGGATGATCTGCGCTCCGCCGCGAGAGATGGCTTCTTGTGCCAGTTCGACATCGGTGATCTTGAACTTGACGTTGCGGATCGGCTCCTCGCACAGTGGTCCTTCTCGCGACGCCCACGAGAAACCTTGTTTGATGCCGTCGCGCACGTTTCGAAGGACTTTAGCGTCGACGTCGGAGGGAAGTGTATCGTTTTGCAGGATGTTAGGACCCCGATCGTCGGGACCGAAAGCCCAGATGTTGCGGCTGGCAAGGAGGTCGTAACCGTAGTTCTCTTCGAAGAATTTGCCGACTTTTCGTGCTGGGTCGCGAATGTCGACCTTGCCGCTTTCGATGTCTTCAGCGATGCCGTCGTCCAGTGGTTCGGCCACGAATGTGAGTTTGTTCTTCTTGTTCGGTGTGATGGCGTAGCACTTGATTGCACTCTGGTCAACGATCGTCTCGCAGAACCTCGTCACCGGATCTGAGACTTTGATCTCCATCTGCGCGTACATTCGCCGTAGGTCGTGGAGCACGCAGTCCATGTAAAGCTCGCCAGTGCCGAGAACTACATGCTCCCCACTTTCCTCGACTTTCGTCGTGATCAGCGGGTACGTCTTGTTGATCTTCCGCAACCCGTCCAGCATCTTTGGCAGTTCTGATGGGTTGATAGGCTCTACAGCGACCTTGAAGACGCTCTCAAAGAAGTGCGCAATGGGCCTGAAGATGTACGCTTCCTCATCTTCCGGTAGCTTTGGCGCAACGATCGTAGCAGTCTTGAAGATACTGCTGTCCACCCCACCCAGCAGCACAAAGTTACCAGCTGGGATGCCTGAAACAGGAACACTATATCTGCTCTCCGCGATCGAGACTGATGAGATGGTAGCGTTGACCATGTCTTCCTCGTCATCGATGCTGTAGTTTTCGCCCAGCACACGCACCTTCTGACCAGGACGAGCGGTTCCACTCAACACCCGGCCGAACGAGTTGAACGATTGCGCATCTTGGGTGTTGAAGAGCTTTGTGACGTGTACGATCAGCGGTCCATCTGAGTCGCATTCCTGCATCGCTTTCGCGGTCTGTGTATCAGTAGGGCCAGTGTAGTAGTTGCCGAGCTTCTGCTTTGCGCCTTCAACAGGGCTTGGGACGTGCTGGATGACCATATCCACGAAGCCTGAGGCTGGACCGAAGAACTGCTCGCATGCCAGCCGCAGCAGCTCTTTGGCATTCGATTTCAGTTGTGACGGCTTCAAGTGGATACCCAGCCCTTCGAGCGTCTTCTTCAGATCTTCAGGGCTTTCTGAGATGGTGTGTGAGTACAACTTGTAGATCGGCTCCAGCACGAAATGGACGAAACTTCTCTTCGCGCCTTCTTCAACAGCCTTCCGCGTGAACTTGCGTGATCGTGGATTGAAGAATATGTCACCCCATAATCGCTTGCCGAACTCACCACTGTCGAACTGTGCGTTGGGATAGCTCTCCGCATACAACTTTGCGAAGGAAGGCAGCGTAATGCACCAGTCCATTGAGCTGCATGAGAAGCAAACGTTGCCCTTTTCAGGACTGACTCGGAACTTCTCGCCTCGCCCAGGGATGACGTTCTCGATGTGCGTGTTGACCTCCTCCACGACATGCTTCAGCTTGAAGTATGCGTCAGTCGGCGGCAGCTTCAACTCCAGAATCAATCGATCCATCTTGTTGATCAAAAGCACCAGTGGCAGTCCAGAGAGCACGGCGTGCTTGATAACGAGCTCTGTTTGCGTCTGCACGCCCTCCACCACGTCTACAACCAATACTATCCCGTCCACCAACCTCATGGCTGCTGCCACCTCATCCGCAAAATTGACGTGTCCAGGTGTATCGAGCACATTCAACAGCTGGCTCTTCCCATTCGTCCCTGGCAACACCAGTGTCATTGGTGAGGATTTAATAGAAAGCCCTCTTTCTCGTTCAAGCAGATGTGTGTCCGTATACCGCATCAGCTCATCTCTTGCCTTGCCAGTCTTGCCCTCCATAAGCTTTGACACATCATGCGTCTGTCGCACCAACGTATCGAGAAAGCTGGTCTTGCCATGGTGCAGATGTCCGCAGAGCGCAATGTTTCGAATGCCCTCAGGAAAACTCATCAAGTCGCTCAAGAAGCCTCGGTCAAAGCAGACAGGCGGCAGTTCGCCCTCTTCCTCCTCGATCGTGAACTTCTTATGCTCGACAGGGGCGACAATGGGCTGCTGAAGTGTTTGCGTGTCTTCTTCCTGCACAAGTGTCTCTACGCCTGGGCCGTATGTCTGTTGCGCGGTCGGGTAGTACTGTTTGTCCTCGTGCAGGACCACAGCATTCGAAGGGCCATCCTCATCTATCTCCATCAACTCCTGACCTGTCGGCGCAGTGTCTGCTTCGGCCTCGTCGTCGTCCAGGTACTGCGCGCCGCTGTATGCGCCGGCTTCCTCTTCCTCTTGACTATCCCCCTCCGGCTCGCCGATGAAGTTGCCAAACTCATCGTATAGGTCGTCCATGATGTGCAGTGTAATATGAGTGGCGCGTCGTACTCTGGAGAGTTCCGGCGCAGTGTCGTGAAGCAAGTCTGAACTTTTGCAGTGATTAGCCTTGAGGCTCAAAATAAGCTTATCTTAGCGGCGAGAGACGATAAGCTTAAATCCAGGCTCGGGTGTGTACGGGCTCTGGAATTGTTCCCTCGTACGACAACTCGAACGATTCAAGACACGGGCCATTGCGAAGGTTGAAATACTCGAGAATTCCAGATCTGGTTCAAGAACCCCTTCTATCAACTTCTTATCCAACACGAAAGATCATACAGCAACACACCACCCACCATGGCACCTCCAAAACCCGTCTACATCCTCTCCACTACCCGCACCCCAGTCGGCATGTTTCAGGGTTCACTCTCTTCCCAAACAGCAGTCCAACTCGGCTCCCATGCAATCAAGTCCGCCGTCAAGCTCGCCAACATCTCGCCCTCTGAAGTCGAAGAAGTCTACTTTGGCAACGTCCTCCAAGCAAATGTCGGTCAGAACCCAGCCCGCCAATGCGCAATCTACGCCGGACTGCCTGAGAGCACCGAAGCGACGACGGTGAACAAAGTGTGCGCGAGCAGTGTGAAGGCAATGGCGCTAGCAGCGCAGAGCATTCTGTGTGGAACAGCAGATGTGATTGTTGCAGGTGGAGCAGAGAGCATGAGCAATGCACCCCACTATCTACCCAACATGCGGACGGGAGCGAAGTTCGGCGACCAGACGCTCGTGGACGGCATACTTCGAGACGGTCTCAGTGACGCATACTCCAGCCAACACATGGGTCTGCAAGGCGAGGAGTGCGCAGAAGACCACGGCTTCAACCGCGAACAGCAAGACGACTACTGCATCCGCAGCTACAAGAAAGCCCAAGCGGCGCAGGAGAAGGGATGGTTCGCAGACGAGATCTCACCCGTCACTATCCCAGGTGTGCGCGGGAAGCCAGATACTAGTGTGGGCAATGACGATGAGCCGAAGAATTTCAACGAGTCCAAAACCAGGACCCTCAAACCGGCTTTCAAGAAGGAAGGCGGTACAGTGACCCCGGCCAATGCTTCACCTCTCTCCGACGGTGCAGCAGCCATGGTCATTGTTAGCGAAGAGTACGTCAAGAAGCACAATCTCAAACCCATCGCCAAAATCCTCGGCTGGGGCGATGCAGCCAAGGCACCGTCGAAATTCACCACCGCACCTTCCCTCGCCATCCCTAAAGCGTTGAAGCACGCCGGTATCAAGCAAGAAGACGTCGACGCATTCGAGATCAACGAGGCGTTCTCCGTTGTCGCACTGGCGAACATGAAGATCCTGGGCCTGAAGGAAGAGAAGGTCAATCTGCACGGCGGGGCTGTGGCGTTGGGACATCCGCTCGGTGCTTCAGGAGCGAGGATCGTGACGACGTTGATGGGTGTCTTGAGGGAGACGAAGGGGAAGATTGGGTGCGCGGGCATTTGCAACGGTGGAGGAGGTGCAAGTGCGATTGTGATCGAGAGGTTGGATGGTGGTGCGACCAATGGTGTCAATGGGAGCTCCTAGTCAAGACGACTCCAGGGTCAAGACAGCCAAAGGAGAAACGCGTTGAGCTGGAGTAGGAACTCTGCTGTGCAGTTGCTATTGCCGCGTAGAGCTAGATACCATGCATATTGAATCAAAAGTCCTTGTCATTTGGTCCATCTGATTGGTCACAGAAATTAGCCGCTAGCCTATGTCAATTTATCTTGTGATAATCTTCTCGAGCGCTCTTTCCCTACACCATCTTCACCAAGATGCCGCTAATGTCGATTGGCTACAAAACAGCGGACGCTAACGGCTGTTCTCCGGGTACTTGCATTGTCCGGTGAGGTGCATGACGCTAGCCATTGTAAGGCACATAGACGAACATCAAGTAAGTCACTAAGAACGCCAACAATCATCATCATCGCAATACTAAAGAACACCCTGATACAACTTCCTTCAAAATGTCCTCCGCCTGGTTCACAGCCGCCTCCCTCTCCGCCGCCTCAGCAGTCGGTTTCGGTGCCTTTGGCGCCCATGGCTTAAAATCACGAGGTATCCCCGATGCCAAAATCGCCAATTGGGGCGTCAGTCTCCCATATCCCCAATCCAAAACCCATCGTTCTAACCCATCCCAACAGACAGCAGCCCACTACCAGCTCATCCATTCCGTGGCATTACTAGTAGCAGACCAAGCAGCCCCGCGCAACATCTGGGCGAAGTCTTTCTTTACGGCGGGCATTACGATGTTTAGCGGGAGTATCTATTTGCTTGTGCTGGATCCGCAGCGATTTAAGTTCATGGGGCCGGTGACGCCTTTGGGGGGAACGTGTTTGATCGCAGGATGGGTGGCGCTCGCGTTCGGGACGAGGGGGAGGATTGCGTTGAAGTAGATGATCTCTGGTGCTCTGTGGTAGGAAGACGGAATTGGAGCAGAGGGGGATGGAACGAGATGAAGATGTCGACAAAAGAGATCTCGATTTGCAGCGCCTCCGTGTCTAGTATATACAACACCACAAACCCCTCCACTTTCAAGACAGATTTTCACATGTCCTCCGATGCAGTAGCACCAGTGATAATCTCCACCAACTCGCCGGTAATCACAGCCTGTCGCGTTCGGTTGTAGAGAATGGTGAACTTGTCGATCATCTCGCCGGCGTTCTTGGTCGCGTTGTCCATGGCGTTGCGGCGAGCGGAGATCTCCACGGCGTGGCCTTCGGCAAGCGCCCAGTAGAGGCTGTTGGCGAGGGAATATTCGCGCATGTTCGCGAGGACTTCGTCGTCGATTTCGAAGGCGGTGAAGTTGGCTGTAAACGTTCATGTCAGTAAGGGACCGAAGACAAGATGAGGGGTGTTGACTCACGTGACTGAGTGATAGACTCCTCATCGTACGCCTCAAGGGTGACCGGGTGGTAGCTCTGTGCGTTGTCGAACTGGTTGTACATGATCTTGGTTTGCGCATAATCGCCCGGCAACAAGCTGATCTGGTCCGCAATGGCCTGCGCATCCGCGAAAGAGGGCACGTCCTTGCCAATGGAGTTGAAGCTCAACACAATGTCCTTCGGGTTGCTCCTGCTGATCTGCGCCTTCGACTTGTCGCCAATAACCACAACATCGTAGTCCGCCGGCTCTTCGTTCATCATCCGCCTCGCCGCACGCGAAAGACCGGAGTGCACACCACCGCAGAGGCCCTTGTCGGAGCTACAGATGACGAGCAACACCTTCTTGTTCTCGGACTCCACTGGCTTGGTCTCTGCCTCGTCGAAGACGGCGTTGGAGGTCTTGCCGTAGGAGCGGGACTCAGTCATGGCGCGTTGGGCCTTGGAGAGCTTGGTGGAGGCGACGATTTTCATAGTCTTCGTGATCTTCTGGATGTTCTTGATGGACTTGAGGCGGCCCTCAATCTCTCGGAGTGTCGCATAGTTGGCATTTTGGAAGGCAGGGACGGCGGCAGTTGCTGGTCTGGAGGAGCATTGGATGCGTTAGCTGCTGTGTTCTCCTTTGCGTGCTTGCGAGTTTGCTGGGTGTTGGGCCTGAACGTACCGGAATGTGGCCACCGAGCCAGCGCGCAAGGCCGGGCGAGCAGCTCGTGACAGCATAGTTGCTGCTGCGTGAGAATGGGAGATGGAGGAGTGGGGTGGTGGTGCGGTCGTCAGAGTATTGCTGTCTGGCTAGGAGAGCTGTGAGGTCTCAAGTTGCTTGCCGCAGAGCCGCCTCTGCCGATAATCACGTGATCGTCAGGAACCTTAGCATTTTACATTCTACTCCTTCATTGCCTAATTGTTTCCCTTCACTCTCGTCACACCCCAGAGCATATACTATTCACCACTCAGTCCTTACTGCGAGCCAAACCACGATTTCACTCATCTCACGAGTCTTATCGAGGCCCATCAGTCTCACAACTTCATCCGTCTTCCGCAACTCGCGCTTGCCACAGCGACAACGCGTCGGAAACTGCTTGTCCTTCTCAACACGACCTACGCTTCACAACAGCCTCCAACACACCGCGCGACGTGTCCAAAGGCCTTGGCCGTTCATCAAGACCATCATGACTGATTCCGAGGACGACAAGCCTCTGTTGAAGAGCGGTACGTACTCGAGTCCGATTCACTGCTGTTCTTCAAAACTGCGAAGTCCCCTTGCGCTCGTGGTGGGGACTTGGTGAAAACTTTCCCGGCTTCATCACATGTCAACCATCATCTCCTTCACTTTATTATTTGGCTGCCTCATCACTTGATCTTTGATCATCTGACTCATTGACACTTCGTGCTATTATTACAATATTACTGCTGCACAAACGTTCTCAAAACCACTTCTCTTACTGACTTCCTCCTCAGCTAAGTCAAGAGACACCATTCCTGCTGCAGTCGACCAAGCCATGGACAAGCAACTCCCCAGCAACGGCAAACTCGAACCAGGCATCAGCATGGCTATGGGCCCTATCGAAGACATGGACGTAGACAAGCCTACCACCAATGGCGCAACCAATGCCAAGCGAAAATCAGCCATGGGCAACGGCAAGTCCTACAAAGAGTCGACTGACTCGGAAGACGACGACAAGCCTCTTCAGAAGCGTCGAAAGACGACGAAGCCTGCCGAGTCTGACGACGAAGACGACGTACCGCTTCAGAAGCTTCCGAGAGCGTCCGCTGCTCAGATAGGCGAAGAGTCGGACGACGACATGCCTCTCAACAAGAAGCTGCAGAAGGAGAAGGCAGTCATTGAGAAGAGGGCTGAGAAGGAGGCCAAGGCTATGCGGACCGAGGACAAGACCGCCGATGCGAAGAAGAAGGCTGTGAAGAAGGAGAGTGATGATGAGGACGACAAGCCTCTCGTCAAGAAGAGGAAGCCTGCAGTGAAGCAGGACAGCGACGACGACGATGACGTGCCTCTTGTTAAGAAGAAGCCCGCGCCGAAAAAGCAAGCCAACGGCACTGCTAAGAAGGTGAAGAAGGAAGAGTCTGAGGATGACGAGAAGCCTCTGAGCAAGAAGGCTCCTGCGAAAAAGGGCAAGAAAGAGACCACAGCGGCTCCAGCCAAAGGCAAGGGCAAAGCCAAGACGTACGCCGATGCCGAGGAAGAAGGCGAGGAGGAAGAGGAGTACAAGTGGTGGGAGGCTGAAATGCAGGGCGACGGTACCATCAAGTGGAACACGCTTGAGCACAATGGCGTCGTCTTTCCACCTGAGTATGAGCCTCTCCCGAAGAACGTCAAGATGCTGTACGATGGAGTGCCGGTGACCCTGGCCAAGGACGCTGAGGAAATCGCGCACGCGTTCGGCAGCATGCTTCACTCCACGCACAACGTCGAGAACCCTACTTTTCAGAAGAACTTCTTCGCCGACTTCAAGGAGGTGCTGGATAAGACCGGACACGCAACCGACAAGAATGGCAACCGCATCAAGATCAAGGAGTTTGCAAAGTGCGACTTCAAGCCCATCTTCGAGCATGTCGATGCTGAGCGGCAGGCCAAGAAATCGCTTCCTGCGGCCGAGAAGAAGAAGATCAAGGCTGAGAAGGACGAGAAGGAGGGGCCGTACCTGTACTGCATGTGGGACGGCCGCAAGCAGAAGGTTGGCAACTTCCGTGTTGAGCCTCCAGGCCTGTTCCGTGGTCGCGGTGAGCACCCGAAGACTGGCAAGTGGAAGAAGCGAGTGTCTCCAGAGCAGATCACCATCAACATCGGCAAGGAAGCCATGGTGCCAAAGCCTCCGGAGGGCCACAAGTGGAAAGAGGTCAAGCATGACCAAGAGGGCACATGGCTCGCTATGTGGCAGGAGAACATCAACGGCGCCTACAAGTACGTCATGCTGGCTGCGAATTCCGATGTCAAGGGCCAGAGCGACTGGAAGAAGTTCGAGAAGGCGCGAGAGCTCAAGAAGCACATCGACTACATCCGCAAGGACTACACGAAGGAGCTCAAAGCCGAAGAGATGGCAATTCGCCAGCGTGCCACCGCCGTCTACCTCATCGACCAGTTTGCGCTACGTGCTGGCAACGAGAAGGGTGAGGACGAGGCAGACACCGTTGGCTGTTGCTCTCTGAAGTTCGAGCACGTCACTCTCCGGCCTCCAAACACCGTCATCTTCGATTTCCTAGGTAAAGACTCCATCCGCTTCTACAACGAGTTCGAAGTCGACAACCAGGTCTTCAAGAACCTCAAGATCTTCAAGCGGAGTCCAAAGGGCGACGGCGATGAGATCTTCGACCGCATCACCACTTCCGGCCTGAACAAGCATCTCTCGAACTACATGCCCGGCTTGACGGCCAAAGTCTTCCGTACCTACAACGCCTCTTGGACCATGGCCAACCTTCTCCGAGAGATGAAGGTCTCCTCCAAGGTGCCAATCCCTGAAAGAGTGAAAGACTACAACGACGCCAACCGCAAAGTGGCCATCATCTGCAACCACAAGCGCACTGTCGCCGCCAGCCACGAACAACAGATGGGGAAGATGGAAGACCGCATCAACACACTTCGCTACCAGCAATACCGCATCAAGCAGATGATGCTCGACCTCGACTCGAAGCTCAAGAAGAAGAAAGGCGCCGACTACTTCGCCCTCCCCGACGGCCTGGACGAAGAGTGGGTCAAAGAGCACCAAGAAGCCCTTGTCGAAGAGCAGCGCAACAAGATCAAGAAGAAGTTCGAAAAGGACAACGAGAAGCTTCTCGCAGAGGGTGAGAAGGAATTAAAGGCCAAGGTGCTGGAAGAGCGTCTTGAAGTTGCCGATGAGCTTGAGACGAAGTTCAAGCAGGAGCGCAAGAAGGGCAAGATAGAGGCTGAGGGGAAAGGGCCGAGCGTGGAGAAGTATGTGCAGCAGCTTGAGAAGCTGGATCAGCGCATCGCGACGTTGAAGACGCAGAGTGAGGATCGCGAGAATAATAAGGAGGTTGCGCTGGGGACGTCGAAGATCGTGAGTACCATTTTCATTCGAATCAGTGAGTGGGACCTGTTGCTAACGCAGACGGCAGAACTACATCGACCCCCGCCTGACGGTGGTCTTCTCGAAGAAGTTCGACGTGCCGATTGAGCGCTTCTTCAGCAAGACGTTGCGGGACAAGTTCAACTGGGCCATCAACTCGGTGGATGAGGACTGGGAGTTCTAAGCTGGGGTGCTCTTCTCGGCGAGAGGGGGTGGTTGCGGGTTGACGATGCATATGCGGATGGTACAGTGCTTTGAACGGGGCTGGGAGAAGACATATGGTGCATCACGGCTAGCTGGGTACAAGACCGGCGGTGGCCTGGCATGGGAGGCGTTGCTGAACAACATGAGGTGGGTGGGCATCAGTGATTCCTACGGGACCTGCTTGGAGGGTGGCACATTAGTTTGCTCTTGCTTTAGAGATAGCAGATCAGTTCTCAGAACATGCTCAAGCTCCATGCGTTATCTGTTGTGTCCTTGGTGTAATTTGAGCCATGCAAGCCTCGTTGACCGTACGCAATGCCTGCTGTAGCGGTCTCGTGGGCTTGGACCTTCCAATGTGTTTATCTCGACAGCAAGTTATATTTTCCATCAGCATCCTCAGTCATTGGTGACTCTCTGTGCCGTATTGATTTTGGAGAAGAGAGCAAGGTGATCTTGAGAACATGAAGCTTGGGTCCACCGCTGATGTCACCGAGCCAGACCAAGAACACTCTCTCCTCTCCTCATAATTCACTTTGTCTTGCCGTGAGTTCGTGACAGATTGGTAGCCATGATAAACTGAGACGACACCCGAGCATTAATACCGCAAGACATAGCGAAATGGCCGCTTCTAGTATGTTTCTCACCTGATTGAAAGCTGTATAGGCCAATGCTAACACGGCCTTCTAAGAGAAAGCAGCCTCGCCTTCCCTCTCAGAAAATGCATTGAAGCACTTCAAGACCTACAAATACTCCTCAGTCGACAAATCTCCAATATCAAAATACATCCTCAGACACTACGTACAACCTCCCCCATCCCAAGCCCTCACCACCCAAACTAACATCCCCCAGTGGAACGCCTGCGTCGAGTTCCTCCCACTATGGCTCGCCCCCAACATGGTTACCCTCCTAGGCTTCTTCTTCATCATCGGCAACGTCGCCCTTCTAGCCGTCGTTGACCCGGATCTTTTGGGACCGAAGCAGCAATGGGTTTACTACAGCTACGCTTTTGGGGTATGGGCTTACTCGACTATGGATAATATCGACGGCAAGCAGGCGCGCCGAACAGGGACTTCATCCGGTCTAGGGGAGCTTTTTGACCACGGCATTGACTCGCTGAACTGCACCCTAGCTTCTCTGCTCGAAACGAGCGCAATGGGGCTGGGAGCAACGAAATTGGGCGCCTTCACAGCCCTAGTCCCAACACTACCAATGTTCTTCTCAACCTGGGAGACCTACCACACCCACACCCTCTACCTAGGCTACTTCAACGGACCAACCGAAGGCCTCATCCTCGCCAGCGCCATCATGATCACCTCCGGCCTCTACAGCCCGCAAATCTGGCGCGAACCGCTGTCCAACATCATCGGGCTGGAAGAAATCCTAGGCAAAATGACAGCAGAAGACGCCTGGCTCCCTATCCTCCTCGCGGGGTTCTTCGTCGCCCATTTGCCATCGTGTGTCTACAACGTCGCGCAGGCGCGGAAAGCGAACAACCTCCCCTTGGCTCCCACGTTTCTGGGTTGGATCCCGATGATTTCGTTCACGACCTCCTTACTCGCATGGCTGGGGTCCCCGTACTCGCATTTACTGTTCGACAATCACCTGGCTCTGCTATGCCTCACGCTGTCCTTTGTGTTCGGGCGGATGACGACGAAGATTATCCTCGCGCACTTAACGCGGCAGCCGTTCCCGTACTGGACAGGCCTTCTGCTGCCGCTGATGGGTGGAGCGGTGCTGGTTAATTTGCCGGTGTTTGGTTTCGAGCCAGTGTCGGCGGAAGTCGAGCACTACTATCTCTGGGCGTACTTTGCGATCTCTGTGGTCGTATACTTCCGGTGGGCGTACCTGGTCATCAACGCCATTTGTGGCTATCTTAACATCCAGTGCCTCACGATCCCAGAGGAGAAGTGGAAGAAGCTGGAAGAGGAGAGCAGACGGGAAGCAGAAAAGAAGAAAAGTTGATCTGGGAGCATGTCGTTAGAGGGCTCTCAGCATTGGGATAGATTTAGTACCAGAGATAGAGCCATATTCAACACTGGCTGCAGTGATGCAGAGACCATTGGATTAGGAGGTAGCACAAGGGCCACCAGAAGTCTTCAAAAGTGAGACAGGGTGACAGTTTTACCGACTGCCATTCGATTATCTGGCTAACGCTGTTAAGATGAGAAGGCTGTTCGACAACCACATGGACTGCTCCTCTGGGCAGGCAGTACGTTGCTCAAGGGTACATTGTCATGTGGCTCAAACGGGTATCTGACATGGTGAGGCTGTGTGAGAGAGAATGCTGTCATTGAAACATTCCATTACACCCACCCCCGAACGCCATTCCCATGACGTCCGACGATGCTGTGACAATCTACTTTTCTCGTCCGAAAATGCCGTCTCATCATCGAAACACTCGCAGTCTAGACCATATGCATAACAGCGACGTGAAGCCTCTGAGTCGCTTGCCCATCGACTGTCCGCAGTGACAAGCAAGCAAGCAAACACCACTCGTCATCCCGAGAACCGTGTCCACTCTTAGCGAGTAGCCATGGCCTTCGTCACCAGCCTCTTCAACGCCAGCTCCTTCTTCCTCAAGTCATCACTGCCCGCATCCTCGATCTCGAGCTGTGCCATCGCATCGCTGAGCGCGCTCTCGATCTTCTCCTTCTGTCCGCGCTTGAGCTTCATGCTCATCGATGGGTCGCTGACGATCTCCTCGACACGGCTGATGTAGCTCTCAAGTTGCTGGCGGGCCTCGAACTTCTGGCTGAAAGCCTCGTCGCTGCTCTTGAACTTGGCGGCGTCCTCAACCATCTTGTCGATCTCGGCGGAGGATAGCTTGCCGACCGAGTTGGAGATGGTGATGTTGGCGCTGCGGCCGGAGGACTTCTCGGTGGCGGTAACCTTGAGGATACCGTTGACGTCGACTTCGAACACGACTTCGAGGACAGCGTCGCCGGCGCGCATGGGGGCTGTACACAATTAGTCTATGCCTCAAAGACGAAATGGGTAGTTTCAACTTACGGATTGGCGCAAGCGTGAACTCTCCAAGAGAGGTGTTGTCCTCGCAATTCACACGCTCACCTTGGAACCTGATAGCCACGAATTAGCATGACTGTGGCGAAAGGGATGAAGATGCGGCCTGCGAAGGGTAGAAGGTCATCTCGAGCCCCACACCAAGCTAGAAAACCCCTGAAGGAGAATATAGCCAGATGCTATCTCAGAGAACGCTTCCACCCAGAAGGACGAGCACTTACACCGGGAACTGCACAGTCTGCTGGTTATCTGAGAGGTTGTAAGCATGTGGGTCTCCAAAATCAATAGTGGTTTGAACATACCAGCAACGGTGGTGAAGGTACGCTTCTTGAGCGTGGGAACAGTATTGCCGCGAGGGACGACAGGCGCGAAGATGTTGCCCTCCATAGCCACACCGAGCGAGAGCGGGACGACATCGAGCAGAAGCAGGTCAGAGGTGTCAGCCGAAGTAGCCTTGCCGGACAGAATACCAGCCTGGACGGCGGCACCGTACGCAACAGCCTCGTCCGGGTTGATGCTCTTCTCGAGCTTCTTGCCGTTGAAGAAGTCGGACAGGAGCTTCTGTATCCGTGGAATACGTGTGCTGCCACCGACCAAGACGATCTCGTCAACCTTGCTCTTCTCAAGCGCGGCGTCCTTCAACACCTGCTCGACAGGCTGGATCGTGCCGTTGAATGCCTTGCTGTTGATATCTTCGAATCGTGCACGGGTGATGTTCGCGTTGAAGTCCTCGCCGTCGAAGAGGGAGTCGATCTCGACAGTGGTCTGAGTGCCGTTCGAAAGGGTGCGCTTGGCGCGTTCGCAAGCAGTTCGCAGGCGGCGGAGGGCACGTGGGTCGTTGGAGATGTCCTCTGCGCGAAAGTTAGCAAACGCTTGATAATTATTGAGGATGCTGTTGCGTACTCTTGGTCTTGCGCTGGAACTCCTTCTTGAAGTGCTCAAGCAGGTTGGTGTCGAAGTCCTGGCCACCCAAGTGCGCTACAAAAGGGTCAGCAAGTGTCTCTGGACTGCAAAGAGTAGGCATCGGGTCTCAGAACGTCGCAGGGAGCTCCATTGTGTCTCAGAGAACCCTTTTGCCCATCAGTACTTACTGTCACCAGCCGTAGCCTTGACGGTGAACACGCCACCCTGAATGTGCAGGAGCGAGACATCGAAGGTACCACCACCGAGGTCGTAGATCAGCACGTTCCTCTCCTTCTCAGACTTGCCGGAACCGAGACCGTAGGCAATGGCAGCGGCAGTAGGCTCGTTGATGATACGGAGGACGTTGAGGCCAGCGATCGCACCAGCGTCCTTTGTGGCTTGTCTCTGGTTGTCGTTAAAGTAGGCGGGGACGGTGATGACGGCCTTCTCGACCTTCTTGCCCAGCTTGACTTCCGCGACCTCCTTCATCTGTTAGGAGTTAGCATGTGACACCGATGTCAGACTACCATGCGACTGACCTTGCCCAACACCATGGCAGAGATCTCCTGCGGCGAGAAGGTCTTGTTCTCCCCGAGGTATTCGACCTGCACCTTCGGGTTGTTCTCAGTGTCAATGACCTTGAAGGGCCACGACTCGATATCCTTCTTGACGGTAGGGTCGTCGAATCTCCGTCCAATGAGGCGCCTAAAGTCCTGTTAGAGCCATTCCCGTGCGTCTGTTTGTCCATCTTTCCAACTCACTTCACATCGAAGACGGTGTTCGCGGGGTTCATGGCGGCCTGGTTCTTCGCAGCCTCACCGATCAATCGCTCTTCGGAGGTGAAGGAGACGAAGGATGGGGTGGTGAAGCTTCCTTGCTCGTTGGCGACTGGATGCCATCATTAGTATGGGTCCATCATTGCTTTTGAACATCCGGCGCACTCACTGATCTCGACGCCAGCGCCCTCATAGTTGGCCACACAAGAGTAGGTGGTTCCTGGTGAACATCAGCATCTGCGTCGCGCTCCGCTGCCGTTGCATGTTCCCTACCGAGATCGATGCCAATGGCACCATCGTAGACTTCGTCCGCCATGTTTATAGGTGTTGTGTGTTGTAGTGGGTGGAGAGTTTGTGGTGTCTTGAGAAAAGTTCCAAGTTCAAAAGTCCATCGAAATTTCGCTCTGCGAACTGCAAGTGGATTGGGCTAGCGCAAACCTTAAATCGAAGACGGTGAGGGCAGGGTCCGACATCATGTCTTTGAAGTTGGAGAACATCTGATTTCATGCTCTACTTTGTGGGAATATGAATGTTTTCGAGGCTTTGATGCAAGATGATCAATCCGCAAGCTATCTCAGCATATGCGTTGTAAGCTAATGCAACAATGGTCGATCGAAGGGGGTCCTTCCGCAAGCCTTCACAGCAAGTAGGCAATCCACTCCGCTTTTTCTCCTTGTACACTTGGCACTGCACCCCGTGAGCATATGGCTCTATCAAGCAACAGACGATACTCTCGATCCCGCGTGCCGTTGGTCACACATTCAACTGCCGACCTCCGGGCATCCTCAGTTCGTCCCCATGGCCTCGAGCACCCTACCAACACCCTGTAAGCGTGACAAGGCCATGACTACCTTAGCCTTCTTCTTGTCCATGTCCTCCATCGTGAGAAGCTCATCAATCGCTTCTGTATGCCTCTCGATGTTCGCAATGTGCTCGAGCAGCCGTCCAGCGTTGCTAATGTCGACTTGTTGGCCTCGGTCAAGCGAAGAGGCTGAATCCTCGTTACCCGGCATTCTGTTCATTTCGGCATGTCTCACAGTGTCGGCTCCCTTGCGCTGCTTGGCAGCCGTGGCCTGGTCTGCTGCGCGGGGCTTGTTGATCTTTACGAAGACCTTTGTGTTGAAATCGCAAACTTCGTCTCTATGTGTCGTCAGGCAGTTGTTGCAGCGATTGTAGAATCTTCCTGGTAGACGCTTGCACTTTCCGAACCAGCCGACGGCGGACTTAGAGTCTTCCCAAGTTGGAACACGTCCATCTTTGCCAAAGCATGTGTCGCAGCACTTGTTCTGCACGGTTCCTAGCAATTCACACAAGCACGCCGCGAGACCCCACCCTCTAAGGTCCGCGATGCTGCGGACTTGACCATTGCGCCATTCAAACTGGGCCTTGGGATCCTTGACGAGCGGAAGTAGGCCGGTGACGTCTTTTGCCGCGTTGTACGGGAGCTTCTTCACGTTGCCGTGCTCCGCATAATGCTCCTCGATAGCCTCTAAGATTTCCACAACCCATGCCTTGGTGACCTCTCTTCTTCCACTCGCAGCGAGTTCTGCCATGCGACGTCAGTCCTCAGTGAAAAGCCAAGCTGGAAGGTGGAAAGGCTTACTCTCGAAAGGAGACATCGTGCTCTTTGCACTCAGCGATCCGTTCTTGTTGCGCTTAGTCGACGCGCGAGAGTCAAATGCAGGCTCATGTTCCTCGCCGTCGCTGTCCTCTTCCTCCTTGATCGGCTGCATCGCAGACTGAGACTTCTCAGAATCGCTTTCTTCGTTTAGCCACACAGCTTTGCGCTTGAGTTTCGCACCCATCCCGGCAGGTACTTCGACCGTACAGTACAAGATGCGCCGAGAAAATGAAGAACGTTATGCGTTTTGCTGGCGGTTAAGCTGCGTGGTGAAGAGAAGTGAGGTGAGGTCAAGCGAGAATACTTTGCGGGAATGACGAGGATTGCGCGCGACACGCCACGACTGAACTTCATGCTGTTGAATGCACGCGCCTGCTCCCAGAAAGACCACGTGCAATACTCGGGAGGACTGTCACAAAATTGTCAAGATTTACCTGTGATATGATAGCAGTAGGAGTAATGTGCAAGTGAATTGGCCGGCAGCCTTCCGTCAATCGCGACGATGGACTGTCACACCTACCCTGAACATGCGCATCCTGCATTTGCCAACAGGTACTTGCAACCACGCACTCCAATAATGCTGGTCGGACTTTCAAGACCGTAATATGATTGCAGGAATGGTCGCACGTGATCGTGACTGATGAGTAAGCATATCGACGTCTTGGCAGCCGCTGGCCGTGTCAACAGCCAAACCGCGCGAAGGTGGGCGTATCGCTGGCAACGCGCAACGCATTCAAGGTGTAAGATTCGCCTGCGCAAACCGATATCGTACTTCCGCATACCGTGCGGACCCTGGGTCGAATTCACCAAGGCGAACGCGGAAGATGGACGGCTCCCGGAAACGAAGAGCGACCAACGCGACACCATCCTCCACCGAGGGCAGCGCATCCAAGAGGCTGAAACTTTTGGTATGTTCCTGATTCTTTCATTACACACGCGTACCTCGTTCGGATGTATAGCGATGCATCGAGACGATCGCGCTGGCTCGCAGCCTGTAGAGGGGAGGTGTGGGCACAAGTTGCGATGGTGGACGGAGGAAGAGGAAGAAGAGCTTCGCGACATTGGGTCGATCTAACGCAACCCTCACCTCCGTCACTCCGCATGCCAGACCTCACCACCTCGCAATGCTCCTGCAACTTGCACATGCGCACAAGCTAACATTATGCGCCGCACCTAGAACTCCAGCGCACCCTCGACCAAATCGACCGTACAGCAGGTGGGTGAGAAGCTCTTAGAGCAACTGCACAATGCTACAGACAAGAAGTGAGCATCTTGACCATGCCAGTCATACCGCGCGACTGACCGAATCTTGCAGCGGCCGGGAGATCGCACTCCAATTCCTCACGCTTCCCGACCGAGATGAACTACCGGAGTACTACGATATCATCAAGCTCCCCATCGCCCTCGACACGATCGAAGAGAAGCTTAAACGCGATGCATATCCCACCGTTACCACCCTCGAGAGCGACTTCAAGCGGCTAGTTCAAAACGCAAAGGACTTCAACGACTCAAAGAGCCTGATCCACGAAGATGCCGAGAAGATACGGAAGCTGGTCTTCAACCACATGAAGGTCCACAATCCTGCGTACAAAGAGGATCCAGGATACTCTGCCTTTGCCACACCTATACCAGAAACACCAGCACCGCCAGCGCAGAATGGGGTGAGGAATGCCAACACTGATGCAGCGCCGGGGGCGCGGCGGGAGAGCAGTGCAAAGCCGAAGATTGTGCTGTCTGCGCGGACGTCTGAACCGCCAGCCAAGCAGGTGTCGATAGCTCCAAGTGCAGGCACTGGCGAGGATGACGAGGGTGATGAAGGTGCTGAGGAAGGCGGCGACGGCAGCAACGACATCGACTTCACGGGCATGACATTCCAGGAAGCGCAGCAAAAGATGATTGCCTTCCTGCTCAGGTATCATGACGAGGAGTGAGTGTTGTTGAGCTCTTGGTCTACATTCGTTTATGCTAATAAGAGTACAGAGGCCTCGAGATTTACTTCCCATTCGGCAATCTGCCCACGCGGAAGCTGGAAGATTACTACAAAATCATCAAGCATCCTGTCTCGCTAAAGAGCGTAGCCAAGCGTGCTCGTGGTCAGCATGGCCGCGCGCCATCGACGAACATCACCGACTTCAAAACCTGGGACGCTTTCGAGGAAGAGGTATCGTTCATCTGGCGCAACGCACAGGAGTACAACGAAGACGGCAGCGACATGTACAACCTTGCAGATGAGTTCAGGGTGAGTTCCGCGATCCTCAATCCTATCGCGTGTGGATACTGACTCGCGGATTCGCAGGAGCACTTCCAATCTTTGCTCGCTGAGGCCAAGGAGAAAGTCGAAGAGCCAGCAGGACCTAAGATAAAGCTGGGTGGACCCAAACCCAAGGTCATGCTCAATCTATCACAGAACCGGGGCTCGCCTGCATCAGGTGTGTCTGTCGACAACGAAGCGCTTCTTCGCCAGCGTCAGATGGTGCAGGCAGGGGTGAACGGACAACAGAAAGCCCACCCGCCTGCCGTCAACGGAAACCATGCTAAGCCGGTCAATTCGATGCGACCTTCGAGCAGCGGCTCGCCACTGGACTCAGGCATCAAGATGGAGAAGCCGCTATCGCAATCGCCAGGACCGCCCACACTCATGCCATCCGGCTCTTCCACCAATGGCATGATGCCGCCCCCGGTCATGCGTCCAACAAGCAGCAGCCCATACCCCGGACTGCCACCGCCCAACTACACAGCTCCCGCGTACCTACCGCCTACACCTCTGCGCAGCTATCCAATCGAAGCTGCTCTTCTACCATCCGTAACAATATCAACTCACCCGCAGCTGAAGGCCGCGAAACCTTTCAGCATCTCCATCTCGCCACACCCGACGCTCAGCCAACAGTCGACAACGCTCTCCTTACCACCAACGCACTACTTCCTGCAGATCCAGCCCACGATCTCGAAGCAGCTAGCCATGGGTCGACCTTACAAGCTCTTCGTCACGGTCAATGGCACGCGATTGACACAGCGCGATACGCTGCTCAACTCCGAGACCAGCAGACGGACGCACGTGTACGAGGGTAGTCTAGCAGGAGGGGTTAACAGGATAGAAGTCGAAGTCGCCGCGGCAAAGGGTACGGTGAATGCCGAGGGCTTGGATGTTGAGAAGGTTAATGTGTTTGTTAACCTGATGAGATGAGATGGGATGCTTAGGCTTGAGACGACTTGATGTACTATACGCTGCTTTGATGGGCAGTGCGGCGAGCTTACTCCTTTACGCCGATGTATTCTTGAGGTGTTGGAAAGCAGGTAGATGCCATGCTCCAAACCAGTTTACTATCAAACCACGGCCCTATTCCCAGCGTCCAGAGCATATCTTACCAGGTGGCTATCAGTTGCTGGCGCATGCAATGTCCCGATAGGTCCCTCCTACTCTCTTCATCCAAGGCGAAGGACAAGCTACGAGGTCAAGCAATTGCTAGCCAGAGCTTGTATTCCCGCCCTTCGGGGCGGGACGTCGGCAGATCGACATTCCTCTGATTCTTGGTCATCCGCTTTTCGACCTCATGCCCATTGCACACACGCTTGGTCAAGGAGATGCGGTCATTTCGTGTACCCTTCAATCTGCATTACAGGGAGGATACTGTCGCGTATATCGATCTGTGCGGATGGACAGCAAGCACAAGCTCCATCGCCACGAACCTCTCGAGGACAACGTGAAAACATTGGACGGCTCCAAGATGATGTACACGATATCAGGCTTTACTGGAAGACCATTGAAAAGTACTTGAGCGTACCAAAATCAACTTGAGCTAGCCCGGAAGGCAAACTCAACACCTCTAAAGAATGGAGAGACGGCCCAAGAGGTGTGTTGTACGAACACTTCTTCTTCTTCGCTTGTTCGTGGGGCCTAGGTGCTTGGGCCGTCACGGGAGAGATATTCCCGCTTAAGGTCCGGGCAAAGAGCTTATCGATATTTACAGCGTCGAAGTGGTTGTTGAGTTGGGCCATTCTATATGCGACACAGTATATGGTGAACGATGATCCGGAGACGCTGCGCTGGAGCCGAAGGTTTTATTTATTTGGGGCACTCTTTGCCATATTTGATTCTTTTTCGGTGCGCCTCCCCACAGCATAATCATGACCTCTGCCCACATCCATTGGTCTACGCCATGATCTACGAGACGAAAGGTCTCTCGCTCGAGCAAGTCGATGAGCCCTACGCCAAAGTACCGCACGCTTGGCAGTCGCCTGGCTTTAAACCGACTGTAAGCTTTCAGGAGGTCAAGGAAGTGCAAGGTGCGGCTGTCATGGATGCTCGAAAAGCTTCGTTGGTGGACATGAAGAATGCCGCGATGCGTAGGAAGTCTGTCGGCTCAGAGGTCTGAGATGTCGACACTGAGGAACAGCGGAAACAGCGAGCTGAAAGAGTCAAAGAAAAGGGATGGGCAGAAGTGTGAGCGCACTCTTGCGGTATGTGGGATGATGCTGTGGTTTGATAGGATATCTTATTCATAGCTTTTCGAAGCTAACGATTTGTGCTTATCTTCTCCTGCCCTTGATGACAGGCTTAACAACCGCACTCCCCTTACTCACAGTAGCCGGCTTCTTCGGCACAGGCTTCTCCACCTGCACAACACCATTCACAACCCCCCTTTCCCTCTCCTCCTCCGCCCTCTGCCTCGCACGATCCGCCGCAATCCCCCTCTCCAACTCCTCCCGCTTCGAGTACTCAATCTCCTTCTTCCCTTTCGCACTGAAACCTTTCTCTTTGACGCTGTAAAATACCCCGCCCAGATCCGCCAGCCAATGCGGGTCGACAGCCGTGACGCAGCTCATGTACTCCTTGCTCGTCAAGATCAACTCGTGATACACCACGTAGTCCGGCGGGTCCCCACTATTGTAAAGAGCAGAAGTCGGATGTAACTGCACAGAAACCGACGTGCGCAGGTTCACGTACTCGCCCAGCCCTTTCCGCTTGGCAGCTTGGTGGTAGTACCCGCTGCAAATGCACTCGCGGACAACATCCAGGTCGTAACCGCAGGACACGAGCTCCATTTTGTTGGATTTCATGATATCCGTGATTTGGTTCCGGATCTCCTGCGCTCGACGCAGCGCTTTAGGGTGCAAGAAATGCTTCACGCACCAGCCGTCGCGGCAGCCGTTGGCGGTCCATTGCTGGTAGACTGTCAAAAGAGTGAGGTGATCGGAATCGTGCACGAAGAACTTCTCGCGCGCGGCGTCGGACTCTTCGAGGCGCTCTTTGGGGCGGTAAAAGACGGAGGGGACGCTGAGCATGGACACGATTGTGACCATTTCTTCGCTGCAGCGGTAAGATTGGCTCGACTCGATGACGAGTTTGGCCAGGCTGGGATCCATCGGGAAGGGCGACATTTGGCGGCCTAGGTCGGTGAGCTCGCCGAGGTTTGAGAGTGCGCCGAGAGCCCAGAGGTCGAAGAGGGAAGTAGTGATTGTGTCTTGCGGTGGCGGGTCCATGAAGTCGAAGTCCAGCAGGTCTTTGACGCCGAGACTCTTAAGCATGAGGACAGTATTTGCAAGATTCGTCCGCTGGATCTCGGGGATGGTGGCGATGTAGAACTCATCCCGGAAAGCTCGCTCAGTGTAGAGATGAAATGCTTTGCCGGGGCCAGTCCTGCCAGCTCGGCCAGCTCGCTGAGAAGCGTTGGCCTGACTAACTGGCGTGATCTGAAGCGTATCCATGCCCATACGAGGGTTATACACTTTCAGCTTGCTGAAACCGCAGTCGACAACATACATGATGCCATCGACTGTCAAGCTTGTTTCAGCAATATTCGTTGCGACAATGCACTTCCTTACACCAGGCGCCGCTCGGTCAAAGATCTTCGCTTGCAGATCCGCAGGCATCTGCGAGTAGATGGGCAGGATTGACAGCTTCGGTGGATCGTTGAGCTGAGCCAAACGTTCTGCGATCAGCTCGCAGGTGACCTCGATGTCTTCCTGGCCGGTCATGAACACCAGTATATCGCCTGTTGGCTGGCTGACGTGGATCGCAAGCACCTGTCGCACTGCGCTGTCAACGTAGTCCTCGCAGGGTGAGCGCGAGTATTGGATATCGACCGGGAACGTCCGACCTGGAATGAAGAACTCAGGCGCTCCGCCATAGAATCTCGAAAACCGCTCGGCGTTCATCGTAGCCGAAGTGACAATGAGCTTGAGGTCTCGTCGTCGTGTCAAGACCTTCTTGAGTAAGCCCATCAGTATATCCGTATTTAGCGCTCGCTCGTGTGCCTCGTCCATGATAATGCAACTGTACTGGTCCAGATCTGAGTTCGAAAGACTCTCCCTCAACAGCACACCATCCGTCATATACTTGATGACCGTATCCTTCGAAGTGCAGTCCTCGAATCGAATCGCATAGCCCACCAACCCTCCCAGCGGAATTTCCATCTCTTCACTCACCCGCTTGGCCACGGACATTGCAGCAACACGTCTGGGCTGCGTACACCCAATCAACCCATCCTTGCCATACCCATCCTCGTAAAGAAACTGCGTCAACTGCGTCGTCTTCCCCGACCCCGTCTGTCCAACCACAATCGTAACCTGATTGTCCCTCACTACCCGCAACAACTCCTCCCTCACCGCAAACGCAGGCAAATATTCCCTCTGCTCCCTCAAGCTCTTCGACCTCGAAAAGTCGCTCTGCCCGGTGTCCTTCTTCATATGCACACCAAACTTGCTCCCCTGATTCTTCTCTTCCGCTCCGTTCGCATTCGGAACAGCAGAATCAGTATCATCCTCCTTAGCACCCATGATATTCCCCAACGCCGTCCCCGCCAGCCCCGTCGCCTCTTGCGCCTGCTTCTGCCGTTCCTTCTGCTGCCGCTTCTCTTTCACCACTCTGCTTCCCTTCCGCGAGAAGACAGCCATATCGCTCTGTGGATCCCGCACCGCAGAGATCGGCTCCAACTGCTTCGTAAACACCGTCTTGCCGTCTAGAAAAGGCGGCTTGAGATCATGCACCAGCAAATGCATCCGCATATCCTCATTATCGTCCTGGAAATCATGGTACTGATCCCGCGTTTGTGCCACATTACTCGCGAGCATGCGATTGGCTTCCCAAGCATCATTGTCCTTCTGCCGCTGTAAATGTTTCGGGTTCACTCTACTTCGCACCGCCATCTTCTTCTCCAGTAGTTGACGCTCCCGCTCTTGATCCGCCCATGAGATGTCGTCCGTCCCGCCGAATGGGTTGTGCATGTCGTCGCCCAACACCGCGCCTTCTTCGGCGGTGTTGTACCAGTCGCGGTCTAAGGCGGCTGCGTCTTCGTCGTCCACGCCAGGCTCGGGGCCGTCGAACTCGGCGTGTGGTCTCGACGGGGTACCATCGCGGTAGCCTCGAGGGGTGGAGGATCGCGAGTCGCCGTTGCGGTTCCCATCTCGGAGGTGAGGTGCAAATCGAGGCTTGATCGAGAGGTGTTCGTCGGATTCGTCGTAGCGGCGGCGTTTAGGACTACGTTCGCCAGACATGATGAAGTGTCTTTCAAGGACTATTTGGCTTACTCACATTCAAGCTGCTGTTGGTGACTTATGGGTGTCTTAAGACTGGAAGACGCTGTCACATGCAAAACGAATTTCTGAAAGTGGAAGTTGGCTTAAAGTCTTATTTGATACAACGACTTCTGTCCAATCGCCGATTACATTATACTACACCACCTCACGCCGACACCCTCCTCATCCCGCTTCAGCAGCATCAGCTTCCCTCTGCTGCCTCTCCATATCTTGAATGAACCTCTCCCAGATACCAATGTTGCCCTTGAAGAACTCCATATGCGCATCGGCCAGCCCGGTCAACGTGTCCCGGAACTCCACCGCCTTAATCCGCTCGAAATCCTGCACCTCCTTGACGACTTCCTCATCAAAAGCCTCCGAAGTCTTCTTCGCATTCTCCACTTCCGTAGTAAGCCGCGAGATCTGTACCTCGAGCTTCCTTGTCCGCTCTCGCCGACTCTGCTCGTGGTCCACACCTCGTACGTCTTCAATCTTCTGCCGGATGAAACCAGTAGCGCCCGCGCTGCCGTGAGAGGCAAGGGTATCGCGCTCGTAGGCAGCTTTCGTGAGGTAGTCCGTCAGGCCTTCGAAGTCGAGTTGCTTTTGCTCGCGGGTCTTGAGCAGGGATTTGACGGCGAGGATATACGATTCCATGTCCTTGAGCGAGCCGAGGTAGCTGTAGTCGGTGTGCTCTTTAAGGCCTTTCCAACCTTCGCTCGTCTCTTGCACGCTCGATGCGAATTTTGTCAGCTCGTCTTGGACGCCCGGCTCCAGCGCGGCGAGTTTCTGGAACTGCACTGCGAGATCCGCATAATCCGTTTCAAGGTCCGACTCCCGCTTAGCAACCCTCGCAACAGTCTTCGAGACGGTACCGAGATCGTTGTCGAGTTTGGCGGCTCGCTCGTTGACATCCGAAAACCGTTTGTCCGTCTTGTGCGGTTTGGTGAATGCGTTCAGAAAGCCTGCCATCATCTTAGCAACCGCTCCAGACATCGTAAGGCGCTGTCGAGGGACACGCTTACTGTCAGTCCAGGTCTCCAACACACCTGAGCTTGCACCCTCGCTACCACCCGACATGCCCCTTGTAGGCCGGCTCTTCATTGTAGCATTCCAATCCGAGCTTTCCAAGAATATGGTGAGGATCGCAGCTCGCCTCAGCACCGGGTGCAGTGCTAGACGCTTCAAGAATCGGTCCAGCGAATGCGCCCTTCTTGACATGAATTCTTCTGTGAAGCTCTGTCCTCGCGCGTATGATACATTGTGTTTGTCGGGTATAGGCGGGACCGCGCATTGTGGGTATTCTCTGCTCAAGGTCTTGTAGAGGAACACAAAATCCGTGAAGCGCCGCCGTACGGTGAAATGTGAGGATTGGAAAGACTTGAAGTCGGTCTGCAGCTAGGCGTCAGAAAATCGGGTAGCATGTGCCCTCTCGTATGCGCTACTCACGTTTGTGGTGACAAGGTAGGAAACGTAGGCGTTCTGTGTCCCCTCGCCCTCCTTCTGTGGATGGTCTACCGTGCAGTCAAGATGGCCTTGTGAGCCCGGCCCAGCCAGGTCTTGCGCAGTGGCATCGTGTCCGGCCTGCTGCCAGTCCGCATCACCGTAGTCGTTACTGCTGCCGGCATCCATGGTTGCGAATGCCTGGCAGCTGGAGGGGCTTGTCCAGACTGAGGCCCAGCTACGATCTTAGCCTGGGTTCTCCTATGCCCCTAGAATCGTTCAAACGCGCAATCGCCTCGCAGTCGCAAGCCCAAGAGATGGCGCGCCTGAGATCCTCGTATTCGTGGGTTGGTGCTGTTATGGAACCTCCGCTCGGTAGACGAGGTCGCTGGTCGGAAATGCTGCAGCTGGTGCTCGACGCTGTGCTCTTTCACCAAGTATCGCCAATTGTGGTGTGTCGGCTCGTAGGATGTAGTGCGAATGGTATGGTGAAGAAGGCAGCTCCAAGAGCAGGTGGAAGCTGCTACGGTGCTCGGCGAGCGTCATCGGGCCTCAGGATTCTATCAACTTTGCACGTGGCAGCAGGGGCATAAGTTACTATTGAGACTCCAACGAAACGAGTCGCTCGGACTAAGGAGACATTGAAATATACATATATGGAGCAAATGTAATCAACGTCGAATTCGGAATGGTCTTCTGAAGACTCCTAACGCTTCCAGCCCCCTGTTGCTATCCCACAAGAGCTCTCTTCTACTCACCCGATCTGGCCCTACACACCGTCCTCCTCATCCTCTCCCCCAAATCCAAAAGAAAATCCACCCTCCTCCTCCTCCTTCAGCGCCTCCCACTTGCCCTTACCATTCGCTACATTCGTGAGCCGCTCCAGTTCCTTCAACCCTTCCTCAAGCAGTTCCGGATCTGATGCCGCTAGATTCTCAGCGAACAGGCCATACGGATTCTCAACATCATCGCTAAAGCCGGAGATAGATTGTTTCTGATCTCGCAGAAAATGCAGCACGGCTCCTACTCGTTTCCGTGGGACGAAGTTTTGGGTGATTGCGATGCTGGGTTCGAGGTTGAGGACGAGGTGATACCTGGAGCCGATTAGCACTGAGATGGCGTACATGCACTTGGTAAAGAGCTTACCAGCCGGAGGGCACATGCAGTACTTCACCCTCACCACAGATGCCTTCTACGCAGCCTGGCGTGGCTCTAGCCTCTGCATGGAAGCCGAGCAACCATTCTGCAATGCTTAGCGGGCTTGTGACCTCGCTTTGGTCTTCTGACTGTGTCACGTATGAGTATTGTTACTCTCTCAAGCGGTAGGTCACGGTAATACATACGACATACACCCCAGGCGGCGGAGGAAGTGATGACGAAGAAGGAAACATAATCCAGTACTTGCTGCCTTTAACCACCGCATTCCAAGCACTTGTGGCATTTGGGTCCTTGTGAAACGTGCTGCCGCTGCGCTCAGGGCCGACAATCAGCCACCTATGGTCCGGTCGGTGATCACCCAGCACAGAGAAAAGGTCTGAACCGAAGCAGGTAGGCGGCCAGTAGTCAGCTTTTACGTCTGGTGAGGACGACACTGTCAAGCCCATCTTCTCCACGAATGCTCGATCGAAGAGGTAGAGGGGCGACTCGTCATGGCTGTTGTTCATGTACTCGAGATAGGTCTTGAGCGGCCAATCCACGGACTCTGCGCGAAAAGCGGCGTCCCCGTACTTCTGCTGGAGGCGTTCCGTGGACCATGATCTGTAGACTGGCCAATGCTTGACTGGTTTCGTCAAAATGAAGGGCCTGTTCACCCAGTCTGATGCGAAGTCTTCCGCCGAAAGATCTTCGAGGCGTGATATCTCGTTCTCCATAGGAATGTTCCGAGCATAAGGCGCCAAAGGCACGTGGGCGCAGTAGAATGGGCGGTGCAGCACATCTGAAAACACAGACGAGCAGTTGACACGGGGCTCTTGTGCTTGTGGCTGCGAGAGATACGTAGAACGCCATGTCCCTCGCCATGTGAAATGAAAAGGAGGAGACCTACCGTTGCTCAGCTTGCTGCTGAGGCTTGGAAGATCAAATTGTATACTTACTCTACGAACAGCGTCCGCCACAGCTCCTCGCTTCTTGTGAAAGCATGGAGGGCTCTGCATGTACTCCCAAGCCTGAGCAGATGCGGAACCTGGAGGATCTCTAGGAAGTGCAGTAAGAGCTCGTCCGGGAAGCGGGCGAATATTCCGCAACAGCTCTTTGCGTTTGTATTTGAGGTCAGCGCATTTCCAGCCGGCCTGACTCCAAGAGGATGTCTCCGGACGAGGGTGCTGTTCTCCGTGCTCTCTAGATGAGTCCCGTTCGTGCCCGTCTTTCGCCTCTTCGTGACTGGCTCCTCCGTAGCAGGACTACCTCTCAGCCTCGCCTCGATTGGACTGCCGTGAGGAGTCATCGTCCAGGAAATGGTGAGGTCGAGTCCAGCGAATCACATGCTTTCAGTAGGAGATGAGTCGAGGGTGAATGTGAGAGTATTTGGCTTGTGTTCGGTTGGCCCGCATCAGGTGGCGCAGCACAGACCACCGCTTAAAAAGATTTCTGCGATTTAACACAGCCGACCTCTTCGCACCACGACCAACTTCACACACACCACAAACCAAAGACACCAAACCACAACTAGAACCACACGACTCTCAACTACGAGGGTTCGGTATCTAGTTTCTTGTACACCCAAAGCGACCGACCGGCGGAATCCAGCGAGGATCTCCACCGCTCTTCACCTCCACCAAACTTTCCACCCGCTCACAGCGCACCGCGTGTGAGCAGTGACCCAACACCGCAATCATGGCCGACAAAGGACTTGAGGACATCGATGCCAGTAAGACACCCTCTTCGTACATCGCTAGTGGAAGAGAGGAGGATCTCGTGAGCGGCAGCTGACACTCGCGCCACCTACAGCCCAGATCGAGTCCAACTACGATGAGACCACCGACAGCTTCGATGCGATGAATCTCAAGGCCGAGCTCCTGCGCGGAGTCTACGCCTACGGTTTTGAGCGCCCGTCTGCGATCCAGCAGCGCGCCATCATGCCAGTCATCAAGGGTATGCCCACCCCTCGGCGCTTTCACGTGCGCACGTCCTCACATTTTTCACAGGTAGCGACGTCATCGCTCAGGCCCAGTCTGGCACCGGCAAGACCGCCACCTTCTCCGTCTCCGTTCTCCAGAAGATCGACCCGAACATCAAGGCATGCCAGGCCCTCATCCTCGCACCGACCCGTGAATTGGCGCAGCAGATCCAGAAGGTCGTGGTGGCTATTGGCGACTTCATGAACATCGAGTGCCACGCCTGCATCGGTGGTACCAGCGTAAGAGACGACATGAAGGCCCTCCAGGATGGCCCACAGGTGGTGGTTGGCACGCCCGGCCGTGTCGCGGATATGATCCAGCGCCGTGTCCTCCGCACCGACAGCATGAAGATGTTCGTTCTCGACGAGGCCGATGAGATGTTGTCTCGCGGTTTCACCGAGCAGATCTACGACATCTTCCAGCTTCTACCTCAGTCCACCCAGGTCGTCTTGCTCTCAGCCACCATGCCTCAGGACGTGCTTGAGGTCACCACCAAGTTCATGCGCGACCCGGTCCGCATTCTCGTCAAGAAGGATGAGCTCACCCTCGAAGGTATCAAACAGTTCTACATCGCCGTCGAGAAGGAGGAATGGAAGCTCGACACGCTTAGCGATCTGTACGAGACCGTCACCATCACCCAAGCCGTCATCTTCTGCAACACGCGCAGAAAGGTCGACTGGCTCACCGACAAGCTCACCGCCCGCGACTTCACCGTCTCTGCCATGCACGGCGACATGGACCAGGGCCAGCGTGACGTGATTATGAAGGAGTTCCGCTCCGGCTCGTCTCGTGTCCTCATCGCTACCGACCTCCTCGCTCGCGGCATCGATGTCCAGCAAGTCTCGCTCGTCATCAACTACGACCTCCCGGCCAACCGCGAGAACTACATCCACCGCATCGGACGTGGCGGCCGATTCGGACGTAAGGGTGTGGCCATCAACTTCGTCACCGCCGATGATGTTCGCATGATGCGTGAGATTGAGCAGTTCTACAGCACCCAGATTGAGGAGATGCCCATGAACGTGGCTGGTAAGTCGAAGTCTGACTATGACAAGCAAGACATTGTGCTAACAAACTTCAGATCTCATCTAAGCGCAACACCCGACAAACACACATCCGTCCTCTCGACTGGCAGTTCCCGAAGCTCTGCATCGCCTTCGGGCACTTCTGCTGTCGGAGAGGGCACAAATCACTACCGAAAGTTATTGAGAACCGGCACTGAGGTGTACCGCTGGCGATCGAACGCGAGCAGTGCGCTATGGCTGGTGATGATGAGCATCTGCAGGGCAGGGGAGTTGGCAGCGACTGCTTTTTCCCCGGCACAGTGATGTTTCTGTTTCCTAGATCAGGTCCCAGGCGCGTGCTTCTTGCAATGAAAATGTTTATGCTTAGACTGCATTCAGATTGGGTCCGTAGGTTTTATGGAAATTGGTTGAAAATGATCTGTCCCACGTCTCCTTGTTGTGTTCTCGTGAGGAAGGCGCGATGCACGGACACGTTCTGCGACCTCACCTCATCTCCAATTCTCCATCCCTTTTCACACTCATATTCCACACTTCCAGGTTCATTCCGACATCAAATATACCACTGGACGGGAATTCACATCTCACCCTAAAACTGGCCGATTGAGCAGGCCGCGAGCTAAACACGCTAAATGCCGCGAGGCTTATAGAAAGAATGGCACCGCCACGCCCCTCATCACCAACCTCACTCCTCTGGGCCCACCAACTGAAACGCGAAAACGGCCACCTCCTCAAACGCATGCAGGATCTCGAAAATTCACACCAAACCCACGCCGACCGCATCAAGAGCGCCGAAACAGCGGCAAAATCCATTGCCAGTGGCGAAATCACCTCCCTCACGCAGCAGGTGAAAACCCTCCAGGACAAGGATTCTGGCCTAGAGAAACGTGTCGACGCCATGGAGCAGACCTTCACCAACAAGATCGACAACGTTGAAGCAGACTCCGAAGCCCTGACCATCCAACTCGCCTCCATCCAGCGCGCCGACCGCGTGGCGGACGTCGAGCGCGAGCAGACTCTGCAAAAGGACAAGGCTCTCCTCCGCCGAATCGCCGAAGTGGAGGAGGGGTTGCGCAAGTATGAGAAAGGTCTCGAAGCCGTCGGGAGGAAGGTCAATCATGAACAGGTGAGTCTGATTAAGGAGCAGTTGGTGGGGTTGACGAAGCGGGTCGAGAGTGAGGGGAGTGGGATGAGGTTGTTGGAGGAGAGTTTGGGAAAGATGCAGCGGGTGGTAGGGGATCTGAGGAAGGCGGTCGAGGGGTTGGAGACGAAGGCTGCGGAGAAGAGGGATAGTGCGAGGCCCACGACTGCTACTCAGGACGATGTGGAGGAGGAGGAGGATGGTGCTGCGCCTGCACCTGCGCCTGCCGCCAGTGTCAAAACCAAGTCACATCGCTGGTCTGGTGGTGGTGCGGATCGGGATATTGTCCAGACGGGCATCTCGCAGTTCGGCCTCCCAAAAGCTTTAGCAGCACCGAAGAAGGAAGCCGCTCCTGCGAGGAAGGCGCGAGCACCACCCAAGAAGCCGAAGAAGAAAGGCCCCGTGCCCAAAGCTCCGCTCACGCCGGGTGTCCGTAAATCGCACAAGTGGGGTGGTGGAGGCGCGGATCGGGATATTGTGGCGATTGGGGAGTCTGAGAGTCTTGGACGAGGCAAGCGCCAACGCTCGTCTGATGTGAGTGTGCCGCCGCCGAGCAAGAAAGCGAAGCAGGAGGTGGGTGGGAAGGCCGTTGTCAGGTCTGGGAGGGGATGGTATGAGGTCGTTCAGAGTTCGAGTCCGGAGGCTGAGGAAGACGGGTGAGACTTGCTCTTCATCCCTCGAGTGAGCGTATGCTGACATTCAGCCCCGGTAGATCAAGGAAGCTTCCAGCTCAGGCTGAGGCCGGGACGCAGACGACCGGTGCCAAACGACGCAGCCTCTTTCCAACGCTCCGAGGGGACGAAGCGGACCTAATCGTGGAAGGAGGCGGAACCAGGCAGACGAGGGGCCAGAGGCAGACCCAGATGGCGGTCAAGGTGGAGGACGAAGACGAACCTAAGCAGAAGGCTGTATCTGACACGGGACTCGGTAGACGCGCGAGGGCACAAGTGTTCAGCTCATCTGGCAACTATGGGCAGGTCGTTGGGAGGAGTAGGAAGAGTGATCCGGGAGTGAGCAGGCCGCAGCCGAGAAGGACGATTCCGCAAGATGATTGAATGTGTTGACGACAGATGTGTGGAAAGGAAGTGTCGGCTTTGCTTGAGGATGAATTGCTTGTAACCATACGACAGACGATGGCTGAATTGCGCATAGATACCCAGCATCTGTATTCATAGCCTGTACTCATAGCTTTCGACCAGTCCACTCAGGACTCAAGTCTCAGCATACTCATAATCACCACCCCGATCCTTGACCTCCACCCTCATCTTCGCCTCCTCAACCTCCTTTCCCCCAATCCTCATCCCCGCCTCCATAACATCCCCCGTCACTACGGGGCCCACCCCCTTCGGCGTCCCCGTCAAGACGATATCCCCTTGCTCCAACGTCATCACCTTGCTAATATCGCTTAACTGCCTCGGAATCTGAAACAGCATCAACTCCGTCGAATCCTGCTGCTTGACATCCCCATTCACACTCAACCACAGTTCCACATCATGCGGATCCTTAATCTTCTCCTTCGCAATCGGCCCCGCCAGCGGCAAAAACGTATCGAACCCTTTAGCAATACTCCACGGATACCCCTTCTTCTTCGCCTCGTTCTGGACGTTGCGCCCGGTCATGTCGATGCAGAGGAGGTAGTGGGAGATGGCGTCCTGCCAGCTGGCGTCGGATTCTTTCAAGTCGCGCACGGTTTTGCCGATGACGAGGCCGAGCTCGATTTCGAAGTGTAGCGTCACGCCTGAAGGGCGCAGGACGGGGCCTTCGCTGGGGAGGAGGATGGAGGAGGAGGGTTTGAGGAAGAAGAAGGGTTGTTTGGGGCGTTGATTATTAAGTTCTGTGACGTGGTCGGCGTAGTTGCGGCCTGCATCTTCATCAGTTGTTGATCCTCCAAGGGTTGAGTATGGTTGGTATACCAATGCATATCACCTGTTGTTCGCTTTAGTCAGTGTTGTTGTTGCAGGTTGAGTGAGGAATTGGACTCACCTTGCGGCAGTTACTTCTAATGGATGCTAAGGTGGCCATGTTGGACGATTGACTTCAAAATGCCTTGCTAATAAACGACCTGCGAGGTCTGGAGTTGAAGCCATTGTATACTGCTTCGTCTCATATGCCCTACTCAATTGCCGGAGCGACACCGGCGGACCAAAGCTCGCCCAAACTGGCACAGGTCGTCGGCTAATCCGGATCTAAGAACAACCTCGACTTCATATGTCTTTCTTTGGCTGCCATTTAAGTTCCTCGACACTGGACGGCTTGGGATACGGCAGAGCATTGGTTGGACATGTGAAAGAGGCGGCACCATCAACCCGACCTTTCCCCGTTGCTGCTTTACGTCCCGGGCAGCAAGGCTGAGTTCCTTCTTTCGACCCTCTGTCAACAACCCAGGTCACAACACATCATTTCAAGGCGTACGCACGCGGTGCAAAATGGCCGAAGATCCAGTTGGCCATGGACGTTCAAGGTCACTACGAACCGCTACCGAGACGTCTGGGACCAGATGGCTTCAGGCTTCTCGACCTACAGCCTGGGCAGCCAGGAGATCCAGTATCCTGTCGACTTCGCACCGTCCTGCTACCAGACCATCGTGACAAGACCCGACCTGTGGCTTCTGAGGCTGTGAGCTATGCCTGGGGACCAGAACAACCTCAGTTTCCCATCCGCTTGAACGCCCAGCCTCTCTACGTCCGGGAGAATCTATGGCGGTTCTTGCGGCAGCGGAGGCATCCTACCCAGGGTATTACGCTCTGGATAGACGCCCTCTGCATAGACCAGTCTGACCCCGACGAGAGAGCTCGTCAAGTCCAGTTGATGGACGAGATCTACAAGGGTGCTGATCGTGTTCTGGTCTGGCTCGGCGTAGCCGATGCCGATAGCCTGACGGCAATCAATGTGATGAAGATCGTCGCTGAGAGAACTCTGACTGTGGCCAGAGTTACACATTCAGACCGACAGGCCTCGTAGGCGATGGGCAGTGATTACCGGTTGAGACGACATCGTGATTGTGATTGACACTGATCTGGCTATCGTGAAGAATGCATGGTGATTAACGAAGCCAAGGTGTCGTGAGCTGTCGGCTGTCAGCTCGACTGGATGGCGGCTGAGATGTCCTCATCCACGGTCAACTTGATTATACCTTTACAAGTCTTGACAACTCGATACCTAGCTGACGTACTTCTGAAGCTTCTGCGCTCGACGATACCGTCCCAGTATCAACCAGATCTCTCCCCGTTGTTACTGCTGTACGTAGACCTCGTACACTCGCTCTCCCCCTCATCCACATGCCGACACAGCGTAACATACCACTCCTGACATACCGGCCGCTTCACCACGACCTCATAACCCGGCAACTCTGGCGCCGGAACCTCGATCAATGCCCTCGCCCTGTTCGCCGGAAGCAGCTCGTACGAACCATCCCTGAGATCCACCACCAAACCCTCCGCCTGATCGTACGCAACAGGCTCATCTCTTAGCCAGAACCAGCGACTTTCACGACAGCCGAGGAACTTCCTGACGGCCTTAATGACGGAGAGCCCAGGCCAGTAGTACCTGGTCCCATCGTCGGCAGTCATCTGCTCCGTTGCTCGCGGACAGGCCATCACCAGGCCCTGGCGAGCGATGTTCCGATCCAGGTCCATCGCCGACTGGGAAGTAGACTGCAACGCAAGATATGCAACCGGCCTGCGCCACGGGGGTCGGAATCTCTGGAGGCTTTGGTTGAGGATGGTCACTCACTGTTCCAACATACGGTATCGTCTCTAGATCCGTCTCTGCGCCACTCACTTCGTCTGGCCCTGCCGCTCTGTACCTGAAGACTTTACCGTCGCCTTCGGCAACGTATCTCAACTTCGGCGGCGCTGTCAACATGGCGACGAGCAATACTGGCGATGTGCTCGTAACAGCACTTCAACGAAGTCCCTGTTGTCGTACATCCTTGAGAGACGTCCTTTGCATTGTCTCTACGCAGGCCGCTCAAGAGTCTTCTCGCGGAAGCGCTGTAGGCTGTGAAGTGTTTGTCCATTGTCTCGTGTTCGATCGAAATAGGCTTGACTAGAATGTTTGCGACACGCCGTTCGGTAAGTTGCTGACTTCGACTTACCCTGCCTCTTCACCTCGTCGCAATGCGTAGAACCCCCGGAACCGTCACAATACCATGCACCCCCTCGACACCCTCATTCCCCACCACTATCGTTGTAGGCAGATCCTTTACACTCCTTCCCGTGTCGACAAACCTTCACCAACCACTCGCCCCCCCTTCTCCCCTTCTCCACCTTCTTAAACCCCTCCATCTCCCGCGGCGGTATCCCATCCCCAGTCCTCTCCTAATCATACCCAATCATCCGCGCGCTCCGGTCCCTCAAATCGATCACAAAGCCCTCCGCCCGCGTATCAGCCACCGGCTCATCCCTCAGCCAAAACCACCGACTCTCCCTACAACCCAGGAACTTCCTGACAGCCTGTACGACGTACGTCCCCGTGAACCGCAACACGCGCCCATCGTCACCGACCGCTTTGTCCGTAGCGCGCGGACAGCACATTTCCAACCCCTTCCTCGCCACCGCGCGGTCCAGGTTCCAGTCATGCCGCAGTTCGTAGTCAAGCAGACGTTGCAAGACTTTATCGCGGAGCTGATGGCATTCGGTTTCGGTAGCTAGCATTGTGCAGCGCCTGTTCTTGCCTATGCAGACGAGGGCGGAGATGTGGGCGAGGAAATGGCTGCCATGTTCGTCGCCGAGAGGGAAGGAGACGGCTAGGCAGGATATGCAGCCGGCCTGTTCTCCCTCAGGCCCAGTTAGCGCATGTGCTCTCTTGCAGCAATTTCTCCTGCGGCAATTCAAGAGAGTGAACTTACGTGTTCCGATGCACGGTATGGCGTTGAGCAGGTCCTCCTTATTAGCAGGCCCTTGTGGCGGAATAGGACGGTAGTGGAAAGTCCGTCCGTCCCATTCGTGGACGTAGCGGAGTTTCGGTCGTGCTCCCAGCATTGCCATGCGCGGTCCCAATGGTGTTTCCTACAGGAGAATCTCATCACGACCGTGAGGCCGTCGAAGCTTAAGAGACTCTCCATCGCATTGTCTCATTTCTAGACCGTCAAACATGGGTTGCGACTCGAAGCTTCCAGCAGACCGGAGAAGGCGGATTTTCCATTGTTCCTATCCGCTTACCAAGGACGGGATTGGATTTGTCCTAGGCGGAGTAGCAAACCATCTGATCAACAGTCTCCCCTTCGTCTCGAACGTGCTCTCAAAGCCTGGAGCCTTTCTGTTCGAGCCACGATCGTAGCCCTGAGCGGATCAGATCAGCCCCATCGAAGAGCGCCTACCAGCTGGTGCATGCTGGCACGGGCGAAAAGCGCCCATACGGCTTCCTGCGACGGTGGCGTCAGAGCTGAAATCCAACGCTATGGTGATGGGGGTAAATGTCAGATGTATCTTGTCGACGTCAATTCACTCTTCATCCACACTTCAATCGCATGCCATCATCGCTTGATGAGATCGCTGCTGAAATGCGCTCGTTCGTTGAATACGGCACGCAGAAAGACACCTTGCTGTGGTATCCGAGCGGTGGGACTCCCATGCACTCCTCCGGGAAGTCGTACAGCTCGTCCTTCGACAGATCCGTCCGGCGCATGGATTGCGGTGGCTCGGAGTACGCCGCCATGGCTTTGCCCGCGTGCTGTGAGCGTGTGGTGATGTTGTGGTAGGGCACTTCGTTGCTAGAAATCATGCTGACAAAGGTGTTGAAGAAGGGAATGCTCTACGAGCGCAAAGGCGCGTGCTGCTGACGTGCTGTTGCGTGTCAAGAGAGAAGGTTGTGGAAGTGCAAAGATCAAGACACGCAGCCCCTTCTTGTTCTCCATGTCCAACGCAAGGCTCTGGAAGTCCTGCACCGAGCGAGGACGACGAAGTGGTGTGCCGATGTGCGTGCCGGTGCGAGTTGCATTGGTCCCCAGCTCCTTGTGCAGCTTGTTGAGGCCTTGTCCATGCGGACACACTCTCTCTCCGTCTCGCCAATGCGCTGGTTCCTCAAGGCCTCATCAACCTCAGCCAAGTACCCGTTGTACAGCGTGCAGACGTGCCCGACGCACAGCTGGATGGGTGAAAAAGCCAACTTGGACTCGGACGGTGCAGGTTCATGGGCAGTAAATAGGATAGGCTGACCTATCTTCAGTTGCAGCCGCTGATGAAGTTTTGCTTGCCCCTTGCCAACGACGGCGAAAGCATAGGGGACCCGAGAGACCAGAGACGCATTGAAAAGCATTCCTTGGCCAGACAGACGAAAAAGTGCCAGCGCAGGCCACGGTCCACGTTTTCCATATACTCATCCTACTACCATCCAGTCTAATCTACTCATCTTCCCCAATACAACGCACGCTCAACCCCTCCTCTGCTGCCCCTGTCCCCCCTGCCCAAAATACGCCGCCCCATACGGCTGCTGATACACCTGCTGCTGTCCACCCGGCGTGAAACCCTGACTAGGCGTATAAAACCCATGTGACCCAGGACTCGTCGGCTGTCCAGGCGAGTAGACCTGCCCTTGCCCTCCCATCCCCTGACCCGCCCACTGTTGTTGAGGTCCAGGCGAGTACGCCCCAGGCGCTTGCCACGAGTTCCGCTGCTGCACGCCTGGCCTCGCGGTGACATTACCGGCATATTGCTGCATCCCCGGATCCACCATCCCGTTCTGCGCGACCACACCCTGGTTCCACTGCATTCCCTGCTGTTGCTGCTGCTGCTGCCACTGCGCCTGCATCATCATCATCCTCTGCTGATGCGCCAACACCTGCACCTGATAAACCTGCTGCGCGTCCGCCTCCCTCGCCGCCTGCGCGTCCGCCTCCGCCCGCAGCCGCCCCTGCTGCCGTTCCAGAATAGCCTGTTGCACCGCGGCGCTATTCCTGCCCTCTCTCGACGCAGCCTTGTCCCTCTCCCTTGCCGCGACGTAGGCGAGCATACCCGGTTGCTCCGGGTGTTGCTGCTTTGCAGGCAAGTTGAGTAATGGGGTGCCGGTGGCGCGGGAGACTTGCATCTGCTCTCTCGCGGACAGGTTGTGCCCTCCCATGTCGAGGTGGGCGCTCGGACCGCGTGAGGCAGGGCGGTCGGGGGTGGGTGTGCGTCTGGCTTGCTGGGTCCAGTCGCCGGATAAGGTACGGCCGGGTGGTGGAGTTTTGGTGAGGCGGTTGCGCTGGCCTTGGGCGCTGTTGGAGCGGCCGTGGAAGAGGTTAGGGAGGCCTTTGCGTTGGGGAGCGACGTATTGGGGTTGTTGTTGTGCCATTGCGGCGCGTTGATGGACCCATTCTTCTGGGGTGACGCTGGTCCTACTGCGGTGGAGTTGGCCTGGGCCGGGAGATGTTGAGGGTTGCCAGACCATGCTTGATCGGTTGCCTGCGGTGTCAAAGTCGGGCGTGAGACGTCCAGGCGAGGCGCCCGCTTGCCACGCCATGCTCGACCGTTCTCCAGCAGCTCCAAACTCAGGCGTCATTCGTCCCGAACTAGGCGTGGTCCTCTCACCACTGCCGAAATACGAAAGCCGTTTGCCCTCGCTCGGACTTGGCCGCGGGCTGGCTCCAAGCGCGCCACTCATCATACTAGCAAGACGATCTGCCGACCGCGAACGCCTCTTGTACGCCATGTCGCCCGGAGTCATCGTGCCGCTGGTCCCGGGCCGAGAGCTAGGCTTGTAAGCATACGTCGGCCCAAAGTCAACGCCAGGAATCTCGCTCGACTGAGCAGCCTGATCCGCCTCCCAGGTGTCGAGCCTACCGGCACCTCCAGAACGCGGGTCAACCGCGGGAATGCCAGGGTCACCGACAGTTTTCAGTTTGCCAGCTCGTGGACGCTCGAAGGACTGTATCGGTCCTTTCGCCGAGTGGTTGCTGATCGTGCTCGCGTAGTCCGGCACAGAAGAAACGGTCGTCATGGTAGCGCTGCGGCCGTCAGGCTGATTCAAAACTCGCTCAAGCGCTTCTTCGTCGATCAGCCCGCCCGCCCAGCTCTCGTCATTAACAGGAGATTCAGGCGAGCTAGGGTCGGACATGGCCTGCTCAGACGGCATCGGAGGAATAGGCAGCGATTTGGGCACCGGCTTCCTCGCAATACTACGGCTCGAGTGTAGCGGTACCGGAGGCCCCGGTCTCCCATCCTCACCAGACGACGTTTCACCCCTCTCATCAGCCGGCGGAACCTCATGCACCCCATCCAAAGCCGGCGCCGCCATCTGCACCGGCGACTCAAACGTCTGCGAATCATCACCCACATACGGCGACCCGGGGATCGTGCTCAGGCGCTGTCTTGGGTCGCGTTGCTTCCTGTTTACTATGCCTTGCGAGCGATCAGCAGGCACCTCGAGACTCGCGTTTGTGTATGGTTGAGACGCTACCGTGTATTGTTGGCGCTGCTGCACGTCACCGTTCCAGGTCTCTTCGTCGGGAGTGCGGCTGTCGGGCGTGCCGTCGCGGCGCGAGGCCTCTTGCATCTGGTACAGGGTGGCGGCATCGACATTCGAGTGCGCTCTACGCAGCTCGGGAGCCGCCGTAGGCCTGTGGCCTGGACGGGCGTTGGGCGAGTGGACGAACGCTGGGGGAGCACCCACAGGCGCCGGTGGCTGCAACATTGGGTCGGCTGCTCGGTTCGGCACCACTTGATTGTCCAGCGTTCGCATGGTCGGCACTTCAGCTCCGGACTCTATCCGCTCAAGCTTAGTGCGACTGGTAGATGCTGATGCAGGACCATAAGATGGCGCAGCGAGCATACCGCCATGTGCAGGAGGTGGAGGTGGCAAGTCGTCTTCAGCCGGTCTTGTGGCTTCGTACGACAGTCGGGATGGCGTCTCCGTCTGATACTTCTTGTAGCCGAGCGCCTCCGACATTGAACGCTTGTGCGGGCTTGAGTATGCGCTCGGCGGCGCAGAATCGGTGCGTGGAAGTGGAGCGCCATTGGGCGGTCCTCCGGGCGACTGAGATCGAGACCCTGGTGTAGAGTGCGCATTCTCATCATCTCCAAAGCGGACGCCCATCGGTGTCACCGACGTTCTGCTCGTTGTATTACGACGGCTAGTCTGTCGGCTGGCTGGCGGACCATCTATGCCTTGCGATACACGTGAAGCGGTCATCTTCTTCATTTCGAACCTCCACTTCCTCTCGCTCCACGCGTGGCTGCCCTTGGTGTGAATCAGACTCGACACATCCAAATTGTCAAGGTAGCCATATCGACGATTGCTTGGCATGGCGAACATGAGCCCACGCTGGTCCAAGGTATCCGCAATGAGCTTGGTAGGCCGTCCGTAAAGCGCAAAAGTGTCGTAGACTGGGAAGAGCCACCGAAGCATCATCTCGAAGCCAGTCACTGCTGCGTGCACCTCTGGCATGACGAAGACGAAGCCTTCAGTGGTGCTCTCAGGAGACATATGCATGGTGACTTGCCCTTCAAGCTTGACCAGAGTCGACTGATCGATCAGTGGCTTCGACTGAGGATAGATGGCGTATGCTGCGTAGGCATCCGTGACCGTAGCAATCGGCCTCGTCTTCTTCGTGACCTTCCTCGTGTCGTAGAACTTGATATCACCCGTTGGCAGTCTCTTCTCTCCGCGATCGTATGCTGATGACTTCTTGGACAGCTTGTGTGCTTTGCTGTACTCTTTCTCGTCTGGCGGATTGATGACACACCAACATCTTCTCCACGGCGTTCCTGCGCCAAACCTGACACGAGCCCAATCTTCGTGAGCGAACTGTGTTCGAAACATGATCTGCTTGATGTTGTTTAGATACCGTCCTTTGCCGGCTATGAGTGAGCCGGTGTATGCTTCCTGCAGTGAAGAATGCTCGAACATTGCGAGCCTGATGGCTGCCGTCCATTGTGTGAGGGAGGCGAGGTTGTTGAAGTGCAAGAGGTAGCGGTTGTTGGCCGCAGTTGAGATGCTGAGTACGTTCTGGAGATTTCCTCCCTGATATCCGCTCATAGGAAGGTTCTCGATCTAGTACTTGTTAGCTATTGTGCGATTTACCTCAGAGATGGTTATAAGCTCACCATCTTAATCGAAGCATCGCTCAGATTGATGAAAGTCGGTATAACCGAATCATCCGCCGCAGCCACGTCCAAGGCAGTCGCATCCCACAATGACAGCACCGTTCCAGTGAGCTGAGCAAAACATTCCACCCAATTCCTCTCTAGGCTCGGCCTCCCTCTGGCGTCCAGATCGTGGAGCTTCAAAAAATAGCCCTCCAAGTATAGCTTATTACTGTGGCTGTTCAAAAAGCTGAAGATGGGCGCGAGTTCGGGCGGGGTGTCCTGGGCGACCTCCACCTGAGGCGGGTTGTACGTCTGTATCATGCTCATGGGTCGAGGCGGCCTCGAATCTCCTCGTGCTCTTGATGGGGTGCCGGCGGGGGAGCCTGGTGATTGCTGGCCTGCACCATCTAGTTTTGCGGCTGAGGCTTGAGGGGTGGCCGTGTCGATGTCGGCCGGTCGTCTGCCAGCTGCCAGGTTGTCCGTCGAGGCTGTTGTTGTCTTTTCGGGGTCTGCAGTGGTAGGAGATCGCGGACCGCCGAATGTCGACATAAACGACAATACTATTGGGAAATGCTTGTCAGCCATGGTGTCCTTCACGTGCCGTGGAAGGGCGACGCAAGGGATGGGCTCGTCGGGAGCGGCCCTGAGTTTAGCTTCTTCTTGAACGTACCTCGATTGCGAGGCATCTTTGCTGGGCTTCTCTAGTAACACCTGTGGCACAACGTTCCTGGCCCCAGAGCGGATAGCCGCGTCGTCCTCCTCTTCTCAGCAGTCAATCGGGGCGCAGCACTCTGTGCGTGGTTGGACGACGTCGTCTGGCGTGGGTGGTGAATGGGGGTATAACAGATGCAAAAGTGAATGTACAAGAGACGACTGGACAGTCTATGGGGGAGGCAAAAGGACGAGTGGTCAGTAGCGAAAGACGGAGGCCCAGGCCTTGGAGGAAATATTGGTTTGGCTGCTGCTGCGGCTCGTGACGATCGATCTCCGCGAAGCAGCGGCAATGACGAAGCTGAAGCCAAGCAAATGCTATATTCCACTCTTCTGTCTCACCACCAGATTGCTCTTCAACGGTCAATCGAGCGATGGACGATTCATGGAATGGATAGGGGCTGCTGTGACGTCCATTGAGATCTGTCAGCGAGGCGGTGGAGCGTCTGACAAGGCCATTGGGAATGATTTCGATTTCTTCACGACCACATGTGCGGACAACCTTCGCATCCGCCACGCGCCGGAACGCCTGGCCCAGTCCCTGCTGACGACGCTACACATGGAAGATCTCAGAGCTTGATGCCACCTCCGAGGGCTCGCTCTCGCTCGCGCGCTCGGCGGAGTTGATACGCAGAGTAGATTGGCAGGTGCAAAGTCGCCTGCTCTCAGTCAATTAGGCACCGGTAGAGGCTCGTCCCCAAGATCACTCTCCTTCATGTGCATCTCATGTGAACTGCGCAGCACCGTCAAAGGGCTCACAAACATTCATCGAAATCTGGCCTGCGCATCGTTGGTTGATACCTGAGCGTTGGCCCATGGGCTTGTTTGCTCGTCCTCATTCTCAGGTGTGCTATCATCGTGTTGCGAACCTATCCAACCAGCCGGCACACCATCAAATTGCAACTGTTGTCCCTCGTGCAAACAGAAGAACTTTCATACTGCCGGTGTAGGTAGTTTTGGTGTTCAAACTCCCGCGGCCTCGGTCTGCTGTCTCCTCTGCCAAGACCTTCCCCAGACGGGCTTTGAGTCAAACGCGCTTCAGCGCGTGGACTTCACTTCACTTCCGCGTTGTCACGTCCTTATGAGCTGCTGCGGCTCGTGCAACCCAGGCAAATCCAGTGAATGGGTTGAGAGCTGTCTCTGACACACACTCTCACGTGTAAAGGCGATTAGCACCTTGGAGCAAGACAGCGCCCGGCCGAGCCACCTTCTCCCACCGCGTCCACCAGCCTTTGCGCCGAAACGAAAAGCGCGCTCGTACTCCCTCGACTGCCTCCACCACCATATGCAAAAACTTCCCCACCATGGCGCGCACAAAACAAACCAGCGTCCGGAAACCTGCCGCAGCACCGTTGACAACCCATAAAACTGTATCCCAATCGACGAGCCCACCACAAAGCAACAAGGCACAAACAGGGAAGAAAGTTCCCAGAGCCAAAGCCGAGCCAGCAAGCACACCACGAAGCAACAAGGCATCAGCAGCAACAGCCAAATCACCCTCGCAGCCCTTAGACCTCTCAGACGACGACAGGCAGAGACTGAAGGAGTGGCTTGATAAGAGCGAGAGACCGTTCAGCGTCGCGACCACAGCACTCTCAAAGAAGAGGAAGAGACAGTCAGGCGAACCACAACCCGCGCAGACGGACCTGTACGAAGATAGGTTGAATGTGCAGTATGAGGTGAAGCCGAAGAATAGCTGGGACTCGCTTAGGCGGTATAAGAAGTTCACTGGTATGAATACCTATGCTCCCCGATTACAAGGCACACCACTGACGATGTTTCTCAGTCGGCTCGGAATCTATGGCAGTCGGCCAAGTCATTCTCGTCAAGCACGACGACTCGGAAGAGGCCAAAATTGACGTTGGAGCACAATGGAAGGGCAAGGTGCTCGAAGTCCGTGCGCTCGACTCGGAACACGTCTACCTCCGCGTCGCATGGCTGAACCGGCCTGAAGACTTACCTGGCGGTCGCAAAGCCTACCATGGAAAGAATGAGCTCATCCCCACCAACCAGATGGACATCATTGATGCGATGTCCGTGAACGGAAGCGTGGAGGTGATGTTCTGGAACGAAAAGGACGACGAGAGTTCGTTAATGAACGAGGAGCAGTATTTCTGGCGGCAGACGTTTGATTACGCGAACACAAAGACGTTTTCGGTGAGTCGGACTTGGGTGAGTTTAGCGATCAGGACGAAGTTCTAAATGTTCGAGCAGAAACTACGGCAGATATGCGTGGACTCAGCACCGCAGAACCCGGACGAAATGATCGTTCAGTGCGGGAATAAGGAGTGTCGGAAGTGGTTGCACGTCAAATGCATCGCTGAGGCGGCGGTGGAGGAAGCTGGTGAGTCTCATCCTTCCAACTTACCATCTATTATACTAACACTACCGAAGCCAGCGAGAAGAAGAAATCCAAAAAGGCCAAATCAAACTCCGTCTCCACCAGCACCAAATCCTCCACACAATCCTCAGCTATCGCTGTAGCGGAGAAAAACGACTACCGCGCTGAAGTATTCGTCATGGGCACTCCAAACGATCCGAAACTTGTGCCCGCAGATACGACGGAGATTGCTATGTTCCTCCCAGATGGGAAGAAGCTGACGAAGGCTTTGGGATGTCTGTTCTGTGGGGTGGAGATTGAGTGATGGCAAAGTGGTGGGGAGACTGTACATGGTTGTGAGGGGATATTTGAGCGCAGGCGCTTGGGACTGGCAAGTTGAGTGTATCAAGGGAGCATGTTCAGAGGGTAGAAGATGGGAAGCGATGGTGTTTGGTAGGTGGTATGCACAGCGTGGATGTACTGATGATTAATGCGAGTACTTCTCACAGACTAGAGTGCTTACTTGTTTCATCTCGATTGCACACACACCCGCTTCTACAATCGTTCTGCGCAAGCGAGCCGCCCACCTGCACGCCCAAACCTGAAGCATATGCAAGGTACAGGAGATCCCGCATTCAACCACACCTCACCCCGTCAGATCTTCGAGAACAAAGCCCCTCGGAAAACTCTAACCCAACCACCACCGCTCGCGCCGAAAGTCTCTACATAGTACAGTACAACAAGGTACGCACCGCGAGCGGGATGTGGGTCGTGGACCATTGTTCGATTGCTACCTTACATGTACTCTTCCATCGGCATTCGTCATATGCGACTTGTGCATGTGCTAATGCCGTTCAATCTCACGTTGCAGTAGTGCATGGGTTCCTGCATAGGGGAGTGCATGAACGACCTGCGATGATTTGGTGGGAGCGGAGGGGAAGCCGCACCGCGCCGGTAGTTCTACTTTGTTGCATCCTCTGGACTTGGTTTCTTGATTCCATAAGGCACTTGTACATATCTTGACCACATCGCTCACTCACGCTCACTGTCGCTCTCGCCTACCCGGCGATATTAGTCTGTCCCTACCGGTTTCTTGTTGGCGATACTTCGGTCGTTGGGAGAAGGAAGCGAGATAGCCCCGCTGTTGCGGACGATATATCCAACCGACCTCACGTCCTGCTTTTGAGCGCAACACGGTAGCTAGGGAGCGCTCGCACTGAGATGGCGGAGGAGAAGCCTTCGGTGCTGATTATCGGAGGGTTGGGTACGTCTCCCCACCACAACACCACTACATCTTCCCGCGTAGCAAGCCATTGACAGAATTCGAAAGGATACATCGGCCGCTTCCTCGCAACCCACATCCACACGCACGCCCTCGCGTCCACGCTCCGCGTCATCGACAAGCAGCTCCCGCAACTCGCCTCCCTCGCCCCCGAACACGAACCCGCCTGCTCCCCCAACTTCCTACAAGCCGACGCCTCGCGCGAAGCCTCGCAGGCTCGCATCTTCGATCTTCCACCAACCGCTTCTGGCGCACAGCGGCAGTTTGATTATGTGTTCAACTGCGGGGGTGAGACGCGGTTCTCGCAGGAAGATGAAGTGTACAAACTCCGCTCGTACCAGTTGAGCTTGACCGTGGGGAAGGAAGCGGCGAAGAGGGGGGTCAAGGCGTTTGTCGAGTGCAGTACGGGACAAGTGTATAATCCCTCGCGGAGCCCGCAGAAGGAGACGGATAAGACGAGTAAGCCGCACACGAAGCAGGCGAAGTGGAAGTTACAGGCCGAAGAGGATCTGGCGAAAATCCCCGGGCTACGGTTGGTGGTGTTGAGACTCCCGCATGTATATGGACCGTACGCGGGACGCTGGCTAGGGACGCAGTTGGCGCTGGCGAGGGTGTATCAGAGCCGCGAGCCGAAGGAGACGATGAAGTGGCTGTGGAGCAGCGAACTACGGACAAACACCCTCCACGTCGAAGACACCTCGCGGGCACTCTGGATGGCGGCCGAATGGCGTTCCAAAAACGACCGTCTCCCCTCCGGCCACTCCGGCCCCACCGACCGCATCGTCTTCAACGTCGTCGACCGCGGCGCGACCTCGCAAGGTTCCATGGCCGCGATAATCCGACAGATCTTCAACATCGAAACAGGCTTCCAGAATACTCTCGTCAACGCCTTCGCGAAGATGAATCTGGAGCATGTAGTCGATGACGTGAACGACGACACGCTGGACGACTGGGCGGACCTGCAGGAAGCGGCGGGTGTGCGGGATAACGGGAGTCCGTTGAGTCCGTTTATGGAGAAGGAGTTGCTGCGGGATGCGGATTTGAGCGTGGATGGGGGGCGGTTTGAGGGGGTGGTGGGGTTTAGGTGAGCTGGCTTTTTCTCTTCGATCTGAGGTTGGGAATGGGGGTGTGGGTGCTAATGCTAATGTTGGGGATGACAGGCCGCTGCACGAGAAGATATCGAAGGAGGAGGTGCAGGAGGTGATTGAGAGTTATAGGCGGATGAACTGGTGGCCTTGACCCGAGCAGACGCTTGCGGCGGCGGCGGCGGCGGCGAGGCGATACGGTACTTTTCGAATTGGCCACACTTTGCATAGCGTGCTTTTGGAGGAAAAGGGAAAGGGTTGGTCAACAGCAAACCCTGAACTCCCGTGATGTTGATGTTTTGGTTTTTTCTAGCGTTTGCATGATGTGCATGGATGTTCGATGAGACGAGCGAGACGGCTGAGTTTTGTACTGTTTGTATAGGGGTTTTGTTCAAATACTACTTTGCCCTGTATTCTGTACTGGATTTTGACTGCTTGTTTTAGACTGGAGGCATTGGTGTCGCCCAGCAAACACTCGTGTCACGTGCTGGTGATGGTGATGGGCGATACGAGGACTAGGCGACTATCAGTTCGGTTTTTTTGGGCTGCTGGACCAGCGGTGGTGTGTACCGAAAGCGAAGTACCAGAGGCATATTGGACTTGGAAGATGCTGGTGTGGATCTGGAGGGCCGGGAGGGCATGCAAAAGCCGTTGACCTTCGTTCGCAGAGAAGCGCGTACTCAATATTGGGAGAGCTCGGTGTCACCGTCGACGTACACATCGTACGATCCTGCAACGAACATCGTGCCGCTACATCGCCATCCAATGCAATCCGGCGCCTGGAGTAGGATGGAAAACCGTGCGCACGTAGATTTACTCAAAGCGTCAGTTCATCCTCATACATAACCAACCTCCGTCCCAAGAAGCACCAAGCCGCCCTATACACACCCTTCGTCACACTACTTCCACTCAGAGCCTCCCAGCCTTATGCGCCTTATGCATCCTCAGATGCCTATGCCTCGTTCCCCTCTGCACCGGCGCGCCGACCACGTACGCGCCACGTCCAGTATCGTGCTCCTGACCCCAGTTGCCTCCAGATTGCCATGGCTGGTCGCCACCCCATGTGTGGCTCGCGTGTGGCCAGCCGCCCCAGGACTCTTCTGGGGGACTGCTGGGTGCGGCGGGTGCGGAGCTGGCAGCAGGCGCTGAGCTTGGTGCGGGGGCGGCGGAGGTTGGGCCGGGAGAGACCATGACGCCGCTGCTGCCGACGACTGGCGCCCAGCCGGATGGCGAGGAGTAAGGGGCTGTAGATGAGGCGTTAGTCTCGTGTATTGTGAGCGGTGGGACGCGATGGTACGAACCTCCAGAAGGAACAGTGACGAACGAGCTCTGCGCCTTGCTGCTCGGTGCTGCTGAGGGAGCAGGAGCACCCCAAGACCCAGGAGCGGACGCCGATGGCGCGCCCCAGGCGGTAGCAGAAGGTTGACCGTGGGATGCCGGCACAGAGGTAGATGGGGCAGCAGAAGGCGCCGGCTCGCTAGGCGAGCTCTCACCGCCGTTGTTCTGGTAGACCTTGAGCGCTTTCACTGACCAATAAGCGTCCTTGAACGCCTCCGGGTTGTTCGCGACGTAGTCGTTGCAAGTATTCGCCTTGGACGAGCATGTGCTGTCCGACCAGGTCGCGCCGGCCCAGTCGCCGCAGAAAGTGGTGTCGAAGACAATCTGTTGGTTTTTGAACGTGGAGGAGAAATCGCAGCCGCCTTCGAACTTGGCCATGGGCTCACCCCAGGACGAGGGGTCGGGCGAATCGCTGTTGATGTCGGATGGGATGGAGTTGCGGGGGAAGAAGTAGACGGCGATGGAGCTGCCTGTCCATTCGGTAGCGTAGACGCCGCCGCCGTTTTGGTTGAAGCCGGCGCCGTAGGTGTTGGTGTCGCTAGTCGTGATGCCGCAGCCGGCGTTCTTGTCTTGGCCTTGGGCATTGACGTCGCAGTTGTCGGTCTTGATGGTGCCTGTGAATGCGGAAGAAGTGGCAGAGTTCGAGCAGCCAGGACCGGTGTGGAGGGTCATGGCGTTGGAAGATTGATCGTTGACTCCCTCGATGATGTCGATCTCGCCTTGACTTGGCCAGTCGGGACCAACCATCCAGAAGGCCGGCCAGGTGCCGCAGATGCCGCCCGGCATGTGCTCGAGGTCGAGTATAACAAGGCCGGACTGGTAAGACTTGGTGCTGGTGAGACGGACGCTTTGGCGTCCCTCGTTCTGCACGGCGGTGTGATTTACACCCATGTAGATCTTGCCTCCATCGTTGTTGATGAGGCCGGTACCCTGCGCAGTACCTTGATCCACGTAATCGACGAAACCATTCGTCGGGTCAGCGTCGTCCCAGAAGCTGAACTGGCCGAAGAAATCGCCAGACATGTAATCATCTTCGCAGGTGTAAGCAGCCCAACCAGGGGCGCTCGCCATAGCGATGGTAAGGAGTGTGGTGAAATGCATCTTGCTTGTAATGAATGACTAGCGATCAACGCTGGATATGGCAAGAGAAAGAAGAGCACAGCTCTGGACGACTGAGAACAGCAGAAACGACGAAAGATCGGTGGGAGAGGAAGAGATGGGAGAAACGCGAGACGCTTTCTGCAGTTATACAAACCTTCGCACGACTCCTGACGAGGAGGTAGGACAGTGGAGCAGACGGGCAACGCGGCTACAGCGACACACACCACCTGGCTGCACCGACTGATGGGTGGCCTGCGTCTTCCATTCGTGGTGCTTGCATCGTTTCACAAGGCGTGCGGGTGAGCCGAGGCCCTGCCCGTTTGAACTTCAGACTCCCTGGCGGCGCTCAGCAGATCTTGTACTAAGCTGAAGACGAACGGGGATGCGTCGAGGAAAGATGCAGGAACCCGTTCGGGTGGTTGTTCCTAGATCGCCAACACCCATGCTGAGTGGTCGGGCGGAGTGCTGTCCAAGGAAAAGGCGGTTTCGAGACCGGGTTTGGCAGAGCGGCAGCCGTTTGCAAGATCTCGACGGCGACATGTCTCGAGCCAATGCGGGCGTGGCAGCTGGGAGTTTCTCGACAGGTCATCACGGAGAAGGGAGAGAAAGGGAGGTTTGCTCCACCGAGTCGATGTCTGAAGAGCGTGCATCTGATTTGTCCGAGGCTTCTGCAGGGGTGTGAATTCGATCGCGCTAAACCACTCCTGACTGTCGATTGGTGGTTGTTTGGTATTTCGAAACACGACTTCAACGCCTGTGTCACAGCCTCTTTTCCACGCTGACAACCTGGACAACTACTTGCTTAGAAGAGGCATATGTCCTTCGCTTCGAGACGTGATATGTAATTTGAGGGTGCCGCCATTGAACCATCGTCTCAAGAGATTTCCAAATCACCAGGGTGGCTCACATCCATCAATACGTGTATGAGAAGAAAGAGCACAGCCCGAACATGCTCTGCAGGCCGGTGCACTGTCTTGATTCTTTCGCACCCTCCACATTCCGAGGTCGTATCTGTGGCGATGCGTTGGCGTTGAAGCTGGTGATGTCCAATATCTTGCGGCACGCGGCTGGCCTTTCCTCTTCATGATGGAGGTATTACTCGCGTTCATGGCCCGAAGCCCACCAAGAACAACACCACTATAGCAAACCATCTTGCCAGCCACGGAGCACTCGTATTGGACCCCGAGCGCACCGTCGTTGTTGTCGGTGTGCTCGTCGCCGAAGACGCTGGTCCTGGTGGTGGGGCAGAAACATAAGTGATCTCCGGCAAGCTGTCACTGCTCGATGCAACATTGCTCGAGACGTGACCATGCTCAAGCATCCTCGTAGTCGTTCCATCCACCCCGACCCCCGGCCTCCCGCTCACACTAATCATCCTCAGCGTCGTCCGATCGCCTCTATCCCCAACCGTGATAGGCTTCCCATCAGCCAACGTGGTCCCGTGGAGGACGAAGTTCCCATCCGAGGCTTTTGTGAACGCTAACGGGTCAGCGTCGGAAGTGGTTGGTATGAGAGGCACAGTAGTTGTCGTGCCGATGGCGATGAAGGTGCTTGAGCTGGCGGTAAGCATGCGAAAGGTGACGGGGCCGTCGTTGTCTTCCAGAGTAATGGGTGAGCTAGGTGCGAGAGTTTGGCCGGAGACAACGTATTGGGTTTTGCTGTTCAAGCTGACAAGATCGCTAGTCGTTGGTGCAATGTTTGTCCGGCTCTCTAGGCTCGCCTCTTCGAGTGTGGTGGTTGAGGTATGGTTGTAGACTACGAATGTAGATCCTGCACTTTCGTATACACTGACGATTGCGGTAGCTGCTCCATTCCCGATCGTCTTCTCTTCGCCAGGCTGTAATGTGTGCTTACCAATGATCACTCCTCCGTCTGAAGTGATCGCATGAGGAGCAGGCATCTCGTCCGGTAGACTTTGCGATGTCCACCGACTGTCATTTTCTGTCCCATGTGTCGTTCGTGACGGCGAAATAGGAGTTGTGTCGGTGGGGCGAGGACCTGCTCGGGAATGGCTTTCCACAGCTGTAGATGCTGGATCAGGAGACCATGAGGCACCCGCGTTCGAATTCTGCGCGGTCCTCTCGGAGGTATCGCTGTCAATGCGGGTTGAAGTCGACGCTACATTGCTCACCTTGGAGGCGTTGTTATCCAGGGAGTGCGTGCTGTGCCTCGTGTGATGCGTTGGGCGAGCTTTCAAGCCTGACTTCACAATAGTAGCAAGTGGATCAATCGGTGCCACAACCTCCGCTGAGGTCAACGAGGAAGCCTTCGGATACCAAGTTGCCTCTGGTCCAGTCACGGCCAACGAGGGTGATGCTTTCGGCAAGTCTGGATCCGCAAACGTCGACACACGGGCTTCCACTGCCTTCGGTGTAAGAGCTATCGGCGGATCGTAGCTCGAAAGATGTCAGCAATCTCCATACAAATGGACTGGGTCAGACACCTACAAGCCTTCGAGCGCCAATCCACACCCAGCCCACTCTGGATCAATCGTCCTCACCTGCTCCGGCACTTTCAACGTCGGGAACCACTGCGTGTTATAGATCGTCGGACACCCAAATACATAGCACTCCGGCTGCATCTCGTACTGCCACGCCGGCGGCGGGCGAAGCAGATCCGTGTAGTTCAGCTTCCCGTAACGGTACGCGGGCTGCTTAAGGCCGATGTCGATTTGGGTTGAGAGCTGGTCCGGTGGCATGGCGAGGAGAGTCCCGGTGTGACGGGCGCCGACTTGGAGGCAGGTGTTGGAGGCGTAGATGGTGGGGAGGTGGATGTAGACGGTGGGGGAATAGAGAGTCGTGCCATTGAGGATGGTTGAGCGTCTGGTCGTGGTATCGGAGGGACCGGCGGTCTCTAGAGGCCAGAAGTAAAGGTCTACGGTGCCGCCGGTTATGGTGCATTGACCGCAGTCTGTCGATGACTTGACTGACATCGTCTCGAACTTGCAGTTGGGTGTCGGTCCAGTGAGCTGGGTAATTGTGTAGGCGTTTGAGTCGCTGGGGATTGTGGTTACTGTTACTTTCTGTATCGGCGAGCCAAGGGCATATACCGGCGTGATCGTCGTCGGAGTGATATGGTTGCTTTGCCATCGTCCGAAGCCAGAGCTCGCGGTGCTGAAGCTAGTGTATACTTCGATCGCCGTGGTAGTCCTGCCTCCCGCACCTATGGTGCTAAGGACAGTAGACCATGCGGGTCCTGGCGTGCTAAGGCCATTGCGCACGTTCGAGTATGACATCCATGAAGGGCTGCATGTCCTGACAATAGAGCTCACTACTTGAGCACATGCCGGGTCGCCGGGTTGGCAGAATGCTGTGCATGGCCAGTCTGGTTCGGAAGCACAGTAGGAGCTCCAAATGCCAGGTGTGTCGGCGGTAGTATTCAATGTGAGTTGCGATGTTGTTTGTGTGATAGTAGGTGAAAGGATAGACGATGTGTTGGTAAAGTTTGGTGCAAAGTTGTCAGTGCTGGATGAATGCGACGCCAAAGTTGATTGTGCAAAGGTGACGGGAAAAAGGTGTAGAACGAATGCAATGTTGAAAAGACAGTACATATCGAATGAAGGATCGATCAAATGGTAGGAGCAGACATCATGAAGAGCAGACCAGATTTTTGTTCAATGAGCAGCGTGTTGACGCCCATGCGGCACAGCATTGATTGACCCGGGTTGCATTCGGTATGGTACAAATGCCTGAATTGCTCGATGCCCGGAATGATGAGTGTCCGATAATGGAACAACAATATTCGTGGATCTGGACTGAGCAGGTTTGCAGTGTAGCGGCCATGGCGGCAGACCGATGCATGTTGTTGGCTGTGCAAGCGCCGGGGTCCAGAAACTCCGCCACAGGTTTGACACCGAGAAGACGCCCTCGGAATCAGCATAGTTTTGGAAATACGAAATCATAAACGACAGACTGCGCCGGCTTCTTGCTGAGAATGAGCCGCGTCTAGCATTCGCCAACAACCCGCACAGTCACCAGATTTCTACATCCCATCTTACCTCAATAGCTTCCTGGTTCATTCCCGATGCTTCCGCCATCCACGAGAACCACATTGCCATTCGAGAATGCGCCGGCGCGGGACGTGAGGAACAGAATGGCGCCTGCCATGTCCTAGAGTCTGGATTTAGCACCTGTAATTGTGTTGCCGGGGATGAAGAAAAGACGACTCACTTCCGAAGTCCCGGTCCTGGTCATCGGCACCATCTCAGTCGGAAGACTGCCGGGCACGCTCCAATCGGCGCCTTGGGCAACGAACTGCAAGGAACCATTGAGTAAAACGATCGGATTGGACTAAGAAAGGTACGTACGTCCGTCATGTCAGTTAGAAACATCCCCGGCGCAATTGCGTTCGCTCGAATGCCCCTTGGACCAAAATTCGTAGCCAGACTTTTAGTCAGGTGCGCCAGCCCGGCTTTGCTGGCCATATACTGGAACCCGACATTCTCCTTGCGACTGAAGGACGCGAGGCTGAGGGTGGTGATGAACTGGCTCTGAATGAAATCCTTCTTGCCACGGCTGTCGGGGTGCGTGTTGCCGGCATCCAAGAGGCCCATGAAGGCGACAAAGGTGTAGAACGGGGCTACCGTGTTGACGTTCATGACGCTCTGCGACTCTTGGAGCGAGGTGGCCCATAGCGCTTCCTGCACCGCCGAGAGGGTCACGTCGGCCGGACGAGGGGGAACGGCGGTGAGGGGTCCCAGAATGCCAGAGTTGGCTACCACGGCGTTCACGAATGGGGTCTTGGCCTTGATCACGTCCACGGCGGCTTGCAGCGCTTCTTTAGAGGTGACATCGCATGCGACAGGGATGACAGACTTGTTGATCTTGCAGACGTTAGCCAGGAGGGCCATCAGGTGGACTTGCAGTGATCGCTTACCGCCTTGTCTGCCACCTTCTGCAGGCTTTGCACCCTGCGACCAAGAATGAAGACACTCTTCGCCCCGTTCGTGTCGAGGGCAAGCGCCATCATCTCTCCCAGACCGCTTCCGCCGCCAGTGATGACGAAGACCATGCCTTCGACGCCAAAAAGCTTTGCAGCTTTGAAGTGGTCCATGTTGTTGGAGTGAATTGGTAAACCTGCAGCAATCGATGTGATGCTTCGAGGGAGGAAGAGTGTGTTTGACTTGTTTCTGTTCCTGGTACCATGATGCTCCTGATAAGGCGGTTCTTAGGGCCCGTCGGATCGGTTTAATCTACACTTAAGGCATCTTTAAGAGTTGTCCTGCTGGCATCATTGTTCATTGCTGACCACAGATGCCGAAACGACGTCGTGTGTATTGGTGCTTTCATAGTCCATTCGGATCGGACATGGGATGGGTCGGAGATGATTACTTGCTGCTTGAGGTTTGCGATACAGTCCTGTCGGATCTCGGAGGATTGGTAACACATGTCCGAAGAGTAGTTGTTGTCAAGGCTAAGGATACCTTAGCGCTCGAGTTCTCTCATCGATTACATCTTGTGCTTTGGTAGCTACTATGTGCATGGTCTGAGTAACTCGAGCCGTTGTGAACCTGATCAATGAGATGGAAGTTGCGTATCTATGTGGTGAGGAGCTGAAAAGTCTCTTGATACCGCCCTGTGCACTGACCATCTGTCACGTGATCAATTCAGAAATAAACACATGCACACTTCCAAAGCGAACGTCCTACTGCTGTGTCGTTACCGAATGTGCAGACAAAACATTTATCGCATTGACTTTGGTTGTTGTTGGACCGTATTACTTTTAGTCGCAAACCGAAGTTGACCACAGAGGCCCACCACGAGTCTGTAGGCTACATACAAGTAGAGACCAGCTGCGGTCCGAACACTAGGAGATCCCTACACGGCACATATCGCGGTCTTGCACCGGTATACTATCTAAAGGAACGTCCTTCGTACAAGCTCTGGTGATGTTCAATGCAGGGCAGGGTCCTGTTCCATTTCCTGCTCCGTTTCCTGCTGTGTTGCGCTCGGTACGGCCTCATGCGTGCTCTCATCTCTCGAAGGGGCGTGGATGAGGAACGCTGTGATGACGAGAGCCGCTGCAGCCGCAGCGGTTGCACAGTAAAAAGCATTGCGATAATCGGAGAGAATGGTCTGGGGTGTGGCTTTGTCGATGAAAGAGCCTGATATGGCGTAGAAGATGGCGACCGACACTTGTGCAGCGCTTTGCATGATTCCCGCCACCAAGCCTTGATCGGGCAGAGGAGCACTCGCGACCTAAAGCAGTACGTTAGCCGATGAAAAGCAGCTCCGCGGTAGTGGCGGCAGTAACACTTACAGCGAGGTTCAAGAAGTTCACAAAGAAGCAGGCCACGCCAAGGGAGATCAATATGAGCCCTGGGAATGAGTATGACCAATAGTGGGTCCGTTCGTCGTTTCGAGAGAAGAGAATGCACCCGGCGATGGCCAGGATCTCACCCATCATGATTGTCCACTTGGGGTTGATCTTGCTGTACAGGGCACCCAGAATCGGCATTGCGATCAGCGGCGCGATCGCAAACGGGAGATACTGGATTGCAGCGGTCAATGCTGGCTTCTGGGATCAGACGGTAGGGTCAGCATGTCGAACTATCTCGCGAGAATGGTTGATGTGGACTAACTCCTTGAACATTGACCAGGAACTGTGAGCCGACTAGGAGCATCATGAAGCAAGTCCCGTACATAAGCGCAGTCACCGGGACCAGTGCTGCGAAATTCTTGAAGGTCCATACACGAGGTGGAATAAGCGCCTCTGTAGAAGGGCTGGTTCTCCGCAAGAAGATGTTCTCATATGTGATGAAAGCTGCGAGCATTGCGATGCCGACGAGAAGTGGCGATAGTGCTCGTGCAGCTTGCCAGTCCGTGGGGCCTTCGCTGAGGCCCAGGACGATGAGCAAGATGCTTGCAGTGATCAGAAAGGTCCCGAAAAAGTCGATCCGTCGGAATAACGCCAGGTTTCGAGGCGTTGGAGGTACGAGTATAGCCGATAAGAGGGCAAATACGATGCTCAGGGCAAATGAAATCCAGAAGAGAAGCCTGTAGCCCACTTCAAGTTTCGTGACTGCCCCTCCGACTGGAATCCCAGCAATGGTCAGCAGTGTACAGGAATCTTTGACAAGGTAGACACCGACCGATGATCCCCACGGTAGAGCCGGTGGCAATGCCCATGCCCAACATGGATAGAGCCATTTCACGTGCCCTCCCTGTATAGCTGATAGAAACGAGGGCGTAGGCGGAAGGCACTGTCATTGCAGCAAATGCCCCCTGGAATGCTCTGACAACGAACAAACCCACGGCAGTATTGACACCAGCCGCCAGCGCAGAAAAGACGCTGAACAAGGTCAGGCCTAGAATGTAGACCTCTTTGTGGCCCACAACATCGCCTACAACTGTCAGTAGGGTGTCGACGACAGCTCGAGAAAGGCGACACTTACCAAGACGTCCGACAACTAGCAGAAACGCTCCAAAAGTCAGCGCGTATGCGGATAGCATCCATGTTGCCTCGGTGTACGGGAGGTGGTATTCTTCAGCGACACGTGGAAGGATGAACGTAACACCCGTGCTATTCATGACATCGAGGAGCAGAGATGAGGTGTAGATGACGAGAGTCAGGGGCCGCAATGCGGTTCGAAAACTCTCGAGCTTCTCGTCGCTGAGGAGCATCTTGGTCAAGGGTGAGGGTTGAGATGCTGGAAAAGAGCTTGAGGACTGCAGTAAATGCAGACTTTTCTTACAAGAAAATGGTGCAACAGCTTGGAAGATGTAGGAAAAACATGGTGTGGCGACATGTCGTGCACTGGATATCAATGGAATAGCCAACCTTGCCTTAGCAACCTACCGACCGGCTCCATAACCCATTATAGATCTTCTCCGCTGCGAACAGTCTCCTGTGACGATGGATGAGGATGGGCTGGAATGGAAGCGGAACGGACTTCGGATCCTGACGTGCTCGGGGGTTGAGGTAGCTTTGTCAGCGGCTCCGTCGGAAGACAGACCATCTGAGAACGAGGAGAGAAGTCGTTGTGGTGCTGCTCACCTGGCCCAGAGCATGGAAAGGCTTCTTAAAATCCGGCAGATTCTTCATCATCGCTGTTGGGAACACCACGAAGCATTGCGTAAATCAATGCCTCCAATAAAATCCAGCCATTGATTCGTTCTAGTCTACAGTCTCACCGTAAGCATCCACCTTGGCTTTCTTGAAACCCCGAGCCGGGATCTTGTGACTGAAGAGGACATCGAGCTCTTCGTATGTGCGGTCCTGTGTGAGTTCGCTGTCAGTAACAGCACACCCTTTTCTCGAACAGGAAGCGCAGCCCTACCTTCGTCTCCGGTAGTCTAAAGAAGATCCATACTACCATCAAGCTAGCAGTGCTTGCCCACACAAACGCGGTCTTGCCTTGAAGATTCCATTCAGTGGGGTTGATCATGTACGGATTGAGGATTCCACAGATAATGTATACAACATTATAAGAGTTGCGAGCGAGCACGACCGTCTGCGGACGAAGCTGGACGGCTGAAGTTTCGGAGACGATTGCATATCCAATGGGCCCGACGCTGAGGGAGTAGATGGCCTGCCACAGCATCATAAAAGACACCTGAACCCAGAGGGAATCTTGAGCATTCGGTGCCGCGGCCGAGCTGATTGCAACCACGAACAAAACGATTGCGTCGCCCAGCATGCCTGCCAGGAAGATGGCCCGCCGGCCAAAGTAGGTGAGGAGGATCCAGGAGAGCATTGTTCCAACGAAAGCTAGAGCAGTGCCGCCGAGGCCGAACTGTCAAGAGTCAGCGTGGGTCCGCCACAGTGATCATCACGTTCGTTCTTACGTTGTACGCATCTTGTACGCCCAGTCCTGCTTGCAATAGAAAGTAGGACGGCGAATACGCAAAGTTCGATCCGGAGAGCTGTGCGCCAACAAAGACCATGATGCAAATCTCCGTGCGCCGCAGATTGACGCCCTTGAAGCAGTCCAGATAACTTACGCCGTGGTTCATTTCATCTTCCAGTCTTGTCGTGTGCTGGATCTGGCTGAGACTGGCTCTGCAGTGTTCTTCGGATCTCGTGGTCAAGCGGCAGAGCACGTGGAGGGCTTCGTCAAATCGGTCCTTGCGAACCAACCACCACGGCGATTCCGGCGCGAAGATGATCGCTATGACAATGGGCACGGGCCAAACCCACTGGACGGCTATGGGTATGCGCCATCCCCACTGAGTCTCGTTGGAGACAAGACCCTGGATGATGCCGGAGCTGATGAATTGACCCATTGCCCAGCAAAGATTGACGTATACGGTCAGATACCCGCGCAGGGCAAGCGGACAAACCTCCGAGGCATAGGCGGGACCGGTTGTGGCGTACACTCCCCAGGTGAGACCGCAGAGCATCTGGCCGACCAAGAGCATCTCGATACTCACTGCGAAGAAGGAGATGAAGATGAATCCGGTCTGACAGACCAGTGCCGCCATGAGTGTGCGTCGGTAGCCGTACCGAGACGAGAACCAGCCGTTCATGAACCCGCCGATGATGACGCCGGCGTTGGTTCCTTGGACAAGACCCGCCTGCCAGGCGCCGGTCAGCTGGTTCGAATCGCTCCCTGGGTCGTAGGTGCCGAACTTGGCCGTGAAGGAGGGGTAGCCAAAGAAGTTCTGCATCAGATTCAAGTCGTAGCCTTCCATGACGATGGTCAGAGAGACGATGGCCGACCAGATGATGGCCATATAGTTCTCTCGTAGAGCTTGCTTCAATGTCGTCTCATGCTCAGCCTGTGTCGCTCTCTGGGCATCGTCCAGGTCTTCCTTGCCGTGTAAGCCGGGCACCTTCTCGGTGGCATCGTCGACTCGGTTGGTCTCGACCGGGGGTTTCTCCTCCTGCGAAGCCATGGTTGATGTTAGGGAGGCAGGATGGCAATGAGGTCGGCAGGCCCGCCTCGTAGCTGCGCTGGTCTTTATTCATCTTCGACCGAGGTCGCGGATGAGCTAGGCGGGGGCTACAGTACTTCGGTAGGGACATCCGCTTATCAGTGTACACATGCGATGGCTGTGCAAGACTCATGGTCGATCGACAAGCACAAAGTCGAAGGATTCGCCGGCACCTGCAGCCGCTCAGTGATATGCCAAGCTCCTGGCCTAATTTCTCAGAACGAGAACGCACTTCACCGCGTACATGATATACTGCACTACACCACAACCCAAGTTGGAGAGGTGGAGAGATTGGAACTGATTGACTGATAACAACGTGTGGAGGATCGACCATGGGACTGCACCTTGTTGATCAACTGAGTCAAGGTTAACTGGGGCCCCTTATTCTCCACGAATCAATGAGACCTCGCCTCCGCGGTATGCAGATAATGCCAATGTCTCCTCTCTGCGACCTGCGGATGTGACATCCGCGAAGATGGGATGGAAACCGAATAGCAGCGCTCATGGCCTTCAAGAAAACGGCCATACTTCAAAGCCGCCATGGCTGGTATCCAGCAGCACTCAAGACTGAGCTGTCTTTCCTTCCGCTCGACACACCGCCATCCTAGAGTGCACGATGCGAAGCTCCATCTTCGCGGCCATGGCCGCCCTCTTCGGTGAGGCCGTGCCAGCCATACTCTCGCCACGGAACCCACCACAGGCACCACGGAACGTGTCCACCATCTTCACGCCGTCAGGCGCACAGATCCGATACAAGGAGCCCGGGAAAGCAGGTGTCTGCGAGACCACCCCCGGTGTCAACTCCTACAGCGGCTACATCGACCTCAGCGATGATGTTCATGTCTTCTTCTGGATGTTCGAGGCCCGGAAAGACCCTGCAAATGCTCCAGTCACGCTTTGGCTCAATGGTGGGCCAGGCAGCGATTCCTTGATCGGTCTATTCGAGGAGATTGGTCCCTGCCATATCACGAAGAACCTGACTTCTCAACTCCGCGACATTGCCTGGTCGAATGAAGCCAACTTGCTCTTCTTGTCCCAGCCTGTCGGTACGGGCTTCTCTTATAGCGACGATGAAGTCGGATACCTCGATCCAACCTACTTGACTGTCAAACATCCTAAACCAGGGCAAGAGACCGGCAGATGGTCGGTCATTGATCCTACCGTGAACGATACCACGACTCTTGCAGCTCATGTGTGCTGGGAGTTGCTACAGGGCTTCTACAGTGGCCTACCTCAGATGGCTTCTGACGTGGAGTCGACAGCGTTCAGCCTCTGGTGGGACTACGCACGGGAAGGATGAACCGAATACAGTGCTGATTGCTTCTCCACAGGTCGGAGTCCTTCGGCGGCCACTGGGGTCCGGCTTTTATGTCGTACTTCTACGAACAGAATCAGAAAATCAGCGAGCAGAATGCTACAGGCCGCAAGCTCGACTTCAAGTCTTTCGGCCTTGTCAACGCCATTGCCGACGAGCGGATCCAGACGAAATATCTCCTGGAGTTCACACAAAGCCATACCAACACATATGGCTTGGATATGCTTAATGAGACAGTCTATGATCACGGCCGCTTCAACATGTATCGGCCTGGAGGCTGTCAGGACGCTCAAGACTACTGCGCTTCTTTTGAGAAGGACTCCTTGGTTCGCCGATCGCAATGCTCGCTGGCGCAATTTCTGTGTCAGAACTCGGTCGAGAATCTGTTTTACAACCTTGGCGGCGGTCGTGGGACCTATGACATTGTAAGCATTCTTGAAGTAGTCACTGACTTGAAGACGTGGACTCTACTGACGGCCAATCTCACTAAAGAGAGCATGTAGCGGCGATGATGTACCACCTCCACAGTGGCGCGACTATATCAACACTGCAGAAGTCCAGAACGCCCTCGGAACAAGCCTCAACTACACTTCGTCGAATCTAATCTACAGCGCCTTCTCTCTGTCAGGGGACTTCGCTGTCAGCTACCTATACGGCATCGAAGAGCTTCTCAAACACGATATCCAGGTAAGCCTCGTATACGGAGATGCGGACTTTATATGCAGCTGGCCAGGTGGAGAAGATCTTTCCCTTTCCGCAAACTGGACTGGTCAAGAAGCCTTCAGGTCAGCGGGCTACACGAACTTGACCGTGGACGGGCAAGCGTACGGCGAAACAAGGCAGTATGGCAAGCTGAGTTTCACGAGGGTCTGGGAAGCTGGACATGAAGTGCCGTGTACGTTTCGATCACACCGCCTTCTTGCCATCTCGTGCTGACAGCAGGAAATCGCAGAGTTTCAACCCGAGGCCGCCTTTGCCATCTTCAATCGATCGTTGCACGGTCTGGATGTGGCGACCGGTATGGAGGATACCACGGGAGGAAGCAAATATTCGACCAAAGGCACGAACCGCACCACGCACTTCCGTCAGGCGCCGCCTTTGAATTGTTCCAGTGCGGCTTAGGAGGCCGTAACACTTGCTCTCGGTGAGTTAATACGATAGGATAGGTGCTGGTATTTGCACTAGGCCCAAGTCATCGTGTAAAGAGGATAGTCGAACAGTGCTCAATGAAGCCAATCGTTATCACGACTTGCCCTCTCACGCTAGTCATGAATTGGGCGAATGTGTATCTTCATCGTTCAATTTGACTCGGGCTTCTTGAGGCGAACGTGCGGAGAGAAGCGGTTTGCCGTAGACATGATTCAACTTCCCAGCGCACATCTATCTTCTTGCGCAAGCTATGCGTCACGGCACAGGTCCTCCCGGGGAACGTCGGGGAGGTTAGAGGACAAACGGGTCAACAGCTGCCATCTCCTTCGCCGCTCTTAGCCGAACAATGCGACACTCCGGCCTTGATAAACCCAGAGATCAGAGTAGACCTAGCCGAACAACATGGCAAAGGAGGGGAAATTGGAAGGTGACCATTGATGCAAGTATGAGGTCCAGCTATGCCTCACAGTCGACCTGCAGAGGCCAACACTCGTCATAGCAGGCGCATATTGCAGGCGTAAGTTGATTTCTCATGCAAATGAACATACATGGACTGCGACCTAACTCTGCGTTCCAGATGCGAGCCGTGCAGGTCGAGAAAGATCCGATGCTCCGGCAAGCAGCCGTGCTCGCATTGCGAGCGTCGAAAGGTCGTCTGTAACTTCCCCGAAGGTGCTCGGCGGATTTCTGTATCAGCGCAGTATCTCAGGAAACTTGAGAACCATGTCCATCAAGACCGACAGGACCAAGCCGGGGAGGTGGCCGGTTGCGGTGATGCCGCAGTCGACGATAGCAGGAGTATTCACTCTGCTATGTCCGGCTCGCGAAGCGCTGGTGAGATGACTACGCCAACATTCAGTTGTCCAAGGCCAAGGCAGGAGCAGCAACACAATAATAACGACGACTTCTCGCGGAATCTTCTTGTCGACGATCAACCTCATGTCCAAGACAATAATTCAGTGCAGTCGCAGCAGTGGTACTTGGGACCTTCTTCGACATGGTCGTTCAGCCGTCGTGTCCTTGCCCATCTGGAAGAGTATGTCTCGCCTAACGCTGGAACATTCCCATCAACGCCTCTATATCTAGATGGCGCCGCCTACCGCTTCGATCCAGAAGAGCGACGACATCAGACCTGCGATCCAGCATTGGATATTGCAGCTGGGACGACCCAGACCGCCCCTTGGCCGGCCTTCGATCATGCGTTGTACCTCTTCCACACGGTACAGTTTCGCTTGGGCCAAATTCTGCATTTTACCGACAGCGAACAAAGCTTCTCGAACCTGTACAGTACGCTGCAAGATGATTGTGCTCCCACAGAAGGTCATGCCCCTTTTCAACGAGCGTACATACTGCTCATTCTTGCGTTCGGCCGAGCGTTGTTGTGTCATGCTCACGGCGGTCAGTCTTCTGCGGCACCCAAAGGGTCCCAGTACGCTGCTGAGGCATGCTCGCTTCTTCCAACGATTCATTCACCCGACCAGGACAATGTGCTGGCAATTCGAGTTTTCGGATTGGCGGCTTTGTACCTTCAATCATTGGACATGCGCGTGACTGCATTCGAGTTTGTACGTCCACACTTGCGCTGATTTTCCGATGTCACGATACTGATGTACCCGTTTTCCAGGCGGGTCGTGCGCTCCGACTCTGTTACGTGACCGGCATTCATCGTGGAGCGGCTTCCAATGTCGCAGATGAGGCCACACGAAGCTCGATTGACAAACTGTGGTGGAGTGTGTACATGCTGGATCAGCACCTGTCGGCGTTGATGGGGGCTCCGAGTGCGGTCCAAGACAACGACGTGACGGCGCAACTGCCTTGCGCCGATGCTTCATCCCCTCAGGACGCAGCGCTCGGGGTGCAAGTACGTCTTTCCAGTCTGCTTGCAAGGTTGACGAGAAGTGAGTAACGATCGGGCGACAAGGCGCCTTGCAAGTATGACTTCACGCTGACCGGCGCTTGTCCATCTGGCAGCCGTCTACAGCTTGCAACCCTCGCTCAACGGATCATTCTTGTCGGAAGCGCAGACCATCCTGCGCCAGCTAGCCGAAGTCTCTCGATCGATGCAGGCTCAAAACGATATCGGTCACTCACTCCGCTCGAGCCACCTGTGTCTCTACTACCATCATGTATGCCACGACGCCTCATGCAAATCGCCACCTTAGTGCCCGATTGACTCAATCTCTCGCAGTGCATCCTTCTTGCCACTCGACCGGTGGTGATGAGCGTCCTCGTAAGCTTCACGAAAGACCTGCAGGTCTACGAACGAGCCCGAAACATGCTCCTGTCGGAGCCAGTGTCAGCATTGCTTCATGCATGTACCACCTCCGCCGCTACCATTCTCCGCGTGCTCCTAACCCTCAAAGAAGCTGATTTGCTTGGTAAGCCGTTCGCTTCTCCATTTGCGAGGGTGCGTGAGCCAATATATGTCCAACGCACCTCAACTGACATCTTGGGTGCGGCACAGACACGTTCCTGCCCTTCCATCTGGAACAAGTCCATTCCTCCGCATTTGTACTCCGCTTGATCGCCGCAATGTTACCCGAGAGAGTTGATCAAGAAGGCCCTCGCGCGGGATGGGAACTCTTAAACACAATTGCAGCGCACGGCAACAATCTAGCTTCCCTTCGACGACAGGAATTGGATCATCTAGACCAGCTTCTGAGCCGCACCACGGTACCGAGAATTCGACTTGCTGCGGGAGAACGTCAAGAAAACTCAGTGCCGGTCCGGTCAGGCGCAACACACCCTGATGCGACATGTCTAGACTATTCATTTGACACAGCGCCCACATTGGCTGGAAGTGAACCGTTCTCGATGGATGACTGGAACTTCGACGTAACTGGAGGAATTGGATTGGTCGACTTAGCGGGAATGGTTAACTTTGGCGACGTATCGGAACAGATTGCATTCGATGATCTGCTGTAAGATGCTCTGATCCTCCGACTGGTATGTTGGAATTAAGGACACACTGGAAACTGCGCCATATGTAGCTTCGCACATCCAAACGGGATGAACCTCACTTGCCTCTTCATTCCTGTCCGTGCGGCTGCAACATCGATGAAAGCTGGGTCTGCCGCAGTCCCGTTGGAGACCGGCCAGTCCAGCTCCTCTACCGCTACTTCGATGTACTCTCTCACGGTCTCTGCAGACCAGAACGACCGCCCCTCTACCGGCTCGGACTGCAACGGCGAGATCATTCCATACCTAGGAGCGATCGACAGGTTGAGTACATATGCCCATTTCGCACCTTCCGCAGGTACTAAATCTGAATCCCGTACTTTCTGCATCCAAGAAGGGCTGCCAGCAGCCGTGTCGACCTCTCCCACGGTGGCCTTCTGGTCCTTGTAGTTACGTGGGATGCGCATGGCCTTCTGCTCGCTGGGAATGTCGAGAGCATAGAGAAGTGGTCCTCGACTGATGGCTGCCGTATTGCCCGCTAGCCGCTCAACGATCACCCCTGCACCAAGGCTTACTTCAATCTCTGTCGTTGTATCAGCCTCAATGGAGACTCGGTGTAGCCGGACACTCTGCCGTCCGACGTTGGGGATAAAAGGCCTCGCGGAACCTGTAGAACTTCCTTGGCGGATGGTCGACGAGTCTGTAGCCCAATTAGGTACTCTAATATAGAAATCAAATGACTTGGTGGCTTCAATCCTGTACTTGAGCTCCAAGGGTGCGAAAGGATATGTTGTGTCGCATGTGATAGAACCGTATTCCGTCTTGATGCTGGCACTCATTAGGTAGGCATGCAAAACACCAGCGGTCAAGCCTGCTGCAGCATCTTGCGGGACTGGGAGGAAGATGTTCATGGCCAGCTTGGGAAACGCCGTTGGATGGTTGACAGTGCAGCACGGCTGTTCCTCCTGTTAGTCTGGTTCCGGAGAGAGTACTAGCTGGCGCTTTCAATGGAAGATTTCAACTTACAAACTCAGGTTCTAAGCCGAACACGTTGGCATAGCGGCACACATCGTAGAACGGCGTCTTCTCGCCTTCACCAACCTCAAACTCCTGCGCCCACGGCTGGTTGGTCTGTGTGACATACTGATGGCTGAACCAATCGTCGGAGACAGCTGCTGGTATGGCATTGAAAGCAGTCCTTTCTACGCGGTCTGCGAACTCGCCGTCGCCAAATAGGCGATGGAGATACGACAGCGAGAACATGAGTTCCACACCGGTACATAGCTCCGCACCGCGCTGAGAGGATAGACCTCCAATATACTCGTCGCTGGACAACGAGCCAAACACTGTTCCATGGAACTTGAAGGACAAAGATACCGCCTCATGGCATTTGGAGATCAACTCTTTAGACTGGTGCATACGATAGAGCTGAGCTGGATAGCGAATGCCTGTTTTGAATTGCGTTGCTTAGATAAGGTTCCTTCTGGGACAGATAACTGCTCACCTTGTGCCACATTCACTCCGTGCTGAAAGTTTGGTGCTTCACCTCTGACGGAGGGTTTTTGAGGGAACGTCTCCTCCGAGAAAAACACAGTCCAGTCCCGTCCGGCCTTGCGTGCGCCTTGCCATAAAAGTTCCATAATCTCCCAGATCGCCGGCCGGTCACTGCTCGCTTCTGGCTCCTCATACAACCATTGTAGATTGAGAGACAGCTCATGCGCTCGCGCCACTCCAAACCATTGCAGGTCGTAGACGTCTCCAGGGCCAGGCAAGTAACCGGACAGCTGGTCTTTGAGCATGCTATGGACGAGCCGGGAGAAACGAAGCATGGCTTGAACTATTTCAGTTCGACGATGCGGCTGCGCTTGTGCATGATTGATCATGCCCTGCAGCAGCAGGCATCGACCCCAGATGCCTCGTGTCTCTCGCGTGCGCTCCGGTCCCAGCCATCCATCGGACGCTTGGTGCTCGAGAACGTAGCCGATGAAATGATCGGCCTGCTTTTGCAACCGCGAGGCCAGCCCCTCGTCCTGCACCGTATACGCCAGAGGCACAATGTAATTGTACCAGTACGGCGCGGCTTCGTTCAGAGGCGTGTATTCATGCGTTCCGCCGAGCCAGGTACTTCCATGGACGAAGCGGTAGAACTCGAACAAGTGGCCTGCCAGTCCCTCTCCAGATGTGTTCAGCTCATGCGCAAGCCAGCCGGTGGGCGTAATAGTTCCTAGAGGAAAGGACTCATATGTGAAGGGAGCCAAGGATGCAGACTCCTGCCGGTCCAGGTAGGTGGCCATCTTAAGCAAAAGAAATGTTGGTCCAATGGTGGTCTTGAGGACTCATCGCAGGCAGAGTAGTTCTTCTAGTATAGTCACCCATCGGGCGCGTCTTCCGGCTTGCAAGTGCATTACGCGGATGAGCTGGCCGCTTGTGGAGCAGGGGGCTTCATCTTCACGTGCTCGTATGTCTCGACCCACGCAGCCATCTTATCTTCAATGTTGCTTGTGTGTCGTTGTCGAAGTACACCTCCCATCTCCTACTCCTGGTTCGTCTTGTCTCTTTCGGGCTCTTTCGGGCCGAGAATGTCCGAGATGAACCTCACCTCAGTTCACCCTTCTACTCCCCCTCCATTTCAACCCAAGACGATCTGAATGCCCAAAAGGTCAGCGCGCCTGCGAACAGCATCCATACTGTCGGAGTCTCTCCAATCTCTGGGCTGTCTCAATGATGGGTTTCCCTTTCGGAACGGCCTTCGGGCTTCAGGGGGTTAGGTTTGTCAGCGGTGCCGTCGGAATACAAACCTCGAAGCGTCCGGTTGTAGCGCTTCCGACACATCGTCCGTATTGACCATCTCCAGCGTGTTCCATGTATTGAACAGTGAGATGCCCGGGCCTCGCAAAGTGAGTCCCCCTCAGCGCTCTGGGGTTGGCCTCGTGACCCATACTGACTTGCCGTACTAGTCATGTGAGCGCTGCCGTTTGCGCAAGGCCAAATGTGTGTGGCCGGAGAACTCGACTACGAGCTGCACTCGATGTCAACAAGACGATGAGCCATGCCAGCTGCCTCCCCGCCATGCTCACTCTTCGTCCAGGCGAGAGGCCAATGCATCAGTCACGAACAGCTCAGTACTCATGTCAGTACTCAAAGAGAGCCGTGCTGCCACCGTCGATAATGCCACCGGTGGTGGTCTAGCTTCCGCGACGTTCGACCAGCGACTTCGCCGGCTGGAGGATGGCATTCTGAGGCTTGCAGATGCCTCATCCATTCCGGCAAACCGGACAGACCATGGCAGTGGCATTGACGAAGCTACGCGGCCAGGGCGTATGGCCTCGCGTGGCATAGAAATGCCAGGACTGGATCCTCCGCATGTTGAAGCGCATCGGATCTATTCACTGAAAGCAAACCGCTCCAAGTATGGCGGATCTCATGCAGGAAGTCGGACGTTGTCCACGTTCGGACTCAGTCCTGTGCCGGACGTGCAACCAGTGGCGACTCATCCCGTGGCAATAGACACCTCGCACCTCCCCACAGGCAAACCATTGCCGCGCTGTTACCTCCCGGCCACCGATGAAGGTGTCTCCCTCTTGACAGAGTTCTTACACGATTTCAACAGCAAGATCCCGCTGCTCTCGCCCATGATCATCGTTAATCATGTCAAGGACTGCTATTCCGGCGCTGCGGACAAGCTTCCAGAATCTTGGGTTCTCACTTACATTACATTTGGCATCGCACACCGCATGCGGGCAACGAGCATGTTTGGCTCATCTGAGGATTCGGCAATGGCGGACTTCTATATGAACAAGTGCCTCTGGAAGCTCGCAGACCTACTGCTCGGTGAACCAACCTTGCAACTCGTACAATGCCTTCTCGGCGTTGCAATCTTGTTGCAGACGTCGGACAGGTCTCAGCGTGCAGCCTCGTTCGCTTCCATTGCAATGCGCATGGTTCAAGATCTTGCGTACAATGACGAGTCTTCCGCCGCAGATGAAGATAGAGATCAATGCAGGACGAAACGATACACATTCTGGATTGCTTTCTTCCTGGACACTGACTTGGCTTTTGCAAAGATGCGACCTTCTTCGCAAAGACTCGCAGACATCAGAACTCCGTTGCCAAACACGCACGATCAAGACTGGTGGGGACTAGCATCCTCTTCGGATACAGGGGGTGATTGGAGCATCAACGTTTTCTCTCTCCACGCCAGTCTTGCACTTATCCAGGCCGAGATGCTTGAAGAGGTGTTCTCGGTGAAGGCCCGCCAACGAACATCGAGTCAGACGTTTTCGGCGTATCGGGCAGTTGTATCGAAGTTGGCGGCGTGGCGACGAAGTAACGTACTGCCCAGCTTGGATGCCACAGAGCTGTCGCAAAGCACGTATCGCTCCGATATGGTGCATCTCGTCGTCCTCGAGGCAATGTACTTTCGCACCCTCTTCCACCTCCACGCATCGCATACTCTGGGTAACTTCACCACAAGTATAGACGTGCTGTCGACTGAGGCGCTTCATAGCCTATCACTGACTGGTCTGCCGGCCTGCGTAGAGGATGCTCAACGATTTCTTGCGCTGGTCGGCTTGATACCTGACAGCGTTACCCCGCTCACTTGGTAAGTCTCTCTTGGAGAATTTCTGCTGCTGATCCGAGACTGAGATAGTGTGCTGCGCCAGGATAACCACTCGAGCAACTCTGGCCGCACTCTTTACGGTCTTGAGCTTCGGCGTCCGCTCACTTGCCACTGAAGGAGGGCTCCTCATATCCTCAGCCGACGCATCATCTTACATGGCTATTCTCAGCGCGCTGGAGTCTGCAGCTGAGCAATCGAATGACGTTGGCCTGGCCAGATCAACTGAGCATTGCCGTCGGGTGTACATGCAAGGGGGGATCAGTTGAACATCGGAGCGGACGGGAAATTTTTGCTCATCACGTCTGCAACGAGTCTACGTTGCTTTCCGTTTCGGAACCTGGTCCCACCTGTATACGAACATTCGAACCACTTCATCGATCTGTATTGATGGTCTTAAGTCTTTAATTTCCTATCGTGAGAGAATACTGGTGAGCCTCTGTTCTGCGATAAAGACACCTGACTGAGCATCAACCGCGGCAGAACATCGTATGTCAATGGGCTCATATCCTCAAGCCCTCGACGGGGACACAGGAAAGCCTAGATCAGCTCATGCGCGGCGCCGGATAGTGGTTCTTGGTCATCGCCGTCGGGATGATCTAAGCATAACTGTTTGGGTGTTATGATGAGGAAGATCAGGTTCCCATGACATGACCGGAACTCCGTCTTTGCTGACGGTAAAGAGATCAGGACTGCACCCAGTCGTTGGCCGGCGACGGAATATTAACAATCGATAGTCTCCTCTCGCGACAGAACCAGACATATAAATCACGCCTTCATCGCACCTCACCACCAGCCATTGAGCTTGCCTTTCACCAAGATACTCTCACATCGTCTCTAAAGAACTTTGCTTGAGCTTCATCATGTCCTACGACAGGAGCGATCAGGCTTTGGCCTATACGGTGCCGTTTCAACTGACCAAGAAAATCCACCGGAGCGTCCCTGACGCCCTTCAACCAGAAACGAAAGAGGCCCAAGCTGCAGCACAAGGAAAGATCGTTGTCATCACGGGAGGCGGCACCGGCATTGGAGCGGTATGGCCAGTCATCGCCGTCCTCTCTTTTATTTTCTAACATGATTTTAGGCATCTGCGAAGGTATGGGTCCGCGCAGGTGCAGCAGGAGTCGTCATCGCTGGCCGCCGGCAGGAGAAGCTCGACGAGACGGTTTGTGAGCTGGAGAAGCTCAAGAAGACCGACACCATCATCTTCGGTGTCTCTACCGATGTGAAGCTGGAAGCCAGCGTGGACAATCTGTTCAAGCAGGTGAACAAGCGGTTCAACCGGCCCGCCGATGTCGTGTTCGCCAACGCTGGAGTCGTTACGGACCCGAAGCCATTGACTGAGGAGACGGTAGAGCGGTGGTGGAACGTTTACGTACGCACGCCGTGAATTCAGCAATATCTGATCGACCACGTGCTAACGCCAACAAGGAGATCAACGTCCTCGGCGCTCACAACACAGTTCGCAGCTGGATCAACAGCCAGCCAGATCCGAGTAAGCCCGTCGGGACAATCATAAACGTCAACACCGGCCTCGCCGGCTTCATCGCACCTGGCATGTCCGCCTACTCGACTTCCAAGCTCGCCGCGCACCGCTACATGGAGTACGTCGCTGCCGGTACGTCTCTCCCAACCCTCTGTCCAGCTCCGCAGAAGAAATTACCGCCGACTAACAGATGCCATGTTCAGAGTTCCCAAGTCTCCGCACTTTCACCCTTCTCCCCGGCATCGTGGCCACGGACATGGCTACAGAAGCCACCGACTTCGCGCCGTATGCAAAGGATGAAGGTGAGCAGACGGGCGCGTTGGGGCTCTATCTAGCGTCGTCGCGTGGCGACTGGCTGAACGGGTCTTTGACTAGCGTCAACTGGGACCTGGAGGAGATGGAGGCGCACAAGGACAAGATCGCAGACGGGATGTTGAAGATCAAATGGGTGCCTGTGTTGCCGTGCTCTGGCGGCGAAGGCATTTAGGGCTGGCGAGGCATGCCTGGGTTTGTAATGTGTGAAGTCTGTAGACCGTTGAAGATACGCTCGTTCCACCTCTAAAGCGGGCTCTCGTTGCGTTGTAGGGCATTGTATTTGCCCCTGGAGCAGGACAAAGACTGCCTACCTTCGTACAACAAACCACGTTTGAATGCATGGAGTTGGGTTCTCGTGCGTACTCAAGCCCTTCACAGGGCAGCAAGATGTGTTTCCTGAAAGCTCATCACGCAACACTCCCTCCCCCCAGATCCACTGCATCAACCCCACCGTCTCTCCGCCTCGTAAGGAGGAACAACACTCCCTGCACGGCCCCAAACTCCAAATCATCCACCGCCGCCCAGCCCACAAGTTCATACCACGTCCTGAAATAAGGCCAAAAAAGCCTCGAGATCCGAATCCTGTACGGTATCGTCATCCTGAAACCCCAACTAACCGCAACCGCTGTAAAGACCACGGCCTGGCATCGCAGTCCCTCTACGCTCAGTGCACCGAGTGCAGGGCGGGATACTGACGCGTACGCTTGCGCGAACAATGACAAAAAGCCAAGACAGGAGATTAAATGGTTAAGGTAAAGCGTGTGTCCGGCCCAGTACCAAGCAGCGGCCCAGGTACGGTCGTTGAAAGCGTCAGTGTCCGGGCCTTCCGCTGGTAAGATGGCTTCTATGATGAGTGGCGGAATGTGCAGGGTGAGGTGGCCGAGGTAGATGAGTGCAGCGGCTGCCGTGGACCATGCGGTCTGCGGGAGGAGATAGAGGAGGTACAGGAAACTGTTAGGAAGGTAAGAGGCCGTTATCGAAGTTATTGAGGAGACGGCATACAGTGTGAAATGTCCAAGCCAGACGGCGGCGAATTGGGTGAGGTTCAGGTAGTCTCCGAACGAGGGCGGGTCGTTGATCATGCCTGCCGGAGCTCCTTTGTATTGGAATGAGATCATGTGGATGTAAAGACCGAGCTGTTGAGTTGCGACGATCAGGTTGATGAGCACGTAGGTTAGAGAGATGCCCTCGGTGTCCTGGCGTGCTCTGATGAGGTGTAACTGAGGCCAGAAAGACATCAGCGTGAGGAGTATGAGCAGTCTAAGAATGTTAGCTGTCAATCGCTGGTCTAAGGCTGGTTCATGGCGGACAGTTTAATCGCAGAACCACGTGCAGTCATGGCTGGTGACCCTTCGTTGGAGTTGGATTGCGGCTCGACTGTCGGTCAAAGACTAAGCTAGGCACGGTTTGTTCCTTCTCTGCTCTTCGATCGAATATAGTTGTTCATGGAGCAAGTGGACGAGTGAGGCACAGCAAGAGCTTGGGTAGCAAGGCCTTGGCATCATAAGGTACTTCTAGATGTTAGGCCGTAGATCATCATTCAGGCCGTGAGCCCACGGCAGTAAGATGTTTGTGAGAATTCCCATATCAACTCGGACCGGAAGCTGGTGCTCTCAGCTGTCGAGGTCAACTCTGAGACTTCATTCCAGCTTCGCAACAGTCTCTCTTGGCGACCATTTGATCGGTCTACCTCCAGTGACCGTGGTGTAACGTAGTAACCAGCTACTCGGCCGGACACGGTGGGCCATTGGAGGACCATTGGTAATTGAAAGACCGTCACCCATGAGCTCGCGGTCAGGAGGCGGCTGAGGTTCGGCTATCCTCTGATGAAGACCTCTTCAACCGATGTCCATAGCATCCGGGTCGTCCTCCAGCTCCTGGTTCGGAACATATCCAGCACCATACCCATGCGCCGTCTCCGCGCCACCGTCTTGACCACTCCAATCATACTTCCTCTCCATATCCGCATACCTCGCCTCCTCCGCCGCCTTCTCCCTCGCCCGCTGTCGCGACTCAATAATCGCCTTTCTCACGGAGTCATGACCCTCGTCCACGGTCAGCGACTTGGGCACACTATACAGCACCAGCTCCTGGCCCTCGTAGTCATCTTCGCGACCGCCTAAGACCTGTCGCGGGAGCTTGCTGAGCTTCTTCTCAATGTCGGGGAGGTAGATGAGTTTCTCCTCGTCGGACTCGATGTCCGCTAGTTCGGCGTCGAGATCGTGGATGTAGACTCGATCGCGTGTGTCGTCTACTTGCATCGTGTCGTTCTCGGGAGATTGGGACACGTGATTGGCATTTGAAGATGCTCCATTGGGAGTGGTCGTGGTGGGGGAGTGGGAGATGGGGGTGTAGAGGTTGCTCTTGCCATTGTTATTCTTGCCGGAGTTGCCTGTGTCAAATATCAGCTTCTCATGCACATGATACAGCCAAGTGAATGCCGACTCACGTAGACTGAGCAAACGCAATCTCTTCTCAAACCTCTCGAAGTCGGACAAGTTTGAGTCACTGGCACCGCGCTTGGTCCCGCGCAGACCCATCTCCGCCGCTCTCACCCCTCCTCCTCCATTGACCGCGACTGAACTGTCTGCCGCCATCCTGCATACCGCATATGCGCCTTTCCGCTCCTTTGCAAACGAAAAGATAGAAGACGGCTCGAGGTGTGACTTGATCCCGCGCGGCTGACGAGTGGAAGCTTCCACGGGTCGTGCATGCAGACGTCGAAGTTCTGGAGAAGCCTCTCGAAACGCACAAGACCTTTCTGGACAACTACATCTTTGCGACCACTGCACGCCAGAATGGCCTCCACGACGGGCCAGGAGCCCGAGTGGGTGAGTTAGCATCCACGTCAAGCTTCATAATATGTCACATGCTAATCTTGATTGCAGACGGCGTCGAAGGTCCGCTCTACTTTCATTGAGTAAGTCGAAAGAACAGATTTTCACATACTTCGACGCGCAATGTCCGGGCTATGGACGACAACTGTCGCTACGGGAGCTTGCGCCTGATTGTCTTCCAAGAAGCCATTCTAACTTATTACAGCTACTTCAAGAAAAATGGCCACACGGCGGTACCCAGCTCATCAGTGGTGCCCCTGGCGGACCCAACACTCCTCTTCACCAATGCTGGCATGAACCAGTTCAAATCGATCTTCCTAGGAACAGTCGACCCATCCTCGGACTTCGCAAAGCTCAAGCGTGCCGTGGACTCACAGAAGTGCATTCGTGCGGGTGGCAAGCACAATGACCTGGACGATGTCGGCAAAGACAGTTACCATCACACCTTCTTTGAGATGTTGGGCAACTGGTCATTCGGCGACTACTTCAAGAAGGAAGCCATTGGCTTTTCATGGGAGCTGCTGACCAAGGTCTACGGACTGGACCCTGACCGGCTGTACGTGACCTACTTCGAAGGCAAGCCGGACGCTGGACTAGAGCCGGACAACGAAGCCAAGCAATACTGGAAGGACGTCGGTGTTGCGGACGACCACATCTTGACCGGCGATATGAAGGACAACTTCTGGGAGATGGGTGATCAGGGCCCTTGCGGACCTTGTTCGGAGATTCACTTCGATCGCATTGGTGGGCGAAATGCTGCGCATCTGGTGAACCAAGACGACCCGAACGTGCTTGAGATCTGGAACAACGTGTTCATCCAGTACAACCGCGAGCCGGACAGCTCTTTGAAGTCGTTACCAAACAAGCACGTAGACACTGGCATGGGTTTTGAGCGGTTAGTCTCCGTTCTGCAGAACAAGATGTCGAATTATGACACAGACGTCTTCACACCAATATTCGCTGCTATCCAGGAACTCACAGGTGCACGAGAGTACCGCGGCAAGTTCGGCGACGAGGATCCGGATGGTATCGATACCGCATACAGAGTCGTCGCAGACCATGTACGCTTGCTCACCTTTGCGATCTCCGATGGGGGTGTCCCGGATGCCGTTGGCCGTGGCTACGTTGTGCGTCGTGTGCTACGGCGTGGAGTACGCTACGCTCGCAAGTACTTCAATGTCGAGATTGGCGAGTTCTTCGCCAAGCTGCTCCCTACTCTAACCGCGCAGATGGGCGACATGTTCCCTGAAATCAAGGCCAGGCAGTCTGATGTGTCGGAAATTCTGAAGGAGGAGGAAATCAGCTTCGCGAAGACACTGGACCGTGGCGAGGCGATGTTTGAGAAGTATGCGCAGAAGTGTAAGCTGCAAGATACGAAAGACCTTGCTGGCGCGGACGTGTGGCGATTGTATGACACGTACGGCTTCCCGGTCGATCTCACACGCCTGATGGCTGAGGAGCGTGGTTTGACGATCGACGATGAAGAGGTCGAGAAAGCACAGCTCAAGGCTAGGCTTGCATCGAAGGGTGAGAAGAAGGCCGGCGCTGACCTCGTCAAGCTCAATGTGCACGACATCAGTGCGCTGGAGAAGATGGCTGACGTCCCGAAGACGGACGACTCACCAAAGTTCCAGCGGGACAACATCCACGCCACCGTCAAAGCGATCTACCACAGCGGCAAGTTCGTCGACACCACAGAAGAGGTGCCAGAAGGCGAGCAATTCGGCCTCATCCTGGACCGCACAAACTTCTACGCTGAGCAAGGTGGTCAAGAGTTTGACACCGGCCGGATTGTCATCGATGGCGAAGCAGAGATCAGCGTGCACAACGTCCAAGTCTACGCCGGCTACGTGATGCACACCGGCTACATGAACTACGGCCACTTCAAGCTCGGCAACGAAGTCCTCTGCGACTACGACGAGCTTCGCCGCCAACCCATCCGCCACAACCACACCGGCACCCACATCCTCAACTTCGCCCTCCGCGAAGTGCTCGGCGAAGACGTCAACCAGAAGGGCTCCCTCGTCGCTCCCGAAAAGCTGCGTTTCGACTTCAGCCACAAGAGCGGCTGCTCCGACACCGAGATCGCCAAGATCGAAGAACTCACCACCAGCTACATCCGCCAGAACAGCGAAGTCTACGCCACCGACGTCCCGCTCGCCACGGCACGCAACATCGAAGGCGTCCGCGCCGTCTTCGGCGAAACCTACCCCGACCCCGTGCGCGTCGTCAGCATCGGCGTCCCGGTGGAAGAACTGCTCGAAGACGTCAAGAACCCGCAATGGCGCTCCGTCTCTGTTGAGTTCTGCGGTGGTACGCACGTGAAGAACACGTCAGAGATCAAGGACCTGATCGTGCTGGAGGAGAACGGCATCGCGAAGGGTATCCGTCGTATCGTCGCTGTCACTGGCGCTTTGGCGCATGAAGTCCAGCGCGAAGCGGAGGAATGGAACACCCGCATCGCCGAGCTCGAACGCATGCCCTACTCCGCGGAGAAAGAGGCCAGGACGAAAGAGCAGCAGCACGAACTTGGACGGATCGAGATCTCGCTACTGTCAAAGTCGAAGCTCCGCGACCGCTTCGCTGCGGTCGTGAAAGCAAACCTCGACCAGCAGAAATCCGCGCAAAAAGCCGAAAACAAACGGGTCTTGGACGTAGTGACCCAGCATTTCGAAAAGGACAAAGAGAACAGCACCCTCGTCCTCTCCGTCCCCGTGTCCGCGGGCTCGAAGGCGATTCAAGAGACGATCAAAGTCGTCGGGTCGAAGCAGAAGGATAAGACGGTGTATCTCCTCGGTAAGGCGGAGGATGGGAAGGTCTTGCACGGATGTCACGTTTCCAGCGATGCGCAGGGTAAGGGCGCGGATGCGAGTAAGTGGGCGAATGAAGTAGCGGGTCTGGTTGGAGGCAAGGCGGGTGGCAAGGGGCCGACGAGTTTGGGTCAGGGGACTGAGGCGGGCAAGGTGGATGAGGCGGTGGAGGTGGCGCGGAAGTATTTGGAGGGGTTGGGGCTTTGAGGCTGTGCGGTAGTGGAAGTGGATGATGGGCGCAGTGAGAAGGTGGGGAGTTTAGCTGATGCCCGGAGGCTCTACAAGCGTGTTTGCAATCGGACGTCAGCTCGTATCACATCGCTATTCCACTAGAGCTCCAGTTCATATCTCCCAGATCAAACCCCCCACCATCCGCCATCAAAAAGTCCCAGCCCTCGAATAACTTCGTATCCATGCCCAAATCCCCCATCTCACCCACGCCACCATCGTCGCCTTGAGACGGCCCCTGCACGCCCAGCTTACCCTCCAGCACCGAAATCCCCACATCCATCGCCTCCTCTGCCCTCTTTACTAATAGAGCCCCCATCTCCGCCCCGTTCAACCCACGCGCTAACCCCTCAATATGCGCCGCGAACAAGTAGATCAACAAATACCCCCTCACACTCGGCTCCCCCGCCTCTATCGTGCGGAGGTGCCATGCTTTCGCCTCCTCGAGCAACGCCGAAAGGTCACGGCGTAGCGGTACAGGACCGAGCGATTGCTCTTCTTTCAACCGTGCTCGAGCGTCGAGGGCGAGGAGGAGGGAGGACTGTTGTACTGCGATGCGGAAGTAGCCGGATGTGGTGATGGCGAGGTGGGAGAGGGTGGTGGAGGGGGTAGTGGTTACGGACCAGAGCTTTGATGCGGTTTCGAGGACGGTGTTGCGGGAGTAGGCGTAAGTTTTGTCTTGTGCGTCCGCGCTGGAGAAGGGGAGGTGTAGGGCTAGAAGGTGGCGGGAGAGAATTAGGTCGATGGTTTGGAGTTGGAAGTCGTTTGGTGAGGGCCCGGTAGAGGGGTTGTATTGCTGGAAGGTTTGGCGGAGAACTTTGTAGGCTTCCTTGTACTCTGCGTCTAGGCGGAGAGCTTCTTCGGATGTGTTGCTAGAGCGGAGGTCGTTGAGGAATTTGGTCATCTTTAGGCGGAGTGGGAAGGTGTGACGTAAGGCAATGGCTATAGAGGTATCGGAGAATGCTTCTGCTGGCGTCGGGGTAGGACTATCCTGGTTGAGCTGCTCATCGTCAAAATTGGCAGGAGCAGCGGTGTCGAAGTCGTCAAGCGATATCGATGGCGGTCCACCGGACATGAAGCTCGAACGCAACGACAGCTCCAGAATCGTGTTCCAGAGCCTCCGCTTCATCTCTGCCTGAAAAGGAGTAGTCTTGGGCAGTCTCGTCGGATCTCTGTGCAGACCCATATACATCGCCGTTCTCTGCAATGTTCCCACGGTTGTCCAGATGAACTGTTCCCCGATGCCAGTGACTTCGCGAGCAAGAAGGGCCAAAATGTTAATCTGAAGGTACTGGATGCCCAATTTAGACTTCATGGATGGGTTTGCGAGCCATGTCTGTGCCTCGTACACCCACCGAATAGCGGAGGTACGTAGGGAGAAATTCTCGTCGTAGGTAGCTGAGCCGATGGCAAGCACGAGCTTCAGCGGAACCATGAACCCCTCGCTTGGCCGCTCATTTGAGGTCCACAAGGCTTCGTAGTCGGTCCTGAACGTTGGCACATGAAGCACTCTATAGATGCTCTCGTACGTGCCGAGATAACAGCGGATCAACGCATCTGAGACATCCCTCGAAGGCAGGTCCATGGTAAGCGAAGTGGGCCATTCTGGAGTATAGCCGGCCTTGATCTGCCTCGCAAGACTCTTGCATCTGTGGACTTTGACGAGCAGATCAGATCTCCCGCCTTTGAAGTGCGGCTCAAGCAGCTCGAAGAGGTCTTGACAACCCTGAACGCGATGCTCAGCTGGAGATAACTTGAAGGAATTGAATCATTCTGCAGCCTCACCACGATGCTATTCAACCAATGACTCTGCCCAAACAACCTAGTCTTATGCCACACACTCCTTGACGCCCCGCTCGGCCTCCCTTTCCCTTGTTCGGAACGAATCGCATGAAACTCGCCACTCAAAGAGGACCTCGTCATGTTGATTGCCGGCTGATCCTGTTCTCCAAGCTCAGTACTCCGTAGATACTCATCCAAGTGCCTAATAGTATTCTGCGTCACGTCGTCCTGGTGAGACGCTGGGCTAGGGTAGGCAGAACTCGTTGAGCCCGCAGGATGTGGACCGGCACCAGAGTACTGCCGTGTTGCTGCATCGTGTCGTCCATCAAGACCGTCGGTTCTCCCTGCTCTGATAGGGACCGGACTGCCAGCCGACCTAATACGATCGCAGGGGAATCGTTCAAATACACACTCGACTTGTGCTTTGGAGCAAGCGGCGCATGGGGACTCACGACTGCACTTGAGCTTTCGCTGGCGGCAGAAGGTGCATGAGCTGTATTTTGGTAGACGTCAGTCGGACCTTCCAAGAGGCAAGGGACTTTAGGATGTGGTGCCCCCGATTTCGTAGTGTTCCAGGTTGCTTGCTGGCGCTGATGAGGCCGAACGAGCGGAGATACAGCGCGAGGATTTTGACCGGCGAAAGCGAGGAGTGGTGACTTACAATGCGGGTCGCCGGCGACGGCGGACCTCCTTCTCGGACATACCCTGGAACGGATGGGGCCTTCAATGGCATAAAAAGGGTACAAGATAATCGTGAGTAGGAGAAAAGGTAGAAGTGGAAAATGCGACGGAGCTGAAAAGGCCGTATGCGGATCTAGGAAGGAGCTAAAGGATTCCCGGCAAGTACGACCGTAAGAACGATCAATAGTTATATTAAAACGCTGCATTTTGTTCGATTGTAGCCTTCCATTCTCCCTAGACTACATTGCAGCACTCAATCTCTTCACAACTTTCCTCCTTCTAATAGAAAGCCAAAGTCAAACAACAATGGCGGACACAACCGACCCTCGCCCATCGACCGACATCGAGAAACGATCCCCAGATCCCTCCTTGGTCGACAAAGCCCCCGACGGCGGTCTGAGAGCCTGGCTGGTAGCTTCAGGAGGGTTTTCGATCCTCTTCTGCGGCCTCGGGTTCGCCAACTCCTTCGGGACCTTTGAAGAATACTATGTCAACAATCAGCTCAAAGGCCATTCGCCGGATGATATTGCATGGATTGGATCCTTGGGTATATTTCTGCAGTTCGCTGTTGGGGCGTTTGCTGGACCGTTATTTGATCGATATGGCGCCTGGGTAAGTTCGGTTCCTATCCTCACACGGGAACGGAGTGTCGCTGATGTTCGTTCAGATGCTCCGGCCAACAGCAGTCGTCTACATCTTCTCCATGATGATGCTCAGTCTTTGCAAGACGTACTGGCAAATCATGTTGACCCAAGGCGTGCTGCAAGGTATCTGCTTGGGTCTGCTGATGTTCCCGGCCTTCGCGGCTGTGTCGCAGTACTTCGACAAGAAGCGTGCTGCTGCGCTGGGAATTGTGGTTGCCGGATCATCCGTCGGAGGCATCGTCATCCCTATCGCCCTGTCGAAGATGCTGAACAGCTCCAGACTCGGCTTCGGCTGGTCAGTACGGGTCATCGGCTTCATGATCTTACCACTGATGCTCTGGTCTTGTGTGGTAATCAAGGCACTTCTGCCTCCACGAAAGACCAACTTCTGGATCGCTTCAGCATACAAAGACATCAAGTTTGACATGCTCGTTGCAGCATCCTTCTTCATGTTCGTCGGCTTTTTCACGCCACTATTTTACCTCCCAACTCTGGCAGTCTCGAGGGGGATGAGCCCGACATTAGCTGGATACATGCTTGCCATTCTGAACGCTGCATCTACCTTCGGCCGGATCATCCCGGGCATACTGGCAGACAAGTATGGGCGGCTGAATATGTTCGCGTTGGGCGGCATCTCGACCGGCATCATCGTGTTCTGCTTCAGTTCCTTGACGAACAACGCAGGTGTGATCGTTTACGCGATCGTCTTTGGCTTCTTTTCGGGGACCATCATCTCTGGAGCATCCGCCGCCTTTACCACTTGTACGAAGGATCCGAGAGAGATTGGCACGGTAAGTAGGCGCTCGCCCTTGAGTCAAGGAGACTTTGGTTGATGAATCTTTCCAGTACATGGGCATGGGCCTGGCTTTTGCTTCGTTGGCCGCACTGATCGGTCCTCCAGTCAATGGCGTACTCCTTAGCAACTATGGGTTTATGCCACTAGCCATGTTCAGTGGTGCCATGTGTCTCATCGGAGGCCTCATCGCTGCTACTAGCAAGGCGGAATCGCCGGAAGGGATTTTTGGGCGTATCTAGCAGCCTTGAGATCGAGGCTTGTGATTGCACGTGGGAGGGATTTTGAGGATTGGCATCTGAAAGTGACGACGGACTTTATAGAATAAAGCTTGGCTCAACGCTAATTTAGTGGGGTCAAATCGATTTTTGCAACACGTCGTGTGCCCGCACTTCCACCCACGCACTCGATACATAGAACAGTCATTCATCCCCCCATGTCCACACGACGATTCATACACCATGGTCTCTCTCGCTTCCCCGAGAACGACCATGCCGCCGCCGGCAACCCCACCCGTTAAACGACCTACGCTCGGCGCACTCAAGCGCGATAGCTCATACCTCGATACCGACGACGAGGCCGGCCTCTCGTCGACCACGAAGAAGCTGAAAGTCACCTTTGATCCGAACGTGGATGTCCGGACTTTCGACGGCGCGGGGGACAAGAGTTTCGACCTGGTCAAGGAGGAGGTTTCCCAGGCGCTCGAGCGGCATCTGGGGGAGTCGCAGGACGATGAGCGGTACAACAAGCTGGTTCAGATGCTAGAGAAGGATGCAAGGTCTTCGGAAGCGCTGAGCCCAAGGTTGTTGAGGAAGTACCTGGTTGCGATCGATGCGAAGGTCAACCGCCTGAGGCGATGCGGTTCGCTGGTCTCTGCTGTGCTGGGCGTGCAGTGGGTGGGACGAGACGATGCTTTCGTGGAGACGTACACGAAGGTGCTGTGCGATCTGGCTTGCGCACATGGCAGATTTATCCCGAGCATTCTGGATAAGCTGGTCTCGCATTTCGTCAAGCTTCCCGCTTCTCTTGGACGACTGCCGGAGGAGACGCCTGTACCGAGGACGAGGATGTTTGCGAGGGCGCACATGCTTCTGAGAGCACTGATCCGCATCGTACCTTCCGCAAGTACTGCTCTGGTGCGGTCTATAAAGCTCGCATTTCCCACCGACCTGGAGACGACTCGATCCTACTTGCAGTATCAGAAGCATGTCTTGCGGGTGGCGGAAGAAATACCTGAGCTGAAGTCTGAACTTCTTGCGCTTGTTGCCCAGAAGCTGGTTAGCATTGATGTACAAGTACAGCAAGACATAGAAGATCTGGAGGAGGAAGCGGAAGAGAAGCTGTTACAACGGCCCAGCTCGAAAGATGGCAGCCAAGAGGAGTCGGATGATAGTGACATCAACTCTGTCTCCGAGTCTGAAGAAACGATCACAGAGGAGGAACAACGACTACGAGACCTGCGCCTCAAGGTCGCTAAGATGGATGGAACTATGGACCTACTCTTCGAATACTACACACCGCTGATCGAGTCGGACCCAAACCCTCGCTCCAATCCAGCCTTCTTGGAGCTCCAGGCGCACTTCGCTGCGTTCATCCTACCAAACCGCACACGCCACGCGCAGTTTCTCCTCTTCCATTACTCGCAGAACTCTCCAGCTCATACAGCCGCCTTCGTCCAGCAGTGCCTACAACTTACACTCAACAATAACGGCCCTTCCATCCACCGACTCACCGCCTGTGCATACCTCGCCAGCTTCACCGCCCGCGCCACCCACCTCTCTACCGGCGCTGTCCGAGACGTCTTCGTCATGCTCACCAACTACCTCAACGACCTCCGCCAACGCTACGAACCCACCTGCCGCGGCCCCGATCGAAGAAACTATAGCCTCTACTACGCCATCGCCCAAGCACTCCTCTACATTTTCTGCTTCCGCTGGCGCGACCTCGTCACCGGCTCTGCCAGCCCGGACTACGAAGACACCAGCGACTTGAGCGAAGAAGACGCGCTAGCCGAAGGCCACGACCTGCGCTGGCTCCCCGGGATCCAAGAATCACTGCGGCAAAACATGCACTCCAAGCTCAACCCGCTGAAAGTCTGCTCCCCATCCATCGTCGCGCAATTCGCGAAGATCGCGCACCACCTCCGCTTCGTGTACGTCTTCTCGCTCATCGAGATGAACAAACGCGTCCGGTTGGCGAATTCGACGAACTACTATGGATCTTCCGGGCTCTCGGAGATTGGGCGGAGGGAAACGGCTTTCGATCGCAAGACTGGGGAAGCGCATCATCAGCTCGAGGCGTATTTTCCGTTTGATCCGTATGTGCTGCCGAAGAGTAAGAGGTGGGTTGAGGGGGATTATAATGAGTGGAAGGTTCCGAGGGGCATGGGTGGGGATGACCAGCAGGATGAGGGGAGTGATAGTGGGAGCGAGAGCGAGGACGAGGAGGTTGATGAGGAGGAAAGTGAGGATGAGGAAGTTGAGTTGGGAGCTGTACAGCCGCAGCAGCCGGGAAGGATGGTCTCAGTATGAGAACGAGATGTATGCAGTAGTACTAAAGCCATACAATATCCATTATCCCTACATCACCCCGTTACACCTCGTCCTGCCCATTACTACTGCTACCACTACCCACTATACCCCAACGGATTCGACGCGCTCCCACCTCCGCCACTCCTAATCCCCTGCTGCGTCTTCCCCCCCGGCGCATTCGCCTTCCCACTCCCCATCCCCGCCATCCCCAGCGGATTCCCTGCCGTCGCGACGCGCGCCCCGCCCACGCCGACGGAGTCTTTGATGTCGTTGCCGTAGCCGCTGACGCCTTGGCCCCAGTAGCGCGTTTGGTCTGTGATTCTACACACCCCACTTCGTTAGCAAGACATCATTGTGAAGGGGTTATGAATGGATGGAGGACGTACTTATTCCCAATCCCCTCCCCGACCTTATTCACCCCGCTCCCGACGCCGTTCACCCACCCCCCCGCGTAATCGCCCACCCGCTGCACTTGCCCTTGCACCATGCGGCTGATCCAGTTGCCGGATTGCTGTCCTCCTTCATCAGAAGAAGGCGCTTGCGCTTTGGCCTGGGGTTGGGAGGCTTTCTGCAGCGCGTTGGCTGTCGAGCTCGATCGCGGGGCTGGGGCTTTGGAGGCTGCGGAAGTGGATTTGGGCGCCTGGGGTTTTACGGCGGGCGGGGCGGGTTTCTTCGCTGCTGTGTTGCTGGGGGGTTTGGCTTGCGGTTTTACGGGGGCCGGGGCGGGTTTTTTGGTGGCGGTGGTTTGCGGTTTGGTGGAGCTGGGGATGGGTTTCTTTGCGGGTGTGGATTGGGGTTTTGCTGGGGCTGGGGCGGGTTTCTTCGTTGGACGGGGGGGTTGGGTGGTTGTTTTGGTTGACATTGTTGCGGATTCGGGGGTTGTTTGAATCGATCGATTGGTTTGAAGGTGTAGATGAAGGTCCGGATATGAGCTCGAGATGGGGAGTTGTAGTGACAATATGTGGCTGAAGGGTGCTAAGAAGATGGAGAAGCTTCCAGCTGTGCCAACTTTCGTGTGATCGCGTTGCCCGTTTTCGTCCTGTGATCGACAGGGTAGGTCGACGTCACTGGGCGTTATCACCACGTGAGCGTTATCTTAGCGTCAGAAAGAGAGTGAACGGCGTTCTCCGTGTATGCCCGATGTTTTGGGTGACCACAGGAGAAGGTGTGGTGATGACTTGATGAGATGAACGACCTTTGAAGACAAATGAGACGCTGAATTTATCTTGCAGTTGCTGCCAGATGATAAGAAAGCCGGTCTTTCGAAATAAAGAGCTATTGCATGGCTTTTGAACATTCAGGAGGCGAATGTCCGAAGGGGGGAGGAGAGGAACACGAACGATGATACTTGCCCACCACGCACATGCAACGAACAGATGAGAGAAGATACTCACTTGAGGTTGGGTTGTTGGATGTGAAGGTCTAGAAACACTCAGGTAAGCTCATGACCGTCCAATATCACCTGCAATATCACCACGACACGATATAATCCTTCTGTTCGTGGTGATGTCGCCTTTCAATGGTCAGCACCGTGCTAATGGACACGGCAGAACAATCAGCGGCGGCGGCTGCGGCTGCAAGAGGTACGTTCAATCAGGCGCAAGCCATTTTCCTTTCTTCCTTCAGAGGCACGGCAGGCGGGTGGGCGGTGGATGGCAGACGGTCAGGCGGACAGATGACGGGTGAAGGTCGAGGGCATTGCGTGTGGCGTCTGTGGGTGCCATGGCAAGGAGGTAGTCAGGTTGACAGCCCAGGAATTGGCAAATGCCGGAAGCAGTGCTTTCGGCGTGAAGAACGCTGGCGTCGATGAGCATGAAACCTTCGGGTTGATGTTGTGGTATTCGATTCGAGTACACGGTGCTCTCTGGGAAGACAGCTAGTGAGGTGCTGCTGCACGTCATGAAGAAGGCTCCGCGCAAGGCAAGAGCGAAGGGAGATGACCATCCCCATTGGCTGGCGGTGGTGGCGGGAGCAGCCGCATAACAAGAACATGACACGGTATGAGCATCTTCAGCGTCACCGACTGACAACTTCACAGAGATCCAGGAGTGCATCGACCACTTCTACGACGACAACGAGCCCGGCACCATGGATCCCACACGGCTGGCCCCCGAGTCCATCGACCATGAGAAGAAGCAAAAGGCCGTCCAAGATGCCCGAGACATGTACCAGTACATCGTCCAGAACTGCGAACGGGCCAACTCTCCTGTGCCAGCTTTCGACTTTATCGAGCTCATCGGCAAGGGCGCGTCTGGGCGAGTCTACAAATGCAGAGACCGGAGGACCAACTCCCTGGTGGCCATCAAGATCGTCAACACCGATGATGTCGACTACACCAACAACACCCTCGACAAAGATGACACCATCCGAGACTTCATCAAAGAAGTCAACACTCTGCAGCAGCTCAAGGATGCCCGAGCCAAGAACATCAACATGATCCGAGAAGCATTCGATCTTCAGACACAGCTGTGGATCGTCTGCGACTACTGCACTGGAGGTAGCGTTCGCACGCTGATGCGAGCACAACCTCCTTCCAAACCAGGACTGGAAGAAAAGTTCATCATTCCAATTGCTCGAGAGCTCGCTCTGGCCATCAAGAACGTTCATGACATCGGCGTCATTCATCGCGACATTAAAGCGACCAACGTCTATGTGACTGAAAGTGGTGAGATCCAACTTGGTGACTTTGGTATCGTTGGAGTGCTCGAGGACGAAGGCAATAAGCGTCGCACTATCATCGGGACACCCCACTACATGCCTCTCGAGATGCTACCGCCGGACTCCAGCTTCGAAGGAAACCAGGCTCCGCAGGCGTACGGCAGAGAGGTAGATGTCTGGTCATATGGCTGCACCATCTTCGAGATTGCCACAGGAGTGCCGCCAAACTCCAGGACTCATCCCGAATTGCTGACGACAGTTCTCGATCGCGCCCCTCGTCTGGAAGGTGGCGACTACCCGCAAGAGCTACGCGACTTCGTTGCGTTCCTTCTTCAAAGCAACCCCGAAGAGCGGCCCACCGCAGACGAGATCGTCAAGCACCCTTATGTCGCTGGCACGCAGAAGAAGTATCCTACTGAAAGCTTGGTCGACCTCATCACCCGGTTCAAAAGCTGGGAGTATAGTGGTGGCTATCGCCAGTCACTGTTCATGGCTGGTGGTGCTCCACCGGTTCCTGGTAGCAGCGAAAGCCCTGTCACCCAAGGAGAAGAAGACTACGACGACTGGAACTTCAGCACGACCGACACTTTCAACGCAGACTTTGGCAGAAGATATAGCAGGATGATGGACCTGTCAGAGGACACCCCTGATCTCAGCCTTGACACTTCGGCGTCAACGAAACTGCCTCCAATACAGACGGAGAACTTGACACCTTTCGACAAGATGCAGCAAGAGATCAGTGCAGGGCGCGGGGAGCGCTCCCTCCAGCGGCTGTGGAATGCTGACACGAGTGAATACAAGTTGCATGATGCACTTGACGAGCAGGACGACCTTCCGTTGCGAAGAATGACAGCAGGAGCGCCGACACGCGAGAGCCAGGTCATCATCGATCTTGATGAAGTTGGCGATCTTGATGCAGCTGCTCCTACTCTGAGCTTCGACTTCGGTGACGTTCCCACTGTCAAGGCTGCGAGAGCCAGGAACTCGAGATATGAAAGCATGAATGAGGATGATGAGGAAACCGACTTTGAGCCGAGCTACACAGATGAAGACCGTGAGAGACGTGCTACAATGGAGTGGACGTTTCCGACGGCGAAGAGAGCCACCATGGACTGGACCTTTCCATCCCACGAGCCATACGAGCCAGAGAATCCAGTCGACCTGCAGATGAGCTTGCCGCCAATTGGGGACGCCGATGGAGAAATGGCACCAGGCTTTCGCCCACAACTCAAGCACACCGCAACCATGCCCATAGGCGACTTCAGCGACTTCCAAGACTTCGTGCACTCCCAGCACACCACCCCAGCCTCTGCCTCACCCATCCGCAACTCCACCGCCTCCATGATCGACCTCAACATGAGCTTCGTCGACGCCTCGGACATCCCTCCGCGCCCAGGCACCGCCACCTCCACCACCGGCTCGACCATGACCGACATGACCTCCGGCAACCCCTTCGACCTCGAAGAAGACCCAGCCCAAAAAGCCGAAGACCAAAAACGCTTCTCCCACCACAAACAATGGCAATCCGAAGGCGGCGGCCGTCGCACCTCGCACCGCCAAAGCCGCCGCAGCATCCCCATGCACGCCCGCGGCTCCAGCCTCAGCTCCAGCACCGACGACGACGACGCCTACACCTACCAGTACAACCGCTCCCTCTCCGCGCGCATGGGCCACCAGCTCAACGGCTCCGCCGACTCGAGCACGATCGACATGAACGCCTGGCCGTCCTTCGACTCCACGTCCGGTTTCTCTGAAGTCCCCGGGTATCACGACGAACTGGACGAAACGGCCCTCGCGCCGCGCACGATCGATTTCCCGCGTTCGGCTGCGCCAGCGCCGGGGGTGCTGGTGGAAGGGGCGGATTTGGCGTTGGTGGAGGCGGAGCTTGGGAGGTTGTTGGAGGATTTGGAGGTGGGGTTGGCGGATATAGGGGAGGCGTTGCAGGCGAGGGGGGAGGCGTTGGGGGGTGCGGAGGGGAGTGGGGATGAGAGTGAGTTTTAGGAGGATGTGTTAGAGGGAGGGAGGGAGGGTGTTTTGGGGCGTTCTGGGGGTTGGGGGGATGGGATACCCATGGGTTTTGTTAGGTGTCGTGATAGTGGTGGGGTTAGGTAGTTGGACGTGGGAGATGCTTGCAAGTGGTTCGACTGTGTCTTCTCTTCCTCCGTGAAGGATCTATGTTACTAGCTCAGGTGCTACACTGGCGGGGCCACAGTTGCAATGAGCAAAGGACAGAGCAGTCGCCTACAGTGACGTTGTTCCTCCGACGTCCGAACGAACGACTGTAGAGTAGATATCCCCAGCAGGCGTACATGTACGTCTACCTAAGTAAGGTAGCCAGCAGCTGGAAACCAGACCTGACCGACGAACCCGATAGGTAACGTACACGTACCCGTACCTTGGGAGGTGGAAGAAGCAAAACTCCAGTCAAAAGCCGTCAAGCCGTCAAAACAACAGAACGAGCAGCGCTAGAAATTCGTGGGTATCTCAAACACAACTCGAACACACCATAACGCTCCCGTCCTCTCGACTCTTGCCGTCCCGTCTTCTCAAGACCGACGTCAAGCCCGCTCTTTCTCCAAATTATCACCTCTGCCCTGCAAAGGAAGGCGAGCCCGCTCAAGTGCCAAATCGTCGGCCGTCAATGCAAGTAGCGCAGCCGTAAAGAACAAGACAGCCAGGCCGCAAGTCGCAGCAGCCCTTTCAATCCCCGTCGAACGCCTCGCAAAAAGCCACCAAAACAAACCAAAAGGGAACAAAAGGATGAATCAATCATTTCCGACTCCTGCCCCAAAGCGACCTTGCCCGCGCCCGGCCGGGGGTCTTGTCCTTCTCCTTCTCCTTCTCCTTGTCTTCTTTCTTCCCGCCTCCGTCCTTCGCAATCGACGATGCGATAGAGGATAGTGAAGCATCAACGTCCTTTTTAACCTTCTGTCCGGCGTCCTTGTCGTCCGCGGGGGAGGGCATGTATTTTTGTTTGTAGATCCTGCGTATCCCATTAGCAAACCACATCCCCACCCTTCACCAGAAAGTATAGTGATACATACCACGAATTCCCCGCCATCCCCATCCCCCCCTCCGCCGCCCGCCGATAAAGCCCGGCGGCCTTGCTCAAATCCTTCCGGACCCCGATCCCTTTCGCATGACAAAAACCCGCCTCTGCCAAGGCATCGACATCCCCCCAGCTGCCCGCGACTTCGTAACACTGCACCGCCAAAGGCCTGTCTTTGTCGCAGCCCCAGCCGTTCATATAACTTATCCCCAACTCGTAGATGGCGAGCGCGAACTGCGCTTTGCGCGTCTTCTTCTCCAGCACGTCGAGGCCGGGCAACAACGGGGTAGACGAGGATTCGAGGTCCGCGACCTGCAACCCCGAAGAGGAAATGGCGGCGCGCAGCCAGCGCACGCCTTCCGCCTGGTTCGGCCGCATGCCCCAGCCGTGGCGGCACGCGAGGGCGTAGAGCAGCATGCCCGTCGGACTGCCCTCGCGCGCGGCGATGCGGAGATGGTAGGTGGATTTGCTGAGTTCGCCTGCACTGTGAGTTTGGATTCCTATCTCGAGGTGTTCTTCGGCGGTCATTTCGGAGGAGGAGGGGGTGCGGGTGTGTGTCGAGACGCCCCCGGGACGGATGGTGCGATCGGTGGAGTCGGTGTTGGCGGTGCGGACGGAGGGGGTGGATTTGTGTACGGCGGTGGCTTTGGGTAGAGTGCGTGGTTCGGCGGAGCGGGAGCGTGTCGCGCTTGACGTTGCGCGGGTGCGGACGAGGCGTTCTTGGTGGGAGGGGAGGGTGCGTTCGGAGCCGGCTTGGGTGGAGGGGCGGAGGGGTGGGCGGGCGAGTGTGGGTGGCGGTTCTAGGATTTCGGATGAGGGTGAGGGTGAGGGCTCGGAGATGGGTGGTGTAAGCTCTGCCGGGGGAGGAGGAGCGAAGTGCTTGACAGGCGTTGTGTCGCGAGGTGATTGCTCCATCTGCGCTGGTTCCTCTGCCGGCGGCGTAGCAGCATCGTCCCAGGTAAACTGCTTCTGGATCCATGACTCCCTCGTCCCTCTTGAAGACCTCTCCACCTTCTTCCCCCGCGGCAGCGTAAACTTCGCATACGTATACGAAGTAGTCGGCCTCTCATCCCCGTTCTCATCAATAAACGCCCCCGGAATCTGAGGAGTCTGCCGTCCATCCTCCGCATCATCCCCTGAAGCCTGCCTCGAAGGCACACCAGAAGAAGGCTGCGTGCTCCCCGACATCTGCCTCAGCGGCATCTCGACCGACCGCTGCGTCTCAAAAGAGGACCGGCTGTCGTATGACGGCCTATGCTCCGGCTGCGGCCGCATACTACTACTGCTCAGCGGGCGCGAGAAGTTCATCCTCCGCTGCGATCCTGTCGCAGAAAACTCCGACGACATGCTAGGCGACCGCGGCAACGGCGGCATGTACGGCGAAAACGGCGACTGCGGTCTCGACATCCCACTGCTCCCCGAGAACTTCCGCGACGAAGAAACAGGATACGAGCTGTTCGTCGAGCCCTCCTCATCCCCACTATCCGGCGGCACAGAGCGTATACTCTGCATACTCCTCGGACTCTTCGGGTACGCCGGGCTCTTCGGCGGCGCCAAACTCCGCTGACTCCTCGTCGATCCGTTCGTCAGCGTCCTCGCCTGCGGCGCCGACTGGATCGAATCCACACTGCTCGTCAGGCTAGGTATATGCGTCGGCGTCGCCGCCTGCACATTGACCATCCTCCGATCCACGGGCTCCGGACTCATGGCGCGCGGAGCACCCAGGTTGAAGTACCCCTGCGTCTGCTGCGCTTTAGGAACCTGCTCCTGCGCATCGTAGAAAGGCGTAGCCTGCGCGTTAAAAAACGGCGTAGCACCCGTCTCCTCTTCCTCCTCAACCGACACCTCGCTGACCTGCGACATGCGACTCTCCTCCCTGCTCTCCCGTCCCGCATTGCCGAACATGGGATAATGGCTCATCGGCCTATCCTGCGCCTTGCCTCCTTGCACCACATTCCCCGTGTTCGTATTCCCCGTGGGACTCGTCTCCTCCGGCACATCCCCCAATTCCCCCTGCTCCCCAGGCGTCATCAATCCACGAAAATAATCCGGCCGACTGGCGAACTCCCTCGCAACGTCTGTAGCGGGTAATCTGCTAATGCGCCGGCCGTCTTCCGTGGGCATTTGAAAGCGCAGCTGCAGCTGGCGGGACTGGGCGGCGATGGCATCGAGGGGGGAGAGGGCGGGGGCTCGCTCGCCGGTTCGCGGGGAGGGGAGATCGAGGTGGAAGGGCGCTTTGGGGGGTAATGGGGGGTGGGAGAGGTCGTCGCTGGTGAGGGTGAGGTGGGTGGGTTTGCGTTTGGAGGCCATGGGTGTGGTCGTGGGTGGTGTTCATGCAGTGGTGTGATGTTTTCGTGGAGTCAATGGGTGTGGTTGCGTCCTTGAGTGAGATATCGCTGTTTGCTGATGTTTCTCCCCCTCCAACCGTCCAGTCCAATCAAGCAGCTGAACACCAATGTCCTCCTCGACAATAAATAACCCCCTCTTTCAACGAACGTATACCTCTCAAGATCAACACCGTCTCCAACACAGCAACCCTCCGTGGTCGTAGTCGTAGTCGTTGCAAAGCCTCCTCCAAACGTTGTACAGTAAAACGGTCTCCACCAAAACGCGCCTGCCCCAAGAATCCAAGAATACAAACCCAAAACCTCCAGGGGACAAGCGTCGCAGCTTCCGATTGGCCCTACCCAAATACAGGGGCCAGACGTTGCCAAGCCCCTTCTCTCACGAGCAATTGGATTTCTGCTGACAGTGCATTTTGACTGGTCGACGGCGATATTCGAATCAATTGCTGTATTCCGTTCGCCAGCGAATGGACTGTCCTATCCGTAACGTCTACGGCTTCGCTGATGGGCGCGGCCTGACGACAGCAGCTCGAGCCGAAGATTTACAGAGTGGGAATGAGGTGTTGGGTGCTGCTCGATATAGCTGCCACAACCCCCGGTCCTCCTCTAAACGCCCTGCTGCAGGGATCACCCTATCGCGATCGTCTCGAGATCGCGTGGAAGCCGGTGCCGGAGATTGGGGGGAAACTCGCCTGTTGTTGCCGTTCACGATGAACATTGGTGTATACAGTACAAGATAAATATCATTTGAGAGTGGGGATGGGGAGCACAGTCCGAACAGTCTCAATCGCTCCAGCCCGAAATGACAGCAGGCGAGCCGAGTTCAAGTACGTATATCTACACGAAAGTTTCCATCCATCGTTCCGGTATCGACGATTGAAGCCTCGAAGTCCCTTCCTTCATCCATGCCGCATGATAGTGAGCAATCTGAGCAGCGATTCGTGCCTTTCCCATATCCCTCCATTCCCGTTGCCATACCCATCATCCAGCCAAAATCGCACTTCCATGCCCTCGCTGAAACCCATGACCATCCCATCCCCGTCTCTGCGCCTGAGCCCTCATCTCCCGTCCCTACGCACCCCCCACAAAAGCCTCCCCGGGCAAATTCCCCTTAACATTCGCAAAAGCCTCCAACCCCTTCTGGAAATCCCACCCAACCTGCTCCAAACAGTCTTTCGCATACTGAATCGTCATATTCGTCTGCTTCTGCAGCTCCGCGACCATCTGCTCCGCCATCTCGATCGTGAGCCCCGCTGGTAATTGGGGGACCGCAGGGTCGGGAGTCGCGTCGGAAGTCCGTGCTGCTGTTGCGTTCGCGTTCCAGCCTTCGAAGTTGTCCGGGTCGTAAGACTGCGCTCCGCCGTAGGCGCGGAGAGTGAGGAGGTCGTTGACCACGCGGACGCCGGAGGGGCCGCCGGGGCCGATGATGAATGTCCGGTCGAAACTCCGCTTCTTCCCTGCTTGGCCGGTCGTGGCATCGAGTTCGTCGAATTCGCCGTGCACGGTGATCATGAAGCCGTCCACTCCCGATGCGCTCTGGCCGGTCGGATCTGGGACGCCAGGCTGGATGTGCGCTTCCACCATCCACTTGCGGGCCTCGGTCGCGAGATCTGGGTGCTTCGTCTTTGGTAGTGTTGCGAAGGCATCCGCCACCGCCTTCGGACCACGAAAGTGCCTGTTCTGCCGCGCCTGCGGCTGCGAAATCTTCTTAAGGTTCCTGCTGCTCTTGATATACTGGTCCCACTCCTGCTTCTCGGTCGCTTGTGTAGCTTCCGGGTCTCGTGGCGCTTGTGTGTTGACAGCAAACGAGAAATCGGACAGATTGTCGTAGTAGTGTGCCGCGAGTGCTGCGCGGTCGGTGTCGAAGCCGGCGAAGAAAGTGCGCACGAAGCCTTCGGCAATGCCACCTTCGTCCTGGAAGTTGGGTGTCCTGATCGGAAAGGGAAGGTCTGTGGGTGCCGCCTTTTGTGTAGCTTCCTCCTCGGTGCGAACTTGCACGTTGTTGAGAAAGCGAAGTGTGGGGTACCACTTGACCACCTCGGCGGGGTATTCTGGTTCGGCCTGCTCGAGTGGGTTGTTGGACAGGACGAGGTGCTGGAGCTGTGAGAACCTCTTACGCCAATTCTGTAGTGATGACAGGCCCTTGAAGTTGTTGCTGGACAGATCAAGGTTCTGGAGCTTCGGCAGGGTCTGCGAAAGGCTGGTGACGTCCGCAAGATCGATCAGGCCATTGTTGGCGAGAGAGACTCCGGTGACGGCGGCGTGACGCTCCGCCTCAGTGTCGAAGGAGAACTCGAGCACTCTCATTAGCGCCGGGAAGATCTTGCGTGTTGTGGAGTTCTTGTCGAAGACGTTGGCCTTGTTGAGCTCTTCGTCCTGGCCGAGTGCGCTGAGGTCCAGGACTTTCGTATCCGCGTTGTACCGCCGTTCAAGTACGCCTCGGAGCATCGCTTTGGTCTCCTCCGCCTGTGACTTCACCTCGACGCTCGAGTTCTTTGACCCTCCCAGTCGCTCGATGGTCACATTCGTCCCCGCCCACTCATACCCGTTCATGCGTATCAGGGCGCCCACATGCTCTGATGGCACACTGATGATTACCGCACTCCCCTCCTTGCGTGACTAGATACAAATTAGTTACTGACTCGGCATGCGATGCCGATCATTCCTTAAGCCATCACTAGCCATAAGCTTGAATCGCGGTCGTCGTTCTGAGATTGGCTGTAAACGAGGGCGGACCGGATGTGGCAGCGTGGAAGTGTATAGATCGGCGGGACTCGGCGAGGTATTGGCGACAACATACCTTCTTGACTTTCACGTCTCTTGTTCTGGAGCCCAGGCGGTGGCTGGCCTTCTTCTCGAGCCACCCAATGAGTGAGCTGACTCCGCCGTCTGCGTTTCCGGATGCCTTGCTCTTCTCCCAGCCTGTTATGCTGAGCTCGACCAGTCCTCCTCTTGAGTTTGTCGGCTTAGGCTCTCGCATGGAGACATCGCCCGCCGCAGCTTGCCGCAAGATTGCTCTGCGCGCGGTGCCGCTCAGCATGCCACCTCTTGCTTCGCCTCTCGAAGTCCGTGATGCCGGGTCTCTGCTGCTGCTCGGTGCTGATGAAGACTTTCCTATCCGCCCGCGGCCCTTCACCGCGATGTCCATCTTCAAATCCCCATCTCTGTCCGATCGTGCCCCGCCTCGTCGTCTCGATGCTGCCGGTCCGCGCGGTGCGTCTCGTGGGCTCTGGCTGCGCGCTGCCATGGTGGAGGCAGGCATGGTGATGGTAGGTAGTCGGTGAGTGAGGAGCAGGTGGTCGATGAGGAGGTGGTGGTGTTCGAGGGAGGTTCGGTGAAGTCGCGAAAGATTGGTGGGGTATTCGAGTGACGCCGGCGGTGGTTTGCTGGCGCTGGCGACGCAAGCGGTAATGACGGGTGTTTGCGGTGACGAGGTGTATCACCAGTTGTATGCTGTGTCGCAAGAGGAGGTCATGCGAAGAGGTCGGAAGGGTGTGATGTGCGATGGGTGAACAATGGCCGTGAGCTTCTATTGTCAAAGAGGCAGCCGCAAGGCCGCAGGTCTAGCGCGAACTTTATTCTATGGCTTGGCAGATTAGTCACGCTTCCTGCCTCAGTAAGTCCAGCAAGCAGATTCTCGACATCGTCCCCAGTGCTGAGGGAAGAGCACAAGACACAAGACATCCAGGATACATGTACATCGTCTAGACAATGCCATAGCTCTCGGTAACAATCTGTACGACGCCGTGACACGACGAGCGAGATGCTTGCTACAACGAAGACCATACAGCCACGTTTTGGATGGTTGAGACTCTATACATGGAGGGTGTATTCCTCAACCTTGTCTCATCCCAACTTCGTATTTCACAAACCGACATCCGTTGCGACCAGTCTTGCATGTGATGACCAGGCGGAGTTCACACGCAACTCCTCCGCAGTTTGCCCGCGGCCAAGGCAGGTGAGCAGCTCGCCGCTGGCCGGCTTGATAGGGCGGAGCAACATATATCTCATGATCGCTACGATATCGCTGCCTGTTCGCTGCTTCATATCTACTGCTGACTGTCCGAAGGTGAGAAAGACACATTAGCAAAAGACGATGTCGGTTGTAACGCTCGGCCACAAGGCGCCCAACCTTGATCCATCCACGCTCGAGACACTGACTTCAAAGGCCGGCATCAGAGTGAGAGAAGATCATGCTGGTGACTTTCTGAAAGTCCTAGGAGCGCTCGATGAGAGCTGCCAGGATGTGTTGGACGAAGAAGACTACACGCCTGAGCTTGACTTGTCAAAGTACCCTCGAACCGACGTACATCGGCCTGAGGATACCGACAAAGGTGGCTGGGCTATGAGGTGCAATGCATACGCTACGTCTCCAACAAACGACCTTCTCAAGGCCAAGATGGTGGCCTTGAAAGACAACATCGCCCTGGCCGGCATGAAATGCACCAACGGCACCGAAGCACTGGACTGGACGCCGGCCTACGACGCAACGATTGCCACTCGCATCATGGACGCAGGAGCTACCATCACCGGTAAAGCTGCCTGCGAGAGTGCCTGCTTCGAAGGTGTCAGCGATACCAGCTGTACCGGCAAGGTGCACAATCCGTATGCCGACAACTACAGCTGTGGAGGTAGCAGTAGCGGCAGTGGGAGGCTGGTGGCCACCGGCTCTGTCGACATGGCGATTGGATGTGACCAAGGTGGATCGATCAGGATTCCTTCCGCCATGTGTGGGATTGTAGGCCTCAAGCCGACATGGGGACTTGTGCCATACACGAGCATCATATCCTTGGAAGCCACGATCGATCATGCTGGCCCCATGGCGAGGTCGGTTCCAGACGTTGCGAGGCTTCTTCAAGCTATTGCTGGCAGTGATGGCATCGACGACCGGCAGCCGCATTTTCTGCCAGACGGCACGCTTGATTACATGGCCAAGCTGGACGGGTTTCTGAAGTCGAGCGACAGCAGCAAGCCTCTAAGTGGCACGAAGATCGGACTCCTCGAAGAGGGCTTCACAATCCCAGGCATGGATCCAAACATTTCCAACCTCTGCCATTCCGCTGTCGACAAGCTGAAGGACCTCGGAGCAGAAGTGACCTCCGTCTCCATCCCAGGCCACCTCAAAGCCGCCATCCTCTGGATGGTCAGCGTGCCCATCGCAGGCACAAGACAAGGCTTCTTCACCGATATGACCGGCCGCAAACAGCTGCACATGCTCGACCGCCAGCGTGCGTCGGGCGAGTCGATGACGCAGGACGCCTTTGACAAACTCGGTCCTGGCGCCCAGAACGCTTACATCAGATATTTGTATATGATGGACAAGTATGGGCCGATCATACATTCGAAATGCAGCAACTTGCTCAGGAAGGTCAACGTATGTGGTCAAATCCGCGGGGTGGCGGTTTCTCTCGCACGAAAAGCTGGACTGATTGGTGAGAGCAGGACGAGTACGACCAAGCCCTAGCATCGGTAGACGTCCTCGTGATGCCCACGTTGCCTTCGCCGCCCTGCCGGCTCTTCGACGACCCTCCGGCTCATGGCCCACTGGCACGCTTGTCAAGAAACGTCGGGCTCGTCGGCAACACTTCGCCCTTCAACAGTATAACGTTCTTCCAAATCGTTTCTTGGCTTCTTGACGCTGACGTACGAACAGGTACCGGACACCCAGCAATTACATTTCCCGTCGGCTTCGTCCCGGCCCACGATGACGAGAGCATCAGACTGCCGACTGGTCTGCAGGTTGTGGGTAAGAAGTTTGCAGACTCCGAGTGTATGAAGGTCGCCGCGGCTTTCGAGAGGGCGTACGATTGGAAGACGTTGTAGGCTAGATGGTGAGTGGGATGTAAGGACGGCGACCCAATCACGGCGATGTCCATTCGCATGAGGTAAGCTAAACCACGATACCGTGGATGAGGCTGAGGTCGTAGGGCTCTAAATTTTGAGTTTAATTACACCTAGCAAGCCTCTGCGGAGAGCATTCCGACACCGAAGCTGACAAAAAATATCTGGTCTGTCGTCAGTGCTCTTGGAAACAATGGAGGAACCATGGGTTTGCTGCGCGCCGTTGACGATGGGCAGAACTATCGTCTTGTTCTCGACTCCAGCGCAACAGCTTCGCCCGCAGTTTTGTCACCTTCTCCCCGTGTGCTTTGAATATAGTGAGTACATTCGCTTTTCGTTAAGATGCAAATAACACTCGGCAGATTAGGCAAGTCGGTCTGAAGCCACGCACCAAAAGGGCAAGAGCACGACCATTTCGACATCAACTAGATGCCGATCGACAGGCACAAACCCACCATCCCGGCTTCACTTCAGAGATCGACGATGATCTCCAAAAACCTTAGCTACCTTATTCTCACCCCTAAAACTCTTTCTCCCTCCATCGCCACAAACAGCATGGCCAGCACTCGAATATAGCAACAGATCGTGGACCAACCAGGCGATGCTCATTCCGCTCACCCAGCCCGTGGCATCAAACTCCGTCATATTAACACGCCAACTCCAGAAACGGTCCACTACTCTCGCTACCGTCCAACCCAAAGCACGACTACTCCTTTCCAAATCATGCCTGGCTGTGAACATTCCTGATCGCTCTCTTTCCCGGTTGGTCTATGTGTCGACGCTAGGATCGTGCAACTGCCGAATGCGGGCAGTGACTGTCTTCGCGGATACCAACCACGCCTTGGCCATGTGGAATGGTTCCGGCAAGAGCTAAAATAACGATCGTGAGCATGGTACGGCAACAATCGAGACGCATGGACGACGATCGATCTTGTAACCACCCCTGGGGCAAGTCTTGGACCAGACCCAGAACCACTCCTTGCTCTGTCGATGTTATATATCGGCCACCCTCTCCCTGTCCCCAACTGTTCCTCCAAGCGTAACTGTCTTGTCCTTCTCTACACTCTCTCCTGTTGTCTTGTTCTTACATTTCTTTCATAATGAAGACTTCCTTTGTTCTAGCAACGGCCGTTGGCCTTGCGTCCGCCTTCCCAGGCATGGCCGGCATCAACATGAAGGAGGAGGGCATGAAGATGCTCAAGGAGAGGCACGATGCCGAGCAGCAGGAGAAGCGACAGCTCGGCGACGTCCTCGACGGCGTGGGCGATCTCGTTGGCGGTCTGCTCGACGACGTCAAAGGTCTGCTTGGGTCCGTTGCATCCGCCGTCGACCCGGACAACAAGCGTCCTGAGCCGGGATATGAGTTCCAGGCCCCAAAGAAGGGCGACTCCCGTGGCCCCTGCCCGGCGTTGAACACGCTTGCCAACCACGGTTACCTGCCTCGCGATGGATACGTCAGCTTCGACCAGATCCTTGAGGCCACAGCGTACGTACACCATCCCTCATGTCGACGATGCCTGCTGACGTCTGTAGCCGCGGCTTCAACATGGGCGCCGACCTTGCCACGGTCCTCGGTGTCTTTACGACCCTCACCGACGCAAACATCACGGAGCAAAGCTGGTATCTGGGTTCTTCGCCGGAACACCTCGGTGGCCTGAACCGCCACGATACCGTGGAAGCTGACATTTCCCCGAACCGCGAGGACTACTACCTCGGCTGCGGCGACAACCACCACCTGTCGTCGCGCCTCTTCAAACAGAACGTCGCGCTCGCCGCTCAGAACCCCAGCAAGGAGTTCGACTTCGAGACCATGGGCAACCAATTCGCCATGAACGCCGACTTCAGCCTGAAGAACAACCCTTTCATCTATTACTTCCCCTTCCCATCCATCGTCAGCGTCGTCGCTTACAACTTCTACCCCCAATTCTTCTCCAATGGCACCTTCGGCGCCGGCGGCGTCGCCAACTACGAGTCCATCTCCTCCATCCTCGGCGCCAAGCTGAACAAGAAGACCGGCGAATTCCAATACGTGCCTGAAAGGTTCCCGGACAACTGGTACCGCCGCGCCACCCCCTACGGCGCCGTCCAGGCCCTCACCGAGGGCTTCACCGGCATTTACCCCTATGTTCGTCACAGCACCCCACCACCCGTCTTCCCACAACCAAGCTAACCCCACCAACCCAACAGAACCCGGTCCCCATGCCGATCCCCCAAATCGGCACCGACAACTTCTCCCCGCAAACCCTGCTCTGCGACATCTACAACGGCATCAACTCCATCACCCCGCTCGCGCTCGGCGGCGCCCTCGAACAGACGGGCGACACCATCTCCTGGGCCGTGCAGAAGCTGATCGACGTCGGTCTCGACGCCACCACGCTCGGCTGCCCGAAGAACAGCATCAGCCCCAACTTCAAGCTGTACCCGAACAAGAAGCAGAAGGGCGGGCCGTTGCGGTTGCCCCGGTCGCAGTACAGGTGGACGGGGAGTAACAAGTACAACCGGGTGTACTTTACGGAGGCGCCGACGCAGCCGATGTGTAAGCATGTGTCGAAGCCGTAAGGGGCGAGGGATGAGAGTGGAGAGCAGGGGAGTGTGTACATATACATGTAACTGAGAAAGTACATAATGTCTTGGGATCTGAAACATTAGACATACAAATGTCTGGCCCGCCCCCCTTTTTGAGATAGGAATGTCAGCCTACCCACTTTCGATTTGCAGATTTCACGGAGAAGCCCTGAGAGCACTGCAGCATGCTCCATTCGTAAGCCATTAAAATCGACGGTCAAGATGCATTAGCCTTCTGCGTTTTCTCCAAGACCATCACAAGAAAAAAGTCGCAGTTATAGATAGTCAGTCGGAAGTGTGTCTTCGGCTCGCTTGGAAGCGTTCAAGAAGGGTGTACATGTACCTAGGAGGTACCCTGCATCACCTGCCTGCTCGCCTCGTGGCCTCAACTGCCCTGCCTGCGAGCTACTACTGCCCTCCAGCTCCATCTGCAGCCCGGCATGAGGAGAGGACAGTGATGTCAGATTCCGATCACATGTCCCTCCCGTCCTGCATCCAGAAGTATAGCCGTGACCCAAAAAGCACCGAGAATAACTCCACGCGAGCTATCGGATAGCTGGGAAGAAGCAGAAGCAAGCTTCGTCATTTGCTTGCTCGTGCCTTGGCCCAGAAGCAGAAACGCGGGTGTCCCGCGCGCGGTGACGTGGAGGCAGCTCGAGGGATTGGGCACATGCATGTGCCCCTCCTTTGCTGTGAGATTGCGAAACACTATTTGATCCGCGGGTAGGCAGGTTGTAGTCTTCCTTGACTGATACTCGTACATACTATCTATTGGCAAGGCGTTGAAGAAAGAGCTGTATAAACAAGCACACATAGAACAGCACGTACTTGACCAACAAGAGACGGAAGCAGTAGCAATCATGTCGACAACAGGTATGAGTCCAATGCCTACACCTCCAACCCTCCCAAGTCCGACCGTTCGCTGACCCCTACCCTCTCCCCTACGCAGAAAACAATCCCGACGTCAACGTCTCCTCCAACCCCACCCACCAAGAAGGCATCGACCACATCACCGCCCACTCCTCTGCCGGCGGGGGCTCCGCACCCCCAGCCAGCAACCCGGGCTCCGACGACCCATCCGCAGGCATCGCCAAGGACAACGGCGGGGTGAGTGGTGCCGCTTTCGTTGGCAGTCCCGTCTCTTCTGAAAACAAAGGCTATGTTGCTGGCGCGGTGGAGATGGCGAGGAGTTATTTGCCCGCGAGTCTGGCGGGGATGAATTTGGGCGGCGGGGCGGGGAAGGATGCGGATGTGGCGCCGGCGGAGACGCTGGCGCCGGAGGGGGGTGAGAAGCAAGAGGACTCTGGTGTTGCGGGAGGCGCGGTAGCGGGTGCTGCGGCGGCTACGACGGCGGCTACGGCTGCGGTTGTCGGCGGCAGCACTACAAGCGGGGAGAGCGTGGAGCAAGCGAAGCAAGACAGCAGCAGCAGCAGCACGGCGCCGATTTATTCTCCTCTTGTCCCTTCTTCTGAGCCTGAGAGATCCGCGACCGAAACCAAAGACGAACCCATGGCTGACGCTGCGCCGCAAAAGGAGAACGCCGCTCCCGTTTCCGCTCCTGCTCCCACCGAGGAGAAGAAGGACGATGCCCCCGCCGAGAAAGAAGGCGGCGAGGAAGGCGGGCGGAAGGTCTCGCATGCGATGAAGGAGACTTGGCCGAAGGAGAATAGGGTACGCTATCATCGATGGACAGGAACTTGGAATGTCCAAGACAATCGCTGACCAGTCTGTCTATAGGATGCCATCCCCACCGCCGGCGGCGAGCAGCTCGGCAAGAAGCACTGGGGCGAGAGCGACACGATCCCCGATGCTGGAAAGAAGGAGGAGAAGGTTTCCAGCGCTGAGGGGCAGCCGGATGGTAAGTACCAACTCTTACCTTCAGACACTTTGGAAATGTCAGGTGGAGGGGTGGATTTGCTAACGCTGCCGCGCAGAGAAAACCCAAAGCAACACCGCCGCCAACACCGGCGGAGCCAAACCGCCCGTTTCGGGCGATGTGAGCGGCGACCACAGCGAGAAGGAGACGGGCGGGGAGAAGCCGAAGTTCGCGGACAAGATGAAGGAGAAGTTGCATATGGGGTCTAAGCAGTAGGGGATACCTGCCTGACAAAGGTGGTAAGATGGTACGGAGATGGAATGGCTGGACAGATTGCGCTTGTGTTTTTGACGATTTGACGAGATACCTGCTACGCACGAATGGAGATCTTGGTTCAACGTGCATTCAAATCATCTCAGAAACAAGAAGTAAGTGGTATAAAGCTGCAAAACCGAGTGGCGTATCTCCCAAACCTGATACCTGGCCCCATCACTCCTCCTGCTCAACCTTCTCCCACGTCAAACTCCCCGCACTACTCCCCATGCCCTCCTCTTCCCTCTCCTCCACCCCCCTCGCCCTCGACCGCCCTCCCATCATCCACCCCACCACCCCCTGCGGCACCCAATTCCCCACAACCTCATACGCCAAGCTCCCGCGCCCAACATACCACGTTCCCCTCCCCCGCCCCGGCCTCGCCACCAACGCATCAAACACCGCATCCTGCAGCTTCCGCACCGGCGTAGCTTTCACCCTCGAAACCGCCTGCCCTCCCGCCGCCTCGCGGCGCTGTTTTGCTGTTACGGCGGGGATATCGATGTTGCCCAACTTGAACTTGGAAACGCTCACGCCTTCCTCCAGCATTTCGGCGGAAAGCGTGGAGGTGAAGCCTTCGAGGGCGCCGTAGACTGTACTCTGCACCGCATGTCCGGGGAGTTTCAGCGCTGGCGTTACCGAGGGCGCGAGGAGCAGGATCTTCGCTTTCTGCGCGACCACGGCGGGGAGGAAGAGTTGCGCTGTAGCGATCGTGTTGAGGACTTTGGCGTTCAGCGCGTCGCTCCACTCCTCTGAGCCTACCTCCTCTATCCTCGCCGGCTCTGGGGAGGATGTAGACGGTACGACGACCAACCCGACAAACCGCAACAAATGCGCCTCCGCGCCCTCAAAAGCCCTATGTTCCCGCCCCAGCAGCTCCCCAAACCGCCGCATCTGCTGTCCAGCCCTCCCCGGATCCACGAGATCCAATTGCAACGGCAGTAAATCCGCTCTTGACTGGGAGCGGATATAGCGTTCATCTTCCGCCGTGTTGGCGACGACGTACACCACGTAACCGCGTCGTTCCAAGTCCAGATACAGCGCTGAAGTCAGCGGATCCGCCACCCCGCCTGCCACGACCACGACGTCCGTCCGAGCGCCACTGGGACTCTTCCTCGCCCTTCTCTTCCGCCTGCTACGCTGACTCCTCACGTACACCCAACCTCCAACACTCCCGGTGACGAGAAAAGCCAACACAGCAGCGCTAACCGCGCGATTCCGTGCGATCCATCGTTGCGCGACCTGTAGCGTAGTGGGAGGAGGGAGAGGGGCGGGCGAAGGGCGGGAGAGGGGCGTTTCGTGCGGGATCCATTCGCGGAGGTGGGAGGCGACGAGGTCAAAGTGGCGCTCGACGTCGTCGGCGATAGAGTCGAATTGTTTGCGGGCCTGGATAAAGAAGGCCGTTAGTAGGGCTGCTGGAGGGTGGAGAGGGGGGAACGGACAATGTCGAAGAGGTGTTGTGCGTCCGTCATGGTTGGGGAGGGTTGGGATAGAGATGTGATGTTGAATAGCTGTTGGTGTTAAGAGTAGCGGGTGGTGATGTTGGCTGATGCGTAAGGTGGCATACGACCCTGACTAATGGCGGCGGGGAAACACGATAGAATATGATTCCATATGAGTTTGAAACGTTTCCATACTATCCACAAAACCGAACGTAGACTAAATCGAACACCGCTGGCCAGGTGTGCTCCCATCCACCACGTCCCATCGTCCGTATGCCACCCTAAACACAAACCCTCCCAAGCACCCGTGCCATGAACCTATCGCTCAAATCACAACCATCAACTCCCCCCTCTTCACCCGATCATCCTCCAGCGACGGATAATAAGGCACCATCGCATCCGCACTCTGCACATACGCATCGTTGTACAGCCTCCAGTAAGGCGTCCTTACCTTTCTCGCAGGATGGAACAGCCCAGCCCAGACATAGTTCATCACCACGCCGGTGCCGACAGCCAAGCGGACGGCATCTATGGCTTCGATGACTCGATCGATGACGTGCGGGGAGGTTTCGAAAAGGTTCGGGTAGAGGAGGTTGAGCAGATGGAGCATGGCGTCTTCGCAGCCCAGGCCGACTACACCGAGAGCGACGTGCTTGACGACGGAAGCGGCGGTCTGGCGATGTACTTGGTCGCGATCGACGAGCGCGTCTTCGAGGAGGGGTGTGACGGCGTAGACGTAGTCTTTGGCCATCTCACCGATGTACTCGAAGAGGAAAGAGAGCGATTTGAGCACGCCGTTCTGAACGTTGAGCTCTGGTACGCGATACTCGTTCATGAGCGCAGGCAGGACAGTGAACGGCGCACAAGTCTCGGCCACGATACCGATGGCGACGGCAGTGCAAACACGGCTCTGACGCTCTTGCACACGTAGATTGTTGAGTAGCGTTGCAAGGACGTCCTGAGGACCGATGGCCTTTGCGATGAAGCCGAAAGTGTTGTTGGCGGCGCGGCGGATACCCTTCTTGTGTGCTTTCAGCATGTCCAGGAGTTCGAAGCAGATACGCATCCATTCGCGCGCGTTGACGCTCTCGGGGCCGCGGTCAGCGATACGGCCGACTAGGTCAATAGTGTTTTCCTGGACCTTTTCGTGTCGGTTGCGAAGGATGGGAGTCAGGCGTGGGAGGAGGTCACGAATCGGCGGCTGCATGCTAGAAATGCCGACAACCGTGACGATGCTCCTCATGGCGCCTAGGATCGATCCCAGCACTTCGGGGTACTCTTCACCCAGGTACTCGTAGAGGACAGTGCCCAGCTTGCCCATCAGGCCGTCTTCGCCGCACTGCTTCATGACGATAGCAATCCGAGTGACGAGGTCGGCGGCCTGTTGGCGGACAGTAGCGGACTTGTTGTTGAGGCGCCAGAGTATGGTGGAAACAATCTGCGGCAGGTAAGGCTTGCACCTCGTGCCCAGGGCATTGACGACGGTCCCGAATCCGTTCAGCAGAACGATGTCCTCAACACTCTGCTCCTGGAAAGCGTGCAAGATGCCATCCACAAGTCTCTCCTCCAGGCGCTCGTTGATGTCGGCAGCACCCATAGCAGAGATGACTTTCTCAATAGTCTCCACCGTCATCTTCCGGTAGGCTTCGCTCTCGTCCTTCAGATTGTTCACGATCCTCTCCACGATTTCACCTACGCCCACCTTATTGCCAAGGTCAACCGTGGTCTCAACAACCTGCTTGTAGTTCCTCTTGTCCAAAGCCATCCTGCGCACCCAGAAGCTCTTGAAGAAGTCCGGTAGCACAGTCTCCTTGAGATAAGCGCTCGTAACGCCACTCGTGCCGGAGCACTGGCTGATGACCTTGAGCACGACCTTCTTCATCTCTTCGTCGGGGCTCTGGAACTCGCGCAGTAGCACCTCCATGATCTGGGAGGTGAAGTAATTGCTGTACTCCTCGTCCATGAGCGGGATGATGTAGCCAACGGCTTTGAGGAACCCGGCCAAACCTTTACCACGCTGCTTGCGTGCACCAGTCCAGAGGGAGTGAAGGATCGGGTCGAAGCTCTCAATACCGAATGGGTTCGACGCTTCTGCTAATGCTGCAAGAGCGAGCGAAGTGACTGTCCGCACCTTCATCTGCTCATCGTTCAGGTTGTCGCCTATGCAGTCGACGAGACCCTTGAGATGCGGGAGTACAGCACATCCCATAAGAATAGGGATTTGTTGAATGATTTTCACACCAGTATGTCGAGCTTGCCACGACTTCTTCGACTTGCAAACAGCCTTGAGGAATGGGAGTAGAGTCGGAATGCCGAGTGCTGAAGCGACGACGGCGAAAGCGCGAGCAGTAGTGTTCCTCACGTACTCATCTTGGTGATCGATATCTGGTCGCATGGTAGAGATCATGTGCGCCAGACCGGCAGCTTTTGACAGATTGGAGATAATTTCGCGGCCTTCCACACGAGCATAGTAGTCCTGGTCGATGAGCAGTGGCTCGATGACAACCAGGATCTTATGGACGTACGGTCGGACCAGGTCGTCAAGCTTGTACAGGACACGGTCAATAACCTTGACAAGGAGATGGCGTTCTTGGTCCTCCAGTGACTTTTCCATAAGAAGGGGTAGGATTTGGTCGAACAATGGTCCTGCACCGAACACACGAGCGTTGTCCGTGATGTGGCGGAGAGCAGTCTTACGCATTGGAGGAGTGCCGTTCTTGACTTTGAGCAACAGGCGCATGATCTTCCGCTCCTTGAGTTCGTCGACGCTCATCTCGTTCTCATCGGCGTTGTCAACAAGCTTGCCAAAATAGGCCATGTCCTCTGCCTTGAAGAACTGGAGATCACCAACACCAGGGATGTCAGACGGCAGCTGCTTGCCCATCTGGCGCGCATCGACTGGCTCTTGCATCATGAAGCCGCCAGTGTTTACTGGTGTCTGAGGTGGTGCTAATCGTTTGGCCGGTGCCCGAAGTGGCTCGTATCCGGGGGGAGGGTCGAGAATCTTGTAGCCCTCAGAGGGGAGCATCTCATTGAGCTCTTCGTCTGAAAGGGGTGCATTGCGACTCGAGACATCAGTGCCGAACGTCATGACTCCAGGAGCAGGCGTTGCTGCCCCGTTGACCCCGCCGTTTGGTGCTGCACTATCTTGCGTGGACACCATGTCCCATTTCGAACGCTTCGTAGGAGCGGCAGGTGCGCTAACAGGCTCAGGCTCGACATTCCATCTTGACTTCTTAAGTGGGCCTTCGCCGTCTGCGGCATGTCCATTGGTGTCCGCTTCTCCGTTGACAGCTGCATCGCCGTTGGCTTCGGAACCATCCACCGTCTTCGCTGTATCCCATCTCCGCTTCTTTGCTCGGGGTTTGGGCGCTTCGACAGCTTTGGTACCATTCGCTCCGTTCTCGCCTGAATCATCCTTTAGCGTAGCTTGATGCTCGACGCCATCCATCTCGTCATCGTCACCCTTCGCTATCGCTTCCTTCTTCTTGTCTTCGAGTAACCTCTGCACACGCTCTTCTTCTCTCTCAATTTCCCGCTCCGCCATGACCTCTCGATAGCTTCTGTCCTCGCCACGCCCGGGGCTCAGCTCGCGCTTGAACCGCCTCTTCTGATAGTCAGTCTCACGGTTCGCAATCTGGGCCTGCTTCTCTCGGCTGTCGAGGATATCATCCTCAGCAGTCCCGCCCTGCGCCCATTCATTGATCTGTGCCGAGGTTGCCGTATACTGCCCGACCAATGTCCGCCCGCCGCCGCCGCCTTCGCCGTCCATGTCCATGTCCTCATCTTCGTCGTCTGCCGCGGGGATGGAGGAGTGGTAGCCAGCGTACTTATCCTTTGATTCGTCACCGTATAGTTCCTTGTCGAAGTTCTCGCTCAGCGAGACCTTGTCGGAGTTAGTGCGCTGACTGGATGGGTCGAAGCCTTTGCCGCCTGTCTTGCCTGTTGCGTTGCGCTCCGCCTGGGCCTGGCGCACGCGCTCAAAGTCGGCTGCGAGGTCGTTGTCAGCATCGAGGGGTATATGGAGTGAGTGAGGGGCGCCTTTACCATCAGACATTGCGGCGGTCCGACGCCTTGCGCTTTGCAAAGGTTAGATACCAACCCCTAATGTAGCAGGTCTGATGAAGTTACCGTGTTCGAGTGAGGTATGATGCGGGTGTTGTTGGTTGCTGGACTCAAGGTGGTGTCGACTTCGAAGCTCGAAGAATTGCTCTGTGAAGCGGCCTTGAGCGAGGGAGACACGACTTTTGCGCTCATGACAAAATTCATCACGTTCCTCAAGAACCCGACCTATCTAGTGTGCATCGTTCTGATCCCAATAATAAAAACAATCTCAAAGCTTGGTTAGCCTGAAGTGTCTCCAAAGACCACGATGCAGGTCGCCGAGATCTTGTCCGACCTGATGTCCTTGCAAGTCTGCGTAAGTCAGAAACATCCTCAACCAGCAGACGCAGCGCTCATCTTCTACAGGATCCAAATGCAGCACTGGTATTGGTCTCTGCGAGACCGGAGGGCACCATCAAAGACGAGCAAAAGCGTAGCGAAGGAGGAGCTCAGGATGATCCGGATCTAAAGCGAGCAAAAGACCTCCTTCATCTCCACTCCACTGTCAAGCTGGCACATCAAGATGGCACCGATCGGGAGCTTAACGAAGCGCGTGAGGCCGTCGAGAAAGTGTTGCGGGCGCTGTGATGCTAATGCTGATTTCGTGGCTTCCACCAAGCGTTGCGCGAAGGTCCAGCATGGCGACTGGCAGGAGCAGGATGGAAGTCATTCTCTCAAGGCTGGTTTTCACCTTCGTGTTGCACTCTGGATTTGCATACGAGCAACGACCATCTATATTGCCCACAGCATCCATGGATGAACCTGATTACATCGATACATCAGCGATAGACGAGAACATCGACCCGGATGGCCTCCACGACGGTCTTGTCCGGAGGACGGGCGGGTTGTGGCATGGATATGAGGATCTGATCGGAGCGGAAATTGACGCGAACAATGCGAACCAAGCTTTGCTACCAGAAGAATCAGAAGAAGACCCCAGCTCGACCAGATGGTGGATCGCGTCTGGTCGCGACCGGACCCCAAAGCACCTCAAGAAGCCAGGTCCAAGCCGACTCCCACTCAGTTGGAGTCGACCTCTTAGACCTGTCACCGAGTGCAGTGGAACAATCGACCGTGGAAACGAATATCGCGCTTGCGATCAGCCCCTGAACCAGTATCGGCGGATCTGCAACTCTCCCAGCTGCGGCAGAGCGTTCTGCTTCTCATGCGCAGGACAGCAACCAGGTGCTGGTCCAGACACATCCGACCCATGTCCTTACTGCAAGCTGAGAGGCCTGTCGCTATTCGCCGAGCAACACGACACAAAAAGATCCGACGGAATTATCGTGCAAGACCCAGAGATGATACGACTCGCCGAAGAGCAACACGACCTAGATATACATCACTTCCTTGCGGACACTCGTGCAGACGACGACTGGTCCAAATTCTGTGCTCGGCATATTCCCCAGGTGCCTGCAGACTGGCTGACTCGGCGTCACATGGGTCGTGAAGCAGTTCAGAATCACCAACAAGACTTTTGGTCGCGGCTTCAGCTGGCAGAGACTTGGGCTAGGATGTGGGAGCTGGAGAGAATGCCGAGGCCTGATCGGGTCATGAGGTAGCTGTGATGATTGGGCCCGGGCCGCGCTCTTGCGGGAGACATTCTTGCCAATGCAGTGAGCTGTGCTGTATGCTACATGAGCTTTCCTGAGTTGGGTGGACGGTTGGGTCAGGATGGGCAACGGATCGCATTCGTCCTCCGCATGGATCGAGCAAAGGAGCGAGCTTGGTGGATCAAACAGTGTGTCTTGTTGTCAGACGGCATGCAGTCTTCCGTTCTTGATACGACTGTCAATCAATTTCCACTAACCTTGCTGCTTCCTTCCTCAGTGATACCGAAGCATGGAAATGACGGCTGTCACAGCTGTCGGTATCTTGATCGACGTTTAATCATTTAACACAAGGTTCGGTCCGGTTCCCGAACCAAGCCGCTGGAAACAGTCGATCTCTCAGCCTCAAGCTCGTCCTTGATCGCATCTTCAAGGTCTGGCATCTACACTGACCACACCTCTCTTTGGATCCAAAACAATACGTGGATCTTTACGAACTAGTCGCCCCCTACGCACCAGACCAGGCCAGCAGCGTCAGGGTCTGGCACGCAAGAGATGAGCTCCAGTCGATCAAGATGAGGAAATGGACAAAACCAAATGGCCCGCCATAACTGGCTTAATACTCGGGACAGTATGGCTCTCGCAAACCGTTCCGACCACCTTTGCTTTCGACAAACCACTCCTCACGTCTACGGTCACTCTATTCAGCTTAGCGCTTGCGACACATGCGCTCAGTCGGTTACTCAGACGATGGCGGGATGGCTCTGGTCTGAGCAACAAGGACTTCCAGCAAGAAGAGGTGGTGCCATTGGACGATCTTGGGGATAGTAATGGCCACATCGAGCCGTCAAGCGGTCGTTCGGAGCCTCCCACGAAGCGTCAACCCCTCTTCGCACTACAACGGCTCCAGCTACACCACGTTCTGATCGCAGCGATCGTTCTCCGCGTCGAGATTCTGCACGTTGTGCTCAGGAACACCCAATGCACTGCACTGACGTGGGAACCACTGATCCCATTCGTCTTCGCATGCTGGGATTATTGGTCGACTGACCGCACTCAGAAGCTTCCAAACTATGAGGAGCGTCCCGATGCGAATGTCTACGAGGCATTGGAGCAGCGCGCCATACGGTCGAGGCTGCGCTACGTAGCAAGCGTAGGGCTGATGAGCTTTGGGAGTTTGGCTGCGATAGCCTCGACGAGAGGGCCTCGATCGACCTTTATATGTGCGGCGACGTTGCATAATAGCTGGTTCATCCCGTTTCTGCAGTGGTGTGGTACGGCCGCCGATGTAGCTGTCGCGTCTTGTGTCACGCATTTGCTACAGGATGGTGCGCGTGACGAGGGATCTGGGCCAGCTTCGGATCTACTCGCTAGGGTCAGATCTTTGAGGTCATCGGTCGTGGTGAGCTCGAGCACTCTATGCACCCTGTATATATCTCCTACTGACAGAGGTAACGCAATTAGCGAGCAGCGCAGATCTCTACGGCATGGTCCATCCTTCTGTTCGTCGTCTATCTCATTGCCGCAGCAAAACCGCAGGAACGGTGGCGCATGCTTGAGCTCCCTGGGCACTATATCTGGAGTCTCGTGAAACTCGACATTCTCTTCTGTGTAACTATATTATGTGCACTATTGTCTGTAAGTGTTGTCGATTTCAGAGCGTCCCGTGAGCTCACGCTGACTCGATCTGCCTTCGAAGATACCACAACTTGGGATTCTGTCTGTCACCATACTTTGCACTTTCGTGTCTATATGTACCATTACGACGTCTACGGCCTTGAACCACCTGCACGTATATCCGCCCACACACCACAACACCAGCCTAACCTCACTATGCATCACCATGCTCGCCTTTACAGTATACTTCCACATCTCAACATCCGAGCATCGGAGTTTCAGCAACGAGCGCACGTCCAACCGTGCCGTCCTATTTACCGAGTCCATCCCAGGGTGGTTCTACTTGATCTTTGTGGTCTTCTTCCTCTTTCGAGGCATCATATGGGCATCCTCCAGTGGCAACAATGTGGGCTACCACCCAATCGATATGCTCATCTACGACGCCCAGTCTCAATATGACGCCTACCTCCGCGACGCGGCTGCCGGCACGACTCTTGATCAGGCGGTGGAGAACTACCGCAAGCGCTATTCCAGATATCCGCCCCCTGGCTTTGATCACTGGTATAGATACGCTACGGAGCGGGACACAGTCATCATCGACAGCTACGACAGCATCCACCGCGACTTGGTGCCGTTCTGGTCGCTCTCGCCAGAAGAAGTACGGTACAGGACGAAACAGCTCTTGCAGAACCCGTGGCACAACGCAACTGGCATCAGTGTCCGAGATGGCAAGGCTGCTACCAGTACCCGGGTCGTCGACGACCATTGGTCAACGATGAGCAGCTTAGTTGACATGATTAGCGCGTTCTCCGAGTGGCTACCGGATATGGATCTGGCTTTCAACATCAACAATGAGGGCAGGATTGCTGTGCCATGGGAAACTCAAGCACGAAAGCCGCAAAAGGCAGAGGCTGCCGGCGAAGTCTCCGCTCCACGACCCCAGTTTAGCACCAACCGAGCGGCGCAATGGGAGCCACTCCCAAACTACAACACTGAAGAGCAAAAGATGCAAGACCTGGGCTGGCAATCCATATTCCATTCTCACGGCAGCGCACACTGCCCGCCTGGCTCTCCGGCGCGCGAACAACGCAACTGGGATCGTGGCAGCCTCTGTAGCAGTTGTGCTGCGCCGCATTCCATGGGACTCTTTCCCGCGAACTGGACCGAGCTGTCCGACGTATGCCACCAGCCAGACTTGGCTGAGCTGCACGGCTTCTACAACTCACCCTCAGCCTTCAGGACGAGCTACGAGCTCCTGCCGCTCTTTTCGCAGTCGAAGGCTCCTGGCTTCGACGACATTCTTTAGTAAGCAGATATTCAATCTCTAACATCAGCTGAGAGTTTTGCTAATGAAGACTCCTCATGTGTGATAGCCCCAGCGCCTGGAACTGGGCTTCGAAAGCCAAGTACGCCCCTACCCCCGAGTACCCAGACATCCCCTTCATCAACAAGAACTCCTCGCTCTTCTGGCGTGGCGGCACAACCGAAGGCATGTCCCCGGACACGGGCCAATGGAAAGGCCACTCCCGTCAGCGCTTCGTCCACACCCTCAGCGACATCAACGTCGGTTCTGCCACCGCCGACATTCCTCTCCCATACGAATACCGGATCTCGCCCGACCAAAAGGAAGAACAACAACCGGTCATCAAGACCCGCTATGAGTACACGCCTGTGCCGATATCCACGCTCACGGATCTGGTCCCGGTAGACGTCGGTTTCACCAGTTTCACCAGGTGCTGGGACATGGACTGCCCTGATCAAATAGCCGAGTTCCACCGCCGTGAACCGGTAGACTTCCAAGCCCACTGGCAGTACAAATATCTCATCGACCTCGACGGAGCAGGCTTCTCCGACCGCTTCATACCCTTCATGCATTCGCGCAGTTTGCCCTTCAAAGCCGCTCTGTTCCGAGAATGGTGGGATGATCGCCTAATCGCTTGGAAGCATTTCGTTCCGCTCGACTTGAGGGGACATGGTGTTTGGGGGACGCTGGTGTACTTTGCTGGTCTAAAAGGAGTACTGGGCGAGAAAGAGGTGGAACTTGAGGCACATGAGGCCATGGGGGAGAGGATTGCGGAGGGTGGGAAAGAGTGGGCGCAGAAGGTGTTGAAGAAGGAGGATATGGAGGTTTATTTCTTCAGGCTGTTGTTGGAGTGGGGACGGGTTACAGATGACAGAAGAGGGGAAATTGGGTATGGGAGTGATTGACGGCTCTGTTCTAGGAACGACGGCTCCAGTTGGCATGATTTCATGCCCATTTCGATCTTGCCGGACTGCTACTCGCGGCCGGTCTCAACTCCATTTGCTTCTCACCACTACCGCTGCTATACCACATTAGCTAATCGAGATCAACGACAACCACACGCGACAAGCTTACCATACTCTAAGCACCCAGCATGCAAGTCCCGCCCGCCGGGTCAATATGGCAGCTCGCCTCCTGACCCGGGTTCTCGTTCGCGAACTTGAACTCACCCGTGTCGAAGTTCATTGACACGGCTGCACTCCCGCATACCTCCTTGGACTTGACACCGTTGCAGCTTCCGCACCCATCCTGGAGCCCGAGCAGGTTGGAACAGAAGGGCTCGCTGGTGCCGCTGCAGCCGTTGACGTTCTCGAGGATGGCGTAGCAGCGGTCTTGGCTTGGGTTTGCGTCGTTCGCCGTCGCTTGGAGTGTGACTTTGCCGGCAAGGGCTGGCGCGGCGAGGCCGAGGAGGCCGGTTGCGAGCAGAGACAAGTGCATCGTGGTTTTTGGTTGTTGTATCGACTGAAGGTATTGGGTGGTCGTGAAAATCTGAATTATGTTGAGAGTACTGACTTGTAAAATCTAGATGGATGTTAAGTTTAATTGCTGATGCAGCCTCTTGTCGCTGGAATATATATATCTGTTGCAGACGGGACATCCTGACTTGGGTGTCGGTAACACTTCCGCCGCAGACTCGATCACCAGATACCTACCTACATCTCCATGGCATACAGCATGATGTCAAGTCCGACCATCCCAAAAGTCGATCGACCCTCAATGCAACGTCGGCTGATGGATGCTCATATCATCCATGCTCTGGAGGTGAGTACATATGAGGCTCAAAAGGCTCTCACGGCAAGACATGCTTGGCCCTTCCTTCGGGGCTTGGCAAAGTGGGAAAGTGTCGATGCACCATCATCATACAGGAAAGCCGCCAGCTACGCCTGACACCGTCGGTATCCAACCCCACAGTCCACAACCCATCCGGCAGGATCGATTGACTGGTTCTCCAGAGTAAGTGAACCGTCAATCCCCCTCAAGCAACACGCTAGCTGACTCGTCAGCAGCCCATGGGATCCAACACCGTACCATATCCCGTCCGAGAAAAGCCCGTAGACGCACATCCACATGGAGCACCCCAGGTACCTGGGGAGTTAGTCCACAGGGTCGTCCTTGGCAATTTCCAACCTGGTGACTTTGGTCGTTGAAGGATTTGCCAGCAGCTCGATCGGACACTGCCATTGGTGGCATAATTGTCTCCCTGCGGCGCAAAGCTCGATCAGTGCTGACGACTTCTCCATACCAGATGAAAGCTCGCTGTTGCAATAGTGACGAGTCCTCAAGGCGAAGGATCGTTGTCCAATTGATGTTCAGCACAACCATCTTGGACAACGTCAATCGACGGCTCGGAGGCAGCAGGACGGTCGATCTGAATCCCTCATTGCCTGAATCAAAGAACGTAGGTATAAAGGTTCCTTCCGTTGACCATGAAATTCTTCCGTGCATCAGTTGCATGCGTGGAGCAATGTTCAACGCGAAGGATTGTTGACCCGGGGCACGGCACGGTCTATCAACCGCTCGGAGGCGCCGACGAGGTTGATCTGATTCCCCCATTGCCTGAAATGTGCCGATGGGGCTCAGGAGAGTACGGAAGATTTCTTCCTCCTCATCACAGGTGACATCTTGCCGTTGCATCTGTTACGGATTCTCAGGGCAAAGGATCATTGTCCAATTGAGGCACCACAATAATGTCAATCACAACTGCTAGTGCTCAACATACATCATCTTCGGCCACGGCACCGCACACCTTCTTGGTATCGAGGCGGTATATTAGACTGGCTGCTGTTCCTCGTTGCACTCGTATCTTTCCATCACCATCACTATCACCGAGCAATCTTGACAGCACAAGCACCTCCAACAGCGTACCGCCACCATGAAAGCCAACATGAGGAACTTCGCCGCCGGCATGGCCTTGGCCACCTTCGCATCGACCGGCATCATTCTCGGCATGGCCAACGCCCATCCACAACGCCTTCCACCTCCTCCAGGGGCACCTACCAAGTGCGCGGGCTCCGACGCTAGCGCAGAGCATGTACGTTTTGCATAATGTCAGCTCACCAGTAACATGAAGCTGATCAGTATCCCCATCCCAGTCCAACGTCCTCTCCTGTCCGCTCCAGCCAGGAGCCGTGGACATTCTGTGCTCGGGACCGGGCAGCGATTTGCAGGGAGGCACATGCAATCCGAAGGGGATGGATGAGAGGCCGCCTTCGACATTGTGCTACTGCACCAATGGCAACTTCTGCTGCAACCTGTCGGGTGGCATGGAGGTGCCTGGCGGAGAGAATCCGGTGGACTACTACAACGATGTGGCGTGGAACTGCAATGGCTAGATTGTCGCAGGGAGCAGTCGGTGGTTAGGCAGGTCAGATTGTATGCAATTTTTCCTGCAGACCGTGCGCCAGTGTTTTTCATTCTGCTCGTGTTGTAAAGACATGGATGAGGTGATGTTGGAATTGGCAGATCTGCACTTGGCACGTGGAGTTAGCGTGGCGCTCGTGCCGTGCCTGCCGACCTACCGAATCTACTCCGAGTTGCCCACCCCTGCCACCATTCGATAACTTGGTCGTCGTGATACGCAACACGTCGAGAACTGCATACCGCTTGTTTGCTTCTGTGATTATAGTCATGGGTTCGATAGGACTATTCGCACTAGCCCTTCCCCAGCGCCTTGCTAAGCAACTTTTCATACAAAGCGCTCATGCTGCCTTGCTATGCTGTGACACTTTCCAGGTGCGCCTCCGCTAGAGAACAGATGCTATTCGCTTCAAGCACCCAGGTCATCGCAAACTGTTCATTCCCAATTCTCCAACCAAAAGGTCGACCACTCAAAGCGAGATCCAATGCCTCCCCACAGCCCCCAACCACTCCTCCTCCCCCACCGCATCCCAACTCCCCTCCTCCTTCTCATAAACCCCACTCGTCCCATAGGGGCCCTTGGTACTCGACTGTCTTGACGCGGGCCACTGCCCACTCGAACTAATCTCCGCCAGCGCAAAATCCCCATGCACCAGCCTCTTCTCGGGCTCGAAAATGCACCCTGCGAAGAAGATTTCGATGCTCAGACTATGTCCCATCCGCCGTCGAGCGGCGATTAGATCGCGTGCTGCGTTGAACATCTCGCGCAGCTTCTCCATCCGCGTGTGCAGGCCGGTGGACGCAAAGCAGTGGCAGATATCTGTGGTGCGGACCTGGCATTCGCCGGACCATTTGACCTCCAGGTTGGCGAAGAGGCGGGCGCACATGTAAGGGACGGACATGGAGAGGTCGCGCATCTGCGGGAGGTGGGAGATGAGGGTGCAGACGTGCGCGTCGATGTGGCCCGGGAAGGGGTGGTAGAAGCCGTCGTCGGAGCGCGGGGAGTGTTCCAGGACTTGCAGGGTGCGGGAGGAAGCTTTGACGAGGGCGAGCATGCCGGCGACGGAGATGGTAGAGAGGTTGGTGAAGTCGAGGATTTTGAGGTTGGTGGCGGTGCGGGCGATGAGGGTGAGGTCCTCGTCGCAAATGGGTTTGTGCAGCGTGTTGCCGAAGATCTTGAGGCGCTTGAGGCCGCTGAAGTCGACTGCTGGGTGCTCTAGTGGGCTTGGTGTGGCGTCCTTCTCAAGTGCGCCTGCTTGATCTGCAGGCAGGCACTGTGCTGTAAGCTCCAGAGAGTGCAGCGGCTTTCCATGACCGGTGTTAACGTTTAAAAGGTCCACCCAGTCGTCAACGGAGCCCCTACGCAAAACCGTCCACGGCACGCTCAGGAACTCCAGCGCATCGCAGCTCGCCACGACGGAAAGGATGAGCTTGTCGGTCTCCGCGGTATGGAAGCCGTTGAACCAGAGTCGTCGCACGTGGTTTGCCGCGGTGGGCACAGCATTGAACAGCCGATCTGTGTGCTTGAGGGAGCCAAACGGGTCACGATAGACGGCGTGGCCAGGTCCAATCTGGTTCATTTCATAAAACTGGTAGCTGCGGCGCGACATGGTCAAGTCCGCCCATCGTTCAGCCCCTCGCCACCGTCGTTCGAATATGCGCTCGAAGTTGTACTCGAGCGCCCACTGGTGCCATTCATGGCATACTTCCCGGATGGCCCTGGTGGCGTCCCATCGCAGAGAGTCCGTCGCTACCGGTCCGCGAACATACTTGGTGAGTTTGGCACGCTCGCCCGGTAGCGGAGCCTGAGACAGGCCATAGGTGAAGCTCTCGCCCTCGGCCTGGTTGGCGCGAGCGGCGCGGAGCAGGATGTCGGTGAGGATCTCGCTCGGTAGGTCGTTGATGTGCATACCTCAGGCCCGGCAGCAACCTAATGTATGGATAGAGTAGTGATAGTGTAGAGCTAGTGTCGCCTTGTCTTGCTGTAGAGGAAAGCAGAAAGAGGACTGTGAATGGGTGCAGATAAGGAAGCGGCAAAGGTGCTGAAGTTTCTTTGTGTCAAAGCAGGACAAAGCCACCTACCCCAAGGCCGGGCGGACGACTCATATACCGTAGACTTATCGCTGCCAATGGATGAAAGGCGTTTGCAGAACTTTAATCAGTATTACTCACGTGGTGCTTCGGACAGCGGTTGTGGGCGGAGGTGCTGGTCGCCACGAGCCAACGCCAGCACTTCTATTACTCACAGCAACTCGGAGACAGGCGCGACGAGGAAGTCGTCAGTGCTTCCTGCCAGAGCGTCCGGTGCGACGCTGGATGGTTTTGCTGCTTCGAGTGGTTCCATTACGTTTCCGTTACCCCCAGTGAATTCGCAGTTGGTTAGGCTGAGAGCGGAGAAAATCAAGAGGTGCGGTCAAGTTTAACAGCAGCGTTAGAGCCTCTCCCCGCAGAACGCCAACGGCTCGCTTCCGAGTCACGAGGACGCCACAAAGAGATTTTCTTACTTGAACCGATGCCAGGCGAGTGCTGGATATCTCCTCGGCTTCTACGGTCCAGTGGTGAAGACACGTGTGGTGATGTGCTGGCGCTGCTTCTGACGAGAGTAAAGTTAACACTTGTAGGTCGTCGCTATCTCGACGGGTGAAGAAAGACAATCCTCAGAGAAGTAGGCGAACGCGACAACGTTAAGGTAATATACTTGGCTGTGGAGCATGGCGTATTGATGAGGTTGTTGTAACGGCCGCAGGAGCCGCATGAGCACTGGAAGAACGTTGCTGTCACCAGCTCGATGAAGCAGGATCTTAGCTTGTGGCTGTCTTCTTCACACCCCCAAAGGCATTGTGTCGTGAAGATAAGTGCTCCGCAATCATAAACCGTCCTTTCTTCGGCCGTATGCACTCGTAGATGCCCTTGTAACGTCCATGGCACACACATTCGCGCCTCTGCGTTGAACCATATCGTCCAGAGTGGACCCATGCTTCCGCGTCCACGACCCACCGCTGAAGCGCCAAACTCCTCCGTTATCCTCCCACGCTGGAAGTACACACCGGATATGCAAACCGCGAATAAATGCAACTTCGACCACTTTTCACGCTCACTTCTTGCCCTTCCTCTTCCTCGCCCCCTGCTGATCACCCGGTCCTCCCCCGTCCACCAACACCGCATCATCGTCGCTGCTCGTCTTCTTCGGCGCCGCATCAGCAGGTTTGCTCTCGCCCTCCAGCTCCTTCATAAAGTCTGACTGTATGCCCGCCCGTCGCCCTTCCCACCATGCACGCTCACCCTCTAATTGCGCTGAAACCTCTGCGGCCCGCTGTTTGAGCAGGATGTTCTGGTTCATCTCGTTCGCGGATTGGAAGATCGTTTGGCCCCAGTTAGGCGCGAAAGCGTTGGCCTGTAGTAGTCCTTGTCAGTCTCCGCCCATTGCACTCCTTCCCATAGTCTCTACAAGCAAGTTGTTACTCACCTCATTAACCACATCCTTCACCTCCTCCTCCATCTCCTTCTCCGCCCGCAAAAACCGCTGCCACAGCTCATCCCCCACACTCCCCCTCTGCAACAACGTCTGCAAAGCCGGCTTCGCCCCTCGCAACTGCACTATCCGCTGTATATCCTCCAGCGCCCGTCTCAACAGGGCAGCCTTCAGCAAAGAGTCCGGCACCTGCTTCAACTTCTTCTCCCCCTCCCCCTCGCTCGCTTCCGCCGGGTCCAAGTGTAAGAGGCTGAGGTAGACATCGCGCTGTTTGTGTTGTGAGAACCAGGATTCTAGGGACGCGGCCCGTTGGAGCTTGCGTTTGCGGTAAAGGGAAGAGAAGGCGTAGAGGCTGCCGATGAGAATGGTGAGATAGAGAACGGGAAGGGTGAGGTTGGTCCAGAAGGATTTGGGGGGCCGGGAGGACTGCCAGGAGTCGTATGTGCTGTTTGAGGAGGATGAGTTGAAGGTGGTGTTGTTGGTGTCGTCCATGGTTCAGAGAGTGCGCTGGACGTGCGCTGTGGGAGGGAAGTGCTTGTCGGGGTCGCTCGTGGTTATGCTATCGCTCCAGTATGTAGGTGAATATGGATCTTATCAAGAACGGTCCCAAAGTTCCTATCATCGAAGAGTAAGAAGTCGACAATTGTCATGCGCATTCAGTCTGATATTAGATCTATTTTCATCAGCGGCCACCTGTTCCTGCCAATCTGGGGCTCGAAGGCGGACCGAGCCTACCGAGAAAGCCTAATTGCTTGAGTGACGTCTCGCGTTTGCCTTCAGGAACAACTTCACTGGCGTGGAAGACGATGGAAGCTCGCATACGGTGACCCGACGTTCTTTGCACCAACGTCTCCTGGCATATCTCCGGAGTCGAACACCTACAAACAGCTATACCATCACACACCACCGACACGATGATACTCCGGTTCCAGAGTAAAGAAGGACAGTTCCGGCTCAACGTCGAGCCCACCACCGACATCTCCACCATCCTGCCCGATGTACTCGAGAAGCTCCCCAAGGACGTGATAGCCTCCACCGTCTCCATCAGTCCCAAGCCTCACGGCGCAGAAGCACGAACGATCGAATCGCTTCAAGGCGTCAACTTCGGCAGATTAGGTCTCACCCACGGCACCCAGATCTTCCTCGACTTCACGTCGGATGAGCCCATCGCCAACGGCCACTCCCTCCCTGCGAACAGACTCAACGGCGGTGACGTGGCACCGGAAGAGGCTGCATCGAGCATATCGATACCTTCAAGCGCCTCGCAAGGACTTCTGAAGAATCCGTGGGAGACGGTCGTTCAGTCAGACCTCGACAACAGACTAGACCAGAAAGATGGCAAGATACATCGGAAGCTCGACACAAAACTGTGCAGACACGGTCCCAAGGGCATGTGCGACTACTGCATGCCAATCGAGCCGTACAACAAGGAGTATCTCGCTGAGCACAAGATCAAGCACGTCTCATACCACTCATACCTACGCAAACTCAACCAAGGAAAGAACAAGTACGAGTCAGGCAGCTCGTACATGCCACCTCTCAGTGAACCCTACTATCGCGTCAACCCCAATTGTCCTTCAGGCCATGCTCCGTTTCCGAAAGGCATCTGCACGAAGTGCCAACCTTCAGCCATCACATTACAGCCGCAGGAGTACCGCATGGTCGATCATGTCGAGTTTGCCAGCGCTGAGATTGTCAACTCCTTCCTGAACTTCTGGCGGAAAGGTGGGGCGCAGCGGATAGGCTTCATGTATGGTCGGTACGAAGAGTACGAGGCCATTCCACTGGGCACGAAAGCGGTGATAGAAGCCATCTACGAGCCGCCGCAGATCAATGAGGTAGACGGCGTGACGCTTGGCGAGTGGGACAACGAGGACTCCATCGATGAGCTTGCGTCCATGTGCGGGCTGCAGCGTGTGGGTGTCATCTTCACGGATCTCATACACCCTGAGGACCCAAGTGAAGGCACCGCAATGTGCAAGAGACACATCGACTCTTTCCTGTTGTCCTCACTCGAAATCATGTTTGCCTCGCGGTACCAGGCCAAGTACCCTCGACCAAGCAAATGGAGCGAAACCGGAAAGTTCGGCAGCAACTTCGTCACGTGCGTGATATCCGGCGACGAGGAGAACCAGATCGGTATATCAGCCTACCAAGCCAGTAACGCAGCAGTCGAGATGGCTCGCGCCGACATCATCGAGCCGTCGGCCGACCCTACCGTCATGCTCGTGCAAGATGAGAACGAGGAGAACGAGCTTGGCCGCGTACGATACATCCCCGAAGTCTTCTACCGCCGCATCAACGAGTACGGAGCCAATGTGCAGGAGAACGCGAAGCCCAGCTTCCCCGTCGACTACCTGCTGATCACACTCACGCATGGCTTCCCGAAGACCGAAGCGCCGCGGTTCGTGAAGAGCGGCTTCGCCGTTGAGAACAGAGATGCGCTGGGAGAACTGCAGGAGCCGAGAGATCTGCAGAAGGAGCTAAAGGCGGGTGCGAATAGGGTTTCTCTTGACACCGCGCAGGGTGTGCTCGCGGTGTCTGACTTTCACATTCTGTGCTACATCCGCAGTCTTGGGGTCTTGAGCAAGGTGAGTTCTTTCTCCTCTCCATCCAACAGCTTTTCGTGAGCACCCTACTGACCCGTACATCTATTCACAGGACGAAGAAGCCCTCCTCTGCCGCACCGCCACCACCCACGACGCCGCCCTCGGCTCCACACTCATGCACACACCAGGTTGGGCCACCCTCGAGACGATCCTGCAGATGTAACATTATGCATCATCACTGTCTCCAATAGCTCCTCTGTCACACACCTCATGTCACGATTATGGATCCGCTGGGACGCTGCTGCTGCTGGAGACCTACTGACTCTTTCTTCTTCTGGATATAGGATGGTTGTCGCTGGTCGCCATTCTGGACGAGTTGAAGGCGAGGCCTGCTAAGAGGGGGAGTGAAGTGGATGTGAGTACGGTGTTGGCTAAAAAGGTGAAGGGGGTAGATTTAAGTGGGCTTTGAGGATGGTGTGAGGGTGGATTTTGCTGGAATGGCGATGAAATGATGGCTGGCATTACCGACACTGCCACTGACTTGTGCTCGCAGCAGCCTGGAAATCCTACAGGATCTCTGACGTGGTAGACGATGGAAGATGATCGCTGGAAAGGGCATTGCTGCCATCCAACGTAGCGATACGAGCTTTTATTCCGAGGCACTTGCTACAGCCTCGACACTACAGTCCGTAAGCTTAACTAACCGAGCCATTACCGTCATCGCTTCCTCCCTTCTCCTTCTCCTCGGCGCCAATGTCTTCAAGCCTTTCCACACCCTCACCAGTCTTCTCGTCTGCTTGTACCATCTCGGTCAGATGCTTCTGCGGCAGCCGCTTCGCCACCTTCACCGGCTCAAGCACGCTGTTGCTCTTTGTGAAGATCTCATCGATCTCCTCCAGCGACCGTCCACGGGTCTCCGGGTAACTGTACAAAAGGTCAGCCCTCACCAACCCCGACCCACGAACAGGGCCAAGACTATACTCACAAGAAATAAACCACCGGAATACTACTAGCATTAACCGCCGCAAACACGACAAAATACCGATACCCAATCGTCGTAAACGCCACCGGTGTAATTTCCACCACCAAGAAATTAAACAACCACGACACAGCCGTGCTTATCCCACACACCGCGGCGCGGAGATGAACCGGCGCGATTTCGGAAGCGTAGAGGAACGGCACGCCCAGGAACCCGAGCACGTAGACGAAGTAGTAGAGGTAGATGAAGAAGACCGACGCTTTGAGGCAGCCGGTGTTTTGGGGTTGGGAGCCGAGGGCTGTGAGGGCGATTTGGCAGGTGGACATGCTGGCGGCGGAGAGGAGCATGAGGGTGCGGCGGCCGAAGCGGTCGACGGTGTAGCTGCAGACTATGCTGCCGAGGATGATCTGGTGAGGGTGGTTAGAAGAAGGGGGTTGGGGGAAGGAGGGATCGGGAGGGCGTACGACGATCTGGGAGGAGGCGGCGAGGATGTCGGCTTTGGTTGTTGGGTAGCCGAGATCTGAGTGGTTCATCAGCGTCCGGAAGAATACTCTCCAGAACGGGTTTGCCAACTTACTCTCCTGAAAGATCGTTGAAGCATACGAAGTCACAGAATTCACACCCGTCATCTGCAGGTACATCTGGATCGTCGCCGCCAGAACAACACGATGGAGGGTCCGCTGCTTGCCCATCTTGAACAGTGCACCGAGAGAGGCGTTCTGCGCAATCTCAATGGACAGCTGGATATCACGGATGTTGGTGCTGACGGTCTCGGAGTCGGTGTCGACCTCGTAGGTGGCGCTGAAGATGCCTTTGGCTTCGTCGATGCGGCCCATTTTAACTAGCCTGCGAAACGGTTACGTCAGCATTGGAGGAATGATGGGTGAGGGCAGCCGGTTCATACCATCGCGGGGACTCTGGCAGGGTGAAGATGAAGGTCATCACTGTGAGAGACAGGATGATCTGGATCAGGAACGGGAAACGCCAGGCCTAGGTGGACGTGTCAGCACAGGCTCGTCCACTTCATCAGTGGTGACTTACAAAAGAGCTCTGCACATAGTGTGCCCCGAAATCGATCCACAACGCCAACGATAGCCCCATACCACAGAAAATCCCGAAGCCGGAGACGTGGGAGCCCCGACTATGTGGTTTCGAGAGCTCTGCCTGCCAGACCGATGTCGTGGCGATGACGCCTCCTGTTCCAAGACCAACCAGTATCCTAGAGACGATGAACTGAGCGAACGCAAATGAGCTTCCCATCAAGACCACACCAACGAGCTCGGTCGCAGTGGCAGCGAAGATGGTCCATCGACGGCCCCAGACGTCGCCTAAGAACGTACAGGCTAGACTGCCGAACACGCCTGCTAAGACGTAGATTCCGAGCACCGTTCCTGGACCCAGTCAACCCCAACACCCGATCTCATGTTGGGTTGTACTGACCTTGGATCGTAGCATTATGCTTCTTCTCCGCCCCCTCCGTATCCACCGTATCCATCTGCGGGAACTGCTTCTGGAACGACTCCGACGTCAACACGCCTCCGGCTACCGCTTGGTTGTAGCCGAAGATCATGATGCAGAAGCACGCGAGGGCCCATATCGCAGCGTTGAGCTTCGAGCCGCGAAGGCCGAAGTAGGGTTGCATGGATGCTGGTCTTCAATTCGATCAATGAAGAGAGGAGGTAGCTACGCCGATATAGAAGTAGGAGACATGAGAAGAGTCTTACTTGGCCATGAAGTCGAACACAAGCAGTTTTGGGTTCCACAGAAGCTACTCTTTTCATCTGCCTTGGTTATTACGGCGGTGACCCCTCACGAACAAAGACGTCGACGGCGCTCAAACTCCGACTCGGCATGCGTAGGACCTGCATTGCCATACACGTGGCCGACTGCCGCTGACTGAGAATCAAACGGAACCTCTGGAAGTCGGATAGAAGTCAGTCTTGATCAGCTAGAAGTTGCAGAACGACGATTGTACATGAGGCCCACGAACGCAGGATCGGAGACTATGTTGACACTGGAATATCGTGGTACAACGATCACAAATGGAAGCCGTACTTCCGGTGTATCTGTACCTCTGCACCCGCGTTGCGTCTAACGACGTTGAAAATGGCTTGGTACGAAAAGCTTACAGACGCCATGTGGAGGGACGCGGAGAAGCTTGGGGAGCTTAATGCACGCCACGATTGAGCCGACGGTGTTTTCCAGCTTTGATTTGTGCCGACGTCGGTTCGCGTGTGACGTTCTGCTTGAACTGGAGGAACGGTGGGGGATGTGAGCAAGCTGGTGTAGTTGTGTCTGTACTTCTATGGCGCTCCGAGCGAAATGTAGAGTGTCCTGCTGAATGGGATTAACGCTCGACAAGCAACGCGAAATCCAGATCATTGCGATCTTACAACGCTCTACAACACATCCATCCTCTAATAGCGAGCAAGCCATCCAGCACAACAACGCCAACCCATGCGGGTATAGTAAGTCAGTCGCCTGTCTGCTCTACAATGGCTTCCCGCCAATAAAGTCACTCCACCTCCTCACCTCCGACGGCACACCCTCCTTCTTCGGCAGCTTCTCGCTCATGCATTGTGCGAAGAGCACAGCAGTCTGTGATCACTCATTGTCAGCACAACTCTCAAAAGCCGTCGTACCTCAAGGTAATGTTCAAACTCACCCTCGGCTCCATAAACAACGGCACCCCAAAATCCACCGCATTCCTCCTCATCACATAATCCTCATCCACCAAACTACTCGCCCTCCGCTTCGCCAGATTGAACACACCCCTGACATCGTACTTCTCGAAAACCTCTCGTAGCGCCCTCTTGTCGTCCTTCGGGAACTCAATCACCTCGACCGACACAATGCCGTCTTTGGACGTCTGCTCCAGGTGCTGCTTCACCTCCTGGTTAGCAGCGAAGAGCTTATAGCCTAGCGGGTTGAGGTAGTCGACGATAGCGCCTAGATCCGCTGTTGAGGTGTCGCCGCCGAAGAGCAATCCTTCACCGGGTAGTGGCAGGCGGAAGTTCATGGTGCTCTGCATAGCGGTCCAGTAGGCTTCAACGATGTCTTTGCCGAAACACGCCATTTCGCCGGTGCTCGACATCTCGACGCCGAGGTAGGGGTCAGCGCCTGCTAGACGGGTCCAGGAGAACTGGGGCACCTTGACGGCGAGGAAGTCGCGCTTCTCGGTCATCAGGTCGACGGGCTCAGGCACATCCTTGTCGAGCAGCGCACGGGTGGCGACGTCGATGAAGTTGGTTCCCAGCACTTTGCTCGAGAAGGGGAAGGAGCGGGAGGCGCGGAGGTTGCACTCGATGACTTTGAGGAGACTGTCGCCGCCTTCGGGATTGGTGGCATTGATGATCTGCATGTTGAAGGGGCCGGTGATGCTCCAGGCTTTAGCGACTTTCTCTGCGATGACCTTGACGCGGTCAACCACGTTTTGTGGCAGTTTGTGAGGAGGTAGGACGAGCGATGCATCGCCTGAGTGGACACCCGCGTTCTCAATGTGTTCGCTCACGGCGTGGACGAGCAGCTTGCCATGCGAAGCCACAGCGTCGACGTCGATCTCCTGTGCGCCTTCGATGAACTTGGTGATGACGACCGGGTGGTCTGGGCTGACGCTGCTGGCGGCAGTGAGCTTCTCCTCCAGCTCTTCCTCTGATCGGATCACCGTCATGGCGGCGCCGGAGAGCACGTAGCTCGGACGGACCAAGACCGGGTAGCTGACTTCGTCCGCGAACAGCTTGGCTTCGCTGTAGCTCGTGAGCTCCTTCCATGCCGGCTGGTCGACACCGATGCTATCCAGGATCTGCGAGAACTTGTGCCTGTCCTCGGCCTTGTCAATGTCCTTGGGATCAGTGCCGAGCACCTTGGCTTTGCCAGTCTCCTGTAGCTTCAGTGCGATGTTCTGTGGCAGTTGGCCACCGACAGAGACCACAACGCCACTGGCAGATTCGAGCTCGCTGCAAGGAGAGAAGATCAAGTCAGTATGTGTCTCATGAGTACGGTGTCAAGAATGCATACTAGATATCCATCACTCGTTCGTAGCTCAGCTCTTCGAAGTAGAGTCTGTCTGCTACGTCGAAGTCGGTCGAGTACTAGGACACAGGTCAGCATAATTGCGAGCACGGAATGGTAGGAGGTCAAACCGTCTCGGGATTGTACTATGATCAGTGGTTAGCATATGGCGTCGAAGAGTTGGAACAGCAGACTCACGTTGATCATAGCAGTCTTCTTCCCCAACCCCTTCAAGCTCAACGTAGCATTCACCGCACACCAGTCAAACTCCACCGAGCTGCCAATCCGATACACCCCGGACCCGAGCACGATAATCCCATGGTCGTCAAACTTCACATCATGACTGCTGGCATTATACGTCGTGTAAAGATAGTTCGTATCCGCCGGGAACTCCGCCGCCAGCGTATCGATCTTCTTCACCCACGGGCGGATGCCGAAATTCTTCCTGCGCGCACGTACCTCGTCCTCGGTGCTATTGACCGCTTTGGCGATCTGCTTGTCGCTGAAGCCGAGTTTCTTCGCTTTGAGCATGAGTTCCTTCTTCACGCCGAACAGGGAGCCGAGGTCCTCGAGCTCGTGGGTGCAGTCGACGATATTCTGGATCTTGTAGAGGAACCACTTGTCAATCTTGCTGAGTTCGTGGACGCGGTCGACGGTGTAGCCTTCGTGGAGCATGGCTTGGCCGACCGCGAGCCAGCGGCGGTCGGTGGGGTTGCGGAGGACGTCGTCCAGGTCTTCTTCGAAGTGATCGCCTTGGAGGCCGGCGAATTTGGGGTCAACTTGGCGGATGGCTTTTTGGAAGCTCTCTTCGAAGGTGCGGCCGATGGCCATGACTTCGCCGACGGATTTCATGCTCGAGCCGATGGAGCGGTTGACGTTTTGGAATTTGGAGAGGTCCCAGCGAGGGATCTTGGTGACGATGTAGTCCAGGCTGGGCTCGAAGTTGGCGGTTGTCGTTCGTGTGACGGCGTTGGGCAGTTCAGGCAGAGTGTGGCCGAGACCAATCTTGGCTGCGGTGTATGCGAGAGGATATCCGGTGGCCTTCGAGGCGAGGGCAGATGAGCGAGACAAGCGAGCGTTGACTTCAATCACCCGGTAGTCGAGTCCATCGGGCTGAAGAGCGTATTGCACGTTGCATTCGCCGACAACTCCAAGATGTCGCACAATCTTGATCGACGCCGTCCGTAGCATGTGATACTCCTCGTCGCTGAAGGTCTGCGAAGGCGAGACGACAATGCTGTCACCGGTGTGCACGCCCAGAGGGTCAAAGTTCTCCATGTTGCATACAGTGATGCAGTTGTCGGACGCATCCCGGACGACTTCATATTCGGCCTCCTTCCAGCCCTTGAGCGATTTCTCCACCAGGATCTGAGGTGACAGCGTCAAGGAGCGAGCAGCCAGATTCCGGAGCTCCTCAGCATTCTCCGCGAAGCCAGATCCAAGTCCACCAAGCGCGTAGGCAGCTCGCACAATAATCGGGTACCCGACATTGTCCGCAGCCTCCAGCGCCTCATCAATCGTCGAGACAGCAATGCTCTCAGCAATAGGTATGTCGATCTCATTGAGCGCCTTCGCGAACAGATCTCGATCCTCGCTCGTCTTCAGCGTCTGGATACTCGTGCCGAGCACCTTGACGTTGTACCGATCGAAGATCCCCATCTCATCCATCTTGACCCCCAAGTTCAACGCAGTCTGCCCGCCGAACGACAAGAAGATGCCGTCCGGCCGCTCTTTCTCTATCACGTACGTGACATACTCCGGCGTGACTGGGAGGTAGTAGACCTCGTCCGCGAGCACGTGCGCAGTCTGGATCGTAGCGATATTGGGGTTTATCAGGACGGATTGGATGCCAGCCTCTTTCAATGCCTTCAGTGCCTGTGATCCTGAGTAGTCGAATTCGCCTGCTTGTCCGATTGACAGTCCTCCTGAGCCGATCACGAGCACTTTCTTGACGTCCACAAGGTCCTGTGCTCCGGCAATGGCTCCGCTGTCAAGGTAGGCCTTCGCATTGGGCGCCAGCTCCGTCTGGTTCTGCTGCGAGCATCGTGCCGAGCGGTGCAGAGCCCGGGCATGTTGCTGAACTGTCGGCTTGCCAGGTCTGTCATGTCTCGTGCATCGTGGTGTCTGCGAGACGAACGTCCGGCGAGCAATCCGTGGAACAGTCTGCCTCGTCTGCTGGAGGAGCTCGCGTTGCAGCTGTCGCGTGACGCGACTGCTGAGAGCCATTGGGTGTTACGGCGTTGTACAAGGAGTGTAACGGCACTCAACAGAGGCCTTGAGAGGCTCGCTACCACGATATCGTCGGGTGGATGGACGAGCAAGAAAAAAGTGACTCTACAGACCGCTTTGGTATGGCGGCCCAAGCTTCTGTTTTAAAGTTTCCTTATCGCGACAGCCTCTGCTGACGATAGCTGCTTTTACAAAACGACCACGTCAAGACGTGTTAAGGTACAGGAACTTGATGATCGTAGAGAATGACTTGAGATAAAATGCCGCTTGTATAGACAGAGCCGAGAACTTTCGCATTATCACATGTTTCTTTTGAAGCGCCAGGATAGACTTCTGCAACAAAATTTCTTGCACCTGCAGCCATTGGCGGTCCGTCTTCGGCGGGGGAGGAGCTTCAACAAGTGAACCATATGCACAGTGCGATCGTTTTCAACCACGGAGCTCATGTCTCAACTCAATTATTCGTCACAGCCATCTCAGACCAGCCAACTACACTCCAGGGGTATCTCAAAAGCAACACACTCCCACCAACGCCCAGCTAGATTCGTGAGCAAGATAGCAAACCCTTCAAAGCGCTGTCTCATCATCCGACGTCCCGTGCTCGATGGGCGTATCGTTGTCCTCCGTTGTACCATGCTTCATAAGTGCATCCCGCACCAGCTCGCCCAGATCCTGTACCATTTCGCCATCAGACAAGCGGTTGATGAGAAGCTCGTGGAGCCTGTCGGAAATTTTCGACATAGATTGAGAATCTTTCACAGAAGCGAATGCGTCATTTGTGTCGTCTGCCGACACCTCCCAGTTGAGCAGAGTGTGGTCTTGGTCGATCTTCTTGAAACCGTTCGCAATCGCTCGTGCAGTGGTCGAGAACGTAGAAACAATGTTGTGCGTGCCTTGACCAGCTGGCGTCCGCTCCAACGGTAAGCGTGATGACTTCCCCCTGCCCACTTTGTTGCCGTCTGTCGTTCGGCGGCGTTGAGCCGTCTTACGCCTCTCCACGTTTGGATCATTCTCATCATCGTCGCCGCCAACGCCCTCAGGGCCTGCTCTGGCATTGCTGCTTACTTCACGTAGCACGCGGCCCTCGCTGGTCCTGCGACGCTTGGTCGGTCGTTGCTCAGACTTCTCGAAGCCGCCCACATGGCTTTCGAGATCTGCAAGCTCGCTGGCTGGCATGAAGCCACGCGTAAGCATCGCACCATCAGCTGGCGCCGCGTTCTTAGAATCGTCTGTAGCTTTGGGAGAGTGATTGCGCTGCATCGACTGGCCACGCTTTGAGGCTGGGTAGTCGCGCCCTTCGACAATTGATGCAGCTGAGTGGTCTTGGGTGAGATCGATTGACTGAACAAAATCTCTCATGTCCCGGTTGTTTTTTGGGCGTGCTAGTGGGCGTAGTTCATCTGTCAAATCACCTAGCTCGCCCTGAGTTACCAGACCTGCCCCAGGCCCTTGCTTGACAGGCGAGCGGCGTGGGCGGTCAATACGCTCTAGATGATCGAACCAGACCTTCTCCCGCTCAGGTTCGCCTTGCTCGCGTTGAAGTGGCGACACAAAGGGTCGGTTGGTGTGCGTCTGCTGGAGCTGCTTCTTGGGGCTAGGGCTACGGCGCGCTCGGGGAGTGATCTCCGGTATTGAGGACAGAGGAGTACCCACAGGTTGCTCTGGAAGAGGCAGCGCATAGTTGTAGCCAGGAGCTCGACGCTCGCGTGGTGGTGACGAGAAACCTTCTGGCCCAAGATGCATTGGAGATGATGGTCGCATGTACGGCAGTGGAGGTGGCAGCATCTGCGATTCGATCATCCTGCCGTCTCTCCCAAAGTGCCTGCCAGGCACATGGTCTGAAGGATGGAAGTCGTTGGGTCGTACTGAGGGCGACGAAGGTCCGGGCGTCGGCAGTGCATTTGCCTGGTCGTCTGCGTCGCCTCGGATCCTGCGTTGATTTGAAGACGTAGGGGTGACTTCAGCGGGCCCGCTGCTCTCCTCCGCAGCCGCGGGCCGGCGCACGGAAGTGTGAAGCTTGGCCATGACCCATGGGTTCGATACGTTGATATCCTTGCGAGCTTGACGCAGTTCTTCGAAATCAGCTTCGGTGCGGCCAGTTGGTGGGCGAGCATCAGGTAAATCAGGATCTTCTTCATCGCATCCATACATGTTGGAACGAAAGAAGACTCGGTCATCTGTGTCATCTTCTGGCATCTGGCGAGCCGGTCTCAGATCAAACAGACCACGAGTCCTGTCCACTGCAGACTCTGGGCTTGGAGGGTGTGGGGTGTTTGATGTTGCGCGACGAGGCTCAAGGGATGATGTAAAGTCCTCTTCATCCGGTACCGAGAGGTGAGGCACGGTCTTGTGGTCTCTAGAGCTCATTCTCTCCGAATTGGGCATTTCAGGCTGAGCAGGATACACCGCCTCGAAGAGACGCCTCGCGGCAGTGACAACGACTTCCGGGTCTTCGAAGAGCACATCGTCTTTAGCTGGTTCGACATTCGCATCGTAGCTAGCTGGTGGGCATTTGATCTCCAAGAAGATGAAGAGCTCCTTCGCTCCCTGCAATGGAGATCCTGCCTTCGACAGAGCCTGTTTGAACGTCTTCGCCAGCTGCTTGGCTACACCTCTGGAAGCTGTTACCGGTCGACCATCAACGGCGATGAAGGATCCGATATTGCTGACCTTACTTGTATCCGCATCGGCACGAGGAAGGAAAGCATGAAGACTGAAGCCATTCTCCTCGACCACTGACCAGGTACATTGGGAAGCGCAGGCTGCACCAACGACCTTGAAAGCGGCGTCTTCTGCATTGCCACCAGGCTTGGGTGCGTACATCCAATTGCCTTTGTCGTGCTTCGCTTTCAGTATTCGGAGTGCGATCCGGGTCTGTGGCCTGGCGAATGCATCAGACTGTAGCAGTTGCTTGATCTTCTTCAAGGTCTTTTCCGTAGCTTTAAGCGCCACTTGCCTTCGCACGGGATGTGACTTGATGAAGTCAGTCACCTTGATCGTAGTGCCAACAGGCAGAGAAGCCCGATCCTGACCAGTGACCTCGCCCTGCCGGTTGATCTTCATGGCCGTGGCGACTTGCTCGCCCTCAACTCGAGTGCTGATGGTTAGAGAGCCGCTCACCTCGGCGACACTGGCAAGCGCCTCGCCTCCGAAGCCCAATGATGATCCACCGATGTCTTTGAGATCTTCTTCTGAGCCGATCTTGCTGGTGCAATGGGGTCTCGCCACCAGAAGTCGGTCCTCTGGCGGTATGCCATGGCCATTGTCCCGGACTTGTATGAGGTCTAAGGTGTTAGTGCTGATCTCTACGGAGATTGAGGTGGCGTGAGCATCGAGTGCATTGTCGATAAGTTCCTTGACCACTGATGCGGGATCAGTCAGGACCTGGGTCGAGCCGAGTGTGCGGATGGTGGTCTGCGGGAGTGCTTGGATGCCCATGTTGACGCTGCTTCATCCCTGCGCTCCTCCATCCATCAGGATACCTTAGATTGCTCTCTCAGCCTCTTTCGCGCAAGATAAGATGGAATAGAGATGTAGCAGAGAAATACTTTGTCCTTGATGTTTCGGAAGACGCGTTCTCACGCGTTGCCGATCGCTCCTTCCCCACGCTTCAACGCTGACGCCATGTCGATCATGAGAGTGAATGCAGCTTCAACTCTTCTAGATTTTGAGAGAACACAACACTTGAACTTCTGCTCAAGACTAGTACCACGAAACTATACCGAAATGGCGCTCAACCCAAGGTTCAGTGGTCAAAGGCTGGCCGCTGGCGTGACCGGAAAGAAGACCCTCCATACCCTCGAACTGTGTACGTCTACAACATGCTTTACAGAAGGACCTCGCTGACCTTCACCCGGTCCTTGACTATGTCTGCCCGGTATGAGTAACTGCTCTAGATCAACTGCATCATCTAGCTGAATGGCTACAGTTCTCCCAGAAAATGTTCGACACCGTCTACACTGGCGTCTACCCCATCATGGAGTCCAAGTACCAGGACAAGCTGCAGATCATCTTCCGCCAGCAGGTGGGTCAATCCATCCGTCAGCAGCACGCTATGCGCTCAGTTCGCTTACGTTCTTCGAGATCCAACCCTGGCACCCATCCTCTACCCTGGTCCACGAAGCCGGTGCAGCCGTCCTGCAGACCGACTCCGAGAAGTTCTGGAAGTTCAGCAAAGCACTCTTCGAAAAGCAGACAGAGTTCTTCGACGTCAATGTAGTTCACGAAGAGCGCAACAAGACTTACCGCCGGCTGGCGAAGATCGCTGGTAGTGTCGGTCTGGATGAGGAGACCATCTACTCTAAGCTCGAGGTCGGAGACAAGCCGGATAAGGATGGAAACACCAACATCGGTAATCAGGTGACGAACGATATCAAGCTGATGGTGAAGGTACGATAATGCCTCCTTCCGACCTCTGCCGCTTTGTCGAGCTAACATTTGATACAGGCCAACCGCTTGACTGGTGTCCATGTCACACCGACAGTGCTGTTCAACGTACGCACAGTCACGCATGGCTGTTGTCCGGACCTGCTAACGATCCAAAGGGGGTGGTTGAAGGGGGGATATCCAGCAGCTTCTCCAAGGACGACTGGGAGCAGTGGCTGGACAAGAACATCGTTTGACTCTCTGGCCCTTCCGATCTGGAGAAGCAACGATCTTCGAGGCTATGATTGTTCCCGCGAGTTGTTCTGGACTGTTCACCCAACCGAGCAGTCGTTACTATCCCGAGATGCAGCCGTAGTACCCACCAACCTCCTTCAAGAGCGGTCAGTAATGAATATGGGTATTTCTCCAAATGCTTTCTCTTTCTCTCCACTTTCAAACAGTACTCTCCACTCTTCCATGACCCAGAATGACGTCCTTCCGTCTTTCCGGCCCATCTTTCTTCCTGAGCCCAATGTCACAGCTCACATATATTATTATTACATATTCGTTCACTAATCATCGCCGGGGTAGCTCAATCGGTAGAGTGAGTATAAGCTCGCCCCTCTGCCCCATCGAATGCTAGCTAACGTCCTCCAAGGCGTGTGGCTCTTATTCATTAAGAGATTTACCTCAAGGTCGCGGGTTCGGTGAGTTTCAATCAATCCTTTGCATCCTACACCCATTCTGACTGTTAAAAGAGCCCCGCCTTCGGCTATTCCTATCCTGTGGTTCAACCACATTCAAAGGCAGCAAGGCTCGTGTGACCATTTTTTTGCATTTGTGAGATTCATTTTGGTGGGCGTTGCGAATTTTTGCTGTCCAAATTGGGTGATTTAATGGTTTTAGCGGCTATCGGAGGCGGCTCCGCCTGTACGACCTTTCGATGGTTAGGGGTCAAAGTCAGAAGCATGAGAGTAAACGTATGGAGTGTGTAGAAGCTATTAGAACATGCGGCGGACCAAAAGAATGCTAACTCTGTACCTATGAAGAGCTACATTCCGACTATACGTGCCAACAACGTCCTGGACTGAAACAAACAGCGACACAGCTCCCTATAACCACACCCACTCAACTCTCCTTAATCCCCGCCATATCGCCATCCTGCGCCCTCTTCAACGTCATCGCCGAAATTACCGCGGCCCCCACCCCCGACCCATCCTCCGCACTCGTAATCGTAATCGGATCACCCTCCCTATCCTCATCCCAACCCAACACCTCCCCCAAAGCCTTCGCCCAGCGCTGTTTAAACGTCGGATGCTTGTTCGCTACACTCCCATCCGCCGCCACGTGCCCGGACTTAATGCCTTTCTTGCGACAGATGGCTGCGATCCCGCAAGTGCAAAGTCGAGCACCCCGGACGGCGATGGCTTCGGCGAGGCGTTGGGAGAAGATGAGTTCTTCGGCGGAGGCTTCGAAGCCGAGGACGGTTTTGAAGGATTTGCGGGTCGTGGACATGGCTATGCTCGTGTCGTTTTCGAGGGCGGAGAGGAAGCCGGTGTCGAGGACGTATGGCGCTCTGAGTTTGGTGGCGTCTTGGCCTTTGAAGAGGATGTCTCTGTCGTACAGCTCGAGGACGACTTGTCGGTAGATCTCGCCTAGGTACAGACCAGCGCTCATCTTCTCGAAAGCCTGCTCGCCTGGCTTGGGGGACTCTTTGTCGATTTTGTGGTCGTACTTTGTCAGCGGCAAGACGTTGTGGGCGTTGTCGAAGGCTCCGTACTCGCAGTTGATGGCCATGGGTGTCTCGGGGGGCAGGTCTGTTTTCAGTTTGCTTATAGAGCCGACGTTCTCCATGTACGCTCCGTTGCACCCCGTTCCGAATATGGCTCCGATAACGGTTTCGGGGTCGTTGTATGCTGATGCGATCATGGCTCCGGTGGTATCGTTGATCAACGCCACAAGATGGATTGGAAGCTCCTGCTAACAGTCAGAGAAAGATGCCATCGGCAGGATGAGGATGTCTTGCCTTCTTCTCGATAGCCGCTCTTAGCAATCCAGCAGCATCCTCCCCTTCAACACCCGCAATCTCAAAACCTTTAGTCCACGTGACGAGCTTGCCATGGTCGATATACTCCTGGTGAGCCGGATAGCTGAAAGTAAAGCCCAGCTGAAGTGGATCTTCCTTCGTGCCCTTGAGATCGTGCTGTCGGATGAATTCACCAAGACACTGCGCGATGAAGTCGAATAGTTCCTCTGCCCCTCCAGTCTTGATTTCATCTGCAAGCTTATACTCCTCCTGGGTGACTTTGATATCGCCACTGCGCTCGGTGAGATGGATCCAGCAGACTCTGAGGTTGGTGCCACCGAGGTCGACCGTCAGGAAGTAACCATTCTCGTGTCCATCTGGCCAGCCCAGCACCCAGGTTACGTTCATCGACTGGCATCCTCTTTAGTAAAGATGCCATTTGAGATGGCAAGCAGTCCTACAATGTTGGCGCCATACTTGGATAGCCCATCCTCCAACTCTCGCTCAAACTGCAGACTGATTTCCTTCAATTTTTCGGCGTCCACTGAAAACTCCTGCTCCAATCGCTCGAGTTCCCGCTTCAGTCCTGGAGACAACGAATCGATGTCGTGTTGATCTATGGGTAGAGAAGGAATAGCGGACGCAAGCCCATGCTTCATTGTTAGGGTGTCCATGATGAATGAAAGAATGCAAGGAAAATTGTGCCTAACCTACTCGTGCAAGTGCCGGACCTGGGACCTCTTTTGAATGATGACTTCGGCAAGATGGAAGGTCTCTAGTCTGATGGATCACCCAAACAGCCTATCACTCTAGCATGGACGTGACGTAACCGAAAACAAGCAATGTCGTTAGGACGAAGCAGACGCAAGTAATACAATAAGAAAGGTAACCTGCCCATCTCCAGTGGGCCCTGCGGTACGGACTGCGGCTGCTTTTTCGTCTATGAAGATGGAGGACGCGGGACAATGAGATGTCAAGGAGGATAAACAAGAGGCAGGATGGCCTATCCCCAGTTAGGAAGTAGCCGCAGTGACGAAGTCGATCGTCTGGGGAGAGCTTGCCCTGCCTTACCCCGATCTCTCTGGTTGTTCCTGTACCTGACAGCTGTGTAGTCGGACTTGTTCTGACATCTGAAGATCCAACAAGAAGATGGGAGGGGAACAGAACAACATCATGGCATCCGCCTTCAAACCCACCTACCCCCAGCTGGCCGAGCGGCCAAAGGGCAAGCAGATCCACAACATCTACCGCGAGCGCTTACGCATGTTCACCGGACAAGGCCAGTACAAGAAGCAGAACTTGATGAGCAAGCTGTACGATGCACGAATGTCTGGATCGCCGAACATCGAGCTGCATGTATGGTCTGCCCCGAAGTTGTCTCGGCCAACTTTCGACGAGGCAACCAAGAAAGGCAACGAGTATCGCAAGGCGAAGAAAGGCGACAGCTTCGGCCCAAGCTGGAGTACGCATTGGTTCAAAGTGCAGTTCACGGTTCCCGAAGACTGGTCATACAATGGTCAACTCGAATTCCACTGGGAGTCTGGTTGCGAGGCAATGGTATGGAGTGAAGACGGGAAGCCATTACAAGGATTGAGTCCAAACAACCGCACGGAATGGATATTGCCATCCGAGTGCAGAGAAGCTGGGGAGGAGAACACCATATACATTGAGATGGCGTGCAACCAGATGTTCGGGAACCCAACAGGAGGAGATACAATACAGCCGCTAGATCCGCACAGATACTTCTCAGTCCGCGAAGCAGATATCGTCAGTGTCAACCTGGATGTCCGCGCACTGTACTACGACTTCTGGATTGTTGGTGATGCTGCACGTGAGTTTCCTGAAGATAGTTGGGAGGAGCATCAAGCTCTGCAGATATGCACTCAGATAATGGACAAGTTTATTGCGGAGGATGGGTCAGATGCCTGCATCAAGGATTGCCGGGAGATTGCAAAGCGCTATCTTGGTGACAAGATCGATTCTGCGGACGTCTACAAGAGCGACAAGATGCCTCTCGTGCAAGGGATCGGCAATTGTCATATCGACACCTGCTGGTTGTGGCCGTGGGCTGAGACGAAGCGAAAGGTGGTGCGGTCATGGTCGAACCAATGCGATTTGTTGGATCGGTACCCTGAGCATCGCTTTGTAGCATCGCAGGCACAACAGTTCAAGTGGCTGGAAATGAACTACCCGTACGCATTTGATCGAGTAAAGAAGCACATCAAAGAGGGCTCGTTCCAGACAGTCGGCGGCAGCTGGGTAGAGCACGACACTAACCTGCCTGGAGGGGAGTCCTTGGTCCGACAATTCGTCTACGGCCAGCGATACTTCGAGTCTCGCTTCGGTCAACGATGTCGTACTTTCTGGTTGCCCGACACATTCGGCTACTCCACGCAGCTTCCGCAACTCTGCAGACTGGCTGACATGAACCGCTTCTTCACGCAGAAACTCAGCTGGAACAACATCAACAACTTCCCTCACACTACATTCAATTGGGTGAGCTTAGACGGCAGCCAGGTTATCTGCCACATGGCACCTGCCGAGACCTACACTGCCATGGCAAACTTCGGCGATGTCACAAGATCCGTCACCCAGCACAAGAGTATGGATCAAGATGCTACGAGTCTCCTGCCATTTGGCTTCGGAGACGGCGGTGGAGGCCCGACTTCCGAGCAGCTTGAGAAGCTCAGAAGATGTCGAGGCATGAGCGACCAGATCGGCGAGCGTATGCCTCGTGTGCAGATGGGCGGCACAGTCGAAGACTTCTTCGACCGGCTCGAGAAGAAGGCTGCCACTGGCGAGACTGAGTTCGTCACATGGTACGGTGAGCTGTACTTCGAGCTGCACCGTGGCACGTACACGAGTCAAGCGGCCAACAAGCGGAACAACCGAAAGGCCGAGATCTTGCTCCACGACATCGAGTACTTGGCCACGCTGGCGACCATTGGCGGCGACAAGAAGTACAAGTACCCCAAGAAGGATCTTGATGAGATGTGGGAAAATGTTCTCTTATGCCAGTTCCACGATTGCTTGCCCGGAAGTGCCATCGAGATGTGCTACGACGACTCGGACGAGCTGTATGCGAAGGTGTTCAAGACCGGCAACAGGCTGCTGGAGGACGCAATGGAGGCGCTCGGCTTTGATGATGGGTCGAGAGGCTCTCTGCCAAAGGCTGTCAACACCTTGGGCTGGGAGAGGAAGGGACTACTGCACATGCCAACTTCTACCGAGCCCAAGAGGTACGGGTTCATTGATGGCGGTATCAATGTCAGCAATGTGCCGAAAGACATCGCTGCGTCCGTCGAGCAGGTCGATTCAGACGTCTTCGTGCTCAAGAACAAAGATCTCGAAGTCAAGGTTGAAGGTGGCGCCATTACGTCTCTGTACGACGTCAAGGCGAAGCGAGAGACTGTTCCGAAAGGCTCCAAGACCAACCAGCTTGTCATATACGACGACAAGCCTCTCTACTGGCAAGCCTGGGACGTCGAGGTGTATCATCTGGAATCCCGCAAGGAACTCAAGGCGACTAGTGAGGCTAAGATCACGGAGGCCGGGCCAGAACGTGTGGCTGTCAGCACCACCACTCAGATTTCAGACAAGTCGTGGATTACGACGACCGTCTCGCTCGCGGCGTCCGTCGATTCTAACCAGCCATCGCAGGTCGATGTCGACGCCGAAGTGGAATGGCATGAGACCATGAAGTTCCTGAAAGTAGAGTTCCCCACCACAATCACAAATACCGAAGCATCATACGAAACGCAATACGGCATCGTCAGGCGCCCCACACACTACAACACGACCTGGGACATGGCAAAATTCGAAGTCTGCTGCCACAGATGGGCCGACCTCTCCGAGCACGGCTACGGCATGAGTATCCTCAACGACAGCAAGTACGGCTTCGCAACCGCCGGCAAGACAATGCGTCTGAGTTTGCTACGAGCTCCAAAGGCGCCAGACGCGCATGCGGACATGAAGAGACATCACATCAGATGGGCCATCCTGCCCCACGCAGGCCCGCTGGACGAGAGGACGGTGCGGGCTGGATTCAACTTCAACTATCCGCTGCGCACTGCTTCACACCCGAACCCGGCGAAACTTGATAAGTTGCTCTCTGCTTTCAAACTCACTTCTGACTCTTCGCCATCGCTCATCGTGGACACTGTCAAGCGCGGCGAAGACGATGAGGACGCGAGCAATGGCGATATGCCGGCGAAGAAGGGCAGGCACGTCATTCTCAGGATGTACGACAGTCTGGGTGGACTCAGTCGAGGCACGATTAGTATGGGAGGCGTCAAGGTGGGCAAGGCGTGGAAGTGCAACTTGCTGGAGGACGAGCTTGAAGAGATGAGCATTGGGGATGAGGGGCTGGAGGTGGAGTTGCGGGCTTTTGAGGTCGCTACTTTTAAGTTGCGGCTGGAGTAAGTCACCAACGAAGAGGGTATTGTCCGGCATCAGGGATTGTCCGGCATCATGCATAGGAACAAGCAACTGTATTCATACTGAAAGACGATGGACAAGAATCTGCAACTTGGAGGAGTTCCCTGGTCTCATAGCCAAAAGCTGGACGACGATGTAAGTGTGGAATCTCTTTTCTTTATCCATCTGTCATAGGGAGCAAATGACTCCAAAGAGGTGGTGGCGATGCTTAAGACCATCACGTTTCCAAGGCTCGATTCGGCAGTGGAAGGCCTCCGGCTGAGGAACCTGGCAACCACCAGGCTGGACACTGTTCCCAGGCTGCCTCGCTTCTTGCTGCAATCACCCAAGATTGGTACAGAGCTGTGACACTCGGGATAATTCGAGCGGCACATGGCTCCAAGGATGGACTAGCTCGTCCAATGGCCAAGACCTCAAAGCCAGCAAGCCCCCGGTGGCTTCGAGTCGAATGCAGGTACGAGGCTGAACAAGGAAGTATTTAAATACCTACGACGACTCCAATAGCATGTCGCCGTCCTCCACAAGACTGCAGAGAACTCTGCATCCGGCCCACAGTCTTTCAACATGTCACTATTCATTTTCTCGGCCGCTCTAGGCCTCTTCGCGACTGCTGGCGCAGTTCGTCGACAAGCTGGCCAGACTGGCATCGACTTCCAACCTTGCCAGGAGCTGAACAACAACATAACCAGGATCAATGGCGTCGAAGGCACCACATTTGAGTGCGCAACGCTCAACGTCCCATTAGACTACACCGATCTGTCCTCGCGCCCGTTGGAGCTGGATTTGTTCAGAGTGCCGGCCACGGAGGAGCCGGTCTTAGGAAGCGTTCTCATCAATTTTGGAGGTAAGGTGCATGTCATTCCTATAACGAGGTCGTTGTCAGCTTACACCTTTGGCATAGGACCTGGCGGTACTGGAGCGGAAAACCTGCCTGCGTACGCTGCAAATGCACGCAATGTCATTGGAGCTCAGTGGCATCTGGTGTCTTGGGATCCTCGAGGAACGGGCAACACGATACCGTTCCAGTGTGACGTTTCTGCTGTAGCTGGTAAGTACTGACGGCTGGTGGAAACGTCTGAGAGAGGCAAAGGTGCACGATACGACGTGCCCAACTGCCTCCAGCTCACCCATTTTGAAGTTCTTGCTGACACACTCGTCTATCACATCAGGCATAACAGTACCTTCTCGAAAGCGTGATGAGCTTGGAAACCTTGTCAGCACAAACACAACCGAAGTCTTTCTTGAAGGCGCATGGCAATCAGCTGGTCAAGTCGCAGATGCTTGCTATGCACAGAATCGAGAAGACGAGACGGCGACGCTCATCGGCACGGCTTTCGTCGCTCGAGACATAATGGAGATTGTAGACGCGTTGGATGAAGACGGTCTGCTCCGCTATTACGGCTGGTCGTACGGAACAGCCTTGGGCAGCTACGTGGCCGCCATGTTCCCTGACCGTGTGGAGAGTATGGTACTCGATGCCAACGTCAATCCTTACGACTACCGAGCAGGCCATTACGGGAAGTGGACATCTGACACCGATGAAGCATTCCAAGGCTTTATACAAACGTGCTACAACGCCACCGACGACTGCGACCTGTACACCCTTCTCCAGCCCGACTCGCCGCAAGACATTCTCGACGCCATCAACCTCGCTCTCACACCATTTGCACGCAACGCTACCAACGGTGACCAAGCCTATCTCGCCTACCTCGCCCTCAAATTCTCAATAATCAATCCCCTCTACTTCCCCCGAACCTGGCCCATGCTCGCCTCAACAATCGCAGAATTACTGAACGGCTCCACATCCGCTCCACCATCTATGGAAACCTACGGCACAGCAGAAAACGCCATCTTGGGAATCCGCTCGGGAGACGCCACCTTCATCGCTAATTCCACTGAAGAGTACCTCCCGCAAGTCGAGTACCAATCCACCATCAGCCCGGGCTTCAGCGACATCGCATACTGGCCCCTCTGGATCTCCGCGCAATGGCGGATACCGGCTCGCGAACGGTACTGGGGGGTCTTCAAAGCTACGACTAAGACGCCGATCTTGTATATTAACGGCGAGTTCGACCCGGCGACGCCATTGGTAAATGCCTACACCTCTAGTAAAGGGTTTGAAGGGAGTGTTGTGCTACCGCATAGTGGGTATGGACATGGGATCTTTGCGGATCCATCGGAGTGTGTGGCGAGGTATGTGAGGGCTTATTTCAAGGAGGGGACACTGCCGGACGGTGGGACGCGCTGCGAGCCCGATCAGAGTGTGGTGGAAGTTTGGAGGAGTGCTGTGAGGGCGGATGAGGCAGCAGAGAATTCGTCAACCACTGGTGGATCGAATGCTACGAGCTCTGCTACTCCTGCGGCGACGAACGGTGCAGGCCGTGTGCGAGGCAGTGTTGCGCTGGCGATTGGGGCAGTGGTGGCTGTGGCAGTTATTGGTGTGCTGTGAACGCTGCCTTGGCCTTCACACCTGGTACTGTTGTCTGTCAACGTAAGGTGCAAATCTACTTGTCATGCCCGCTCAACACGATGGTGGAGAAGCTCGAGAAGGCACATAGCGATCTACAAAGGCAGTGCATCGTGTTCCGACAGGATGAAGAAGCGATTGACGGTCGACAGCCACACTCAATGAGGCTGTGTTCGCCAATGCCATTGAGACTGAGATACTTCCGAAGAAGCCGTTATACCAAGTGAATCATGTTCGTTGCAAGAGCGGGTCTTGATGAGCAGGCAGCCGTATTCCAATGGTGATTGTGGTTTCAATGGCCCATATCGTTGCGTCCAATGCCATGAATCGACCAGCACATACAGACCAGATGAATGTTGCACCTGATCGTTTACTAACTCATTATCTAGAATTGGCATCGGATTGTCCAAGCAACCTACTGCAGCATGGCGGGGCCTCAAGGCCAATGAGTAGCGGGAGAATTTGGCAGCCTTAACCCAAGGCCTCGGAGTCGTCCCGTCTTGTGTACTAAACCTGCTTGCAACACCTTCTTTGAACCACCTCCTTACAATGGTAGAGACTCCCAAGACTCGTCCGGCCGTGGCATGCCGTTTCAATGACGGGTATGACCTGAGGGCGGGGTTGCGGGTATGGAGGTACAATAAGATTTCATAGCCTCCTTCTGCTGTCCATACATCTATAGGCTCTGTTCGACCGCATAACACGGGCAAGTTGCGCACACACCCAGCACCACCATGGCCGTCCACAACGTAGACCACGCGTTTTCAGCAAAGTCGGCGAAGTTCGTCTTCGCTGCCCGCTTGATCCAGGTAAGCGGCAATCTCTTCATTGTATGTACTTACAAGACCGCTAATACCTCGCAAAGGTCACCTTCGGAACGCTGTTGATAGGCCTCACCGCCGGCCTCATGGTCTATTGGGTCGCAGCGTACGGCCTGCAGGTCTATGATTATCCCGACACGTGGACCTATAGGCAAATGGCATGGACGCTCCTGCCTGCAACAGTATTCTCGAGCATGACCGTGCTCGTGGGTGCCATTGGCTTGTGTGAGTAATGTGGAATGCCGAAGCAGCAGCTCCGCCAGCTTTGAATACGCTGACAACTCTGTCCGCGGTGCAGTCGCGCACAAGAGACCGAACGATATCCATTGGCACCTAACCCTCGGCCTCGATTGGTTCGCGTTCGCCATCAGTCTGGCCAACCTCCCCGTCAGTCAAGCATACCCCTGGTCCTCGTGAAAATGGCACTTGCTGATTTTCCACCAGCTCAGCACCGTCCTCATTCCTCCCGGATATTACGACACGATCCGCTACGTCGCCATCCCCACAACTATCGTCGCTCTTATTGTCTTCCTTGCCAGCTTGGTAAGTACTGATGAGAGCTCGTGATGATTTTGGGCGACACCTACTAACCAATCCCTCTTTCTGTTCTCCAGGTCCCCATCATCCGCACCCACCGCCTCAAGAAGCGTGGCATGCTGCCGCCCCGCAACTCGCCCAAGGAGAACTGGTACCTGATGGAGGATGCAGTCTCAGCGTACCAAAGGCCGAGCTCAACGTACCCAAGCTCGACGCAGCAGCCGAGCAACTATGTTCATCAGCCTTCCCAAGCTGCTTCCAGGGCCGGTACGACGGCACGTTGGAGTGGAGTGACGGATGAGACGGCTTTCAACAGCATGAGGAGCGAGACAGAAGCGCCGCCTTATAGTGAAGGGTCGGCGAGGAGTGTGAAGCCTTATGTGTGACGACATGGTTGAATCGTCAAGTGAGAGAGAGGTAATAAATGTGAAACGAGAAATATTATGTACTTCAACGTGACGAGCAATGACTTCGAGATGCAAGAGATGACTTTTCTTCAACAAACTCAATCGATGGTAAGGGCGAACATATTGGACAAACCCCGGACAATGTTATCATATATCGTATAGTCTACCATTACCTTCGCAACTCAGAGCGACCTCACACTTTCAAGTTCCCTGTAATGTAATCATCGAGACGGAGCTCCTGTGCAGCATGTCAGCAATTCACTCACGGAAATAGACCAGAGCCCAGCAAAACCGAGGCGTGCTGACCTCAAAAGATGAGTCTCGGAAACGGTCATGGAATGTAAGGCTTTGATACTCAACACAGTCGGTCCCTCCATGCCAGTTGGGCTCCCATGCATGTACTAGGTTAAATTTCCAACTTCGGGTGCCGCGAGTGCTCGTGTAGTACGTAGGAGCAGATGACTTACCAAAGCTCGGCCAGGGTTTCTGACCACGGTCTCCGGATGCTTGGGCGGCAGCGCCGCTGGATGGCCGACTGGGAGAAGGCCCAGCGAACAGACCGGTTGAGCGGACATCGGTGGGTGCCGCTGGAGCAAGTGATCGGTTGAAGTCGAAGATGTGTTGCTTCTCTGGCTCTGGAGGCGCTTCGACATCGGCATCGCTTGTCGAACGGCTGGGAGGAGTTATAGCAGAGGGACCCGTGTAGTCTCTCTGGTTGCGGGATTCGATAACTGGCGCTGTTAGTACAGCCCAGAAAGCGTTCTGGCTCTGTTGTGCCTACATCTTCCGTGCGCCGTTGAAGCTTGACAGGTCTTGATCACTTCTTCTAACGCTGTTTCCTGTTTCTTCGCCCTCTCGCGCTGTCAGCGAACGTCCGCGGGCTCGGCGGCGATCTCGGTGATGACCGTGTTCTCCATGATGGGTACTTGATCGGCTGGGAACAGGTCGCCGAGATCCGCGAGAAGGCATCTTTGGATACCGAGAGCGGCCACGTTGTCGATGAAGGTGTTCAAGGATATCTACACTCCGGTTAGTCCGATGGCTTCTAACTAATGGTCTTTGGGTTTGAATCGCAAGACAGGGTCCCGGGACTTACCCGATAATAGTCCTGCGCATAGTCCAGCTCAAGCGCAGCCTGTACCATCTCTTCTGTGAAATTGGAGCGGAATTTCTCAGCAATTGAATGCCAGTACCCTTTGGACTTGCGGTTCCCGAGACTTCGGTTCGCTGTCATCGGATGACTGTGATTGAACGGCCAGATCAGCTCCTGCAACTTCGACTCCAGTAACTTGCGCCTTGCCTCGAGGCCAACGCTGTTGTCTTCTGGGTACAGGTAGGCACTAACGAAAGCCGGTCCAGTGTGGTCACCAGCAACATGCTGAATCGCCAGTGTCAAGAAAGCTGAAGTCGCATCGAGACATTGCCCGAGGTACTCCTCAGCGATGCTCTGCCATGGGACCGACAACTGGCGGAAAATTGTTCGCGCAGTCCTGCTCGACGGGAGACCTCGCAGATCCTTGCCTCGTGTGCGCTCAATGTGAGTTGCTAGTTCTGCAAGATAATCGTCGAGAGCCACTTCCTCAGTACGAAGACCAGTCCCTGTCGTATAAGGGGCAAAGAAGTTCAACTCCAGTGCTTCCGTTGATTGATCCGACTTATCATCCCTGCTATCCATAAGTTTTTATTGGTGTTTCAATCGTGGGCAGACGCTTACCCGGATTCTTCTCCGTTTTCTTCGGCGGTGTCAACCTGATCGGCGTCGTCTTCGTAGAGGCGGCCGTCCTCTCCTCTGTAGACGATCTTATATTGACTGCCGTGTTTGCGTATGTCGGCCGAAAACTTCTCAGTCACCGTCGTGATCCTGTTGCCTAGACCCTTCTCTGGTTTTCAGTTGAAGAAATCTCCAAACTCCCGACCTTTGTAGTCTCCCCCATCGAGTGCAGCCTCGATCAGCCGCCGTAACCTGTGCAAGATGTCCGACAGATACTTCCTCTGGTCCGCCTGACCAGATCTCTCGGGCCCGAGCCGCTCAATGGTCGCCTTGCATGAGTTGCGCTGTCGTTGCATTTCGGATATGAGAGAGGGGAGCGTTGCCGTGATGCTTCTGAACAACTGGTCGCTCAACTTTTTGCGCAGCCTGTAGATTCCCCGAGCATCGGGACTCAGTCGAGACCAAGCGCTGTCTTCAAAGAACTTGCGCTCGACCGCCTCTCGGTGAGCCGGACTGCGATCGCTAGACTCATCGTGACGAATGTTCCTGAGAACATGCCAGCACAATCGCAGTTCGGGCTTGGCGCTCATCGCCATGCCGATGACATTGTGCTCCAGGTCACTACCTTTCGGAACCCGATCAGGCTTGGTGATGACGCCCATGGTACGATCACTCGCCCCTTCGACCCGACGGACGAGTCCCAGGATTTCTTGATTCTCGACGTTGTTTTGAGCATCGGTAACGGCAAGTACAGTTGTCCTCGGACTTTTAATGTATTCCAGAACCAAGTCTTTGATCTTTTTCTTGTCGCCAGGCTCTGCGATGTCTTTCGGCTCATAGTGGATTATGCCCGGCAGATCAATCAGAGTCAAGTGAGGCTGCTTAGGCCCACTGACTTCGACGCGGAGACGGTCTCTCCAGAAGTGGCATTGCGGTTCCAGCAGTTTGAGATGATCCGCCGCTGCTTTGATGGCGACGCCGAAATGTTCGGGATCAGTGATGCCCTCAGGCTGTCGGAATCCTTTGATGCGTGCCTCCATCTGCAGTTCGCGGTCTGAAGCGGGGACGATGTCTATCGTGAGACTTTCTGTAGACGAACGGCGAAGGATGACTTCGGTTGCGAAACGTGTGGTTGTCATTGCGCCCAGTGGAAAGGGAACGCCGGCGATGGCCTCTAAAACAGAAGACTTTCCGCTTGACTGGTCGCCGCATACCACGATTTGCGGCACACTGATTTCGGCATCAATGTGTTCCGAACGAAGCCTGTCAATGGCGTTTAGTAGCTTTGCATGCGGAGGGGACTGAAGCTGGCTTAGATCAGAGTTTGTGTTCGCCATTTCAGCGCTGGGAGCCTTGTTGCGAGCCGTTTCGCTGCTCATGGCAATGGGAGGTTTGTTTTGTGCTGTACCACTAGCCATTCTGAAAGGGCTGTTCATGATGGGCAACATGGAAGAACGGCAAAAGCAAGTGGTCTTTCTGGGTAGAGAAGCAAGAAATGGTACTGTTGCGGAATTGGGAGTTGAGGTCAGAACAAGAAAGAAAGGTCTTATACCTTTACCATGATCATCAGCTGGAGGAGGACGAAACATGCCAGAGCGCATGCGTTCTGGAGGCGCAGCGCCACAACGCAAGTCGCCAGGGCTGTTGAATTGCGTCCACGAATGACACCACTTCAGTCATGGTATCCTGATAACGAGCGGCTGGAAGGTCGTCTGTGCCGCACAGTAGGACGGTTCGCAGGCACACTTGGCAGGCACCGATACTGCTGGATTTGATATCGGGAATATCGACGAGGTAGAAGAGCACGGAGATGCTGGAAGATCTCAGAACTGGTGTATCTCAGTTTGGTCCAGTCTCCATGGCAAAGTATAGTCGAATATACTGCCATCAAAAGACATTCGTCGCAGAGAAGATGTTCTCACGCTGGCCTTTGAACAAAGCAGTTTTCAATCATGCAAAGCATCAACCCTTCTCCATGTCCATTTCTTGCGCAAAGCTGACCCCAGGCGTTCGGAGCAGGGGTGGCAGTGGGCAGAACGCGGCGGCTATAGCAGCCACCATCATGGTCTTGGGCTGGAGGGACGGGATGTCTGTTTCAAGCGCTCGCGTGTTGTTGCCGCCAGCCGCCTTGATGGCCATGTTTTGCGCGAAATCGGTGTTGATGGTCGTTCGAGAGAAAGGATGAGGTTGGAGAGATAAGGTTTTTGAGCTGATGGACGGGACGATGGGGATGCCAAGCCACGTCTCCGGGAAGGGACGAGGCGATGTTCGTCGCATGTTCGTTTCGAATGCGACAACATAGTGTTAGCGATGGAGAACTCGGACTCTAGTGATCTTTGGCTGTTTGGCTACGGGTATGATCTGCACAGTCCGGACGCCTCCACTCGTAACGTAGGCTCATGAACTCGTAGGTCGTTGATATGGAAGCCGCCACCGCATTACGGTAACTCTCCATGTGACTGAAGACAACCAAAGTGGTAAACTGATATACGCGCTTGATATAGACCTACGTGTCCCCGGGTATATTGAGGGATACGTCCGCCGGTTTTGGCAGGTATGCGAGTCGTCGAAGAGTCCATCATCGAGCGCTGGCTGAAGCGTTCAACGGCAGGCCAGGTACTCTATGTCTTCGGCAAGAACTTGCATCGAACTTGAGCTGAGCAATGGTGCAGTCAAGACCACCGCGGCACCCCAGAAGCACCCGGACGCGTGGCAACACTCATTGACCGGAAGCTATGGGAGACCTTAACGGACCATGTGAATCCTTCCCCCTCCCCTTCGCCACATCCACCGCGCTGACAACCCCCAGCACGCCACCGCCCCTCCTAAAGTCTGGGGCGCCGCCTACCGCGTCCCCGCCCCCCGCGTCGCTGAAGTGAAAGAGTACCTCGACATCCGCGAGATTAACGGCTACAGCATCCAATACACCCCCTTCAACCAGGACATGTCCGCTACCTATCAGACCATCCACGCGGCACCGGACAGCGATGCCAATTTACCAGACCAGATCAAATGTCTGGTGTACATCGGTCTGCCGGACAATCCGCAGTTTCTGGGGGTCCAGGAGCCGCAAGCGTTGGCGGAGCATATTGTGCAGAGTCGAGGGCCGAGTGGGGAGAATGTGGAGTATTTGTTCATGTTGGAGGAGGGGCTGGAGGGGTTGAGTAGGTGAGTGCTCGTGGATTATGGGTTGAGGTGGGTGTTTGATGTGCGATATGGCTGACCTCTTGCGTTCTGAGGGTGCAGGGAGAGTGGGGACGAGCATGTTAGTGATCTTGCGAGGAGGTGTCGGGAGATTCAGGCGAGAGAGAAACAGTGAGGAGATCTCAAGACACAGCACCATAGACGTATACAGGCGCGAACTGGATGATTTGCGCTCAGTGTTGTCAATTTCTGTGTCCTTCTAGACTGACCTGCTACCATGGCTGTCTTGCAAGCAAGAAACAGTGAAATGGGCGACCCGGGCACATGTGGCAGATTTATCCAAGACGAGGTTGCGGTCAAAAAGGTCACATCACTCTCGTCAGCGGGCGGTCATTGTCTCTGAGAAGGTCTCTTGCACGGCTCACTCTGACCTGATCATGATAGGCCGCTTGCACTGTCGACAGCTTGTTTTTGCTCCTGGTGCATCGGACCAGAGAACGGAGGGCGCACGACATAGATTGTCACGAGACCGGATTGTGTATGGAAGTGCTGATCTTGTTGATGGGCTCTTGCGTCTCTCATAACCACGACGGCCGCCCAACCTGTAATCGAAGACGTCAATCGCACATCAACGCGTGCTTTGACAGATTGCGGCGGGTCAAGCGAGTCATGGTAGCAAGGTCACCCAGCACAGGTCGAAAGGAAGCTGTACATACCAGGTAGCTGGCACGAAAGCTACCACACAAGCGGACTGGCTTGCGCAGGAACACAAATCCTAGACATCGGAGTGGCCTTCACATCCGCGGAACAGCCCTTTGAGTTACATGTATCTGGTAAGATCGAGGCCTACTCCACGTGGTCCGAACCTTCTCCAGCAAAACTCAAAATAGCCTTGTGATCGACGGCCAGGATGGTGGCTCGAACGCTTTTTCGAGAAGCCAACTTCGCTGGCTCCATGTCGTTTGCCCGCATTCGCGAGTTGTGTTCCTGGCCCTTCATACCGTAGTGGATGCGACATCGTGATAAGGACGACATATGCGTCCTATGTCGATTGCAGACTCGCAGTGGGTTGCCAGCGGCAGGAGGCAGCAAGGGGTCGGTACATGCTCGGTAGTCGTAGTAGTCGCATATGCGTAGACCAAGGGCCAGAAGTCAGTGGCGCCGCCTTCGTTGTTCGCTCCGTTGGAAGGTTTTGGCAATAGTCGTCCTCGTGATACCAAGGAAGTCTGTGTGGTTGTTGTGAACGCGTCTTTGGAGTGTGATGAAAGCGAGGTGGTGAATTGAAACAGTCCTTGTTGGAATTTCCTTGCTTCCTTCGACTCGACAGCTCCGCCACCACCTTCTCAGCCGCCGTCCATCCCTGCGCGAATGCAGGTGCCGGCCTAATCAAAACCTCCGATTGCTCGGTCGCACTGCAGCTCTCTTCCCCTTCTGGCCGCTCGTCGCTTGCATTCTCGCCTTGCGCATCACCTGCAGTTTCCTGTTTGTGCGACGAGAGAGACCGACTCTTCTGCCCTCAAAAGCATGCGTGTGCCACCCTCTTGACCTCCGGACGACGAAGCGGTGACTCTGGAAGCACACGCGACGCGATGGAGTCGTCCCTCGAGTCTGGAAGTGAACACGACTCGCTGGAACTACGCTGCGTCAAGGCGCTGTTTCTGGAAAGACAGTATCGGCAATGCATCACCACCTGTCGCAACGCCTTGGAGGCCCATGACAACACTCATGGCGCAAACCCACTACGCGCCACCTTCTTCCGCTTCTACCTGGCGCTCGCACACGATGAACTGGCGCGCGCGATGCACAATTTCTCCCATGCGAAGGTGGTAGCCTTTCAGCAAGCCGCGGAACTCTACGATGAAGCGCTGCAGACCTTGCCATCCGCCCAGGACTGCCTGGCCTCCATACCGAGGAAGACAGCCACCAGCACCCGTGAACCTTCGCCTGAGATGAAGGCGACGTCAAGGCACGACAGTCTGCACTCAAATGGCGCGAATGACCGCTTCCGCCCAATGTCCGCTCAAGGCCTGATGCCACTTTCGCCACCGACTCACATGCGCAACAACAGCCTACCAGTCCGCTCGCCACCGCGAAGCACATCCGCCGACACCCTGACCTCCGACCTCGACGACCTGGAAAGCCACAACAGCTTCAACGACATCATGACACCCACACGCTGGCCCACAAGACTAGAACGGGACTACTCATCCATGTCCCTTCTCCAGCCCGCGCAAAGACAAATGTCCCACCACCTGATGCGACCAGTCCGCATGGGCTCACCCGCGAAATCCTACCACCTCCCCTCCATTCCCCAGACCCAGCAACGCGCCCAACTCCTCCGCCTCAACACCGCTCCCACCCACAGCTCGCCAGTGCGCAAACAACTCCTCACCCAAAGCGAACAAGCCTCCCCCGTCTGGGAACAATTCTCGCCCGTCTCACCTCTCGACTCCGACGACGAGGACAGCTTCTCCGACACCGGCACCATCTCGCCCATCTCCCCCGAAACGCCCTGGCACCACGACCACTGGGTCTCGGCCCTCACTTCCCGTTCTCACCACGTATTACTTGAAGAGCACCTCCACGCCCTGCAAACGCAGATTCACACGCACATCCGGCTGTTACAAACAGCGCAGCAACGCACACTCGAAGCCAAAGCCGCTCGCACGCTGGCGCACGAATCGATGTTTAAGGGGCAGCGAGGGCAGGCGCGGGCGAGAGGGAGCGGAAGCGGCAGTGAGATGGCAGGCAAGAGGATGTTGTCTGAGCGGAGTTACTGGAGTTTCACGACGGAAGAGGTGCGGCAGGTGGAGAAACGGAATCGGATACTGGCGGCGAAGGTGCGGGGATGGAGGAGGGAGCGGTTTGACGGGGAGAGGTATCGAGAGTTGGCTGCAAGGGCGTTGGCGGAGCTTTGATGGGGAGGGATGGGATGATTCTGGGAATGGAACAATTGACATGATGGATTTGAGATGAGTACTGCAGCGTGGCGTTTGGGAAGGGAGTTTGTGAGATTGAGATACCCAGAGCATGAGGCGGACTTGCTTGCGCATAGCGATAATGCAGTTTTGACACGATACGCAGAGAATGAGAGATGCTACCTGATGCTGAAACTAGAGCTTCTTGCAGACCTAATTCAGATTCTCTGGACAAGATCAGTGAATGTAGTGGCCCCAACATACTTCAAGATTTCGAGAGGAACGACCAGCAACGCTTGACAGCCGCTTATTCTCCTCCAACCCTAGGATCTAGTATGCGTGCCACAGTCGCTGTGGTCCCGGCATCACCAGCAGCCTTGCGGAGAATGAGCAAGAGATGGAACCAAAACCGCCTCTTCTCCAACACACGAAAAGTGGCACAAAGAGAATGCTGCACTCACCTCCATTCAACTACATACTGGAGAAGAACGCCGCTTCACCCCATCCCACCCAAGCCCACCTCATTCCAACGCTGCCCGCCTGCCCGCCGCCCCATCTCCACCGGCCCCAAAACGCCCACAAACAACACGACAAGGGAACACGCAGTACTTACGATTGAGGAGAAGCGGCCGCGCCCGCTCTCCCGATCCCACTGTCCTGACGCCGCAAGTCCTGTCGCGCGAGCAAGGCCGCCCTGAGCGCCTTCTCGCGCAGCAGGTTCCGCTCGTGGTGCGCGGCTCCGCCGCTGCGCTGGCGTGTGAGGGGTTGCTAAGGAGGAGAAGGAATGTTAGCCTACCTGTCTTGGTAAAGGAAAGAGTTTCGATCTGTGATGCTGGTGATGTTGGTACAGCAGCTATGTAGCCAGTGAGGTGAGGTCAGCTCAAGAGTCGTTACCCACTTGTGCGCCTGCCTTCGTCTTCTCCGTGTCGGTCTGTGGTGTTACACTCGGAGATGTGCTGGCGCTTGGCTCGCGTGAGAGGCGACCGGCTTCTTTGCGGAAGCTCTCCTTGCGGCGGTTAGTGGACATTAGGTCGTTTGACGCGAGAGCTGTGTCTTTCTTCTTCTTTGCTGCTGGGGACGGGTGAGATGGTGCGGAGTCCGAGGTAGATGGACGTGCTGCAGAGGGCGAATCTCTACGGTTGCGCTTGGCGGGTGGCGATCTGCTGCGGTCGGACGATGAGGGTGATCTGCGACGATGGCGTCTTGGAGATGGCGAGCGGCGTCTAAGGGCGGAAGAGCGCTTACGGCGACGGTCGGAGCCTCGATCACGCGAACGAGAGCGCTCAGTGCTAGTGTTGCGGCTTCGGCGTGGTGGGCTGCGAGAGCGTGACGGGTCGCGTCTCCTGCGTCGCGGAGGCGATGGAGATCGGCTGTAGGATGGCGAGCCTCGGCGGCGTGGGTTGCTGGGAATATAGCTGTCGGTAGCTCGTGGCGGCGGTCTGCGATAGTCGTCATCGTCATGCCGACGTCTTGGAGGTGGTGATCTCGAGTCACGAGGCGCACGGCGATCGAAGTCACGACCACCGCGGCCGCCTCTACCTCGCCCGCGCTCACTGCGCTCACGGTCTCTGACGCGAGCGACATCACGCTCTCTCTCGCGGTCGGCTTCCTGACGCTTCAGTGCATCTTCGCGCGCTTTGTCCTCGTCGGCCTGGAAGATGTCAGCTAGTTTCCGAGGATCAACATTAGCAATCTCACCTTAGCCTGTGCGAGTTCCGCCTTCTTCGCTTCGAGGAGCTCTTTCGGCACGCCATGCGGGCTGTCTTGTGCACTCAGACAGAGCTTCCACAGAGCTTGGCAGAACGGAGCAGCATCTTTGTCGAGGAAGCCCGTAAGCTGGATCTGGAGCTCTTTGATGTTGGGCTGCGTCGCACATTCAGCACTTCCGCGTACCTCTGCCATTCTGATATAGACTCACATGTTTGGAGGAGTCAAGTATGTTGTTCACCAGCTCAGTCACGACATCGTCCTCGCTCTTCAAGATTCTCGCAACCTCGTCACCGACCCATGCTTTGATCAGTTGCACGTTGACCTTTGCCAGATTAACCTTGGTGTTAAACTCGGGTGGGAACTTGGTCGTACGAAGCAGCCGCTGATCGACGTTGGTCGTCAATGCGGCCGACATGACTGCTGGTGGTGTGCTTCGGCACTGTGTGGTGGTTGTGGTGGTCAGGAAAAGAGGAAGAAGAAATGCGGGAGAGAGTGAGAAGTCATGGCGCAAGTGAGGTTGTTGTTGAAGATTGAACGAGGTGAGCTTCAAGGAAAGACCGCATTACTAGCGGCGGGTGTTGCCGTGCTCGGCGGGCCTTCCGACGCCGACCAAGCCGACGACAACTTTGAGATTGAACAATCCATCCGTCTCGACTTCATCTGCTAAACAACATTGGTCTCTTATGGGTGGGAACGGGCAACGGTAGGAGAAAAGACTATATGGCATGCTAGCTGGTTACTCTCCGGATATGGAGGCTGGATCGCAACAAGGCAAAGTACTGTATCTCGAAGTTGCCAGGCTGCAGTACATTGTCTGCCGCATCTCTCACTCTTCCGTTCAGAGGACTGACGAGTATGGAAGGAAACCACATCATTCGGACAAGGCGCAGCTTGCCGTTGCTGATATGCCTGCTCCGAAACGGGCAGGTCGCAGCCTCTGAACCGTCCTATCCGAAGCCACCAATATTTATCCCCAGGTTTGCTGCATTGTAGATCATGGCGCAGCGAGCCCGCGGAGAACATATACAGTAACGATATGAGTACGCTCGTTAGTTCTCTTTCCTCCTTTCGTTCTTCTTTCATTGAGCCTTCTATCCCATATTTTCCCTACAATGTTGGCAAAAATCGCTGGGTTGCTATTATGCCTAGCCTTCGCGACCGCCTCCACAACGGACAATGATGTGCAAGAACACATAACAATCCCGCTTGTCCAACACCAACCTGAGAAAAACGATGCCTTCGAGCAAACCATCCACGCAGTCTCCCGCCATGCAGCCCGCGGATCCAAATACGCCGTCGCCCCAGAACACCAAATAGACGCCGGCTTCTGGCTCGGAACCTTCGACGTTGGCGCCAGCAAGAACGTCGACCTCCTCATCGACACCGGCTCCGCGGATGTTGCCATCAATCCAGACCTCTATCAGCCCTCACCACACGCCCAGAACTTACACCAAAAAGGCGAGCTCCAATACATAACCACCAACTCCGACGGCTGCGGCGTCGCAGACATCAAATACCAGACCTTCACCGACACCGTCTGCATGGCCGGTCTGACGTCGCACAATCAAACGCTCGCTAAATTGATCAAGACCAAGCCACCGAACGCCGGAACGATCACTGTCTTCCGACACGGCGGCCTCGTAGGTTTCGGCGGCACGAAAGCGAGTCAGACGCAGATTGGCGGGAAGCCGTTTTTCCAGCAACTCTGCGACCAAGGGGCTGTGAAAGCGTGTCGTTTCGGCCTCGCGTATGGGACAGAAGGGCGTGGGAAGCAGATTCTTGGTGGTGTCGACAAGAGCCTGTTCAAAGGCGATCTCTCGTTCTCCCCCATCAATCCCATCTTCTCTCCTGTCGAGGCAGACGGCAACGTGGTTTATTCGAACGAGAACGGGTCCGGCAAGATCAAGAACCAGTACTTCATCTTCGATTCCGGGACAGCCAATATCGTTGGTCCTCGCGTTGAAGTACGCAAGATGTTCAAAGCGCTTGGGATTCAGATTGTCAAGCAGACTGCGGAAGGCTGCGCGAGCGTGATCTATGGCTACTACGCTTGCGACTCGCCAGCCAAAGTCGGCTTCACGCTCGGTGGCAAGCCATTCTACATCGAACCATCTGCGTTCCAACTGGCGAATAACGGAGAAAACAATTGCACTGCTACTATCACATCTTTGGATGGCGATGCTCCGTACTGGATTGTTGGGCAGTCGTGGTTTCAAGGAAAGTACGTAGACTTTCAGCAGCCGCATAAGATTGGGGCGGCGTATTTGAAGGATAAGACAATGGCGAATTAGGATGAGAGCCGAATACACAGCTATAGTACAGCATCCATGCTTAAACGAGCAACAGATCACTCATCGCTATCGCTCTCGACAACCCTTGTCTTCTTCTTCTTCCGCCTCGTTGCACCAGTAGCAGCCTGCGGCGCATCGACCTCCTGTATGTCATCACTGTCGTCATCAACAATATCGTTGAAATCGTTTAAGCCAAGCTCATGATCATCATCTTCAACTTCATCCTCTGAAAACAGTACAGTCGGCCGCTCTGCCTTCTTCTTCAGCCGCAGATTTTTCTGCGGGCGCGGCGGCTGCGTATCGTCCGGCAGCCGCTGCGACGAGCTCGCCATCTCGATCGGCTGGTCGCTCCTAACGACAAACTCCTCGAGCTCGCTGTCGGGCTCCTCGTCGTCGTCTTCGCCGCTGGTGTCTTGGGTTCCAAGATCGATGCCTTGCGTACCGATGCGGAGGTGTGCTGGTGTGGGCTCTGGTGAGGACTCAGCACCTTCGGCGGCTGCAGAGCCATAAGAAGCCGTTCGGGCGAGTGGCTGGTTCTTTCGTGGACGGCCGCGCGGTTTCTTCGCAACGGGTAGGTCGTTGTCTGAGGCTGTGGCATTGGACTGGAACGACTTCGTGCGTTGGGCTGGTGTTTCCTTCTTTGAGCGGCCTTTGGTGGCGGCTTTCTTGACTACTGGTGTCGTGGAGTCGGCAGGTAGGTCGCGTTCAAAGCTGCGCCTTCGAGCTGCTGGGCTGACGATCCTTCGGCGGGCATCTTGGTGGCTAGCCAGCAGATCGTCCTGCTGCCCTGCAAGTGTCTTCCACCTTGCAAGCTTCTCGTCGTCGATCGAGCGTATAGCCTTCAATGCTTTCTCCACAGCATGAGTTGCTCGACTGTGCGGAACATACTTCGTGCGACCCAACAATGTCCAGCTGGTGAAAGATTTGTCTGTATCCGGAGGTCGTATCACCCCGTCCGCCTCGTCATCATCAGCGGTATGGGCATACTTCCTCTCCAAGTCCTTTTGCTGGACTCGGGTCAGCAACACATCTTCCAAGAATGGCAGTTGCGCGGGTTCAAGGATGCGCTCCACCGGTGCCTTCGAGGCCTTTGGCGTTGCTTTCTTCTTGGCCGGTGCCCTCTTCTTCGGAGCAGTGTTCTCCTCGCTTCCGCTGTCGTCAGACTCCATTCTTGACGCCTTGACAAAACCAGTGCGCACGCCATCAGGCATGTGAAACTTCTTCGGTGGCCGCTTAGCCTTCCCTTTACCCTTTGCCTTTTTCGACTTCTCGCTCAGATCGATGGGCTGGCTGTTCTCGACGGGAATCTCAATGACACGCCTGTCCACCACCGGCTGAACACCCTTCGGAAGGATCCTTGGACTCTTGTCTTCGTGATATGTGTACTTGCTGGCGTCCGCAATGGTCTTCTGGATGTAGCTGTAGTTGTCCTGCGCTTTGGCGTAGTCGTTCTCCTCTTTGCCTTTCATCAGCAGTAGTTGTACACGACCCACGCGCTTGCGTCCGGTTCGACCGATGCGCTGCAGCATGCGAATGGGGCTCGCAGAGGCATCATAGCACACAATGAGATCGACGTCGCCGATATCCAGACCCTCCTCACCAATGGACGTGGCCACCAGAGTGTTGTACTTGCCGCTCTTGAAGTCTTGGATAACTGCGTTTTGGCGCTTCTGATCCATGCCTTCACTTCCTTTGCTTGCTGCTTGTCCGACAAAAACATGCGGTCTGATCATCGGCTCATTGCGCTTGAGTACACGGCATATCTCCTCCGTACTGTCGCGATAAGAGGCAAACACCATGACACGGGTGGCAGATGGCGGCACCACAGACCCTTGCATGCCTTCACCGGTGTCCAGGAAATGGTTCAACACGACTTCTCGCAGATATTGCAGCTTTGGGTGGCCGATAAAGTCGGGATTGTTCGTCCAGCTGCGGATGTGGCTCATCATTTTGGTGAAGTCTTCCGACTGCACGATCTGCGCGGCGTACTTGCCCTTCATCTCGCCGCTGTCGACCTTTCGTTGGAAATCACGAACGCTCGAATGGAAAGGCCCAATGCCATGGTTCTTCAGCAACGGGATGCTGTGCGCTACACTCATCAAGACAGTGAACAAGGCATTCACCATCCCTTTAATCGGCATGGCAGCCTTCCGACCAGCGTCAGAGCTCATATACTTCTGGCGTCCGGTCGTCAAGCCGTACGGTGTGAGGCCCATCGGATCACGTTGCCAGTAAGCATTCTGCGTACATAGCTTGTCCAGCACAGGCTTCAATGCCTTGCTCATATGCTCCATGATGAGTATCTGCTCGTCGCTGTAGTCGAAAAGCTCGGTCTCTGTGTTCTTGCGATGCGTGTATTGCCTGATGTCGAGGGACTGCTCGGTTCGAAGCTGGACCCTTGAAACACCAAGATTGTCGATTACCGCTTGCACTGACTCAACAGTGGAGCCAGGTGTAGCCGTCAATGCCTGAATGCGGAAGCTGTTGTTGAACCTGTGCATGAACTTGACAACCTCAGTATAGGCGTATGCTCCTGTGGCCTTATGTGCCTCGTCCACAACAATGAGAACGATCTTCTTCGGATCGCAAATGCCAGTCTTGAGGTCGTTGATCACAGTCTGAGGTGTCATGAAGAAGACCCGCCGCTCCAGCCACTCTTCGGCGCGCCGTGCAGGTTGAGTCTCGCCAGTCATGAGCACAGTCTCGTGGCGAGGGATGCCAACAATGTTGTAGCAAGCTTCCATCTGCTGTGCGATGAGCGGTTTGGTGGGGGCCATGAACACGATCTGGGCGTCCTTCGTCCAGCGGAAGTAGTTCAGCATGACGGTTGCTGCTATGAAGGTCTTTCCCAGACCTGTGGGCAGTGCGACTAGAGTGTTGTGAAACAGGCTGCGTGATACAATGTTGTACTGGTAATCTCTGATAGTGCCTAGATTCGTGGGATAGACCCATGTCTCCATGGCCTTGTCGTCCAGCTTGTGATGGGTAGGCTTCTCTTCCTTGTTCTTAAGCGGCCAAGCGTGCTTCTTGTTAGCTGTTTGAGTGGTCGAAAGTTCTTGAGTAGCAGCCTGGCCAAAGATGGTCATCTGCTTGAGACCGTGTTGAGGGCCGCGCATCCCATGGACTGGAGCTTGCGAGGCCGTGTACTGCGAGGAGATCTCAATGATATCTTTCTGCGGCGACTTCTCCGGAGAGGAGGAAGAGAATGCATCGGAAGGCAGATCTTCCAGCTCATGTGATACAGCGTGCTGGCCTATGCTGTTGTCTGCCGGGCGAGACTGATTCGTCCGACGATGTATTGTCTCCTCTTCAGCCTGCAAGCGTGCTGCGAGTTGCGCATCGCTTTGATAAGTCATGCCGCGGGCAACAGTGCGGTTCTGTTGCAGATTGTTCAATGTGGTCTGCCTAGAACCGACTGCCCCCTTCATGAACCTGCCATTGACTTGTCCGACACCATTACCAGTACTTGGCCTCTCTCCAAACAAAGGAGGTGCAGGAGGTGGAGGTTTTGGCCGTTTCCAGACCGCTCCTCGGAAATGGCTTGGACTTGAATCAAGACCAACCTGCGTCTGTGTGAAGATCTGATCCGGGAACTGGGCCCCATTCACCGGCGCATGTATCCTGTACTTCGACTGCTTCGCAGCAGCTTCACCTCCATCCTCCCCAAGCTCGCCAGGGAAGTAGTACTCCGGATCTTCTTCCGCTTCGCTGTCTGAAGCTGTGCGGTCCTGTGTCGGTAAAGTACTACCTCCATCGGTATGCTTGGGCAGACTTGGTGCCTCATCATCCGTTCCGCTCCATTCGAGCTCTTGCGAAGCTGGCCCATCAACTTGCGAAGGACCTGGCCCTGTCCGTTGCCGTTTCGCGGGTCGAGGGCTATTCTCGAAGCCATGATGCTGAGATGCTTCCACTTGTGTAGCCGCCGCTATGAACAAGGTGTCATCGTCGTCGGATCCGTAGTCCTCGCTGTGCGGCATCGTGTATAATCATTGCGCGTGGTGGATGTCAGAGGTGAGGTCGGCGTTAAACGCGAAGCCATTAACGCGGTATGCGCGCGAAAGTCATGTGATCTCCAACGTCACTCTTGGCATGAGCACATCTTCGAGTCCCGGGTATCATGAGATGGAACAACACTGCATCAGGACTGCCTCGTGCATCTCAGGCTTTGTCTGTACTGGCATCCTCTTGAAAAGGTAAGATGCGCAGTCTTCACGAGAGACAAACATAGAGTGGGTTGTCGGTCGACGGCATAAGCTCACAGTGCGAGCTTACCAAGGACAGATGGAGACATCACCTATCTCCGCACCATTTTTCAGCCCGTGGGGGCGAGGTATAAGTGTATACCCTTTGAAACATCTCGTTACGTTGCGTCGACATTCTTCATCAGGGTAACAACGTATCCTTTCGAGCCATCATCCATCAGTTGATTCCGTTCCACCATGCCAAAAGAACCAACCGGGGACCCGAAGTCCCATCCGACCTCCGAGTTTGCCAACGGCATCACTGGTTCCTGCCTCTGTGGAAGCATCACGGTCACCATCAACGACAATGAACTCTTCTCCAAACAGAGAGGCCACCTCTGCCACTGCGCCAATTGCCGCAAGGTGGCCGGCTCGTACGTCTCATCAAACCTCCTGATCGAAGTGGGTAAAGTCGAGATCAAAGACAAGAACGGCACGAAGAAGACGTACGAAGATCGGGAAACTCTCAGCGGCAACCCAGTCTACAGGAGCTTCTGTTCGGAGGACGGAAAGTATGCTGCTCACGACGGTTCCTTCTCGATAAACGGCGCTTACTGACTCCATTCAGCCCCATCTGTTCGGAGACGTCAAACTACCCGGGCAAGATCATCATGAAGCTCGGGATGTTCCCACGCATCCCGCAGCCGGAGGTAGAAGGTTTCGGGCTGCACAAGCATCCATGGGAGGGCGGTCACGATGGCGTTCAGGTCTATGAGATGAAATGGGCTGGTCCTGACAAAAAGCCGATGGCTTGAACTCTTCACGTAGTTGTGGCAAACAGCTTTCAGCCTCTCTAAATACAGTGTCGAATGCGAATCGCAGGTTGAACATTACGCTCGAAGTCAGATCATTACGGCTGTGGAACCGCACCAGGCTTCGGCCTCGCCATTTCTCCCATAGCAAACGGCTCATCAACATCAAAAACACTCCTCTTGTTGGTCCGCCGGCCCCGTCCATTAAGGTAATTCGTAGCATAAGTCCTGCACGTGAAACTGCTCTTCGAGCTACTCGGGAACACATAGCTCACCACTGTCGTCGCCGGAGCCGTAACAGTAATGTACTGCCCTGGTCCAGCCGTGATCGTAATCTCTTGAGCAGATGCGGTGACCGTTGGACCCGTGACTGTCGAGATCTGATTCGACACGCTGACGCTGACTGTTGTTGTTGTGACAGTCGTGGTGCTGGCAGGAAGGTAGACGATGCTGACGAGGCGGGTCACACCGTACGAAGTCACGTAGGAGACGCCGTTGGAGACGTAGGTGCTGACGAGTGTGCTGACGGCGTATTCGGTGTAGGGGACGAGGGAGACTTCGGTTCCGTAGCCTGTGCCTACAGTTCAGATGGGTTAGCGGTTGATTCAGCAGCAGCGAGGAAAGACTTCTCAAAAAGCCAGCCGCAGCAAAGGCCTTTACTCACCTGGGCCCGTTCCTGGTCCATTTCCGGGACCATTTCCAGGCGGACCATCTCCGGCCACTGTTTGAGTGGGGGCTGGAACGTAGATAATGCTAACTCCCGTCGATACACCGACGGCTGTTGTCTGGGTCACCCCGTTCGACACAATCGTGCTGTAGACAGTCCGGGTAATGTACTCGGTCGTGGGTACAAGTCCGGTGCCTGCCAATTGCTATATTAGTATGCTGAACTTTTGTCTCTTGCGATGGGAAACGCTCACCTGGTCCTGTGCCTGGCCCGTTGCCTTGGGTCATGTCAGTGAGAGCTCAGAGTATAGATCGAGGGATACCACAAACATACCTGGTCCAGTTCCCACGCCTCCGTTGCCGCCGCCTCCGTTTCCAGATCCTCCGCCATTGCCTCCATTGCCTCCGCTTCCGCCACCGCCCACAGTGATAGTTTGAACGACCGTAGAACCACCGCTGACGTAGGTAGAGCCTCCAACAACCGTCGTAGTCCCTCCGCTGAAAATTGTTGATACTACGGTAGATCCTCCATCCACGATGGTGGACAATACTGTCGAGCCGCCGACAACGACAGTCGAACCACCTGTGACGTAGGTAGATCCTCCAGTAACGACAGTAGTAAGAGCAGGAGATGCCGTCGTAATTCCAGAGCCTCCGTTCCAATTGCCGCCATTGCCTGGACCGGTACCATTCCCACCGCCCCCTGGTGGAGTGTAAGGAGTCGCCAATCGAGCGCTGTCCACGCCGCGTTGGCGAATACCTGTACTGCCGGCCTTGAGCTCGCAGTTCTCATCTTTCCGATTGCTATACCAGCTAACGCCAAGGCAAGGTGATGAGATCATGAAAGACATGATGTTGTACATATCGCAAGAAGTAACACAGCTTGCTAAGGAATCTTGCGTCTGCATGTCGAGTGAATCGTCGGTGAAGTATGTGCTGCACTCAATCTGGTAGATCATTCCCATAGGTGAAACGAATTGAGAGTTGTCGCTACTCGGGCAAGTTGGAAGCCCAGTCTGAATAGGCCCACCGCCAGAGCCGCCGCCATTGCCCCCACTTCCTCCAGAGCCGGTTCGAATCTGTGTGTACGTCACAGTATGGCCATGATTGTCTGTAGTGGTCACGATAGTGGCACCACCCTGGCCAGGAGTACCGCCGATGATGTAGCCAGAGGCGGGACATACGTTCGGTATGCAGCTGGTGATTGTGTGCGTGGTCGTAAGGACCGTCGTTCCATGGCCTGGGCGGCGTGTGCACATTCCCCTTGTGATGGAACCGTCTCCAACACCACCAGAAGGCATTGAGCCGCCGCCGCCGCCAGAAGGAGCTCCAGTAATGACAGTTGGTGTGAGACCGCAAGTACGGCACAGCATCGCACTGCCGCCTCCCGCGTTGCCTCCAGCGGGCATCGAGGAGCCTCCGGTCATAGTGTACACATAAGATGAACCGCTCAGGTCTGACATATAGCTGCCGCCTGGTGGTACAGTAGACATGATCGTCGTTGTGGGAATGACGGTGACTGTTGCACCAGATGGAAGGGCTATCAGTCGGATCAGTCAGGCCATCTCAACCAACTTGAAAGGACAAATCTTACACAGTGTTGTCGATGGTGTCAACGTGGGATTGATCGAAGTGCCACCAGTGGCTGCCCGATTCTTGACACCATATATCAGGTTGGTGTTGGAGGACTGTGTGCCGGAGAAAGAAGACTTCAGAGTGCATTGATTTGACGTTGTGTCAAACTCCACCCCGTAGCATCCACTGAGCGCATCGCAAAATGCCGCGCAAGCGGAGAATGAGGCTGCGTTGAGGGGATTGCCAATGTTGTTACCTGCGTAGTCGGTGTAGCATCCAATGCTGTAAGCCACACCATTGCTGTCAGTGAAGACCTGGTTCGCCGATCCTGGGCAGACGGGATCCGCAGTTGAGGTTCCTCCTGAAATTGAAGCACCAATAGCGCCTGGCACGTACGATGTGCCCGTGACGGAGCTGAGAAGCGTACAGTTGGTGCCAATGTAGTTGAGTGCCACGCACCCTGTCGTCCCATCACACAACGACTGGCAGTCGTTGAAGGTAGGCTCGATTGCTCTCTTGACTTCGCTCTGACTGATTCCCGAGGTGTCGATGACCGTTCCTTCATACACGATGCCGCACGTCACATCGTAGTTGTTTCCACTTGAGCTCGAACATGTCGACTTGGAGTCGCTGCTTGCACATAGAGAAGATGCTTCCGTCCGACACGGTGGAGCGGTGGTACTCGGGCTTGTGCTTGTCGCAGCGCCGCCAGTGGTAATCAAGCCGGAGCCAGACGTCCCTGCAGTCATGGAGGTGACAGAGCCCATGGGTGTGCTGACGTCAGAACCCGAGTACCCAGGATTCCCCATCGTATCCCTCAATCTGAAGCACGAGGTGCGGTTGCTGGTGGATGGGACAAAGATGCCCGATGACGACTTCAACTCGCAGCTCCCGGTCTCTCCATGCCCACTGTCGCCTTTGACAAACGTGAAGCCAGCGCATCTCGAATCCAAACTGCAAGAGGTGAAGCATCCATCGAAACCGCCATTAGGTTCCGTAGAGTAGGAGATAGCATATGCTTGGGTGGTGGTGTCGGTATTGCAACGCACAGAATATGCTGCCCCTGTCTGATCCGTATAGGCGGAGTTGCAGGGCAGGGTAGAAGCGGCCGCCATGCTGCTGGTACGTGTCGCAGATACTCCTGGAGAAGTGGCTGGTGCTGAGCTGCTCTTAATATTGCTGCTCATGATCTGGGACCCAGCGGTATACGAGATCGCGGAAGCTCCAACTCTAGCCGTCGATGATGGCATTGCGGAAGACCTACTGGTCGGCAAAGAGACGACGAGTGTTCCAGCAATCTCATCAGCAGTCCCTGCTACAAAGGTGGCTCCCTGACGCTTCAAATAGCACACGCCGCCAGGATAAGGATACGGGACCCACGTCCATGCTGCACACTCGTTGGTTTCGTCGCAGAGAGTCATACAATGAGCATAATCAGTGGTGGTGAACGTCGCCTCGGAAAAGCTTCCCTCAGTGGTGTCGGATCCACACGCGATGGTGTAGTTGCTTCCGTTGACATCGGTGACGGTCTGTCCGTCTATGGCCGGGCAAGGTCCCGCGGGAGAGGGCGTCGATGCCGAATCTGAGGTTGTGGTCGTGCTCGATGCCGGCTCAACCAAAGACGCCAAAATCGCAGCCGCAACGCTTTCCCCTGGCAAAGTCGAAAAGTACTCTGCTTTGAAGAAACAGCCACCGTCGAAGTAGAAGTTGACGCCAATGCAAGTATCTGTTTCGTGGCATGCGTCGATACAAGATTCGAAGTCAGGCTCGCCATGGTATCCAATGTCTCCAGGGTTTGTCGTAACGTCGCACATGACGATGTAGCGAATGCCCGATGGATCGGTGTAGGCGGTGCCGTTTGATGCAGGGCACTGCAGACCGGCTGATGCAGAAGGATTTGCGGAACTCGAAGTTGCTGATGAGATTGTGGTCGACAAATCTGCCAAAGACGAGCTTGTTGACAAGACTGCTGCGGAGGAGCTAGATGTAGAACTCGAGGGTGATGACACGGCTGCTGAAGATGAGGAGGACATCACTGCGGTTGTCAAGGCCGACGATGATGGAGAAGCGGTAGACGACGAAGAAGACGCTGAGGAGGTCGACGAACTCGAAGATCGTGTTCCCGACTGCGAGGTGGAGGCAGAAGCCACCGATGACGATGAGAACGATGCCGCCTGACTCAACGAAGAATATGCTGGAGACGTCGAGGAAGTCGATGATCGTGTCCGCGTGCGCGATGTCGAAGATGACGCCGCCGTCTCGCTGGATGAAGACTTTGTCGACGAAATAGACGACAACGAGCCGGTGTACGCTTCAGAGGAAAGACCGGATGTCGTAGCACCCATACCTCTAGGAATGGTATTCGTGCTCGCGGTCGCCGAGATGGAAGACAGGCTAGTGCTGTAGGATAAAGATGGCCTCGCACCCATTGGCATTTGGTATACCCTGACCGAGTTGATGGACCAGTACGCCTCAGTGAAGGCGGAAGGGTTGTCGCCAACATAATTCACGCACGAACCCCAGCTGTTCTGGCCTGGCGATGACGGACAGCCTGCGTACTGTGTGAAAACATTCCCCGCCCAGTCGCCGCAGAAGTCTGTGTTGATGATGATGCTCATGTTGTTGAAATGCTGATCAATCGGACACTGGCCTTGCGCGTTGTAGACTGGCACACCGAATTGCGACACGTCTGGTGCGCCGATCGTAATGCTGGTGGGAATGTTGTTGCGACCAAAGAACCAGACCTTGATGTAGTTTGACGTCCACTCCGTCGCATACACACCACCATTCGCGCGGTTCAAAGCAGCGCCGTAATTGTTCGGGGTGTTGGTATTGCTCGCAGATGAACCGCAACCGGAGTTCCCATTCACATCCTTGTTACAGTCGCTTGTCTGGAAATCTCCGCTCTGTTCGGCGCCTGAGATGGTACAGTTGTTGCTGGTGTGCAGGGACATGGAGTTGTGATCAATAGTGTTCACCCCTTCGATGATGTCGATCTCTCCATTTGATGGCCAATCCGGCCCAAGTAGCCAGTATGCTGGCCATGTTCCGCAGCCATATGGCATGTGGACAAGGTCCAAGATGAACAGCCCGTGGGTGTACGCATTGTTGCTCACCAGGCGCACTGCTGGCCGGCCTGGGCCACCATTCGGATAGCGATTCGTAGTATCGACACTAATGATTGTTCTGCCTTCTGGCGAAGTGGACGCCAGGCCGTTGCGTTCAGCGACCGTTTGGTTGACGTATCTAACGATAATCAGCCATCACTTCCAATCCTGACTCGGAGGTGCTCACTGGACGTGGCCGTTTGTAGGATCATATCCCTGGGACGTGTGAGCTGGCATTTAACCTTAATGTTGCTCACACTCACACTGTAGAAGCTGAATTTGTCGAAGAACGTTGTGCCCTCATAGTCGTCCACCAACTCATACGGGGCCGCGCTGGGTGCTCCATTGCCGTCGAAAAAAGAAGCGCCTGGGAGATACTGAGCTGAAACAAGTGAACGAATGGACAGATAGCAAGCGAATGCAGCCCTCGAAACGAGTGGCGAGGTGCGCATCGCGACAGACGGAGTATGTGATGCTTGAATGTGTTCTAACTCGTCTCCAACAGGTCGAGGACCTTGGATGTGTCTGTGGCTCCAGACGCGTTGTTGATGGACCTACCTTACCATGTCATTCCAGCTGGCGGGCCGAGATGGCGGACTACATGCACCTACGCATTCCAGAGCCCTTTGACGAGATTGTGGTCATAGCATCCACCCAATGCGACGAAGCAGGGCAGGTTGCCATGATCAATCGAAGCAATGGGATGGACAAAAGGGAGTCTCCAAGCTCATGAGAAGGCCCGACGGCCGTTGCAATGGCTTTTGGTCCGCAGAGTCACGGGAAATAAAGCCATCATGTAGTCTAAGGCCACAGTCTCAGGCTTCATAGTGGTTCTGAGCGTGAACCGATCTTGCAGAATCCGAAAGTCGAGGTTGTGTAAAGAGCTATGGAGTAAGAGGCGCGGTGGGCTGGAGTTTGGATTGAAACGAGAGCTATTTCAATCTTATCCAAAGCACGTGACCGTATTGACGATAATCAGGCACCGTGGGAGTCGAGCACCATAGATCATAAACAAAAACGTGATTGCATTGATGATAGTCCAATGACACTGTAAGAGTCGAGCACCGTATACCATATCAAGAATGCTACCTCTCGCCTACGGGAACTCAAAGATAGCCACGGTCTGACAGAACCCATTCTTGTTTTGCGCCTGCGGCACCAGCGAAACGCCATCCACCTCGACCATGTTCGCCGCCGCCTTTGTGCTCATCGCGTACAGGTAGATGCCCTCGCTCTGCTCCAAACTAATCACCTGAGTCTGGCAGTTCTCCGTGATCAGACATCCCTGGTCGTAGTTGTTGAAGAAGGAGTACAGCCCGCCGCCGTATACGTAAATGTACGTGCTGTTGAAGAAACGCAGGCCGAAGGTCTTGTAGCAGGTCGCTTGGTAGCACTCATCGAACGTCGGGTCGGAGTAAGCCGGGTTCGTTTGCCAGGTCGACAGGGCGTCTGGGTTATTCTGCATGTAGCTGCGACAAATCGTTAGGTCGCTGACAGCTTTGTAGAAGCATGAATGACTTACGCGGTCTCGCTCTGAAGAACCCCAAGATAAATGTCCTTTGCGTTCGCGATGTTGTAGTTGTAGAGCATACTGTGCTCGAACGAGCCCCCATAGATCCAAACGGGTCCCTGGCTCTCAACAAGCAGACCCCTGCCATTATATAAGTCAATCTGGTTATTCGGCGGCAAATCGAGCTCGTGGTCAGCGACCCAGCCCCAGTTGTTCGACATCATCAGAGAGGCGGTGTGTGTGAGATGGAGAAGCGTATGCGCCGCCCAGCAAGTCTTGTTCGCGCCATGCGCAATGTTCGGGGTCTTCGTGCACCGGTCGGCCTGCAGCAGCGTGCCGTTGCTGCCGCCGATGCGCCAATGCGTATCCCATATGCCCGTCGAACCCGGCGTTTCCCCCGCGAGGTTCCATTCCATCAGAATCGCACCAGGCGCTGGCCCTCTGGTCTCAAACACAATGTCGACGATCTCGGTGGTGCCGGTGTCGCCAGGACGTCCAACGACGACGGCCGGGACAGGCGCGAGCTCGTTCTGGAACACTGGACTGGAGCCGTCAATCATGATTAGAGGCCAGATCTCTCCTTGAATTTTGATGTTGTTGGGGATCCGGATGGTGTCCCTGATCAGGTACGCCCCGTGGTCAAAGTATGCAATCTCGTCTGGTGCTATTGAGTTCAAGAAGTTCTGAACATTTGTAGTGTCGTCCTGAAGCCCATCACCGTGACACCCGAAGTCGAATGAGCTCTTGAACTTTTCGACGGGAACGCCTTCGTACTGTGGCCGGCCTCGCTCCCGCCATTTGCCCTCGGAATCAAGCAGACTGGCAGGTTTAGGTGGAGCTCGTACCTCGCCTTGCATGCGCGTGTAGTCTGCCGTCGCCTGGTAGCACGTGAGGTTTTCAATGACCACCTGAGATTCGTACGCGGTGTAAGCACTGCCCTGGATGAAACTGTCCACTTTGCGGTTACCAGGGAGTAGGACGGTGTTATTCTTGAAGATGATGGCTGGGTTGGTGTTCCTGAAATCGACGTTGTCGAGGACCATTGTGCCGGCTGCAGATGGTGTGCTGTTGCGGGAGAATGATGTGACGATTCCGTATTGAACGTTTGTCATAACGCTGTCCTGGAGGATTACACTGCCGGTTGCAGGGACCAGGCCTCCTTGGCTTAGATCGAGTCCGATCCCGCAGTTGTTGATAGAGATACTCTTGTAGTTGAAGACCCAATTCCAGTTTTGGAAAATCGCAGTTTGGCAGTTGTTGAACGTCAGGTTGCGACAGGTAAATTGTTGGTTGCCGGAAAAGAAGCCCACTTCACCGCCATTAATGATGATGTCTTCGAGCAGGCCTCCAGATCCATTGTCCATAAAGATACCCTGCTGCTGAGTCTTTTCGTTGGGTCCGCTGACTACCATGTTCATGACCAGATTCTGGAGAGACGTAGCTTGCGCGACCTGCCAATGGATGCAGTGTACAGAGCGTGCAGGATCGACCAGCGTGATATCAAGCACGAAATTCCGGATCTGGCGCCAGAAGTTGTTCTGGTTGGTATACCAGTTGTAGCCGTAGGGTAGATAGACGTTTGAGTCGAAGAGCCCGATGCCAAAGAAATTGGGCAAAGCCTTGATGACTGGCAGGTTGTTGGCATCACCAATGAATTGCGTGTAGTACCATTGGACCAGTGGTGCGCTGATCATATATGTGCCTGGAGGGAAGTACACAATGGCCGGTGTCGTGGTCTGACTGTCGCAACCAAGCCCACATCGATTGCCATCCGCAGTCGCATTGTTGATCGCATAGGTATCATCCGTAACGCCGTCACCCTTGGCGCCATAGTCCCTCACATTACGCCATAGGACGTATGATTCGTTGCCGTAGGCTATCTTGCCTTGTCGTTTGATCTGCGACATCCAGTAGGGCTTTCCAGAACCGTAGCGCTTGACGTGGCTGTGAGTGTTTGGCGGTGCCTCTACTGCGTCCATGTTGTTCAGTGCTTGGATCTCTGGTCCGACATATCGCATGGCACCCTTCTCCAGCTCAGCCGCGGTGTCGGGCGCCGTGAGAAGGCTGTCTTGGCCCCCAAAAAGTGGTACATCTTTCGATGCTGTGGAGCTCGCGAGAAACGAAAGAAAGACTGCTAAAAAGAGTGTTGGACGGCCCATGTTGCCTAGTGATATCGTTGATGGCACCAAGTATGAGCTGAAGAGCACTCAATCCCAGCTTCTCCCAGAAGCATGCCCGCGACGCGTTCCAAATGTTGTCGTCCGTCCGAGGAATGCACCATCCAACGCCAGACCTTTTCCTCATCCTGGCGAAGCAAGGAATCGCCGACAAGTCCAGAGCCCGCCACTTTGTTCAAACGACTGTGTATCGAGACATCCTCAGCCATCACCCTCTCCCTCCTCCAAGTCCCATCCGCTGCTCACGACTCACTTTGGCTCTAGCCGCCCTCGTCTGGGCTGCAGGAGTCAGATCCTCTTCTCTAGGATGAGCGCCGTTCTCGACGGTGCTCTGTTCACTGTTCTGCGAGCTATCGAATCCTTGACTTTGCATAGCATCTCGAGCACTCTTGCGCTGGTCGTACGCAGCAATGTCCGCGGTGGTCAGCGAGATCTTCGTGGCCTGGCGTGATAGCATGTTGTATGGTGATTGATCTGTAGTGAATGGCAATACTGGATATCTATGAATGTCTGTGTTCGCCAGAATATGTATGTGTGAACGAGGGTACCGTGTCCGCGAGGAGGTACGAAGTCAACTTCACGCTGGCTGTGAACTGAGGTGGACCGAGCGCTCAAGGCACGTGACTAAGCATGTGAAGGCGAACCTGACTTTGAATCCCGATACTTACTTGGGTACTCCCAGACTGAACTATCGCTTCAACACGTGCCTCGAGTACTGAGGATTTTCCGCTATTCACTATGCCCAACGTATACGGTACAGTGCTCCAAGCATTTCTACCTCTTCAGCTCACATTCAAGCACTTTCAAGATTCTCTCAAGACATTTAGCCGACCTGCACACATAGCCCCACCCCTGCCATCTCATATCATTTCCTGTTCCTGTCAGGCTTCTATCATCGTACTCCGCATAGCAACCGCACAATGACGGACTTGCGGAAATGCTCTTCTATTTTCCCACCAACAATCGTCCACAATGTCTCCTCGGGCTCTCCCGAAGAGGAGGGCAGACCACTCCTACACACTCACGAGACTCCAGCAATGGGAAAATCTTGGAGTCTGCGGGACAGGGAGTTTCACGGCAAGGAGGACGGTTGTTGTCCGGCTTAGGTGGGTGATTTAATAGCCTCGCAAGTCCCAGGCTATCAAGCATCCTGATGTGACAACTTCTTTGATCGACCGCGCACATGATGCTCAAGTCGTTACTCTCAGTATCAGCCCTTGCGGCCGCTGCTGGGGCGGTGACCTTCAATGTGGGATCATCGGGCAATGCTACCGCCCCGACCCAGTATGGAATCATGTTCGAGGACATCAATAACTCGGGCGATGGTGGAGTCTACGCAGAATTGGTACAGAACCGAGCATTCCAAGGAAACGAGATCTTTCCAAGCAACTTGTGGTGGTGGCACCCGATTGGGGGTGCCCATCTCTCCCTCAAGAAGCTCTCCAACCCGCTGTCAGATGCCCTCCCTACCTCTATGCAGGTGAAGGCCGGATCTGGGGATACCATTGGTTTCTGGAACGAAGGCAAGTTGCAACGCTGGTCCGCAAAGCGATCAATAATGACAATTGATAGGTTTCTGGGGCTTCCCAGTCAAGGCGGACTGGCAGTACAACGGCTCCTTCTACATTAACGGACGCTTCGATGGTAACGTCGATGTCTCTCTGGTCTCGAACACCACAGGAGATACATACGCCTCTGCTTCCGTCGATGTAGCCTCCAAAGGCAATGCCTGGACGCAGTACCATTACACCTTCCAGCCAACGTCTGATGCACCGGACAGCAACAACACCCTTCGATTCACCATGCCAGCGTCCGGCGTCAAGGGTCCGCTGAACTTCAACTTGTTAAGCTTGTTCCCACCGACCTACAACGACCGACCCAACGGCAACCGTATTGACTTGATGGAAGCCATGGCCGGCATGAAGCCCTCGCTCTTCCGTCTGCCAGGAGGCAACAACCTGGAAGGTAATCAGCCGCCGTACTACTGGGACTGGAAAAAGACTCTCGGCCCGCTTGAGAACCGTCCTGGCTACCCAGGCACGTGGGGATACCAGAACACCGACGGCCTCGGGTTGGTTGAGTACATGCTCTGGGCTCAAGACCTCGGCATGGAGCCTATCCTCGACGTCTGGGCAGGCTTGTACCTAAACGGCACCCACGTGGCGAAGAGCGACCTACAGCCCTACGTCGACGACGCCCTCGACGAGCTCGAATTCCTGACGGGCGACGTCTCCACCCCCTGGGGCTCCAGACGTGCTGAGCTAGGCTATCCCGACCCCTGGCCAATCCGCTTCGTCGAGATCGGCAACGAAGACTCCTTGAGCATGGGCGGTCACACCTACCGCCAGTACCGCTTCGACATGTTCTACCACGCCATCAAAGCCAAGTACCCCAACATCACCATAATCGCACGTCGAATCCATCCCCATTGGAAAGAACTTGACTAACACTCCGCAGGCCTCCTTCTACGACGTCGGCGAAGTGACACCACCCTACGACGCCGCAGGCGACTTCCACGAATACGCCGTCCCCCTCCAAATGTCCTCCCAATTCTCCTACTTCGACAACTACACCAACACGCACCCACTCTTCCTCGGCGAGTACGCCGTCGTCGAATACGATATCCCCGGCTTCAGCTCTCCACAATGGGACTCCGGCGCTTTACGTGCAACGTATCCGTTCTGGTACGGCAGTGTTTCGGAAGCGATATATCTCCTTTCTGCTGAACGCAACGCGGACAAGATTATCGGCGCGGCGTATGCGCCGGGGTTCATGAATTATAATCGTTGGGAGTGGGTGCCGGATTTGATCGAGTATGATGCGAATCCTGCCAATACCGTGCTATCAACTAGCTACCACATGATCGCACTCCTCTCCGGAACCCGCATAACCGAGACTTTGCCCACGACAGGTGGCAAGTACGATCCAGCGTACTGGGTCGCTGGCCGCAGCGCCGTTACGGGATCGCACATCGTCAAGGCGGTGGTGTACAATAGTACCCACGAGGTTCCGTTCGCTGTGACGTTCGACCAGGTTAATGCTGGAGCGGAGGCGACGTTGACCTACATTACGGCGCCGAAGAATGCGTCGAATACTATTGGGAATAATGTCGTGCAGACCACGACGTCGAGCGTGAAGGCGAATGGGAAGGGGTGTTTTCATTTCAAAATGCCTGAGTATAGTGTTGGCGTGTTGGAGGTGCATGGGGACTCGTGTGGTTATGGTAATCCAAGCAGTCGTGAGGGCTGGAAGACGTGGGCGGATTGGATTCCTGGGAATGGGTTCAATGCTGATTGGAATGAGTGGGGTCAGAATTGGCCATTTGATCAGTGAGACTACATGATAGAAGCACGAATCGAGCTCCGTGAGCTTATGCAGATTTTGATGTAGTCGACCACGCTCAACTCCTTCTAGGTAAGCTTGCCTTGAGTTCCATTGTCTCCTCGCCCACCCAGCAACACCACGAGCCTTCGCCTCGTCCGTCCATAGAGCCCTCAATGTGACCAACCTCCGTCTCTCGGTCCCTGTCATCCCCACAGCACCAGCGCCACACCTCACGCAGAGCGTCCATCTAAACACCCCCGAGAAGCCAACTCAAACTAGAAACCACATACCACATCACGACTCCCCCCAGCAACCTCCCTCCCCTCCGCCCTCGCCTTCGCAATCTCCTCCGCCGACAACCGCAAAAACTCCTCCTCGGACACCTGTCGGCCGTATCCGTCGTGATGAGATACCGCAGGCAATTCTTCCTCGGGCTGGTCGTCAGCGGCCGACATAGGGTCTTGCGGTTGTTGCTGTTGCTGTTGGTCGAGGTCGACACGGATCACGTCGCCTTGCAGGGGGCCGGAGGTGAAGGTCGTGATGAGGGTGTTGCCTTCGCGGGTCATGGTGTAGGCGAGTGATTCGGAGCTCTGGTCTTGTTGGTCGTTGTTGTCCGTATTTTGCGGCATTGTGGGTGGTTGGTTGGAGTTGTGCGAGGTGGCAAGGAGTGTTTGTGGGATGGTGATGAAGGTAGGCTGGCTCTCTTTGAATCCACAGAAAGGCAAGTGAGTCACACAAAGATGTCGTTGCGCATATGTGGTGAGGCGTTCATCACGACTGTTCTCATCCATGCAAGGCACAGGCGTTGCCAAGCGGGGTTTGTGGGGTTGGATAAAAGCCACGGGATCGTACGGGAACTCGACTCACGTGTCGATCACCCCTTCGCCGTGTCCGTTTGAGGCGTAGCCATCGACAACGCAGTCGCTTGGTAGACTTACGATGTTTACGCTGGCGTCTCCGATCGTCGGGTGACAGACACCAGCCTTTGGTGCCGGCACGAAGATCTAACCACAGCGCCAGACGCTTAGCTCCCTGCGGACGACGGTTCGCAGTCTGTGATGCTGTCGAGCGCCAGATGTAGCTGAGGCTGAGGCCGATGCCGAGCTTCAGTGGGGGGCCTTGAGAGGCCTTTCCATCGCCGACAACGGGCCCCGAGGCGAATTCGTGGACCACATCAGTGCAGCAAGCAGATCTGCTTGGGGTTGCTGACCCGACAGAAGTCCAGCGGAAGGGCAGTCGACAGTCCCCCGCTAGCACGTCGAAAAGATATTCTGCCGTGGTAGGAGTTGATAAGGCTTAGCATCCTTCGGTAAGCAGCTCATGACCAGGATCCAGATGTCCTGTCTGCACGGCTATAGCCTTCGACGACTCGGGCCTTGCTGCTGTTGTCTCCCAACCGTCTCGTGCAAGTTGCAACAGTATCGCAGCCGGATTCACGAGAAGATGAAGTCCTTCAGCATCGGCGAGGCGGCGAACTCCGGATTCAGCAGTATGCAGCTACTAGATGTTAATCGAGAATACATGTCGTGAAGTGTAATTGTACATACTTCAGAAAGTGCGAAAGACCATTCTTCCTATGTTCCAAGAACTTCGGCCTGAACCTGCTCACCACGCTCTTCCGCGGCAGCTCAGGAATCATAGCCTCGGCGTGTGGGAAAGACCGCACGAGATCTGTCCGCAGCTGGTCGAACTCGCTATATCTGAGGTCGAGATTAGCCTTCGGTTATTGGCTGCCGGTGGCAAGGCGACGTCTCACTCACCTCTTCCGTATCACCACGTCGCCACCCTTGAGCGTCTGCACTGTGCAATGCCAGACGACGTACGCTCCAATGCCCGTCGGACCAGATACGAGGACGTACTCATCAATACTCGCCGATTTTGCCCAACACCCCCGCGACAGCTCATGCGTCTCCTCAGAATGGTCCTCCAGCAAAATCGGTCCACCTCCCGGTCGTCCTATAGAATGATAACTCGCGCTCGAGATCGTTCTATCATGTCGTGTCCAGTACGGGGGCGCATCAGAAGTCTTCCTCATAAGCGGAGTCCGTGTCTCATCGCCGCGTTCCTCCCTTGCCTCCGGGGGTGGTGATTGTGGCGAGAGATGCCCCTCTGCAGGCGGATCTGCGTTGGCGGGTTGCGGCCGACTCGTGGGTTCCATCCATAACACAGCTCTCGATTGCTCGTTGGAGGCAAGAGGGGGAGCCGTGAAGCTATGTCCGTCTGACTGCTACTAGTATGCGTTCACTCGGGTCGAGATGCGGTCAGAAGAGGTAAAAGACGAGATCGCTTCTACGATTTAGACTGACGGGAAGAGGGGTTAGCGCCTTTTTTATGCATAACATCCCTGTTTGGGGTTGGTTGGGTACACATTTCGTCTTCACTGCAGGCCATAGCTTCTATATCACTTGCATGTCGCCACTCTAAATGCTGCAGCTGGCCGGGCGAGATGGGTGCACGCGTGGGGCTCTCGACCGGGCTGGATTGTGTTTGATGAGTCTGTGCTCGAGCTTTGGGGAGGAATAAAGATGGAAGAGTCGCGTTATCGTCGAGTTGGCCCAACGGTTCGACAATCCGACACTGCAACCAGGGAAGCCACGAACACACGCTCGTTTGTCTTGACTGCAAGATCTGACTCTCGCTGATACCATATATCAAACCAATTGCTTTATCTGAACAAGATTCGACAGGTGCTAGCATTGTTATTGCAACAAGTAGGTGGGCGGTCGTTTGCTGACTTGTCAGCTTATAAGGTATACTGATCTCTCCATCGTTCTTGCAGCATACATAGGTCCAAGAAACGAAAAACTGCATTCCAAAGCATTCCACCACCCGAAAAAACACACAGAATATGAAATACCTCACCATCCTCGCCACGCTGGCGGCAGCAACCCATGCCCAACAAGAATATGTCATCAACCCGAAGAACGTACCCCTCGACCTCCGACAATACTAGTGTGACAACCAGCAAACCCAATGCCCTCTGTGCGTCCCCCCCTTCTCCGTCTTTCCCATCCGCGGAACCACTAACATCACCCAGCATCTGCCTCCAAACCCCCGCCCACTCCTCCGAAACCCAGCAAAACGATTGCAACGCCACCCTCCTCACCTACGCCTGCGTCTGCTCCAACGGCCTCTCCCCAAATCTGACCCAGTACTCGCAAACGCTCCCCTTCTTCATCTGCCAAGAATGGGGCAACGAATGCGTGTCCAATTGCCGCTCCGACAGCGCTTGCGCGAGTTCGTGTCGGCAGGATCATCCGTGTGGGGCGCAGCATCCGAAGTTGGGGAATAAGACGTTGGAGACGATGACGAGGGGTGAGGGTGCGCAGGCGAGTAAGACACAGGGTGGGGTGAGGCAGACGGTGTATCATGGGTTTGCGGGGCAGGGGAGCGGGAGTGCTGCTGCGGGGGAGGGGAATGGAGCGGGGAGTTTGAGGCCTTTTGGGGATGAGAGGGGGAGGTGGGTGGGGAGTGTGATGGTGCTGGGGGGTTTGGTGGTGGGGTTTGGTTGGTGTTGTAAGAAAAGTGAAGTGGTTGGACGACGGGAAGTGCAGGGGTAATATTTGGTCCGGTTTGCAGCGTTCAGCTTAGCGAGTCTCGAGAGCGATGGCGCTGTGGGAAGCATTGGGCAGGATTAGCGTTGCAGCGTTTTAGCGTTCACACGACGGAGACGGGATCAATGAGTGAGAAGCCTTGATGGCGGTAATGTTGATGAGCTTTGTGTTCAGCCGGGATCTCGTTTCTCATTGAGATCTTGAGAGTGAAGTTGAAAGAGCCTCCACCTGGACCCTGTCCGTACCACTCATCGCAGCCATAACAGGCGATATCTAGCCATCACTTCAAATCATCTCGGGTATCGAAGAAGCATACCTGCGCCCGCCTTTATCTCAGTGCATCTCGAGATCCACATTCTGCCCATCTCACCCAGTCTTAGCAGCCTCCCTCGCCCCCTCCTCCACACCCATCCCATTCACACCATCCGCCAGCATCTCCACCTCCTCCTTCTTCGCTAGCCTCGCCCTAACCTCCTCCACCAAATCCTTCATCTCAACCAACACCCCGTCCTTCTCGGGATGATCCCCCGCCAATCCCATCTCCTTAATCTTACACTTCCCCGCCGCCAGCTCATCATCCCCCAGAATAACCGCGAACGGCACCCCGTTCACCTCTGCCGCTTTGAACTGCTGCGGCAGCTTCGGCTTCACTTTCCAGCTGAACTCCGCTTTGATGCCTGCGTCCCAGAGGCGCTTCGCGACGTCCATGCGCTCGGCGAGGAGGCCTTCGAAGCCCTTTCCGCCGAACGCCATGACGTAGACGTCGACTTCGTTTGTTCTTATGGGAGCAGCGGTTTTGTCGGCCGCGAGGCGCTGTTTGGTGATGGAGAAGATGCGCTCAACGCCGAAGGAGATGCCGACGCAGGGGATCTGTTGCTTCTTGCTGAAGTCGGAGACGAGGTTGTCGTACCGGCCTCCTGCTGCTACTGAGCCGACGCCGACAGAGGGGTCGTTGCTGCGGTCCTCGTCGCCGTCGATGTTGGTAGGGCCTTTGTTGGGTTTTGCTTCTTTCTTGCCGGCTCGTTGCAGGTCTTGGCCTTCTTTGGTCTGGGGGGCGGAGCCTTCGGTGATGACCTCGTAGATGAGGCCGGTGTAGTAGTCGAGGCCGCGCGCGAGGGACAGATCGAAGGAGACGCGGTCGAGGACGGAGAAGGATTTGAGGTAGGTGAAGAGGAGGTCCAGGTCTGCAAGACCTTGTTTGGCGGACTCGTTGGCGGAGAGGGTGGCGTTGTTTTGCAGCTTTTCGAGCAGGTCGCGGCCGCCCTTTAGTACGGCATACTCCCCTATCCGATCTGCCACTTCGCCGTCCAGGCCTTTGTCTTCTGTCATCTCTCGCCGCACTTCTTCCCAGGGTGACTTGTCCAGCTTGTCGACTGCTGATGATATTGTCCGCAGCTTGTCCTCGGGCACACCGCAGACCTGGAATATCCCGTCCAGGATCTTGCGGTGATTCAGCTTGATCGTGTACCTGCCCTTCCATCCCAGCGCCTCGAAGATCTCGCACGTGATCCGCAGAATCTCCGCATCAGGTAGCATAGCATCGTATGTGCCCGCAATGTCGAAGTCGCATTGATAAAACTCCCGCATTCGTCCCTTCGTCATAGCAGGCTGATCTCTCCGGTATACCTTCGCGATGTGATATCTCTTGATGTTCTGTATACTCGAGTTCATGGCCAGCCATCGTGCGAAGGGGACCGTTAGGTCGTATCGCAGCGAGCAGATTTCTCCGCCTTGGTCTTTGAGGTCGTAGATGAGTTTGCTGTCTTCGCCATACTTGCCGGTGAGGACGTCTTTGAGCTCAAACACTGGTCTGTATGAAGCATAACGTATCAGTACGTATGCGATGTAGCGTAGGACTGGGAAGGTTGACCAACGTATCGATTGTCACCGCGCCGTGACGCTTGAAGACTTGAGTGATGGTGCTGAAGATCTTGTCGCGGATGACCATGTCCTTGCCATCCCAGTCCTTCGTACCCTTCGGCACCTTCAGCACCACGCTGTTCTTGTCCTTGTCCTTCCCCATCTCGTCGGCGTCAAATGCTTCTGTTGTGTATCTTCTTGTTTGGGGAAGCTTTGTGATGGTTCGCGGTATGATTGAAACTCTAGAGAGTCGCGAACAGCGGAGTGACAGTCGGAGTATAGGTTGCATGCAAGGGATCTGAGTCAATTGCTGTTTGTTCGCAAGCTTGAGTCAATGTTCAGACTCTCTTGAAGTCGCGAAAAAACCGGATGCCTCAGGTATCTACGCCCCCAACCGCATCTCTTCGCCTTGACGACCATCTCTATTTCCCCAGCAATGTAATGGCCGCACATCCGGCCGTGAAGGCTATCAACACCCAGGAGATCACTGAGAAGGCGAGGCGAGGTCTTCTCCAGCTGCTGGAAGCCGTGAGTGTGCCCTTCCCAGCTCACGACAAGATTCTTGTGCTGACATCAAGCAGGTCCGGGGCAAGAAGAACCTGGTCATCGAACGCTCCTTAGCTGGAACCATTGGCCTCTTCGTCAAGTTCAGCACGCTCCAGGAATATGGCGTCGACAAGATCTTCTTCCTTGAGAATCACAATGTCGACTCCAGCCAGAGGAACATCATCTTCCTCTGTCGGGGCGAAAGCGCGAAGACTGCACGAATGGTAGCTGGTATGTCACTTCCCGTTATGCTCTGACCCTCATTCTTTTCTCCTACACATTGGGGATCTTAAAGTAGAGTACCTGGACTACAACCTCTTCCACTCTTTGTATTCAGTCTTGATCCCCAAAGCAAAGTACGAAAGTACTGCCAGCATGCCTCATAGTCTGACGTGCACCTCTAAATCATGTCAAGACCAACAGTACATGCATACATCACAACTTACGACAACTATGAACTCAGCAGAAGAGCCGTCAGTGTCATCCTGTCGAGTGACCGCTGACGAGAGCAGAGCAGATCAAACTGGTCCGGAGCGAAAGCCAGATTGACCATGAGTTCTCCATCATCTGGGTGCCTCGACGGACTCGCGTCAGCGACATGGTACTCGAAGAACACGGAACTCTCGGAGAAGCAACAATCTCCCAGCTGCAACTGCATTTCATCCCATTGGAGCAAGATGTCCTATCACTAGAGCTGGACACCGCCGTTCACGACCTTTACTTGCGGAAGGATCCGACCTGCATCTTTGCCTCTGCACAAGCGTTGATGCGTCTGCAAAAGCAGTACGGACTGTTTCCACGAATATTGGGCAAGGGTGACAATGCTAAAAAGCTGGCCGACCTCTTGCAGAAGATGCGAAGCGAGGAAGAAGTCAACGCTGCAGCAGACTCTAACAACTCTTACCTGACCTCGTTCGGGCTGACACCCAGCTCTGTTATTGAGAATCTCATCATCATTGACCGAGACGTGGACTTTCCAACCGTGCTATCTACCCAGCTCACCTACGAAGGGCTCATTGATGAAAATTACGGCATTACCAACAATCAGACGGAGGTCGAGTCTTCCATTCTAGGCGGAGCCCCTGCGCAACCTCAATCGCAGAACGGCACCACGCAGGCACCAGCAACAGCTACGAAGCGAAAGCTCCAGCTTGATACCAGCGATAAGCTCTACCCATCGTTACGTGACGCCAACTTCGCCACTATAGGACCGACCTTGAATCGTACTGCGCGCCGACTGCAGTCGGACCAACAGAACATCCACAACCAGGACCAGTCAATCGCTGACCTGAAAAGCTTTGTCTCGAAGCTACCATCTTACCAGGCCGAACAGGCCAGCTTGAAGATACACACAAGTCTTGCTGAAGAACTCATGAAGGTCACCCGTAGTGAGCTGTTCAACCAGATGCTTGAAGTGCAACAAAATCTCCTTGCTGGCAGCGACCCGAGCGCCACCCATGAGAACATCGAAGAGTTGATCGCCCGCGACGTACCTTTTAAGACTGTTCTACGCCTGCTCTGTCTCGAAAGCTGCCTCAGCAACGGCATCCGGTCTCGCGATCTGGAGAACTTCAAGCGCCAGATTCTGCAAGCATACGGTTTCCAGCATGTCCTTACGCTTGCTAACCTGGAGAAGATGGGCCTACTCGTTCCTCGAGAAAGCCACAGAGGCTACCTCAACCCAATCGGCAGCGCTGCCGGTCAAACTGCCACCGATTGGAATGCTCTTCGCAAAGGCCTGAAGCTTTGGGTTGACGATGTTCAGGAGGACGACCCGAACGACGTTGCATATGTCTTCAGCGGTTTCGCTCCTCTCAGTGTTCGACTCGTGCAGTGCATCCTGCAGAAGAGCCAGCTCTACAACTTGGTCAATCAACCTCGCCAGCCTTCGTCCGCTCCTACGGGTACTGGCTGGAAAGGCTTCGAAGACGTTGTGGCCCGGATTCGTGGTGCCACAGTCGACGTGACGCAGAAGGGCCATGACGCCGATGCATCCCACGCGAGGAAGACGTTGCGGGGCAGTAAAGAAGGACCAAAGATCAGTCTGGTGTTTTTCCTAGGCGGTGTTACGTTTGCAGAAATCGCAGCGCTGAGGCTGGTGAGTGCGCAGATGGAGGAGAAGGAGGGCAGAAAGATTGTTATCATGACTACAGGGTTGGTGAACGGAGGTCGAGCAGTTGGGACCGCTGTAGAGAAGAGAGAGTTCGGGCAGTAGAGCTGGCGAAGAACCATCAAAGGACGATGGCATTGTTATGTATATGTTGTCACATGCGTATGGTCGACGAATCAAGCAGGAGGAAAGAACAGGTTAGCGGGAGCTTTTCTTTCTCCGACGTCACTTCATCTGACACATCAAAACAAGCCGGCAAACACCTGCTGTACTTTTTGATATCGTCACTTCATTGAGACTTGTTTTCACGCACATCATTCTCCACATAACCATACTCCCTCGTTGCTTCCACACCCTCTCACAGCACTACTCCGCCATCAACATGGGCGCACCCGACTGGATGTCAACTACCAACGGTGCGGGTGGCGCGAAATCTTCGGTGAAGGACTACGTCCAGAGCGGCCACGAGCCTCTGGCCCCTACCAGGAAGAAGAAGAAGAAGAAATTTCCGTCGCACGAAGAAGAGGATAGCAACGAGCAAACGAATGGCGACACCATCGATGCACTCTTCTGCGGCCCTGACGCTGACCCATCCGCACTGCGCGTGAGCGAGCACACCAACGGCTATGGGGATGACGATGAAGGTGAGACGCTACAAGGACAAGCCTCATCTACTCCAGCTAACATCTGCATTAGAAGAAGACAAGGCGTCCACCGCCGACGGCCACACTAACGGAGGCCCCGTCGACCTGCGCAGACTCCGTGGTCAAGTATCCGCTTCCAGGTTCAACAACGTCGACGACTCCATGCCCATCTCCATAAAACAGCTCATCAACAACACCAGCCCCATCCCCCGCGAGCCCGAAGACCCGAACCACATCGCCATCGCCACCTGGTTCTCCGAACAAACCGGCCACCAGTACCAAGTCAGCCCGCGCCACCGCGAGAAAATCATCGAGCACCTCCTCAACCACAAATACCCCGGCACCACGCCCGACTGGCTCGCCGCGACCCGTCAAGTCTTCTGGCGCGCCGTCATCCGTGCGAGCTACTTCTGGGTGAACCCCGACACCAAGACGGAAGCGGGGAAGCCGACACCGATCCATCGTCCCGACGGGCTGTACGAGAACGACTTTAAGACATTCGTCCTGTGCTGCGCCGAGCGGGCCGACAGGGTGGGCAGGGACTTGCCGTCGCCGGAGTATGTGAAGTGGGTTGAAGATCAGGTGCGGGATTTCCTGGGCAAGGCGGAGAAGATATTCAAGAAGGAGTTGGAGCATTTGGCGTTTCTACTGATGTGGGATGAGGAGCACAAGCGGATTTTGAAGGAGGGGGAGATGGTGGAGAGGGTGATGAGGGTTTTTGGGAGGCTGAAGTTCAATTGGAGAGGGTGCCAGATGTTTGCGCCGAGGGAGGTCCAGAGGGCGAGGGGTGGGCATAGGAAGGTGGAGGTCGGGGTTGATTATGCGGAGAAGGTGTGGGAGGATGCTATGGCGGCGTTGTGAACGGTCGGTCTGCTTGCGGCTGCACAGGAAGTTTCCTTCGGCAGCAGAATACGTATGGGCGCGGCGAGTGTTCTGCGACAGGGCAGCAAGGATAACCTGGAGACATGCACAAGCAAAGACTGGAGAAGAAGAGCAGTCGCACATTGCCACAGCTTCTTGCATATGGAGCTTAGCCTTCATATCCTAGCAGTCTAGACAGTGCAGCCTCAGTCTTCGAGATCAGCCTCCTCCATGTTCCTCACAAATAGCGTAAACCACTTCACCATCCCAATATGGTTCACCATACTGATATGCTCGTCAACAGTATGGATTTTCCCGAGCCCGGGTCCAACACTAGGATCATAACCCGGTCCAAATCTGAAGATGTGCTTTGTCAGCGGCCAGTAAAATCTTGTGTCCGTGTTGCCGGTCGTCGAGCCCGGCGAGACAATGATGTCTTCGCCGTACACTGCTCGCGTCGTACCGGCCAGGATGGAGTAAGGTGTGGTTCTGTCGATATCGGTTGGAGTGATCGGTGCAGGCCGCAGCGTGGTTGGGGAGTCCCAGAGCGAGATCGATTGCGCTGCCTCTTGTGTTCCGTCGAAAGCGTGGAGGGTAAGGTTGTACTTCTTTGCGATCGGCTTGGCCAAGGAAGTGAGTCTCCGCCAAACCATCTCCGGCTCATCACCATTGTTGATGCGGTGGTTGACTGTCACGGAGACACGTTCGGGGAGCGCGTTGACCTTGACACCGCCCTCAATGACATCTACCGCCTGCGACGTCTGCATGAGGTATTTGATACCGAGACTCTCTTTGGCGGCTTCAAGAGCGAGGTGGTCTGGCTTCGCCCTGCAGCTGTGCGATTCTCGCCGACCGAGCAACTTCTTGATCTTCTTCGGGAAGTCTGATGAGTGTGCCGCACCGCATTGCAGTTGTTTTAAATATGGATTTTCGTCTGTTAGGTACGTCGGATATTGATCAGCTTCGATCTTAGTGATCAGCTCGCTCAAAACGCCAATGCTGGTGTGATCGTAGGGAATGGACGAGTGTCCACCAGGCATGCGGATGGTGATGTGGACGTCGGTGTATCCTTTCTCGCCGGTACCGGGTGCAGCAAACACGGATCCCCACGCTTCCATAAAGCCATTGCCTTCGTCTACGATCCCAGCGATGCCATCTTTGCCATAGCGTTTCAGCAAGTACGGCCCAAGGTAGCCGGCTCCCTGACGACCACCCATTTCTTCGTCGAATCCGAAGGAGAGCACGACTGTACGCTTTGGCTCGTATCCAGCGTCGATGAAGAGCTCCATGGTCTCCATGATGGCGATCAGCGAATTCTTGCAATCGCTAGACCCTCGACCCCAGACTGACTTGCCGTCATAGTAGCCGCTGTATGGCGGGTGCGTCCAAGCATCAACCGTAGCGTTCGGCACAGGCACGACATCCTGATGTGCCATAAGAAGCACTGGCTTCAGATCTTCGTCCGAGCCCTTCCATGTGTATATCAAGCCGTATGTATGGACGAATTCCAGCTGCATGTGCTCATGAACTCGTGGGAAGGTCTTCTTCAAGTAGTCGTGGAAGGCATAGCGAGTCTCCCACCTAGGATCCTCGCCCACTGGCCCAAGGTCATCGTAGCTCTCGGTTGCTATTTGTACGGCTCCAGAGAGCCGCTTGATTGAGTCGGTCTTGAATTCGGACGTGGAGATGTAGTCGTACATGTCTTCGAGGCGACCATTGTTCTCTGACGGGAAGAGAGGATCGACCTGCGCGCACTGGGAGCTCGAGCTGTCATTGTGGGAGTGTTGGCTGGGGAGAAGGTCGAGGACAGGTTGCTTGAGGATGGTAAAAAGGACAAGAAGAGGGAAGAGAACGTAGGAAACGGATCGCAACACACTGCCCCGTGGCTGTCTCTGAGGCACTGGAGCTGGCAGCTCGTACGGCTGCGCTGACTTCTCCATTGTTGCTGGAAGAAGGAAGACAAGTGAAGGAGTCCGACATACCTTTCTATCCGTTGCTCAAGCGGTATATCTCCGATCACGCAAATGCTGTTGTTTACCTTCCTAGCTGGGTGATTGATATTCGGCTCGGCCAAGCTTTGCCGAGCGGCCAAACTCTAACCGTAAAGCCTAAGGCAGATGCAACGAAATACCACGACACGTCTCTTACCGCAAAGTCTTCCTCTCCACACCCCATTAGTACATCTCGCCTCCCGCCCAGAGACGCCGGAGAATACGCCACAGCGACATCAGTACGTCTCAGAGCAGGGTCGGCGCACAATCATCCCATGGCTGTCTCACCTGCCGCCGTCCGGCTCACTGGCCTTCTGGCCGACTTCACCTGGTCTTGAGGCTAAGGACTGCACCTACGAACAACGCGAAGGGCCTTCCCATCAGTCTGCACGACCAGCAGAGCTGGACGGCGCCTTGGGCTTCTCTACGTCCCCTCCGTCGTACAGCAGTTCAGGTCCTACCTCTCCGTACCGTCCTATCCGCTAAGCGATCGTATCCTGAATCGAGTGTGCCTCGACAGTATGCAGCCGTGCGGCACAGCTCAGCCATCATGCTCTCTTCACAAACGACTTTGGAGGCCAAGTGTCGCTACTGCACTCCGCCTTTCAGCGCACGTTTGAGACTCTGAACATGATCTCTGAGGATGATCCATGGCCAATGAAAGACGATGCGTCTGTCGCACGTGCTCGATGAAGAGCTGCCTGCCTGCAGCTGAGGGTTCTTGCTAAGCATAGGCGATTTGTTCTTACTGATAAAAAGCTTCGTGGACGTCGTGCCCATTCTCTCTTCTCTTAGTCTTTCAAGACAGCTTTTCATCTCTGAACATTACAACCAAAGACTACCTACTCTTAACTATCTTGAACACATTTACATCGAACTAATCAACATCCTCCTTCACGGTGTCATGGCTGACTTTAAGAACACCCACTCCGCTCTTCATGAACTGCAATCTGGAGACCAGGCAGAGCTTCTGGACGCAACCGACCAGCTTCGTAAGAACGCGTTCAATGCTGAGTTTGACCCTACCCAAATCATCGTATGCGGCGATCAATCCAGTGGAAAGTCCTCCGTGCTCGAAGCCATCTCGAGGGTTCGCTTTCCCTCAAAAGACACCTTATGCACAAAGCTCGCCATGGAGCTGGTCCTTCGTAGAGCACCCCAATCGAGCTTCGAGGTCCGCATAGAGCCGGCCTCGGACCGGACTCCTGAGGAGAAAGAAGAGCTCTCGCAGTTCGCGCCTGGTGATGATCTCAATGATCTGCAGCATATACCAGGGGTCATCGAAGCAGCGACTGCGCGTCTGGCGGACATTGACCTTGAAGGTCATGGTGGCCACGGATTCTACAAAGACAAGCTGGTGATCACCATTCGGCGCCCTGACTTGCCACCTTTGACGCTCGTGGACCTTCCCGGCTTTATCCAATCCTCGAACAGAGACCAGCTGCCAGAAGATATCGACACCGTGAAGCAGCTTGCTATGTCGTACATGGCTCGGGAGAACAGTATCATCCTAGCAGTCGCGGCGGCAAACAACAATGTAGCTAACCAGATTGTCTTCGAAGAAGCTCGCCAGGTCGACCCGGAGCGCGAGAGGACTCTCGGTATCATCACAAAGCCTGACCTCGTCGATGCAGGGTACAGCGCGGAAGCAGAAGACGTCAAATTTGCGCAGAATCGTGACATCGTTGTGTCCATGGGCTGGCATGTCCTCAAGAACTGCGATCCCCAGCATGCAAATGCCACGGCTGACGAACGGGACGCTCTTGAGGCTGAGTTCTTCTCTGCCGCCTCGAGCTTCCGTTGGAAGGACCTGCCAAAGTCTGATCTGGGTGGCAGCAGCCTCCGGGAGAAACTCAGAAAGATCTTGCTTGCATCAATCCGGACGAGCTTGCCAACACTTGTGGGGAGGATCGAGAATAGGGTGGAAGAATGCGAGAGGTCTGCGACAAAATTGGGGGAGCCGAAACTGCTTGAAAGCGAGCAGAGACAAGAGCTGACCGCGATTGCTGGACAGCTTGAGAAACTTGTCACTGCGGGTATCCAAGGATTTCACCGCGAATCGTTTCGCTTCGAGCCTTTGAAACTTCGCGCTTCCATGCGACAGCTCCTTGATGACTTTGCACAGGACATGCATAGCAAAGGCCAACGCTTTGCCGTCGCTAGTCGCCGTCAGCGCCCAACGACTTCCAAGCTGGACCTTTTCACGCCCAGTCCGGTGGTCGACTCGACACTCTCCAAGGCCCTGAAGTGCTTGAGTTGGACGTCCTGTTGAAGATGATGACTTCTTACATTCATCGAAACCGAGGATAGGAGCCTGATGGTTTCTTTCCAGTTGAGATCATCAACGATGTCTTTCGACACCAGACATCCAAATGGGCTCGCTTCGCCAACACCTACGCCAAAACAACTTGGCATCTCGCAGAGAGCTTCCTGAAATATGCCTTGGCCCACGTGGCACCCTCTCATACAGCTGAGGCGATCTCGAACGGCATCCTCGAGACTAAGCTGGCTGCAAGCAAAAGCAAACTCCTTCTCAAAGTCGAGGAGTTGTTGAAGCCCTACACCCGCAGAGCTGTCTTCATCCTGAACTCTGCCGAGCTGCAAAAACGGCTCGGCGAGGCTCGAGAGGTTCGTCGAGAGGCTTCGTGGGCAAATGGGAAAGACGACCCCGAACAGGAGAAGACGGGGGCACAGCTCGGGCAGGCCGCGATTGTACTGGACTATGTGAATGCACAGTACGCCATTGCGCTCGACACGTTCCTCGAGAACTTCGCCAACTTGGCCATCGAGGGCTGCCTGATCGAAGACCTGCAAGAGCTCTTCACGGCCAACGTTGTCGCTGGCATGGACGCGAGTATGGTCAAGCAATCCACTGCAGAGCCTGACTACGTGGTCAGGGACAGAGAGGATAACAAGCAGCGGCTCGCGATCTTGCAGGGTATCTTGAAGACGTGCAGTAAGCATGTCAGCCGCTTCGGTAAGTGCATCTGCATGAAGAAGTCACAAAGACGCCACCACTAACTACCTCCAGATGACTTTCAAGGCGGCAGACCGCCGCATGCTTCAGCCCCCACACCTGCTGACCCGCCAGAAATCGTAGCGACCTCGCCCTTAATAGCTCATCCAACCGAAAAGACTCCATCGCCGAAACAGCAGTGGCTGTGTCGACGTTCCCGCGCAGACTCAGGCTACGCCTCCCCACGAAGGATCTCGTCGTCGTCCTCACGTGGACGGGCCAAAGGGTTGGCCCCGGGCTACAACACCGCGCCTGGGAGGTCACCGTCGCCCTTGCAGAAGATGCTAAGGCCGGATGCGCAATATGCGTCGTTCAATGGCTCAGAGGATGAGGATCGGTCGGAGGAAGTGACATCGCGAGGGACATAAATTCGCGGTGTTTTCCTACTCTCTGGGTACGTTTTGGGGAACTATCAGGGGAGTTCATGTACCATTACCAATCCATGCCAGCGCTTTTCCTTCGCGGCTTTACTTTCATGTCGTTGAGTTGCACATGAAGGAGTGCATGTATACAGCAACCTCCGAGATCGGCTACTCGGTTATAGGCCAGTGGCCCCTGCTCAGTCAACTCCAAGCAACTCCAACTCCATATATTGTTCCCTCGCAGTGATGCCTGTAACGTAGCTGTGCGTCAAGAGGCGTATATATAGCAAAGTTGCATTTTGCATTGAGCATAGCCTGGAAAAACGGCGAAACATCATGGCGGCCGCAGCGCAAGTGATCCGAAGGGCGCAACTCTACGGTATGCACACCCCAATCCAAGATCAAGAATGAATCTTTTCGTTCCAGAGACAAAACACAACATATATAAAACTCTCTACTAACACCACCAAGTCCCCGGCTCCTCCATGCGCTTCCTCGAAAAATCCCGCGGCCTCACCGTCGACTCCATCGCCTACGACCTCGAGGACTCTGTCACGCCCTCCAAGAAACCCGAAGGCCGCCAGAACATCCTCGCCGTGCTGAACAAAGACCGCGTGCCTAATGTTCGCGAGCAAGCCGTCCGCATCAACCCCGTCTCTTCCGGTCTGGCTTTGGATGACCTCACGGAAGTGCTCAAGGGCACGAACCTGGATTGCCTAGTCGTCCCTAAAGTTGACGCGGCGAGTGATTTACATTTCGTCACCGATGTGCTGAAGCAGAAATTACCGGAACGACATACGCCTGGCTCGCCTGGCTGGAATCCGGTCAAGATTGTTGCGTTGGTGGAGAGCGCGAGGAGCGTGATGGACTTGTCTGCAATCTGTGCCGCGAGTCCCTTCTTATCCGGCATCACGTTCGCGGCGGAGGACTTTGCGCTCGATCTTTCCATCACGCGGACGCCGGGGTTGAACGAGTTCACGTATGCGCGGTCAGCGATCGTGACGGCGGCGAGGGCGTTTAATCTGCCCAGTACGTTGGATTTGGTGTCGACGACTTTCAGAGGGGAGGAGGGGAGGAGGTTCTTGCAGGAGGAGAGCGAGAATGGGAAGAGGTTTGGGTTCAACGGGAAGCAGTGTATTCATCCGGATCAGGTGTCGACGGTGCAGGAGGTGTTTAGTCCGAGTCAGCAGGAGACTGAGTGGGCTGTGAGAGTTGTGATTGCGGACAAGAAGGCTGATGCGCAGGGGCGAGGAGCGTGGACGCTGGATGGGAAGATGATTGATGTGCCTGTGGTTGGCAAGGCGAAGGCTATCGTGGCGAAAGCTGAGCTCTGCGGGATGGACGTCAAGGGCTTGCAGGACAAGTTCAAGGATGAGGAGCCGCAGTAAAGATGTGAGTATAGTCTGTACATATGGCTGCTTATACGCATCAATACCCTCTGTCTCTGTTCACAACATTGATCAGCTTCTCCCCATCAACCCACTTCCCTAGATTGACTGCGAGTACCTGTATCGCTCTGTCCAGATACGACACCCCACTTCCACTAATATGCGGCGTCAGCACCACATTTTCCAGGTCCCACAACTCACTATCCTCCGGCAAAGGCTCAGGATCCGTCACATCCAGCGCCGCGCCCTCCAACGTCCCATCCTTCAACGCCTCAATCAACGCCGGCTGATCGACAATAGGCCCCCGCGCAATATTCGTCAAAAACACCTTCCTCTTCCCCTCATCGCTCAACACCCTAAACTCCTCCTTCGACAAGAAATGCCTCGTCTCCTTCGTCAACGGCACCGCAACAACCACCCAATCTAAATCCTGCTTCAAAAAATGCCGCAGACTCTCCTTATCCAACCCGCTGAACCACTTCTGCGGCACCTCTCCCTTCTCATCCCCCGTCCCAGGCACGATGAACCCCGGATCCCGCCTCTTCTCCGGTGTATCCTTCGGCGTAGCCGTGTACGCATACACCTCCATTCCCATGCCCTTTGCCAACCGCCCAACTTGCCTGCCTATACTCCCATACCCCAACACCCCAAGCCTCAAACCCACGCGATCGCGTACGCTCGTCTGACGCTCGGCGTTGATGCTCTTCGGCCACTCATGCCGCTTCTGCAATTCGTACAGATGCTTGTAATTATGCGTATGCACCAGATGCGTCATGACAACCCACTCGGCGATCTGCGGTCCATGGATCCCACTCGCCGTGCAAATCGTGATATCCTCATCTTTCCAAATCCAAAGATCCTGCACATGATTGCTGCCCGCACTCAACAGTTGGACGAGGCGGAGATGAGGCGCTTCGGAGCGGGAGGCAGGAAAGCCTGCAAAGGTGCAGAGGATGGTGACGCTGGACCAGATGTCTTTCCCTAGTGACGCGCGGATGGCGGCGAAGTCGAAGGTGTAGGAGACTTGACGCCAGGTTATCTCGATTTGGGGGAATTTCTTGCGGAGGGCGTTGGTGGTGTCGGTGGGTTCTGGGGTGGGCACGGCGAAGAGGAGGTGTTCTTTTGGTGGTCCGCCGCCCATGGTTGTTGTGTCTGGTGGCGTTGTATTATGGATGGAAGGGGAGAGAAGAAGGCTTGATAGAGCCGAATCAGCAGACCTACCTCGAAATGAATATATATATTCTTACACAATGTCGATGATGTGATCTGATCTTGCTATCGGCTCCGGGCAGGGCAAGGTGCGATGTCGTCCGGCAAAGCTTCAGCCGCTTGCTCGACGCCAGAAGGGAAAGGCGTGTAAACTGAACGGATTACTCTGTATACTATCATAAGACAGCCTGGGATCTGCACACAGCAGCGGCGAACGCACGCGAGAGAAGAGCAGCCATGGGTCAACGGTATTCCATTTCATGACGTTCTTATTCGCCGTCTCCTCCCAGCCTAATGTACACGCCATCAAGCATAGCACCCAACCCATTGCTTCGCGGTACGGTGTGAGAGAACGCCTCTCCAGCATCGCTTAGAAGTGACCGAGGTCCTGTCCACCCTTGTCAAAAGATCGAGTCTCCCCTCAACAGCTTCAGCAATCGAGCCAAAGCATCCGCCAGCGCCTCCACGCTCGTTGAAAAGTCCAGTACTGCCACCTGTCTCGTCTCCTCATACTTGCCGTCGAACACACTAGCTCGCTGCCTCTCCAAACTACGGAGCATCAGCTGCCGCGGCGTCCGAAGTCAGAGGCTCCTCCTTGGTCGCAGACTCGTCCTGGGCTGCAGCCTCGACCTTCGGAGCAGACTCCTCCGGTGCAGCCTCGCCCATCTCGACGTCCTCGACATCCACTGCTTCCTTGGTCTCAGCGGGCGCGATGACGGGCTCCTCGACCTTCGCGTCGGCCACCTCCTCAACCTTCGCGTCGAGCTCCTTAGCAGCCTCGTCAGCCTTCGTCTCAGTCTCCTGTGCACCTTTCTTCGCCTCATCTTCGCTCTTCGGGGCCTCAGCAGCAGCGGATTCGCCGTTCGTCTCGGGCACGGCACTCTCCGCCTTTACCTCAGCTGCAGGCTCGACAGACTCCTTCGGCTCAACAGCACTGGGTGGCGCCACATCACCATCCGCGGCCATGCGCCGGTTCCAGATGTCTAGCAAAGACGCGCTGCGCTTCTTGAAGTTGTACTCTTCATCCTTGGGAATAGACGAGAGCTTGACGATGCCCTTGAGGACCTTGTGGATCTTGGTGGTACGAATGATGGACGCCTCGAGGTTCTCGTGCGCTTCAAGCTGGGAGAAGAAGGTCGCCATGCCATCCATCTCGTCTTCCTTCGGGGTCACGTCGCGGCTCAGGAAGCCCTTCTGAAGCCTATGGCGGAGGTAGAGGATGGCCTTCTCGCGGTGCTCGCGCTCCTGCTCTGCTGTGAGCTGCTCTTTCTGAACTTCCTCGTCTTCCTTGGGCGCCTGAACGACCTTCTTCTTCGACTTTGCCGCAGACTTCTTCGTTGAAGCCTCGCCGTTTGGAGTCTTTGGCGCGTTAAGCTTCGTGACCTTTGGCGTCTTCTTTGGCTGGCAGCAGTCAGCATAATTTCCAGATGGATAGAGTTAAGCAGCCATACCTTGCCCTCGCTATCGCTCTCAGCGTCCTTCTTGCGCTTCTTAGCCGACTTCGTGCCATCCGCGTCCACCATGTCGACATCGTCCTCACTGCCCTTGCTTTTGCGACTCTTCTTGCTCTTCTTCGCTTGCGCCTCCTCGGTCGCGGCAGCTTCGGCATCTACGGCCTCTCTCTCCTTGCGCGCGGCCTCCTCTTCTGCGGCACGCGCAGCTTCCTCGCGCATCTCCTGCTCGATCTTAGCCTCTTCCTCCTGCCACGTCTTCAGAATGCCCTTGAAGTAGGCGAGGTCGTGGTTCTCAGAGGCAATTTTCCACGCGTCCTGCAGAGACTTGATCATCTTGGACTTTGGCAGCGTCTTGCACTCCTCCGGTTCAAGCGGCTCGAGGTTCGTGTTGATCATCCACGTGCTGCAGACGCGTATGTCAGTTTTGCGCCATGGCTAGATAAGAGACGATGAATACTCACAACTCATTCGTAGACAGGAACATAACCGGGTAGGTTCTCTCTTTCGAGTTCTTGCCGCCCTCCTTGAAGTCGTCGCGAATGGACCCATCTGGCCTGGTCGTGCTCACCGGCCGTGTCGCGAGTAGCGACTCTGGCAGCATCTGCTCGTCGCAAATGACAGACGGCCATGGCGGGTAGCCTTTTAGCTTCGCCCAGTAGAAGTCGCCCGGCTGGCAGTTGAGGTGAAGCGTGGGCATGCTCTTCTTCTTGTTAAGCTTCTTGTTCTTGTGCTCTGGGACGGCACCGCTCGACTTGCGCTTCTCTTTCTTGTTGCTCGGAGCCGCAGCAGCCTCTGGGGCGGCGGCAGGCTCGGCTTGAGCTACCTCAGCGGTCTCGACACCATCTGGCGCAGTGGCTTCGGTGGTGGCCTGCTTGCCAGCGGTGTCCTCGACGTCCTTTGACACAGCAGATGCGTCGCCGTTCGTGTCAGCAGCCGGAGTGGGTTCGGTCGGGGCCTCAGTAGCAGGCTGGGTACGGTCAGCAACGACATCACAGATTTCACCTGTCACTACTTCACGACTCACCGCTGGCGCCTCTACTGGCGGTGATGTGGTGGGCTCGTCCACCATCGTGATCGTGGTGGAGAGGGTGTGGTGTGGGTGAAGCAGAAATTGCGACGTGCGCTGGGCTCACTGCGACGCGTATCCTCCCGTAACGCGGTGAATAATGCTGTGCTGTGATGGGGTCAGCCGAGGGAAGTGATAGGCACACGTGGTCGCGATGGATTGGCGACGTGTGATGGAGAGGCTGATGGCGGATGGTGTTGTGTGGAGAGAGAGAGAACAGCGGAAGAAGGCGCGCAGTCTAAAAGAGAACTCTGCGGAAAACGCACGGGCCAAGAAGTCTGTCGCACAGGCTGCAGTCACCCTGCTTCCACGTTGACCAGCGCCCGGCTCGTGATTTCTTGCTCGTTGCAAACAAGATGAGGAGCTCAAGTGAATGCTCTGCATACGCCTCGTATGTATTCGATCCAAAGAGCGTCCTGCTGAACAAGTTGTGCTGCTTGTTGTGGTGACGCTTGGCAAGCTCGACCGCAACAAGCATGCCGGAAGCCAATCAGAAGGTGGCGTGAGCACCATTGCCCGCCCAGCCGACGCTTCCGATCTGCCTTCCTTCCAGCGGGATCCTGCTCCTGAGGTCGAGTGTGTCGAGGAAGGCCAGAGTATGCCTTCTCGTGACCGTCCGGCCTGTGAAAGCCACTCCCAGCCAGGACCGTCTCAGCTGGGCGATTGTCACTTGAGCTCGCTGGTCGAGCTGACGCAGCCCAGCACGGTTGCCGAGCTGTAACAGAAACCCCGCTCCTGTCGAAAGCATTCTGCCGTGCCAGGATAGCCGTCTCACCACGCTCCTCGTAAGAAGACCTGGCCCAGAAGTACCGCAGGCCCTCTTCGGCTTTTAACCAGTGGTGGACTTGGACTCGGCTTGAAGATCGACCAGCATCGCAGGAAAGCTGCAAGACAGCAAGCCTAGCATTGAGCGCATCGCAAGTCTGCTTCTCTAGCGTTGCTGAACCATTCAACCTATTGCTGGGCCTGTCAAGGCGGACAATCAGGGACGTGTTCAAGGCTCGCGCTGCGAAAGCCACGCAGCAAGAGGCTGTCAAGCTGACTGAACCAGACCTGCAGAAACCTGTTAGCGTCACGATCACTGTCCTTCCTGCCTCCAATGATGAACGTACCGTTCCAGCACCCATCCGAGAGGTCTGGTGCAAACGCTCGATCTTGACATGCAGATCGCCGTGTGTGAGATTTTTGCGGCCAATTGAAAAACAAGGCACTATGCCAGTGAGAATTGCGAGTATTAATACAAGAATAGTTCCATCTTTTTGACTTAGACACCGGGATGTAGTGAAAGTAGCCGCCGAGGACACACCGTCAAGCGCGAAGAGCGAAGCCAGAAGGAAATGTGCGAGAAGAATGGATAAACAGCAAATAGGACTCACGACTACACCGGTCAGCCTACCGGTCCCTCCATGTTGCACCTACCTTGAGGTCGTTCGTCAGGGCAGATTTGGTGATACCGCTACTGTATGTGACCTTTAAGCGTGACCTAGACGTCGTCAGCTAGGTACTAACACTTCTTCGTGGACCCGGCAAGACTGCTCGCCCAGCAGTGCGATGCAGTGCCAGCTGCTTCCTCCAGCCATCGGTCGTCCTATGATTCATCAACTGAACACTAGGAACTAAACGTCGTGCTGTCTGTCATGTTGAATTCTGCGGCGCAGGAACAGACGGTCGCGCAAGACCATAGCCTGAGCTGACAGCGTCGTCGCAATTTGGCAGCCACCCGTGGACGTCTTTGTGTTCCTGTCTCCAAAGTCTCCACGCATATCGTGCAGGCTATTTCAACGGGCTGATGTTCACGTTCATATTCCATCAGTCCAACTCATACGCAACAGTCAGAGTGTTGGACTTGTCCCTGCTATCGTCGATGGTAGTCCGTTGGGACGCTGTTCTCCAAAATCTCTTCCGCTCCTTGCGCTCAGTCGCTGTTCTACTAGATGGTCAAATCGTGGTGATATTGCTGAATGACATCGATCTCCGGGCGAACAGTACGATTTTGTGAATACTGCGGTCTTTTCGATGGGTTTGTAGATGGTGTTGAGGAAGAAACAGCCTCGCAAGCAAGAAACGAAGAGGAGTGGGAGGTGCCAACGTCACGTGCGCCCCTGCAACCTCAGCTCCCGAACACGTCTCCCAACACGGACATACACGCTCTCTTCAAAAGAATCTGGTAGCCTGGTTGCTGGTCTACTACAAATACTTGACGATCGGGACTATGCATTGAACACATACACTCAACAATGGACAACCCAATCCCAGGCACCCTCAACTGGCGCCTCAGTGCCCACCCCATAACCCTCGTCACCTTCCTCGCCTTCCGCATCGGTACGCAACACTCCCACACCTCCTACCTTCCCTGCTAACCCAAGACGTACGAGTACAGCAAGCCTTCTAGTCTACCTCCTCGGCCTCCTCTTCACCGAAAACTTCGTCCTCATCTTCATCATCACCATCCTCCTCCTCGCCTCGGACTTCTACTACCTCAAGAACATCGCCGGGCGCCGTCTTGTCGGCCTACGATGGTGGAACGAAGTCGATGCCAACTCGGGCGAGTCGCACTGGGTGTTTGAATCGGCGCCGCAGCCGAATGAGCCGGGCGGGAAGTTGGTGAATGCGACGGATAAGCGGTTCTTCTGGTTGGCGCTGTACTGCCAGCCGGCGCTGTGGGTGGCGCTGGCGGTGGTGGCGATTGTCAAGTTTGAGTTTATTTGGTTGACGCTTGTTGGTGGGTGCTGCGTACCAAGGTTTAAAAGGGAGGCGTTGGGGCTGACAGGGGACAGTTATTGCGCTGGTGCTTACGATCACGAATACGCTGGCTTTCTCGAGATGCGATAAGTTCAGCCAGGCCAGTGGGCTGGTTGAGAGGGGGCTGTACTCTGGCTCGCTGGCGCGGAATGTCGGAGGAGCGTTGGTGTCAAGATTGTTCAGCAGTGGAAGATGAGCACTCTGCATTGGGTGTTAGAAGAGCATGTTGTCGGCTTTAGCGTGTACTAGTAAGTCAATATACCATACGGAAAGATCTGTGCGTCATGGACCACTTGACCAGTCGATTCTCTTCGGGCCAGAACTATGTCCGTACCATTTTACAGATCCAACTCCTTTGCATCTTGTACAATGGAATATGTGAGCAGTCTCCTTTGAATTCGCAGCAATCCACAACCTCCTCATGATCGAAATCCTGTGTTGGACTGAAGTTCTGCTATATGAACTGCTATCGACACCGTCAGGGTTCACCTCTTGACTCACGCAGGTAAAATGGGCACCTCATTGGTCCTGAAGAACGTAAGAAGTGAAGTCGAGCTTCTAAGCCACGGTTCGGTCTTTCCATGTGCAACTGAACTCGCGCTTGCCTGTGCTCGCTCAGCCTTTCCTGCTTTGCTCGTATCTTCTTCACTGCTTCCACCCCTTACTAAACTCCTGCATCCACAGGTGAACCATTCTCAACGAATGACATCTTCACTTCAACCACTCATACGCGTGAGCAGTACAAGATGCAGCCACCAAAGACTATCCTCAACCAAGCCAGCAGAATGTCCACCATTCCGCCACCCACCAAAACACATGACAAGGTCCACACCTCAAAAACTCACACCCGTACCATGGCCGCCACCACCGTTAACGTCTTCCCGCGCCTAAGCAGCTGCCTCTCTCTCGAAGCCGTGCTGGACATCTACGAGCTCACAGAAATGATCCTGCTCGCCATGCCGAAGAGCGACATGCTCCTCGCCGCCGCTGGACATCCTACCTTGCGCTACATGTTCCAAGCCTCCTCTGCTGTGCGTAGACGTCTGGAGACCGACATCGATGAGCGGCAGGAAGTTGCTTTCGTACGGTACCAAATGGAAGACGGGTCATTGCTGGTCATCAGGCGTTACGCGCGCACGGAAGTCATCGCGCTTATCTCGGAGACGGAGACCGGGAAGCGGAGGACTGAGATGGTGTGTGGAAAGGCGCTACGTGTTGAGTTCATCGACCCAACCAAGCTGGCAATAGGCCGTTTCGTTGACTGGAGCCTCCGCATTGTAAGAGAGGGTGGCAGCGTTCCAGTATCGCACAAGGAGGCAGTCTACTGTGGCCAGCTAGAGGACTACCTGAACAGGTTCCACGCATCCCCGCCAGCCTATCACTAGAAGTCAAAAGAGATGCGGGGGTCGCTGTCGCTGGACATGCTCGTTTTCGACCTCGTTAAACCGCAGTGGAGAGCCCAAGGATTGTGGAGGTGGCATGTCCGCCAATCGATCCCGACATGGGATGCAGCGCTGATGGTGCTGAAGTGCCCTGGGGAGACAGCTGAGTGGGTGCTGGACCACTTGATCAACAGGCGAGGGCTCTTCGGATGTGAGATGTGGGAGATGCGATGGGATGGGCTCGCCGAGTGCCACGGCTCTGGCAAAACGTCGCTGGACTCGCCTCGAGAGCGACGAGAGGATGCCATGCGCGAGATACCGTGGCTTTAAGTATTGCTTGTACAAACAATTCATACATCGAACCAACCATCAACTACAAAACACATATCGTACCTGAGAAATCCTTGACGCCTTTCTGTCTCACTCACTTCTCACACAACATCTACCTCCTGGCCGTCGGCCCACTAACGCCAGCACCTATGACCGACGGCAACTCCGCATCACCCATCTCCCAGACGGTCCCGACAGCAAAGCTCACCAGCCCCACCATCGCCACGGAGAAAAGCACAATGAGCCAAAACTGCACGCTCACATCCCTCTTCTGACACGCCGGGCCGCCATAGTACGTCGTCGACACCCTTCCCTGACTATCCTTTTTCTCCTGCGGCTTGCAAGTGCAAGTGTAGCAGTTCTTCGCCGGCGAGCGATCTGGGGCAGAGGAGTCGGTGTATTTGAGGCTGCAGCTGCCGTGGCCGGTGCAGTTGCGGGTCATGGAGTTGCAGGTTTCGAGCGAGGGGAAGCAGGCGGGAAGGATGCCCCGGAGAGGTCCAGTCGCGTTGGATGCAGCGGCTGCGCCGAGGTTGGTCGTGGTGGCCGTTGGTTCTTCGAGAGGTTGCTCGGTTTGTTGGCGTTTGTGGTGGAGGGGGAGGCGGGGCATGGAGTAGGTGCCCCAGAGGTCCTCCACGGGCTCTGGAGCTTCTGAAGAAGTGGAGGGCGAGATGGCGATGATGGTGATGTCGTTGCGATAGCCGCCGTCGTGGATGGTTTGCATCCACTTGCGCTCGAAGTCGTAGATATTGGTGCGAATGGCGCCGGCGAGCTTGTTGGGATAGTCGGTCGTGTGAGATGAGAGGCGGGAGAGGGCGTCCTTAGTGGATGGGTAGGCTTGCTGGAGGATGTCGGCTAGGAGGTCGTGGGTGCTGTCGGTGGAGGGGAGGGGGGAGATCTTGAAGCTGGAGGCGCGGTCGGAGTAACGTTCAGCTGTTAAGTAGATTGTTAGCATATCAGCGCGTCTTACGAGCTGATCCAGCACATACTGAAAGCCTCCTCATGCTCTTCGGGTACCTCTACCAAGAAGATGTACTGTTGCTGTTCCTTCTCCCCCTTCCCGGCCTGGCCTAGCAGATGCGATCTTACGCCAAAGTCGTTGATGGCCTGCATCGCCTCATCGTGCCGTAGGTCCGCCGAGTGATATTCCTCTACTCCCGCCCTCTGCGCCAGTACCATTCGTGCTGCGGCTGGCGATAGTGTCCTCCTCTCATCGCTGATGTCTCTCCTTTGCGATTCGTAGATGTAGACTGTCCCTGCCACCGATGCCGCCGCTCTTGAAGCACAGCATAACGCTGGCAGTAGTATGGATCGTGTCAGCCTCATCGTTGCTCCCAATCGTTGCTAGAGGGTGACCAGACGATGGACATTGAATGCTGCTGGCTATCTTGAGGTCAGGCTTGGCATATGTGTCGGCGGGCGGGATAGCGCCACCCGGGCGGGATGACCCGGATCCAGACTTCAACCCACCATTTACCTTTGATTGTCTTTACATTCGTCACCTCCTACATCAAACCCTCCCGGATCTCTGGTATTGGTACCAAAAACGCATTCACGTCGCGCAGAACGAATGCCGAGCCCGCGATAGGCCACCACCATGCATCGCCTCCCGCGAGCCCTTACACTCCGCCAGACGCCCCACGCCATCCACCGACCGCAACCCATACGAAGAGCACAGATCCCGCGCATACAGAGGAGACACAAGTCGCAAACAGTCTACTCATCCTCTTCTGGCGAACCCATAAATCTACGGACCGTCCGCTTCAAGCGACCCGGCTTCTTCACCTTCCGCCGGTTGGCCACGGTTGGCGTCTACACCGGCGTCGTCTACCTCTACTTCAACCTGCTATGGCGGTACATGGATATCGAGATCGAGTTTGTGGACGACGAAGAAGAGCAGACCGATGAGCAGAAGCAGGCCTCGGGTGACCCCTCGAAGGAGGAGGCGTCAGAAGAAGAAGATGGCCCACCGTTCTACGCCGACCCCGACTCTACATTCATCCCTATGACCTGGTCCAAGAAGCTGCCTAGAACGTACTACCGCGGCAGCGACCCCGAATGGCAAGAGTTCATAAAAATCGCACAGGACCGGACGAGACACAAAAAGATCCAGTCCGAGCTCGTACAGATCGTCTACACCGGCTCAACGCAACACCCCACCATCGCACGCCAACTTGGTCCAGAAGCTAAAGTCGGCAAATACTGGCTCGACATCTCTTTCCCCGACGGTCCACCGCCGGAGTACGAGCGTAGCGGAATCGAGATTGGGGATGGCTTTGTGGCGTGGAGCCAGCAGATTGTGAGTCAGGAGAAGCAATGGCGATTGATGCGGGCACTGTGGCCGAGCGCGGCGGCGCAGAGTAGTTGGGCGACACTGAAGGTGTTGGCAGGGATCCAGTGGCGGCGGGTGAAGCAGAGCTTGGGGCTGGAGGCGCGGGATCCGATGGCGCCGGAGGAACGTTTCAAGACGGCGATGGAGATGGTCGAGAAGCGACAGGCTGCCGCGAGGGAGGGAAAGCAGGGTGGTGTGGGCAAGGCGCAGACGGATCCTAGCGGGAGTCCAGGCGCCGTGGCTAGTAGTCGCGACGCTGCCTCGTCACCCTCCGCCACTCCCTCACCACAAGCTCGGCCGTCCTCATCCTCTTCGAGTGATGGGAAGAAATTCCCCATACCTCTCCCGAACCTCCCGCTCCCCTCTGCTCCCGCCTCCGCCTCCAGCGCCGCATCCACCGACCTCCCCATCGCCATGCACGTCTTCCAATCCACCCTCTCGAAAACATGGTCCCCCACCGCCAAAGCGAACCGACAAGGCGGCGTGGCTCCCTTCGATCCTCCACGGGGCAGCTTCGTGGTGCAAGGGTTGGTCGAGGTGCGGGGACAGAGGGGCAGGATGCTGTTCGATGTGCAGAGTGCTTATGACCCCAGCCAGGGGAAGTTTGTGCAGGTGAATGCGGGGGTGAGGGGGTATAAGCGGTGGAGACAGGGGCCGAAGGGAGGGCCGTAGGTCAGGGCGAAGTGCTTTTGTGTGTGTGCTGCGTTTTGAGCGATGGGTTTAGCGGGATAGTGGGATGACAGGGGTTGCATAGCGTTCGTTGAGCGGAGAGGCATTGTTACGACCACGATAAAGTTCGATACATATCCGGCCTTCGCGAGCGTTCGATCCATTGAGATGTCCTGCCGTACGTGGCCGTCGGCGTGCATTTATCCCACAGGGGTACACGTAGCTTACAGCCTGCTATTACCTTTCCTGTCATCGCACCCGTGCTTTTCGTGTATTTTGAGGCATTACAGGGTGAGCTGCCAGTACTTGACGGCATCGAAGATTCGTTCTCTTCTCCGGTCGAAGCCTAGTGCGCACTGGGTATTGCGGCGAGTAGAATGATCAGCTTGATACGACCGCATATGGGGATCAGTTGATGAGGTATTCAAAGTTCGTACAGCGTGCACACTCCCTCCTCCCCAAGTAGAGTATCAGTACTAAACAAAAGAGGCCACTCCGCCCTCCACCAACCGAAGGCCGTCCAAAAACAGCAAAAGAAAACCCCCTTTCGGAGGTGAAGAAACCCTGTCATTGCGATCTGTCCTGTCGACCCTGTCTTTGCGGTTTACTTTCTTTGGCAATTTTCAATTTGCAGCTTTCTGTCTTGAGACTTCACGAGATTCGAACTTGTGTTTTAACTAGGACCTTGTTGCGTGATGATATCACGTGCTTGTTTTTTCTGTTCTTGGTCGCTTATGGGCTTTGGTGCTTGTGGGCTGGTGAGGGAGGGTTTGTGGAAGTGGAATATATTACTTCACTTCACTTTCGCCAGGGATTGGGGGTGATGTCCGAGATTGGGCCGGTGGTGGTGGGCCGTGGTGTTCGTTTTGACAGTGGTGTTGTTTGTCGTGCGGCTGTAATCGAGGATCCTGCGACAGTGGTTTCGTGGACGCGGACGGCGGCTCGATTGAGACAAGTACTTGGCTTCAAGTAGGAACAGTGAGGTGATCTCTGATGGGTTGTTTCTGCTTACTGTTGCAGCACTGATTGTGCACGAGCAGTTTCGTCCTGTCATCATTCCCGCCCTTGTCCGCCGAAAGAGTGCCTCAGACCGCGAACGTAGTAAGACTACATGATGACCGTAACGCATGCATGCTTTATTTTCACTGTGCAACTTCACGTAACTCTTCCTGCCTGCGAGCCACAGCATGCCTTCCATTTAGGCTACGTGCGTACTCATTCAAGTTCGCCACCTCGAGACACGCCTCTTCGTCCGCCCTTGTCCCCTCGTTTACCCCTGCCTTTCGAACCACCTCAATGGCCTGCGAAGGACCGGTAGCGTACGACAGGTGCATGATTTGGGTGACCTGGGGTATTTGCGCTCGAAGAATGACATCCTCAGTTCTACGGCCAGAAGCACGGCATTCGCTGCTCAGCGTGACCATCCGATTCAGTGGTTTCTTGAAGATATGGTCCAGAAGGGTCGTCATCATTTCCATAATGCATCGGACAAGATCTAGTCTTCATTTCTTCCTTCTAGCAATGATGGGGAACCGACGTTGGTGTTGCTCCTTGTTCATGATGTCCAGATGCTGCGTCTCAGAGCGACATGAGATAGATGAATGTATATCCAATCATGCGCACAGCACAACTCCGTGCATACAGTAACAAGCAACACCTTGTGCGGCGCAATGCCTGTGATATTTCTGCGACAGAGAACATGAGACGACCTCTCAAGTGAGGTTGAAAAGCAGTTTTGACTTTCGCTTATCTGGTTGCTACGGGCAGGGATCTGGGGACGCTAGCGGCGCTTCGATCAACAGTCGTCAACTCCATCGTCTGTCGAGCATACCACAGTATTATACCAACAGGCGACACAGCGCCGTCATGTCTTCGATACATGCAGACCCGCCGCCTCCGATCGTGACAGAACCTGACGGAATACAATATGCGACGGGACCGGCGCTAGGCAAAGGCGGATTTGCCATCTGCCATCGGGCGGAACGATACAATGGCAGCAGTCCGACGGGACAGCTGGTCGCGCTCAAGATTGTCAAAACGAAGATGGAGCCTGCGAAGCTAGCGCAGAAGGTATAGACTTCACCATGCGTCTAAGAAATGGAAGACGATACTAATCCAGCTACAGTTCGTGACAGAACTCCAAATCCACTCGAAAGTGCTCCATCCAAACATCGTCACCTTCTATCGCGCCTTCTCCTTCCAGACGAGCACTTACGTTGTGCTAGAGCTCTGCTCGAATGGCTCCCTGGCGGACATGCTGAAGAAGAGAAGATACCTTACACTGCCCGAAATACGACGATTCGTGATCCAGATATGCGGTGCTGTCAAGTACCTGCACCACCGACATGTCGTCCACCGAGATCTGAAGACGGGCAATTTGTTTCTCGACGGCGATATGAACATCAAAGTAGGCGACTTCGGATTGGCAGCACTGTTGGTGACAGAGAAGGACATGGAAGCGAAGCGGCGGACCACTATGTGCGGCACGCCCAACTACCTGGCACCTGAGATTCTGGAGAAGGGGAAGGGCCATGACGAGAAGGTCGATTTGTGGGCAATTGGTGTCATCGCATACACGCTTGCAGTTGGGAAAGCACCGTTCCATGCAACGACCAAGGACGAGATCTACAAGAAGCTAAAGTCAGGCACATACACGTGGCCCGAACTCAGCGCGACGACGAACCAAAGCTCCGACCTCAGGAATCTTGTTGCGAGCTTGCTGGTTCCCGAAGAACAACGTCCGGTTCCCGATCAGATCGTCAGCCAGAACTTCTTCAAGATCGCATATGTACCCGCAAGCATTCCGGCCGGAGCGAGGGAGAAGACGCCCAAGTGGCCCGATGTTGCTCTGCCTTCACCAGAGTCAATACGAAGAGGCTATACAGACACTTGGTATGCTGTCTGCCGTGAATCTGGCGTCGGCGAATACGTAGAAGGACAATGCTTTAAGCTACCCGGCGGAAAGGCGAGAAGCATCATAAACGACTTTCTGGCCGAGGAGCAGATGGGAGGGCAGCCCACTATGCCTCTTCCCAAAGGTCTGGTATACAGAGGTAGAGCCCTTCCCATGGAGGCCCCCGAGCGTGAGGTGTGCCAGAGATTTGAGGTGCCGCATGTCAATGACTCTCGCCCGTTGACTGGTCATCAGGTCCCAGAGACTTCAGCGGCCGCCAGATTACCGCCTGTGGCCGAAGATCGGCCTTCAAGTAGCCAGCGACTCAAGGAGATCTCGGACAACATCCGCATGCCACCCCCAGCGCGGCCGAACCGAACAGCCACTGTTAGGAAGGCCGCCAGAACGATCAGCGAGGAGGCAGCGAGGGCGGAGAACGGGCTCAGGGTCGCGTCCGACGAGGCTGGTCCTTCGATGTCTGTCCGCCTTCCGAAGGTTCGCCAGACTGCTGCACCACCTGTCGTCCCATCTTCGGCCAACGCGACGATGGAGAAGCCGGCGCGGACACGCACGGTGAAGCGCAGCGCAGATGCCAGCCTCGCACGGCGACCGAGACAGACGAAGCCAAAGGAGCGACCACGATCGCCTGAAGACCCGGGTCCACTCGCCACTCTCGATGAATTGAAGCAAGTCTCTCCTCTTCGGAAACCAAGACACAAGGCAGCGGATGCCGAAGTCGTTGAGATCTTGTCGGATCCAGAACCTGAAGCAGAGCCCGAACCAGCGCCTGCACCTGCAGCCTCGTTCAATCCAGCAGACGCCATCCTGTCGCTACCACCTCCCCCTCGAATGACTGCCAACAGACTCCCGGTGCCTCGAAAGACGAGCTCAAGCTCCACAAACTCCGATCCAGACACAGTGACCGGCACCGACCCGAACGCCGTCCTCGAACGCCTGAACACATTCCGCTCCAATGTCTCAGCAGCCCTCTCCAACACCACCAACACACGCACTTCTTCCGCCGACGCAGCATCCCTCCCCTTCATCACCCGCTGGGTCGACTACAGCCGCAAACACGGCGTCGGCTACGTCCTCTCCGACGGCACCGTCGGCTGCATCATCAACGCCGCCTCTCGCAACGGCAGCAGCGCGCCCGTGACGCACGTAGTCGTCCGGAACGGGCAGAAATGGCTTGCGAAAGTCGGCAAGAACTCTGAGCGCATCGACGCGGTTCCGCTTGAGATTCTGGAGGATTGCGGAAAGCGAGGGATCAAGCGGAAAGTGTACAAGGAGCTGGGGAGCGTGAAGGAGGGTCCACTCATGCAGGAAGCGGAGCGGAGGCGGACGCTGCAGGTGCTGTGGGTCAAGTTTGGACGGTACATGTGCCAGACGCTTGGGGGCGAGGAGGCGGAGGGTAGCGCGAAGAGCGATAGTTTCGTGCGGTTTTACCAGCGGGTTGGCAGTGTGGGGATGTGGGTGTTTGCGGATGGGTGCATACAGGTGACTCCATCACCTCCTGCCGATGTTGAAAGTCGCTTGCTAACGTGATAACAGGCGCATTTCCCAGACCACACCAAGCTCGTCCTCTCCCCCACCGGCACGGACATCAGCGCCACCTGCATCTCCCCCGAAGCCGTCAGCTACCTGTCCACCAACGGCGACTTACTCCCGCACCACGTCAGCAGCAGGGAAGTGCTCGCCGATTCGCTCTCTGCTCTGCTGAACGAAGGCGGACGGGTGAGAGCGAGGATCGTCAAAGCGAACGCGATCAAGGAGAAGTTGGAGTTCTTGCAGGTTGTTGTTGGGCAGTGGGTTGAGGGTGGGGGGTTTGGGAGGGGGGACGTGGACGGGGTGAGGTGGAAGGGGGTTGGTGGGGGGGAGGCGAAGCAGGGGCAGGCGGGGGTTGTCACAGTGGGGAGGTACGGGGGTGATGTTGCTCTGGTGTGAGAGGTGCTCCGGGTATAGAGAGGGAAATTTGGGTAGCGGGAAGGTGTTGGTGGGTATGCATTGGACATTCGCGGTCTGGAGATGGACGACTTGTATACGACTTTTCGTATTTGCTCTCCTCGATCGAGGTCTTGTCTCACGCTGCTTTGGTTTCTCTAGCGTGCTTGTCGCGGATTTTTGAGGTTGTTCCGAAGAGCAGTTCCTCCTGTCGTCTCTCGAGACCTGAAGTCAAGAGCTTGACCTCACATCTGCGTTGTCATGCTCAACGTCCTTTTATGAAAGACCTACCCACCCTTGCCACCTCACTCTCCGTCTCATTACATCTCTTCCGCTTCCATTCCCTTATAGAACTACAACCCTTCCCCTTCAGCATCCGCAATCTCTCAAAAGTCCAACCCAATGGCCTCATCAACATCCCCACCCCTCCCAAACGCCAACTCCCCCGACTCCCTCGTCCTCTCCTCCGACCCCTTACACCCAGCAAACCACATCTGCGCCCTCTGCCGCAACTTCTACGACTTCGGCTGGGTCACCGGCACGGGCGGCGGCGTCTCGATCAAACATGGCGACAACGTCTACATCGCTCCCAGCGGAGTGCAGAAAGAGCTCATGCAGCCGACGGATATGTTCGTGAAGGACTATGAGTCTGGGGAGTATTTGAGGAGGCCGGCGGTAGGTGATATACATTCGCTTCGAGCCATCTCTCTCTCTCTCTGTCGCTGTTACGCGATACGTTGCTCTATGCTGTAGCCGTTCCAACCGTCCTTGCTGACGGCAGCAAGGTAGGCCCATAAACCCTCCGCATGCACCCCCCTATTCATGGCGGCTTTCACGACTCGCTCCGCTGGCTGCTGCATCCACACGCATTCCCAATGGGCTGTTCTCGTCACTCTGATCTGTGAGTCTACCAACTCCAAAGACGTCTTCTCCATCTCCCAGATCGAGCAGATCAAAGGTATCTCCCGGGGTGGACACGGCAGCACCTCCACCTCCAACTCCAACGAAATCCTAGAAGGCGGCCGGAAAGCAGGCAACCTAGGTTTTTTCGACACGTTAAAGATACCGATTATAGAGAATACAGCGCACGAGGAGGATTTGCGGGAGAGTCTGGAGGGCGCGATAAGGGAGTGGCCGGAGACGACGGCGGTGCTGGTCAGGAGGCATGGGGTCTATGTTTGGGGGAAGGATGTGGCGCAGGCGAAGACGCAGTGTGAGAGTTTGGATTATTTGTTTCGGTTGGCGGTGGAGATGCATAGGCTGGGGGTGGGGTGGGTGAAGGAGTAGATGGGGTGAAGATGACATTATGATGGTGTGCAGCTGTATAGATGACCCAATGATCGTGCATAGCTGTATAGATTGCTCACTTCGCCGCAGCCAACATGTCTTTGACTGTGTCCTCCATTGCCTTCGGCTTCAGCCCCTTCTTTGCCAGTAAGTCTTCCAGCGTAGGGTCGCTGATCTCACACTCATTGTCCCTCAACGCATCATACGTCTTCGCCCACCACTTGATAAACCCCTCATCCATCCCTCTATCCTCCACATAGACCCTCTCATGCTCCGGCCTCTCCACAACCTCCAACCTCACCTCCTTCCCCCTCGCCCTCGACACCATCCCCGCCACCTCCTCAAGCGTATGTGCCTTCTTCTGCGAAAGATAAAACGTCTTCCCCTCCCACTCCTCCCCGGGCGCCGCAATCACCATCGCACTCGCCAACCCCAAATCCCCAATCGCCGTCCACGAAATCTTCGAATCCCCACCGACCTTCACCACCTCCCTCTCATCCCCCGGGAACCCATAGTGCCCAAAATACAACAGCCAGCTCTCATTATACAACCCCTCCCGCAACACCGTCCACTTCAACCCACTCTGCTGAGCCAACCAGTCCTCGGTCCGCTCGTGCGCCTTCATCACGCGACTCTGACTCGGCTTCGCGAAGCCGAGGCTGGTGTAGTAGACATGTTTCACCCCGACCTTCTTCGCGGCTTCCAGGGCGACGAAGTGGTCGGCCTCCCGTCCCTTGCCCGGCGGGGCGTCGAAGAAGTCTTTCTGGATGCGCGAGGAGGAGATGAGGAAGAGTTTGTCGCAGCCGGCGAGGGCGGACTCGAAGGAGGAGGGGTCGTCCCAGTGCGCGGAGCGGATTTGGAGATCTGGTTGGTTGAGGCTGCGGAGCTTTTGGGTGCCCGAGTCGGAGGAGCTGGTGACCACGATTTGGGAGGCGGGGAGGAGGTTTTCGTTTAGGAGGGAGGTGAGGGTGGCGAAGCCCAATTTGCCGGAGGCGCCTACGATGGCGAGCATGTCGACGATAGAGAGGGTTGATGTTGGTCTTTCTGGATGTTGAGAAGAGAGAAGAGAAAGAGAGAGATAATACTTGTCCTTGGGAATTCTTGCTTGTTAATGCATCTGCCGAGTTGAGGCAATGATGATCTCTTGACGGCAGAGACGCCAGTCTTTACCAGGCAAAAGGTGAATGGAAGCAGACCAGATCAGCTGGAACAGCTTCTCCAACGCTATACCCGCGGCTGCTCTAAGTAGACTTCATCTTAAGGTGAGAGTGTACAGTACATGTAAGCGAAAGAAGATGAAGTGAAGAATCTACCCCACCACCGCCACCAACCACGGTTTCCATCCCACCTCACTCTACAAACTTCAACGCGTCACAACCTCCAATCCCTTCTGGTCCCTCACAACATCTCACCCATGATTCTCAACCCCTAATAACACTCCCCACCGCCACAACAATGGCATCCTACTACCACCCACCCCTCCAAAACGACCTCCTCCTCCGCACCGCCCGCGGCGCCAAAGTCTCCCGCCCGCCCATCTGGGTCATGCGACAAGCCGGACGCTACCTGCCCGAATACCACGAAGCCAAGGGCAAGCGGGACTTTTTCGAATGCTGTCGCGACCCCGAGATCGCATCGACCTTGACGCTCCAGCCGATCGATCGGTATGAGGGGTTAATAGACGCGGCGATCATCTTCTCGGATATCTTGGTGATTCCGCAGGCGATGGGGATGGAGGTTGTGATGGTCGATGGGAAGGGGCCGCATTTTCCGGATCCGCTGGCGAGTCCGCGGGATAAGCAGTACACCGAGGTGATGGAGAAGCAGGTGGATGTGGGCAAGGAGCTGGGGTACGTGTACCAGGCGATTACGATGACGAGGAAGAAGCTGGCGGGTCGCGTGCCGCTGTTCGGGTTCTGCGGGGCGCCGTTCACGCTGCTGTGTTATATGGTGGAGGGGGGAGGGAGCAGGACGTTCCAGGTGGTCAAGACGTGGGTGTACAAGTACAATGCCGAGGCGAAGAAGCTGTTGCAGAAGATTGCGGAGCTGTGTGTGGAGTATTTGGCGCAGCAGGTTGTCGCGGGCGCGCAGATTGTGCAGGTGTTTGATAGTTGGGCTGGGGAGTTGTCGCCGGCGGTTTTTAGGGATGTGGCGATGCCGTATCTGGAGTGGATTTGTGATCGGCTGCCGAAGAGGCTGGAGGAGTTGGGGGAGGAGAAGGTGCCGATGGTCGTGTTTGCGAAGGGGGCGTGGTATGCGTTGGAGGATTTGTGTAAGACGGGGTATGATGTTATTGGGCTGGACTGGTTGCATGATCCGAAGCAGGCGTATGAGGTGGCGCAGAAGCATGGCAAGGTGGTGCAGGGAAATGCGGATCCGGGTGTGCTGTACGGTGGGAGAGAAGCGATCACTGAGTGCGTAAAGACCATGGTCCAGGGGTTTGGAGGTGGGAAGCAAGGCTGGATCGCGAATCTTGGTCATGGTATGATATGTTGCCTTGTCCCTTCAGGTCGATTCTAACGTGTCAATCAGGCGTAACACCCGGTGTCAAGCCCGACGAGCTCAAGTTCTTCTTCGAGGAGATCCACAGACTATCAGGTACAGACACCTGACTCTCGAAGCTCTAAACATGCCAACTCCTCCCAGATGAATACCAAGAACGGGCTATGCCCAATGGCAATGGCATTGCCGCCGCCGAGCAACGCATGCATGAGAGGAATATTCTGCATGCCGACTGGTAGCTGTCCTCGAGGCTCATTTGCCGACACCAACATCCTCGTCCCTGTCATCGACTGTCAGCAAGCACTCCAGTCGCACCTCGCGTCAGCACTCACCAATCCTCAGGATGCTCACGAATGAACTTCGCCATCAGCTCCTCGCACTCCTTGCTCTCCAGATTCACGACCTCGATCCCGTTTCGGCGCAGGTGCTCTTCGCCACCCACAAAAGTTTTGTTCTCCCCCATGACGAGGCGGGATACTTTGTACAGGATACAGGCTCCTGTGCACATGTCGCAGGGCGACAGGGTGGTGTACATGGTGGAGCCTTTGTAGGCAGAGGCTGGGAGACGGCCTGCATTCTCTAGAGCGGATGTTTCGCCCTGTTTAAGGGTTAGAACGATGCGGGAGATGACAGTGAATAGTTGTCTATAGTTACATGGAGAATCGCGCTGCTTTTTTGAATGCGCATATTGTGGCCTCGACCAAGGATCTTGCCGTCTTTGTCTACGAGACACGCTCCGATGGGTATACCACCTTCGCTGGCACCGATCTTGGCTTCTTCGAGGGCGGCTTTGAAGCCTGCATCGTTGACGCTCATGTTGATTCAGTGAATACAGTGGCCGTGAGGAATGGTGATTCGACTGCGGCATTCCTTGCCTGCGCCATAGTCAAAAATCTCCGTTCAACTCCACTGCTCTCAGGAACAGAGCGAGATCGGCCAATCAAACCCTGCAGATTTGGGAACGTCATTCAGGGTTGCGTTTCGTTACACCGCCCACGGCAGAAAGGCACATCAGAACCTCCCTCCTGCATCTGGCGTCGGTCTGAACACACTGCATGTCTCGAAACAACCATTGGCAACTGCATATTTCAAAGGGCTGCGCTGGCGAACGGAGTTCTCGTGGCTTCGTACGGGCAGCAGAATACACATCCTCATCTGTGCAACGATCAGTAGTTGTGCGCCCAACCTTCTGATCTTGTTGTGCGCGTTGCACGCGAGCTGAAGCTCTTCTTCCACTTCGTTTCCACCCCACCACACCGCGACTCCTTCGATCGCTACCACTGTTCTGCGCTGAATAGAGAGTCCGTCGCATTGGAAGCGAGACAAGAGGCAGATCTCGGCCGTCGACAGAAGCGAAGGGAAGATGGAGCGCGGGTGGCCGCCGCCAGCGGGCGGGAACGCACATAGCAATCCAGAAGCAAACCAATCGAGACCAGCGTTTGGGTGAGTTACCAATATCCCGTTCATGTCTTGCGAAGGTTTCATGTGATCGTTGTCGCATGACGTTGCTGGTGACGGACGGCGAGAGCTCGCCCGCATCGCACCTTCCACTCTGCACCTCAACCTCACTTCACTTCGACTTCACTCTGTTTGCGCATGACGACACGCACTGACATTGTCACCACACAGCGCCGGTCAGCAGTCACCTCCACAAGGCCACTCCGGCCTTCCTCCTCCGCCGCCGAGTGGTCCCTTTCCACACTTCCACCAACAACCTCCTTCGATCGCGAATTTGACCGGCATCAGCCAGTCATCGCCCAGACAGCCCGGAAGACCTGAAGGGCCACAACAAGCACCGCCGCAAGGCCCACAACTCCCTCTGCCAGGTTTCAGTCAAGCGACAGGCCAACCTGGGCAAGCAGAGCGAGAACGCGACAGAGCGCGTGAAGAGACGCATATCAAGGAAGAAGAGGACAGGAGACAGCGCGAGCAGCAGGAGCGGCAGCGGTTTGAGCAAGCGCCTCCTCATCAGACGCAGGCGGCTCCGCCTATGCACTTGCATCAGCCGGTAGCTGTAGGACCTCGCTCAGTACACGGGCCAAACGGTCTGCTCGCGAATCCAGGGCCGCCCTCACAGCAATCCATGGGAATGGGTGCGCCCAACGGACCGGCCAACATGTTTCCTGGAGGACCTGTCCAGCCCACATCCCAAGGCCAAGGACCCACCATGCAGCAGCAGATGCAGGCCTCGATACTGGTGCCAGGACATCCTGGAGCACAGCAGCCCGGCCAGCAAGGACAACAGACTGGACAGCCTAGCCAAAGCCAGGGCCAGGGCCAGCAGCCGATTCTCAATGACGCATTGAGCTATCTTGATCAAGTCAAGGTGCAGTTTGCTGACTCTCCTGATGTCTATAATAGATTCCTGGACATCATGAAGGACTTCAAGAGCGGCGCCATCGATACGCCAGGCGTGATTGGTAGAGTCAGCACACTCTTCAATGGCAACCCGGAGCTCATCCAGGGCTTCAACACCTTCCTGCCGCCAGGCTATCGCATCGAGTGTGGGCCCGGCACCGATCCGAATGAGATTCGCGTGACGACGCCCATGGGGTCTAGCATCCTTCCCATGCCGCAGCCGCAGCGCTTACATCCAGATCAAGACGGTGGGCAGGATGCTTTGCGCCCGCCGAATGGCACATCGACGCCTCAGCCAGGGCATTCAGCACCCAGAGCGCTCAGTCCGGGTGGGAGGCCAGTACCTGCAGCCGAAGCGCCATATCTGCGTGCGATTGAAGCAGCTCAGCGGCAAGAGCAGCAACAGTCGATGCACCAGCAAGAGCAACGTGGAGTGAACTCGCTTCAGAACGCTGTGTCCGCCGCGACTGCAGCAGGTGGTGGGCTGCGCGCTGGCATTTCACCAAGAGCGACCCCGCTGCCGGGACAACAAGATGCGAACCCCATGGCAGATGGCCAGGCTGGTCAAGCTGGCATGGAGAAGCGCGGACCGGTTGAGTTCAATCATGCCATTAGTTATGTGAACAAGATCAAGGTGAGTTCTGGCTTAAATTAACTTTTGGGCGCTGTCACATGATTGCTTCACAATGGCCGCTACCCATTGTCAACTTCCACGACTTCACTACCTCCAACCTTCACACAACAAAAACTAACATTGCTTCTCACATCAGAATCGTTTTGCTTCACATCCAGATATCTACAAGCAGTTCCTCGAAATTCTTCAGACCTACCAGCGCGAGTCGAAGCCGATCCAAGACGTATACAGCCAAGTCACTCGTCTTTTCGACGGCGCGCCAGACCTACTCGAAGACTTCAAGCAATTCTTACCAGAGTCGGCCGCGCAGGCGAAAGCAGCAGAGAACGCGCGTCGTCAAGCCGAAGAAGGCATCATGTACTCGAACATGCGCGGCGAACAGGCCTACGGCAGTCCAGTCATGTCCCGCGAAACGCAGATTGGCACGCCGAACCAAGGTCGCAACAACCTGCCACCGGTCGGCAACTTCGCACCCACGCCACTCGGCAAGGACAACAACAACAAGAAGCGCAAGGAGAGGCAAGGAACCGCTGGCAGTAACATTGACGGCGCGATCGGGCCCAGCGCTGGCAAAGGTGGCATGTATGGCGCGGGGGCGCAACCGAACAAGCGCGTCAAGCAGACTCATCAGCCGGCTGCGAAAGGTCCGAATGAGGCACCGCCATCTTCACCTACTCTCGCGCCTCGCCTCCCCGAGCCGCTGCCACCGACTACGTCATCCGCTGCCACGCCGGAGGAGCTTGCCTTTTTCGAGCGCGCGAAGAAGACCATTGGCAACAAGAACGTCATGAACGAGTTCCTCAAGCTCTGCAACCTCTTCAGCCAAGACTTCATCGACAGGACCGCCCTCGTTCACCGCGCGAAGCAGTTCATTGGAGGCAACCCTGATCTCATGAAGTGGTTTGAAGACTTTGTCGGCTACGACGAGAAGGATATCACCATCGAGAACAGAGCTAGGGAGCCAATGGTACCCGGTGGCAGAATCAGTCTCAGCAACTGCCGTGGTCTGGGTCCGTCGTACCGTTTGCTGCCCAAGCGGGAGCGGGTGAAGGTGTGCTCTGGCAGAGACGAGCTGTGCAACGCGGTCCTCAACGACGAGTGGGCTTCGCATCCGACGTGGGCGTCTGAGGACTCCGGCTTCATCGCGCATCGTAAGAACCTTCACGAAGAAGCTCTTCATAGAATCGAAGAGGAGCGTCACGACTACGACTATAACATCGAAGCAGCCAACCGCACTGTTCAGTTGCTCGAGCCGTACGCGCAGCAGCTCCGCCGCATGGACCTTCAGCAGCAGCGTGAGTTGGTGTTGCCACCAGGCCTTGGAGGACAGAGCGAGGCGATCTACAAGAGGACGATCATGAAGCTCTACGGCCGCGACCGTGGCGCCGAAGTCATTGAGAGCCTGATGGCGACCCCATACCACGTCATCCCGGTCTTGCTCAACCGCCTCAAGGAGCGTCTTGAGTCCTGGAAGCTGGCGCAGCGCGAATGGGAGAAGGTCTGGCGTGAGCAGACGCAGAAGATGTTCTGGCGATCGCTCGACCACCAAGCAGTTGGCATCAAGGTTAACGAGCGTCGCCAATTCCAGACCAAGGCGCTGCAGGGCGAGATGGCGGTCAAGTTTGAGGAGATGAAGAGCAGTGCCGACAAGACCAAGACGGACGACCTTCGTGGCAAGCCGCAGATTGAGCTTGGGATTGATGATGGGGATGTCGTCGTCGATGCTACGTGGCTGATCCTCTCTAATGCGAAAACGCATGATGTGTCGGAAAACCCGAGGCTGGAGCCGTTCCTGCGCGAGTTCATTCCTATGCTCTTTGGCATCGACGTTGATGTGTTCGATCGCAAGCTTAATGAGAAAATAGGTGGTACACCGGTCAATGGCGATGCCGGTGGTGACGACAACCAGAGCGGCGCCGAAGACTCCGCGAGCGAGAAGCGTGGTAGGAAGAATGGTAAGACGACGTTGCTGAGGCAGGCTGTTGATAAGGGGCCAAGAGGCAGGATGGGCAGGAAGGATCGCGAGGACAGCAATACTTCTGCATCCCGTCAGAGCACACCAGATGTGGCGTCCCAGGTCGGTGACGACTCTATGGCTATCGACGCCGTTGGCACTCCAACCGAAGAAGGCGCCGAGAAGAAGGCGGCTGTCAACGCAGGACCATCCCGCCGCTGGCTCGACCACCCCAGCATTGAGAACGACACCGGCACGAAGCAGATCGCTCCCACGGAGCCACAGGAGAGGCACGTCTTCCGCCTGTGGGCCAACACTCCCATCTTTTGCTTCGTGCGCATGTTCATGACGTTCTACGAGCGCCTGCACCGCCTGAAGCTGGCCGAGCCGACATGCCGCGAGACTGTCAAGCACGCGAAGATGCCCAAGCCAGCAGTAGATCTGGGCATCAACGACAAGCTGCCGTCGGAGTTCTTCGAAGACATCGGCCCGAACGCCAATTACTACAAACAGATGATGGAAAAGTTTGTTACCGTGCTCGGGGGCGACATGGAGTTCGTCAACGACGGCGTCGAGGAGTGCTTGAGGCGCTTCTATCTGCAAGACGGCTACCCGATGTATCAGCTCGAGAAGATGACGCAGGGGCTGGTGCGCTTCGGCGCGCAGATGGTGGCGCAAGATGGTAGCAAGGATCGCAGCTGGGACATTCTGCAGCTGTTCAAGAAGGATCGCATGAAGAATGAGACGAGTGCGCAGCAGATCATGGACTACCGCAAGGCGGCAGAGAAGCTGATTGGCAATGCGGATGCCTATCGCATCGAATGGGTATGTTTTCCTCCACCTCGTTTGACCCACACGAGCATACTAACCACTGCGCTTGTAGGACGATATCAAGAAGACGGCAAAGATCTTCCTCGTGAAGCACGGCGACTGGTTCTACAAAGAAGACTTCCCCTCCGACCGCGACCTCGAGGACCAATGGCGCTTCTACATCGCCAGCTACAGCCAGACCGAGCCGACCGAAGGCGTCGACCGCACCCTCGTCACCCCGGTCCTGCTGGCGCGCAACATCCACGCCATGGGCGCCGATCCGAACTCCGACATCTTCCCGCCTGAGATCCACGATGGTGGTGGCGAGGGCGTCGACTCCATCATCGCCTCCGACGGCTCGGAGGCTGCCCGCGCAGCCGTGCGTCTGCATTCGCGGCTGCAGAACTCGGATAGTGATGAGAGTTTGATTCTGCGCATTGCGGTGGGGAAGTTCTACCGGGTGTTCCAGCCCGGGACGGCGGATAGTGTGTATCAGCTCCCCTCTGAGCGTGAAGGTGGCGAGGACGGCGTGCAGAGTGCTGAGGAGGCTACGGCGGAGAGGGGGGCTAAGATGCGGGAGCGGTGGGTGCAGTTTGGTGATGGGGTGGTTGGGGATGTTGAGGCGGGGGAGGCGGGGTTTGCGGCGGTGGTTGAGGGGGAGGCGGGCGAGGGGATGGAGGTTGATGGTTGAGGGGGGTTTGCTTGGGTGTCATGCGAAGATGGGATCGGTGGGGGTGGTGGATGGTTCATGTGGCGTTTAAGGAGGAGGTTTGGGATGATACCATGGTGTGTCTGGCGAGGATGGAATACTTTCTCCGCTTCGCAAGGCTTGCATGTGGAGCGATTGTGCTAGTTTCTCGGATTACATAGTCTGCGCATCGCGGAGAACAATGCTGCTTTAGACTAGTTGTCTCCTCTGAGATCTTACGTCTCTCTACTGCCTCTGCAGGCTCGTCCTAGCGTGTGTCGCCCTGCTCCACGCGGAAGGACTGACACCATGGACGTCTGTCGGTCGCCCTTCTCTGCTTTGCAAATGCCCTCAGATGAGGCGATCATGCCAGTGACTCGCCTCCACATCCTCCACGCCGCAGAGAGCCTGTCATTTCTCCCTGGCCTCCTCAGCCTTCTTAGGCTTGTTCTGTCTAATATCGACCCACCCCAGACCCCATGAAGACACAAAGCACGCCCCCGCCAACCCAACGCACATATAGAACACCCGATCAATAGACTTGGAGTAAGCCACCAGTACATCCGCCAAATCGCCCTTCGGCACCACTCTCCGAAACGCATACGCCCCTGCATGCGCCACAGTCGCTGCGTTGGCGCTGCCCACGGTGCTGGCGACAAGAGAGCGGAGACTATTGGTAAAGATCGTGTCCGCGAAGCTCAGGAACACCGCGCCGAAGAACGTCTGCGCCGCGATGGCTAGACTCATCGCCACGGGGATCTGGGCCGGTTGGAGCGTATTCTGGATCGCGATGAAGGGGATCGTCATCGCGAAGCCCCGTCCGATGCCAGCGATGATCTGGTAGCCGATCCATGCGCCTGCGCTGCTGTGGGGGTGGAGGGTGGAGAGGAGGCCGTAGCCGATGGCTTGGAGAGCGCCGGATGCCACGCCCCAGGGGAGGTAGTAGCCGAATACGCCCATGAGTTTGCCGACGGCGACGCCGGAGATGAGTTGGGAGAGGATGGAGGGGAGGAGGTAGACGCCGCTGATGGCGGGGGATTTGTTGCGCACGCCTTGGAAGTAGATTGGTAGATAGCTTTGCCGCTTCATATTAGCTTGGGAGTTGTTTTGGGGTGGGAGAAGGAGGACGTACTAGGAATTGCAGTACATCGCCGCACCTAATGATCCACCTACCAAACAGCTAGTCCAAACGTTCCGACGCCGCAGCATGGGGAACGGCAGCATCGCATCGTCGCCTTTGCGGTAGTTCCACACGCCCCACACGAGCGCTGTGGCGACAGAACCGCAGAGGAGACCGATGACGACGGAGCTGTCCCAGGGATAGGCGTTGCCGCCCCATTGGACGGCGAGGAGGAGCATTATCGCGGCGGGGGCGAAGATGCTGAAGCCGACGAGGTCGAGTTTGTGGTGTAGGGTTGGGAGGACGGAGCGGGCGGGCGGTTTGGGGATGGATTCGGGCACGGGCGTGAAGACGAGGAGGGCGGCGACGACGGCGCCGAGGGGGAGGTTAACTGTTCGGTTGTTAGGCAAGAACGTCGTTGATTGAAGCAATAGTAGGTACTGACTGTAAAAGCACCATCTCCAAGATGCGAATTCGGTTAGCACGCCGCCCTGGTGTGTGATGTGGTGTCAGTGCTGTTTTGGAGAACGTGGGATGCCACACTGATGCTTGTCGGTAATACTCACGATAAGCGGTCCAGCGACCAGGCCGAGTTGACCGAACCCTATGACTACGCCCAGAAGCATTGGACGCTTGTGCATTGGCGAAGCGTTGGTGATGATTGTGATGGCGCCGTTCTGTAGTCCGGAGCCGCCTATGCCTGCTACGGCTCGTCCGACAATGAGCATGTTTGACGATGTAGCAACGCCGCAGAGCAGAGAGCCGATCTCGAAGACCAGGAAGAAGGCGAAGAAGGACCATTTTAGGTTGAATTGGGTGTAGATTTTCCCCGTTAGAGGTTGGAGGGTGGCGCTGGCGAGTTGATAGGCGGCACCGTACCAGCCGACGTTGGTGAGAGAGTGGAAGTCGCTGGTGATCTTTGGGGTCGCCTGTAGGTAGTGTTAGCGAAGCTGTTCCGTTCTCCGAGAGAGTGGTGCTGATTGGGGCATACTGTGCTGACGATTGATATGTCGAGGAGCATGAGAAAGCAGACGAGCGTGACGCCGGCCATCATCGTCCATAGCTTGAAGCCGGTGACATACTCTGGTTGGGCTGGTGGCTGTTCAGGCTGCTGCTTCTCGACGTCGGTTGGTAAGGGTAGGGGTGTTGCTGAGGGCTCTTCTTTCTTCTCGGCCTTCTCGAGACTCATGATTGAGGCTGCGGAAGACATGTTGCTGCAGCTGAGCAGGTATATTCTTTGAGACCAGGAGACTTTGACAACCTTGTTGAAGCGAAGAAGTCGCTGGAGGGTGTGGTCTTGGAAGAGTCAAGGAAGAAATGTTTGTACTTAAGTGTTGCCTCCAACGGACGTACGTGCTTCACTTACCACTCACGTTGTTATTTCACTTACCACTGTACCGACGGGTTTCGAAAAGTACAAGGGTTGAAAGGCCGTCGCTGTGGTTGTTTGTTGTCTAAGCAAGGCGTGGAACGGGGGCGGGCTCCCTGAAGTCCATTGGGCTTCGTTGACTGAAGTCCGAACTCCTGTTGTTGCCTTCTCCTTCGACGGCTGAACAGTGAAGGTAGGACTTCGAAGACCTTGTTGTCCTCTGGACTTCCAACGCACTCGACAGGCTCTGAAAACGTTCTCCTGGAAATGGAAGACTCGTTTGGTAGCATTGCGGCCCCGTACGGCAGGTCGTGTGTTGTTTGTGTTCGAGCGAAGTGCAAGTGCTTTTACAGGACCGGTCAGGCTCGCTGCGAACGCTGTAACCGTCTCAACAAGGAGTGTCGGCCAACGGATACCAAAAGACGTCGTCTCGATTCTCGTAAGAACGACGAAATCTCCGACGACACCCCCGATGACAGCAGCAGAACAGCCAGGCTCGAGGAGAAGCTGGATCAGGTGCTCGCTTCGTTGAAGCCACGAGAAGGTCCAATCACTCCTGCTTCCGACGCCTCGTCGGCCAGCTTCTCATCACACTTCTCGGTCGCCAACCCCCCAGCAGAGCCTGGGATCAATCGCTACAGCGGCGAACTGCTTGTCAACTATGCAGAGAAGGGCGCTGCCGCCGCCAGCAATGGGTTTCCGCAAGAATTCGGGCCACCGCCCTTTGCTGCCGCCAGAGCGGACCGTGTATGGAAGCTGGCAGGCCTATCGGTCACTGAAGCAGAGGAAAATTTAGCAGAGTTCAGGACACGCTTTTCTCCATGGTTCCCTGCGATTCACCTACCGCCCGACATGACCGCGGAGCAACTGAGGCTGCATCGGCCGTTTCTTTGGCTCAATATCGTGCTTCTAGCATCTCACTCGTCGGTCAAACAACGGTCACTCGGAGAGGTCGTCAGGCGCGAGATCGCACAGGCTATGGTCATGGACTCGGAAAAGTCGCTCGATCTCCTACTCGGCTTGCTTGTTTTCATGGGCTGGTAAGGACCTCGAGACTCTGATTGAATGAGAAATTTGTACTGAATGGTCTACCAGGTATCATCTACATTGCCAGTGTGACGATGGATCGGTCAAGCTTTCGCTGGCTCTTCTGACGCAGATGGCGTTATCGCTGGTCTTCGATCTCCAGCTCAACCGACAAGAGCTCAGGTTACCTGTCCACCAGACTTTAGGCGTGACAACGCACAAGTACGCTGGACTCGCGTATCCTCGGACCAAGGAAGCCAAAAGAGCGGCTGTTGGTGCTTTCCTCCTCGTCTCGATGTAGGTTCCGAGCCGTTCATCTTCGGATGAATCATGCTGATGAAGACTCTAGGCTTTCTTTCTACCTCCAGCGCATCGACTCACTTCGATGGACACCATACTTCGGCGACATACTGCGCGAGCTCAAGGAGAGCCCTGAGTGGGACGGGGACACCGTTCTCGCACATCAAGTTCAACTACAGTTGATCGTGGAAAGGGCCGTGGCCATGAGCCACTACGACGCGGCTCTGGGATCGGAACATACGACTTTGCCATCGTCCGCGTTCGTAGACATATTCCACACACAGCTCGAGGCGGCGAAGAACAGCATTCCAGCCGGTGTCTGGGCGAAAGGTAGGCATTCTGTCTCCGACTACCAGCGGAGCCTATCACTAAAGTATTTCCAGAGGCCGTCCAGCTCCACTATCTGATCAATCGGATCAACATACTTGATCTTGCCCCTCTTGGAGCTCACGCAGGCACAGTAGATCCCGCTCGAACCAAACGCCGCTGGTCTACTTATCAGACTGCTAAGACGTGGCTCGATGTTTTCTTCACGCTGTCACCGACCACGTATAGGGGGTTTAGTTTCACTGTTACTACGCAGAAGGTCCACTTTCTAGGTAAGAGGAATTTCTCTGAGATCCCATGCAGTGCTATGCGGTACTCTGAGGGGTTATCCAATTATGTAGAGGTCCGAGAAGCTTGCTAATCTTTGGACATAGGAGCTCTGATCGAGCTTGCTACATTGGATGAGCCAGGCTGGGACAAGGACCTCTTCCGATCTCACGTTGATGTGGTCGAACTGCTGTAAGCGCCCTTCTCCAAGCATGAACTCGAATGGGTACTATACTGACCTTGCTGGTTGTACGCGACAGTGATCGCATGACGGAGAAGTTCGCACAGGCGGCCCCTCTGCTAAGTACGGGCTCTGGGGACAACACGTTCTCCTTCTTCTGCAAGTTCTTCCAGGCAGCTCGGGCATCGCTTGTGCAAAGACTGAATCGCGTGGACGGAGAGCCACCAGTCAACGAGCTTACAGCGGCCGCGGACAGCACAGGATTCCCAGGGATGTTCGACCTGGATTTCATCGACAACGAGTTGTTCTGGAATTTCCCGACCGGGCAGGATGTGACGATATAACCCTCTCAGGTCAGACAGACTGTCGTTATTACGTTGAAGCTATCCAGGACGCTCTCCATAGCACAGAACGAACGGCACATCCACCTCTTCCCCCTGAGAACCATCCGCTGGCTTTCCCTCCGCACCAAACTCTCCCGGAAACTTCTCAACCGTCTTCGGCATACTCCACTCCGGCTGTACGCTGACCTTCGAGAAGCCGACCTCCTTCATCAGCGCGCTCATCGTCTCACCATTAATCCCGTGCCTCTCGACCCCCTCAAACTTCGACTGCGGATGGAAGCGCTTCGCTTCAGGCCCATAATCCTGGAAATCCGTCAACATTACCCGCCCACCAGGCGCAAGGCAGCCGAGCATCGTCTCGAGCACGCCCTTCAAGTCGGGAATGTGATGGAGGACCAAATGCGATGTGATCAGGTCAAACTTCTGCCTCTCTCCGTCTGGCTTCCCGGCATCAGCAGGCGGAAGACTCCCGTCCTCGGGATCTTCTAGCAGAACCGCCACGGGTAGGATGTTCTTCGGTGCATTTGGCCTTTCGATCTTCTGCTTCAGGACGTCGATCATGCCCTCCGCAGCATCTACCGCCACCACTCGGTCGACATGCGGTGCGATCAGGAAGGACAATATGCCAGTCCCGCAGCCGATCTCGAGAACCTGCTTGGGATGCCAGTCAATAGCTTTCCACTTCGCGGTAATGGCTTTCGCGGCGGCTTGGCTGGCTTCGTTGACAAAGGGGCGGGAGTCCCAGGACAGAGCTTCGTTGTTGAACCTGGCGTTGCCTGCATTGACTGCGCGGAGGTTTGCTACGGCGCTGGCCATGTTGGGTCTCGTTGAGCTACTGAGGTGACATCCGCTGGCGGATTGCACTTCTACCGAGTCGAAGAAAAGAAGATCTCCAAGTCAATGGAAGCGTACAGTCCTCTTGGTGATTCGCCGACTTCGGGAGGCCGACCAACATCAGCCTCGGTCCGCTCAAATGTTATGTTGACGAGGGTGGACGTATGCGTGAATGTTGATGGCTCAAATACAACTGCGAATTCTTTCTATCATGTTCTGTAGTGATCTGTAAAGCCAGTGGTCTAGAGGACGAATGCAGGGCGGTTTCTGCTCCTGCCTCTTTGGGCTCACCCCGCTCGAGGTTGCCGAGCAGGTTGGTACCTAGGCACATTGACAGCGCTGGTATAGCTCGATGGAGAGTCGAAAGCTGAGCGAAGTGGCTCTGTGAAACTACCTCTGCATACCATTTCCACAACGTCAACATGCCCTTCCTCAAACGCGAACACCGCACTCGAATCTACTACGAAGTCCACGGCTCAGGCACCCCATTGCTCCTCACCCATGGCTACTCTTCCACCTCTGCCATGTGGCAAGGCCAGGTTGATGCGTTCACCAAGGCAGGCTTCAAGCTCATCATCTGGGACATGCGCGGTCATGGCCGAAGCGCCTACCCCGATGATCAGAGCGTCTACAGCGAAGCACATACTGTAGCAGACATGGCTGCATTGCTCGATCATATATGCGGCGAGGGCAGCTCCGCCATCGTCGGAGGCCTGAGCCTAGGAGGTTACATGAGCCAGGCGTTCTATCGTGTCCATGAAGCAAGAGTGCAGGCGTTATTAATCATAGGTACGACCTCTGATCGTTCGCCTGCGATCAGATCTATTGCTGATGCAGTACAGACACCGGCCCCGGCTTCAAAAGCTCCAAAGCCCGCGAAGGCTGGAACAAGTACGCCAACGAAACAGCCGACCAATTCGACCGCGAAGGCCTCAAACAGTTGCAGAACTCCACGCCAGAGCGTGCGCAGGTCAAACACCGCAATGCGGAAGGCCTCGCGATGGCGGCGAGAGGCATGTTGGCGCAGCGGGACGACTCTGTGATCAACGCTCTGCCAGCGATCAAAGTCCCGTCGCTCGTTGTGGTAGGTGCGGATGACAAGGGTTTCCTGAATGCGGCGGAGTATATGGCGAAGAAGATCCCGGACTGTAAGAAAGTGGTGATTCCTGGTGCGGGGCACGCGGTGAATATGGATCAGCCGGAGGCGTTTAATGCGGCAGTGTTGGAATTTTTGGAGGCTGTGAAGGGTCGAGGTGGCTCCAGTAGGCCGGCGAAACTTTAACGAGGTTGTGCGGTGACTTGTTTTCTTTTCAGCCGTGCTGGGATATCTTCCAGCAAAGTAGTCGGTAGCTGGGAGGCTTGATCTAGACAGCGTGGCACCTTGCCATTACTTCGTGAAGTCTAGATTGTGCAACAGCGCTGTGACATGTGGCCAAGCTTCGTGAGGCACCGTGCCTCAACCATTACTGCCTGACTGCTGCCCATGCTCCGGGTCCTGCTGTCCGGATTCACCAGAAATCTCCGCTTGAGCACCGCGCTCATCCTCTCGAATCCTTCGTTCAGTCTGCTGCCATCGATGATCATCCGTAGTCGAGTACTCCCTATCCAGCTTCTCCATGAGTTCCTCTCCCGGCAAAAGCACCGCACGGTCAACCGCATATGGTAAGATGCGATGTCTGCCACGAAGCATTACCGTAAGAAGAATGAGCTTAGACAGCACATGCCATGCGCCAGAGAACGAGAAAGAATTATAAGGGACGCCCAGAGAGAGCCCGATATTGCCGTACGCTGAGACCGTCTCGAACATGACGCTGAAAATCGTGAAGCCCGGCTTTTCTGTGCGCAGCTCCTGGTGTTCGATGATGCAGACTAGGAAAGCCGCTGCGATAAGCCACCAGATGTCGTAGGCGAGTTGTTGGCGGATGTGCACTCCAAGCTGTGACTGAGACTGCCTCGGTCTACCTTCGTCGTCCACGGCGTACTTGCTCCGGTCGTCTTGTCCGAGTGATCGCTCTTCGTAGATGTTGGTCGAGCGGAGAGACATGATGATGGGGTATGCTGAGATGTACATGACGACCAGGAAGAAGAACTGTAGAGCTGGTGCCATGTAGCGCATTTCGACGATGTAGAACCCACAAGATCGCAGACCCAACGCTTGATATAGGCCATCCATTGCGCGTTGCCCGCCGCCAAAGCCAGGGTCGACAATCGGTTGGTCGATGTTGAGGAGGATCCAGAAGATCCAGGTTACCAGTGTGATTGAAACTTGGACTATGAACAGGTTCCAGGTGCTCTTGCCGGGGAAGAGAAGGAGGTAGCATCTGCGAGGGTGCTGCAGTAAGAAGCTCAACGAGTGATGAAGCTCCGTCTGCTTCCTCACCACTTTCGACAGCGTCCAGACCGCAAGACGCAGAAAAACAGGGTACAAGGTGTTGCCTGCTAAGATGGCTGTCCCCGTGAGGATCAGGACGAAGTAGTCACGGCGCAGTGCTGGGTCTTCTATCAGTATTGATCTGTGGTTGGGAGAATGAGCCTCACTTACGGATCATGCTAGAGTTGAGGAAGTTGAGCCCGCTATTGGAGTAGCTCGACAGGCTCGTGAAGATGGCCCACCATATCGGGTTGATCGTTGGGTACTGTGCATTACGAATCTCGCTTGGAATGGCGAGCGTAGCGTACGGAGTCAGCGCCACCACAACGACCAGGAGCCAGCCGAGCGTGTAGAGCGGGAGGAGCCAGCTCAAGACTTTCAACGCTCGATACTCCACACCGCCCAGCTCGTTGCGTTGATGTTCGTCGAGTTGGGTGATGCGTCCCTACAATCGTCAGCCGCTGCCATGTCTTTGGGGGGTGCTGCCCACCTTATGGTCCAACCTTGGCTGGAAGGACAGATAGTGATGCTCATGCGGTTCCGGTCGCCCATGACCCCAGTCGAAGCTCTTCTTGACCCGACTCGAGTGCCATGGTGCAGGAAAAGAACCATACCCGGCCAAGTGCGTGTCAGCCAGCGGTGCGTCACGTTTCCGGCGAGGTCTCAATGGCTCCCGTTCGCCTCGTCCGCTATGCTCAGCCTGGTTCTTCGCCGGAGTCCAGTCGTGCGAACGACTCCTCCCAGAAGATCCGTTACCACCAGAGCCCTCTGGCTGGTCCTCGATATCCTCCGCAACCCGTCGTGCCGCGTTTGATTCCTGAACCAGCTCTGACATGCGCCTCGAAAAGAAGTATCTCCTGATATAGACAACCGATATGGTAACCGTGGTGAGGTCTCCCAGAAACATCAGCACGAACAAGATAGATTGCTGGAAGCCACTCAAGCTGCTGATATTGACCGGGTTGAGCCCAGTATTGCACATTGCAGAAGTGCACAGGAAAAGAGCGTCGGCGTAGCCGATCTGGAAAGAAGCTGTGTTGCTGCCATAGAGAATGACTGATGTGATGAGAATTGTAAGGATGAAGTATAGGAGATGAATGCGGTAGAAGTTGAAGTGGAAAAGAGACTTGAGCGTCTTCTTGACGGGCTGCTGATCATCATCTTGTCCCATCTTCGTACCGAAGTGGGATGTAGTCTCGGGTGAGAGAATCACAGGAGATGGCCATAGATCTCGCTGTGTTCGAGACTTCCATGGCAGTCCAGCTTTTTTGGTGGAGCCCGACGTGTTGTTGACGTGCCGATTTCACGTGATAGACTGGGATAGAGTTCGGGGCCGGGACCAGCCGAAACTACTAACCACATTCGGCATCGACACGCTCCTCGAAACTTGCTGCTGCTTCTTGCTCTCAACTCATAACTACCTCTGCATTCAATAACGTTGGTAATGGCTAGGTCCCATCTCGCGCAAATTGCTCGTTATATATGCACTGCCGCGACAAGACGGCGTTGCCCGCTCGACCATGCATGTGCTCAAGTCGCGATGGGGCAGCCGCAGCAGTGCGTATGACGACCGGTGAAAACAATCAAGTATTGGCCACTCAGCATCCACACTGGACGACAAACTGTGTCTGGAAAGTTGCTCTGCTGCATACCGGCCTTCAGCACCGAGCCCAAGAAGCAGGAACATGCCAACCGGGCCCCGCACCAGCAGAGCTGCTAAAGCTACCCTTACCGAGGGATGCCAACTTACATCCGCTGAGTTGCATAACTCAGCTGCAATACGGCGAGTACCCAGATGGTGGGCCCCGAGGTAGGTATTCATATCTCCATACGTATACCCACTTCCGTTCCATCGACAGACCACGAACCCAGTCCTCATCGCTTCACTTGTCGGAGGTCCCACCTTCATTTCCATCGAAGATTAAAGCACCCGTTCAACCATACCTTCCCTTCACTGCCCTCCCAACCCATTCCCCAATAAATGGCAGAACCAGAGATCCCCCAAACCTGCCCAGCAGGCGTCGTAGTAAACCCCGGCCCCAACTTCCACCTCGAAGTCCACGACGTCCCTGTCCCCAGCCCAGGCCCTAACGAGCTACTTCTCCGTCTCAACTGCACCGGTCTCTGTATGAGCGATGTGCACTACATGCTCAACGACCTCCCTTTACCGAAGCAGATGCAGGATTTCGGCGTCTACTCGCCCGGGCACGAAGGGGCGGGCGTGGTGGTGAAGGTTGGGGAGCAGGTTAAGGGGTGGAAGGTTGGGGATCGAGGTAAGGGATTGGTGGGGTGAAGCTTTGTCGTTTCTGGGGTAGTTACTGATTATTGTTTTGACAGCGGGCGTGAAGCCTATGTGGGATGTTTGCCATAATTGCGAGCAGTGTTGGACGGGTATCGAGCAGTGGTGTGGGAGTAAGTTGAACACGGGGATTGAGGTTGTCGGGACTTATCAGCAGTATATTGTATGTGCAGCTCACTCGCTTTCCGGCGGCGGCGACTTCGTTGTTGATACGTCTGACTGACGATGGCGTAGACCAGCCCCGCGCTCTACACCACAAGAATACCAGATGGTGTACCTGACGAAGTCGCCGGACCGATCATGTGCGCTGCCAGCACGATGCATCGCGCTCTGACCGATTCCGGGCTGAAGGCAGGGAAATGGGTCGTCTTCCCAGGCGGCGGAGGTGGCGTCGGCATTCAAGGAGTGCAGTTGGCGAAGTATGTCCTCCTCGACATGCTCCCAATCTCGCACAACACAGCTGACAGGAACTGTCAGAGCCATGGGGATGCGCCCCATCGTGATCGACACCGGCGACGCCAAAGAAGCCCTCGCAAAACGCTGCGGCGCCGTCTTCATCGACTTCAAAAAGGAATCCAATGTGGCGGCCAAAGTCGTCGAGACCGCCGACGGCATCGGCGCGCACGGTGTCATGGTGACTGCGTGGCAGACTTACAAAGGTATGTCGACTTCTCACTAGAGCCGCCAACGCAAAGCTGAGATTAGACAGACTCCATCTCGTACATCGGCAGCCGCATCGGCGCTATTATCACCTGCATCGGCCTGCCACCCACCGACGCCGACGTAACAGTCGGTGCAAACCCGCTCATCTACGCGGCGCTGAAGCTGACGATCACCGGCTCGATTGTGGGCGACATGCAGGACGCGGCTGCGGCGTTGGAGTATGCGCGGAGAGGCGAGCTGCAGAGTATCTGTGAGGTCCGAGGGTTGAGCAAGTTTCCGGAGAGTGTGCAGCAGCTGAAGCGTGGAGAGGTGGCGGGGAGGATTGTTATTGATTTCAACAAGGAGTAGGAGCTGCGGTGTTGGGTTATCGCTTTGACTTGAGGCTGACGACGTTGACGTCTTGTCCGACGCGGACTTTCACCTCGCTGAAGTTGATGTCGAGCTCACACAGCCGCTGTATCAGCTCGTACGGGATGCCCATATCTTCTTCTTCGTTGGTGCCTGCCTCTGAATGCCGCCTCGTGTCCTTCGTCCTCGGAGCGTTCAGTGACCACGCAATGCTGATGTGGAACTTATCGCCTTTTGGCTTGCCCTTCTCCACGTAGAGAAGCGACTGCTTGAACTCCTTTGCCACACTGTTGCAGGTGGCTAAGAGCTTGTCAAGCTCAGGTGACTTCTGAAGCCGGATAACGAGAAACCAGCGGGTCTTGCTCTCGTTGGGGTGCCATGCCAGTCCTTTAGGTATGATCGCAAGTGCTTTGATGCCAGCCTCGGTGATGGAGTGCTGCAAATGAGCAAGAAAGCTCTCCTTTTGCGCGTTCTTCAGGGTCAAGGGGCGAGAGAGCGAGATGTGTAGCGGCAAAGAGACGCCTAAGTTGTTCTGGAGGAGGCTGTTGATCTCAGGCTTGGGCTTTGCTTGCTTCGAATCCTCGGGCCGGGTGGCTTTTATCAATTGAGAGAGCAGCTCTTGCTCTGTTGATGATGGGTGCCCTCCAGTGGATTAGTCTTCGTTCACAACAGTTGGCCCAGTGTTTTGGCAGCTTGAAAGGAAAGCAAATAGAAACCACAGTCCACCGACTTACATTCCAAATAGACATGCGTAGGCCAATTACCCTCGACATGCGGCGTTACACGCTTTCTCCCACCATGCAGCGATGGCTCATCTTGCGTGCTCGTTCTCACCGTCGACGAGTACTGATCCAAGAAGGCGGCCGGCAGCGGCGGAAGCTCGTTACCACCTTTTCCCGTCAACCTACGCTTCTTCTGAGGCGGAGTAGCTGGCCGCGCATCCTCTCCCTCGGAGTCTGAGTATTCAACCAAGGCCATTCCGCGGCGTCGTCATGTCAGGATGCCAGTAATATGGCAGCCTGATATCGGTTCTTATCACGCTCGTCAATAGCGAGGGCGCAAAGGGAAAAGCTCAAGAGATGACGTGAATTTCATGGCACGTGCGAGAAGTTAATTTGGACGTCCCTTCTCTCGGTGACGTCGGCGTCGTGGGCAATTGCACGGCAGGCCCACGCAGGTACGTCCGGCCACGCGTATCTCGAGGTAGGTGCATCCGCTGCTTTCCATCTTGTCTGTCACTTCTCTCAGTTCTCTGTATACTCCTTCATCTCCATACAGAGTACCAACGTGAAGCTTGCGACGGCGACTGAAGACTGACCACCATGGCACAAGCGTACGACTCGAAAAAGGTAAGCAACAACGACGAACCAGAGCTCGGAGGCACCATCTGACCGTGACAACAGGGCGCGGAAGCGCTCATCAATCCCCTCAATGAGCCCGAACCATCCGCAGAGACTGGCCTGGGGACACACTTCGGCAGCACCATGGCTCCCGCCAATGCCTCCAACAGTGCCGCCAATGCCTCTCCAACATCGTCCAAGAACCCTTTCCGCTCCTCCACGAACAGCTCTCCACCAAGTGGGAGCAAGTCCGGCGCCAAGTCTTCCGTTCGTTCGGCCAGCAACGACCCTCGCAGCCGCGAGCGCTTCCCAGACTACCGCGCGGATGCTTTCTCCGAATACTCCCTACCATCCTCCTCGAACCGTCGCCGGGCAGGCAGCCACGGTCAGACGCCGCCGTCTTACCAGGACGCAACGTCTAGCCTTGGTGGTACAAGGCCGCGTCGAGGCAGCTCGCTGAAAGAACGCTACCCAGGAGACAAGTCTCACCAGCCTTTGGACATCATTAGGCGTGATAGCAGAAAGGCCCACCGCTCTCCGCACCTGCACAAGAAGTCTATGCCCGGCGCAGACTCGATCGACAAGCTCGACCCTGCCGTTGGTGGAATTGCGTACCATCACGAAGGACCGTATGATGCCGCGCTCATGAGCAGGAATCGCAACCCGAAGACTGCGCCGCTCGGAGCGGTGGAGAACACCAACCAGGAGGCATTAAAGGCTACGCCGCGCGAGAACATTAAGGATGCTGTTGAGCGGCACAAGCCTTTGGATGGCACAGCGGTGGTGCCTCCAGGCGAGCAGGATCGCTTCGGCAGGGTGTACCAGTACCGTGAAGGTGCAGATTTGATGCATGAAGGCAGCAGCGGAGATGCTGGATACAAGCGCTGGCCAGGAAAGGTATGCTAATCTTTCATACCCATGACATCTTTCATCAAATTAACACCATATCCAGGACTACGACCCAGAAGACCTCAAAGGCCAATCCGAGCCCGGCTTCTCCCTCGGCCGCGCCATGCAAGCCCACAAAATTGACGACCAAGGCATCGAGATGGAGGACCGCGCCGGCATCGACGACTCCTACCACGCCGCCAAGCGCAACGACACGCTCGACGACCGCGACCCCGTGCTCATCGCTGGCGACGACAGCAAATATGTCGACGCGGAGATTGCCAACTCCAATGATGCGGATGTTGGCAACAGCCGCCACAAGAGGGAGGGAAGCAAGACTGAGAATCTGAAGCGCCGGATTGGGAGCTTGAGGCATAAGGGGAAGTCGCATGAGGAGTAGCATCGCTACAATGATGCGAAGGTTCGACGTCTCGTGTAGACACCGACGACCGGACTGCTGCTGACTCTCGGCACGACATGTAATATACTGTATAGTAGAAGATGGGGTTACGAAAAAGCAACATAGACGGCAGACGAGTACATAGCGATGTCAAAACAATATTCTCCTTACCAGCATTGCCACCCCACCTCTCAGTCGACCACTACTCCAGGCTCATGGAAGCACTCACGCTTCACAGAAACTCCCAAGCCAACCCACCACACCCCCAAACCTCCTCCCCTCCCCCCTCGCTTCCAACGTCACCCAAATCCGCCTCGTCTCCGACCTCGCCGCCTCCGCCGTCCACTACACATCTAGTCTACTCAGCAAAGCGCTCCAGAAGCCGAGGATGAGCAGTGCTTCCGGCTCGCCGGCTTCGAGCAGGTAGTTGTAGGCGAGTGGGAGGTGGGAGATGAAGGTTATGAAGGTGGAGACTGCGTCGCAGGTGGTGGTGTTAGTTAGTGAGAGGAGGGTGGGGAGGAGTTGTAGGGGATGGGCGTAGGTGTGTTGGTGCTGGGGGGCGGTGAGGGGGATGACGGATTGGAGGGTCCTTAGTGCTTCGAGGTTGGCTCGGTTGATGGCTGATAGTTCGGGGTGCTGGAGGGTTAGCATGGGTTCTGGGACGGATTGAGCAGCGATTGTGTCCGCCCATATACCCTGCTCTAACGCAGCGCGCAGTTCGGTCCTCTCGAGCAGGAGCTGCGTTCCTTGAAACGACAGCAGCCATGCAGAGCAGAACCTCGACTCTGACGGAGAAGCTTTCGTCCTCCGGGATTCGTGGATGGAGGCAAGCATCGTATGCAGCACCGCAGCGGTAGAAATCGCATCCGCATCTCCCGGCCCCAGACTCTGCTCGATGAGACGTCCCAGGTACTGCGTCAAGGAGAGGGAATAGCGCATGGTAGCCGCTACGCTCCACTTCTCCTCTGAAGGGTAGAGGCAGCTGAGGTGGGTGGCGAAGAAGGCCAGGATGGTGTGTAGCAGGTAAGGGGCTTCCATGGCCAAGCGGAGGGCGTAGGCTTGCATCGTGATTTGGGCGAGGGCTGAGCCGATCCAGGGGGTTAATGTGGGAGTGAGGAAGTGGTCGATCAGGACGAGGGCGTTGGGGCGGCGGTGGCTGGGCCAGGGTGTGTTGGGGCAGGGCACGCCTTCTTGAGTAAGGATCTCGAGGACTTTGGCCTTGATAGCCTCGTTTCCGTCGTATGCGTGGGCTGTTGTGTCAGTACCAGCGTCGTCTGCATTGTTGGACGGCTTGGACGGAAGTGGGTACTCGCACAGCAGCCGTCTTCGATGGCAATATGAGCGTTGCGGCAGCGACTCATCGTACTTCAGATGTCGCTTTTGCGCAGAAGACATCCTTTTCGAGACTTGTTGTGCTCTCGTCTGGGCCTGAACTCCTGCTTATCCGGTCTGTTTTTTGCAGGTGTTCTGTTTGTTGGGTCTCCGAAGATGAACAATAGGGTTGTTGTGTTGCCGACCATGGTGACGAGCTGGGAGTTAGTAGTGAATGACGTTGTGTGCGCTTGAAGACATTGGTAAGAGTAGTAGGATACAGATCTTTCGTAGAGCGCTATATCGTGTATTAGTAAGCGGATGTATGCGGCTTTTTTTTTCTAGACTGCACGCCAGTCCTTCAGCTGAACCCTCCAGACAGTCCAGCTAGCAGCCGTTCAGCATACTCAGGCAATCGCTTCGAAGGCCACCGGATCCCTCCTCCCTACGCCAATCCCGGCACCGGCTCCCTCGTCCAGATATTCACACTGTGCTTACCTTTGGTCGAAGTTTGCTTCGTTGTAGGTGAAAATGGTTTCCAGCCAACCAGCATGTTCCGGACCACAACTCACCTGGCGAGAGTCCCGATTCTTGGTGTTCTGGCAGAAACTCGCAGAGCTTCATGCATATCGATTGTTGCAACACTACCTTATCTCCAGCCTTGCTCATCGTGGCTTATCCCCAGCAAGCGTGATCCGCTGCATACTCCTCTTAAACCCATGATAATCATTGATCGGATTATGCAACGCCGCTCGGTTGTCCCAGAAAGCAATACTACCGGGTTCCCACTTGAAGCGGCATGTAAACTCCGGCTTGACTTGGTGGTCGAACAGGTATTTGAGGAGAGGCGCGCTTTCTTCCTTTGTCCATCCATCGAAGCGTTCGGTGTGCGCGATGTTAACGTAGAGCGATGGCACGCCCGTCTCAGGGTGCGTGCGGACTGCTGGGTGGTGTGAGACGTGGTCTTCGGTTTTGTGGCCGGAGTCTTTGATGCGATCTTCGCGGGTCTTCGATGCGTCGGCTTTGGCTGAGGTGTTGACGCCGGTTAGTGTTGAGAGCGTCGCTTTGAGTCCATCGGATAAAGCATCGTAGGCAGCGACTTGGTTGGCGAAGAGTGTGTCGCCGCCGTACGGAGGCAACTCTTTGGCGAGCAAGATCGTCCCCATCGGTGGTTCTTGAAGGTAGAGGGTGTCACAGTGCCATACTCCGCCAAAATTTGTCTTCTCATTCTCTCGCTTTAAAACCTGGATTATCTCCGGATACCCATCGATACCTTTCACGAACGGGTACTCCACAGGCTTGCCAAAATGAGCGCTGAACTTCAGGAACTGCTCCGGGCTGAGGTCCTGGTCGCGAAAGAAGATGACTTTGTTGTCCAGTAGTGCTTGTCTGATGTCCTTCGTTGCGCTGTCGTCGAGCTCGCCAATGTCGACACCGTGAATCTCGGCACCGATAGAGCCGGCTATCTTTTTGACCTGTACTTTGTTGTGACCATTTTGCGAGACGGTGGCCATAGAACGCTGCAAGGCACCCAGATGCTGCGTAGTCCGGAAGCCCTTAAGGATTGCAGGCTTCAATCTTGATTTGAGCAACATCGATGGTCAATCGTTGAAACAGAAGCCTCGTTGTTTTTATTACCAGTCAATTCGTAGGAAACATCGTCGACGACTTTCTATACCGACGTTGTCATTGTCCTACATTCGCGGTCGACAATAGCCGTCCCCGCGTGTGGAGAGGTTGTTGACGCATCCGAGGTCGGCTGTCTTTGGGAGCGCTGATCATCCCGGCGATTGCTCAGCACGCCTAGTATTCAACCGCACAAGAAGACGTTGACCTTGCTATCTCGGAGAGCCGAAAGAGAGGACGATGGTGCGAATGAGAAGCGCTGACAAAGAGCATGAGCCCATTCACGCTCTTGGCCCCTTCGGAACACAGTTTCAGCCGAGCTGATGAATCCAGGGCTGCTTCGAAGCGCAGAAGCGCAAGTAATGGTGGAGCGCGTGTAGCCATGAAGCAAAGAACGATTGGCGTGTAATTGAAAGTTGGGAGCGGCCACTCCGTTCTTTGATGAGAGTCTCACTGCGGTCGACATATGGCACCATGGAGCATTGACGTTTCTCGAATACGACGCCCGGTGGGGTTAGCCTCTGACATGGGGACGCTGTACTTCTGCTCGTATCTGACTGCAGGAACAGGAAGCCCTCGAAGAACTGTGGAGTAGACCTGAGTACTGAATTCGGGTGCGAAGGGGCCAGCTGTATGCTGCTTGACCCGTATAAAGGCTTGATGTTTCGGCACGGAACAGTGCGGTCCAGCAGCACTGAGTGTCCAACCCAGTTCCAGATCCACCTTCGTGAAAACGGAATGCCTCGAATCTTCTTTGTCACCGGCTGTTCCACCGGCTGTAAGTCCAGATTATCTGTTCCCATAGCCGGAGACTGACACCTTCTGTAGTTGGCCGAGAGCTTACTCAAGTCCTCCTCGATGCAGGCGAGAACGTCGTCGCAACAGCCCGAAGGCTAGAGACACTCGTGGGCTTCAGTGGAGCGAGCGAAAGCAACCTTTGCCTCTGAAGGTCGATGTAACCAGCAATAGTGACGTCGATGCGGCTCTGAAGGCAACTGTTTCTAAGTTCGGCCGGATTGATGTCCTCATCGCCAACGCCGGATACTGCGCAGCTGGTCCATTCGAGACACTGTCGGAGTCGCAGATCAGGGCTCAGTTCGACACCAATCTGTTCGGGGCCATGGAAATAACCCGGCGCACACTCGAGATCATGCGAACGCAATCACCACCTGGTGGCCTCATCATGATGAACTCGTCCATCTCCGGCCAGCTCAGCTTCCCGCTCGTCAGTATCTACTCTGCTTCGAAGTTTGCTCTTGCGGGCTTCACGGAGTGCGTCGCGCAGGAGGTGAAGTCGGAGTGGAATATCAAGTTCTGTGTTGTCGAGCCTGGGCCCCTCCGTACGCCTGGCGTTGGCTCGAAACTTGTCGTCGGGGAGCTGGAGAGTAAGGATTATAATCATTTGGATGCGAGAGCCTTTTTCAATGATATGGATGGGAAGCAGCCGGGAGATCCGACGAAAGGTGCAAGGGCTATGTACAAGCTGGCTTGCATGCCTGACCCGCCTGCTCGTGCCATTCTCGGGAAGATGGCGTACGAAGCGATACAGGCGAAGGTTGCGGCTGATAAAGAATTGTACAACAGATCGGATATCGTTGAGATCGTGACGGATTGCGACTTCGATTGATCAAGGAAGGCAGCTGGAAGAACGGCGCATGTAGAAGCGCGTGCTAAGAGATGGCCGTGCGTCTGAAGGCAGAGTAGCGTGTTCTCTTATACATGATGATTCATGAGTCTTGTTCGAACAGAGTAAAGCCCACACTTCCTTCATAGGCTTGGTCTTACTCTTTCTTGTCGTGAGCAGCTAGGAGCTTAAATTCTCTCCAAACCATCCAAGCAGTACCAGCCCATACACCAACGGCTGTCGTCAGCATCACTGCTGTCGTGGAGATACTTTCGGGGTGGATCCAACCGACGTTGCCTTCGTAAGAGCTGAAGGCGAGAGCGGCGGCATCGAAGAAGCCACTACATTTAATCGTCAGTGACGAACTGCGTTATCCAATTCGTAAGGCCTTAATCCCGAAGGAATCTTGCTTACTGGACGAGTACGGAGGGACCAAGTACTTTCCACCAGCTTAGATGCGTTTCTCCACAGTAGTCTCTTCGCGTCGCCCTCAGTGCTGACAGCACCGCCATGAGGATATGACCGCATGAGCCCAGGACCAGCCGTTCGAGGACAGTGAGCGCGAGCTTCGAACCACTTTCGCTTCCACGTTCACAGGCTGTGTACAAGAACCCAATCCCTTCCACGACGCCAAAGGCGAGAGATGCCGCCATAGCATAGTCCAGGTACGCACGATTGCGCGGTTCTCTCTCCTTCGGAGGTGACCGACGGTGCGCATAGACTACCGGAAGGAACTTCAGAACCTCTTCTCCCAGCCCAGCAGCGGCGAAGCAGGTCAGGGAATAGAAGCCAATGTATCTCCAGGAGGACGCCATTTCAGCTCGACGAGTGATAAAATCTGGAGAGAGGCCAGCTACGGTGTTGCGCATCACTTCTTCCAGGAAGAGGTTTCTTCCTTCGCCGTTGCCGTAGAAGAGTGTAGCCAAACCATATCCCACACCCGCTTGCAAGGCGGAGACGGCGGCAATGCCGGCAGTGCACATCAGTGCATACGTCCATACCAAAGGTTCCAACGGCGCTCGTCGCGAGGGCTCGCTGGCGTTTACTTCGCGCCATTTTCTGTAAGCATATGCCGTGGGAACAAAGGCAAGCGGTGACAGCAGTCCGGTCTTGGGTGAGATGTAGGAGGTGGCGAGCACGACTGATGGCGGTCCTAGGTAGCAAAGCAGACGTGCTGAAGTGGAGAGGGTAGTGTTCTGGCCTGTTTGGGCCATTCTTTCGGTATTGTCGGTACTGATGCCGCCGTGTCGTTGGGCTCTCCCTGTTGGCAATCACACTGGACGGATTTTGACCGCTTATACCAACAGCGACATGACTTCTGATTTGCTTCTTCTATACCATGGCCCCATGTGAGTCAGTCCAGCTCTGGCGCCGTGGACGAGGATGCACAAATACGTCGCGTCCGAAGCGAGATGCGTCGACATCCAGATCCCGACTTGCCCCGACGTTGCTCCTCGCAGGAGGTAGCGTGAGGTGACGAGGCTCGCTAGGACCATCCTGCGACAACAACATTGTCATCACAGATATCTTTGGTCAAATGATTACACGGCGATTGTGCACATAGGTGAAGAGGGGCAGGCATGCGACCGGAACAGAGAAGACTGACTGACGAAGGTCCTTGGTCGCTCTCTGGTCTGTGTTGAAAGGCACGCGTGGTTCAGTTCTTCCGCGCGTTGTGACCAACAAATACATCTACCTTAAACAACGACATCCGAGGAAGTCTACTTGTTCAGGAAGGAGACGACCGATATCTTCACACAACTCATCTCCTAAGATTACCATGGCCCCTCTGCTTCAAGGCCAACACTCGGAACGACTGTCATCGCACTAGCATGTCATTCCACCATCGATCACCTATAGGAGACAAGTAATCAGCTCTGCTATCAATTCTGTCCGGGAAACTGTTCACGTACCTGCACGGATCCAGTTATGAAAGATGAACCATCGCAAAGCAGCCACGCGATGAGCTGTGCGACTTCTTCAGGCTGGCCTTTCCTCTTGATCAGCCATGTGAAGTCTGGTGAATCTCCGCCTCTGATCTCGTTCGACTGTCGATGCATGGGAGTGTCGATGACGCCCCTGTTTGGTACCTATCAGCCAGGCCTTTGAAATCTTGCAGAGAGCCGGAAAACCTACGGAGATATACAGTTGACTCTGATCCCTCGATCAGCGACCTCTTTCGCCGCCGACCTCGAGAGGCCGATCACTCCGTGCTATCGCTCGTCAGCACATGAACGATGAGTGAGTATGGATAACTCGCCTTCGCCGCAGTGTACGCAGCATTCTTCGCGAAGCCTCTGATGCCTGCTACGCTCGATGCGTTCACGATGCTGCCTTTCTCGTTCATGTTCTTGATCTGGGCGCGCATGCAGTGCATTACTATCCTGATCAGCGGCATATCTCAAAGCGAAGCGAGGACCGACGTACCACCATTCAGATTCACATCAATTACAAACTGCCAATCCGCATCCGGCATATCTTCGACGCGATCGATATTGATGTTCTTCGGAATCACACCAGCCATATTGACAGCTCCATCCAGCTTTCCGAACTTCTCGACCGTTCGTCTAATCCAGTCATCTACCTGCTCTGGTTTGCGGACATCAACAACAGCCGTCATGTACTCTCCTGAGGGGGATGCCGCTTTGAGCTTGCTTTCTGCTTCCTGCAAAGTCTTGTCCGAGATGTCCGCGATGGAGACCTTCGCGCCTTGGGAGACCAGTAACTCGGCAGCTGCATATCCTATGCCTACGCCACCTCCACCGGTGATGGCGATAACTTTGCCTTTGACTTCGAATTGAGAGGGCATGCTGCTGTGGGCGTTTCTGAGTGGCGCGAGGTAAGTAAGATGAAAGAAGAGGCAAGTGGCTCGCGGACTTACTGCTTCTACTATGCTGTGCATCAGTATAAAGTGCAGAGCTGTCTTTACTATCACATTAACAGAATAATCCAGATGGTTACCGGCACCAGCGTTGGAAGCTCGGCTGTCTTTATCCTGGAGTTACAAAGCCTACACACAGGCATCGGTACATCAACACATGAGTACTTACAGTAGATCTGGCAGCGGCAGTCAGCAGGACACTGGCTGCTGGCCATCCTCTAACAAGGAATGTTGGAAGGTCTGTACCTGGGATGGCCAGCAAAGACGGACAACGGCATTTACAAATCTTTTGATGATCTCTTCAAAGCTCAATGCACAATGGCCATCGGGGCCGTCTAGCCAGGAATGGACGTACCTATACCATTGAGGCTCTCACCATCAATGCTACCGCTATATGGAGGCTTATAACTCGGCAACCTCTCCAAGGCGAGGTTGGAGACCAAAATCGTTGCGGGGCTGGTCTTGGAGTCCGGGGCTTCTAAAGCGCAAGGCCATCCAGATGCGCAGGACGCCAACGACGGGCTCAATCCAAGCAACACTTCACAATGGATTACAAAGACCAGACCGCGTTTGTGACCGGAGGAGCCAGTGGAAGTAAGGATTCTGCATATCTAAGCTATCTCATGCTCTGACCCGTAACACAGTTGCTCGCGCGCTTACTCAACGATTGATCGATGGAGGGTACCACTGCCATGAAGCCTTGCCAGCTGTGTCAAATGGATCTAATGCATTTATAGCGCGCGAATCTTCATCGCCGACATCAATCTAGATGCGGCACAATCTTTCGTTGACGAAATCAACCAACAACGACCAGACACGGCATTCTGCACCAAATGCGATGTCAACTCGTGGGATGAGCTGACCTCAGCCTTCTCCAAAGCCATCGAAATCTTCGACAGGGTGGACTATGTTTTTCCGATTGCAGGCTTGACGGAACGCCAGGTGATACCCAAGCCGAGCGAGCAGCAGGATGTGAAGAAGCATGGCTTCGTCAAGCCGGACCTCGCTGTATTCGACACTAATGCAACTGGCATGATAAACTTGGTCCTGATTGCGGTGCAAGCGTTCCGAAGGCAAGAGAAGAGGGAGGAGCTTGGCGGTATGAGAGGGAAGAGTGAGTATTCCGTTTTCTGAAAGATGGCAAAGTATTTGATCGCTGATGCACAACGCCCAGTCGTCTGCGTATCCTCTACCTGCGGCCTCTACGCAATCTACGGTGTACCGATTTACACCGCATCTAAGCAGTAGGTCCCTTCAATTGCTCCAGACACGGACACGCTGACGATTCTCAAAGGGCAATGGTCGGCATCACCCGCACCTACGGCGTCCTGCTCCCATCCGAGGGCGTGACTCTAAACGCCATTTGTCCCCACGTTGTCAAGACGGCCATCTCCAAACATACTCCGTGGTGGTACGATGATCTGGAGAAGCGAGGGTTACTTACGGACATTGGCCAGATCGTTGCTGGGTTCGAGGAGTATCTTGGGAAGAGCACGAGGAGTGCTGAATGTCTCGAATGTGGGCCTGAAGGGCGGCGTGTGGTTGAGTTCATTGTGAGTGTATCTGTTGCCATTGTTCGTGAATCAGTGGCTAACGGAAATTTGTTCAACAGGACTACATGGGCGAGAAGACGAAGCTCGGCTGTGAGGCCGTGATAGAAAGGAGTGCTCGCACGAGCTTGTGGCAAGATCAATAAGTACTAATCATCGAACTTCGCATTATCACAACGCTCCACCTTTCAGCCTGCCTTCACGAAGTGGTCAAACAAATTGACCGCCTGCAAGAATGCCGTCTCCGTCGCAAACCTGACCTTGGCGTCTTTCAGATCGGCCTTGAACGCAAACCCATGATCGACATCGCTATACAGGCTGATCTGGTATGGAACATCCATATCCTTGAGTATTGCTTCGGTCTCATGGCGTTTTGGCGCCGGGAACAAGTCATCCGTCTCTGGCCATGCCGTCAGCAATCACTCCTCGTTCTGCCAGTCTTGCGAGCAAAGAGCACTCACCAGCGGCAGCAATAGCCAACGGGCCCCCAAGCCCTCTCACCTCCTCCGAAGTCACGGCCGTCGGATGCGCAATGAATCCAACATCCAACCCCTTGCCCTCCGCCAGGAAACGACAGACATACTTCGCACCGAGACAGTAGCCCACCCCTCCCAACTTCTCGACACCATAGTCCTCACGCATTGCTTTGATAGCTGCTTCAGCGATCGGCATCACGGTGTCCGGGCCATGCTTGCCCATCCATTGCCCGAGGTTGAATTGCCTGCTGGGGTTCCAGTTCAGGGGGACATTGTCGCCGAGCCAGATGTCCGGGATGATGGTGAAGTAGCCGTTGGCTGCTAGTTGATCGGCGATGCTGGGTTAAGACATTTGGTAAGTATGTGTGGGTGGTGGGAGGAGGGGAGCGAACGAACAGTCTGGCGTTAATAAGCTCGTAGCCCATGAAGTCCGGAAAGATGATGACGGCGTTCTTGGAGCTGCCGTCTTTGGGGTAGGTAATGTAGGCATCGTCTGGGTGGGTTGAGGAAATGAGTTATATGCGTTGGGCAGCAAGGGAGCAAGACATACAGCCTCCGACCTTCTCTACCGTCCCGACTGCTTCACCTTCGTGCTTTACTCCGACGATGCAACACTTGCTTGGTGGATGAGATGCCATAATGCAAAGATCAAGGACAAGTTGCAACCCGATATCGATGATAGCCACCGTCACTGATCGTATGTTATGTAGACAATGCCCTTCACACGCCTTGGACTTGGCTAGATCTCGACTGACATGCACGCAAGTGCCAATACTTCTACGAGCATGATTATTGGGCCATCCAGCTTAACAAAGAGCTGACAGATCTCTAGCATGAGGAAACGATCAGGAGACCGTTCAGTCTTTGGCGGAAAACATGGCGTGACCGTCCTAGTTCGCTTGCAGCAGGCAACGTTGTGGCACGTATGCAGAATAACCGAGACTTTCAACTTTTTGAACGTTCAAAGGAGCGAATTGTCTCCTCATCGAAGGATCAAAAGTTGATTCCACATCACCGTCACTGCCTACACATGTCTTCCAACCTTACATCCACCCAGTAGTAGACCGCCTCTTAAGCCCAGGCGCCTCACTCCTCTCGTTCGGAACGACCTTAATCACCTTCTTCAATTCCTCCCTCCGCTTCTCCGCCCGCACATCCTTCCAGCTATCCAGTAAGCCGCCGAAAACACTATTCTTCCTTCCTCTTGGGCTTTCCGGTTCTCTCAAACCAATCCTCGTCTCGTCCAGCGGCCTCGCTGGAGTGGAGATGTGAGTATACTCAGGTATCGAAGGCGTCTGAGGCTGGCCGAACAGACGCCTAGATGAGTGCACAGAGGTGCGAGCTTCGTCGAACGCTGTCTTCGTACGTGGGGACCAGCCGAGATGGTTTTGAGCTGGTGGGAGATGCACTTGGGTAGAGACCAAATGCGGCGAGCCTGGTGCGACGGTAGCCGATGTAAGGTGCTCGTAGTTGCGCGGCTCCGGTACCTCTAGCGGACTGGCGAGCAGGTCTGCGTACCGTGCCGCGCCTTCAGCTAGCCGTTGGAACAGCGGCTGCTTTATTTTAGCCGTCGAGCCACTGCCGCGGCGCTGCCAGAAGCCGTCGTCGAGACTGCTCGTCCGGATGGGATGGGGTGGTGGGTGTCGAGACGTTAGACCTGCTGTTGCTAGCCGGTCAACTACGAAGTCTGTAGGTCGTGACGGTAGTGGTAAGGTATCCGTTTCGGCTCTGACGAACTTTGGTTTCGGGCTTTTGCTCTGGCCCTTGCCCTTGCGAGAAGCGACGAAAGGGTAGAAAGCTGAAGCGCGAGCGTCGTCGCTTCCTCTCCTGCACCGAGGCCGTGAGATGTTCTGCTGTGGCGATGGTCTGGTCGGAGCTGTCGAGATGACAGATGGTGGTGATATCGGAATAGACCCGCTCGTACTCCGCCTCTGGTGAGACGAACCCCTACTGGCAGAAAGCCGAAATGGATATGAGCTGCCGCTAGACCGTCTCGAACCGTTCCTGCTTGCATCCCGTGTGCTCCCTGCACGCCGTGGCGATATGGATGAGCCGCTTGGCGATGCATTGATCGCACCTGGAAGCTTTGCCGGAGGCTTCGTTTGGAACAGAGGTCGAGGAACCAGCTTCATCTTCATCTTGATACTGTCGTCCGAGTCAGTATCGTGGTGCTGAGAAGTATCTCGTGCTGGTGAGTCAGGGAATCGATACTGTTTCGCAGCTTCCCGCTCACTGCCTCGAGTAGGCGAAGGACTCTGTGGTATCTTCCACTTCGTTCCGTAGGCGGAGCGCTCCACTGCCCGTTGGCCTCGATATCGTGGCCTTCCGCGTTCTTCATGTGCGTTGTTGTCGCTGGTTCTTTGAGGACCTGATGTCGGTGGTTGCATAGTCCTCTCTGGTCCCGTGCCCACTTTAAACGCCTGTAGGTATGGGCTTCGCACTGTCGATCCAGCTTCGGGTACAACGGACTCGATGCGTACACTAGGAGTCTGACGAGGCAATGCAATGCTCAGATGTCTGCCATTCTGGTCAAGAAGAGTCGGTGCTTGGGGTACTTGCGGCGGACGTTCTGGCATGAGCATGTCCATGGAATCCTTTCGAAGTGGCTCGTGGGATCTTGATCTCTTCCCCGTCTGAGCACGAAGCTCTTCCGGGAGAAGGTGAACCGCCCCTGGTGCTTGGACATTTGCTTTCGCTTGTGCTAAAGAGATCGTCTGGACTGGCTTCTTGGGCGCTTTTCGTGAAGATTGGCGCGCAGAAGAAAAGCTTGGTGACTCCTGGCGTGCTGGTGAAGATGCAATGGTGTCCCGACTCTCAGTAGGCGATGGGGTAAAAATGAGCGGACTATATATCCGAGGCTGCAGTAATTCCTGTACAGGCGACTTCTCACCCAGATGAGGTGTACTCGCGCTGTAAGCCACCGGCTGAAGGACAGGTAAGGGTGGCATAGGCTCGTCCGCGAAGTCCGCGCTGGTCCAGGAGAAGTCATCGTCGCCATTTCCACCCCATTGGCTGACAGTTCGACTGTATACGCTTGATGACCGGCGGCTAGCGTATGAAGATGGGTTCTTCGACCGAGCTGGGGAGGTGTGTGAAGTTCGGCGAGCGATGAGCGGAGTTGGCGGTAGCGGTTTGGCTGGGTTGGGAGGCGGAGTACGCTTGAGGAACTCCTGGAAAGACGGGACGACGTTCTCCATGCCGGTAAGCGATGGCGATGAGGAGTCGTCTCTGGATGCTGGTGGCCGTCTGAGCGTGCCGTTTGGTTGTGGTGATAGCATGCTGTGACCAGACATCTGTACCGGTCAACTCCCCAACCACTCCCATGAGTGTCGTCTCGAACATTGAGTAGAAGGATGACTCCATAATGATTCTTTCCATAAGACAAAGGGCATTCGCGGACAGCTTAGGTTTCACGCCTAGTCCCATTGCGGTAGAGACAATAGACTGTTCAAGTGAACAAAGAAAATCTTTCCCAAACCGGCGATATCTGGTATCAAACATAACAATGTGTCCTGCTGGACGGTGCAAGTGCGCAAGTTGAAGTCACAAGGGTCCTGCAGGCCTGAGGACCGTAAGTGTAGTGCCATATCTGTAGCAAAACGCCCGCATTCCAGTGACAAACAGCATCAAGCAGACCCGTTCGGTTTACTTGACACACTCCCCTCTGCATCCTCGGACTTGTTAAACTCCTCTGCTCCGGGCGTTTGCGGTACGTCAACCTGTCTCCTCATTAGCTGAGTCCTGCCGCAAGTCAGACAACAACCTACCAACACCGCCGCATCCCTCAACCGCTCCTCCATCAATTTCTGCCTCCTCTACCCAAACCACACCATTAGCCTACCACCCAAACTGAATGACTCAGGGGCCCGATCATCTCACCTCCCTTTCTTCACTCGTCATCTGCATCAGCCCCTCCGCCTTCGATCCCCTCCGTTCCCGCAGGCGCTCGGGCGACGTGGGCGTAGCATCCAGTTCAACGGGCTCCGTGTTCACGTCTACTGTTGGTTTTGAGAGGGTCAGTTCCGGATGTTTGTTACTGGAGCCGCTGACTGGGGAGACTGGGGTGGCGGTTGAGGCCATGGCGTTGAGAATTTCGAGCTGAGATGGAGAGAAAGAATGTCGGACGAGACACGCTGATGTCCGCGGATGGAGATGGAAGACTTCAAGCGAACATGAAACAACGCCAGACGAAAATCAAGAATGTAGAAGTGTGTGACAGGTTGACAGCGATCGACGGTCAGGTGCTGGAGCTCTCAAGGCTGTGTATCGTATCCTTGTGCTCGCACACCCTTCCGCCCCACAGAGCCAACTCTTACCAATGAGGCTGACGGACCGCGCGTAAGAAGGAAACAATCAGGGAACGGCAGCAAAAGGAACATGAAATAGTGCGACAATGAAGTGTTCAATGCAAGCTTCGTTATAAACATCCGAAGTATATACTTCATAGCCAGATCCGCTGCGCTGTGCTACATGGGAATCATCGTATCCAAAAACCAAAACCCAGGGCCCCCATCCTGTACAACACCAGGCCAATATGCCAAAATCCCAAATCTACTCGCCCTTATCCCCCACCGGCTCAGATTGCTCGGGCTTAACCTTCAATGTCTCGATATTCTGAATCGCACTCTGCAATGCGCTCGTCAGATCCATGTGGAAGAATGGCCGATTCAGCCCTTGCACGACCGCCGCCTTGCCCATCCGGAACTTCTCATCGTACTGGCTATTCCTTTCGCTATCCTCGTTGATGCTGTCGATCTCCCGTGAAGTGACTTGGCGCATGTGGCCTTGCTCGACGTCCTCTTCGGCCTTCGGCTCATGCGACAGGACGCGGTTGACTCTCCGCTCGGCTTCAGCCGCGGCGCTGTCGCTACCACCTAGCTCGGCCACGGAGAAGAGAGGTTTCCATCGCGAGAAGTTTTCGTCGTCCTCGGGTGTTGCGAAGCCGAAGCCGGCAGAGGCCAAGGCACGTTTGGTCCAGCGATTGTTAATATGGGCAAAGTGCCATTGTACCTTGTCAGGTGCGGCGTAGCGATCGAGCTGGTTGCGCACATCGATCAGGTTCTGGACGGATGTGAGGTCGACGTTGTTGACGGAGGCAAAGTCAAGGATGATCGCTTTGAGGTGAGGACGGCCATGGTCGACATGCTCCTGGCCACGGCGTGGGCCTGGGTCGTTCCAAGGTCGGTCGCCTTGGCGTCCGTATGAGTTCGGGTTTGTCCTCTGAGTCTCCTTGAAGATGGTGTCGAGCAGGTAGTCAGTGTAGTGGTTGGCGTTGGGGTAGTTGAAGCCTTCCGAGAACCGGTAAATGAATATGCCAGGGTACGGGTGCTCCGGCTTGATCAATGGGTTGGAGCCGTCTTCATTCGTAATCGGCAAGAAAATGTTCCTCACGCCAGCATCCGGGTCGTTGTCAGGGTTCCTGGCATTCATAATACGCCCATCATTGGTCTCAATCAGGTGATCGCCGATGACCGAGTGGACCTTCACCTTGCCAAGGAAGCGTCCTTGAGCCTTGAAAGCACGGAAGAGGTATAGAGCCATCGAGCAGGTAATGGTGACGTAAATGCCGTTCTCGATGGAGCTGAAGATGGTGACGAAAACGCCAGCGAAGAAGATTGGCACTTCCATTGGCGATGTTCTCCAGAACTGGTAGACTGTGTTTGGTGGGGTGATCAGGTCGCCCACGGCGTGGATAATGATGGCAGCGAGCGATGCTTTCGGGATGTAGAAGAACACCACTGGCAAGGCATAGATGGCCAGGAGCACGACCATGGCAGTGATGAAACCAGCGAACGGCGTTCGCACACCAGCCTTGGACTTAATGGCAGTACGTGAGAAAGATCCAGTGGCAGGGTATGCTCCAAGGAATGGACCGAGGAGGTTCGTGATGCCGATGGCTACCATTTCTTGCGAAGGGTTAATGGTGTAGTTGTTGACACGTCCGAAGGACTTTGCGATGGAAATGTGCTCGATCAGGATTACAATCACCGAGACCGGGATGTAGCTAACGAACATGCTGACGATGTTCGAGTTCATCTTTGGCACGGCAGCATTCTGGAAACCTCGCGGCACTGGTCCGACGAGTGAGAATGGCGCCGCGTCGGCCGAATCCGCGCTGCGATCGGGAAGGTTCAGGTTCACCATCGCGCTGATGAAGGTGTATAGCAGGATGACGAAGACAGAGCGCATGGTGTTCAAGAAGAACCATAGCTTCCTCTTGGCTGGCTGCTTTCTAGCCAAGGTGTTCAAGGACCATCGGATGAGGTACAGCATGAAGAGTGCGGTTAGACCCATGGCTGCGTCCAAGTTGCAATTCGGCAGGTTGCGTAGCGTCTTGATGACGACCCAGTATGAGTGTTGTCGTGTGTCAAAGTAATCGGAGATACCCAGCAGCGTCGGCACCTGCCCAATGGCGATGAACAAGGCTGATCCAGTCATGTAAGCGGCGATGGCGACGAGGGGGATAAGCTCGACGAGCCATCCCAGTCTGGCGAGCCCGATGAAGCAGATGACTCCTCCGCAGATGACTGACAGTGCTGTAGCAATAATATGGGGAGGGACATTGGGCTCGATAGTCTGCGCATGAAGGATGACTTCGCCAGTGACCGTAGACATGACAGCGACGGGCTATCAAAGACGTTAGTACCCCATCACGAACACATGCGGGACGTCGAACTTACGCCAATGGTGATATCCTTGGATGTAGCAAAGAACCAGTAGAGCAGCACGCCCATGAAGGACGAATACAGCCCGAACTGCGGTGGTAGCTCAGCCAGCGATGCGTAGGCCATACCCTGCGGCACGACCACAGCTCCGATGGTGATACCAGCCACCAGATCTCCTGCGAACCATTGCAAGTTGTATCTTCCTATCCAGTGCAGGAAGGGGAACAAGTCGTAGAAGTACCGACCAACCTGGCGACCAGTGGGCGTGATGCTCCGAAACCAGTCGGCGACATGAGGTTCGTCTTCGAGATAGCTGTCCGCGCTGCCCACCGAGAAGGTCGACTCGCCTCGAGTAAGCTTGTCGTTGGTAGGGTTGCGATAGTCGAGCTTGATGCCTAGGCCCTTGGCCAGAGTGTGGCCGACCTTGGAGGTGGACATCTTCGAATGAATCGTCGAGGCGAGAGGTCCAGGAGTGGCTGCCGGAGACACGAGACGTGCGGCGTGCTTGTCTTTATCGGCAAACCGTAATGGTGGGATATCTATGTAAGATGCGCCAAGGAGGGCTAGATATAGCCACCGTGCGTGAGCTTCGCTGATGGGGCACTGAGGCGCTCAATGAACGACTGCAAGTGTGGTCTCGCCACGGGATGGGCTCGTAGGTCTGATGCAGCCGTCCGAACAGAGCGCGCCGGTCCGATGTGTGAAGCGAGCACGCAAGAGCACTCAACTGGCAAAAGAAACGTGCAAAGACGTCGACTGGTCCAGGTCGTCGGTAAGGAACCCTGAAGGCGCGCCAACCACCGGAAATGCTCGAAACTGAGTATCAAGGCGTGGGAGACACGCGTGAGCACGCAAGAAGGCTTGCACTCGCGCAATAGCACTTGAAAAGGTGTTGTAGAGTGCTGTCAAGCTGACCGACACGTGGTTGTTGATCCCCAGACGGGCACGTCTCGAGTACCGTTGGAGCGGTAGGGACAAAAGTGTATTGTTGTCAAATGAGGACAGCGGGTTGGAGGACAAGAAGTGTCTCTGGGGGAGACAGAAGTCACCTCGAGGGCCATCTTCGCCATTTCCATAGGAGAGTGGATCAACAGGGTGAGCCTTGGTGTCGATGTCGTGATTCTGGGTGCACGCTTTGGGAATGGCCTGAAGCCGGGGCGCCGCAAAATCCCAGACAAGAAACCCAATCAGAACGTCGTCTGAAGGCGTCATTGTGAACCGACCCCTTTCCGCGTCGACCGCTCTTCTCTCAACGCCGGCAGAGTTCGTCGACAAACTTCGAACGAAACTCAGTAGAACGATGGTCCATTGGCGGGAACAATTCGGCCCCATTGCGCACTTCCAGACTTTGTTCTTACGTCGGCTCTTACGTCGAGGATACGAAATCATTTCATCGACGACCCATCATAAACAACCCGAGAGTTGCCGCGGCGGCTGTTCTCAGTAGATTGACGAGTGATGCGCGCATGGTCTGATGCATACCACGACAGGGCACGGTACAGTAGCGACAGCAACACCTCCTAGCTGCAGGCGGCATCTGTATGCATATGCCCGCGAGGCATCCTTTGCAAATCTACCAGTCGCTGGAGAACATCTGGCCACGTCGTGGGTGGTCGTTGTCATCGAGCTATGCGTACTCCGGACAACCGGTAGTTCTGCTCGCACCGGGCGCGCATGCGACAATGGAGCTTCTGAACAGATCTTCTATCGCACAACAAATCCCAAATAGCTGTTAGAGCACGCGATTGTGCGCCATGCTGGAGCCCATTCCGAGGTGTGCGTCGTTGTCACCGGTGGTTGTCGTTATTTCGATACTCCAGGTGCCGATGGACGTATCGACTTGTCAAGGCAGTCAGCTTGGAAGGTGACCATCATGGCCTATTGACGGCGACGGTAATGTCGACAGTCAGTTGTGAAGAAGTGAGGTGATGTGGCGGATGTGCCTTCCATCATCGTTGACAGCTCCAGCCGTTTGACACTGACAGCTTCAAAAGCAAAAAGCAGCGTTGAAGCCTTGCCAAGATTTCCGATCACGTGGCGACTTGTTCTCAACTTCCACACCAACACCGATCGAGTCTTTCCTCTCTTTGATCGGGGAGGTAGTAGACAATGCTACTGAAAAACGTTGAAACAAAAACATCGTATCAGCTCTGCTTTCCAGCTTCCAACCCCTCGTGCGCTGGACGTTTGTTTCCCGCCCTTGAAGTGGCATTGTCAGACACGGACAACAAGAACTTTGCGGAAGGTAGGCACTGTTAAGCATCTGAAGCAGGCAGTGGTCGTTCCTTTCCGCTGTAAAACGCCGAGAACACGAAGACCTCATCCTCTCAGCCTGTTGTCAAGCACTAGGTACTGAGTAGCTGGAGTGATGAGATGCAGGTAGGTGGTGCAGGATGAGAAATATCATTTGCTTATGCTTTTGGTCCGGTGCAACGTCCAGAGATAGCTATGTTGTGTCTGTTGCCAACCCCGTTTCGGGACTTGCACGACAAAAACGTACCAACTTAAACAGAGCAAGCGGATCGAGCAGAACTTCAGGAAGCCAGCAAAGGCTGCAACAGCGACCTCTCCCGCCAGCCAGCCGACGAAGCCATTATGGTTGCTTCCATCAACATCGTCGCCTTGTACTGGAACTGCCTCGTAACGTCCACAGTCCCACCACCCGGAGATGAGAAGGTCGAAGGCACAGTTCAGCTCTCTAGAGGTATGTCAGCATCTCTTACGGGTAAGGACTGGTCTCCGACAAGACGAATTTGCCGTCAGTACGCTGCGATCAAGGACAGGTCGCAAAGCTCGAGGCCAGGCTGCGGCGCGACGGCGGCTCTCTCACCGTCGTCAAACACTGCTGGGACTAACGCGGTAAGGATACAGATGTCTCTTGTTGACCGATGATCTCTGATTGTTCCCACAAAGCATGCTGCCATCGGCTGTATCTTCAAAGGAGAGTCTTCCAATCTCTTCTGCGAGGAAACGCCCCTGAGTCTGCAACACGCATGCCCTTCGAACGAGCTGATTGCCGCTGCCGACCTTCCAAGACCTTGCACACCGGTCCAAGACTTGGACGTCAATAGCCTCTTGATCTTCGTCTGCCCCCCTAACAATGCTACAGACGATTTGATCGGTCCCGGATGTGGGTTGGATGCATCTTGGCCAAAGGGCTTCCAACATGCCCGTAATTGCCTGCTCGATGCGAGTAATTAGTTGTTGACCGCAGTCATGAGTAGATCCTTCACGCCTGAACAAGACACAGACTCAACGAGCAACGGACAGGTAAGCTTGTGGGAATGTCCTGTCGATGTTTAGGTTTCCATGGTTCTGTTGCGTTTGAATTGCGTATGTACCTCAAAGTTTCTTCCTCCAACCCCACGTTGTCTAGGCCGGGATCTACCTATAGTTTGTCCATACAGCCGGTGTTGGAAGTTAGAATTCAGGATGTAGGCGGTACATGTACTTTTAAAGACTGTGATAGGGCACGTGAGCACGCGGCAAGTCAATAAAATATTGATGGGAACATTGATAGAAATATTGATTGGCTGTCCTCATGCATGACTGCATGACGCGACTTCACCTCACAGTCACGCATCCTCATTTAATCTGCGTACAGATACTCTGTCTATATGCCTCGTCAACGCATCGACCTGAGAAATGCTGCAGAATAGCAGCCCATCCAAACACAATGCTATGCTAGGAAAAACAATCTTGCATCCTAAGTCAACCAACTACGACGAAGGCAACGAGGAGGACTTCAAGACACCTCCAGCAAAGCGAGTCAAGCGGAGTACGGTCCAATATGAGAGTCCGAGGAAGAGAAACGTCGTACCAGACTCTGATGCGGATAGCGAAGATGAGGTCTATGATGAAGAGCCACGGAGCAGACGAACAGATCTCGAGTCTGCCCTCCCGCCCATCGAGACAGACAAGGAAGCCATCGAGGCCTACGAGGCTACAAGAGCAGCTGAACAAGCGGAACTGGGACTGAAAGAGCGGTTGGATGGACGGAAGTGGGAAAGAGGGATGACGTCGATCTATGTCGACGCCTTCAACCTTGCGCTCGATACGGTGCTGGAAGACGAGAGCCACTTGTTTGACGAAGCGGAGCATGCTGTCTTCAAGACATGGCGCGACTTATCATACGAAGCGCAGTATCTGTACGTGCGCCTGTTCTTACGAAAGACTTCGAGCTGGTTCCGGATCAACAGACTGGGATACCATAGCGACATTGCGGATCTGCCGAAGGCCATCTCAGACTTGCAATTGGAGCGCGATCTACCAAAACCATCGTCGCAGGTCGAAAGGCACGCCGGCGAGTTCGAGACACCAGAGGGAACAACTCTTGGATCGTCTTTTACCTTTGCGGATCGATCAGAGGACTGCATCAGAGATCTTGAAGAAGCTTCGTCGTTGCTGCTTTTGGATGAACTGAAGGCGTTAGCAAAAGACTTCAAAGTCCAGGGAAAGAATAAGAAGGAACTCTTGAGAGCGTTCCGGAGAACGAGCAGTACGCAGACCGGACTGGGCTTTGCGTCCTTGAAACGGTCAAACACCGAAGAGACCACTGCGTCGGAGGGTGTCGAGCAGGACAGCAGAGAAGCAACTCCAGCGAGAGGTGAGAATCGCGATGCCTACTTCGTCGGAAAGATTATGGCCGAGACAGGACCTTGTATTCGTCTGTCGCTGTCAGTTCTGCGACTCTTCGAGAGAGTACACCTGGTGTTTTACCGGTCTACGGAGTGGACTGAGAAGTCGCTCACAACCATCATTCTGGCCCGCATCGCACGGCGTAATTTTCCGCAATACATTGTATCGCGCTCAGCCAATATCTTCGCATCACGTCCACTACTGCTGGAGTTTGAAGCGGCCATCCGTACACAGTTCAAGGTCGACAATATTCTCGAGTTTAATGGCACGCCGCGAAAGGATGATCTGCAAGTAATTCTTGACATTTTCAACGACGTGTACGACAGATGGAAAGTCTTGCTGGCCGAAGAGCAGACGAAGGAAGACAGCATTTACTGCACAGGCGAAGGCGCGTACCTACGCCGCCTCAGCCCTGCTTGGGTGTACACACGTATTGTCCACAAAGGCGCCTTCGTGCTGGGCAAGTTCAAAGACCACAAGCGGGAGCACCAGATCCTCAGCGAGCTTCTAGCACAAGGCCTATTCCACACCAGCCGACGAGGCGACTGGTACCAGCGCAAAGCACTTCTGGAAGAACACTACATGCACCTCCACCTCCCCTCGCCACCCGAATGCAAAGATGCCGAAAGCAAGAAGAAACACTGGCGTCGCATCGCCCTTCAAACCTGCGAAACCGGCCTTCAAGACCAACTCACCCACCTCATCTACCACCACGACCTCCAAAAGCGCACCACCAAACTCGAAAAAGCCCTCAAAATCCCCAAACGCGAACAACACGAATTCGCGCACGTCCGCCTCACCAAACCCGCCGAACGCACCTTCCACGGCATCCGCATCGAACGCGCCCCAACCCTCACCCGCTCCTCCTCCAACCCCACCTTCCGCCGCTCCAGCTCCCAACCACCCACCACGAACCGCGGCAGCAAAACCATCTGGCTTGACCCCGCCTCCGCAGAAACCGACACCGAATGCAGCGTCGAAGAGATGTGCCTCTCCTCCTACCGCGCCCTGGGTTGGAAAGGCTACCACTGCGAATCCGGCATCCTGCGCACCCTCTTCGCCTACCTCTTCCTCGACATCCTCTTCCTCTACATCCCCAACGTCTTTCAAACAGAATTCCAAACGTGTCCGTTGGACTTACACACGGATGCGTTTTACCCGAGTCGCATGAGCGAGGTGACTGCGCGCTTGAACGAGGTCTCGAACGGCGGGGCGGAAGGGTTGGTGCGGAGCGTCTGGGAGGAGCATGCGGAGAGGAGGACGTGTGTGGTGGGGTTGGATTGGGGGTTTGAGGTGCGGGATTTGGTGGAGATTTGTCGGGCGTGGGAGGGAGGGGCGTTGGCGAGTGCGATGAAGGTGCTTGTGCAGGAGTATGGGCAGAGAGGGGGCGGGGTGCCGGATTTGTTTTTGTGGAGGACGGGGGAGGATGAGGGTGATGGAGAGGGCTCCGGAGAGTCTCGGTATGTTGGAGTGGAAGGTGTGCAGAGAAAGGGAGAGGTGATGTTCGCGGAGGTCAAGAGCGAGAATGATCGCCTGAGCGACACGCAGCGCATGTGGATTGATGTGCTGTCGGGTGCTGGGATACGGGTGGAGCTGTGCCATGCTGCTGCCAGCGAAGTACGAGTCAAGACATGATGAAGATACCTTAGCCGCGTAGCCTTGGATACAAGACGAAATGCTTCACAGAAGCGTCCGCGATCCACGTTTGACAATGCCGACATCACTTCATCGTCCCTTGCCCTTCGATTGGCCACAGATATTATCGCGCTAGCTGGCGTTCATCTTCATGTGACAGTAAAAGTGAGTGTCAGTTTTCCCCTCCCAGCGACATGGTCATAAGTTCTCCATGCCCTGAAAATTGTAAATTCTCCATGCCCGCTCACGCTGCTGCAGTTGATTGCGTATGTATGTGTCCCTCGGCTTGCGTGGAGACTCGACATGAATCATCTCGTTGATGCATGGCTCGTCGACGTATGCCTCGTGATTCTCGTGACTTCGTAGTCATACTGTCGTACTGCTCATGAATATTCATTGCCGCCATCCCACTTCAAACACTTCACTTTGCATGCGAGAGCATCTGCTCGTAAACATCCTCCGGTATCTTCCTCGCGAAGTTGACGGTGTAGTCAATCACCTTCTGCGCTCTGAGCGGCTTGAAGTCCGGCTTTGGACTATCATCTGGTCAGCCTCAATCACACATCCCTTTGTCCCGTCACACTCACCTCTGCGTACTCAACAGCTGATCCCTAATCAAAACAACCTGACTAACAATACACAACAAATTCAACCCCGCCCCATACGCGAACAGAAAATCCCACAGTCTCAAAACCTCCGGCAACGGCGGCGTACAAGCACACAGCGTCAACACGCTCGGAAACGCGTAAATCTCCGCCTTCATACCCTTCCCCAGCAAATGCGACGCGAGCTTCGGGTCCACGATCCCTAAGATCTGGTCTACCAAAGCGAGACCTTTGTGCACGCCTTCCATGCTCCCGCGCACGTAGCCGGGGCATTCGTGCGTGACGTACCGGTCGAAGGCGGCGAAGGCTTCGACTTCGCTGCGGGCGGCGTAGAGGAAGGGGGCCGCCATGACGTTCATGCCTTGGACGTAGCCGACGCTCGTGTGGGCGGTCGTGGAGTCGGCTTCAGAGTCTTCCGTGACCGAGCCGCGAGCGAAGCGGGACGGACGGTCGTTGTTACCACCACCTGCGCTGGTGACGCTGGCGGGGGAGTGGAAGATGTCGCTCCCGTTGTCGGGGACGTTGAGGGACAGGTTCATCATGGGCGGGGAGTTCCAGCCTTCTCTTCTGCTTTCCTCTCTGTCGCACAACTTCCATGCTACGGCGTTGAGGACGCGGGTGAGGCTATTTTCGCTCACGCGCCGGCGGAACAGGGGGTCGGTGGTGAGGGTGCGGAAGGTGTCGTCGCGGATTTTGGCGTAGGCGGGGGAGGCGCCTTGGCCGACCAGGTCGAGGTAGGCTTTTGTGGAGAGGGGAGGGGCGTTGAGGAGGATGAGCCAGATGTAGATGCGCAATTCGGAGAGGCCGTCTGCGCTGGAGGGGAGAGGGTCGAGGAGGAGTGTGCGGCGGAGGTCTTCGAGGCCAGAGGCGTGGGTGGTGAGCGCGGGGTTGGATGGGTGCGGGTTGGGGCCTTTCTGGAGGAAGAGGTCGAGGTGTGTCATGATTGCGCTGATGATCGGTGTTCAGTATGGATGGTCTCGGTGAAGTCGCTATCCTCTAGCGATCATGATACTTGACCGTCTTCCGTTGCGCTGCGAGCAATGTGTTGGTTGGAGAATGGCTTCATGTTGCAAGTCGCGTTCACGAGGTGAAGTGAGCTTCGACTAGCGCCAATCACGAAAACAACCACGCGGTCACATGTTACCACTACCAAGGCATTCGAACGACTCTTCTTGGATGCTGTGGGGTACGCATTGTGTTCTGCTCAAGCTATCGACGTCGTATCTACATCCTCTCCATACATTCACGTCGTCCCTCTCACTTCTTCCCCACCCTCCTCTTCCTCCTTCCCTTCTCCCTCTCATACTCCTTACTCTCCTTCCCCTCCTCCCCCTGAATCTCCGCAATAAGCCGTCTCTGCTTCCGCTCATACTCCCGATCCTTCTCCTTCTTCTCCCTGAGCCCCTCTCTCGCCAGGAAACTCGCATCCTTCCTGAGCTCCCTGATCGCGCCCTTCCGCTCGCGTTTGTACTCCTTCTGCAACTTCCTCGCGTCGCTGCGGTCTTTGTCGGGGTCGTAGTGTTTGTCGGGATCGAAGGAGTCTTCGAACTTGGGAATGGAGGTGCGGATGGCGAGAGGTTTGTGGTGGTGGAGTTCGAGCGGGCGGCGGGCGGTGCGGGATTGGGCGAGGAGAATGCGGAGGTGTTGGAGTATTGGTTTGGATTTGGGATGTGTGGATAGAGGTGTCGAAGTGAGGGCCGTGTTGAAGGGAGTGAAGATCTCGATGAAGGCAGGTTTCGCTTTCCAGAGGTCGAGCATGGTCCTGAGGTTGGCTAGGTGGGCGGAGGTGTGCTCAGTTGATGCTTTGGCTTTGGGCGATAGAGCGCAAAGTGTGAAACGGATCGCCTCTGGGATGTAGCGTTTGCTCAATCGCTGGTAGTGAAGTGACAAGGCGACCAGGAACAAGCCTGTCGAGTGCTTCTGGGGCGAGTCGGGAACGTTCATCGCAAGCCACTTAGCCATGATTGTCATCGCTGGCGTGACGACCTGATGGAAGTGATCGCTTGTCGGGTAGATGGAGCCAATGGCGGTCAATACGACCATGTCTCCGGCGTGCAGGGTCTTTCCCGTATGTGCAGACTGTAGCTGAGCCCGGAAGGATGTGGCAATGATCTCAGAGTATGTCCGGCTTAGACTATGGAGATGTCGAATGACTTGCTCTGCCACAGGAAGAGGTTGATGATGCTCGCCCATGTATGATAGATGCTCGACAAGGGTAGCGGAGAAGTCGGCCATCGATTCTTTGTTGGTGGCTGACAACGAAGGGTGATGCAATGCACGTATCCGTTGGATGATGGTCGGTAGCTGGTCAGCGGGGCTGTCTTTGACTACTGCGAGTAGCTCCTGGTGGGATCGAGGGCAGGGGTAGGTAAACGCAAGACCTTGTCCTCCGCCAGGCGCTACGAGCTGCTGGGAAGCTGCTGCATCGTTCTTCTCGCCACCACCTAGTATGCCCTTGACAAACTCGTCTTCTTCCTCGTTCACCGCCGGCTGCTCTTCATCCTCGATGTCCGATTCAGCCTCACTCATAGAGGCATCGCTCACATCGAGTTCCGATCCACTAGCGACCAACTCATCGTCAAGAGCAAACTCGTCCTCATCTTCCAAGACGATCTTCTCCGGCTTCGTGTTTTGAGGCGCATCAGCCTGTGTGAATCCAAACTCGGCAGCCTCGTCAGGCCTCTCGTCCATGTCGTCTCCATTGACCGCTCTAGGCTCTTGCTGTTCATCATCAGAGACTTGTTCGCCACGCATCCTTTTCGCCCTCCTTTCCTCAAGATCTTTCAACCTCTCCGCCTCTTCCTTGATCTTCTCCTCCTCTGTCTTCGTCCGCTCGGAGGGCTTTGCTCTCTGTTCTCGAGCCAACTGCTTGATGCGCGAGTCGTAGTCCTTCTCAACAGCCTCGCGATCCGCGCCCTCTAACAACTTCAACCGGTCTGGATTCACTGCCGTCGCATCGCCGCCGTTGGTTGTGGGCTCGGCTGGCTGCGGTGGAGCTGGTGCAGGTTTGCGTCCACGCAGCAAAGTAAGAATGTCGCCAAATCCTTTGTCCAATTCGTCCCTCAAATCATCGTCGTTCTCCTTTGCCTTCTGCCGCTCGTATTTGTGGTACTTGGACTTCGCGATGACCTCCTCCATGACCTCTTTCCGGCTCTTCTTCCTTTCCGGCTCATCGTCTGCTCCGTCACTAGCTTCCTCCTCTCCTTCGCTTTCGGGCTTCTCAATGTCGCTACGCCGCCTTTTCCTCCTCAACAGCCCTCCACTTCCTTCGCTCCCTTCGTCTTCACTTCCACCAGCAATCTCGTCATCCCCCAGATCGTCCAGCCGCCTCCCACCATGCGTTAAGCCCATACCCAGTCCACCCTCCTCGTCATCACTGCCCTCTAGATTAAAAACATCCCCCGCCCGTCCCCTTTGCTTCTCCTGCGCAAACCTCTGCACCGCCCTTTCCTCAGCCGTCAACCCCTCATCGCCCTCCCCAATTCTGCGATCCACGAGCCCACCAACTTTGTTCCGTCTCCGTAGCTCCGGCAACAGCGTCGCTTTCCTCATCTCCTCGCCCGCCGACTTGCTAACCCCAGGTCGGTGCAAGACATCCTTGTACTTCCCACCAGTTCTGTTCCCATTGGCTACCGGGCGGTCATTCGCATTCGAGAACTTTGGAGGTCTTGAAGAAGGCGCGCGGAACTCGAAGGGGTTGAAGGAATCTCGAATCTGTTCGAGGGCAGCATGCTTCTGGATGCGGTCGTTGGTGCCTTTGGCGGATTTGGCATTTTTCTTTTGCTTCTTCGATTTTTGAGGGCCGGTGATGCCTTGTTCGCGCAGTGAAGATTTCAGGCGCTTCAACTGCGAAGGCGGCATGGTATGCGATCGTTGTTGTTGGAGGATGGTGTTCGACTCTTCACTTTTTCTGGAGCTTCGGATGCGATAAGACGGGTAAAGCCGCTAGCGTCGCGATAACAACCTGGATACATATGAGCCGAAGCAAGTTCAACCATGCTTCATGCAAAGAACATCAACGAGATGTAGATGTCTCCCGAGCACGAAGAGACTCATTCCAAATCACGACAAAATGAAAGATGCCGTCGAGGATCGATGACCGCTGGCTTTGGCTCAGTTTTGGGGTCATCTCGATCGCCACAATCTACGGCATTCGTCTCGCCTTCCAAGACCTGATCAGTTTGACCAAACTCGATCCCCATGACGATGAAGAGAGGAAGAAAGATGAAGAACATCCGGAAGATGGTAATAGCTACTCTGCAAAGCAATGTGTTATCATGGAATGAATGGCTGATTCCCTCCCCAGCCATCTCCCTAAAAGACCTCAAAACCCTCACCACCTCCCCCAACTCCGCCATAGCCAACTCCGCCATCTCCCTAACCGTCTCCCGCGTCCAGCGCGACCCCTCCGTCACAACCTCCATCCGCCGCGACCTCCGCTCCGCGGACCCCCGAACCCGCTTCCTCGCCACCACAGCCCTGGACTTCCTCTGCCACCACCCTTCCTACCCCGGCCACGACGCCGACAGGCCCAGCCGACGGCTCCCATACGATGACTTCGGCCGCTCGACTCCCGATCGCGTCCCGAACGAAAGCGAGACGGAATGGGTCGTTGCGCAACTGGCCCGGCGAGCGGAGGCTAGTGACCCCGTTGCTGGGCAGATGATGGGGCTCGTGGAGCGCGCGAGGACGATCGATCCGGGTGGTATGTTTGGCCCGCCGGATGAGAGGAATCCGTGGGTGGGGGAAGGGGAGGAGGGGGTCGTGCCTAGTATTGAGGATCCGGTGGCGGGGTGGACTAATGTGCCAAGAGCAAGGCCGCAGCCCGGTGGTGGGACTGCTGAGGAGGATGCGGCCGAGTTGCGCAGGTCGAGACGGGAGGCAGTGGTGATGATTGATCCGCATGGGCACGTTATCGTAGAATAGAGAACGTTTGGTCGGTAGGCAGAGGTTCACAGGATCTGACTAAACGTGAGAGGCGACCTCGAATGATTCCCATACCAGTCATCATTTCGAAACAAAGTGAATGGTTGATAGGCGGCTATGAACTCTGCTCCATCTCCCAGCTCAAGCGAGACGTGCGGCAATCACATTGACCCATTCCAAATATTTCACCCGCTTCCGCTTCGTCGCTGGAGCACTCTGTGTCGCCAAAGCAGTCGGTACCGGCAGACTCAGCGGCCGACAACACCCAGGCAACTCCGGACACTCCCTACACTTCAACCACCCCACCCCTCCCAGAAACATCACTCCTCAACCCCTTACTCCTCTCCAAAGCAAAGTACCCCAGCGCTGGTTTGATGACGAAATCCAACATCGCGTACACGGGATCACGTTGCTGAACCCGCGCCGCTGTCCCAACGACCTGCGCGTGGAGGTTGAAGAGGTCATAAGGATCGACCGCGTTGCTGGCGTGAGCGAAGATGATGATTTTGTACGACTTCATGACACCCGGCGCTCTTGGGACGTGACTGTACTGGACCCGCTGCATGACAGCCTGAGCGAATCCCTTGGGGTTGTCGGCCCAGCAGCGAAGCTCCTGGACACAGTACGCTGCGAGGACCTTCTCGCCGTTCAAAGCGGCGTCTTGGTGGGTGATGGGTTCGTAGAACGCGCCGTCCTCGAAAGCCCGGTGTGTGACGCGGCTCGGGCAGATGAGGGCTTGCTGGATGTCGTCGACTTCTACCTGATCCTAAGGGCTCCGCTGGTAGCAGGGGATGGTGAAGGCGAAGAAGAGACACTCCGTGCGCTCGAGATGGCGCCAGCCGATTTGGAAGAAATTCGGGGGGCGGGTGAAGGCGCCCTCCCATGCGTTTGAGAAGAAGTTCCGGAGGTCCGTAGTGATGTCGTCGACGGATACTTGAGTGCCTTGCGGTGCTTGAGCGAATGTTACTAAGTTTACCTGAAGCATTTCGAGCAGGACATGGCTCGTCAGGTTCTGGTCCAAGTGGATCCAGATGTGAAGGTCCATCAGCGGATTTGGCCGGAGTTGCGTCTCCCTCATCCATTGCTGGTATGAAGTAGGATGCCGAGTGTACAGACGGAGATCCTCGAGGTTGAACTTGGGACCCGTCAGCGCCTCGAGGTCGACTCCTCGGTCCAGCCTGCTCGACAGGTTTCTACGATAGGAGTACTGGGTAACCTCTGATACACAGACAAGGACGCCCACGCGATATGAGAGGTGGAAGCCACGGCAGTTATCCGATTGCACTTCTCCCTCCTCCCGTGGCGGCGAAGCAGCGAAATTTTGCTGGAGACCTTGCTCCTGCCACACTTCCGCACGAAGCTGCATGCGCCTGATGATTCGAGGTAGGTCGTCATCCGCGATCCGAGTGATGTAGTTGTTGAGCTCATGAACAAGCGGATACGAAGATCGTGCCAGTGGTAGGCCCCCTCCACGGTTCAGAGTCTGCTGTATCTGCTCGAGGTTGACCTGGTCATGGTGACTGGCGGCGTAGATATGCACCTTGACGATAGCGAGGTGGAGCATGTGACAGTGCCCGTCGAGAGGCATTACTGCGGCGAACAGTTGCAGCACGTCATCACGCACGTACACCTGGAGCGCTTTCCTGTCGTATTCGAGAGACCGCAAGTTGACCTTTTCCAGGACTACGCCGGGGTGCATTTGGCCATGGAGGAAGACCACCGCCAGGCGTGATATGTGATCGTGCGTAATGACAGACATGTTGGGAAGGCCTGGTGGATAGTGGTTAGCGGATGTCTTCATAGATCAAATTGGCAGCACAGTGAAGCGCTGAACAGCCCTTGACCGTGTCGCCCAGGTGTCCCTATACTTACTTTGGAAGCTTTGCTTGAGCCTGCGCACCTACGACGAGCGAGCGAGCGTTCTGGTTTTGTATTGCTGCGATCAATAGAGTTCCAAACAAAGCCTTGTGGTGCGAATGTGTGTTAAGCTGCAATAGAGTTCATATCGAAGATGCTGACCATCAAGACCCATTCCTCATCTTCTCCATCTGCTCAGCCTTTGGAGCAACATCGCAGACCTCACCGCACTTCTTGCAGGTGCGAGCGGCCTCGTTGCTCTTGAACTCATTGACAGCTGCCTTGATCTGCGTCCCAAGATCCTTCATGTGGAAAGAGGCTTCGTGCACCTTGTCGCCGCAGTTCTGGCAGTACCAGCGCAGGGTATCCACGCTGTCTTCAGGTCGCGGTTGTTCGATCACGATGCCGACGGTGTTCTCGAAGCGGACCGGGTTATGCGGCACATTGCCTGGTAGGAGGAAGATCTCGCCTTCGTTGATGTAGACATCCTTGAATGCTCCGTCCTGGACTGTCTTCAGAAGCATGCGGCCCTTGTACTGGTAGAAGAACTCGGGAGTTGAGTTGATGTGGTAGTCTGTCCGCGCATTTGGACCACCGACGACCATTACGGTCAGAGGATCAGCGTAGACGCAGTAGTTGTTGATTGGTGGTTTGAGGAGGTGGGAGTTTTCCTCGAGCCTGCACTTCCGATCAATAAAGTTCAAACATAATCCTTAGCAATTTCTTACCACTTCGGAAGGTTGAGTGGACTGGTCAGTGCCGCTCTCCTGCTTGACACAGAGAAGTTGGCTTGCTGTATCCGTTGTTGTACTCGACATGTAGCAGGGGCCATCGTCGGAGTCCTTCGAGATAGTCGGTTCGCCACAGCGAGCGGCGCTCTTCGTACAGACTGCATGGTCGTTGTGCTTGCTGTGTAGCGTTTATGGGGAGATTACGTAGATAATCAGACACTGTAATGAAGAGGGTTCAGATGGACGTCGATGATTTGAAGACGCCTCTCATACGTCCATTTGTAATCGAGACGATGATTCAATCGAGGTGATGTCGAAGCACAGGAAGGCCCACAGCGAGACTTCCGGCACCGGCGGATCCCTCCTCTATTCTACACGCTGATCTGCCGTTCTTCTGAGGCCCTGTCGGAAGCAGTGCAGTCGCTGCTATATAATATAACGCTTGGTGAGAAGGGCATGTGAATGGTCTGCAGAACTGTCGCAGTGATGAAAGTGTTTGGGAGCGAATTGACAAGACGCTAAGGTAGGTAGGCGGCCTAGTTCGTGTTGCATGTGAAAGTGTGAGCTTGGATCACGCGTCGCCTAACAACAACACTTCCGAATAACTTCCCCATACATCTCCATGCCTGGGAAAGATGCCATGGCCGCCATGGGCCTTCTGGCGTCACGACCAACCCACCGCGTCATCTACCAACGATGACAAGCAAGACAGGAGCACCGTTGCTCCCAAACCAACCTCATGGGCCACTCGCCTTAATAAGACCGAATGGACGACCACCCAGACCATCCTAATAGCCGGTGTCACCACCGCAACAACCCTCGCCTTCCTCCGCTTCTACAAGACTCACATCCGCCGCGTACCCAGCATCTCCCACCTCAAACCTGGAGCCCTCCGCAATCGCAGCTTCTACGGCCTCGTCACCCGCGTTGGCGATGGAGACAACTTCCACCTCTATCATACCCCCGGCGGTCGGCTCATGGGCTGGGGCTGGGCGCCTCGTCGAAGAGTCAAAGATATTATGGAGCGCGCGAAAGCGAAGGGGACGCAGACGATGCACGTTCGTATTGCAGGGATAGACGCGCCGGAGATGGCACACTTTGGGCGCCCGGAGCAGCCGTGGGCAAAGGAGGCGTTGGAATGGCTGAAAGGATGGATTGGAGGGAGGTATGTCAGGGTGTATCCATTCCGGCAGGACCAGTACGAGAGGGTGGTAGCTTCGGTGTACCGACGGAGATGGGGCGTGTGGAAGCAGGATGTGGGCTTGGTGATGCTGAAGAGGGGCTTGGCGACGGTGTATGAAGCGAAGAGGGGAAGTGAGTTTGGAGATCAGGAGGAGGTGTATCGCGCTGCTGAGCTAAGGGCGAAGCAGAAGGGAGTCGGGATGTGGCAGGACCAGGGCCTGATCAATCGTCTACTTGGCCGTAAAGGGAGCTCTGAGAGTCCTAGGGAATACAAGACGAGGATGGCGCAGCAGGAGAAGAATGGCAAAAGCGCAGACATGGCTAAGTGACCTGCAACTCCTCACGCTTCGATCCCACTGAGTCCGAATGAAGTGATCTTCCCCGTCGAGTCCATCGAGCCCAAATTGAGTGACCTTCCCCATTCCCTCCTGCACACGCGGCAAACGGCCCAATCTCAGCGCCCCTCCAATCAACTTACCTTATATATCTATTCCTCAAAGTCCCACATCCTATCAACCGGGCAGCCCAGGCCCAGGTGATATCATCCTCAAGCCGCGATCATCCTAAGCGACACCAATGAACGTCATACCAGGGCGTTGAAAGAGGTGACACAGAGGGCGCAGGGATCCTGGAAACCTGTGTAATGAAGCAACGACTTAATTGCAGTTCTTCTCCTCCTCCCCCTGAAGGAGGTTTTTTTTGCTCTTCTGAATTCCGATTTCCTTCTTTTTTCTTTTGGTTTGTTGGGGGTGGCGGTCGTTTCAAGGGGGTGTGCGAGAGAGCATAAGATAGGAGCAATGATATGATGACTTGTCATGACGAAGGATGGCCTTTTGCACAGAAGTACCTCCTCGAAGTAAAAGGTTGTCTTGTTGATGTTCTAGAATAGTGCAGTCGCGGCAGTGCCAGTCGACTCACTCTCTCATGTCCTTCCATTTTCGGAGTGCATACATAGTTCTTGTTGCCATAATCACAGCAACGCCGACTCGCATTAGGAGCCCGGCCACACCGTCGTATCTACGCACAGTCATAACTCATAAACCATCAAACCATTCCCACCCTCTCTAACCCTCATCTCTCATAATCCACCACCCCATCAACAACCCACACCTCCCCATTAGCCACCCTCTCTACCACCCTCTCCACCCCCACCCCCTGCGGCATAACCACCGCCTTCCCCTCCTTCCTCTCCCACCACACCTCCCCACCCCCCATCGTCTTCACCTTCACCCCTTCCTCCCAAGGACTCTCTGGCACCACATGCGCTTCCGCGAACCGCTTCATATTGTCCTGCGCGCGATCATCTCCCTTTGCGCCTTTATACGCCGCGGCGCCGAACTGCGAGTAATCCTTCGGATCTTCCCACGGTTTCCTCGGCAAAGAAGTGATCGCTTTATTCGACGGCGCGAGCACGGTCGTGTTCAGCGCACTCGTCTCGAGCCGGGTCGATACGCTGGGCACGGAGCGTGTGAAGGAGGCGAAGATGTTGATGCTGCTCTGGGCGCCGATGACGTCGGAGAGGATGACGGCGGAGTTGGACTCGTGGTTGGAGGTGGTGGAGGGGTCCATGGGGTGTTGGTATTTGTTTGGGCGGAGTTTGGGGTTGAGGTTGGCGGGGACGGCGCGCTCGCCGTGGGTGAGGAAGGGGATTAGTTGGGCGCTGGTTGTTGTGAGGAGGATCGAGGTTGTTAGGAGGGTTGTTGGTTTCATTGTGGCTGGTTGGGGAAATAGTTCGTTATCAAGGCAAGAACATGAACAGGAATGTGGTGTCGGATGACGGAGTGGGCCGTCTGTAACTTCCGCTTTCGGACATCAGAAGGAAAGCTCATCACGTGACAATGGTAAAGCTGGGATCCTGAGATTGAGTCCTTCAAGTGCATCCACGATCATGAGAGGTCGTTAACAGCACAACGAGATCGTCTGCCCTTACAGAACCGAACTGGTCATCGGACATGCTGCATCCACAAAAAGTCGCCCATCGTATGCTCCCAGAACCCATCCAAATCATCCCAGACTTACGTTTGCTGACCCTTCTCAAGATCCGCACCCCTCTCTTTCACAGAGACCCCAGCCTCCGCCGCCTTCTCATAATACTCCCTTACAGGCGTACTAGCATTCGACTCCGAGCCCGTCCTGCCATTCCCTGCCCCTGTGATGAACCCCAGCAGATCCATCGGCCGCTCTTTCAGGACCGTCCTCATCGTGCCGCGCATCTCCATCTTCCGGTGTTCGGGCGTGTTGAGGCCGTGAATTAGATCTTGCGACGCCGCCAGTGAGTATGCCATAAGGTCGACCGGGCGCAGTAGATTCCACGTATCCGACCCAAAGCCGAGCCGGTACGTCGCCATCGCCCAGCGGGCAGCGAGGGTATATGCGTTTAGCGCGATGAGCACGGAGAGCACGAGACCGATATAAGTCGTCGGAGTCCAGCTCATGCGAATAACGAATAGATGCGGATACATGGTCATCACAATGGGCTCATCCGTCACCCTTGCCCTCTGCATCGCAAGGTCGTAAGTCTGCTCCGACCAACTCGTCTGGATAAGATGGTAGACTTGATTCACGATCTGGTCGAAGCGCGACATGTTCGCAAACACATCCGAGCCCGCGCCGGTGGGAGGGTGGTCGTTGAAGAACGTCGAGTAGCCGTCCGGGCCGGAGATGACGGCTCCAGCGCCTTCGAGTGCATAAGGCAGGTCTTTGAAGCCGGAGAAGCCTTCGCCGCCGGCGGAGCGGCCGTTGGGACAGCGCTCTTCCGTGACGTTTGCCCGCAAAACGCCAGCGTTGAGAGTGAAGTCTACTTGTCGCCAGGAAGAGCCGAGGTTGTCTTGGTACTTGATCTGCGTCATCTCGCACCGCGCTGCGAAGTCGTAGGTAGAGCCCTCAGGGACGTCGGAGATGTCGGGGTCGGCGCCGTCGTACATGAGGCGATGGAGCAGGGTGGCATAACCGACCTTGTCCTTCCATGGGTCCGCGGCACCGATCATGGTGGTGAAGGGGTCTTCGGAGTACATCTGCGATACCATGACGCCCAGGCCTTGGTTGTCGATGCGCAATTTGGTGGCGCCGTAATTGTAGACGCCGTTGGGATAAGGCGAGGCAATTTTGTACAAACCGGTGTCCTGGGGGGTGTCTTCTCGGGTGTATTGGTTGTACTCGGAGACGTTGAGAGACTTGAACTTGACAAACTTGCCGTCGATGGACTCGCAGGTCGTGTGGTTGATGGGGACTTCAGTGCATTTGATCAGGTGAGGATCCAGGACTGGCAGGCAGTACCGACGGCGGGCATTCTCGAAAGGAATTGAAGCGACTTCGTCCGCGAAGTGCTTCATGGCGTAGTAAGGCAGGCCCATGGTTCCATTCCGTGGATCGAAGGTCACTCCAGCGATGGAGTAAGATTGGTACGTGACGAGTTGTGAGCTCATGGCGTGCAAAGCCAGCACGTACGTGCATTTGGGGCTGTTGATGTCGTCGGTACAAGGATCGACAACAACGCCATCGAACTTATATGGGATATCGATGCTGAGGGGGATGGCGACAGGTACTGGCTCGCCCTTGTCGGAGATGATGTCCTCGATAACGAACTGAGGTCTGTGAGCGTATGTTTTGATGTTAGGAAAGGGGATGAACATACGATGACGGACAGAACCGAATGGATGAATGCAAAGATGATCATGGCGGCAAAGTAGAACGCCACCAAGCGATAGACAGACTTGTTGCGGATGACGGGAAGGCCCATGGCCACCTTCGAGCCACTGGCGGCCTCAAAATGCACATGGAGGCGTGGGATCGTGAGTTCCTCATTGCGAAGTTCAGTCTTCGTTTCGGCTTCGTTGGTCAGACTAGGAGAAGGCGACGCTGTTAACGCACGCTTGTGTACGACATGCCAGGGTGCATGCTTACCGGCGGCAGTGGCTGAAGAGAATGCCGATGACTGTGGCCAGGATGGTGATAAGTAAGTTCACGACTTGCTGAACGTCCTTCTCGGTGTAGTTTGTAGTGTAGCGAGGAAGGGTAATTTGCGAGTAGGTGAGAGCAGCGAAGAGAAACAGCACAGCAGAGCAGATGCCTACTGCCAGCAGATGGGCAAAGGCATCTCGGGCAATGGCTGCGTTGAGGGTACTGAGCTTCATGTTGAAGGTCGTGAAAAGATGACTTATCTGGAGTTCTAAAACCTACCCGGCGTCTCTGAGGCGTCTTTTGAGGCGTCTTTATCTGCTTTGGAACCTGGGCAGTAGTCTCCCGTGCAGCATGGTGGTCCGACGTGACAGCTCATGTCGAGACAGCTTCAGACGGTCGGAAGCGAAGGAGCTCCTTTCAGAAGGCATTTGGTATCGATCGAACCGATCGAACCTATACAAGCGGCGAGAAGATGCATAAGCGATGCTGCAGCTCCCAACGTCTAGGCTGCATAGACGCAAGCCAGCCGTCTGTCAAGTGTCAAGCGGCGGCCGCCCACGTGGAAGCGGTGAGTAAGGTGCTGTCTAATCTGGCCCAAAGGAGACATGTCGCTGCGAGTGCTGTAGCTCGACTCGATAGTTGGCTAAGGCTGTGGGCCGATACGTCGGTACTGCAGGGCTGTTGTCGTCCGGACCATCGCCCTCTTGATATGGTCTCGCCATGTTCATGCACGGTAATCAGCTGTGCAGATAGCTTGCAGCTTGCTGACCTCGCGCTGGAGGACATGACTTGCCTGGACGGCGCGAAGGATGAGCGTGATATCTGGGGAGCGCATATTTGCCACCGTAGGCGTCGAGGTCGACCAGTATGGTGTGTATATGTAATAAAGAGTGGAGGTGAAGTCGAGAAGTGTGGGAGATGTGACTTCAGAGGGTTGCGGACTGTGATTGGCTGTGAATTCTTCCGCGCTAGTGTATGTTCAATTTTCACAAGTTCTGGAAGCGTTTTCCCTCGCCTTGCAGGCTCATGGGCACTTTGCAAGTCGGAGAAGGTGTCAAGACGCTCGCTGGCTCAGGCCCAGAGCTCGCCGTCGTGAATTCTGAGGATGTTGTTCTTCTCGAAGACAGCGACAACTCCGTAAGCCGATAAGACGGGCAAGTGTCGAGACTTTGCGTGACGGAGAAGCGGCGACACCGCCCGGCGGAAGATTTCGAGATGCCTCGACACTCTGGAAACTGCCGCGGCACAAGTTTGCCTCTTCCCCAAGAACGCAACCGCTCCTGCGCTGCTCAAGAGCTGCTCAATGTGTTGCCAAGCCGAGCGTCCACTAGCGTCCCGAGATATGGACCAATAGCATCGAGGCGCGTCTTCTAGACTCCGACTCCACCTCACCTAATCTCAGACTGTTTAGCTAATCCATCTTGTCTGAGGGAATGTATGCTACGGCGCGCCGCTTGAAGAGCAATGAACAGCAGAAGACTAGCTGTGTGGATGATCTAAGCCGACGATAGCACATCTTCGCCTTATCTTCGTCTCCTGTCGTCTAGCATTGGCAGCTCAACGTCGGCATCCAAGCAGTGATCGAGACTGATCCGGCAGAGAGGTCAATTAGGGACTGTACTACCATCAGTCTCCCCAGCCCGATATGGACCCTACCACATCCTACGGCGCCGTCAATGGCAACGGCAACCAGGAGCATACATCCAGCATCTCTCCCCCAGCCGGCGGCAAACGCCAGCGTGCGAAACGAGCATGTGAGCCATGTCGCCTTCGCAAACGCCGCTGCGACTCAAACCAGCCCTGCAATATGTGCGTGTCTTTTGATTATAGATGCTACTATGAGAAGCACCCTCGGAAACGAAGTAAGATTGTCGAGGCCAGCGCGGAGCAGGATCTGGACCGCCAACCGGACGCCTTTGAACAGCCACGACATGAGATGGCTCCTGAAGACAGGCCGAATTCTGAAGATGTATCTACCTTGAAATCCATGGAGGCGAACTCTGGTATTGCTTTCACCGGCCTGTTGGGACAACGCCTGGATCCTGCGCAGGGGAAGCGGCTGTTCACTTTTGGGTGGAACGTTGGAGGTGGACGAGATGAAGACGCAGAGAAGGATGATGTGAAAGGGATGATGGACGTAACCCACTATCTGAATCGAGAGGAAATGATTCGACTGGCCGACCTGTACTTCGAGAATGTCCACCCACTGTACGGCTTCGTGGACAGATCTTTCGTCACCGAACAGATCAACCTCCGCTGGTCGCCCCAACTCTCCACCACCAAAATACCTGACCACTTCTTCGCCAACATGGCAGCGGGCGGCAGCCTCTTCGCCCCGGCCACGCTATCCAACCCCACCACCATCCCCACGCTCTTCGAAGCCGCCAAACACAGTCTCGACCGCACCTCCCTCGTCCACCTCCCCACCCTCCTCGACGCCCAGTCCTGGCTCCTCCGCAGCATCTACCTCCGCGCCACCTTCCACCCCCACGTCGTCCACATGGCCTCCTGCACGACCCTGCACCTCGTCGAAGCCCTGGGCCTGCACCAAGAATCCCGCTCTACCCCCAACATCCCCTCCTCCACCACCTCGGCATCCCGCCACGACACCCCAGAACTCCGGCGTCGCACCTTCTGGATCGCTCGGATGCTAAACACATGGGTCTCCTTCGAATACGGCCGCACGCGCGTCCACCTGCGCGGCATCAACGCCCACCTCCCCACCCCGCAACCCGGCGACTTCACCACCGACTACATCCACCTCTACTCCCTCTCCTGCACGCTGGACCCGGAACACACGCCCGCCGCCTCCGGCGAGGGAAGCTGGGACGACTTCCTCCGCCACCTCGACGCCTACAACCCCCCGCACGACGCCATCGCGCTCTCCGTCTCCAACCTCGCCATGTGCGGGTACCGCCGTCTACGCTTGTCAAACCCCAACCTCTCTCCCGAAACCACCACGCGCGTCATCAAACTCGGGCTCTCGGGCGTCGAAGCCGCGCGCCGCATGAGCAAGAAGGGCATGCCGTGGTGGCACGTCGGGAACGTGCCGTTCCAAGTCGTCTGTGTGTTTCTGGCGATGGATGTGCGGGAGTCGCTTGCGCGGGTCGGGGAGGCGTTGAAGGTGTTGGAGGAGGTGAGGGGGCGGTTTGGGACGAAAGCTTTAGGCGAAGCCGTTCGCACGGCGAGGGTGCTGGTGCGTTTGAGTAAGAAGCGGAAGGATGAGGATTCCGATGTCCTCAGCCGTAGCTTGATCAAAGAGCGAGGTGATGCCAACGCTAATGCGAATGGTGGTGCGCATCTTCCAGAGCCGAAAGCAGAGGACGCGGGTATGATGAACGAAGGAGGCGGCATGGACGTCCCGTTCGAGGAGAACCCGACGACAGGCTCGAGTGGGGACGATTGGAGCTGGGATGTGCTGAACAACGCGGACTTGGACTGGAACTTCTTCTTGACGGCGGATATGCCGGCGTTTGAGGGGTTTGTCGCGCCGGATGGGTTGATGTAGCATATATATCGTTCGTGCAATTGTTAATTGCCTTTTGCGGATTGTACAGCAATACGATATCGGAAGGATATTTGACAGTTCGTTGGCTACATGGCTATCACAGCTCATCCCTCTTCCTCCTACTACCACCCGCATTCTCGTCCTGCCTCCTCCGCTCCGCCTCCCTCGCATCCTCAACATCAGCCTCAAACATCTTCTTCTTCGGATTCGCCGGCTCCTCACGCTCCTTCAACACCGTTCCATCCGCTCTTCTAACCTTCCCATCATCCTCTTCACCCACCCTACCTTCAGCTTTCCCCCTACTCTCCTCCGCCATCTGTCCGATATTCTCACTCATTCTGCCTTCCAACCCCTCCTTCCCCCTCTTCGCTCCCTGCCCGCCGCTCCCAGCAGGGACGTGCGCACCTGACATTCCCTCGGGGAACTTCGGCTGACTGCCACGTTTAGCGGACGGCTGGACGATCAACGGTGGTCTCGTTGTTCCGCTGATACCTTGTCGGGCACTGCTCACAGCAGCCGTCCCAGCAGCACTACCTCCCAACAAGCCGGTAATGCTCAAGAGCACCGAAATCGGCGGCCACAAAAACCAGTTGAAGAAGAACCTCGGCAGCAGGAAAAACGGTCCCCAAAGCAGTCGTCTAAAGACCAACCAGCCAAGCGTAGCGAGTAGGATGTAAAACGCTGTCTCCAGGTACCACGTATCGCTCTTCTGACTCCGCAGTAGCGTGCCGAGGAGATTCCTACTCGCGGCCAACACGGAGTCGAGATCTGAGTACTTCTCGCCAAGATCTGCTAGCGCTTGTGTGGACTGGTCGAACGTCTCTTGCGCGAAGCGCGAGCGGGAGAGCTCGGTCGTTAGCAGTGCGTGCGTGCGGCGGAGCGCGGAGGTGACGGTTTGGGAGGCGTCGAGTTCGAGGTCCTGTTTTGATAACTGTTTCTGGCTTTGGTTCTGATTGGGCCCGCGACGGCGGGCGGAGAAGAGGTCCGGGGTGTTTCTGCCGCTGCTACTGCCGTTGGAAGTGGGTTCGGGAGGGGGTTGGTTGAGCGAGGCGAAGACGAGTTGGCGCTCTGTTTGCTTTGCGGTCTCGGCGGCGCGTTTGGCGGTTAATTGGGCTTTGCGGAAATGTTGGCGTGAACGACGGAGGTCTTCTCCTAATCTGGTGACCTGGGCGGATAGGCGTGCTTTCTCCCTCTCCCGGTCTGTAGACTGCCGACGCGCGGAGACGGGGGCGGGGGTGTTGAGGTCGTCGGCTTCGGTGGAGAGGAGCTCGAGGTCCTCTTCTAGCTGGGCGAGGGCGTCGTGGATGTCTTGGGCGAGCTCGAGGCGGACGGTGTTGGGGTTGTTGTTGTTGGAGTCGGTGGCGAGGGGCTCGCTGCCGGGTTGGAAGGAGAGTTTGGCGAGGCGCGTGATGAGGCTGTTGGTTTGCTTGAGCGTGTCGGCGAGGGTGGAGAGTTGGGTGGTGAGGGTGGTGGGAGAGGTGGGGTTGTTCATTGTTGGCATGCAAGAGGATGACGTAGGGGGAGGGGATTTGGTGTTGTTGTTGTTCGCCGTCCAGGCCGGGTGGACAGATGTCAGTCGTCGTTCGTTAATTCGTCCTATCCATCGTCCGTAACTTGTCAATCATCCAACTCATATCGAAGCAGTATTTCCATCTTGAAACGTGGCGCATCGGCCATTGAAAGTCAAGCGAGACCCTGCTTCTCCACCCACGCGATGCGGCTCCGCCATCTGCAGAATCTAACCAAATATTGATTAGGGCGCTGCACATTGATTGAGCTTGTCAAACCTCCAGCTGGCAATATCACATGTCAGACGACTCCACTCCTACTACAGTCTGACAAGGCATTGAGGGTATAACATCTGTCGCAGAGACAGCAGACAACCCATTGGCCATGATACCACCCCATTGAACCACCACACAACCTCTTCCAACGACAACACCACCCCATACACCCTCCTAGTCGTCGACATGTCCCTCACCATGCCCGCCAAATCGCGCTTCGGCCGCCTGGACGCCTTCACCAAGACCGTCGAGGACGCCCGCATCCGCACCACCTCTGGCGGCATCGTCACCCTCGCCAGCGTCCTGCTCATCCTCATCCTCACCTGGAGCGAATACGCCGATTACCGCCGCCTGATCATCAAGCCCGAACTCATCGTTGACAAAGGCCGCGGCGAGAAGATGGAGATCCACATGAACATCTCCTTCCCCCGCATGCCCTGCGAGCTGTTGACACTAGACGTCATGGACGTGTCGGGAGAAGTACAGAGCGGCGTCATGCACGGCGTGAACAAAGTGCGACTCCAGAGTGAAAGCGACGGGGGGCGGGAAATCGAAACCAAAGCCCTCGACCTCCACGAAGAAGGCGGTCCGCATCTCAATCCCGACTACTGCGGCGAATGCTACGGCGCGCCCGCCCCTTCCAACGCCGCCAAACCCGGCTGCTGCAACACTTGCGCTGAAGTGCGGGACGCCTACGCCAGCGTCTCGTGGTCCTTCGGCCGCGGAGAGGGCGTCGAGCAATGCCAACGCGAACACTACAGCGAGCACCTCGACGAGCAGCGGCGAGAGGGGTGTAGGATCGAAGGCGGCATTCGCGTGAATAAAGTTATTGGCAACTTCCACTTTGCGCCGGGCAAGTCCTTTTCAAATGGGAACATGCACGTCCACGACCTGGACAACTACTTCAACTCTAACGGCGTGGAGCACACCTTCACGCATAAGATCCACCACCTCCGCTTCGGGCCTGAACTGCCAAAATCCGTCGTCGAGAAGGTCGGCAAAAAAGGCATGGCGTGGTCGAACCACCACCTCAACCCCTTGGACGACACGGAGCAGAAAACGGACGAGAAGCCGTTTAATTTCATGTACTTTGTCAAAGTCGTGTCGACCGCTTACTTACCCCTGGGTTGGGAGAGGACGGGCAGTATCCTGGATATCCCGCATGAGCTCGTCGAGCTCGGGGGGTACGGACAGGGTGATGATGGCGGGAGTATCGAGACGCATCAGTATTCCGTTACTTCTCATAAGCGCAGCTTGACTGGTGGCGATGCGGAACAAGAGGGGCATAAAGAGCGCTTGCATGCGCGGGGCGGGATCCCGGGGGTGTTTTTCTCTTATGTACCTTCCCCTATAACCCCTCCTTCACTTCCCTTTATGTGGTACTGTGCTGATATACAGCAGGACATCTCCCCCATGAAAGTCATCAACCGCGAAGCGCGCGCAAAGTCCTTCTCCGCCTTTCTCGTCGGCGTGTGTGCGGTCGTGGGCGGGACGTTGACGGTGGCGGCTGCCGTGGATCGGGTGTTGTATGAGGGCAACCAGCGGATACGGAAGATGCATACGAGCTGAAAGCTAGAGAGATAAGGGATGATGTGTTTGTGTGCATGGCGAGGCGTTGGGTGTTTTAGAAGGTGCGGATGTCTGGGCATGGCAGGCAGCCTTGTGAGGTGATGTATGAAAGACCACTAACTTGCTCACACTCACACTTTCTGAGACTTCCGTGCTGAGGTGAGGGACGTTGGACGAATGAGGAGAGAGACTGGAGGTTGGTAGGTGAGTATCAGGATATGCGCGTGACCGGTAGGTGTCATGTGAAGCTCTATCTTCACTTGCGACTTCACATTATTTCCTCACATCACGTATCCTTTCAGATATCTTCACCGTCCGCATCTTCCTCAAACTTTCATCCTCGACATCCACATCTTTCTCCACCATCCACCACCCACCACATACCAACATCCATCATCCATCATCCATCCTCAAATCATCTCCCCTACCCACCACATACTACCACACCACCAACTCCCCAACCACCAAGATGTCCACCTTCACCGCCCGCATGAAATCCGTCGTCTCGGAGACCGAACTCCTCCGCTTCGCCAGCTGCTTCTTCCACTCCGAAGCCGGCGTCATCAACTGGGACGCCGCGGCCGCCGCGTACGACCCGGACGTCAAAGTCGCGAGTTTCAAGACGGTGACGATGAAGGCGCTGAATCGGGCGAAGAAGGCTGTTGCTGAGGGTGCTTCACCGACCAAGGCGGCTGCGAATGGTGGTGAGGGCGAGGAAGGGGGGAAGAAGAAGAAGGCCGCCGGGAAGCGTAAAGCGGATTCCGAGGCGGGGGGCAAGAAGGGCGGGAAGAAGGTGAAGAGTGAGAAGGGAGGGAAGGCTGGGGGGTTTACTGCGGTTAATGGGGAGGATGCCGATGAGGGCGAGGAGGGTGAGGGTGAGTTCTTTCACATGTTTGCGAGCAGATCTTTTTCTTCCTTTCTTTTCTTTGGGGAACGGCGATGCTGACTTTTCGTGATGTGGTGTAGGGTCTGCTGCTTCTGCTTCTGCTACCGGCGATGGAGAGGGGAATGAGGAGACGGCTGTGAAGGCTGAAGATGAGGGGGAGGAGTAGAGGAGTGCATCGGTTCATGGCGAAGGAGGTGATTTGTGGTATGGTGTGGAATCGGCATTCGATGGATGTGTCGTTCGGGCGGGCGATCATGCTGGGGGATCTTCACCACAGCTGGAAATGATGGGACGAGTTCCGGCTATGGTGTGAAGGCCGACCGCCCGGAATGCTGTTATCACCAATGTCATTGAGCTCAGTGCAAACAACATCACAAATCTTGCTCTCACGCTTCGCGTAACCTCACCTCGCCAGCCCAGAGAGCGATTGGCAATTAACACGTAAATCTAGCTGGCCAGAGAAACAGCCATCTCACGGTCATGTGCACAACGAGATACAAAACTGCTCATCCTACTCACGTACAAAGACTCCAGTTCCTACCCCCTCCCAATCAACCAAAAATACCATCCCCCAGCCGGCACCACTACCACCACCAAATCCAGCCCAAACTCCCACCCCACCCTCCTTACCCTCTCCTTCCACCCCCAAGGCGTCCGCGTCCGCTGCCGCCACTTCCACTTCGCCTGACTATCGTCCTCCTCTCCGGCTCCATCCACCCCGTCAACACCCACAATCGACTCCTCGTCCGACTCCTCGTCCGCAGGGTCGATCCACTTCACCGCGGGGAAGAAGCCGGCTTTGTCGATCAAGCCGCCGGTGGGTTGGGATTTGCTGGGTTGAGGGTTGGTGGTGTAGGACCCCGGGCTGACGCTGCGGGCGCGCGCGGTGGTGTTGCGCTGGACGCTGGGGTTGGCGGTGTCGGGGTTGGTGGTGCTATGGGAGGAGGTGGAGGAGGTGCCGCGTTGGTGGGTGGGGGAGGCGGGGGCGAGGCTGCCGTTCGTGAATTGGAAGCGGGGGAGTGGTGATTTGCTGTCTGTGTCCGAGGGTGGAGCATCGAGGCGGCTGGATTCAGATGATGTGCGGAAGATGCGGAGGATGGATTGGGTGAGGAGGAGGGGGAAGGTGATTAGGAAGAGAAGGCCGTAGTTGATGAAGATGCTGAGTTGGTCGGGGAGGAGGCAGTTGTGGATTTGGATCGTGGGGAGTGGTGTGCCAATCGTCTTGCCTTGAGCGTCGACTGGATTCCAGAGGCTGACAAGCAGGAAGCCGGGTTTTCGGACGCCCATGGCCCAGCTGAAGCTCTTGACGGTAATCTCTTTGATCTGCTGGTAGCGGGCTTTCAGGCTGTCATCATTCGGGAAGTAGGACTTTGTGCCAGGCTGCGGGACATTATACCGATGCGTGACGTCGCAGTAATCGTGGTCGTCGCCCGAGAAGACCTGGATAATGTCGCCGGCTGCTGAGACTTTGTGGACGATGTCTTTCGATAGTGTTTGGGTAACGACATTCTGGTACTGGTAGCCGAACTGCACTTTGATCGAATTCCCTCTCTCCCGCATGGGGCCACAGTCGGTGTCTGGGTTTCGGAAGAGCGGTACATGCGTCAGCAAGATGACGGGCAGGTGAGGCCTCTTCTTCGCGGCCTCGTTGACAGCCTTATGTGCTGCGATCTTTTCTGCATCCTCTGGGTCCACCACCTCGTGACTCCAGCCTTTTGGTCTGCTCTCCGGGAAGTACTCATGCAAGGCATCACTGACTGCTTTCCCAACTGGTTGATCTATATTGTCGAGATAATCCCAGGTAGGTTGCCAGATATGGTCGAGCTGTTCGGACTGCGCCGCCTCACTCTCCCAGCCAGATTTTAAATATTGGCTATGTGCCGAAAGGGACGGCGAGTCGATGCTGATGATCGTGTGATTACCGACAACATCGACGCGATTGCTGGCTCCAAAATGGCTCTCGAAGCGCTCCCGAACAGACAGCTGTACACCAGCTCCGAAACCGACATCATGATTCCCAGGCAAACTCGCTACAACCTTTCGTGACTTGCCGCCTGATGTAGCATACTCCTGCCACGACTCTCCAGTGGCGCCATTCGCAACACTCGTCGCATCCGCTGCCACGTCGTACGCCGCCAGCATCTGTCGGTGCGAGTCCGGATACACCTGCGCTGGATCGTAGAAGATCTTCGCAAACCGATCGAGATCGATATACCACTGCTTGCTCCCGTACTTCGCAAACTTCCCATAGCCACCCGGTATGAATGCCTTCAGATCCTCGCCGTTCTTGCCAATGTTGTGATCTTCCTTTAGCATAGAGTTGGCATGCGGCTTCGAAAGTGCTGCCCCCATACTACGCTTCTTCACTGCCTTCGGCTCCAGGACTCCCTGCTCCTCCATGTACTTCCTCCCCGTCTTGTCCACGATCCTAGCATTCTCCGGCGGCCATTCTCTTCCTCCGTCAAATAAATCGCCGAGGAAGAATATGCTGTCCGGGTCGAAGTTTGCGTTGATTAGCCGGAAGTTGCGCATCATATACAGGTCGGTATACCGCTCTGTCATCGTCGAGAGCGGCCATGGTCGTCCAGGGTAGGTGTGTGGATCGACGAGCTGTGGGTCAGCGATGAGCACGAGATGGTGTGGACTCGCTTCTTGAGGCCATTCTTCCCACTTCTCCCATGCGCATGCTTCGACGCTGCTATGGTATACCGAGCGCTCGCCCCAGTAGATTGCGTAGATCCATATCAGGGACAGCAAGGTTGTCGTAATCGACACATGGCGGAGGATTGGGGCGCGGTAGGAGAGTCGGCGGAACTGCTGTTGTATCACATGCTGCAGGCGCATCATCGGGGAAGAGTGGTGGGTTCGGAGTGTCTTGCTGTCGCTATGCACATGGCCGCGATGGTATTGAAGTGTTCAAGGAGTCTAGACCCATTGAAGTGACGATCAGAGTTACCTGATCGAGACCCGGCCACGCGGTCTTGGGTGCGGGAGGATGAGCTTATCTTGACCAGACCTGCAGGGGCATTGATTGAGATATTGATTAGAAACATGCGAGAGTAACAGAGGCTATCTGAACAAGTACGACCCTGTATTGAAAGACCTCCACTATAGCATCTGCCAGCCTACCATGGCGGTTGGAGATAGCATAGGCCTCAGCATCCGCCCAAGATGAAGCAAAGCACACAGATACGATCCCTTGCGATCACAACTCAAGCACCGTCCTCCCTCACCGCAGCCACGCATGTATGTGAAGCACAAGAAGCGCTTGTGAACCTGTATCGTTTGAAAACAGTCAGTCTCTGGTCTCAGAATGATGCGTGCTTTTCTTGTATGGTGTTGAAAGTGATTCCAGTCAGACTCCCTTTTGTAAGCAGCGTTACTGGAGGCATTTGTCGATACCAACCAGACCTCTTACGGCTCTTCCTAAAGCTTTTTGGGCGGATATCCATCATGTTGTGGAATTTGTGGTTGATGGGGTTGGAGGGGGAAGGAGGATACGTACAGTAGGATCATAGCTTCGAAATCTTACGGGCTCTTTCGAAATCCTTGTCGTCTACACAAATCCATGCCACCAGACCGTGCGCAGGAGCGGTGTTGGCTGCATATCCTGAGATATTGTCTTCATGTCGTGTTGAGAATGCTCTTCTCGCTGTTCCGCAGAGAGAAATTTGAGCAGCAAGACTAAAGTCGTGGTTGCGAATAGTTGTGGTCGTCAAAGGCTTCCCAACGAGCGAGTCTTCTCCAGTGGATCTTCTTCTCTCAGAAACTCACTCTAGTTCATGCGATGACTGCGGCCAGGTGTCTGGATGCTCTGGGTAATATGGTTCGATCCGCATTGACCTAGAGTGGCTGCGGTACACAGTACCAGTCTCTTCCTTCCATACCCGCGGCTTCCGCCATCCAATCTCCCTCTCCCAGCAAAGCCACACGCATTTGCGGACATTCTCTACCCTTGGAGTCGAATCATCTTTCCATTCGCCATCCGACATTCGTATCTTCAAAGTTGTCAACCCTACGATGGTTTGTGAGGTACTCGAAGTCCTCTAGGAGCAGATCCTCATGAGGTGAGTTTGGCCAAGTGTCTGTCGGTTTCCAGTAATGCCCTCCCTCCACTTCGATGTGGATGCGGAGTGCAATCAAGCTAGGCAGCTCTTTCGTCCAGGTTGGAACGTCCAGCTCAAATCTTGAGACGCACGAAGCGACAGGACAAGAGGGTTCGGGAACTTTGGGCTCGAGGCACAACTCACGGAGCGATAGCTCGAGCACGGTAATGGCATTCGAGATACGCTGGGGAATGGCTTCAATAGCCCAGGAGATCTCTTCCTGACCGTAAGCCAAGGATCCGTCGGTGGGCAGGTCGAGTTGCAGAGTTCTCGGCTCGCTGATGCAGTATTCTGCCTCTGCTTTGAATTGAGGACTGACAAGACGAGCGTTGAAGTTGAGAGCGGTCACAGTTCTGCTGCCTCAGGCGTGGCGTCTCTCTCCAACTGATCTTGCACTGGTCAGCATGCTTGCTTTCGAACGACGACTTTCATCACATACCGATGTCGACATCTTCGTACAGGTATCCATAGAACAAGTCTCGCAGCTCCCTTGGCAATTTAAAGAACGGGAAGACGCCTCCGTCAGCTGGCGAAGCGGACGTCATGGCCAGTGGTGATGTGGTTGGGGGGAAGGAGAATGTGGCAGTGAGAAGAGGCTTTGAACGTGTCAGCTTCGGGTCGCGCTTGTCAACTTGACGTCATGGCAACCTGAAGGCAAGAGACATGTGATTTCACGAGATCCATTCAAGGTTTCCGAGTTCTGGTAAGATGCCCTCTCCTTACGCTACCAAGTGTCAAGTAGCACTGAAAGGCCGCTGACCCGGCAATATCTCCCAGGCCGATACTGAAATCCGGCACGTTCGTCCTCCAGCCCGTTGGCTCGCTGTCCCTTCGTCCCATCGAGAGACCTGCAAGCTGCATCAACGATTCTCCCATCTCGATGCCCTTGCCGGCAGCTTCTTATCCGAGATCGTCGACCCTCGCCTCATCCGCAGGCGCAGCTGGGACGCTTGCTTCTGCCGCACACCATCCACCCTCGGCATCCCATCTGACGTAAGTCTCACAGAGCTGGAAAACTCGACCCCACTGCTTGTGTACTTCCAGAGATGTGAGCCCCTCGACTTGCACAACCTTTTCTAGAGCGCTCCGGAATCTGGAGCCGTGAGGGGTCCTTGGCCATGCGTCCCGCCACCGCGCCCAGGTCCAGTTGATGGTGAACGAGACATGCATCTTCTTTGAAGTCGGGATTCGACGAGGGAGGTTCTCCAGCCAGTACGTGCACTCTTCGATGAAGGAGCTAGTGTTGCATGACCAGAAGCCACCGAAACATTTCTAATCACAGATCAAGTTGGCTGTGAAAGTAACCTCGCTGACACGCTCTGCGATCGACGGACACAACTGCATCGCCCATGGCTCGAAGAGCTCCGGGTCGGTGAGACGCACGCACAGGGAGAGGCGTTTCTTCTTGAGGAGCGGCTCGATCTTGTCCTTGAACTGACGACTGACAAGGCGCAGCGTGGGAGCATACGTGTGCAGGCTGGTTTCGATGCCACGACACGGATTCGCCGTCTTGCCTACGAAGCGGTTAGAATCGTGCACCATCTGCGCTTCGTTTGGGTTACTCACTCAGCTTGATGTTTTCAGCGGCCTGTTTTAGAATCTCATCTCGAAGCTCCCGCGGCAGTTTGAAGAAGCGAAACGGCTTCCCATCAAGCCTCCCGTCCTTGGAGTCGGCCATGGCTTATGTGGAGAGGTTCGGCGCCTAGACGTCGAAAGATTGAAGACGGAGGTGAAATCAAGCACAGTAGCCTTGGTTCAATGATCTATGCAAGAGCGGCCCGCACTAAAGAATGACGTTTGGCCACAACAGGAAGGAGTGGTGGTCACACGTGCCGAGTCTATGCAGCCTTCCGTTTCACGAATCCAGGTGGACGTTCCTTTCGCATGCAGACCTGTCTAAGCACCGACGACCGTTTCGTCGATCATGACACACAGAGAGACTCGATTCAAGCTGCTGTGGAAACACGGCGTACTCGAGAGCTCACTTTCAGCGGACTCGCAGCCACTTCAGTATTCCATAGACGCTCTCACGCTAACGACGTCGCCCCGCTCGGATCGCACCACCACTCCGAAGGGACATACACTCGCTCTCTCTGACGCATATGATCCACGGAGGACGGCCCTCTTCCTGCCCTGAATGGCTTCTACGCACCTCGAGAGACCTGACGACGTCCACGAAGTCCATTAACGCGACCTGCAACGAGCTCAACCTCTCCTCTTGGCTCATTACTGACATATCTCTATACCACGGCAGTCGGCCGTCAGGCGACGTAGAAGAAGAAGTGGCAGTCACGTTCTGGCTTCTCCGTGACACTATCGCCAACAATGAAGTCTCCTGATAGGCGATGCTGTTCTTGCTGTCTCCCAGAGCTATTTTGTCCCTCCTATCTTGGAGAGCTATACTATCCGCCTATTATTCCTCGCCTCTTCTCCGCGAAACGATCTCCTACCCAGAGGTTTTTAAACACACTTTCCTGATAATCTAGACTGCGGAGACTGCCACTTCTTGCACTACGCCGCCTGCCGTGTTCCGGCAGCGGAGGAGGAGCAGGGGCTTCAGCAGGGCGTCGTGGACCGCAGTTCTCGCAGAAGCGCATCATCGTCACATGCATCGGTAGTTCACCGGCCCTCTCCGCAATGAACTTCTGTGTCGAGAGTTTGAAACGTCGCAAAATGCTCGGGCTAGCCCAGCATCTGTTGTTGTCGATGCTGAACGGTACTTCGTCCGCAGTCTCACGGATCCACGGGTGTAGGTCATGGGATCCATCGGAACACGGACACCGCCGGGGTATAACAACATCGAGGTCCAGCACGATACGGGCCCTGCTGACGAACTCGTCGACTTCGTCTCGGAACTGGCGACTGACAAGTCGAAGGCTTGGAGGAACGATGCTTGCCACTGTAGGGGCGTGCTAGCAGAGATGGCCCTTACAACCTGGCGCCTGTTAGATAGAATGTAGCTTGATAGTTCGGCAGAGGAATGTCGCAACAGTTCTTCATAACTTGGTCTTTCAATCCTTGCAGTACCTCCCTCGCTTGCTTTCACTCATGGTACTTCTTAAGAAAAGGTCACACAATGAGCTAGATGGAACAACGATCGATGACTGAAAATTTTAGGCATGGTGAAGCGCTATCTTGTGATACAGCAATACTGAATCACGGCATCAGATGAGCCCAACTGCAAGGCTGATATCCGACAACATCAAGCAGCAATGCACAGTGAGTCCTGGCGACTTAATCCCCGAGCATCCATTCCACTCCAGTCCTGTCTGCTTTCGTCCAGCATGTACTTGGTTTGCCACCCACTTGCAGACTTCGCTCGTCTTCTTGCCTCCGAAATTTTCACCCCTGATTCCCAACGTCTTCCGTGCCCTGATGCGCCTCAGTCTGATTGACGACCCATCCAGGCCCCCGGCTCCACTTCAACCAAGACACGCACTCGCCACCGCATTTTCTGTCTATGCGCAAAGTGAGCGGCCTTGTTGTCTTCGTGATTCCTATTCTCTCGAGGGTCGACACCAGCTCGTCGCGATTCACCTTCTCCGGCCACGCATCATGTGACTTGCACTCGTACGCCATCACGGTGACGGATAGGTGCGCCGTCGCGGAGAGTGGCATTTTGTTCGTGAGTCCAAAGGCGACGTCCATGCCTTCGATGACGGTATTGGCAAAGCGCCTCGCGTCCACAAACGAATGGCATAGCTGGCACGTATTTGCTTTGACCACGGTCCCGGCCTTGACCTCCTGAATGTTCTTTAAGAGCCAAGGGTGATACTGCAACATGTCTGCGGTGCGGTAGGTCATGCCTCCGCCTTCCAGGTGCAGCGTCGCGCAGAGCTTTGGTGTGATCCAATCGACCTCGTTTTGGAATTGCTTGTTGACACGGCGTAGAGCGGGAGCGATGGTCCAGACTTTGGCGCCGACTGTCCAGAGCCTGTTGCTGCGTCTGCCTGCCAAGATGTCAGTATGATGTCGCACTCCAAGCCGACCCCTTTTGAGGCTTGCGCCACTCACTGAGTCTGACGTCGGACTGCACCATTGTGTAAACGATATCGCGAAGTTCGCGTGGTAAGTCGAAGAACCGAAACGGTTCCCGCTTCCTCGTGAGCCAATGTGTCGCCATGTTGAAGTTGAGGGTGAGCTGAGCTGTTGCTGTGACGTGAAAGGAGTTTTGAAAAGCTATGTGTGTACCTGAGCGTTTCCGAGCCAGATGCGGTAACCGGGTCGAGCGTCACATGCAGATAGGAGACCGAAGACGAATCGTTATAAGTGCAGGTTTGATACCTTAGTGAAAACAGCTCGCCTCTCCTTGAGCGGTGTACCAAACCTAACGTCAGGTTGTTGAACCTGCGCATCTTTCGAACCCTCACTGCTCAGCTGAGATCTCTTCCGTCGCCTCCTCAGCCTCCGGAGCATACCACCCATGCCCTCGGTCCCAGCTCACCCACAAAACTCTTTCCAAGTTCCACCAAGCAGCCGCCAGCATCTTACGTACTTGGAGAGATGTGAGTCCATCGATCTCAATGAAGCGATCCAAGGCCGGCTGCAGTAGCCCATGGTGACAATCAACCGGGTGAGCCAGGCCCATGTGTTCCCGCGGAAAGCCAACGTCGAGAGTGACGTGCACCTCCCTGAATTCCGGATGTTGCTTGATCATCGTGACAGTCCAGCTCATCGCGAGCCCAATTCCCTCGGCACAAGGACAGTGCCACGGCCTGCAGGTGATGCTGTCGCCGTCGGAAAAGTATGTGAGGTAGACGGTGTCGATCGACTGTTGGAGTGGCATGGGAAGTTGGATAGTCGGATTCGTTAAATGAGACCCGAGAAGGCGTGCGATCTCCACACCTTGACCTCGCCTGGAAGCGGCTTGGTCGTATTCATCCTTGAACTGGCGACTGACGAGTCGTGGAGTAGGTTTTAGAGTGTGCACCACAACCACATCGCGATTTCGGACTATGGACTCGTTAGCTTTTGTGCCTGTGTATAGATCTACGCTGCGCGGAGGGCGACATACGTAACCTGAACCGCTCTTTGCAGAGTTCGTAGATGTAGTCTCTAATCTCCTTTGGTGCGTCGAAGAAACGGAAGGGCGGCGGTGGTGGAGAGTCGTGTTGGCCATCTTCACCAGCCTCCTCCCTAGCAGTTCCCGCAATCCTTTTCAAGGGCGAGAATCGCAGCGGCGGTTGAAAGCCGTAATCGAACTCATCGTCTTCATTGGTAGTGATCCCAGTCATGCTGGTCATTGAGGTTGTTGGATCCAAACTCGGCGAGAATATTGAAATGGGCTTCGAAGCTCGTTTCATGAGGCTAGCGGCGGCAGCGTCCGTGCGTTACCACAGGTCACGCGGAAGCAATCTTGACAATATGCTCCAGCCTCACTTGTGTAGGTAGGTCAAGGGGAAGTCGAGCAGGAAGAGCGTTGGTTCCGGACAAGCACCAGAGAGCAGGATGTCGAGGCTCCGGGCTGTGGGTAGCCGGAGGTGCTCCAGGACGCAAACAAGAGTTGATAGCCAGAGACGTGCCGTGAGGCAGCTGCGGTGATGGATATGAATTTGAGGTCTATGTAAACATCACACAGCGCTTTGCAATATGTACAATGCTTCAGAACGCCACGACAACACCAGGAACTCCGGCTTCTGTCAGCTACCAATACTCACTAGACATGGCCGTGCACGTCACCATGTCTCGCTGTACATCTTCGGATGACTGCTTCGGTGCCAACGGTCTTTCACCGCTGGCACCAGTTCATAGTGAGTCTTTCACTTCAACATCTTTTGTTGTTGCAGCCAGCTTTATCTGTCTACTTCTCCAAAAACGAGGTCCTGTCAATCCGTTAGAAAAGGCTCAAGAAGTTGTGAATGGGACGCTGGACATACCATCGTGCCAATGATTGCCACCGCATCGGCCAGCAGATGGCCCCTTGACACCTGATCGAAGCAAGCCAAATGTGCGAACCCTGGCGCACGGATCTTGCACCTGTAAGGCCTCTCACTGCCGTCACTGACCACGAACACACCCATCTCGCCCTTGGGTGCCTCGATCGCAGAGTAGGTCTCGCCAGGCGGAACAGTGTAACCCTTGCTGAAAAGCAAAAAGTGGTGGATCAGCGCCTCCATGTTTTCCTTCATGGCTGCACGCGGTGGCGGTGCGATCTTGTAGTCCTCGACCTTGACTGGCCCCGCGGTGATCTTGTTCAGGCATTGGTGGATAATGCGGAGCGACTGTCGGAACTCTTCCATGCGGCAGAGGTATCGATCGTAGCAGTCTCCATTGACGCCCACGGGCACATCAAACTCGACTTGATCGTAAGCGTCGTAAGGTTGAGACTTGCGAATGTCCCATGGTACACCGGAGCCACGAAGCATGACACCGGAGAAGGACATGTTGAGGGCCTCAGCTGCGCTCACAACACCAACACCCTTAGTTCGTCCGATCCAGATACGGTTGTCGGTGAGAAGCTCTTCGGTCTCGTCGATGCGATCCCCGAATTGGGTGGCCCACTGGTAGATGTCGTCGAGAAGGCCGAGAGGAAGGTCGGAAGCAACGCCACCCGGTCGCACATAAGCAGCGTGAAGTCGTGCACCAGAGACACGCTCGTAGAACTCCTGTTCAGTAGTTAGCACTGTCGTTGGCATTGCTCTAGGGTGAATGATAAACCATTAGCTTCTCTCGCTCCTCGAAGCCCCACAAGAAGGGTGTGAGAGCACCAACATCCATGGCGTGACTCAACACACTCATGAGGTGGTTCAATATCCGGGTGATTTCGCCAAACAGTGTCCGGATCCATTTCGCCCGCTCCGGTATTTCGATATTCAGCAGCTTCTCCACTGCCAAACTGAAGCATTGCTCGTTTGTCATCATGCTCACGTAGTCCAGACGGTCGAAGTAAGGTAGGGCCTGCAGATATGTCTTGTACTCGATCAACTTCTCTGTTCCTCTGTGCAACAGACCAACGTGCGGGTCCGCCCGCACGATTTCCTCGCCATTGAGCTCCAAAATCAATCGCAACACGCCGTGTGCGGCTGGATGTTGCGGGCCAAAGTTGACTGTGTAGTGTCGAATCTTGCGCTCCTCTGGGTTGTCGCCCTTGTCCCGAGCAAGGTTTAGATATTGCGGGTCGTTGGGGTCGACTGGGTGGCCAAATGCTGGATCGACCGGAATCAGGCGTGTGCCCTGGTGAGGCATTGTGGGCGCATCGCGGAAGGGCTGTGCTGGTTCAGGTGCCGGCGCTGCTTGTCGTCTTGTAGGCGTCGTCGACAGACTTCGGAGCGAGGATGTGACGGGGAAGGGTCGTTGGCGAAGGCACACCCGTTTGGCGCTGGTGCCAAAGGCCAGGCGAGTGAAGGGTGCTGCCATGGTGGCTGAGGTGATGACGGCGTTGATGGAGAAAGAAAACACAAGGAGTGGAGAGGATCTGAAATCGCAAAGGTCGTTCGGCGCTGAAGCGGGAGTCTTGATGTCGTCGACGACGATGTCTCGGTTAGGGTTCGTGCCGAGCTCGCCTAAGTTGCCTCAAGCGATTAGCACATATCAAAACTTTGAATCTTTGATGAAGTGAACTTCTTCACCAGAACATGAATCCACGATAGCAACAATGGAAGGGCGGTTTCCACCAAGCAACCCTTGGGCACCGCTGACGGCCGAAGAACTCGAAGCGCGCAAGGTCGTCAACGTGAACGCCGAGACTGTGACCAACACCGCTGCCACCGACATACCCGGACACTGGGGCCCCGAGCAGGACGACAGCTGGAACCTGGGCCGCTTTCGCGACAATCTCCGGATCGACTTTCACCAGAACAAACCACACGATGCGGCATTCTCTCTAGTTGGCGTCGATGCGTCCATCGCCAACGCCTTCCGGAGAATCTTGATCGCCGAGATACCTACCCTGGCGATCGAAGAAGTCTTCATGTTCAACAACACCAGCATCATCCAGGACGAAGTACTTGCGCATCGCCTCGGTCTCATCCCTCTGACGGGCGGTGAAAAGGGTTTGAAGTGGCTGCGCTCGTTCCGGAAGCCGCCTCCGAAGGACGACTTTGCCGCGCAAGCCGCTCACAACGACGACGGAGAGCCGAGCACGGCGAGCGACTTTAATACTGTGGTTTTGGGACTGAAGGTGGAATGTCGTTGGGCTACTGAAGCACTCGACGGCAGGGACGGGAAGAAGCTTGCCAAGGAGGGCGAGACAGATCCCAACGTGCGCTATGTGAACTCCAACGTCTATGCCCGAGATTTCAAATTCATGCCCCAAGGTCAGCAGGAAACTCAGTTTGCCGGCGAGGATGCGATCAAACCCGTCAACCCGGACATTTTGATTGCAAAACTACGCCCCGGCCAAAAGATTGAGTTGCAATGCCACTGCATCAAAGGGGTCGGCATGGACCATGCCAAGTTCTCCCCTGTCGCTACAGCATCCTACCGCCTTCTACCTCAGATCAACATCACATCACCTATTCTCGGCGCCGAAGCTAAGAAGTTCGCGCGCTGCTTCCCGAAAGGCGTGATTGGTCTGGAACCTTCTGACGAGTCCGACCCGAACAGTGAGCCGAAAGCTGTTGTCAAGGATCCTATGAAGGATACCGTGAGCAGGGAGTGCTTACGCCATGACGAGTTCAAAGGGAAGGTGAAGCTGGGCAGGGTGCGGGATCACTTCATCTTCTCGGTGGAGAGCACGGGACAATTGAGGAGTGACGAGCTATTCCTCGATTCAGTGAGGCTACTGAAGGCAAAGGCGGAAAGATTCAAGAAGCATCTGAGTGAGCTTGAGGAGGGCCGGTAGTTGGGCTGACCTAGGTGTTGAGGTTGCTTGGTGGAGAGACCCCCCTTTTCGGATTCGTGGCAGGGTGCACTGCGAAGGACCTATCGGCGCTCAACATACTGCAGCGATTGAATTCGACCACGATACCCATCTGGATGAGGCAGCGCTTCGAGAAAGCGTGGTGCTATTTTCAGCTGCTTCTCGTCGAACGAACAACCATGAATAGCGAATCATGAATTACGTAGCTGGCTCGGAAACAATGGTACAAATATACCGGCTGAAGATCACTACTCTACGGCTGACACATGGAACTTCGAACCAGGATCCGTCAATTCAACTAACACAACACAACCCCTTATTCGTCATCGCTATCGCTGCTTTGCGCCTCCCATTCTTCCCGGCATGCAGGACAAAGAAGACCACTCTTCATCGTGAGGATCGTCTTGTAGACAGTCTGGACCGGAGTAAGAGCACGAGAGCGACTAGTCACGCGATTGACTACGCGATTGCATGTTGTCATGCCGCAGACGTGAAGGACGATCAGTTCGCAGAACTACGAAGGACTGGGAGCATCGACCAGGTTAGCCTGCAAAACATGAATCGATGGAGTGGAAGTGGACTTGCGAGCTGTCGACTGTTTCCATGAATCTCATCACGGGTTCTGGGAGCCACCTGTTGAAGCTGTATTGGGCCATGCTGTTGGCCATCGCGGTGTAGTGGTGTGCTGGGGCAAGGTGCTGATGATTTATGTGAAGTCGACTGCAGGCAGTAGATTGAAGAATCTAGGCAAGTTCTATACTTTCGAGGAACCTCTCCGCAAGACCTCATGGTCTTCTTATACTGCTGAAACGCCATGTCACTTGGAGAAGAGCAACTTGGTAGTCATTGCAGCAAGCATTCGTGACAGAGCCTTCGTGACTTGGTGAAGCGTCCTTCCTTCACACAAGAAGTCATTCTCGTAGATATCGGTCATAAGGTAGCCGAACACCGTACTTCGCTCAGTGTCTCGCTGGCAACACGTCGGACTTCAGCTGCTACCGTATTAGTGCACCGCCATCGGGGGCCACATCGTGGACATATCGGCGCTACAACTGTCGACTGTGACTCAGCCTCACCTTTATCCGCTTATGTATTGGGACGCGGCCGTTCCAGTGAATACGTCCTGTAGCGAAACATCTGAAACTTCCAGCAAACCTTTCGCTGCACGCCTAATGCATCGTCAAAATTCGGCTCAGACATGTCCAGCCCAACACTCGCACCCAGTCTCCCAACGACTCTCAAAACGGACCGCTTGATATTGCGTTTGCTCGATCCAGACTCCGAATCAGACTGCCAGGAGTTCGTTGGACTGTACGAGCGCTACATTACTCGGAAAGTTGGACCTATACCCAATGTTCCAACAGTGCAAGACATCAGACTCAAACATGAACGCACAAGACCCAAAGCAGAGCTGTGCACATTGGCGTCTCCACCACGAGGGATGATCCATTTTATCTATTTGCAAGCTTTCGAAAACGATGGCCACAACACGAGCGATTCTGGACCTCTCGTCGGGCATGTACTGCTGTCGTTCCGAGATGAGATGCCTTTCCCAGACCTTGGCTACTCGATCCTCGAGGCGCATGAGGGCCGAGGGTATGTTTCTGAAGCTGGACGTGAGTGCTTGCACTTCTGGCATGATGAAGTCGGGGTGAAGGAGATATGTATTGCAACGGCTGTCGAGAACGTAAGATCGCAGAACACCGCAAAGCGAATGGGATTTGAGGAAGGAGGGCAATTCACAGTGGTCAATGGCCACCCACCGAACGAAGAGGTTGAGAAGGCGAAGGCGTTCGTGCTACCTGGGATGAATTGGCCTGATGGGCCTGAAGTGACACTTCAGCGTCCCGCTCGCCGTCAAGAGGCCCAGCTAGACTCTGACAAGCCTCTGTAGCAATGATCTTCCCTCTGTAGTCATGACTTCCCCAGAAGCTTCTTGCCTAGCGCTTTCAGCATCTGTACGTCCGCCGAAGGTGCCTTGCTCTCCTTCGACACAAGACCCGCCCTGCATCCATCACCGCAAGGGTAGTATAGTTCTCGAACCTTCTCGTCGTCCCCGCCTGACCATTCAAACAGCTGCTGGCGTGCTTCCTGCTGTTTCTGCTTCAACGCACCGATTGTCGGAACCCATCGGGACTTCGCAGTGGAACTGGTCGTCATGAGATTGCTAGCGCATCGCTCCGGCACTTCACCTGGAAGGATGATGTAGTCTTCGGTGCTGAGCGACGGCTCGTCGATAGGTAGGAACTCTCCGTGTGCATAGCAACATTGGCAATCGGTGCATGCGCCATGCTGGCCTCCCTCAAGGGCACACCATCTGCGGATGCAAGGCTGCTCCATGAGGCTACAAGCGACGCACACTGGCGACCTCTCGCACGGGATACCATGGAAGGCACAGTGATCGCAGACCATAGCATCACCGCTCCTCGTGAGCACGACCGAGTCTTTCCGAGATGGCTGGAGCGAAAAGTTAGCACTGGATGCACCTGCTGGCTGTGATGAGTGCACTTACGACCTGATGCTCGACACTGTGCAACCCATTCGCGGCGGCTACCCTAGCGGCGGCTTCGTGTCTGAGTGCAATCGAAGTCTGGAGGTTCTCGAGATCGTTGAGGATGCAACTTGCGGTGCTGATATCTTCGTCTCCTTCAATGTCTAGGGCCGTGAGGAAGTCGAGAAGCTGCGTGCGTACTGTCGGGAGTGCTGTACAGCTGTGGCATTGGCATGCCTGCTCCGCCCGTGCCTGTGGCTGCGACATGCTGGTTAGCGGATAGTGGGAATGATACAGCTGTGAAGGTCAGTAGAAGAAGTGAGTCAAGAATGAAGTGAAGTGAAAACAAGGCCTGCCAAGCTCCGCCCCTGTGCCGAGCATGGCAGGTACGACCTACCTTAGCAAGAACAAGCAAAATCTGAACGATGTCTTCACAATGGTTGCTTCAGTCTCAAGGCTAATGCTAAGGTAGACGAGCTTCATTCTACGAAAGCTCAACCTTGCACCCTAAACGTCCGCCCACTTGCTGTCTTCCTCTCCTTTTCCTCCGCCTCTGGCCGTGCTCTTCGCAGCACTTGCAGGAAGTCCGCTGTCCGTCTTCGCATGCGTGAGTGGATGTACGCTTTGCTCGCCTTGATGTGGTAGTGGAAGTAGTCGCGGAAGGTCTGAATGTGAGAGATGACGTCGGGTTGCCGTTGAGGCGTCAGGTGGCGAGGGAAGAGTACTGTCCGGCTGTTAGCATGGCGGTTGCTTGCAAGTGCCTGATTCAGGAGTCGTACCAAACGTGATGTATCCAATCTCGCCCTTCCCTTGCTGAAGCCCAGGCTGGCCTTGCAACTCAAGCGGCGGGTCGTTTCGGAACATGACCTGTGGTGCGTTCTGTATCGCTCTTCTCCTCGCATCCACGAACTCCTGCAAGAAGATCTTCCCAAACACTCTATCGGTCTCTTCCCTGAACACTGTCGAGAAGATCACCGTCACTCGGTCGTGGCTGGCCTTGATATAGATCGCTTCCTCATCCCGGTAGTGGATCGCCCGCACCTCTCCACCCTCCTTCACACCCTGCGGTGCAGTCTCGATTGACAAGCCACGCATCTGCTCTGCCAGTTGGCCGTACTCCTGGAAAGCCTGTTCGAAAGGGGCTGCCATTGCATTGCGCTTCATCAAGCTGATCCGTTTGACCAGATCATCCCGCTCTTCTTGCGATCCGGGCAGATTCTCCAGATCCACTTGCACGCTGAAGTCGTACCCTTGCTCTGGCTCAATGATATAAGGGCCATACTCGCGCTCGAGCACCTGTTGAGCGCCGTACTTGAGAAGTTCCGGGTAGCATTTGACCGATATGCTGACGACGATTTGGGTCTTGGTGTTTGGTGTGGAGATGTGGAAGGTTACGTTGTCGAAGTCTGAGACTACTTGATCGATTGAAGAGGGCGCTGCACTGTATGTCGGATCAGTCTTACCATCCAATGGCCGGGCTATACAACACATACTCAGGCGCAAACCGGTCCCGCAGCAGGCTCTCGATGAGGACATTCTGGTAGTCGAGGAGCAGCATGGTGGGGAGTAGAAGTGGATGCGTTGGCAGGTGTAACTAAAGGCAGAGTCCCCAAATGCAGGTGTCGAACACGAACAACAGATGTCGCTGTTGATACCTCCTACGACTGCCTGCGATGCTTTCTGAACACACGCAATCGCAGCTTCGAGGTGGGATGCGGCTCTGCGGTTCTTCCCGCTAGCGCTTTTCGAAGTGTGGGGGAGCGGCATTCGACATCGAAAAAGTTCAAGATCAGAGGCTGGCTTGAACTGCAACAATGGTGCGCTCTTACAGGTGAGCAAGTGGATTCCAGAATGCTGTCAGCCCAGTCGCTAATGTACACAGGAAGTACGAGCCCACTCAAACGTTCGGCACAGTCTGCACAGCGTCCTCGAACTGCATTTGGACGCCATCCGAGCCCTTTGCGACCACTGCACGATCGACGGGCGCAGGGAGGGCATATGTCGGCGCGAACGAAGCTGTGCTCGGCTGGGACATCAAGACTGGAGAGCTGTTGTCGAGATGGCATGATACGGACAACCGGAGCGAGGTGACATGTCTCTCCCAATGCGCCGCACAACCCGATCTGTTTGCCGCCGGATACAGTGATGGCGCAATACGAATATGGGATGCTCTGTCTGGCCAGGTCGTAGTCACCTTCAACGGCCACCGAAGCGCTGTCATGCACATCAGGTTCGACGGAGAAGGATCAAGACTGGCCAGCGGAAGTCGAGATACGGACATCATTGTCTGGAACCTGCTGAGTGAACAGGCAGAGTTCCGGCTGAGAGGGCACAAGGACTTAATTACTGGCCTGGAGTTCTTGAGGACGAGAGTTGGGCCAAGTAGGCAAAGTCCGCACACCGACGAGGCAATCGATGTAGGCCAGAGCGAGAGTGAGGAAGAGCACGAGGAGCAGTATCTCGTCTCCACCTCGAAGGATGCATTAATCAAGCTTTGGGACTTGCGAAGTCCTCACTGTATGGAGACGCACGTCGCACAGACAAATGGAGAATGCTGGGCGCTCGGCTTAAGTCCCGATTGCAATGGGTGTATTACTGCTGGTAACGATGGCGAGCTCAAGGTCTGGCGTTTGGACCTTGACGAACTCTCCGATCGTAGTACACGATCTGGCGCTGTGAATGGCAAAAAGCGCGAGGATGTATTGCAAACCCGAGGTATTTTGCGACGACAGGGCGGCGATCGAACAACGGGGGTGACATTCCATCCAAAGCAGGACTACATTGCCGTCCATGGCTCTGAAAGTTCTGTTGAACTGTGGCGCATTCGAGGATCGGACGAGGTTCATCGACACATGCAGCGAAAACGTCGCAGGCGGCGAGAAAAGGCTGCTACTGCCGGGGAGGCACCGAAAGCTGAAGCGGAAGAGTGGCTCGGTGAGCCTGAAGTGAGCGACATATTCGTTTCTCATGTCATCGTACGAACCGGTGGCAAACTGGGGTCGGTCGACTGGGTCTCGGGAAAGGGTAGTAAGGCAATCCAGCTGCTGGTGGCCACCAGCAACAATCAGATCGAGACATATTCGGTGACATCGCACCGCCAACAACAGAAGACGGCCACCAGGGAACAGCCAGATTACAACCGAGCACTGTCAGTCGAAGTACCAGGTCACAGAGCTGCTGTACGTACCTTGGCTCTCAGCTCCGACGATCGAATGCTGCTTAGTGCCTCGAACAAGCAACTAAAGATCTGGAACACCAAGACTCGCTCATGTCTGCGGACTTTGGAGTGTGGTCAAGCCTTGTGCTCTACCTTTCTTCCCGGTGACCGGATAGTGCTCGTCGGCACAAAGGAAGGCGACTTGGAGATGTGGGACATCAGCACAAGCAGCCTCATCGAACGACTAAAAGCACATGATGGCGCGGTCTGGACACTAGCTGTGCACCCGGACGGCAAAAGCATCGTCACCGGGTCTGCAGACAAGAGCGCCAAGTTTTGGCGGTTTGATGTGGTTGAGGAAGAGATACCAGGCACTAGAAGGACGACCCAACGGCTCCAGCTCAAGCAGACGAGACAACTCAAAGTGTCTGACGAGATACTCAGTGTCGGCTTTTCGTCGGATGAAAGGCTTCTTGCTCTCAGCACGCTTGACAACACAGTCAAGATCTTCTTCGTCGACTCACTTAAGCTCTTCCTCACGCTCTACGGCCACAAGCTGCCGGTTCTCAACCTCAGCATAAGCAGCGATAGCAAACTCATCACCACCTGCTCAGCCGACAAGAATGTCCGTATTTGGGGCCTCGACTTTGGCGACTGCCACAAAGCATTTTTCGCGCACAACGACTCTGTCATGGCTGTCTCGTTCATCCCTCATCCGATCGAGCAGGACGAGAAGCACATCTTATTCTCCGCCTCGAAGGATGGGGTTGTGAAGACATGGGACGGTGACAAGTTCGAACAGATCCAGCGACTAGGTGGCCACCATGGCGAGATCTGGGCGCTGGTCGTGAGTAGGACTGGCGAGATGGTTATCAGCGCTGGCAACGACAAGAGCATTCGCTTCTGGGAGGTGGGTGACGACCTCGTGTTCCTCGAGGAAGAGCGCGAGCGCGAATTGGAAGAGGTCTACGAAGGCACCCTTGCGCAGAACCTCGACCGCGACTTTCGTGACGAGGAGCAAGATGATGAAGAGGTGGCCGCAGCCAGCAAACAGACCATCGCCACCCTCACCCACGGCGAGAAAGTCATGGAGGCACTCGAGCTCAGCATTGAAGACCTCCGCCTGATGCAGACGTATGAGCGGGAGAAGGCGAAGAACCCTCGCCTCGCCGTCCCGCAGCGCAATCCGCAGTTCCTCGCACTGGGCAATATCTCCGCGCAGCAGTACGTTCTCAACACGCTGCAGAAGATTCCAACACCAGCTCTCAACGACGCTCTCCTCGTCATTCCTTTCAGTACTCTTCCGACACTCTTCACCTTCCTTGCGCTCTTCCTGCGGCAGCGCATGATGCCTGAGCTGACCTGGCGAATCACTTACTTCCTGCTGCAGGTGCATATGCGGCAGATTGTGGCGAGTCGGCAGTTGAAGCCGCTGCTAGAAGAGATTCTGGAGGCGTATGAGGTGTGGCAGGAGGAGCAGAGGAGGGTTGTTGGGTTCAATCTGGCCGGGTTGGGGATTATGAGCAGGGAGGCGAGGGATAGTGAGAAGAGTGGCTACATTGATGAGGTGGACGAGGTTGAGGAGGATATCGGAAAGGGGAAGCGGAAGAGGGCTTTTGGTAGTCTTGCTTGAGCGTGCAAACATCTGCGGACTCCCAGGGCTGTTCATGCTGTTCGTATAATACATACTGTAACTTGTGCCATGCATATCCTGATGTTCAAGCTTTCCTGGCCCTGCGAACACCTCATGCTTCTCTTTCCTGGTCGTACATCATCTCCAATATTCGTGCTTCAACTCATAGGACCGCTGTTCACGTTGATGCCCGGCAGCACTCCCCCGAACCCACCAGTCGACCCAAAGCCACCGGCTCCTCGTACTGTCTCCTCGAGCTTATCCACAACCATGACGTCCGGCGTCCAGATCTATCATCCAGTTAGCCTTGAACCAGCCTCTTCTCAAGTGGACTAAAACTCACCCTCTCGACGATCAACTGCGCAATGCGATCCCCCTCGCCCAACTGAAACTCCTCCCCACTTAGATTGAATAGCAACACCTTCACCGGCCCCCGATAATCCGCATCAATCACTCCTGCACCAGTATGGATACTATGCTTACTCGCCAATCCACTCCTCGGTGCGACCCTCCCGTACGACATGGCCGGCAGAGCGATACTTATGTCCGTCTCCACCAGCACTTTTCCCCACGCTGGCACTGTCGCCGCGCGGGAAGCGTAGAGATCATAACCGGCTGCGAAAGCTGAAGAGCGGGTGGGCGGTTTGGCGGTGGGGGAGAGGAGCTGGACTTGGAGAGGCGGTGGGGGGAGGGAGGTGGCCATAGGAGGCATTGAGGGGTGGGGGATCGAGGGGAGGGGTTGCGTGGACATTGGGTTGACGGTGGAGGCAGTGTCGGGGGTGGGCGTGGGTTGGTCGTCGTTGAGGATGGCTGCGAACAAGTCAATGGTTGTTTTGGGGAGGGAGGACGGAGACGTACAGGCGACGGTGAGGTTGGGGGCGGGTTCGGTGTACTTGGTGCGCTTTGGGTCGGGGGAGGCGGGGAGGCTTGGGATGTCGTGGTCGGGTTGTGGTGTTGCTTCGTCGGCCATGGTTTTAGTTGGGAGTCATGGTCGTTGTCCTTGCGTGGAGAAACAAGCGAACACTCAACGCGTAGGCGCGTGTACCGGGTATCACGTGTCCAAGCTAAGCCAGCCGGGCTGAACTGCAATGGAGTCGGAGAAACTCACCAAGCTGGAAGCCCGGCCCGGCCCAAACAAGATCTGTGCACGTGATTGCGGGGAAACTGGTTCTGCACCTCACTCCACTTGGTTGTCTCTGTATGGCATCTACACCCGCAGTCTTCCACGCTACGGCATCATCAGAAGTCCAGCAACATCTCGTCATCGTCCGCTCTCTTTTGCTCATCCTTCGCGAGTTGCTCACTCTCCGTCAACAGCATCTCGTCATCTTCGTCCACGAACTTCGGTTCCACTGCCGTCCCGAGGTCTACCCACACGTTGGTCGTAAGGTCGTACTCCTGCAACAAGCCCTCCTCCTCGTCTGTGTTCCTCGAGTCGAGACGCCTGGTCACCTTCTTCTTCCTCTTGTCCGTCCTCTCTACCGCTTTGCTCTTCTCTTGACCTGCGACTGCGACTCCTGGCTGATCAGCGCTCGATGTCTCCGCCAAACCCTCACGCCCCGATGCCTCCAAGTCGCGACGCCTTAGTGCCTCCTTCACAAACTCAGCCTGCCAGACGATCACCTCTTCGCCCTCATCATCCGCTTCGCCCACCTCGCCCTCCGCACCGGCTTCACCCTCTACTGCTCCGGACTCTGGCTGCCAGTCTTGGGCTTGCTGCAGGACGTCTTCGCAGTTTGCAAGCAGTTGTGTCTCGACTCGTCCGGCCTATCGGGAGCAAGTCAGCATGCAATAAACAAGGATGTTGGTCCTTACGCCTACCCTATCCCCAACGATATCCATAATAAGCTTCGCAACACGAACGGCTTCTTGGGCGTGTTGGAGAGCTTCTGCCGGCTCGTCGGAGGTACAAGTCAGAATCACGCCGGCTCGCGCCCGGAGGAGGAGTGGTAGGTCGGCGTGGGAGAGGAGCTCGCGCGCGGTCTCGTTGGCATGCAGGTAGTTCGCCTCGCCGTCGCTACGATACTTCTCCCACATGCTGTTGTCGAGCGCATAAAAGAAATCCAGGAGGTTCGCGTCTGCGTTCGTCTGCATGGCTGAGGATCTGATCGGGGGCGGTTGAGAGGTAGGCAAAGTTGAGCTTCCTAAGGTAGGGCAAGTGATGGGACAACTGCGAGAAGGAAAAACTCTCCTTGAGCGCCTTTTCGAATTTCATTGATCTCGTTTTCTTTCCCGAAACAACCTTTGTTTGCTACAGAAGTTCGCGGCGCAAATAGGCCAATGAACGGCCCAATGAACGGGCCAATGAACGGGCCGTCCCATTAAAATTGACCCACTTCAAGTGAATGCAGAGCGCTCTGCATGACTTGTCCGAGGAGTCGGTTCATTTCACGCCTGCAAGCCTCAAATATCGTTCCAGTCGAAGCAAGAGAACACGGTTAATCTCATGAAAGGTGCTGTCAGCCTCTTGAACAATCTTCTTCGTTCTGGGTGCCTGCATACGAGGGGTTCTTTACCTGGCCGGCGGTACGAGCACGTGCCTTCAGGAACAAACGTGCAAGCGAGAAGGTTCTGCACGTGAATTGGCTGCAAACGCTACCTCTAGCACCTCCTGCCGGCACACAGCATCACGTTCCCGGACACGAACTGCAGATCACCTTTTACTCTTCGCCTGCACCACGTCAAGAATTTCGGACACCCACCACAACTTCGAACAGACTTCCCACCTACCATCGATGGCGGCCGCAGCCCTAAAGGGAACGATGCCGTCACGGGATCAACCAGCGTCCGCGTTGTCGCCTTCAGGACCAGCTGCTGCCGATCCACTCCTCAAGCAAGTGGTCGTCTGTGGCCTAGCTGCGTCCAAGAGCAAGCGTGGCAGAGGAACATACGAGCTTGTTCGCATTCTCTTCGACCCGGCAGCTTCCAGCAATCTGTGTAGTGTGGAGTTGGACAAGAAGTTGCGTAACGACCGGCGCAGCGGCCGTTCCTCTAACATAGTGGTGGATCTCAATGGTTATGTCAGCACAGTTCAGTGTCGCGTAGCCAAAATCCAGTACGACCTTATTATTGGGACGGATTGGAGGCAGGAGAATGGCCTGACTGCTAGCCGCATTACTCGCACTCTTACCGTCGGCGGCTCTACTATGCTACGCTACGAGGCCGAAGGACTTCGCACACCCGACAACATCTGGCCATTGCAAGTGGCTTTCGTGCTTGCTCCGCTTCACAAGCGCGGCAAGGCTGGCTGTACAACCGCTCTGCGCGACGACGCCTTCGCACTGAAAATCGCCCTTTTACTTGCCCCGCTCCGCATCAAGACCGATCGTACAAGCTGCAGGCTATGGAGCAGTAGGGCCGGTATCAAGCAACATGCTCCCAAGACGGGTGAGAAGCGTCCTGCCGGGGAACCGCCATCGTCGTCTCGGGCTCCTCAGAGGGCTCGGAAAGCAGAAGGGCCTATGGACAAAGGGAAGGGGAAGAGTGTTTCAGGAGGGGCTGGCGAGCCGGGCGATGACGGTTCGGATGACGATGACGATGATGACGAGAATGATCCTGGGAAGAAGAAGCCGCCGGGGAATGGACCCGAGAAGGTGAAGAAGAAGGGTAGGCAGGGTGTACAGCGACCGACAGCCCCCGTAGGTGATAGGGGTATGGGGTCTACTGCGCCAAGGACAGAGGTCAGTTATCACGATTCGTACTACACCACCCGTCGTGTGCTAACCTACGCCAGGCCGACGAAGAAGTCGCCAAGCTCGTTTCACTGCTACTGCAGTCGACAGATCCGCATCTCAAAAACACTCGGCGCATTGCGAAGCTGATGGATGGTTTAACACTCCGCGACACCACAACGCCGATGCCTCCGCCAGCGACCCCTTCGCGTACTCCTCAGCAGTCGAGAGCACCGGCGCAGCCTTCTCATCCGACCGTCGCTGTACCATCCGCTCTCCCATACACCAGTCCTGCGCCATCAGGTCAACCTCTTGCTGCTCCTACACCAACCCAGCCTTCTTCCGCCGGTCCTACAATGGCCCAACAACCCTTCTCCGATCCTGCGATAACACAACCTTCCTCTGCAGTCGTTGATTCGTCAGCCCAGGTACAATTTCGAGCGAAGGTGTTCAACGCACAGCCGGTACCTGGACGGAATGTGCAGCTTGCGCAGGTCTCGCACTTCAAGTCAAGCTGGATGCTGGAGTTTGCGGACATAGGTATGTTGCACTCATCTAGCGAGCTCGCAGAATTTGTTCGCCTCTATTGGGACACATGCTAATGTTTCTGTTCGCACTTTAGGTACTACAAAAGTGTTCTTTAGCGAATCGGCATCACAGCAAGGTTCGGCAGGACAGCCGATGTCCCATCCACAACAGGGCATCGCCTCCGTTGGCTTCACCTCCAGCCGCCACCCCATTCCGTTCTCCGTTCTATCTCAGAATACACCTACAACCACAGTTCGCGACGTTGCAGGTCGCATTGCCACATGCTTCAACAACTGGCCCTGGGAGCTGGACTATGGCAAGTCCGACGCGCGGAAAGTTGTCAACTTATGGATCAGTCGCGCTCTCATGGAAGTTGTAAAACGCGATTCAGAGGCGGTTGAATGCAAGCTCAACGCAGCTGGAACAGCATTTTCAACCGATATCCACTACGTTGATAAAGCGACCGGCAAGCTGGACAGTGTGACAGCGATTGCATCGATTGTCGGTTACGAAACGGACCAGATCGAAGTTCCGAAACCACCGTCGCGGCAAGGCACCAGGCAGGCCGTCGAGCAAGCGGGTATGCAGGCCCCAATGAACGAGCGGGAGGCTCGGAAAGCGCAGAAGGCTAAAGATGTGCTGAGATGGCTGGCGTTCAACTTTTCTGGAATGTTTGGCACCCGCGCTCGTGTGGAAGAGTTGATTCGCACGTACAAATCGAAGCTGCAGGTGTCTCAAGGCCAAAAGGAGCTTCAAAGGCTCATAGCGAAGCAGCAGGAGGCGCAGAGAGGTGACAAAGCATCAACGAAGACCAGCTCTGGTGGAAGCCACCGCGCAAAGACGGCTGGCTCTGGTATTACTCGTCGTGGGACTACCAAGAATCCACACAAAGCTGGGAACTCTAAGCTCTTCAACTTGGGCAGGTGGAAAGGGGGTGGCACGGTCAATGCAGTGAGAGCGCCGTCAGCTGTCCTCAAGACTCTTGGATTGAAGACTCTCAACCTCTACATTTACTCCATCAACGCTGCGAGGGTGACTCCAGTGCTCGACACCCTGATGCAGTTCTACCACAGCGGGGCAGACGTTCGGCGAGTGTGGATTGAAGGCGCCAGGATTGCGGACGAGGTCAATCTTGCAATCAGCGCAGGGATCCCTCCCAGCTCACAATGCGATTGCGACAACACTGCTGCCATCTCCGAGATGCATCCATGCGAAGGGTGTGCGGAGGAAACGCTGTGCTTCAAGCGCGAGTTCGACTGGGCCGGCCGTCTGGTGTGTCCGGCGTGCTACGACCGTAGCAAAACAGTGGCAACGCGTCGCAAGATGACAGATCCAAGACTTGTCCATTGCAGGGTGGCAGAGTCACTCCTCTTGAGCTTCCGCAACGAGTGTCGAACGCGCGGCATCGACTGGGCCTCCCCTGAGAGTGAAGCCATACTCACAAAGGCGACCGATGATGCGAGAAGTCAGTTGGACAAGGATAGCATCACAGAGTACGTGGACCAGTACACCATGCTTTCTCACGATATGGGAGCGGCGAGGGCACCGATCGGCAACAATCCATCCCGTCGTCGATACGTGCCAGACCAACTCACTGTTGACGCTGTCTTCCCTGAAGGAGACGAGGAGAATCACGGCTTGAAGCACTCAGCGGGCAATGTCGAGATTACATCTGTGACATGCAACCAGGCAAAATGGATCCATCTTCCTGGTGTGTTGCACGTCATCGGAGAGTATCTACGATCTTCTCGCGATTCCACCGCAAGGAAGAAGCTGCTTAAGGCCCTCATGTCGCTCACGCAAGCAAGGCTGAAGCACAAGTACCTCCGCGGGGATTCTGAACGCACGAGATTTCGCAAGTGTATGGCTGAGATGATGCGAGGCGAGACTGTGCCGGGTGTGCATGGACCTTGGGAGGCTCACAGCCAAACCTTCACGGCTCACCGCGCACCAGCACTTTTCGACAAGGATACAGACAACAATCTTTGGGGCGAAGAAACGTACAGCCGCATCCAGAAGTGTGTTTCAAGTACTGCAACGTTCTTCGGGGTGGAAGACAAGCTGTTCAGGTTGCGCGATGACACACTATGGTTTGGAGACCAGCACAGCAACCCGGACCGGCTTGACCGTAACGGTCTATTCACTCTCTTCCGCGAGCGCATTGCAAGGATGCGCCTGGAATGCAACAGGAAGTGGGTGACCAAGGACGACGAGGAGACGCTCTGCAACGAGACCATGTTCCAGATGTGCGCTTCGATGACTGAGAAGCCTGAGCTGCAGTGGCTAAGGGAGAAGTATGGCGACCGCCTTGGCCTGCCACTTACCACCTTCATCAACTCTCCACTTCGCTTCAGCATTGCTCATAGACTCCACGGCTTTCAAATGACTACCGGCTGGCCAACGTCGCCGTCCGATGTCAGCGAGCGTGTCGATGCTGAGAACAACATACTCATCGAATCGTGGTATGTCAACATTGCTAAGATGGACATGGCAGACGAATACTACGACATGCTGGACCGCATTCTTGGAGCGACCCAGATCAAGACGGCCCGCTACGATCCAGATCATCCGTTCGTAGATGCCGATGAGGTGCGCACGTATGAAGGGGATGAAGACGTCTTCGCCCGCGATGATTATGTGCTGCCGGACTTCAACGACGATGTCGTTGAGGTACGTGAGGGTGAGGTCAATGAGGAAGCGGCTGATGAGGAAGATGGCAGCGACGTTGAGGGTGAGGAGGAGGGCGAGGATGTCGGTGACGAAGAGCAGTGGGCGGTGGGTAACGATGCTGGAATGGGCAACGACTTCGCACAAGACGTTGGTGGCACGACGATTCCGACATCTTCGCACGCGACGAGCAGCCTTCTGCCGCCTCCAGCCGTGCCCGCCGCGCCGTCGCCGTCCAGCGGTACTGGGGCTGACCAGCGCCCGGCTCCGAAGAGGATAAGCATGAGCGAATACACGGCACGCAAGACGGCGGCGGAAGAGGACGGACAGGCTCAGGCGGCGCAGGAGCACGACAGCTCGCGGTCTTCTGTGGCGGGCCTGTCGGCAGTTGGTGGAGATGTTGAAATGCAGGACACTGCGTACGGAGCTGTGCCGCAAGACACGGTGACTGGGTTGCAGCACGGCCAACCGCCTCAGCCGCCGCAACGTCCGGCCGCACCCACCACGCCTGCGACTGGATCACAGCACGCCCAGCCGCAACCGATGGATGAACATGATCGGTGGGTTGCACCAGGCGGTTACCGGCCAGTCTCGCCTGTGTTCGGCCCGCAACAACTTGCGTTCTTGACTCGCGAAGCCCGCGAAATGGTTCAGACCACCTACCCGCAACAGTTTGTCGAGAACGAAGAGGTGACGTTGGGGCTTGCTAAGCTGATCCACGTCGCGAGGAGTGGTGACCAGTATGCATGGAATGCGGCTTATGTGGAACTGATGGAAACTTTGGGGCGTCGTTGAGGGAACGGTTCATGTACCATAGTAGTCGCATCATGAGAGCAGCTGGAACTTTTCTCTGCGACAGATTCAATGGGGTTGATCCTGTAAGATTGTGCAAATACCTTATTAACCAAGATGTTCACACGACGAAGTCGATCCGGCCGGCTGAAATCCACCTCACTTCTCACCTGTACCAATTGAATGCTCCATGACAAGGTCAGTCTAAGGTACTCTCACAGCCACACGTAACTTCTTGACATCACCCTTGCACGAGCCAGCCGTGCTTGATGAGGCGGCGACTCTACCAGTCAAAAGTCGCATTGCTGGCCTCAGCAATGCCGAAAAGCTCCGCTCCAATCAGCGTAGCTGTTCGGCTTTGTCGCTCCTCTTCCTGTCACCCTATTGGCCACCTTGATGACCACGACTAATTGGATCGTGAGCACTAGCGCGCACTTGGAGTATAATACTTTCCAATCCTCCCATACCCTCTCTTCTCCTGCCAGCTCTCGAAAGTCGCCCTTTCCCCCCCTTTGCTCAGAACATTATGCTAACATCTTCACAGTTTGCCTTTTGGCTTAGATCAAGGTATGATCGATCTCCATGCCAAACAGACCGCCGCTAACCCCCCTCAAGTGTAGTATCTGTTCTTTTCAGTTTAATCGTAAGCAGCCCTCTTTCTCCTTACACAACCTCAACTAACCTTCCTCACAGTCTGAAACGAGTCTACGGACTCATTCAAGATTATTCTTATTTTTGCAACCCGTCGCCGCACCTCTGGGCTTGCTCATGTGCAGCGGCACCGTGCCCTTGGTATCGCACTACTTCCTTGCGACGCGAACACATCTTTTCATCAGTTTTTGAGCCTCTCGCTCGACTCTGGAGAGAAGTATCTGGTCTTGTGAACTGACATCCTCGTGACGCAGCCAGAAATGGAGAGGAGTGTCTGGTCGTGTAAAGATGCCGACATGATTGTGAAGGTGCCGGTGATGTTCTCGATGCTGGTGGTAAGGTGTTTGCAGAATCTTCATTAAACTCCTGACTTGGAATTGCATGAGCTGACAGTGACCGCAGGCTTCACGAACGCTGTGTTGAGGAAATACAGAGACACACCGACCTCTGCTGCTTGGATAATGTGAATCCAGCATCTCACACCTCATGGGTGGATGTCAAGAACGGAGACTGAGCGATGTGGCGGCCATGCTTCACGACCACAACTCCAGTCAAAGCACGATTACTCCCAGCGATGCGAGGCTCCCTACCGCACGCCAGTACTACGGAGATAGCCTTCGTTCGACGACATCACCCTCCGCGACACGCCCTCATCACTGCCGTGCCTCACTCGGACTGGCCAGTGTGCTCATGACACCTGAGACATGCATTGCGAGTCCTGTCTACAACATCACGGTGGTGAGATTGGACAGGTCAAATGAGTTGGTTCGAGAAGTTTAGAACAAAGGCTAATACTCGATGGATCAAAGCAGTGAAGTACGAATGTCTTTGTTCGGCCACGCGACCTTCCAGAAGCCTCAAATGAGACAGTCGCTCATCTCCAGAGACACAAAGAATGCTTATAAGGTGACAGTACGAACATTGATCTAGCAGCCTCATCCACCACTCTCACCACCACACCACACTACAAGCAGCCGCACCGTCCTACGCCGGCCGCAGGAACACACCAGTCCCTACCACACACAGGAACATCAGCACAATGGCCCCCAGCACCCGCCGCAACAGCGTCCTCGCAAAGAAGATCGCGACCCTCCAGCTGCGCCTCGCACCCCTCGTGCCACTCCCTTCAGGCCCACCACATCCAGCGTTTCCCAAGACACTCATGGCCTTCCACCTCCTCACCGAAGACGAGCTCGACAGCATAGCACACTACTACCACCAAAGCACACCCAGCATCTGGTCCAACCACTACCCGAGCAACATGAACTGGGACAAAGAATTTCTCGCCAAGCCTCCACCACCACCACCGTCACCTACCTCGCCACAGTCAGGAGGAGTCGAGAAATCACGCCGCCACAGCAGACGTCTGAGCCAGCAAGAGCAAGCCTGGATCGAGGATCTGATGAAGACGGTGGAAGATCTGCAGAACCCGATCGTGCAGTCGCAGCCTGAGGGTTCTGCGGCGGCGAGCAATCAGTATGCGGGCTTGACGGACAAGGAGCGGATACGGATCAAGAGGCGCAAGGTTGGGAAGTTCATTGGATTGGTGGGTATGGAGACGCCGGTGGAGGAGATTGCGGGCAGGATTCAGGCGAGTCTGGATCGTGCGGTGGAGAGGAGCAGGGAAGAGTTGAGGAGGAATGAGGAGGTGATGCTGAGGAGGCGGAAGGCGGCTTGAGAGGGGTGAGAGGTATCGGCAGTGTATCATAAGCATACGTTGCGTTTGCACATTGAGGAGTTGACTTTGTACATCAGCGAGGAGCATGTCTGTTGTGGTCACATATCTGGCTTGAGTTTGTACATACACGGTTGCTATTACTCATTCTGGCCACTTTTGATTCAGTATCTCATGCTCATTGTACCCTTCGTTGCGTGCTTGAATCTTCATGCTCTCCAACACTCTCCCCTTGACGTTCTTGTCACGTATTTCGGTACCAACGAATGCAGCATATGTGCTTTCGAAGTTGAGCGTCTTTAGAACTTGCCACATCTTGATCAGCTCAGACGGTGGCAAAGGGATCATGTTCGGGATGGACCACATGAAGGCGTAGCTGATGGTGCCTGGTTGGCGGTCGACGTGGTAGTAGGCGGACTGATACAGCTGTCAGCGCCAGACATGAGAGTTGTAGGCAAGAACATACAGGCGTAGTGACCATAGTGTCAGCAATGAACAACTTCTTCTCCCACGCCAGCACCAGACTACCAGGAAAGTGGCCACCAGGTTTCGCAGCCACCACACCACCCATCCCTTCGACCGTCTCCCGATCCCCTTCGATCAGCTTCCTCCTGCCCTCCCGATCCTCCCGACAACACCACTCAACATCCTCCTTCGCCAGATACACCGGACATCCAAATGCCCCCGCCCAGTCCAGATGCGTCGTGTAATAATGCGGATGGCTGATCACGATCACTTTCAGCCCTCCCATCCCCTTGATCCGCTCCACAGTCTCATCATCGAGCAGCGCGATGCAGTCCCAGAGGACGTTTCCGGAAGAGGTCTGGAGCAGGATGCAGCGCTGGCCGATCCCGAACTTCGGCTCGGTGGATATGCTCCAGATCCGTGAGTCGACAGTGTCTTGGGTCCAGGTGTTCTTGTGAGAAGATTGGAGGTCACTGAGGGTTGTCCAGGATTGGCCAGCGGCCGGGACGAATTGGCGGGGATCCTGTGGGCAGTGTTAGTTGTGACGAGACGGTCATGGGAAGGGTGGTGTGATGAGGAGTACATCGCAGATACGGCACGATTTGAGGGAGCCAGAGGATGGGAGGTCGAATTGAGTGCCGCACGCTGTGCAGATGGGGAGGTCGGGGTGGCCGACCATCGTTAGGATGTATGGGAACGGCAGGTGGAAGTTGTGATGGAGATATGAGATGAGAAGATCGAAGTGGAAATGGTCAGCGGCAAGGCTGCGTCTTGTGGTGTGTAAGGCGCATCTACATAACACTCAGCGCCTTCGATAACCTTGCTCTTGATGTTGGATGAAGTTGGCTCATGTTGAGCTCAGGTCGACGTCGTCGAGCGGCCGAACATCGGGCAAGCTCTGATGCTCTCGTGTCCCTTCAAGCCCGTCGCCATGCATCAACACGAGTATCTGAGTACTGTGATCGGGGGAGCATTCCTCGAAGTTTTGGCCAGGACGTCTGCAATCCTGTGGCTCATGACAGTGAAGGAAAGAGGCTTTGATCATCAGTGAGGACGGAGGCCTCTCCATTGCGGCGGATGCTCGAGCCTTGCTGCGGTCTTTGCTCTATTCGTGTAAACGACAACGCCATTCGCGTCGTGTCGTGTCCCCTCGGTCATCAACTCCCTCGGGTACGCAAAAATGATGTTGCTCCTCCCTCTCGTCGACCGGAGGTCTCAAGGAAGTCTGTCGACCTGCATGGTCCGACAGCAGGATGCAGCTTTGACGGAGTTCTATGGCCGGGAGCGGAGAGCAGCTCCCTGTGCCGCCTTCTTGGTGGAGCAAGGCGTCTTTAGATGAAAGGTGAGGCACATGTTATGAGATCTCCCAAGCCTTTCTGGACTCGCTGCAGACATGTATGGCTACAGCAAGCATAGAGACAGAAACCGTGGAGACCTTCGCCTTGAGGCATATGGCGAGCATGGATCCTTCGAAGTCTGGCGGCGAGATTGGTAAAAGACTGATCCCTCAGATCATAGATGCTTACGCGGAACATGAGCCTGACAGGATATGGGGCGCTCAGGCGCGTACTGACACAATCTCGGACGGCTTCAACAATATAACGTTCAAGCAGCTGGCTCATCTGGTCAATCACTTCGCCCGGTTTATCCACGAAAAGATTGGACCTGGCCAAGAGTTCGAGAGCATATCCTATATTGGCTCTTCAGACCTTCGTTATTGTCCGTTCGCGTGGGCTGCAGTCAAGTGCGGCTATCAGACGTTGTTGCCTTCTACGCGGAATTCGGAGTCTGGCAACCTGTCGCTTCTGTACAACCTCAATTGCACCAAGTTCTTCTGCTCCTCAGAATGGGTGCCTCAAGTGGAACGATTGAAGCAGACGAAGATGGACCTGCAGATCTTCGAGATCCCATCGATCGAGAACACGCTGGCCAGCCCTACGAAGCATTACCCTTACGACAAGACGTTCGCGGAAGCAGAGAACGATCCGATCATCTGCTGTCACACATCAGGTTCGACAGGCGCTCCCAAGCCAATCCAGTTAACGAATCATTACTTCGCAGCCTATGACAACCATCGCAAGCTTCCTCAGATCAAGGGCAGAGGTCGAAATGTCGACTACGCAACCTTCGACACTCCAGATTGTGCTTACTATTACAATACCTTCCCGCCATTCCATATAGCTGGCATTATTGCACAAGGCACGATTCCGATTCTCTACAGTACGACAGTACTTCTCGGTCCCGTCCATAGGCCTCCCAGCGGCGAGATTTGCAACGACATCCTGAAGCAAGTGAAGATACACTCAATTTACACGCCTCCGACCGTTCTTGAGCAACTACTGTTGGAGCCTGACGGCTTGGGACGAGCCGGTCAGTGCGACTTTATCATCTTCAGCGGCGGGCCTTTAGCACCTTCAACCGGTGATATGGTGGCGAAGGTGACCGACTTAGGACAGTACATTGGATCAACGGAGATCGGCATTATCCCCGGCATTCTTCCCAGTCCGGAGACCTGGAGATTCTTCGAATTCCATCCGACCTTCGGTTGCGAGCTCGAGCATGTCACGGAAGACCAGTACGAACTTGTTGTCCCTCACGACGATGCACTGGACTGGATCCGGCCAGCGCCTTACCGCATTGCACCGAGCAAATGGCGGACGAAAGATCTTTTCAAGCAGCACCACGAGAAGTCGTACGCGTATAGGTTCCATGGGCGGGCTGATGATATTGTCGTGCTTGGTAACGGAGAGAAGTTCAACCCAGTCACCATGGAGGCAATCGTTCAGGGTGCTCCATTCCTCTCCGGCGCGCTGATCGTTGGACAAGGCAAGTTCCAAGCCGCTTTGATCGTAGAGCCTAAGGAGGAGGCGCCACCTGGCGAGTCTCAAGACAAGCTCATTGAAACCATCTGGCCATGGGTGCAGAAAGCGAACGTCGATGGGCCTGCTCATGCTCAGATCTTCAAGTCGAAGGTTTTGGTCACCAGTCCAGACAAACCATTGGTCAGAGCAGGGAAAGGGACGGTCGTACGACAGAAATCTACAGATGCCTACAGTGAGGAAATCGAGGCTCTCTACATTGACAAGCTCGAGGATCCAACTACTATCGAGGGCCTGCCGACGTTGCAACCACCATTCACAGCGGAGAAGCTTACCGCATTCATATGTGCCTATCTCAGCACTCTGCTCTCCTGGGAGATTAAGCCGCATGATGATGTCTTCGTTCTTGGCATGGACTCACTACAAACGAACCAAGTGGTCAACGGGCTGAAGAGCCGGCTCCATTCCCAGGCAGACATCTCATTCCTCTCGCCCAAGGCTGTCTATCACCATCCGACTCCGGCGTCACTCGCACAATTCTGCTGTGATTCTTTGAGCGCAAATCGCATGGAAGATGGTGCGGTCGATCTGGAAGCGGAGCGGGTGAAGCGCATGGAAGAGATGGTTCTCCGACATACCAAGAATCTGCCACGTCCTCTGGCAGACCGCGCTGCTCCGAAAGCTACACGCACTTCTCCAAGAAGGAAGAAGGCACGGACTGACGCTGGCGTGACAAACGGTATCAATGGCGCGCTGAGTGGCCCTATCACTGTGGCACTTACGGGCTCTACCGGTACTCTGGGCACCAATTTGCTGCAAGAGCTCCTGGAAGACGAGGCGGTATCCAAGGTCTACTGCCTAGACAGGTCAGCTGAGGCCGAGCGGCGTCACAAGAAGAGTTTTGCTGATCGCGGGATATCTCAGCTGCTTGACAACTCAAAGGCGGCTTTTCTGAAAATCTCGTTCGGGCCGTCCAACTTTGGCCTGGAAGATCCTGCGTTCAAGACACTTGTGTCAGAGGTGGATGTCATCATTCACAACGCCTGGAAGGTCGACTTCAACCATCAGCTGGAGTCATTCGAGGCAGAGCACATACGCAGCGTTAGGAACTTCGTCGACTGGGGGCATCAAAGTCCGAAGCACCCTCGCATACTGTTTGTGTCGTCGCTCTCATCTGTCAGCCAGTGGCCAGTCCATCATACGGGGCCTGTCCCGGAGACAGCGATGGAAGACTATCACGTGGCGCAAACTCTGGGTTACGGGGAGTCGAAACATGTCGCTGAGCGCATTCTGCAAAATGCAGCAATGCAGTCCAACGTTAATGTCGGCATACTGAGAGTCGGGCAGATTGCAGGGTCGACTAGAGCAGATGGCACGATCTGGAACCCTGCAGAGTACTTGCCGTCTCTTATCCAGACCTCATTGGCGCTCGGTCGCGTTCCTGAGACTCTTCCCGGCGTAATCGACTGGATTCCTGTCGACGTCTTGTCCCACATCATCATTGACATTGTCCACGGCACTCGAGGGACAGACAAGCTGCAAGTGTTCAATCTAGTGAACCCACGAACTACCTCTTGGGATCATCTGCTTCCAGCGATGCAGAAGTACCGCGCATCGTCGGACACACCGCTTCTTCCTATCTCGTTCGCGGATTGGACGAAACTACTTCATCGCGTCGACGTAAACAACAAGCAGGAGCTTGCCGCCATGCCGGCAGCGAAGTTGATAGCATTTTACGAGGGTATGCAGCAGGATGACGACGAGCATGGCGGTCGGCTGTTGTGTGAGACTGCCAATGGGGAGACTTTTAGTAAGACAATGCAGACGCTGCAGCCGGTTGATCGGGAGTTGCTCGAGTTGTGGTTGCAGCAGTGGCAGTTTTGGTAGATCGTCATTCAGCAGATCGGGTATCTCGTGTGCTCCAACCGATGCGACAGCACGCAACCACACCGTGCACATCTATATGTCCTTTCGGACTGCCCCGTGATGATCACATGCAACTATAGTTAGGCCTTGTTCGGGACTTGAGACGCACGGCACAGTTCCCCGCAGCCAGCACCACGAGGAGGCGGAGGCTTCGATGCAGGCGAAGGAGGTTGTTTTGCGCTTCAGTGGGTCTTCTTTCGCTCTTAACGTCAAAGCCTCGTCTAAGTAAATCGGTATGTCATCTTGCACTACCGCATCGGCCTCCATGTCCGTCCCGAGAGAAGAAGTAGACGGGGAGACTTCGCCGCCGGCAGCGAAGAAAGTGCGGCGCACGCCAGCAACGTCGTCGGTGAAGCGCAAGCCGGCCTCTCTTGCTTGCCTTAATTGTCGGCCGAGGAAGATCAAGGTATGGCAGTCTCTCCCAGCGAGGCGGAAAAGAGTCGTACTGATGAGAAGTTGCTCAGTGCCTGCGGAATGATGGGGCGTGTGAGAGATGCCTGGCGCTCAACCTCGAATGCCGGATTCCCGAAAGGGATGAGCGGAAGTTGTAGGTATCTTCGATGCTGTCTATACCGGTGTATGTTGATCCCCGACGCAGGCGGTACTCAAAAGAGTATATAGAAGGCCTTGAAAGTGAGATTGAGGAACTCAGAGAGGCACTTCGAAATCAACAAGCGCGCAGCTCCGAGTCGGCGATATCTCCCACACAACAATCGGATACCACAGCTTCCAGCGCAGATGTTGACACAAAACTCGTTCGAAAGGAGGGATCTCCGCCGGACAGTCTCATCGAAAGACTATGTGGCAACAAACGACGTGTGAACAGCAATCCGGATGGCCAAAGCCGATATTTCGGGCCTACTTCATCCTTACATCTGACCGAAACTCCCTCCTCAATTTCCAGCTATAGTCAGAGCCTTGGTGCCGATATCGATATCGACAAGGGCATCCCGCAGGCTTTGCAGCATCAAATGCTTGATCTCTACTGGACATACCAGCACCCCATCTTGCACTTCGTCCACAAAGAGGCGTTCCTCAGTTGCATGGACGCCGGCAGAGGGCCGTACTTCAGCAAGTGCTTGTACTTATGCATCCTGGCTTCAGGCGCCCGACTGTCTTCTGATCCACATGTCCGAGCCCTTTCCATCCCCTCAGAAGATGACGACAACAAGAGCGATCGACGGCCGCTCATGAAACAGGCCGAAGACGCGCTGGAGAAGGAGATCACGAGCCCGTCGGTCACGACTATACAGTCCCTGTGTTTGCTCAGTATCATGTACTGTATCCAGTCGAATGATACGAAGGGATGGATGCTTTCGGGTGAGCATGTTAATGAGCAAGAAACCTGTGCGCTCTAACGTTTCGTCTAGGCAATGCCTGCCGTCTAGTGTTCGATTTGGGTCTTCATCAAGATTGGACGTATCTATCAGCGACCAAATTGTCAGGCGTTGACATTGAGCTTCGCCAAATCGTCTTCTGGGGATGTTTTAATCTTGACAGGTAAGCATCTATCCACCTGAGGTCCAAGAGTTGCAGACTAAATCGATATTAGGCTGTGGGCTCTGTATCTTGGGAGGCCTCCCTTCATCAAACTTATCGATGTGTCCATCAGAAGACCCGAGTGGAGTGCACGTACGTGGGACCTCAGGATTTTCGCGGCCTGGGTGCATCTGCTGGATACCGCAGGCCAGATCGCCGACAAGCTGTGAGTATCCTCGTGTCGATGACACCTCGTCCAACGCTAACGGCACAGAAACACAAATGCCTGTACACAAGGACAGATTGACCATTACTCTGAAGCTCTGCAGCAATGGTACAACAGCCTTGACCCGACACTCCACGTAGAAACGAATCCTACATCAGCCGTATACCATCTGCAGTAAGTCTGTAAGGTTGAGTTCGCGAGGATATACTGATCTTTCGGCAACAGTCTGCAATACTCGGCCATGACTATCCTTCTGAATCGACACAATGCTGGCTTCGGCAACTCAGAGAAGCGCAATCACCCGGACACGATAAAGTCGAGACAACAATGTCTTCACCACGCGAGCAGAGTTGCCCAGATGCTGCGAGACTACAAAGTCATGTACGGCGATGGTTCGACTCTCTTTGGCTCTGCACTCTACAACTGCACAATGGCGGCGACAGTGCTAGTTGCAGAAATATCGGAGTCACGGAAGGGTGGCGCATGCGACGAGATGCACTGCTTGATGGAGTGCCTTCGCACGATGAAGGAGATGGAGCACACGGAGATCGTGGCAAAGAACGTGTTCAACATCGTCCAGACCATCATGCGAGTATGCAATGTGCGAGAGGACACCATCGCACAGGGCCTTCTCTCGACAGACAACTTTGGCTCGCCAGTCCAGCGCATGGAACCTCCGGTTCAGCCACCCTACGACCCATCGGTCATCGGCTTGAATCAGACGACGTTGGCGATGTGGCCGGCTTATGACTTCGAAGGCATCTCAGGAGGGTTCCCATTTGCTTTTGAGCAACCGGTTATGACGAATGGGTATTCGGGGGTTAGTCTGCCTCCTATGGATCCTTATTACATGACATGAGCACATACTGTTCGAGATGATAAAATAGACTTCCAGGCCGTCTCCACGCTAGTCCAGCCTGGTGTCTCACTCTCCAACCTCACTTCCTCGACGACTTCTTCACAAGCCCCCTCTCCATCTCATCTCCATCTTCCATCTGCCAATCCAACATCGTGCCGTCTTTACCACATTTCTCGGCTTTTAGACGGCCTCAGAAAGAGGGGTATCAACGATCAGCGATCGAACTACTCCATTCGGACGATGAAGCCCGAGAAATCACGGTCGTCAATCACCGCAGAGATCCCAAATGCCAGCCAGAACTGCTGCTCAAACAGCTCTTGATGATGAGCAGCGTGGGGTAGATCATGCGCCACCGAACCGACAGCGAGGTTAGTCCTGATGAAAAGTATTTACAACGAAATTAGCCGAGCTCCCAGCATTTTTGTAAGGACATTGTTTCTGATTCCGCTTCATCTACTTGACCGAGCAGCGATTCCTTCCTCAAAGCTATCATGGAGCTCGATTACGACGTGATTGTTGTGGGTGGAGGATTTGGTGGAGTATACCAGCTTTACAACTTACGGAAGCTGGGCTTCAGTGTTCGCCTGTTCGAGGCTGGAGCGAAGTTGGGGGGGATCTGGTATTGGAATTGCTATCCAGGCGCTCGCGTCGACACTGAGGTGCCTGTTTATCAGTTACCAGAAGCAGAGTTGTTTGAAGACTTCAAATGGCAACAGAAGTACGTCCGCGCAACGCCCCGCCATGTCAATGTCAAGCTGACGGCGTCAATCAGATATCCGGGTCGAGACGCCCTCCGAGAGTACTTCGAGCACATGGACAAAGTCTGGGGCTTGAGCAAAGACATAAGTTACAACAGCCGGGTTACAGCATGTGAATGGGACAACGACAAGCTTCGATGGAACGTCAAGATTGCACAGATGCAACTCAACGGGCCGACAGAAATCGAACGACACTCGAAGTCGATTATAGTCTGCACGGGGTTCGCATCTCGACCATACTTCCCACCATACAACGGGATAGAGAAGTACAAGGGAATGATGTACCACACATCAGCATGGCCGCAAGAGAACATCAGCATGAAGGACAAGCGCGTGGCTGTGATTGGGACTGGTGCCAGCGGGGTCCAGGTGATTCAAACGATAGCAACAGAAGTCAAGCAGTTGACGGTCTACCAACGGACACCCAACTATGCTCTGCCAATGGGCAACAACGAGCTACCGGCCGAGCGGTTGAAGTACTACAAAGAAAACTATCCGGAGCTGATGGGCAAGATGAACACCACATTCGCTGGCTTCCTGTACGACTTCAACCCCGGCGAGTGTATGAAGGCCACTCCAGAAGAACGTGAGGCACTTTTCGAGGAGCTCTACACCAAGGGTGGTCTGCACTTTTGGCTAGGAACATACGCCGACGTTTTGAAGAACAAGGAGGCGAACGCAATGGCATACGTGAGTCTACACCTCCCGCTTCTCCTTCGGCTCCAACGCTGACACATTTGTGAACTGCAGGAATTCTGGAAGAAGAAGACGCATGCGAGAATCAAGGACAAGAAGAAGGCCGAGATCCTCGCACCCGAAGTTCCTCCTCATCCATACGGAACCAAGCGAGTTAGCCTGGAGCAAAACTACTTCGAAGCCTTCAACGACGAGAAGGTGGACGTCGTCCCCGTCAAGGACAATCCAATCTCGAACTTCACCTCTGATGGAATCATCACTGCTGATGGCGAGGAGCGGAAATTCGATCTCGTCGTGCTAGCGACTGGCTTTGATGCGATTACAGGTGGTGTCACGCAGATAAACATTCGTGGTGAGGATGGCATGCCGATCAAGGAGAGGTGGTCGGAGGGCACAAGGACGTATCTCGGAATGGCGTCCAGAAATTACCCGAATATGTGAGTATTCCGCCAGCCAACGTTTAGACCTCAGACTGAACAGAAGCAAAGGTTCATCATCTACGGCCCCCAAGCACCAACAGCGTTCGTCACCGGCGGTCTCAATGCGAAGATGCAGGGGCATTGGGTCGGTAACTGCTTGGCCTACATGCGGGATAAAGGTATCAGCAAGATCCAGCCGACGGCAGATGCGGAAGAGACATGGCGGAGCCATTGCGAGGAAGTGGTAAGATGCAATGGCCATGGACTCGCTACCGATCAAGACATAACTGACCTGCTCTAGGGCAAAATGGGCCTTTTCTCGGAGACCGAGAGCTGGTACTTCGGAAACAACATCCCTGGCAAGCCCAAGGAGGCGCTGAACTATATGGGCGGGAATCAAGCGTACAAGTCGTGGCTCAGAGACAGCGAGGAGAATGACTACAAGGGGTTTGAGTACCAATAAAGGTCCATGTGGATCTCAGTAGACTACCAAGCCGTTTGCGACGGCACTGTGCCAGTGCAGTATAGCATTCACCCCAGATACTCTCCGCGGTTGAGTCAGCGGTAGGAGGTAGCTTTGTCGAATGATCCCAAGACATGCACCCGCGGGCTGGAGAAAAGGCGATCAAGGCGATGGTTTACACCCTCCGCCCTGCCGAAAGCACGTGGATGACCGTTGACTTCTATCCTTCTTGGTCGGTGAATGATGACCGCCTGGCTCGAGCACGCGAGATGGAAGCGAGTCAGCCAGCGATCGACATCGGGTCTCACCGTTGCGGCACAGCAACATGGAGAACCTCGAGCTGATTCTTGTTATCAAACCGGAGTCTCTTTAACGCAGTGCTACACTCTTCCATACAAGCTCAGTCAGGACGACTATGGGAGGCCCACGAGCAACGGCCAACAGGTACGTTACGAATGCTAGAGTCTATGGCTGGGCTGACCCTTTTATCTCTCCGTAATGTAGGTACAACTTCGCCGTCGCCTTCTTCGTTGCTCTTGGCTCCTTCACATATGGCTTCAACTCTTCGATCATTGGGGCTGTAATTGGGCAGTAAGTATAGGATTCATTCTCGAAGATGGATGCGAGCGCTGACAAGGCTGTGGCAGGCCTTCGTTCTATACCTACTTCGACTTCACGCCGGAGACTAGCTATGGCGGCAGTATCATTGGTGCTTCGAACGGTGTCTACGCAGGAGCAGGTGTCATCGGCTGTTGGACTGTCTTCTGGCTGCTCGATATGCTTGGCCGCAAGCGCGCAATACAAGTAATTGCCGTGATCTGTATCGTGTCTGCAGCGATCCAAGCCGGCTCCGTCCATATCGGCATGTTCCTCGTCGGAAGGGGACTGAACGGCCTAGGTGTCGGTAAGCCTGCCACACCGTGGACGCCTGGCTGAGCTCGGCATTGCTAATCCGTCTGATGAAGGGTTCATCAACTGTGCCGTGCCTACCTACATTTCAGAGATCAGTCCACCTGGTCAGAGAGGTCGGATCGTAGGAAGCCACGGCTTCATCATCTGCACCGCATACGTAAGGCACCCCCACACCAGTATCTGACCGTGGCCGCTGACGATACGTAAAGGGCATCGCAGGTTGGTGTGGATTCGGCACCTACTACGAAGACAACCCACAAATACAGTGGCGACTGCTCGTGGCTCTCCAGATTGTTGCGCCGCTGCTGCTGTTCATCGGAAGTCCTTGGGTCCCAGAGTCTCCAAGATGGCTCATCAACAAGCAAAGAGACCAGGAAGGCCTCGCGGTGCTGGAGAAGCTCCACGCCCATCCGAACGATCCTGATCATGCTTCTGCTAAAGAGGAATTCCTCCAAGTGCAGCGACAGCTGGCATTTGAACGCACGCAAGAGATCCCGAACTTCTTCCAGTTGGTTGTTGGGAAAAAGTACAGGAAACGCATGTTCATTGGGTTCTATGTGCAAGCCATGGCTCAGAGTACTGGTGTATTGGTGGGTGATCCAGATTCCTCCTACTATGGCAAGACTGACCACAGAGCGAAGGTTATCTCCAACTACATGGTCCTAGAACTCAACACTCTCGGAGTGACAGGCTCGACGCCTCTACTCGTGCTCGCGTTCTACAACAGCTGGGCCGCTGTGCTCAACTACATCAATGCGTTGCTGATCGACCGCATCGGCCGCATTAGGATCATCACGATCGGCTTGGTATACTGCGCTGCCCTTTCACCTTATAGACTTCGCTGAACTTTTTGCAGACCGGCTGCATCGTCTGCTTAATCATTGTTACAGCATTGAATGCCCAGTTCGCCGGTACCGACAACAAGGCCGGGCAAGCTGCGGCGATAGCATTCATGTTCCTTTTCGTAACATTCTACGGATTTGGGATCGATGTCAGCAGCTACGTCTACTGCACTGGTCGGTGATATCGGAACTTGAACTGTAGAGGGGAATGCTAACCATGTCCTCTAGAGATTTTCCCGACCCAGATCAGATCAAAGGGCACCGGCTGGTCTGTCAGCGGTCTTTTCTTGATGACCACAAGTAAGCAATCGTGGCATCCACATGCGAACCACACTGACGAACCATGTTTCAAGTCTACACCACAGCAGCTGGTCCGGCTTTTAATGCCATCGACTGGGTAGGTTCTCGTTCGTGCTTGGCCTTGCTAAAACTTGCTCTGACCATCCTCAGAAATACTACCTCGTCTTTATCATTGTCACCAGTTTGATGCTGCCATACGCGGCCTTGAAGTTCCCAGAGACCAAAGGCCTATCGTTGGAGGAGATCGGAGCGCTCTTCGGCGATGAAGTGGTCTTGGACTACAACAACCTGTCCGAGGAGGAGAAGAAGGCGCTGGACGAACGTGTTGCGGCGTCCACCGACGCTGCTATCATTGAGAAGGGAACTACAGATGACAGATCGTCGAATGATGAAAAGGCGGGTGGAAACAGCGTGGAACGCTTGAGTTGAAGCTTGTTATAAAAGAAGAGCACTTGCTCATCTACGGGTCTAGCTGGTTCGAGTGTTGCATGGATCGAATGTATCCGTGGGTAGGGTATGTCACTTAGACTTTCAACGGTCGACGATGCAGTCGGAAGAGTCTTGCGAAGCCAGGTTTACCATGACTGTCTTGCTTAACTACACAAATCGCCATGAGTTCAGAAGACTACAGCCATCCGTGACTTCGACTTCCCACTCTGCATCAGATCAATCATCTCGTGAATGTCGTCCAGCTTGTACGTAGCAACTTTCGGCTTGATGTTGTGTTTGGAAATGAACTCCAGCGCCATGGGCATCTGGTGCGGAGGACCAGTACTCTCGGATCGAATCTGGTACAGCTTCCTCATCAGATCAAGCGCGCCGAACTGGATCGGCCTTGAAGGCAGTCCGACGACCATCAGTATTCCGCCAATCTTGAGAACCTTGCTGGCGGTGTCGTACGCAGCTTGAGCGGCGCTGAAAACGACAGCAGCATCTGCTCCTCCGTTCGTGGTTTTGCGGATTTCAGCCTCGTAGTCAGCGTTCTTGGAGTTGATGACCACGTCCGCGCCGCTGTCCTTTGCTTCTGCTAGAACTTCGTCGTTGATGTCGAGACCTATTACCTTGATGCCCATGGCTTTGGCAAAGCGGATGCCCATTTGGCCGAGCCCACCGCAACCGACGATCACCATCCATTGGCCAGGCTTGAGGTCGCATGAGTCGACTCCATGGAAAGCTGTTGTGTCATCGTCAGCTAGATACAGGCTTCTTTGATGACTGAAGCGCACCTGTGATCCCTGCGCAGAAGTAGGGAGCAGATGTCGCCATGTCCAGATTTTCAGGGAGGTGAATGGCGTTTCGATGGTGGATCGAGGTGTACTCTGCGAACATGCCGTCGCAACCGAAGCCTTGTAGCATAGGAGAGCCATTTGTGCAGTTTAGGTTGTGCACTGTTGCCAGATTAGAAGTGGTCTCATTCACCCCCTGGTGATATCCAACTCACCTTGACAACCATCACAGTCAACTGGTTCTTGAGGTCAGTCTTGGCCTCGCAGTTATGTTCAGAGGTACGGACTCACAGCAGACGCCCTTGATGTACAGGAAGCCTATCCGGTCACCCTCCTTGAAGCCAGTCACGTTCTTGCCTAGCTTATCGACGAAGCCCACTCCCTCATGACCCATTACAACAGGCTCTGAAGCTGGGATCGAGCCATCGAACAGCATCAAGTCTGAGTGACAGAGCGATGCCGAGCCAACCTTCACGAGAATCTCATCATCTCCAATACTCGGAATCGGTATGTCGTCGACATGGCATTTATTGTCTTCCTACGTGAATGATGAATGTGTTACTCTGTTGGAATTTCAAGCACACTTACTGGGTGATAGCGAGCGGCACGCATGGTTGTCCTGGGCTCTTCTAGGGCTTAAATAATAGCAATTGGATGCTCTCTAGCTGAACAGAGTAGAGTGATATGGTCTGAAAGATGCTGTTCAGCGATCACTGTACCTGTGAAGACACTTGACCAGAGTAGCCGGTGCTTGCTGTGCCGCCCAGCACCTCCACGCTCATCAACTCCATCTCCAAGCAACTGCTCATGGCAGGCGGGCAATGATCGCCATCCATCACCCTTCCCTGCAGCACGAGCTGTGCCCACGGGAGAAGCTGCGGGGTTCTCTAGAGCTCATGAGATTCGTGGCGGACATGGGAAGGGAGGATGGTTGCCGGTCAATGCTTTTCGGCCTGCGCATACCGGCAGCCTTGGGTATAGCTGCTGCAATGACGATGAAGAGCAAAGGAAGACGCGGAAGACTGATGAAGGTATGGTGGATTTGGTAGCGCACTTAATCAATCAAAGACCCGACGGGTCTGTTTCGTGTTTTAGCGTGGAGTCCAAGGAACCGAACCGTTGGACCTGTTCGACCACAATTTGGACCATCGACCACGACAACCCAGATCGCCTTCTGTGCTTCACAAAATCTGAGGCTCGTTGCTGCCTGAAACAGCACTTCGTACACTCCGCGCAATGTTGCACGCCAGAGAAAACGTCGTCGGTGTGGCAATCTTCAAATCGACCTCGGTACACAACCCCTGCTCGACAGGCCGAGTAACCGGGTGTATTCGAAGAAGCAAGACTTTTCAATATTGCATAGTCCGTAGAGGAGTAGAGGTCGAGTAGCGGGCAAACTGAGCGACCACTCGCCATTCATCTGCTGTTGGTCTCACACCTGGCTGTTGTACCACAATCTTGTCTCATCCGTTCAGACGACAATGCTCTGGAAGTCTCCGCACCCAGATCTTGACAGTAAGTGATGATTGCAACGATGCTAAGAAAGGCTTCAAGACTGATACTGTTCCAGTCCCGACCGATCTAACGACATGGGAATGGGCCTTCGAATCACCGGAGCACTCGCACGTCGTCAAGAATCCCAGTGGCCAGATTGGAGCTTATATCAATGCGGTGACCAAGGAACGTCTGGGCTTTGCTGAGGTCAAGGAGAAGGCCACTCTCCTCAGCTCAGCCCTCATCCACGACTATGGGCTCCAGCCGGATGACACGGTGTCGTTGTTCTCGACGAACACGATCTATTATCCAGTGGCAATGTGGGCGACCATTCGTGCAGGTTCGGTTACGTGCCGTATGCCCCGAAGGAGGAATTGCTGACGGTATCTAAAGGTGGATGCGTGAACGGGGCGAGTCCGGCGTACAATGTCGAGGAGATGTCCCATGCTCTCAAGACGGCGGGGACAAAGTTCCTGATGACTCTGCCAGGATCTCTAGAGGCTGCCGTGGCGGCGTGTAAAGCCGTTGGCAGTTAGTAACATCCACAGCATGTCAGCGATCGTTAGAAGTTTGAACTGATGGTTTCGATACAGTACCCTCCCGCCACATATTCCTGCTCGAAGGCCAACATCCCGACTTCAAAAGCATACAGGATCTCATCGAGGCCGGCAAATGGTGCACACCCAGCCCACCGCATCGGATACCCACAGGGAAAACAAACCAGGAGGTCTGCGCTTTTCTCAACTTTTCCAGTGGCACGACCGGCCTGCCTAAGGCAGTTATGCTTTCGCATCACAACATCATCGCCCAATGTCACCAATTGCGCCAGCTGCAGCTCGTACCACCAGGCCAGCGGTACCGGATACTTGCCGTAATGCCACTTTTCCATATCACGGGGCTGGTCAGGTTCTGCAACTATCCTGTCTTCATGAACGGGGATTGCGTCATGCTTCCTGGATTCACGATGGACAGCATGCTGAAGACCATCGTTGAGTTCGAAATCCCAGAGCTGATATTGGTGCCCCCTATCTTGATTCGAATAGTCCGTGATTCCGTCGTCGACAAGTATCTGCCTGATTTGCAGAGAATTGTCAAGAGATGGTCGTCCGGCTCTGCACCTACCTCACCTGAAATCATCGAGCTGTTACGGAAGAAGTTCCCAGATACTGGCTTCCGACAAGGCTACGGAGCCACGGAGTCGACCGCTTGCATATCTTGCCACCCTCCCTCCCACTACGACTACAAATATGCCACGACGGGCGGCTTGCTCTGCGCAAACACAGTCGCCAAGGTGATAGATCTGAATGATCCTACGAAGGAATTGGGGCCGGGCGAGACGGGCGAGATCTGTGCAAAAGGCCCGCAGATAGCGATGGGCTATCTCAACAACCCTACCGCGACCGCAGAGACCTTCCAGAACGGCTTCCTCCATACTGGTGATGTTGGCCATCTTGATGAGGAAGGCTTGTTCCGCATTGAAGACCGGATAAAGGAGATGATCAAAGTGAAAGGCCAACAAGTACCGCCTGCTGAGCTTGAAGATCTCCTGCTTGGGCACGAGCTGGTGGAAGACTGTGCAGTGCTTGGGATCCAGGATACATACGCTGGGGAAAAGCCCAAGGCCTTCGTCGTCTTGAAGAAGGGTGTGAATCCGAGTAGGGAGGTTGGCTTGAAGCTCATACAGTTTGTGAAGGATAAGAAAGTGAGGTACAAGTGGCTTGCAGAGGTGGAATTCACAGATGTTGTGCCAAAGTCTCCTACTGGCAAGTTGCTCAGGAGAGTTTTGAAGGCGAAGGACAGGGAGAAGGATCGGGTGAGAGGTGTTACCGTGAGGGATGAAGCGGAGAGAGCCAGGCTGTAGGCAATAGACTCAGATGTTAGAACAGATGTAGCATCCTACATATATTCAAGTCTCTTTCCAAAAGGCGCAAGAGACTTGAAGTCTGCCCGGATAAACCTCCTTCCGCTTCCGGCACGCTCAGACCACCCTTCACATGGCACCTTCCATTCATTCTTCACTGACCAGAGAAGCAAACATATCCTCTACCGCCACCACACAAACGAGCCCCTCCATCGCTCACACATTGCGCACGATTTGGACGCATCGCGACGAAGCACACGGACGCCATCCTCAACCTCCTACGACCCCGCGCATCCATCTCAACACCACTATGGACGCCAAACAGCTCCAAGAAGCCGCCATCCTGCTCAAGAAAGCCCACGAAAAGGACGAACCCCCAAGCACAATCCTCACCCTCCTCCAACCTCTAGAGAAATGGGCGCCGACAGAAGATCTTATGAGGAGCAGCAAGATCGGTGTGTACGTTAACAAGTGTCGCAACAGCAAGGATCCCAAAGTGAACGCTCTAGCTTCCAATCTGGTCAACAAGTGGAAGAAGGCTGTCCAGAAGAAGCCGGGGACAGCTTCGCCGGCGCCAGGAAAGGGTGGTGTGAATGGGGTGAACGGCACAGGGAGGAGTGGGACGAGCAGTCCCGCGCCGCCGGTGAAGAAGGAGGCACCTCCCAGAAAACACAGCGTTGCGCCTGAGAAGAGGACTGCCAAGGAGGACGGTGTCAATACTGGTCATACGGGCAATGCGGTGCGGGATGGATGCATCATGCTCATCTACAATGGGCTGTGCTTCATGAGTGAGGAGTCACCGGACGACGTCTTGGCCGCGGCGACACGAGTTGAGGAGGCGGCATTCCAGGAATATGCACCCGAGACGAGCGCGACGTACAAGCAGAAGATGAGGAGTCTGCATCTCAACCTGAAGATGAAGCAGAATACGGAGCTGCGAAAAGATGTGTATAGTGGCGCAATCGACCCGAAGCGCTTCGTCACCATGACCAGCGATGAGTTGAAGAGTGAAGATCAGAGGAAGGAGATTAAGAAGCTGGAGAAGGAGAACATGAACAAGGCCATGACCGCGGTGGAGGAGAAAGCGATCTCGACAACGTACGTTCTACTTCCGTGCTGTACTCACCTACTCGCAGGGCGCTCCAATGAACGAAAGACCTCATACTCTGCCTTCATCTTTCCGCACACACACGTACATCAGACATCTTTGCATGAGCTGTGTGTGTGTGGGAAGAGAGGACGGAGTATGAGGTCTTCTTTGCGTTCAGCCCCTCTATTCCCTCCATACCTCCAATTCACCACACCACTGCGAGCTGGTACACGTGCTGACACCAGTTTCAGGATGACCTGCAGCAAATGCAGAAAATCTCGTGTCGCCTACACCTTAGCCCAGACGCGCTCCGCCGATGAACCGATGACGGCATTCTGCGAATGCACTGAGTGCGGGCATACTTGGAAGTTCTCTTAAAACTCCTCACGACGATGGCTTCCGACGATGACATTCTTGCCTTATGTTCTTACGAGTTGCTCCTGTTAGCGAGGGTGGAGTTCAGGAGTCCACGCCACGGCGGCGTCTACGACGAATGGATGGTGTCGAGGCTACAGCTCAGCCATTGAGCGGCTGCAAGATGGTTCTTGTACCAATGGTCAGACGCTCCATCAACCCAGTATGTCCTATCGGGTAGCTGAGTACTACCTAGCATTTCATCATCACGCGCTCTAAGTGAATAGCAGCCCCACCTTCCCAATGCAGCCATATCTGTCCCGCTTTCACAAACGAACCTCAGCAACAGTCAGCAGTCCCCCCAAGCAGACCGCACTTCACCCACACTTCCTGCGCAGTAATCCACAGACTTCTCTCTACGGACACCTTGCCGGCTTCTCCCTGGTCGTCCCACCCACTCTACCAAAGTTTGCACCGCATACATCTCCTGATCGAGCGATCTACCCGAGATCTGGCAAAAGCGAATGCGCGCAAACCTCTTGTCCAGACAGCCTCGCCTCGCCTCGCGTTCGGGAAGTGGTCCCTTGATGGGAAATGCCAGTCGTGGAACGGCTACGCTGCCTGGTTTCGGACATTGCTTGATTCACGTACTTGATGTGAATGCGAGATAATTACGGTGCGTCGACGTGATTTGGCATGGGGGTCGGGTAGTAGCACGTCAATGAGATAGGTATGTATGGAAGATGCCGCCCGGGTTTGCGTCTGTCCCCTTCACTGCGTCCTTGCAGGAATCTTGTCTAGCTGTTCGTGAACATGGCGGAGGAAGAGCCACTTTGTATCATGGAGAGAATCATTCTAAGATTTCGACAGGAGCATCAGCGACCCAGAAAGTTGGACGGTGAACTGGAGACACTGAAGCTGGAACGAAAAGCACCTGAGCCCGTAGTAGTCGAAGACCACCGGACTGCGAGCTGGGTGGTCAATCAGCAGCCCTCGAACAAACCTCTCCCAAAAGCCAGCAAACAGCAGCCTTAGACCGTACGAGCTGCCACTCAGACTCTTCTTAGCAGCTCCACCATGGCCGTCCCACCAGAGATCACCATCCACAATCTCACCGGCTCCTACACACTCAACCGCACCCTCTCCGACTCCTCCCAGCAAGTCCTCAAGATGCAGTCCATCGGCTTCCTGGTCCGGCAAGCAGTGGCCTACAGCACAGTCACCGTCACCCTCCAGCAATACACGAACCCCACCACAGGCCTTCGACACCTGGACCAGACCCAGACCTCAACAGGCGGAATCCGCAACTTCGAAGACCCCATCATGGATTGGAAGTATACAGAAAAGGAGAATTGGATCTGGGGCAAAGTGAAAGGGCGCAGTCGGTACGCAAAGCTGAGTGAGGTTGAGGATGAGTGGATGAGGGAGGGGTGGGAGGACGGCAATGCTGAGGTGGTTGAGGGGTATGTGGAGGGTTTGAAGGACGGGTGGAGCGCGTGGCAGGTTTGGGGCTTTGCGGTGGTTGGAGGGGAGAGGAAGCATGTGAGGAAGATTCTGGCGAGGCGGCCGAAGTGGAAGGAGCAGAGGATACGGATGGTCTATGATTGGAAAGGCCCGGCTGAGGTGCAGGCGTCTGATGCTCAAGGCAAATGAGGCTCTGTCCATACAACACGAGTGTTTGCTGTGTAATGGTGTTCAGCAGTTCACGGGTTTCACTTCGAGAAATTTTCCGGCTTCCGTTAACATACCTGAAGGCCTGTCAGCACTTGCCATCATGAAGAGATTCCAACGAAACTAAGACGGCGAAAAGCGATCAGAGAGAAGATTAAAGTCGACACAAACCAGCTCACTGACCCGGCCGGGTAAGTAGCTGCAATGGCAGATCGAACCCAGACACAAGCACAGTAGCCAGCTTTCCGTCTAAGGATGACTAGAAGATTTCTCATCATTGCAAGAAGGAAAGCAAAAGTTCTCGACTCACTTGTAGCTTGATTCTTCCAGTGCCGTTCCCAGGCATCTTTCATAGGCCAGTCCCACCATGGCTGGGTTGCGCTCATGAGGTACTCTTGCTGAATGAGACCGGTCTAGCGTATTGCCGTAGCCACAATCGTCTAGAGCGTTCTCTCCTGTGCGGTGCTGTCTGCGTGACTGAAAGGCGACTCGCCGGCACTCCAGCATCGCCGATCGTACATTCAGTAATCGAGCTCGACGGCCTCTGCTTTTTGATTGTCCAGCTCTCTTCGTAGACGATTCTGTGTCATTGAGCCTTCCACTGGATCCTCCTTTTCAACGTAAGCCTCCCACTTTCGCTTGTGGCGTTCTGCGTATGGCACTTCTTCCTTCCGTTTCCGGGTCGCTCCAACGGATGGTTTGCTGTTGCTCCGACTGGTTGACGAAGGTATTCTCTCCTCCGGTCTTGAATGAACCTTCAATGCCTGAGCTCCAGAGTCCACCTCGCCTGCTTCCTTAGCCTCTTCTTTCCGTCTCTTCTCCCGCTCAAATTGCTGAACCTCGCTGTGCCTGAACATCTTGATCTGCTCGTCGGTGAGGGTGCGCTTCACACCATCTTCGTAATACCCCAGGTCCTCTTCGTAGTCTTGCACCCCGTTACCTTCTTCTGCTGGATCGTAGCTCAAGGCAGTGTCGGGGTCAATGAACCATGCCGCGGGCATAACGTCGTCGCTGAAGTGAGACATTTGAAACGCTAGAAGATGGTCCTTGTGAGAGTAGAATTAGTACCTACCTTGCGCCGTCCATGCGAAATCCATCAGTTTACCTCTGTGACATTTGGTATTGCTATTTCGGCCTTTGGATCAGCCTGTGCTGCAGCGGAAGCCTTTTTCGCGGCCCTCTTCATGGCTTGCTTTGCTTGTGCTTTCCTGATGTTGTTGCGGCGAGAGGCTCCTTTGCCAGCCATTTTGTATGCTTGGCTTACATTGCACTCTGTTGTCGGCGATATGGAGCTGTTCCGCTTGCAGCCTGAGATGGGTAGTCAGTCACGGCATGGGCTTCACGGAAGATGTGAAGAGAGCTGAATTGGTAAGACCAGCCGGCTAAATGTCGGGTATACTGCAGATTAAAGCCAGAGCTCGCGGACTTTCATGTGAAAGCGTAAATATGAGTTTGGAGATCTCGCTTCGAAGGAGCATTGCTCGGGTTCTGGGATCGTTGGAAAGGCGTCAACTTACATACAGGTCAGCGTCAAACAGGGTGTAGATCAAAGCATACTGCTAAGCATGCAACAACAGCGTTCCGACCAGTGCTTTCCTACGGCCACGGCAGCAGCCAGAGCAACGATGTATCCATTTTCAACGACCATGCCAGCCCGCAAGATACTTCTCGACCTCCCAGCGCCTACTCAAGAAGGGTGGCAAAACTGCTCGTGAAGAGAAGCAAGCAGCATCTCCCTCCAAGAGCGGACCCAGCGACGATCCGTATGACTTTTCCACGCTGGACGCGGACATAGCGACCGCTGTCGAGAGGCTTAAGAATGATCTGTCAAAGCTGCGTGCTGGCGGACGCTTCAATCCTGAGGTACTAGAGAACCTACGCGTACAGCCGGACAAGAGGAGCAATCAAACGGTAAAGCTCAACGACCTTGCCCAAGTTGTGCCAAAGGGAAGGACTGTTCAGATACTGGTTGGCGAGCAAGAGGTAAGATTTTCAAACTCATGTGGGGCTCAGAATGCCTGTACTGATAGTACACGCTCCGATAGCACGTAAAACCCATATCTACAGCCATTCAATCCTCCAGCCTCTCCCTGACGCCACAACCCGATCCAACCGGCATGAACCCGCTCCTCCTCGTCCTGAACATCCCACCCCCTACTGCAGAGAGTCGAAAACAGGTTGTCGGCGAAGCCACCAAGGCAGGGGAGAAAGCGAGCACGAGCGTACGAGACGCCAGAAGTAAGCAGCAGAAGAAGCTTCGTGGCATGCAATTGGCGAAGAGTGCGCTACCTGATGACTTGAAGAAAGCGGGGACGCAGATGGAGAAGGTGGTTGAGAAAGGCACTGCTGAGGTCAAGAGGGTGGTGGACTCTGCGAAGAAGGTCTTGGAAAGTGGGTAGGCACGCGTGAGGTGATGTACGAATATGGTATGGTCTTGTACTGCAGCACGCCTGCTACACGCACACCCCTGTGCAACTCTTCTGTTCCAACTATTTCATGGACGCCAGACAGAGCTTGAACCGTGAGCGCAAGACAATCCCAGTGTCATTGAGTGCGGTTTGAACTCGTGAACAGAGGGCGGAAGGCCGAGAACTGGTGGCGCTGGTAACTGATAGTGACATGGCGCAATCTGCAGACTGGTTGGCTGGTTTGAGACAGTAACGTGTCCAAGATGCATCTTAATGCAGGTAGCTAAGACTGTGCACAGAAATGGATCAGCAAACGGACACGCATGCGAGCTGCAAACACCTCTGTTCGTTGGCATTCGACCTTTTCTTGCTCGAAGCTCACAGGATATATGATCTAGATTACCTGGTCGAAGACGCCTCGGAGCATACCTGAACTACAACCACCACCAACTGCTCGCTGCCGTAGCCCCGAGAACAAACGCAATGTCCAACACAAACTCCCACGCCGAACCAAAGCACACTGAAGCCCAAGCCTGCAACGTCTTCCTCGTCAAAGAAGAGTTCAAAGGCTGCGACAACCTCAGCGGCCAACGCATGATCGGTATCTTTCGGACACTCGACGCAGCCAACTCAGCTGCCAGCGTCATGGTACGCAGCATTGAAGATGTGGCCCTTCGACACCTTGCAAGCCCGAGAGACGGCGAAACTTTCCAGAGCTTTGAAGGATATCGCAACATCGATGCGTGGAGGAACGACCAGGGCGGGATGATGTGGTTAATCAAGTACGGGAGCAGGCTGGCTGCACCCACGTCGTGACCGTGCGCGGGCATCCAGTTGTGGACACGGGAGAGCCGGCGGACATGATGGTACCCTTCACACCTGTCAGCGAGATAAGCGAAGGATGGTGAGCTGGGCATCGTGGAGGACAGTAAGCGTCCGATTGATGCCGGGTGCTTCCCGCAAATACGGCACGCGCTGGGAAGCCGGAAGGTACCTGGAAATTGCAGGTTGTCTTTCATACTCTTGTCTTTGCCGCGTGTCGCCAACTGGAGAGCCATTGGTGGTTATTGTTTGTCATGGAAGATACAAGCTGTACAGTGTCCGGCGCTTTCCAATGGCTTGTTGTGGCGCAATGATTGCCCTGCGGGGAGGCAGCAGCTACAGGACAGACCATCATGACGGAACAAAGATATGGAAGATCGAAGTGAGGTGTGTTGCGACTTCAAGCCTACGGCAAACAAGAACAAGAATCTCAACATATAACAGCCTGCTGGAGTCTTCCTACCTTCATCATCTCACTTGCAAACACACCGCTCAGCAACTTCCAACCACGGACTTCAACCAAGTCGCGCATGCAATCTACCGCAAGCCAACGGCCACATCCATCCCAGACACCAAGGGTCAAGGAGAGCCTGCACCTGCACCGACACCGACGAAGTACGTGTACGACGTTATCGAAGGGCATCGCTGGCGCGGAGAGAACACACTCTACCAATGCAGTCGAGCCATCTTCAGCGACCAAACGCAAGCCAACGAGTACGCAGAAGCACTGTACAACATGTGCATAGAGATCTGTAAGGGCGCCTGGCCCGCGGCCGGTGCGAACAGAGACGCGGCCTGACCAATCTTGTCGAAGTAACGCCTGCTGATGACGACGATGAAGTTTCCGGTGACGGCTTGCGTTCGCTTACCGTTCATTACGGTGACGGGAAGCCGCCGTACACCAACTTCTTCTGGGTTGAAAAGAGAGAGCTCCGGGATCGAGCGGACGGCACCACCATGTATGTCCCGATGGGCCCACAGGATGAGAGTGAGAGTCTTCTGCTCGCCCCGAAGAAGTAGTCACGAAGCGTGCGTGGAGCGAGTAATGTCTGATTGAGCGGAGGGAAGCATTGGCGGGAGAGTATTTGGCTATGGAGGAAACGTTGTCAGCACCATGTCCATCGTCTTGCTCAACAGCTAGTGTCCAAGGAGGTCAAGACCACAGACGGCTTGGGCAGTATCAACGGGTGCATGTATTGTAGAGTTAGTAGAGACGTGAAGTCGGCTACTCTCCCGGTCGCGGCAAAACTCACTTCCACTTTCCAACCGCTCACGTGATTTGTCTGACGCAGCGAAAGGACAGACCCTGTCGTTCGCTCCTGAAGGCGGTAAAGCGTCTGCCTTAGTGCTTTCCAGAGGACGAGTATACGGCGTGGTGATTCGTTCAAATCTCCTTATCTTTTCCATCCCAACTTCGCTGCCAGTTTGGCACATCATGCCTCTTACTTTTATGTAAAAAGTGCAAACCAGTACCTAAGAAAAATGCTTTGGCATGGGACTGTCTGGCGCTTGTGCTACACCCACGGATGAGTCTCCCTTGGCCCCGGGTGGCTGTGGGAATACGGCGATGGCATATGATAGGGTGTCGCGGCACTTTTTAATGTCGCACACGACCACATCGCGTGCGACCTGTATGTTCTTTGTTTGGACTTGATCTTGGATTCAGACGAAGCAGTCAATCTCTTGTGTTGAGGCAGTTCCCTCACGAGCTGTTCCAATGACACCGAAGACGCTCGATTATCTGATACTCCTATCCACGCTTCGAGGTTCTTCCGATCACGCCTAGCTCGGTGTTTGTGCGGGTTATTGCTCACTATCTTGCATATTCGGTGATAAGGCAAAACGCCTCTCTCGGACAATTCGATTGCTCAAGATAGGCGTCTATACATCTGGCCTGCTGATACGGTATCCTGCGCGTGGCCTGGACTGTCCCACGGATCGACTTGTACCTGAATTAGTACTGGTCCTGGAGCATATCAAGACTCAGACGTCAGCGTGCTTGGATCTGGACAAGGTAATCAGTATGGCTTCTGTAATGGCTGTGCAGCCGCTGGCACCGAGGCCGTCATCACACATGATCTCCGCGTGGGTACCTCAAAAGCAAATTATGGAAGGCAAAGAGAATCGGCCTGCTCTGAAACAGCTTCACCAAGCCACGCCCACCGGTCGAGCACGTCGTGAAAGGCCATGTGACGGATGTCGGAAGCGCAAGAGTAAATGTGTCTTGCAGGAGTCCCGGAAGTGCGTACTTTGCGAATTTCATAAGCAGGATTGCACTTTTGTCGAACAGGCCCAGCCACGGAAACGGAAATTAGTCGAAGGCAGCGAGAACCAGAGGTCGGCGAAGAAGAGTCCTGGTGCAAGTACGACCAACAGCTCCACGGCAGTTTCGTCGCCGCGCCTACCTCAGCAATCGTTTGCGCCGCAAGACAAATTCCAGGGCTCCTTCGTTCAAACCCATCTACCCAGCACGGTGGACGAGAGTCTGAGTCTTCAACGGCACCGACACTGTAAATATCTGGGCCCTACCACGGCACTCGACTCTTCACTCATCGGCGTCGGCACCTTCAACGACAAGAACGAGACGGCGTCGCAAGTCGGTACATTGCGCCAAGTCACCGCGACGGAGTACTTCAGCACCCATGCAGATGCGGACGTACCCATCCCGGATGATGAGGCCAGAGCACTGGCTGAGATCGATGCCATCATTGGCCAACACGGTCCAGCTCTGATCGACATTTACTTTCGCAATGTGCATCCAAGCTATCCGATCATCCAGAAGAAAGTCTTCCTTGACCGGTTAAGGCATGGGGACAGACAGTTCAACCCCCCTCTGCTGGCGTCGATGTACCTCCTGGCGTTGGGTTGGTGGTCACGCGAGCCTAGCCTGGCGCAGTACCCGAAGCCGGACACGGGTCGTCTGGAGTACATCGCTATCACCAGCTTGACGATTGCGATGCAGAGGCCGAAGATCTCTGCAGTACAGGCTGGGCTTCTTTTGCTGCAGCGAGCCAAATCGAGTACATGGACTTTGACTGTGCAGCTGGTAGCTTTGGCTCAGGACATTGGCCTGCATCTTGATTGTTCGGAATGGTCCATCCCAAGGTGGGAGCGTCGACTTCGGAAGAGGCTCGCCTGGGCTCTGTACATGCAGGACAAATGGAGTGCTCTGATGCATGGCCGACCCTCGCATATCAATGCAGCGGACTGGGCAGTTCAGCCGCCTACTGAGGAGGACTTCGACGAAAGTGTGGAATCGAACACTGTAGACTCACTGGATCCCGAGCTCGCCAAAGGCCGGACACTGTTCATGCAGATGATCGCCTTGACCTCCATCATGGCCGAGGTCTGCGCGACGTTCTACTCTCAGACAGCAAAGGATGAGTACGCTCGTGCCGGACAGTTCGCAACACAGCTGGTCCTGAATCGAGCAAAGCCAGTGCAGATAAAGCTGAAAGACTGGTTCGCGAAGCTGCCGGCTGAGTGCAAGATGGACGCCTATACTCCGGATCAGCTCTGCAGTGTAGGCTACCTCCACCTGGGCTACTTTGCAACGGAGATTTCCATCCACCGGCGCATCGTACAGTCGCTCGATCCAGCCACAGCAAACCCGTACATGCTTTACATCTGCCGGTCTGCCGCCAAAACCCGCCTGATCAGCGCAATGGACTTCGTCAACAGGCTACGGCCCGAACACCTTGATGCCTTCTGGTACTTCGCTTCGACGTCCAACTTCGCGTTGATCGGGACCTTCGGCGCCTTGCTCATGGCAACCAGTCCCGGCAAGGAGGAGGCGGAGTTCTACCGCTTCCGTCTCGCGGAGCTGAAGTGGACGCTAAGCGTGAGTGCGAAAAAGGCGCCATGGATTGGCAATGCGTTGGAGCTGCTGGATGCGAATCTGGAGATGCTGCAAGGTCTGCCAGAGAAGACAGAGGCGGCGGAGGTGGGCAGGTTTGATGCTACGACCATGCCGCCCCCGCCGCAGGGCCAGGAGCCGCAGTTTGGGTCGGAAGGGCAGATGGTGTTTGGACAGATGGATGAGGACGCTGGAAACAGTGAGGTTATGGATCTGGAGGAGTGGTCTACGCCATGAATGCTTTGAGCTTGTATGAGTAGAAGATAGATGGAACCTGCGCTTGTCACATGCCAAAGATCCGCCGGCTGAAATTCGGCCCGCCCGAATTAGCAGTTACATACAATTGGATATCTCTACGTCCCACGAACGAATCTAAACCAGCTGAAAAGCGAGTTTGTTCTTCGACCCCTCCCAAAGAATAATCGGCTGCCACTGGACCGCAGATAGAACCAGCACATGTGGTCGATTATATCCGCACGGAGACTCGAGATACCACCCCATCATTATGGGTGGTGTTGATCGATGTTTGCTACACTTTGAGACGAGGAAAATTGATTGACATGGCGGTGTCGGCGTTGGTTACCCCAATCAAATGATTAAAGGGTCCTAATCGATGCGTGGGCGAATTGGGGGCTTTTTCTTGCACATTTCCAATTCAAGGTCTGGGGTTCGAGTGCTGCCTTTTTGCGTATTGGAGGTTGAAAAACACCACGTTTCCGTCTCTTCCTTCCTCGTCCACCACAACTTGTGTCATGTGGGTACTTGTGCTTTGGATAACATGAACATGTAGCTTACCAGGTCCAGCGCTCCGAAGCCATCTCTGGGCATTCTTACCTTAGACTCTCCATCACCACGTTTGAGGGGTTCAGAAACAACGAGTAACAGTGGGATCGGAAACACAAGAACTTTGACTCAAAGGGCCAATTGTGTGGGTTGGCTCACTGCACGTTGGCAGCCACCCATCATCACGTACCTACGTCCGCATCGCCAGCGGCGGCATCACCTGCAGCAGCTTTCAACTTCGCCTCTTTCTGCTGCCGCTTCGTCTGTCTCTTGCTGATCGGTCGGACATCCTCGCCGTTAGCGGCAGCACCTTCGGTCGCCTCAATAGCATCCGCTTTCCTCTTCTGAGCATTCACCTGCCCTTTCCCTTTGCCTTTGGCGTTCTCGGCTTTCTCGGCTGTCGCAGCAGCAGGCTTCTCCCCACCGTAAACGACATTGATGACTCCTCTGTAGCTCGTCCGCTTAAACTGAGCAGCCACCACTACACTTCTGCACTCCTTGCTCATAGCCTCATAACCTCGTTCTTGCCCCAAACCCCACACCGCAGCCAGGTTGATCGCATCCCACGGTCCTCTGCAAGCAACAGAGCTCTTCGCTTCCGAGCTTATGATCAAGCCTCGTCCTCTGCTAGCTCTGATGAGCTGGGTAGCGTTGCTGATCAGATTCCTCCGCATTCCGCTGTCGCCCATTACCCCCGAAGCATAGCTGATCTCGAAGCGCTTGCCACTCTTGATCGCCTCGCTCATCATCTTGAACTTGAACCAGAATGGGAGCCTCTGTGTCATGTCCAGGCTGATGATGTCGCAGTCCAGGCTGCTGCATGCGAGCTGCAACGTTTTCTCGTCGACTGGTCGGACAGCGAGTAGGTCGTAGTTGCGACTGAGCTCGGTGAGGCGGGCATTCTGATGAGTCTCGGTCAGAACGAGTGTGCAGCGTCGTAGGATCGTCAGCTTCGCGGGCAGGTCCTTGTATGGGAGAGGATCTGGTATAGGGCAGCTCTGGCAATAAATGGTTAGACTAGAGCTTTCAGGACTCTCTTCGATCGCGTACCAAGTTGGAAGGTAGTTTCCCGCTGACTGTATGGTTGAGCGCTACCACGTTGTATCCAAGATCATCGAGAAAGGTGAGTGTTCGAGGAAGGTCATTCGATGCCCACGGGATGTTCAAATCGTAGAACATGGTGCGAATGCTTCCACTTGTCGCGCATCACTGTCCGATGCACTGGCTGCTTCTCTGAGTCGTCTCGCATTGCTTGTTGTATCAGTCATTCAGTCGCAACCATATCCTTTCTCGGCCACTGAGAGAGGTTGACTTTGAGGTCAAGCCAACCTCGCAGAATGGTGCTCAGAACAGCTTAGATCCAACGGCCCGGATCCAACCCTAACTCTGCGATCTGCACGCCGATCGATGACGCTCTCGACATCTCGCATCGCAAACTCACACGGGCACTCTAAACTGCGCGGACCGTCGGTCGTTCACTGCCTGATGGCTCGGTGATTTTATAACGGCCGTTGCTGGTCTTTCAAACGCTCTGCCACCGTCCGCCAGCACCAGTGGTAATAAAAAACCTGGCGCCCCTCTGCGTTTCCTTCTACAACCATCCCACAACACTACATCCAACGCGTTCTACTGATTGAGACCAACCGTAAAGATGGCAATATACTCGCCAGTCCACGTCCTGGACGACTACTACCTCGCCATCACTCTTCTAGTGACGGTGGCCTATCAATTAATAGGCTTCTCCATTGCCTTCACCTTCAAGTTCGACAAGCTCACGGATTTCATGGGAGGTACGAACTTCGTATGGCTGGCCATTTTCACTCTGGCAATGTCCGGAACGACCAACGCAAGACAGATCGTTGCCTCAATCTTCATCATGCTATGGGGCGCCCGGCTTTCAGGATTCCTCCTCTTCCGGATCTTGAAGACTGGCAAAGACGACCGCTTCGATGATAAGCGCGACAAATTCTTCCCCTTCCTAGGCTTCTGGGTCTTCCAGATGCTCTGGGTGTGGATCGTTAGCCTGCCGGTGACTCTGCTGAACAGTCCCAACGTACTCCAGTTCCCACAGCCAGCGTTCGGCAAAGCTAACGACATCATTGGAGTCATCATCTTCGCGCTTGCCTTTGTCCTGGAGAGCGTGAGTGATATCCAGAAATACCGCTTCAAGCAGAGCGAGGCAGGCAAGCAACCAGGCGCTGTCTGCAACGTCGGGTTCTTCAAGTACAGCAGGCATCCAAATTACTTCGCCGAGATCATGACCCAGATCTGTGAGTCATCTTACCCACGCTTGCATGTGAACACGTCGTGCTAACAAATTATCAGCCATCTTCATCATCGCCATAACGCCAGCATCATATCACTCTGTGCCTTCGGGATCTGGCGCCTACGCTGCCCTTTATAGCAGCATGCTCGGATGGATCTTCTTGACCGTCCTGCTCATGTTCCTCTCTGGCCTACCCTTACAGGAGCGTCCAGGAGCCAAGAAGCGCTACGAAAAAGGCACCGGCTGGCACGAGTATGAGAAGTACCTGCACGACACCAGCATTCTCATCCCGATGCCGCCGGCTGTGTGGAGGAATCTGCCTGTGTTTGTCAAGCGGACGATCGGCTGCGAGTTCCCGATGTACGTCTTCGACCCGAACAAGCACGTCGAGGCCGACAAGATGCAAGATCGCCAGGCCGAAGAGGGCCGGCAGCAGAGCAACGGCGAGAATCGACAAAGCAGTGAGCCTTTGCAGTGATGGAACAGCATCATTCCCATGAACGACTTTCTCGACTTTAGCGCGGCGCTGCGTGGTAGACGATAGATTGGGATAACATTAGCATAATGTATGAGCTCCAATTGCGACGAGCACAATCTGCCCTCAAAACCTCCCCCGACCAGAATATGTACGTTCGGAGAAGAGGCTCGGTAGGCTATTCTGTCTGCGTCGTGAGCTGGGAAACAGGCCCGCCGCGGTCGCTCGAGCCGAGGTCTGCTCCGCTTGAGCCCATCCATACCTTATATGTTTCTTGACCTCACACTACCGGACAATGTAGTTCCTTTGTATAGAGCCATTGGCAACATGGCAGGACAGATACGACAGCCCATCAACTTGGAGAATCTGGAAAAGTACATACGCGAGAATGTACCCGAGATAGCTGTCCCATTGGACGTTAAACAAGTACGGCCGACAACGACAACCGAACATCGCATGCAAGTAGCTCTGCTAACAATGCTTCATGATTTCAGTTTGGATATGGCCAGTCGAATCCCACATACCAACTCACCGACGCCAAAGGCAACAAATATGTCATGTACGCGCTTCTCCAACCCAACGACAACCAAGTACCCAACTAACCCCCATGTCCTCTCAGGCGCAAGAAGCCCCCCGGCAAGATCCTCTCGCGGACCGCCCACCAAGTCGACCGCGAATACCACATCATCGCCGCCATGGCCACAACCGACGTCCCCGTCCCGAAAGCCATGTGCCTCTGCGAAGACGACTCGGTAATCGGCACGGCCTTCTACATCATGTCCTTCCTCAATGGCCGCATCTTCGAAGACCCCGCTCTCCCAGGTGTCTCGCCCGAACATCGTTACGAGATGTGGCACTCCATCTGCACGACCCTCGGCAAGTACCACCGCGTCGAGCCGGCGAGCGTGGGGATGGAGAAGTTCGGACGGAAGTTTGGGTTCTTTGATCGGCAGATCAAGACCTTTAACAAGTTGATGGTTGATCAGGCGGAGGTGAAGGATAAGGATAGTGGGGAGAAGGTCGGGCCTATACCGCATTATGAGGAGATGGTGAAGTTCTTCGGGAACAAGGAGACCCAGCCGCGGGACAAGAGTTCGTTTGTGCATGGCGACTTCAAGGTGGATAATGTGGTGTTTCATGCTACGGAGCCGAGGGTGATTGGGGTGTTGGATTGGGAGATGGTATGTCTTAACTCTTCACCACGTGGATTTGTTGGATCGACTAACAATAGCTACGTGGCAGGCAACGATCGGCCATCCTCTCTCGGACGTGGTCAATCTCATCGCACCCTTCACCACCGCCTCCAACCCTCTGGCAGCCCGCGCTGGTCGCCGTAACCTCGGTTTCCTCCCTGGTGCCACCCCCGGGCTACCCACCAAGGAACAGTGCGTAAAGTGGTACGAAGGGATAGTAGGGTGGGAGGTGGACGCGAGGGAACTGAAGTGGGCCGAGGCGTTCGCGATATACCGCGGCGCGGTCATCATGCAAGGCATTGCTGCCAGATACGCGGCGAGGCAGGCGAGCAGCGAGAGAGCGATGGAGTACGGCAGTGCGATGAGACCGCATGCGGAGATGGCGTGGGAGTTTGTGCAAGAGGTTGAGCGACAGGGGAGGGAGCAAGGCATAAAGGGCAACGATGACTTGAGCGAGAAGGAGAAAGCGAGTGGGCAGGGGTACATGGCGAAGTTATGAGAGGTGTACTTGATGATGATCTTGATCAATGTCGTCTGACCTTCTTCCCATCTACTTCGTGTTATCGTAGCAAGCCACTATTCGAACATCCCATGTCTTTTGCGCGAGCTTCATTGTTCCGCTCTGTATCATCCGTCTCCTTCACTGCAATGTCTCCCCATCCCACCCTTGCCATGTGTTCTCTTTCATCCTCCCCTCACGTCCTCCCATTCAACACAGCATCCCCGAACCTGAACAGGCCAAACCCAGCCACAATGCTCAGCCCAATCGGCAGCGGCTTCTGCGTCTTCAGCGCCCGTGGAAAGCTGCTCCCCGCCAGCACCACGCTCGCCAGCAGCGCTATTTCCGAGCCATAGCTCTGTCGGTTCTGGATACGGTAGCCGCCGAGTGCGTAGAGGGCGCCGACGGTGCAGCCGGCTGCGAGGGAGGGGACGGAGCCGGCGCGGAGGTATCCGATGCTGCCGCCGCCTGCAGTGAGGGTTGCGAGGATGTAGGCGATTTGGGAGAGGGACTGTGGGGTGTTGTGGTTAGCTTGGGGGTTGTTGTGGTATGGTAGGCGGGAGTGGGCAGACCATTGTGTGTGTTGATGTTTTTATCGGACAAGAAGCAGGTTGTGAGATTCAATGTTGTTGTCGTGAAAAGTGAGATGACGTGCCCTTGCTTAGAGACAAGAGGTAACTGCCTATTGCGGTGGCTGTGGTCTGTGCAGGATCTCCAAAATAGCATCGTCTGGGACGATCACAAGCGACGAGGCTGGACCAACATGCAGACAAAGACTTCCGATACGACAATTGAAGACCTTGGTGTTGGTAACGCAATGCATGATTCAAAAAGCTATCTGTGTATGGAGAGAACACATTTCGGCATCGTCTTCAGCTCTGAGGGTACCTCTGCTCGGTCAACCGTTCGCCTTGCAGCGGGGTTGCCCCTCTCCATCACGCGCGAATGGACTGCACATGTATATAGGCTCGATGGTACTTTCCAAGTGTTTAGTAGCTGTGAGAACGCTGTACCGCAAGAATTCTTCGTCCCACGATATACTTTGCAATACGCCTCGATTATAATCGATCTGACGATCAACATGGCCGGCAAGACAGCATATGTGACAGGCGGTGCATCAGGCATCGGCCAAGCAGTGTCCGAGATGCTCGCAAGCAAAGGGTGAGCTATTCTATCGCCTCCTCTAAGCCCTGCGCTGCTGACGAGTCTACCAGCATCAAAGTCTGTGTAGGCGACATGAACCTCGAAGGTGCCCAGAAGACCGCCTCCCAGCTCGGCAACGGCGCCATGGCCGTCCAAGTCAACGCTGCAGACTGGGACTCCCAGCTCGCCGCTTTCGAGAAAGCTGTGGATGCGTTCGGAAGGCTCGACTACGTTTTCCCCATTGCAGGGATTGGCGAACGTGCGGCGATCAAGAACGATCCCAAGGCGACAAGGTTCCAGAAGCCAGACCTGGCCGTTGTTGATGTTGATTTGACTGGAGTGCTGTATACCTCTTTCCTAGCTGTGCAGCAAATGAGGCGGCAGGAGAAGGATAAGGATGGGTTTAGGGGGAAGAGTGAGTGTCGAAAGCAAGATGGCTCTTCGTTAGAAATTGGCTTGCTGACATTTCCAGTCGCGGTGACCGCTTCTGTCTGTGGGTTCTATTGTGTACCAAGTAAGCATTCGTGGCCATTCACTGTCTGCTAGATTTCACTGACCATCTACCAGCCGTGCCTGTGTACACAGCAGCCAAGCAGTAAGCATACCCTCTGTGGTCTTCGTGTTCTGACTGACTCAAGTTCTTCAGCGGCGTCGTCGGTTTCGTCCGAAGCTACGGCAAATACCTGCCAGAAGAAGGAATGACCCTCAACGCCGTCTGTCCTAACGTAGTCCGGACTTCAATCTCAACTCCGGCCTTCTACGACAAGGTCGACGAGCAAGGCGTGCTCACATCGATCAAGGACGTTGTCGATGCCTTCGCCAGCTTCCTCGATACCGATACGTCAGGCGAGTGCATGGAAGTGGGTCCAAATGGTGGCTTTACTCCGAAAGCGCAGGCACCGCATCTGGACAAGGAGACGACCAGTATCCTGAACATGATTGAGCAGAGGTCGCATCGATTGCACGAGCCGGAGCCAGACGCGGGTGTGTAGGAGTAGTAGTAGACGCAGAATGGTTCAGCGCGATGGCTTCGAATCGTCCAGATGACTTGCATGTGCCAGCAGGAACTTGCAGCATGTGAGCGTGAACTTGCACGCCTTGGTCCACTGTTCGTCGGCACCGGTGAAGTTCCCAAGGCGGATGCTCACGTTTTCGATCTTGTCTTTGTGGATAGTGTAAGGTAGCTTCGTAACGTTTGTATCTCCTGCCGCGGCAGAGGTCTGCGATACATGCTCTCCCAGCTGGCGGAGACAATCCAGAAAGGCCACCATGGCGTCGTCGATCCTGCCATGAAAGAGGCCGAGCCCAAGAGATAGGTTGCCACTACTGAAGAGCTCGAGTACAGTTCCCTTGGGCTTACTGTCGGCTGAAGACTGCTGTTTCGAATCGTACTTTACAATCTTGGAGGTAGAGCCCACCGGCACAAGTTTGTAACCTTGGAATTTGTAGTTGAGCTTCTCCGCTACCACGGCCAGGAGAAGCGATGCTTGTCCCCATGCCGCGTTGATCTCCGTCCAGTCTACGGGCTGATCTGGAAGCCTTCCCAGACGCAGTCCATTGATCGTTCCAAAAGAACCATCATGTCCAATCGCAAAGGTATCGTTGTAAACGTTCGTTCGCTGCAGGGCTTCCAAGAGCTTGGTGTCATGCGCGATCTGGACCTGCAGGCTATCCCGCTCCTGCTGGAAAGCTGTTAACTCGGCGGTGAAGGCGTTGCGCTCCTGCCAAAAGCGCTCTTCTTCCTCGTCCAGCTCTTCTGCTTCAGCGTCCAGAGTGGCGATGTCATCCTCTAGTTTGGCTTTCTCGGCTTCCAAAGTTTCTAATTCAGCGAGCGCTTCCTTCTCACGTCGTTGAGCATCTTCCAGGCCACGCTTAGTCTTCGCCCTCTCCTCCTCCGTAGGAACGTCATCCTGTGCTTTCTTCAGAAAGTCGACATAGGCATCCCTTTCTCTGACTACGCCAGCCTGCCGTTTCTGCAACCCATCCAGAACGAGTTCTGTACACTCGGAGCAAATTGGATGATCGATGTCCGACCTTGAAGATAGGATCTCGAACAAGCGAACAACAGTCTCCATCTGCTGTGAGCACGAGTTCTCGTCGCCGTTTGGGACAGGCAAAGATTCAGACTTCTTCGAGCTCGCTTTCTTCTTGGGTGGCGTTCGGGCGGTCTCCTCAGCTCTACCGGGAGAGAGCTGAGAGTCAGAAAGCATGATGAAGGACATGTCCGGAGTCATCTTTGATGCCGCGCGCTGGTTTGATCCGACAGTCCGTTTCTGTACGGGCGGACCGGCGTCTTTGGAGACCTCATCGTACTGTTGCCTTCGTTGCCTTGCTGCTGCAGTACGAGGCTCACTGGGCGCCTTCGGTTCCAGTGCTGGTGCAGCGTCCGCTAGGATATTGAAAGATGCTGGGTTGAGATCTTCTAGCGAGGAGTCTATCTTCAGTGGAGTTCTGCATTTCTGGCAGTGGAGGGTGGCCATCGTTGGAGCATCTCCTTCCCAGAGCCTCAACAGAGATATCCTGATGGTCAGTCTTTTTGACGACCAGAGTGTGGTTGGGCCGACTCCTGTTGCATCGTGCACCTGGCGGCGGGAAGTCAGGCAGCCACATGTTTACTTGAGTCAAGTCGAAGGTGAAGGTCTGCAGGGATCTTCGGATAGCGGGCCGCTTGCCGCTGTGCCGCGGCTCTAATGAATTGGCTGGAACGCGTGAACTAAGCAGTCGCGTTCCAGACGTCACTAGAGGAGGACTCGGAGGACACCACCAGAAGGATGAGTTGGGATGGGCAGCATGGAGATGGCTATAGACCCGCAGCTGACCGGGGAGTCTGTGGTCTTGGAGGACGAGGAGGAGGCGCCATCAGTTGAACAGACACACTTGGGCTACAACCCCCAGCTTGGAGGGGAAGCGAACAGCTACGACGCGCAGTTGGACCACGACCGGCGACAGCAGAGGAGGAGGCTGCAGTCGCGGTTTGAACACATCTTCGAAAAGTACGGCAAGGACTTTGACGGCGTGGGCGACGAGATAGACCTGGAGACAGGCGTCATTGTGGTCGACAATGGACACCTCAAGAATATGCAGCATGAAGCGGATGAAGGCGGCCAGGAAGCCTTGGATCCTCAACTGAGGGAAGGCGGAGACCTTGCTGGCGATGTACCTGGTCTCGAAACCACGGAGAGCGACGGAGACGCCTTAGATGAGGACGACGACGATGAGGGCAGCGCGTCTGGAGACACCTCTATGGACGAGGCCCCAGCCCAACAGGACGTACCGCAGAACATCTTCGACATGCCGTCGCTACGAGAGTCAGTCATGGACCTGCAGTCAAAGCAGAGGCAAGGAGGCGGTATCGATCGAGACGCTATTGAAGCCTTGGGTATGAGCATCGCAAAGCAGCTCACCGATCTTATGTCGCAAGGTGAAAAGACCGGATCTAAGCGAAAGTCCAAGGATGCATGGGCATATCCAGACATCCCACGACCTCCTCCTAAAAAGCGCGCACGTCGCAGCGTAAGCCCGCTTCCTGACTGGCCAGGACCTTCACCCGGCCGGAAAAGTCTTTGGGCTCCTCAGCGTGTTCCAAGGCGCCACAAGAAACGGCAAGCAGAGGAGCTTTCGGCTGAGCAGGCTGCGCAGGCGGAGGCAGGAAGTTCCAAGCCTGAAGACGCCAACATCGTTCCTGAGGAGTCGCTGGGACAGAGCAATTCACGGAAATGCTACAATTGCACGAGTACGAACTCCACTGTCTGGCGAAAGGGGCCTGACGGTCTGATGTGCAACGCTTGTGGGATGTACTACTACAGATATGGCTTGATTCGACCAATCGGACCTGTTGAAGAGAGCGATGAGTCTGCTTCGGAATCTTCTGAGGATGAATCAATAGTCGAATCAACAGCCGAAGAAGACGAGGTAGAATCGCGGTACTCAGCTAACACTTCGAGGCGCCGCGATGAGCTTCCGCAAAAGGGCAGTCCTGTCATGCACGAGGAAGATGTGTTGATCATCAAGCTCAAAGAGATCGATAGACTGTCATGGGAAAGGATCGCCAAGCACTTGCCGGCCAGGACAGCTTATGCAGTCCAATGTCGATACAGCAAGAAACTGCACAATCGACCGGTCGAAGCAAGAGCCACCCTCGCGAACCAGGGTTTCGAGTACCACTACGATGACCACGGCCTTATAGTGTTCACTCCCGCACCAGCACCACAGGTCTTCACTGACGAAGAGGACGAGTTGCTGTTGAAGCTACGTGAAGAAGACAAACTCGACTGGGACCGCGTCGCTGCGTTCTTTCCTACCCGCACACCGCGAGCTTTGCAGCTACGGTTCAACCAACTTGCGAAGAGGATCGTGCGGGAGCAAAACAACGCCAGCGGCAAGAAGCGAAAGCATTCACCAGGCGCGAGATGGAATGTGCCCTACACGGAAGAGGAGGATGAGCTCCTACGAAAGCTGCGCGAGGACGATCAGATGCAGTGGGTCGAGGTAGCGGCCAACTTTCCTGGACGCAATGCTTTGGCGCTGCAGAAGCGCTATGTTCGAGACGTCTCTCAAGCCGCGAAAGAGCGCCATCTTCGCGCTCAGGGAGCATTGCTCAAGGAGGGTGAGAGCATGAGACATCTCCGATACACTTGGGAAGAAGATAAGAAGCTGTTGCATTTGAGGGATCATGAGGGGCTCAGTTGGCCTGAAATCGAACAGAGAATGCCGGGTCGAGCGAGAGAGTCGGTCGAGCGACGGTATCACTACATCTACCAGAGGAAGGAGCACGAGAAGATGTTGCAGAGCATGGCAGCGGCTCATCAGAATGGCGAGGTGTCCGGTCAAGATCATGATGAAGACGGTGCGCAGAGTGATGACGAGTTGCAGCAAGATGATGTTGATGATTCATTCTCAATGCTGACATATACAGAGCCTTCTCTGCAGATGTCCGCCTCGAAGCCGGCGAATGACTCGAACGCTCGAGGTCGCACTGGGAGTCAGCCCATCATATCAGGTTCGAGCTCAGCGCACGATAGCACCGAAGGCAAATCATTACAATCTCGGGCTCGCTCTGCCCCTCCACTCGATGGAGCTCTTCCAGGGACGACTACCGCACTGCGGGCGCAAGTGCCGGCGCCGAAGAAGAAAGTCGTCAACCGCTGGACGAAAGAAGAGGACGAACTGCTTCAACGGCTTCGTGCTCAAGGCGTGGACTGGGACACCATTACGTCGCAGTTGCCCGGGCGTGAACGGAAGAACATACAGAGTCGCCATTCCGTCAAGTTTGGGAACGCTGCACACCACCGGAATCTTCCTGAGAACCAGCAGAAGGATACAAGTCTGCTACGGCAAGCCATGAACAACAACTTGAGAAGGCGCTCCATACCTGATCAGACCTATGTGAAGAAGATGCCAACTCCCACGTTCATAGACCTGACCGGCGACGACGACGAGGATGATCCAATAGTGTTGCACTCCCACACGCCGGAACGTCTGAATAATGCGCCAATCGAGCGAGCTGCTCTGGCTAACTCATTACTACCACGTCTTATTCATGACCGAGCTACAGCGTCTGGATCGCCTAGGAGTGTACACAGCAATCAACAAAATCCGATCTCTGTTCAGCCAAGACAAACGCAGACAAGATTTGCCAGACCAAGCGCGCTCGATGGGCCACCAAAAGTCCCTGCTGTCTTCCGCGAGCCAGGCCTGCAGCTGCTGTCACCCTCCAGCAAGCATCGCGCGCAAAGTACAGCGCCCAGTCCGCCGCGCGGTGCGGCAACGGCACCGGCACCACAGGCACCATCTGCAGACACCGCAGCTCCCTCAGCAACAACTTGGAGCCGCTTCTGTACTCAGTTGGAGGATGCAACTACCTCTCCAGCATTGCTAGACATGGGCCTTAGTCTGTCGTCGAAAGGGAGGACTCCCGTCAACAGCAGACCGACGTCCCGTGACAGCGATGATCAAAGACCGACTTATCCGCAGACGCCTTTGATGAGCGCGCGTAGCTCTCCGCAGCCTTCTGAGAGCTCTTCTGCACAGCCTAGCGTCAACTACTTCACCCCGGCACGTCACACGGCACATTCACATCCGTACTTCGTCGCTCCTCCGGCACCGATGTATATCCCTAGCCAGCAGGAACAGCCTAGCCAGCAGGAACAAGCAGTCTGGACGAAAGATGAACACGTTGAGCACATCGAGCACGATACCACCAACACGAAACACAATCAAGGTCCGCAAAGCGACACCTTGCGCGCACGGAAGGCGGCCAACACTGGAGGCAAGTTGAGGCCCGTCGGGAAGCGTCTGCAAGCTGCAAGGGATTCATCGCACCGGCCTGCTGAATCGGATCGTCATGTGTACAACATTCCAGCACCGGACCCTAAGGAGGTCAACACCAACGCTGGCGGGGTTCAGGCGCCGACCACGGGCGAGACCCAGGAACGACGAACGACCGCGGAACAAGAGACGGCTGCTGAAACCGCCTCGACCCGAAACCCTCCCGCCAGCGTTGCAGCCCCGCACATCGAGCATACGGCGGCGGCAGCGCCAACCGAAGACTGGCCAGAGCTCGTAATCATGGCTCTCAAGTCTACTCACCCGCAACCTATGACGGTCGACTCCATCACAGCGTACCTCGTCGACACCTTCCCGTACTTCGCGCAGACGCCACCGAAGACGTGGATCCCTGATGTGCGTTCAGCGCTGGCAAATCACAACAGGCTATTCAGCAAGGCCGGAAGAAGCGCTCGTGCTACCTGGGCATTGACTGGCGCGAGATACATGCCTGCAATAGACAAGAAAGGCGTAGCGCGCAAGCGTCCGCAGTTCAACTCAGGAAAAGCTCCACAAGCAGCCTCTACGGAGCGCCGTGAGAATTCTCCAAAACCCGTCGATGCTACGCGTTCCAATGGAGATGGTGAGACGACTTCGAGGCCTCGCAGGAACAGCGAGGAAGCCGGTGCGCCCCAAACCGTTCCTGAGAAGGACGAGAGGACTGCTATGGGCTCTGGTTTGGAAAACTCTGCCATCGTGATTGAGGATGACTCTGAACCAGAGGACGAGCCCGAGCTGTCCTCGAACAAGGGCATCTTTACGACGCCAGATCAAAACGAGAGCAGTCCGGCGAGGGCGCTTGTCCACGGTAACCCTTTGGAAGAAGAAGATTCGGCGGCCGCTCCCACTGTGAACGACGATACCGACCAGGAGCCCGACTTCCATGACTCAGCGATCATGCTCGTTGACGACCCCGAAGCGGATATCGAGAAAAAGCCTCAGGTGACCGAGGACGACGAGGAAGACGAGCTGTCGACTGCCATGACATCGATGCTGGCAGCCTCGATCCGCTCATCAACTCGCAAGCCGCCGCAACCGACTCATCTATCTCCGAAAGCCGCGGATGCGGAGCCGCAGGATGATTCCTTGCCGCCTTTGGCCGCAGCACAGATTAGCTCAGACATCGCTCGCGAACCCGAAAGCACACCAGGCCACTATAGCACCCGCTCGCTTCAATCCAAAGGCCCCGGTCTCCACTCCGACAGCTCGCGCGATAGCCCCAGCACAGCCGACGGATCCCTGACATCCAGCTCTCCACTTCTGCACACAACGAAGACGAAGGGCAAGGTGTACAGCCGGACGTCAACACCTGGGACAGACCACTCAGCCGCATCCAGCCGTCCGAAGCACGGCAGAGTGAATGCTCTGAGATCTTCGTTCAGCCGGCAATCGCCCGCGTACCGGTCAAGCAGTGTTGGCATACCCGGAAGCAGGAAAAGAGTCGTGCAGACGCCTATGAGAGATGGGGATGATTCGGAGGATGAATTGGCATGAATGTATTTGCATGAAGCGTATTGATTGGGTTGCATCGGATGAGACGTCATGGTTCAACGAAGGCATTGGGATCTGGTATCGAGACATTTTGGAGCTGAGCATGGCTGAAGACAACCAGCCGCTCTTGCATTGGTATCGGGTCTGTGCAAGTAGGTACTATGAGACATCTGTACTGCTGCGACTAGACTGTTACCATCACACTGGCGTTCTTGTACCATCCGAGCATAGCATTCTCCCCACTCCGCATCTGGGTATCCTCCACATACGCCCATCGTCTGAAGAAGTCCTCGTGTGTCATCACTCGCGTCAATCGGCCGGTGATGGCGCGGTACATATCTTCCATCACGCCGAAGTCGGTGGGGAAGAGGATGTCGAAGTAGCCTTGGTAGACCAGTGGCGTTCGAACCAGGACAGTTCGTCGCTCGTACCGCGTCTGCACGACCGGGGCGTTGAAACCTAATGTAGCCTGAGGCAGCTTGTGAAAGTCGGATGTGATGAGCCGATGCGCTGGGAACTTTGTGCTGAGGATGGAGAAGAACTGCATCAACCTGGTTGGGATGTACTCCGGTAACGTCAAATTCGGAGCAAACGGCAGGTTGTGTCGTATCGCGCGCCATAATTTCGAAGTATGCATGGGGCTTGGATAGTGCCGTCCTTCGCAAGCAGCATCTCGTACGCGCAGAAAGCGCGATGCGACAGGGTCCAGGGTACGAGAGTAGAATTCGTAGAAGTCGCCTTCGGCATCGATCAGGACCGAGCCTTGCATGGCTTCGTTCGTCCTCGGGTCGTATCTAATCACGTCGTGCGCGAAGTTGTCGAAGACTTCCAGTGCGAGGAAGAAGCACGGTGTTGGAACGTAGAGGTCCCAGTCGAAGATGGATTTGTTGATGATCTCGACCTTGTCCGCGTGGCCTCTGCTAGCGGCGGTCGACATCAGATTCTGTTGCTGCAGCTTCGCCAGAGAGGATGATACCTCGATGACGCGGAACTTGGTTCGGGCATAGACCTCAATATCTGCGTTGCGAATGTAGTCCAGGATATTGAGCATAAGCGTACCGTTTCCAGCCCCGAGCTCGTATATTACCAGGTCGTGGTATGGAAACAGGCTGAGCTTGTAATTCGCTACCATGTATCTGGCGATAGCTTCACCGTAAAAGGGTCGAAATAGCTCCGTAGGCGTGTGCCATAGCTGTCGGGTATCGTCCGGATTCTCTTCGTCCAGCTTGTCTTCGAACTCCACGTATCGTTGCCCCAACAGGCGATTGAACTCCGGCTCGTCTCTTATGTTGTTGAAGTCAAACGGCGCTCCCGGTGAGAAAATGGTCGCGTGCTTGCTGAAATAGCCATATTGCGGGTTATACAGGCTGTCCTCGATGAAGTCCCGCATGAGCATCTTCACCCGGCGCGGTCGTTCTCGCCTTCCTCTCAACGCATCTGATGTGACGTTTGGGTATCTCTTGAACTCCTCGACCTTGTCCTGCGGGAAGTGGTCGGTCCTCTGCTGCCATGAGCTTTCGACTGAGCTCTTCTGCTCCTTCTGTTGTCGCGTACTGCGGAGTCTTCGTTGCTGTAGACTGGCTGCCGGTCTGATGTTATGTACATGGTGGCAGAATCTATGGGTCCCGAGCCGACTGAAGAGCCTGGCTATTAGAGGGGAGTCCATGCACGGAGATGATGTTCGAGGTGTCTACGCTGTATAGTTGACATCGAGTGAGGTGGTTGCGGAGCTCTCGGGGGTGCCGCTTGAGCCTCCTTCACCAATATGCCAAGGCCATACTCAACATCACGTCCTTCCAAACCCATCCCTACGGCCTGATGAGCGACATTTAACCGGCAGTGAGCATGTAGCGCATCTGAAGTATAAGATGGCATTCTTCTCAAACCTTTGGCACCGCATCTGGGACACGGTTCTCGACAACCGCAACAAGCTGACAACAACCGGCGGCTTCTTACTGGGCATCATCGCCACGATAGGGTTCAAAGACCTATATCCAGATCTCGAAGCACACTTTCGCCGGCGCATGCGTAATCTGCGAGGTCAGGACATCCCGCATCCTTTACCTGGGCAGCCGGACTATGTTCGCCTCGAAGACCATACAGGACGGAAGTCGAGCTTGATCCCATCATCTGGCGTTGATCCGAGACGCACGACGCAGCATGAGATTGCTATGGGCGTTGAAGGGTTAATAGGCAATACGCCTCTAATCAAGCTGAAGGCGTTGAGCGAAGCTACAGGGTGCGAGATATTAGGGAAGGCCGAGTTTCTCAATGGCGCTGGAAACTCGCCCAAGGACCGCGTGGCACTGTCAATGATCAATCATGCCGAGGAGGAAGGACTGATCAAGCCTGACCGTGGCGACACGATCTACGAAGGCACTGTTGGGTCGACTGGTATCTCACTGGCTGCTGTCTGCAGAGCTCGAGGTTACAAGGCGCATATGTACGTAGAATGTATATATTGTATATCACTTATTCAATCTAATGCTTCACCAGATGCATGCCTTCGGACGTCGCAGTCGAAAAGTCAGATCTCCTGCTCAAGCTCGGTGCCACCGTCGAGCGTGTAAAGCCAGCCTCAATTGTCGACCAAGACCAGTTCGTGAATGCGGCACGAAGGCGCGCCAGAGAGCATACCGACGACCCTAACAAGCCCGGCCGTGGCTTCTTCGCCGATCAATTCGAAAACACCGCGAACTACATCGCCCACCAGAACACGACCGGCCCTGAAATCCTCGAGCAGACCGACGGCGACCTCGCCGCATTCATCGCGGGCGCAGGTACAGGCGGCACAATCTCCGGTGTTGCTCTGGCCCTCAAACCTCGCATTCCAGGTCTCAAAGTCGTCCTAGCTGATCCGCAAGGCTCTGGCCTTTACGTAGGTCCCTAACCTCTCGCCCACACCTCACCCTCTGCTGACCCTTCCATCCTGCAGAACAAAGTCAAGTTCGGCGTCATGTTCTCCCCCACTGAGGCCGAAGGCACCCGGCGTCGGCACCAAGTCGACAGCATCGTGGAAGGCATCGGCGTCAACCGGGTCACGGCGAACTTCAGCGCGGGCTTCCACCTGATCGACGATGCTGTCAAAGTCAGCGATGCGCAAGCGATGCGGATGGCGCGGTGGTTGGTGGAGAAGGAGGGGCTGTTTGTGGGCGCGAGCAGTGCCGTCAATCTCGTAGCGGCAGCGCAGGTGGCGAAGGGGATGGAGAGGGGAGCGAGGATCGTGACTGTGATTTGTGATTCGGGGACGAGACATTTGAGTAAGTTCTGGAAAGAGGCGGGAGATGTTGGGGGTGAAGGGGTGGGGTATTCGTTGGAAGATATCCTAAGCATGAAGTAACAATGAATCAAGAACCTACACTCGTGGTTGGGCTCCGCTGCCATCAGATTCATTCTGAGCTATTGGTTCCTGGGCCTGCCTCTCGTTCGACATATTATACGCAGCTACCGCGGCCAAATCACCACCAGACTGCTGCTTCTCAAGGCGTTGATCAGTGTTCCGATCACTGCTCTGCGTCCCCCGCACTCCCTCTTCATCAGCCATACTCTCGTCGCCATGCATACCCCATCCCCAATCAACTTCCCTCCGCTTCCTGGGCCGGTAAGTCTCATCAAGCGCTCTGCGAAGTTGCTTCCTTGTAAGCCCAAACATCTTCGAGAGTTCACGTTGCGAGCGTGCCTTCTCCGGGGTCAGGCGATGCTCGACGCAGTAATCGAGCGCCTTCTTTGCGGCGCCGACTTGTAGCTGTCTCTTCCGTATCTCATCGTTTTTGGTCATGGTAGTTTGATAGAGGGGAAGAAGGTACAATGCTGTAGCAGAAGGGCCAGAAAGAGAAGCAAATACACGCCTACTTTGGGCCCATTAGTGCGTCGCACCTACCCAACTTGCTCACAACACGTGATTGTCGTGCTGTTTTCGATCACGGCTTCCTAATCGTTTGGTCGAACAGCACCATCACCAGCACATTTTCCCTCATACTCCCGTCAAGTCCTTCTCGCCGTTCACCCTCCTCACACCTTCCACGTCAACAAGCGCCCACGTGCACGCATTCAACCCATTCCCACTTCTCCGGCCCCAGCCTGTACAACCCAGCACGCCCCTTTCCCACCACCACAGCTTCCATTCCGTCATCTGAGGTTACATCGCAACGTAACATCCACCCGCCCCTCGACGCTGATTGGGCACCGTTATCGGGAGGTGTGTAGTAAGGATTCGACTTTCGAAACAATACGACGACGACCCTGATCGACACGCCGCTTGCGTCTTCTGTCCGACGGCGCTAATGACAACAGCGCTTGGCGGGGCGAGTGAGGTGGTGACGGCTTGTTGGTGTCGGTGTCGGTGGCTTGAGGGGTTCTGCGCATTGGGGAAATGGTTGGAGCATGGTCACATGATTATGGTGAACTCGAACCTGAGATGTTGTCAAGGTCGTGAACTTCTTCGATTCGCGATGCGACGCGATGTGCGCCCACCAGTAATATACATTCTAACCTCACGCTTCCACGAGCGTCTCGGTCCATGTCTAGGTAGTAATAGTCGTACATATTCGTACAGCACAGTCAGTCGTCCTCGCCGACGCTGTGAGCCAGCGTACTCCCAAAACACCGCAAACTCCTCGCAAGTCGTCCGTCCCAAGGGCAATACCTTCCCATTCCTTTCACAAAGTCCCGGGGTATCAAGATGAAAGTGTAGCGATTGACGGTGAAAATAGAACTCAGAATGCGCCAAAGCAGATGCGCCTTGCGCAGCCCTCGTCGCGCGTCTCAAAGATTCGATGAACGTCTTGCGCGGCAAGCACCACTAGTCGTCATCATCCGGAGAAGGGTGGTCGTGGCCTTCCCCCTTGTGTACTTTGCGGTGTCGCCGCAGGTTGGAGACGACTGAGAAATGGCGGCCGCAGTTCTCGACGTCGCATGCGAAGGCTGTTCTGCTGTCAGTGAACTGTCCAACGACAATGGATACGATGTACTCACGCTTCTCGCCCGTGTGGCTGTACATGTGCGTCTGAAGTGAACTCGGCCTCGTGAAGCGCTTGTCGCAAATCTTGCACTTGTGCTTCTTCTGCGAGCTCGACGAGACTTTCGAGCTGAACTGGCCCATCATGGTAGAGGGCGCTGGAGGCATGGTACCACCCACGAGTCCGTTGGGTCTCGGTAGAGTGCGAGGGTTTGGAATGTCCATCTCGCTTGCTGAGCTGTAATCGCCGACAGAAGCTTCGCTGACCGAGCTGTTGTAGTACGACGAAGGATATGTGCTGGCGGACGAGATTGAGGAGTGCGACGAGTGTGCCGACGGGAAGCCGTATGAGTCGGTGGAGCTTCGGCCGCTCTGGTGCGCGCCGCCGTAGATGTTCCGCGGGGTGATGTCGGACTGGCTCATGGCAACCATTCCGCGGCTGGCGTCGAGGGCATCACTCCAGCTCTGTCGCTCGGCTTCTGACGCAGTGTTCAGCCTGTTATTGATGTCAATAAGTGATTGCTGGGGCACCGCCTGCGCCTGCGAGGGGTCGTCCATGGCCATGGAGGAGGCAACTGACGGGTGGGAAGTCCGACGATCTGTCTGGTAGCCGTAAGGGGCAGAGGAGTACGGGCCAGAGGTTGCCGCGTAGCTGCCGGACGTGGCAGTCGACGAGTAGGGAGGGGCGTACGGCCTGGAGGTTGTCATGCCATCTTGGGACATCTGTAAGTTGGACTGATTGAAGAGGTCTGGGTCCATGGGAAGAATACCTGATGCCAGGGCAGACGTGGCCATGGGCGCGGTGGAGTAGGCGGACGACACGTTGGGTGTGGGCGGCGCGTAGCGGTGAGAGTCGGTCTGTGGCATGGACGTCGCGTACATGTGACTCTGGTTGGCAGGCGCGCCCGACACCCACGGGTTCGTGAACTGCGGAGGGGCAGGAGCTTGGTAGCGCATCCCTTCGTAGCCCATGGCGTGCGGTTCGTACTTCATGGATTGGAACGGGCCTTGCTGGCGGTTGTCGACAGCCATGGCCATGGTGAACGAGATTGATCAGGAGGTTTAGTAGATGGTAACACCGTGAAGCATTGATTGTCGCCCACACGTGGAGTGATCAACAATGTGAAGATGGAGCTCGAAAACGTGGAGACGATCGAATCTCAGAGATGGGCGGGATCAGCGTGCTTAAGTGCTCCTCTTCCTTGAGCTTGGAAGCATCCGAATAGCAGCAGGCTGTGACACAACGGTGTGGAGTGCTGATCGCTCGAGTCGCTGGGTTTGCACCGGGTCGGCGTCGTCTCAATGGTCGGCACGGGGGATTCCTATGCCACTAATCTATCGGGAGGGCAGCCGGGGCGGGACTGGCAGTCGTTCGGGGCGGTCTAACGCAGGGCCGCCGTCGGCAGTGCTCGAGAGTCGGCGTTTCGCGACAAGCGGGAGCAGGCAGGTGACTGAAGGTGAGATCTCAAGAGGGCAGTGATAGTCGGGTGCGTGAGGATGGCTGTGAAGCGGTTCGAAGCCAAAGATAGAGTTGTTGCTCGCGGTGCGTGTCAGATGGGCAATCAGTGGATCAAGGTGAAGATCGTTGAAGAGTTGGGACAGAGGGGATTTGGGGTGGAACATATGTTATGGCTCGCGGGCGAAACAGAAACAGGTGCGGTCATTCGACGTCATGGGCGCCAGAGAATGCAGGGCCGCAAAAGTGGGTCGGGGTCGGTGATGGCTTGAGAATGGCTGCTGCTGCAGATGTGGAGAAGATTTAGGCGTTCGCTAGCGAGGTCTCACTTGCAGCCATCGAGCCATCTCCCTTATTCCCCTGCACCGAGCGCGGTAGAGGCGCCGGCCTGACAGCGCGGCGAATCATGCTGCTCTTTCTCCTCTTCTTCGAGGCCAAATCTGCCGACGAAACCTGTCCTGTGGACGACAACGAGGACTCATGCTCCAACAACACGGCAAACACACCATGCCCTTACTCCCATTATCCCCATCAAAACGCTGCGATCGAACATCTACCGACTCGCGCATTTGATAATGATTGTGGTGTTCTTATCATAGTTCGCTCTGTGTCTCAGATTCGTCTTCGCTGGTGAACGCTACCGGTGATGAGCACAACGTCTGCTAAAACACTAAAATAATGTTCCAGCACAAGCATCTGCACTGCCTCCCTCATCCACGGGGAACCAGTTTTTGACAACCGGACGGTCGTTTTGGGGTCGTCTGTGCGGTTCTGTGATTTGGCCACTATCACCAGCTAGTGCACGACGACGTGAGATGACTTTTAGCTTAGCGCATCGGCTCCTCATCGCTTCGTGAACCTCCTGCGATATCTGGAAGTAGCTTCTCCGCTGCGCGAGCTGCGCCATTGAGGAACCACCCTCGAGCGGGGTCATGAGCACGAGATGTCGCGCCCATACACCACGATATCCAGTTTCGAAAGGGCTTGCGCAGGGTCTCTGGCAGAGTCAGCCACCATGAGCGGGAGGCTTTGGGGGGCGTTCGAATAGCGTACGCCAAGTTCTAATCTCTGATTCCCCGGCACATCATTTCCGATTCTGAGCGCTGTGAGCGCCACCAAAAGCCATGGCTTGGTTATGCATAGCTCTAGCTCGAGGTTTCGTGAAGCTTGGATGCTGTGGATGGACTCTGAAAACACCCCAGCGAACGAGCGCAAATTGAGTTTGCTCTCCTCCGCACTTACTGTCCGATGACGCGGATCTGTTGCCTCTTTCGTGCTGTGCCCGAGATCTTAACTCGACCTCCTCAGTTTGGTCGAGGTGACATGGTCGTGTCGGTGTGCGTGATGAGTGCTGACTATCCACCAAGGCCGTCTCCTATTCGGCCTGCAAGACGAGTCTACCTTGCTCTGAGCGTCCTGCATCGGCCAGCGTATCTCGGGTCTGTCTAAATCCGTCGACGCGCAAGATGCCGCGTTTCTCTTTCTCCCGAGGTCTTGACATCGAGATAGCGCGGAGCAAGCACCGATTAACTGGTGCAAAGACTGTGCGGCGCTTACCCTGCTGCCGGGGGCTCGAATGTTGGATGTAGCTCTTCTATTACCTGTACCGGCTTGTTGAGATGTAGCAAGTAGATCAACATCGAAGGTCAATCACCCACCAAACAAAGTCGAGCCCGCACGTGGAGCGAAAGCACCGACAAGCACCATCGTGACGATCAGCTGTGGCAGTGAATGTTATTTCGACGACACCTCATCCTCGATCCTCATCTGTGCGAAGATCGCCTGGCTGGGCTCACGAACGAGCAGTCTCCACGCCTTGTCCAACAACACTGTTCTACCATGTTATCAATCGCAATATGCTTACTTTTGCCCAGCCCTCGATCGTCGATTGAAGCGGTCTCTTGGAAGATACGGAATAGCCTACTTGCTTCAAGCCGCTTTCTTGATCAGCTTGGCTATTCTCCTGAAGAGGCGGTGGTGAACTCCAAAGTGCACTTGGCTCATCAGAAGTGGGATATGAGTGGACCATATGTTTCAGTCGACAGAAAGCCGCCCGAGACACCAATGGTCTTTGCTGATTACAATATCATCCGCAGCAGCTTCACGATCTTTGGTAATGAGCTTCCGATGGCAGCAATCTCACATTCGCTCCGGATGGCTCTTGTCTCGCCCGGTGTTGTGGTGCAGGTGAATGCTTGCGTTTAGGTGCTCCCTGCCAGTTGAGGCCGCCATGACTCAGCCGCTACATCGACTCAGCCTGTGACCAAGGTGGTCTCTCACGGCTATAATGAGTGAGAGCGGACAGAGGCATGAGGCATGAGGCATGGTCTGAAGCATCCCTTGGCTGGATAAGAACGGAAGGAGCAGGGCCTCGCAGTTCGAGCTTCGGGCGACAGCTGGAAGTCTTCTTTTTTGATTATATCTGCAGTCTATGACGGCTGGTACCGACGCTCCCCCGGTCAAGCAGCTATGTCTGCGGATAGTTGCAGTGGCCGAGTCTCATTTCAGGCAGAAGGAAAACGCATTCTCAGACCCCTCTACATCATGACCTAGAGACCACCAATCATCGACCGCCAGCATGAGCATGCTTAATCGAGGACCTCCACCTTGCGTTTCTTCGGACTCGCTCCTCCATTACACTCCACTGACACTGCAAATGGTCCTTCCTGTGCAATCTCCGCTGCCACCATGCTTCCAACAGCTTCATCTGCAGGCCTCTTCTTACCGGTCCGCTCAAAAGTGGTGAGAACCTCTCCATTGCCTGCCGGGGTGGCCACTGTCTGTACATCACACACAGCTCCCGCCGTCGTCTCTTTCTGGACATGCATGATGTGGCTGGGCTCGTTAGGCGCAGGTCCGATCACCTGGCCATCTTTTACAACTGGAAAGGCAGCTAGGATGGTGTTGTCGATTGCACCCCACCACCTCGAGAACTTGGAATACCAGTCAACAGTTGCTGCCAAGCCAGTGTCGAATGTCACACGCTGAGTCCAACCCAGTCTCCGCAGCTTCGAGCCGTCCACTGCATATCGCCGGTCGTTGAACGGGCGGTCAGGAGTCCACTGGATCCAGGATTCCATGTTGGTGATACCAAACATGCCCAATAGCTTTGTAGCCAGCTCGAAGTTAGAGACTTCGTCCCGCGAGTCGACGTTGTAGATCTCACCCAGCACACCTTTGTGGAGTATTGTGTCGAATGCGTCGACTGCATCACCAGCGTACAGGTACCGTCTGGTGTGCTTGCCATCGCCGTGGATGAACAGCGGCATCTGCCGTCGAAGAAGGTTGGTGAACTTTGGTATTATCTTTTCAGGATACTACGAACAATCAGCATTTCTCTGCTCATTACTCAGAGATGCACTCACCTGATGCGGCCCATAGATGTTGTTCAAGCGAATGACGACGGCAGGTATCTTGAAGCTCTTCGCAAAAGCATTTACCATCATCTCCGCAGAAGCCTTCGTGGCCGCATATGGGTTTGTGGGCTTGAGCAGGCTGTGTTCTTTAAGATCTCCTTGTCCCGTCTCGACCTCTCCAAACACCTGACAGACGTTAGCACTTCTCGTGAATCTTGCGGACGAATTCGCTGACCTCGTCTGTAGAGATGTGGTAAAGCCGCCGCACCGTGTCGACCTTCCTCACACTCTCCAACAACACATGTGTCCCGAAATCGTTGTTCACATTGAAAGCATACGAATTGCCGAAGCTGTTGTCCACGTGCGTATGAGCTGCGAGGTGGAAGATGGTGTCGATCTGATACCGCTTGAGACACTCAACAACATCATCCTCGTTTGTCACATTTCCATGGACGAAACGGAAATTGGGCCGACTCTCAAGCATCCGAGCGTTATGGCGAGAACTGCAGTAATCGAGCTTGTCGAACGAAATCACCGTGTACGCTTCAGGATACTTCGTCACCAGGTGGCGAACGAGCCACGAGGCGATGAAACCTTCGCCGCCCGTCACCAGGATATTATGGACGTCTGGTAATGGAGGGAAAGATCCTTTGCCAGTGAGGATCGGTGCGTTGCGCCATAATCCATCGTCGGCGAAGAACCTGGACCCGAGACTGCGAGGCCCTACGTTGAGTGTCAGTCTTCCTTGTTCCAAAGAACCAGCTGTGGTGTCACCTTTCGTCCCGGGGTGGTATGCGTCTGCCCGCATGGTGCGTACCTCGACAACGCTCACACAGAGCTTCCACCGGAGAAGAAGTGAGCATGGAGACCATAAACTCGAGCAGATCGCAAGGGATGCTTAGAGTCTTTTCTGCTGGAATGCGCGCAGAATGTTCCTCTCGTGGAGATGTCATCGTCTGAACACCTCTCTCGACAAGCAAAGAAACAATGGCGACTGGGAGCTCTTCTAAAGAGGCTCTTGAGGAAAATGAAGACCACTATGTTGATGCCGAAGAGAAGGGTTTTCTCTCAGAGGAGTCTCATCCCTCAACGCCGCCCAAGGAGAGAACAAGTCTCGGTCCCAGATTCTGGCTCAGCGCCGGCATCAATACTGGCGCTACAGCTGCTATCGTAAGTGGACACTATCTGCACGCAAGCGACATGCTAACTTCACTCCCAGATCTTCGTAAACAAACACATCTTCGAAACGCAATCCCTCCGCCACGCCCAAGTCACCTTTGCCGCCTTCGTACGCCCGAACCCTCCGTACATCTAAGACATCGCTGACTCCCATACCCACAGCACTTCGCCGTAACATCCGCCCTTCTCTTCCTCGTCTCCCGCCCCAGCATCGCCATGTTTTCGCCCAAGCGCGTCCACATCCTCCGCATCCTGCCCCTGGCTCTGGGCATGATCTTCAACGTCGTCCTGCCCAACGCCTCCCTTGCTTACTCCAGCATCCAGTTCTACCAGATCATGCGGGTCCTGGTGACGCCTTGCGTGTGCGCGCTGAACTTTATGCTGCTGGGGCAGGCGACGCCAAGGGTTGCGGCTGCGACGTTGGTGCCGGTTTGTGTTGGGGTGGGGTTTATGAGTTATTTCGATACTGTGCCGACCGGGGGTGCGCAGACGAGAGGGACGACGCCGTTGGGTGTGGTGTTTGCTTTCGCGGGAGTGTTTGCTACGGCGGTGTATACGGTTTGGATCAAGAAGTATCATGCTGCGCTGGAGTGTACGAGCATGCAGTTGCTGCTGAACCAGGCGCAGGTCAGCGTGCTCGCGATGTTGTACATTGTCCCTTTCGCGGATGATGTGACGGTGTGGCACGATGTAGGAGGGTCGACCATTTTGCTGATACTCTTCGTGAGTACTCCTTCGACCACCCGATCAGAGACATACTGACGACAGTCAGAGCGGAGCATTGGCCTGTCTCATCACCGTCACCCAGTTCGTCATCATCCACGAAGCGGGACCCGTGAGCAGCACAGTGGTGGGCCACTTCAAAACCTGCCTCGTCATACTGCTGAGCTGGGTGTCTGGAAGAAAGACCTTCAGGGGTGGAAGTGTGGTTGGCATAGCTCTGGCGCTGGGCGGAATCATATCGTGAGTCTTCTGTCCTCATGATATCCAAGATGACCGCTAACGGCTCCCGAGATACTCCGTGATGATGCACAAGCTGTCGAAGCGATGAAACGGCAGGAGCGAGTGGACGGACGCTTTGCAGGTTACAGATATGCCAGATTACCCCTTGCTTCCTGCGCAACGCAGTCGGGTGGAGACGGAATGCGAGAGAACTATTTGTATCGTCAGCGCAATCTGATAACATTGCATCCCGCATACCACAACCAATCCACTGACTCAAATCGAAACCTACCTGTTACTGCCAGCCTATCCTATCCACAACGACATCGCCGCAGACCATACACCAACCAAGCAGCCTACCTGCGCAACTAGACCATTCCCATCTCACCACCAATCCCCCCCTAATGGCCAACCCCGAAACCTTCCTCATCTGGGGCGCCGGCGGCTGGATCGCGGACCTCCTAACCGCCCACCTCCGCGCCCACTCCCGCACCGTCCACGCCACCTCCGTCCGCCTGCAAAACATCCACCAAGTCGGCGCCGTGCTCGACGAAATCAAACCAACCTGCGTGATCAACTGCGCGGGCAAGACCGGACGTCCGAACGTCGACTGGTGCGAGGACCACAAGTTGGAGACTATCGAGAGTAATGTCATTGGTGCCCTGGTGTTGGCGGGGGAGTGTGCGAAGAGAGGGGTGCATTTGAGTGTGTTGGCTACTGGGTGTGAGGGTCAATCTTCATTTAACGTCGTGTTGAAAAAGTGGTGATGGTGACTGACGTACGCCCAGGTATATACTCATCCGAGTACTCACCCGACCGCAACACCCTCCTCTCCGCCCCTTTCACCGAGTCCGATCCACCAAACTTCTCCGGATCCTTCTACTCTCTCACCAAAGCCCACACCGAAGCCCTCCTACTCCACTACCCATCCACACTCATCCTGCGCCTCCGCATGCCCGTCTCCGACGACCTGCATGCCCGGTCTTTCGTCACGAAGATCAAATCATACGCCCACGTTGTTAATGTGCTGAATTCGCACAGCATCCTGCACGACCTCTTACCGCTGATCCCGCTGTTGGCGGAGCACAGAGAGACCGGGGTGCTGAACTTCACGAATCCAGGCGCAATAAGCCATAATGAGGTTCTGGAGCTGTATCGGGATATCGTGGAGCCGGGGTTCACGTGGCAGAACTTCTCGCTGGAGGAGCAGGCCAAGGTTATCAAAGCTGATAGGAGTAATTGTGGGTTAGACGCGGGAAGGTTGATCGGCTTGGTGGAGAAGTATCGGAAGGAGGGTTCCCAGGTGGAAGTGCCGGAGATTCGAGAGGCGTATCGGGGGTGCTTTGGACGGATGAAGGAGGAGATGCAGTCGAAAGCAGGTGCAGGAGTCGCTTGAGGTAACGAGGACCGGTGACGTCGGGGTTACATCTTCTTCTCTGATAGTAGAGATAGCCATGTACAGTTCTCCTCTCATTGGCTTCAGTCTGCTGCGTCTGCGGCTTCTTCTTCGGCTTCTTCAACTGCTGCTTCGTCCCTTGGCCTTTTACAGAGTTTTGCGATGCCGTAGAACATATCGTCGAGGGCCTTGTCGCTCACTGTCTCGGAGGTGGTGCCGTTCGCTTTGTCTAAGAGAGCTTGCGTATGTTTTGCTGCCCTGCTCGTAACGGAATGCACGTTTTGCTCGTCTCGCGTTATCCGGAGCTCGTATGCCTTCAGCCGCTGCTGATCCTGTGCTCGGGCATCGAAGGATACCACAACCATCGAACCCGTCGCAACGACCTCTAAAATTGTGTGGTCGAATCGTTCAAAGCTCCACCGTGGCTGTCGACCAGGCGCGCAATCCCGAAGCTCAGAGACAGGGCAATACGCAAGGACCGACATCTTCTCACAAGCCACGATAACCACGCCCTCAACGTTTCCGTCCAGATCAGCTGGCACGAGCCAGATGCCCGAGACAGCGATGGGGGGTGCCAGGCTGTCTCCTTGCGCCTGTCGAAAGCTGTCGCCAAAGGACTCGACCTTCCATCGTAGTGTAGAGCTCGGCCAGTCCCAAACCCCGATCCATTCGTCGCCACCACCACTCACTAGTAAGTTAGTCGACGGAATGGCGAGGATCTTGCTCACGAACTGCGTATGGCCAAGACAGTAACCTTCGATGATATGCGATTGTGGTGGTGCTCTGGAAAGGCGGATGTGCTCGTCTCGATCTGCGGTGATGATGTAGCCTCTCTCCTTGCCGTCAACATGACAGGATGCGTATGTCAAATCGGTGAGCATGGAGACGTGGCCGAGTAAGAGCTTGTGCTCGAATGCGAGGGGCTGCTTGGTCTTCGGGGTAAGGTTCTTCTGCTTCATCTGGGATTCCAAGGACTTGAGGTTGCGCTTGGTGTGGACAGTTTGGGTGGTGGCAGATGGCTTGAAAGAAGCCTTTGTTTCGTTTGAGGGAGTCATAGCTGGCGATTCTATGGTTGCTCGTTCTTGTGCTTCAGGTTGCAGTTCCGGGAGCAGAGGGAGACCGTAGACGTCGCCAAACTTGTCGCCACACAAGATTGTTGAATTGTCTGGCAGGACTTGGATGGCACATGGCCGCTTCGGCATAGCTCGTTGCGTCAGCTCGACAAGCTTCCCATCGTCATGAACTTCGAAGACCCGCACGTTCTTGTCGTCCGTCACAGCGACCGCATGGCGGCCGTCAGACGAGGAGGTGAGCTTGATGATATTCGGAGCACCCGTGGCTGATGATGCTGCTGTCTTCTGCTTCTTTGCTGGTGGCCCGTCGGCATCCTCTCCCGTGTCCGCAAGCTTTTCCTTGCCGGATGTCTCACCAGTCTCGCCGTTGGCGGTCCATGTCGAGGCTACTTCTCCGGTCGTCAAGCATATTGACGATAGCCTGGAGCCGCAGGCTGCTGCCAGGTATTCTCTCTCAGCGGTGGGAGGCTTGATCACCTGGAGGCATTGGAAGGGGTGGGTCATGTTGAGGTCTCATATGCCTTCGCATCGAATGAAGTCCAGACAAGAAAAGTTGTGGTGGCAGATACCTGCATAAATTAACTCCGCTAACACCGCCATGCTTCAGCCCTACGAGCACAACAACGTGCCAAGGCCGTGATTAACTGTGCTTTCTGTGGTCGTATCGCAACCAGACTTCGCATGTGATATCAACGGTATATGAGGATCCTAATGCGGATGTGTTCACTTGCCGAGAGTGGTTGTTGCGGCAAGGAAACGTGATGGAAGCAGGGGGAAGCAGGACGAAGTGCACGGACGTTTATTCCGGGACGCTTGACGCAGGTGAAGCCTTGTCAAAACTTCTGAGTTGAGGGCCATCATCCCCTCTCACACCTCTCCCGTCCACTCTACCACTCATACACCTTTGGACGACTTGACCTTACCAGTCGCTTCTTTGAGACCTCCTCAGCAGCACGGTGAGTACCCTCGAAAGGCTGGAGTGAGGCTGGCCGCTCTTCGGAGCTGCTTAGATAACGCCCTCTCACATGAGGCCACCCTTCCACGCGCTTCTGCAGGTTGACCATGCTGACATGGGCAGGCTCAAACTTGCCAGCACCTCAGCAAACTTCTCTCCGACGCAATCAAGAACTTGACATCTCCCAAACAAGGCTTGCGATCAACGACCACGGCAGCCTGGTATACCACATCTTCGCCCCTTCTCTACTCCGCTTTTAGCGACCCGCAAACATGGTGAAGGACACCAAGTTCTACGACGCGCTGGGCGTCTCACCCGACGCCAGCGAGGCACAGCTCAAGACCGCATACAAGAAGGGCGCACTGAAGCACCACCCCGACAAGAACGCACACAACCCAGACGCCGAGGAGAAGTTCAAGGAGATCTCAAAAGCCTACGAAACCCTAGCAGATCCTCAAAAACGCCAGCTATACGATCAGTATGGCGAAGAGGGTCTCGAGCAAGGCGGCATGGGCGGTGGCGGCATGAACGCTGAAGATCTCTTCTCGCAATTCTTCGGCGGCGGCGGCGGTATGGGAGGCATGGGTGGCTTCGGTGGCATGTTTGGCGGAGGCATGAGGGACACCGGTCCCAAGAAGGCGAGGACGATCCACCACGTGCACAAGGTCTCTCTTGAGGATATTTACCGCGGCAAGGTTTCGAAGCTGGCGCTGCAGAAGAGCGTCATCTGCCCCAAGTGCGACGGCCGCGGCGGCAAGGAGGGCGCGATGAAAACTTGCACAGGCTGTAACGGTCAGGGTATGAAGACGATGATGCGCCAGATGGGTCCCATGATCCAGCGATTTCAGACTGTGTGCCCCGACTGCAATGGCGAGGGTGAGAGCATCCGTGAGAAGGACAAGTGCAAGCAGTGCAACGCGAAGAAGACGATCATTGAGCGAAAAGTGCTGCATGTGCACGTCGACCGAGGTGTCCAAAGCGGGACGAAACTCGACTTCAGAGGCGAGGGTGACCAGATGCCGGGAGTTCAGCCGGGTGACGTGCAGTTTGAGATCGAGCAGAAGCCACACGAGAGATTCCAGCGCAAGGGTGACGACCTGTTCTTCCATGCCGAGATCGACCTCCTGACTGCCCTGGCTGGCGGCGCAATCTACATTGAGCATCTGGACGAACGATGGCTGACAGTCGACGTCATGCCCGGAGAAGTGATCTCACCAGGTAAGCTACCATTTCCAACTTCAATGACCACGCAGTTGCTAACAAACCGCCAGGCGAGGTTAAAGTCATCCGCGGCCAAGGCATGCCATCTTACCGCCACCACGACTTCGGCAACCTCTACGTGCAATTCGACGTCAAGTTCCCAGAAGCCATCAGCGGCCCACCAGGCGAAGACGGCTACCCCACCTCGATGACAGCGCAGCAGATCAAGGCTCTCGAGAGCGTACTGCCGCCACGGAAACCACAAGCGATCCCACCGCCAGATGCGATGACCGAGGACTACGCCCTCGAGAAGGTCGACCCGATGTCAGAAGGTCAAAGAGCGTCGAAGATGCACATGGATGAGGATGAGGATGAGATGGGCGGCGGCGAACGGGTGCAGTGCGCGAGTCAGTAAGAGGAAGACGATGAAGTAGGGAGGTTGAGCGCATTCGGGGCCTCCAACGACAACAGCTGGGCCTGAAGGACGCACAAGGAGCGGATGCCCGTTGACCGGCGTCCAATGTTCTGCGCTTTTAGTGCGGCCGTGATGATTTACATGGATAGAGCATCGTGCATCTGCACGATATCATGAGCATTGCTGTGTAGCAACTGGCGTTCGGTAGCGTGGCGAGGAGGCAGATTGTGACCTCTTGCTTAATGGCTCTTGTTTACATGCTAGAGTGGATCGAGCGTATGTCTATGAAAGTTCTTACACATGCCTTGTTATCAAATCCCACAAGTTGGTTGTGCTATGATGAAGCTTTCTCACACCTGCCTAATTTGGCATATCCACCGCATCAGATGAATGTAAACACACAACGGAATCAAAAAACATGCCATCCTTCGAGAGACAGCGACGGCAATGGCCACACCTCGTGACGATATACACTCATACTCCCTGACATCCGATGACTCTCAGCAGACCATCAATGCTGCTCTCAACATTTTGAGACCACACATCCCCGTCTCCCTTCCTTTATACCGACGACTTCAGTTTGGCCGCTTCTTCGATGCCACAGCCTTACTCACCAACCTCAACCTGGACGGACAACCGAATAGCGCTCCCAACGGCACACCCAACCGCATTACCGGCAAGCAAGAACACAATCCTCAAAACGACCCCTGGCTCCTCGCCTTCGTGGACCGCTCATGCCGCCCCGAAACCGAAGTCTGGCTCTCCGCCTCCTGGGACTCCCAACCCTCACCCCCCATGCCGGACCAAGAACCCGCCATCGACGCCCTCATGACCTCCCTCCTCCAAACCCTGGCATCCCTCCTCATCCCTCCCTCCATCCACGCCCCCGCAGAGGCCCCCGCCAACGGCACGAAAGACAGCGTCGGCCTCACGCACTCCGACTACGCCACCCACGCCTCGGATCCGCGGATAATGCTCTGGGGCGCCATCCACGCTTACACCGTCCCCGTCCTTACGAGATTGGGACACTTGCCGAGGAGGTTCGAGACGAGCGTGATGCCGAATCATTGCTTTATCTTCGACGTTCCCACATTACCAGCATACGAGAAGCGTTCGCTAACCCCGGGGCTGAGATGGGGAAAGTTGGGGCGACAGCACTTCCCGCTTGTGAGATCAAGGACGCAGATTCCGAGGCAGGATAGGACGTTAGCTGTTCTGCCTAACTTGGCGATCTTTGAGGGGGATGTGCCGGTGGCGTGGGCGTTCATTGGGCTCGATGCTAGTCTCTCGACTTTACATGTCGAGGAACCTTATAGGGGGCAAGGGTTGGCGAAGGCGCTGACGACGAAGTTGTTTCGGGAGGAGATGGGGCGGTTTTGGAAGGATGGCGGGGAGAATCTGGCGCATGGGTATGTGATTGATGGGAACAAGCAGAGTGAGGGGATGTGTAGGAGTTTGGGCGGGAAGAGTGGGTGGTGGGTTTATTGGCTGAGAGTGGAGTTGGGGGAGGGACAGAGCTGATGCATGCAGAAGGCCTGTTGAGTAGTGTTGGCGATGCTGCGACGATCTAGAGTTAGACAGACGTAGAGGGTGATAAATGGCCACACATGCACGAGAACGAGAACTTTGGGATTGCGAGCAGAGGCTTCCATTGGAAAGGACTGCTACACTAGGGATGCATGTGACAGTCGCAGATCTTGATGGTTGCAGAAGCACAAGGTTTGACATTTCTGACTCTGTCTAGGCCTTGCCGCTATGCTGAAGTCCGCACCCACGCTTAGTCGAAGAGACCGAAGCCCATGTCCTCATCCGACGCCTCCTCTTCCTCTTCCTTCTCAGCCTCCTTCGCCGGCGCAGCAGCCTCAGTCGCACCACCGGCGGCAGCGACTGGCGCAGCCGAAGCGTAGGCGTCGGGGTTGGCGACACGGTCCTTCAGCTCATGAATCGCCTCCCACTCGTACTCCGTCTCAAGCGCCACAGAGATCATGTTCTTGTAGCTGTTGACGACGCTGTGCATCACACTTGGAAGAGTAGGGAAGTTCATGGCGAGCGAGATGGAGGCGATCGTGGTGATGGCGGAGGAGAAGGCCTTGAGCAGCTGGGACTCCTCGATGTCGAGCACGCTGGAGTCGAAAGTCTGTCCCTGGTCGTAGATTTGGGCGATTCCCATACCGTACGTGAAGGGCGAGATGTTGAGCATGTTCAGGAGGGTGGCTTCGGACGCACCGACCTTGCTGCCGGCCTGGACGAGCTTCAGATCCGACGTGATTTCGATGGTACCACGCGCGATCTTGGTCGGGACACCGAGAGCCTGGAAGAAAGAGGTCTTGCCGGGTTCCATACCAGTGTTTCCGGCCGGCACGAACACATCAGCTGGGGCGACGGCACCAGCACGGGCTGGAGCAGCGACACGGTTGGCAAGAATCTTGTCGCGGGACTGCTTCAGGTCGGCATTGGTGAAGACGAAGCCGACATTGCCGCGGACGTGTGGGAGGAGGCGCTCGTACTCGGGGTAGTCGTTGATGAAACCCTTGAGGGCACGGCGGACCTGTGTGGTATACCCATTAGCCCTTTGTCCCTTTCGCTTGTGGATTCGTTCTCTTCATACCATCGTGTTCTTGCCCATCAGCACGACGCCCTCGCCGCGCAGGGACTGGCGGATCTCGTGCATCTGCTGCGACGAGACATTGTCGACGGTGACGATGAAGACGCTGTGGTACTCCTCGAGGAGGCCCTTCAGCTTGTCGAAGTAGCTGGCCTTGGATGCAGTTTTGCCCCCCATAGCGTCTGAGCGGTATAGGGTCCGGTGATGTGGTTTAAGGCTGACTTTGGTGTGGATTGGGTGTTCAAGAAGTCGTTGCGCTGAAGTGGTACACGTTGGAGTTGCGATTTTGCTGGCGTCTTTGTGGGCGGCAGGTTGGCCGAGGCCGAAGTCTTGGCGTTCTTCCTCCTGACTGGGTTGAGGCTCACTTCACTTGCTCGTCTTCTTCACCTTCGTCAACACTGCTCTCAAAGATTTCACAAAGCCAAGGGCAAGAGTAACTCATGTGCTTGTCATCAACGACCAGCAGACCATCTAGGAATGTGAGCTACGGCTCATCTCGAGAACTACCCCCGCCCGCTATACAGGGAGGAAGACCGATGCCGGTAGCTGTTTCTCCAATATCTCTTCCCTTCACACCCTTTCCTAGACAAAGCTTCCTATAATACCAAGAAAGACTTCTCACTATAGCCCTCGCGCTATCGACTGTAGCACTCCTAGCAATAATGCCTGTCAGCGCCATCGATTCCTTTCTCTTCAAGAATCTCTTCGGCACCGAGCAGATACGAGCCATCTTTGACGACAAAGCATACATCCAGCGATGCGTCGATGTGGAAGTAGCTCTGGCAAAGGCACAAGCCTCGCTCGGGGTCATCCCCGAGCACATTAGCCAGCAGATCGCAGCCGCGTGCAGTGATATCAAACTGGACTACGACCGACTCTCGGACGAGACAGAAATCGTCGGCTACCCCATCCTCCCCCTGGTTCGGCAAATCTCCACCGCCTGTAGCGAGGAAGCGGGGAAGTATGTTCACTGGGGCGCCACCACCCAAGATATCCAGGACACGGCTTCTGTCCTCCAGATGCGAGATGGCCTGCTTGTCGTGGAGGAAGTGTTGGAAAGCCTCATCTCCACCCTGACCTCCCTGTCCTCGAAATACAAAGACACTCCCATGGCCGGCCGCACCCACCTGCAACACGCCCTCCCCGTAACATTCGGCTATAAAACCGCCATCTACCTCTCCAGCCTCCAGCGGCACCTCGACCGCCTACACCAACTCCGCCCCCGCTGCCTCCTCGTCCAGTTCGGCGGCGCAGCAGGCACTCTCGCCTCCCTAGGCTCAGAAACCGATATCGGACTCCGCGTCCGCAAAGCCACGGCTTCCAACCTCAATCTCCACGACCCGAGCATAACCTGGCACAGCGCCCGCGACGGCGTAGCAGAAATCATCAATTTCCTCGCCCTCGTAGGCGGCACATTAGGAAAGATAGCCATGGATCTAATGATCATGTCGTCGAACGAATTAAACGAAGTCAGCGAGCCCTTCGTCCCACACCGCGGCGCCAGTTCCACGATGCCGCAGAAGCGAAACCCCATCTCTTCGGAAGTCATACTCGCGGCATCCAAAATCCTCCGCGCGAACGCTGGGTTGTGTTTAGACGCGATGATAACGGATTTCGAGCGGGCGAGCGGGCCGTGGCATCTCGAATGGGTCGCTGTGCCGGAGTCGTTCGTGGTAGCGGTCGGAGCGCTACGGCAGACTGATTTTGCGTTGGGCGGTTTGGTGGTGAATACGGGCGCGATGAGGGAGAATCTGGATTCGACTATGGGGTTGATTGTGGCGGAGGCGGTGATGATGGAGTTGGCGAGGGTGGTGGGGAGGCAGAGGGCGCATGATGTGGTCTATGAGGCTTGTAGGGATGTGATCGAAGGGGAGAGGGGAGCGACGTTGTTTGAGGTTTTGGTGGGGAAGGAGGAGGTTACGGCGGCGATTGAGATGGAGAAGCTGAAGAGCTTGTGTGAGCCGGCGAACTATCTGGGTGCTGCTACGAGGATGGTTGATGATGTGCTTGCTGTGAGACAGTGACGAGCGGTTGAACTAGTATGCCAGCAGAGGTCGACACGCAGCATCCGAAACCGTCCGCCAGCGCTAAGCCACGAGCGAAATTCAAACACGCAGATCAAGGGGTGCAGGGTATCTTCACTCCAGCAACCACTCCTCCCTCCAGAAGTCAACAATATTCTGGCAGTCCTGCTCGCCCACCAGGTCCCGCAGCCGCTTCAGTCTGTCCATGGAACCGCCCTGCACGAACTGGCTACTCAACCCATTGCTCGACTCCCACGCTCCACTCATCTGTGACGACATCCCCGGCACCAGTGGCGAGCTCGACTCCTGCTCAGCCGCGACCGCCGTGCACGCCGTCGCAAGATCTCTCAAATCTCTGAACAGATCCGAGAGCACAAAAGCGGTATGCTGCGCCATGGGCGGATTGGCGGTGCAAAGCTGCAGAAGCTCGAAGGTCGTCGCTGCTGGTTTTGGCTTCAACGGTGACCGGCTGAGGTTCGCCATGTGGCGCTTCAGCAAAGCAGGGAGAGCTTCAAGGTTGCTCAGTGGTAAGGTCGGTATGTGCGGGATGGAGTCGTCGCTGAGCATTTCGGCTTGAATTTTGGCGTACGCGTGTACGCCTTCGAGGTTCGTGTTGCCGGATTTGGTACCGGGGGCGAAGTACTTTGCGGACACGAAATTCGAAGTCTGCGGTGGATTCAGGAGGAAGGTGATGGCGACGTCTTCGCCGCCGGTCAGGGAGGCGAAGTGGGCTATGCGTTCGAATGTCGCAGTGAGCTTGGTTTCGTCGATGGCCGAAGGTGCGAGCAGGAGTACCCGGAGGCGACGTGATGAAGTCGTGTTCCTACCGCGTGGATCCGTTGTTGAGCCGAAGGGGATCTCGAGGTCGTGCGTGACGATGTTGTTTTCTAGTCTCATCAGCGGAGTGCATGCTGAAGTTCTTTTGTAGACGTACCGCGGAGATCCAGATCTGACTGAAGACTGTGTATACCTGGCGCAAACGACGAGCGTCTGCGGAGCGATGTCGCGAACATGCTGCGGGTGGAGAGGCTGTACGCAGTGAGTTGTGGTGAAGGTGAGGGAAGAGGTGAGGTGAGGCGAGGCGAGGTCTGAAGCTGGGTCGTGCCTGCCATCTTTGAGTCTAGGATCCTCGATATGTACAGTCCTTCGCTATGCTATGTAAATGCTGTTCAATCCGTGGGGTATCATATGTATACAACAGAATGGAGTTACAAGATGCCCGTCATCTCTCTTTCTTTGTAGCTGTCACAGAATCGACGCGTGCTGGTGCAGGCGCGGCAGTCCCTTTCGCATCGCCGTCTCCTGACGCCTTCGCTACAGCGGCCTTCGATGCTTGCGAGTCCACCTTGATAGCCTGCGATGAAGACCCAGGAACATTGCCAGGAATTTTCCCTCCTTGGGCGTGCTCCACCTCCCCAGGTATGCCCTCGTCGTCCTCATCATCAGGCAGATCTGGATCAGTTCTCCTCCACCAACCAGCCGGGTTGTACCACGAAGTCTTGTTCCTGGCTTCTCTCGACTTCTTGATCTTCTCGTTCAACGCCTCCAGCTCAGGCAGGTGATGTTGCTTTTGCAATGTCTCCACCTGCGCTTCAAGGGCATCTAGCCGCTCTTCGACTTCATCCCGCCGTTGACTCCTGTTCCTACTGTTCCTGTAGTTCTCCAGAAGCAGCAGCGTGACCGCGACCCCAAAGATGAAGGTCTCGGAAAAGAAGTTGGCGCCCAACTCTATCGCACGCGCGTCGCTCAACGGTCGGATCTTGATCTTCTGTGCCTTCTCTTTCTCCTTTTTGGGCTCCTTGTCTGCCCGATCCTTCTCGTCCCGTGCTTGCTGCTCGTCGTACTTCTTCTGCTCGTCGGCTGTCCTCACCGTGGGCGTTTCTGCTTTCTTCTTCTTCTCTTCTGCGGCTCTCTGTTCGCGATCGTGCATCCGTTGTTGCGCCTCTGGATCGTGCAGGAGTCCGAGTCGTAGTCGCATGTCAATGCGATGCACCCTTTGCGCCGACCCAATGGCAAACCGGCGAAAGCCTTCATGTTCTTTGGCTTGACGCTTGATGTAGTTCTACAGACGCCTTGTCAGTATACTTAATCACCAGTGCGAGCCAAAACCGACATGAAACCTACACCTATGGGCTTTGCTACAGTCCGAATCCCCAGCGACAGGAGCTTGAATGTGAGAGACATGTTCCAATTAGTGTTGCGGCCAGAGGTCGGCACCTCTTAGACCGGGTTTTAGTTGTTCAAGTCATGTTGTCTGTCAAGAGCAATGCGTCTGTTGACATTGTCTTCCGAGTATTTCCACAGGTCCCTCTCGGGCTCAACGATGCCTGCAACGCCCGAGCTGCGCTGAGGTCGGGCGGATTTAAACGATTCGCAGTGCTTCCAGCAACTCACAGGCGCATCATTTGACCAGGAGCGCAGTTGCTGCAGGAGCTGGTCTATTGCTTCTCGTCATAACAACAGGAGTATCGAGTATTTACCGTCTCTTCCAACTTCAGTCCTCCCACTCGCCATCACCAAGAATCAATCCACGTGATACGTCGATTCCACCTCGAGCGAATCACAGGCTAAAGTCATCAAAAACACCAAAAAGTCTCCGTTGTTGTGCAGCTGGCCCACCTGGACGCGCTGCGCGGGAGGCTGCATACAAGTAACCAGGGCATCCCATTCTACTGCAGCTGCATGTTACACGTACATTTGCGCGTGGTAAACAACTTCAACCATGTCTTCTCAGACACCCCGTCAGAGACCCGGACTCGCGCGCCATACCTACTCGACCAACGGCTCTTCACCTGCGAACAACAACTTTGGTTCCAGCACGTCAGTCAATCGAAAAGCGAGTTACCAGGCTTTGACAGGACAACCGTCGCCGGATCCGCGCACGCCTGCTGCGAAGATGGGTGGTGATCTGGAGGTGGGAGATGCGGTCAATGTGCCGGGAGAGATGTACGGGGTGGTGAAGTTCGTGGGCAGTGTAAGAGGGAAAAATGGGTTGTTTGTTGGTGTCGAGTTGGATGAAGGGTTCGCGGGCAAGGGCAAGAACAGTGGGGATGTTGATGGGTAGGTCATGCTATACCAGTCGCAGCAAGAGGTCGACATTGTAGAAGGACCAATGCTGATGGGTACACAACAGTGTGCAGTACTTCGACACCTTCATACCCGGCGCAGGTATCTTTCTGCCCATTCACCGCGCGGCAAAACGATATACTCCAGCAGTATCTGAGAATGGCTACGGAGCTAACGCTTCGCCGAACACACCCACCTACAGCACTGTCAACGGCAAGCGAAACCACGGCACGCCGCCTACCCCTTCCATCCCGGCGCATAAATTCTCGCAGACTGTCGGCCCCGGCGTACGACCATCGAGTCCCAACTTCAAGCCAAAATCACGTCCTTCGCTACCTCGACCCGAGTCTCCCTTCCGCAAGCAAGCGCCTGCTCTCGCACCCACACCGGCTCGCAACCTCTCACAGAGCACGCGTGGCACAAGGCCAGGATTGACACCTAGCAAGACGCCCAACTTTCGAGCCTCCTCCAACACGCGAACAACATCCACGAACTCTGTCGCATCGCATACGCCTCGCCCGTACTCCCGCACTGGCTCGCGGCTCGGCCATCGCGGCGGGCTTCATGAGTCCGTTATGGAGGAAGATCTAACGCCGACTGCCATTACGACCAATTCGCGGACTACAAGCCAAGGGTCGGTACCATCTTTCTCACAACCACTGCGTTCGCCTTCGCGACTCGGAAGCGCAGGCGGCAGTCAAGAGCAGGAACTCCAGCGCCTGAGAATGCAACTCCAAGAACGCGACAGACGACTTGAAGAGCAAGCAGCAAGCCTCGCGGAAATGGAAACAAGTGTGAAAGAGCTCTCGGCCCTACTACCCGCCGACGGTCAAAGCAGTCCCGGCAAAACCAACTTTACAGCCGATGATGACGAAGAAGACGGCCAAGGCCAATCAGCTACGCAGCTACGCCAAATGTTGCGCGAGAAGAACGAAAAGATCTCCATGCTTACCGCAGAGTTCGACGCCCACCGCGCAGACTTCAGAAGCACGCTCGATAGTCTCGAGATGGCGAGCACAGAGACCGAGCGTGTGTACGAAGAGCAGAAGCGGGATTTACTCGCGCAGCTGGATGCGCTGCAGGAGATCAAGGAGCACCAGGAGGATTTCGAGGGCGTAGCGGCGCAGCTTAAGCAGCTTGAGGATCTTGTCGCGGAGCTCGAGGAAGGGCTGGAGGAGAGTCGGCGCGGTGAGGCGGAGGCGAGAGGGGAGGTGGAGTTTTTGAGAGGAGAGGTTGAGAGGGGTCGGAGCGAGTTGAAGCGCGAGCGGGATAAGGCTGCTGGGAGCGCGGGTGGGGGTGTGAGTTCGAGAGAGCTGGAGGCGAAGGAGGATGAGATCAGGGGGTTGAAGGCTATTATTCATCGGCTGAGCGAGGGGTCGCACGGCGCGGCTGCTGCGGTGAATGGTGCAGGGACGGAAGAGCTGAGCGCGGCGTTGGAAGAGAGTCAGCGGGAGAAAGAGGCGCTGGAGCAGGAGATCGAGGCGCTGAGACGGGATGTAGCGGCGAGGAATGGGAACGGCCATGCCAGGAACGAAAGCGATCGCACGGCCACCGCATCACCCGAGAAGGACCGCGCCGGCTTCAGCAGAACACGCAGCGACACCATCAAAGCGGCCGCCAAACTCCCCGATCGCAGCCGGCCTTCGCCAGCCAACGGCGCTGATGCGGCAAGCACGACGTTCTGCGAGATGTGCGCTTCCTCCTCGCACGACACGCTGGATTGCACGCAGTTCCAGAACGGTAGCGCGAGCAACGTCAAAGGTGCGGTCGAGGAGCCCTATAGTCCTGGCAAAGAGAACGAACACGCGAATCTCAATGGTGCTGGTGGGAAGGGCGTGGGACAGGATGAGGAGAAGTGGTGTGCGCTGTGTGAGAAGGATGGACATCTGGCGTTTGATTGTCCGGAGGAGCAGTATTAGGGTTGCTGTGGGTTGGTGTTGAGGAGGAGGTGAGGGAGTGGCGGGTATAGAAGGGATGGCAGAGGTTGAGGAGAGAGTCTCGTACACTCCTGCCTTTGCGGGCTGGGTTTGGCGTTTGGTGTTTGAGCGTTGGCACAAGTATCACGAACATGCGAGCTTTGGGTGGTCGACCCTGTTGTACATACAGCCCGCGTGTACCTATAGACGCTAATGTCTCTTCGTTTGAAGTCAGCTCATCCCTGTCTCGATCTCCCTCAACCAACTTTTCAGCGGACCAAGCCTGGCACAGCTGGCGGCTGCGCTACACTCACCAAGTCTCCGGCTGTGCTGCTCGACATGCTGTCGTAGCGAAGGTAGGCTCAATTTGCCACGTCTCCAAGGCGCCCCTGAGAAGTTGTGTATGTGGTCGTAGATTTGGCTTCCTTTCTCCAGTGCCGGGCAGGCCAGGAGAGGCTTCTGCATCATAGCATGGACTTCTCCTGTGACCGTTCCCTAGCGATCGCGTCGACGTCGTCTTTTGCCGTTCGGCTGATCAGTCTCATCCTCTCGTGCTCTCACGCAATCTTCCTTCCAACATTCCCAACGCCTTTTCCAACAATGCTCACCACCACCTCACCCTCTTCGTCTCCCTCCCGCATACCCCATCCACTCATACCATACGTCCTCAGATCTCTTGCGAGCTGCACAACCTCTTCCGAGCCCAGGACATCTTTGCTCAGAGCAATTCGGCCAACGTCTTCGCTGCCCATCGCCATAAGTGTCAAGACACTCGTCGCTGCAACCCCGGAAGCACAACCACCTGCTTCGATAGATTCAAGAAGTTGATAAGCACACTTTCGCCCCAGGTCTTCGGGCGCTTCTCCTCCTTGCGGTGGGCTCGCGATGTCGGCAGAATAGAGCATGTTGGTATTACTCTCAGCCACGAGACTCAGCCCAAAGCCCAGGCCAGTCTTGCGCTTTGCGTTGGGGTTGTTCTTCTCCAGTCCAGCGACAAGTGGCGCAGACGAGACATCAGAGAAGATGTACGTGTCTGGTATCAACTCGTTCAGCACGCCACGCGCCGCTTCGATCAGCCGTGCGTTATTGGCTCCCGCCACTCCTGTAGAGTAGGCCACGCCGCGGACCTTTTTTACTCGGCCAGCGTCCAGCAGGTGGATGGTCCTTGGTAGTCGCACTTGGTGACCGAACACAAGCTGCACCTCCCCGCCACCACCTTTGCCGTCTCGACCGACGTTGGAACGACGGAGAATGCGGAGTTCGAGATTTCGTTCGATGCCGAAGGACTTGAATAAGGGCAGGATAGCCGTTCGCACGGTATCGACGCTGACGTCTCCCGTCTCCGTAGCGCTGGTGATCACGCCCGGACCAGTGAGAAGGACGTTCATCTGCGCCTTGGAGAAGGGCGCAAGCAGGCAGAGCGGGATGAGAAAGTAGCTAGCACCCCTTGTGCAGTCGGCGGGAAGTTCATGGCGAATGACGCCTCCAGTCGTGGTTCCATGCCCGGCAGCGGCGCCGGTGATGAGGCCGGGCTTGTAGAGTAGCGTTGTGCCAGTGTAGGAGAATTCGATATGAGAGCCGTTCGTGATCGATTCCAGGAGTCGGAGTAAAGAGACTTCGTGCGCTGCTAGACCAGGTGAAGTGTGTGAAGAAGCCCGTATTTGCGATACTCGTATGGCTCGTCCGGTCAGAGTGGCGAGGATAAGTCTCTGGATCAGATATTTCGAGCCTGTGAATTTCAGCGGCGGTGCTGAGGTCGAGGCCGCCATATTGGCGGTACGATTCAGTTGTCAAAAACGGCCCGCTCTTTCTAATCTGGCGGTGTGAGGTGTGTAGAGTCTTCTGGTGCTACCGTATTGCCGGCAGGTTGCAGCGCGGAATCGGATATGAGGAAGAAGTTTCGGGGTGAAGTCCGGCTGGTTCTGCGTTGAATCACGAAACACCACTTTTAATCTTAAAGCTTATTCCAACCTTCACCTTTACATTTACCATGCGGGCGAAATATCACGAAGTCGGAATGTAGAGAGGAGAGTAGTTGTGAGGGAGAAAGTCATCCGGAAACACCACATGAATACCGCATGGTTATGAGGGTATCATCGAGCAAGCAAGCAAGCAGTCGACTAAACGCTTTTCTGCAGCCCATCTCTGAGCAAGGCCAGTCTGACCAGCATCATCCACAAGCAAAGCATTCTGTTCTTCCGTCTATTACAGCATGCTCTTTCGACACACCTCCCTGGCCAGTCTCAAGCCTCCCGCAACGCGCCCCACCTTTGAGCGGACTCCAGCATGAGTCCCTGGCCACATTGTACGAGTAGGGTGGAAAGTCTACCAGCCGCCACCCTGCTGACCCTGGCCGTAGCCGTTAGAGTCTGGCTGTTGCTGCTGGAAGCCGCCTGGGAGAACTGGTCAACAATTTGTCGTCTCAGGAGGACGGATACTTCTCACCCTGGCCACCGTAGCCGCCCCCGTAGCCCCCACCACCTCCGCCCTGGCGCCAATTCCCACCACCTCCTCCTCCGTATCCGCCTATGGGAAGATGTCAGTGGACTGCAAGACACTATGGCTGTTCGAGAAGGGAAGAAAGTCATACCTTGCCCGCCCCCGTATCCTCCGCCTGAGTACCCACCGCCTGAGTAACCCCCACGACCTCCACCATAACCCCCTCCTCCAGAGTACCCACCGCCTCCGTAGCCACCTATAAGACCTGTTAGTAAGCCGCAATAAACCGCCAGCACCGAGAAGCCACGAACCACGACCGCCTCCGCCGCCCCCAGCTCCACGCTCTGAAGCCTTGTCAACGCGGATGGTGCGACCGTCGAACCTGTTTCACTGGTTAGTGCTTGTGAGATTGGTGAGGCTGTGGGAAGACACTGACTCAACGTTATTCATAGCTGCGATGGCCGCATCAGCCGCGGAGTCCTCAGCGAAGCGAACGAAGCCGAAGCCGCGGCTACGACCGGTATCGCGATCCTTGACAACGACCTGAGGTGAGAGTCAGCAGGCGGTATAGCGCAAAGCGGGGAAGGGCGCTCACAGCCTCATCGACCTGCCCGAACTCTTCGAACTTGGCGCGCAAGGTGGTGTCGTCGGTGTGCCATGCCAGGCCGCTATGTCACGGTCCTTGATCAGCAGGCGCACTCAGGCAAGTGGATTGTAGGATGGTATCCCACCCGATGAATAGCTTAGACATTCTTTAGGCCGTCTACTGAGGTAAGGACCGAATGCAGTCGATTGCTGTTGCTCTGAGTCTGTTCTACTGCTCTCTCGTGTCGCGCACCGGGAAGTTGGTTGTTGGTAGAAGGTGTCAAGCGATGACGTTGCTCGATGAGGTTGGAAGACTTAAGTAGTGGGTGAAATTTGGGTGAGCTCTTCACGAGCAAGCAAGCGTTTTAGGCAGGCGCGGTCATGCGTCTCGAACAGGCAGGGTCTGCACGTGGAAAACAAGCACAAGTTTCAGAAGTGGTCTGGAAGAAGTGATCGCCAGTGAATGAACTTCGCAGCAACTTCCGAACAAAGGTGAAGAGGGAAGAAGGACCTTCTCGTTCAGTACGGCACAGTGCCCGCCAAGGCGCCTTAGAGCTGCGTTTGTCACTACAGAGCGCAGCAGAGTTGGTCGACTGATAGAGGGGTCGCGTTGGGCCCCCTCACAAACTTCAAGCCGCGCTGTCACCTTTGCTGAAATCGGACAAGCACCCACGACAGCGGAAGCACGTTCGTGCAGCCGAGGAGTGGACCGGTGTAAGGCGACGTATAGAAATCACGGCTGAGCTGCATCATCGCACCTCCAGTTCTGGGCCGCATACAGGTCGCCATGAACGCTGTCGAATGTGACGACGCCGAGTGGACCGAGATTTTGGCAGAGCTGGCCAATAACCGGCGCAGAGACAGCTCCTTTTCGCAGCTCCCACTCTTCGACTCGTCCCGTGGTCGATAGCGCATGCACGCAATGCGAGCAGTCACGCCTCTAGTGCTGCTGCAGAACGGGTTCATTGGGCTGCATCCCAGCTGATAGAACGCTAAAAGCTGTCTTGTGCATGAGCTTGGGTTGGAAAGTTCCGTGGTACGGCAGCCCTCCAACACCGCGGATCGAGGATGGCATGCGGAGGAGAGCACGCTCAGCTATCGCTAGAACAGCATCAAGGACGCCGCTGGGGACGGAGTGTCGAGACTGATGCGGTTGAAAGAAGAAGTCGCAAAAACCCCCGAGGCCCCTCGATCGATGGCTTGTGCGCCAGGCTCGTTCATCGGCTCGATCGGAAGGCTCGTGCATCTGGGGGTCGCCCGATGCCCGATCTCCTAGCGTGCACGAGGGACGACATCAAGCTCAACTTTATCAACAAAGTCGCGCAGTCGCTGGCAATTGATGTGAGGGCTCCAGGCGCGCGACGATTGGGCAGCAAAGAAAGCAGCTGGACATAGTGCACCACCGTATGAGAGGCGGCGGAGGCGGCAGAGACCCTGCTTCAAGGCTGACACCGACATGGCGACACACCAGCTCTCACATCAATATTTGGGAACAGAGCCTCCAGTCTGGCTTCGTACGACCGCGTTCGGCACGGTACTCAAGCAAGGACCTCAAGCAAGGAGAAGTCAGCACTTCGAACGCGGTCAAAGACTAACACGGGTTGGGGCAGGTAACAGGTAGGAAATCAGCAGACGTTGCACAACCACTTTACATTCACTTGTGACCCGGTGTTTGGTACGACATGCCTTGACCATTGAGCGAAGTTGGCTGCATGTTGGAGACGTTGTAGTTCGCATGATACTTGAATCTTGCGACGCTCAGAATCCACCACCAAGTCGAGACTGTCAAAGATTGATTTTGTAACTATTGCTGGAGTCAAACATTAGGTAAGGTGAGGTTGGCGTCGGTCTGCCGTTAGCATCATCTTCTGTGACTGCGACTGGCAAGAGCGAGGCAGTCGTGCTTGCCATCCCAGCTTTCGCGATTTGCGATCCATCATTCTTCTGACCTACTCTACACCACGATCTTCACCACATAGCGAAAACTTTGTGAAACAACACTTCTTGCTGTACATGCGATTGGCGGTGTAGCGACACCAGCACCGAAAGGCGCATCTGCGGCAACACCACCGAGCGAAAGGTGTCGAACACTGGCGGAACGAGGATGGACATACAGGGATGGCTCCAGGATACGGCAGATAGGGCACCTCCTGACGAAGGAGACGACCAGCGCGTCCCGGACGAAGCGCGACAAGATCAGGCTTTGGAGACTTCCAGGCGCCACTACCGCCGCAAAAGGCAAAGAGCTTCCAGCGACAGCTCACTCATTGCACCACGGCACCCCAGGCATCGGCAAGTGCCTGTAGCCTTGCCCGCCCCATCTCCCGATCGCGCGCCTCTTGCAGATGATGCTGCATCCGATTCCCAGTCACGCAGCTCGCGGAGGTTAGGAGGTCTTCTACCTGGGCGCGATAAGGACCCTCTACTGCAGTATGAGAGGCGCCCAAGGCACAAGACGAAGGCAGATCGCTACGAGCCCAAACGCAGGAAACACAAGAGCGATCGAGACGTGCAGCATGACAGCAAGACTCGGCGGCGCAAGTCCAATCTCACGCATGATGGAAGTCACACAACAGGCCTCGTGCAGAGTTTCCACCTGAAGAACGGGCCCAATAACAATCGCCTTACTGTGAGTCGTCAAGTCTGCGGTATGACGAAGCGACAGATCAGCTGACGCGCTTTCTAGTTGAAGCCTGACCACAACGCTGGGCTGTTCAAGCATGGCCGAGCATCTGCGCAGATGCAAGGCAGGGGGACAGGATGTATGTATCACCGGGACCAGTATCGTGGCCTAAGGCTGACACGAAGCAGTGCCAGACCTAGTGTTCAATGAGATGAAGTTTCTGGAGAAGCCAAGCGAGCATCAAGATCAGTTGCCTGCGGCAGCACCGCCCCAGCAGTCCAAGAAAGAGGATCGGAAGAGAGCAAAGAACGACGAAATTTCAGCCTATTTCTCTGCGCCTAGGGGTGGCAATCATGAGGGCATCCACGTCGGCAATGGCACTGGCAACGAACAGAGGAGGCGCGCATCCGCCCCAGACCACGGCCCTGATCAAAGCGATGCAGCTCGCCGCGAGGCACGACCGCGTCCCTCCAGCATCGTTGATCTTCCTGAGAAGCCTTTCCTAGGTTTTGGTAGCAGAGCTACCCAGCTGGGGAGCAAAGAGTTGCGTTTGGACATGACAACATGCCTCTCGTGGTCAGAATCACCACCTCGCCCAGCGCGATTAGAACAAGCAAATACAGCGCGCTGTCCTGAAGAACGACTCCAGACCGTCGGGAATACCTCTGCGCGACACCACTCGTCAGCTGCGCGTCCATCAGTTGAGCAACGCGCCCTTGAGGGCCACTTGAGAGACGGGTCTGATCACGCTCAGAGTGCCCGAAAACGCAGTCGGCAGAACACAGAGGCCCAATGGCAGCAGTCGCAACGCACAGGGGGCGAGGCTAGAGTAGAAGTCCTTCGACCGCCAACGCCACGCAAGCGCGGTCAGCCACCTGCCGAGACTTCACCAACTAGGACGACATTGCAGTCCCCCCCTCATGGACCGCCTGTTCAACAAGAAATCAGGCAGGATGCACGGAGCTGGGAGAACCCAAGCGGGTACCACACATCCGACATCCTCAAGATCAACGAAGACGTTCGGCAGCCTGTTCGCTCTAGCGGACCCGATCAGAAGCGCAAGGACAGTCACCGGCACAGCAATAAGGAGAACCATGACCCTGGCACCCATGATGACCCGGACTCCTCCTTTTCGATTGATCAAGCACTGCAACACGTTCGAGAAGCTATATCGATGCCGCCGGTGGAACCGCCGCCTCCTCAAATAGCTCCCGAGGTCCATTCTGTTCGTCCAGTACACAACAGCCATATCGAGGGACCGAGAAATGCACATGGACTGCAACAAAGAGCAGCCCCGGACGCAACTCGGCCAGCTTCGTATCTATCACAAGACGGCTACATGCCACGACGATCTTCCCTGCCGCGGCAGCGTTTTGAACAGTCGCCGGCCCTTTCTTCGAGCAAGGAGGCAGCGACCACACTTCACCGAAGAGCCACCCAGCCGTACGTTACGCAAGACAGGACTGTTCGCCAGCCTTCACGATCACTCCAAGACGAAGAAATGCTCGACAACGATCTCTGTTATGCTCCATCATCGATAATAAGGCCCCTGGTCTATGCTACAGAGCGACAGGTCCATAATCTGGCACGTATGCCGACACCAAATCTCGTCTCAAGTCTGTTTGAAACGCAGGCGGGAAGGGAGGAGTGGGAGCCGGAGGTGGCAACCACGCATTGGTTGACGTCAGAGCACGATTGGAGCGAACAGTTGAACCCACACGCACCGTTCAGCAGACATGATCTGCTTGGTGGGAGCATGACGGAGAAGCCACAGGCTTTGGTGAACGATGGGATCACTGGGTTTTGGAAGCCGAACAAGCTGTACTGATGGCTTGATCGAAGCAAGCTGTTGATCGGATGTCGGGATGATTGGGCTTAGGGCCGGTATACAGACGGCCTTGTGAGCAGGACAGTGCAGAGCACGAAAGCAAGACACTTCTCGCGCCCAACGTTTTCATCCATAGAAGTGTGCATTACTGCATGTTGTTCATCGTCAGACGAGATAACCGAATGCCGAAAGACGACGCTGCGGGCGGGAGGAAACGGGAATCAGCAAGCCATTGCCGTGAACTTTCCCAAGCGTCCTGTAGTTCTATCGCTCTCATATGTCAACCTGCATGTCCTCAACACGATTGCTCACCGCTGCCATCCCCAACCCATTGATCCGCCTAACCGCCGTCAACGTGCCCGCCCCCAACCTGGCGCGCCGGGCTCTTTCGTCGTCTCCCGCACCTGCCTCTCTCACCACTGCTCCGGCCAGGGTTTCTCCGAACCCTGTTGCGCCTGCAGCCCCACCAGCGACCAAAATTCCACCTCAAGCTCACCAACGCTCGCAGCAGATCTCTGCTCACCTCTCTACCTCTTCAAGACCACACCAACAAGAGCAGAGTACAAACAACATGGCATCGACAACGCTGCCCACCCGTGGTGGCTACGACAGCAAGGCTGCGGACAAGTTCACCGCGAGGAAGGTTGGAGCGCCACATACCCTTGAGCACCGTGTGTATATTGAGAAGGATGGCGTGCCCGTCTCGCCCTTCCACGACATCCCGCTGTACGCCAATGAGCAGCAGACGGTGCTGAACATGGTTGTCGAGATCCCAAGGTGGACCAATGCCAAGCAGGAGGTGCGTTTGTTCTATGATACCTATCCCCCTCTAGCGAACCTGCCATTGTGTCTTGAGACGACCTCCAGCTAACGTCATTCCTACACAGATCTCCAAGGACGAAGTCCTCAACCCCATCAAGCAGGACACGAAGAAGGGCAAGCTCCGCTTCGTCCGCAACTGCTTCCCCCACAAAGGCTACCTCTGGAACTACGGCGCCTTCCCCCAGACCTGGGAAGACCCCAACGTCACACACCCCGAGACCAAGCATAACGGCGACAATGACCCTCTTGACGTCTGCGAGATTGGCGAGCTCGTTGGAAAGCCGGGCGAGGTGAAGCAGGTCAAGGTTCTCGGTGTCATGGCTCTCCTTGATGAGGGCGAGACGGACTGGAAGATCATCGTGATTGATGTCAACGACCCGCTCGCTCCGCGTTTGAACGATATCGAGGATGTGGAGAGGCACTTGCCGGGTTTGTTGCGGGCCACGAACGAGTGGTTCAGGATCTACAAGATTCCCGATGGCAAGCCGGAGAACCAGTTTGCGTTCTCGGGTGAGTGCAAGAACAGGAAGTATGCGATGGAGGTCGTGAGGGAGTGTGCGGAGGCCTGGGAGAAGTTGATCACCGGCAAGACGCAGAGGGGTGAGATCAGCTTGTGAGTGACGATCTTCCTGAACTCTGTGTGACACCGTTGCTGACCGTGCTGCAGGACCAACGTCAGCGTCCCGAACAGCCAGGATCGTGTCGAACCCAGCAAGCTCAACATCCCAAAGCACGAGGATAAGGCCCCAGCACCGATCGACCCAAGCATCGACAAGTGGTTCTACATCTCTGGTGCCTCCGCCTAAGCAACTTGGCTTGGGCTCTGGAGCAATGTTCAACAAGAATCTCTGGGGGTGTGAGGCTCCAGATTGCGAACTTGTGCATGCATTATGAGAGGAGCAACGACAATTGTCCAGAGCTCCATAGCAGGCCGAATGGCAACGCTGTATGTTGCCTGAGTAGACCGAGATGGCACATGATATACATCGCAATGCACATAGACGAAAAGCACGGATGCACAGACACGCCCATACTCTCAAACACTCTCAGTGATGCTTCGAGACGTCGAGACGTTCAATCTCATATGGTACATGTGTATCAGATCCCTAGTTGATGAAGTTCACGCAGAAGAAGTGCAATATCATGCTCCCAAACACGTAGTCCGCAAATGCCCTGCCACGTCGTTAGCATCCAACCCTTCTCTCTCTCTCTCGGGACGTTCATCATACCTCTCATGCGATAGCCCCTCAAACTCCTTCTCATTCTCCCGATTCGTCTGCATCCGCAAACTCGCCGTCAGCACGAACTGGCCCACCGTCGCCGAGAAGCCGGAGAGGAAGGCGTTGAAAGGCTATATCTGCACGTCAGTCTTGCCCAACTCTTCCTCAGATTGCAATAGTACGTACGTAGTTCCCAGCTATCACGCAGTATACGAACTGCAGCAACCCCACCGTCATGAGGAACACCATGAAGGCATCGAGCAGTTTTGTCCGTTGTGGGGTGGCGTCGATGTAGTTGTTGTAGACGCCTAGGGCGATTTGTTGGGCGTCTTGAGGGTTGCGGATGGAGGCTGTGGAACTCGATGTGGGTTTGGAGGTGGTGGTAGAGCTGGTGGTGGTGGTGGTGGTGGATTTGGGGGTGGAGGGTTGTTGCGTTGCGGATGTCTTTTTGGGCGCCATCGTCGTTCGCTGGTGTATGTACAAGGGCTGGGTGGGTGTTAAAGTGAGTGCTCGGGGTGCAGTATCAGACAATGTTGCACATGTCGTTCAATGGCCAGCTGTATAGACGATATTGCCAAGACTTCTGGTTGGACTTCACCTCCGCTGGCCGCAAAATTCATGGTTGTGAGGGCGCCTCTCGAATTACTGCCCAGAACCGCGCAATACATCCTTTGCCGTCGCCAACATGCCTCAAGCACAGCCAGAACTCAAGAAGGTCTGTTCCTCCTCCCTCGATCCATTAGGCACAGTGTGCTGACCATGTCACAGTACCTCGACAAGCGCATCGAAGTACAGCTCAACGGCTCTCGCAAGGTTATGGGCACACTTCGTGGCTACGACGTAAGCGCCAATATCCTCTAGCGTAGACCGAGTGGGAGCTGACAGGTCTGCAGGTCTTCCTCAACATGGTGCTCGACGAAGCGACTGAAAGCAAGCCGAACAACGAGAAAGTGCGCCTGGGCATGGTCGTGATTCGCGGCAACTCCGTGGTGATGATGGAGGCGCTGGATCGCATTGCTCCGGACAGGGAACACTGAGCGGCGACTCAGTGGGCGAGGCAAAACGAATGGCTTGGGGGACTTGACAACTACCAGGCGCCGGCGAGAAAGAGTCGACTCAGAGCACGACAGCTTCAGGCTCCCTAATGAAGCGCGATGACGGAGAGAGGAATCACCCAGCCGGTGCAGCTATATGAGCATGAGCGGTGGAGTCTGGCACATTGGACACTAGCTCAGACGAAGAGATACCCAAAATGTAAGACTGCTGTCCAAGCCACCTTCTGCATTGCGTTTATTCACCTGGTTTTCAAGGTTCTTAGAGAGCGGTCAGGCCGAGATTTGTCGTTGCCATCTTGGCACATATCTTGAATATCAGGAATTTATCCTAAACGCTGAAAGCACGCCATGTCCGCACCAATAACGCTGTCATTCAAAATCTCGAGCTCAATGCGTTCCATTAGTGTACGCTTCAAGACCAAATGACTCCCTCACCGCCGCACCGAACCTCCTAATCGCCTCCTCGATCTGGTCGAATCGCGCAGCAGCATAGGTCGCGCGGAAGAACATCTTGCTCTTCTCGGTATCCGCCTCTGCGCAGAACCACGAGCCCTTCATCAGCAGTGTCCCATGATCGACGTTCTTCAGGAACAGCTCATCCTCAATGTCGTCCATAGACATATCTGGATACCGAGGATGTTTCGTGTAGTCAATCTCCAGCCAGTGAAACATGCCCGCCATGGGTGGAACCCAGCTGACGATGTCTTTGGGCAGGTACCGCTCACAAGCGTCTAGAATGGTGTTGCGACGGGCGGTGTACTCCATCCGCATGTGGATCAGCCAGTCAAGGTACCCGGCATGGCCCCAGTGCTCCTCAAGCAGCTTAAAGAGGACAAGCTGACTTATCCCGCTCGGACCTTGTGTGGAGGTGTCGGAATGGTTGCGGTAGCGCTCGCAGATCTGCTCGGAAGCGGTGATCCAGCCGACTCGACTGCCTGGTGCTATGACTTTGGAGAAGGAATCGAAGCGCATCACTCGGCCGTCGACGTCCATGGAAAGGAATGAGGGCACGAGACTTTTGATGAACTCTTCGTGGGACGCAGGGGGTGGAACGTCAGGTGCGTTGGGTCCAGTGTAAGGCTGCATCTGGAGGAAGTAATATGGCTCGTCTTCCAGGATGTAAAGATCGTGCTTCTGAGCGACCGCATACACTTCTCTCCGGCGCTGCGCAGACTGTGTGGCACCAGTTGGGTTCTGGCCGGTTGGGACGATGTACATCAGGAACGGCTTGGGACCTGCCCGCTCTTTCTCGTCCCAGTTGGAAAGCAGATCGTCTAGTTGCCTTGGGCACAAGCCATACTCATCCATTGGCACGCCAGCGACCCGGACGCCCATGGGCCGCACGGTTTCGATCATCGTTGGAAAGGTGAATTGCTCAGTCAGGACCCAGTCACCAGGCTTGCAGAACATTCGGAATGCCATGTCTGTGGCAGAAGTTGACCCGATCGACATCGTGCAGCTCCAGTCCTGGTATGGAGGGTCGTGTACAATCTCCGTGTGCTCGATGAGCCAGCGCAGGAATTGGGCAGCTCCATGACCCTGACCGTATTGAAAGGATGTGGCAATGTCGAAGTGTGACTTGCCATCCGCCTGATCATGCTTGCCTGCTGTCAGGACCTTCCCACGCTTGCGGACGTCTTCTTCTGAATACCGGCCATTGTCTGGGACCTTGATACTGAGCTCCTCGAACGGAAAGTACTCGGCTGACGGCAGCCCTCCGCCCAAAGAGATCAAACCTGGCGTCTTCAGATACGCTGCAGCGTTCTTCAACGAGTTGCCTTTCCTGGTCCTGGCCTCTGTGCTCAACCGATCTGCTCAACAGCATTGTCAGCACTGTGCCGCGAACAACGAATGAGTGCAACGCACGATCCCACCGCTTCGCCTTGCCCTTATGCAGGTGCTGCGTCCGACCCTTGAAGGCGTCGATGTCTGCAACAGCAGCCACACCAGCAACCAGTTTGCCGGACGCAGCCCTACGCTTAGCAACATGCTGAATGGTCAACCGATCAGGAACAGTGAAACTCGTCGTGTCCGTTTCAGGGAAAGTCTCGATCGCGGCCGGCGGAGCCATCCTCTATCCCACGTGTAGTTCCCTGCTTGCAGAAAGTGTACGTATATGCCCACGTTGCCTGCAGCCGCCGTATTGCAGTAGTCCAATGAGCAGGCGTCCCCACGAGTGAAATCCCACACCGCGAAAAAAGGCAACCTTTTTCGTTGAACTGTGCAACTCTTGAAAAAGCAAAACAAAGGCGAAAGCGTGGGATGAGGGATAAATAGTGTACTTCTGCAGCGGATTAGTTTTAGTCAAGCTATCAGAGCGGTGTGCGTTCACTTTGCAGAGCCGTAGGGCGTCGATATGAAGAAAGCAGGCCGATTCGCTTTTCAGCGGCTTTATCAGCGGCGAAGGTGGACTTTGGCTCCGCCGGAAAGTCAGATGAGGGTTTCGATTGCTAATGGAATGGAGGAACTTGGGTAAAGTGGAAGCATCCATCACGGCGCCTACAGCAATCGTTGAGTTGACAATCTTTACGACTGTCCTCGTTATCGACAGACGACGCTTGATTCGATCCGGCAGTTAAGGTGAGATGCAGGAACAAGGCGTTTGATCTGCTGTGCTTCCAAGCGACCTTGGAGCCGCATACAGGCTAATGACTATGACAACGAAGGATATTCTTCGGTTGGGCCACGCACCTGGGTGCGGTCCTACGATTCATATCTAGAGGTAGGACAAGAGATAAACCGGTTGGTCATGGAGCAAGGACTGCATTGGTGGCAATGATATGGCTTTATTGATGATAGGTCTCAAGTAGTGTTCATCTCATCCAAGTCCTCACCGCCATCTCCCACACCATCTTGCTGCATGGGGGTGCTTACAACAGAGGAGCCGAGACCGTCAAGGCCATGACTAGCTACACCAAAACCCAGACCTTGCCTCCCAGCCGGCTGTTGCTCGTTATCGGTCGTTGCACCGCTCTCACCTTCACCGGAACCGAGGTCTGCGAGGCCAGCTGCTGGCGGCATACCGAGCAAAGCTGGCATTGGCTCGGTCTCCGAAGCTGCAGCGATGCCTTTCTCTGCTCGCAGAGCAGCGAACTTCTCGGCAGTCTCACGAAGTGCCTTCTGAATTCGAACCTCTTCTTCACCAAGACGGACTTTCTCACGCTGCAAGGCATCCATCTCCTGCATCTTTTGCATGCGAGAAGTTTGCATGTCTACCACTTGCTTCCGTAACTGCTCAATGACGCCGTCAAGGGTCGGCAGAGGCGTGATGATGGGTGGTGTTCTGGGCCTGGTATCTGCCTCGTTGTCGGCGGTATCATGAGCACCATAGGTGCCATGCCTCGTCTGCGCCGCTTCGAAAGCTTCATTCCGTTCTTTCTCACTGGCATCCGACTCCGAGCCGGAGTCGCCTTCAGCGGCTGCTATCTGTGCTGCCATATCCTGCTTGCGCTTTCGTGCTGCCTCCGCCTCCGCCTTGCGACCAAGCATAATCTTGCCGTCTGCCTCCGTGAATTCGTCGAAGTTCTCCATGATGTCCTCATCATCCCGCACGAGCCTGCTTTCGCCCTGTTGGTACTTGTCCTTGGGCTTCAACACCAGCCGTCCAGTCTCGTCCCGCATGACATTCTCATCCTCATCCTCGTCCAGCTCAGGATCCGATGGGTTCAGTGATATGTATTCTTCTGCTGCCTGCTCCTTTGCCATTCGTGCTCTGCGAGCTTTCTTCTCGGCGATCTCACCAGCGGAAGGTATCACTCCGGATCGCTGTCCTTGCTGATACCTTGCGAGCGAAGATCCAAATTTGGACGACAGGTCCAGGTCTTGTGTTTCGCTCGAGACATCTTCGATATCCGTATTGCTCGCACCTGTCGGAATATCATGGGGTGTAGTGGGTGTAGAGTTCTTCAATGCCTGCAGCGACTCCGCGCTGTACGATGGCCGGTCATCGTCCTCGTCGGCCTCTATGTCCCGTAGTGTCGATGCAGGAAAAGCTGATCGCTTCGATGCATTCCTTTGTACTGCTATCCGCGACAGGTTCGATCGTCTCGGCGCAACCACACCTCCAGACTCTGGCTCTTCATCCTCCACTGCCGTTGGACCAAGTCTTGTTCGCAAAGACGAGCCTTTTCGCGGCTTCGCGTTCGGTCGTTTCAGTATAGGTTCTGTAAGGCTCGAAGTCAGTGGACATCTGCAGTTATGAATTGTCAGAGCTGGGTCATATGGTGAAGGGAAAAGGCGGCATACCTGTGGTCGCATCGCTATTTCCCGCGCCTGCGCTTCCTGGTGCTGACGCATCATCATCTTCGCCGATTTTGCGAGGCACTCGCCGCGAGGAGAATGCTTTCTTCATGTTGAACGTTTAGCGGTGCATGTGTCGAGAGCAAATGTTTGGCAAGGTAGATTTCACAAGACAAACTCCATTGCTTGGCATGGACTCACTTTCACATGATCGCGATTCTTCACGTGCACGGGGTTTGACATAATAGGCATGCTACACTATTATCTCACTACGCATTCGCCAATACGGCGCCAAGCTTACGTACTGTGTATAGAGCTAAGGTATCACGAAATACCAGAAGACTTCAAACGTTCGTCGTTGCTCCAGGAGACTGGACATCTACATGTACATACACACTTGTTGCTCTGAAGTTGTACCATCGTCGCTCGTCACACCCCTCCAGACCACCACGGGGCGCTTCCGACTGGCCTCATGCAAGATCCGTCAACGCTTCGCGCAAAAAGTTCCCTCCTACAAGCTCAAGCCCCTTCCTCGCAGCATAGGCGTTGATATCAAAAGCTGCACGCACTTGCAGGGGTACGAGGTCTGGCGTGTAGTCGGCCGGCTGACGGTAGACAAGGAAGGTGTACCTGTGGCGGGTGGTGCTGGCCGGAGTCAACGACTGGTAGATTGTGTCTGTCGACGGCGACTGGTCTGCGATGCAGCTCGGCTGAGCGTCCGACACTGCCCAGTGCAGATAGTTGACTCTGACGCCGAGAACACCCTCTTCGCTGGGGACGTCAGGGTCAACGAGGAAGTAAGAGTACTTCGTCCCGGCTGGGTCCCGGCCTTGCTCCGCTGAGAAGGAGAGCTTTGGGGCTGTCAGAGTTTCTGCCGAGATGTTAGCGACGTCGCTCTGGACAGCATCACGTTCAACGAGACACGTACTGGTGACCTGAAAGACGTTCCCCAGGTTCACCTGCTTGTTGCCGTATGCAACGTTCACTGCAACCTTTGGCTGCAATGGCGGCACAAGGTCCGAGACGACCTCAGAGCTTTGGAAAGCATTGACAACGCGAGTCGAGGACTGAGCAGAGATCCCCACTGCAGAGCAGCTTGACTGCCTCTTTTCAACTGGAGTAGGTGATGCAAGAACGAGTGAGGCTGTGAGAAGCGTGGAAAGGCACGCAGAGAGATGCATCTTGACGTGAGTTGGCTGGAGGCAGTACGAGAGGCTCTCAACCGTTGGACAAAAGCTGGTCGGTAGCCCTCAGGAAATGCGAGTTACTCACGTCTTTATACGCCGGAGTGGACGGCCGTGTTGTCCACCAGCCTAACGTGCAATTTACAGCATTTGGACTCGGTCACGCGCTGCTTCCTTAGTTCACTGGGGGTTTGCGAAGATCAAAGACCCAAGTAGGGAACGGCCAAAGGAATCAAGAGTTGATCGTCGCTGTGCAGTTCTTGGTATATGCATTGGTCGGAGAGCCGCACGAAAGGAAAAGTCTTTTGGTAACGGGGACCCCGCAGGCACGGCAAGACCTCCGATGTCGTTGCAGTGGCTTGCAAGTTGGTGTTGTCCTGTCGTCTGGTTACACTGTCAACAAAGAGCGCCAGAATACGAGCAGAGTGCGCTCATGTCAACTAGGATATCCGCTTGGAGCAAGCGATTCAATTTGGCGGCTGCAGGACGGCTGAGGTGTTCCGTGGATGCTGAACACCGTGCTATTAGCAACGTATATCCAAGCAAGCCAGCTTCGTGGTAGAGTTGTGCCGAACAGCTGGGTCAACAAGCTACGTGGCCGCGTCGATCGACACTAGGTCCTATCTTGGCCCCAGTATCTAAACAGATCGGCCAAGCGTGGAGATAGACTTCATTGAACATGCTCTGCTCCACCCCTACCTCCTAGCCACCGGAGAGCGTGCTGCTTCCTGCGTGATCGACGATCGAAGCTCTCCTGGATGCTTCGTGACCATGCGCTCCGAAAGAGTATAGGTCTGGAGTAGCGCTAGCACAGAGTAGAGAGAGCTAGGACAACGTCGTGGTACCACACACCAGGTTGTATTCGCCCGACTGCAAGCAATCATGCGCTGCTTGGAGAACACAGGCATTCGGCCCGTATCCGCTCTCCCGGAAGAAGAATCTAAATGAGCGCTGATATGTAGTTCGATGAAGTGGTCGGCTACGCGCGTGGTGAATGGTCTCCAGTCTGAGCGCCTCCAGAAGTGACTCCTAAGTCCTGAGTGTACCAAGAGCGGCCGTTAATTGAGACCCGCGCCGGCTCCTTGTCTTATAATGTGTTGACATACATGTACCGAGCAGTGTCCAGTAGCATCAAGGACCGTATTCATGTGCTCTCCAGCTCAAAGTCATCAGTATGATGTGTCCTGCACAGTGTTTAAGCCGACCACTGTCGATGATAAAGTCCGATAATGCAAGCACTGTACATTGTCAATGTGGACTGTAGGAAAGTTGTCTCGCTAACACCAGCGAAGCGGATTAGACGAAAGCGGGTCTGAACTCTCTGAGACAACACCCCCGAGCTTGCCGCACTTCATGCGTAGTGTGGAACAACTGAACAACCCACACCTCTACGTCTTCCGGCTGCAGACCCTCGAAGAGCGCTACAACCATGCTCACCAAGTACATCACATCCGTGAGCGCCAAATTCTCGCCCTTCAATAGCCGCTCAGGCAAGACGGCGCGCAACTTCCTCGCACTCCTCCCGCCCAACGCGCGATCGACAATGGCGATCGACGTCCAGATGCTGGGTCAGAACGCTGCAGCGACTCCGGCAAGCCTGGCTCTGAAATTCAGTACGTAGCGCTTACGGATATCCGAGTGTGAGGGTTGTTGGGATGCTAATGTGCGCTCGTACAGAGGACGGGAAGGAGATGAGTCTGGACCTCGAGAAGATGAAGATCAAAGAAATACAGGTCGAGGTGGATCGGCATTCCAGAGTACTCAGGCGCAAGGAAGAACTCGCTGGCTGAGGTGAAGCATGATGGGGGAGACAGTCCAAGATCGAAAATGCGGAGCGCTGCAGTCGCAGGAGGAAGGCACGCGACACGCATGTGCTGAGGGGTACCAAGCTTCGCATGCTGCGTTCCACCGAGTCACTAAGGCATGTGAATTATGCTGAGGGGGCGGCCGAGCGAGATGGGTGGAGGCTGACGGCGAGCGTGCGATGTGTAACGAAGGATCGCGGCGCGTTGTCAGGTGTAAAGAAGACGCCGGAGCCACGTGTGGTCACCGTGGCAGGGCCACACAGATATACATACCCACTAAATGGCCAAGATGGCGGTCGCGCATATGCAGCTATTCCACCTCCACAACCTCTCGCACCCTCTCTTCCGCTTCTGGATGTATGAGCTCTCCGAGTTCAGCAGTCTCAGCAATGAGTCGGCGGGCCTCTTCCTCGGTCCCTATGCCCATGTCTTCCATCACGAGCTGCTGCGCAAGCTCGGGCACCAACACAGCCTGGACAAATCCAGACACACCACCCGAGACACCTGCTGTGGCGATCAGATCGTCCTTCTTAGCTTGTGCGCGAAGCTGGTCAGAGAGGTGCGTAACAATATGCTCCGTCCTGCACATAGTATTAGCGTATACGAGTCGTAGGCCGGGCCGTCGTGATCGTCGACTTACATCGTTCGTTCTCCTCTTGGTCCATAATAGCCTACTAGCATCCCTCGCTTCACGCCGTCTGTCACCACCTCTATGGCTGATCTTGATCGTTCCTTCGACCGCTCCTCAAGCTGTCTGCGGTGGTAAGACGGTTTCGTCCCGTCCATGACCGCGAGAAGATGCGCGTCACGCCCAAGCATTCGCTCTTCCAGCCCGTCCCAGTCGATCACCGGCAACTGCCTCGTTTCCCATTGCTGTTCGCCGACGTGTCGTCTGTGATGGGTGCAGAACCGCTGTTGCCACTTGTAGCTCAGCTGTCTGCCTCCAGTAAATTGGTCTTCAAACTCTTCTCGAAGGACCTTGTCCACTTGTTGTCCGCATATCGCACACTCCACCGTTGATACGTAGTCCGTTGGCGGGAACAAATGCGGTGCTGGAACTTCTTCAACGCCAGGACTGCTTGGTGCCGAAGACAGCGGAGACGAAGGCAACGAGTCCGCGTCGTGCCCATGTACCGTACCACCGCCCACCGCTTGCCATTGAGGCTGCTCTCCGGAACTTCCAAACCGAAAAACATCCTGACCTTTCGGCTGCGCAAACTTCGGTGCTGGCGCGACCTCTTTCTGCACCTCTGCTGGCTTTGGCGCATTGAAGCTCTTGTGTGCCTTACTGTCCCGCCGCTGACTGCCTTTTCCATACTTATTCTGCTTACGGCTGTAGGAGGCGGCGAACGGCTTTACGTGTAGATTCGGTGACGGCTTCATGCGCTTGAATGAGCCCTGCGAGCTGAATATCGGCTTGTCATCCTCGCTGGCAGAAGGGTCATCGTCACTGCTGCGCTTGCTACCAGTCGTGCCGGGACTGTCTCTCGAACCTGGGAGTTTGAATGCTGACGGGCTTGCTTGTTCGCTCTTCGTCTCAACGTTCCGTGCATGCCTGAAGCCTGAAGTCTGGGGTCGAGATTTTACGTCACTGGTCCTTGCATCGGATGTAGGTTGTCGCAATGCAGCTCTCTCACTAGCCGTATGGATTCTATCTCGTCTACGAGGTTGTGCGTTCTTCGGCACTATGAACAACGGACGTTTCGGTCTCTCGTCGTCAACACCGATTGTAGAGGACTTCGCATTCGCCCTGCCAGTGGATGTTGCTTTCGGGGCGGGCTCTTCATCGTCGGTGGATACTGGACTACCGTATATGTCTTCCTCTTCCGCAGTCTTGCTGGCGGAGGATGCGGCGCTGTTCGATGCGGGTGGTGTTGGCAGTGGGTCGTGGTGGTCTTGCTGCGTCGCATATGGCTTATTCCCTACCGTCCCAAGCAGACGATGCGAAGTTCTCGAAAGGCTAGGCATTGGAGCGTTCAGCTGTACAAGTAGCTGGACATATCATCATGGTCGTCCGAGCTTGAGGTGAGGTTCGACGCCAACAAGACGCGCTAAGCGGACAAGTCACGCGACCGGCTGCACAACCAATTCTAATAATTGACGAGCATATCCCACCCAGATAAGGTGACACATGGTGGATCTCGTGCGGCACGTAGTTCAATGGTCTATGCTACAGATGTGTACAACCCCAACGCCATGCTTCCCACCCTCCCATACCAACGATGACCTCCAAAGCAACGCTCATGTCATCGACGCTCTGGCCTGCGCATCCATATAACCCTGTCCACCATCCGAATACCTCCCGCTCGGCGACACTGAAGGCGCTCGGCTGTGTGAACGAGAGTGCGATTCCTCTCCATAGCCCTCTCCAGCCGCCAGTGGTGCGTATTCGGTGCTGGACCGCTGGTGACCACGCCTTTTGTCGGATAGCCAAAGCCGGCGCATCTCATGACCCCCGTGCGGGTCACCTTGCTCATTGTTGAACAGTGTGGTCGAATTACCGTTGCTATCGGTCCGGAAGCCTGTTGGTGTCATTTTGGTCCTCTTCCGTCGCCTCTCGCCCCAGACAATGGCAGCAATGTAGAGGACTGCCAGCACCGAAGCGATCACGGCGTAGGCGATCTTCTTGGTCTGCTCTGTATCGCCCGCGAGCATTATTCCAAGCCCACCGTTGATCATGCCGCCGAACACAGCGACGCGGCCGATGGTAAGATGAGCGTACGACCACTTGGTCCGTTGTCCGATCTGCTTGAACTTCTTGTGGTGGATCCAACCGTAGACAGGCTGGCCGATCAAGAGAAGTGCAAGAACCGCTCCAATGATAGGATGCGCGTGCATGAAGAGATCCATAGCGTTGGCAATGCGCGCCCCGGTGGCTATCGCGCCGATAGCTGCGATCCATGCGACGATCTGCAACCCAACATGTATCCACAGGCCACCTCTGAAATTTGCGAGACGGATGAGGATGCCGCCGATGGGGAAGAGGATGACGAAACTCAGAGTGGCAAGCCCGCCATGTATGTTGACAAGTTGCTCGCTGACCTGTGCGCTCGATTCTGTCGAAATCGATTCAGCGCCGGAGCTGGAATCATCCGATACGTTGCTGTCGGCGTCAAGGAACGGATTCGAGGAGTCGCCTCCTTTGGCCCTCTTCAACGGCCACGTGAATGGCGTAGCGCGGTCGTGCTTGCTGATGGTCACCTCAACGTCATTCGAGTTCAGCGGCTCGCCCTTTTTGACCGCGTAGATCCAGTCGGCACGGTCTTTAGTGAAGTCCATAGTACCGCTGGCCCAACTATCGCAATCACCGCAACGCACATTCGCGGTCATCCAGCCGTCCTTGATCCCAGAACCGTCCAGAAGCTCAATGTCTGCCCTCGAGTCCCAAAGCGGTTCCTCATGACCTACACCTATGCGTGGTGAAACTGTAACGTCCTTTCCGTTCTGAGCCTGGTAAAACACGAAGATGTTGGCGTTGGTCATCCCGGACCCCTGGCCCAGGCCAACCCATTGGTAGTCTGACTTTGCGCGGACCTGAAAGAAGATGTCTCCGCGTCCAGTGGTCGCCGTGATGTTGGGAATGTTGAGCTCATAGCACAGACCTTCGAATGGACATGCTTTTGACACGGTCACTTTGTCGTTGTCTGCGTCTGTGGTCGGCCTCCATGCGACGGCAATGCTGGCTTGTTGCTGTAAGCTTCTTATCCAGTACTTGTGCTTGACGTGTTTTACTCACCAAATGCCGCCCCCGCGGTCGCTGCCACGTACGAGGCACGCATCACGACTGTCAGCTATGCACTTTTTCTTCACGAGAGTAGACGGGCGCCGGCTTTAGAGAATAAGAGTAAACAGGCGCCGGCCAAAGAAAATACAAAGTAAGATGGCGATGTCGCGCGACAAAGCGAAGACAACACCTCTTGAAGATATACTTATACCTATTCACGCCATTTATACGCGACCCAGAAGCTGACAAGATCAGCTAAATATACGCAACCGCCCCGACCGAGACCAGAGCCAAGAGAAGGCGTTAGGGAGGTGCAAAGACCAGTGCGGCTGACATTGAAGGTATACCGCAGCATTGTTCCGCCGACCGCGTAACATAATAGTAGCAGTCTTCCAGTCCAGCAGAGCAGAGCGGTGTTTCGGTTTTATCTGACAGAGCGGCGTCTTGGTATTCTCGTGGGAGGAGGCTGTGGGATGGGGTAACGTTGTCCCTTTGAACCCGAAGGATCTGCTCGAAGGAGCCAAAGCTGAGGTCCGCCGAGCCTGGCCTGTGCTTCCAAGCATATTAACCACCAACATGTGGTTACATGTCTGCCCTACAAGCCCTACTGCCTCACAGCGACGAAGCGTATGTGCTTGGCCATGGCAGTGCACCAAAGGAAACCCCTTCTCTCCCTTCCATCAGTTGACACAAGCATCAACGCGAAAGAGAAAATGACGACCATCATTGATAACCCATTCTTGCTATCTTACAACCCCTGCATTATTCTCTGCGTGAGCAGAAGTAAAAGTCTAGGAATTGCATAATCCTCCATCAGCGTTGAAAGGGCAAAGCAATGTACATGAGCCCATTCCTCCAAGATATCGTGTTTCTCCGCAGCACCATTAGTACGCCAATGAGCAGCCCCCACCCTTCCCAATGTGCTGTTCATACATCCACTACGACCTTCTCTCGAGCCTCGAACAAGTGCATTCAGCATGCAGTCTCCGTCAATCTGCCGGTGATGCAGGAGGAATTGATGTGTCCTTGCGAATGCTCGATCATGGATTTGTTGCGAAGACTGAGAAAAAAGCGAGCGCAGATGCCCACTCCGTATTAGGGTCCTTCCAATTCTGGTGACAACGTCATAGCTGGCGATGGTGACTCTGATCGAAGGCGTTGTTCCTCGTAGCAGGACAATCTGAAATGCGCCGATCACCCGCGCGGTAGAGCAAAGGTATTTACACGAAGCGAATTGGGCGAACGTAAGTAAGTTGAGGTCCGCCTTAGTGATCTCCCGGCGGTTCGTAGGTGTAGGCGAAGTCGGCAGTGCCTCCAACAGAGGGATCCATGGCGTGAGCAAGCGGATTGTTAATCCCGCTGTCGTACCCGGAAGGGTTGGCTGCGTTTCCGCCGGTGCTTGCGCCGCCTGGCCGTTGCTCGCCCCTGGCGACGAGATTCTGCAAAAGTCAGCTTCGCGAGAACGATGCTTGTGCAGAGCATAAGCTGCTCACCTCTCTGTACCTAGCGAGGTAGATCTTCAGCGCCTCTCCATAGTTCTCAAACCCAAGCGAAGTCATGGCGAACAGGATATCCTCGCCGTTGACCGTTTTACGCTTCTCCTGCTGGCACTTCTCTGAGGCTGTTCCACAGACATTAGCACTGCAGAGACAAGAGATAGCGGACAGACGTACCCTCACTCGTGATGAAGGAGATGAACTCGCTGACGCACTCCTGCATGCACTCCTTTGCCTCCTTGGCAATCTTCGCGTTGTCGGGGAGAGCCATCTTCATGATGCGGGCGACTGGAGCAAAATTATGAATGTTAGCATCGTTCTCGACGCGCTCCGTTTTCGCCTTGGATCGCTGCTGTGGCTGCGCAGGCGACGACTGCGGGGAGGAAGAGGACATGGTTATTCGTCCAGTCGGCAGCGCGACGACGAGGCTGCAGATCGCAGGCTGACAGAGGAGTCTCTGATTCGCCAGGACATGCAGACCAGGCGCAGAGCGTTATATGTGGACAGGATGCGACGGGCACAACATCCGTCGACGTGCAGGTGTCAAAGGGCTCAGAGCGCACAAGGTCGGGGGTGACAAGGGGATGGCGGGTAACGTGAACCAGTCAGGAAAGGGCAGAGGGATGCAAGGTGCCGTTACTCACCATTGGCAATGGGTAACCATCGGTCCTGTTCTTTGACCTCGAAATCGTACGCTGGATCGTCGCGACTCATTGTGGTCGCGTCGCCTCCTGGCTGGGTTTGCTCATTGTCCTCTGGGCTCGGAACGGCCGCTTCGAGGTCCTCTGGCTCGTGCGATGATTGAGCAGGCGACGCCATATTGTAGTGCGAGGCTTTTTGTATTAGCCCTGCAGGCCACTGATGCGCGACCGACGTGTCAATCGATTCGCTGGCACCACGTCACCGTCCTTGCCGGCAGACCGTCCTTTGCGCCTTGACCCAAACAGCACACCCTGCTGCAGCGTGTGCGACGTTAGATGCAGGCCGGCGTGGAGCAGCCGGCACCGAGAAGCTTGTTGGGTGCGGGAACGGCGAGCGGTGAGTCGGGCCAACTGGTTCGTGTCTTGCTCCGTTTGCAAACTAATCTCTCAGACGTCTTGCGCTCTGCGTCCGCCCTCTCCGCGCAAACGCGCTAACGGCAGGCGCGGCGGCGGTGAGGCCACTGGCGAAACTTTGACGACGGCGCGGTAAATGCCTGCCAAGACGCGCAGATATGATGGCGCCTTGCAGGAGTAGTGCGAGCACAAAGGATGCCCAATATTGTGCTGGTGGCTAGCTCGCTGACGACGGCAAAAAACAACAACCACCAGGTCGCAGACGCACGGAAGCCCGACTGGCAAATAGCGTAGGCGCAGGAACGGGCGACGACGGGTCCTTGCTGCTGTCTTCTCCGCGCTTTGCGCCGCAGGCGATTTCGTTCGGATGAATGATTGTGGTGAGGCGCGCGTGTATGGCGTAGCTTTGTACTCCGAGCGCCACAGCTGTCGGTGTTTGATATCGTCCAGTTGGGCAGACGGTTGTAAATGCGCAAAAAGAACGAGGATTTCATAGGTCGCAGTGGAGAGGGGTCTTTCCTTTTTACCCTAGCGCTCGAGCCAGACACGGCCGTTGCGACGGTCAGCCTTTCTTCACATTCACCGGCCAATCAGCACTTGAAGAATTCACATAGCGCCATGATTTGGTCTACATGTGATTCATCTATTTACCACTCTTATTCGTCTCATAATGGCTCTCCTGGTGTGGACGAGGGAGGAACGACAGCAGTCACCACGCCCCCTCGGCAGAATCAAACAACCGGCGGCTTCTCCCACAGAGGGATAGAGTGGCGAGGTCATCGCGCATGCGGCATGAACGCTTCTGCCCAACTTGTGCTGCGGCCTCACTCCCACTCCTTCGTCGACCGAACTCATCCTAGCTACGTTGATGCGTTGGCAGAAGAGATGAGGCGATGGTCGAGAAGATGCTGAGCCATCTCCAAAAAGCACTTGGGCATTCCAGACGCTGCAAGACCGTTCTACAGCATCAGCCCTGCTATCTGAACAGTACTGACGTTGACAGCAACCAGTCATCTCTCCCCCGTACCTCATGCACTCTTTATCTGTGAAGCCCAATCATCATTTTGCCCGCATCTTTGTTTTTGGAGATTGGGCGACTGAGCCGAACTACTGCAGCTCTGCAGCTACAACGCATGCACGCAATGTGGCTGGACGACGGGCAGCTCGGCGTACTGCAGGGATGTGCGTCGAGGAAGAATATGACGCTCGAGGAAATGTTTCGAGGCAGATGTCACTGTGCAGCACTATTGATGCCCTTGTGCTACCTTTGATTGTCATTCAGGTGGTGTCCGAGCGGACGAAAGGAAATGCTGGAAGATGAGGGTTTGGAAAGGTCAGATGATCTAGTTGATGGAAAGTGACATTTTCTCCAGGACTCTCGAACCGAAGACCGTCCGCTTGAAGTCGATATCAGCGCTTCGACGGTCTTGCTAGGTTCGAGAAGTCCGCCATCCTACGGTAGAAGCTTGTGCGTTCGTCAACTTGTTCCTGGAAGTTGACGGTGCCGAGCATTCGATCTCTGGAGATAGCTCAATCTCTGTGCGTCCATCAAAGAACCCGACTGGGTGGTTTGTCCTACGTGCTCGGCGAAGGTGACCCGGCCCTGGTTCTTCCGTACCACAGCTTCGATAACACAGCGTTTTGGGGCTGTCCGGTGTCATGCGGCAACAAAGAATGTGAATCCGTGCAAACGTCCGTCTGCCTCACTGCTGAACAACTTGGACGTTGTTCTTCTTCTGCTAGGTTGTCAGCAGATGCACCCAGAAAAGGTGCCAAAGTAAGATTACCTTCCACTTGTCCATCTCCTCCTGTTTACTCTGATACTGCTTGACCAAACTCTCCAGCACTTCCTTCAACCCATCCGCATTGGTCTGCAGAGCAGGCAGGACGTCGCTCACCGTCCTCTCCACCAAGACGCCATTGATCATTCGGAAGCACTTGCGCTCGCCGGACAAAGGGCCCAGAGTCTCAAGGACTAGTCTGCCGGCGAAGTCAGTACCGCTGCATGGAGGATGAACGGTATATGCCGACAGCAGGATCAGGTGAAGCAGAAAGCCTATGCAGGAACAATGATGAAATGAGACGGTGCCGTCAAGGAATAAGATCAGATGACTGCATGATACCGCCGCACCAGGCGCCTTCGGAGCCAACCTCGTGGCGGTGAAGCAAGGTTTGTATGTCGGCAGTCACCAGGAAGAGGGTCTGAGTCGTATTTGAAGAGCGGTGGCACACCGACATTGACAGTGCAATATAGAGTTCTTCCACAGACTTACTTGTGCTCTTCGGTTTCTTGTTCGACGTCACCGATCTTCTGGGCGATGGCCTGGAGTGTTTCCTTGTAGTTTGAATATTGGGCTTGCAACTCTGCGGGCGAAGTGAGTGATCCGCTTCATCTCCTGAAAGTGGTAGAGGAGCTGTACGCACCCTGCTGCTTCTTCGCAGACATCTGTTGCTGTGACATGATCTCTAAACCCCAAATTGTATCTGGAGTTTAATCTTGCTGGAAGGCAGTTGATGTTTGTTCAACCTGTAGAGTCCCTCGCTTTAGTCGTGGTGGCAATTTGAACACTTTAGACACCTGAGCTTCACTTGTTCCAGACATCATCACGAAGTCATCGACATCTTCTGCTGAATTACTTCCATTCACGACAAGGAGATACCGCAGGAGTACGATCGCGATGCATCCTCATTTACACACCAAAGACAATCGAGGTAGGCCATTTCCGCCGTCCCGCAACAGCGCCACCATCTGACGAATACCAGGTTGCGAGGAAGTGATGACGGCGCTGGAAGAATGCCACGCGCAAGGCTTTCTGTGGAAGTCGATGGGCATGTGCAGCGATCTGAAGACGCAGGTCAACAAGTGTCTACGAGCGGAGAGACTGGAACGGACGGCGAAGAATCGAGAGCAGGCGAGGGAGAAGCGGGAGAAGATGAAGGCTATCTTTCAAGAGATTGATGCGAACTCTTGAACACGAGCACACCTGATCTATGCATTTGGTGACATGGGCACTGCATGGCTATCTGCTGCGAGCAACCGGCCTGCGGACGACATCAGATCAGAGGAGACTATGGACAACAGATGGAAGGCGCGCGCTCAAAGAGCAGACGCACTGAAGTCGCGGCAGAGGAGGAGCCAGGCAAGACAAATGTGCAGGATTGGAGAGCTGTGTCTCGATGGCATAAGGGCCGCCGTCCTAACCACTTTGAAGTCCTCGGGTCTTTGCATTGGGGCCGCACTCTACCACAGCTGAAGGAGGAGATGAAAACGGCTGGTGAGCGCCTTTGTGAACATGACCACAGTCAAGCATCCAAGTGACAGTGTTCGGCAGCCCAGATATGCGATATTGGTACACACGAGGCTTTCGCCGCACCTGTCGATGTGGCTAGGGATTTCAGCTTCAGCGGGGGCACCATTGGCGGCTTCGATCATATTCCGGTTGTCATGGTGGATGTTGGCGATTGCTCAGCAGTGGACAGTGTGAATGCGGACAGTGTATTTGTAGGAGACATACGAAGTCAGACCACTCAATCAAGCATCATTTTGTATTCATGAGCTCCAGCTGCTTGCTGTTGTGTCCCCTCGAGCCAACGACTCATTCTTCTTATCATACAACCTGATGATGATGGTACGACAAAGAAGAACCAATAAGTGCCTCGACCGAGAGCATAGCAGATCAATCCACTAAGAAAGTAAGGAAGCGAGGGCTTGCACGGAGTGGAGAGGTTTGATCAATGATGCACAGCAGAAGTGAAAGCAAAGTGTTGTATTATTCGTGGACTTAAATGCAGCCTGTATGTATGCGGCCTGTCCCGATCTGAAATGGCACAACTCGCAGAACGCAACAAACCCAAAAGCAAAAACGCTATAACCAAACAAAACTCGCACCCAAGAAAAGCCACAATCAAAGAAACACTCAATCCAAAGAAACAGGTGGCGAACCGCTGCGGTGTTGGAGTTCGCTTTGCGCGGAGCGGGGACGACGACAGTGTTGAAAGCCGCCGGTAGCTCTTCGAAGGACCGAACGCCGGCGAGGGATGTCGAGGTCGTCGTTCGGGGTGAGGGTGTCGAGCCTCCGGTGGAGTGTGAGATGGTTAGCTGGGTTTTCGAGGAGGAAAGGCATGTGGTGGAAGACTTACAATCTGCGGCCTTGCAGAGTCGCAGTGACAGGTCAAAGTCGTCTGCAAGGCCTGGAAAATGTCGTCGAGCTGGAGAGGTGCCCGGCCTTCCGCCACTCCTGCACCAAGAGCACAATGTGTCCTCGTCTCGCCGCCACAAGACTCGACAAAGTGCCCTTGCCTCTCCATCACTCCATCACTGTGAGGTTGTTAGCGACGTCGAGCTGTGAACCTGTGATGGGAGCACTCACCCCTTCACCCTCCCCACAACCACCTGTTGACCTTGGCCTTCGCCATAGTCCACAGCTCCGAAACAATGTTCCTTGCCGCCACGAGGTAGCCGACCTCGACCTCGGGCTGGTGTTCCGGTACCGGTTCGCGATCGCTTCGGTAGAAGCCGCCTTTCGAAAGTCGATCTTCCCACTCTGCATGGGAGACAAGCGGTCCTTGCTCCGCAACGGGGTCGATCGTCGGCGTTGGTTCGCGTCGATAGCTGATCTCTGGTGCCGGGTTGCGGCTCCTGATTCGCGCGACTCGTTTCGGTCTTGAGGCTGGATGAGGTGGTTGAGGCCTCCGAGGTGGGTCCCTCAGATCGAATTCACGCTGTGCCTCGGGTGACAAAGCATCCCGGAAGGCTTGCGCAAGACTTGTCTTCGTGGCTGCGTGGGAGAAGATGTCAGCAAATGTTCTCTGAGGGAATGCGTGAGAGTGAAGGGATGATCAGCCGCTGCGGCGGCGGTGCTTGTGCCGTGACCATGGAGAAGAGGCGGCAGATCTCGCAGAGAGGAAAGGTTCGAGTGGAGGGGTGATCAGCCGCTGCGGCGGCAGCACTGGTGTTATGACTGTGAGAAGAAGCTGGACTTACCGAATCGGAAGGGCTGCGCATTGGCTGCTGGCGTGACAGGCAGCTCAATGCCCTCCGCACGGGCTGCGGCCATCATCTTCCCGTTCCAACGGGAGCGTCGTGCCGGCATCGGTGGCCATGCCTGAGACGACTGCCAGGTGGATACGTCTGAGTATATGCTCTTCTAATGAGCGGAGACGAGTCAGCGATGCCACAGAGTCAGAGTGATCATGACATACCGTATCTTCCTTGGCTGCCAACATCTCGCGAAACTGGCGAGCGGCGGCTCGGTGTTCCCGTTCCGCATCCGACTGCTGGTCGACCTCGATCTGCTGCTTGCATGGCTTCCCCTGAACCTCCATCCTGACCCTCTCGATCTCCGCCGCGATAGTCTCGCCGAACTTGAGGATCTGGGTGTTGGTGTATCGCTACTGGGGAGGCTCCTGCTGGTGCGGCACCTCTGGGGGCTGCGTGCCAGAGGATCGAAGCGAAGGAGCTTTGCTTGTCATGGCTGGGTGTCGTCAGCAAGTTTTAGAGCACCAAGGGTTCAGGTGGACATACAAGTGATGCTGCCGTCGTCAATCAGGTGACCCATGTACGAAACATGAGAGCCGCCGGTGTCGGCGCAACCTTCGACAATGCGCTTCATCTTGAAGTACAGATCAAACGGCACTGTCTGTCGCTTCCAGTTGCAGATGTAGACGCCGCTCGCGTACAGTTTGCCTGGATCAGTCAGTGGGAGCAAGAACATGTAAAGAGAGGATTTACTACTGACCGTCGTCCTTCAGGACGCATCCGGGCTTTGGCTTGAGCATCTCCCCCGCCTCGAAAAATCGACGACGGACGTGCTTCGCCTCGCTGCCTGTGAATTTCCGCTCAGGAGGCGTCTGATCTGGTATCAGACTAGGTTCTCTGGGAAACGAGGCAGCAAATGCAGTCACATCAATGGCTGTAGTGGCGGGGCAGGAAGCACTCACCCCGAGGAAGTCTCGGCAGTGCGGTCGGTGAGCCTGCGGCTGGAGTTGGTGCTGGAGAATGTCGAATTCGAAGTCGGCATCTGTGGCGGCAGATGTGAACCCGATCGGCGAAGCGACCAGGAAGTCGTGGATGAGAAGGTGGTGACAGTAGCCTTTCTGGCCGAAGCCATGGCAGGGCCACGCATGCCTGTCAACATGCGGCGAGCCGGAGAGAGTTGCTTGCTGATTTGAACTGAAGTTCGCACCGTGCTTGCTACATGATCGACGACATTAGCATGGTTGTTTTGAGAATGAATGGATGACCATGGATCTGTGGAACAAGATGACGACGGCGATGGGGACAGTCAGGTACAGCTGTGTGCGTGGCTTTGCAGATGAGGGAGGTGCACGACGGTGCAAGAGACATGGCATTGAGTGGGATGAGGGCAGGAGGCAGAGGATGAGATGGGGCAGGCAGTGAGTGATGCTGGCGAAGTGACAGTGGAGTGAGTGCATGTTCGCGGGAGGTGCATTGGGGGTAAGTGAGAAGGAAAGCAGTCGCCGGTACCTCTGTAGTTTAGAAAACTGGAGAGAAAAGAAGAAGGAGAGAAAGAGCGAGAGGGAAAGATTCATACATACCAGAACGCGTCCGCGCGTCCACTGCGCACAGAGCAACAACAACAACAAACGCACAGAAGCCTTTGGAGTCCAAGAGCCCCAAGGGTTTCAAGTGCACCAAAGTTGAGAGTGCCACAGGTGGCGATGCTGATGCTGGACGGAGAACATGCCATCCCCCCTTCGATGGGGATAGGTCAACGCCCGCGAGCAAGCCTGATGGCGATGTTATGTGATCCGCTCTGTATACTGCTGATGTTCGCTCAATTCGGACAGCTGCGCCGGGTGCCGTTCATCTCGAGGCAGCTTCACCCTTCGTGCTCGTCCGCAGCGCACAAATTTGGCTTCTGCCACTATTTGTGGCGCATATCTCAGGCGGACGCGAGTTGTGGAAGTGGCTACTTCGCTCCGTGGTTGCCTCAGCCTGATCGTGCATCGCTTCCGTAGAGTAGTCGCTGTTGTCGCTGGTGCCCCGTTCCCCAAGTTGCCATGTCCGCAACTGCGAGCAATCCCGGGTGAGGTAGCGGAGAGCCATTCTTCAGGCCTTCGAAGGAGTCTTTCATGATGTTGTAAAGTTTCCTCCTCCGTTCGTGTGCAACGTTCCTTGGTCTGCAGCCTGCAACACGATCAACCATCGAAAATGTTGGCAGACATCCGTGGTGCGACTGGCTCTGAGCACAACAAAGCTGGCCGTAAGCCGCTCTCGTATGCATTAAATCGCACAGTCCAGGGTAAGAATGGCCAGGTTTTTACCACTTCGTATGTGGCCAGACAAGCATGTGTGGCCAGCCAGGCGTTCTGAAGTATCAGACGCCCGCCAAGCTCTATGCTCATGCCCTTGGGCATGGCAAATTTCAGATTTGTCGTCCAGACGGGAACGGACATATCAAGCAGCCTGGGAGACATGGCGGGGGTTCCCCCTCGGCGGTTCGAAGACTGGCAAGGTGGCCTGCTGGACCAGGCCTGCTCCAGGCTCAAATCAGCAGCACAACAGCGGAGCAACTCTCCTTCTCATGATCAGAAATGACGAACAGGCCAGTGTAGCGCCAGTCAAGCAGTGGAACGGGAGAAGAGGAAGAAGGGGAAGGGGAAGTTGAACTGCAGGCGCGATCTGACGTTCTAAATTGCCTCTTCTGGCGACGCGGCCAAGCCTAACGCAACACGCCACCCTTTGCGTTCAACTCACAATCTTACGACACTACTTGCTGTCCCAGCTCACATCAGATGCATCACAGTCTGCGTTGATGGTTCTCCGCAGATCAAGCCACTAAGGTATTCCAGCGAGCTGCAAGATTGCTCACACAAGCGAGTAGGGATCTTGCATGAGGCGGACCCCGTCGCCTTGAGCTTCTAGCAAACCAGCCTATGGTTCTCGGTAGCTTCGGCCCTCGCATGCTTGAAGGCATGGTCTGTTTTAAGTACGAACCACCCTGCTGTGGAACAGTCTCATGCCTGTTGTGTAAACGCGTCGCCTTCTGTTCATCAGCGGTCTGATGTTTCGCACTGTCAACGCACATTGACCAATTGTTGTGGCAGGACATTTAAGATAAGACATTGCTGCCAGGCAAAGAAGAGCAGGGCAGCTACTGACGAATGACATCCCTTTCACCTCGACTGGGCAGCAAGTTGAGACCGACCTCCATGTAATGACAGTCACAAGCACTACTGCGCATACCCGCACGACTGCTTTTGACCAGATTCACGGATCGACAGGACACCCGTAGCGGTTTCCTCGCGCCTGGGATCACAGCAGCGTTCCCGAATTACATCGGTCGAGGGGGCATCAAATTTGCTTTCGAGGTACGTACCCAGTCTCCTGTCGCATCACTTCTCACTGAACAAACGCGGGACATCCAGGTTCTCTCTTTCCCAAATCCTGCCTTCCCAATTCTCCTCGCTAGGCAGTGCACCGCTCTCCTGCATTTGTGTCGCTACCTCTTCCGCTTCAGACCAGGCCCTCAAGACGTTCTCTCCCAGGAGACCCGCTACTTCCCCATCTGTCACGTTCTCCCTTTCAATCAGTCGAGCGATCAGCTCGGGCCATTTCGAAGTGTCCTGTCCTAAATTAGCATCTCTTCTTCAAAGCGATCGGAGCAGCCTACCTCCAAACCCTCCACTATGAGAGTAGTCCCATCGAAATCACTCCCGAGGCCAACATGCTCCCACCCGATCAAGTTGGCAATGTGCATGATATGATCCAGCATATCCTCCGCAGTCGCCTTGTCCTTCCCTTGCTTCCTGAGGAACGGCTCTACGGCGGGAACCATTACGACTCCCCGGTTGCGCTTCACCATCTGCAAAACATCATCTGGAACGTTGCGGCCATGGTTCGTCATCGCCCAAGCGCCGCTGTGGCTGTATATCACAGGTGCTTCGGCGACTTTTAAAGCTCCTCGCATGGTCTCCGCACTGACGTGGGACAGGTCAACAAGCATGCCGAGTCTGTTCATCTCTCTCACGCATGTTTCGCCGAAAGATGTCAGCCCAGCGTCCGGTGCTCCTGGCACTTCAGGGTCGACTGAGACCCAACTTGTCGCAAAGGCGTTGTCGGAGTTGTGTGACAGCCTTGAAGAGGGTCAGCCAAACTCTCAGACACGGTATGTATTGCTACTACGCACGTCATATACCGCACTCCCAAATTGAAGAACAGCCTCAACGATCCAAGACCATTGCCAGTAGAGTGGCCGCCTTCAATCCCAAGCATAGACGCTATGAGGCTGGAAGTATGCGCGGTCCGGACATCGGCTGGTGTTGTACAGAGCTTCAGGTGAGATGGATATGCCGTGATGAGCCGGTGGGTGATGTCGATTTGTTCGAGAGTGTCGCGGACACACCACTGAAGGATGGGGAATGCTGTCAGCTCAATCTTGCTGTCGGAGAATCTGTGCTACTATCTACAGCGACATTAAAAATGACATACATTTGGTTCATTCAGACCCAGCGCCCTCGTAACAACCGGGGCAGTGGCTTCGCATCCGCAAGAATGGCCATTTGAGGTCTGCTCAGCTCCAGGCACGCTCAAACGCATTTCCTCTGGATTGGGGACGTAGATCGACCAGAACTGCCCGCCCATCATCCCCGCTCGCATCTTCTCAAGGCTAGTATGACTCGAGAGGTTATTCGTGAAGTCATGCTTGTAGATCTGGTTATGCAGCTGTTGTCGTAGGAGAAACGGGAAATCGTTGTGGCCATCGATTAAAGGCGTCTTCTCAAGAAGCCGTTTGGCACGAGCGAGAGGAGCTTCACCGTTGCTCTGCCCGCCGAGAGTGGCCATGACGATGTTATAGCAGTTACTTCGAGGTCAAGATAACAGTCTAAAGGTCGGCGAAGGTAGTATGCTGCAGATGCTGACTCATGAGCTCGTTATGTGCCGCGCAGACCGTGATTAAATGACAACGAGGGAGTCGGTAGTGTCTGGTGGACTTAGGTTTTCGGTGCGAGTTTGCAAGCAGGAACAGTCTATCAATCGACCAATTGGCGAGATGGACTCAAGACGACGCAGGCGGGCGAGAAACCATGTTCAGTGGGGCATGAGTTGTTACGCGATTTGCCTCTGTACGAATGCACAGCAGAATCCTTCGGATGATTCCGTGTCAAGTTCGGAGACCTATTTGAGCAGATTAAGATAGAGGCCACGTCTCGATGTTACAGCTGAGGCAAGGTGGCAAGACTTTTAGAGTACGTAGGAGCGTATCATGTAGTTGCAGCATATAACAGATCACTGCCGGCAACCCAAGTGTCTCGAAGGCTACGTTTCCCCTTATGCTCCCATTGGCAGTCGGCTGCTACGCTTTAAGCTTACCAGATCAGAGATCACGACCTGCGAGCCTAAGATGTCCCCCAGCGAGCCCTGAGCGCGTTCCCAGTCCTCTGAAATAACCCCGGCTGCTCCTCATCGTCGTCAGCCGCCAACACCTCCCTCCTTCCCTCTTGGAGATCCACCGTAGCAAGGTCGACGACCTTCGTGCGATGCCAAATCTTCCAGCCGGCCCAGATGACAAAGAACAGCACGAGAATGATGTACGCAATAACAAAATCGACCCAATGTTGCGGGTTGATCAGCGTGCCGTAGCCTTGTATGAAGACCAAGCTGTCCTACTATTAGTTGCACCGCACGGGTCAATGAAGCAAGATCAGGCCACTCACAAAGGATTGAAGATTGCAACAATCCATGCCCCATACGGATACAGGAAGGCATGGAACGGAAGTTCATCTGGTGTATGGCCTTGCAAGCGCCATGCTCTCCGAAAGCGAAGGTGTGTGATGCCAACTACGGACCAGACAATCAGACCTCCTGCGCCGATGAGGTTGACGAGATAGCCGAAGACTTTTCCACCGCCTTCAGAAATGGTGGTCAGGGCGATGAGCCCGACGGCGTTGCTCGCGACGGCTGCGTAGACAGGAACACCACCAAGGTGTGTTTTTCCGAAGAATCGGGGAGCTCGTCCCTGGTCGGCCAACGATTTCAATGTCCGTGACGCAAGATAAATGCTGCTGTTCGAAGCGCTGAAGGTCGCGAAGAAGATGAAGGCGTTGATCAAGTGGCCGCCCCACGAGTAACCCGCTCTTACCAGCATGATCGCGAATGGACTGGACCCAGCACGGCTGTCTGCCGTCAAAAGGTCTTCGTCTACAGCACTCACGCTGATGCCGGCGAAGGACATCAGTCCCCAGTAGATGATGATCTAGCAGAAACGTCAGTGTCTTAAGCCGTCTCTGAGAGGTCTTGCATCCGCCAGCTCGACTTACAATTCTGAAAAGACTTTGCTTGATCGCAGAGGGGACGTCCTTTGAAGGTCTCCTCGACTCTCCAGCCGTCACAGCGACCAATTCAGTGCCGCTGTAGTACACTGCCGCAAGTACGAAGGACTGCCCGAATCCATTGATGCCGTTGATGACGGGTCCAGGTTCTGCCCAATAGCGAAAGCCAATGTAGTCGCCGCCCATTGCCCCGGTGTTGACAAGAATGCCTGTCTGTGGGTTAGTAGTGCTTCAGAAATTCAATTGGTAACGAATGATCCACACTGACTGAGCAACATGGTGATCCCGACAGTCACTATTTTGATGGTGGCAAGCCAGAACTCGACCTCTCCGTACACGATGATGCCGAGTAAGCCAATGACCTACAGACAGAAAGGTAGAGAGGTCAGTCGTTGTCTTAGGGCTCTGCGGAAAACTCGTACCTGATAGAAAGCCCAGAACAAGAGAATCCAAGCGTAAGCTGGGACCTTGTCGGTCCAGTAGGAGAGTACGATGGCCTGGAGCAAGGCAAGCATCATCAGTCATCGTGTCTCGGAACAGTGGCGCTGCCTCAACTCATGAGCACTTACAATGAGGTTGTACTCTGCGGCAAGGTTGATGGCCCACTGCAGCATGTTACTTCGTAGTCCTCACTGTTCTCTGGTGCACACGAACCAAATACCAATAATTCCATCCGAGTGCAACCGCGACAGCCCCGTCAATGAATATGCCGGCCAATTCGGTGAACGCACCAGCCGAAGGGTAGAGTGTAGACATCTCGCCGATGGACTGCATGACGAAGAACACGTCGATCCCGATAACGATGAAGCACACCAGGGCTCCGACCTGTCGCTGGTCAGTTGTAACAAGCTGCACGCTGTTGGAGAACTTACCGGGCCAGACGAGGCTATCGACACCCCAACACCGTACCAGATGCTTGCTCTGCACACATGTGTCAGTGACAAGGCATCCGTCCTGTCTTGTAGGCGCATACCCAATCACTCCTCCGAGGCTTATCATCCGCATATGCCTCGACTTCAATTGTCTGTGAAGGCCGTGATCAACAACCGTGCCATGGGACGTGACAGCGAGATGTTCTTTGGTATCGACTTCCGTTGGCTCCATGGCAGAGCCTTCCTTCATCTCCTCAGCCATAATGGCGTCGTGGGTATGGTTAGAGGGCCAGAGAATATCCGCGATCGAGACGACGATGCAAGAAATTGGAAGAGGATGACAAGAAGTCCAGTCATTGGGGCTACCAAGGGTTATGATATTCGGACAGGAGCAGTATCACGACCTCCCATACGAACACAGAGCTTGAGCAGACGCCGTGCATTAGCCTGCTCGACACGCGAGATAACGAGGGGCATCAAGTCCGGTGCATGAACAGGATCTGGAAACTGGCTCTCACAGCATGCTCGTACTGTACCATTGTCGGCCGAGAAGAGGGTTTCTGGGTTCTTTCGTAATGGAAGAGGTGCCCTTCCAACTCTCCTTACCGTTCTCCATCGCCTGGCGTTGCCATTCCGTTGGAAGCCTGATTCTTGAATGCCACCGGGAGCTGATGGCTGCGATGAAGTCAATGGCGTGCCATATCGCCTCAGGACAGCATCTACAAAGGCAGCCGTCGCATACGCACAAGCTGTGGTGCTGTTGATCGCGCTGATAACAGTGATCATCAATGAGAATGCGAGACATGGCGCTGTTGATTCTTACAGTGGCCAATAGACCAAACCTTGGCGCGAATCCTTCCGTCTTGACTTCACCCAAGTTCACCCTCAACTTCCCCTCTCTGCAACATACCGTAACATCGCTGTACGAACAGACCATTCCTCATGCGTGTGGTCACACCGCGTCAAGATCGGATCACGTTTCCTGCTCGCGAGACCGCGCAGACGTTCTGCTTCCTCGGTAGGTCATCGTGCCTGACGCTGTGTGACCAAACTCCTTTGGTATACAGGAACGCGGCTTTCCCCTCCAAGCAGGCCTACACTGATGATATGGCGAGGTATAAGTAGACTCGCGGCTGCTTCTTGTTGGGGTTTCAGATTTCAAGCGTTGTCTTAGGCTTTCTTGCGGTCATTTTACCTGCACTTTCGCAAGATGTTCCCCCCGACGTTCAAGAAGACGCCCGTCTTCGCCATGCTCATATCGATTTTGCACATCTCCCTCTCAACAGCCGCTTTCTTGAAAATGCCCAGAACAGACATGGCAGCCCTGGGAAACATCTACCTGCCCGTAACAGACTTCTCCAGCAAGATCTTCGACGAAGCAAGGCAAACCCTTACGAGTCAGATTGACAAAGCCCTCGCCGCTGGAGACTCCGAGTATGGTCCGCTGTTCAACAACACTGCCTTCTCCGCTTCGGTGTTCAGTCTGAAAACGGGCAAGTCGATCTTCGAGTACCACTACGAAGCACCCACGCTTGGGAAGGGATCGTATACGAAGGGCAAGCTCACGGAAGATACGATCTATCGAACCGGCTCTCTCGGCAAGCTCCTACTCATTTACACGTGGTTGGTGAACCTGGGAGAATCCGCGTATCTGGATCCTATCACCAAGTACATTGTAAGAGGCTTTGACAAACAATCGATCTAGCTTGTCTTCTGACCTCTCGCAGCCGGAGTTTGAGGAAGCTCAGAAGTCGTACAAGAACCCTATCATGTCCACAAATTGGTCGGAGGTCACTGTTGGGGCGCTTGCTAGCCAGTTGTCTGGCATTGGAAGAGATTGTTAGTTACTGTGGCTTTCCGATTTTCTGACCAGGCACAGCTGACTGACTGAGGCAGATGCGCTCGGAGATCTTTCGACACAGTAAGCGGCCTGCCAACATGTCGCTCAAGGAGTGCTGCCAGCTAAAATCAACAGGTCCTTCGGTGCACCCCCACCAGAGGCGGCGATCGACAGCGGCTATCCACCTTTACCGAATGGTGGTCTACCTTGCGACGCCTATGGAGACGATCTGCCGTCCTGCAGCCGTGCCCAATTTCTGCAAGGCATCATTGACCATCCGCCCGTCAACCATCCATACTACACCCCAAGCTACTCAAACTTGGCCTACGCCATCCTTGGTCTTGCTTATGAAAAAGCGTCAGGTGGCATGCGATGGGACACTGCTGCCGACAAGCTCTACAACCATGAGCTTGGCATGCTGGCCACCACAGCTCATGCTCCTGCAGCTGGCGCTGATGCCGTAATTCCCTACAATGACAGCTACAGTCTCTTCACCTTCGACATTGGTATTGAGGGACCGTAAGTGCACCACTTCCAATGCTCATTTGGTGCTGATCATGCTATCAGAGCGGGCAATCAGTACACCTCCACAAAAGACCTCCGCACATGGGGACAAGCTATATGGACGAATAAGCTTCTCGACCCTGTAACAACTCGGCGGTGGATGAAGCCCAAAACTTTCACATCTAGATGGACCAGTGCTGTTGGAGTAAGTCATCCGTTTGCAACAGGGAATGCATGCTGATGTGGGCGGCAGGATCCGTGGGAGATCTATCGCTTAGGCCTTCCTGTTGACGCTTTGACGGACGCATATCGTGTCGTGGACACCTACTCGAAAGGTGGAGATGTTGGCCAATATAGCACTGCCTTCAGCTTGGTCCCGGATTATGAAATAGGATGGTCTGTCATGGCAGCCGGTGAAGCGCCTGGCACTCAAAAGGGTCCCATACGCCAGATGCTTGTGGATGTCTTCGTAAGTGCTGATACTCCGTTTTGGATGCAAAGCTAACGCCTGTAGTACAACGCCATGGAAACGGCCATGAAAGAGCAAGCCCGCGCAACCTTCCCAGGCATCTACAGCTGTCACGAAATTAACTCCTCCGTCACTCTGACCGTCGACGGCAACTCCGGCGTCGAAGTCAAATCCTGGATCAGCAATTCCACCGACATGTTCAATAACCTCTGGCTCGCCGGACACAAAGACTTTCGTCTCTACCCGACGAGCTTGAGCTACCAAGACGGCGATATGACGTACCATAAGTACTATCTGGCGACTTTGTTCGGGAAGCATGGCTTGCAGCTACCGAGCTACGACCCTTGGTCTGATCTTGGGGAGTACTGGATCCAGCTTGACGGAACTATGTATAACAACCTGGCAACTGACTCCTGGATCATTGGGTTCGATGCGGATGGAATGGTGCAGAGCGTCGAGTCGCAGGCTGTGAGGGCGGTGATGTACAGGTCAAGTGAGTGAACGGTACGTATCGATATATACGAGTTAAAGCTACATTTCCAGGATCTCCACTGGCCTGTTACGAATGTAGGTGAGTTTTAACTGTTGACTTCAAGCTTCACATGCTCGCAGCAGTTCAAGCCTCACCGACAAGGACAGTTCTTTACTCTTTCCTCTTCACTGACCTCGTTCGAAACTCATCCCCAATTCCATCTTACAACTGTAGTGTCCCTGCAGATGCTCTACTGAGGTCCCAAGGCGTTCGCGAAGAGCAGCTCGTGCTTCACCTCACAAGCACAACCACGAACCCAGCACAAGCACTTCCACGCGAAAGTTTGGCACTAGCAGAGATATGCAGGAGCGACTCATTCTTACCGGGCCTCCTGTACTAACTAAGGCGAGCAGATGGACGAGACCAAAGACGGGACTAGAGGGGGCCGCTGGCAGTCCCACAAAGTCGTCGGCAAACCGTAAGTCATGGGTGCATTCTCGCGTCGACAAGTGCTAACGAGGCACAGATCGGCGATGCGCCATTCCACCGGGGGAAGCAGACCGAACAAATGTTCACCATCGGGAACGACTCGTTCGTGCTCACCAAGAAGGCAGTACACGATGAAATTGCAGAGGTGTGGGCCATGCTGGACGAGGAAGGCACCATCGTCTACAAAGTGAGACCACAGCAGTGGCGTGAACCTGCGAGTGCCGGTGAGCTGGAACTCACGCCGGACGAGTATGTGGATATGGACGCCCTGCTTGAGGAGCTACGTGCGAGGAAGGAGTCCGCCGTGATGCTTCAGGCTGCGGAGGAAGTCAACACGCCGGACAAGCAGATAAGCAAGCTTGAAGCTGAGCTGGTACGCCATCATCGATTCCCCTCTGGCTTGCTGGACTAAGGCGACAGACACAGTCAGCAAAGCGCGCGTGTAGGATGGCCGACTCAAGAACAGCAGAAGGGACGCGAGGTCTATGAACAGCTCTGCAGCGCCTACGGGCAATGGAAATTCAAGAAGCCAGAGCTGGTATCAATAGCAGCGGAATGCTTGCGGGTGAACCTACGCTCGCTACAGCACCAGCCAAGCACGAGCTCGGAATGGTGGGACGTCTTCATCTGGCTCTTGCACGACCAACTCTTGGTCTCTTGGAGAGATCCAGACCAACTTCCTGCCAACGAGATCCCGCCGGAAATTCCACATCTGCCCAGTCAATTGACATTCACGCTCACGGAGGCGGCACTCTCGAAGAAAGCCCAGGAGCACTGGATCAATAAGAACGTCGTCTCGACCATGGCCTCGCTCGTCTCCCTCTCAATGCTCCGCCCGATCGCGAGCGGAGTGTTTCCGGGCTTGATCGGGCCTTACGTCAACAAGAAGTTCCGACAAGGGATGCAGTTCTTCTACTGGAACATGAACAGGACGCCAGACTACACTTCAAGCCACATCTTCCCGGACATTACACCAGACGTCAAGTTCGAGGGGGAAGAGAGACAGAAGGCGATTGCGGAAGCTGCCCAGGATTTAAAAGCCGACGGCGTCACCTGGTTGCTGGTGCGCATGGTGTGGCATGACTACTTGATGCCAGCTGCGAAGGAGGGAGATGCTCGAGAGATCAACGCGATCATGTTGCATCTTCAGGGTGCCGTGCAAGGCGAGGATCTACGGGAGGATGGCGACTATGGGGAAGAGTGTGATGTTGAGGATGAAGAATGGGATACAGACGATGACAGGGACGGCGACGGCTGGGATGACGAGGAGGATTAGGGTGAGTACGGGGAATATGAGATTTGCACGGAACCAGGAGGATTATCGCGGCACATCACAGCGGTGCTACGATGCTGACTTTGAACATGATCTGAGCCACATATCGCAGAGGATTTTGTTTTTGCTGACAGACGCAGCAGTTCGTCTCGATGGTCTCGTCAAGCTGAAAGCCTTCCACAACATCTGAGCAAGCGTGAAGAATTTACAATTTTGCCAAGGCGTACCAACTTATACACATTGCCCTCCCTCCCTCCTCGCTCTCACCCTACGACTGCGTCGGCATATTCACCTTCGCCCGCGTACTAACCGCATCCTCCGCCTTCCAGAAACTCGTCACAGTCTTCTGCTGCGTATAAAACTGAATCCCAGGCTTCCCATAGAAAGTATTCGCCCCACCCCCAGCAACTGACTTCTTATTCCCCGTGAAACTGAACATGGGCAACGGCACCGGGATCGGGACGTTAATCCCCACCTGTCCGGCTTCGATCTCCTTCTGGAATCTGGTGGCCGTGGCGCCGGACGAGGTGAAGATGGCGGTGCCGTTACCATACTCGTTGGCGTTGATGAGCTCGATGGCCTCGTCGAGCGTATCGACGTTGAGGCAGACGAGGACGGGGCCGAAGATCTCTTCGCGGTAGCAGGTCATGTCTTTCTTCACGTTGGCGATGATGGTCGGGCCGATCTGGTATCATCGTCAGTATATTAACATTCGTAAGCTGAAGGGGGTGGTAAAAACTCACCCAGTTGCCATTAGGATACTTCTCCGGCTTTTGGCCCCGCCCATCCATCACAATCGTCGCGCCCTCCTTCTCCGCCGACGCAATCAAGCTCTCAATCCTCTCCCGCGCCTGCGGGCTGATGACCGGTCCCAGATCAGCGCCCTGCTCGAACCCACCGTCCATCTTCAAGTCCTTCGCGCGCTCTGCAATCTCCGGCGCCCAGTCCTTCGTCTCGCCCACAAACACCAGCGTAGACAACGCCATGCACCGCTGTCCCGCAGCACCGAACGCAGCACCCGCAATCGCGTTCAAAGCGTGATTCTTGTTGCAGTCCGGCAGCACAGCAGCATGGTTCTTTGCGCCCAAGTTCGCCTGACACCTCTTCCCGTTCTCCGAAGCGCGCTTGTAGATATACTCACCCGCCTTGTTGCTGCCCACAAAGCTAATCGCCTTGATCGCCGGCTCGTCGAGAATAAAATCCACAGCCCTCGCAGAACCATGAATAATATTAACCACACCCGGCGGGAACCCAGCCTTCTCCGCCAACTCGGCCAGAATCATACAAGCCCCTGGATCCCGCTCCGACGGCTTAATGATGCACGTATTCCCCGTCACCGTCGCGATCGGAATCGTCCACAGCGGAATCATGGCCGGGAAATTGAACGGGCAAATCGCCGCCACCACACCCAGTGGCTCGCGATAGCTCCTCGTCTCCATATCCTTCGCCACCTCCAACACCTCGCCCGGAATATCCGTCGTGATCCCACAGCTCGTCTCGGCAACCTGCAGTCCACGCAGCACATCCCCCTTCGCATCCGCGAACGTCTTGCCCTGCTCTAAAGTAATGCTCGCAGCCAACCGATCCCAGTTCTCCCGAATCAAAGCAACATATTTAAACATGATCTGCTGCCTCGCCAGCACCGTCGTAGCCTTCCAGGCCGGAAAAGCCTTCTGCGCGCTCGCGACCGCCTGCTTCATCTCCTCGTCGGTCGACTGCGGGACGCGGGTGACGAGGTTGTTGGTCGCGGGGTCGTAGAGGTCGATCCATTGCGAGGTCTGGGAGGGGCGGAACTGGTTGTCGAAGAAGTTTTGCGTGTCGAGGGGCTGGCCGATCTGGTCGTGGGAGGTGGGGTAGGAGGAGGGGGAGGAGGCGGCGGTGGTGGTGGCGGCTTGGAGGTGGGAGGAGGTGGCGTGGATGCGGCGGACGGCGGCTTGGTTGGCGTAGTTGGCGAGGGGAGCCATTCTTCGGGTGGTGGTGAGAGGTTGGCGGGTGAGGCTCTGCAGGGCTCGGGTGGAGAGAGCTCGTCGGTATGCCATGGTTGGCGGTTGAAGAGTGAGGGAAGAGGAAGAGTGAGATTCGTCGCAGCTACACCTCTGCGTCCAAGATGAGGCTATAGTACAGTACAGGTACTTCCAACCGTAACAACCCGTTGCTCTGCTACAAGCTCGAAGACGGAAGAGTCGAAGTCGTTCGGAAAACAGCTTCCCCACGCCCGGCGGCCGAGGTCGCTGTTGGAGAGCTGCAAATGTCACGTGCCGGCTGTGGAGAAGACATCAACATGAGAATGGTTGTGGAAATATCGCCGTCTTCAATGATGGCTAGAGGTACATACGACCAACACTGTGCTAACTGCCTCTTACATCCCCTTCAACAACATCTGTCCATCAAAACTGCGCCTGCTTCGACGCAACCCTTACCCCAGCACCCTCAAGCCCAACCTTGAAAGCATCCTTCAAGTCGGCCTTATCCCTGCCATCCCCCTCCTTCTCCCCATTCATCCCATCCAAGAACATCTTCTCCACCATCTGCTCCCCCGCCTTCTCCGCCTTCGCCCCATCCTCCGCCACAGCACCCTCACCCGCCACCCTCGCATCGAGCGCCAGCTTCGACTCCCCAAGCGCATGAATCTGCTCCTCAATCGTGTCGAGCGTGACAAGCCGAATGACCTCCACCTCCCTCGTCTGTCCGACACGATGCGCGCGGTTCTCGGCTTGGATGTCGTCTTGCGGGTTGAAGCCCGAGTCAAAGATGATGACCTTATTCGCAGCGGCCAGATTGATGCCCGCGCCGCCCGCTCGGGTCGAGAGCATGAAGACCGTGATGGAGTCGTCGTTGGTGAAGGTGTCGAGCATCGACTGCCGCTCCTGCATGTTCGTCGAGCCGTCCAGACGCATGAACTTGATGCCGATCGTCTCCAGCACCGCCTCCAGGATATCCATCATAGTGGTGAACTGCGAGAAGACGAGCACACGGTCGCCGTTCTGCTCAAACTTCGTGATGAGCTTCTGGAACTCCTCGACCTTGCCCGAGTCCATCCACTGCTTCTTCTTGAGCGCGAATTTGTTCAAGTAAGGCGTTTTCGCGCAGAAAGAGTGAAGCGCAAAGTCACCACCTTTCAGGCCGTTCGGGGACGTGCCAAGCAAGTAGGCCTCAACCAGGTCCCTTCTAGAGTCACCGAACTCCTTGTGCTTCAGGCACAGGTCGGTGATTCGCTCGATCTTCTTGTCATCGTACAAGCGCCTTGCCAACAGTGGGTGCATGGCGGCCTTGCGGAGGTCCATCAGGATGTTCGAGCTCTGCTTCGCGCTTCCCTTGGCATTGGTATTCGCCTTGTCACTGTAAAACTGCTGTGCTCGCTCGAACAGGTCCGCGTAGTGATTCGCTTGGGTAGGGGTCATCTCGCAACGCTCCACGCGAGAGAGCTTGGTGGGCAGATCCAGAACCTGGTGCTTCTTGCGGCGCAGGATAAAAGGCGTAATAATAGACCTTGCCTTCGCAATGCGCTGTGTTGAGAGCAGCGCAGCATTCTCCGTCGGATCCTTCGTGGTAGCCTTGTGCTGGAAGATGTAGTCCAGCTCGTCCTTCTTCGCCGTGAACATCTCGGGCATTATGAAAGCCAGAATCGCAATCAACTCCCTCAAGTTATTCTGCAACGGCGTGCCGGTGAGCAGGACGCGGAAGTCAGGAGTGAACTTCATCAGCTGTTCGTAGCGGTTGGACTTCGTATTGCGCAAGTTGTGTGCCTCATCATACACGCAGACCATTGGCTCCAACTGCTTGCGCAGGAATCTGTTGTCGTACTTGTTGACCGCCATTTCGTAGGTCGTGACAACGACATCAATCTCATTGAAGTCCCTCTCGATGTCCGCCTGAAGCTGTGCTCTCTCAGCCTGGCTGCCGTAGTATGGCTGCACTCGGAGCGTCGGAGCGAAGTACTGGAACTCCCGAAGCCAGTTCTCAAGCGTGGATCCTGGGACAATGACCAACGCGATGCCCTGCACCTCCTGCTGCTGAAGGTGCGCCAAGAAAGAGATGACCTGACACGTCTTCCCCAGCCCCATGTCGTCGGCCAGGATACACGAGACCTTCTTCGACCACAAAAGATTCAGCCAGTTCAAGCCCACAAGCTGGTAGTCTTTCATCACAGCCTGCGAGTTCATGTTCGACGGCTGACCCAAGAACTGGCCCTTACGCTTGTCCTTGGTCGAGCGCGGCGCAGCATCGTCGGAAGGACAAGAGCTCGCGGGAGTGCCAACACCAGAGTCGTGCGCTTCGCTCGGAACGTTCATGAGCTGCAGCTCGCCAGTGTCGGTAGTGCTCACGCCCCAGCCCTTGAGGGCAAGCTGGATGGGGTTGGCAAGGTCCTCGCACTGCTTCACCAGTTCGTCGATCGCGTCGTAGCTGGTCCAGACTTCGCTGCAGGTGTCGACGATCTTGTCGCCAACCGGCTTTGCGCGAGACTTCTTGCCACCCTTGGTCTCCGTGGGCACATTTGAGACCATCCGAATCTCGTCCAGGCTGGCGAAGGGACGCTTGTCGATCAGAAGCTGAGCTGTGGCTTCGGGCTGTGCAGAGAGATCCGCTAGATTCTGCACCGAGCATTCATTGAAGAACTTCAGCAACCTCTGGTCGTGACTGCTCTCCTCGACCTCCGGCTCGTCTTCGACGATTCCAGAATCATCCTCCTCGTCATCCGAGATGACCACAGTCTGCCTGGCCCTCGACCTTGCCGCTTCCTTGACTGGCGGCGAGGACGGCAGCTCTGGTGATGGTGACCGTTTCCTCCGACCCTGCTGCAGCCGCCTCCTTGGCTTGGGCGGTTCATCTTCCTCCACCTCCACCTGCGACGGTTTCCTAGCAGCCGCTTGTGTCGCATACTTCTCCGCAATCGTCTGCACCGGAGCCTTAATCTGCTGCTTCGCCGCCGGTCGAATTGGCTGCGACGACTGCATCCTAGCAACCGGCACCGCAACACCTCGTCGGGCAACAGGAGTGGTCGAGGCCAGCTGATCGGTGTCATCGTCTTCACCAGGCGCATCCTGCTCCGCTTGCTCCGTCAACCAAGCCTGCGCATCGTCCACACGTCCTTTGTTCCGTCCAAGCGCATCGATACAACGCTGGACACTCTCGTACTGGAACACAGTCTGAATCTTCCTGACCTTGTCCCGTAGCACATAGTCCGGTACATCATCCAACGTTTTGTAGGATACAGCATTCATACGCTTCGGCTGCGGCGCTGGTCTCGGCTGACGAGACGAACCAGCATACGCACTGATCATGTCGTCCGCAGGCTTGGAAGAGCTTGAGCTATCAAACGCAAACTCCTTCATCAGACTGCTGAACGTGCCAGTAGCAGCAGGAGCCGGTTGATGCGGCGACTCTTTCACAACTTTCTCCACCCTATTCGGCGTCGAATCCAGCCCACGTCCGCCTTTCGTGAGCTTACTCGGCTTCAAGTTGGACCGCATCCCTTGCGTCGCATCGTCCGAGTCATCCGAGAAGGGCTCGCGAGGGGGATCGATGTCGTCGTCACTGTCGCTCTCGATCGTGGTTGGGGTGGGCTTCGCTTGGATCCCGGGTGGACGGCGGAAGGCGGTGCCTGGAGGCGCCATTGCGCTTGCCAGAAGGCCATTGGGTCTGGAGAAGGTCACCTTCCTGATCGGCTCAGGCGGCGGCTTCTGTGGGGTTGGTGATTGTTGGGTGGGCGAGGAGCGACCGACGAGCACATCAGGGGTGTGGCGTGGTGTATTCGCGAGGGTTTGCGTTTGCGTAGGGCGCGTGAGGGGTTGTGTGGGTTGCGTGCGGTGCCATGGCTGCGTTTGTTGCGTTGCAAAAGTTTGCGAAGGCGATGAGGCGCGACCGGCGGCGGATGAAGAGGGGGAATACAAGTGCCTGTTGGCGTGCAATTGATCCTTTGTGTAGTCGAGCTGCTTGCGCTGGGTCGGAGGCAGCGGCAACGTGGCAGCAGTCTCGAAGTCGTCGACAGTGAACTCGTCTCCGCTGTCTTCCTGCGAATCGAAGCTCTTCACATTGTTCAGCTTCCTCCTCTTGTTTGGCGTGGTATCTGAGATTGGGTCGCTGTCTGCCATGTCGACAGGTGAAAGCGCGTTGTTGCAAGTGCGAAAGTCGGACAGGCGAATGTGAACAGCGGAGGTGAACAACGAAGGTGAAGCGTCAAGGTTGGACGACCTGACCTCACAGCGAGGATTGCGGGTCGGCGGTTGCGGCGCGTTGTAGTGAGTTTGCCGGAAGGAGGAGTCACAATCGAAGCGACGGTGAGCCAACAATGGTGACAGGAAAGAAAGCAGGAAAACAGCCGCCCAGTCGTATACACGTCAAGGTGAATGAAGATATTCCACCTCAACCTCGAAACAGCTGGACCGTGAAGTGACTTCGCCTCAGTCTTAAGGTTCAACTAGCGCGATCTTCGAAAGCTTGTTGCGAGACAGCCTCAGATCAACCGACGACCACTCATCCACCACCAACAATGCGACTCACTCGATTATAGGCAAACATGGCCACCAGAAGAATCAACGCGAGCGAGAAGACGCACCTCGACCAAGATGACTCCAAACTCGAACCCAAATCCAACATCTCCCCAGCCGTGCCCTCGTAAGCCCTGCATCCCATACAGCGAATCTTCCACCATCTAACGATGTACATAGCTCAGTAATAGCCAAACTCCTCGCCTTCACCGCCGCAATGATCGTCCTGCCGATCGGCAGCTACTTCATGACCGTCAACGCCGTCTTCAAAGGTCCTTCCTCTCCAATCCCCCCCACGTGGTTTCGCGGCGGGCTAACAGAAGCAAATAGGCAATTCAACCTGGGCCGGGGCGACGGCGGCGATTGTCGCGAATGTCGTGTTGATCGGCTATGTCATTGTCGCATTTCAGGACGACAAGTCGGAGCGGGAGGCAGACGAGGCGGAGGAGAAGAAGAAGTCGCGGTAGCCTGTACCTGTGGTGGTATGCCTATGTATTAGCAACAAACGCATGTCCAAAATCCTTCTATCCAAAGCAATTTTCCCGCGTCGAGACGGATAGAGCTTTCGACTGGGTCGAAAATATCAATATGCGAGTCCTGGGCGGAGCTGAAATGGAGACCATGTTCCACGTCAAAGCGAAACCGAAGGCATCGCCGTCGACGAATCTCCCTGCAAAAGTACAGAAAGACTGTCGAGCCATTGGCCTATGTCAATCCTGGCCTGTTTCATATCGTCTACTCCAGCGATTGGCATGAACCCTGCCATCTCGCCCAGCGCCAGCGTGGTGTTGATGGCAATCGCTCCTACAAGCAAACGAAACGAAAGCGGACATTCATAGCGAAGACATACAATCGCCGAACGCAGCTACACGTACTCTTGATATCGGAGAACCCTCCTATCGCCTCATCTACCCCTTGCGAACCGATCACATTACGCCGTGGAAGAACGAAGTAGTAGTCGAGACTCGAGCAGTGAAACGATTACAATTACTCCCGCTACGCGACCCAGGCCATCTCAAACCGTTCCTCAAAGGGCCTAGTCAACTCAGCGGGCACCACTTCAAATGCGACCAAAACCCCATGTCTACGAGTCCCCATGCTGCGCCGTCATGATTACCCAGAGCTTTTCCCATCATCAAGTCATTGCCACCCTTTCTCACAGACACGTGCAGCACCTCCTCTTCTGCCTCTTCAAAACGACCATACCTCCCTCAGCCATTAGGCATTACAGAAAATCGTCGTATGCACAACCCTTCCTCCGATCACAACTACATCCCGCGCCTCAGCAGCGCAGACCTCTAATCCTTCCTCCCTTTGCTAAACTTTCGGGAAAGCCAGCTCTTGCGTTTCTCCGGTTCTGGCCTGCTAGCCGGCGGCAACCCATGACTAGGCGGCGGCGGGCCGGAATTCAACTGCATAGGTCTCGGCTGCTGCGACGGCGCGGTATTGTTCCGCTCCCTCTGCCCTCTGCCCATGCCGTTCTGCTGTTGCTGCTGCTGGCCATACCCATTCTGATACGGATAATCCCCATACGCGCCCTGCCCCTGCTCCTCCATAATCGGACCATTATACCCATTCTGCCCCTGATTGTACGCCGCGTGCATGTCCGCCGGCCCTTTGCTCATCGAGTTCACTCCGTTCACGCGGTCGAGCGAGCTGTTCTCACTGCTAGGATCGGTGCTGTTCGCCCACGGGCCGGTGCTATCGGAGCCGTGCGTGTTGACCGTGTCGTGGGAGTTGTGGTAGCCGTGCTGCTGCGGGTACGGGCGGGATTGGTTGTAGAACTGCGGGTCGGACTGCATGCGGTTGCCGTAGCGCTGGCGCTGGGAGCCGGGGGTTGGCGAGCCGTAGTAGCCGCCTTGTTGGGATGGGGCGTAGCGGGAGGGGCTGGGGCCGGCATCGTAGCCTTGGAGCGATGAGATGTTGGTGCTCATGCGGTTGAAGCGTTTGCTTGGGAGCGGAGACTCACCACCAAAGTAGCTGCTTCTTCGGCTTGCGTACTGGTTGTGCTGGTCGAAGGGTTCGGCTTCTGTATGGAGTCAGTATCGACATTTTGATGGAAGAATGCTGCTGCCTACCTGGCTTGAACGTCGATCGTCGCTTGTAGCCTTCATCAATGGCCCTTTCGAACGATCTGATGGTGTCCAGCGGTCGTTCTAACCGTGGTCGAGTTGGATTTGACAGGTCCGGGTCGGCTGTACATCGATGGTTAGAGTAGAACAACCCACAATGAGAGGGGCAGACTCACCAATGGCATTGCCGTAGGCATCTCGGTGCTGGTGGTCCCTCAGACTCAACAGCGTCGACTGCTCACTCAAATTGGCCTCTGGAATCAAGGTCGGATCAGCTTGAGGCGTGCTATTGACGTCCATAGGCGCATCCATCTCGAACAGCACAAGTGTGGGAAAAGAAGAGGGTCTCAGTCTAGATTGAAAGCAAAACCCCGGAGTCGCGGAGAAAGTGGATGAAGTGATGAAGTGAAGTCAAGACAAGAAACGTACCACCAGGCTGCACCTCATTGATGGCGGCGTTGGGGTTGGACTTGGAGCCCTCGCCCTTCCAGAAACTATCTCGCCGGGCCTTGTCCTTGGGCGACTCCACCGGCTTCAGCTTGTTACCGTCCGAGCCGCCGCTCCTGTTGCTAGCAAACGATAGCCCCCGGGACTGTGCGCGTGGGCGGCTGCCCGGCGAGTTGGCTTGTGGCGGTGGGTGTTGGGTCTGGTCCATGCTCATGATGCTCGTAGGGTTCTGTAGAGATAATTGTCCGATCGGAAAGTGCGCCGGTTGATTCGAGGCCAGCAGACGGGGATCCGCCTCGGGGAGTGTTGCGCTATGGTTTGACCGATCGATGGCGATAAGGTGGTGAAGGTGGAGCGTGCTATCGGGGCGCGGGCGCTGCAGGGTCGACGGGCGTTGAGACGGGCGGGAGCGAGTGGAAGTTGCTTTTGCGTGGTCGGAATGACGGTGGAGTTTGAGGGAGATGTGCGAGTAATAGTTGGGGAGAAGGAATGGACGGATGCTAAGGTAACGATGCTGCACGAGAGAGTGAGGGAGGGTTTGAGGCCGCGCCAGCTCAACGTAAACGAGAAGCAAAGTTTGGGGGTTCTGCAGTTCCGTGGCGAGCTTGTGGTGGCTGGACACACGACTGGTTGGATTTGCTGAGAGCCTCCGCTGCCTGTCCTTGCCTGTCTGCTGCAGGTGAAGAAGCCTTTCGGAGTCTTACAATGCGATATCTTGGTCAGGCCTAATACAGTTGGCAGGTACATGTACTTTGGGCATTGTCGCTGCCTCGTCAGCCTACTCGTCACCGCTGACTGTGAAGATACGAATCTCAAACGATCGACGAGGCCAGCCAGACCCCGAGACCCCTCGCGCAGGGATGGCGGACACGGACGGGCGACGACAGGGGTACCTCCTTAGGTTGGAGCGATGACGATTAGAGTCAGCTCGTGCCCTCTACGTTCTCGACGTTTCACTGTGCGTAAGTAAACGGCCTGCGACATTCTTGCGTCCCAGCTATCTATATACACGATGACCTCGCATTGCGTTCTTATCCCTTCAGTGCAAACCGCAAGAGGTTGAATGCAATCGGTGTTGAGATGCCTGACGCCACCACCATCGTCGCCCGGATCTGAAACACGAATCCGCTTTTAGAAATGGAGTAGCATGTGGTTGTCGGACTCGCGACCGCGCTGTGGCTAGTGGAGGAGAGCAGATTAGGCAGATCAGGAAGCGTGAACGAGCGTGGCCAAAATATAATATCTGATGAGCATAAGGTATCCCCGCGAAGTAAATCCCACACAACAAGTACATGTATCTCCTCTCCAACAAGACATGTCAACGCCCAAACATCCGTAGTTTCAAAGCGTCAAACACGAGACATTCGACGAGACCAACGGCGACAAATATGATGCTCAATCCATCCATCCAGGAGGAGGTGTGCTGTCTTCTCAGTCGTCCATCAAGGAGGGGTTGTACTCTTCGACTGAGAAGAGCCATCCGCGAAGCACAAAGGGGAAGTTAGATGTGCGTCTCAATGGCCACATGCAACTGCCTCATTCACGCAAAGTCCTATTAATTCGCTGTCTGTACAACGGGTCGAGGATGAGGTCCACAGAGTACATGTCCACTAGCTGCTCGAGACCTTCGGACTTCAGGTCCACATCCCATTCCCCTGTCAGAGTCGACATGGCTACAACAGGCGGCTCTGCCTGTTCGACCCAATGAACCCGCTTACACCATCTGTCGCCTTGAAGAATCCAGGACAGCAGTAATGATGTCAACTGATCAATAGTTTATCTGACTTGAATACGATATGAATCCACGAACACCAGCACCAGATACCAGCATCACGACCTGGACATAGCAATCTCTTGTCGGTTTTGTTCATATCTACAGACAAGCCAGAACGGAGCGGAGCTACACGACAACCTGTATTCAAGACCGCGAGACGCAAGATTCCGATTGATGTGTGGACTCAAGCACGGGCGAGCAAGAGCCGTCCTCTGTTTGTTCGAACCCCATTGATCGAGGTAGAACAGGGCATGGAACACCATCGCTCAAAAGCAGGACCGCGAGTCGAACAGAAGCAGAAGTATCCTACCCTGCGCAGCGCGTAGACTCTAGAGCAGCCAGCTCTGATATGGGAAGGCGAAGTTATGAACGGAAGACAAGAGACACGATCTTATAAAAATGACTGATAGCAATACGAGACCTATTCACTCTTCCCCCCAAGAGCCCAATCTTCCCAACGCCAATCTGTGATCCAAGAGAGAAATTCCCAAAGCATCAAGGTCATCATCAAGCCATAAGATAAATGAGTGGACGGCAGCATATTCTCATGTCTGCCCAACTCCTAGTTGCCTCTTTTCTCACACGTAGCAGCAGTCCCGTTGAGCAGGCTGTGTCGTGATCTGCAACGCCAACACCTCAGCCACGAGCAGTAGTCAAGGCGTAGGCATTCGATTGCTCCATCCCAATCCACGACCACCCAACCGCAATAGGCCTTTTCCTAAAAAAACCCACCAAACCCCTCCCCCTCCCCCTCCTCCACAACCACCTCGTCATACTCACCCACCCCAAAGCAATCCCACAACAGCGTCTTAATCTCCCACCCATACTCATCCGCGTCAAACTTCCCCAACCCCCGCGTCTCCATCCAAACCTCATCGGCGTCGCGCTCCGCCCGTCGCACCGTCTGCCCGAACTCCTCGGCCACTTCGTCGAGCTGCGCGAGTTCGGCGCCGAAGGGATTCTGGTTCAGGTTGGGGGATTTCGGCGCTTCGACAGCGGAGAAAGAGGGCCGGGACGGGGTGTGTGGGAGGAACATGTCGGTTGAGGAGCGGTAGGTTGTCTGCTCCGCGTGCGAGCTGCGCTCGCTGTGGCGGGACGGAGGCGGGGAGAGCATGCGCTGGATCGAGCGCTTGCGGTGCACGCCTTCGTGTGCGCGTTTGGAGTGCGAGGGGGCGCGGGCGGGGAGGCGGGGCGTTTCCATCGACGGGCGCGTGGAGGCTGTCAGGGCGCTGGGGCTGCGGCTGTGCGTGGTGTCGACGGCCGGTTTGAAGTAGCAGCTCAGGTGATTGTGCTCTGCCTCCGGACTCACGGGCGAGTTATCGACCGACGAGGCGTCCGTCTGCGTGTCGTGGGAGTGGATGCTGCTGCCGCTGCGCGCGTCGCTCTCCTCGCTCGAGCTGGACGTCGAGCCGGAGGAAACGTGCCGGATCTCGATGGGCGAGGTGCCGCTGATGTGCTGGGCGTGGTGGATGTGCTGGTTGGAGGTGGAGAGGAGGGTCATGGGGGAGGAGATCTGGGTGCGCAGGACGGGCTTGCCGCCGCGGTGGCTGGCGGCGCGGCCGATGAACATGGGTGCTGAGATCTCCATCTCGGGCTGCTTGCGCCGGGTGCTGAAGGCGCGGCTGAAGGACATGGTGGTGTTTCTTTCGTCGGAGGGCAGTGGTCCGTGTGTGGTGGTGGTGCCGAAGCAAGGTATATCACCAGCTCTGTTGTGATTGTTCGATCGATCACAAGCGCACTCCGCACGAGTCGTGAGGTTCGAGATGTTTGCTGGAACCTTTTCCCACGTGCGCGCAAAGTCACCAGACTTGCGGTTCTCTCAACCAAAGTTTACCTGTCGCAGTCGCGTCTTTTCCGTCGTCTTTTCAATCCAAACTCAGTCCAGTCGTGCAGCTACCGTGAGCGCAACTCTCAAAAAATCTCTTCGCAAAGAACGTAGTAATAGTAAATGATCTGCCCGCTCGTCTCGCAAGTAAAAGATCGTGTGATATTCAGTATCTCAGAGAACGAAAATCCCGCTTTCACGCTTCAAGCGCTCCTGCGAGAACAGTATGTAATGATAGTGAGTGTGTGAGACGAACGAAGGACGAGGGTAGCGAGCGAAAAGGATGGTGGGTTGCGGCGCTTCTGCGACACTCAAGGCTCAGACGAGAGAAAGGAAGAAAGAGAAGAGTATGGTGGTGGTGGTGTCCTGCACGCACGCGCCAGATTCTGCGAGCGAGCGAAGCGGCCGACGGATCAGACCCACCCCTAGGTTTTGACTTGCAGATGGTGGGAGGAGCTAGAGAGGGAGCGCTTTACCTTGCCGAGGGCTAGAGGATGTGGGCGAGCCAGTCGTTTCGCTGGAAAATGTGCCTGGATCTCCAGGAGGAAAAAGTGAAACGCAGGGTGGCGTCTGGAGTTGAGCAGCGCTTTGGCCTGTGAATGGTTGGCGTGAGAGAACTCTGTCGGCGTCTGGACTGGAGTGGGACAGGGATGTGATGGGTTGCGCTGGTGTGGTTGAACAGACTGCCTTTTGAGCAAGCCGCGGCAGTTCTCGAAGACGGCAACACACCTCGAGGAGTTGTAGCGGTTGCAGACACACTGAGATATTGACGAGGTCGAGGAGAAGATCGAAACTGCTTGACTCAAGCAAGTGCGCCTCAGAAAGCGCACAGATTCTCCGCGCATAGCATGCATCAATCTATACAAGACACCTGTCGCAAACCCGATCCTCATCAAGCAGACCCTCGGCTCCCATCGCTATGCATCCCAAACGCCTCTGTACACCCACACACACCTCCCCCATATCCACAGCAGGTACGGATAGTTCGTACTGTATGTACATATGCATTCACAACTCCTCCCTCCCCGGCGCCCGCCACAACCGCCACATCCTCTCCCTCACCGGCTTCCCGAGCCAAAAATCCCACAGCCGATTCATCTCCAACCCCAACACCGCGGCCAGCTTCTTCGGCAGCTGGGCCCAGCTGCGCAGCACCCAGCGGAAAGTTCGAAAGACGATCTCGAACTCGTGCCAGAATTGGTCCGAGATGCTGGGGCGCTGGGGTGGAGGGGTTGATGTGTCTGCGTCTTCTTCTTCCAGGCCGTCGAGATCGGAGAAGTCGGGGAAGTCGTCTGTGTCGTTGATCAAACGGCTAGGATCTGTGGCAGCAGCGGCGGCGGAGGCTTTAGAGGCTTCGAGCGTGGCGTGCGGGTCTTTGCCTTCGAGTTCCGCCTCCATCATCGCGCGGAAGTCCTCCACCGCTTTTAGAGCACTCGAAATCTTGTCCAACGTATTGATCAATGCGACCAACTCCGTCCTCCTTAGTAGCGGCCTCTCCACCCCTTCATCCGCATTCCCAAACTCAAACAACACCTTCAACGCCGTCCCGAACCCATTCGTCTGCACCTTCCCCCACAACCGACACTTGTCGCAGCCCACGCAGTCCATGATCCTACTCACGTTCCTGAAGCGGTTGCGGAAGTCCTCCTTCAAACTGATCCCGTCTTCCGTGTGGTCCTGGAACATGACGCGCTCGTCGAAGATTTTCGGCCCGCTGGGGATGGCGGAGGCGAGGGTGCGGATCATCTGCTTGGTCTTGCCGTCCTGCGCCGGGTCGCCGGTGCAGAAGGTGTAGTCGTGCACGTAGTCGCGCAGCTTGCCGACGGCGCGCAGGACGAAGGCGTAGTTGAAGTAGAGGTTCGAGATGCGCTCGGGGTGGGAGTGGAGGCGCTCTTTGTAGCATTGCAGGTTCGGGCCCCATTGGCCGGTCGTTTGGTTGAGGTAGTCGGCGCAGAGGTGGGTGGAGATGGCGGCGTGCATCCCTGAGATGACGCGGTAGAAGACGCGCTTCTCCAGACACTCGTCCTCCGGCTCCAGGGCTTCCTCGATGACTCCAGACTTCCGCGCCTGCTGCCGATCGTGCGCCTTCATCACCTGCCTGAAATCCATCGCCGCCTGCGCCTGGTTCTGCGAGAACCCCGGCAACGGCGCCTGCAACCCACCAGCAGCCTGACTCTTCTCACTGGGCGGTGACGGCCTCGAAAAGCAATTCTCCCGATAAATCGCCTCCCACACCTGATGCGCCCCTTCCCCAGCGTATCCTGTAAACCTCTCCGGATTCTCTGCTAGAGATACATAATCCCCCTTTGCACTCGCGCTCTCATCCTCTGGCACACAGTAATCCCTCTCATCGCACTCATCATCATACTCCACCACACAGCTCTCCCCTACCCCCTCCCCCAACTCCCCTAGCAGCGGTCTCTGCCGCTCCCTCTGCTGTTTCCGGCCAGGATGCTGCGCCTTCGGCCCTTCAAGCTTACTCAACTCCTCCGCCCGCCATATCGCCGGTATATCCTCCTCATGCTCCAACGTCGTGACCGCGCAGGCGATATTCCCGCATAGCCCGTTCTCGTCGCTCCAGAAGGGACATTTCTTGTTGTACAGATTCAGCCGGTAGTAGGAGAAGAAATCGGTGTTGTTTGCCAAGTTCCGGACGTACGGGTGGAGTTTGGTGTTGAGGGCGTCGAGGTCGGCGTAGGAGGCGCAGGCGTCGGAGACTTTGGCTTTGGGGTTGAGCTGGGAGTATGTGAGAGGGGGGTTGCTTGTGGTGGAGGGAGATGATGAGGGACTTGAGCTTACGGCGCAGACGTCTGGGCTTGCGTGGGAAGAGGAGGGGGATTGGCACTGGGCGCTGCTGAAGAGCGAGAACCAGGCGAGGAAGAAGGATTTGCTGGCGGAGGACTTCTTCATGGTGGGGACTTGCAAGCCAGATGTCAGCGCGTTGTAATCTCGAGGGATACTTGGTGATGCTTACTCTATACACGCAATTGGCAGCCCATATGCCAATTCACAGCCGTCCTATTGACCGTCCAAAGCGTCCAAAGTCGGGACAAGGCGTGGCTTGAAAGACGAGCGCATGTGACAAAGCAATCCAATCCTTCCGTATGCGATCAAGGAATGCGGTTGTGAGGAAAGAGAAAGGGAGAGTATGTATAGTTGAAGGAAGTAGACAGGTGTTGATTAGTAGAGTGTTGTAATGTCAGCGACTGGGTCAATGTTCCTTCAAATCATCCTGTCCATGAGGCATCCAGACGCAGGGCAACTGCCACGTTACGCAGTTGCTAAATCCGGCGCGCCACTGATGGCAACGTCGCCTTCTCCCAAACTCTATCCTCTGGCCCAATCCTTCATGTGACAGACTTCAACGCCCATGTCGGTTTGCGTACGATCGGTAAAACAATTTTGGAAGCATACGTAAGGTAGGTATATGAATACAACGTAAGTGAACATCTCAAGCTTCAGATGCCCCATTATCATCGGCAACCGACCCTCAAAATTCCACCAAGAAACCCACCACTTTCCCCCACAAGGACAAACCCAATACTCCTTCTGAACACCCCCCATCCCCTTCTTCAACACTGCACCAACCCCGCTCCCGCCAACCCCACCACCACCGCCCCAGCAACCAGTCCCCAAATCCCCCCATCCCACCTCTCCTTCCCCCACTGCGCCACCCACGTATCCGTCACACAAACCGCCACCCAAGCAGTCAACAGCACACCGACCTCCCTATCTTTCCCTTCCCGCCAGAACCACGCCATCGCGCCCGCGACAGCGACGTCCCGGATTCCGAGGAAAATCATGGATTTTTCGTTGATCTCGCGGCCTTCCGGGGTTGTGGGGGTGACGCCCAGGGCGGCGCCGGCGGCGGGTGGGTTGATGAGGGCGAGGCCGCCGAGGGCGAAGACGGTGGTGGTGAGGCCGAGGCCGATGTGCCGCCAGGTTGAATTGGGGAGGAGGGAGTTGGGGAAGGGCATCGCGAAATGCTCTGTTCGTCAGAATCCTGGGAGTATCGGTTGCAGAGCTGTGGTGTCTGGATGGATGGATGGAGGAGGGGTGCGGACAGCGTTGGGCGGGATAGATAGGCGTCTAGACTTTCGTGTTGCAATGCATATATACAGATATTCAAGGTCAAAGCTCCATCAACCCGACCGCTTTGGGTCGGCACATTGGTCAGCACGCCTCTTGGCACGACGGACGAGATGACGGAGACATCGGCGAGAACGAAGGTTAGGAATTGTACAATCCCCAAAAATGCCCGTGCTTTAATGAGAGATTACTGATATGAAGGAGTTCGGACATGGCTCGGCGAGAGAAGCAGGATGGATTGGAAAGGGTGGTATACCGGAATCGGATACTTCGATATGCCGATACACGTGCTTCAATGGCTTGTTGCAACGTGTGCCAAGAGCACGAACGACGAACAGAGGGATGACGAGTTGACGAAAGACCCCGGGTAGTGCAGAACAACGCATTACTCTAACAATAGTCATCTGAATTGCTTCATGTACCTCACCCTGCCCTCGAGAACGATATCCAAACCCTCCCTACTTCCAAATCTTCCACTTCCCCCTCCTCCCACCCCCCTCCCTATCCTCCCCATTCCCATTCCCATACCCCCCACCCGCCGCACTCCCCCCCGACCCCTCCTCCCCCATCCCAAAAAACCTCTCCGCCTTACTCAACCGCCTCGGCTGCTGCCCCGGCGTCCTGCCCTGCGGTCCTTCATCATCCTCATACCCCCTATCATCGCCGTCCTCGTATTCGTCCGAGGGCGTGAAACTGCCTTCGTCGCTGTATTCGTCCTGGTCTTGTCCGCGCCCGCGGTTGTAGAGCGAGGGTGAGGGGACGCGTTGGGCGTGTTTTTGCGAGAACGGGGCGGAGACGCGGCGGTACCATGGGCCTGATGATGAGGTGGGGGGTTGTTGTTGTTGGGTGGGGTAGGGGTCGTTGTTGTTGTTGCTGCCTGCTGAGGCTTGGGTGGGACGAGAGGAGCCGAGCGGGGGGGAGGCGAGGTCGTAGCCTTGTTGGTATGCTCCGCCGGAACGGGGAGGGTTGTCGACGGAGCCGCGCGGGGCGTCGTAGGCGCCGTCGGTGCCGTGCGGTTGTCGACCCGTTCCTCGCGCAGCAACAGCGCCCGCGGGCTGCTGGCCCCAGAATTGCTGCTGTTGCTGCTGCTGGCCCTGTCCACGACTATCCGGCGGCGTGCTCTCATCCCTCTCATCCCCCTCTTCACTCGAGTAGTCCTCCTCCTCCTCATCCCGCCCATCCCTCTTCCCCTTGCCCCTCAACCGATCCAAGAACCCCACCTTCTTCTCTCCAAAACTCGCCGTATTCACATCCCCCGCCCCCTCGTACCGCAGCGCCGGCACCAACAACCGATAACACCTCGTCGTGCCCGCCGGGTCATGCTGGTCCACCTCCATGTTCAAACTGACATCCAATCCACCCTCCAAATTAACGTGTCCGGGCGCTGCGGCCTCGCCGTCCTCGTCGTCGGGTGCTCCGCCGCGTTCGGCGGCGCGGCGGATTTCTTTCTCGCTGAGATTCGTTGGGCGGCGCATGAAAGTGTTCGTCGGCCGTTGCGGCGCCCCGCCGTCTTGTCCGTCATTGCGGGGCAGGCCGGAGAGACTGCTACTCCTGCCCATGCCCGGCCTTGTCCCCGCCCTCTCAAGTGAAGACGGAGGGTTCTTGCTCCGCCCACTGCCACTTAACCGCCTCACCAGCCGTCCCGGCATGCCGGTTAGACTCCTAGTCCGACTCATACTCCCAGGCGGATACCGCCGGTCCCTCTCCTCCCCCTCCCCCATCCCCTCTTGGCCGTCGTAACCCGTTCCCGGCCTGCTGTCCTCAGGCGGCGGCGTACTCGGTGGGGTGGAACCAGGCTGCCACTGGCGAATCGTGCAGTAGTTCCTGCGGGGAAGCAGACACTTGTTATTCCGCTTACTCCCGTCGACGTCCACCTCGAACATCGGGATCATGTCCTCGTCCGTTTCGCCGTCGAGATGGTGCACTTTGTTGCGCTTGTTCAGCACGTCGGCCATCATGACTGGCGGTGGGGTGTTGACGATCGCGGACGAGACGACGTTGGGCATGTATCTGTGATCTCTGTCCTTTGCTACGCCGAGTTTGCGGGGGGTATAGAACTGCCCGACTGCTCCCAAGTGGACGTCGCCGCCGAGGATGGTGACGCGAACGGATTTCTCGGCGGCGAGTTCTTGCAGTTCCTGGATGAACCAGTTGCGCTCCGCTTTGTGATGCTTCGCAGTCCAATGGTCGTCCAAGTCATCCAGAATCTCGACTCCGCCGTCGAATTTATTGACGAAACCCCCCAGCATACCCGTACGACCAAGAGCTTTGATAGGGTCCAGCGCGCGGGACGTGAGGATGTTCTCGAGGAAGTTTAGACGCGGGTAGGCGATCGGCACGCCCAGCAGAACCAGCAGATGCTTCGTATCGCCTTTCCGAATCTCAGTCCGCGCGCGGTCGAAGAGGATATCGTAGCTCTGCTGGCTGAGAATCTCGTCGCGCATGCGTTCAGTCCGGCAATCCAGAGCCAGCAACTTCAGATCCTGGCCGAGGGAGAGGAAGATGCTGCGGCTCAGCTCGTTGATATACGGCCCGGGGCTGGCACCAAGAACCCAGCTCGGCTCCTCCCGTGCGGTCTCCGCGACGAGCGATTGGTGCTGGAACAGCATATAGTACTTGAACGCCACGGCCCCGACACCCGTAAAAACAGGCGTGCTCATGAAATGATGCGGATAGCTCCCGAAACCATCGATGATGTCGTGGTCGTCCCACATATTCACCATCGGCACCTGGCTGGCGGCCATGGCGAACAGGCCCTGCGAGAACCACATGCTGTAGCGGTGGAAGTAGAAGCTCTCGAGCTCCTCTTGCATCTCCACTGAAAAAGGAGCATGGTGCTTGTGCTCGGGGTTCTTCGTCTGCAGCCACTCCCGGAACAAAGTCGTATCGCGCATGGCGGCGTCGTTGTAGATCTGGTCGCCGCCGCCGAGCATGACGTGGAACGGGCGGTGTTGGTGGCGGTTCAGCACGTCGCGCCAGAGCGGGTCCGGGCCGGAGAAGGTGTCCGGATCGACGCTCATGCTGAAGCCGTTGCACGAGTGGAACAGGACGTTCATGCTCTCGCCTCGTGCGGGCACCCAGAAGCCCAGCGCGGGGCCCTTGTTGATGCGGTATGCGACGCGGTGGGGTGTGCTTCCCAGCTCGACTTCGAGACTCCAGCGCCAGAAGGTGAAGCCGCGCTCTGCGTGCAGTCGCACGGCCTTGATCTCGCGGTATCGTCCAGCTTTCTCGCCATCCCGCCCTCTTATGCGCGACTTGTCCTGGAACGTGATATGCTGACTCTGCCTTCCATCAGATCCAGAAGAGAACTGTGGCCCAAGCATCGGCGCCCGCGTCGCAGAATACAAGCCCGAGTTGTTCTCTTCGCGGCTCAGATCCACTTCGCCATCCAAGTCATGCACAGGCCTGACATACAACGGCCTTCCCGTACGCGAGATCTTCACCTGTCCAGCCACAGGATCCTCGTCCTCAGGAGCGACCTCAAAGCCATGGCGTTCGGGCGGCGTGTGCAGCTCTGCCGGCTGTGCGAATAGACGCAGCGTAGGTGGAGAGCTGATGTCGCTTTGTTCATCTTCTGTAACGATCATGACACTGCCTCGCCAGATTTCGCGTTCGCCGCGGCCGCTGGAGGACATCTCCTTCCTCATGCCGGTGTAGCGCAGCAGAGGTCCGCACTTGAGGAACAGCGGCGGATGGAAGGACTTCGCTTCCTCCTCGTAAGGTCCAGCATACTGCGCAGCAGCAACACCGCCAGAGCTGGAGCGTCGATCTTTCTGTGCGCCGAAGTATCCATCGTCACCGCCGCCTGAAGATCGCATGAAATCCAGATCACCAGCGGTAAGACGAACAGGCTTGCCACCCTTCCACTCCTCGAGTGCTTTGCCTTTGACGTATCCTCTCCCCTTATTTTCGTCGCGGTGGAACATGCCGCCGAAATGATGATGTTTCTGTTCCGGACTCATGTTCGCCGCCATGGGTTCATCGTGAAAGCCGACCTGCGCTCTTGCCTCTTGTCCTGCGGCTGTTTGCGGCGGTATGCTGTACGGCACCGCAATGTCAGGACCGGTAGCGACAGTGGCCCGAGCAATAGGATCAGGGTCTTCCGAGGCTGGCGGGATCTCCTTCTCGTGGTCGCCCATACGGTTGGTCTGCAAGGTCGACTTATCCTGCACCGGATCGGTGGAGATGTTGCGCGATTGCTGCTGCGGTTGCTGCTGCTCGCGTGGGGACTGCTGATACTGCTGCTGTTGTTGATATGATTGCTCGCGAGGGGACTGCTGATACTGCTGCTGTGGCTGTGGTTGTTGTTGTTGTTGCTCGCGAGGGGACTGCTGATACTGCTGCTCAGGCTGTCCCCGATCGCTCGACCTCCGTCCCTGAGCCGCCCTCCATGGGTACGGCTTCTGCAATTTCCTGCTCCCACTCCTACCCACATCCCTACTGCCACCCGTCGTAGAGACAGGCGAGAGCGGCTCGCCGCCCTCAGCACTCTTCCTTTTCTCGTAAGCCTCCCGGCCCCGGTCAGGGTCGCCGTATTCGTGTGCCGTAGCGCCTCCCGCGGCGCCTCCTGCCATGGCGGCAGCACCAACAAAGCCTGCGTCGCGCAGTCGGCGCTTGTACTTCCCACTTGCAGTGCGTTCCAAACCACCTCTGTCGGCAGTGTTGGGGCTTGGAGGGACCGGATTGCTAACACTCCTGCTCGCGCCATCTCGACTGCCACGGTTAGCATTGTGGGGATAGCCTGCGACATTGACGCTAGTCGGAGCCTCCGGCGCATGATGGTAAGGCTGCGCTTCGCGCGACACCTGCCGTCCAGCACCCGGCTGCGGGTAGGCGACACCGAGACTGCGCGGAGCTTCGGGAGCATGATGGTATGGTTGTGGGTTGGATGCGATCGCCGATTGACGAACAGAGCGCTGGCGGTCGGGTGCACCACCGGAAACATCGCGCGAGCCATTTCCGTTGCGCAGAGCATCGCTGGCTCGGCGAAAGCGCATAGCTCCATTATCCGGTGGGAGAGCTTTCGGAGCGCCAGCGGTGACTTGGCGCTGGTATTTGTCGCTACTGCGATTGTCGCTCGGCCGTCTGTTGCCGTCGCTCACCGCCCTGCCCTTCTCGCTGCGGAGCGTGTTGGACCGCGCTGGAGCCTCGCCTTTGTTTGTACTGCGCTGTCGAGCGACGTTCTCCAACTGCTCCATCCTCGCCCTCTTCTCCTCCTTGCTGATATCCCCAAGCTTCCCTTCCAGCTTCTGCAACGGGCTCTTGTCCGCTACACTCGGCCTTCTCCCCGGCACCTCAGCATTGCCAGCGCTCGTTCGTCTGGTGTTCGTATTCGCAGACGTAGGCCCAGGGTCCGGACTCCACGCCGTCCCTCTCACATTCTCCGGCACCGCATTGGGGTCGACGCTCAAGGCAGGCTTTCCGGCGTCTCCTCCCAACGGCCGCGCTTTCGGGATCTCCGCATCTGGCGAATGCACATGTACTGCATGTCCACTGCGCGCGAAATCGTCTGCTCCGGCATCTCCACTGTAGGCGTGGAGACTCGAAGCAATCTTCGCGTGAGTCGCCAGAGCTACGTCCTTGATGCGACTCTTGTCGAGGACGCTGCTGGCGCCGGAGACGTTGTTCTGGGTGGCAGCAAGGTAGGCGGAGGTGAGTGTTGGGTTGCCCGTTCGGTCAGAGAAGCTACGGCGAGGCTTGCTGTCGGCGGCTGGGGGCTGGTAGTACTGGTATGGTCCGTTGGATTGACTCGTCGGTGCCTTTTCGAAGTAGCCCGTCGTCGGGTTTTGGTTCCACAGGCCTGACTGTCGGCGGTTGGAGGAGTCTGCGTTGGTTGCCATGGGTATGGTAGCTATTGCATGGTATACAGGTCGATGAGCTCAAGCCGTGTCGCGGTCCTTGGTCGGCTAATGTTGTTCGTCAGTCGTTACAATCGTGAAATGTAATATTAACACGCTACAATGGCTGAACGCAACAGGGAGACAGCAAAGGCGGGCAGATGACAGGTCTTGAGTGGGAGTGGAGTGAGGATGGCTGGTAGTCTTCTTGCGCGATACAAGATTCTTGATTGCATGGGGCTGGTAACTTAGATTGCGCTAGTGCCATGCCATATCCTGCTGTGCCCGCTTCCTCTCCCGCACATGCATCACCATCCCCTCCATGCCGTAACTTCCTCATCGGGCGCACACGTGAGTCGGCGACCGAGGAGGTGGACGAATATGCAACTGCTGGTGTCGCTCCAATCAAATGTGTCGCAGAACAAAGAAAAGGTCAAGCTTCTCGATGCAGATGTGGAGGCGGCAGCATCAGCCACAGGGAGAGCCGAGCCGCAAGCTTACCTTATTGCGAGCCCAGTGAGATCCAGGGTCAAAGAAAGTGAAGTCTACTGGAAGACACGCCGGTTAAAGGGTGCACACACTCGCTACACTCGACTCTGCATACCACCGATATACCCGCACTTGCACCGTATCATGACACTGGACGGAAGATGACTGCAGACCACAGAAGACAGGCCAACCACACCGTCCGCGACTGCGCGCAAAGGAGAGGCCTCGATCGAAAACGATGAAGATGCGCTGGCTGTCCAGCCTACTGGCCTTACCCGCACTGTTAACAACCACATGCTATGCGAGACGAGACTACGACGCCCACGACTACTACGCCGTCCACTTACGACCAGGGGTCAGCCCTGACGCCGTCTCCTCCCACCTGGGCCTCGACAATGAAGGCCCCCTCGGTCAGCTAGACGACCACTACATCTTCCGCGCTCACGAGCCCGTGTTCGAGTACGACCACATCACCACTGCCATTTCAGACCTCAAGCGACGAAGGCGGAAACGAGAGGCTGGCGCAGAATTGCCGCATGTCCTCGATGATGTCCTCCTCGCTCAGAAGCAGGAGCTGCATAAGCGCTTCCCTCTGGTCAAGCGCGGTCCTCTCGCTATACCCTCCCCTCGCGCGCCAGCACTCGCACCACGGCAGAGTTACCCACCCATCGAAGAGGCGGTTCAGGAGGGTATAGATTTGGCTAAGAAGCTGGACATTCAGGATCCCATATTTCAAGAGCAGTGGCATCTCTTCAACCACCTACAGCCTGGACACGATATAAACGTTACAGGACTATGGGCACAGAACATCACCGGACATGGCAGTACGGTGTGTATTGTAGACGATGGCTTGGACTTTGACTCGAACGACATCAAACCCAATTACTTCGCCGCCGGCAGCTGGGACTACAACGATGTCGGACCCGATCCCAAGCCACGGCTGATCGATGACCGACACGGCACGCGCTGCGCTGGAGAAGTATCGGCAGCCAGGAATGACGTCTGCGGTGTGGGTGTTGCCTACGATTCGAGGATTGCTGGTGTCCGAATCCTCAGCAAGCTCATCTCCAACGCCGACGAAGCGGAGGCTATGAACTACGCGTTCCAAGAGACGGACATCTACTCATGCTCGTGGGGTCCGCCGGACAATGGGGAGGCCATGGAGGCCCCGGATATCCTCATCGCGCGTGCCATGGTTAAAGGGGTAGAGAAGGGTCGCGGTGGCAGAGGGTCGATATATGTGTTTGCCATTGGCAATGGCGCCGCCGCGGACGACAACTGCAATTTCGATGGATACACGAACTCGATCTATTCAGTCTCTGTAGGTGGGATCGACAGAAAGGGACTACACCCATATTACTCGGAGAAGTGCTCGGCGCAGCTGGTGGTGACCTACTCATCTGGCTCTGGTGATGCGATTCACACCACGGATGTCGGGCAGGACAAGTGCTACTCCAACCACGGCGGTACATCTGCTGCTGGGCCTCTAGTCGCAGGCATCTACGCTCTAGCACTGCAGGCGAACCCGAAGCTCACATGGCGCGATATACAATACCTGACTGTTCTCTCTGCCGTGAAGGTTGATCAGCCCTCCGACTGGACGATGAATAAAGCGGTTGGCAAGGAGTTCTCGCACCAGTTCGGATACGGGAAAGCAGATGCTTATGCGCTCGTAGATATGGCGAAGCACTGGAAGCTTGTCAAACCGCAAGCATGGTACTTTGGGCCTTGGCTGCACGTTCGCCATGCCATTCCTCAAGGCGAGAAGGGTCTGGCATCGCACTTCGAAGTGACCAAGCAGATGTTGAAGGACGCCAACCTCGAGCGCCTGGAGCACGTCACCGTCACCATGAACGTCGAGCATACCCGCCGCGGCGACCTAAGCGTCGAGCTCAAATCCCCCTCGGGCATGGTTAGCCACATCGCCACGCACCGCCGCAACGACGAAAAACGCGCCGGCTACGTCGACTGGACCTTCATGTCTGTCGCGCACTGGGGCGAGTCCGGCGTCGGCAAATGGACCGTCGTCGTCAAGGACACCAACGTCAACGAGCACAAGGGCGTCTTCACCGACTGGCGCATCAAGCTGTACGGCGAAGCCCGCGACGCCAGCAAAGCCTCCCCGTTACCCTTGCCGAAAGCCCACGACGACGACGACCACGATGTCGTGCACACCGAGACGGCGTCGGCGCATACGACGAGCGTGGCCGTGCCGACGGAGACGGGGAAACCGCCGGGGAATCCGGATGATCATCAACATCGCCCTGTAAATGGCAAAATCAGCACGACCAAAACCACCGCACAACCCACCCCGACCCCTACAACATCTCAAGACGACGTCGCCTCCCCCTCCCCCTCACCAACAGAAACAGAAAGTTCCTCCAACTTCCTCCCCCGCCCCTTCCCCACCTTCGGCGCCAGCAAACGCACCCAAATCTGGATCTACGGCGCCCTGGCCCTGATCCTCGCCTTCCTCGCCGCGCTGGGCGGGTGGTGGTACTGGATGCGGCGCAAGAAGCGCTGGATGGAGCGCGATGACTACGGGTTCGAGATGGTGGATCGCGAGGACGAGGATGAAGGGGTGCCGTTGGCGAATGGATTCGGGAAGCAGAGGAAGAGGCGGGCGGGGGAGTTGTATGATGCGTTTGCTGAGGGGAGTGAGGATGAGGATGGGAATGGGGTTTTTGGGGTGGGGAGTGATGATGAGGGGAGTGAGAGTGGGGATGGGGATGAGGGTGGGGAGATGTATCGGGATGAGAAGCCGGGAAGGGAGAGGATATAATTGGGGGAATTGAGCCAGGGCGTTTCGGGCTGGGTGCATTGGGACATCGTGGCGTTTTCGACGTTGCATTTTGGAGGATCTGTGTACGATGGATGGCAACACGCGTATCGTTCGGACTTTGTAGTTCGTGTATCCGTATTCATCAAGACGACGTTGAGACTTTGTAATCCTCCCCGCTGTCACATGCTCATGCTCCTTCTTCTTCCTTCCGCGCTACCTCCTAGCTCCGCCGTTGCCCGGCCCTAACCCGCTTTCCGAACCAACGGCACGTGCCATTTTCGGATATGAGAATAGCGGGGCGCGGTAGCGGTGTTTACCAGCTGCTGCAGATCTCTTTTGAACTTTTGCTCGTTTGGAAGAAACAACGCATTGCCTCCTGCCAGTCGCGTCGTCTGCTGCTGCTGGGTCACAACAATCCAAAAAGAAATCTCACACTGACTGGCTCAAGGCCTTCGGCTGCAAACACGACAGCGCGCGCGTACAAGCCACGACAGCGGCTTTCTGCGTTTCATCAGTACCCCTCGTGTTCGCTGAGGAGGGCGAGGAAGGTTCGAGCAACGTTCACGACACGGTATAGAAGGGAGCGGAGTGGTACGAGAGCCACGTGGCCACGGACAACAACAACAATAACAACACCACCCTATTGAGCTGCCGACGGCGTGGATAACGACAATACCCACCCCACGGCAAACACCACCACCACCACACCCACCCCACTGCCGACCGTCCACCTTCCGCCTACAACCAACACTCGTTCGTTACACACCACCAAGAAGTTGAGGTAAGGTAGCAGCCATGGCCGCCGCCGACATGGACATCGACTTCACCCGCCGCAACAAGAAGCCCCGTCTGCTGTCCGACTCGGAGCGCGAGAAGCTCGACGAGTATCTGGATTCGATTCATTATTCTTCGCGGTATGCTCTACAACCCCTGTTTTCCACAAACTTTCCTCCTCGCGCACGCTGTTCAGACTTGCCCACGTAACGCTCCTCAAGCCCGCTTGCTCACTGACGTTTCGCTCCCAGCTACTCCGACGACCACTTCGAATACCGCCACGTCCAACTCCCCAAAACCATGCTCAAAGCCATCCCCAAAGACTACTTCGACGGCAGCCGCGGCACGCTCAAACTGCTGTGGGAGGACGAGTGGCGAGGCCTGGGCATCACGCAGAGTCTGGGGTGGGAGCATTACGAGGTGCATGAGCCGGAGCCGCATATTCTGTTGTTCAAGTGAGTCTATCATCCATCTACGGGGCTTGAGTGGAGAGAAAAGTGCTGACAAAGGTGGTTTGCCAGGCGACCGATCAACTACCAAGCCCCTCACTGAACGACCTCCTCGGCAAGAAGTGCGATGCGAAGGTTGCTACTTGAGAAACATGGCGGTGGTGGGGAATCTATACTGCTGATGACGGAAATGCATGCTCTTGGTCGAGCTTGGGTGATACATGAAATGACAGGATGAGCGGAAACAACGTCGAGTCGATGCATTTACCCGGCGTCACGCGAGGGCACGAAGCCATGAAGCCATCGGAAGCGATGAAGGAACGTCTGCGAACGCGTTCAAGCGAGTTAGGCGTAGTGCAGAAATGCAAATGGCGATACGCAAGCACTGCAGTATCTCCCCTCAACCTCCCTCCTCTCTCTACATACCCACAGTACACGTCGTAAGGACGAAGTCAACTACCACTGATAAACAAAACCCACCCCCCTATCCGTCCGATCATCCTCCTCCCTCTCGCCCCCCTCTATCCTCCTAGTCTTTCCCTCATTCCTCCGCCGGTAAATAACGGTAACCCAGCTAAACAGCCCGCACGCCACCACCAACACCCCAGCGGTCCAGCCGTTCCCGACCCAATAGCGTGGTGCCCATTCGGAGCGGTAGAGTTGGCCTATGACGAGACCCGAGACGTCGGTCCAGGTGAGGACTATGCCGAGGGTGGCGGCGCGTTTGGCGGCGGGTGAGGCGTTGGCGGAGGTCCAGGCTAGGTTGTTGCCTGCGATTCTGTACATCGGGAGGGGAGGGTTAGTGGGAGGGAGGCTTTGAGGGAAAAGGGAGGGGAGGGGAGGGGTCGATACATGTAGCAGCCGGTTGTGATGAGGTAGGTGGCGAAGTAGTGCGCTCCTGCGGGGATGGGACAGAGGAGGAGGACCTGTTCGCGGGACAAAGTCAGTACGTCAAAGGTTGAAGGGGGAAGGAGGAAGACGTACATAGCCCAATGCTGTAATAGGTGTGAAGATGATCTCGAAAAGGTAGCGTTTGCGGTAGCGATCCGAGAGCCAGACGATGACGCAGTAGAACACGAAACCCCAGAGCTGGACGGGGATGGTGAGATATTGGGTCGAGAGGGTACCGTAGCCCAAGCCGTCTTGGAGGATGATGGGGAGGAAGTTGTTGAAGCCTGGCTGTCCGTTAGATTGCTGTTCGTGGAATAGTGTGGAGGATCGAGGATGGTGCGTTGACTTACCGTACAACGGCGTAATAACACAGAACTGCAACGCCGAATGGATCCAGGTCTTGACGTCTTTGGCAGCGACGATGATGTCTTGGAGCGTGAACTCGCCTGCGCCGCCGTTGTAGTGGTGCATGAGCTTTTCGCGGTAACGCATCACTTCCTTGTCGTCTTCGTTGAGGAAGTGGGCTTTTTCGTACGAGCTGGGAACGAGGATGAAGCAGATGAAGCCGTAGACGATTGTGATGATGCCTTCGATGATGTAGATCCTTGGTTAAGGGTCAGCGAGGGATTGTGAGGCTGTTTGGAGGAGGCGAGACGTACCATCTCCAGCCAGCAATCCCGGCAGCTCCATCCATGTGATAGATGGCATAAGCCAGCAGCCCACCAAAGGCACCAGAGAGCGCGGTTGAGCCGAACAGGAATGCCATTCGAACGGCCAACTCCTCTCGCTTGTACCAGTTGGCGACGAATAATGCGAGGGCAGGGAAGAGGCAGCCTTCAAATAAACCAAGAATGAGACGAGTACCGACGAGCCCGCCGTAGGTGTTGACCCATCCGGAGCCCAGGGTGATGATGCCAAAGGCGATGGTGAGGCTGGGCAGGACACGCTCGAAGCGCCATTTCTTTGCGTACATTGATATTGGGAACTGTGGTCGTCAGTACGTTGTGTCGTTAGAGTTGGGGGATTGATAACGTACTTCGGACAAGATGTAGAGGACGTAGAAGATTGATACGCCAACCTGTTATTGTCAGTCCCGTGTCGACCGGTGAGAACGAGGTTTGCTCGTACATTGAGATCTGACTCTTGCAGGTTGAGGTCATCCACCATTCCTTGGGTTGCGGCAAAGCCAATGTTCGATCGGTCAAGGTAGGACTGCGTATAATTATCAGTGATAAAGGTCATTGTCGTCTCTTATGGATCTGCTGTCGATTCTTACGATAAAGTTGAGCGAGCCCATCAGCGGAGCGATGTAGAAGTCCATCTTTCGAATCACCCTCGCTTCTCTCGCTTTGAACTCAGGCGACTCGTAGTAGTCGGACGTCTGTCTGTCTTCGACATCTTCGACGTGCTTCGTCTCGTCTTTCCCATTGTTGTTGTCGCTGCTTTCGCCGAGCTCTGGTGATGGTTGAGACTTCTCGCTCTTGTCGTCGTTGGTGTCTGCCATCATGCTGCAGGTCACTGGATGTTATTGCCAGTACAAGCATCAAAGAGAGAACACAAGCGTTGCCAACCAAGCCATCGCCATCGAAGACATTCCAAGCCTTTCAAAGTCTTCCATATTGATATCATCCGTCTTCGGCTACGTATCGACCGAATAGCTTCATCTCCCCGCCTTGATCGACATGCAATGCGCTCGTGAGGGCCACGAGCAACGGGTTCGGAGGTACCTGTTCCAGTTTGGAACGACACGGATCACGGCACTTGGAGTGCAGCTAGACGAGCTCCGGTCCATGATTGAAGGTATGCGCGTTTGCTCTCGACCCTGAGCGGGATTTAACGGCCGTCACCTGTCATCCGTCTTCGCCTGGTGAGCAGCGACTTAGTGCCGCCCACAACGGATAGAGGGAGTAGTGGACGATACCCACGGCATGCTCACGCCTTGGCAGATATGACCTGGCTGAACTAGCTGAACATGCGAGAATACCTTAGACTGGAGGATCTTGAGGCAGATAGCTTCGAGTATCAGAATAAGAGAGGTGACAGGAAGCTTGTAGAAAATCTGTATTTACCTGTGGCTGAGTATGTGTCTGCCGCAATGTGTCCTGTCCAATGCTACACATGCCAGTGTAAGGTAAGGAGAAGATGAGAGCAGCTGGTCTGCCGCTTAGCGGGACTAAACTAGCTATCAACCCCCTCTAACCACCTCACCCCACGTAGACCCTTGTTTGACAACCAGAACTGTGGTTGCGAGCATTGTGTGTCCACCTGCAGTCTTTCTGTATACCAACGATAGACCCGACACAACATGCGTTTCTCCTCGGTCATCGCTGGCGTTGGCCTCCTCCTCACCGGCGCTGCTGCGCTCGACAAACCGCTCGACATCCAAGTCGAGAAGGCGGTGGAATGCTCTAGGAAGACGAAGACTGGTGAGGAACACAAGTGTACAACTATTCGGACTCTTCTGACCATGTCTTGTAGGTGACAAAGTCGACGTCCACTATCGCGGCACTCTTGAGAAGGATGGTAACGCTCCCCCTCTTACCGCAACGATACGTAACCTGCGTCTCACATGAAGCTCCAGGCTCCGAGTTCGACGCCTCATACAATCGCGGCACCCCGCTCTCATTTCACGTCGGGAAGGGCCAAGTCATCAAGGGGTGGGATCAGGGACTGTTGGACATGTGTCCTGGGGAAAAGCGGAGGTTGACGATCCAGCCTGAGTGGGGCTACGGTTCGAGAGGGATGGGCCCGATACCTGCCAACTCGGTACTGATCTTCGAGACTGAGCTGGTTTCTATCGCTGGCGTGGAGCCTGAGGGCGACAAGGCAGAGTTGTAGGTTGTGGGAGAGGGAGACGATTGAAGAGGATGTGGCATGCTGCTATGGTACGGGACGATGTTATGAGAGATGACGCCCTTCTGGTGGGCCTAAAATGCTACTTTTTTCAGTCGGATGTGCCGAAGTACGTGGTTCCAGGAGCCACATTTCATCGAGACTACTATCTAAGCAAGAGACTGCGCCTTTTCTCTCTCAGATTGTCCATTTATCGCTCATTGGGAGAACATAAAGCTGGCCGAATGCGGTAACCTCTGCGATGAAATAAGCCACAGACCAAGCTCCACCAAGCTTCCAGCATCGGGGCTGTAGAAACATCCTCCATCCCATAACCATCCTAGTCTGCGACATGATAGGCCTGTCCTACTGGGCTGTGTTCCTGACTATCTTCTCGTCCCCCAGCTGAGGTTCATAGCTTGACTCGGTGCAATGGGATTGGTATGTAGGTATAAGACGCTTCCATCTCGTTCTTTTCTCGATGTTTTCCATATTCATCAAACCACTCTACTATCTCCAGCATCGAGGCGACTCTTGACAGTCGTTACCGATACACTTATCCTCTACACTCTGTTCGTTGAGCACAACGTAAAACTCGTTTAGTCGACATCAACACAATGCCTCGCCAAGGAGGACTGATCAAGGTCCTCGGGACTGGTGTAGGGATGGCAGCAGAGTACCACGAGCATCGCAAGCAGAAGAAGCTCTCGCGCGAGAACAGCCAGCAAAGCGTCGACCAAACCATTGCAGGTCCTTCCAATCGACCCGAAATCAGTACCAGGGAGCTCTCTGCTGCCTCCGACCTGCCTCCGGCGTACGAAGATATTGTTGACGAGCATAACTCGTCGCTAGCGGCCGGACGACCGGTTGCAGACGACAAGAAAGCCGCGCTACGCCAGTACAACTCCGACTCCGAATCCGACGACCTGGAAGAGTACGAGTATGCAGAGCTCCAAGGAGACGAAGCAGCCTGGGACCTAGACGAAGCCGTCAGCCGCGAGCGCGGGAGGTCAACGCCCCCAGATACACCGACCGAGACCTCCTCAGATCCCGAGAGACTCGTCAGTGAGGTCCTCACCGCCAACCGTACGGCATTGGCTGCAGCTCCAGCGTTCGAGCGTACCCAAATCCCATGCCCAGTCATCATACCCCAACGCCGGCCGCGGACAAAAGCTCGTGGGTTCGTGCGAGCCTACGCCCCGCTCTTGGGCGAATGCAGCGGCATCAGCCAGGAAACCTTCCTCCTCTTCCTCAAGAACTTCCACAAGGCCTCCCAAGCATCGCCGGTCTTCCCCGTCATCCGCATGTCGGCGGCGATAGCCGGCTTCGCACCAAGCGTGATCGCAATGGCCGTCACGACGGCCGTTCAATTTGCTGCAGGCGTAGGGCAGGAGGTCCAGCAGCGGCAGCGGACCAACCATTTCCTGGATAGGATGAACCAGGAGTTGTTCCAGCCGGCAGGGTTGTACGCCATGATCGTCAAGTACAAGCCTGAGGATGAGCTGCAGAAGAACAGCAACAGTCTGCTAACGCGGCTCGGAGTGACTAGCGAGAAGGTCGACCTGAGCACGAACCAGACCATTGCGAAGTACAGCCGCGCTCTAACCAGTGAATCGGCCAGCAGCGGGCAGAGCATGAGCCAGCGGATGCAGGGCCTTCGCCTCTTCTCTCAGACGACAAAAGGCTCCTGCGCGATTCCGGAGTCCGCACCATTGATCTTCCCAGATGTTGACAACGCGGTGGCTCTCGAGGGCGAGGAGAGCTTCAAGGCCAAGGCGAAGGATGCCAAAGGCTTTTTGGCCGATTACTTCGACCGCAAAGCGCAAGCAAAGTATGCAACGGCGGATCCAAACTCGAGCTTGAACGTGCCGGACGAGCAGCGTGCGTTCCGCTCCAAGCTTGCGGACCCGAGTCATCCGATGTACAATGGCGGAATCGTCGGCTTCGTCAGTGGTGGTGCACTTACCCGAGATCGCGCTGAGAGGGATAACCGCAGGAACGAGAGGCGGTGGGAAAAATATGAGCGGAAAGACTTGCGCCGAGAAAGGAGAGACGATCGAAAGGATTTCCGTCGAGAAATGAGAAACGAGCGCAAGGATGAGAGACGTCTTGACAGGTTTGAGCGACGGCTCGACAAGGGCAGGAGTCTGAGCAGGAGTAGCGAAAGACGTCATGAGGATATCATGATCCACCGAGAAAGAAGGGCTGGGTTACAGGGACGCGGACCGATCGGCATGCTTGCAGGTGCTGTCGCTGGCAGAGTCGATAATGGCCAGAGTAGAGAGTACGAGGATGCGTACCGAAGCGGCTACGATGGTCGCGAGATGAGGAGATCTTTTGAGGATCGCAACTCCAGCTATGGGCAGTGGAACACGCCTGCTCCTTATAGCGGGCAACAGAGCTTCAACCCGAGCAGAGCGGCTCCGTATGGTGGCCAAGGATATGTCCAGAACGAACGTGAGGTGCCCGGAGCGGCTGCCTACCGTGGGAGGAGGGCAGACCGAAGAGGAAGCCGCCAGAAGAAGGGCGGGCTCATCAAGAAGATCATGACCGAGGACGTCCTATACTTATTGATCGTGAACATGCCCTCAGAAGAAGAGCTTGCGGAGGCCAGGGCGACATTGGAGACGGCTAGAGGACATTGATTAGAATAGAAGTTGACGAGATCAGCAACCACTTTTCAATAATACTAATCTCTCAGCCTCGACGTCTTGTTGAAGGGCTATTCTTGCCCTTGCTCTTCTGCACGCCAGTAGACTGCGCGATCGCGTCCTTGCCCTTCGGCTGCAGCTTGGCCTGCGCAGTATCCTTGCTCTTTGGGCTGTTCCAGTAGTACACCATCTGCGCCGCCAGAATGGCGTTGAGCACGAACGCAGCCATGAATCCGTACAGGATCAAGTTGTCGTCCACCTCCTGTAGTGTTGTGAAGACTCTTGCCAGCGAGCCAGCCAGGTAGTTGAACACTGCGAAAGCGCTTAGCTGACCCGTGCCTCCTTCCGCGAAGATGGTGATGATTTGTGGTAGCTTGCTTGCAACCCCTAACAGTCCGGCGCCGCCTTGGAGATACTGCAGTGTGCTGGCGGACACAATGCTCTGGTCGTACATCACGTATCCCGCTGCTGCGAGACCAGCGACGAAAGCCGCTGCAGCAGGTGTCTTGCCAGAGTACTGCAGAATCAAGACACTGATCGCGATGTTCTGAACCGCGATCAAGGCCACCTCTCCGTACGTCGAGAACGGGAATCCATTACGGATGTTGTACATCAACGTAATAAGGTAGCTGGCCGTCTCCAGCAGATATGAGAGGAAGCTGATGCCCTCCGCCGACTGCGAGTTAAGCAGCTTAAGCAATTGTGGGATTTTGACAATGCTGCTGGCGCCGATGATGCCGATGCCCAGGCCCTTTGAGACTGCGAGTTTGAGGCACACAGTGTCCGTGAGGTTGACCGTGTGGACGAGCGAGCGGTAGCATGATTCGCCGAGGAGTTGCGTTGCGGTGTTGCGGACCGGTGGTGGAAGGTTGTGGGTGAGCGGTTGGAGGACCGAGCGGAGCGTCTTCTCGAGCGATTCCATGTTGGTTGTATGGGTGGTCTCGGTGTCAATTGTGAGGTAGAAGTTCGTGTCTGGAATTCCAAGTCAAAACAGCTGTTGCTAAGTCAGAAAGTGTCACGTGATTTCCGATGCAAGATCGTCCCCGACCTCACTTTCATGTGAAAACTCAACTTCCTACCGTCATTGGCATCAATCAAGATTCTAACACTACTCCGGCCACGCCCATAGAATTTTCCATGATACCGAATCTATCCTTCACACAGTGCAATGCGATCCCCATTAGACAGAATTTTTCTACCACCGCGAAGGTCCTATAGCAACTGCTTTGTTCAGCCTGGCACCTTCACGAAGTCTCTCAAGAAGAACAAAGCACTGGCGAGAAAGCAAGACAGTACTGTCGTTGCGACTCTCAGCACTCTTCGAAGCATGTCTCACTCATCCTCTGCGCCTAATGCCATGCCTCAATTGTCACAGCCAGGTAACGAAAACGTCCTTCAATCCGCCATTTCTCCTAAGCCATCCATTTCACGTTATACTGCACAATAGAAATACCTATACCATCGTCCGTCGCCGCATTTGTTTTAGCCGCTTGGCCTGATGCGGCGATCTCACATGTGAATAGAACAATGGAAAAGTTCACCTCTCAATGAAGCTGTTCGTCAACCTCACGCATTGAAGTATTCTAGCCGTTTCCATCTCTGCCTGCTTTCTTACCTCGACACCGACCTTCAGCGACAGGCAGAAGCACAGGCAAAATTCGTTCGTCTCTGAAGCAATCATTCACATCGACACTGACATCGTCTTGTTAGTCTGACGGCACTCATTGCGTCGACTGTATCCACACTGTTGCATCTGTTTCGTGAGAGCACAAGCGACTCCTAAACCATCAGAACAGCTCAGAGTCAGCCCCACGGAAATGGTGTTCATCGGTCCGAAGCAACTCAGGGAGGCGTATGAGCGCAGAATTGTCGACGCCCAGTATGATCTGGATCAGGCGCGAGCCATGCTCGCTGGATTCACGAAAACTATGACAGAGACGCTCCCCGGGAAGATCCAGAAAGCAGAGCAGAACATTGCGAAAGCTCGCAAAGTCTACAAAACTTTGCAAGGTGATGCACGCAACAATCAGCAGGTCAAAATCGACAAGCTCAACAGGACTCTTGACAACATGAAAAATGAACGAGATTCCACACTTCCTGGTTTGATCAACACGGAGACGAAGGCAGTCGCGAGCTTGGAGAGCAAGATCAGCATGATTGAGAAGCTGGAGGCTGAACGCCTGAAGAAGGTGAGTGCACTGAGATCAAACGCCACTACGTACTTGTGACTGACACTGAACAACTGGAGGATGCAGCATCCGAAGCAGAAACCGAGTCATCCGGTCCGTCTGCACAAGCTCCCGAGCAGAGTGATGGCAAGATAGCAGCTGGTCGAGCCGGAACGAAGCGTAAAGCCAATGCGGGAGATGGAGAAGAGGCGAAGCCTCCGGTGAAGCAAGCCCGGCGTGCGAGTCCCAGCGATGGCAAAAAGCGCAAGGCAAACGATGCCCCTGCGGAGAAGCTAGTCCGTCAATCGAAGAGGCAGAAAGGGGACGCGGCTCCGTCCGCCGACCAAGCTGGCGATGAGAGCGACAAAGAAGATGCTCCCGCCCCCCCAACCCAGAAGGGCAAGCGCTCCAGGAATAAGACTGTCGTGCCCGATTCAAGCGACTCTGGTGGGAAGAAAACACCATCAGGCAAGACCTCCGAGCACCAGGAGACCGCGCCCAGTCCAGCTGGTGGCGCAAAGAAGGCGGCGGGAAAGGCCACGGCGAAGGCCACGGCGAAGGCGGCGGGGAAACCAGCAGAGAAGCCGGCAGCAAAGGCGGCGGGAAAGGCCGTAGGTAAAGCTGCAGGGAAAGCTGACGCCAAAGCTGATGCGAAGGCTGAGGCGGCGGGAAAAGTCGCTGAGAGCAAGTCGAATCCGAAAGGCAAGAAAAAGACAAGCGGCAAGAAATTGAACGATGGCGATAAAGAGGACGGCGACGATGACAGCGAGGAGAACGAGGAAGAAGATGATGGCAACGGCAGCAAGAATGGTGGCGTGGAAAGGACGCAAAGCCGAAAGAGCCATACCTGAACGGCATCATCAACGTGAGTCCACTGGGCTGAACCTTTTCAGCAAAAGCAATGTGCTGACCTACTTCCCTTCGGCTGTATAGTTCAGAAACTCCTGTTTTTCCTCGGTCGTCATACAGCTGCTGGACTACGCTCTCGAAGTCAACCTGGACTCCCTGGTTGGGAATTTGGATGCAAATTTTGAGACGTTTGGTCTCTCCGAGGCAGAGAGCAAAAAGTTCGACATAACCAGTGACAAGTCCTACGACGGCATCAAAGGCAAGTACAAGAAGTTGCCCGAGCAGAGGCGCGAGGCTGTCAGAACGGCAATCAAGGAGGCCCGAGACGCGGAAGAGGTGGACAAGATCAGCCTTCCAAAGCATTTCCTCAAGATGATCGCCGATCTACGCGCACAAGACAAACGCCCAGATCAGAGGTTCATATCGGCCTTCCTCTTCCAACAGGTCATGGCTTTCGGCAGGAAGGAAGATGTCGGCCGCCGGGCTCAGACACTGTCAGTTCGTGAGGACATGAATGGCGACACGCAGCAGGATGCCATGGAGTACCTGGTGGATGTTCTGAACGCACTCCTCGAACACGGCCACACCGGTAGCAAAGCTAGACTCAGGAAGCATTTCGAGATCCACAGCAAGACAGTCGATAGCTGTACCGACGAGAACTGCGGCTTCCGCAGTGGTCCGTTCACAGCGAAGGATAACCATCTCATCGTCAAGGTTCCAGCCAAGCCGCCGAAGGGGAAGAACATACGGATGGCAACACTGTTTAAGGAAGCCAAACACAGCCCGAAGGACCTTCGCTGTCCGGACTGCAAGGAACGCACCCTGGTCGCACACACAGAGTATACGCAGTTGCCAGAGATCATCTTCTGCAAGGTCAACAGGACGACCTACCACTCAACCACAGGAGAGAAGGGTAAGACCAGAACTCCTGTCGACCTTGATCCTTACGGCATCAAACTCGAGGGGCAGAACTTCCATCTAATCGCAGTTGTGCATCACGATGGCAACACTCCAGAATCTGGGCACTATACAGTCTTCAGAGAGCACTATGGCCGCTGGTACTTACTGGACGACAAGACTGTCACCGAAGTAAAGGAAGCGGATGTGAAGGATCACGCAAGGAAAGGCCAAAGCGCCATCCTCATGTTTGAGAAGGCACCGGAGGGAGTCTCCCCATCACCACCCGCCAAAAAGTGAGGTGGCTGGAGACAGATACTTCCAACCAGTCCTCGTTGCGCGGGGCATTGCCCATGTGTACACTGTATGGGTGCATCGTACTGTGTAGAGCGGAATTGAATAGATACTTGTAATGACAATCTCTCATGGCACTTTTCCTCACCTGCAGCCGCGCTGATTTACCTAAGCTTTGACCATTTTCGAGCACATGACTTTCGCGACTTAGCGCGTCTGCACTTTCTACACATACACGCACATGGCGCCACCATACAGTCATGGACGACATACTGCACGGTCTAAACAAAGCCCAACGTGAAGCCGTCACCTCTGAAGCATCTGTCCTCCAGGTTCTGGCACCACCCGGATCCGGCAAAACGAAGACTCTGACCACACGCGTCGCGTACCTCATCGCGCACCGCCATCTGAAGCCATGGAACATCATCACGTGTACCTTCACCAAGAAGGCGGCGAACGAAATGAAAGAGCGCCTACGTAGCTTCATCGGCGAAGAACTCGCGAAGCAGATCAAGCTTGGGACCTTCCACGCGATTGCGGCGCAGTATCTTCGCCAGTATGGGCAACACATTGGCCTTGCCAAGGACTTTGGTATCGCAGACACTTCGGACAGCAAGGCCATTATCAAGCGAATCATCAAACGGCGTGACCTGACCAGTGAGGTACCGAAAGCGTTGGGACGCATCTCCGCGAACAAATGCAAAGGCATCGAAAGCGGCCAGTTTGCACAGACGGCGAAGAATGTCGACCAGCAGGAGTTCGCTCTCATCTTCTCGGAGTACGAAGCAGAGTTGATGGCATCAAATCTGCTAGACTATGATGACCTGCTCCTCAGGTGCTGCTTTCTTCTAAGAACGCATCCCCAATGCGTGTCCAACGTGCAAGCAGTGTTGATCGACGAGTTCCAAGATACGAACACGGTTCAGTACGATCTTATGGCACTCTTCGCACAGAAGCGGAACATGATCACAATCGTCGGCGATCCCGATCAGAGCATCTACGGATTCCGCCACGCTGAGATCAAGAACCTGAACCTCATGAAGGATCAATGGCCAGACACTCTTACCATCAATCTGGAAGAGAACTACAGGTCTTCTGGTGCCATTCTCCATGCAGCGCAGGAGGTCATTGAACAGGACGAGAGTCGTCCACAGAAGAAGCTGCAAGCAACGCACACCTATGGGCTGCGACCTGTCCTCAGGAAGCTTCCATCTGCGGCTGCTGAAGCAAGCTGGCTGGTCTCAGAGATCGGCCGTATGTGTGCCATGAGCGGCAAAGTTTTACAGCACAGCGACTTTGTGATCCTTTTGCGCAGCGCAGCACTCTCGCGTGAGATAGAAGCTGCGCTGGGCAGAGATGGTGTGCCGTACCGGATGGTCGGTGGCAAGAAGTTTTTCGAACGAGCGGAGGTCAAGATCGTTGTCGACTATTTGCAAATCATCAACCAGCCCAGTCACAGCGAAGCGGTGGAACGCATCATCAATGTACCTTCCAGGCGCATTGGTGATGCTACAGTGAAGAGCTTTCGCGAGGAAGCATCCACGAAGGGTATATCATTCTGGGAGCTCATCTGTGGCGTTTCTCAGGACAAGATTCGATCAACAACCAAGCTACCTGCAGCAACAGAAAAGGGCGTTTCCTCATTCGTCAATGTGATATTGAGCGGACGAAGAAAGATTTCTGAGGCGAATGACGGGCAGACGTCTTTGGTCGATCTGATCAACCTCGTCGTCAAGAAGATCGACCTCCAGTCTTATCTCAAGAACAAGTACGAGAACGAGTATGAAGCCAGGTGGTCGAACGTCGAAGAGCTCATGGCCCAAGCTGCAGATGCATCGGATCCCGCTAGATTAAAAGCCATGGTGGAAGAGGACAGCTTACCCACCATTGACGGCCTTGAGCAACGGACTGCTGGGAGTGAGGACATATTGTCGATCTTTCTGGCGAATATTGCTTTGACGTCCAGCGCAGAGACGAAGCAAGCAGAGGGCGCAGAGCCGGTGCAACAGGTCACCATATCCACGATTCATTCGGCCAAAGGTCTAGAGTGGCCAGTTGTTTTCATTCCGGCCTGCTACGAGGGATCGATACCACATTCACGATCCGATGACAACGACGAGGAGCGGAGGTTGCTCTATGTCGGTATGACACGAGCACAAGCCTTGCTGTACCAAAGCTGTCCGATCAAAGACACTCAGAGACAAGAGACCATCATGTCCTCATATCTGACCCAGCCTGGGGTGCAGCATCACTTCGAGGAGCATGGTCCACTCATGTCTATTCACGAAGCCAAGAGTCTGGCTACGACATTGCGAAGAGAGCAGCCAACGACAGCTTCATACGAAGAAGGAAAGAAGGATTTGGAGAGTGAACTGGACAATTACTGGCCATTGAACGGCGAACAGCCTCCTGAAGAGCGAGCCAAATGGGATTATGGCAAGGCCACAAATCACGTGACAGCGTTTGGCACGGCGAGGTCAGCATCATGGGTGGCGTCAACGTCAGTGACTATGCAACAGCAGCAAGGGTTCTCGACAGCGTCCGCCACAATGAAGCCCAGCTTTGGCTCAGTGAAGGACCTGTACGACGATCTTTTGGGACAGGACCGCCTCAAAGCTATCGACAAGAAGCAAGCCGAAGCGAAAAATAAGAGCGACGCTGCCGCACCAAAGGGCAAGAAACGACAGATTGAGGGTCAGGGGAGTATTGCGGGCTTCTTTAACAAGCGCAGAAGACCAGCAGAAGAGGCTGACGAGGCTGACGAGGTTCGGGGGCCGGTAGGCTTGCGCAGTGCTCACAGCGATCCCTTACGGGACGTCTCGAACATCATGCCAGCAGAGCCACCTTCTTCGTTGCCCTCAAAACCGCTGCTCTCCAACTCCCGCCAGATCCGTACGGCGCCGCTTCGGAAGGCCCCATCTGCGCGGCCTTCTCAACCAGACAGCGGATACATGTTTCTCTCAAGCTCACCACGGAAGCCAGACGATGCGGAGAATGAGCCTCAGCCCGATCTGGATGAGGCAGAGCAGGCGGCCGACATACCCCAGCCTCAATTCAAACCGGCTTCGACATTTCACACCACCTCACTGCAGTCCTTGCAACAGAAGCCTTTAGCTCATGGCAGGCGATATGGTGCAAAGCCTAGTATGAACGGTTGGGCGAATCGAAGTAGGAAATGATACGCTGTACATTGATAGTCATTAGTATACGTACTCGCTCAACAGCCATTAGCATAACGAACTTATACCATACATTACAAAGCCATCACTGCACAACCTCCAAACCTCACATCCCGCCCAAAACGCCTCGCTAAAGTCACACCCGTAATCAAAACACAAACAACCACCTCACCCCTCTACCGACCCCAACCACCATCCTCTTCGCAAACTTAAACACAACGACCATGAACCAAATCCACCACATCACTCCCAGCACCGCCCACTCCAGCACCTTGAACCCTGCCTGCCGAAGCAACCTAAACTGCCTCCGCCGCCTTCTCACCATCGTGTCCACCGCCTCGTCGACCCGTTTAGTCTGCTGCGGCTGCTTGGTCGTGAGTTCGACGATGAAAGCATCTGCTTCATCCGAAGCATCGTGGACGTGCGTGGTGAGTTGATCGGAAGCTTTCTGCTGCAGGGTGTCAAGCCTGGAGGCCAGGTTGCGGGCAGTAGTGGTTTGGAAGTGTGAGAGGCCGGATTCGAAGCTCGAGAAGACGGTGGTGAGGTGATCGGAGAGCAAGCGGGCGGCCTCGAGATGTTCATCTTTGATTGGTACGGTGGGGACGCCTTTGTTGGCTGTCTCGGCCGCTTGGGCCAGTTCGGCAGGCGCAGGGTTGCGAGGCTGGTTGCCGCGGCGTTGGATCTCGCGGGCTTTGATGCCGGAGCAGAGGAGCAGGGCGCGGACGCCGGCAATGTCGCGGGCGGTGATCTTGCGATTAGCGGGTTGGAGGGGCTGCGCTTGGTCATAGATGCTCCAGTGTCGCTGGCCTGGAGAGCGAGAAATCGTTCGCGCAGAGGGCATCGAGGCATCGAGACCCAGATCGCCGTAGCTTTTGCGTGGTGTGGTGTCGAATCTGATGGTCGTTGGCGGAGGTGCTGCATCCCGGGTGCTGTCTTCCTCCGGGATGTTGATGCGTGGTGGTGGGAGCTTTTGGCCTTTGCTGCTGTCGCTTTGCGAGCTCTTGGTGCGCTCAAAGGGATTCGTGTTTGCTGTAATCGGCGCCCCAGGAACCACACCACGCCTGCCCCGCGTAGACGCGAATGACGGAAGCTGGATCTTCTGGCTCGTCCTGTTTCGGTCCAGTGATGCACGGGGACTGACATCGCTGGAGTCGTTTGGAGAATCGGTACTCCTCCACCTTCCAGCAGAGCCACTTTCCCCATCCTCAAGATCAGACATGTCCGAAGCAGCTCTGTACGACTCTGCTACGCCAGTGTCCGGTCTCTCCTTGTTTCGAAATCGCTCACCACGAACCAGCGTTCCAATCCGATCTCGCCCACCCTTCAGAAATCGCCCAACAGACGAACCAGGGTCCTTAACAGAAGAGAATGTACTGTTAGTAGCACTCGTATCCAGCCGGTGCAAGCTTCCTGAGAAGCTATCGCCAGTCTTATGCCGCCTAAGATCAATAGGCCGCTCCGGGTCCTGACTTGTCTTTGGCCGCCAGCCTTCTCCACTCATAATCGGTTCAAGGTTCGTTGGAGTAGCAGCGGCAAAGTCCAGCTGATCGACCATATTCCGATCTTTGCTGCGAGACCTGAAGCCTGGTAAATTCGAACCTTGTGGTCTTGGTGCGTCAAGCGAGCGGCGACTGTCCAGTGTACCGGTCCTCTCCAGACTGCTGCTAGACGCCGACTTCTCTGGGTAAGAGGTAGAAGGTCGATGGTCCCCAACCGCAAACACATTCTGATCCGTCGAGTTGACTCTACCATCAGCAGATTTTGACCGCCTATGAAGGTCGCGCGGTACGTCGAGAGAATCCCGACCGCTGCTTCGACCCGGCGGCGAGTCCCGATACGAGTCATCCGTACTCATTCGCGGGAATTGCATGGGCTTATGATCCCAATGATCTGGCGAAACCATATCAGGAGAAGACAGCTCGCCATGCTCATCTTTCGCAATGAGATCCTGCATATGTCGTTCCAGCGGGCCAATGTTCTCGAATTTCTCTCGGCTTCGACGCCTGCCATCTGTGCTCGACATGCTGCTTTCACTAGGTGATCGAGAGAGCAATTTTCGGTTCTTCCGCTGATGCTCCCGACCGCTCGACACCAGCGGCAGCAATAGTTTGCGTCGACGCGAAGCTTTGCCAGAATCCTCAAAATCCTCACTTTCAACTCCAGCAGCCTCATGCTCATCCCTTCCGCGGTGCATCTCGACGCTGATCCTGGGTGTATCAGTACTCTTACGTCGCTCAATATCCGGGAAGATGTTGTTGCCAAATCGGTTCTCAATGTAAGCTTTGTTGTCACTTTTCTCAGTCCAGTACGTGTCAGCGAGAAGCTCAGTCGGTTCTATCGTCCAAGAGTTCTCCGGTCGAGTGATCACAGAGCCAACGGTATCAGTCCTGCGGTGGCCGGATGCGCCTTGTTGTGTGCGCCCATGGATCGTCTCATCATCACCTTCGTAGCGCGGTATTTGAGCCTCGTCCGGAGTTGCCCTGTACTGCGGGTGGTCGGTCGCCGTTTCAACATCATCGACCCATCTCTTGACACCCTCTGGATTAGCCCAGCTGTCTGGAGGAGCAGGAAAAGGCCGCTTTTCTCTTATCCTCACCCGTCGATTTCGAAGTGCCTGTATAGGATTGTACTCCCGTCCAAGAGCATGCTTCTCCTCTCCGGAGGACGTCACACGACGTATCAGAGGAAAGTTCGATCCAGGTTGATTCTTCGTCTCAAAGGTGAAGTTGCCAGGCGCAGAAGCATCAGGCTTCAGAGGCGGTAGGTGTTGTAGCAGTCTGCGATGCTCGCTAGCCAGCTCAAAGTACTTCCTCGCCTTCTCCGCCCTTGACAGCGTCGCCGGGGTGAAAGTGTACATCACATTGTCCGGTCCCGGGCTCGAAACGATAGGCAGCTCATCCGATCCTCTTCCAGCGCCGGAAGCATTCGACCTTGAACGACTATCGCTCATCTGACTCGACCTCTTCCTCGCCGCCGAACTGGCCCGTACAGTCCCATAATTCGACACCGGCATCGACACAACCCTATTCGCGGCCGGCAGCGGCACCTGCAATGAACTGCTCACATTCCTCTTCCGGCTCTCGCTCAAGCTCAACGCCATCTGTACCAGTTGCGCGGGGTCCATGCTCTGCGGTCGCGGTCGCGATGACTGTCTGTTCCTCATCCCATCAACCTCTGCGCTACCGTCCACCGACACCTCTCTCGCCAGCGGCGAGCCACGGAGTGAAGACTCTGCCGACCGCACGCTTTGAGCCTGCTGCCGTCTCTTGTCCACCCGTAGCTGCCCATCTTGAGCCTTCCTCTTCCCACGCGTGTCCTGTGGCCCCTTGGGCGACCCGTTCGCGAACACGGAGTCGAGTAGAAAGCCTCCAGACCTCCGCGCATGATGTCCCGCACTGCCTCTTGAGCTCCCCTCTCCATCTGCCCTTTGCCTTCGCTCTTCTGGCGTCACTGGATCCTCCTGATGCTGCTGCTGCTGCTGTCCCCGGCTCGAACTCCCGACACTCCTCTTCCCCGAACTCCTTGACTCCGCCATCGAGCTCGACTCGCCATGTCGTCCATTAGAGACACTCGCGAAACCAACATCCAGCGCGTTGCGTGCTGACGAATCGGCGGAGTTGATCACATTGCCGGCATCGTTGGACATGGCCTGTCCTTAGTAGTTGCTGCGTCACCGGTCTAGGAGGAAGACGTGTCGTTGCCGCTTTGACATGTTGCTCGATATGAAGGAGAGTGAGGTCGATCGAAGGAGAGTAACGTCAGGTAGAGTTCACATGTACATCCGCAGGGGTGTTTATGGTCCCTTGCTCGTGAGTGGTGGAACGCCCGATGATCGCGGTTCGTTGGCGTGAGGTTCGAGACTGAGAGCTGCACGTGTTAAAGGCTTGTGCACGTTTATTCATCATGCCTGCATCGACAGGAGATATGGCATCACATGATATACGAGCATGCTATGTAGATGTGATAGAGCGGACAACAGATCTAGTCGAAATTTCGGTGGTTTTTGTTAGTTCACTATCATGCTACTGGTCTTCATCCAAAGAGTCGACTTCTCCACGATGACAAAGACTCTACTACGGAGGCGACCAAAGCCAACAACCAGAGAGACTGCACAGAGGTGTGTGAGAGGAGATCAAATTCCCAAGACAATGCCGGTTCGCCATTATGCATTACGCTACGCGACAGCATAGTAAATTTACAAAGCCATATGGCTTGCATCGGGGAAGCCAAGGACAGTACTCGCTAGAAAGATAACATGCCCTCCCGTCAGTGACAAGGCCAGCATAAGTCATGCTTCAACCGTGCCATGTCGTGCTTTTCGTTTGATCGTGCCGCCTCCCTTCCGATCCACCTCCACCTCCACCCAACTCTCCCTTCACTTCCACTACAACTCCTCGTCTTCGCTTTCACCCTCCGTACTCCGACCGCGTAGCTGCCTCTGCAGTACGCGATGACGAGTGGTAGGGGGAATCTATGCACCCTCGTCGTCATCGCCGACGCGGATGGCGCCCTCAGAGCCAAGACCCTGGGACCAGAAGCCGCCGAGCTCGACGTTAGTCTCCGGGATGCTGGCGTGGGTGAACAGGAGCCAGGCACCGAACACTGGCTTGGCGAGGATGTCGAGCACAGCGTAGGCGATGATCTCCTCGTTGACGTCCATGTTGCGGGAGCCGTCGGCAATACCCCAGATGCTGCACGGCTGTCAGTATACAAGGAAAGATGAGGAGTGTTCGGTCATTACTCACATTGGGTAGACGGTCCAGATGATGAGCGTGAAACCACCAATGGCAGCGTAGAAGTTGGCGACCTTGCCACCCTTGGCGGAGACCGAGGCACGGCCGTGGTAAACGAGCTGCCAGATGACCACGAGGTAGGCAATGCAGGCAATGGCGTACCAGCCCCACTTCTGGGGAGTGCCCTCAGAGCCGAAGGCAGCAAAGAGACCGGTCAAGATCATGATAACATCAGCAATGATGGCGATGAGGATGGCGCCACCGCTCATGCCAGCAAGAAGGCACAGGTCGAGGAGCAAGAGCGGGGTGGTGAGAGACCAGTCGACGTAGCGGGCCCAGTAGACTTCGCGGTAGATGTCCTTCTCGGTGTCCGGAACGTGCTTGTGCTGCTCCTTGACGACGACGTGGTGGTAGCCGATGCCGTGGCCGCTGGCCATGGCGAAGTAGGACAGAGCGGCGAAGGTGACGATGAGGGTCGTGATGATGTGGTAGAGACGCTTAGACTGGTGCATGTGTTAGTAGGTGGTACAAAGCTTCGCTCGTGAAGCACTCACCATTGGCACGCTCCAGGCCATGCCGACGAAGACGATCATGGAGACCAACATGACAACGAAGACGACCCTGCATCATCGTCAGTATCGGAGTATTTAATGCAGGTGTGAAGATACGTACCATAGCGTCCGCTCGCCAGTCTCGTCGGCGGTCTGGTACTCGGGAAGAGTTGGGACCACAGTAGGCAAGCTGGTGTGCTTGGAGCTGGTGGAGTGCTTCACCGCCGTGGCGAAGGCCTCGACAGGGTCGACGATCATGATTGCGGTAGTGCTGGTGTTCTTGAGAAGGTGTTGCGGTGCGGATGTGAGTGATGAAGAGGAAGAGGTTGTGGTGATGAAGAGAGAGGAGGAATGAAAGCGTCAGTGGCAGTGAGGAGGCAGGCAGCAAGAGCTCTCAAAGCAAGCTTGAGGGAAAGCGGGGTCCAATCGTCACTCCCGCAACCAATCGACTCTTTGGACTTCAGCACTGTCTACGAAATGGGCCGTGTTGCCGCTGGCCGTAACCAGACGTGGTATAGCAGACGATGCACGCAAGATCCAGCTCCCACGCCAAGTGGTCAGCTGCGAGGTGACGATCGTGGAGGTGTGCTGCAACACTGCAAAGCTGCTTCGGCGGTACCTCTTCTCTCGTACCTACGACCTCACCTGCTGTTTATCCGGCGAGCAAAGCTGCTTCTGACTGCAAGCCAAATCTTTGCGACCCATCGGTGTAGGAAGGTATGTAGATGTTCGGGGCCAACAACGCACCGTCACTGCATCGTCATTGCACAGTGCATTCAATGGCGCCTGTGAAAACCTTGGTACCTGCATTGTCGGCCTCCACCTCCGCGCGCAGGTCCTCATCATCCGATCGCAGCACAAGCGCTCAAGGGCTGTTGAGATCGTGATAAATGATGATAAGCTGGAAACCACCAGATAACGGAGTCACGGGAGGGTTTTGCTTTTGCCTTTCTTCTTGCTGCGCTGTGTGCGCAACCGAAGGAGCGGCATCCAGCGTCCAATCTAACAACCCCGCCTCCTCTTCCTCCTCGGAGGCGGCTCGCTTGGAGCAGGCTTAACGAGCAATGGAAACCTTCATGGTTTCTTCGACCTGCCTCAATCCGAAAGGCAGACAAGCTAGACCGCCGCCTCTGAACCAAGTATACTATGGTAGGGCCGGGTGATGCTGGTCTGGCACAAAGCATCTTGCCATGGCCGTTGTGACTGGACAGGTCAATGCCAGCTTCATGCATCTTCACGACATCCTGAGGAGGTCGCCATAGCACTCCGTCTTCGTACTTCAATTCATCGGCGTGCCATCTACTCGCCCCAGGAGCCAGTGGTCCAGATGGAAAATCGGCAAGCGACCATGAGGTAGGTAGGGCATGCGCTGCTCGGTCTCGCTCATATTTCGCCTTTCGTTAAGAGGATTCTCGAGGTTGTAGGTCAACAATCTACAATCGCGCTCAACTCATGTCGCACAGTTGATGGAGGTCGTTTGCCTACATGTAGGTGATGAACATACGAAGCAAGTTGGGAATGAAGTGTGGTCCATTTACGCTTATTCTAACCTCACTTCATCACGACCTCACCTCATCTGAGCTTCACCACCTTCTCCCCTTACCAGCCCGATGACAAGTAAGCAAGCTCCAGCACAACATCAATAGGCTTGCAGTCCGGCAAGACTACAAAGAGGGTGGGCCAGAAGTGGGAAGAAGCTTTGCACTGCTCGCGGTACCGCAACGAAACACTGAGCTTCTGAGGGCTCACATTATACCTAGGTACCTGGAACTGGCGTACACTGCTGTCTCTCGCACTTCGAGCTCCTGGTGCATAATGACTTACTTGCTAAACCGCTAATACGAACGTACTGCTCAGCCCGATTTGTTTCGCTTTGATATGCGCACCTCAAGACCCTCCTGAACCACGAAGAACGTCGAATGATACTTCAAGTCTTCCTCGGGCCTCAACAGCTCGAACTCATAGTCACGGAACAGGAGGGGAAGGGTCTTGTTCATCTCCAGAAGAGCCAGGTTCTTGCCGATGCACAGATGGCTTCCGCCACCGAACTTGAAAGGTTGTCAGCTGCATACTCGTATAATGGCTTGGAAGCAAGACTCACCTGAAACATGAACCTCTCCATATTCTTCGCGTCTCCCTCCAGCCACCTCTCAGGCCGATACACCTTCGGATCTGGCCCAAACAGTTCATTCCTATGCAGCACCCAGCCATTCAGCGCAACCCTGGTCCCGCCTGTGAACCATGTGCCATCAATCTCGCAGCCCTCTGGTGGGACCAAGCGGGTGATGTTCAAGCCAACAGCCGGCCGGATACGCATGGCTTCTTTCAGACATGCTTGGAAATAAGGCAGAGCTTGCACTTCACTCCACTGTGGCATCTCAGACAGCTTGCCGGACGCCGCAGCTTCATCAATTTCTTGCTTCAGCTTGGCGTAGATGGCTGGGTTGCGCAGGACAGAGTGGCACATGGACTGCATCGTGGAGGCAGTGGAGTCGGAGCCGGCGAAGCTGGAGATGCGGTCAGTGTTCTGTTCTTCCCTCGAACATGAAAGATACTCACATAGCACCATGTGCCACGGCAAAGACATCGCCCTCCTTGAACGCATCCGGGGCCTTGTCATGCGCTGCGAACAGCTGCGACAGCAGATCCTTCCTTTCCAACTGCTTTCCCATCTTCTTCCTCTTGTCCATCTCTTGCACCGCCATTCTGGTGATCAAAAACTGCTTTGTGTCCAGCCCCGGCAGATACTTCCGTACTGGATTCCTGCGAAACGCAAAGTCCCATTCCGGGATCTGCCCGATAATGCCATCATACCACTGCATATCATCGATCGTCTTGATGGCGCCCTCAATATCATAGCCAGCCTCCAAGAAGCCGAATTTCCTCGAGAAAGCTATCTCTCCTAACACATCAAACGCATAATAATGCAAGTAATCCCCGAGATTGCAATACTGATTCTGCGTCTCACACATCTTATCAAACTTGCTCGCTAGCATCTTCTCCGTATCCTCGATATAGCTCGCCATCTGGTGCATCGTCGCCATACTGTACGGGTTGCTGGCATACCGCTTCTTAACGGCGTGCACAGCCTCGCGGGTCTCGGTGAAGATATCTGGGTTCTCTGGCGGAGGGAAGACGCCGTAGAAGTCGGTCTTGTGGAACCCTTTGCCGGCTGCGAGGACTTCGCGGGCGGCATTGGGGCTGGCCAGGGAGAGTTCGGTAGGGGCGATCCGGACGATGGGGCCGTAGCGTTCGTGGAGGGCGATGTGGTCGAGCTCGGTGTGGCCGCTGTAGGTGGACCAGACTGGAGGAGAGGTCAGTCGTGAGCTGTGGATGGGGAGGGTCGGAGAGGACTACCTTTCCATGCTCGGCTGCCAGAGGCCAGGAAGGGGCCGGGGTACTTGCGCAGCGGGGAGGAGTACTTGTAGTACAAGAAGCGGAGAATGAAGACGGCGGGTATGACAGCGAACCAGTACGTCCGCAGCGCCTTGATGAGCTGGACGACTGCGGACTCGGACGTGTCGACGTCGGGCTTGAGGACTGCCATGTTGAGATGGCTAGGCGTTGTCGTGGGTTGACCTTCACAGTTCACGGATGTAGGAAGACGAAGAAGTGCGTCGCGACAGTCTGAACACAACCTTACCTCGAGCTTACCTGACTTACATACCATTGGTTACCATCAACCACATGGCAGGACGTTGGCATCGGCAGTTGTGCAAATCATCAATCCCGCAACAGAGCCGTTCAGGTGGTGTGCCATGTTTCCAGATATGGCAACGGAAAACCACCGTCGAGCGTCTGGACGCCGATGTTTGGCTTGAGCGACGCGAAGAGGCGTCTTCGGCAGTTGCATTGGTCGTCGTGAGGTTCCTCTTGGGGTGTGGGGCGACATTGTGGAGCTGTGGGAGTTCTGGTTGCCGACGAAGGCAGAACTTTGCCAGATCTTCGGCTGATTGTCTGGCCTGGTTGTTGGGGTTCTCTACGGCAAGTGATGGCCTGGTGTTCATCATGCGTTCGTTGTGTTCGTCGTGAAACTGGGAGGGCAGGGAGGAGAGGAGATAGGAAGTGGTTGAGTGAGATTCATGAGCTGGCCAGACATTCGGCCTCAGAAGCGAGATCATACCAGTAGATCATCGTGAGGACTTGTAGAATAACTTTGTCACGGAGTGTCCTCGAAACGTTCTTGAGAGTCCGAAACTATCTTGAGGGTCGTTATTAGGGGAATTTATTGCTGAAGCAATCCAAAACGATGCAAAAACTCTCTGCCGTCAGTCGTGACGAGATACTGTCGATTTGGAGAAGGGGCATTGGAGAAGGAGCGCTGTTAAATCTACATCTCATTCAGTTGATCCTCTCCACCTTGACCAACACTCCCAATAACAATCATCAAAAGGTAAACACCACGAAGGAACACCTTGACCGAGGATCGTGCTGCGGGGACCCACAAGAAGACCGGGACAACAATATCGACGACATCGGAGACGAACGAACTCCTGCCCTGGCTCAAGCATACTAGGGTCAAACAGCAGGTCAACTTTACAAACAGCCGCAGCGTCTTTGAGACATACAACCACAACTCAACACCATGGGATCTACAGCAGGACCTCCTGATGCCACATATGGCTTCATCGGTTTGGGTGAGTACCCATGGGAAGAAGAGTTCTCCGAGACACGGACACACTGCATGTGGCGCCTTGAGACCTCTTGAACTCTTCTATTGTATTGAGGCACTTGCTGACCCTGTTACTCTTTAGGAAACATGGGGTTTGGCATGGCGAAGAACGTTCGACAAAAGATCCCCTCCTCGTCCAAAATGATTGTGTGTGAGCTCAACAAGTCGGCCCGGGATGAGTTTTGCAATACCATCGAAGGTACCCTTGAGACGGCGGAAAGCCCAAAGGAGATTGCTGAGAAATGTGTATGTATGTGTGCTGTTACAGCATCCAGACCACCAACATAGTCCCGATAATCGCAGCAACCACTGATCAAAGACCACAGGACATCATCATCTCATCTCTTCCCAACGCAAAAGCCGTAGAGATTGTCTACCTGGATCCATCCACTGGACTCCTCGCCGGCTGTTCCAAGGACTCCAAGAAACTTTTCCTCGAGACCTCGACAATCGAAGCAACAGCATCACTAGGAGTCCTCAAGAAGGTCCAAGAAGCGGTCCCGTCGGCAGAATTTCTCGATGCTCCGGTCTCAGGGGGCATCCCCCCGGCTCATGCTGGTACTCTCACGTTCATGGTTGGTGGACCTGAGGATGTCTTCGAGAAGGCGAAGCCGATTATGTCGACTATGGGCAAGGCTGAGAACTTGATTCTTTGCGGCGGGTCTGGGGCTGGTCTTGCCACGAAGCAGATTAACAATTACATTGCTTATTGCAGTTATGTTGCTTTGTGTGAAGGTGAAAACATATGCGGAAACGGATGGCTCACTGCTAACCATCGTATGTAGGCATGAATACTGGACTCAAGTTTGGGCTTGATCCCAAGACACTGAACAGTGAGTCGGCAACACCCACTTGAAGAACACTTGCGTCAACAGCTAACGCCCTTACAGACGTCATCAACGCAAGCAGCGGCCAATGCTGGAACTCGATCCACATGAACCCCGTCAAGGGCGTCTGCGCCAACTCCTCAGCATCGCGAGACTTTAAGGGCGGTTTCAAAGTCGAGCTCGCACAGGGCGTTACTCGCCAGATGACGAAGCTGATGGAGGAAGTTGGAGCGAAGTCGATGTTTGGTCCTGTCATGGACGATATCTGGGCTCGGGCGGTAGAGTCTCCGATGTGCAGGGAGCAGGAGTCGAGGAGTATTTTCAGGTTATTTGCGGAGGAGAATGGAAGTTCGTTGGGCAAAGTTAAGGTAGAGTAGAGCTACGGACGCTTGAACTGAATATTTCATCAAAGCACAGCACCGCCGTTCTGTCGCTTCCGGAAGTGCTGGGAGTAGTCGTAGTTCAGATCATTGCCAGAATTGAGGAGCTGCTTCGTAAGTTCTGGATCTGTCTCTGCCTTCTTCAATGTTATCAGAAACTCATCCTGCTCCATGACCTTCTCTGGGTCTTGATCAAAAAGCCTCCGAATGTTGCCGGTGGAGATAGGGTTGATGATGTCCCGATACTTCTGTCTCTGCACATCTGACCAGGTGGTGAGAATTTCTTGATCGGCTTCCCCTTTGTACATGCCCTCAAGACACTGGAACAAGCCTGCAATATCTGCGATGCCACCCGTCAAACCCATGCCACCGAATGGATTGCAGAGGTGAGCGGCATCAGCTGCGAGCAGCACACGATTGACTCTCATGGAGTCGACGCATCGCTGATGAACACGATATGGCGACTTATTGAGCACGCGATACTCGTCAGGCTTTGGGTTGCCGGGAAGGAATTTTTCGAACTTCATCGGCAGTCGTTCCATGAGTTCCTCGTTCGATAGACCTGGGACTTCACCATAGGAGATTCGCCAGACGTTCTTCTTCGGTTCAGGATGGGGTTCAATTCGTGCCGCCATGTAGAAGTGTTCTGGATGGATGATGAAGTTCGAGTCCTCCCAGCCAAACTGATCGAGGTCGATTTCGGTCTAAGAGATACGTCAGTCAATCATCCCTCCCATGCTGCGCTCAAGGGCGAGCAAGGAAAAGAACTCACATTCGTAGCCACGATCTGCTCCTCCCAGGAGAAGCCTGGGAAGTTACGCTTGCCGAATACCAGTTGTCGCACGGTCGAATTTCCGCCATCGGTACCGACAACATAATCGGCCGAGTACTCCTTCGTCTCCCCGTTCTCCTCGACCTGAACAGTAGCTACTTGATCTTCTGCTCCCAAGCCACTTTTGATAGCAGTAACTCTGCTTCCCCATCGGATGCTAATGTTGGCTCGTGATTTGAGCTCCCGCTCCAGCAGTCCACACATCTTGCCCACGGCGTACACGGTAATGAAATCGCCTTCCAGACCTTCCTCATGATTCGCAGTCCAGTCTAGCCCGGCCAAGCGCGTTCCATCTAGCTTTCTCCAGCAGACGTTCCAGGGAATATAGCCATCCCGTCTGATCTCAGGCAGAATGCCAACCTTCCGGAAGAGTTGGATAGCTGGAGTTCCATAATGTGTTGCTCGTGGGGCGGTGTTCAAAGTGTCAGCTGCATCCAGTATGGTTATCTCGGGTCTCGGGTCCAGGTCTGCAAGGCATAAGGCTAGAAGCAGTCCTGATGGCCCAGCGCCAACTATTACAACCGAATCGATTCCAGAAGACTGTGTTGGAGCCATTGTGGTGAGGTTGGCAGCGCGACCTCCTGTCGCGAGGCATGAGTGGCCATTTTGACAACGGTATACGGCTCATGGTCGAGCCCATCTGCCGGGCAGTTCTCAGAAGTCATTAGTTCTAGCCCCACGAAGTACCTGTGCACATGCACGCGGGGTGCGGAGTGATCGCGGGCTGAGAGGAGCTCCAGCCTCGTCCCATTCATCTTTCGGTGGCGTGTTGGATGGCGTGTCTTGAGGGGTTCATTAGCGTGCAAGTGTGGATTGAGGCTGTCACGTGCGCAAGAAGACGGAAAAACGAAACCGCGTTCCAGACGTTTCAAGACTTCGGCCTCGTTTTGATGCCAGGCAAATAGACATGAGCAGCCATCGATGTGCGATCACCACCGGCGTAGTTTCTAATACGCTGCAACAGTCTATGTACTTCAAGTCATGTTCGCATTTTGGTGCGCCGCCACCACGATCTCGCCCAACGTCAACGTCAGTCACACTGCCCTGTATGTCCAAGACTTTGCAAGAACAAATCTCAGTAGCGAATGTGAGATCCAGGTCACTGGGTCCGGGCCGTGACCTCTGCATGAGCGATATGCACGACTCCCCTGTTTGCACGACCACGGCTGCCGCTCAAACAGCCTTAGCGAAACGGGTACCTGCCTGGACGTCTAGATCGCAGAGAACGAGATTTCTTTGTTGCTGCCAACGTACGTCACAGTCAATCAGCGACAGCGGCCAGGTTTCAGACCTCGTTGGTATGTTGATCCAGCGAGTGTTGGCTGAGCGAATCTGGAACTGGCCACCACGGAGATGAAGACTGGGGTGATGTGCTGGAGCGAGCTGTCCACAGACATTGGGCAGGGCGACACCCATCGGTCGGTAGGGTGCATGCCGCAGCTCGAACGCAGCTTGCAGACCCCTCTGTTGATGCGTCTTGTCGGACAGACCGTGCCTGACGTCAAGCAGTCATCTAAACTGCGCCTGATTTCTTCCTTCTAGCACTCTCGAGCCAACTCCACTCAGGGTCCTGGATTTTCTCCAGCAAGCATTCTTCAGCCATTGTCAGCCCCGCAGGTTGACATGCTGGCCCAGGAGATGATCGGACGGCAACCTGCAGCTGTTGATGGCAACGGCGAATGCTTAATCCACCGGCACAGGCCGAACGAACACTTCAACTCCACATCGCCAGCCAGTCCTTCACGCCAACTCAGTACCGACAGCGGTAGCCGTTGATGAGTATTACCGACAGCCCACGGCTCCCATGCTAGAGCAGACCGGGGAATAACCACCCTCCCGCTTTGACACCCGCACGCCGCCCCATGGAGGCTAGAGCTCATGGTCGGTAGGCCGTGCCGAAGTGACTTCTGATCTCCTGGGAGCGTTCGTTCTTTGAAGTTCAAACACGCTCGTTCGGTAGAGGTGTGGCAAGGTGAGACACATATTAGAGACCGACGAGCGCCGCTCAGTGGAAGAGGCTCACTCCTGTCTGTCTTGTAATATTCGCATTGGTGGTGGCTTGCTTCTTCGAATCGTTGCTCTTCCTTTGTTACTGGTGGCTACAACCGTCGTTCTTGCTTGCGTCATATCCTAATACAATCGTTTCGATCCTGCACATATCGGTCAATATCTGGGCGGTGTGTCTTGCTGCGTATGCACCTCCTGCATACCTCTGCATCTCATCTTCACCACTCAGGGCTCTGCTGCGGTCAAGCTGTTGATACTCCATCTTGTAAGTGCTACGGCTTCATGTACATGTCGAACAAAGCTGAGGATGGCAAGGGATCTTTCACCAGCCCCTCAAGGCTTGATTGAGACCGAGACACTCTTGTCCATAGTCCACCTTGGACGAGCTGCGGGTTCTCCAGGTCTCATTGATCCATACACCGCCCCCAGGGAACCCCCAGGAACTACTGCTTCGCTCCGCAAAGTTCGCGTCATCGAGCATTGCATTACAGTCGGTCTGGACGCACGCTGGCCTGCTCGCGATGTGGCCTTCAACAATGTCGGTGAATGGACGGAGAGTGAATTTGGAAAGCTCGTTCCCATCTTTCCTTCAAGCGCAAGTGAATGGGCAACCGACCGTCTTCTTCAACCCGCATCAAGGCTTCGTCCATCATCGATTTGCACCACGTCGAGCAACAACTCCACGCATCTTCACCATGGACGATCGCGCCGGTTCACCTGCTGCGTCCGCAGTCTTTCGTCCGCACGGCAGCGAGGCTGACCTCTTCGACCACCCGCACTACACACACCATCCGCTTCGCCACGCATCCGCATCGACATCCTTCAGCAGTGACGCCAGCGTCGATCCTCGTAACATCTTCCACCACGATCAATACCTCTCCAGCATCCAGATGGGCGCTGAACCTCATCAAACAACGGCAGTGTCGAATGTACCGGCGTACTATCCGTTCCGGTCATCAGAGCTGTCAACCTCCACGCTCACCATCCCTCCCGGCCCAATCAAGATTGACACGAGTCCACCTCTTTCAACACCAACAGTTCTTCCAATCGAAGTCGATGTCACCAAGTACGAGCCGCTGGAGTACGAAGAGTGGCTGAGGACACCGACAGAGTACACCGGCTCGCCACCAGACACTGCAACCTCCCCCACGGATGAGACTCCAGGCACGCCACCAGATTTCGCCATCGCCCCAGACTGGCGTCGGGGATCAGCGTGCAGCACGACCGACGAGCATGTTCTCCACGCTTTCACTCCGAATCCTTTCCAAGCGGCGTTGGAGAAGAACATCCGCGGTCGCCGCCTGTCGTATCCCGACCACTACCAGTTCTTCCCACAGCCTCTGGACTCTTACAGCCTGTCTGCTGGTCCCATCCCAACAACAAACTGGAGCATGCCACCAGCGTACACGGAGAACCACATCAACTTCAACCGTCTTACGGAGCTGTCGGCCAGCGCATCACCGCAAGACATCGAGCGCCCTCTGACCAGTCTTTCCGTGAGCTCAGCATCCACCAGGCCTGCCGCTGAAGAAGACGACGACCACGACCAAGATGGTCCGTCCGCACAACCACCCACCCAACAGTCAAGCGACTACAACGAGCGCAACGACCTCCTCCTCGACCTCCGCAACAAAGGCCACTCGTACAAGGAGATCAAGCGCCTCGGCCGCTTCCGCGAAGCAGAGTCCACCCTCCGTGGCCGTTTCCGCATGCTGACGAAGGAGAAGTGGGAGCGGGTGCGGAAGCCGCAGTGGAAGGGCGCGGATATTGCTTTGCTTCGGAGGGCTGTCAAACACTTCCGGCAAGATGGTGTTGAGTCTTCGAGGAACCGCAGGGCGGCAAAGAAGATGCCGTGGAAGAAGATTGGAGAGTGGATGCAGGAGCATGGGAGCAGTTATACTTTTGCGCCGGCGACGTGTGCGAAGAAGTGGGATGAGATTGCTGCTTGATGGCAGGTTGATGGAGGTAGTGTTGGTGTTGTCTGTCTGCATTGCATTCGCTGGTTGGGCGCATTGTCGGTACGGATTGGTTGACTTCTGCATAGCGAGGGCAGGAGCATCATGAGTGTCGTCGTTGTATCAGCTGTGCTGGCTCAGACAGGAATCAGTATGAGGGACTGCTTAATGTACAATAGCATGAATGTTGGTACCAGCTGGTAATGGCTTTACCTACGTCTACCACCATTTCTCACACAAGACACGTTCTTTAGCCATGCCATCCTGCCGCGAGATGAACTCGACAGACTCATCCGTCATTCTGGGCACTCCGCAGACGTAGCACAAGGTGTTTGATCGACCAGCCTTGTCATCTGCATACCCGTCTATCGCCCGTACAAGCTCCGACTGGGTGATTCTGCCGGCGTATGTCTTGTTCGGGAGGCGACCATGTTCAATACGTCCTTCGTCTCCAGTACCGGTCAGAAACAACCGAAGCGTGACATTTCTATCATCAGCGGCTGCTATCAAATCCGTGAGCCGAGATAAGAACAAAATTCGCTGTGGATCTAGTTCTGATTCTGCTTTGGTCCCGTAGATGAAATGGATCTCCTTTGGCCGCGAAGCAGATCTAATGAGCTGTCCGAAAATCGAGATGAGAGGATTGATTCCTACGCCTCCCGCAATGAGGACCAAACGATTGATCCGACCGGTGTCCAGTTGTGGAGGAGGCCAAGTGAAGCTGCCACCCACTCTCACAACGATTTGCTTGCCCATGATGGCCTCACTGGGCTGCCACAGCCATTGTGCTGGAGGATTGGTACTCTTCTGGACTGCGAGCTCGATATGGCCTGGGTGGCCGCCGCTGGGTCTTGCCTCGCTTGGTGTTGACGTGATTGTGAAGCCTCCGGCCTTTGGAAGGCCTGGGATGAAGGTGTCCAGCCACTGCCCAGGTAAGAACTTTACTGCCGATGCATCAGCGCAATGTTGACTGTCGGTCTGGAGTTATGAGCGAGACGGACTTTTACTGTACGAGTAGGATCGACTGAGGTCAGTCTGAGCAGTCGTATTGTGTCGTTGACCTGTCGGATATTGGAAAGAAGGACTGGTTCAAGGTTGCTTTCTCGAGGTTCTGCTGCCGTCCTGTCCTCATGAGGAAGGGAAGATCGCACTGTGGCCATCTGTCTACTACTAGACAGCGCAAATGGAATGGAACGGAAGGGGATGCAACTTGCTCTACAGCGTAGCAACATGGAGAAAGCTTCAACGAGATATTGTAAGTGTTAAGGAATTGTTGACGTTGACGTCGTCCACGGCTGGCCTCGAAGTCTCATCAGCCTTGGCCAAAAGGCGCCACTTGCTTTCCTTTCGTTACAATTGCACCTCATCTCCTTATCTTAATCATAACGCGTTTGGGTGACTGTTGACGCTCATGTCAACGGTAGCCATCTGGACATCTGCACCGCTTGTCCTCCAATGTATACAAGGTAAGACAGGAGCACGACCGCCAGGGCGGCTTCGCCAGCCCCGATGCAGGTACAACACAGCCTCACTTAGGCGACGAGGCATTGCTGCGTCCGAGTCGAATGGAGAGACGTCTAACATCTCCTCAATTTCTTACTCCTCAGCTTTCTTTTTCCAGTCCTTTTGTCCCTGTAGAGGGTATCGCAATAGCTTTTGGGCCAAATGTGCGCATCCGAACTCAGGATGGAACCAGCGATCTCACGAGTCAACTCCTGGTCGACCAACAGAACACTGGTTGGCAGCGATGGCGGTAAGGACTCGCACCTCTACAAATCCATGGAGGGTACTGCCGGTCAGCTACCCATCATACAGACTCCAGACATGAGGCAATGGCTTGACGTCAGCACACTCCCACTCTCTGGAAAGCTGCTCGAGGAGCTTCTGCGCCTACACGGTCCTCCTGACAACAAGATCGAATCTCGCGGAAACTTGGCTAAAAAGGCGAGCAAGTTTAAAGCCTGGCTCCGACAGACCAAAACGGGAGCAGATGTCCGCTTTCGCAGCAATATTGACAATGCCCGAGAAAAAGTGATCGACTATCACATCGAATCCTACCCTGACCCCAAAGCACGTGATGAAAACGGACCGGCAATAGCGGAGCTTGATGGTATCGAGATCCAGGGAGTCGCAGAACTTGCGGAGCCTGTACCAGAGCTGTTCGACACTTCTGCGCCATCGGAATTGGTTGTAGCTGCAGACACTCGCAGAGCATCCGCAGATGAGAGTCACGACGAGCCGCTACCGAGATACGAGCCACGAAGGGACCCGTCAACGGTCTCCACGTCGAGCAGCAGGGTGGAAGGTGTCTTAGTACCAAGGCCTTCTGTGGGCGTGCATCAGCCTTCGTCTCCATCGACTACTACGGCACGAGGGTCAGACGCCTCCCCAACAAGCGATCACGCAAGCAGCGCTGGTCTCGATGCACGCAATACAGCGCCCGGCCAAGCTTCCGGCGCCGTGCAGCAACCTGGTGAGCATGGTAATCCTCCGAGGCCACTGATAGACCTGCTGGATTCAGCGGACCGCCAATCTCAGGAGGGGCAAAAGCTCTCAGATAACTTACAAGATATACTGGCAGCTATTCATAACCACCTGGCGAACAACAAAGCCCCATCGGACGACAAAGTTCCTGACGGCGGCGGTCGGTTCCGTGTGATGAGTACTGAATCGTACGAAACGGACACAGATGCAGAGCCGCGTATTGTTCGCAGAGCGACCGTGGCCAGGTCGAAAGGCAGGAAATCAGCCATTACCTCACCAAGACGTAAGAGGAGTGCCTCTACTGCTATCTCTCCATTGTCATTCCAATCATCCATCAGACTCGACGATGACGAGCAACCCAATCAAGAGTTGTTTCGAAAGCAGACACTGCCGAAACGTCTACCTGCGAGCGCTGGTGCCGAAGCGATATGGCAGTCTTTACTTCGCATGCAGGCCAAGATCCTGGGACCGGAACACCCGATGACATACCAGGCGAAATCTGACCTGGCTCATAGTAGGACCAGCAGTCATGGCAGCGGCTTCCAAAATCTCTCTGCTCTACAAGCGAGCAGAGAACTTGCTGTGCAGACGTTAGGCATGGTACATCCATGGGTTGCGGCGTTCTGCGAAGAGCTTGAAAAGTTGGAAACGCTGACAGCTGGCAAGATTGAAGGCGACACGTCAACTGCTGGCCAAGAGGAATCTACAGTAGTTGCCCATCGAGGAGAAGGAACTCACATGGTGCCACACACCAATGACGAAAACGGAGAAAGGATCGTCCCAGCCGGCAGAACAATCATTCAGGAAGTCCAGTCCTCCAATGACCCAGTGAATGCCGGAGTCGAGCCGTTCAATACCCCAGTGCATGCCAAAGTCGAGCTGCCAAAGATCAACCCAAACGTTCCACCTCCCCAGCAAGAACATTCGCCCTTGTCACGATCTACAAACCTCGATGGCCTCTGGAACGTTCAACATCAGCCGCATCGCCCCAGAAGCACCTACAAAGCGTTTTCGGGCTACGTTTTCGAAGGCCTCACGAACAGCGCACTTAACTCAGTAAAGTGGCTGCAACGCAACTACGGCCCCGAACGACCAGTGGAGCCGGGCAAAGAGCGGGTACGATGGACTTGTGCTTGTGGCGAGGAATTGCATGATGACTTCGTCGAAACGCGGCAGGGAGCAGCTCGCGAACTCCAAGCATATCTTAATCGTCCACAGACACGGACTGGCGGCGGCAATAGCCCCACGAGCCCTTCGAGCTCAAATGGTACTGGCAGCTTCATGGGCAGTTCGGTAGGTGGGACACTTTCGTCGACCACCTCGCGGTCAAGCTATGGCTCGCAAGTTCCCAGCTTTACGGGAAGTAGCGATAGTACTAAGCCTCCGCAAAACGCACCTGGGGTAAGCCAACGCAAGCGAGAACTCCCCCAAGGCTCACGCTGACAAAGACTCCAACTTAGCCATACTTATACCCCGGCTACACGCCGCTGGCAGACCCACCATGGCTTCTCGTTTGCGCCAACGAAGACCGCCACACGCCCAAGCTCGCCCATCTCGACATGGGCCCACAGATCAGATCCGACAAAGACCTCGCTCTCTCACTTCGAGACCACTACTTCCAAGTCAACGGGAATTGGTGGCGCTCCCTCCGAATACGAGGCTTGACCACGATCGAATTTGTCCAATTTGAGGTGCACCAGAATCGCTTCGCAGACATAAGAAAGTGCCCAGACGTCCCCCCTGTGTCCACCGGCGACTACAGCTTTGAGCCTGGAGATTTGCTGCCGCCGGTTGGGAGCACTTATTTGCTGCACTTGTTCAAGCACCCTGGAGACTACGATGGCGAACGCATCACCTATCTGCGATCACCGAAGAGGAACGGGCGGCTACAGTGCGGTGTAGGCTGGGGCATTAACATGGTCGAGGGGTTCCTTCCGGATAGAGTCTGGATGGTTATTAGGTTCGTTGGAACATGACGTCGGACTTGACTAGAACGCTGACTGGTACCATGCAGCTCCCTCTTTACACTTGGAAGCCTCGCTTTCATGATCGCCTGGGCAGCCATCAAACACGATGTGCAGGGTGCTTCTGGTGTTGCCGCGTGGATAGTAACGATCTGTATGCTGGCAGTCGGCTGGATTCAGGCGCTGCTGGGATGAACGCTCGTTGCTTGGAGGCTGCTTTCGAGTTCGGCATCTGCTATGGTTCCGCGGCACGCGAAGCAGTCTGCGCTGCAATGCAAAAAGACTCTTACTCATAAGGATACAGCTGAGGCTGACGGTTGAACTGAAGTCGGATAAATAGAGCTCGAGCTCGTCTCCGACCTCGCTGCTTTCAAAGTTGGCCTTCCACCACTGTGTCATTCGACAGATTGATCACAACCAAGAGACACCATGGCGTCCCCGTTAGCAACATGTGGCATCCTATCGATTGGTGATATGGGACTTGGTATCGGTCGACTCCTGATAGCAAACAACTTTCGAGTCATCACGAATGCTTCAGACAGAAGGCAAGTCCATCGCCATCCTGAGACCTGAACGAATCCTGATAGACTCATAGCCAAGCAACTCAAAATCGAGCAAAAGACAACAACATTTCCCTGGTCCCCAATGACACCGACCTAGCGAACCGCAGCGACTACATCATCTCCATCGTCCCACCCCGAGACGCCATCGCCACCGCCCAACGCATCATCGATGTCTCATCTTCTGGCTCCCTAACCCAACGCAGCAACCCTCTCTACTACCTCGACCTCAACGCCACGAGCCCCAAAACAGCCCGCCACATCGCCTCCGTCTTCTCCACCTCCGCCCCTCATATCCGCTACATCGACGGCGGCATCATCGGCGCCCCTCCCTCTCCACGCAATGACGCTGCAAACACCTGGTACCGCCCCAGCATCCCCCTCTCCGGTCCCCACCCCCTCGCAGAAGCCAGCCCATCCGGCGCCCACCTCGCCTCGGTCCTCAACGTCAAACACATAAACCCCACCATCGGCTCTGCCACCGGCCTAAAAATGTGCTTCGCCTCCCTCTCCAAGGGCTACACAGCCTTGGCAATCCAATCCTTCACCACCGCCTCCAACCTCTCCGTCCTCCCTCAACTCAAAGAAGCCATGGCCGAGTTCAACCCCGCCGGTCTGCAGAGCGCGGAGAGAGGCCTGCCGAGTATGTGTCCGAAGGCTTATAGGTGGGTGCACGAGATGCGGGAGATTGCGGAGACGTTTGAGGCGGATGGAGGGTTTGAGGCGGGGGAGAGTAGTTTTAGGAGTATTGCTGAGGTGTATGAGTTGGTGGCGAATGGGACGGTGTTGGGGGAGGAGAAGGTGGGGAGTAGGGTTAGGGGGACGACGGCGGAGGAGGTGGCGCGGTTGGTTGGGGCGGGGACGGCGAGGAGGAAGGAGAAAGTTGAGTGAAGGCGGAGTGGAAGTGACAAGGTCTCGTGGGTTTAGACGAGGCCCTCGAATGCTCGTATGATGGCCGCGGATACGACGCTGTAGGTTACGATGCGGTTGTGTCCTGCAGATCGGAGTCAGATGTCACTGCTAAACAGCAGAAAAGGAAGTCTTCCTACCTCCGTATCCAAAAATCTCGAACCTCAACCCTGGCCGTCCTTCTCCCGACACCGAGTAGACGGCCTCCCCGCTACTGCCGTTGATACATTTCTCCCCCTCTCCAAGCACATTTCGACAGATCATTTCGGTCTGGCGATACGTGATATCCATGTCGTTGAAGCCGTGGATGATCTGCAGGGAGCCCATGCTGTATCCTTCTGGCGCTGTCAGCAGCTCCGGCCGGGAAATAAGCGCATCGTAGTAGGCTCGTAAACGATCCTCAGTAGGCCACTTGTCGACCATATTATCCGTCAGCATCTTCGCCAACGCCGGGAATGGCCGCAGTGGAAGAAGCAGAGGGATGAGGCCTCCCATGCGGTAGGTCAACATCAGCGAGGGAAGATTGGCGAATGGTGCTACAAGCACGATGCCTGCGAACACCGTTGATCGATCGATCAGATCTCTACTGGCGAGCAACGACGCTTCGTCTGCTCCTCCAAGACGGCCGGGATGTAGCGCATTTTTTGGGTCAAGGAACTCCAAGCCCACGGCGCTTGCTACAGCAGTTCCGAGGCTCTGACCCATGAGGACAATCTGTTCCGGAGGTATGTAAGCAACGTGTAAAACCCAGTTGACCAGAGCCACGCCGTCGGTGATCAGGCCGGCTTCTGTCGGTGAGCCTGTGCTATGGCCGAAACCACGGTAGTCCACGGTGATGACATGTGTGTGCGGTAGCGTTGTTAGCTGGCGGATGGTGTCTGTACGCCAGCCTTGGGCGACGTGGCCGGCGTTACCATGGACTTCTAGGATAGGGTCTGGTTAGCCGTGATGGAGGAGTTGGTAGGCAGGGACGGACGTACAACTAACCACCACTCTAGCCTGTGGATCATTTATCAAGAGGTCTAGCGGAGTGGCGGAGTCTTCGTCGCCTGGCGGCAGCTTGAGGTTCTTCTCGTGCCGCGTGTAGACATCGATGGGAAGGACATGCCATGCATGCAGTACTTCGCGGTCAGGAGTCGAGATGTTGAATGGCTGGACTTGGTTCTCGCAAAACCCGAACTCTTCGGGGTTGTTGATGTCGTGATAGAAGAGGGTGTTGATCTTGTTGGCATATAAGGCGCTATGGCACATGATCAGGAGAAGCGTCGAGACAAGATGGAATGAGATGGCTCACAATCGTTGCAAGCGAGGTGTCATCAGCGCACCAAGAATCAAGCCATACACTCCAACGAGTGCCGCCAGCGCTATGGCAGCCTTGCCGATGGCGTTGGCCATCTTGATGATGTTGGAGAACAGATGGCAGCAGATGATCTGGTGGAGTTTGACGTGAGCATGTGAAAGCGATCTGATTGGCCAGACCGATCTGGCGGGCCTTGCACTTCCACCTTTCTGAACATCTGCATCCTTCCTTTCCCAAACATGACGATACTACGATAACACAAAATCCATTCACCGAGATGGCGCAAGCAACATCACCCACTGCAGGCCAGAAGCGCGGTCCTGGACGACCAACGAAGGCTGCGCAGCCAGCGCTCAAGAAGGCCAGGACATCTACACCTCTGTCGTCTACCGTGCAGTCGCCGACAGCAGAATCACCAACATCCGACAAGCGCTCCAACAAGTTGCCGTCCAAGATATCCGAGACGCGCCCCCTCCCAACCCTCCCCGAAGCGCAACCGCCCAACCTCTCCACCACCGACTACCAGAGCATTGCATCCTCCGCCGTCCTCGAGACCTCCCTCCACCGCTCCCGCCTGAAATGGATCAACGAAGGCATCTTCGAGCGCTACTGGGTCAAGCCGGAGTCAGGAAAGCATGCGCGGCCTCCACCACCCAACAATCCCGAGCTCAAGTGGCAGAAGCACAAAGGTCCGTGTAGGATACGTATCGAGCCGCACATCTTCGAGGTCGAGATTTACGTGGAAGAGAAGCCGAAGCCGGCGCCTGTGAAGCAGTATGCGCCGCCGCAGACGAGTGCGTATGGGCAGCCCTACAGACCGACGCCGCAGCAGACGTATGGAGGGCAGCAGAACCAGTACTATCAGAATCGGCCGCTGCCACCTGTACAGCAGACGATGGCGCAGGGAGCTGTTACTACTAACGCGACGTCTCCAGCTCCAAGTATGACAAACAGTCCACAGCCTCAAGCCGTAGCGAGAACACAGCAGACCCCGGCATCCGCGTCACCACAACCCGGACAAGGTGACAAAAAGACCTCGGACCCCGTCATTGGCATGCTAGCGACTCGAGCCTCCACCGATCCGGAACTGAAAGCGCTAATGAAAGAAGTAGCAACCGGGCAAGCTACCCAAGCACAGCTCGAGGTCTTCCAGAAACACATCAACGACTTGAACAAAAGCATCGCGGACAAGAAGAAGAAGGACGAAGAGGCTGAAGCTGCGGCGCAGGCGGCTAAAGAGCGCGAGGCACAGAACGAGATGATCCAGTACGACGGCTCGAACGATCGGCCACCGCAGCCCCAACAACCGCCTGTCCAGCAACCCTTCCAGCCCTACCAACAACCAACCTACGCAACCCCACCCCGCCCCGAACCCACCACCCAACCCGTCATCCTCGCCTTCACCACCCCCGGCGCAACGGAAGACCGCTTCCTCTTCCCCCAACACGCGATCCTCGAGTCCCTCTCCCCGCAACACCTCCTCGCCAGCTTCATCGTCACTCGCAAAGGCTCCGCCGCCGCCGACGCCGCGCTCTTCGAGCCCGGGGTGGAGTACTGGCAGCCCGTCACGCTGATGGTGGAGGTGGCGTATAACCGCGAACACCTGATCGAGTGCGTGAAGAAGTGGGTGAAGCCGAAGGAGGAGGTGAGGCGGTGGATGGAGGGGGTAATGGGACGGTGTAGGCGGGTACCGGAGGGGTGGTTGGCGCTGCGGTTGCCGGTTAAGGGGGGCAAGGAGGAGGCGGTTGGGGAGGAAGTGGAGGAGGTTGTGCCGTCGGTGGTGGAGAAGAGGAAGGGGATGAATGTTAAGTTTGTCAAAAAGGCGCCGGTGAAGAAGGATGAGATCGCTAAAGGGAAAGGCGAGGGTGCTAGTGGGGGGGCTGTTAAGGATGCTGCGCCGCCAGTGGAGGGGAAGGGGAAGGATGGTGCGGGTGTAAAGGAGGGTGAAGACGGCAAGGCGGATGTGCAGGAGACTACGGAGAGTGGGCGGCCGAGGAGGGCTGTGAGGAAGAGTGTTAGGATTAGTGAGGGATAGTCTTCTCAAATTTTGAAGCTCTGTCACATGCTCGTACCTATTCGTTGCTGCAGTGCTGTACTTGCCCTCTGAAGGCTGTGAACGTGCAATCCTCGCGCGCAAAGCCCAAAAATTCCCCAGCCAACTTGCACGTTTCCACGCTTATAATTTTCCGTGCTTCTCGAATATGATCTGCTGTATAGGTATTCGGATGTGCCCGGCATTAGCTCGGCGTCGTCTCGGCACAAAAGACGGTTGGTAGATAATGCATATTTCAAATTCCTCCTTCCATAAGTCCAGTTCTCTGGCTATTCCAACCGTTCAAACTCGGCCGTGTGGCCCAATGGCAAGGCGCTTGACTACGAATCAAGAGATTCCAGGTTCGACCCCTGGCACGGTCAGAGAAAAGGTTGCATTACATCTTTTTGTTCGATTTTTGATCAAACGGGCAGTTAAAAATTGAGGAAATGTCTTTTTGGTTGAGCAAAAGGGGCAGAGACGTAAGTGGCACACAAGATGATAAACGCGGCTGGCCACCAGCTTGGTCCCTTCGTTTTACTGTTCGTTCGAGGTATACTTTGATACTGTTGTAGCATGTTGTACATTATTTGTTCGAGATTGAACGGAATGGGATAGCAATCTTGGCGAAAATTGACCAGAAGGTGTTTCAATTGAGCAGAAGACTCCTTGCAATTGATTGAATACCTTGGGTAGGTGTTAAGGTTTAAGATGTTCAAACAGGACTCTTGATCTTGGAGATATACCGTTATTAAAAGTAGAAAGAAAATTTACCTGCAAGTGTAGTATCTTCACCTCTCCAGACCGTGGGCGTCTTTGCTCCGTTAGCTACCTCCAACCAAGCGAGATGGTTATCTTGCGTTGCACAGCAGGATCCCCGGTCAGATCTTGTGCTCGAAGGCCATTGATGCCCTTCCTCGTAGACGTTGCTAAGAGATCCAGATGGTAGCTCCTCTCCTCCTCCAAGATACCAAGACCATCCCAGAGGATCAGCGGCGGCCATGATTCGAGCTTCGCCTTCGCGGGATGCAGAGAAGGCTTCCCCGCGATAAGGAGTTGGAAGTGCTGCTTTGCGGAGTTGGCTCGACGGCGCGTCTTTTTCTAAGACCTTTTGCTAGTCCTCCCATGCCAGTAAATGAACTAGCGAGACTAGCAGATAGCTTGCGCCATCAGAATGACGCGAGAAGAAGGTGGTTGTGGGCAGCGGACAGTCATCTGCTTGTGGCAGGCGTCGGAGCAGATGCATGTCAGAGGAACGATCGACGCGGCGGCGTTCAGAATGGGAAGGATGTCCGGTGACTGCCGCGAGGGCGGCGGTTGAAGGTTGTGCTACTATCATGGCTTGGGGTGGTGTAAGTATCCGTTTGTAGAGAGTATTGTGTCCGCCAATGTGTTGGAACTTGTTTCTAGCACTCTAGTCCAACGTGAGGTCGAGATATGAACTCCGTAAGAAGGGTGTTTCACTGTGAAAGCAAGTGCTGGTCCGAGCTGTTGCGCTAGAAGCCGCGAGGAAGGCGCCATCTCAGGCGAAGATCTTCTGTACTGTTTCTCCTCCTCTCCCTCACTAACCACATGCACTCCACGATCAGCGCCCTCACTCCACCGTAGACCAAGCCTCAGAGACTTTAAGCAGCGAAGACGCAGCGTGGCCAAGCAAAATCAGGATCGCGCCTTCCACGACCCGCAGCATTCCACAGGGAGATTGCACCTCCGCGACCCAACCTGACCCCGGCGCATTCTGCTCTGCACCCTCGACAACATCGCCACAGGACCGAAATCAGACTGCAGATGCTTAGCGACACACACCCCAACATACCACACGACTGATCCCCTCACCCCCGAATGCAGCGCCGACGGCGCATCTCACCCGGCCTCTGCCATTGTACCATCACCTGAGCCGCGGCACGTCAAAGTGGATTGGAACACGTACCGCGCACGAGGGCAGGACTGCCCGACAGGCGCACCCACCCGCCTAGCCGATGGAAGAGCACGCGCATGAGAGCTGCAACATTGTCTACTTTTGCGCCAGTGGGAAGGAGGATGTCTACGAGCTATATCATAAGCGGAGTCCGCCCGATGTCCCGCCAGAAGGTGACGAAGGGGCGGAAACGCTGCAGCAGGCATATCACAATGTGCGCGCGCTGCTAGACGAGGATCAGGGCGGCTTTGACGAAGGTAGGGAGATCCTGCTATGCTATGGGTGAGGTGAGGTCGCTGACTGGATGTAGTGTTTCTATGTTCTTCGATCAAGCAGTGCTCGGAGCGACTCGAAATCTATGCGAATAGCTCACCGACTGTTGTGCTGATCGAGTTGCACTCTTCTCCGAGCGCACAAGACGAATCCAATCTGACCCTGGACAAGCAATCCAGCTCATATGCTTTACTCACCACTTTGGGAACAGACATCCAAGGAGCGCGTTATCAGCGACCAGTCCTACCATTCATACTCGTGATTTCTGGAAGACCACCTCACGGTGATGGAACCCTGGAGAGCAGCCTGACGGCAGATCTTCTTAGTGCCGGCGCCAAAGATGTGATCCAGAGCCCGCTGCAGCATGAAGATATCAACCACTTGATAGGCCATCTCAAGGAGAAAGTGCGCGCTCCTGTACGATTGATCGCGTCCCAGATGGCGCACAACCTCGTGGATAGCATTCATGATTGCTCCGAGCCACGGATCGCAGAGCATCGTCCGGATTTGAATCTTCCACAGGAAAGAAAGACAGCCGTCGAAGAAACCGTTGGAAAGTGGCATTTTCCAGCCTCGGACTTCAATATGGATGAGCTCACCTACGCGGCCATGTTCATGCTCGAGCACCTGCTGCGGGCACCGGAGTTGGAGTTTTATGCTCTGCCGAGAGATAAGCTGATGAGTTTTCTGCTGGCAACCAGGCGGCAGTACAAGCACGAACGGGAGGTCTACTACCACAACTGGAGGCATGCCGTGGACGTCACTCAGTCAATGTACTGTTTCCTGCTGGATGTGCGGCTGTGCACACCTCAAAATTCCGATGAAGGGCCACAAAAGGAGCTCAATGCCTTGGAGCGGATGGTGACGCATTTGGACGGCCTTATACTGCTGGTTTCTGGGATTGGCCATGACGTTGGACATCCAGGCGTCAACAATGCTTTCCTCGTGGCGGCTAACCATCCCTTGGCTCAGACATACAACGACAAGTCTGTTCTCGAGAACTACCACTGCGCCGCATATTCACAGCTTCTTCGCCGGCATTGGCCAGCCTTGCATAATATCACCGGGTTCCGGTCAACAATGATCTCCACGATCCTGGCGACGGACATGCAGCGGCATTTCGACTACATGAAAAGTCTGAACGAATTGAAGTCGAAGACAGAGAGCGCTGATGCCGACGTTGAAAGCTGGAACGACAAGGACAAGGAGCACACGCGGGAGCTGATCATGGCCCTCTTGATGAAAGCAGCGGACATCTCCAACGTCGCACGACCATTCGACGTCTCATCAAGCTGGGCTAAGATTCTGATGAACGAGTTTGCTCGGCAAGGCGAGCTGGAGAACGAGCTCGAGATTCCTACCTGTCTCTTTGGCGGACCTCCGGACACTGAAGACATTCTGGCGGCAGCACAGAGTCAGAAAGGCTTCATGAGCCTGTTCGGCTACCCACTTTTCCAAGGCATTGCGGACATCCTGCCCTGCATCTCCTGCGCGGTCAAAGAGATACAGAAGAACCAGGAGATTTGGGACAAGAAGATCGAGGAAGAGAAGGAGCGGCGAAAGCCCCGCGGCAACGAAGGCCACCTCACCTTCAGCTCTGTTACCAACAAGGAAGTTGAGGAGGCGAATTCGCATCACAAGTCCGATCCTTCCGCCGTTCCGAACAGCGTGCCGCAGTCACCTTTGAAAGACCTCAGTCGCGCTGCAACGCCCAACACGGATACTTCTCCATCGAAACACGGAGCGCAAGGTCTAAGGCAGCAGCTTGTGCATGGCATAGCACCAGAGGACGACCACAAACGGGCTTCCGCACCATTCCTAGGCGCTAATGGCCCACCTCTCTCACCTCAAGGCGGCGCCTCGCGGCGATCCAGCAAGGACGTCGCTCTGGATCAAATGCAGCAACTGACGGCCTTTGCCCATCAAAGTCTAAGTCCGACACCGAGCTCACGTAGAGGGTCTGCAGACGCAGGCCTCCAGATACAACAGAGCTATCCCAGCTCACGGCGAGGCAGCAAGGACGAAAGCTTGACGACGATCTTGGTCACTAAGGGCGGCACACCTAACAGGCGCAGCTCGCCATCTCTACCATCAAGCAAGACGACCTCACCCAACAAACAGTTAGCAAAGCGCAACAGTATCCAACAGACCCAGAAACAAGCCGCGCGCGCCTCAGTCCCCTCCGCCCGCTCCCATGCCGCCAGCACCGGAACAGCAACAACCACCCAACCCTCCCTCTCCACGGACGCCTCGACCCAACCTTCCTCGGAAGAAGGCGACCGCGACCCAAAACCCCTCTCCCACCACGCCTCCATCCCCTCAACCGAAGACCCCTTCATGGTCCCAGGCACCTGGCCCAACAACCTTGACGGCCAACATCGCGCTTCCCCGCCTGCAGGCGAGTTGCCGAATACGCCGCCCACGCCGCCTTCGATGGCCATGTCGCGGACGACTTCGCCGAGGGATTTTCTGAGGCAGTCGCCCAGTGCGGATACGGATGCGAGTCGGGGAACGCAGAGGAAGGTCGATGGGAAAGGGGTGCGGGAGAGTCGCAGTCGAAGTCGTTTGAGGGGGTTGAAGTTTTGGAAGAGGAGGAAGGGGGGCAGTGAGGGGGAGGGGAAGGTTGAGGTTGATGGGGCGTCGCCGTGATCTCTCTGCTCGTATCGTTGCAGGCGTTTGAAGGAGGCGTTGGGAGAGGATGTGCTATGCTGTGCGAAGGATCATCCAGCTACGAGGGAAGGGCCTGAGGCGTTCATGGTGGAGTTCTGTGAGATGATGAGTTGGCTCCGTTTTGTTACGACTTCGGAATGAGATGGGATGGATGGCATGACTGCGATGATATTGCTTGATTCTTCTTTGCTCAGTCTATAAGACAGCCGAGTGCGCTGCGAGTTGAGGAAGAGTAGGTAGCAGATGGACTGCGTCCACAATGAATGAGAAAACTCTCCTATCTCGCGACTTCATTCGACAGCATGTGTTAGTCCTATTCACGTGATCGTTCTTGGCGAGGTGAAAGCCGGGGATGTGGTTGGATCGGCAGCCACCCGTCCGACGTGCATTCATTCCAGGGTCATTGTACATTTGAACTTCGTGTTGTGCATGCGCGTTTGTTGCGAGAAGAGTAATATTGATACCTTGGAACAGTTAGGAAGGCAGAGCTGTAGATATCCTGTCTTGTCTTGTCGTCCAACAAACAACTGCGACACGCCGCGCAACCGAACGCAGAGACGACGTCGCGACATCAACGTCGAGCCTCCTGAGATCGACGAACTGCCGTGTTATTACGACCACTGTACACCTTCCACACCACTGTACCCAGACGACAACGCAACGATGGAAATAACGTCCTCCCCGCCCATAACGCCTATCAAACAACACATGTCTCCCCTCGAAACTTCGCCTTCCAACACCTACCGCTCCCCCATCTCCCGCCGAACTAGCAGTTTCTCCTCCAACCACGACAGAAGTCCCGTCTCCGCGCGGTCGAGTCGACATCGGTTTTCAAATGGCTCGCAGTATTCGAACGACTTTTCACCGGACGGCGGCGGAGGAGGAGGAGGCGGCATGGGGAATCTGGCTGACGAGTTGGAACTCCTCGACGATGACGAAGGAGAGGATGGGGAGATAACAGAAGTCGCAGACGAAGAAGGCGGAGCATCTACAGTTGACGGAGCCAGGGATTCAGGAATAGATGTGTCGTATGAGTCGAAGCGAAGTCCTTCGTCGACAGGACATACCAGGAACTTCTCCAAACCCTTCTCGAGTCCGCAGAAACCGCCTGATTCACCGCGGCCGCAGGAGCGAGAGGAGAAGCTGCCGCCGGAGTTGGAGGATCTGATGAACAGTGTCGCGCGCATGGCGTCGTATGCCGGGACTTCAGAGGACCCGCTCATCCCGAGGGTGGTGGGTTTGCTGCAGGATTTGGGGAATCAATCGAGTCTCGAGACCGGGGTGCAGAGGATGAATACGTCGACGAACAGTATTACCTCCTACGTTACTGTGCAGAGCAAGACGCTGCAACAGATAGCGACAAGCCTCTACTCGCCTCTGGCGCTCTATGGCATACAATTAGATCCCGTCATCCTGGACGAACTCGCCCCGTTGATCGACGCTCTATTACAGGACCTCCCGCTCCCAGACCCAGCCCCGCTGCAAGGGCTGCAGAAACTCCTTCGCGAAACGGATAACACCGTCTCCACCCTCAGCCAGTTAACCGACACGTTACAAATGGGCAAACACGTGACGAACGACGCCTCAAGGAGGCTGAGGGATAGCCAGCGCATGGTCGCGGAGCTCCGCCGGGAGCGCGAGAGGGCTGACGCGGCGAGGGAGGAGTTGGGGAGGGGTGGGTGGAATGAGCGGGTGCAAGGGAGGTGGGGGGAGAAGCAGTGTGGGGAGATTCTGGGGGGCTTTGAGAGGAGGTGCGAAGAGTTGAGACGGGGGTTGGTTGAGGCGGGTGGGGGGTGACGGGTGGTGGGTGATGGGTTAAGGAGGGAAGGGGGTGTTTTGTGTTTGGATGATACCCACTACAGTACTTCGCTTTTTTGGTTGTATGGAAGGGATGAATCTTTTCGAATGGCTTCGCCGGTTCGTTTTGGGGTGAGTGGGAGGTGAGTTTTGCTTTTGCTCTCTTTTTACTGCTACGATCTCCCATCCCGACCCAACGACAGCAGCTCGCATCAGCCTTAAAGCAGGAGACTCTTCAGACCATCCAGCCGCACGCCAGCGTCTCAAGGCCAGTCCGCCGGTATGGCTGTGGCGGTCCAAGTCTTTCGGTTCGCCAAATCATTTACACCATCCCACGCAGTCAAGACACGCAACATCCAGACAAGCAGCCCACCCAAGAAGCGTTTCTTTCGTTTTCTCTCCACGATAGCACGGATGTCAAATTGCAACCGAGCCTCTCTCCATGGCTTACTCTTCGGTTGTGCCGCTTTAGAAGTGCTTATATCGACTTTCTCTTTGGGAGGTGCGCTTGCTCTGCCTTGAAAGGGGAGGGACTGCTTACGCTTTGCCGGACGTTTTGGGTGATGGCAGGATGTGGGTGGGCGCGCCGACATGGCTTGTGTGCAAGAATTTGCATGGTTGCTATATGAAGAGGTAGGTTGTGTGGCATGGGTTTCAAGGTGTTGTGTCGATGGCGTCGCACTGGGTTGCTTTCCATACCGGTTCTCTGTGGCTATCGTTTCCAAGATATATCAAGGTTCTGGCGTAGTACGATGTGAGTCGTGTGCAGTCCGAGGAAGAAGATGGCGCGAAACGATGAGAGCCATTGAGGTGCTGAACACGATATGCCACGTCTCTGTAAGAGCTGTTGACGTGTAGCCGCTCAGAGGGCAAGGCAACATGCCAGGGACTGAGGCTTGAAGAGATCGAACTGACGAACCTTGTATGCGGCTCTGCTGAAATCTGCGACAAGGCTGCAAGAACGACGTTCCGGAGATGGCTGAGGTCATTGCGTGAGCAAGGCTGTGACCAGGATCTCGAGCATGCCAGTGCCGCGATCACTTTCGTGTGGAGTATGGTTTAAACCTGCGCAGCGGCCCCTCGCAGCCATGATCCGGTGACTCTGCGGTCTTCATGAGAAGGACGCCTGCCACTTCGCCAACCAGACAACAAGCGGGAGACCTGGCGGTCCTCTCACCACTACTGCCCATGCCAGTCTTCAAGTACACTGATGGCGTCATGACTGATTGACTAACTGTTGTTATGCCCGGCGTCAAGAGATTCGATGAATGAGTCGAAGTCATGCGCCGTCGGAGCATCGGACCACCGTGCGCTTGAACCCCTTGTGGTGACACCCGTCTGTGGTGGTGCCACCCGCCCGTCTCAGGAACAATCGATTCAGGCGCCAGTCCAGTAGTAGTTGCGACATCACCCACGAGTTTGCCAGGTTCAGAAGTGAGATGTGAAGCACCGAAGTAGACCAAGTCGTTTTCGTCTTCCTGAGGTCGGGCTTCTTTGCAAGGTCGTGCCCGGGCCAAGCATGGTATCTGGAGCTTCGCAAGAACTTGCTCCCGAAGGATCCGTAGACGTTCTTCGGGAACACGGTGGAGGCAGGATCTCCTCGGCGGTTCATATGTTCGGAATCAATGTTTGATCTCTGTCTGGTTATTAAGTGCTCTGCCATCTACCCTCGACTTTCTTCTCGCGTCGGCAGTGCTGGCTCAGATCTTGGTGTTCGTGCTGAGTCGGGTTATCTGATGTTTCGTGAGCACGCAGACGATAATTCAGGATATTTGCTGATACTGACCGTGATCGTGATTAACTTGGGCGCCTCAACCATTTTGCTTGACAGCACACTGCGAGCGCCAGGCTTGGTCGACATGTGATTGGATCCCGGGGGGAAACAATATGTGCAGTCCCACTGGCTGAGGCGACAGAAGCAGCTACATGCCCTCTCAAGTATGCCATCAGCCCCGAGCTCAGCGTTGAGCATCATCAATATGCTGCCAAAGAACGCTTCGGCCGCTCCTTCAGGGGTCTGGTATTTCTCAAGAGCGCCTGCAGAGGAGAAGCTGTTCCGTAACAAGCTGTGTTTCGGCGCAGCCGCGAACCTTGTTTTGAGGTGCTCAATCCATGACTTAATGCGGCCCAGCTTTAAAGCCTCGTCGTAGCCAAGCTCGAGCTCTTGCCAACCCTCAACAACCGTGTCACCACACACAAAGTGCTGATGCTGAGCAGTGATAGTTTCCCCCATGATCACGGTGGCCATCTCAAGGAACACACATCCAAGGGAGTACACGTCCCATTCAGAGCCATGATCTTTGCCTTCTTTCACGTGTGCGGGTGCGTACTTTCTTGTTTGAGGAGGCGCACCTACGCCCATGTCAAATTGCCGAGACGTGTACTTCTTCGCGATGTCGAAATCTGCCAGGAGTACGTTGTCGAAATTGTCGACAAGTATGTTGCTCGGCTTGACATCTTGGTGCAAAATCCGGTGGCGATGGAGATACATGAGAACCTGGCAGAGGCATGCAAAATACGAGAGGAGAAGGTAAGTCTTCTCGTGACATTGCTCCATGTTTGTTGCTGTCCGCGTCTCGTTGTATCGCGATATTTCCGACACAAGGTTCTCCATGTGTGTTCGAGCGAGAGGATAAAGCAGTAGGCCGAAGACGCGGTCCCTGTTCGGCCGGTCCTCCTCAAAACTGCCAACCAGGGCAACAATGTGGTCGTGATTGATTGATGCCAAGTTCTTCAGTTCATACCTCCCCCCCGGGACGTCCCTTCCTTCAATCTTGCGCATGGTTGTCTCGTCGCACGGTACGATCTTCACCGCTAGGTGGTCATCCGTCCGATCCTCTTTCTGAGACCGGGCGCACCACACCATGGATTTTTGGGTCCCCGCAATGAACGAGGTGTATTCAATATCAGGATTCAGCTTGATCTCGGACTTGATCACTCGTTGTCGTGGCTCTTTAGATGAGGCATGTTGCGGCCAGAACAGATCGATAGGAGATTTCACATACTCTGGCAGCGGTAACAACGACACCGCTATCCTGTGGCCGCGGGATGGTCCGTTTGCGGTCTCACCGTGGCAGTGCGTGTAGGGTGCTGTCTTGGCTCGTCTCCGCCATCAGGATGGGCCTGCCTTGGTTGTGGTGTCCAAGGGTCTGACAGCGAATGTCTCGGTGATCGGATGACGCGCAAAATTCTATGTTTCCGACGATTGTCGACAGCGGGACTGTTTGGCGGGAATGCTGGTGCTGACGTCGGTCGCACACTTTGGACGGTCTCCGCATCCATTTGAAGTGCATCTCTGCGCTCTTGCGGTAGCTGCATCGGCGAGACTTGTACATCGTGATTGGAGTCAGCCGGTATTTGTGAAGAGGGTTTAGTGATCTGCGCCGGACGCTGATCTGACTCTTCACCACTGTCCGGATGAGCCTGCCTGAGCCGTGGTGGCTTAGTTTCTGACAGCGAATGTCTCGGTGACTTGAAAAGCTGCACACTTTTGTGGTGTACTTGACTGCCAGTCATAGGCGTGGCCCGCTCCAGTGTAGTCTCTTTGTCATCTTTGGTTTTTGACCTTGACGAGCTCTCGGTCACTCTATCCCTCTCGGCCCGATCGAACTGAGGCTCATGAACAATAGAACTACGGTCAGAGTGTGGATTTGACCTCTGTTCCACGATCGCGTGTAGCTGCTCGTCTCGCCATGCCGCCTCTTGTACGAAGACGGTGCCTTTGATGTCGCGGAGAAGGCGCGCAGCGTCCAATATCCGGCTTGTTCCACTGGAAAGCTGTATTAGCACCGCAACTGTGTGTCTCAAAAGTCCGCAATGCGATAGAAGGGGAGGGAAGGAAGTCTGCTCACGGGTGAGTGTCCAGCGGCTCTCGCGACGTTGATGACCATTCTGCCATAGTAGCTTCAAGATCTTGCGAGAAATGCAAGGTCGTATCCAGTGTCAACTCGGCGAGGTCGGAGCCAGACTTGTCTGCGGCCAAACTTTCGAGTAGAGACGGCACGGCCTGTGAAGTATAGCTCGCATGCCATGATTCAAGCTCAAGCAGTGCATCGTCCAGGTCGAGACTGAGCGCCGACTCGGCATCATGCTTACGGCTCTGCTGAAGGAGTGCATCTAGCGATGTTATGAGGCTGGCGTATTTTGCGTCCAGAGCCATGGCCAGCCTGTATGCCAAACGACTTCAAAAACGCATCTTGCGTTGTAAGATGTGAGGTGGGCCTATTAAACTAGAGTGTCTGTATGAGGCTTCCCGCGCTCCCGAAGGATAACAGTACGAGGCTGTCTAATCGGTGGCGCCACTCTACATTGAGAGCGGGGAAGCTTGTCGATAGCCTTGTGACTTGTCGAGGCGTGTCAGCGTAATTGTGGTATGGAACCTGTCCTACAACCACAACATAGCGCGGTGCAATGCCTGAGCCATTTTCCATCTTGACGGGAGTTTTTGGGCTCACCACCGGATCCATAGGTCTCCTGCTCGGCAGTGTCGAGAAAATTGTCAGCACGCGGCAGAACGTAAAGCAATGCGAGCTGCGACTGCGACAATACAAACTTCATGTGGAATTTTCGAAGAGGAAGCTTCGATCATGGATAACACAGTGGACGACCAAAGGTGAGGCATGGCCGGAGAGCGAGTATGTCTTCATTTGGGGAGTCGTCGGTTGGAGGTCCCTCCAGGAGCGCGTGAGCTGCATCCGGGAAGAAGTCAGGCAGATCGAAGACACCCTTCTGCGGGGGGGAGTTGAATGCTCAATGAGATCTTCTGAAATAGCGGCGTGGGAGTCGGCGGTACGGCTGGCATCGAGAGACGACTACTCAGCACTGGAGGTCGGGACGCAGGTTGTGGGGATCGGACAGAAGATTGCATTTGCAGTGTATAGGAACGAAGAGCTTGCCAAAAGTATCGATCGAATCAGGAAACTCGTCGATGATATTAAGGCAGACTCTGACTTTCGGGCCGAAGAAGAAGTGAGAGCACATGGTGAGAAGTCTCCCGCATCCCGCATGGACCTCGCGCGGCAGTTCCACAACAGAATAAAGATGTTGTGGTCCGACCTCACGAGTGCACACATAGTGCTATCAACCAACACTGGCAGCTGGGCCTTGGTTTTCAGGCCACCGCAGTCATCTGGTCTGTGGGCGGTCGGTAACGACGATCCACTCCACATTGACCTCGTCTGCGCTGATGGTGAATTTGGGGTGCACCCAGAGGTTTCCTGCGTGTCGGCACGCTACAGTGGCCGGAGTCCATGCAGCACGGATTTGGCAGAGAGCATCTTACGCCAGCGCAATCGGCCAATGGGAGACTGTGAAGAGCAATACTGCAAGGGAACTTGAAAACTGTACTGAAGTTCCACGTGGCTCTTCCCAGCGGCCAACAAAGAGCTTTTCGTAAACGCACGGAGCTCAGCCGCGTAGAGACAGCGCTAGCCATAGCAGCATGGCTCATTTACGCCTGGCCGACCGCCTGGGTGAGCAAGCTCTGTAGCTGCGGGATCCGCTACGCGGTGTTGTCCGGCGACGACAGATTTCCGGTGTTCAGAGAGGCATCCAGTCACGAGCACAACGGCTGCACTGGATGTTGCATGCCTTGGTCAAACGCCAGACAGCATCTGCTGTTGGCCGTCATCCTCTCCGAAATAGCATTGGCGAGACCTATACAGCTTGTTCCAGCGGCTTCCTCTCGCTCCGAATGGAATTTCATGGTACTGGACGGAGACCAAGCTGACCCGACACGGACGAAGCTCATGAACAGAGAAGGCTTGTTGGGACAGATCGACATGCTTTCCCCTCTACCCTTCCCAGGAGCTGTGAAATACTGCTTGAGCAGGATGTCTCCGGCGTCTAGTGATCCGGATTTCCAAGCTGAAGACCTGAGCGGTTATGTTCTCAACGTGATCAACCCGTAAGTGGCAACACAGTAAAGCCTCGCTTCTGAGCTGACAACAAAAGACTCTTGTCTGAACTGCAAACGCTCCAGAAGCGTCGAGTATCAAGCCCCTATCCAGAGTACTCGCAGTCTTCTTGCAACCCAGCGCCATGCCGCTACGACGGACGATTTTTAGCCTCATTCGAGGCCTTAAACTCGAGCTTACGTTGATGTGCGCGTTGCCAACGGAACCCGAAGCTGAGGCTATTGGATGTGAGCTCCAAGGTCCTGTCCATCAACACATCAGCGGCTGAGGGATTCCAGCGTGTGTCGGTAGGTTCGACTATTGACTTGTTCCAGGACGTCGGAGAGCGAACGGAGTTCAGGCGGTCCGTCGGCTTCCGATGCAGACTGGGCATGGTATATCCATCCAAGCTATCCTGGTTACGGATGTCGTCTCGGCTTCGAGGCTGCGCACGGCAAAGAGTCCGAAGCGGCGGGGAATCGTACTAAGGAGATACAAACAGTGAGAGCACGCCTGCTGAATGGCCAGTTGAACATACTGGGGCGTGTGCATTAGTTGGTGGGCCGTAAGTATTGCGGCGCGGTTCGGGCATGCATAGAAGGCATGTCTGCTTTCGGGCTGGCTGAGCAGGAAGACGAGAAATTCCAGCCCGCAGTCGGTGCGCACCTGCAGCGTGCCTTCGTAGAGCAAGTGGTGGACAGTTTGAAGAGCATTGTGGTGTAGCGCAAGGGCATGTATGTAGCTGAATTCGTTGGTTCCGACCATCATGCTCCATTCTGTACTGGACGCTTTCGTAAAGTCATGCCGCTGCCACGCCCTCGAATGTAGATGGTAGAGGGCGGTGTCGGAATTGAGGAGTTCAGGCTGTGATGTCGTCTTAGAGTTGAGCCCAAGTGGTACGGAATTGTCGGTAATAACCTTGTCTCGGATAAGGCCGCGGGATCGGCGTGGTATGATTGGCAATTGAGGCTCTAAAACATGCGACATCTACTCCCTTTTGGATCAGACAACTAAAAGCCTTACTATGCGACTGTACGTGCTAGGCCCAGCCTTCAACCTTCCAAGCATCGACGCAGAATGCATTGCCGCCATTGCACTCCTTCGTGCCCAACACGAGGACGGTTGGACCATCACCCCGAATCACGATATAACCATTCGCCTACCATACCTTGCTACCGATGACGACAAGCACATCCACGGTTACAACAACATTGCCCGCTATGTTACCAGCCACTCCAACACAGTTTCGCCAATAACGGACTCCCAACGCGCCGACTCGACCGCCTTGTCCTCCTTTCTGACCGTCCACGCGCAAACGCTCCTTGACATCTCCCTCTACGTCTCCTATGAGAACTACGCCACAACTCGCTCTGCATACACCAAGATCCTGCCCTGGCACTCCAACTACATCCTGCCACCAAAGTTCCGCGCAGCAGCCCGCAAGCGAACGGAACAACTAGGCGTCTCCAGCATCGACGTCGAAGATGTCCACGACGACCTCATGGACCGGCCGCAAGGCTTTGACACGGGTGTTGGACAGGAGAAGAAGTTTGAGGCAGAAACGCAGAAACGCGCCAGCCTACTGTTGGGGAGACAGGATACCGTAAGAGGGCTGTTGAGGAAAGGGCAGGGTGGAGCGTTGTTCAAGCTACATGCGCTGGCGGACAACTGCTTTGAGGTGATGAGAGATATGCTGGGTGAGAAGGAGTACTTTCTAGGTACGAAAGAGCCAACGGACGTCGACTGTTTGGCGTACGGGTATTTGAGCTTGATGTTGTACCCGCAGCTGCCGCAGGATTGGCTTGGGAAGATCCTGAGGAAGAAATACCCAGCTCTGGTGAACTTCACGGAGAAAATGCATGAGAGGCTGGGCCTGGCTACGAATGCTGATGCAGTCATGGGTCTAGCAAGCTGCGCCAGCAATGGAGAAGTTGTCGAATGGCGTAAATCGAAGAAGCTGCAACTGCCCTGGCAAGCACCTGCCTCCGCAGGCTTCGTGGACGTAACGACAACCGTGGCACAAGACCTACTATCCCGCATTCCACTCCTGGCCCCATCCACAACTATCATCACTACTGGCAAGCAGAAGACACCAGCATGGCGGACATGCCTTCCAGCTACATTGCTCGCAGCCGCCGTGGGCTTGGGATCCTTCGGTTACTACGCCTTCACGACTGGACTTTTGATCTGGCCCCACGGACAACAAGTACACATCTTCGGCCGCAAACGCCTGACTGACTACGGACATCTCGGGGCCGCTCTGGCGGGCGTGAGTCTGTTGAGCCAACAAGCATCGCAAGCACGGCAGGAATATGGTAACAGTCAGGAGGATCACTTGAACGTTGGGCCGGTGAAGGTGGAAGTTGAGGTGGAGAAGGAGGATGCGCCGTGAAAATAATGGTATGGTATTTGGAACCTACCTTATATCCACTCTGGACCATGGCTCGTTGCGACATTGGCTTCGGACGGGTAACCTCTTGGAGAGAAGAGGCACAAAGCTGTTTTCTGCGCGAGTCAGGACCAACTCCAGAATCAGCCCCATGGAGAACGATCTCCACAGCTCCGCACTCGGGACCAGGATTGAAGCCGCTAAGCAACGTTTCTGCTCGTGTCGCGCACTTATCTTCCTGACAATCTCGGAATCTCCCACAACTCGGACACGACAAGGCGAGGCAGACAAAATTGCGCATCATTCTGTCTATACCCGCGGTAAGGTACCTCGGTACGGCCAAGCATTGATATAGCCGTGCATTGAAGCTATAGCCCTGAAAGAAGTTTGTACTCTACTCAAGAGCTTTGCTTCGCTTCAAAAGCCTTGCTACCCTTTCTCTCTGACCCAGTCCTACCCTCTCTCACATCCACCGCCATCATGGTCAGACACACCTCCGGCGGCCGCCAGTTCAACTGGCTCAACCTCCTCACGATCATTGCCATGTCATTCGGCAGCATGACCTACGGCTACAGCGCCTCTATCATCTCCACAACTCTCTCCCAGCCCAGCTTCAATGCCTACTTCGACCTCGATACCCGCTCCGATGCGACCGCCCTGATAAGCACGATGAATGGACTCTACCAAGTCGGCGGCTTCCTAGGCGTCTTCACCGTCTCTTGGTTTGCGGATAAGTGGGGAAGGCGTGCTGCTATCGGCGTCTCGGCGTTGATCACGCTTGTGACCGGTGCGTTACTGGCGGGTAGTGTGAATGTGGCCATGTTTATTGTCGTCCGATTCTTCAGCGGTGCTGGAGCGTTCATGATTCTGTCGGCGGTGCCGATCTGGATGAACGAGGTGACTCCTCCGCGTAACCGGGGAATGTTGGTTGATATTCATGGGGCGGCATTGTTGTTCGGATACTTCTTGGCGGCCTGGGTTGGATACGGCTTCTTTCACCTCGACTCGCCGAATGCTTGGAGAGCACCATTGGGTACGTCGAGCCTTGGCGCTTTTTGGTGCTTTCGCACATCGCTGACCCTTGCAGCCTTCCAATGCCTCCCCGCCCTCATCGTCCTCGTTGGCCTCCCTTTCATGCCCGAATCCCCACGCTTTCTCCTCATCCACGATCGCTACGACGAAGCCGCGGCCAACCTCAAACGACTTCACACCTCCGACGAAGCGGCTGTTGAGCTCGAGCAGATCTCGCACCAGATGCAAATTGATCGCACTCTTCCCTCCAGTTACTGGGCTCTCGTGACAAAACCCTCGTACCGAAAGCGTACGCTGCTATGCCTTGGCACGACGTGCGGAATTCAGTTCTCGGGGATTCTGGTGATTAATAACTATGGTCCGATCCTGTATGGGAATTTGGGGTACGACGTTGACCAGCAGTTGGTTTTGCTTGGTGGGTGGTTGACGTTGGCTTTCGGATCTGGTGTGCTGTCGCTGTTCTTGGTGGATCACTTTCCTCGGCCAAAGTTGATTGGGGGTGGAATCGCTGCGTGCAGTGAGTGTGATCGTATGAACGAACGAGATGCTGTTGATGCTGACACTGTGTTAGTGGTTTGTCTGATCATCGAATGCGCGTTGGTTGCGGAGTTTGTAGGCACGACGAACACAGCTGCGCTATCTGCTGCTGTGGCTATGTTTTATATCTACGTGATCTTCTACGAGCTCACTTTGGACGGGCTGCAGTTCGCATACATCGGGGAGCTCTTCCCTACGCATCTGCGGGCTAAAGGTGAGTTGACTACAGCTCTTTATGCGTTCTGCGGTATGCGCTGACCTTGATCGAAGGAATGAACATCGGGGTTGCCGGTATATGCTTGATGAACATCATCTGGCTGCAAGCTGCGCCTACCGCGTTTGCCAACATCGGATGGCAGTTCTAGTAAGCTGAATCTTGCTTTGAAGGAGAACAGATGCTGACCGGTCTAGCTTGTGCTTCATCATCCCGGGCTGCTTGATGGCAGGGCTGATCTACTTCACATTCCCCGACACGTGGGGCGTGCCGCTGGAAGAGGTAGCAGCTATGTTTGGGGTGCGCAGAGCATGATCTTACCGACCTTTCGAAGCTAACGGGTGTACTTTCAGGACCACGACGAAATCTACGACGCCTCGAAGCATGCAAAGGAAGAGATTAATGCTGAACACAGTGAAAAGGTCTCAGTGGATGACAAGTCGGCCGTTTGAATGGCCCAGCAAGTATTGATAAACGTAAACAGGCTCCAAACCAGTCCACAATCCATTGAAGTTGTAGCTCATCCATCTCATTGCACGTGATCCGCTTCCAACGCTGTGTCTACCACCACCAAGCAACGACAGCTCACAAGAGCGGGGCAAGACTGGGTCAGAGCTGATTTCGCTTCGACCACCCCAAAGCGTGTCTCGAGCTTGTTGATCCTTGTTTCCCGCGGCCGATGCTTAATGGCTGTAATTATGGCCGTCAAAAAGCGACTTGCAGGTGTTGGGCACGTGGTTTCTTCGGCGATTGTAAGCACTGAACCGACCGATGCCAGTGCACAACACAAACTACCGACGACAACCGTCTTGCACCGTCCCCGTGACTGTGACTACTCCGCATATGTACAACACCCCGAAACTCGTCTTCGATAGGGCCAGTTGCGCCGAGAAGCAACCGATGTCCTTCAAGCCTCCCCCGCCAAATGGCGCTCAGGTGCATGCGGGATACCGAGGGCAACGTCATCGTCTCACCTGCTCACCGCTGCCATTGGGCCGTTCCTTGTCCTCGAGACGTTGGAGCTCTTGCTTCGACCACCACACCGCGCGACGATGTCAGGCCGCATTGACCCCATCACGAGGCAAGGCGTCGATCATTGCGCGTGGGCCGCCGGTATGGAGCTTCGTCCGAGCAGTAGTATGAACCTTATGTTGGGCTTGTAGGAGCTTTAAAGGTTGGTCATGTGCCTGTTGTACATTTCGCTGTTCCACTGTCGAAGAACAACAACCGTGGACCATTGATTGAGTCTTGGGAAGAGACGACAACATGAAGAAAGACAATCGATACTTTGGCCTACGGGGAGGATGGCTCACATTCTGGATAACGTAAGTCAACCCTTGAGCCCCTTCGCTCCTATGCTGTTAGACTCGCCCTTTTGCTGACATCAAAAGCGTCGCCTGCGGCACTGACATGACTTTGTTCGGCTACGACCAAGGCGTTTTCGGGGGAGTGATTGTGACAGGCGATTTCCTAACGACTCTCGGAATCAAGAATGATGCGGGAACCAAAGGGACAGTCACAGCCATATACGATATTGGGTGTTTCTTCGGAGCGATCTCAGCATTCTTCATCGGTGACATGCTCGGGAGGAAGAAGACTATCTTGCTAGGAACTACCATCATGTCGATTGGCGCTCTCCTACAAATCACCGGATACTCCGTCGCTCAGATGATCGTTGGACGTATCGTTGCCGGCGTGGGGAACGGGCTCAACACTGCAACAGCACCTCCGTGGCAAGCCGAGACATCCAAGGCTGCGTGGCGCGGCAAGCTGATTGTTATCGAGCTGATCTTGAACATCGCTGGCTTCTCGCTGTCCACCTGGGTCACCTACGGCTTTTCGTACGTGCCAGGCGGCGTTGCATGGAGGGTGCCGCTGGCGCTGCAGTTCATTTTCATTGTGATCCTCTTCGCTACTGTACCGTGGCTCCCGGAGTCTCCTCGCTGGCTGGTGTCGAAAGGCAGGTTTGAAGAGGCCGAACAAATCCTCGCAGATGTCGAGGGCTCCGAGATCGAGGATCCGTATGTACAAACGGAGTTTTCCGAGATCAAGTTCGCCGCGCAGTACGAGAAAGAGCATGCTGTACGCATCAGAGACCTGGTTCGCGGCAAGGTGCCAGCGAACGATCCTTGCACACTACGCAGGGTTCTGTTGGGCATGGGTACGTGAAGGACGCAGAGAGTGGCCTGAAAGCCATTGCTGACCCTCGTTACAGGCGCTCAAGCAATGCAACAACTGTCTGGTACGTCATCCCAACTACTTTGTCACCTCTCAACAACTTCGCTAACCAGCGCGCTACAGGTATCAATGTCACCAGCTACTACTTACCAACCGTTCTTATCGAATCGGTCGGCCTTAAAAACAAGCAAGCTCGTCTGCTCGCAGCTTGCAACAGCATCTCCTACCTAGTCTTTGCGACGATCGGCATACCCAACGTCGAACGCTGGGGCCGTCGAAAGATGATAATGTATGCAGCCACCGGACAGTGCTTCTGCTACCTCATGATTACGGTGTTACTGCGGTACGCCGATAAACCTGGATACAGCGGACAGGATGAAGTTGCGAGCGCTAGTGTAGCATTCTTCTTTTTGTACTATGTTTTCTTTGGGATTGGGTTCCAGGGTGTGCCTTGGTTATACGTGAGTATTGGTAGGGACACAAAGGAAGTGACAAAACTGATCTAATTCCTAGCCAACTGAGGTCAATGGCCTCGCCATGCGAAGCAAAGGTGCCTCTCTCGGTACAGCTACCAACTGGGTGAGTTGAACCACTGTCACTCTGCCGTCTCCGGCCATGGCTGACCAATCCACTCTTCGGCCTGCAGATATTCAACTTGTAAGTCTGATTGCCCAGACAAACACGCGGCTGTCAGCTAATGAGTTCCAGCATGGTCGTGGAAATCACCCCCATCGGCATCGACACGCTTGGCTGGAAGTTCTATATTATATGGACGGTGCTGAACGGCTCCTTCGTGCCATTCACCTAGTATGCTTGATCACATCCTCATCGAAGCTGCAAACTGACAGTATTACAGCTTCCTTTACCCTGAAACCGCAGGACGTAAGACCTTCCTATCTTTGTTTCCACCGTCGAAACATTTGCTAATCTTTCTTCTCATGAATTCAGGAACTTTGGAAGACATCGACTCCTACTTCCGCGACCAACCCAGCGTGTTGGTCTTCCGCGATAAGCGCGCAACCATCTCCAAGCGCCCAGCCGAGTTCATCGAAAGGGAAGAGCAGGAAGTGCGCCGGAAGAGCTCGGTCAACGAGCGCGCGATGAGTCTCGCACAGCAACATAGAAGGTACAGTCTGATGAGCGAAGAGAATCAGGGACCGTTGGTTGATGAGATGGAGAAGAAGAGTATCAGTGAGGGTGGTGGAGAGCACAAGGAGGTTTGAGGAGGTCGTGGTGCCGTGAGGAATGGGATCGATGGATGAGGAAGGAATGGCTTCTTGATTGAGATGGAGGGGTATAGCTGCGATTATACTCTGATCGTTGACGCTCCACGCTGCTGAATGTCTAGCTAGCAATACGTCCACCTCGTTGAGGCGCCACTACTCCATTTCGTCGCAACGTCGCTTTCAGCGCCAGCACTTCGCCTTTAAGCCTTGCAACTTCACCTTCAAGATCGTGCACTTTGTTCCTTGTGGAATCACAGAAGCTGCAATGTGGCTCGTCTACCGCTGCACCTAATCCAAGACCGTGCGCATCATCTTCAACCTGTGCAGCTTGAGCCACCATTACTCCCGCCTTCGCGCGAGCCCATGGACTCTTCCGATACCCATTGGAGACTGCATTCACCGGCACCTCATGTAACACCGGTGCTTTGCGGTGTAGTGGCGACCGATGTCCTCGTTTCCGTGAGCTCTGGTGTTTCTTCGGCGAAAGCGAAGACGTACGTGGAAAGAGCCGCTGGATGTCTTTCGATGACGGCGAAAATGTACCGTCCGGAGACAAGTACGTGGTGGCTGTCCACAGGTCCTCGTCTGTTGAGCCATCGACAGCAGCGGACCCCTTCACAGGCTTCGGCGGAGACTTGATGGTGGGTTGCTGAACTGTACTCATCGTACCGTTTGTATCGACCCGAGAGCGCGACGTCTGTCGAGCAGGAGGCCGATCTACCGGACGTCGCCTTCGACTTCGCTTAAGTGCGGCGTCGCGCTCTGTGTCCGACGTGAGCCAGATATCATCATCCAGTGAAGACCCCTGGTGGGAATCTTTCGGCCAACCGTGCTTGCCGTGAGTCTCCTCATACTGCCGCATGGCATGAAGGGAGTCCAAGTCCGTCTCCACGTGTGCCGTCGCTCGATGGAAGAGATGATGTTTTCCTTTCTTCTTTGGCGCAGTATCGTGTGTAGCCGGTGGATGTGAGGTGCTGTAGCGAGCCAGAACACCGCTCGCTTGCTGGGGATGTTGAGTAGCGCTCAATTTGCGTAGCTCGGCAAGGATCTTTGCGTTGGTAGACGACACGGCCGGGGCTTGGGCAGAGGGCTGGCCGGCCATCTTTGCGTTTCGTTGCGACTTTGGTTTTCCAGAGAGCGGCTTGCCAACTGCCTGACGAATTGGCTTTGGTGTGGCCTGACAGTCCGCAGTGGGAAAACTGTTACCAGAGTCAGTGGAAGGGAACAGTCCTATGTTCCTCGGCGGAGCTACGTCAACGCTTGGAGCAGCTGTTTCGGGCTCGGGTCTCTTAACGAAGTTCTGGCTGGAGACCTGCGGCCTCGACCGGGTCGGACTTGTCACACGCTTCATTTCGCTTTCGTCCTTTGACGCCGCCGTCGGCTTCACAGGAGAGAAAAGGTCCAGGTATTGCCTCTGTCTGATCGGTGGCGGCTGCAAGCTTGCAGGCAGAGGCGTATGCCGTACTGTGCTCTCGTCGACTTCGTCCGGGTGGATGGTGAATCGCCGTGCTGCTCCGCCGCTGCGGTCATTGGCCATGCCAGGCTTTCGAAGTGCAGGTGGAAGACCGAGATGTTCGAGAGCTGTTGGCTTGTGTGACTGTGTCGGTGCCGGCTGAGTGGAAGGAGTACCGCTCCATGCTGCCTGGCCTAGGGTGCTTCCTTTATTAAGCTCCGGTAGCTTGTCAACGGCGCGTGCGACTATGGTGTTCGATATCTGCTTGGGCGATTTGCCTTGTACCCACTCCACACCGATGACCTTGTTGCAAGAACCACGCAGCAGTTTTTGCTCCAGTAGCAACCCCAGCGAGTCGTAGATCTGAATAACACCGTCCACACGTCCAACGGCGATCAAGTTTTCGGTGTAAGCAGAAGGTTCTCTGGCCCCAGCCGATCTGCGTGAGGGGTGTCCAGTTGCCAGACCTGACACAGAGGCTTTCCGAGGCAGAACAGATACGGATGTGACAGGAGCCTGCGCGTGCCATGTTCGAAGCACGACGCCGCCATCGGCAAAGTCGACGAGACGGCACTTGCCATCCCGTCCTACAGTGACCGCCCGAGACTGGTAGCCAGGAAGGAATGCCGCGTCCTCGATGCAGACCGTCTTGTGGGTGGCCGTCGTCGGCCGGTGAAGCTTAGCGAAGTGACCGATCTCTCCATGGTTGACACTCTCCTGGTTTGCATATGCGCCAGTCTGCTTTCTAGCGATCTTCGTAGCATCGAACGCAGCAGCTGTACCGTCGGCGAAGGCTAGAAGGAATATGTTCGGCCTTTCTGGATGGAAGGTGATCACTGTGACGGCTGCCTCTGATGCTCTCGACTCGATTAGTATCGGTGGACTGTTGTGCATCAGGTTGCTCAAGTAAATCGTCGGCGGGTTATCGGAGGCAGAGACCATCAAATGATCTGTCGGCGAAACAGCCAACGCCACCGGTGGGGAGGCATGTGCTCTGGTCGGACTAAGCAGTTTCGACTGCTCCGCGGAGTAGCGCTGTATGTCTGCCGTCGATTTGGTTGACAAGAAGAGGGATTTAGCGTCCTTCGTGTAGGCCAGATGTCGAACTTCATCATCGTCCGCTTGAAGTCCCCAAGACCTCTCCTGGCCGCGTTTCGTGTCGTGCAACACAACAACCTGCTTGTCGGCTACGGCGAGAACTCCAGAGCCATCTTTGGCTTCCCGCGCTGCAACAATGCCATTTTTGCTGCTCCGGAAGATGGTGTGTACGCCGCTTGCATCCCAGGAGAAGACATGGCCCGGAGTGGTGATAAGGAGATGGGCGTTGTTCGGGAAGGTGAAGTTGTTCTGTTGATCTAGCGATGTAGGCGATGGCTGCAGCTTAGATACTGGTCTCGTTGTAGGCATCGTTGCCTTTCTCCATCTTCTGTACACAGAACGCCACCGTGAAGTGCGATTAAGCTCACCATGTCGTCGTTCGGGGCAACGTGCCTTCTTCGAAGTTCGCCTTCTGCCTTCGCTTTCCAATTCTCCCGAATTTAACCGGCAGTCTTGCACCAACATCAAATACCGAGCCGACGTCGTCGTACATTAGGCGTGTAGATGTAGAAAAGACTGGTGACAGGTTTGTGACATTCATTGTTTCCTTCTCGTACAATTTCATCATCGAGATGTCGACTGCGAGCATTGCAGAGGCCAACCAGCCCTTTCCCGCTCATCCGTTCTCCAAGAATCCTCTTCGTACTCGAGACGATGTTGTAGCAGCATGTGCATCATTTTTGGATCCATTGGAGGCAGGCTTCTCGCCTGGTCGTGCTCTTGTCAGAGTAGGCGGAACGGGGACACGATGTAAGTGATGTAATCCGAGGTCCGTTGCTCCTCTGTTGAGCAATACCCCTGTGACAAGAGACAACGTGAAGAGACAAAATGTTAAGGACCATTCTAACACTTTTCCAGTCGACGAAACCGCCGCCCAAATCGAAGGCTTCGCCCGCCCACTCTGGGGACTCGCACCCCTCCTGGCCGGCGACAGCGCCTACAAAAACACCAACCTCTTCGTCCAAGGCCTCATCTCCGGCACCGACCCCAATGGCTCCGAATTCTGGGGCAACATGTCCGACCTGGACCAGCGCATGGTGGAGTCTTGCCCGATCGGCTTTACTCTCGCAGTGGCTGGCAAGGACTTCTGGGACCCGCTCACTCCGCAGCAGAAGGATAATGTAGCCGCCTGGATTGGGAGCATGAACGACAAGGAGATGCCTAATACGAATTGGCTCTGGTTTCGTGTGTTTGCTAATCTGGGGCTCAAAGCTAACAACGCGCCGTACTCTCACGAGCGGATTGAGAAGGATATGGACCACCTTGACACTTTCCATCGTGGCGATGGATGGTCCAATGACGGACCTGAGGGGTACACGCAGATGGACTACTACTCCGGCTCCTTCGCAATCCAGTATCTCCAACTTCTCTACGCCCGTCTGGCCGAGTCCTTCGACCCCAAGCGCTGCGAAGAATACAAACGCCGCGCAAAGTCCTACGCACTAGACTTCATCCACTATCAAGACTCCAACGGCCACTCGATCCCCTTCGGCCGAAGCCTCACATACCGCTTCGCCACCATAGCCTTCTGGAGCGCCTTCGCCTACGCCTCCGTCGAGCCTCCCGCACCGCTCACCTGGGGCATCGTTAAGGGGCTCTTCGTCCGCAACCTCCGCTGGTGGAGCAAGCAGCACCACATTTTCCAACCAAACGGGATGCTGAATATAGGCTACACGTACCCCAACTACTATCTAGCCGAGAACTACAACTCCCCCGGCTCGCCTTACTGGTGCATGCTGTCCTTCGCCTGCCTCGCGTTACCAGCCGACCACCCCTTCTGGACAGCGACCGAAGAACCGCATCCATTCACCCTCAAGTCGTCCCCACTGCCAGACATCAAGTACCTCAAGCACCCAAAGCACATCATGGTCCACAAGAACAGCCATACCTACTTATTGTCATCCGGCCAAAGCTGCCACTACCCACTCAAAGCCACGCAATCCAAATACGGACACTTCGCCTACAGCGCCTCGTTCGGGTACTCCGTGCCCACCGGCTCCTATACCCTAGAGCAATTCGTCCCGGAGTCCGCGCTGGCTTTCAGTGATGATGGAGGTGAGATCTGGAAGCTGAGGCGGGAAGTCGAGGATGCCCAGTTCTTCGAACGGGACGGGGTGCAGGGGTTGTACAGCGTGATGAGGCCGTGGAAAGACGTGGAGGTTAGGACGTGGTTGGTGCCGCCCGTGGAGGGGTGGGGGAGTTGGCATGTTAGGCTGCATCGGGTTGTGGCGGGACGGGATGTGCAGACGGCGGAGGGAGGGTTTGCTATACTGGGGACGAGGAAGAAGGATGGGAGGATGTTAGGGCAGTTTGAGGAGGAGACGAAGGAGGGGACGATGGTGGGAGAGGATGGGGCGGTGGTGGTTAGTAAGGCCGGGGCGTCTGGGGTGGCGGATCTGGCGCCGAGAGATGTGAATGGAGGCAGGAAGGGTGGCATTTGCAATGTTGATGCTAATAGCAATTTGATGGAGCCGAGGACGCTGTTGCCGACGACGTATGCGGATTTGAAGGCTGGGTCGACGACGTGGTTTGTCACTGCTGTATTTGCGGTGCCGGCAGAGCGAGAGGGCTGGGAGAGCTGCTGGAGAGAGGAGTGGGAGAACAGGCCGAAGTTGGAGAAGTGGACGCAGGATCTGATGGATGCGCAGTAGGCTTGGGAGGAGAAGTGAGCCGTGGGACGATAGACGGGCAATGTAAACATCTTGAAGCTCTGATACATGGATATTATGCTACCAAGCTGGTATAACGCGATCGTTATTGCGTGTGCTTCTCCTGGCGAAGTGGGCGAGGAGGAGCCGCCGCCCGGCCTCTCGCCGCCGGCCTTGGAGTATTCGACGTAGACGTCCTATTCGAAATCGCATACGCCGCCTTCTGAGCCCGCCTAATCTCATCCACCTTTCCACCCGCCAGCGGTATATCCTCCCACATCCGATCCCAGACCCCTGGCGCTCGACTGCGATCCTTGACCTGCGCCCGACTGACCCAATATCTACCCATTACCGCTCTCACCAGCCATCCCGTCCACCCAGCGTTCTGATGATCTATCCGTGCCCCGCTGGGTATATGTTCCAAGTTCGTCAAACGCAGTGAACTATAGGGCAACCTCCTGAGATCGCCCAAACGCACAGTCTTCGTCTTTGGCCAGGGTTTAAACCACATCGTCTTAATCTGCACATGCGTTTCTGCCGGCGCTCCCGCAGCCCACGACAGCAAATCCTGTCTCGTCCTCCGCGCCGACGTGGGCAGAATGACGTTGATGTGGTTGACAAACCCGCCGAACGCGCCTGATGCGAGTAACGGGACGCAGGCGAGGGCGGAGACGGTGGGGAGCATCCACCAGGGAGCGTTGGTGTCAAAGATGGCGGACGGGAGGACGTAGAAGGCGCCGTACATGAAGGCGCCGATGCAGGCGATGCGGATGAAGCCCATGGAGACTACGGCGACGGCGCCAGAGTTGAAGATGTTGAGGTTTTCGGGGTAGGTGTACTTTGTCTTATCTTGAGCGGCTGTTCTGTGTCAGCCATGCGGTTGCAGAGGCGGTTGACAGGCTACCTACGACGCTTCCGAACAGAGGGCGTGTTGGTGCTTTGGCATCGCCATAGAGTCGCTGCTCGGAAGGCATATGGGGGACCCCGTCCTGCCGCTGGTGGTAGTCGGGTGGTCCATGATCTCAGCTTCGAACTCGTGGTAGATAGTTGTACTCGTGTGCATTGCCCGAAGGCTCGCAGCGGGAACATTACATCTTCAATGCGGTTCGCAAACTGGTGGCCGCGGTGGAAGTGTTGCAGCTCATATCCGCTAGTTTGCCTAGCGCGCGGGCCATCCCGTAGCATGTGAAGCTTCAAGCATAGATCTCAAAGTGAGCTTCAAGGTAAGTCGCGACCTCACCGATATCACCACATCTCCTCACTCAACTAGTAGACCAACATCATGTCTCTAATCCGTGCTCGTAATGGCGCCGACGCACCTCCAACCCGCGCAGCCGACTTCGCTCAAGACCCTCAGAAAACTTCCACCAAGGGCAAGGTACCGACAGGATATGCACAGGAAATCGCCATCTCGGAGCAGAGCTTTCGAAATCTTCACCGAGATGTCCAGTCGCAGTCGCGAGCCGGCAAGAAAAGGAAGCGAGAGACCAAAGGCGACAGTGGGACGGTATATGGCGCATCATCTTACAAAGGACCTTGGGCGAAGTATGAAGAGCGAAGGATTGACAGTGATAGCGGGGAGGAGGTGGAGGTGGAGATAGAAGAGGGAGACGAGAGCGGGGAGGACGAGGTCGTGCAATATGAAGAGGATGCGATCGTGCCGGTACCCGCGAAGGGAACGTTGGCAGGCACCGGCTATGCGGAGACTGGCGCTGAGAAGGAGACAAGTGTATTTGAAGGAACCCAACAACACGACTACCAGGGACGGACGTACATGCATGTACCGCAAGACCTGGATATCGACCTTACGAGCGACTTTGAGAACCTGAGCCTGAAGTGCTACTACCCCAAGAAGCAAGTCCACTCCTTCACGCCACACTTCAGCGGCAAGCCAGCGCACGAGAAGAGCATCACAGGACTCAAGTTCTTCCCATCTTCAGGCCACCTCCTACTATCCTCAGCAGCAGACGGCAAAGTCAAGCTCTGGGACGTCTACCACGACCGCGAACTCCTCCGCTCCTACACCGGCCACACCAAATCAGTCGTCGATATCGATTTCACTCCGGACGGCACAAAGTTTCTCTCCGCCAGCTACGACCGCCAGATCAAAGTCTGGGACACCGAGACTGGAGCCTGTCTAGGCCGCTACAGCAGCGGCAGCACCCCCCATGTCGTGCGCTGGCAGCCCGACGACCGCAGCGGGAAAGAATTCCTAGCCGGCATGCACGACAACAAAATCGTGCAATTCGACACACGCATCGAGCCCGGCGCATCAGGTGACAAAAAGAACCCGGTCCAGGAATACGACCACCATCTCGGCCCCGTCAACACCATAACCTTCTGCGACGAGAACCGCCGCTTCATCACCACCTCCGACGACAAGAGTTTGCGAGCCTGGGAATACAACATCCCTGTCCCCATCAAATTCATCGCCGAGCCGCACATGTTCCCCCTCACCTCCTCCGCCGTGCACCCGACCAAACCCGCCATTTTACTGCAGAGCGCGGATAACACGATCCAAGTCTACAACACCGGCGAGAAGATCCGGCAGAACCGCAAAAAGGACTTCCGCGGGCATAATACAGCTGGGTATAGAGTAGGATTGGACGTGAGCCCCGACGGTGGAATCGTGGTGAGCGGGGATTCGGCTGGGTATTTGTGTGCGTGGGATTGGAAGACGTGTAAGCTGTGGCATAAGCTGAAGGCCGGGGAGAACGGGAAGGCGGTCGTGGCGGTGGGGTGGCATCCGAGGGAGAGCAGTAAGGTGGTTACCGGGGATTTGGAGGGGTGTGTCAAATATTGGGATTAAATGGTGAGGTACTTACGACTACCAATTTACTTTCTGCATCTCATGTGTATCGTTGCCCTCCGATCCTAATTTAGTATGGACTGAGTACCCAGTTGACATTCACCTCCGGCGTCTCGGAGGAGAAGACATGCTGCTCCTTGAACACTCAAGTAGTCGAGTCGCCTGCATCTCAAACGGCTGGCGGGTTTATCTTTCCCAAGTGGATACGGATAACTGTTAGACAAAACTTCCGTTCCATGAGTATCATTATGCCAGCCGAGAAGGCCAGACAAGTACACCCGTCAAAGCAGCGATGCGTAATATTCCCTGGGTTTACTCGAGTTGCACTGCTGTCCGTGTTTGCAAAGACGTCGAGATCTGTCATGCGGACGCCGTGCGATGGCTGACACCCGAGCAAGGCCTCGTGCGTGCTCCTGACGGATGGACTTACGCCAGAAGAGCTCCGCGTCTAGACCAGTTCGATCGTCTGATACTGCCAGTTGTTTTCGATCCACTGGGTGGTGCTCTCCGGTGCCGGTGGTTGGAATTCCATCTCGAACATTCCGAGTCTTTCATACGCGCCTTCAGACGTCGGCTCTATGATCAAACCCGATACATGTGTTTTAGATGCGTCGTGCATTTGGTCCGTGGCTCGATGCAGAGCAAGGAGTGCAACAAGAGACCCTTGCGCCCTGTCATGAAGCTCCTCGGCTTCGAAGTAACCAGCTATAGCATCAACGTCAGGCGGCCCAAGCCGCGGCAGAGTTCCCATACGCGCCCTTCCGTCAGTGTAGCGGATGCACACATCCTGCCAAAAGCGTGAAGTACGAGTCTCGCCACACCGTTCCAGGCGATCCCAGTATACGGCGCCCGGCCTAGGAAATTCATCGTCGCTGGATGGTTCGAATTGCGACAACGGTAACGTCCAATCCACGACAGTCAGACGTCCAGAAACGACTTCGCCATATGGGTTGTTCGCGTTTCGTAGTTGGACTGAATGTGCAAGCAAGCGCAAGTCGTGGCGCAACTGTTTGTGTCTAGTGGAAGCCACCGGCTCAAAAGGTATCCCACAAGGCCATTGCCCCAGTTCATAGCTGCCAGTGGCCCAGGACCACGATGGCCTTCGTTTGTCTTTTTGCGAGGTGGTGCCCCTCTCGACCCTCCAGACCAACCCTTGCGCTATGTTGACGCTCCATAGTCCAGCTAGAAAATGTCCACCGAGAACGCCGTGCAGGCCCTGACATATCCCTGAAAGAGCAGGCAGCTTGTCGGACTGGTATGTGAGCCTTCGCGAGGTGTACCGTTGGACCATTTTATAGTATTCGTCGAGAAGGTTGTCGTCGTCGTGGAGAGCGGTAGTATGGTGACCTCTCGCCGGGAGCTGGAAGACTTGACTTATGTGCTCATAGCGATCGAACAAGTGCCGATCTGGGATATGAGATGTTCCATCTGCAGCATCATAGCAATGGTTGCATGCCAGTAGATCTGCTCCGGTCCGTAGTACAGATGGCGAGATGATAATATTAGTTCTTGTAACGCCCATCCGCGCCTATTGAGGGGACCAAGGCGGAAAAGCGTTGAGAGATCATGCTTACTAGTCCACGGTAACCCAACGTTGAGCTGTCCTTCGTCTCTAGACTCAGGGCACCGTAACGGTATCGAGCGCAGTCTGGGGACGTGGCTGTTCTTCCGCAGAATACCACTTGTGCTATGTTTGCTTGCCATGGCGAAAATGGTGAGCTTCGCGTTGAGGTAGACCGAGCCCATGGCTCTAGCGTCTCTGGCCCAGTCCTCTCTGTTGTCTTGAATGATGCATAGACTGTCGATCCACAAATATCGAAATCCAAGCCGCTTTGCAATCGTGATGGCATCCTGAAAGTTCGCGGGTAGTGAGCTGTAAGGCAAAGCGACGTGATACTCATTACTGTTGGACAGAGTGAGTGGCTGCCACGAAGCAATCGATGATTCGGTACCCCAGCTATGGCTCAGAGCAACATACGGGGCACATAGGCTGTTCGTAACTGCAATGCGAGCTTCTTGCTGCGTGTTATCCGGGCCAAGGTCAATCACACCGGTTGGGAGTGGCATGTTGCCTTTCAGCTGGCACTCTGAGTGTCCTATCTCGCAACGCTTCAGCCATTCCTGAGCAATTGCGAGATTGGTATCCGAGCCAAGATCAAGATCCAATTCGAAGCGTCCTATCCCTGAGGTGTAGGCTTCTAAGGCTCCTCCTGAGCACAGGTTACGTATTAGCCGTACGATGCACGAGAGCACCACGCTAGGAGTAAAACTCACTTCGCTGCGTTGTGATACAGAGATCCAACTTCGTACGTTTCAGCCCTGCATTCTAGTAGAACGTGTCGTTGTTGGCCCGTACGAAGTGGACGTTGAGCAGATCGAAGGGTGTCCTATTCTCCTCGCTAGAATCGCTCCGAGCTAAGGTGACCCTGACAGCTGCGTTATCGGACTCTGCAACGGCATACAGAGAGCGAGACTCATGCAGCGACGGGTACTGGACTGCCGTTAGACCATTTGGCTCATCCTCAGTTGGTTGAGTGATGCTTGGGGTCATCGAGGCCCCTCGCCAATATGGTACGAGTTTTATACCTTCTAAGAACAGGCCACATAAGTCGCAACCCTGGTGAGCTGAGTTCCTAAGATCGCTGGCGGTTTTGTGGTGGTCATACTCAACTCGGTAACCACTTCCGTGATCTTTCGCCAAAGACAGAATAACTGCGGCCAAAGTAGTACAATGTGTGCAGCGTGCAGCTTTGGCAAGAGCATTGTTTGGATGAGGTCCGCAAGCATTGACCACCGCAACGCTCCCACGAGCAGGGAATTCAGTGGGATGATTCTTCAACCTTGAGGCCGTGTTGAGGCTTGTGCTGAATGCTTGGAAGCCAGCTGTGCGGTCACGTCGGTCCATAGGTACAGAGTCTCAGTCGAACAGAAACGCAAGTATAAATGACAATTTACATTCGCTTGATCCTTGATGCAAACAGAAACAGCTGTCGGGGATGCGAGATGAAAGTTTTTCTGCCCATCGCTTGTCGCAATAACCTCAGCTTTCTGGCGGGGCCGCAGCCAACATGGTGATTGTGACTACAGCCTTCTGCATCTGTTTAGCAAGCTGCAGGTGTGACTGAGGTGTAGGTACACGTACCTCCTCTGCACTATCATGACGCTGGGTATATGTGGTCACATCGTGGCAAGATAACGGTCAATGGAAGGGTTTTGACAGCATCAAAAGCGTCAATATGTGCATCTTAGTGCAAAACGGTGCTGTTGGCGTGACATGAAGTCGAGGGTCACGTGCATTCCATCATCACATGCCGGTTCCCTGCTTTCATGCAGGGTCCGAGCTCTGCCCTGGGGTTGTCGAGGGGTGAAACTGGGCAACAACGAAACAAAGGCGCCAGTGACGACGGCTGTCTCAGCCAACCACTGTAGCATGTAATCCGTCCATTGTCCTTCTAATCGTCTCGTCTTGTCTTCCTCAGTCCACCAGAGTGACACCAGTAACAACAACTTCAGCACTGCACCCCGCCGTAAGCAACACCAACAAACAAACCAGTAATCCAACCCAACAATGGCCGACACTACCACTACCCCGGAACCCGCCGTCGACACCTCCCCCATCGCCCCCTCCCTCGAACGCCGCAACTCCCTCGAAAAACACCTCCAACACCGCCCCGAAGAACAAGACCTCAAAGACCGACACATCCTCCTCGACACCACCGCCGCTCCGGCCCTGCAAGCCCGACAGCAAGAACTCGAGCGCCAGCGCATCACCGACAACCTCAAGAAAGGCTTGTCGAAGCGGCCGGAGAAGGAGGAGTTGATCGAGAAGAACATCTTGCCGGAGGGGACGGGGAGCGTGGCACCGGCGTTGCAGGAGCATCGGAAGGAGTTGGAGATGAGTATGCGGAGGGATAGCTTGGAGAAGAAAATTGAGGGGCGGCCGGGGAAGGAGGAATTGGTTAAGGAGGGGATTCTGAAGGGTGAGTTGACTCTACGGCTTGGGAAGTATATGCGTTTTGCTAATGTCTTGTGCAGAGAACGAGGAAGCTGTTGCGTAGTGGTAGGATGAGCTCTGTGACCGAGAGCTGAGAGGAGAGGCGAGGTGGCAATACCCAAAGAGACACGCGGAAAGCGGAAAAAGGCTACGGCGTGGATCTTTATGTGTCTTATGGCGTTAATGGTGACGACCACATTCTCTAATTGCTTAAATGACATGCAACGGCTACTTCTTCAAGTAGTACGCCAGATCAGCACCAGGCTCATACTCCAACTTCGTCCTTCCGTTGCCCATAAATCTGTCATCCACGTCAGCCTACCGTCTTAGTCCACAGAAAGGAGAACACTCACCTAAACCGATTCCTCGTCCGATACCTCACCTCAAAGTCCTCCGGCCTAATCTTCTCAATCATCTCCATATACCCCAACACACTCCCGGCCCACACAGCCGTCACCTTGCCATCCACGCGATGGTTCTTATACCAGCTCTGACATCCTCCACTCCACACCAGCGTCTGCATGATCTCGTCCGCGTACGCATTCAATTCCTCGACGACCTCGTCTTTCGGGGCGACGGACGCGATGTCTTCGGTAGCGATCTTGTTGATCCATTGGACCATGTACTCCGCGCTGAGGCCTAAACCGGCCATGAGTGAGCCGTGGCCGACGGGCGCGTTGGGGCCGGAGAACATGAAGTAGTTGGGGAAGTGTTGGCCTGCGCAGAGGGAGAGGTAGCTGGTAGGTTCGTCCTTCCACGCTTCAGCTAATGTGAGTCCGTCTCGTCCGATTAGAGGCCAGGGTGGGCGATGGTCGACCTGGAATCCCGTCGCGCAGACGATGGCGTCGACTTCGTAGAGCGTGCCGCCGCTTGTTCGAATACCCTTGGGTTCTATGCCTTCGATGCGCTCCATGACTAGGCTGACATTATCGCGAGTAAAGGCTTCGAGGTAGCCAGGGCCGGGTGTCGCTCGTCTACAGCCGACTTCGTAGTCTGGTGTGAGTTTGTTGGCTAGGTCCTCGTTGTCGCCGAGTTTGGCTCTCATCTGGTCTGCTGTAGCTTTCTTGCCTGCTATCTGTGATTTGCTGTCCTTAGTGAACATGTCAAACGCACGGTTGCTCTGCCCTTGGATCTCCTTGCGATACTGCTTCAACGCCTCTGGGTCTTCTCTGAATCTCCGTTTTTCCTCTTCGCTGTAATAGTACTGCACTTCCCCTCCGATCATACTCGACCCGAGTCCTGGCGTGATGTACGTTGGTCGTCTTATAAAGTTAGTAACATGCTCTGCAGTCTCCACGACCTTCGGCATGATCTGTATAGCACTCGAGCCATTGCCAATAACCGCTATCCTCTTCCCCGTCCAGTCAAAGGCCTTATCCCATACCGCCGAATGACACAAGTGCCCCTCAAAGCTCTGTATCCCCTGGATGTCTGGCCATCTCCATTCCGACAAGAACCCTACTGCGCTGACTAAGATATCGCACTCGTCATGTATCACCCCATCTTTATTCTTGACTTCCAACTTCCACCTCCCACTCCCTTCATCCCACTCAGCCTTCTGCACCTTATGCCCACACTTCGTCCCCCGATCTAAGCCCCACTTTTCAACCGTCCGCTTGAAGTACCGCCATATCTCCTCTCCACTCGCGTAGAAAGCACTCCAATCCGGGTTCGGCTCGAACGGAAACGTATAGATATGTGCAGGAACATCACACGCCACTCCCGGATAGGTATTGACCAGCCAAGTCCCGCCTAGGTCCTCGTGGGCTTCGTACATCACCAACTCGGACACAATGCCCTTGTTGATCAGGTCGTGCTCGTGGTGGATCTTGTAGGCTAGGTTCATGGCGGAGATGCCGGCGCCGATGGTTACGACGCGGAGTTTGCGGGTGGGGGTACGCATGGGTCTGCGGTAGAGGGGGATCCATGACGGAAGTAAGGGTTGGCCGTAGCGGGTTGGGGGGTCGGGGGTGGAACCGTTGGCGGAGTCGGGGGGGTTTTGGAGGTCGATTGTTGGGTCTTCGGCGAGCATGTCCGTGGAGGACGATGCGGGACCGAAGTTCATGTTGGCAGTAGAGGGAGGAGGACAAGATGGGAGGGGATATGTGTATGTTGTCTTTCTTTGCCGCAAGAGAAGAAGAGGAGAGTCAAATGAGTGTGGTGAGGTACTTACGATGTTGGAGAAACCATGCACATGCTATATGACGAGGCCCGAGGGCCTGTACTATTCTGCCGTGCATGGCATGAAGTAGATAACCGATGAGGGGAAGTGGTGATGCGCCGGAAATAAGGCAGCCATGGAGCTCCATCCTGGGCCTCCACGCGGTATGCAACCTCCTTCCGAATGTGATAGTGTGCGATTCATGCGTCAACATTATGGGAGTCGTCTAGGTAGATGTCGAGAGTGGTGGATGTTGGTGAATGAAGTCCGGCAGACGGCCATGGCGTTGATCTGCGGTTGCTGCATGTGACGAGACTTTGTTTTTCATGGCACGACACTTCATATTATAATACGACCATAAGACGCCCGACGTCGTTGCAGGCAAATATGTCGACTTCTCCGAAGCGCAAAAGCGAAGGTCCAGACAGCACCAAAGACACAGCCAAGCGAGCACGCGTGGAAGGCGACAGCGACAACGATAAGGCTGAGGAAATGCCCTTCACCACAACCACCAATGCCGCACCCGACTCTCAGATCGACCACAAGGCCGCAATCGCATATTGGTCCTCGACCGAACCCACCGTCAACGGTGTGCTCGGCGGCTACCCACAGGTCTCGCGCATAGACTTGCAGGGCAGCAGCAACTTTCTTGCGAAGCTACGACGACAATCGAAGCACTTCCCTCCTGGCAAGAAACTCGGGAGAGCAGTAGATTGCGGAGCGGGCATAGGCAGGGTCACGACGGGCTTCCTGGGCAAAGTGGCAGAAGTGGTGGACATCGTTGAGCCGGTTAAGAGCTTCACGGACGAGATCAAGGGCAAGGAGAACGTGGGCGAGGTCTACAACGTTGGGCTTGAAGAGTGGCATCCTCAGAAAGACGGCGTGGGACCGTACGACCTAATATGGAACCAGTGGTGTCTCGGGCAGCTGACGGACGCTCAGCTGGTGGAGTATCTGCAGCGATTACCTCCAGTGCTGAGTGAGGGTGGGTGGATTGTGGTCAAGGAGAATCTGAACAATCACCATCTGAATCAGGATGTGTTTGATGGGACGGACAGTAGTGTCACGAGGACGGATAAGAAGTTCAGGCAGTTGTTTGAAGAGGCGGGGATGAAGCTGGTGGCGACGGAGCAGCAGAGAGGGATGCCACAAGGACTGTATGCCGTGAGGGCGTATGCTTTGCAGCCGAAGGGGAAGAAGTGAGAAATACACCATACATATTGTGAGCATGCGGCAGGCGGGACTGGTCATCATTCGCGGGCCACAACGCGCTCCCAGGATCAGGATGCTTAACCCCTGAGCAAGTGTTCGGGCTGCACTCGCTAATTCCTGGCCTTCGCTATCATCGGCACAAGATCTCGGCATACCTGCGCTTCCCAAATGGCTAAGGACTGGACCTGTCGACACACAGTAGACGACATCCGCGCGTGGCCAAGTGAGCCGCAACATACTACAAGGACACCCGCTGTGAGCGAGGACAGAACCTCGAGAGAGATTTGATAACTGCTGCTCAGGCGTCACCAACGATGTCGGTATCAAAACCCTCGAGGACTTATGCGTAAAGAAGAGTAAGGCTAAGTCACTCTGCTTGAGCGCCGCATGCCTTGACGTCTTCCCAATTTCCTTCATCTCTAATTGTATTCGCTCACTCTCTGTCGTTTCGATCCGAGTGTCGGGGACGGAGACGATATCGCAATGATCGCAGGGGCATGACGTTGGCTCGGGACGCATTAATTCGTTCTAGGTCTGCGTTGTGCTTAGGAGAGCTTGAGCACCTGTCCACTTTCAACTCTCATGTATCGGGAAGTGCCTGGTGGTGTCGTCAAATGCTTCCGTCGTACTTAGACGTCTCCCATACCGTGGTGTGATCGAAGAAACCAGGGATGGGATCGTTTCACTCTTGAATGGCTCCAAGCCGCACACAACTGCAGGAATTGATATGTGTAGTCCCGCTCCCATTCAAGATATTGATTTTGCCTCTTCATCTTGATGTTTGCTGTTCTTGTGCTGTCGAAGGTGTCGTCGTTGTAGTTCGCCTCAACATGGGTGGTTGATTCGGCTTCTTCCGAAACGCACGGACAGATGGCCGAAAGTGGCAGCAGCGAAGAACAGGAGAACCAACCTCATCTTGACATCCAATGGAAGAATAATCACGATCTACGAATACTGAAGACATGGCGGCCGATGCTGGAGGAGTGGTCCACGCGAGCAATATACGGCCGCCCGCACCCACGGCAATACCACCGTCGGAGAAGCCAAAATCAATATGGACACGTCGGCTGATTATACTCGCCTTTTGGGCTGTTGTAGTCGCTTTCGGAGTGCCACACTGGATTCAAACCACTTCTATACATCGCTCGGATCTTCCTTTGGAGTCAATGAGTAGCTGGGCTGAGGGACAGGTGCGCGCCGTACCTCCAATGGCTCGGCTTGTGCTGATTCTTTTCGCAGGCCTGCAAGCTGGACTATCCGATATACGTTCGCTTGTTTTCTGATGATGACCGGGAACAAGCTACTAAGGTCGCAGCGGAAGTTCAGAACCTTCTAAGGGCTGACAATGACCTCTCATTGTATAATTTTTATGTTACGCAGGACGATTCCAACGCCACAATTGCTATGGACGCTCTCCACTCGGTACAGCATACGAGCTACGAAACTGTTGAACACAGGGAGCACCATCTCACAGTCAGCATCAAGGAAGATTTGAACGTGAAAGCTACGGAAGCTTCTCTATGGTCCTGGGTTCCGCTACTTGAGGTTCGCCACAGCCCTGGAAAGTCTGCAGATCCAGCGACACTGGCCCCGTTCATCTCACAAGAGATACGTAAGATATTTCGGGAGGAGCAAGGTACTATTTCTTCTATGGTAGATGAGACCGCGTTCACGACACACCGACCAGCAGGCCAGCTCTCACCTGAAGCACGGGCGACCTTGGACGGAAAAAAGACAAGAGCATTCAAGTATGCCTCTGACTACCACTTGACATTCTCAATGTTCACTTCCTCCGCCACTCCATCCTCGTGGGACATTGAGGGAGCGCTGGAAAATACCATCAATCCACTCATTGCCCGCTTTTCGTCCATCAGCAAATTCACCGTCGACACCCAGGTACAGCTCTATGCATCTTTCTCACCTTCCATCGCCGGGCCGCTATACGATGAGTCCACCCGAGAATGGCAGCTGCAAAGATCGGATCTGAGCGGCTTCATCAATGCCGCCGAGTGGCCACTCAGCCCCGGCATCGGCGCTGGACCTACCATCAACTTCGTGCTCTTCGTGCCTTCGAAGGACCAGAGTCCGTTGGTCATCGCAGAGACCGGCGGTAACAGCTGGCTCATTCCGCAATGGGGCGGCGTGCAAATCCTCAACCCTTCTGGAAAGCAACCTGAGAGGCTGTCCGCAAGCGACCTGGAACCCGTAATGCTCACCTTCGCCGATCAGCTCTCTTCGCTCCTCGGGCTGCCCTCATCTCCGCCCTCACTCGCCCTCCGCATATCAAGCCTCACCCGCGAAAGAGCAACCTCTATTATCATCTCAGCTTCGTCCACTCTTGGTGCACTGGCAAGACTCACACTCAAGCTGAAGTCGATCGCTATACCTGAGTCAGTCGCCAAGTCGGTGGACCAGACAATTCATCATCTGGATCAAGCTTGTCGGGGTCTGCAATCAGGACAGTATCACGAAGCGCTTGAGAACGCGAGGACTGCCGAAGAGGAGGCTGAGCAGGCGTTCTTCGAACCATCAATGGTTGGGCAAGTCTACTTCCCGGACGAGCACAAGGTCGCGGTGTATGTGCCTTTGCTTGGACCCATGGCAGTACCGCTGATCATGGCGTTGGCAAAGGAGCTGAGGGAGTTCATCAAGAAGCTACGGGAGAAGAGAAGTGGGAAGGCGAAAGACGAGTAATGTAGAACAGTGTAGTACTTGCTGTTCTATTTACGAGCTATGAAAAGATTCCCAAGCGCCAAACTCCTGCCCTTCTCTGAGCAACAAATGCAAATGACGCCAATGCATTGACTGCAAGCTGCAGTACATCCTGGATGCCGTCTTCGAGAGGTGTTGGAATCAAGTCTCGATGTCGGCCTCGTCACTGAGATTGGGTGATGTGCGCCGCCAATACAGCGGTCGTGGATGGCTGATCAGTCTGGTCATGCTTTGGGAGACTCGATGCCAATTGATGGGTTCTTCTCTGGCGCTGGAGTGGCATGGCCGCCGGTACAGCGACTGTGCTATACTTGTTTCCTCGCTGCTTTGACCGAGAACAAGCACATGTCGATTTCAAAATGGTGTCGATTCTCGAAAAATCAGATCAAGTCGCCGCCAGTACAGCGAGAGTGCTATGCTGATTTGCTCACCTGATATCCGGGAAGAGGCCGGCGTGCCTTGACCGGTTTGGCAATCTCCTTGATGAACGCATCGATGCCGTCTCTCGTGGCCTCAGCACCCATACTAAACACACCACCGTTCGACAGATTCCAGTACATGTTGAACTGACCCGACTGACCGTAACAACGACGATGGTACTTGGCCCTTTCGAACTTGACGTAGTCGTTGTTCCCGGCCCAGTCGTTCTTCTCGAAATCGAACCATTTCATGTAGTCGATCCTGACGGTTCGGAGGTGCATGTGCTTTTGGATGAAGCGGGCTACCATCGACCACTGCTGACGACTCTTGGCCGCGCCCATGCCTCCAGAACCGACGAGGTAGATGTCCTGAAGGACCAGACCCCTGAGAGTGTGGCGGTGATGACGGAGCAGCGCCATCAACGAGGGCGCCGTGATCGCGAGGTTGCGCAGCTCGAGCATCTTCAACCCCGGCAGCCTGAGGGCTGTGATCGACGGCGTCGTGACCAGCGCGAAGGCTGCGGATGATGTGTCGACCATGGACAGCTCTTTGACTTTGGCTGCGGCGTCGGGGAGACCTTCCTGCAGGCCGAGGACGAGGTGATTGAAGAACTGATCGGCGGTCAGGTCTTCGTGGTCACGGAAATCGATCTCCTCGCTGATGCTGTCACGGAGGGTGCGGTAGCCCATCGTTGCTGCTGAGTTGGAGGCGAGGCGGAAGGACATCAGGTCTTGAGCGTCGAGGTTGGAGGCGATCTGCTCGCTGATTTCGGCGGGGATGTTGGCGAGGAAGTCGAACCCCGAGGGCATGACTGTGGCCATGACTTGATCAACGGTGACGGCTGGTGCCTTGCGAGTAGCAGACATGGTGGCATGCATGGTGGATGTTTGTTGAAAGGGTTGTTGGTGAGGTTGCTTGACTTCACGACGACGGTCGAGTGAATGGTGACTTGGTTGTGAGTGGATGAGCCTGAAAGGTGATGGTATCTCTGAGACTTGTATCGAACGTGTGAATTATCTGCTACTCTGTGCGGCAGGGCAACGCTCTTTATGCAACTGAGAGTCGACATTTTCAATACAGTTCTGAGGATGGTTCACGACACAACGATTAAAGTTTCACGCAACCAGCGCAAAGTCTGGGTGAGCAACAGCGGTAGCCAATACACTCGGCTCATTTTGAACAGAGTTCATTTTGCCTGCTACCTTTGATATCGATCAGGGCAACACTCGCTCATCGAGGGTCGTCCTGCTGTTGGCTCCCGGTCTATTGGTGGCCATATGTTCGGGCTCGTTGTGAGTCGTTATGAAATCATTGCTCTTGCTGCACGCAGTGTCGACGACACATCAACACCACAATCGATGCCGGACACTCTACTGGCAACGGATCGATTCAACATGGTCTGCTACGGATGATGGCACCGACGATGGCTCTATTGAGCGTCGTGGTGGCCTCTTGTCATTTGTGGTCATTGGGAATTGTGCCAAACCCACCGTCCACTCAGTGTAAGAATCAAAAGACGACGGCAATAGCACATTACGCGCAACCGACGCTGAATATTCTACCAATATTCCGTCAAGACTCTGATATGTGCTTGACTCGAGTGACTTTTGGCGGAGACGTCCCTGCATCAACGGCCACAACCGCCGCACGATTTTGACAGCCATTAAGGTTTAGTGCGCGAAAATTAGGCTCGATCAATTGGCTTGGCTCAAGCAGCTGGAAACCTAAAAACGGCACCTCCACCTCCAGCTACACAATTACGCCTCATCACCTGAACTTCAATCAATCTTAAGACGCAACCTGCAAACATGACAACTCCTGCTCTTGATCAACTCCCTTTCACTATCGACAACATTCCATACGGTACAAACTAACCCATCACACTGAAGTCCAGTCCAGCTACTAAACGCCGCCATTCTAGGCGTCATCAGCGCGAAGTCGGACGAGTCCCCAAGATGTGCTACAGCAATCGGTGACTCGGCTCTCGACCTTTCAAAGTATGCAGAGAGTGGCAACTTGTCGAGTCTGGAGTCCGGACACAACTTCTCCTTTGCCAAGGTCTTTGCTGAGGTACTTCCAACGACACCACTCTCTGAAAACCACTCATTGACCGATGGTTAGCCTTGTCTCAATACCTTTGCTGCACTTCCATGGCCAATCAGGCGTGTAGTCCGCGAGCAGATTCAGTCTGATCTGAAGGAGGGCAAAGTGCCTTCGTCATGCTTCGTGCCGCTCAAGGATGTTGAGAACCATCTGCCAATGAAGATTGGTGGCTACTCGGACTTTTATACCTCTCTTGAGCACTGCCAGAACGTATGACTTCCAAAAACACGCTTGTGTGTGTGCAGCAGCTGACGATCAACACAGTGCTCCGCTGGCCTCAGCAGCTCCAGCATTCCAAAGAATTGGCAAGTCTGTAGCGTATGCCTCGCCCCGTCAAGCAGCTAACAGAGAACGCAGGTTCTACACTCCTTCGGTATATAATGGACGGCCATCTTCGGTCGTCAAGTCGTCGATAGACATACCTCGACCACAGAATGTCTCTTTTTCTGGAGCCATTGATTCTGAGCCAGTTTTTGGGTATGTCAACCATCACTCCGGACATAGACAGATGCTGACTGGATGACAAGACCGACGAGAAGAATGGACTATGAGCTCGAGATGGGGTATTTCGTTAGCAAGCCAATACCTTATGGCGAGCCGATGCCGATCGAGGAAGCCAAAGACCACATCTTTGGTTTTGTTCTGTTGAACGACTGGTCTGCCAGAGACCATCAGCTCTTTGAGATGCGGCCTCTTGGTCCTTTCCACTCAAAAGGATTTGGTACGCCTATCAGTCTTGTGAGTTGCCAAACAACCTTGATACTGATCAAAACACAGGCACGAGCATAAGCAACTGGATCACGCCGATGGAGGCTCTGGAACCCTTTTCCTGCCCTCCCAACACCAAACAAGACCCACCTCCCTTCAAGCATCTCACTTGGCCTACACCAGAAGACGCCGCACTCAATGTGAGGCTTCGTATCAAGCTCATTAGAGATGGCCAGGAAAAGACAGTCGGCCGCAGCAATCTCAAATACATGTACTGGACGCCGTACCAGCAGTTGACCCACCACGCAAGGTCAGGATGTGGTATGATGCCAGGAGATCTCATCGGTACTGGGACTATCTCTGGGAGCGGAACAAACGAGAAAGGCGAGAAGGCTGAGCTTGGATGTCTCTTCGAGGCTGCGCAAACAAAGACACAGGTTCTGCCGAAGGGTAGCGGACAGTATGAGGAAGGTTATCTTGAGGATGGCGACGAGGTCATTCTGGAAGGCTGGTGTGAGGACCAGAACGGAAAGCCTGTGCTTGGGTTTGGAGAGTGCAGAGGTCGCATCGTCGCTCCGAAGTAGAGTAAAGATGTGTAGAATCAGAGACAGAAGTGTTCTTCGTGCGTTATCTTTCATGCTGCCTTGTTTCACGCTAGTCCACTTTAAGACCACTGGAAGCGGAGGTGCCAGCGTTCGCCGCACACTTGACTGCTTATCTCACCTTTCACACCCTCAAAATCGCTGAGACAATCCACATCAGCACCAGAATGGCTCCCAGAATCCGACGTCTAGACAGGCCGTCAGCAAACAAGTTCGATCCAGCAGAGCAATACCGCGCTGAGATCGAAGAGCGCACTGCCGCCGGCGAGACTTGCGAACAGATTGCCGCAGCGCTACGCGCCCAAGGCACTCCCATCACTAATAAAACAATCTCCCGCCGTCGCGTACAATGGGGCCTCCGCCAAAGACCGCCGCACAAGTATGCGGGCATGAAGCATCCCAAAGCTCGCCCGAAAAGTGGCGCTAGAAACGCCAACGAGCAAAGCGCTCGAAAAGAGGACATTGCCGCTCGGACGCAGCGTGGCGAGACAGCAGAGCAAATTGCTGATGCCTTGACTGCGCAAGGTGTCCAGTTGAAACGGGGTTCTAGCACGATTTTGCGCCTGCAGACGTACTGGGGCTTGATTCCGTTTGATGATGATCGCGCGCGGGGAAGGCATGCGACGAAGAAGCGCGGGGATAGGAAGGAGGTGAGGGAGGTGCAGAAGGCCAGTCAGCGGGAGAGGGAGAAGGAAGCCAATCGGGCGCAGAGGAGTGGGAATCTGCACTATCCAGCTGATTGCTCTTTTGGGCCGAAGAAGAGGGCTAATGGGGAGCTGGACGACGGGGAGGAGTTTGATGATGAGGGCGACGATGGGGCCTTCAGCCCTGATGCTGGCTTCGTGGGTAGTGTGGGTGAGGTGTTTGGTGAGCCGCAACCCAACGATGTCGCTCAGCCGATGCAGGATAGAGTGAGCGTTGCTGCCGAGATCATGTCCGTGGACTTCTTGGTGGATCTTGCCACCAGTACACTCGGTGCGGCAAACAACCTCAAGGCAATGCTGCTGGCATATCAGACAAGGGTTCCGGCGGCCGGCTCTACGACAGGCTTGCCTCCCACACTGGAAGACTTGTTGACCGCGAGAAGGAAGGTCAGGGAGGCAGCGGCCGTGATGCATGACCTTGCCGTCGATCCTGCTGGTGAATAGGCTGTTCGGATTCTTGGAGGAGCCATGCGGGTTTGCTACTCGAAATGACTGCCGTTGACAAATCCACTGTCATCGCTCTGACACAGCAAGGAGTCAGGAGTAGCAACATAATGGTCCGAACAGCCAACAGGAGCCAATGTCCGCGATATAAGCCCACATCGTCGGCATCAGCACTCTTTGACATCACAGCGTCACATCAACATCTTGCGCATCGACGATCCAGCCACGTCAAGCACTCCATCACTACGAAACGACAGATCGCAGAGGCCCTTTCTATGACCTCGAACAAACGGACGATGGTTTCATGAGACTAATGGAAGAATTACCACTGAGGTTAGCAGCCAGGGTTCACGACTACAGGGGCATGGTGCCCAACATCAGCCAATATACGCCAGAAGGCCGGGTACAGATTCAACTGCTGCTTGTGGCAGCACGTGTTCACGATATGGAGGAACGGTTGAAGGCTGCAAAGCAGAGATCCGCTAAGCTGGAGAAACGGCTGAAAGCTGCAGAAGAACGTTCTTCACCGCTAGATGTGTTTTCTGGTGCAGTGGTGGAATCCATAGAGGATGCTTGGGCTGGGCAAATTTTGTTCTGCTTTCAACAGGATGTTGTGCCAAATTTGAGCGGAGCGAGTGCGGTTCATTGCAGCTTCCTGTAAGGTAGAGCTGGTCTCGATGTTTCTCGATGGAGTACGCAGTCTTGTACCGAACGCTGCGTTCTCTACGACTTCGTTTATGCCCCATTTCTATCGATCTTCCACACAATCAACTGCTGATCAAACCCACCACTGACCAACCACTCCTCCCCCACCACCTCACCGGCCCACAAACACCGTACTTTACTCCCTTCCTCGTGACCTTTCAGCACAGTCTTCACCTTACCCGTACTCGTTTCGATCCCTCGAATAGCCCCGTCGTCCCCATTAACAAAGACGCCGGTAGAATCGGGTCTCCACGCTATCGCGGGCGTGGAGTACGCCGTTTGCGGCGCCATAGTGTTGCAGTGGATCTGTATCGCTGCTGCTTCGCGATCTGCAATGGCGAGAGCTGCGCGGGCTTGTGAGGCTTGCGTTTCGGGGACGGGAGTGTCGTCAAGCAGAGATCGCCTGACCGTGGGTGCTGCGGTGGGTACTGCTTCTGGTGCGAACGGCGGTATCAGCAGCCGGACTATGAGGAGTTTCATGTGCGGGAGCGAGTTCGTTCCGACAGCCAGAAGTGTTGGGTCTGCAGGACAGAGAGCCAGAGCTGACGGCGTGAAGGCGACCCAAGCGTTCGAGTGCGGTGCTAGGTTTTGTTGACCGAGGAGGCGGGGCTCGCTTTCGGTGGTGTAGAAGTAGAGGAGGTTGGAGTCGGCGCGGGAGATGATCAGTATTGGCTCATGGGTGTCTGGGTGTTGCATTAGCAGCATGGCCTCTGGTTTGGTTGGTAGTGAGATGGTGGCAAATGGAGAGCGGAATTTGAAGGGTTGATCATTCCCGGGCGTGTAGATGTTGATCTCGCAATCCCATCCAGCCGTTGCAATTATATCGGACGGTGTAGTGTGTAGCACAGCAGCTTTGACGATGTACTTTGAGTGATCTGTACGCTTGTCGAGGACGTTGCCGTCGAGGTCGCTTGCGATAAGACGGCCGGACATAGACGCAGTGATCAAGACACGATCTCGCAGCACTACAGATGACAAGATGGGTGAATCGTGCAGTGTCGCGGTCGATGTCCTGAGCTCGCATGATGGAACGTCCAGGATGTGTAGTCGTCTGGTGGCGGAAGAGGCAAAAAGGTGTTGCTGCGATGGATTGCTGAGAAGTTAGCGCAGCACACCAATGGCTGGCCAGGATGGATATATACCCAGAGCTGGCAAGTGTTCCCACTGTCGCGCTCAGGAGGTTTGACTTTTGTGGCAAGTCCGGGATAGACATAGCTGTCGATGGCGCTGGGGAGAGAGTCAGACCCGTATCTTGAGCTACCAAACGCGAACCATACCGGGGACAGTCCATTCATGAACCTCATCTTCCACGCCCAACTTCTCGAACTGCACGCTCACGTCGAAGGTCTTCTTCTCTTCCAGCAAAACTTCCAACGTTAGATCTCCTTTGCCGACAGTGCCAGCATCTTGCGGCAGGCCTGCTTCACGGACGAACGCATCATATGACTACCCAAACTTCGTCAACATGTCAGCCTGAGCACATACTTGGGACAACAGTACGGACCTCTTCGTAGCGATTGGACTTGAGGAACCTTGCCACAATTAGAGCAGCTGAGTCCGCGGGAGGCATTTGGAGTGGTTCGGCCGAGCAGTGTCGGTGATGATGTGGTAGGCGTAGTCAGCTCGTCGTTGACTCGATACTGTGGTGTGAGTCGTCACACGAAATGGTCTATGTCGGAACGTGAGATGATGCAAGTTCAGACGGAACGGTCTAACCGCATTTAGAAGGAGCTGAGGGGGAGGCTGGGCAGTCCAGCTCAAGAAACTAGGGAGGTCGTACCGCAGCGCTTCGCCATAACTTTTATCAGGCGCTCAAGTATGTGGCCTTTATGGGGTGTGTCTCCTGATCCGCATGGATCAATGGGAATGCTCTACGTGAGGCTGCACCAGGCAGATAAAGTCGGCCATGGAGACGGTCGTACCCTTGTGGCTTTGTCGTCCAGTTGATCGGAGACAGACGAGCTGAACATGGAAAAGCAACAACAATCTTCATGCTCGCAAGACAGAGAATCGCTAGAGCCATTATCCGAAACAGCCCTGGCAAACCTGAATGGACCAGAGCTAACCATCAAGCGCACCGGGGCGCTCAAAGCCGACGTCGCCATCTTCAACGACCAACAGCAGCAGCTGTTCTTTGCAGATATCTGCGCCTACGGCAAGAAGCCCGACATCACCCTGCATCAAAACACGAAAGAAGGCCCAGTCGTCGCAGCAGCACACTACCGCTACGGCCGTTCTGTCAATGTCGGGATCGGACCCGACGACCTATCCATGACATGGGTAGAGCTCAAGCGACGCAATGTCCTGGAGACAAGAGGGTTTACGTTCGTCTGGAACGATACTGTTTATGCTCTTCGACGAGCAACGTTCGAAGATCACGGGTCGACTGGTGCTGGGCGATTGCTTCTCACGCACTTCAAGGTTGTTGAGGAGGCGACGGGAGAGATGATTGCACTGTATGTTAGTAAGCCTGTTGGGAAGACGAAAGGGACGCTGCGGCTGAAGAGTAAATTAAGTGGGGAGTTGAACGTTTTGTGCATTGTTGGAGTGATAGCGTGGCGGGACAAGATTCGGAGGAGGTGATCGCTTACGAGGGAACCTGTATGTGGTTGAGTGGAGCGTCTAATTACCACCGATGACTTGCTGGTGCCACCGCAGCCCGAGTGGAGTCTGTAGATGTAGAAAGCACCTGCTGCCGGTTGCTTCAATCACATCGAGCGGCTCTTCTTCGCCTTCTCGATTTCCGCATGCAGATCGTAATTCAGTACAGTCTTGAGAAAGAATGTACCAAAGAACTTGACTACGCTAGGAATCAGTTGAACATTCATAATACACGACAAAGATGGTGTTTAAATCAACTTACGCATAGCCCACATCATCGCATACATGAGCATCTCCAGGATCAGACCCATCTCACGAGAACTGTCCCCTGCTCGGTTTCCTGCATCCAGCACCTTCTCAACGTGGGCTTTCCGAACCTGCATGTACTGTTTGAATGTGTTGCTGAGTATTTCTAGCTCACTTTCGGGCTTTGTAAATCTCTGGAGGTTGAAGACGAGTAGGGATGCCAGGGCCTCTGCATCCTCCAAACACTGTGACACACCTTGTCCGGAAGATGATGGAAGCGCTGCAATATCGTCAGTGGCTTGTCTGCACTCTAAGCTACTGCAATGAAGTTACCGTGTGCAGCATCCCCAATCAAGACTACACGCTTGCCAGCCCAAGTGGGTGCTTTCGGACTGACGAAGGTTGGAGTCTTCAGAGCCACCTCAGAATGCCGAATGATCTCCATGATCGTAGGATCCTTCCATGAAGAGTGCCGTTTCTCCAGCTCTTGTTTCAGCACAGCAGCGTCCGGATTCGCAGACGGCTGCTCTTGCGCGGATCGAGACCACCAGAAAGCATTCTTTCCAGGCGGTAGGGTGGCCTCACCCTCGATATGCTTCTTGGTTGCTGGCGTATCACCGGTAGTATAAGGAGTGTAAGCGAAAAAGCCATTGGGACCGAACGTCATCACGGTCTGGCCATGGGCTGCTGGACCAGTTTCAGGCGGAGGTGGGAGAAAGTCGGTCGATACCCATCCTGCGACCGTGAACAGACCCCTTGTTCAGCGGTCAGATACCATGCGGGCCTTGAGCAGATTGAGGGCTGTTACCTGTACTCTGGAGCGTACTCATTCCCCAAGACCGCGCGTCTCGTCTTACTCCAGACGCCATCTGCCCCGATCACAAGATCGTATCTGCAGACCTCACCATTGTCCAGTTCAACAGTGGCATGCTCGGGTCCGTCTTCAGCCCTCACTACCTTTCGTTGGATAACAGAAGTCGTCGGGATACGTTCGTATAAAGCAGCAATCAAAATCTCGCGGAGCACCATAACACAGCAGTCCGGCTCATTACCTCGCAGGTCCGTGAAAGGCATCGCCCCTAACGTCCAGCCTCGTGCGCTCTTCATTACGAATTTCGAGGTGGGAAAGCCGTTTCGAAGGATCTGCTCATGCAGCGCTGGATCAAGGCGTCTGAGACTTGCCATGCCATTGTGTGCAAGTCCGTAGCCGCCTCCCGTCGAGGGAATATCGTCCGGTTGCCGGCCATGTAGTCGTGGTAGGCTGTGCGGCTCCAAGATGGTTATTTCGACGGCGCTCTTGAGGTCATTGTGCTCCTCAAGGTACTTCTGGAGGAACAAGTATAGACTGAGCCCGCTGATGCCTCCGCCGATGATTGCTATCTTCATTGTAATCTTTTGGAGACGACCAGTAACAAGTTGGTTATAGGCAGAATACTTCATCTCAACTTAGCTTGTATGTCTGGTCACACCGCGGACGTGCGAGAGGAGGGCTGGACGTCTCCATTCTCATCGTATTGTATCGCCTGGGAGTCACAGTCATTAGGCAACCATAGGCGATGATGGGCGACAAGGTGATGGTATGCAGTGCTCAGCTTGTCAAGGTCATACTGTACCTCGTGGTATTCACCCCTGCCCGACGGGCCAATGCGAAAGCGAGGTTTACGCGCTAGAGAACGGTGTCACACCACGCGTTTTGCTCTCACCACCGCTCCCAAGTCTCTTGATCACCTCGTCTCGAAGAGCTGCAGTACACCGTCCACCTCAGCTAAGCTCAGCTGTGCATGCTTCGCCCTGTCCGGCGCTGGCAATATGGCCGGCGCTGTACTCGTACGTCCGCCATGCTGCCTCCCATTTGAGTCAGCACATGCAAGCGGCGATGCATTTGAGAATCACGACATTCTCATCCGTCGTAGGCTCCCAAGGCACGGTAAGGCTTTTATCGTCCCATCTCTTCCCTTGCCCTTCAACCCTTTCTGTCAGCATGAGCCCCATGAACATCGCCATCCTAGGCGCCGGCATCACCGGGCCTGGTGTCTGCTCTTGCTCTCACCAAACACCTAGATCCAAAGCCCAAAATCACGATATTTGAGGTGCGAGATACGCCTTCAACCATCGGAGGAGCGGTAAATCTCACACCGAAAGCCTTGCGGTATCTTGACTACCTTGGCATCGATGCACGAGGACTGAGTGCTGAATGCAAGACAATCGAGCTCTGCGACCTGTATACAGGACAGAAATATGCTGAAGTCGACTTCCGGGGCGCTGACGGCACGGGTGTTGGGAAGGACGCCAGCAAGAAGTTCTTCTCCGCCCGCGTGCTAAGGCGTGAGTTGCAAGCAGCCTTGCTGAAAGCTGTCAAGCAACGGGCCAATGTCAACGTCCTCTGGGGCAAGCAGGTCGAAACGATCGACGAGAGACAGGCTGAGGATGACGTTCAGCTTACATTCAAGGACTGCGAGCAGACGACTTGCGACCTTCTGCTGGGCTGTGATGGCATACACTCGGCTACTCGCACGCTGCTGATTGAACCAGAACGCCAACCGACATACACCGGCATTTCCGTGTGCATGGCCATGGCGAAGCTTCGACCAGACACCTACCTGAGATGGGAAACCACAGCTCTGGTCAGTTCTCGCCAAAGAAGCTTCATGGCCAGCTACTTCGAAAGGTCAAGAACTGAGCAGTAAATCACTGCGGTAATGGAGATGGACAAGATCGCCAGTGGAGAGGTATGGAAGGTGCGCGGATCAGATCAGGGTGTTCTCAAAAACGGTATCTTAAGACGCTTCAAGTCCGAGTCGATGCCGGAGCTTGAAGAGCTTGTCGAGGCAGCTGGGGAGTGGACCTTGTATCCAGTCCATATACTGCCAGCGAAGGGCAAGTGGCAAGTCCAGGTGGAAGGTGCATTTTGTTGGGCGACGCTGCGCATGCTGTAAGAATATTCAAGGCCTCACCCCGTGAATCGACTGACTGATTCAAGCCAAGATGCCACCACAAGGCGAGTCCACAGGCATCTACATCGAGGATGCCTTGTTATTCAGCAGGGCATTGGTGCAGCATACATCCGGCGACTTCTCAGACATTTTTGCGGCCTACCAGAAGCTGCGCCGTCCACAGATCGACGCGGCATACACACAAGCCGTGCAGCGCTGGGAGACGGTAAAGGATAGTGATGCGTTGGCGTTTTGGTTCATGAAATCTTTGACTCCATGGTTCCTGTGGTGGACTGCTAAAGCTCGGGAGAACGAATTTGCTGCAGACTACTCGGACTATCAGTTCGTTTTGTGATCATCAGTATCTGTTGGCCCTCAACTGCAACTCCGGCGGGCTCGATTGGCAATACCAATGCCCTAAAGCCAGCTTTACACCTTCACAAGATGTTGCTCCAACAAACCTTTCACCTTGTTGATTGGAAACCCCTCAATCTTAGTGCCATTCATTGCCACAACACCATCAGCTGCCCCGACCATGCTATTCAGAATCGCCTCCTCCACAGCTTCGGCGCAGGCATAGAAGAACGGATCGATCGATTGGCTTTTCACATACTCTGTGGCGTAGGTCTCGATCTTCTGCCTGTCCGACCCTTCCCTGACTTCTGGACCAGAAGAAGCTGTGGACAGCGCAACGAAGATGTCTCCTGAAGAGTTGCGGCCAACACCGTACGACCCGACTTGACATAACCCGACGGTGATGTGCCTTGCAACGCGGTCCAACTCATTGGTCGTAAGCGGGGCGTCGGTGACAACCAAGATGATGATCGAGCCGTCCTTCGTCCGTCCTGCTGGGATGTCCTCAAGTGCACTGGCCTTGATTGTCTCAGAAGTGCTTCCAGCTTTGGCCTGTTTCTTGAGAATCTTGCCGATTGGTACTCCGCCAATGACAAGATCCTCTCGCAGTCCATAATTGGACTGACAAAGTGCGGCGAGGGTATACTGTTTACTCTTGTCGTCTCCTGGGTTGACTGTTCTGCTGGAAGTGCCCGTGCCACCTGCGAACTGAAGCATATGTCAATCATGGGTTAATCATGCAGTGGGTTGGTTTTTGCAATCTTACTTGATGGCAGGTCATACCGCATCCGCCACCTTTCTGCCCTTCGTACACCTTCGCACCGTCCTCTCTACTTTTGAGACCATCGAAACACCGTTTGATATCATCACGTCCGACCCGTGTGGACGGGACTTCCTCGTTGATAATCCTGAGAAATTTCAGTGGAGGTTCATCGACCTGAATCCGTGACTGGATAACTAACATACCAATCGCAAGTCTCACCTACAACAGGCGTCCCAAAATGCTTCCCAGCCGCATCCCAATCCCACCCGATGCGTTTTTGCTGCTCAAGAGCCCAGTCCCAGCTGGCATCGAACACACTACCCAAGCTCAACGAATTGGTAAAGGCAATAGGAGTGTTCGTAAAGCCCCAATCAGCAATCTGTCTCGATCCAGTAAACTCGCCATTGCCGTTGAAGCAGAAAGTACCTGCTCGGCAGGGTTGATAATATTCCTTCGGTGGACGTGGGGAGACGACAGTCACGCCCTTGGAGGCTGTTGATTCAGGATTGAGGTTTGCTGTAGTGGGGACGGTTACTTGGGATATGTGCAAGCCATCGATGTCAAGGATTGAGTTGGTTGGGCCTGTGGGCAAGATGCCTGGGGTGTAGCCAAGGTCGCGAATACGCATGTTGGAGATTGAGTAGAGTAATGTATGGTTGAATGTGTTGTTGTTGCTGAGAGGAAAGAGCTCGAATAGAGATAGACTTGCATTGCCTACCAATGTTTACTGATAAACGGTACTCGGAGTGTTTGATTGGCGGCGTTCGGACTTGAGTCATCCGGGAGTTGTGGTGGTGAGCTTGTTGGGTCGTGCGCAAGAGTCAACCATTGCTACGATACCGGTCATCACATGGTATCGATTCTTGCATTCACTTCAGCATCCACTGGGATGGCTGCCAGCGGATGATGGTCGGCGACAGTCACAGTAGAGCATGATGGCTGATCATGAAAGGGAGTCGACGTGCGGTCAATTGAAGACACACCAAAAGACTGTGGATCGATCCTGCCCAATCACTTCTCACAACGGTCTCGAATGACCAGGGTCATCAGCATCCAGATATAGCAGGACACGAGTTTGGTATAGCCCGCTGACTGAGCTGACTGAGTACATCCCGCTGGCAGCCATACCATCACCAGAACGGAAGATCGGGTGAAGCGGAAGCTGGATGACCACTCGAAAACGGATATGGCGAAGTTTGCGTGCATACCAGGATCCACATCACCGAATGTTCCTCCGCACATAAAGACTTCGTGGTGCGTCCGTCGCTGGTATCCCTCTGAAGGAGGCTACTCTTGCTGTATGAGAGCGTCACCGTGGCATCGGGCAGGCTCAGCTGGACGAAGAGCTTCTAGGGCTAGTCGCGCATAGGTAAGTATATAAGAGAACTGATCTAAGTCTTCCTGGCCTAGAGCAAGTCGGGTCCGCGAGTACAGTATCTTCGCATTCACATCATTTCTGGGAAAGATGGCACGACCCTACTCTACCCTGCCAGCTGGCGTGAAAGCAGCATCAGAGGTTTTCAATGTCTCAATCCCGGAAGAGAAGGTCACCGAAATGAAACAGTTGGTCAGGCTGTCGAAACTCCCACCACGGACGTATGAGAGCGTTCAATCTGATCGTCGGTATGGAGTGACGAGTGACTGGCTTCAAGAAGCCCGAGATGCGTGGCTTGAGTTTGACTGGTATGTGTTTCGCATCTCATCCGTATGAACATTCGCTCACCGGCGTGAAACAGGCGCAAGGTCGAGCAAGACATCAACCAGTTTCCAAACTACGTCATGCCCATCCAGCATGACGGCGACAGCCTCAATATCCACTTCATTGCTCTGTTCTCTGAAAGGAAGGAGGCAGTTCCAACTTTGTTCCTACACGGATGGCCTGGCTCAGTTCTCGAATTCGTGCCCATCCTAAAACTACTGATGGAGAAATACACCGCTTCGACCCTGCCATATCATGTGGTAGTGCCGTCAATACCCGGCTATGCGTTCTCCTCTCCGCCACCAATTGACAAAAGCTACGGCCTGGAGGACATGGCCGCCATCTTCAACACGCTCATGAGACATCTCGGCTTCGAGGACGGCTACGCAGTACAAGGCGGCGACATCGGCAGCAAGGTCGCCAGAGTAATGGGTGCTCTCCATCCTGGCGTCAAAGCAGTTCACATTAACTTCTGCATCATGCCCGATCTAGGCAACATTCCCGACTCCGAGTACAATGAATTTGAGAGGGAAGGCTTGCGGCGCAGTGCAGAGTTCAAACGCATCGGCGCTGCATATGCCACGGAGCACGCTACGCGCACGAGCACTATCGGAGCGGTACTATCGAGCTCTCCGCTCGCTCTGCTTGCGTGGGTGGGGGAGAAGTTCTTGGAGTGGACAGACAATGATCCAGCAATGTACACCATCCTCGCCGATATCAGTCTTTACTGGCTGACCGAGTGTGCGGCGACGTGTCTGTACCCCTATCGTCAACTCTTCACACCTGGGTACGTGGTGGCTCACGAGAAGAAGGAATGGCGGGTCAAAGGCGCATTAGGATTCTCTTGGTTCCCGAAAGAAATTGCTCCTGTGCCTCGAGCGTGGGCTGCGACGACTGGCGATTTGGTCTTTTGGCGCCAACACGAGAAGGGGGGCCACTTTGCTGCGCTGGAACGGCCGCGTGAGTTGCTGGGAGATTTCGAAAACTTTGTTGCACAGGTGTGGTAGATCAGACTTCACCACGCTCGGGCTGTGGAATGCCTACCGCACTTAGGTTCTTTTGCTTGCAAGTAGATGTCAAAAATCACAATACAGCAACCGTGCGTCCAGTGGCATAGCTTTCTGGTTGTGAGGCGTAAACCTGACGCCTCCAATCTTGGCTGATTAGACCCATGACAAACCATCCGTCTTCGTTCCGTAGGACGCTCTTCTCTACTCGACGCGCGCAATGAAACACCAAGACTGTGCCCTTTGCGAGCTAGGGTTCTCTGACGGCAATAATGCAGTGAGACTCGGTAATGGATCCGATGCATTGCATTCCCATGGATTACCGCACTACCTACCGCGAGCGCCCCTTCGAAGCGCAGCCGAATGGCAAGGCTTCATTCCCCCTAGCAAGATCCCAATCAACCATCCGTGGCTCTCGCGGTACTCAGCCTCCGCCCTGCTATTTTTCGACGGCGCATCACCAGCTGCTAATCACATCAACACGGAGACCAACGAACTTGTAGGCAATCTATACCAGCGCCCATCCTTCCGTATCGGCTTTGGGCGGGCTGCTCACGCCGGTGTGATCCGAGCCTTCTGTGAAGCGTTCATCCAATCGCAAGGACACAACATCTCAATAGGACTCGTCCAAAACAACTCCCGCCAAACCCTTGCCGCCCTGTTGGCAGATGTAGTCCAGGTGGCCATCTCCGATGAGCCTCATCATGTCAATCTAGCCACCGGCGAAGGATGGTGCGAGCCAATTCGTCCCGTCTTCAACGACCACTCGATACTCGTCGGACCTTCAAACGACCCAGCAGGTGTAATCCGGCTGAACTCACTTGCAGCCGCTCTCCGTAAGCTTGCGCGATCCACGCCCTACGAGCAAAACAGATATCGACAGATGCTCTTCCACTCGTGCGGCGACGGGAGCGCGACATTCTACCGCAAGCTGGAACTCTGGCACTCCGCGGGCATAGACACTTCGCACGTGGAATGGGCGAAGGCTTATGCTCTCGATCCTTTCGAGGCGTTGATGAAGGCTCAGCGTGAGGGAGCGTACATTATGACCGAGAGGTCGACCTATCTGTTAGCGAAGCACGGCGCTTACATACCGAGTCTTCGAGTGTACATCGAGGAGGATCCGGCGCTGGTTATATCCTGCTCTGTTGTGATGAACAGGGTGACGACTACTCACAATGCTACCGCAAGGCAGTTTGCTGAATGGCTCGGCAGTGACTCCGCACAACATATCATCACGACGTTTGGACGATCCCTCAGCTACTCCAAATCAATGTTTACAGCCGCCGCAGAGCCACACTTCGAGTACGGGCGGAGATTGAAGGGCAAGCTTTGAGCAAGGCTCGCCGATAGAGGCGGCACCTTATACGATCTAATGAGACTGGTTGGAGTGATTCTGATGGTTCTGTGCACCGAAAAGAGAACTATGCGTCAAGAGACGTTGAGCGACGAAATCTTCATCGGAAGCACGATATTGTTCAACACACAACACGGAATTCCGCACTTGAACTCCCTCCGATGCCGAACGGCACAACTGCAAGGCACCGGAGAGCGATGCTGTGAGGTTCGCGGACGGTTCGTGTTACTTGGTACTCCTCGCCATGTCGTCCGGAGCAACCCTGAGAACAGGTTCCTCGTGGCTGCTGTGGACCGAGAACATGCTCCGTTGACGGCCGATCTCCTTGCGAAGTTTCCAGCAGTCCTTGTGAGCCTTGATGACATCCACCACGAAAGGCATTGGCCCTGCCAGTTACCCGCCAGGAGTCAGTCGTTCCAACGGTCGCAGACCGCTCCACTCAGAAAGACTAAAGTCGGGGTAGACACTGTCTCTCCTTTGATCGCTCAAGCAGCTCTGCCAAATCCTCCTTCCACACCTCAGCAACCGAGTGCGTTCCATGACCGACAGTTTTCTCCGTTATCGGCTTCACAACAGCCTTACCATTCTTGACATTCTTGATCTCTTCCTCCAAAATACGCAGTTCCGGCGGGTTGACCTGGTCGCAGGCAAAATTGACAGCCGTAAGAGGTGCCTTGATATCCCTCAGCCCGGGTCTGGGATCATAATCATAGCTCGCATCGAAAGCATACGCCATATCATTGGCATCCCTGTCCATGGCAGCAACCTCGATCCAATTATCGATGAACTCGTCAGCACTCTCTCGGTCCGACGCTGCCTTTTGCCATTGGTGCGGCGCACTACTCATCCAAGCCAGAACATGAAGCGCCGCGTCAAAACCTCTCGGCTGGACCTCGTAGTTGCCGTCGGCGAAGCCTGGATCCGTCCGAATGCTGTCAATAGCATGTTTTCTGATCATTCGATTCCGACCAGCAATCTGAGCCGGTAGACTCGCTAGAGGGAACAGAGCGTCCATGAAGTCTGGATACGTCACACCCCATAGCCAGGTGTGCATACCACCCATCGATGTTCCAGTCACGAGTCTCAGGTGATCGACTCCCAGATGCTGCGTCAGAAGCATGTGCTGTGCTCTCACCATGTCGCGGTAACCGTACCTTGGGAATTGGTTGCGGAGGCCGTTCGATGGCTTTGTGGAGCCTGCGTGGCCAATGCCATCCGGAAGGATGAGATAGTACTTCTCAGCATCAAGCAGTTGGCCGGGATTGAAGAGCTCGCCAGCGTAGACGTTTTTGAAGAAGTTCGCGGAATTTCCGGTGGTTCCGTGCATGATAAGGACTGCATTGGTTGCTCTGCCGTCTTCATCTTTCTCCAACCTGCCGAGAGTGCGATAATGTATGCGGAGCTCCTTCAGGTTGTTGCCATCGCTGAACTGGAAATCGTTGATGATGAAGTCGCCCTCCTCAGGTTTCGGCCATGTCCACGCGCCGCCCTTTGGTTGAGCCATGTCGCTGCCCCGCGCTGTCGTCCAGATCTGTTCAAATATCGATGGAATATGGTGTCTGTATGGATTTCAATATGGAACGAACGGATGCTTCTCCAAGCCTTCGACATCGGAGCTCGTGTCAATCTTGCCTCAAAGAAGAAGTTACCGACGATACCTCTGATATGCGAGTCAGAAGTTGCACAAGCGGCCAGATAACGACGGCGAGTTCGGCCAGCTATGGTCTTGGTACTCAAGTCGATATACTATGTGTCTGTAAGAAGACTTGGGAATCGTCACTCTTCAGGACATTCTCGATCTCGCAAATCGATCAACACCTGACTCCCACCAGGGCACGATTGTGTGGCCGGAATGGACGACGACAAGAGAACGGACCCCAACATCAATTCAGTTGAGAATGGAACAAACGAATCTGCCAACGTCTATCACATCGATCCAGCTGAGGAGGCCAGAGTCCTACGCAGAATCGATTGGTGTGTGATGCCGGCAATGGTCACCTGCTTCTTCTTTCAATTCCTGGACAAACAAACCATCAACTACGCCTCTGTGTTTGGATTAAGTGAGGATCTCGACTTGTCCGGCTCCGACTTCAGCTGGGCCGTCTCGGTATGAACCCTGTGGACAAAACCACAACATGTCTGAGACATCCGCTGACCCTTCTGTGTTTCTGTTTGCAGCTTTTTTACTTTGGCCAACTCGCGAGTCAGTACCCGACTGCATATCTCATCAGTCGCTTTCCCGTTGTCAAAGTGGTCTCGTTGACTATTGTGCTCTGGGGCGCCATGGAAATGTGCCTAGCAACTCCTCAAAGTGCAGCGGGACTCAACGCCGTGCGATTCCTCCTTGGGCTCTTCGAAGGTGCTTCGGCACCAGGGTTCGTTGTCATCACCAGCAACTTTTACAAGCGTAAAGAGCATCCCGTCCGTGTCGCCTTTTGGCAGAGCTGCAGCGGTCTCTCGCAAATTATCGGCGCTCTTGTTATGTATGGTATCGGTGGGGCGAGTGGGCTTGCCTTGGAGAATTGGAGGGTCATGTTCCTGATCTGCGGCGCTGCGACAATCACTGCTGGCCTGGTGTATGGCTTGGTGATGCCTCGTGACACAAGCACCGCTTGGTTCCTCAAACCGGAGGATCGCCAGCTAGCAACGGAGCGCCTTGCGCTGGATCGAGCGACAAGAGATAAGAGCTCGTTTGACGTCCGGCAAGTCAAAGAGGCTTTGCTGGATGTGCAGACTTGGCTGTTGTTTTGCATGGGCCTGTTCATCTGCCTTCCGTCGCCGATCCTGAAGGTTAGCCATACCATTCTTTGCCCTCCCGAGCATCTTGCACTAATCCCCAACAGTTCTCGAGCCTAGTTATCAATGGCTTCGGCTTCGGCCAATTCCAAACGATGCTTGTCGGCTTGCCCGGCGGCGTCTTCCAAATCGCAACAATCTGGGCCGCTGCGTTCGGGTGTCGGTACACGACCAACAAGCGCTGGCTCATGGGTATTCTGCTCTCAAGTGTGCCGCTTCTGGGGAGCATCCTCCTCATGACACTCCCGGCGTCTGCAGGCTGGGGTATCGTCGTTAGCACCTGGCTGGCCGCCTGCTCTTCCTCCTTGATCGTTGTCGCCCTGAGCTTTGCTGCCTCAAACGTCAAGGGCAACACGAAGAAAGCCACCGTCAGTGGCGTGTTTTTCCTGGCGTACTGTACGGGGTGAGTTGCCTCATGACCGCAAGGCGAGACATTGGCTAACCTGGGATTTTCCGATCGCAGATGCATTGTAGGCCCGCAGCTCTGGCAGGCGGAAGACGCCCCACGGTACATCAAGGGTACCAGCGCGAGTGTAGCCAGCTGGGTCCTCTTCATGATCACGCTAGTGGTCTACCGCATGGTGTTGAGCCGGGAGAATGCGAAGCGAGACCGTGATCAGCACGTCGAGGTAGAGGATGACACGCACGACGAGAAAGCGCAGCACATGGGCGTCAGTTTGGACTCCGACATGACTGATCGTCAAGATCTGAAGTTCCGTTACACGCTGTGAGCTGGTGCAGGGGAGTCGTGCAGTTGAAAATGCCGGCAATATTGGAAAAGTAGCGTGGAGGTGGCCACCAGAGTAGAAGAGTGGAATGACTTACAAACATCTTACTTGAAAGATTCTTTTGCTCTCGTGCTCCCATTACCGTACCACTTACTTGAGGTTATCAGTCCCTTCCTCGGGCCGCATGTGTTCCGCTGCTGGAAGTCATCCACGGCCACGGAGGAGGTTGGCACAAAGCAGTCGGGTAACCAGCAAGACGGAGATGAGCAGAAAGGAGTACTCTCGAAACATCACGTTCACTTCCAGGTTGCTCCGTGCGGCTTCTGTTGGCCTTAAAAAGGCTTGTAGGCTACCTCTTTCCTTAAGTAGCCTATTTCGCATTATGCTGGACAGAGACGGCAGAATGATCAAACAAATGTGAAATTCCCAGTCATTGATCGTGTATCTGTACAACAATGATACCGAACAAGCCTTCCTAACGACAAGTTGATGTACAGTAAGGCTACACAAGCACCATGTGACGAGCGTGAGCCCGCGGCCGTGAGGCCATATGCGTCTTCATATCCAACCGCCACTCGCTATGCAAGACCGAAAGCAGACAGAACCAGTCCTCCCCGAAGACAGATAATGACAGATGTCAAGGAAAAAGAGGAGAGACATGCACATTCATCGTCGCATCAAGATCGCTAGAACGCTCGCAAAGAAATCCCATCATCCACATATCTCACTCATCAACACGTTACCACCCAAAAAGGAGGTCCAGCCCGCTATGCAGAAAACAGATTATGAGAAGGGTATCATAGTATGAGAGATGCATGTGCAAAAGGTGTCCTCAGACACTGACGGTACGACGTCGCGTCTGCGTCGGTTTCTGCGCATGGCAGATGAGGAGTCTGAAGCTCGTGCCCTGCTTCTCGCATTCTCGGAGTAAGGTGTGGTCGTTCCAGATGCTCGTGGTGTCAGACGGGAAGAGAGCCTTTTCGTAGCAAGAAGAGTACCACCATCGACCGACTTTTGCGACCATCTTGGTGATGCTCTCGTCGTTGTCTTTGCGTGCTTCGATCTGGCTGCTGCGAGCGTCCTCGAGAAGGTCGGCGAAGGAGAATTCTTTGCCCACGCGGTCTTCACGCTGCCAGACTGGCTTGCTCGAGCGGCCGGAAGAGCTACTGCTCATGTCTTGGCTACGTGGAATGCGGCCAGCAGCAGGCACACCGACGATGCAGCGTTGGACGTCCTCGAAGCCGCGGCGGCCGATGAGCCGGACAAGAGTGTCGCTCAAATTGCGGAGACTGACATGTTGGTCTTTCTCTTGCATCCTCGTCTTTAAGCCACGGACTGCTTTCCTGGCTCTGCTGCCCATGTTCATGAGATCCAAGTCCAGGACTGCAACCTCAAGATACCCGCCGGGTCTCAGCACACGCTTACACTCGAAAATCGCCGAGTGGTAGGCCTCATCTGTAGTAGCCAACGGGAAGCGGAACACAACGGCGGTAAAGAAGCCTTTCGGGAACGGAAAGGCGCCGGAGATGGCATCGAGGTTGATGTGACGGTGATTCGGTGGTGGTCGCTGATTGACTCCAGGCCACGCTGATCCGTTAGGCGGTGCAGGCCCGAGATTGTACACGGCAGCGGCAGGGTACTGGAGAGCGACGTAAAAGCTCCAGTCGCTTCCAAGACCGTCGACAATCAGGACCTTGGGGTCGTCCGCGAGCCGCATCTCGTTATCAGCCGGGCTGAACAGCACACGGCCGAAGGAAAGCCATTTGCTTGTCATCAAAGCGCCAAACCGCAGGTTGGCAGCAGCAGCGTGGTCGTCACCCTCTACTTCGGCGATGTCCAAGAGCTGGGTGTCTCTGTTGAAGCGTACGCTTGGTGCCAAGCTTGACTGGGAGTTTCGCCCGTTGGCCTCTGGCAGAGATGCAGACCTAGAGTGTGCAGAGCCGCGGCTCTGTCGAGAAGATGCCATGCTACCGCGTGCGCTGGGCACACTTGTGCGATTGCCTGGACCAGCACTGTTACGGTTGGGCCCGGGGATGCTTGAGCGAGAAGACCGAGCCAAGCTGGGCCGCCTCTGCTCCGGAACGATGGTTTGAGTCGGGGTGTAGAGCGTGCTCGTGCTGCGGTTGCCGTAGTGATCCACGAAGTCGGCCAGTTGGTTCGGTGTCGACAGGGGCGACATTGAAGGCTGCAGGCGCGCGATCTGTTGTGGCAGTGTGAGGACCGTAGGGTTCGCATTTGGCAGTGGCGGCAGAGGCAGTTGGCTCCATGGTATATGGCTCGGAGCCTGTTGACTGTGGGCATTAGCTGGCTCATACAGCGTGCTCGAATACTGGAACGGCGCTCCAAGAGAAGACCCGGCAGACAAAGGAGTCCTCGGTGGCATAACATCGTCCAACAGGTCGTTGTACTCGGCCCACACGTCTTCCATTTGCGGTGGCGGAGCGGCCATGCTCGCCATCCAGCTATTGTTGCCCGAGCTCCCCGAGTATGACAAGTCCGAGTCCTTGCGAGGTGGGAAAGTAAAGAACTCATTGCCATGTACATCCATGCTCGTCCGGTTGGTAGACGTGCTTGGAGCATTGGTGTTGAGACTGCTCTTGTGCTCGCTGGAGATGCGATTCGAGTTGGTGCTTGTGCTGGAGACAGGCTCAACGGGGCTTGCAAGCTCCCGTATCTGGCTGTACAAGGATCCTGGAGGTTGTACTGTAGGCTTCGGCTGGGCGCGCCCAAAGGGTCGCGAGAACGAGCTATCTGCGAGCTTTCGATCGCGATCGCGCTTCGAGACCACTTTAGGGATGCGTCCGACTGGTGAAAGTCTCGGCTGTCGAGCTGGGCTGTCGTCCTGCAAATCTGGAGTGTTCAAAGAGCTGTGCAATATCTCCGGCGTATGCATTTGTCGTGGCGACTGGCGAAGCCTGGTGTGATCTTCCAAAACGTCCATCGGTGCTCTGCCCCATTGTTCGTCCGCAAAGAGGTCGTGCTGCTGCATGGAGGGTGGCTCAATATGAGGCTTCTCAGAAAACTCGAAAGGAGCTTGCCGGACGGTAACAGCAGGCAGGTGTGGATGACCTTTCCAGCGAGCGTCTTCCGGCTCCTTACTCCGATGCGGTGATGGTAGCAGACTCTCATGACGACGTTCGTAAGGCACGGTTCTGGAAGGTACATTGAGCTCAGACGCAGAGTCCTCGAACGACGTTTCGCTCTCCTCCATGATGCGCTCGACCTCCTCCAGGGCAACCGGTTCGACAGGATCAAACATGGTAGATAGCGCATTGCCTCGCTGTGGCGACTGGTAGTCGTCGATGGTGGGATATTGAGGCTCAGCAGGCGCCTTTTCTTTGCCCTTTCTTCTTGGTGATGCTTGGGCGCGCTGGAAAAAGTTCCACTTTCGAGATGGCCTGGGCTCTTGCTCGGCCCGTTCGGGCTCCTTTTGGAGTGGACGAAGCCACAATCCTTCATTGCCTTCACCAAGATCATCTGTCGGCAGCGTGCTATCAGACAGCGGATGCGCCGAGCCCTCAGCATCGTAGCTGTCGAGTGAGGAGTCCTTGGAGGGCCGACTGGTATCGATGGGAGCTGGCAGCCTCACGCGAGGGTCTTTGTCGCCTTGTGACAGCCGGGTGAGCGAGCGTCGAGCAGCCAACGTCGGGTAGCGAGCAAAGACGTCGTCTTGGCTGCTATCTGAAGGAGCTCGAGCGGTAGGATGCTGCTGCCTCTTTGCGGGAGATTTACCAGAACCTTGTATTGTGGCTGAAGGAAGTAGCTGCGGCTTCGTATAATTTTCCAGCGAAGAAGTCTTCGAAGTCGGAGCAGTCGGCGGCTGGGATTCTGACCGAGATGCAGCATTGCTGACTGTGCTACCGCTGCCACGCAACACAACAGGGCTCAAACGCTCTCGAAGGAAGTCGTCCATATCCGAGCCATCCTTGCTGGTGACGCTGCTCTTTCTGCCTTGGGACACTCTCCTTGGTTGACTGCTGGTATTGCTGTCGGTACTCGATGACCGCATGCCTGTGCTACTAGTAGTACTTCCACTTCGACCGCGGACGCCAAACTTTCTGTACCCTTCATGCCCTGTTCCTGCTACAGGGCCTTTCACCGGCTGTCGCTTCGGCTTCTCGGTCGGCTTCGCGGCTTCTGGCTTCGGCTTTCTTGACCAGAATCCAAAGCGAGGCGATTTGCTCGGGCTAGGGGCGGGTCCAACAGCAGGAGAGTCCTTTCTGGTCAGCTTGTGTCCTTCTGCAGGCTTTGGAGCGGGCGTGGGGCCACGGGAGAGCGAGCGGGCTACTGGCGGAGGAGACAGAGCAGAATCAATCCGAGGCGACTCCTGTCGAGAGGGTGACCGCGGAGAAAGACCAAACCGGGATTTGAGTGGCGAGGCAGGGTTGTTGGTCTCCTGTGATGGCGTTCGCTTGTGGTAGGTGTTGTAGAGTTTCGGAAGATCGCTCTGGACGACTGGCGATGGGTTGGTCATGCCTTCTAGCATTGGTGTTCCCTCTCGGCTGGGTCGGATTGGTGGTAGGGCTTTGTTCAGGTTCACAGGAGACGGCTCGACATTGAGGTGAGCAAGTTCGGGAGGTATCCGCGTCGTTGGCTTTGCGCTTGAAGATGCTGAGCCTTGCCTGGGTTTCTCTTTGACCAGTTTTCCCCTTGAAGACGAACGTTCGCTACCTGGAGTCTTGCCACCCGGCGGAGCTGTGGCTGGTTTGCGTGGTACTTCCTTTGGTATTGTCGCTGTTCGCTCGTTTGGCTTGACGGTAGAGTTTGATGATGACGTGGAGGACTCGCGCACCACCGGCAGCGCAAGTCGACCGACATCATTCCTCTCGTTCGAACGGCGACCAGCCGGCGTGCCGCTGCATGTGGGACTTTGCTGCCGTAAGCGAGGTGTGTTCGTCGATGTGAGCATGACGGAGGAGTACGAGGATGCCGAACTCGGTGTAGGTACATGACTGAAAGGCGAGTCCGTATAGCGCGTTGAAGGAGTCGAAGATGGAGCATAGTTGGGGACGGGCGGCGTGATGTCTCTCGTTACAGGTTGGCCTCCAGGTCCCATATCAGACAACAGCCGGTACCTTGGATTCGCTGTAAAGTATGAGCCGTGGTGCGCATCCGAACCTGTCTGCGGTATCGAGATGCCCAAGATTGAGTCCTCGAAGGCCGCACTCATACTCTCGTCCCTGGAGTACGCAGTGGCATTATCTGGTATGACTGCCCGGCTCTCTGATTTCTTTGTGGCGGCGTATGTCTCGATAGTCGAAGGCTTGCGCCGTAATCCCTTCGACGTGGGCTTGTCGGCTGTCGATAAAGACGGACCTGAAACATGAGATGGCGTGCGCATCGTAGGTGGTGGCGGTAGAACATTCGCCGGCTTTGACCTCGACATCTCTGGTTGTGTAGTAGGAATAGTCCCAGATTGCTGTGGAACCGCCGCCCTTCTCGAAGACGCAGATGGTTGGCGCGCACTCGATCCGGCGCTCGGAGCCTTTTCTACAGTCGTTGCGCCAGTCCCTTTCTTGTCCGACGACAAATCTCTAACGCTTCTGCTCGTCCTTCTACCCAGCAGCGACGCCTGTTGCGCGCTCGGGACCTGCGTACTGCTCCTAGCATTTTCTGTCGATTTCGCCGGGACGCGGCTGAGCCTCTTGCGCTCGCTCTGCGATGTCGTGCTCTCGTTGGGGGGCGGATGTCTAAAGTGGGATCTGAAGGTTGCGGCCATCGCCGGTGTCGTGGAACACCACTGTCGCAACGGTCACCCGGCAAGCCGAGGGTGTCTATACGCAACGCTGGCCTTGGTAGGTCGTTCATGAGGGCATATGCTGTGCGCTCGGCTTCGATTCGTGCCGTTCGTGGATTATTCGTTGATCGTACATTAAGTATAGCCAAGTCTATAATGAGAGTTGTCGTCAGCGTCCAGCGCCTGTTGACGGTACGGTACGAACAAGAAATTTTTTGAAGTGACACAGTTGATGAGCAGACAAGTACCTTTGGTATTTTTGTCTGGACGTTCGCGACCTGCGTCGCATGCGCTGTCGTTTCGGTGTTGCAGGACGCTACGTCGAGATGCATGCACAGCCTCGAGCTGCCGGAAGTACCGACGCAGTTTCTGAGGCTCTTAGCCACTGGTTCCTGCGTTCGCCGACGCCGCAAGATCGTCCAGGTTGATGCGCCACGCAAATCATGCGATTGTGCGACGTGTACAGTAGAGATTGGGCGGTTTTTCGAGAAGTGTTGCTATAGCCGGGATCGCGGCGCAAGATGTCGGTTTCTGCTGACGTTGTGGGGTCGGGACGTTGACGGGAGGGCCAGAAGGTACCAGGCGGGAAGGCGAATCCTGTCTTAGCGCCCTCGGCGAGAGATCAGATGGGACTCTCGGTGCTGATGACTCGTAGCCGGCGGTAGCTGGTGAGCTGGTGGAGCGGAGATGGAGAAGAAGACGGAGAGTTGATGACTGCTGCCATCCCGCCGAGCACGCGCTCTTCCTCACGATGATACGCATTCGCGCTGCAGCTGACGGCGCCGGAGGTTGATGCCGCAGCATGATAGCTAGACGCCGCAAGCGCGGCCAGAGGAGCATCGTGCGGCCAAAGTTGTTTGACTAACATTGCTATTGCAGGTCGAGTATCTCGCAATAGGCCTGCATGCTGCAGGATAGGGCCAGTGACAGGAAGCATGTGGCGATGAAGCCGGCTATTCGCTGTATGCACGTGTATGCAAGGATCGCTGCTGCGACCGTGTCCTGCAGGCTTCTGTTCCAACAGCCGGATCTGCGCCCACAACAGGCGACGTTGGAAGCTGATTCCAACACCGGGCTGCCTGAGACCGAAACCACGTCCAAACGTTTGCAGGCCATCGTGTTGAAATTGGTTGTGATCTGAGGTCCATTCGCAACTCTCAACGGGCGGGCCATGCCATGATTCCGGCCCGATATGAGACAGTGGAGTGACGAGTCGCTGAGAGCCAGTCGAGCTCGTCTTGTCACGATTGCGCTACAACAACCTCCACAGGGGTGATGCGGACCGCTCACGGCGCGAGGCCGAACAACCTGAAGGGAAAGTCGTCCCGGACTGAAGATGAGATTGTGGAAAGGACGTTGAACTTAGCCTGCTTTGACATGGCAATTGGTTGTTGGCCTAATTTGACTGATGATCGTCAATATCATATCGGGCAGTTCCAAAGAGCTGGTGCCCGATTGAGATCGGGAATGGAGATCGCGGAAGAGCAAGGTTGTGCCATTGTTCTTAATCTCCGACTCTGCACCCTCTTCATGATGCAGCATTCGAAGCTTCGAACGGCAGCCACGGACAGCGTCGATGATTCGTACCGTGGGGAAGACGTAGACCTGGCGCTCAGAGGCGTACGCATCCTGGTCGACCAGCACGCGTACGCGCTCCGAGTGGCCGCATGTGGACCAGGGAGATGTGATGCCAACGGCCGCCTACATGACTGCTCGATCACGTGTCTGGGAGATGGAGGGTTGCCAACCTTCGTCAATGGACGGCTCGCCGCGATCGGAAGGATACTCACGACCTCACCTCTCAACAGCAATCCTGAAGGAGCGTGTACTGGGCGCGGGCAAGCGAAGGCGTTTCGCAAACCATGCAACTCGCTCGAAGCGGCGAGAGGACGTACTGCCCATGTATCGTTCTATGTCCATACCTTGCTCAAAGTATTTGAGCTTGCGTGGAAACGACAGAGTGGGTGTGCGAAGGTGTCCTGAACCGGGAGACAATGCTCATCGTTCCGGCTCAACGATCGAGCTCAGTGGACACTCTGTCGAATGCGGCGGCGAGCTCTGGGGTCATATCGGCTGTCCTTCGAAGATCTCCTAAAAGCTTGCAGTAAGCGGCCTCAGGAGTAGAAGTGGCGTTACATGGAGGTCATCTCTTGTCCGTGTTCAAAGTGACAACCTCAGCGTTCTCCGTCCATGCGAAGCAGAACGATCATTTCGAAAGGCAAGGCGTCATCGCAGCAGAAGGGTGTCGAGTTCGAGACGTGGCCAATATGGCGTCCGTCGTGTCGTCCTCGAGCCCAGTATGCTGAAGAACTCTTCAGGTCACGCAGCCGGCTCCTAGGACTTATGGACAGTCTGCAACGCTGGCACACGAAAGCATTCAGCAGAACATCATTCTCCCAGCGAGGCATATTCGACTTCACCTCACGACCTGGCCTGTCAAGGTGAACCCCATGTCCAGATATGAGAAGAGCCCATGCCATCGTCTTGGAGGGACACGATGCCCGTTGTGTCGTCCGCATGCTGACGACGATGGAGACGTATCTTTAGACGGTCGTATGGTGATCAGGTGGTCCTCGCACAGTGTGCAAGGCAAGACGTGCTGTCAGTATTGAGCAAAGTCCGTGCGCAAGTTAAAATGCTTTGCTTTGACCTCACCTCACATTTGAAAGACACCATCGAGAAGCCGAGCTGAACACGAAGGTACTTGTCATTCCTAACACAACTGTCGCCACCACATCGCTCGAGCCATCTCGCGGTCCTAAGCCTAGCCAGGTAGTCAATACAACCGTGAAGTAGCCACCTGATCAAGCAGCCCACCGACAAGTCATACATCATCCTCCCTTGTATCCCCTCGCTCAACGATATCCCATCTGATGCCCAGCATTCCACTACCTCCGCCTCCTATCCCAAGCATTCCTCCTCCCCTTCCTCTTCGGCACTTTCTTCCTCACCACCTCCTTCGCCCCCTCAGCCTCTCCCTTCCCCTGCACCGGCGTCCCCATCATCATCTCCCCAAACCCACTCCCGCCCAACTCCGTCAACGTATCCTCGTCCATATCGCTCAGCTCCTCCGACATACCCCTCAGCACCTCCCGCCCCGTGTACCTTTCCTCATGCACCGTCGTGCCGACCGGGTCGAAGGGGTGGAGATACCAGGGTACGCCACCGTTGGCGAAGACGTCTGAGGGATCTATCCCCGCAGCGGCGCTAGGTCCGGAGGCGGTGGGTGAGGTGGATTGGGGTGGTGAGAGGGGCGCTTTGCCGTTCGTGAGGATCTGGGGTTGCTTATCCTTGGTGGCGTGGGAGGAGGAAGCGCGGCTGTTGGCTGTTTCGCTCGCGGGAGTGGACTTTTTGCGGCGCGGCGAGGAGCGGAGTGGTTCGGATTCTTCGGCATTGCGCGCGTCAGTTGCGTCTTCTGCGTCGGCCATTGCTACGTCCCCGGGCGACGCACCTGCGACGGCTTCCTCGTCCTCGACAGTGTCTTCCGCCAACTTGCCGACGCCGTTCATTGAATCCCTGGTCGCACTGGCGAACATGCTCATCTCTTCCAGTTTCCTCAACTCCTCCTCCACTTCCTTACCGCGCAGCTCTGCCTCCCGCCGCGTTGCGTCTTCCAAAGGCTCCTTAACCGCTTTGAGAATGCGCTTGGCGAGCTTCTTGGCCTCTTTCTGCTCGGTTGAAAAGTCGGCATGCTCTGCTGATCCGGGCTTGCTTTGAGAGAGGCGGGTGGCGATGGTCGTAAGGTCAGTGTCGGTTGTATCGTCTTCGGCGGGAGTTGCGAAAGGGTTCGAAAGCACAGCAGCGAGTTGAGAGGAGAAGTCGGCAACCGAGGTGAAATAGCGTTCGCGAAGCTTGGTCGCGAGGTCCTCGAGGCCAGGGCGGAAGAGCGCGGTCTTTTCGTCGAGTCTGAAGATAGGTCAGCATGTCTGCATAGCATTAGTAGATGCTGGCTGTACTCACTTCCGAGCTTTCTGCAATATCGGTACCAACAACTTCGGAATAGGAAAGTAGACCGTGTCCACCAATTCCTTCAGCAGCTCCACCTCCTGCAACCTCAACTCTTCCCTCACCCTCACCAACTTGCACAACTCCTCCACCTGCTGCATATCGTTCTGCAACAACCCGCCAAACTCGATACGCCTCGCGAGTCTCGGTCGACCAGCGGCGCCCATGCCAGCAAAATTCCTCCTGGTGATCTCCATGCTTGAGAAGCTCTCCAGCTGCAGTTGAAGACGCTTGAGCAGCGCCGCACCACGTCTCGCCTCTCGCTTGAGTGTCCAGTACCTACACACTCGCTCCACAAACTCCTTGCGTTTGCGGATAGTAAAGCGCGTTAGACTCGCTTCGACGGTGTCGAAGACGACCGACGGCACGACTGGTGCTCCAGACGGAAGACGCCAGTACTGCTTAGGTGGCTGGTTCTTTCGTCGTTTCGTAACAGCGATAGTGTCGTCTTCACCCGCTAGTCCGCCATCTGGGGGTGCTGGTGCGCCCAACTCGAGTGCTGCAGTTTGGCTGTCCGCCCACCTTCGATCCTTCATGGCATGCCGGTACCACCGCTTCGCCTCCGCGACAGCCGTGTCCGTGTCGTGGGTACGACGCCATTCCGGGGGAACGTGCTTGTCGCAGAAAGCTTTCAATGCCGTCGTGTCAAGACCCTGCTGATGCTGGCTTTTCATCTTAAGAAAAAGCTTGCCGCGACGGGCGCATGTGACATGGAAGGCTTGGTAGCAGGCTTTGTTGCCGCATTGAATGCAAGCACCCATTCGCTGGTTGCAGATGTAGCAGTGGAGCTTCCATCTGCCTTTCGGGACTTTGTCGACGTCGGCGATGGGTTCCATGAAGGTCATGTTCGCAACCGTAACTTCGGGAATCCAGAGGGCACAGAGTAAATGGCTCCAGCGTAGAGTGTTAGTCTGCTTGAAGGCGCCATCAACGTTGGGACAAAAGATGCAGGTTGGAGTTCCTCGGCCAATCTCCTTGCACTTGCGACAGAACCACTGTCCTTCTGGAATGAAGGGCACGCCATAGCACTCTTGATGCACTGCCAGATCGCAACCATCACAGAAGATGATGGCGTTGGCATTCTCGCAGTCTCCGTCGTCGCAGATGGCGCATTTACTATCTGGCTCATCTCCCGGCGGATTTGGGTCCCCGTTTACAGCTGCTTGAGAGCTTGACCGAGGACGATGCAGCTGGGCGTGGCGAGGCTGTGGTTTCGGAATACGCTTCTCAAGTGCGTGGTATTCCTTTTCGATCTGTGTCATGGTGATTTCGAAGATCGCAGGCTTGATCGCATCAACCCCTTCTGACTTGCGGAGTTCGTTGATTCCTTCCAGCCACGCTACGTCCTGCTCGTCCATGTCGTACTCCACTTTGCCAACGACCGGCGCTGACTGTGAAATTTCAGCTGGGCTGTCACTCTCTAGCCGCAAGCTGACTTCTGCTTCGTCTTCTACTTGCCCTGCTTCAGTCAAGCGGACAAGCACCTTTGGCGGCAGCTCGAAACGGTCGCTCTCCTGGTAACCTACGTTGGCCATGGTGCGGTCCACGTAGTTCTTCTTGTTCTCTTGCTGGTTCTCTTCGTATTGCAGGAAGTGGTTATACTGCCGGTATGACGGTTTCGGCAGATTCAACCGTTCCTTCGGGTTGTGTGTAGGTAATGGCATGATTCTTGGGGCTGGCGGCGAACCCAGGCCGCTGAGCATGGACTCCGGCCTGCGCGGTGGTCGCCCTGGCTTGCGCTTCATAGGGGTGACAATGATTTCCTGGGCCTCTGATCTGTCTTCTGCATCCCGCATTTCCAGATCGCCGTTGACTGTAGGCTTGATGTCTGATAGCATGCTGTTAGCCCGTTGGAGCAGCTTGGGATCCTTCCGGCTTATGCGCCCATCCACCTCGTCGGCCGTGTATATCGGCAGCGCGAGATCAATCTCCAGATCCGGGTGGAAGTCTTCCCAGCTCCTCTCCTCTCGCGGCTTGTACCCATCACTTGCCTGACTGGCAGCTGCAGCGGCCGCAGCACTACTGCTGTACCGTGGTCTTGGCGTCGTTGGCTGGGGCGCGTACCTCTCTGGCCTCTCTCTGCGCGGTCGTGTCTGCATCGCTGACCTCGTGGCCGTGGGTGTCTCGCCCTCTTCAGCTCCACCACGCTGCGCGCTGTTCGCAGAGTTCATCCTCGCGACTCTTGCCCGCGGCGCTGTGCGAGCTACGCTCCTCCTTCCACCTTCGCCACCATTCGCCACCGGATTGCCATCGCTGTCAAGCCATCTGCCGCCGCCACCAGGTCCGCCTGCGACGTACTTGCGCCTCTTCTGGGGAGGCTCTGTGGCCGCGGTGATCGAGGGGGTACGGCGAGGGCGGCCTGGCGTGCGTGTATTGCGTGGTGGCGAGACTGCGAGCGCCATTATGGTAGATGTGGGTGTGGTGTCGCTTCTGCGCGCTCGTAGACGCTCATGTGTGTCGATTTCCAAGTGGTGTCACGTCGATTCGTGCTTGCTGTGCTTCTGGAGGTGACCCCACGGGTCGCGCCTACTGGCCCGACGTTCTGCCGCCAAGAACGTTAGCGCTCGCTGTTAGTCAGCGTTCGTGGTTGCCTCTCGAGTTCTTTCTTCCACATCCTCGACATGTATCTCAGCTCTCGACATAGATTTGACGTCGCACCTCTGAAAGCTCTCTGTTCGAGAGGTGCTTCACATGCTGATATCACGACACCTATAGCAGACTCCTGGTCCAATGATCGCGAAGGCCTCGCCGAAGTCTTCTCAGCAGTACATGGAGACGGTCTCCTATCTTCTGCCTCTATTCATGTTAAATGCTCTGCGCTCGGAAGACTTGAACTGTTCTAGCGAACACCAATTCTCCATCTTCCAGCGCGGCGTCGCGCGCATTCCAGTCTCAATCTAGCACTAGCCTAGCCTGGGAGGATGGAGAAGATGTATCATTCTACCAGTTCACCATCCTTTATTCCGCAGATGCACAGAATTGCGCCATGGCCCTGCACCGGATCTGCGAGCTTCCTTAACATCCCCTGGACCCGCAGCGCTGCCCCAGGGCAGAGCCTCATCACGCCTGCACGCGCGCCAGTGTCCCGGAGAACAAAGCCGAACCTTGGGGATGGTGTGGGGTCAAGGCAAATGAATGGCACTTTCCCTACACACGCAAGACACGGTCTTAATAACAGGCTGGAAGATAAGATGCAGTTTCACGCAACAAGCGTCGATGGTGGTGTTCTCGCTTTGTTCCTTCGCCCGCCATTCTCCAGGCGTTGAAGAAGATCGCTCACTTTCACAGCGCTCGAGTTTTAAGTTTATTATCGCTTGCACGCCAGCAGACCTTTTGGGACCCATGTCCGACGAAGGATCTATCACAATACACCTCACAACGGCGTCCCCTAAACTCAGAGGTAAGCTCGCCGAGGCAGTAACGACAAGGATGCATATATTCATGTCCGATCCTGCTATCGATGTTGTCTCTCTTATTGCTTCTCCAAGTCATTCGTTCCAATCAACACACTCGCTTGAGACAAGATGATATCCTCTCGACCTCTCCTCATTTTCATCGGGCTTGCAGCCCTGAGCATGACAACAGTGTTCGCTCATCCACTTATAGAAGCGAGAGCACTACCTCCAGCTCTTGACCCATTTTACCGGGCTCCAGCAGGCTTCGAGTCCGCAGCCCCAGGCACTATTGTGAGGCAACGTACTGTGCAGACAGCATTCCTGGGTCTGATCGCAAAGCCAGTGGAAGCATACCAACTGCTCTACCGCACGACAGCCATCGACGGCTCGGCCATTGCAACAGTAACCACAATCTTCAAGCCTTCGGACTCGAAGACGGATCGCTTTGTCTCGTTCCAGACAGCATATGACAGCTCCGCACGAATTTGCAATCCGTCCTACAACTACCGGCTTGGGTCTGTCCAGGTGGATCTCATTTCGTCCTTCGAGCAGGTACTTTTGCAGACCTATCTTCTCGAAGGCTACATTGTCGCCTCATCTGACTACGAAGGCCCAGATGCGGCTTTTGGGGCTGGTCGACTTGCGGGGATGGGTGTCCTGGACGGCATGCGAGCTGTCTCGAATTTCTACGAGACTCTGGGACTAGACAACGACACGCCCATGATTGTCGGCACCGGATACTCTGGTGGAGGCATTGCCACTGGTTGGGCGGCCTCCTTGCATCCCACATATGCCAGCGAGCTGAATGTCAGAGGATGGAGCTCCGGAGGAACGCCCGCAAATGTGACAGGCACCGCTGTCTTCGTCGACGACACGACTTTCAGCGGTTTCCTCCCTGCCGCTTTCGCCGGACTGTCGAAAGACAGTTCCTACGGCGCCCTGTTAGACCCAGTGATCGCTCGACTAGCCACACCCTACGGCAAAGCCCAGATCGCAGCTGCGAGCGTCAACTGCGCACCCGCCGACCTCCTCAACTTCGCGCTCATGTCAGTCCAAGACAAGTCTTTCCAAAGGCTCGGCGACCAGATCTTCTATGAACCTACCGTTGCTGCTATCCTAGAGGACAACCTCATGGGCCGTAACGCGAACGAAACGCCCACTGCCCCAGTCCTGCTCTACCACGCTTCCCGGGACGAGATCATCCCTTACTCCAACGCTACCACCCTCTACGATACCTGGTGCCGTAACGGAGCAGACGTGCACTTCACCACCTTCGGTAACGGCGGCCATCTAACGACAGAGATCCTGGGCCTGCCAATGGCGGTGCAATTCGCCAACTCGGCGTTCGCGGGCACGTTGTCGAGTGGGTGTTCGAAGGACACGGTGCTGGATGATACGCTGGATCCGCTGGCGTTGGGAGCGTCGCTGGAGCCGGCGTTGGTTAGATTGATTAACGCGCTTGGGACGTTGGGAGAGGCGGATGAGCATTTGATGGGGAATTTGGGTTTGATTAAGGTGCCGGCGGCGAAGGGGAATTGATTGAAAATCCGAGTAGAGCTGAAGCGGTGATCTGTCTAATCAACAACACTGGGAAACATGCCCGGCGGCCCCGACTGCGATGTAAAGGACCCCGGACCATGGTCTGACGGTCGAAAGGTCGCTGTCCTCTCGCGGAGACCAACACCATCGCTGGTTCTGTTCGAAAGGACGTTTTGAGTTATTGTCTGCGAGAGTTGATCATTCCCGTCTTTTCTCGCAAAGGCTCGCGATTCTTATCACGACCTGCGAGGTGTCCGCTCGACGACCTACTGCCTTGTCTATTGTTACCACGGCGTTCAACAACTTCAATCTACTTACTTGCTTCTAGGTGAACATTTCGACTTTGTTCCAGCGTTGCGCTTGCCGACCTTCGTGCGTTACCTGCGTAGCCATCTGGCCGCCCCAAACTCCTTCTCATGATTCTCCTATCTCATACACAGTCCTTCTGCAACCTATGAGTGCGTGTGAGCTTTCTCGAATGTCGAGAAGCTCGCAATCAGGCCAGCCATACCGCCGAAAGCCCTATCACTGGACTTTTTTCGTGATACACGTACATCTCCATCACATCGAAGAACAACCACATCTTCCTTCTTGCGCACACATCCCCACTTTCGGTGTGCCTTCTTCCGTAACGGAAAGTCCCTAGCCGCCAAGGGACGCTCGGGACGGTGATTCTTCCAGCCATTGGTCCTTGGATCCAAGGAACATCGAATCATATTGCCGGGCGCTTACTTTGAGATCTCACAGGTCCGGTGCCTGCACATGTGCAGGCCCAGAAGCGTGCTCAAATGCGAGCACTGCGTAGGGAGATAGGTAGGTCATTGATGAGTAGTCCACCACCCCATTCCGTCTCATCTCCATTTACCGCGACAACTCGCGACACGTACAACCACCAGGAGAGGCAGCGGGGCTAGGACGAGCTGAGAAGAACATGTAACCCGCCCCAGCTGACAGCGATCGACCGACCGAACACCCAGCACCAACCCGTTCCGTCCCTCGGCCACGAGCGCCACCACCACCTCGCGGCCCAGCGGGCGACCGCCTCATCCACCACTGCCGCCGCCCTCGGTGCACCACCACCACCACAGCACCACCGGCGCAATGGCGCGACGATGGTGCATCTACATCGCGCACCGATGGCGCTTACGCAAAACCATACTCGCGCTCCTCGCGCTGGAGTCGTGCTTGACGATCGCACTCCTGGCGCTCTTTGGCATCGCGGATCCGAATACATACCGCACGAAGCTGTGGCAGAATGGGAGTGATCGGGGTTTCAACAGCAACCCGAATAGCATATTGTATGACTATGCGAATTACAGGCCGGTCCATGTGCCGCTGGTCTGGAGTGGATTGTGCGTATACCCTTCTACATCACGGTGGACGAGATCGAAGCGAACACGGGGACAGGAAAGGACAAAGCTGACATGAGCGCGCAAACAGCATGACCCAGTTCAACGTGATCATTTCCGTCCTCAGCGTATTCATCCTGCTAGTCAAGAGTATGATGTTCATCCTCTCGACCTTCCTACCGGTCCTCAGCGTGCTCGTACACGCCCTCCTCATCGCCCTCTACGCTGTCAGCGTGCGGAACCAGGCCACGCCCGACCTCAGCGAAACCAACGTACCCAATCTCTCGCGCAACATGCCTTGGTATCTCAGCAAAGGATGCAGCTACGCGACGGAGAAGAACCATGGATATTGCATGCAGGCGAGGGCGAGCTTTGCGTTGACCTGCGTTATGCTGTACGTTGCCCCCCACCTATCATCCCGGAACTGTGCTGACAGAACTACCACAGCGTTCTCTTCGTCGTATACCTCGCATTAAGCATCCACAGCTCCATACCCACCACCGCCGAAAAATCCTCCCGCAAAGCCGACTACGACGAAGAAATCGAGCTCAAATCCGCTCGACAAACAATGGACCCGGACGCCGGGCTCACGAAAGAAGAGAAATGGGAACGCAACCGGCAGATCTTTTTGAACCTACCAAAGACGCCTGGAACGCCGGCGCAGGGGTTTGGGGGATATCCGGCGATGACGCCAAGGACGACGGCTTTCACCCAGTTGAACGGGGGTGTTCCGGGGACGCCAGGATATGCGCCGGGGACACCGGGGTATCCACCGCAGTCAGCAGGGCCACCGCCAGCGGGGAGGGGGTTGGCGTTTAGCGAGAGGTTCGAGGGGGCGATGTATGCGGAGGTCAAGGTGCCGGACCCCATATGAGTGATATATACCCGCATTGGGGATTACCTTGCCATGATGCAGAAGGATACCCAAGCACTTTTCGTATGAGTAATTGTATAAAGCTTATGACAATCAACAAAACCAAGATATGCACCCTCTATGAGCACTTCTAAGTGATGTGACATTTTGTCATATGCTCTCGGTGACTGAAGTGAATCGGAGCGGGGCATGTGTTTTGCAACAATTTGATGCCCGACCTTTGAAGCACGAGATCTCACAACCTCACTTCATTGACCAAGTGAGATATACCACAACGCTTGACGAACTTCAATAACTCGATCGGAATACATCACACACCTTCGAACTCGCACCGCTGCCTAACGAGCGTTCTTTAAACACTCACCTGACGCACCGCTGCCGACAACACCACCACCCATATCTGCCTACAAGAGAAGCCCAGAAGATGGCATAACACCCCCCTCCCCTTCAGCAGCGAGGCAACTCGCTGCCATGCCATCCCACAACCTCACCACATCCACCTTCACACTTCCACGTTCATCCACCGAACATGGACTCCCAAATCGAGTCAGCCATCGAACTCGCCTTCCACCCAACCACCGACCAGAACGTCAAAGGCCAAGCCTACGACTTCCTCAACCGCCTGCGCGCCGATGACCAAGGCTGGCACGCCTGCCTCACCCTCTTCACCCGCCCGCAGTCGTCCTCCGAGGTCGTCCGCTTGGTCTCCCTCGAGATTGTCAATAATGCCGTGCAGACGCAGAACCTCGATAACTACAGCCTCGGGTTCGTGAAAGAGAGCTTGATGCAGTATGTGCAGGCACGGTATGCGACGGGGAGTGCGGAGACGGATAGTGCGGCGATTCAGAACAAGTTGACGCAGACGTTGACGTATCTTTTCACAGCGCTGTATGCGGAGCAGTGGACAAGCTTCTTCGACGAATTTCGGGCTCTGGCAGGGTCGGGGCAGGAGATTGGGACGACGAATCCGCCGGCTACCATGTTGTATCTGCGGATCGTGGGCAGTGTGCATGATGAGATTGCAGATGTCATGATACCGCGCACCCAAGAGGAGTTGAGGAAGAGTGGTGAGCTGAAGGACTTGATTCGCACGAGGGATGTGAGCAAGATCGCAGTCACGTGGCAAGAGATTCTGTCGAGGTGGCGGCAGGTCGATCTGAGCATCGTGGAGCTGTGCTTGAGGACGATTGCGAAATGGGTGAGCTGGATAGATATTTCGATCGTGATTGATCAGAGTATTCAGAACGCCCTGTTGGAGTTGGCAGGGCAGCAGGGGAGGTTCAACGCGGAGAGTAAGGAGGCGAGGGCGAGGGATGCGGCGATTGATACGTTCACTGAGACGGTGGGGAAAAAGATGGCGGCGAGGGACAAGGTTGAGTTGATTCGGTATCTTAACCTCGAGGGCATTGTGGGACAGCTCATCGGCAGCCCTGCGCTCTCCGAGTTGCGGACCACATCCCACTACGACACCGACCTGGCCGAGACTGTGGCGAAGCTTGTCAACATGGTCATCTTCGACATTGTCAGAGTGCTCGATACCGATCGTGTAGACGAGCAGACGCAGGCGAGAGCAAACGAGCTGCTGCGGACTTTCGTGCCATACCTGCTTCGCTTTTTCAGCGATGAATATGATGAGATCTGCTCAGCAGTCATTCCGTCGCTGACAGACTTGCTCACGATGTTCCGGAAGAAGACCAGATCCACGAATGGCCTTATCCCGGAGTACTCGGAAATGCTACGGCCGATCTTAGACGCCATCGTGGCAAAGATGAAGTATGACGAGACTGCATCTTGGGGTGAAGAAGACGAAGGGACCGACGAAGCTGAGTTCCAGGAGCTGCGGAAACGCCTCTACGTGCTACAGCAGACTGTTGCGGCGGTCGATGAGCATTTATACATCAACGTGCTTACGGAGGTCATCGCTTCTACACTGTCACGGCTGGACTCCGCCAATGCCAAGCCCAACTGGCGAGATCTCGACCTCGCACTGCACGAGATGTACCTCTTTGGCGAATTAGCTGTCAAGAATGGTGGGTTATACCAGAAGAGCAACCCGAATTCTGAGGCTTCCCAGCGATTACTTGATATGGTGGGTAAGATGGTCGAGTCGGACCTCGCGAACCATCCTCATCCGGCGATCCAGCTACAGTACATGGAGATCTGCGTACGTTACGTTCAGTACTTTGAGCACAACCCCGCAAGCATTCCGAAGGTGCTGGAAACATTCGTCAACTTCGTCCACAGCACACATCCCAAGGTGCGGCTGAGGTCATGGTACTTATTCCAGCGATTTGTCAGGCATCTGAGAGGGCAGCTTGGCAATGTCGCTTCGAACGTGGTGCAGGCTGTAGGAGACCTGCTGGTCGTTAAGGCTGAGGTGTCGGAGGACAACGATGAAGATGATGCTTCGTCTGAGGACAATGCGAAGTCTGCCGATGCTGCGTTCCAGTCCCAGCTTTATCTGTTCGAGGCAGTGGGCTGCGTTGCCAGTACTGGTGCAGTACCGCTGGACACCAAGGTCAATATTGCGAAGTCGGTGGTTGATCCACTGTCATCGGACATTCATCAACATTTGCAGACGGCGAAGAATGGCGATGCGCGATCAATGCTGCAGGTCCATCACCTCATCATGGCTTTGGGAACACTCGCCAATGGCTTCTCAGACTGGACGCCGGGCTCAACATCTGGCGGACCGCCTGCGAACGAGGTCTCCATGCCGTTCGCTCAGGCGAGTGAGACTGTCGTGCTAGCACTTGAAGGTCTCAAGCAATCCACCGACATTCGAACTGCCGCCCGACATGCCTTCTCCCGCCTCTTGGGTGTCCTGGGCTCACACATCCTGCCGCAACTTCCGCGCTGGATCGACGGCCTTCTCAGCTCCGCTTCCAGCAATGACGAAATGGCGATGTTCCTTCGCACGCTTGCTCAAGTTGTCTACGGCTTCAAAGCAGAAATATACTCCATCCTCGATACCCTCCTCTCACCCCTGCTGCAGCGCGTCTTCGCCGGCCTCGCCACACCCACCGCAGGCACCGACGACGAGATCCAGCTCCGCGAGCTCAAACAACAATACCTCAACTTCATCCTCGTCATCCTCAACAACGACCTCGGCTCCGTGCTCGTCAGCCCAGCCAACCAAGCCATCTTCGATTCCTTCATCACGACGGTAACCCGCTTCGCCGTCGACCCCTCCGACCCGCAATCCGCCCGCCTCTCTTTCTCAGCCCTAAACCGCATGACCATAATATGGGGCGGTCCCGACGTCCCCCTTCACTCACCCACTCCTCCTGCCCCAGCTCTTCCGGGCTTCGACAGCTTCATCCTCTCGCACTTTGCGCCTTTGCCGTGGACGTTGCTGTCGGCGCCGGGATTCTATGCGGGGGATGCACAGATGAGGAGTGTGATCCAGGAGGCTGCGGGACTGCAGTGGACGGTGTTGAGGAAGGTTGGAGAGCGGTATCGGGGGCAGTTGGAGGGTGAGTTGCGGCAGTTGGGGGCGGGTGAGGAGGGGGTAGCAGGGTTTATGGAGAAGATTGGCGGAGAGGGGCAGGCGTTTAGGAAGTTCTTCGTGGGCTTTGTGCAGGGCGGGAAGAGATGATGAGTCGACTAAAGTGTGAGGTGAGTTGAATGTTGCACGAATCAAGAAAGGAATGATGAATGGGGTTGCTGCATGGTCTGGCGCTTGCTGCGTTGCACTGGCTTGTCGAGTGGCATCGGTCGAGCCGCATATCTAACGCTACGGAATCGGAGGCAAGATACCCAGATATGAAATGTCACATGTTGCTTGAATGAGTCTCGATTCGCAGAATGCTGTGGTTGAGAGTGGTCCTCCAATTCGCCTGCCACTGCCGAACGGCATTACTCAGTTGTTTATCTGACTGTCCGAGCTGCCCTCGGTACGCACCGAGCACTGACTTCTCAAGAATCGATCAAACAAAATCCTCCGTCTTGGCCATAAATTTCGCGGTCTGAATGTGAGACGCCTTGGCGTATCAAAGAGAGTCGGCCCCGGCTTTCTCTCCTAACTTGCACTTAATCTATACCACACACCCCCATCTTTCATTCCCACCATCGCGTGGCTGGCGCTGAATCGCCGTTCTAGCCTTTGCTTCTTCGAGTTCGTACCACACTCGCTGACCTCGATATTCGTCTTGGCTACAACACCAAGCTTCGCCTTTCGTCTCACTCAACGTATCCTCACCATGGGAAACGTTTCAGTGGGCGTGTATCATATCGCTTCGGTAACAGCTTCGCCGATGTGGAGGACAGGTCAGACGAAGTAGGGGCTGGACGCAGTAGGTATAACAAGGCTCCTCGCCTGCATCTCACTGCTTCTCTCTTTCGTTCAAGCCATACAGCCCTTCGTTGCTCTACACATTCGTTCATACACTTCCTTCCTTTCAGCAGCGACTGGTTCGTTGTGCTTCCTGTCTCTCGTTCATCAGACAACTGTCCTTCACACACACCACAAATTCCGATTTCAAAAAAGGAACAAAAGTCAAAATGCAGTACATCTCTGCCGCCGCTTTGGCATTCGCGCTGGGCGCGTCTGCCCGCCCTCAAGCTGGATACCCGCACTATCCGTACCACCAGGACTGCAGTGCTGAGTACGTTACTGTGACCGCTCCCGGCTCTGCTCCTCCGGCTAGCAGTGCAGGACCCAAGTCGTCCTCCGCATTCTACCCAGTGGGCAGTGCCTCTGGCACGGGTTACTCGTACCCGATGCCTACCGGCACCGGCATCTACCCAATTCCTTCGGGGACCGGCGTCTATCCCGTCCCATCGGGCTCGAGCATGCCAGTGATCCCAACTGGATCTCCTAGCTCCTCCTCTGCTGTCTACTACAGCAGTGCGGCCGCAGCCTCCTCGGGCGCCGCCTCTTCGGGCGCCTACACCTACCTGGCAAGCGGAAGCAGCTCCTCCGTCCTCGTCGACGCAGCGTCGGCCTCTTCTGCGGCTGCTATGTCCACCTCCCCGGCCACCCCAAGCGGCGTCGGCTCCTCCGGTGGCTCCCTCCCGCAATCCTCCGGCACCTCCGTCCTCTCCGCCGTCCAGACCATCGCCGCCGGCGAGACTTTCGACTGCGGCATGAAGGCCTTCGATCGCGGCGTCAGCTGCACTGGCCAAGAGGAGGGTGGTGACAGCGACGCTGTCTTCGAGCTCGAGAACGGCGCTACCCTGTCCAACTGCATCATCGGTCCCAACCAGATTGAGGGTGTGCACTGCTTCGGCGCTTGCACGTTGACCAATGTGTGGTGGCCAGCGGTTTGCGAGGATGCGTTCACGATCAAGGAGCAGGAGGACGGCGAGACGACTACGATCACTGGCGGTGGTGCCTTCGGCGCTGAGGACAAGGTTCTCCAACACAACGTAAGTTCTTCTGTATCCGGACCTTCTCTCAAATGGATACTAACAATATACTCGACAGGGCGGCGGCTCCCTCTCCGTGACCGGCTTCACCGTCGACAACTTCGGCAAACTCTACCGCTCGTGCGGCAACTGCGACTCCATGCCCGAGCGCCACGTGATCATGGACGACATAACCGCCACCGGCGGCTCCATCATCGCCGGCATCAACTCCAACTACGGCGACACCGCCACTCTCTCCAACATCAACATCTCCGACGTTGGCGACGTTTGCGTCACCTACACCGGCAACGACAACGGTGACGAGCCCGAGGAGAACGGCTCCGGCCCCAGCGAGAACTGCATCTACTCTGAGTCGGATGTCACGGAGATCTGAGCTTATGACCATGAGGGAGGGGATGCGAGTGGTGGGTGTGTAATCGATGTGATTGATGGGGAGTCTGATGGGTGTCGGGATTGTCGTTTGATTCTGTAGCTGTATGTTACTGCACGTTCCCTCATGCGCCAATCGTACATCTCGTGGTGTGTCGAGCTTCCTGTCTAGAGTCGTCTTTGCCTTTCTTGATCCGTATATCCTCATGAATGACGGCCTGACTGGACTTGCCTGGGGTGAGGATCGTTGCACATCGAACCTGCGAACGCCAACTCGAGTTCAACGTCTCGTCGCCTGTGGCAAATAATGTTGAATACACCATACAGTCGTGGGCTCATCCACAGTCCTCGCACTTCGCAGGGTCGGTAGTCGACGCGCCCTTGCTTGCCTGCCCATCCACGTCAGCAGCCTTCTGCTCGCCCTGATCCCTCGACTGGTCCTTCGAAGCCAACTTCGCCGGCGTATCAGAATGCCCAAGATTCTTCTCAGGTTCAATATGGTTCCTGACCCGCTGCTTCAGAATCTTGGTCTCAGGAAAGCCTCCCTCTGCCTTGCGATCCCAGATCAAGACTTCCTGCGGACTAGTATCACTTTCCTGGGTCTTGTGGGTGAGATGCACGGTAAAGAGGCCTCCAGTGGCTGGGATGAGAGCGATCTCTCCGATGCTGGTGCCGAAAGTTGACAATAGTTCTTGGCCGAAGTAGGCCGCTCGTAGCATCCATTTGCATTGCGTGCAGTAAGTGATCGCTACTCGTGGTAGCTTCACTGGGGCGACGGATTCAGAGTCTTCCATTCTGATGGGTTTTCCGTGCTGCTGGTGGAGCTGGAAGGCAGCCGTTGAGACGCTCGTCCGAGTTTAGATAGCTTGTACGCTCCCCGATCCTCCGTTATTCTCAAAGGCTGTTGGGTAGGTAGAAGTGGCGTCGCTATTCTTCGTTCCTGCCAAGCCATATCAGAGCGGCCCATCCCGTAAAAAGTCCGAGCCAGTCCGAAGGAGAAGCTCGAGCTGCCAATGGTTGTTCCAACTTTTGCTGGACTACACCTCAACCACCTCACTCCACCCTATACACGCGGTGACGATGCTGCGAACGGCTGTTGTTCGAGGCAATGCTTGCCTTGAACAGGGGTTGCGCGCGGGTGTGCGCCGGCAATGGACGCCGCAGCGGATACAGAGGCCAGTGGTTGGGATAGTATGGAACACAAAAGGGAACGTATTGGATACACTCGCTAACATGACGTGTAGAGGAGATATGCCGACTCGAAGCAAGGCACCGTCGCTGGTGTACCGACTGGACCCATACAGGCCACCGCGACCACGAACCCAGCCACAACCGCAGGAGCAACAACATCCACCACTCCTGCAGGCACTCTTCCACCTCCCGGCAGCACCACAACTACCTCCCCACCTCCTAAACGTCCCCGGCGCCGCTTCCGCAACTTCCTGTTCTCTCTCGTGGTATTGTCAGTGCTTGGCTACGCTGGAGGAGTCTACTACAGTCTCGTCAGTGACAACTTCCACGACTTCTTCACTGAGTACGTTCCCTTTGCCGAGGACGCAGTCGCATACTTCGAAGAGCGCGAGTTTCGGAGACGCTTCCCTTCGTACCGGGATGGTGGGGCAGGAGGCAAACTGTACCCGCAGCGCACCGGAGAGCAGAAGGTTACTATTGGAAAGAGCAGTGGGTTAACTGCACGAGTAGCGCCGGAAGACGAGGCAAAAGCAGGCAGTGATCTGGGTGCGAAGGGCCGGCATTCGAGTGCCAAGGAGGAGAACAAGGTGAAGGGCCAGGAGAAGGGAACGGGAGGGCCCAAGGAGCAGACACCTAGCACGCAGGCCAAGGTGCCAGAGGCGAAGGCCGCACCGAAGCAGGACGTCTCGAAGGAGGCTGGTGCCGGGGTAACAAAACCTGCTGGCCTGGATAAGGCTGGTGCTGCGAAAGATGCAAAGACAGAAGAGAAGAAGGCGTCCACGACACCCGACATCGAGCCTGTCGATCGCGTCAACGTGCCCGATGCCACCGAGCCGGTAGTCCAGGATCTGGTGGCTTTCATCAATCGCCTCATTACTGTCATCAACGCCTCATCTGACGCTGCGAAGTACAAGACCGCGCTTGCTCAGGACGAGATCAATAATCTGATCAAGACCGTGGCCGGGTTGAAAGAGCGCGCGTCTCAAGATGCAGAGAAGAAGATCCAGGACGCACATGCCGAATTTGAAGACGCAGCAAAGGAGCTGGTAAAGCGCGTCGAGCGCGAGATGCAAGACCAAGAAATGAAGTGGCGCGACGAGTACGAATCTGAGCGCGAAAAGATCAGCGCCAGCTACCAACAAAAGCTCTCCCTCGAGCTCGACGCAGCGAAACGCGTCGCTGACCAGAAGACACAAAACTCTCTCGTCGAGCAGGAAATCGTGCTGCAAAAACACTTCATGGACAACGTCCGCGCTGCCGTGGAAGCCGAACGTCAAGGCCGGCTCAGCAAACTCGATGAGCTCTCCTCTTCGGTCTCTGAGCTCAACCAGCTGACTTCCGACTGGAACGAAGTCGTTGACGCCACGCTCCAAACCCAGCACATGCAAGTCGCGCTCGAAGCCGTGCGCGCTAAAGTCATGGAGTCCGACCACCCCACACCTTTCCTCAACGAGCTCGTCGCACTGAAAGAGACATCCAAGTCTTCACCGCTCGTCTCGGCCGCTATCTCCGCCATCCCGCCCCTTGCCTACCAACGCGGCATCCCCACCCCAGCACACCTCATCGACCGCTTCCGCCGTGTCGCCTCTGAAGTGCGGAAAGCCAGTCTCCTGCCCGAAGACGCTGGGATAGCATCGCACGCCGCGTCCGCTGTGCTGAGCAGGTTCATGTTCAAGAAGGGCAGTGAGCGAGGACTGCCCGAGGGTGATGACGTTGAAGCGACACTCGCGAGGACGGAAGTGCTGCTCGAAGAGGGAGATCTGGATTCTGCGGCGAGGGAGATGAATGGGTTGAGAGGGTGGGCGGGAGTGTTGTCGAAGGACTGGGTGGGAGAGGTGAGGAGGGTTCTGGAGGTTCGGATGGCTGTTGATGTGAGTATTTCGTTCATTCTGGGTGGTGTGTGAGGACAGAAGTGCTAACGCGTGACAGGTCATTGCCACTGAAGCGCGGTTGCAGAGCTTGCTGGTCGATTGAGAGATTCCAGGGAGTCGAAAGGCAGCAACCACGGAGGCTGTTCATCGAGTGTACGATATCACCCACCTACCGAAAAAGATGTTTAGACAGCGCGCACTTGCTGTGTGTACAGCAATTACCCTATTACCATATACTACTACTCAAACCCTCCATGCGACGTGCTCACAGAACCATCATGCTCAATGCTGAATGCTGAATGCTGAATGCTCAATGTCCATTGCCCTTGCTAACAAAGTTGGGGGTATCTCATGCTGATAGAAGCAAGCCATGCAAGCGACCGAAAGGCTGCTCTCCATCCCGAGCCAAGAACGCCGTATGCCACACGCTCAAACGATCGGCGTGCACTCCCATATTCGCTCGTGCTTCGATGTCATACCCTTTGATGCGCCAGTGAATGCCGCACATCTCTCATGACAGAATCCTTCGCACATCATCTCCACAACGCCATTATATCCACACTCATACCTTTGCATCCATAGCTTTCGCTCACAATCCACCGACTGGCGATGGCCCGATGAGCAGCACAGCTGAAGTGGTAATGGCACCCTCAGATGTACCAATCACCACCACATGCCCTGCCCGCCAGCCCCACCCTGTCCATTGCCCGCAGCTGTCCCAGCTCCGCCAGGAGCACCTTGTCCGCCAGGCCCACCCGCAGCTGCTCCAGCACCTGCCTGCGCTTGCGCCGGCGGTGGTGGAGGCGGTGGCATCATCCCACCCGGGCCCCCCGTCGCAGGCGCCATAAAGATCGTTCCTCCCGGCCCCGGCATCGGCACCCCATACAGCCCACCCATTCCCGGCGGTCCGGCAGCACCAAAAGCCGCGCCCAGAGAGTTCATGATGGCGTTGACGGGATGGTTGGGATCGAAATGGTCGCCCATCTCGTCCTCGAGGCGGTACTCGTCGATGAAGATGGGGATGTACTTTTCGATGAGGGCGCGGGAGTCGAGACAGATTTTGCCGCCGCGGTCGGGGCCGAGGCCGAAGGATGCGTCTCCTGTGGAGGTGGTCAGTATGAGTTGCAATGTTTGCTTGACGCGGGAGCGTGTTGGAGCGCTATGAGGCGCGTGGTGTCGATTCAGGGATGAAAGGATTGACTTACCGATGGGAGGATCGTTTGATGGACGGCTGACGGCGTGGTCGATTACTCCTTGCGGCCCGTTGGGATCGAAGCCCTCCCCGTCGTCGCCTAGCTCGTCAGGGCGCCGGTCGTCGTGCGGCTCGAGATCTGGCATGCTGTCGTCCGTACCATCGTCGCTCATCGGTTCACCATCAATGGGGTAGCCGTCTTCATCGTACTCGTACTCCGACTCGTAGTCATCGCTTCCCATGTCGCCTGGGTCGATGGCCGAACCTGTCTGAGGGCTCGTGGGAGTGTACTTTGGCAGTGGCTTGAGGAAGTAACAGGGCACAAAGTCCTCCATGAGGTACATCAAGTGGAGATGGCGGAGCTTCTCAGGCTTCTGGATGGCTTTCAGGACCGGGACCCAGGTGCCTTGAGTGAGGTTTATCTGGGAAGCGCGACAGTCAGCTTCTTGGCGACACTACATGACACAACGCCATCTCGCCAGCCTCTCCTCCAGCTGAGAGGGAGACAAACGTTGTTTGAGACTTACTGTAGTGATTTGGAGGTCCTCAATGGAAACCAGCTTAGTGACGGTGGCAGCCAGGTACTTGGCAGTCAAGTAGATCCTATCCAGCTCGAGTTTCACCATGTTCTCTAGCTTAAGCTTGTTGGTGAAGGACCTGCACAGCGCGGCGGACGATGGCGAGTGCGTGAACGTAAGCCTCAGATCCTTGAGAGCCGGAAGCAGGCGTGCGAGGTTTCCCATGGCCTTGAGCAGAAGTTAGTGAATATTCGCGGCTAACCAAACTCCTCTGTTTCCTTGCGCTGGGTGTCGCTGTTCAATGGCGCAGTATTGCTATCTGAGAGATCTGCTTACCTTTCCCGCCTGGACCGTATCGATCCCATCGTCGTCTTCTTCCGGATGGGAGTTCTTACGACTGCTGATGTTGAGCCCGACCGCGCGGACGTTCTTGAAAGTCACACCAAGGCCACGCATCACCTTGCTTGAGAAATTGAGATCGTGCTCCACCGCCAGGCCATTCCTCAGCTGATCGAGCTCGACGTGGAAGTCCTTGAGGGTGCTTTTGCCACTGTTCGCGAGCGCTTTGATGAGCACCTTCCAGACATGCTTCTTCCAGCGGTAGTACTCCTTGTCGTCGGGAGCGCTAAGGATCATGGCCGGGGTGTTGTTGGTTGAGCGAACAGCCTTCTGGTACCCACGCAGGTCGAGGTCGCGCGGGAGCTTGCCCACACTATCTTTGAACGTCAACTTGCTGAGACCGGGCAATTGCTGGAATGCTTCGGTGAGCATCTCCAAATCGCGGCCGGTCTTCTGGAGGTTCTTCTGGTCCTGCATGTAGAAGCGCCACGCCTCGGTCTGACGTGTTGACGGCTTCCAGACGCATAAGTCACCTTGGCAGCAGTTGAAGACGCGGTCGGAGAAGAGCGCTGGCACGAGGTAAACCTCGTGTAGATAACCGCGCAGCTTCTCGCTTGTGGCGATGTTGACGAGCACCTTGAGGCTCTCCGTGGTGAGGATGAAGCATTTGCTGTTGAAGTACTCGTTTGCGAACTCGTGGAAGGTCTTGTGCTCGATCGATCTGCCTGAGGTGGGAGCGTGGGTCAGCATTTTCACGTCACAGGGGTTTTTACCTTGTTCAGTCTATATGAGTGCCGACAGCTTCCAGATACTCGTTCCTCTTAGGAATGTCCCAGCTGCTGACTCCCTGCCATGCCACATACGTCCGCGTGCCTGCCTGCCTGCCTCCCTCCCTTCCTGCTGCCCTCTCACCACCACGAAAGCGCTCAAGGAAACAGTTCAAGACTTACATGTAAGGCGGAAGTTGAAGATGTCGTCGGATCCCAACTTGATGGAGATGTTGGACATCAGCTCCTCGGGCATGCCTTCGAGGCGCGACATGACTGCGGTTGTGTGCGCCGAGCGAGTGATGATGTTGGGTGAAGAAGACAGGTTTGGAAGCTCATAGATGTGTCGCATTCAATGTTGCTGTCTCAATCAAACGCGGGCAGGCTACACAAGGTGGGGCAGAATTAGCCAATGAGACGCTTCGAGAAACGCGCTCGCCAACGACTTCACGTGGGAGACGTGTACGGGTGTTTCTGCAAGCACTTTGCACGACATTGGTTTTCTGCTCGTGCCCAGATGCTTGCGATAGAGCAGTCTCTTGACAGAGGCTAGACGTGTTCCACACGCCCATTTGACCTCAAGATGATAAGTAGCCAGCACTGCTACATTATGGCCCCGTTGCTTCTCCTGAGCGCCTTCTGACCAGCAGCACTGGTCCATCATGTCGACGCAGTAGCTCCCGGCTGGAGAGAAGGTAACATCACGACAATATCCCGGCGAGTAGGTGTACATGACCAGGTAGGTCTGGGACTACGACACGTCTCACAGCCAAGGTCGTGCAATCGTCACAGCTGCACTGTACTTCGCGCGCAGCCTCGCGATGTTCTATTCTCCTTGAGAAGCACACGCCAGTTTGTTCATAAATGTCTCGTCCGGACTACTACAAGGCCTTGAAATCATCGGAGAGCCTGGACGCTTTCCACCTCGGCGCGATCGAAGAAGTGCCTACCCGCGCGAGCCGTGCTGAAGATGGTAACCGCTCGACGTACGTTGAGTATGTCGAGGACATTCAACTGGAGGGGACGGACGAGGAGGACTTTGACGAAGACGCAGAGGAGGACTTCGACGGAAGAAGACAGTTCGGCAAATATGCCGCCGCCGGGACTGCTAGACCTACCAGCAGAGATTCTCCAGCAGATCAGCCACCATGTGGACTCCAAGGACGACTGGACAGCCTTACGTCTGACCTGCAACTGTATACAAGCGGCAACCTACAAGGCCTGGTGCGAGAGATTCTTCCAGACCTGGGACTTCGACTTCAACCACCAAGGCTTAGCAAGGCTCTCCAAATTCGTATGGCAGATGCGCCACCTCGCTGAGACAATCACTGAGTTGGTGGTGATCTGCATCGACGAGAGCATGGGGGATTGGGAGTTTGTGGACGTACAAACTGATCCGTACGGGGATAAAACCGTGGCCTCGTCCTTCGGAAAAGCTACCTTTGAAGACGGCATTGTTTCCGAAGTAGCCAAAAAGCGCAACCTGGTCACCAGCTGTGGACTTGTCACTGACCACGAAAAGAATACCTTCGAGAACCTTACTTACGTCCGCATACAGGCACTATTCGAGGTGATTCGGCATCTTCGAGGTCTGCGAGCAGCACGTTTCAAACTCAGCGAAGATGAAGAACCCGTGGCACTCTGCGATATTCAGGAGCAGTTCGGCTTCATCATGTGGGCCATGGAGACTGCAAATATACGACTCAAACAGCTCGTTGCCCGCAGTGGCCCCGACAGTCAGATGGCCCTTCAGTCATACCACATCTTTCCATATCTTCGAAGAGCCCTGTCCGCCGTTGAAGAGGTCCAGCTTGAAGTTTACGTCAAGAAAGGAATTTATGAAGGCTATCCCGGCGACGAGGTCATCATGATTGCAGAAAACTTGGCCTTGGGGCTGATGCACATGGAGCGAACTCTCCGGATACTCAAGCTTGCATTTTCCTTCGCGAACAAAATCCCCTCCTTGGTCATGTTCCAGGTTATACTGGAAGAGACGAATTTCCCTCACCTGCGGGAGGTGGACTTCAGCGGCATTCTGTGCTTCACGAATCATTTCGTGCCGTTCCTGCGGCGCCATAGCGTGACGTTACGTCGCGTGCACATCAGAGATGCTATTTTCTCCACCGGCTTCAGGGCCGATGATGGCGACTTCCCCAATGTCCTCCGCGCCCTGCAGGATGCCATCTGACTTGGCCTGGAGTATGTGCTGATGACAAAGATCCGCTCGGAGATGTGCTTCATTAGCTTCCCAGGACTCACGCGGCCAATCGTGTGGACCCGGTAAATGACAGGGATATCGACGAGTATGTCTGGATACACCATTCCGACGAGGTGATATTGGAACCATCCAGGAGAGATACACGGAGAATTGCAGAAGATGATGGACGGTATGGCTTTGGAGGTGTACCATCGCCCTAATCTTGGAGGATATCAAGCCTGAGCAAGCTCTATAGCCTTGAATACCTAAAGACGCATTACGAGACCTCATCAGGTATCAACCACAGTCCATGTCTATCAATACAGCGTCCTGCAGCTGCTCGTGGCGCCATCCGAATCTTGCTAACGCCAGGATCGACAGGAGCACAGCCACACTTCAAGGTCTCGATCTTTGGGGCGAGCTGGCGAGCTGCACAGACGAGATTCCGTGCTATAACGGACAACGCTTTCCCTTAACACACTCATTTTCCGGCTCGATCGATTGGCATTCGTCTCTTTCCGTTCGCTCTTGGATTCCTAGCTCTTGTATCATACATTCTACCTTAGTATCCGTACTTTACCGTATCCAACACCCTCGCTTGTCACACTCAGCCGCGTCAGCCTTGTCTCACGCCCAGGTCGCTCGCTTCTTCCAAACCCTTGTACTGCGACAACCCAGCCCAGCAGGCGCAAAAGAAGCCTCGTTGCCTTCTCCAGATGCGATAGCAGACCCGTCTGGTGCTGGTCGTGAAACACCATGCTCCTACCCCGGGGACCGAAGGAGAAGCGGGACGGTGCTTCGTCCAAAGTCGCGATCATTGTGCGCCGCCGTCCAACAAGGGAAGGATCGGGACTGTGCGCTAACATGGTGTCTAGGTCGTTGTCTCACTTGCGATAGTCATCTCGCTCGCCGTCATCTCGTACCTCATACTCAAAGCGCTGCGGTCGAGACATTCGAATCCAAAGTACGTCCCGACACAGTTCCTGAAGCGGAAGTGGGAGGCATGGCATCCGGTGGGCTTTACGACGAAAGGCAACTACAGCGCGCGGTTGCAAGAGGATGCGTCGGTGCCGACGCTGCATTTGAGGAGCGAGAATCGAAGCGCAAGAGCCAGCGCGGTCAATCTGCCTGACCTGGAGAGGGCGCAGGGCGCGGAGAGTACAGCGAATGGAGCGGGTGCGACGGTGGATAGGCAGACGAGTCTCAGGTCTGTCATGACGCTGCCGATGTACTCGAAGTCTGTACGGGAGAACGAGCAGATCTTGGGAAGGGAAGGGGACAGGGATGGCATTGACGTGGTAGTCGAGCAGCCAGAGACTATTGAGGAGGAAGAGGAGCGGCGGGACGAAGAGATGGAGAGCCTATATCAAATACGACTGCAACGGCGACGGGAAGTTGCAGAGCGCGAGGAGCGAAGGAGGCTGAGGAGAGAGGCGCGGGAAAGAGGGGATCAAGTGACGCTTGAGCGGTTACGGCAAGAAAGTAGGCTGAGGGCGGAAGAGCGGGAGAATGAGGGCGCGGCTGCGATGATCGCAGAGCATCATGGACGGTCCAGGGAACGACGGGTCAGCAGTGTGAGCTATGCTGAACTGGGCGTGGCGAGACATGATGGCTCTCGAATACGAGCAAACAGCAGCGACTCAGAACGACCACTCCTGGACTCCGCAGCGAGCATCGGAGGAGGCACAATCCGGCCCTGGTCTACACAGGACTCTGCTTCCTTGCGCTCACACCACCGCGACCGCTCAGCCAGCTCCGTCCTCTCCATCTCCGACAACGGCAGCGAAATCGTCGAAATGCCACCTTTCGGCCGCGCTGGAAGCCACTACGAAATCGTCACCATGAACCAAGCACACTCTCGCAACACTTCACGGACACACACCCCGTTCGCTTCACGAAGTAGATCCTCTTCCAACACCGGCCCGACCGTCGAAACTGGATCCCTCGCCCAGGTACCCGCCTACGAACCTCCACCCTACGACAGCGCAGGCTTCGAAGACGCTCCTCCTTACACCTCCCCCGTCCGAGAGCGAGCGCCAGAGCCGAGACGAGAGATGCAGCGGTCGGATTCTGGAGCGCCGATATTGCCGGATATTGGGCGCTTGCCGAGTATCCGAATCGCGGAGTCGACGCCTATAGAGCCGAGGAGGGAGGTCGAGTGGCCGGAGCCGGTTAGAGAGAGTGTGAATGAGCGGTAATATTTACAGATGGATGGGAGGGATTTGTTCTACAGCGAGGCGTTGCGGGTTGGGATCGGGATGATATCAAGACTTTATGTGGACCGGACGATAGTGTAGTTGTTTTGTACATGTACTTGATGCTTGACCAGCTGATCAGGCCGTGATACCCACCATTGCAATTAACCGATCTCGTGCACATACTCACCTTCCTGTTCTGCCAACATCTCAACAGTCTATTCAGTCCATACACGCCAAGCTATCCGCAACGTGCTTGTTCCGTTGGCCTCGAGGCTTCTCCAACACCGCCCATCTTTCCCAAACACCACCTTTTTCTCATTCCCGAACCCCTTTGCCCTACGACGGTCCTTTTACTTGCAAGCATGCCGCCGTCACTAATGCAGGAGACCCCATCATCCCCATCGAATAGTCCCCGATGATCACGGCTTTCCGCCGTCGCCTCCTCGGTGATGGCCATACATATAGCCTCATTGGCAGCCCCCAGGATGTCGAAGACCAGCTTTGGAGGAGGAAGCATTATATTCTGTTGATCATGCTGGTTGCGCTTGCTGGGCTGGCGGCTGTGTTCGTCTCTGGGTACGTGAGCTTCATGGTCTGGAGAAATGGATTGTGCTGATGGTAGACGAAGGTCGTACGGGATTGAGACGTGCGATACGGTTGCGCATGGGTTTCAATGCGGTACTACGATCTCACAATACTGGGGTGCGTCCTTCGACGTCTTCTCGACAATCGGGATTAAACAGCTAACTCACTCGACAGGCCAGTACAGCCCGTACTTCAGCGTGCCCCCCGAGATCTCACCGGACATTCCGGAAGGATGCACCGTGACATTCGCTCAGATCTTGTCCCGGCATGGCGCTCGCGACCCGACTGCTTCGAAGACCGAGGCCTACAACGCCACGATCCAGAAGATCCAGGCCAACGTCAGGAAGTTCTCTGGCAAATATGCTTTTCTCGCCGATTATGAGTACACACTTGGAGCGGACCAGCTTACTACGTTTGGTCAGCAGGAGATGGTGAACTCGGGTATCAAGTTCTACGAGCGCTACAGAGATCAGACGCGGGATATTGTGCCTTTTATGCGATCTTCTGGAGAAGACCGTGTCGTCGAGAGTGCTCTGAACTTTACTCAAGGTTTCACAGACGCTAAAGCTGCCGATTCGCAAGCGAAGCATGGCAGCAAAGCATATCCGACAGTCGATGTTATCATTCCAGAGGCAGACTACGGCATCAACAACACGCTCAACCACGACCTCTGCACAGCTTTCGAGAACGGCACCGATAGCTCGATCGCCGACGACGTACAGGAGACATGGACCAACATCTTCGCAAAGCCGATCAGGAAACGACTGAACTCACATCTGCCTGGCGCACATCTCACGCTCCAGGAGACAATCTATGTTATGGATCTCTGCCCCTTCAACACCGTCGCTTCTCCTACCGGCGAGCTGTCACCGTTTTGCAACCTCTTCACTGAAGAAGAATGGCACCAGTACAACTACTACGAGACTCTGGACAAATGGTACGGCTACAGTTACGGCAATCCACTCGGACCAACGCAGGGTGTTGGATTCGCGAACGAGCTCATCGCTCGTATGACGGACAAGCCCGTCCACGATGAGACGTCGACGAACCATACCCTTGATGACGATCCGAAGACGTTCCCTCTCGGACGCCAACTGTATGCGGACTTTAGCCACGATAACGACATGACAGCCATATTCGCGGCGCTCGGGCTGTACAACGGTACAGGGCAGTTCCCTAAAACCGAAGTGGTTGAGGCACGGGATGCCAACGGCTACAGTGCGGCTTGGACGGTGCCATTCGCTGCGAGGGCGTACTTTGAGAAGATGACTTGCAGCGGGCACAAGGGCGAATTGGTGCGGGTGCTCATCAACGATCGCGTGCTGCCGTTGACGCAGTGCGGTGGCGATGGTCTTGGGAGGTGTACGTTGGCAAAGTTCATTGAGAGTTTGGGCTTCGCGAAAGCGGGAGGAGATTGGGATAAGTGCTTCTTATAGAATTATGCTACGATGCATATGGCAGCTTCTGCGTACATGAAATGTAGTACTCACTTCAAATGGCGACTCACCGGCGAATGCCTCCTCGTAGGAACGTATTCTGAACATATGAAGCACGTCCTTGCGGCTGAGACTTGCGACGGCGCAATGTGGATTACTTTGAAAAAGCACGCAGCAGTACGCAGTACAATGAAAGCAGATCAAAATGACTTACACATGTAGTTAGCACCTGAAGGTTGTGTGGTGTGGAATAGAAAGGCCCTCTTGACTGTGAACAACGGCATCTCTACCTCCTAAGGAGAATCGAACGCTCAAAAAGCCAAAAAGATTGAGACCTCTAGGTTCAAGGTCCTATTGAAAATGCTCGAAGCGATTTTCAACGATCCGCAGGCAGGTTACCACGCTGGTTGTTTACTCCCACGGAAGATTCGCGATCTGTTGGGAAGGCAGTGGTCCATAGGCTATATCACCCACCGAAGTAGGGACTGCTGGCGTTGCTTCTTGAGTATGCATCAACCAGAGGAGCTCTCCCATTTGCAGCGGCCTGCGGGATCGGATGAGGTAAGAATTTTGGAAGTACAATATTAATGCTGCAAAATGGTGTGTTCGCCCACCGGAGGGCGTACTAAGCATGGAGGTGCATGAGGGGCGTCGCTTGGTGATTCTGTAGTAATCTGATGGGTGTTTGTATTGTTCCGCTCGGGCCGGAAAGTATTGGAAGTCGCGTTGTCGATGCCGTGGCGTGGGAGGGCAATTGCATTGTAGTCATCTCGGGGCCGTGCGCGCCACGCTCGCTCAAGCTCCTCCATCTCCCACCAACGCCGCCGCCTCATCAGCATGCCATCGCTCACGAGGGCTTGCACCAGCTGTATGTTCCAGATGTCTGGTCTGCGCTCTTCCTGCTTCTTGCTTTTCCTCCCTATTCAGTGTGTTCTGCATCCGCATCCGCATCTCACCACGCTTTCTACTTCCTTACGCGCCGTCGCAATCTCGTCTCCCGTAGCACACCGCTTCTCGTTTCGCTGGTTGATTTTCTTCTTTCTGTGGTCATTTCTGTCTTCATTTCTGTCTGCGCGCATTAGCGTCGCCTCTCTGCGAGGCCGATAATGAGACTGGCGAGCGTCGAGCGGGCTGGTCAGGCATCTGCCATCGAATACAGCCACCGTCACGACCAGAATCACGGCAAGCCATCACCGCACAGTCTGGCACCTGGTTGTGTTTGCTGGCGCTCTCCTCTCACCGAGTGACTGTATATCGCTTGACATGCGTTTTCAATGCTCATGCTGGGTGTTTAACGTCCGTTCATGAGACACCGCAGTTTGTCATTGCAAAGGTGATGGATAGAAGCAGAATGGGACAACAGCAGCAACCTCACTTGAAGTCAGCAGAAGGATGCTTGGCAGAGCAAATCCTTGCAGCTTGTGATTGTGGACCTGTGCTTCACGGCAGGCGTAGCCGAAGTGACTTTCGCGGTCCGAGAAGACCACCTGGGCACTCGCAAACCTTTTACATGTAGGTAACATACGTGTGAGTCTTCTCGGACACCATCTAACAGCTTCAAGGGTGATCACTAGTAGCGATATTGGATGATTTGTGCGCCTTTCAACGCAAGCCAATATTGCAGACACCATCCGGTGGATCATCACACAACTTGGACACCGCGAGAGCAGAGGGAGACTGGAGCTTTTGCCTAACCTCCGGACGTCGGGCTATCGCCGAGAGTAGTTTTCCCACCGCGGGTGCAAGTTGGGTGCTCTCTCGCTGGGAGCAAAGGAAGCGCCGGTGAAATGGATCCGAATAAGGGGTACGTATTGACCTTCGCCTACTACATCATGCACCCCGCATGTGTTCGCAGGTGGGGCAATCGACCTTTACACGACTACGTAAACACGCCGTCGACACGATAGCAATTGCCTTCTAAAGTTATTGATGACATTCACAAAGCCACAACAGTCAATAAGTCAAGAAACCCGACAATTTGGGGGAACTGAAAGCAATACGAACTGACCATTATCTCCACCGTCACCATGGTCAACAAACAGGCCCAAGATGCTTGCCAGACAAGTCTTGACGGCGTAACAAGTAACCCAGACACCGGAATCGCCGGCATGGTATTTGTTGCCGTTGACAAAGAAGGCAACGAGATATGCGCCGTCCCATCTGGCAAGAAGGGCGTTGGCGAGAAGCGCGAGAAGATGGACATGGAAACTGTCTTCTGGATCGCCAGCTGTACCAAGTTGTTGGCCACTATGGCATGTATGCAGGCTTGCGAGCAGGGGAAGCTGAGTCTCGATGATGCCGAGCAGGTTAAGAAGTTGTGCCCGGAACTTGCGAAGGTGAAAGTGTTGAAGGATGATGGGACGTTGGAGGATCGGAAGACGGATATTACGTTGAGAATGCTCCTAACTCATATGGCTGGTTTTGGCTACGAATTGTATGTTGCCATCAACCTGATGTTGTAGTGCTTTGCTGATGCATCCCCAGTTTCAATCCCAAACTCAGGGACTACGGCAGGCCGGTTGGGTACGACGTGTTCCACGCAGATGAGCGAGATGTCCTTAAGATGCCGCTGGTCAACCAACCGAACACCGTCTGGGAGTACGGGATCAACATCGACTGGGCTGGGATAGTGCTCGAGCGCGCCACTGGTGTGAAGCTCAACGACTGGATCCAGCAGAACATCATGCAACCCCTTGGCCTCAAGAACATCAACATGCTTCCAACCCCGGAGATGAAGAAGTCCCTGGCGTACATGCATCAGAAGTGGCCCGGACAGGAGAAGAGTGAAGAACGCGACCACATGTACCGTGAGCCGGTTGTTGCCGAGAGCGATACCGAGAAGGAGCGGATCTTCCACAGCGGAGGCGCTGGATGTTTCGCGAGGCCAAATGAGTATGTGCAGGTCTTGGCCACGCTACTCAATAATGGCAAGAGCCCGAAGACTGGAGCGCAGATCTTGAAATCTGAGACTGTGGATGCCATGTTTGAGAACCAGATCAAGGAGCAGCCCAATTTTGCGCGGAACCCGGTTCCTGCGGCGAAGCCGGAGCAGACGAATGCTTTTCCGGAGCTGTATCCGCAGGAAGGTGAGATGCTGTTCCCTCGTATTTGGAGTTTTCGGTTGGCTGATTGTACCTTCTTAGGAAACCCACCACAAGGCTGGGGCCTGTCGTTCATGATCACGCAAGAACCAGGTGTAACGGGAAGAGGAAGGAACACGGCCTGGTGGGCTGGTATCGCGAACCTGTTCTGGTGGTGCGACAGAGAGAAGGGTGTTGCCGGGATGATCGCCAGCCAGGTCATGCCGTTCGGCGACTTGAATGTTATGGGGCAGTGGTAAGTCCTCTTGTCCACGACAGAACCGCAGTTGATGGCTAATCTCGTTGCGCCCAGGTTCGCCTGTGAAGGTGAGGTGTACAAGGCTGTGTCGCAGTAGCCTGGATATTCAAAGGACCTGTAATCCTTTCCATTGACCTCAGCGGGCTCTTCCGACCGCAGCAAAGATGTGTTTCATAGCGCCTTTGTCTTGATCGATCAAAGCTGAGTCGTGGTCGGTGCCTGACAATTCGACGCTGTGGTAGTCTACGACCTCAGACACCATGCTCTGATTCCAGCATTTGTCGAAGTAGGCCTGGCCGCCCTTCCCAATCATCATGTCCGATTCGGCGTAGTAGACATGCATTTCCAGCTTTGGTTCGTCCTGATGACTGTCCTTTCTTGCACGCTCGCTAGTGCAGAAAGTTTGAACGTACGTCTCGTAATCATCGCACACGTCCCAAGTCACCGAGACATCCTTCTTCGCGCAAAGCTTGAGCTCTTCATTGGCGGCAGTCGTATCTTCCTCGAAGAAATACTTGACCTGAAGTTTTTCTATTTCCTTACCGACGTCCTCAGCGGTGTCGTATCGCTGTCCGGGGGTCATGGCACAGCTTGGCTTCGAGCTGAAGACTCCTGAGACTGCTGATATGACGCCGCCGGACCAGGAAAGGGATGGTGCGATCTGTGTTTGGATGAATTTTCCTAGGCCATTCCAGGCGTCGAACATCCCTACGGGAAGCTTAGAAGCCGCGCTCCAAAGGAAGACCTTTGACTGTTCGGTGTCTACCCACGGGCCTGTGCTATGTCAATACCTGACCAGAGCTGGACAAAACCTTGAGCTTACCAATGATCGCAACATACGGCTTCACCGGATCCAGTATCTCGCGAAGGTGATACAGAGTGTTAAGGAGATATATCGTACCAGCCGAGTGGCACATGAGGCTGACACGCTCCACTCCCAGAAGTTTGAGCAGCGCCGGTACGGTCTCCAGCCATACCGCGATCCTGATCTTGAGCGGAACACGTGTAGACCCGCCCATTCCCGGGCTGGAGAACGGTGAGCTCCAGGATCATATCTTGTGCATACATCGGCCGAATGAGGCCCATTCGAGACTCACCGATCCACACATATCACCCTCACGCCATGTAATACCGCAAGCCGGTTGTACTCCAGATTCATGTATCGAGATCCGAACATAGGCCCGCACGTGAGAATCAACGGAAGACTATCGTCTGCGAAGTTGCTAGTGGTGGAGAATGTCACTCTCAGTCTCTCGTGCGAGGAGGTTTCTGGTAGCCAAAAGCATCTGTGCAGATGCGCTGCGCATAGTCGCTGTATTGCTTGGTCCTTTGGTAGTCCCGTAGCTGACCCATTGTGCTGCTGCCCCTGCAATTGCGCAGTAGCCATCGTTGCGCAAGGAATGGTGGATGAGTGTTCAAAACACAGGCGGGAGACGGGGCAAAAGGCCTAGGAGGTAGACTACCGGCTGAATGTTGTTGCTTCTGCACGTGGTGTGGAGTTGTCCGTTCACGGATGAAGGTTGAAAAGGAATCTTGAATCTTCGACCCTACATTCCACCGCGTCTGCACGAGATTCTGAACTCGATCATGTCTGCTGACTACAGCATGAATGGTCAGAGTACCAAAAATATCATGAGCAAATGGAGGCCTTATCGTACAGCCACACGTCAGTCGGCAGTGGACCAACAGATCTCACCACCCGCGCCATCCGAAGCCTTCGAGCTGTCCCACGGAGAACCTTGCTTTGCACTGCGCCTCTTCAGATCCAATGCGACGACTTGACTGTGATGGTTCCCCGAGCTGCGGACCACCAAGGGGCAGCTACGACCTGGGTTTAAGAACCCTCTGAATCCAGAATATACATGTAGGCATGGTCACGAACCCTGAGACTAGCATCTATATCGCAGATCACACCATACGAATGCACTGGCCATGGCCCACTACACGGAACAATTTCTTGCCCACCAGAACTACTTGGCCAGTCTACACGCACCAAACGCCGAGGAATGGCACCGCATTTCTGACTACCAGAAGCGCAAGGAGATCGAGATTGATAGCAAATATCACAGCACCGAAGCTCACAATGCAGCTACTACGATTCAAAAAGCTTACCGTGGCCACCGTGCAAGGCGAGAACTGCAGGGTCTCGCACTGGATCCTTCTTCACGGTGGGTGGAGATACTCCGTGAGCTAAAGTATCGCAAGGCTACTGCACTACACCATGGGCCAGGCTCCCCCGGCTTGGTCGTCGTGACGAGGCGAAGAGCGCCATCTGATGTGGCGAAGCTCAACTGGTTCAGAGCCGGACAGGTAGCAGAGCACGCTGGCGCCGGGGCGGATCGTCCGAGCAGTCGGCGCTCATATGACCCCCTGGATCCCGGAAAAACTGAGGGAGGTGCTGAGGAGCCCCAGGAAGCCTCCGAGTCGATGCTGATGGACCAGAGGTACTTCTTGGAGCTTGTCGACTGGAAGCATAGGTCGGAAAAACTCCCAAGATGCCTCACGCAACCGCTGACCCTTCTCATAGGTACGGTGCGAACCTTCAGATCTATCACGAAGCGTGGCTACACTCTTCCGTCCGTTAGAACTTCTTTTCCTGGTTGGACTATGGAGAAGGCAGATACCTCGATCTGCCCGGCTGCAGCAGAGCCAAGCTCGAGAAGGAGAGGATCAGGTACCTTAGCCGAGAAGAGCGGTTGGCGTACCTAGTCGACGTGGACGACGAAGGGAGGCTCCGCTGGAACAAGAATAGCGAGTTGATCACCACTAGCGTGGAGGAGTACAAAGACTCCATGCTTGGTGTGGTGCCGAAAGACGCCACAGATGCGCCCAGCTTCACCGATCAGGGACTGGTTCGCCAAAGAACAGAATCTCGCCGCGCCTTTAATGAAATGCTTAAGACGACAAGCCGGGACGCGGAGACTGCATCTGGGGTATCTAGCAGTGGAGAATCTCACTCGCCGGATCCAGATCGGACGGCGAGCCGCGACCACACAGCGGCATCTGGAAAGACGGCAAGACGGAGACACCACGCTTCGCCCGCCACGATCCTCAACCATCTTCTGCGCGCAACGGTGAGACCTGGAACGTGGATCTATGTTGCCGACAGCCGCGGAAGACTCTATGTCGGAATCAAATCTTCCGGAGCCTTTCAGCATGCCTCGTTCCTTGCCGGTGCACGCATATCCTCCGCAGGATCTATTGGCATTGACGAGGGACGGCTCGAATATCTATCTCCGTTGAGTGGTCATTACCGACCGACAACGAAGTCGTTCAAAGCGTTTATCAACAGTCTACGGGATCAAGGCGTGGACTTATCACGAACGCGAGTATCTCATGCATTCGAGATATTGCAGGGCATAGAAGTCTACAGCAAGTCAAAGAAGAGTATGGAGAGGGTCGTGAAAGGCAAGGAAGCTGCAGGCCGTCGCCATAGCCCCGATCTCGCCGAACAATTTCACATGAAGATTGATAACATATCAGCCACGAGTCTGGTAGAAGAGAATTGGGAGCATCAGCACAGAAAGCGAGGGCTGTCAAACCTGATTGGTGATCTGAGCCTTGGCAGGCGAGGTCTAGATCGAGCTGAAGGCAGCTAACAACCACATCCATATCAACCAGCTTCACAATCAAGACATGTGGTAGAATCCCCATACCGAACACCGATCCTTATCGGCGGAAGTTGACCCGGCAAAACAGCCTCCGCAATTACCCTCCATTCAACCCAGCATTTCTCCGCAAGTGTACTGAGCCAGAATGACTTGGTCGCGCCAGCCAAGGCCGCCCCCAGCTATACCAAGGAATCTCGAGCGCACCAAGACGCCTCGAGAGCATACCAAGACGCGACGAGCAGATGTTCCACCACTCACAGAGGGGGGACGAATGCTCTCACGTGAGTGCGACGGGCTTTGTATGTCGTTCGGCGACTGTCACCAACGAGTACTTGAGCCACGCGATTGACAGGCATCCTGATCGATTGTTGTTCCACATCGTCGCTTCATCTGACAACGACACACCACTGCGAGGGTTCAGGCAAGATGGGTCTCCTCACGCTGCTCGTCCACAACGATGCGATCAAGACTGATCCCAAGGAGATCTATGGATGGAGGGTGTACGCTCTAGCTTGTTCGGTATGTTGGCATGGTGGATTGCCTAGGCCATTGCTGACGGTGCTTAGGCATGCTTCGGCGGTATGCTGTTTGGCATGGAGACTGGTATCATCGGCGGCGTGCTCACTCTGGACAACTTCAAAGAGCAAGTGGACCCTGTTGCACAAGTCATAAGAGACGGGACGGCCATAGCTAACTTGGAACAGAGACTATGGTCTCGCGGACTTGGTTGATGTACCCTTGGCAAACTTGCAGGCAAACATTGGTAAATTCATCCGCTGCGTTAGCCTCGATGCATGCTGACCATCTCAGTCACCACCTTGCAATGCGGCTGCTTCGTCGGAGCCCTGATTGCTGGACCAATTGCGGATAGACTCGGCAGACGCCCAACTCTGATGCTGGCAGCATGTTTGGCCATCATCGGCACGATCATGCAATCTGCTGCTATGGGCGAGATCGCTGCCATCTACGTCGGGCGATTCATTGCCGGATTGGGTGTTGGTGCTGCGTCCATGGTTACTCCGCTCTACAGTACGACTTCATTCCATCAATCACACACGCGTGAGCTAATCTGATTGCCAACAGTCTCTGAGAACGCGCCTCGTGCCATTCGCGGCGGTCTTACTGGCATCTATCAGCTCTTCATCACCATGGGAATCATGTTGGCTTTCTGGATCAACTACGGCTGCAAGCTAAACGTTACGGGCGATGCGATTTACATCATCCCACTCACCATGCAAGGCCTCCCAGCAGTGCTGTTGCTGGTATCGCAGGTAAGCGTTGCCGACTGTTGAGATGTTGTCCCGTACAGTTGCTGACACTCCTGCTCTAAAGTTCTTCTGTAATGAATCGCCCAGGCACTTGGCACGCAAAGACCGATGGGAGGATGCCTCCCGCGTGCTTGCTCTCGTGCGGAATCTGCCTGCATCCCACCCATACGTCGCTGGCGAGCTTCAAGAGATCCACGAGGTGCTTGAGCATGAGCGTCGTCTCATGGGAGGATCCACTTTCAAGGACCTGATGCGCGAGATGTGGACGATTCCTGGCAACAGGAAGAGGGCTCTAATCTCGATCGGCTTGATGATATGCCAACAGATGACCGGAACCAACGCGATTAACTATTGTAAGCGATCGCATCGTCGGCCGATCACGCGATTCGACTGTCGCTGACATTACACAGACGCTCCACAGATCTTCGCGAACCTTGGCCTCGGCAGCAACACCTCCACTCTGTTCGCAACTGGCATCTACGGGGTCATGAAGATGACCATGTGTTTCTGCTTCTTGATCTTTGCAGCGGACTCTCTCGGACGCCGGAAGTCACTTCTTTGGACCTCAATCGCCATGGGTTTGGCGATGATGTACGTCGGTAAGTCTAGATCTGTTTCCAATGAAGGTGTAATGGATTGTCGATGCTGACGTTCGACACAGGCTTGTACGTCCGCATCAAGCCTCCGGTTGAGGGCGAAGCGATTCCTCCGGCCGGCTATGTTGCTCTCGTTTGCATCTACCTCTTCGCTTCCTTCTTCCAGTGGGGTTGGGGACCGGTAAGCCACTTGAAAAGCGCCACCACGATTGACCCAAGATCTAATCTCTCGTTCCAGGTATGCTGGATCTACGTCTCCGAGATCCCCACCGCCCGCCTTCGTGCACTCAACGTCTCGCTCGCCGCCGCCACGCAGTGGCTCTTCAACCTCGTCATCGCACGCTCTGTTCCAAACATGCTTGCAACGATGGGCGAGGGCGGCTATGGGTGCTTCATCCTCTTCTCCGTGTTCTGCCTCTCCATGTTCGTCTTCGTCTGGTTCCTGGTTCCCGAGACGAAGGTATGTTTGCTTCAAAGGTCGCGACACTTTCAACCGGCTAACAATCACAACAGGGTCTGTCCCTCGAGACTATGGACGATTTGTTCGGCGTTACGGAGCTTGTCAAGAAGATGGACGACGAAGAGGGCAGTGTGTCCGGCGACAGGAAGGATAACTCTCACCATGTCGAGATCACCGAGTCGAAGTAGGCTGAGGCTGTGTAATACAAGGCGGAAAGAGGGCGATTGATGATACTTTGGAGATGGAGATATCGAGCTGACGCAACACTCAACGGATGCGAAGCGGTGTTCGAGAACATCGTCGTTCACATGCAAATCAGAGCCAGCATAACCTTCTCAGTGCGGCTGTTCAAATTTTTCTAATACTTGAGCTGTAAGTGTGTCAATGTTGAGGCGGGCAGCTTGCGGCAAGGTAAAGTGACTTCACTTCCCCACTCGCTGTGTGAAGCACAGGTCACGATCTCCTCAGATCGTTATCACGTGCATTGTCGCTTTCACATGCAAATTCCATCTGTTTCACCTTTGGCTCGATCAGTTTCAGATTGCCAGCAGCCTCAACACCTCTACCACCTCACTGACTACATATCACTTCAACCACCCAGCTAACATCCACAACAACACCACCACACCTTGCTGGAACCATGGCGGCCACTACTACAAATCCCAACCCACCCACTCCCAGCCCACCCACTCAATCTGCGGCGACGTCGACGTTCGCCATCCCAGAACTGCGTGAACTCATCACCGCTGAGCTACCACCTCGGGACATCCTCGTCAACGCCAACAAAGTCTGCCGTTCCTGGTACTACACCATCACTACCAGCGCTTCAGCTACGATTCGGGAGAAGCTGTTCCTGCCGACCAACAAGATAACCGCGGCGAAGCCGGAATCCTTCGTCAAGGACTACAGATTCAGTTTCCCTGCCTACGCAGAAGTTCTGAAGCCCAATCCGTTGCCTCATTTCAGCAGTACGATGGCGGAGAGTCTCATCGATCGAGGGTTCGGATACAGATGGAGATCGTATTCGAAAAGCTCCCCAAAGCAGAGACGCTGGTACTCAAAGGCGATCTTTATCTTACCCATCCTCCCTGCACCACTATGCTATGCCAAGTGCCTTCCCTGAGTGGACCTCTCTGTGAGGAGCTCATCTGCTTCAACAAGAATGGCATCACATACAGGGATGTTATCATCTCTCTCACCAAGTACAGCAAAGGCATCAGGACGGTACAGGACCAACGCCGAAGCTTAGAGAGCAGCAACATCCCTTGGATTCTAGATATGTTCGACGAGTTGGCTGAGTTGTGCCCGGTGTGGCTGTAGAGTCAGGCGCCGGGCGTGTGAAACGCGAGGCAGGGAAGTCACTGACATCCTTGTGTTGGATTTTGAGGCAACGCGCTCTCCAAATGCGTGAGAGGATTAAGGGCTAGATGTGAGCCGTGGCGGTATTGGAGGGCAAGGCAGAGCCCGGAAAAGCTGCGCAGTGTCAAGCGGGTTCAACCGCATAATGAAATAACGGGGGCTGGAATCACTTCGAATTGGGGGCCCAAGAGGCACGGTCAGGCTTGAAGTTGGATGAAGCTGTCAACATTCGTCTTGGCTCAAGCTAAGCTACATGTGACGCTCTCATCTGGTGAGAGCATGAAGCATAACGATCGCCTCATTCAGACAGAATGCGGCTTCAAAGCAATCACTCCTTCCATCATCTTTTCCACCACGTCTCGCGCCCTCACTGTCGTGATCACACAATGACCATGCTTGCTGAGAAGTCCGTACCTAGTAGCGCTTGCCTTCACGCAGCACATCGGAGTACTCCTCGAGCGGGCTGCGCTGGAGCTTGTTGTCGGCCCACAAGTTTGGCGTAAGGAAGCCGTACGTGCTGGTAATGGCGACGAAGGTGGCCTTGAGCGTGTTCTCGAGCGTCTTGGTAGAGCCGGCGGAGGCGGTGTAGATGTCGTTGACACCTGCGAGCTGGAGCAGACGCTTGACGGCGGGCGAGGCGACCAGGCCGGTACCACGTGGGGCAGGGATGAGCTGCAAGCAATTAGTCTCTGCAGTCAAGTTTAATGTATTTGAGGAGATACATACACGCATGGTGACGGAACCGCACTTGCCGCTGGCCTTGGTCGGGATCGAGTGAGGCTCACCGAGGTTGGTACCCCAGTAGCCACGACGGATGGGCACGACAGAGAGCTTGGCGATGATGATGGCAGCGCGGATGGCGGTAGCGACTTCCTTGGAGGTCTTGATGCCGAGTCCGATGTGGCCCTCGCTGTCGCCGATGACCACGATGGCCTTGAAGCGAGTGCGCTGACCGGCACGGGTCTGCTTCTGCACTGGCTTGATCTGTAACACAAATTACACATTAGCTTGCGCTCCGTCCAACCGTTCTTAGAGCATGCAATGGGTGATGCATACCTTCATAACCTCATCCTTCAGCTTCGGCAAGAAGAAGTCCACAATCTGGTACTCCTTGATCGGCAAGCTGTGCAAATAGATCTCCTCCATGCTCTTGATCTTGCCCGCCTTCACGAGACGTCCCAGCTTCGTCACTGGCTGCCACTCTTTCTCGTCGCTCTTCGCACCGCCGCGACGTCCACGGCCACGGCCACGTCCTCGTCCACGGTCTCCGCCTCGGTCGCCGCGCGAGCCGAAGCCGCCACGATCGCCACGGGGTGCTGCGCCGCCTCGGTCTGCCATTGTCGTTGTTGTACGGTGTGTGAAGGGTGTGTGGGCGAGAGGGGTGTGGTAGAGGTGAGGTGGTTGTAATTTTGGCGTGGGGATCGGCTTGAAAGTTCGAGGTGCGCTGATATCTTGGCGTTCGCTTAGATCCAGAGATAAGATCACGTGCAATCTCATTCACGTTCACATGCTCGAGGCAAAAGTCGAGAGGTCTTTCATTCTGGATATGCTCGAATACTAATAACTGTGTCCTGCCCATCTGCAGTACTCTCCCATTGCCCGCATCCCAGTGTCATGAGACTGCCGTTGGGGGTCGCCGTGCACCGTCCATCGCCATCGCTGCGTAGCGCTGAACCCCCTTAGCCTGATGGCAGAGCAAGCAGACAGCTCAGTATGCCCTCATTGTACGCGACGCTGGACTAGTGGCTGGAGCGGCCTGCTGGCAATAGGCGTTGCGGCATCTGCGTGTCTGTGTGGAGTCTCATCCCTCTGCCATGCGGCGCAGCTTGTCCTCGGGCGTCTGTGTCTCGTGGCATTCCCCATCTGCCCAACCACCTCCATTGCGATCATCGATTCTGCCCCATCATCAAGAACCACAGCTCTTTCCAGGGTCTTCCGACTTCGGAGAAGATCCCATAACCAAAAATTCCCGCCCAAGTCCGCACTAATAACTCTGCGTGAAACCGCTCGCTGGCGGACTGTTAAGCATGCTCTGTCGCTTGTTGCGGCCCTTCTTGATATGGCTCTTCAGCGCGCTGCTGTCCAGAGGCTTTAGGAGTTCGAAGGAGCATAGCAGCTCGCCCGATACGCTCATCACTGCGCCCCAGTTGTCGAATTCACCGCAATACTGTTCCAACAGTCGTTAGCTTTGGGATCCAACAGGTATGGCTGTAATAAGAGGAAAAGCAAGACTTACATTAGGCGCCGAAAACACAGTTACCAGAATCCTCTCATTAAAGAACTCATACCCATCCTCCACCACCATGTGCGCCCGACAGACCAAGTCAAAGTCGTGCTTGGCCAGGAACTCCATAATCACCTTCTTCCCGAAGCAGTAACTAACTCCTCGTTCATTTGCTTCCCAGTCAGCCTCCATGTCTGCCGGATCAGACCACAGTAGATCGTTCAGTAATCCATAGTCCGGCACATCCGTCGGCCGCGCAATGTTCCGAATGTCATCCATGTGGCTCAAGCTAGGAGAAAGTCCACCGTGCACGCAGAAGATCTTGCCGGCGACGATGGCGGCGATGGGGAGGGTGTTGAAGGTGTCGACAAACGTCTTCCAGACTTTGACGTTGCATCTTCGTTTGCACTCGTCGTAAAAGCCGTAGACACGCGTGACGTTGGCGCATTCATGGTTGCCACGGAGCAGGAAGAAGTTCTCTGGATATCGCAGTTTGTAGCAAAGGAGGAGTAGGATGGTTTCCAGTGATTGCTTGCCGCGATCCACGTAGTCGCCAAGGAAGAGGAAGTTGGAGTTGGGTGGAAAGCCGCACATCTCGAACATCCGGATCAGGTCGGTGTATTGGCCATGCACGTCTCCTACGATCTTGACTGGAGGCGACAATTCCAGCAACGCCGGCTGGGAGAGGAAGAGCTCGCGCGCAGCATTGCAAATGGCAGTGATCTCGGCGTTCTTGAGACATACCGTTTTAGTGACCTTACCAGCGTAGCCGGCGTCCACAAGTCGCTTGATCATGTCGTCCAGGTCGGACGGCTTCAGTGCGCCAATTTCGGGGTTGCTGCTATTAGTCGGCGATTGGATGCCGCCGTCTGCCAGTGCCAATGCTGCTGCTGCGCCCTGTGTTGGAGCTCCACTGCTCTCTTTCTTCACCAGAATCGAAGGTAAGGGCTCAACGTTGGACGTGTGTCGCGCATTACCTGAAGGCGGTGCGTCCGAGACCGCGTCCACTTCGCCGCTTCTTTGCGCATCTTCGATGCCTTTGTGATCCCCGCCCACAGTCGCTGCTTGTGTGGGCGATGGCGGGGGTTGTATGTCGTCATCATCGGCTACAATACTGCCTCGCTCTTCGGGAGTTATGTTCGACGAGCCGCTCGCGCGAGCCTGCCGTTGTCCTGCTTTCCCGCTCGTCGTCGAGCTAATAGACCGCGAATCCGCCCGATCATCCACAGGGGATGTCAGCTGCGTGGACGAGCTCCTGGGACTCTCTGCTGACCGCGCACTGCCCGGTATCTTCGTGCGCAAGGCAGTCCTCAGACTTCTCGCGGACTCTCGTGTATCTGACTTGCTAAAGGATGGGTACGAATCCAAGTTTGGGCCTGGCCCCGTCGGCGTCTGCGAGCCTGGTGTACTCTTGCCATCTTTTTCTTTGGACGGTTGGTTGCCCATATCGAATGCTGCTTATCAAGGAAGGAGTGCTTCTCCGTCGTACCGCTTATCTTGCGAGTTTGCTCTCCGTCTTGGACAATTAGTAATCGTATGATATCCCCTCCGTGTTATGGTGGTCGGAACAGTCTCGACAAGAAGGCAAGACAGTGTGATTCGGCCGACTCTACGGCCTCAGCATGGAAGGTGTTCTGGCCGCTGCCTCCAAGAAGGTATCGCAGGTCTGGGGGAGGGTCCACGCGTTCTCGCTTGCGGTCCAGCGTCGTGGCGGGCTGCTCGATACCAGTAGTCACACTGGCCGGTGATGGTCGTAGGTAGGTGTCGAAGGGTTGCGCAGGTTGTGTCCTGGAGATATCGGGACGGAGTTTTGCAGGGCGAGGTTGTCAGGTATGCGAACCTTTTGGCTCAGCCTGCGTGTGGAGCTTGCTGCCACTTCGGAGGCTCGGGGCTCGGCCTGCGGCTGGCGACAACGGGACCGGGGCCAGATGCGCCTCTTTAATGCCGGCGGGAAGCGGTATATCAATGAGAAGTTGTTCCTTCTCCAGAACAGCAACCTTTAGATGTTGAGTCAAGATTTGGTGGTGCTTTGGTGGTGTTCAGAGCTGATCAGGGATGACATGCGCTGATGTGGAGAGGTTCCACGATTGCGCCACGCAAGGCGGCGCCAAGGCAATTATCTGGGCGGAGTGGTCGAGACTGCATCTGCATATGACAGAGCACGGCGAGGGCTACGTGTACAAACGATGGTCCCTGAGTAAATGCACTTGGGCACTTCGAACGATGGAGATGGATAGATCAGAAGCTCCAGTTGTGAAGTGAATCCTTCTCGAGCAGCAGAAGCCCTTCGACTATATTTTGATAGACACGCAGCAGAGAAAAAGACTTTAACGCAACCGGAGAGTTGAATGCTCGAGCCATGCGACGCGATTAGAGCAACAAAGGTATAGACGATCTCGCATTGCCCCGAGATAAATTTGTCGCTAGTTGGTAAGCGTGCCAACAACAAGCCTCGCCCTCGTGATGTTGTCCTCCAGTTGACCACAACCGCGTCAGCTAAGTACATCAACCTGTCTCCTCCGGAAGCTCACACAGGACGTCGTTATAGCTCTCACCGAAATACCACTCGTTGTCGTAATCCTTGCCACGATCCTCGTCGCCGTCCTTGGTTTCGAGTTCGCCGTGCAGCTCGCACTCTCCACAATCGCACTCATCATCGGTGTCGGCATCATACAAACAACGGTCTTTCCAGCTCTTGTCCATGGTATCGCGGAGGACGAAAAAGTGTCTTGTTACGAAAACTCAGTCCTTGAACCACGACGGAACCATCTTGTCAACGTTGTAGTCGTCGCAGATTAGTTGCAGAAGACCCATGATGGCGTCCACGATTTGACCAATCTTGATGCCGTTGGCATCATGGAGAAGCGTTCTCTTCAGCCAACTCAATTCATCATCTCTGCGTTGGATTCCCACTGCCAGACCATCAATCGGAGGCTGCGTGAGGTACATATTGCGGACGCTATCAGGTACGTGCGGGTTCATGCGTCCATCCATTTCCCATTCTAGATTGACAACGGTCTGCCAAGGGCACGGAGAGTGAGCTTCGGCGTGAACACGCGGTAGGGGGTGATGCCAGTTCCATTTCCGGAAGACCGGCGCCAGTGTGAAGGGTGTTTCAGGCAGCAAAGGCGTGATGCTTCGCTCCTTCCTGGTGGTGTTGCCGTGCTTCGTCTTGAGGATGCTGCCAGCAGGAGCCATGAAAGTTCTGCGTCGCAGGCGGACGGAGCCTTCGATAAGTGCTTTCCAGCTTTTGTTGACCCGCTTGACCAAAAAGAGTCTTCTCGGCGAGAGTCGTAGCAGGATCTCCTCCGTCAGCTCCGGCAAGTCGAACACATTCGCAGTCGCCATCGCAGCTTGAAAGATGTGTGCTTCTGCGAGAAGTTGTTAGCGTGGTGCAGATCGGTATGCAGTCGTAAGAGACTCACCTGGTGATGCCTTCGAGCAGAACTGGTCGACTTGACACAAGTGGCAGAGTGGTGGTCGTGTAAGGTAAAGGGTTAAGGTGAGGTCGAGATTAGCGTTCTGCATGACGTTTGCCGCTTGATATTGTAAGGAAGGCCCGACCACACATGGCAGGCGCGAACGGTGGGAAGGCGCCATCTCAAGAAAGCAAGGCAAGACGTTGCCGCCGCGGCAGAGTTGGAGGTAGACAGGAGATCTCTGTTGTTATACGTACTCGTCTCCTCTTAACATCACAAGACTGCTCGCTGCCCTCATCGTCATTGCCACTCCTCCCTACCATCCGCTGACACCCATGATGCCTTCAGGAGTTGACATTGTAGCCCCCATCAAACCAGCGCTCCTGTGGTACCGTTCTCCAAGATGCTTCCTCATCATCTTCTCTTTGCGCCTGGCTAGCTCCACTAAGTCGAAATTGTAGAACTCGAAGATCGGATAGTCGTCGGAGTCGGTTTCGCTGCTGTCGTCATCAAAAGCGTAGTCGCCGTCAGTGCCTGGCAGGTCCTCATGCTGTTCACCGACAAAACAGAAGCGACTCATTAGCAGCATCTTCTCAGTCGCAAAGGGCTTTTGTACGACGGACAAGGATGGGCCCATTCTCCGAAACGTGTCGACCACATGACCGAGAGTCATGCCGTTGTCATCGCGGAGCAGCGCGCGGGTCAAGGAGGCCTGTGGGATGTCGCGCTGGATGCACACCTCGATGATGTTGATGGGTGGTTGGGTGATGAACATGCCATGGAGGGAAGCCGGCACAAACAAGTCGACGTCCAGAGTGTTCCCGAAAATCATAACATGTTGTGTGAAGACATCTAGGTCGAGAGGGCGTGGTCTGCAATAGCGCGGGTATCGGGACCGTCCTTCAAAGATCGGCGCCATGACAATCTTTCCCTCCTGCACCAGATACTCCGGGCCCCAGGTCCTACGTTCGTGATCCCAGAGCTCGCTAATGCCGGTCTTCATGGCGATGACTTTTCCATCAGCCTCCATGAAGGTTGCACGGCGCAGGTCGGCGGATGTCTCGATGATTCTTTTCCATGTGAGGTTGACACGTTTCAGCTGGGAGAGGTTGCAAGCAGGAGGATGCTGCAGAATGGGCTCCAGCAGGTCCGGTAGATTCAGCACCTCTGCCGCCGCCATGATGGACTGCAAGGAAGCTGACCTTAGTGTATGTAGTTAGCTCCAACCACGAAACAGAAAGAGCATAAGGACGACTTACTCGCAGTACTTTGTAGCTGATTTCGTGTTGTGAGAAGCAGCGTGCGAAGGTTGCCTTCGAAAAAGTTTCGATGTTGGAAAAGACGCTGTGCTTAGGAGATTGCGCTTCGCCAAGGCGATCATATGATAGTCACGTGAACGGTCATTGCTTGCAACAATGTTAAATTCATCCGTCCTCGTCATCCCACAGCTCCTCGCTATCGCCTTCTCCATTTATACTCCTCCACAACCTCTCCCACAACCCCTTCTTCTGCACCATCGCCAACACCAGCACAATCGGCAACTGCCACACACTTGCCCAGAACAGCGCCCTCGCACTCCCCTTATCTCCATGCAGCCGCCAGAACTTGATCGCCTCTCGCAACATCCATGCATTGACCACACTGCTAGTAGCCATGAATGCCGTGTCCGTCACATCATAGTAACTCAGGCCAATGCATATCGGAAACATGGCCAGCGAGTAGCGCAACGAAACGCGAGCGGCCATTGCGGTGTTGGACGACGTGAGCATCTTGTAGCCTGCGGTTGCGTACTCATGGCGAACATTATGCGACAGCGCAAAGAAATGCGGGAACTGCCATGCGAAGAGCAAGGCGGCGATAAGCCAGCCGCCGATGGCTTGCTCAGTCAAGAGTAGGTCCTTTGACTCCTCCCAGATAGAGGAGTTGGAAGAATCCGTGACGCTGTACTGGCTTGCGGCAGCACACCAGCCCATTAGAGGTGGCACTGCGCCGACGACCGCGCCGACCCAGGTGTTGACCGGATGTAGTCGTTTGAGGGGCGTATAAACGAATGCGTATAGGCCAAGGTTGCCGGCGCCGAGGATGGCCGTGGTAGGGTTGACGCCGTACCAAAGTACGCCGACCCCAAGGCATCCGGTCAGAATAGCGAACAGTAGGGCCGAGCGCTGGCTGATCAATCCTCGTACAAGAGGTCGATTCTGTGTACGACTCATTTTGGCGTCGTGCGCAGGTTCGAAAAGCATATTGAGGGTATTGGCGGATGCTATAGTACAAAAGGTTCCGCTGGTAAGGTACAGAAGGGTGAGAGTGCTGAGCGATGGCGCAGAAGTGACGGACGTGCTGAGGAGGGCGGGCACCGGGTATATCGAGTAGGACGCTGTTGTCGTAAGGACAATGAGGAAAGCCAGGCGAGGTTTCGATAAGGCGAGATAGGTGGATATCCTTCGTTTCAGCGAGTTCAGAGGAGCTGCCGCTGCGGCTCGAGAAAGAGTGGAGGAGGCATCTGGAGGCAGAGGTACGTCTGCATTGTCCAAAACGGCGGCTTCTGCTTTTAACCGCTTCCGCCGTCGATGCGGTGGTTCCGCAACAGATGTATCCTGCCCTCCTGGCAGATCGTTCTGCGACTCTACTACTGCTTGTCCGACTCCACGACTCTTTACCGCATTTTCCAATCCTCCCACCTCATGCGATGCCTCAAACCTATCTCTTCTTTCCCCCCTAAAAGCATTGGCCCAAAAGAACGTCCTGCCCACCCTCCCTTCCCTCGACGCTGCGAATTGTTGGCTCCGGGCTGATAGGGTGTATGGTCGTCTACCGCTGTGCGCCGCTTCGGCAAGCTTCCTCGCACATCGCGTGCATACTGGCTGGCTGTGTAACGACCGGAGGAGCGCCAAAGTCGGCACTCGTGTGGACATGGAGGTATCTGATGTTCCTGGCCGGTAGAACCAACGAAGGAGAAGTTGATGACGAGACAAGAGTATAGTGCCAGAAATCGTGGCTGCACCTTCCTCTTCCGGCCAGTGCTAACCTTACCCCCGAAGCCGCCGCAGATGAATGTCAGCGTCACTGCTCCGATGATCGGTCAACATATTAAGGAAGGATACCTACGCTGACCCTCATACCGACTGTAGTCTACAGAAGACTGTTCGTAGCAGCTTCACCGCCACTCCAACTCCCGCGGTCCTTTCACTGGGGCCGCTGCCGGGAATGGTATTGTGAGCTACTGAATTGCTTTAGACATAAACCGGCAGGGAGCAAATACCTGGAGGGTCTAAACGCTTTGTAGGTACGACATCACAGATGCCGCTAGAAGTAGCATCTCAGGTCTCCAGCTCTGGAATACACTACATCTCGTGTGGACCTCAGGATACTGGACCTACCTTGCTATGCGTCCACGGATGGGCCTGTAGGAGTGCGGACTTCTTATATGTCTTTGACGAATTCATCAAGCATGACTCTGACTTCAGGGCAATTGCTCTTGACCTTCCCGGCCACGGCTCGTCTTCGACCGAGCACTACCCGACTGCTGGCGTGGACTCGTTTGCCAGAGCAGTGCTGGACCTGATGGATGAGCTATCTCTTGAGAAAATCGTTCTAGCTGGCCACAGTATGGGCGTCAGAATCGTCCTCGAGACATGGCAGCAGGCTATGTCCGCGGAGAGACCCCAAGTCCAAGGCCTTTGCTTTCTGGACGGCAGCCACTACAAGTTCCGCAAATCTCTCTTCGCCTTCGACAGTGGAGATGCACGCAGCGCATCTCTGACGGATGAAGAGAAGCACGAGAAGATGGCGGAAGCTTTTGATCGGATGCTGTCTTCGGCAACGCCAAAGGACTTTCGAGAGGCGGCTATTGATCATGTCAAAGCTATCGATCTCCAGTACAGCGAGGACATGCGCAAATCGTTTATTCAGTACGACTACGACAGGACAGACGACGTCATGGAGAACTTAGGCAAGGCGGACATGCCGATACTAAGCATCCAGGCTACGGATGTCGATGAGGAGAATCAGCGGAGGATGTTGCAGGAGGGCAAAGACTCAAGGTGGATGCAGTTTGTGTGTACGAAGGTACCACAAGCAAAAATGGCTGTAGTGCCGCAAAGTGGGCACTTTCCGCACGTCGACAGGCCGCAGATTGTGGCAGCGCATTTGAAGGACTTAATGCGAAGCCCTTGAAAGCAGCTCAACCGACGCACCATATTACGCGAACTCGAGTCTTGCATCGTTCACGGCGGACCAGCGAATCCACGCTTCAATCCAGACCTTCGCGCACAGAGCCCAAAGATTCACGTGGTTTCAATCGAGCAATCAAGCGTGCTGGACGTTCAGCGTCTTCGAGAGCTAAAAGATTGCAACCTTCCGCTGGGTATGTCATACCGCCGGCGGAGAGTGGCTTGCTGATCCAAGCATAGCTCCAAAACAACATTGAGGTGCCTCAGAAGCTGGATCCTAGGATCTCTCAGATAATAATACGGGTCCTGGAACAGCATCAGCGCAAGATTCTCAATCCATGAGACGCCTGCAACGCCATCTGATAGTTGGTTGCAGGACTGCTTACAAATGAATCTCTTCCGGATGGCTGCGGAAACTTTCCAGTCAGGCTTCCTGAACGCAGCGCGAGAGTGCGAGATCTTACTCATCCTCACCACCCTCACTAATGCTTGCCATTCAGCTTCAAGTTGGAGAAATTGGAGAAATCTAGATAGGTAGGAAAACTGCGTAGGCTACGCCTGAGTAATCTTCGAAACGCTGGTGGACTCTGGGTATATCAACGATGGCTCCATCCAGCAAGTCCCACAATCTGGTCATCACCACACACCTCAACGACGCAGACAAGGATGGGGAGCGCACAGCGTCTCATCTTGATCACAGGCGGCTCGGGGTACATTGGGGCCCATACGGTCGACAGCTTCCTCCGTCATGGCTACCGCGTTCGTCTGGCCGGACGTAGCGAGTCTTCGTGTCAGCAGATGCTCGCCACACACAGCGAACATCGCAAGCTGATCGATACCACGGTTGTGCCGGACATCACCGCACTAGGAGCCTTCGATTCTGCCGTCCAGGGTGTTGATGGCGTCGTCCACCTCGCTTCTCCGTTCTTCCATGGCTTCAAAGACGTTGAGAAGGACATCCTTCTGCCAGCAATCAATGGTACCACAGAGATACTGGAAAGCATCAAGAAGCACGCCCCGCAGGTTCGCCGGACAGTGATCACTTCTTCTATCGCCGCTATTCTCGATTTGAGCAAAGGCATACGGCCGGGACACATCTACAATGAGAGTCAGTGGAATCCAATCACCCACGAATCTGCCATACAGAATCCGGCTGTTGCATATGCGTACGTACATCAATGAAGCCCTTCCGTGAACTGTTGACTGACCAGAGCAGCGCAAGTAAGAAGTTGGCAGAAGAAGCCGCATGGAACTTCATCGAGACGGAGAAGCCAAACTTCTCGCTTGCCACGCTTCAGCCTATGATGGTCTACGGCCCTCCGTTCCCGGGTTCCACCAGTATCTCAAATCTCGGCACTTCTGCGAACGACATCTACGTCCTCATGAATGGCTCGCTTACCCAAGCTCCCACCACGCGCCTGCCCGTCTACGTCGACGTCCGGGACGTTGCTGAAGCTCATAGACTGGCCTACGAGACGGAGGGGGCTGGCAGGTTCGCGCTGTGCGCTGGAAACTTCACGAAGGGTCAGGTGTGCCGGTTGCTTCGTGAGTCTGGCCTTGGGCTAGAGAACCGTGTGCCGTCCGAGGGGCTGGACGCGGAGAATGACCTTCAGTCGTACAGTGTTGATTCTTCGAAGGCATAGAAGGTGCTTGGTTTGAAATTTCGGTCGTTCGAGGCGACTATCTTAGACATGGCTAAGGCCTTCTTGGACCTTGAGAAAGAAAAACTCTGATGGGCTGGAATTCAGCGATCTATAGCTCCCAAGAGAGAACACTGAACTGCTTTTTTCCTGCTGGCTTCTTCTGCTGCTCTTTGGGGATGGCAAATGCGCCTCCCGGCTTGAGTCTCTTCATCGAATCGACGAACTCTGTGAAGTAGCCTTCGCGCTCGTGACTGGCACCCTCTGGCGGTTCGGTGTGTCGCTTGTGCGGTTTGTTTCTCGATGCAGACTTCATCGTCCCATCAGCTGACTTAGATGTAGTCCCGTTGCTTTGCTTCTCGAGTGGTGTTGTCCCTGCAGTGGGTACGTGCCTGGCACTGCCGGGCTGACCGCTTCTGCTAAATGGTTGACACTCGCTCGCAGATAGAGTAGAGGTGGAGACGCTTCGAGACATCTCGGCCTCGCAGGTCCAACGAAGCTGTTTACGAGATGGCTGCGAGGTGGGTGTGACCTTCGTGCTCTCAATCGCTTGATGCGAAGGACTAGCAAATTGTGCAAAGAGCGACGGTCGTCCGCTGGATTTCGCTGCACTAGACCCTGCTAATGCCATGCTGACTTTCGTGGTCTTGATGGGTCCCGCTCCGTTGCTGGGTGCATGTTTGGGCTGCCCTGACTGCGCAACTTTAGGTGCATCGGCTGCGCCATCCAGATCAGCCCTCCGTGCTGTGGCTTGCGGCGGAGACGAGCCTACATTCGATTGCGAGATCGAGTTTTCTCTGCGAGGTTCGGTGTCCGGGAAGATATCCGCGATGGCTTCAGAGAGCGCAGAAGGGCTGACAGAGTCTTTTGGGCGAGCCTTCCGGTAGGCGGTGTAGATTTGCGAGAACCTGGAAGAACGAATTGTTGAGGAGGTGTAGTTGAGCTTGAGCCTTTACAGCACATCAGTGAGCAAGAGATCGACGGAAGAATGATTGCTCCAATGCATCAGACTCACCAGTCTTTCCGCCTCTGAATGTGCGAGCTTGCGAAATGCTCTCTCCGTTTTTGACGATGCGCCAGGATCGGGTCTTCTTCGAGCGAGCGTGGAACGCTCATTCCCATGTCATCATCTTCGTTCTCTCCATTTGCCGGTGTAGCTTTCACGACTGTGTCGGATGCTTGGCCAACAGGAGTTTGATGCCATCGAAGCGAAGAGACGGGGACATCTACTTCATCGGATGCGCCATCAAGCTGATGGCCGGAATGTCTTCTTACCGAAGAGCCGTTATGCCTTTGCGAGCTACGTCTTGAAGATGGCGGCGGACCATTGTGCGGAGGTGAGTGCTGGTATCGACTCCAGCTGGGGTTCGGCATGTAACGATCGGACGTACGAGACCTGGACATCGAATGATCGCCAGCCGAGTGTCGGGAGGAGCTTGTAGATGGCCGTCCATCGGTGGAGTGAGAGTCGTGAACCTTGGTCGGCGTCGTCGGTGCCATTTCGTCAGGATACTTCTGCAGCAAGACCCGCCTCCGGGAAGCAATGTCCTTCGGTGAGCGATTCATCCTGTAATCAATCACGATCTCCATGTCCGTCTTGCCTTTGCGAGTACCAACCATCACCCGAGCATCCTCATCTTTCGTCCAGGTGCGTGGAGTTTGCGACCTTACGTTGCGGTCTACGTCGACAGTATTGTGTGATCGCTGTGAGATATCCTGGGCACTGCTTTGCTGCGTTGCGACTTGGTTTGAGCGCTGCTGAGTTGCAGACGGTGAAGCTCGGTTGCTTTGTGAGCTACTTGCTTGCACCGGGGTTTTCTGATAATTGACCATGGAGACTTGACTGTTGCTTTCCATGGTACTATCGGGTGGTAGTACCTTCCCTCGCTGGGTTGGAGTTTGCTCCCAGCCTGGGATCAGGCTGTCCTCCTCCTCCTCTCCCTCCTCCTCTTCCCCATCCTCTTCTTCAGAGGACGACAGTGAGGCGGAGTCAGAAGAGCTACTCTCCTTTTCAACGGCCTCCTTGCTTGGCGCATCGGGAGCCTGGCGCCTCTCAGGTTCGGCTTGTTGCCGTGCAGCCGCAGCTTCAGCAATCCATCGCTGTAAATATCTTGCTGGTACGTTGGGATGTGGAAATCGCTTGCCCGGCTTTGCTGGGATCCATGAGGTTTCCAGATCCAAAAGTTCCTGCTGGTCTCGTGGGATTGGCCGTGGGCGATGTACCCGACGTGTGGATCCGAGCTGATTCTTACCTTGTTGAGTCGGCAACGTAATCTGCTTAGTAGCCGAGCTGTCCCCGTTCATATCAGGAGTATCATTGGCAGTGGCTAGGACACGGTCAGACGTACTTTCCGCTTCTCGACTTTTCTGAGGTGCTGTTTCAGGATGCGACACCGGGACAGGCGTAGCTGGAGCAGGTGCAGCTTCAGTTCTCCCTTCGCTTGTCTGGGGTGCTAAGGCTCTAGATGGCGGCGAAGAGTGCTTGCCTTGGAGCTGCGCTTCTGCGGCTGGCGATTCGAATCTCGCAGATTTAGCGGGAGGCGCTGGAGCGTGAGGAGGGTCCACAGCGACTCGTTTGTTACCAAGCAGACCAAGCAGATGCTTCGTCGTGCTATCTACTGTGACTGGCTTGGGTGGCGAACGGTGCGGTAGTCGCGCAGTTGGGCTACTGCGAAACGTTGCGCCTTGAGGTCGCTGCAGATTTACTCCGTTCTCCATCTGGAGGCCATCGGTACGTAGATTTGGTCCGGTGGGTTTCTTGTAAGAAATTTGAGTAGCAACCGCCCCTTTCGAGCCTTGAGAGGGTGACGTCGATTGCCTGGCCAGCAAGACTTGTGATGCTCGGCTAGACTGCTGTGATGGTGTGAGTGCCTGTCGCGCTGCTCTGGTAGCTGTTTGCACATCATCATTACCACCCGTCGTAGCTTCGTCGTTCGTGAGGTCGTAGGGCTCGTCTGCCGTGCCTTCATTTATGGCGTACTGTCGATTGACGACATCGGTCAGATCGCCATCAATCAAGCGTCGGACGGCTTCAACCTGCTCGACTGCTCTGGCTGTTTTGTGAAGTTTCCGAAGGTGATGGCAGTATTTAACGGACTCGATCCTTAGGTGAATGAATCCTTCCGGAGGGCCAAGAGGTGTGCTGACAACAGTGGCTTCTCGAATAGCAAGAACATCACCCTTGGTATCTTCGTTGACCTCGTCATCTATCTCGTCCTGTAATATAGCGACTGCATCCTGTGACAAAAGAGCTTTCACCACAGTGAAGCCGTCGGATACAAGCACAATCACGACGTCATCCTTCGTGAGCATCTTCAGAACCTGGACTTTCGCGTCTTCGGGCAATTGTTCAGCCTCTGCGTCGCTGTAGAAGTTGCTCCCATCATCGCTAAAGCGTGTCTTCTCCGTAGACGATTTTGTGTTGTTTTGTCTGCTTCGCTTCCACTTCACGACAGCCTGGAGTTCTTGCTCAATGAAGGGGCCGAGCCAGTCGACTTGTTGCGCCATCTGGAGTGATCTGATGTTGAGCTGTGATCATACTCAGCGGTGTGCTGAGCAGCATTGGCAGCTGATTGCGTGAAGGCGTGCTGGTTCCGCGTAATTTTGGCGATTGATGGAGTCGCGTTAAAAGAGGCGCTGCGGCATGTGCCGAGCCGCCAAAGCCAAACCTTATTTGGATCCGAGCATATGAGGATGGGGAAGTCGCTGTCTTCGGACTTCAGTTGTCCGTGAAAGTATTGCATATTGGAGGTCGAGCGCATCGTATGCTACGAGGCGCATGGTAATCGATAGTCAAAGCATAGGCGTAAACCTCAGAACGCTCCAGTGGACACAATACCCTCGCTGAGCTTGCGTCATACTCAAGCTCAAGCTACCGATATCCTCACAATAACTCTACGCATCTTTCGATCGCAGCACAGTACCCGGAGCAGCATCACCTGACGAGCATGCACCGAACATCACAACGATCGGTGGTTGGGTATGGCTCCGGAACCGCCGTCTCCATCGGCCTCCTCCACTCTCCTCCCCTTCCTCGGTGGCAGCGCCAGCAGGCCTCGACGTGGCTCGCTTGCCTCTCTTCAGTCTACGAAAGGTGAAATCGACAAGGATGTCTTGGCTCAAGCACTTGACGATATCCACACATCGGCCTCGAAATCGGATGCGTTGACATCCTTCCACGACTACGATGGGGGACCGGGGTCGAAGAATGGGGCGAAAGAGCTGGTCAGTAGCGGTGTCAGCGGCGTCTCGGGTCTGTACGACAAACTGTTGCGTGGGCTTGGTGGAGGGTCGGCGTCAGACGGAAAGAGTGCGAAGAGTGGTACGGGCAAAGCGAGACCGAAGACGAGCGCAAGCAGAGACAGTATTGACGGAGAGAGCGTGCTGAGCAATTTGTCTGGAGCTAGAACTGCTGGGCTGGGTCTCAAGGATGATACAGCTAGCATGGTATCTAACATGAGCGCAGCCCCTTCCACAATGATGCCCAGCCCAGCTAGTACGGGTGGTTCACGGGATCGCAATGTTTACCCGGCAGATATCGAGGGCGAGGAAAATCGCAAAGTTACGCGTTTGGCCAAAGAAAGCATTACTGAAAATCCGCTTGAGCAGAAATCCAGTCAATCCACCGCGCAGACCATTCTGGACCCTTTGGAGCAAGCTGATATTCATCGAGTCAGGAGCGGTCCACTTGACGAAGAGCAAAGTACAGCCGCAAGTCAAGCTCTGGCGCGTGTTCTATCCCACCACGATGCCTCCAACGGAGATCTACCTAGAGTCTCGCACCACACGAGCATCGATCGTCGGGAAGAGCAACCACCAGCTGGACCTGGTCAGAAAACTCTACTATCTCCTCAGAGTATCCCGTCGCGCCAACAAAGCAGCTTGCTCAGCCCAACCGCAAAACGTCCCTCACAGGAAACCGATTCCGACAGACCGCCACTTGTTCGTATTGGCCCCTCCCACCTTCCTGGTTATGAACCCTCTAGAGCCTCTTCAACGGATGGCCACAGCAGCTCCACGACCACTGGTCCTGCGAATAAGCGGCGCGCACTCGATCCGTCGCCTAACATCAACACCGCTTTGCAGCGCCGCCGAACCGACATGCGACCGCCGCCAATTCCTCGCCCGCCAGCTGAAGCACCCTCTCAGCTTCCTACTCATCTTCGTCGTAGAGTGATCAGCAAGGCCTTTTGGATGAAAGATGAGAATGCAAAGGACTGTTTCTACTGCGGTCAGCCTTTCTCTACATTCCGGCGAAAACATCATTGCAGGACTTGTGGTCAGATCTTCGATGCCAAATGCACGTCACTTGTTGCCGGTAGGCCGTTCGGACAACCAGGAACTATCAGGCTGTGTAAGCCGTGCGAAGCCATGATCTACGGCAGCGACGATGACAGTACAGTGTTCTCTGACGATGGGGCGAGTGTTTTTGACCGTAGCCCGATGGTTGGAAGACGTTCGTTCGGCGATGACGATGACCTGCATGGAAAGATGGACGGTATCGACGAGAGAAATGGCGACATCGCCGAAGTCACTACACCCTCGATTGGAATCCCGGCAAGTCGTAGGACGAGAGAGAGTAAGCGGAGAAGCGCAGTCATCGAATTTGACGCTGCTCCGTCTTCGACAATGGCACGGCCGGCATCTTCGCACTCCCTTATATCGCTCGCAAGGCGTCCAAGATCTTCAAGCCACAGACGTTTCCACTCCCGGCATCAGGCTATACGCGGAGTCCGAACGCCTGGTGATGAGCGTGTGCCGTTTCAGCCTGGGTCCATCGACGAGGACGACAAGAAGTCAACTCTGCCAGCTTTTCACAACGACAACGTCATCGACCCGGACCTTGCAGCTTTCCTCTCCGATGAAGGCAGCGATGAGGAAGACCAGCAGGGCTCGATCTTTGCCACCATTGACGGTAGCAGCCATGGTTCTCTCGGCGAGCGAGACCGGCAAACCTACCTTGCTGGACACCTCCATGCTGTCGCAAAGAAAGGCCGCTCAAGGCTCAACACGGGGTCGTATTATCGTGCTGGGGCAGGAGTACGAGAGGATGAGCCCGCAGCACAGTCGGCCAAGCACCTGCAAAAGCTTAACAGGCACCGCAACCCGAGCGTAGGAAGTCTGTCCCTCAGCCGGCCATCCCCACGGAGAAGCAGAAGCCAAAATTTGACCCTGCATATGCCTGTGAATACACCTGGCGAGCCCGGATCTTTCCTCGACCACCAGCATCACTCCCCTCTGATGGGCCACTACCCAACAGCCGGAACCAGGTTTATCAGAAGCTCGGCCATGCGAGGACGGGATGCACCACCAGTCGAGCTCAACCGTGCCAGTTTGGATCACATGCGTCGCCTGCTGGGACAACTTCTCAAAGACCACAGCATACCTGGTGCAAAAGCTTGGGAACGGGCTCTAATGCCGATATTGTTACAGTGCACGGACGACGTCAAGCCGGACATCCAGCTGGGTGACGACATGGACATCCGACACTACATCAAACTCAAGAAGGTTCCCGGAGGCCGACCAGGCGATACATCGTACATTTCTGGTGTAGTCTTCAGCAAGAATGTGGCGTTGAAGAGTATGGCGAGAAGTATCGCTTCTCCCAGAATTGCCATCGTTACTTTTGCCATTGAGTATGCTCGTCATCAGGCACACTTCATGAGTCTTGAGCCAGTGATTGCGCAAGAACAAGAGTATCTGCGAAACTTGGTTGGCAGGATCGCAGCATTGAAACCGAGCGTACTCTTGGTGCAACGAAATGTATCGGGTCTTGCCATCGGCTTGCTTGAGAAGGCTGGGATCATGGTTGCCTACAACATCAAAGAATCTGTCCTGGCCGCCGTTGCTCGAGTTACGCAGACGACCATGATCAAGTCGGTCGATAAGCTAGCGATTGACCCATCTCACCTCGGACAGTGCGAGAGTTTTGAGATCAAGACATTTGTCCACGACGGGGCCAGGAAAACTTACATCTACCTCTCCGGTTGCCAACCAGACCTGGGCTGCACTATCGTATTGAGAGGGGCTGACACCAAGACCCTACGCAGGCTCAAACGAGTCACCGAATTCATGGCTTATGTGGCGTATAATCTCAAGCTGGAGACTAATTTGTTCCGAGACGAGTTTGTCTCCATTCCTACTTCTACTGGCGATCAGCTCGAAGCACCGGATGCTCCTCGCTTGGTGAAAGAGAACAGCGGCTCGATGGAGATTGGAATGGGATTTGACCACGGAGAGAGTCTTCTTGATCCGAATGCACGTCCCATGGCTGGCAACGAGCCTTCGAAATACGAGCTGATGGAGAAGGAATGCAAGTCGAGGATTTTGTCTGCCAGCCCATTCGTCGTCTTCATGCAACCTTACATGCTCACGCAATTACGAGACTCCGAGCGCAGATTGACGGCGTACAAGAAGCTGAGGGATCAGTATGCCGCTGCGGACGAAGCTGGAGACGAGAACGAGAAGCCTGCCAAGGAGAAGTTCGAGATTGTCAAGCCGGAGATGGTACATGCGCCGCCATCAAAGGACCAGCCAAAAGCCGTGCGAGAGTATCTGCATGCAGTTCACCAAGTGCAGTACGACAAGACATTGCACACCTACGAGACGCAACGGAAATTGCTGGAGAGCTTCACCGGCGGCTCTACTAATCCATTCGATCCCTTCTCACACCAAAAGATCATTGTCCTGCACTCAATCGTTTCGACCATCAACTCTGCGCCATGCGTAGGCCCCGAGCAGCTAGGTCTTGGTTTCTACGCCGGCTACAACCACGTGGAGCCACAATTCGAAGAAGACTGCACGCTTGGGCAATACGTCGAAGATATATGCATCTCAGCCGGCAGCAAGTGCAAAGAGTGCGACAAGAAGATGTCCGATCACTACCGCCAGTACGTTCATGGTTACGGACAGTTGTCAGTTTCTGTCTCTCGGCAACCGGCGAAATTACGAGGCTATGAAAAGACTATACTCATGTGGTCTACCTGTCGCATCTGCAAGCATGACACGACGCTCATTCCGATGAGCGACAACACCTGGAAGTACTCGTTTGCCAAGTATCTGGAGCTCAGCTTCTGGAGTTCTCCATTACACCCTCGAGCTGGTGTATGCGGCCACGACATTCACAAAGACTTCTTGCGCTGCTTTGGATTCGAAGATCTAGCGGTTCGGGTACGATATGATCCGGTTGAGATCTACGACGTCGTTGTCCCGAGAGGCACAATCACTTGGAAGGTCGAAAGTGATTTGACTGTCAAGAATGAGCAGTATTCGCACTTTGCTGCGAGGCTGAAAGCTTTCACCGACTCCATCATCAGGCGTCTGGATTCGATCAACGTCGATACGTTGGATGAGAAGAAAGCGCTTGAGGCAACTGACTATCTGGTGGAACTGCGGCAACGAGCTGAAGCCGACTCCAAAGAGCTGCTGCATAAGCTGCAGCAAAAGTACGCCGTGTCAAGGTACTATGAGCTGATCCCGCTCAACCGCGCCCTGAGATTCATGGATGAGAAGGCTCTGAGTTGGGACGATGTCTTCAATGACTTTGAACGAGACTACTTCCCTTCAGAAACGGACATTCGGAAGCTGGCGACATTGCAATTGAAAAACATGTTCTTAGAATCCCAGCCAGCATCAAGCACGGTCACGAGTGATGTGTCCGACGACGAAGACGGTGTGGACGAGAAACCTCATGCGAAAACCACGCTGCATCCGGCCGACCGAGAGTTGCGTTCGGAGAAAGCACACCACGTTCTCGCCTCAACTATGGAAGAGCACCGGGGCACCATTGCGGACGGCAGCGACGTGACTGCAGCGCTTCAGGAGGAACCGCAAGTTAAGCTCGGTAGTAGCTTGAGCAAGACTACTTCTCCCCGTGAGGAGCAGGAGCAAGTGGTGCAGCGAGAAGAGGTTAGGCACCTGGATCTTGCTGTACCTGTGGATACACCGGAAGACGCTTCTGCCACTGAGCTTGCCAGCTCGAGCGAGCAGTCGAAGCAGACCAGTCGTCCTACGACTGGGGACAGTCAGACGACTGCTGAACCCTTCGCGACGCAAACTAAGCCGATCGGTTCTGGTCTGCTGGAGCGTATTGAGCAGATACGCAGTAATCGTGTCTCATTGTCTGGTGAGCAAGACGCTCTTGAGACAAAGATACCTCGTCTTGCGGACCTGAAGAAACGAGACGCGAGTCCGCACTCAGCGTCACCGCCACCATTGCTCCGCGCCCAGTCTTCGCCGTCTTCGCCCTACCACACGCCTAATCGAAGTGTCGACCTGAAGTCAGATCATGGCCTTGAGGCCACCACCAAAGGCCCTCCAGAGATCGAAAGCCACCATTTGGAAAAGCGACTTGGCGAGAGGCTTGGTGTCAATCGACTGGCCAGCAAGGTCGGAAAGGTGGCGCCATCACTCATCCCTCGATCTGTACCGCCGTCAAAGGAAGAGTCCAACTTCACACGGGTGTCCGCATTGGCAAAGCACTTCGAGCAGATGTCCCGCGAGTTCGAGAAGGAGCGTCTTAAGGAGCGAAAGCAGAGAGCACTACGGAGCCGGTATGCCAGAGCAAGCCCTCAGATCAGCAGCCACCCGGTTGTGGAGGTCTACAGGAACGCTACGGATGCTGTAGGAGAAAGGAGTCTCGACGCCGTGCGGGAAGATCGAACTGCTGAGGACCGGGGCACAGAGCACTCGCAGGCTGCTGAAGCTGTGCAACAATCGAACTTGACGGACTCAGAAGAGTTGCCAACAGAGCAATTCGACCGTAATGCAGAGACCACGCAGTCGACAGGACAGGAGCAGGAGACTCGCGAGACGGAGCAGGTTCCGGATGGGGATGGAAGCGAAGCAGAATTTATACCCAACCGACGGCGAGACGTTTCAGATCCGGTATCTACTGTTGTGTCTTCTGGTCTGATGTCGCCCACTGCCTCTGTGCCAGACATCGAATTGCACCCAGAGCTGTCCATTCCCGAGCACAGAAAGAACGTCTGGTTCAATTACCTTTCCGAGTTCTGGTCGAAGCGGTCGGCATCTGGATGGGCGCCATTGGAGTATCCTCTTCACTCCACTGAGCATGTCTTCGAGGATTCCGACATCATTGTCCGAGAAGACGAACCTTCTTCGGTCATCGCGTTGTCTCTTGCTTGTCCGGACTACACTCTCAAAGTGCAGGAGTTCCGCAGCCACCCAAAGAAGCAGAAGGCTCAGCCGCCTCCAGCCAAAAACGCTGCGGAAGAAGAATCGCGGCGAGAAGCTATTGAGGCTTCGCTTCTCAGTGACACTGGCACGCATATGAAGTACTCGTTCGCGCATGGTCAGGTCAAAGCTTCCTGCAAGATCTTCTACGCTGAGTCGTTCGATGCTCTCCGACGAAGGTGCGGCGTGGCTGACCGCTTCGTGGAATCGTTGTCACGTTGCCTCAAGTTCGATTCGAAGGGCGGCAAGACGAAGTCGCTCTTCCTCAAGACGCTCGACAACCGCTTCATCATCAAGAGCCTGCAGGAGGTGGAGTTGAAAGCTTTCACCAAGTTCGCTCCCGACTACTTTGCTTTCATGAGCCACACACTTTTCCATGGTGTGCCGAGCGTAATTGCCAAGATGTTCGGGCTTTTCCAGGTCTTCATCAAGAATCCGGCAACTGGCATGGAGTTCTCGTACTATCTAATTGTCATGGAGAACCTATTCTACGAGCGGAACCCGAACCGTCGCTTCGATTTGAAAGGCAGCATGCGGAACCGCAAGATCGAGAGCACTGGCCAGCCAGACGAAGTCTTGCTCGACGAAAACCTCGTCGAAACCATCTTCGAATCTCCGCTCTTCGTCCGCGAACACGCCCGCAAGCTCTTGCAGGCAAGCGTCTGGAACGATACAATGTGGCTATGCAAGCAGAACGTTATGGACTACAGCTTAATGGCCGGCTTCGATGACGAGCGCAAGGAGCTCATCGTGGGTATCATCGACTGCATCCGGACTTACACTTGGGACAAGAAGCTGGAGTCGTGGATCAAGGATCGTGGGAAGAACAAGCCGACCATCACCAGTCCGAAGGATTACCGGAACAGGTTTCGGGTGAGCATGATGCAATATGTGCTGCAGGCGCCGAATTGTTGGCATCAGTTCCAGGCACAGATGGCGCCGCCGAAGACGTTGAACGATGGGGCTGACACGCATGATACTGATCGCGAAGGCGATGCTCGGAGGAGCGAAGGGTGAGGTGCAGTGAAGTTGTGGTTGTTGGGTCATTGGTAACGATCTTTATGAGCTCACGAGTTGATGAGGCGATGAGCTTCTTGGTGTTTTCCAGCATAGCGATGGCGTAGAACAGCTGTGTCGATGCCAAACGGGATTGGCAAGCAGAATATTTTGCCTCTGGTCTCGTCCAAGAATTCATCAGCGTTTTCAGCCGACGAACATCCTGACCACCTTTTCACCAAGGCTCTGCCTGTGTTATTGCTGCGGAAGGACGCCGGGCCTGACTTGCATCTTCGCAACCTGGTCCATCATCTGCCGCGGGTTTGACGTCGTATATCGCCGAAGGCCAATTGAAGTGGCTATTCCTCACGGTCTGGCCCTTTGAACCCGTCCATCTTCCCAGACTCCCACCAAAGCTAAGAGCTCTTTGATGTACAAGCCATGCATCATCTTTCCAACCGATCGTCATCCGTAAAAGGGTCCATCTCGAGACTTCACAGTTCTTCTTCCTCCGCACCAGGTGTCCCTAAGAGCCGACTCTCCTTTTCTCGATATCGTCGACAGAACAACGAATGGCGACGTTTGATAGTTATCACCGTAACTCCGATCGAGACGACCAGCAGCACCGGCACCCATGGTCGCGCAGCGAACCAAAGCACAACAGCAACGTCGCCTTCGTGCCATGTGCCGCCCGGTGAGTGGCCGAAGAAGGTGTATTGCTCGCTGTAGAATTCTTGAGGTAGGATGAAAATGTCATCGGGATGTGCTTGGGCTTTTGTTGATCCTGCGACGTAGGCCGCTCGTTCTGGGTTTGCGTCGAAGAAGGCTTTGACCATGTCGGTTGCGAATTGAGGACCTGCTAGGGGTCTTAGTCGGTGACCTCTCTGAGCTCGCATAGATTGAAGGTGGTCATACCAGTGCTCCAGAAGATGACAAGGTATGGGAAGACCAATGACCAACTCCATCTCTGCCTGGGCGCCAGAGTATCGATCATCATCTTCCACACCGGATGTCCAGCCCGAGTCGCAAGGAGGTCGTTATTCAGTCCCTCAGGCGACGCCCTCGCAAGGAACGCCGGAAAACGTTGCAGCGGCTTCAACGACCGCCGGCACGCGATGTCGAGGTCGAGGTAGAAGCCGCCGTATGTGTAGAGGACGAAGTATTTGATTGCATCCACGCGTTGGATGGGGTGAGTGTAGCCGTCGTAGGTCGGGAGGAACCATTCGTATCGCTGCTCCAGCAGCTGTCGCGCCGCCGTTGCGTTCCAGATGTTGATCTCGAAGTCAGTGTTGTACCCGCGACAGAGGTTCGGGGCGTGAGAGCCCATCGAAGCCATATCTGTACCTTCTTGGTGCGTCTCGTAGAGGTCTGGGAAGAAGATGAAGTGGATGGTTGGCGGAATATCTCTGTAGGGATCCCATTCGGGGAATTGTGAAAGGTCGTATGCTTTTATTTCCGTGTCGTTGGGCATCTTGGCCATTGCGCGGGAATAGTCGTCAGGGAAGTCGTCGAAGGTGATGTAGAGTTTGTTGAGGAGTCGTTCGAAGCGTATTCGGTCGCCGACGAAGTGGAGGCCAAGGAGAGCAACGAAGACAGCGATGAGTTTGAGGAAGCGGACGACGAGACGATGCATTGTTTCGATAGGATGGGTTCATCGTAAGTGACCGAGAAAGAGAAACGAGATGGGGGAAGACTGTTGTAGGTCCCAGTGATTGGCTAGGTATAGGCTGATACGAAAGGGATATAGGGCAAGCCAATGGATGTCTTTCCTGGCCCCGTGGACGGCCATCGATGGCGGCACGACTAGCGTTTGATTGTAGCACTGCCATTGTCTCGTCCTCGCCGGTTGTTGGCAGCATCCCAAGGTTATAATGTGGTTGCCTTGAAGGAGTGTGTATTTGGAGAATATCAAACATTGTGGCTGAGCGTCCGTGAACGGCCTCAGATCCTGCAGAACAGAGATATGGTGGTACCTACTGTTTCATGAATGCAAGCAATGTTCGTGCGAAAGCGACTCGCCCGTTGGCATCACGTGTTTGATATCCATTTCATTGCATGATCCGCAGACGTCTGTGTGGAGGTATGTCTCCAGCTGGTTGCAGTGGCTTAGTAAATTCTCTGCCGCATCAATACTGACCGTTCGAGAATCCTCGAATAACCTGCCCTAGTCGTGTTCGTTGAACAGCGGCCCAAGAGCCTCACCGTCAAGTAGGTCGACCGCAGGATTCTAAGCTGCAGCAGAAGCTGGCATGTCCGCCGAGCCGACTCTGCTTACTATGTCACCACCAGAAGGCAACTGAGCTCTCAAATCCTCTCTGCCTCCTGCCATAGGTCATGGTCTTGGCTGGCATACCAAGCACGTCCAAGCGGTCCGCTAAAAGTACCAAAGCCGTTGCCTGAAGTCGACTCGTAGGATTCGGAGCATCTGACCCGAATCACATCGATCGATATGAGCCGTTCAGATTGTGTCGATCCCCAGATGCATCAAACGTACCTCTTAGCGGTCCAGTAAGGGGAGCTTAGATGCCCGTTGCCCTGTGGTGGTCTGAATATCTTTGTGCCAACGTCCCCTTGTCTAAAGAGCTTCAAACGGGTGTTCTAGGGCGGTCAAATATCATCACTCTTGTCGCAAGCGAGAGCGTCGATACTCTGTACGATGCCACATGGATGCCTCCCGTACTGGTCGTGGCGCTGCTGGCGAACGCTTCACCCCCAGAGCGTGTGCTTTCGACACAGGAGCGAAACGTGCGTGACTCGACGCAGACAGCTCGGCCTGGCCGTATGCTGCGACAACGCTGAAGTCGGCGTGTCGATGGAGCGTCTCATTGGCGAAGGATGGTTAAGATACCGTACCTAGTACTAGTGTGCTCCGCATTACCACGTGCTTTGCGCGAGTCATTCGCACGACAGGGGTCTTCCGTCCAGACCTTCGCAGGCAACATCATAAAAATCTGTGTCTCCTTCCAGAATTCTGCTGCCTTCCGATTGACTCCTAGGGTATGCGGCTAGAAATTACCGGTCGAGAGGCGTGCCCCCGATCTCCTACGATCAGCATGGCCTACTCTCGCACTCAATCCCACTTCGGGAAAAAGAACGAGCCTTCCAGCTAGTTCCACGCACCGAGACGACACTCACCAGGTGTCTGCCACCATGCTTCGAAACACCGTTGGGTCATCGTCAGGCACAGCAGCAATCGGCGGTGGCGGCAGAGTCTATTTGTCTTTACGATGGTATTTGACCGAAGGTGCGTCGACGAGCTTGCCAACCAGCCAGGCTATCTCCTACTGTTCGGGTCGAGCTCGTCTGCTTCTCCCCGCATGTATAAGGAGGAACTAAGCAAAGGGATTGCGATGCACTGGCGCGGCAGTCACAGAATGACGCAGTTCATCAGTCCCCTTGGTCCCCTTGGTCCGTTCGGTGCTGGTCCTGCTCGCGAGATACGGCATCATTTCGGGTCTATAAGCCTTCGCACAGACTGGAGATACCTTACGCTTGCTTCTGTCACTGGGATGTTGAGTGCACTGGAGCCCGACAGGTAAGGTTCTCGTTACCCTTGGTGAAGATGATGCTAAGACTACTTCAAATCTCAGTCACGAGTAGTTACCGACGCGCGGACGTGTTCTGAACAGCTGCAGTCTCTATAAGCAGCTCGAGCGGGCATTGCAACTATGTTCTCGTACTTCCGTTCGACAGTGACTCGATCTCTGGATCTCACCAAAGCTGCCAGTTCTCACAAAATGAAGCCTGGCACGATGGCAACAAGTCAGTCGTAGGATACCGCCTTGGCGAGGGAACCTCATATTATTCGAGCCTTGGCTATTGAGCGCTGATTCCTGACCGAACGACATAGAGCAGGTACACGCCACACACCGCACCAAAGCCGTGAGTAACCATAAATATATGTTCACCACTATCTCCCGTCCTCACCCTTACCCAACTCATACTCTAGCCTACGCTGCCGCATAACCTTCCCTTCGCCTTCTCGTTCCACCGGCGGCGGCGCAGCGACCTCGCTCGAATCGGCATTTGGGGACTCGTCTTGCTCTGTCCCACGATTCTGCTGCGTCCTTCGCTCCTCGAGTGTGCCTTGTTCCGCAATGTTCTGAACTGGCTCTGGTGCTGCGATCTCGCTGAGGTTGGCGTAGGGTTCAACTGCTGTTTCAAAGGGGCTGGGATTGTGATGATGATGAGAGGCGTGGTCGTTTTCGGCTTGTTGTCCTTGAGGCGTCAAGTCGATAGGGGAAGAGGAGGACTTGTTCTTGCCGCTTACTTTGCGCCTCAGATGGGTGAACATGTCTAGGATTGTCATGGTTGTTGACAATGTGGAGCAGTTGCGATTACTAGGGCGGAAGATGTTGTGAAATGAGATTATATCAATCCCAGTCTGATAAACAGTTGTTGATTTCTCGGTGTTACTGATTGGCCTCGTGTTCCGCCCTTGCCGATGGAGGAGTTCCATCCCGCCGTGCTCGCCGGATCGGCAAGGTGTCCAAAACTCGGAGGCAGCGGCAGCGCTAGGAGAGCTGGGCCAACCGAAAAGAGTAAAGCGGCAGATTTGACGACACGCTGCTGTCTTCACGAATCTGTACCCTGGATATCAGAGCACGTGGCTTGTGTTTGTTGCTGTACTATCCAGTGTGGCCAACTCAGGACCGACGCCAGAACATTTCAACACCCAGCTAACCGGGAGGTCAAAGGCACAATGGGGACAGAACGCCAGGAGACAGAAGGATTGGACGAACTCGTCGCACCAGCCCCAGATGAAAATCCACAGGAGAACGAATACTATCGTCACGATAGCTTAGAATCCGAACGCAGGACTCAAGATATCGAAAACCGTGTCGCCAGCATTGACGAGAACGCAAGACCAGCCTCCAAAGCGCCTTCCTTCGAAAAGAGATTCCTTGCCAAATTCTACACAGTGTCCTACCTCATCTTCTTCTCGATCCTAGGAACGCTCGCCCGCCTCGGTCTCGTTGCATTGACGGCATATCCTGGCGGCCCGAACGCTAACCCGATCCTTTGGGCGAACGTCGGTGGTAGTCTGATCATTGGATTCCTGCGAGAAGACCGGTTGCTGTTTCGGAACCATTGGAAGCAAGCCACGCAGGATGCGCGAGATGGAGCGCAGGAGGAGTCACGGCACAGCGTCGACGACCGCAATGAAGGAGGTGATGGTGGCGGCCGGAGCGGAAGCGACGAGAGCGAGCTGGAGAAAGTCGCGCAGCAATCGTTCAACGAAAAGAAGACTAGGCTCCACGTCTACATTGGGTTGGCGGTTGGTTTCTGCGGCTCCTTCACTTCGTTTGCCGATATCATTCGGGACGCTTTCCTCGCCATCTCAGATGACTTCAGTACGGCGGATATCACGACACTTGAAACCACGGATGTGAAGAGAGGCAGATCGGACGGGTATAGTGTGCTGGCAGTCATCGGGATCTTGTGGCTGCAAGTCGCCATGAGCACGGCGTCCCTGCAGCTAGGCGCACACATCGCCACAGGAGTTGGGAGTCTCGCGGAGATTATACCAGTGCTCGAGCTGAAGATCGAGGAGGTTCTGAATAAAGTTGTGTTGGTGCTCGGATGCGGATCATGGATCGGTGCAGTCATGATGGCGATTTGGCCGCCGCAACAAGCGTGGCGCGGACAAGCGGTGTTTGCGATTGTTTTTGCTCCCGTCGGTTGCTTGCTACGATTCTATCTCGCGCTGTTGCTGAACCCACGGGCCAACAGCTTTCCACTCGGGACGTTTGCGGCGAACGTCTTTGGTACGTGCGTGCTGGGTATGGCGTGGGATCTGCAGCACTCGCGGCTCGTCGGTGTGGTTGGATGTCAGGTGTTGCAGGGCATTGGAGACGGATTTTGTGGTGCCCTGACCACTGTCAGTACCTGGGTGCTAGAGCTCAAGGCATTGAAACTGTGGCATTCGTATGTATATGCCGCTGCTAGTATTGGGGTGTCGTTGGCTTTCATGGTGGTGATTATGGGCTCGTTTCGATGGACGGAAGGCTTTCAAGATCCCGTATGTTGAGTTTAGAAGGAACTATATGTTGCCATTGGAGCCACAACTGCATCATAGCTGCCCAGATCCATCAAGGAACGTTGGGTCGATGGTCATTCCACCCATTGTCGTGTCTGTGTAACCCCCATCCTCCGCGAGCGGTAGCGACCATTGCGGGTCTGTTGTCTGGCCAGGAAGGTTCTCCAGACTCGCTCGCCAATCTACAGAGTTCATCAACCATTCAGTCGGATCCACCGGTGGCACAGCGGATCCAGCTTGAGGAACTGGCATTTGTAGCTGATCCGGGAAGGCGGCTCCATCTGAGTCTGCAGAATAGGACGGGTTGTTCATCATATCGTAGAACTGCAGCATGGCCTGATAAGCATTGTCCGACCCATTCATAGTTGGTCCAGGCTGTATCATGAATGGTAGTTCATCCGCGAGAGCGTTCTGCAGAGGGGAAGAAAGGGGTTGGAATTGCTGCTCTTGCATATCAGAGCGTTGTGAGTTCGCTTCTGGTTGCCTTTGTAGGCATGCAATGCCTGTCGCGTTGGCACGACAGGCTTTTGTCGAGGGTTCATCCGCGCCTTGATTTGACATTTCGGGTAGAGGCCGCTTTGCCGGTACAACCGCGTGGTCATTGTGAAGCAATGCAAGGTCGGTCTCACCGACGTCCTCGCTGACGTCCGCAATCGGCGCGTACTTGTCCAGCAATGGCAACACCTCATACTCTGCTGCCGGTCTGGCTTCGTGACCCTCGTACCGGGAGATGACGGACGCCATTTCTTGCACGGCGAGAGTCAGACGCTGTTGTTGGCGATGGAGCAGGGCGACCCGGCCGGACGAGGCAGATGGGTCTCGCGTCGTGGCCCGGGTATAGACACAGATGAGGTTTCTCTCGCGGCATCGGCCACATGGTCGTTGGCCGTTACACTACGCCATGATCAGCTTCCACAGTACCCTCCAATGCTTTCTGAGGGAATACCTTCGACTTGCGCAAGCGACACACATCGCACGCCGTTTGTGAGCGGACAGGGCCTCGCGAGTCGTCCGGCGGAGGCTCCTCGGTCGGCGCAGGCGCGGGCGGTGCTTTGGGCTTGGGAACAATCAAGAACATGGTGTTTGCGTCAAGTCTCTCCGAGAGCATTCGAAAGAAATTGCTTCGAGCTTCAATGCAAATTGAGGTACCCATAGGTTTCTTGGCACTTTGTTGTGGTTGCCACCCTCCTGGACCCCTGCTGGCACAGACCACAGACCAAGTGGCACATCATTTCGAGGTCATGTTTTGTTGCTCTACTACTCCGTACTGCTCGACTCAATAATCGCTACTCACCAGCCCCTTAGGTTCCAACGGTATGGATGGTATGGGCTGGCGGGACTCCGTTCGCATCAAGCAGCAGCAACTGTGGTCCGAGGTCCCGCCCAAATGGAAGGTCGACGACCATCTCCCCGCGCAGGACAATGTAATCGACACCGTCCCTGCGTACCTGAGTACTGCAGACCGCGAGATCACGGAGATGCCACTGGGTCAGCTGCTGGACAGTCTGCGCTCCAACGAGGTTACTGCTCAGGAGGCGCTTGCTGCCTTCGCCCACCGCGCTCTTGTTGCACACCAATTTGTGGGTGTTGGAGTGCTGCAACAACCAACACACCACGCTTACTTCATGATAGACACGCTGCCTTAGTGAAATGAACTACAAGAGCGCTCTGCAACGAGCACGAGAAGTAGATATACACTGGCGGCGGCATCGCTCCCCCATCGGACCTCTTCACGGGCTACCCATTAGCTTGATGGATCGTTTCCATCTTTCTGGCTTGGACAGCGCATGCGGCTTCGCAAATTGGGTTGGTACCAAACGAACAGACGAAGACGAAGGCGGAATAGTACGCAGTCTCTCGCGGCTGGGTGCCGTTGTCTTTTGTAAGACGAATGTCCCGATGAGCATGATGGTGCATATAGACTTTTAATTGCGCTATTAACTTCAATCATCAGACTGACGATGGCCAAAGATTGGTGAAACAGCGAACAACATCATTGGTTGCACGGTCAACCCCTACAATGGAAACCTCTCGGCTGGAGGCGCCTGCGGTGGTACACTGATTCGGACTTTGCTACGATGACTTTCTTTGCAAGACTGACTCTTCCCAGGCGAAGGTGCCTTGCTTGCCCTCAAAGGTTCTCCCCTCGGCATAGGAACCGATGTCGCAGGCTCCGTTCGCATCCCATGTTCCTTCAACGGGCTTTGGAGCCTGAAGTGCTCCGAAGGTCGCCTCCCGCGTAGTGGTCTCGCAACCGTACTTTCTGGGATGCCGACCGCTTCTGGGTCGATTGGCCTCATCTCGAACGATCTAGGCGGTGTTTCGAGAGTATTTCAAGCATTGCTAAGCTCCGAGCCCTGGGGTCTGTCTGATGTGGATGTGCTTGAACTCCCGTGGAGACAGGAGAAACTCGATGCCATACGTCGACGCAAGAGCCGTAACGGCTCCTCGGGAAGGCTTGTCTTTGGGGTCGTGGAGTGTGACGCACATGTCACGCCTCATCCTCCTGTCGCAAAAGCTATCGCCACTACGATCCAGGCACTCGAACGTTACGGCTACGAAGTCATCAAGTGGAACCCACCACCCCACGCCCCAGCCGTAAACAATCTTTTCCAGATCTTCGGCTCAACGTCTGCCCGGGAAGCACGCGAGGCCATTAATGCAAGTGGGGAGCCTCCGATAGCTCAGCTTAAAGAGTGGTACGAGCAGGGCGATGTTCCTCCCAATAGCAGCGCGGACTTTTGGAACCTTTGCGATCAGCGAGACAGGTATCGTGCACAATACTCAGCCTACTGGGCGTCGACTGGCGACAAGACCCTTTCTGGACGTGTACCTGATGGGATCATTCTGCCGGTGGCGCCGACGACTGCAGTGCGGAGTGGCGAGTTCCATTATTATGGCTACTCTGCTATAGCGAACGTCCTTGATCTTCCATCTGGAACCATTCCCGTCTCGGGTATCCATCAGCTACCGGACGAGCCGCAAGACAGGGGGCAGTTCAATCGAAACGAATTAGATGCAAGAATTCAGATGTCTTGTAAGTGCCTTCCACCACAGTTTACTTCTCAGTGTAGCTTCTGAACGCCTTCCAGACAGGAAGGAGGAGTCATATGGTATGCCTGTTGGCATACAGGTCATGTGCCCACGCTTGCAGGAAGAGCAAGTGTTGGGGCTGATGGAAGCAATCTCTGAAGCGCTCGCTGATGCATCGGGACTGGCCTCGCCATAAACATGTAATGCGTCTGCAACTTCGATTCCTCTAGATCGGTATGGCGGAGCACGGCAGTACCAAGATTAGGATCAGCCGTCCCATGTACCTGATGGACAACAAATTCCGTGCAGGCTGATCCCTTGATGCTCTGTGGAAGATACCCGCCATGTGCTGTTAGTTCGTCTTTGCGCGACGAGTGGGATCGATAGCCATCGCCTCTTTGCTGGCTCAACGCTAGGAATCCTGGCGCGATTAAGGAAGGAATTCTAGGTGAGACGCAGCACAGCGGATTGCAGAAGGTGTTTGGCTCTATGCAAACTCGCATTACCTAAATTGCTCAACACCACAGTTGTGAGATGCAACAGCAAAAAAATTCGACGCCGTCGAATCCGCATAGCCTGATTATTTTCATCTTGATGGGTGTTGACGGCGCTCCCGACATGTCCGATTGAGCTTGCAGACAAACTTTCCTCGATGCCCGCCACTTCCGGCAAGGCCAGACACTTTGCGAGAGATGGTTTTCTTTTCTCATCAAACTCGAATCCTACTTTCCTAGACTTGCACGAGACGAAAGAGCAATTTGCACCACCGTCCCAGCTTCCTAAACCACCCAGGCAAAAATGCCCATCACATCAATTCAGGCATCCCAACGCCTAGACTCACGCGGAAAGCCAACAGTACAGACCACCCTAACAACAGAGCATGGCATCTTCACCTCTATCGTTCCCTCCGGAGCATCAAAAGGCGACTACGAAGCCGTCGAGCTCCGCGACAACGACAAGACCGCATACCAAGGCAACGGCGTGTTGCACGCAGTACACAACGTGAACAACGTCCTCGGCCCAGCACTCGTCAAAGCAAACTTCGACCTGTCCACGCAGCTCAAAGCCGTCGACGCTCTGCTGATCGACCTCGATAAGACGTCGGACAAGAGCAATCTCGGCGCCAACGCGATCTTGTCTCTGAGCATGTGTGCTGCGCGCGCGGGAGCAGCGGCGGCTGGGATTTCGCTATACGCTTTCATTGCGCGGGAGATGGGCGCAACCTCGACGGATTTCGTGCTACCGGTGCCGTTTATGAATGTGTTGAATGGCGGTGACCACTCCGGCAACGCAATGGCGTTTCAGGAGTTCATGATTGCGCCTGTGGGCGCGGAGTCGTTTGCGGACGCGGTTCGGTTTAATGCGGAGACGTATGCGTGCTTGAAAGGGTTGATTGTGAAGAAGTATGGGAAGGCGGCGATCGGGATCGGTGATGAGGGCGGATTTGCGCCGCCTATCTCGCACCCATCCGAGGCGTTGGATTTGTTGGTGCAGGCAATCGAGGACGCGGGACACACTGGCAAGATCAAGGTTGGTATCGATCCGGCTTCGCAGTCTTTCGAGAAGGCCGGTGAATACGATTTGGGATTCAAGACAGATACCGCGCAAAAGATGGGTAGCGGAGAGCTTACAAGGCTTTATCGTGAGCTGTTGGACAAGTACCCCATCGTGCTACTGGAGGATCCGTTCGGGCAGGACGATTGGGATGCGTGGATGCAATTTAATAAGGATTGCGAAGTGGAACTCGTTGGGGACGACTTGCTCGCGACGAACATTGAGCGAATCAAGATGGCAAAGAGAAAGGCTGCTTGTGATAGTCTCTTGCTCAAGATCAACCAGATTGGTACTCTCTCTGAAGCACTTGCTGCGTAAGTTCTGCTTTGGATGTTACGCCCTGCCTTGTTCTAGTAAATTGACATATCGACAGTGCCAAGGAAGCCTTCTCATACGATTGGTCTGTCTTTGTGTCTCATCGGTCAGGCGAGACGACGGACGACTTCATCGCAGATCTGACGGTGGGTGTTCGAGCCGGTCATCTCAAGTCCGGCGCGCCATGTCGCGGTGAGCGGGTGGCTAAATACAATCGATTGATGGACATTGAAGATGAGCTGCGTGCCAGAGGATTGAGGTATCGATATGCTGGAGAGGGCTTCAGGAGAGCGCATGCAAGCTGAAGGGCGTGAGATAGGTAGAACGTACATGGGATTGGAGTAGTCGTGGCCGTATATGAGTCCTCCGGTGCACACAAGCCAAGACCTTCGAGAAAGTCCTCAGCGATGAGCTGACTGATGTAATGGTCAAGTTTGAAGGCCACAACGGGTAACTTTTTGAAACCATGTGCATTGGAGAGGATACTTGTGTTATCAGTCGTACCCTTCTACAGCTCTCGAGGCCGAAAAGATAGCAATTTAATCATATTCCCAGATAAACAATCTTCAAGATCTCAAAACATTGCTGAGGTACGGAATGCCCGCTGATTCTTCCGCACTCCACACCATCTCAATTGTCCCGAGTCTCGCCTTGCTTTGTCATGTCTGCTCTTCGTGACCTGCACACTGCGGGCAAATACAAGCAGAAAAGTGTCTTGGTCTCCACGACTTGACCAACTCCTCAGTCCGAGGGCTCTGATTCCAGGCTTTGTTCCACGGTGAACCGTACAACATCCACGGCACACTACGAGGAAGCCCAGCTGGCGGAGGCGCTCTCTGTGCGTCGCTCCCACAACCCTTAACCATCTCCGCGCGCTCTCGCACAGCTGGTTCCGCAGCGTCTGCATGTGGCAGTGCAACCATTTCGTCGGACGGACGTTCTGTACCAGAAGTAGCCGTCCCAATCGAGTCCTGTGAGTGACTGAGACCGAGAGCTTGCTGCAATTTGCTCCTCGAGCATCGATGGAGCTCATCAATCACATCTGAACCAGGACAGGGCTGGTCCTGCGACGAAAGCCGCAACCAGGTCTGACTCCGACTCCTTCTTCGCCATCGTTCCCTCCACTGTCTCTGCAGCTCGTCCCTGCTCGCAGCAGTCCTCACTTTGACATTCGGCTCCGCTTGCTTCGGGTACCCAGGCTCAACCCAGTCCTCGAGCGGCGGACTGATACTGATAGCCTCGGTGATCTTCTCAATCCACTCAATACACGCCGCCATCGACGGCAACGCGAGAAGGAACTGCCAGCCCTCGGCTCTGATGCGAACGACATTAGAGCGACGGTAGTAGTCGGAAGCCAGACCAACTTCTGCTCCCTGTAGGCCGAGACTCGTTGAGCGCCGGGTTGAAGTGACTACGAGTCGGGTGCCTTGGAGCTTGCTGTGGACGCATTTCCATGATCGATGGCCAGAGGCACGCCAGGGAGCGATGAGCTCGGCTTTGAGGAGGGCGGTGGTTGAGAGGAAGATGGTGCAGGTGTAGTCTGGTAGTGTGCTGTCGTTCAAGCTGAAAGTGCGTGAGTAGGGAGGTGGCGGGATCGATTGTGCTGCGGCGTTTCCGCCGATGGAGGCCATGGCAGTCACATGCTTCCCGTCACATGCTTCGTGCCATTCGGCTGGCTGTTGAGCTGCTGATGAGCTCGTATCAAGGATAGGATATTATGTTGAGCTGAGGGAGGAGATTGTTTGGGAACTGGCCTACATGGAGTTGTCAACTTGCCGCCTACTTATCGTGCTTCTCCCACGTCGCCTGACGTCCTCGTGCTTCCTCTCCATGCCGACATGTGTGGAGGTGCATTCTTGCCTCCATGAGCCCCGTCACCTCCGGCGAGGAGCCGGTGAGCAGTAAGTGTACTGTGTGCCTTGACGATGCTCCATCTCCAACCCGCAAGATCGACGTAAGGGACCGTAGAACCCTAGCGCTCCCGCCTCGTCCGATGCTTGCTCGGTGGCACCGGCGAGCGGCGAGGAAGGAAAGAACAAGACAATCTGCGGAAGTCGAACATGGCCATGATCCCATTCTCGTCCTCTGCAGACAGTGTCATGGATGAAGGATAGCCACGCGTGCCGTCGTATGGGATGGTTTGTGACGCGGACAGTGCTCGACTTCCCGCCCTCGCCGCTCACACCGTGCAGTCCGCTAGCAAGGCAGGGGTCGAGACCGGTTTGCGAGCCTCCAGGCAACCGCATTAAAGATGGCCTCGTCCTCCAACCTCGTATTGCTTCAATCCTCCTTCCTATTTACATCTCAATGAGCTGCATTTCGAACACGATGTGCATGTCGAACAGCAGAGGACGCGACCAATGGCGCTTGGCTGACGAGTACACCTCTCTTGGCCGGCACAGCCTCTCCCACACTCTACTGCTCAAGCTGCGAGTCTTTCGGCAACCACACCAGCAGAACGTGTCGTAGTCAGCAGAGACATGCACTTCATCCGCGGACTTTTGTCTGCTCCGAGATGGGGCTCCATGGCCCCCAAGACGACCACGCGTAGGTTCAATCGACATGCGTGGCGAACGTATGCACATCCCATCTGCTCTCCACATAATACATCGACATTCCTTTCTACCTGAGGTATTAGATCGTAACTCTGTACCATCTCTTCTCCTCGTTCAATCAATGCCGCCATGACCCTCTTCCGCCAAACCAATGCATTGATTGGGAAAGACCTCAAAATCGTAGCACAACGCAGATGGGCATCGACATTCCTCCGAGCGATTGCTCTCCCAATTGCATACATCATTTTCATCGCGTACGCGCGTAACTTCTTCCTCCCGCCGTCTGAGTATGGCTTTGGTTCTCCTCGACCGATCCGGGACTTGACAACAGAAGTCTTCAACTCATCAACCTCCCTCGGCGGCCGTGACCGTGTCGTCTTCATCAACAATGGCTACCAGAACGGCCAAATCGACATCCTCATCGATCGCCTCTCATCACCACTACGCGCTGCAGGCGCCGACGTGCGTACCCTCCCGGACGAAGATCGCCTTTCGGAAATCTGTCAGAGCTCCCTGGCCGGCTTCTCGAGTTGCTATGCATCCGCAAGCTTCACCGGGTCTCCCACAGAAGGCTCCCCGTCTCATTGGAGCTACACTGCCCGAATCGATGCCGGCTTGGGCGTCAGCGTTTTCGTCAACCAGGATGACAACGCCGCGCAGGTCTATGTGCTGCCGTTCGTCCAAGCGATTGATGCTGAGATTGCACGTATGAGTGGCGCGGAGTTGCCGACGGACATGCTGGAGCAGCCGTTCACCTATGAGACGATCCAGGATCGGGAGAACGATGTGCAGCGGTTCTTCATGTCGGCACTGAGTGACTATCTGGCCGTAACGTTGTTTATTGCTATTTGCGGGATTGTGTTCCACCTTCCGGGTTATCTTGCTGTGGAGCGAGAAGCTGGGTTGGCGAATCTTGTCGATGTTATGTCGCACGACAGGTAAGCCAAAAACATAACTAGAAGGGTGGCACGAGATGGAGTCAAGCGGGCTGAACAAACTATGATATGTATGCTAATTTATTGACAATGCCCAGGCGTCCCTGGATCACGGTCATCGCAAGACTCGCCTCCCATTACGCCTCCTTCGCGCTGATCTACCTTCTCGGCTGGCTTGCAATCGGTATCGTAGTCTCCGAGCTCATATTCGTGAGGACCGCGGCATCCATCGTCATCCCCTTCCACCTCATGCTCGGCCTTTCCCTAACAGGCTACTCTCTGCTCTTCGGGAGCTTCTTCAGGCGTGCGCAACTGTCCGGCATCTCAGCTCTGATCGTTTCGCTCGCTCTCGCGGTCGTGGCTCAGTTCGCGCCAAGAGTCCTGGCCTCGACAATCCCATTGGGCTTGCTTTTCCCACCAGCGACATACACTCTGTTTGCGATCCAGCTTGCCGACTCAGAGCACTTGCTGCAAGGCGGACAGCTCGACGAGCTGCAGCCCTGGTCGAGCTTGGATGTCCGTGGATATGTGTTCTTCGTCTTTCTTGGGGTTCAGATCGTGGTGTTCCCGCTACTGGCGGCCTTTGTGCAGTGGTCTCTACACGGGACCTCGCGGAAGAGAGTTGCACATGTTCGAGATCCGGCGCTGGCTCTGAGGCTCACCAACGTGTCAAAAACATTTGGCGGCTTCTGGCACACAAAAGTACCTCTCTTGGGACGGGAGACAGTACGAGCGGTGGATGACCTTAGCCTGGACGTCGTCAGTGGCCAGCTCGTCACCTTGCTGGGTGTGAATGGATCGGGAAAGTCGACTTTGCTTGCAGGCATCACTGGCACCCTGTCGTTCTCTCAAGGCTCAATGGAGCTTGTCAGAGGCACGAGCGTTGGCTTCTGCCCTCAACGCAACGTTACATGGAGCGATCTTACGGTCCTTGAGAACCTCAAGATTATGGCAAAGTTGAAGACCAAGACTTCGGCGGACTTTGGCAAAGACAATGCTCGAAATCTCATCAATGCTTGCGACCTGGGAGAGAAAATAAAGCAAAAACCTCAAGCACTCTCCGGCGGTCAACAACGAAAGCTGCAACTGGCTCTCGCGTTCGCTGGAGGCAGTAAGATATGCTGTATTGACGAGGCGTCGTCTGGATTGGATCCGCTCTCACGCCGGAAGATCTGGGAGATCATGCTCGCCCAAAGAGGTGCACGCACAATCATCCTGACGACTCACGCTCTAGACGAGGCGGATGCTCTGTCCGACCATGTCGCGATCATGTCCAAAGGACGTCTCATCGCTGAAGGCTCATCCGCGGAGCTGAAGCATATGTATGGAGGCGGGTTCACTGTCGTCACGCAGGCGAACGGGAACCTCAACGACCGCAGCTTGACGGTCAGGGGCCACGAGAGGAGCTCTAAAGCTGCAGACATTGCGGAAGTACGTCGGACGGTCGAGTCGAGCAATAACGACCAGCATTCGACTGTTGACATTCGATGTCCTTCCATCGAAGACGTCTTTTTGAATCTGGCACAACATGGCTCCGAATGGACAACTGAGACTCGAAGCTCCTCTCCCACCACAGACGTCGACATCGACTCTCCTTCGATCGAGAAGAATGCAGCGGCTTCCTCCCCAGGAAAGGGAACCAACTTCTTCCAGCAAGTCATGATATTGTTCAGAAAGCGACTTGTCGTCCTCCGCCGCAATTACATGCCGCACATCTGCGCGCTGATTGTCCCTGCTGTCGTTGCAGGTCTGGGCTGCTACTACTTCCTTCAAGGATTTACCGGTATACCCTGTGCCCAGCGGGTGGGCAACGACCCACAGGTCCTAACACTGGGAGCTCTGGAACGATACTGGGGCATCGAGGTCCCTGTGGCACCTGCGGATCGCCTATCTTATTCCAACTTGCCAGCAGCATATTACCAGTACCGCAGCAGGCTACGATTACAGAGCGACTACGCCGACTATCAAGCTTACATCCACAACAACTTCCGCGATGTGGCTCCTGGCGGCTTTTACGTTGGGAACGCCAGTGATCCGACGCCTTTGATGTCGTACAGAATCAACGGAAACCCGGGCTATGCTGGTCTGGCCAAAAATCTAGCAGATTCTTACTTTACCGGGGTCAATATCAATGCCGACTTTTCTACATTCCAACTCCCACTGACTGGCAGCACCGGCGACTCGCTGCAACTGATCCTCTACATCACCCTAGCAATGTGCGTATACCCAGCCTTCCTGGCCCTCTATCCGACATACGAGCGCAAGTCCAATGTCCGCGCTCTACATTACAGCAGCGGCGTGCGACCTGCCCCTTTATGGCTCGCATACCTGCTGTTCGACAGCATCGTCATCGTACTGGTCTCGATCGCGGTCGTAGTCATCTTCACGGGGCTTTCAGACGTGTGGTACGGTCCTGGCTACATCTTCTTCGCGCTGTTCCTGTACGGCGTCTGCTCGACTCTGCTCGCCTACGCCATATCGCTCGCCTGCAACACGGTGCTTGCCGCTTTCGCCATGGTCGCTGGATACCAGGCTGTCTCGGTGCTGATATATTTCATACTGTATCTCGTGCTTCTGACGTTCGGCTCTGCGGAACTACTACAAAGCAATCTGGAGGTTGTGCAGTTCACGTACGGCCTCATATGTCCGGCAGGAAGCTTGCTACGGGTTCTTCTCCTGGCGTTGAATCAGTCTCAGTTACTCTGCCGTGAGCGCAGCTTTGCTGGTGATCCTGGGAGCATTGAGATCTACGGCGGCATCTACCTGTACCTCATCCTGCAGTCGGTCGCGCTGTACGGCTTTTTGGTCTGTCACGATTCCTTCACGTGGACGCAGCTCATCGACCGGATTCGGAAACCTTCTGTCGATACGGATTCAGAGAAGGACAGCCACGTCCAGCATCCCTCCGTAGGTCAAGAAGCAACCAGGACCCAGGCGTCTGCCGACGAGCTTAGACTTCTCAGCCTTTCGAAGCGCTTTGGAAAGGAGCTCGCGGTCGACAACGTTACCTTGGGCGTTGATCGAGGCGAGATATGTGCATTGCTTGGCCCGAACGGTGCCGGGAAGACTTCGACGATTGGCCTGATCAGAGGTGATCTTCGGCCTTCGTCATCGGCGTCCTCTGCACTCATCTCGGGGCATTCCATCCAACGCGAGAAACTAGCAGCGCACCGTCACTTGGGAGTTTGCCCACAATTCAACGCCACTGACCGGATGACCGTGATCGAGCATCTCAAGTTCTACGCAAGGATCCGAGGCGTGCAGCAGGTCTCCTCGCGAGTAGCAACAGCAGTGAAGGCTTTTGGGCTGTATGAGTACCGCAACCGCCTGGTCGCCAAACTCTCCGGCGGCAACCAGCGCCGTCTCTCCTTAGCGACTGCCATGATCGGTAACCCTACCGTCGTTTTATTGGACGAGATGTCGACCGGGGTCGACTCTCTCGCGATGCGCAAGATGTGGCAGTTGATCTCGGAAGTGAAGAGTCAGGTGGCTATTGTAATCACCACCCACTCGATGGAAGAAGCGAGTGTGTTGTCGGACAAGGTTGCAATCATGAGCAAGAGGCTTCTGACTGTCGGAAGTCCAAGGCAGCTGAGGGACAGTTATACTGTTGGTGTCTACCAGGTGCACATTGTGCACAGCAAAGGGTCAGCAACGACGAAGCAGGAGATGGATGATGTTTTGGATTGGATCGTGAAGGAGTCTCCTGGTGCTGAGCTGAAGAGAGGTTCGGACAGCACCATGCATGGGCAGGTGAGGTGTCAGATCGTCTTCCACAAATCGCCCGAGGATGGCGAACAGCAACGACGTGCGGCCGAAAACCAGGAGGGAGACCGGAGATCATCACATCCCTTGCTAACGTTGTACGAGCGTCTGGAGGAGACAAGGCAGCGGTTCAGTGTTTCGTACTACTCTGTCAGCAGGCCTACTTTGGAGGATGTTTTCTTGGACATTTTGGAGAACCACGATTGATGATAGGGTGGACAGGCTTGTCCTCAATTGATGTTGACGAATAAATGAAGAAGTATAATTTACAGCCTCAACGACTAATGTCATCCCGAACGAACTGTCGATATGTTTCCCACCACTCCGCTGCTCCATGGTAGCATTCAGTTGGCCAAGGTGAGCAAGCCAGGACGGTATGGCTGGAGGTCGTAGTCGGACGTGCTGGCGCTTGGGTCCTTGCCTTGGTAAAGGAAGGAGAGGTTGCATGGGTCGATCGGCTGACACTCCGTTAGCACGAGGACATCCAGAGCCCTTCGAAATACTTACCATCGTCTGGTCATTCGCCGCCACAACCAGCGCACCATGCGAAATGTCGTTGGTCCAAGTCGCACCACTGTTCGCCTTCCCAGCAAACGGCGCATCCTCCGACCCGGCCTGAACAGTCCACTCGCCGTCCAGGCTGCTGGCAGTGAAAGAGCGGAAGTATCTGCCCTGCGAACCAATAGCTTCGATGATCATCAAGTATTGCGACTGACCCTGCACAGTGTACACCTGCACGGCTTCGAAAATGTTGTTGCTGGTATCGCTGAGGATCTCCTCGGCCGATGTACCAAAGTCTCCTGGGAAGCTGTCAATGGGCATTGAAGCACGGTAGATCTTGCCATTGTCGCCAGCGAAGAAGAGGTACATGTTCTCATCGTCGCCGATGACTGTTTGGTCGATCGGGCCAGTGTTGGAGCCGGATATCGTGCCGCTGAAGAGAGGTGACTCCGAGGACCAGCCGCTTGGGTCAGTGGGATCGCTCGACGTGCGGTATGAGAACGCTGTGGCGCCCCATTGGTAGGCGAGGATCCAGGTGTCTTGCGGCTCGAAGTAGAACAGCGTTGGTGCGACTGCCGAGAAGCCTGTCGTGGCCGTCTGGGTGGCGTCGGCCATGGCGCTCCAGTCGCTGAACGGCGAGAAGGCCATCGATCCGTAGTTGGCATCGTCGTGGTAGGATGCATACACGACGTGTTTCCCGTCGACGATGGAGTCCGTAAAGTCCTTCAGAGAGACCCAGCCATTAGCGGGCTCCGCCAGCGGACCGCCAAAGTCCGTCCATTGGTAGCTGGACGGCAGAGCACAGGAACCGCCAGTCGCTGGCGCCGAAGAGGTTGGCACACCGGAAGATGACGGAGCGGAGGTGGCGGAAGAAGCGGCCGCTGGCGCTGCGATCGAAGAAGGTGCCGATGAGGCAGACGAGGCAGACGAAGGAGATCCGGAGACTGGCTCTGGGTTCGCTGGGAGCTCGGAACAGATTTGCCTAGGCACAAGGCGGCCGGAAGCAAGCAATGCGATGCCTGGTGTGAGAAGGCTGACAATGGTGGACGACTTCATAATGGATGGAAGCTTCCTCGCAGAGGAAGACGTGAAAGTTAATTGAGAGAATAGAATAGTTGTTTTTGCTGGGGAAGAGAATAGACAAGATGGGAGTCGTCTGGATCATATACTTACACATACATGGGTTTCAAGTGAGTGGATGGTCTGCATAGGCTATCATGGTCCATACCGCATTGCCTAAAATCCCGAAACAATTGCCTACCTAGGTACCAGGGCGGTTGAATGCACAGAGGCCAGCTTCTCAAGTAGAGTGTGAACAAGGAATGTAGGCGGAGGTTGTAGAAAGAATTTCTCCGTGTAGTACTGAGAGAGTCGGCTGAAACGCCAACCAAGCCTCTCAGATGCGCTAGTCGTCTGGGATATATGGGCATTGTTACACAATGAACTGAAGGTATTCGGAGGCGAAGGTCTTGTCGCTCATAATGTGGACATGACAAATTGCTTGTGGAAACCTAGGTCGTCGACTTTTTCGATCGACCACATCGCTGTGTCAAGTCGAGTATGCTCCAACGCAGCCCTGTTGAACGGTCAGCTATGCGAGCAACCGCCGCCGCCTGGTGAGATGGTGACAGGCTTAGAGCTCTATGATATCTTTGCAGTCTTCTACACTCTCGACGTTACACCCTTCGCCACCTGGACCTTTCATGCAGCCGTCATCCAACGACGGAGCTTGTCGAGCAACGTTCCGAGATCCATTGCTCGAAGTACGCTTACCAACTCTCACTCATACAACTGAACAAGATCCTCCGGCATCCTCAGCTCGAACTCGTTCTTCTTGAAGTCGTCGGTCAGGTGTATAAACTTGGTCATCAGCTTCTCCGACATAGGCTTCACCCTCAACTCATTCATGGCCACCACATCCTCATTCAGATTATCCTCGCTTGGACGATCGTAGTTGATACTCTTCTTCGTCGCAACGAGAGACTGCTTCGGGAACAACGCAATCCTGCCAGCCAACTCATTCACAGCGGCCTGCATCTCATCGTTTGGACCGTAAGCAGTATTGACCCAGCCGATGCGCTCGGCGGTCACGGCGTCAACACCCTTAACAGCCAGGTCGTATTCAAACGTCCTGGCACGGCCAATGAGCTTTGTCAGAAACGGCACGGCTCCTGCAGCCGGAAAGAGACCAATCGAAGTAAGTGAGCGTGATGCGCCGGCTGACAAAGGACAGGCTAGACAGATGTCGAAGGTATAGCCTTCGATCGAAGACTGGCTCCGATGACATCCGCCTTCATGGATCATAAGATTGCACGGGAAGAGTGATGGGTGAAGATGGTTTCTCGTCTCTAGACCCGTCTTTCGTCCGCCAAGGCGCTTCCCATACCTCCTGGCGAATAGTCTCTTGACCGTGTGGCTTGTGGAACATCGATCGAGTCGGTGGCTTGCTCTTCCGCTTCCACCTCGTTCTTCCCAACTAGGCAAGAGCGTATAGATGGAAAGCATGACGATGTGAGACCTTCGAACACGAAGTATAAGTATGCGAGCGCTTCTTCACCTGAGAAGAGCATTGTAGCGATATCTGCCTCTACAATCTTTCATCAAAAGGCTGCTTCGGCGACTTTCATCGGGGAAACCACACTTCGTGTAGCTAAGCCTTTTTGTCCTTGTCGTTCAACATGAGCCGCCCATACGAAGGATATGTCGACCCCGACTTCCCTAACCCCGGCGGTCCAAACAGTGCTCGCATCATCATCTACGGGTAGATAACATCGTTCCATTTTTCATATACTACTGACAGAACAACAGCTACACCCCGGCACTCGCCCTAGGCGTCCTCGGTGTCGTCTTGTTCTTCGTCGCCCTCGTCGCACACTGCTACCTGCTCTTCCGGCACCGGACATGGTATTTCTCCACGGTCGCTGTCGGCACCGTCATGGAGATCATCGGATACGTCTTCCGATTGCTGTCAAGCCAACAGAATCCATACTCGGTACCATGGTTTGTTGCGCAATACTTCTGCATCGTCGTCGCGCCGGTCAGCTTCAGTGCGGCAATATACACTGTCGTGAGTGTTCTGGTCAACACATACGGTCGGCAATACTCTCCGATGCCTCCGAAGGCGATACTGGGAATCTTCATCACTTGCGATGTGGTTGCGACGATTGTGCAGGTTGCCGGTGCGGCGTTGGTTGGCACGGCGTATTCGAACCGTAAGTCCATGTTGCCTCCCCCAAGTCATTGGGGCTTGGAGGACCTTGCTAAGCATTTGGTACTCCAGAGGACGATCCGTCAACACCCAACAACATACTTCTGGCCGGACTCGCGTTCCAAGTCTTTTCCTTCTTCGTCTTCCTGGTCATACTGGCTTGGACGCTGTGGAAGGCCCGGCAAAGCTCTGTGAGCGTCGCACGCTCCTTTCTGGTGGCACTGGTAATCGCTACGTTGGCGGTGTATCTCCGAACCTGCTTTCGTCTCGCTGAAACGGCCGAGGGGCTCATGCAAACCCTTTCAACCCACGAGGTGTTTTTCGGGTGCCTGGAGTTTGCTCCGATTGTTGTTGCAGTGTACCTATTCACCTGGTGGCATCCAGGCCCATGGCTTAGTGCTACGCCGAATTCGGGGTCAAAGAGACACGAGGGCGCAGCGACAGCGAGCTGATGGCTTGTTGATCATCTTGTGGGACCCTCCAGATGTATGATAAGTCGGCCTCGCCAAAGGACGCTGGATAGGGCAACAGCGCGGTGATCCGAGGGTCGCTGAGCTCACGTAGATACCAAACAATGGCCATGCATTCAGATTTGGCTCGTCGAGTGACCCACCACTGACCAATCTGAGCTGCAAGTGCATACCAGTAGCTTAGGAAGAGGAGACCTATTGTATCTTTTTCGAGTACCAGTCGGCGCAGAGATGGCAATGTTCGGCCGCAGAAAGCCATGAGCGCTGGGAAGTTCTCAGGGTTGGGCTCCAAGCACAATAGCGGTGTCAGGAGCCGCAGGATGTAGTGGTACTCGTTGTTGTCGTTTGTAGAGGACTCATTAAGACCACAAAGGTTTACAAAGGCTGGTGGTAGTCCCACGATGCCGGGATGTGAGCCATCGCTGAATGTGCCACGGTCGTTGTCGGAGCCACGCAAGACCTGCTTCCAGACAGAGCTTCTCATGAAGTTGCCTGACCAATGCATTAGCAGGATGCCAAAGGCGTGCTCTGGCCGTTTTACTTCCAATTGACTCACCAGAACACTCCCTTAGTGCTCGAAACCCCATTGTCGCAGCTAAGGGCTCGATCGCACGATGAAAGTCCACTTCACTGCCAGTATAAGCACTCTCGGGCACAGCATCGTCCATAGAAAACGCAAAAATAATAGCAAGGAAGGTAGTAGCCAGCGTTGCGTCGAGGTGGGGACCGTGGTCGCTCAAAGCTTTTTGATGATATCGGAGCGCCTTGCCCCAGTAAGTCACCTCTGCGATAGAGAGCTTCCGATGGAAATCCACTTGCGACGAGTCGCAGTGTAGTCTCTTGAGGTGGGCTGCCGAGACGGCAAGGACCATATGCATAAGGTGAGGATGCTGCCACCCTTCTCTGGCAACGAAAGAGTGCATCACACCCTTGCACTTTGGAGAGCCCAATGTGAAGCACGTAGTAGCCTGAAAATGCTGCAGCATGTTGAGAGAGGAGAGCGTTCCAGAATTGATAGATGATCCGGGTGGAAGGCTCAAGAGCTCGCCAAGCTCTGTATCGAGTATCTCGAGGGACATGCTGTACCTGCGAGCAGAAGGCGTCAGCATCCGTGCTGCAAGGCGTTCTGAGCGCAAGACTGGGCTCATGACAGCAAGACTGGAGAACGTACATGTCTCCATTTGGACTCTCGACATCCCGCTCGTCCGACCAGAGCGTCTTCGGTGACGATCTCGCAGCAGGGGAGTACACGCACTGTACGTTCACCTTCGCACATCGACTGCAGCGAGGTTTGCCCTCATCACACTAGGCCAAGCGTCAGCTGAGCATGATCTAGATCGTAGAGGACAGGGTACGCACTCGGATGTGTCGAGCTTTGCAAGCCGGGCATCCTGTGCGGCTCTTTTTGTGAGTTTTCCGAGGGTTGTATGAATTGACATTATTGCCTGTCATGTCTCTTGGTATTTGGACCTTGAAGACGGTCTGCATCTCGTGTAGATGGAGTAGCAAAGGACAGGGGGCGATCTCTCGATGACTAGGCAAGGAAATGGTGTGTTTCGTTCATTCACCTACACTTGCTAAGCGGGAGAAGAAGAAGACATGGCTGGCAGCTATGGCCTGGCATACAGTGCTCGTACATGGCAGTGCAACGGCATAGTGCATTGACATGGAATGATGATGTCGAGATGTCTGTCCTACAGCTCCTGCCCCGTGCGTTACGAGCCTGCCTAAAAGGTTGCTAGCGTTTTAGGGCTGAAACTCTAATCAGATGTGAGAGTGAGGTGAAGAAAGGACTTCGTCTCTTCCTTCGCTCCTCATCATCAAAATACATCGTTGAACGCTCCCATCGTGCCGGACGGGAATGGTTAACGCCAGCGGCTTCGCCCACGGGCATCGACAACGCTTCAATGAGCGCTCATGGGACGCGGGCCAGCATAGCTCTGGCAGATTCAAGGACATCGATCGTGGAGGTGATCCTTTCTTGACATGGAGATGGCCACCACCTCCCAGTCGACGGTCTCTTTTACCCTGTCTTCAGAGCACGAGTTCAAAGGTAAAGCTGAGGCGTCTTGCCTTGAGCAAGCACATGCTCAAAGAGCTGGCGGTCGTGCGACTGACACCACGGCGGTCAGAAGAAGGGCACGCCCGAGTATGTAGCCATCCGTCGTCTTATGTAAGTGCGAATTCGACGGAAGCACGGCAAGTTGTTTTCATGCATGCCTTGCATCGAAGAAAAATGTCATAAATCACGATCATTGGCACAGCTCATTCCAGTGAAGTCTCGCCAAAATTGAGCCTCACGTGTTGCACAACATTGGCAAACGCATCCCTTACGCACATTCTCACATGCGGTCAGCTGTTCACTTTCTATAGTCACCAGTCCTTACCGTGATCCTTTACGACACTCCCTTGTTTTGCAGGCCAGCCATACAGGACTTGGACAATCGTACGTTACCTTGGAAACACATCACAAAACATTAAAACATCGATACTCGAAACGACCCGGCTACTTCAAGCAAACGGCGCGATCCCGAGGTGAATTTCTATCAAAAGAGCAACACCAGCAACGAGCGGTTCGATGAAGAGAATTCTGGCGGCAGCGTTGTTGCTTGCCGTCGCAACGGCGCAGGACAATGCTTGTGAGGACGACGGTGGGAATTTCTACTGCCAGCTAGTCAATGCGATCACATACACCTCAGTCGGCGGCTCGGGCACCTACCAGAAGATCACAGACATGGACTCGACGTCAGGATCATGCGCAAGCTCGCCCTACGACTACGCCGGAAGCATCGCACCCCTGGACGAAGAGGTGAGGACCCGTGTCGTCATGAAGAGGTGGAACGCTGTAGTTTGCTAACACCCAGCAGGTCTCATGGCACGTCCGCGGTCCCACCATCCTCAAGCAGTTTGCTGCCTACACCCCGGACGCCCCAACAGTCAAGAAGTCCAAGCGTAACCAGCATGTGCGACGCCACGCGCAGGGCAGCGGCAGCAACCACAAGCACCACGGAGACCGAATACAAGAGCGACAGGTCGGTGCCACTGTGACCGCTACCATTGAAGGCATCGTGCAGACTTGGATCAACGAGTACGATGGCTTGCCAACCGAGACTACAAGCACCGCAGAGGCAGACTATCCGAGCGGTACGGGATTTCCGGCAAACATGTTCAACTCGACGGATCCAAGCAACATCACTGTGACTGGCAACGGCTGGGGCCGCAACGCATTCTACAACGCCGACAACCAGACATCTGAAGGCCTTGTCTTCTTGAACCACTTCGGCGGATCGGGATCTGGAGTCTTCGACTACAGCTTCGGTAACTCGCTCTCGTACGCCGGCGCAGACGGTAATTGCGGCGCTTCAGGCCCAGAGACGCTGGCGAGAACCACCCTCCCATCTAGCGCCGAAGTCGTCTTGATGAGCGATCAGCAATGCGAAGACGACAGCTGCGGCTACGTGCGCCCTGGCACAGTTGCTCATCATGGCTGGGACGGCACTCGCAAAGCCTTCTTCTTCGAGTTCCAAATGCCTGACTCAGGTGAGACGACCAACAACATCTACGATCCTGTGAATATGCCGGCAATCTGGATGCTCAACGCACAGATCCCACGCACGCTACAGTACGGCAACGAAGACTGCTCGTGCTGGGGCTCCGGATGCGGCGAGTTCGACATGTTCGAGGTACTATCCCCAGGCTCGACGAAAGCGAAAAGCACGCTGCACGGCAACAAGGCGGGCGGCGATAGCAACTACTTCGACCGTCCGCTGGACAAGACGATCAAGGTCGGGATGGTGATGTACGACGATAATATCCACATCAAGGTGCTTGACGACGACATGGAGTTCCCGAGTATGATGGATGAGGAGACGATCAATGAGATCTTGCAGAGCACGATTGAGGCGAGCATGATGGTGTCATTGTTTAGTCTGGCGGAGTCGGCTGCTGGATAGCTGGGTGCTTTGCATGGGTGAAGGCGTTACGGGTATTCGCATGAGCACGGTCGGCGTTCGAGGGCTGGCGTTTAAGAAAGGGTTGGTTATGCTCTGATGCGCTGTACCTCGCCAGCAGCTGGGTCATGGTCGATATCTGTTCCAGGCTTCGAAGACTCTTCAGTATGGAATTGCTCACTTTTCACGCAATCATGTCAGCTCTGTCCAAATGTCCACGTTGATATGAAATGGCTCTCACGTGATAGAGGGAGGAGGCGAAGTGAAGAAGTGAGGGTGGCTGGGCGGCTCGGGTTGGATTTGCCTCGGCGAAATCGCATGTGGCCGTAGCATCATCCACCACCTCTTGCCAACGACTCTTGAGCGCTGGTTGTTATTCTTAATCCATACCGCATCGCCACCTTCCGCTCCTCAATCGGAAGACTACCATATCAGCGGAACCGCATCTGCGCGGCGGCACTGTCCTTTGACCTCCGAGACAGCGCTCAGCGGACGTGATGCGATGCTGACCTGAGACTTCTACCACAAGCACTTGTCACCGCACGAGAGAGCAGAAAAGACACACACCTTAGCGTTCTGGATGGCCAGCCCCCCGAAGCCGTGGGAGCGCGCCGGCGCAACCTCTTCAGGTCAGTTTCCACCACCTATCCGGCTTGGAGAGGGCCATGCTGACAGCGAACCGCAGCCGCCGTCCCAAGCTCCGGCACCACTACTGCTACCGCGGCAGCACCCTCATCTTCAGACGCACCAACCCTCCCAGCCAGACCCGACTCTCTATCCACCGTTGCGACCCGAACAGCCTCCAACTACTCTAATCCTTACAATCGCACAAGCCCATACTCCTCCCCATACGGCTACGGCGGCGGCATGTCATCCTACAGCTCACCCTACAGCCGCTTCGGCGGCGGCTACGGTGGCATGGGCGGTGGCATGTACGGCGGAGGCATGGGCGGGATGTATGGAGGCGGGATGTACGGCGGCATGGGCGGGATGGGAGGCATGGGAGGCATGTACGGCCAGCAGCCTGGCATGTACGGACAACAACCCGGCATGGAGCAACAGAGCTTGACGCAGACATATCAGCAGTCGACGCAGGCCACTTTCCAGATGATTGAGAGTATTGTGGGGGCGTTTGGAGGCTTTGCGCAGATGCTGGAGAGCACGTTCATGGCGACGCATAGCTCGTTCTTTGCGATGGTGAGCGTGGCGGAGCAGTTTGGGAACTTGCGGCAGACGTTGGGATCTGTGCTGGGCATTTTCACAGTGATGCGGTGGATACGGACGGCTGTGGCGAAATTGACCGGACGGCCACCCCCAGCGAGCTCAAAGGAACTCACGCCAGCCAACTTCGCGGCTTTCAATGGGAAGGCTCCAGATGGCTCCCCCGCACAGCCACGTCCGAGCAGGAAGCCATTCATCTTCTTCGTGGTGGCAGTTTTCGGTCTGCCATATCTGATGACCAAGCTCATCCGAGCGCTCGCCGCGTCGCAAGAGGCAGAGCAAGCGAAACTGGCGAACGCACCGTATGGCGCTGACGGCCAACCAAGCAAGCCGCTGGACCCACGAGACCTGGATTTCTGCCGGGTGCTATACGATTACACCCCTCAGCAAGAGCAACCAGGCGTGGACATTCCCGTGAAGACGGGAGATCTCGTCGCAGTGCTCTCTAAGACGGACCCAATGGGCAACGCGAGCGAGTGGTGGCAATGCCGCACCCGAGACGGAAGACTGGGCTACCTCCCGGACAAGTACTTGGAAGTTGTCCGTCGATCTCCAGCGCAGCTTACCGCGGCCGCAAAGAGCAACGCCACGTCTCCTGCGCACTCGAGAGTCAACACGATGACCAATAGTGTCAAGGGTCCGGACAGCAGGGCGAACAGCATGAGGATCACAGAGAAGGAAAAGGCGGAGATAGGGAAGGCGAACAAGGAGCCTTTGGAGAAGAAGAAGGCTATTGAGGACTTCCAGCGGGGAGGCTTTTACAATTGAATGGATTATGGGTGCTATGGGTGCTGTTTGCGAACCAGCGAGGGGTGTTTTGGGCGCGGTGGCTTTGGGATAGTTTGAGGCGTTCAAGCGATACATGCCTATCTTTGTGCGATGCTGCAAAGAATGAGGGAGTGTACAGAAACGAGAGTCTGATCGAAGTTGCGCTGCGCCATTCAATCCGATATTCATGCATCCTCAGTCTACCACCTTATGCTTGTCTTCTTCGCATTGTGAAATCCCACCACTTTTGCCAGTCGTTGGTCAGCTCGCGTCTTGACACACGTCTCCCTTTGAACATGCTGCCCAGCTTTGCGCCAACCTGCAACATTCAACCACCGCGGCCTCCGACTGAACGAAGACGATACACTTGCGCTCGTCCAATGCTATAGCAGTGCTCGACGAGCTAAAGAAGCAGCTCCTACACCACCCGAGGTACCCGTGGTCCAACAGTACAAAGGGAGCAAACGATGTCCCAACCTTCCCTGATCACACAACTCTCGCATTACATCCTTGACGGTCTATGGCAGCTGCAAAGCTGCTTCAACTGCTTCCCGAGCAACCCTAGCCTCAAGATCAATGGCCGCAGCTTTAAGATCTTGAGGCTGTTGGGAGAAGGAGGTAAGCGGGCCACCAGCACTTTATTCCCCATTGAGCAGTCGTTGATGTGATCATACAGGCTTTTCCTACGTTTACCTCGTCCAATCACCGGGCGACCCAACACTCTACGCCCTCAAGAAGATACGATGTCCCTTCGGCCAGGAGAGCGTCTCGCAGGCATTAAAGGAGGTGGAAGCCTACAGTCTGTTCACTCCACACCCGAACATCATACACGCGGTGGACCATTCAGTGGAGAGCGATAGGGGCGATCCCGGGAGCAAGACTGTGTACATCCTCCTGCCGTACTACCGACGGGGGAACCTGCAGGATGCGATCAACGCGAATCTGGTCAACCGAGCGAGATTCCCAGAGCGGAGGTTGATGGTGCTTTTTCTAGGCGTGTGCAGGGCGCTGAAGGCTATGCATCAATATCGCGTCAGCGGAGCACCTGGCGGTGAGGGCGCGAGACGGAAAGCGAAGGGCGTGAGACGAGAAGCCGCGGAGGCCGACCTCGAGGCCGCGGAGGAGGTTGTGCAGGCCAACACGCGCAGGAAACGGCGGGATCAGAGGGGTGGGGAGGACGATGATGAAGAGCAGGATGCGCTTTTAGAGGGCGAGGTCATGGCAGCGCAGGAAGGTGTTGGTGCAGGGGAGACGAGAGCGTATGCGCATCGGGACATCAAGCCCGGGAACATCATGATCAATGACAATGGCACGCAGCCTGTGCTTATGGATTTGGGGTCTCTGGCGCCGTCGCCTACGCCTATTACGAGTCGGGCGTTGGCGTTGCAGGTCCAGGATCAAGCGGCTGAGCATTCGACAATGCTGTACCGAGCGCCGGAACTGTTCGATGTGAAGACTGGCACTGTGATAGATGGAAAGGTGGACATCTGGTCACTTGGATGCACTGTCTACGCCTGCTTAGTCGGCAAATCGCCCTTCGAAGCTCGCTCAGAAGAGACTGGCGGCAGTTTGTCGCTCTGCGTGCTTGGTGGCGACTGGAGATTCCCTGACGAAGGACCTGCCGAAGCAAAGCGCGGTAAGCAGAGGATGGTGGATGCGGAGGAAGCCGCAAACAAGAAAAAGGAAGATGTGATTTCTGAGCCTATCAAAGAGGTGGTGAGGAGGTGTTTGTCGGTTGAGCCGGCGGAGAGGCCGGACGTGGATGAGTTGATTGCGATGGTGGAGAGGGTGGTGGAGGAGCTGCCCGAGGATGGGGATGCGGCGTTGGATATGGAGTGATGGTTAGCGAATGCTTGGATTAGACTTTTGTTCTGATGTGTGTATGGCTGTACCCGTGCGTGCCTCTGAAGGCGCTTTGAAAGTCACCACTGCGCTCCTTCCTGTTCCAGCTAGCGCTTCGTGACAGGACCTGCCTTATTGAGCGTGCTCGAATTCCTCCAGTGAATGAAACGTCAACCCTTCCTCTCAAGATCAAGCTGTGACAACGTTGCACAATAGTTGCGCTATTCGCCAGACATCCGGCGACCCAACAGAGACCCAAGTACCGACAATCTCGAGTCACCATCTGACAATCGCCACCAATGGTTCAAAAGGCCAAAATGTTCACCCCAGAGGTGCTCATCAGTGCTCCCCGGCGCTCAGCAGGCATCCCGAATGCCCTAGGGTCCAAGGTGCTCTACACCACAAGCACCTACAGCTTCAAAACTCACAGCAAGGAGAGCTCGCTCAACGTCTTGCGTACCGCGAACGGCGACGTCCAGGTCCTTGCTCGCAATGAAGACGTCTCGGACATGAACTGGCTGGATGATGCTGGAGAAGCGTTTGCCTGTCTGCAGGCCAACAACGATGGCACCACGAACCTCTGCGTTGGCTACGTGCCATGGAGCTCACCGCCAAACGGGAGCTGGGAAAAACGGCACTATGTCGCCGGGACTATTGATGCAGCGGCAGCGAATTTGAAGGTCGCTCGAATCGACGAGACAGGGAGGGAGTTTGCTTTCGTCGTGTCCGCACAGGCAACGAAGGATGGGAAGCTGTTCAATGCTGAGAAGGCACCAAAGACTCAGAGTACTGGACGGCTTTATGACAGTCTCTATGTGAGGCATTGGGATAGCTGGGAGGTTAAGGAGAAGAATGCTTTGTGGTAAGTATGTCCTACTCGTGCTGTATTGAAATTGCACTGATTGATGTGTACCAGGTACGGAAAGTTGTCTCTCAACGAAGACGCCAAGTACACCATGAGCGGTCTTACGAATGCCCTAAAGGACACAAAGCTCGAGTGTCCCATCCTGCCATTCGGAGGCACCGACAACTTCAACCTCTGCCACAACTGCATCATCTTCGTGTCCAAAGATCGCGAGCTCAACCCGGCGCTGAACACGAAGTCGAATGTCTACATCGTCCACCTAAGCTCATGGGACGGCGGAGAAGATCCCCCGAAACCGAAACGAGTCATCATACCCGACTTCGAGGGTGCGAGCACAAGTCCTGTCATCTCGCCTGACGGGAGCAAGGCTGCTTTCCTCTCGATGAAGACTGCTGGCTACGAGGCTGATAGAAACATAATTTTCGTGCTCCCGGATCTAAACATGCAAGGAGACTTGACAAGGAAGCGTGCTCTTGCAGCATATCGTTGCAACGATGGTGGTGAGTGGGATCGGAGTCCATCATCGATCACATTCGCATCCGACAACGAGTCGCTTCTTGCCATTGCAGAAGAATATGGCCACTCGAGGCTGTTCATGGTCGACCCCGACGTGACAAGCATGGCGAAGCCGCGGATGCTGACGAAATCGGGCTACGTGAGTGACTGTCATCCTCTGCTAGATGGACGCATCTTCGTGTCTGGATCGAGCTTGGTGGACAATTCGTTCTATGCCGTCGTAGATCCGCGACTCCCTGCGGGTGACTCATCTACAGCTGAACACTTGCTTACTTGGACCAGCTCAAATTCGAGCGCAGGCAACAAGTTCGGCCTCTCTTCAAAGCAAGTCTCTACCATTTGGACACCAGCGAGCAACAAGAAAGTACGCAAGGAGATCCACTCGATCGTGGTGAAGCCAAGCAACTTCGACTCCGACAAGAAGTATCCTGTGGCATACCTTATTCATGGCGGCCCCCAAGGCAGCTGGGCGGACAACTGGTCGACTCGATGGAATCCGGCTGTCTTCGCTGAGCAGGGTTACATCGTCGTCGCTCCGAATCCGACCGGAAGTACAGGGTACGGCCAGGAGTTCACGGATAGCATCAAACGCAACTGGGGCGGAGATCCATACCAGGACATCGTGAACTGCTCTGAGTGGGTAGGTGAGAACATGCCGGAGGCGGACAACGAGAGGGCTGTAGCGTTGGGTGCGAGCTATGGTGGGTATATGATGAACTGGTGAGTTGACCCTCTTGGACACCGTCGAGATAGTGTTGACACACCAGCAGGATCCAAGGCCACGACCTCGGCCGCAAGTTCAAGGCGCTCGTCTGCCACGACGGCATCCTCAGCACAGCCGGCATGCTTGCGACGGAAGAGTTGTACTTCCCCTTTTACGATCTAGGCGGGACGCCCTGGTATGATCCGGGCTTCAAGGACGCCAATAGGAACAGCGCAGCAGTCCAAGCGAAGCGCAACTTCACCTCAGCGAGCATGGAAGCCTGGCGCAAATGGGATCCAAGCCAGTATTTCGAGAACTGGTCGACGCCTCAGCTTGTCATTCACAGCTCGAAGGACTACCGGATCTGCATCTCCGATGGGCTGGCAGCGTTCAATGTGCTGCAGGCAAGGGGCGTGGAGAGTCAGTTCTTGACGTTTCCGGTGAGCATCTACTCGAACCAGCCTTCTCGGCATATGGGCACGTTGCTGACCTGTAATGCAGGATGAGACTCACTTTGTCCTCAAGCCAGAGAACAGCCTAGTATGGCACAAGACGGTCATCAACTTTATCAACAAGCACGTCGACTTCCCACCGCTCACCGATGAAGACCCAGACAGTGACGAGTTCTGGGGTGACGTGAGAGGAGAGAAGGAAGAAGTGGTAGAAATGGCTGGCCAGGGGAAGCCCGAGACGTAGTCAAGCTGCCTGCCTGCATTGCTGATGGGCCTGCTGCCAATTCACTGCCGGCTATCGCTACCGTCCAGTCCACTCCCCAACATCCACATAATGCCCTCCAAACTCATAGTTCATGCTCATCATTCGCTGCATCTCGATGCGATCGCGGTCGGGTCTTGGTTCGATTGGCTCGTTGTCGCTGCTGGTGCTGGTGCTGCCGACGAAAACAGTCTTGAGCCAGTTGGATATGGAGCTCGCTCTTCGTGTAGTGCTGGGCTGTGCTGGCGTGGAGGCGTTCGACTTTTGTGTTGATGATGATGATGATGATGCTGCTGATGATGCTGAAGTGCTGGACTTGCTGGTCTTGCGTGATTGTTCTGCCATTGTGTGTGTCTGTGTCCTACGTATCGTGCGTGTCGTGCGGTGTGCTGAGCAGGGGTTTATAGGAAGCTCCAACAGGACGAGAGAAGCGCAAGTCGATGACAGACGTCGTCAGCTTTAAGTGACAGGGCATGCATCGCGGCCACCATCCTGACACTGATCAAGCTACCATATGGTGGCTCTTACAACCAGGAACACACGGAATGCTGTGGATGCTGGTCCAGAGGGGAAGTCTGAGCTAAGCTGACCATGGAAGAGTCGTTCATTGGTGTTTTGCGGGCATCCGCTGAATGCCGTTTCCACAACCAGACCCCATTGATTCCTGGCTGCCTCTTGCGCCAGAGGCACAAGCACGATTCCAAGTGCACATCCCGACCAACATCAAGCGCCTCCAACTCCAACGCTAAAAGCATGTACTCGTTTCTTTTTGTTGCAACACCAGTCATGTCCTCTGCCCTGTCAAGATCCGCCACCCTCCACCTCTCTGCTGCGATCCTTCAAGAATTCTGACAGCCAAAGCAGCGGCTTCTCGGGCTCATAGGCTGCCAGATGCTTCATCGCTTCCAGCAAATGAGGTGTCACATTCTGGTTGAGGTACTGTCGGGTCGGCCCACCATGAGCCACCGGTTTGTCTGGCTTTGCGACCGGCTGTGGGGGCATCGAGCCAGGCCTTGTTGCAGATGCTGAAGGGGCCGGTGGTGTCGCTGCGGCAGCTGGAGCGAGCATAGCGTCGGTAGCGGTGGTTGTCGTAGGCTGGTCGGGGACTGCGTGGAGTGCTGACGCTGCTGGTGTGGAGGTCTCCTCCTTCATCTCTACATCCTGACCGTCCGTGGGCAGCGAGCCGTTTGCGACTGGTTCCGCCATGTTGACCTGGTTGATGTAGTGTCGCGATCCGCTCTTGTTCTTGCTCTGAACCAAAAAACGCGGTCGACGCGATCTCTTGGCGCGGTCGACTTCACTTCACTTTCGGACCTCACCTCTTTCTTTGCTGTTTACCACTCGAAACATCGCTCTTGGAAATGAAGCAGGCAGCATTCTACTACAACTGGAGCAGCTCAAAGGTATCGCGCATCAAGCTGCGCTACCCTTCATGATCTTCACGCCGATATTCACAAAGGAAGTGGTACTGCTCTACTTCCAACCACAACGACCAGCGGGAGGTAATGGTAGGAGACTGCTACGATCGTTCACACGCCCGGCTCGAAACGAGCTATCTGCTTGTTGGGACCAGATAATTCTACGGGGTCCGCATGATTGGATCGCAGTACTGATCGCAGGCCAATGAGCCAGGGCCGTGTACAATCTCACCTAGTTTCACACTCATGTCACCTTCACGCACAGCCTCGTTGTGATGTTTAAGGTTTGGTGAGGTTTGTCCGACACTTCTCCATAACATTTCACATTACCGCAATCTTTTCACATCTTCTGGCTTCTTACAACCCACTTGCTTTCTTCGAGAACAGCCCAACAGCTGCAGGTTCAACATGGCTCCAAAGTCAGCGCAGGTAGGTCTCCTGAATTCTAGCTTTCGTTTCTTCAATTGACACCACGCAGAAGTCCAAAGCCCCGCCGGCTGAGGCGCCCGAGCCCAAGACGCCGCAGTCGAAATCAAAGCGCAAGGCTCCTGCCGAGAGCCCACCCCCAGCATCACCCACACCAAGGAAAAAGGTCAAGAAGGAGCCACTTCCCACCTCCACACTCCAGCAAGATAGCCGTGCAGCCGTGCCAATCGACGCGACTTACGAAGGCGAGCCAGTGGCCCAACTGGTCAAGCACGGCAAGTTCGGTCTCTCGCTCAAGCTTGAGGCACTCGGCGCGTTCAACCTTGTGAAGACTGTGAGTGCCTTTCTACAGCCATTTCTTTAGGCTGTCGCTAACGAACTCTGCCAGCTTGTCTTCACCGAAGGTGAATTCGAAGGTCACCAAGCAATCATCCTCAAGCCGGCCAAAGCCTTCGAGTTCGCGCGTCTACCAGAAGAGGTCCGCAAGCGCGTCTACAAGTTCTACTTTGCCGCCAGCGGTATCGTCGGCAAGGAGATCGTTCTCGAAGGCCGCCGCCCCGACAAGGACATCTACGCCAAGTCATACGCCGAAGGATCCAAGAGCCGCGTCGCACTGCTCGCCGTCAACAAGGCCATCTACGAAGAAGCTGCGCCCATCCTCTACGAAACTGCGCTCAGGCTCGAGAGCACGACGACCCTTGTCGACTTCATCTCACAGAGCGAGGAGTCATTGAAGTCGAAGCTCAACAACATCGAGATCAAGAACTTCGTCAAGACACAGTCGAGGAACGCACTGAACAACCTGTCCAACTGCCCAAACATCACACGCCTCCACATCGACACCGGTGTGTCCGGCGATGGCGAGCCTGTGAAGGCAGCCAAGACCTTCTGGCTCGATGCATCGAAGTTCCTGGAGGCTGCGAGCGCTCGGATGGGTGAGAAGGGGGCAGGCGTTGAGGTGTTGAGCTTCGGCAGGCAGGCTTTCACGAGTAAGGAAGGCAAGGGCACTGCGCAGCCGTGGCCGGAGGAGATGCGGAAGGAGTTCATCGAGGAGCTGAAGGGGAAGATGAAGTGAGATCGCGTCCACGGACTACCATGCTCGTCGGCTAATGTTTTGCCGTAGGTGATGGTCTTGGCTGTCACTACGGCACCGCAAGCCCCAAGAAGACGTTCAAAGTGGAAGACCATAATTACGTCTCCTCTCTACCTGACGAAGCTTGAGATGGCGCAAAGCAGGGGTGGGCGGACAGGGTTGGAGTGCATGGGAGCCGGTCCATCCGACAGCGAAGCAGTTAGTCGTGGCAACCTTGCATAGTGAGTTGAATGCTACGTTTCAAGGATGTACAGAAACACTTCCTCTCCATCACGTTATTCCTTGTCTTCACAAGCTTATCGCCGTCTCCGGACTTCCGGTCGAAGTGTGAAGCTGAAGTTGCACCTTTCGGAGGCCGCTCCTGAGCCAAGCTCAGCACTGCAGCTTCGCGAGCACACATGACACGAGCGTGATGCGAATGCTATCTATACCACCTCGCGTGTTCGGACGCGAGCAATGGCTCCGCATTGTTTGACAAGCGACGAACGATTCGCAAAGATGACATCACGGCCGAAGCAGTGGGAAAGAAATAAACACCGCAACCGCAGCAGCACGTTGCTCTTCGAAAACCACCTCACACGAATCAACCATAGCAGAAGATGGCAGCACTCATGCCCAAGGGCCTCCCGTGGGCGTCGAGCCTCAGAAACACTACCCAACTGTTCAAAAACCAGCGCTCATTAGCCAAAGCCTTCTCCACGACAACCTTCCAACGCTCCCAGCCCGGCCTCCTCCTCCACGACGCCAAGACCGGCTACGGCTTCATCCGCCACAACAAGGTGCCAGAGAAGCCTCGCTCCAAGGGTGTCACCGAGATCCGCGGACCGTACTACACAGCAATGGGCCCACGATACCTCTCCGACGTCTTGGAAACCATGGGCGGCCATGTGGACGGGTTGAAATTCGCTGGTGGGAGCTTCAGTTTGTTTCCTGAGGCGAAGCTTCGCGAGATTATTGATCTAGCTCATTCCTATGGGGTTTATGTGAGCACGGGCGGCTGGATGGAGCATATACTGGCCTCTGGAGGGGATGTGGACAAGTACATCGCGACGTGTAGGCGGCTTGGGTTTGATGTGATTGAGATCAGTACTGGGTTCCTGTCAATTCCGGGTGAAGACTGGTTGAGGCTTGTGAGCTCTTCCTCAGAGACCGAAAGTGGACGAAACTGATGATCTCCCAGGTCGACCGCGTACACAACGCCGGCTTGAAGGCGAAGCCAGAGCTGGGCATCCAGTTCGGTGCTGGCGGCGACACGGCGACGAGCGAGCTCGAATCAGTCGGAACCAGCGATCCTTCGAAACTGCTAAACATGGCGAAGCGTTTCGTTGACGCCGGAGTGGAGCGGATGATGATCGAGAGTGAAGGGATTACTGAGAACGTGAACTCGTGGCGGACCGATGTGATCCAGAAGATTCTGAACGAGCTGCCGATGGAGAAGGTCATGTTTGAGGCTGCGGATCCGAGTGTGTTCAACTGGTGAGGCTGCTTGGCGACGCTGGTGTTGTTGGGAGTCGCTGATGTGCTGCAGGTACATTCGAGAGTTCGGCATTGATGTGAACCTCTTCGTGGATCACTCGCAGATCGTACAGTAAGTCCAGGACCGTCTGACCACATGTAAGAGGCTCTGCGGCATTCCTTACGCTGACACCTTCATCTTTGACAGGCTGGCGGGCTTGAGGGCAGGCATCTGGGGCAAGAGTGATACGTTCGGCAAGATTGTGTCGTATCGGCCAGCGGACTGACAGGGGTTTGGTTGGTGAGCAGTCTTGAAGTTGGTGCACCTGCCAGTATTTGAGCAACCTATAGCAATCATGAAACTGAGCTGACTATGCATTATGCAAATTGATGTCTCATTTCGTCGTCTATATGAACGTAAGATCCATTGGTCCTGGTTATTTCGCTCTCAGAGATCCTTCAATAAGAAGTGGTCTATTTGTTCATGCCGATCGAACCCTTGACTTTGTCCTACAAGCAAGCGAATGTCAGCCAGCATCTTCATCAACCAGAATGTTGTGATATCACGTACCATCGTGCTCTCGCCCTTGGCGGAGTCCTTCTCGCGGCTGGCCTTGTCACTAAGCAAGAGGTCAGCGGGTCCTTGCCGTCGTTTGAATAAGCTAAAACTTACGACATCGACTGTCCGGTAGACTTCTCGCTGTCGGGGACGGCGTCACTATCGGCGATGCGTTAGGAATGTTTTGCTCGATGTGTATGGCGGTCTGCCTACCGCTGGACAGTATCGCCGAGGTTGGTCGCGCCCTCCTTGACCTTGTCGGTGGTGGACTTGCTGCTCTCGGGAGTCATCTTCTCCTGAGCCTCTGCGGAGATTTGTTAGCTCTCCGTCGGACGGGAACATGGATGGTCGGGAGCCATACTGTCGCCTATATATGGCATTGTCAGCATTTGCTCGCCAGTAGCATCGACAACGTCAACTTACTCATGTCCTTGCGGCCGTCAGACATGTTGTCGGTGTTGTTGGTTTGCTTGGATTGGATTCGGTTGTCGTGAAGTTTGGTCTGTCGTGAAGTTTGGTACACTCAAATTCGAAGCGGAAGTGGAAGTGAAGTCTAATACCTTAAGCTTGCCTTATCGTGACACGCATTGCGTCGGTGGCATTTACATCAAGATGACGTCGGAATGACGCGTCTCTGGAGCACTTGGTGGTCGTCGCTGCCTTCCATTGGCGAGCGGGGGACGTTGGTGCCAACTTGGTGGGAAGGTGGGGTTGCCAGGAACAGCCGTCGGGCGTTTCTCGTTGTGAGCCCGGCTGCGGACAAGGCTCCGAGAATTCGTCGAGCACAGATCCTCTTCCTCGACACAAACCCTCTGATACGCATCGGTGCCGGACGCGGGTCCAATCGAGGGCGTCATTCGGCATGGGCCTCCGGGGAGAGGGCTCTACCCTCCGTCGCAACGGCAGTGTGTCTGCCAAACAAAGTGCTCGCCATGGACGTATTTGCATCGTGGCGAGGCTTTCTTGCGAGACGTCTTTCCATCTTCATGACTGTTGTTGATATCGCACTCGAGCCTCTCTAACGTCTTTCTCAAGGACATTGGCCAACGCAGGCGCTGCCATTGAGTCTGCAGTCTCATCGCATCCACAGCATTGGCACCATGGCTGCGACGGCAGCCCAACCTCAAGTTCCTTTTGGTCTCGATGCATCACTCGGTCGAGGCCTAGACATAGGCCAGCCAAACGCTTTCTCGCAATACAACAAGCCCAACGACTCTACGAACCCCTTGACGTACGTCCATACACACTTGGGGCGGACTTGCGCGAAGGCATACATCTAACCTTGAACATCCAGATCCTCCTCTCTCGGCCAGACTTTGGCGCCTCCGCAACAGAACGTCGCGCAGCAGTGGGGCTCGCTCACTGCCTCCGGTCCTCTGTTTCCCGACGTCAAGTCTCAGCCTAGTCTCGCAGTTCAAGTTCCAGCAAAAGCCCCCCCACCAGCTGGGAGCGATGGCCTGTCGGACACAAGCGTTTCGCCTCGCCAAGTCCAGTTCAACGACGAGCGCGAGCAATTCGATGCAACATTGTCGAGCGGAGGTTCTAGATCAACATCAGCATATTCTTCGCCCGTGAAGCATAAACGCATCGACTCCAAGGCATCAGGCGCGACGAGCTCCAGCTCAAGCAACAATTCGTCAGCGGACGCTGCGGCAGCCGCATCAGATCGATCTCAGAGAGCTCGCAACGCTGCGAATCGGCGGCATTCGCGCGCCAAGGAAATCAAGACGGAAAATGCCACCCAAACGCCCAAAGATCTCGAAAGAGAGAAGAATCGCATAGCTGCTGCCAAATGCCGAAGGAAGAAGAGGGCGTGGACGGACGCGCTCGACGCCGAATACCGATCAGCGTCAGCTGCGAATGCGCAGATGAGACGGGAGCAGCGTGACCTCCGCGACCAGCTTACGTTTTGGCGGATGCTTGCTTTGCAGCATACGAACAACGAGAGCAACGGCTGTCAATGCGATGCCATTCAGCGCTACAACACGGACCAGGCATACAGAGCAGTGTATGATATGGAGGGGAGCAGGCATGGCAGCCTCTCGGTAATGGACGGCGCCGCAAATGGGCAGCAGCGTTTGGGAATGCCATCTTGACAGAAGCTCGAAACTGAGGGAGTATAGTGGTGTGAGGAACAAAGTAAAAAGAGAATCGTGAGTGACTTGCAGCAATATCAGGAGGTTTCGGCTTTGGAAGATAGCATGAATCAGTAACGGAAATACCCATCAAACACTGACGCTTTCACCGTCTGGTTCGGCTTCTAGTCTTCTGCGTTTTGCGCGCTTGTACTCGCTCCGCTTTAGTGAGGGCGCAGGTAGTTGGATCTCGTGCTGTTAGTGCGTGGATGCAATAATGTATCAGGTGCGGTCCGCTCAGCATAGAGGAAGAAGGCAGCTTCAGAGTTGCCGATCAGTTTTGGGCCGAGGCAGACAGGTGGTGGGTTGAGACACCTACACTGCGTTCGAACGAGACATCGATCTGACTACTGCTACTATCTATTGGTTATAGAGCTGTAGACACGAAGACAGTCTGCAATGGAACGGCCAGCAGTGGAATTCTACTATGATGCAAGTCGTCAATCGCCCAACAGCAATCACGAAAGCTAATCCCGCATGACAGATCTCGTGCCCGTTCGCATATATTGCCTCGACACGGTAGACAATATCCTGCAATACAGCATGCGCTGGCCGCTAAACCTTTGTTCACAGTATCGAAGCACTTGCCGCAACGACTGGGGCACGAATAGTCTGGCGTCCTGTACTCTTAGGAGCCATCTACCGCGCGACCAACGCACCACAAGGAGCCGCTGGCTCTGCGTCCGATGTCTTCAACCCGACAAAGAAAGCTGTGACGTCCAAGGGCTTCCGTAGGACACTCCAGCGACTCCAGATCCCGCATAATGAGCCTCCTCGACATCCGGTCAAGACTACAGCTGCTTTACGGCTACTTTATTTTGTCTCGGATACCGATCGACCAAAGCTGACCCACGCACTCTTCCGCGCTTACTGGGTGGAGCGTAAGAATGTGATTGAGAATTCGACATTGGTTGAGGCCGTTCGAAGCTCTGGTATCGCACAGGCCGACAGAGTCCTCGAAGCGCTTGCCGACGGCAGCTATGAAGGACCGCAGCAGAGACAGGCCTTGGAGACTGCCACGGACGACGCAGTCCAGCGAGGCACGCCAGGTGTTCCAGCATTCTGGGTCCCGCACGAGAAATGGACCGACAGCCAAGGCCAGCAGCAGTACGGCAGACTTTACTGGGGTCAGGATCGAATGCAGTTCGTCGAGGCGATCTTGATGGCCGGAGGTGACGAGAAGAAAGTCTCAAGTATCTCGAAGCCGCTGCGGTCCCTAGAGCCACGATGTGCGAGAGGTCAAATCTCCGAGGGCGAACAAGTCAAGTTGGAGTTCTGGTACGACTTCTCGTCTCCATGGGCCTTCCTCGGATGGACGCAGCTACAGCGTCTGCAGCGACAGTTTGGTGATAGATTATCAATCGAGATGAAGCCATTCCTGCTCGGCATTCTCTTCCGAGAGTGAGTGCCACTATACGAGTTGTAGGGATGGCTGCGACTGACCGAAGACCAGGATTGGCGCGCCCAATCTTCCAATGGCCGCGATATCGGAACAGAAGCGCAAATACAGCCAGCTTGATCACCGAGACTGGGTGCGGTGGTGGAACGCGGTAAACGATCAAGAGGGTCGACCAGACAAGAACATAGACTTCCACTGGGCAGACAAATTCCCTATTCGAACGCCTAATGTGCTGAGAGCGGCTCTCGTGGAGCCAGAGCTTGTGGGACCCCTTTGTGAGTCAACTATCGCACTCAAACTCAGAAGCCACTCGCTGACCATCGACAGTCCGCGGGTGCTGGGAGCAGAATCTTGACATGGCGAATGATGAAGTTCTGCGACAGGCCATCGACAATGCCGGCTACAATGGCTCTCAAGTCCTACAGCAGGCGAACGAGCCAAAATACAAAGCCGAGCTTCGCAGTCGGACTCAAGAGGCCAAAGAAGCTGGCATATGCGGCGTGCCGAGCTATCGTGTCTTTCGAAGGTCAGGAGGAGGCTCGTGGGTGCAGCGTGGCGATATTGTCTGGGGCCAGGACTTGATCGCGGACGTGGAGGATTATATCGCTGGTTGGAATGGTGGCGTGGTTAATGAGAGGAGTGCTAGCAAGCTGTGGGCCGTGGATACGAATATACCAAGCACGGCATGTTCTTGTCGCGCGAGAGAGCCCCGATCTCAGCGTTCCAGCCTGGTATAGGCGCAGGAATAGGCTTTCAAATAAGGTGAGGATCTTCGCAAGGATCTGGCTGCCACAAAATCCCCGCTAGCCTGTCCACCGCTCTACACTCCATGTTCTCTCTGAACCCTCCCATCAACACTCTCTTCATCAAACACACACCATTCACACTCATCCCATCCCATCCCGTACGAGCCGCGAGCCCGCCTCTGTGAACTCCCTCCACGGGAACCACCAGAGTTCGACTGTAATGGCGGATGTTGCTTCGACCGTACTTGACTGCTCGGCATGACGACGACCGCCATGGCAGAGCTACTACTCCGTGGCCTTGGTATATCACAGCGCGGGTGACAGTGCCTCCAGTCACCAGGAGCCTTAGCAGTCTATACCTCGGGATGCCGTCATTTCCCAGGAGGAGATTGGGCCATGGTCTAGGCTCTTCACTTCAACGTCCTTCCGGAGTCGCGGGGAAGCACCACTGCCAATGCTGCTGTTCCAGTAATAACAGCAGACTTCAGCCAAGTAAGAGTAGTTCTGCTTGACAGAACGCTGCCCTGGGACGATCTCCAGAAATTTGTCACTTGCACAGCTTGCCCCGGATTACCAAGACGCTTGCTCCAGTATAGACTTCGAGAGCCAAGCGGTCCTGTTCTCTTTCTGGGTTCTTGGTGACACTTCTCACCCGCATCTGGATGAAACTATTCAGAAGTGCTCGAGCTGATCTGCTCGGCGGCATCCGTGGACCATGGTGCTGGTGGCCAAGCGCATACACAGCCCAAAGGGACCTCCCTTCGTGACCCTTTCACGCCTAGTTCCGCCAACACCGCCAACTCCTATCGATGCATCACCAAGGCGACTTGTGAAGCTACATCCGATGGCTACCATCACGAGTGTCTCAACTGCAGTGGTTCACAATCACAGTAGGTTCATGCCCTCGACGAATCCGATCATCTGGACGCTCTCGTCCACTTGGCTGTCTATCCCAAGTCCTTGGGAAGGAGGCTGTGAGAGTTCCAATACACCAGCACTTCATCTCATTCAAGTGGTATAAGTATGTCCTCCTTCCTCCCAGTATTCATCTCAGCATCCAACAATACTTTCCAACACAACTTCCACATCCAACAAACACCAGGTCAACCAACACCAACCAACAACCGATCAACCCAGAACTTGCAGCCATAATGAAGATCTCTGCAACCATCGCTGCCGTCGCGCTCCTGGCCACTTCGGCCTTTGCCTCGCCCGTCGCTGAAGCAGACTACGGCCGTGGTGGCCATGGCGGCCGCAAGCATGGAGGCGGAAGGGCCGGCAAGGGCAGGTGGTGCGAGGAGTCAGGCAAGCCTGTCCAATTCTCCTCGACCTACAGCGTCGTGGCCACCCCCGACCAGGTGGTGAACGGCACCGAGTTCACCGGAGGCCTCCCAGTAAGCAAGAATCCCACAGCGTTGCTCGGCCAACACCACTAACATCCTATCAAGGGCGCCATTGGCTACTACGAGTTCGGCCTCAACCGCCGTAAAAACATTGTCTGCTACGACATCCGCATCTACGGCTTCCGTGGCGAGTACGAATCGGCCGCCGACACCGCCACCCACATGCACGAAGCTCCCAGGGGCGAGAGTGGCCCACCACGTCTCGCGTTCCCGAACCCAAAGAAGACTGGGAATGGCGATGAGCGCCGCAGCCAGGGCTGTCTCTACGGGCCGTTCGAGACCGGTATCATCGATGAAGAGACTGGTATGGACACTGGTGCCGGCTTCAAGGTTGGCCAGATCGAGAACGACCCAGATGCTTTCTTCTGTGATGCTCACTCGAGCCTTGCCGTTCCCGGCGCCATCAGAGGCCAGCTCGAGTAGAGGACCTGAGGGAGGATCAAGGGAGAGAGGGTTTAGTACGATAGTACTGTTCTTTGATATAATGCATAATCTTGTTTGATCAAATAACAATCCTCGCTTTGTCTTCTATGTTCAATCCGATTCCTTGTCCCATGTCTCATTTAAATTTATTAAGAGGTATGTCATCTTTGACTCCGCGCCCTGGCAAGCACGGCAATGGTAATGCAGAGCGAGTTCCAAGTCCTCACAGTAAGTTCGACATATTCAGAAGGCTCGTCGACGAACAAGTCAGGAGGTAATAGCAATCTCTCAGTCTCGAAGCGAATTGATGGGCCAATGGTTCTAGAAGCAGCAAAACCGGCCATAGCGAGAGCGAAGGACAACGCATCCAGGACTAGCAGGGTAGCGTGAGAAGCTGCGATCCGCTTTCCTCAGCTGAGGACTGTTGGTGGGTCCAATATGCACATAGAAACGATATCTCGAACGACGTGCTTCAAGAAGCCTCATCCATATCCTGTGTAACCTCGACCTGACTCGACGTTTAAAAGCAACATGGCAGTGAAAGTGTGGCTGGTTACTGGCTGCAGCAGCGGCTGTAAGTAGCCGATGCCGCACGTTCAGTATACAGGCTCACGACGAACAACAGTGGGAAGAGAGCTCATCGAAGCCATCACCAAGCGCGGCGACAAAGCGATAGCAACAGCGCGCAACCTATCGAGCATTGAAGACCTGAAGTCCGATAGCGTGGCAACGCTTCAACTAGAAGTCACTGCTTCCCAAGATGAATTGAACCAGCGAGCTGAAGAAGCCGTCAAAGCGTTTGGTCGGATCGATGTACTGGTGCATAACGCTGGCTATATGCAAATGGGGACGTGGGAGGACCTCACGCCCGAGCTGTTGCAGGCTCAATTCGCTACCAACTTCTTTGGACCTGTCAATCTCACGGTATCTGAGTCCCTCTTCTCCATTTCCTTGCCATAGCTGACTGAACCATTTGGGTAGAGAGCAATCCTTCCACACATGCGGTCCAGGAATGCAGGCACAGTCGTCTTCGTTAACTCCACCTCAAGATTGCAGCACTTTGCCGGTGTGGCTGCGTATGGAGCTAGCAAAGCAGCGCTTGACCGTAAGTTCACAACAGCAACCGGCCGTAGCAGCCATGACTGACAAATGCCAGGCTTCGTGGATGGATTAACCCGCGAAGTCGGACCAGCCGGAATCAAGACACTCTCCCTGGACATCGGAGCCTTCCAGTCCTCGCTCATCCTAGAGCACAAGGCACCAAGCAATGTCCCGCCCACGGAACATCACGGACAGCTAATGGACGCACTTGTGGGATACCTGCCTCTTGTCCATGCCAACCCTGTCATCGACATCACCAAGCTAGCAAATCTGTTCGTGGACCTTGTCAAAGGCGAAGGTGTTGCTGAAGGGCGCGAGATCCCGCTCCGATTGCCGGGTGGACCCGACGATTTGTGGAAAGAACTTGCCAACGAGCAGAAGGACATTCCGCAGACTCTTCCAGTTGGACCGGACGCGTTCGAATATGTCAAGCAATTGTCCGAATACGGCCTCCGCAAGATCGAGATGTGGGAGGACGTGATCAAATCTGCCAACGTCGAGACCCGTGCTGCACAATAGAGTGGAAAGTGTAGCAGCGATTTGGTCACCATCTGCCTAGGCCTTCTTTGCTTTCTGCTTTGGTGGCGCTGGCTTTGGAAGCAGACTTCGGACTTTGGCCAAGAAGCGTACACGATCGTTCTGTAGATAGGTACCATTTTGAAGCGCCAGTCTCGAGATGTTGTTGAGCAATGGCCGCTTGCTGCTGTCGCGTTTCCCGTGAAGAAGACCGTAACCACGATACCGACCCGCTGCGTTCGAGTTGGCCATCTCCTGAAGTACGCTCTTGGGCAGTGGTGCAAACTTGTGTGTAGGCTGTTTGGTGTTGTCGAAGCGCTCTCTGACTTTGTAGGTAGCCCGTGTTCGCTCCTCGGCGATCTTCTTTGCTGCCTCCTCTACTGCTGCCTTCTCTTCCTTCGAGTGGAAGCGCACGAGTTGCCCATCCATGAGCCTGTGTGCCAGATAGCCAATGCTGCGCGTATCATCCAGCATTCCCGCATTGGCAATGGTATTGATGCGTTCGTTGATAATGCTTTCGGGCCCTGCGCCGGCCATTGTTGCTGGTGTAGAATTGCTCAACAGCAGGTCGTTGGCAGAGATAGGCTCGGGTTGGTGTGGAGTCTGAGATGTATTGGCCTGCGCAGGCGCCGGTGTCGTAGATCTGGGTACTTCGGTCACTTCGCCAACAGGTGCTTGAGCTTCTCTCCCGTCCAACACTGCCGCTCCACCCGCTTGAGGCTCCTCGACAGCATCGTGGGGACTTCGCACGCCCCTAGCTAATCCTGTACTGTCCGGTACATCCTCATCAGCAGCGACAACTCTTGCCGCTCCCTGGGCCTGGGGCCCTTCTTGCGTAGTGGTATCGTTCTCGCCCATCCGCCTGGCTGGCACATCCTCACCAACTGCTCCTGGATCAACGGTCTGTGATGCCCCAGCCGGTCGTAGAGTGTTCGGGTCAGCCTCGGAAAATGACGGTGATGGATGGTCACGCTGCAGCATCTGGACCTCCTCGGAGATCATTGCTGCACGCTGCTGGCGCGTCGGACCTCGTTTGGGCGCTGCTGAGAGTGTCAGAACAGCGGAATACCCTTGTGATAACGCTCACATACCATTTGGAGGTGGAGACGTGCCTGGCTCGTCGCTCCTCTCAGCTGCCCTGTGTCTGCTGGAAGCATGAAAGCACCGCTTACGTTGGCCATTCCGCAGCCATTGGAGGTGGAGAGCCTGTCTGTCGGCTCTTGTCAAGAGGCGTGACGCTTGTTTCGAAAACATGTTGGAGGTTTAATGTCCGCAAGAAAAGAACATTCGAAGTCGAGAAGGTCGACCATCTCTGCCGAAAGAGGAAGCTGCGGGCTGCACCTCCATACAGCAACATGTTTAGTGCCCCTGGTTTTCACATGTTCAGCCACGAACACACACTTCTTATCGTCCCCATTTCAGGTTGGCTACCTGATTGCATTTTTTGACCACGGCCTCGTCGTTGGGCCGCTTGTGGACTCATATCACCACAAAGTCGACGGCTGACCTTTCAGCGGAGCTCAATGAGCTTCGGGGCCAGGACTGGATTATCATCATGTAGCATTATCTTCAGGGCCAGTCGGCCGATGCAATCGAGATGGCTTGCCCTATGCAACGGATCCCGGAGGACTGCCCTGTCCCATTTTCTGAGGAGTCCGCTGCAAACTCATATTCAGCGACGCGGCGCAAAAACGAAGGTCACCATCAGCGCAAACGATCTACCCCAGGGCCAACTACCTGCTCTGCCTCTGGAGCCTGCTGGCAATGGCCCAGACAAAGTCTATCCCACGGTCCTTCAGCAGCATCTGAACAACATGCGCAAGTTCCCGGAATGCATCATTCTGACACGAGTTGGCGACTTCTACGAAATGTACTTTGAACAAGTCGACCAATATGCCCACCTTGTCAACCTCAAGAAAGCGAAGCGAGCCACTGCAATTGGAGATGTCTCAATGGCCGGCTTCCTGCATACGCAGCTTGATCGCTATCTGAAGATGTTCGTCCAGGACCTAGGCAAAAAAGTCGCCATCAGCGAGCAGATCCGAATCCCTCCTGAGGAGCGTGAAAAGCGGTTTGGCTCGATGATGTATGACCGCAAGGTTACCAGAGTCATCACAGCGGGGACTTTGATCGACGAGAACTTCGTTGACCCTTACGAGAACAATTACCTGCTGGCGGTGCACATCGATGGCAACGTAGCGTCCCACTCAACAGTCGCTGGTCGCGGCACAGCGGACGGACGAGTCAAGAGTCCGACCAAGGTTGGGCTGAGCTGGGTAGATCTCTCGAGCGGAGACTTCTACACCCAGGTCAGTGATCTTTCGTCGCTGCCATCAGTGGTTGCTAGGATCGGCCCTCGTGAGCTCGTGGTAGAGCAGTCTCTCGAGGAGGTAGAGCCACACGACTACCAGAAGCTACTCGGCGACGCAGCGTTCTCCATGTCATTTCATCGTTCTCAAGCGCCATTCCAATCTTTATCAGGGTGGGCGCCGATGCTTGAGCGGCCAGTGCCGGAGGAAGAGAAGCACGAGTTCACTCATCAGGAGCTCGTGGCCGGAAGCCTCATCCTTGACTATGTCCGAGAAAAGCTACAAGACACAGCAATCCAACTACGGTCTCCAGTCCGACGGTCTCAGCTTGAGTACATGAACATCGACAAACAGAGCCTGCGTGGTCTTGAGATCAAGAACACATTGCGCGACGGTCTGTATGCAGGAAGCTTGCTGCATGCCGTGCGACGTACTGTCACCAAAGGTGGCGCACGTCTGTTGAGCCGTCGTCTGGTGTCTCCATCGTTGTCCTTGTCGGTCATTGAGAGCAGGCTGGATCTATTGCAAGAAGTACTGGAAGACGATGCTTTCCGCGAACAATTAATTGCGTTGCTTCGGCTTACTTCGGATACGCTGAGACTACTTCAACGCTTTTCCATAGGCAAGGGCGATGCAGATGATCTGCTAGGGTTGGCCCGCACAATTCAAGTCATGATGAGTCTGTCAGAACTGTTACGAGCTCACATGCGAGCATCACGGGAAACCGCCGAAAGGCCGAATGGCGGTACTCGCTTTCTAAACGACATACTGGAACGCCTTGATCTTGACGGCCCAACCAAAGTAGCCAAGGACATCACCTCAGCCATCGACGAGGAAGGACTCAATCGCCAGCACACTGCCGAACAACAGGCTCGCGAAGAGGCAACTGAGATGGCAGACGAAGTGGATAAAGCCGATGCGAGTGGAGAGCAAACCCCGAAGCTAGCGAAGAGAGCTACCACGGCCAACTCTGCAGCAATGGACTGGGCTGTCGAAGACATTTGGATCATGCGACGGAATGCATCTCTGACCTTGGAGCGAGCGCATGAAGATCTTGAAAGCCTGCTGCGTGCAAGGCATAGTCTTGTCCTGCGGCTGAGGAAGCAATTGGGTGCGCAAAGCTTGACACTGAAATGGAGTGCACAACTCGGTCACTTCTGCCACGTCAAAGGTAAAGACATCCGAGCCGCCCTGTCTTCTCTTGACGGTGCCCGTAGTGTGAGCACTACCAAGACTACGCGCTCCTTCTATCTATCCGACTGGACGCATCTGGGGAGGAGGATCGAAGATGCCAAACTCCGCATTCGCGCGGAAGAGGAGCGCGTGTTCGGTAAGCTGCGCGGTCAAGTCATTGAAAATTTGATGAAGCTGAGGCGTAATGCCGGGGTGCTCGATGAGCTGGATGTTGCTTGCTCTTCTGCCATTGTTGCCCGAGAGCGAGACCTCGTTCGTCCCATCCTAGACGAAAGCACATCACACACAATCGTTGGCGGTCGGCATCCGACAGTAGACGTTGGCCTCAAAGAACAAGGCCGTCAGTTCACTGCCAACGACTGCACTGTAGGCTCGCAAGAAACGCTGCAGCTCATCACCGGACCCAATATGGCCGGCAAGAGCACATACCTTCGACAAAACGCCCTCATCACCATCCTTGCACAGACTGGATGCTTCGTGCCCGCCTCATACGCAAGTATTGGTCTCGTGGACAAGATCTTTAGCCGTGTCGGTTCAGCAGACAATCTCTACCAAGATCAGTCAACATTTATGGTGGAGATGCTGGAAACGGCTGAGATCCTGAAGCAAGCTACACCGCGGTCATTCGTTATCATGGACGAGGTTGGTCGGGGAACTACACCCGAGGATGGAGTCGCTGTTGGTTACGCCTGCTTGCACCACCTGCACTACATCAACAAGTGCCGGGCGCTGTTTGCAACGCATTTCCACGCGCTGGCGGACATGACTAGCAAGTTTGAGAATCTGGCCTGCTACTGCACTGACGTCACCGAAGATGCGGACGGGTCTTGGGTCTACGTGCACAGGCTGAGGAGAGGTGTGAACCGTGACTCGCATGCTTTGAAGGTCGCGCGACTGGCTGGTATGCCTGAAGAAGCTATCTCCATTGCCGCGAGTGTTCTTGGAGCTGGCTCGAAAAGAGCCCCAAGTCAAGATCAGGAGGAGGAAGCACCTCACGGTTCGGCTTCGGCGGCTGGCTGAGATTCCGATAACAGTACCTCGACAACATTCATGCGAAGACAACAAGACGCCGGTCGATGTCACCATTACGTCATCTCGAGGTTGGACTTCATTTCTCAAACTTGGTTGAATGTGTTCCTCGAACAGTAACGGGATCAGGCGAGAAACGACCAAGATGTTTGCCCCAAACGCCCACCACGAAATCGCCAAGACACGGTATACCATTCTGCAGGACCGAGCTCTGGCCTTCTGTTCAGCTTTCTTGGATCTGCCGAACAACCCACCAGACAAGCTGCTAAGCGAACACTTCGTTACCGATGGCCCGAAGATCACTGAGCATGGCCCTGAATGGGCGAACAAACGTCTACCTTTCCTTGGGAGAACATTTTCAGGTGGGGATGAATGCTTGGAGTACTTCTCCTTGCTCTCAGACACACTGGAGTTCATACCCAACAAGCAGACCTTTCCCGGTAAAGAGGGCACCATCGTCGACGACACGGCTTTTGCGGGTTCCAAAACGGCACGAGGGGATGTGCGAGGGATGGTGAGTGTTGTGGGGAGAGCGAAGTTCAAGGCTGTGAAGACGGGGCAGAGCTGGGATGAGCAATTCATCTACCGGCTGAGTGAGTTTGACGAGGATGGCAGGATCGGGCATTGGGAGGTATGGGCCGATCCGCTGAGCGCGTGGGTTGCTGTTGGAGATGAGAAGCAATGAGATTAATTCGTGTGTCGTCTGCTCTGTGGTCCGGCGATACTTTCGATACTTGAGACAAATGCTCAGTTTCAAAGACAGTCAGGGAGTCTTGTACGGACGTCTGATCGAGGCAGCACACCAATTCAATCGTAAATCTGCACATAAAAACACGAGGACACGTCGACCTCTACGTCTTTCGCCAATCAATGTAAACGTGTCAAATGCCCCTTGAAGACTGCCTGAAGTATCACATGCAGAACAGTATCACATGTAAAGTCTGTGCTGGACGTCGATCAGTCAGGGTCCACACGTGGCTAGCCCTCCGGCAGACTCCCGAAGGTCAGACAACGTCGATTATCTTGACTACAAAGAACTCACTCTTCTCCGTGAACGTTACGATCGATATGTTGCGGCAGAGGCGTCGACTACGTATACCTCCCCGACGACGAGCATAAGATGTCGCAAGATGCCTCACAGCACTGTACGCCTCCCGACTACCACTCCCCCCTTCTTCCGCTGACCTTCGCCTTGTAGCATTCGCCGACGTCCCCCTCAACGTTCTACACGCAGAGATAGCCCGAAGACAGAATGACGGCGAGCGTCCCGAGTGTGGCTCCGGTGGGAAGTCGCATGGCTACAACACCGGCCTGCATGTCTTCGCGCTCTTCCTCATCCTCGCCCTGAGCACCTTTGCCTGCTCCTTTCCTCTTATTGTACGATCACGAACTGGCCTGGATCATGGAAGACGTATTCTAATCATTTGAACAGGTCCGACGATTCCCAAAGCTACCCGTACCCAACTACTCCCTCTTCCTCTCGCGACACTTCGGTACCGGAGTCCTGATCGCAACAGCCTTCGTCCACCTCCTTCCCACCGCCTACACCAGTCTTACAGACCCTTGTCTTCCGCCATTCTGGAACGATGTATACCCGGCAATGAGCGGGCTCATAGCCATGGTCAGCGTGCTAGTGGTCGTTGCGATCGAGATGTTCTTTGCAATGAAGGGTGCGGGACACAGCCACAGCGTGGATTTGGAGCACTTGCGAAGTGACGGCGCGGGACAAGGCGGTAGGGAGAGGCAACGAGCGAGCATGGACGGACGGGCATCAGGAAGCTTCAAGCGGTTCAGGCAGGGTCCAATTGGAGGACAAGGCGAGGGAGAAGATGACGTGCTCATGCAGCCGCAACGGAGCCCATACTCGGACAACCCCGGGTCGCTGGACAAGCCTCTTCCACCACCGCCTGAATCTGAAGGCAACGAATCCGAGTCTTCTGATCTCGACCTCGACGAACTCGAGGAGGATGACGAGGCCGACTCAGCTCAGCTACTCAGCAACACTTCACGAGCTGAACGAAAGTCAACACCGATCTCGAACGGTCACACTTCCTCTCGTCCTGGCCTACCTTCTCGCGGTGTCTCCTTTGCCGAACCTCTCACATCGGCGATTCCACCTTCACCCACCTCGGCCAAAGAAGCCAATGAGCAGCGTCTGATCCTGCAATGCCTCCTTCTGGAAGCTGGCATCCTCTTCCACAGCGTCTTTATTGGCATGGCACTGTCCGTTTCCACTGGACCGCCATTTCTGGTACTTCTGGTAGCGATTTCGTTCCATCAGACCTTTGAAGGACTAGCACTAGGAAGCCGTATCGCCGCAATCCCTTCTTTTAGCACCACGAGTCTGAAACCATGGGCTATGAGCGTGATGTATGGAATCACCACACCCATCGGACAGGCGATCGGACTTGCAGTGCATACGCTCTATGATCCAGCGAGTCAGTTCGGGTTGCTCATGGTCGGATGTGTGAATGCAGTCAGTTCAGGCTTGCTGCTGTACGCTGGGCTAGTGCAACTCTTAGCGGAGGACTTTCTATCCGATCAGTCATATCACGACTTGCAAGGACGGAGGAGGCTGGAGGCGTGTGGCGCTGTGGTTGCAGGGAGCATGCTCATGGGTGAGTTCGACGACAATTACTGCTCTTGCAGAACTGGAAATATACTGACATTTCTTGCAGCACTTGTTGGCGCTTGGGCGTAGTTCAGCCGTATATTCTATATAAGGCAAGGTGCCATGCCACATATGAACGAATTCTATGCGTCCCATCATGCTTCCGTTGACAATTCTATATCATATCTACCGAACTCCATCGCTAAACCCTCATTGTGTTTCTGCACTCATGGTCTCCCTTACCCCGGCCTCCTCCTCACAAACTCCTCCAAATCTGATTTCGTGGCTACCCCCAATACGAATCGCCTCGCCGGATCCGTCACCACAGCAAAGTCCTGACTCTGACCCGTCCCATCCCCATCAAAGAACGCCTCGAGATCCTGCAACGGTGTCTCCATCGTAATCAACCTGTACGGCTTGCCCTTCCGCTGAAAACGCACCATCGCCTTCTCAACTGGATCATCGTCCCGCACCTGCCGTGTCTCGAGTAGTTGTCGTAACCGAGGGATGCTGATGTAGCCTAGTAAGGATTTGGTGTCGGGGTGGATGACGGTGAGGTGTGTGTAGTCTCGCTCGAAGGCTGTCATGAGGGCGGCGGAGAGGTGCGTGAAAGGGCTCGTGCTCATTGCTGGGGGTGGGTCGAGGTCTTCTACTGTGGCCTGAAATATGGCGTTAGAATGTGACAATGGTAATAGCGGATTGCACTTACGCCTCTGTATTTGCTCGCGCCAGACGGCTTGGTGCCATTTACACTGACATCGTTGGACGACGTCGCCACGGCTTGAGCCATTGGTGCTTCCATACCTCCCTTATTCGCGGTCTACGAAGTCTTTGCTGAAGTTCTCGAGTACATGCACGTGAATCGGCTACTTGCAAGCGAATGCCCTTGCAACAGCGTCACGTCAAGCAGCAGCAAGCAAGCTCCGAGTTCCCGAAGCTCTCCTCCTCCAGCCTCTCTTGTTATCTCCTCCACAACCTCCGTTGCAACAACACCTCTGGTAGGTACAAGTAACCCCTAGATCAGTTGCATTGGACGCACTGGTGTCGAGTCTCGTCAATCGAGCTACGAGGATCGTTTTGCAGAAGAAGCCTTGATCGCAAACGACCGGACTGCCAACAATGCCTTCTCTCTTCCCTGGCGCCAGCACGCTGAGTGCCACTTTCGGTCACTCCTCGCCGTACAACTTCACTGCCCAAGCCCCGGCGAAGCGCTCCCCCTACCAAGCTCGCAGCGAGCTCTATCCTAGCTGGGATGTCGCCGAAGACGCGAAGAACAAGGCCGCCGGGCTGAGCGATGCCGCGCAGAAGGAACTGCAGAAGGCCAGCAATGTCGCACAGGCGAAGGCGGGCAAGATTCAGCTGTACAGTGGCAAGTACTACGCTGTATGCGACAACATCGGTCCCAGGGCGGTCGAGAGGCACACTAACGTTCCCAGGCGTGCACGTTCGGTGGTCTGATGGCCTGTGGTCTCACCCACTGGGCGGTCACCCCTCTCGATCTGGTCAAATGCCGCCGGCAAGTTGACGGCAAGCTGTACACCGGCAACATGGACGGCTGGCGTAAGATCATTGCCTCTGACGGCGTCCGGGGCATCTATACTGGTGGATCTCCCACCTTCTTCGGCTACTCTGTCCAAGGCGCTCTCAAATACGGCTGCTACGAATACTTCAAGAAGTTCTACTCTGACCTTGCTGGACCCGAGAATGCCACGCGCTACAAGACCTGGATTTACCTTGCTGGTTCTGCTTCGGCTGAGTTCTTTGCTGATATCGGTCTCTGCCCACTGGAAGCCGTCAAAGTCCGCATGCAGACTACGATGCCTCCTTTCGCCACTGGAACTCTGAACGGTATCAGCAAGATTGTGAGCACAGAGGGAGTTGCAGGGTGAGTTAACCTTCAGTTGCATCCTGCCGATAGAGACTAATAAAAGTGCAGTCTCTACAAAGGTATCTACCCTCTCTGGGCACGTCAGATCCCGTACACGATGATGAAGTTTGCTTCTTTCGAAACGATCGTCGAGATGATCTACCACCGCTTGCCTGGCCAAAAGTCCGACTACTCCAAGGGCGCGCAGACGGGTGTCGCCTTCACGGGTGGTTACATTGCTGGTATCCTCTGCGCTATTGTCTCTCATCCGGCCGACGTCATGGTCAGCAAGCTCAACGCCAACCGCCAACCCGGAGAAGGGGTTGGTTCCGCGCTCGGCAGGATTTACAAGGACATTGGATTCGGTGGACTGTGGAACGGCTTGCCGGTGCGTATTGTCATGATCGGCACGCTCACTGGCTTGCAATGGATGATCTACGACTCGTTCAAGATCTTCATGGGTCTGCCGACGACGGGTGGTGCTGCGCCGCCGGAGGAGGCGAAGAAGCAGGCGGCTTAATTGACGTCTGTATCAAGAGGCCAGGTGGGATACGGCTGATGCTTGCACCAGACGAACAGCTGTATACGGACAAAGTTGATGGTCTCAATGCCGTGTACGATGTAGAGTGTATCTATGGAGTTCTTCCTGAGTCTTGCCATCTCACTCTGTCCTTCACCATGATCCTCTCACAACACAATAAAGTCTTGCATCTCGCATGTGACAAGCTTTACGCAAAGAATGCGGTCATGCCTTACGGGAAGCCGGGTTGCACCTTATCAGCAAGAACCTTGGCCGATGTCACTTCTCGCGGCCGTCGGGCTCTCCTCCATACAGATTCACGTTGTTGTATCTCAATCGAGGAGCCAAGAAGACGCAACCAAAGAGTGGCGCCTTGCGACTCGGAAGGATCAAAGGTGTGGTTACCTCGTGCCAGTAAAAAGCAAGCATGGCATCATTTGCCCGGTTGTGCCGTGTCGGCTGGCATGGGCTGTTGTATTCATCAACCCGGTTGCTCCACTCGCAATCGTCCTTGCGATCCTCTGCTATAAGCTTATGAGAATACTCTGGTGCTCAGTACTCAACTAGAAGGTAACTTTGGCACACTAGCAAACAGAATGGCAGACGAAGTTCACTCCACGGGCCGCGGGGGTTTGTCAACGCAGTCTTCCACTACAACCCATCTCGCGGACTAACCTCACCTTCCTAGGCGCCGGCAACATCGGCCACGACAGCACTGTCTACACGGATGGCGACATTGTTCGTGAAGGCGTTGTCGGCGAACCCGGCCACCCAGGCGGAGGGGACTACTCCTCTGGCCGTGGCGGCGCAGGCAACGTCGTGCCATCGCCTCGAGCCACGCCTGTCCCCGAGGGCACTGCACACCCACCTCCCGCAGTCGTCGAGGCGGGTAGCACGGACGCAATTCCAGAGCCTGCGATGAGGCAGCAGCATCCTGGCTACGAGAACTTCCACACTGGGAGAGGTGGAGGCGGGAACGTGCACAAGGACAAATTTGGTGGGCATACGAGCAAGCGGGAGCAGGAGGAAGCGGAGGAGAGGAAGGCGGATGCGGACAAGGATAAGAAGGGAGGAGGGTTCATGGAGAAGGCTAAGCATGCGATGGGCATGGATAAGAAGAAAGAGGGTGAGACCTCGTAGGTGTGGATGAGCGTGGAGGTGCTGGGCGGCAATACATGAGGCTTTTGTTTATGAGATACCATTGATGCATACTACTGATAGATACGACTGCAACGAGTTTCAACGTCACATAAGACAGCACTGAATTTCTACCACTGACACGGATCACCCTTGTTTGCCGAAAGACTGCAACAGCACTGAAGAGCAAACATGTCTAGGAGACAAAGGCAGTGGTTTATACCACGTGGGAGCAAGAGTTCGTTTTAATGCATGATAGGTATCTTCTTAAGCAACAGTACACTTGAACGGCAGCCCACACGGCCCCTTCTCATCCTCCCCCTCTTTCTGTTGAGGCGCTGAGGTCTGCTGCTGCTGAGTCTCCTTCGGCTGGGACGCAGTCTGGGATGACCCAGCAGGAGCCGACGCCGCGCCGTTTGTCGTGGCCTCTTTCTTGGGCTCCTGCTTTCCAGCGGCGCCACCATCTAGTCACGCGGAGCTGAAGCTGACCTTGGAGACGTGGCCGTAAAAAGCCTTGCCTTGCTCGGTGGCGAGCTGGAGCTCCTTCTCAGTTGGCATGCGGGAGCCGTCGGCGGCCTACGCGATCACGGTGTTAGCATAGTGAAAGTCATAAGGTGAATACACATCTTACCGAGAAGGTACCGGCACCCCATGGGCTGCCACCGCGAACCTCAGACATGTCGGCGAGGATGCCGAACGTGGTCTTGTAGCCCAACGGCACGTAGATGAAGCCGTGGTGAGTAAGGGTCGACATGGCCGCGATGGCGGTGCTCTCCTGGCCGCCACCCATGGTGCCGGTGGAGATGAACATGCCAGCGTACTTGCCCCAGTACGCGCCGGTCTGCCATTGTCCACCAGTCTTATCCCAGAAGGTCTTCCATTGAGCCGGAAAGTTGCCATACCTAGTCGGGATGCCGAAGAGGAAGGCGTCGTATTGCTCGAGCTGCTGGGGGTCGCTGAGGGTGGCGATGTTCTTGTCCTTCGGAGGAGCGTGCATCTTGCTCAAGACGCTCTCCGGGAGGGTCTCCTCGATCTGGTAGAGGTCGCAGCTGCCGCCGGCCTCCTTGATGCCCTTGGCCTCAGCCTCTGCGAGCTTCTGGACGTGGCCCCATGTCGAATACTGCCATTATCAGAACGTGTGTTACAAGCGATACAGCATTGGAAGTACTCACGAAGACAATCGCGATCTTTGGTGCCATTGTGAAGATGGATTAGGTGTTAAAGTGTTGTGGATTGAAGAAAGCACTGGGGAGCGGATGCTACGGCGACAGCAGGTGACTTTATATACCTTAAGCCAACGTGCGTCCTGACTTGGTCGATCTGATGCCAGATTTATTATTCAGAGACTAGTAGACGTTATGTCAGTCGTGCCTGCCCCACATTATCTACCACCCTTCGGCATTTAGCTGTCATTCCAGGTTCAGATTGATCATCCTTAGTCAACCTCCGCGGTTTGTTGACCGCTGATGAGGAACCTTGCTCGGAGTAAGAACCTTAGGAATCAGCAGCTGCAGCATGAGCGGATCTGCTGCGGCTTCTCACCACTTAGGCACGATTCGCATGTTCCATGGACGGGAGCCACATTGAAGCTACTGTACCGTAAGGTACACCCAGGGGACCTGCAGAGCGGCCGGGGTGCCAGCGTACCAAGGTACCAAATAGGCAGAGCCACTTTCACGCGACTTCGCATACCGTGATCACGTGGAAGATTTTGTGATCGCCACTGATTCCGTGGGCCGCTCTAGTGACCTAGACCGAATCCAAGGCATAAAGAAGACGTCGGCTACTACAAAACAATCATGGCCGAGGAGGAGGAAGATGACTACCTCTCCATGAGCTTCGGAGGACCCGAAGCAAAACCGCAAGAAACATCTCTTCAACGCATCGCACGCCAGAAGAAAGAAGCCGCAGAGCGAAGTCGTGTGCCATCCAAGGGCGAGCTTCGAGAGCGCGAGAAGCTGGCTCGAGAGACTGCTCTTGCCACCGCCATCGATGACTCCAACAAGGGAGCGAAGATGATGGCCAAGATGGGCTTCAAAGGCGGAGCGCTCGGTAAGTCAGATGATGCTCGTACCCAGCCCATTGAGTTGCAGTTGAAGAACGACCGGGGCGGCATTGGCATGGACAGCGAGAAGAAGCGTAAGGTGAGGCAGGCGGCGGAGGCGATGGAAGAGGGGAAGAAAAAGCAAAAGGTTGGAATGGACGAGTTTAGGGAAAGGAGTCGGCTGGAGCGGGAAGAGAAACGGGGTGAGGGGCTGTGGTGGGGTGCGATGAAGGTGCTAGAGGGGTTGGAGGAGGATGGCGGCGAAGATGCTAAGGTCGAAGACGGTCCTGATGAGGTCGGCGAGAATGTTCCCAAGATCAAGAAGGGCGACAAGCTGAAAGACGTCAACCTGCTCTACCGACCACTACTCAAGCACCGCCTGGAGAAGGAGCGAGACCGGAAGATGCGTTACGATCTCAACAACTCACTTTCGACGCGCAACAATGCTTCAGACTCGGAAGACGACAAAGAAGCCTCCTTTGATAAGCGCACCGACCAACTCGAGGATGAAGATACGGAGATTGAAGAGTATGAGGCTCTGAGCTTCGCTAACAGGCTCGAGAGGGTGGTGACTGAGCTCCGCGACAAGCATCAGTACTGCTTCTGGTGCAAGTTCCGGTACACAGATGCCGAGATGGAGGGTTGTCCAGGCTTGACGGAGGATGAGCATGGCTGAAGATTGGTCGTGGTCCTGATCGTGGTCTGCTTGCGGTTGTGTTTGTAGCAAAAGTTGGGCATTCAAAATGGGGAGCTGTACCTCAAGATCAATACTACCCACTGCAATTAGTGAAGAACCACTTGCATTGAACTGTCTTGTTCATCGTCTGACTCGAAAATTGTCGTTGGTAGTACTTGTCGTTCATCTCAGACGCTGCCTGAGATTCCCCACCACCCCAGACCTCTGATCAACACTGAATCCGCCTGCTGTACTCGAGAACCAAACAAACACTTCCCAGCATGGCGGATCCCTTCGACGCAGCTCTGTATGATCCACTGCCCTCATAACCCCCGAGACATCTGCTAACCTCAAGCCCAGCGACCTCCTCCGCCGCCTACCTCCCTCCTCGACCCAACAAAACCTTAACGGCATCATCTCCCTCCGCCCCGACCTCGAAGAAGACCTCCTCTCCTCCGTCGACGTCGCCCTCACGTCCAAACGCTGTACGCAGACCGGCCGCGACTACCTCTGCTGCGACTACAACCGCGACGGCAATTCCTACCGTTCGCCCTGGAGCAACAACTTCGAACCCCCCATAGACCCCGAAGATGCCGCTGATCTCATTCCTGGCGGTCGAGTACGGCGGATGGAGGAGACGCTGAATCAGGGCGTGGATGTGTATCGGGAGCTGTACTATGAAGGAGGCATCAGCTCAGCGTACCTCTGGGCGCTGGATGAGGGTTTCGCGGGCGTGGTGTTGTTCAAGAAGAGCGTGAGTGAAGGCGGCACGAGAGGGAGAGGCGGCTGGGACAGCATCCACGTGTTGGAGGTCAATGAGTCGGCGACGAAGCGGTCCGCGCATTACAAGCTTACGTCGACGGTGATACTGGATCTGGGCATGCAGTCGGCCGCGGTGGACAGTCTGGAGCTGGCTGGGAACTTGACCCGGCAGACGCAGCAAGACTTGCCGCTGAGTGGGTTGAGGGAGGCGGAGGTAGAACAGGGACATGTGGTGAACATTGGGCGGATGGTGGAGGATATGGAGACGAGGATGCGGAATTTGCTGCAGGAGGTGTACTTTGGGAAGGCGAAGGATGTGGTGGGCGATTTGAGGAGTATACAGCCGCTGAGCGAGGTGGAGGGCGAGAGGGCGGCGCACAAGGAGGCCATCAGCAAGATGAATAGAGGGTGAGCAAGCCGCTTGAAGGTGGAAAGATGCAGCGAGATTAGCGGCAAAGCTATGCATGGATTGATGTCGAAGTCTTGATCAATGAGCTGAACAGCCAGTCTAGCAGTCAAAGGACACATAGCTTAAGCCATGGCTGTCTTTACAAAGCCCTGAGGCAGACACGGATTTGAAGTTCGAGTTCCAGCGCTGCCCGAGATGCTCTAATGTTACACACAAATGCCGCACCTCCCGGTAACGCCAATCGCTATGCACTAAACATTTCCACCGTCGTGAGCAATTGTACAGCCGCCTTATATATTCTGCCTCAAAGCATCGGCACCCATCCTCATCCTGAGCACGCGGTTGGCGAGTTCGGCGCGTAGCGTACGCACACCACTTGCTGTACTTGCGTCTGCGCGATAGTTCTTGGTCAGGTGAATCTGGTCACCGATCCTCTTGCGCAGATCCAGATCCGCAATCACGATCTGGCCTGAGTGGAAGGCATCAAATATGTGCGAATCAGTGCGCGGGACCATTGGGTTGAGCAGGGCATCGTGCTCTGAGGATCTGTTCGCCGTGTCGTGAGCTTCAGAGGGATCCACCACAGCGCCTGTTGCCGTACCGGTAGCAGTCAGAGTCTGCATTTCGATCTCCTGCTGCTCGCCGGATCGTCGTACACCTCGCTCCTCAGCGTCGAGGTCTTGTCGACGAGCAGGCGCGGGGTGACTGGTTCCCGACCGAGCGCTGGCCGTAGCAGCAGTCGTCGTCGCAGAGTCCTTGAGCCGGCATTTGAGCATATACGCGGCCATGTGCGTAAGCTGTAGCACCACGACGAGAAGGTCGAGGAGGAACAAATGAATCTTGCTACTTGGGCCGGCCTGACCTATGAAATCCATTGCCAGGCCGCCGTGGAGGTAGCCTCGCGTTGCTTCGCCGCCCGACGGTGGTGTGAGCCAGAGGTGCAGCAGGATGCATATCGCATTGGTGCTAACGAGAGCGCCCAGCATCGGAGTGTCGGAGGGGTGGGCAGGCAACGGGGGCGGCTTCGGGGTCAAGTACATGAACTGGAAGAAGGCTCTGATGGCGAAGCGGAGGAAGGAGCAGCTGGCGTACGCTATTAGCGGCATGTATCTGTTCAATAGCCGAAGGATGCTGGCCTACTCCATGTAGTATACAACACTCAACTCGGCGTAGATCAACATGTCCAGGTCTTTTATCAGGTCGTCGAGCAGCTGGCCTCTCTTCTGGTTGAACCTCTGCCTGTTCCTTTTCCCTCTTTCTTTCAGCTCTGCCGTCGTCGGCGCCACCGCGGCGGGTGCCTCGCCATCTCCATCTCGAGAGACGTGGGCTGGCGCGGAGGATGAGGCCTCTCCCTCATGGTTCATGTCTTGGGTTGGTCGAGACTCCGAAGTCGCATTGTGCGGGCGGTCATTGAAGACGATATATGCGCGCCTTCTGATGTTGATGCTCACGAGCACGTGCAGTCGTTTGGGTGTGGGTGTAGAAGACCAGATGGAGCCCAGGTGTCTGGCTGCCCTCGCCTCGGGCTGAGGTGACGTCCAAGCACGCTAGCGAGCAGTCCACTTTAGATCGCGTCGCCCACGTCGCGTCAAGCACCTCACCTTCTCCAACATAGAAGCAGTGCATCAGAGGTCGTGATTGACGAGGACGACATGGCCAACTTCTTCGACATTCGAGCGCGACAGGCCGCAGCAGCGACACAGGCGTCTTCATCAAAGCAATCGGCACCAGCGCAGGACAATCGACTGCAGCCATGGGTGGAGAAGTAGTGAGTAGGAAGACATACTCTTCTGCGAGCACCATACTGACCAGCATAGCCGGCCTAAATCCCTAGACGATGTCGCTGCTCAAGATCACACCGTCACCATTCTCCGCCGTACACTGCAATCTGCCAATCTACCGCACATGCTCTTCTATGGCCCACCAGGCACCGGCAAGACCTCTACTGTGCTCGCACTGGCCAAACAACTCTACGGCCCCGACTTGATCAAGACTCGTGTGCTCGAACTCAATGCTTCGGATGAGCGCGGCATCAGCATTGTGCGGGAAAAGGTCAAGGACTTCGCACGCATGCAGCTCTCCAACCCCCCGGCTGGCCCCGCCGGTGAAGAGTACAGGAGAAAGTACCCATGCCCGCCATATAAGATCGTCATCCTGGATGAGGCGGACAGCATGACGCAAGACGCTCAGTCGGCGCTACGGAGAACCATGGAGACGTACAGCAAAATCACGCGCTTCTGCTTGATCTGCAACTATGTGACACGCATCATTGATCCACTCGCTTCGAGGTGCAGCAAGTTCAGATTCAAGTCACTGGATGAGGCCAATGCTGGGAAGCGGCTAGAAGACATTGCCAGGCTCGAAAACGTCAAGCTGGAAGAGGGCGTCGTGGACACATTGCTGAAATGTAGCGAGGGCGATCTGAGAAAGGCGATCACTTTCTTGCAATCAGCCGCCAGGCTTGTGGGAGCTGTGCAGGCCTCAGGCGCATCAGAGAAGAAGCGCAAGCGAGCCAAGATCGAGGATGACGAAGACGAAGATACCATGGACATCGACGGTCCTTCTGACAGCGCAAGCAAGTCTGTGACTGTCCGCAGCATAGAGGAGATTGCCGGAGTCATCCCCGAAGGGACAATCGACAGTCTGACAACAGCAATGCAGCCATCCAAGGCTGGGACGGTCTACGGTCGAGTCTCGAAAGCGGTGGAAAATCTGGTAGCCGAAGGCTGGTCGGCGACACAGGTCGTGACGCAACTCTACGACAGAATCGTGCTGAGCGATGAGACGGTGGGAGATTGGAAGAAGAGCAAGGTTGTGCTGTGCTTCTCCGAGACAGACAAGAGACTGGTTGATGGATGTGACGAGCATCTAACGATACTGGACCTGTGTATGCAGGTAGCAGGCGTGCTGGGAGAAACATGAAGGGAGATCGCATTCACGAACAGCAATGAACTCTCATTGATGCTAAGCACTGTCTTGACAGCTCAAAGAATTCCAAGGTGTACGTCGAAGTAGCACGTCAACAGGAGAACGGCGCACCGACCGCCCCAGAGCTATACGCTTCTGCAATTCCTTTGATGTACACGTACAGTCCTCCGATGCAGATGAAAGCGCCAGCCAGGAACGTCAAGACGTTGACGCTTGTCACGACCGGACGTCTGGATAATTCTTTCCATCCAAAGCCGCCAAAGTTGTACCCAAAATAGGTATCATGGATCCAGAACGCTCCAGCTATGCCATAAGTATACCATGCTGCGAAAAGAGCTGCCGCAATGCCGACGAGATACCCGAAGATACCGATGCCAGTAGCGAGCACGAATGCCAGCCCGGTCACGGAGACGACAAGGGAGACCCAGACGACCCAGCCGAGGAGGGTGTTGTCGTGAAGGTGCCGCGAGCCACGAAAAATGCGGACGTGTATAATCTTAGCTGCAGTATGGTTATAGAGGGCGCCAGCGACCAGCAAGTTCGGAATGGCCAAACCCCAGGCAGCCTTCGCCCATGTTGGGGGCAGTCCACTGTACGCTGGCGAAGGGACTTCATCGCCGATGTACAGGTACATGACCACCGCAAAAACGACATAAAAGAGCGTCGCGACTGTCTGCAAGCACCACGCCGCCTTCGGAGCTTGCGTTGGGTCCCGCATCTCCGAGATCAAAGGGAAAAACATGAAATGACCCGCGTACGCGAAGACTGGGTTGGCGATCGAAGAGAACGCGAGGTAGAAGTTTGATGGTTTCGTCACTTCGTACGTCCGACCTGGCGTCGGGTTGCTTCCAGCGCCGGCCATGGCAACGACCGAGGCGACGATGATGCTGAAGGTCGCTACCGCGGACAGCCAGGAGAGGCCCATGTTCAGCGCTCGCGGGAGACTGAGGAGCATTGTCGGGATGGCGAAGATGCCCGTGTACCACAGCAGGCAGAGCTTGTTGTCCGATAATGAGCCCAGGGCAGCGTCCGCGGCCAGGAGTTGGCCTCCCACGGCGAAGATAGCGAAGAGGAGGGTCCCCAGGGAGAGTATCTCACGTCCAAGCCAGCCGAGGGGTCCGAACAGAATGAAGCCAGCGTCACCCATGTTGTGTACTGTTGATCGTCAGCTGGGTTCGTGATTGACGGTAGTCGAGGAGAGGCACCTTCAGGATGATTGATCTTGAACTTGACCAACACAAGAGCCGTATACAGCGCAAAGGCTCCAAGAAAGACAATCAGAATAACGCCAGGAACGATCCCAACGACAGCCAATGAATAAGGCAGTGAAAGCGTCCCATAAGTCACAATCTCCGTGATCATCAAGAACGAGACAAACGGCCAAGTGAGCGTGCGGTACTGAATGCCATGACCGCGCTCGTCTCCAAAGACATCTTGATCGACTCGGTATCCATGTCGTTGAGCTGGCTCGGTTACCTCGTAGTCGTCTCCGGTTGAAGAATAGCACGCTTGTTTCTCACTAGCCATTCGGAAAGATGTTGGAGGAAGGAGTTCTTTCGAGATGGCAGAAGTTGCTTTTACATATCTTTTGCTGGAGCTTGGTGGTACCATGACTCGGTAATGATACGATAGATAAAGGCCCGGGTTGCATGGGCTAGACCTTGCGGCTGGTTGCGAGTGGCACTATCGAGCGTGGGCCGGAATAGGAAGGACGTTGCTGCGATTGGGGAGCGGAGAATGGTGGCCGCCGTGGTGAAGGATGCCGAGAGGCGTTTTCTGGCGTTTTCGATATCTTGTGACCTACGGTCTACCTTCGCTTCCGCGATGATCTTACCATTCAACCGTACTGGAATCGTATTGCCAGGCACGCAAGATCGTTGTCTGGAATGAGTAGGACATGAAGACCAGACGGTGGACATGGTCAACTCGGTCCGCCTAGCAGCTAGAACAGCTTGTTGCAGCATGCCACGCTTCCAACATCGCTCAACGAGGCTTGTTCTGTCGTCTTCACCTTGCTGCTACCAAGTAGAGTGAGTTGAAGTTCAAAGTGACGATCAAATGTACGGATCCGCCATGTCTCATACTGGCGCAGTCTCTAACCCCTCTGCCTGCTCTCTCTTCGTCGTACCGTGTAGCTCCAGATACGGCACTGTACTCCACTCATCCGAAAGAATACCTCTGTACACCATCCGATAACCGAAAGCCGCCATCATAATGCCAATCAGCGCACCGAAGATGACGTCGTGCGCATGGTGCTGATACCCCGAAACCAGCGTGCTCGAGAGATAGGTCGCGAAGACGATTGGAATGACGACGAGGAGCATCTTCCAGTACCTGCCATGGCGTGCTAAGGTCGTACTAGGACCACTCTCACAGCCAGTGATCTTGAGATGCGTAAAGAGGTATATGGCCATGAAACAGAACGCCGCGAACACAATCTCCGCATGACCAGATGGGAAAGACTCCATGGCGTTGCGGATGTCCCATCGATTCTCTCCAGTACAGACCTGGTCGATTCGGTACATGATTTGCTGGAATCCGCTGCCTTGTCCGGCATGAGGCGGCAGTCGAGGCTGGCAAACGTCCAGAAAGTGAGGACGGAAGCCGCCGATGTTCTTTTTGAGAATGATCTGGAAGCAGGTACCCGTCACCAAGCTATACCCAAGACCGAGTACAGCAGCGCCGAAGTCAGTGAAGGAGCGGATCCAGTACTGGGCCAAGAGAAACGTGGCAAGCGGAATGAGGGCTGAGAGGACGCCGGCTGCGGCGGCAGAGAACACTGGCTTGATATGCGGGTAGGCCAGGTCCGGGCGATAGAGCGTGCCGTCGCTTGCCACCGGAAAGACATGGCTGAGATCAGGGTGAGTGAACCAGAGCTTTGGATTTCAGCTTGGGTTGCATTGATGAGGATAGCGCGATGACATACCGCTGTGATGACACCGCCAACGGCACTCATGGCAAGCCAGTCAAGCCAGGTGGCTCGAAAGAAATCGAGCAGCTTTGGCACAAGCTCTCTGACAGATGAACCGCAGGTTCCAAGGCTCCGGCTGAAGGCGTGCGAACTCTTGCGCATCGTGGAGTGGTTACGGTATGCGTCGATTGGTGTTGAGATACGGCGGTGGCGACAGTATCGCTGCAAGTTTCATGCTCCCTAGTCAAATAAAAACGGTAGCATGCTGGCACAACAATCTGATCAAGACTGGTTGTACTGGCATTTACGCTGCCAAGCCTGCGAAGTGATTGCCAAAGGCTGAGCTTGCCGTGGTCTGCCACGAAGTAAGAGCGAGGTCCCTGGTCCGCGTCAACGGCAGCGACAAGAAGGGGAAGCGGTGGGTTGGTGAAGTTCTGGCAATGCTGATTTTCTCGTCATGGGTCAAGTCAGCTCATCACTCGATAGCTTCCATTGAGCAGAAGATGATTGAGCGAACAGGGAGAAGAAAAAAAGACGTTTTCCTTGGAAAGAAGCTCGCAGCTTCGTGATTTTGTGACAGACATCTGTAGGTCCGTTGTTTTGGTGTGTGCAGTGAGCAGTGAAGGATGCCTCCCATCCCATCCAAACTCGGCTCACCAAGTTTTCCAGCTGCTTTGGCCTGACTGCTCCTCGCGCGCCTCGTTATACAAATGAAAGCGCCATATCGTGCCACCCATGCAATCTATACATCTATGGTCTTTCGAGAAGCCGACCAAGTAACGCCATTTTCGAAGTAGAGGAAGGAGAGTGCGGTGGTCAAGCTATTGCTTCTTCTCGCCCTCTGCTTCGCCAGCCTTTCTCTCCTCTTGCTGCTCGTCAGGCTGGTCCCTCTTCTCTTCTTTCTCTTGCCTCTCATCAAGCTTCATCTTCGCATCCTCATCCTCGCCAGTCGCAGCAGTACCCTCGCTTTCTTTGGCAAGAGCAGCCTCTTGCCTGGCTTCCTCGTCTTTCTCATCTATGTCCTCACGATCAGACACAGTCGAAGCCTCGCCTCTCGACTCCTTTTGCTTCTCTGCCTGCTCCTGCTCCTCCTGGATCAACTCCTGCTGTTCCCTAAGCACCTCCAATCTCTGCTTATTAGTAGCAGCGCCTTCAGCGGTGTGCACCTCGAGCTCGATCTCATGGAACAGCTCTTCTGGGATACTGCTGAGAACGGCTTGCAAGGCATCAATTTGAGAGTCGAACTCTGCCTCCTTACCCTGAGCATACATGAAGGCGTTGCTCAGGACAAGTAGTGTCGATGGAACACCGTACTTCAATCGCAGATCCAGCCACAGCTGCAAGTCATCCCTGAGTCTACCAGGCGACATGCCATGGGTTCGGAGGCCGCGTGAAGCGCAGGCAGTCTGCAGCTCAGGCACAGAGAGCGACTCCACGCCCTCGTATGAGATGGCCTTGTCGTCGCGCTTGATCTGCCGCATGCGATGCCTGACCTGATAGCGTAGCATCGAATCCGTGCCAAAGGTCGACAGATTCATATATGTGCAAATTCCGACCAGCTGCGGCCGTGAAAGGTTGTCCAGCGTAAGGTCATCCTTGAACAGCTTGCAGACCTTAACAACGTCCGCCTTGGTGGGTTCCTCGCCGGTCGCACGCACTTTCCGGAAGAAATTGGTGAACTCCTCCTTCTGGGCATTCGCAGCACTAATGGGAATGCCAGACTCTCTCAGAGTTGACCGCAGAAAGTTACTCACTTCCTTCCGGTTCATGCGGAGGCGACTAGCCTTCTTCTCCTTGCTCTTGGCATCTTCGTAGGTGCTGGGCAGCATGTTCGGGAAGAGCTTCAGAGCGACTGGTAGTAACAGCTCGGCGAATGGTACTATGACAAACACCGAGAATGGCACTAGCCGGCCAAGATCCTGCACAGTCCGATGGAGTTGGCGATGCTCTCGTCGTGTCAACTCGTACCCTGCCGCCATCTTCAGCGCCAGACGTGAGCTGATGCGGACCTCAGTGGCGAGCAGCTTCGTGCCGTCCCAGTAGTGATGTGCTTCGTGCTTGACCTTTTGCCAGAGAGTCATTTGTTTTTTCGCCTCCTTTTTTTCAAGCGCTTTCTTGTCCTCTGATGACTTTGCGCCTGTTGACCTCTCAGCGGCTAATTCTGACAGCGAGCGGGACTCTTCGGCTTTGGTGGGAGCTCGGTCGGTGGGCAGGTTGATTGGGATGTTGACATCGGCGGCTTTCTGCTCGGCCGCCTTCGATGATGGCGACGCAGACTTGGAGGCAGACGATTGCTGTTCGGAGTCCTTGGAAAGAGGTTTCCTAGCCTGCTCCAGGTTGAAGCCCGGTGGCGGACCGTTGCTGTCGCTGCCATGGCCGGTGGATGTGTCGGTTGACAGTGCTTTCCGCGGGACTAGGATGGCGACCGCTGGTAGTTGTCGAGGGATGCGAGCAGCTCGCTGAAAGGCCAGTCTGTTGCCATTTCGCAGCAAGAGAGGGGCGAGTTGCGCCGCGCTCCGGTTGGACAGCATGAGGGTGCTGAGGGAGCGAGTCGCGAGGACTCTAGATTGTGGGAGGGGTGGTGTCGGATGGATAGGGTCGGAGGAGCCAGTAGTGATGGTGGTTGTTAGGAGGGAGTGGAATGCTGAGGCGACGACGCGAACGTTGACGTCGAGCGAAGATCAGGGACATGCAGGCACGTGCGCTAGGGCGATTAAGCTTTGGTCCTGCTGCTTCACCAAAAATACCAGAAGGTCTGGATTCAAGTGTGGTTGTTACGAAAAAAGGACGATGGGTGTATACCGAAAAATTTAATGTGAAAAGTCTACTGTAGAGTCTAGGAAGTACAGGACCGGTGTGGCAGTAGTCCCACTGATCTATCATCAAATTATGCGTAGTTTGTATTGCTACTGCCGTATGCGGTAGATCATGTGATGCTTTCTGGACAGCGTGGTATTTTATTCCGATATTTCAACTGCAAAATACCTTACTTGGCCCTACGGACGTTCCGGTTCTTGAGCAGACTCTCGCGTGTAGACACACCTGGAATTGAGAGACACGTTGCCCTCGTTGCACTCTCCCTTCGGCGTTCGGAGAAGCGTAGAGCGGGAGCGGGAGCTTCAACGTCTCCGAGCTCTCAACATGTGGGCTGAGGTTGGAATCGACAGTCCGAGGTTACTTTGTATATTTCTTCTTCAACTCCCAATCCCCTCCCTCCGCTCCCCACCCCTCCACTCCGCCGAGTTGCACATCACTCCAGAATGTACGATAGCAGCTAGCCCGTACCTTCCCTGGCGGTGGTTGAGCCAACCTTCGAAGCCTCGACGATCATTCATGCTGAGCTCCTCGTCTGCCACATCTTGTATATATTTACGACCACCTCATCGCGATGTCACCCAACAACCACCTCCGCCGAGCCGCTCGTATTATTCTGGTCGGGGCGCCAGGCGTTGGCAAGGGCACACACGCCGAGCGCATGCTCAAGCGATACCCGCAGCTGTCCTCAATCAGCTCGGGCGATCTGCTGCGGGAGAATGTGAGGAACAAGACGCCGTTAGGTGGGTTCACAACACACGTATAGGTTCTCTCAAACTCAATATCTCACACGAAATGTAGGCATCCAAGCTGAGGCCCTCATGAAACGAGGCGAGCTGGTACCCGACAACATGATCCTACGCCTTATCCGCAACTCCTTGACGACCAAGGGCTGGCTTGTACCCGGTGATAGTGCTCAGCCGATCACAGTCAACACTGTCTCTACCGCCAGCAATACATCTTCAAGCTCCGCAGCCAGTGTCAATGTGCCTCGGCCGACCAACTCCGAATACTCCCACAGTGATCAACCAGACGCCTCCTTCATCCTCGACGGCTTCCCTCGAACGGCCTCACAAGCATCACAGCTCGATCAGCTCATCCCCATCAACCTCGCCATCCACGTCCATACTCCTACAGAGATCATCCTTGATCGTATTTGCAACCGCTGGATCCATCCTGCGTCAGGTCGAACATACAATACAACCTTCAATCCGCCGCAGAAGGAAGGCTTGGACGATGTGACGGGCGAGAAGCTGGTGCAGAGGGACGACGACAACCCGGAGGTGTGGAAGGCACGGCTGAAGCAGTTCGAGGACGCAGCAATGCCGCTTCTTGAGCACTATGACAAGCTGGGTGTGCTGTGGAAAGTAGTGGGCGACAGCAGTGATGAGATAAGCCCGAAGATTTTCAAGGAGTTCGAGCGACAGTTTGGAGCTTGAAAAGGAGTGGTCATTCTATCTTCTGCTGGCCAATGTGTTGGCTTTGAGCGAGGCGCTGTGGCGTGTCTGGTGCTATGTCCTTGATAGTGGACTAAGGAACTCTGCGATACCATTTTTGCATCAGGGGACTGAGTACGATACGCTTCCTTGAACGTGCGGACCTGCCAGTTTGAGCCTAGTAGCGGTTTACTTCTCTTCTGCGCGAATGTCTTCCATGCCCCATCGTGCCAGAGTACAACTTCGACCCCTTGTCGGATCGTCCCATGGTACGCAGGAAAGCGTGGGAATGTGACAGCTGCACCTCGCCCAAGAAGGTCGCCACGACAAGGATCTCAGTGCAGTGGCTGCCGAATCCGTCCACGCTTTTCGCGACTTGCGACATGCATGTAGCACCGCGCAGGCGTTGCCATACCAGCTCCTCTGCAGTTCTCGATGATGCTTGGCTGAGGAACACACATTCGATGGGCTCGTGTGCCGGCCGTTGCGCCGTCACGAAAACGACCTCGTGGCAAGATGGTCCGAGTTGACAGACCTTCTGCGCTCGTATGCGCAGCGCAATGCCCGAGTACGGAAGCCTGCACCTCTGGTGTCACAAGCACGTCGCGCGACCAGTGGGAGTCCTTCGATTGCCCGGGCATTATTCTCGGCCATGCGAGGCACGCAGGAGCCCAAATGAGGGGCAAGGCATCACAAACGGAGTCTTCAAAACCTCTCCTCCTGATCGCTACCAAAGCATCGGGGCCTCTGGCTCCCCACGTGGACTCTTCCCCAACGCTGCAGGTTCGCGTGATGGCCACAGCGTTCATGCCGTCGTGAAGTGCTGGCCTCCCTCGGCGCCCGCTCACGCTACATCACCATACCAACTCGCATTCCTCCAGGCCCAGTCATGGGGACCCTAAGGATCTCCTGACCACGGTCCCGACTGCACCTTGCCGACGCTCTAGAAGCTGGTCACCGTCGATCGCCTATCCCAGGCTGTGTCGCGCTCCAGTGTCTTGACGGCGGAACCTTGCAATATCCGTACCAAGCAAAACTTGACAGCTGCGTTCTCTGCATGCTGCAACCCCTGGAACGCTATTTCGACCCGTCGCTGTGTACCATTGGATTCATGCAAGAGAATGCAGGCTATGGCTGCAGTTCATAACGCCGACCACACTCGCAAGGCTGGCATCTCCAAAAGAACAAAGGCCTTTCGCTCGCGCCGCTGTGCCGTCACCATGGACACTTTGTTACAGCATGCTTACATTGCCCGCCTTGACGAGACGCTCTTCTGTCCTAGCAGTACTGCGGCAATCGATTCGCCCTTCCCACTTTCGAGCATTTTCCCACCGCCAGCGTCTCCAAATGCCCTTGAAGACGCCAACGCCAGCCATGAGAGGCGACGAGAAGGTGTACCTGTCCGCGTTGACGGTGTGGAAAGGGATAGAGCCTTGCTATCCTCCCGAGAGGAGGCGCTGTCTCGCAGCTCGATCAGACCACTTGACCGCGGGCATCCACCACCGCCAGCAGAACTCTGGTCGCATGAAGCTGGCGAACGCACACCGGATAGGACTTACTGGCAGCACACACAAGCTGAGCTTCTCCCCAGACCGGCGGGCCATCTGGACCAAAGCGGAGAACTCGTAAATGGCTTGATAATACCAACTCAGGATGGCACACACCACGCTCTTGGATTCTGGGAAAGCCTGGACAGCATACTGCATTCCTCGCGCCCTCCGCTCAGCTCCTATGCCGTTGACCACAGTGCTGTCATTGTGGACGACCACAGGGGCAGTTACGATTTCAGCGACTTCTTGCAGAGGTGGAATCGAAGGGATTCTGAGGCGCCGGCTTCGGTTCAGGCTCTCCAACCGAATGATGACAATCTGGAAGCGCGAGTGCAAGATGTCGCTCGAGAGGATACCCATGCCGCACCCGTGGATATGCAGGGGATACGCTGGGATATCGCTGTGAGAAGCACAGCACTCAGTACCAGACGATGCTGGCATCCCACTTCGACGAAGTACGTCAGTCCACCTTCCATTGAGGGTCCTGCTCAGGCTTTGAGAACGGATGCGGAAGCAAATTACTGCTTCAGGCGCTTCTCTCCCAAACATCGCGCACAGATCAGCCATCATCAACTTCGCAATACTCTTGCCGCTAACCGCAGGAACGACGTGTTCTACGCCGCTGGCGACAAGGTTTACCGGACATCGTTGGCATCTTCCGAGACACATGACACGATCATTGACCTCTCCCCACCAACATCATGCGCGTCCGGCTTTCGGATCACGTGCCTTGCAGCGTCACCGCAATCACATGCTGACAATTTTGTCATTGCTGGCGGGTTCAACGGCGAATATGCTATGCTCGATCTGAGTGCGGAGCATGGCTGCGTTACCGAAGGCTTCGTCTCTCATGCCTACAATGGCGTCGTCACGCACATCAGCACCAACCACGACAGACGCTCAGGTCTGCTTCAGGCTGCTTTCTGCTCCAATGACCGCACATTACGCATCATGGACGCCGCGACAGAGCGGTTCACTAACATCCACCGCTTTGACCGTGCAGTCAACTGCTCTGCTGTGTCAGCGACCAATCGGTTGCGGGTTGTGGTTGGTGATAGCGAGCAGGTGTATATCACGGATGCAGACAGAGGCGAGATGCTGGCGACTTTACACGGCCATAACGACCATATCTTCTCCTGCGCATGGTCACCTGACGGGCGGACTGTGGCTACTGGAGCAGAGGATCGAAAGGTGATCATTTGGGATGCGAGGAACTGGCGACACGCTCTCGCGACACGCACCTGCATGATATCGTCTGCGCGATCTTTGCACTTCACGGACGATGGCTTTCTGGTTGCTGCGGAGGACGAGGATGTGGTGTGTGTGTACGAGCCGCGAAACTTCGACCTGCGGCAATCGGTACGGTTCTTTGGGTCCATCTCAGGCGTGGCATTACTTGATGGAGGAGCGGAGATGGTTATTGCGAACGGAGACAGGATGGTGGGCGGCCTGATGAGCTTTCAAAGGGCGGATCAAGGTCGGAATGACGGGTCGTACGGCAGGAGGCTGGACGACTGGGTGGATCTGGAGAGCGTGATACGGCCAAGACGTGGTGTGGGGCGCCATTCATGGGCGGGAGCTTTCGAGGTGATGGTGTAGGCTGTCTATATAGTCCTCGGTACATTCAGTGTACTGTCCCAAGCCATTACTGCAGCGAGGCTGGATGGGCGATGGAGAAGCATGCCCAGCTGGGTCGGTCGGTTGTAGTTCTGCGTCTTCTCTATGAGACAGCCTCGCACTGCTGAGTCTGCTGATCAATCTACCCGCGTCTGCGTCCCGGAGAGCCATGCGTGTCTTCTCTAAGTGCCGCATCTTCTTCGTAGGACTATACCCCTAGCAAAATCGTTGAGAGGAAGAATGGCCAGCAGACGGACTTTGGGGGCCTCGGCGTGTATCTGAGACTTGGGAATATATCATACCAGGCTTGGCGAGTCAAATCTGCAGACTGGAGCGAAACCCTTTCACCTGATGGCCATGCCTCGACTGCCATTCGTCTCCACAAGCGATCATGCTTCCAACTGCTAATGGACCTTCCAAAGTCACAACCAACCGCCGGAGCTACGTGCCAATTGCGATATATGCCTGTTCTCCTCAGTACCGACCTACCCTGGAAAACTATCTCGGAAGTGCTGGGTAACTGACAAGGGTCTTGACTCTCGAGAGTAACATTTCGCGCGCTCACGCGCCAGCTGCTGCCCAAATCTCGATACGGTCGGCGCGAGGAAGCAGGCAATTTCGGGCGGACTAACGTTCTGTAGTCATCTGAACTTTCCTCTGAGCAGAAACAACATAACCCTCTGTCTTGACTCTCATCGCGTCCACATGACCAGCCCAGCAACGACGGCGACACAGACGCCAACAAAGACCGCCCATCTCATCAAGCCTTGCATCGCCCAAGCTTTGAACATCTCCTCGAATGCCTTGCCGTCGTTCAGTCTTGGGAAGGGGACATCCTTTGGCACTGGCACATCAAGAGCTCTACACAATGGCTCCCAGCCGTCCCTCACGTCGGCGAAGAACAACCGATCCTTCGGCACAATCTCCTCCAGCCATTTGATATGTCGCTCCCAAGTGATCTTCGCCTCTGCTGTGAGGCTCGCCTGGCTTTGGTACCTCTCTTCAAAGATCTTGGGTAAAAGATTCCACATAGTGGGCAGATGCCGCAAATTCTGGATCCAGAAGAAGATGATCATTTGCAGCGTTGGCTGAACCATGGCTGCGATCTTCTCCATACTGGCGGCCCAGGAGTCGATATCGCGGACAGTGCAGATGACCATGGCGTCAGGATACAGCTCCAATAACTCAGGCACAAGTTGGGACAGCGGCGGGTCTGCCGTCGCAACGTAGCCTTTCAGCATCGCTGCCATCTGCTGGAGGGCAGCCTTTCGATCATCTTCGTCTCGGTATGGGCGACGCTTCAGGACATCTATCCACGTAAGAACGTCTTGCTCGCTGTCGCAAAGGGCTGTCTGAACCCCCAGGTGGTATGGCGGACCCCCGAGTAGGATCTGTACGGCAGAGCAGAAGCTGTTGGTTCCAGTCCGCGGCAAACCAGCACCAATCACCTTGACTGTGGCTCCAGGTTGCGGTGGGTGTGCTGTCAAGGCAGACATGGCTTTGAAGGGTTTGCGTCGTCAGCTTTCAATGCTGGATCATGAGGAATTATTGTGCTAGCCTGGACAGCAACTCGAGAACGGGCTCGGTCAGCCTCGCACTCGCATCATCCACCCGATCGGGATACTCCCATGTTCGAGTGCCTGTTCAAGCCTAGCCTTGTGGATTCCACTTCGCGACCAGGACACGCCTGATGGAGTAGTACCTGCGGACAGCGGGTGAGCAAGCAAGAAGCGGTGAATAAGAATGCCGCCATACCGCTAGCTATTAAAGGCTTACTACCGGCTGAGTTGAGCACGAACACTCAGACGAGAATTCAGCACATTTTTGGCTGCTGCCCCACCATGTGCTTCTGGCTGAGCTCCAGCGGCACGCAGTTGGGATCTGAAAAGATACACATGCCTACCTCGCAGCCCTTCAAACCTTTGTAAGTACCCTAATCAGCCCCAGTCCAGCTCCTTCGACACATATCAGCCCCGCGGCTTCTCGTTCACGTTCCAATAATCGGCTAGACGACGAGAGTATCGGTGATTTGCTTTCTCAAGACTGCACATTGCATCCTTCTATGAGAGATGGGCGGAAACGGAGAGGACACGTTCCGCGTCCGTGTAATACAGTGCCAGGTGCTGCTGCAAGCCATATATGTAGCTCTGAATTCAGCAGTAGTAAAAATGAAAACCAAAGGCTCGGCCCACGCTTTTGCGAAGCTAAGATATGGCGTCCAGCGCTCGAGCCAATGTACTGGTCGTTGGAGGCAGCTCAGGTATGCATCCACTCTTCCCCCAGAACGTAAACTTTTGTATTGACGTCTCGATGCAGGAATCGGTTTGGCAACAGCCAAGCTAGCGCTCACCAACCTTCCCAGAGCGAACATTGTCCTCGTCTCGACAAATGAGGAAAAGCTACAGAAGGCCGTGGCGGAGCTCAAGGCTACTTCGCCTAACGAAGACGCCCTAATTGATCATGTTGTTGGGGATGTATCTCGGATCGCAAGCCAGTTCAACGACATGGAGGCGATTCTCAAGGCAGCTGTAGCTCGGTTTCAGTCCACGATCGACCACATTGTATGTCGGTGTTACTCTCGCCACGCGAGAACAACTTGCTAACATCCTTACGATCTGTAGATCTGGACGGCGGGAGCATACCCACATGCGCCGAAGAGCGATCATCTCACCAACGATGACATACTCGAAGTCGCTGGCGCTCGACTTTTTGGCCCCCTGACACTTGTCAACCTGGGGAAGAAATACATGACCGACAGCCGCAAGTCTAGCGTCACTCTGTCCTCCGGCATAGCCATCTACAAGCCTCGCCCAGGCTCTGGACGCCTGATAGGCATCATGAGTGGGTTTGAGTCTGCAGTGCGAGCGCTCGCAGTTGACCTCGCCCCAATCAGAGCCAACTTTGTGGTCCTCGGTCCGTTCAGAACGGCAATGTTGGACCGCTTTGCCCCGGATGAGGCAGCTATAAAGGCATACGCCGATGCCACGCTTTTCAAGTCAGTCGGAGAGGTGGACGAGGCAGCTGAGGCGTATCTTGCCAGTATGCGTTGTAGCTTCATGACGGGATCGAGAATCGATAGCGATGGGGGAGCGTTGTTGTGCTGAGTGGCAGGCGATGTAGTAGGAAAAGTGGCAGTCTCCGCCGTCTAGATTATGAGGAAAGCACGTCCGGAAGCCGCGAGGCAGGAGATCGTTTAGCGGAGAAGAGGCAAGGGGCTAGGGGCGGGCAGTAGAGCTCTCTAAGATAGTAGGCAAAGCATAGCTCTCCGAGACAGCAGGAACAGCACCGCCTAGCAGGAGACTTTATCGTAGGCGATAGTGTCGCGGAGAAGCCAGAATTTGACTGCAGCTTGCTTTATTATGTCGCCTGTCGAACGGAGTACTCAGTAGTGCCCCTGCTTGATCAGTTCACCTCTCGTTCGGAGCGCTGTTTGAGTTGGTCGCCCGTAAATAGTAAAAGTGGTTGCCTTCTTGGCAAGGCGTTGAGTTGCCTCATCTTCGAACGGAGTTTCTTCATTCAGTCAACTCGATCAGGACGACATAGAATCTAGCTTGAGCCGCACTTCCACCTTCATATCACATTCTTCAGGCTTTGTCCGGCTGAAAAGCGACGTAGGTTCTCTGCGACCAGAACTTCCGCTCCCTGGGGTCTGGTTGTTTTCGAAAAGTTAGCAGGAACACTAACCAAAGGTGAAGCAATAATCCTCGACAAAGCGACCGCGCAACACGAGGAAACTCTGAGGTTTTACGTACCTTCCTCCGGCTGCATGAGGCGACACGACGACATTCTTCTGTTTCCAGTACGGAGAGTTCTCGGGTAGAGGCTCGGTGGTGAAGACGTCGAGTGCGGCACCGCCAATCTCCTCCTTTTCCAGAGCAGACAGCAAGGCTTCGTCATCGACTGACGTCCCACGTCCAACGTTGACGATCCAGGCATGATTGGGAAGCTGCTTCAGCCGCTCAGCGTTGAGGACATGCTTCGTTGCCTCCGAGCCCGGCAGAATCATGACCAGTGCATCCGTCTCTGGCAGAAGCTCCGGCAGCTTGTCCTCGCCATAGACCTCAACACCATCACGAACACCTGCGTGACGAGCAACCCCACGGACCTGAGCACCCAGCGCTGTCAGCCATGGCGCGAGGGTCTTGCCGATGTTGCCGAACCCCCAGATGAGCACCCTTGCGTCTCTCAACGTCGTGAACTTCCCAGCAGGCCGGTCAGGCTGCGGTCCGCCGAGATGGCCAGGCCACTTGCCCTGTAGCTGGTAGTCACGCATCTCGAAGAAGCGTCTGGCGGAGTTGAGTAGCAGTCCCAGTGCATGCTCAGCGACCGTGTGGTCGTGTAAGCCGGAACCTGTACATATCGTGATCTCTGAGGCCGAGAATCCAGCGTTAAGTACATCATTGGGACCAGCGGCCAGGGACTGAATCCATCGAAGCTTCTTCATTCGGCCTGCAGCGTCCTTGAGGTTGTCAGATGAGTTGCACCACGTGACCAGGCATTCTGCGTCGATTGCGTCTTCAGGCAGTGTCTTCTTCACATCGTATGCAACGAGATCGACGCCAAACCCTTCGAGACTCTTGGTGTTGAGTTTCAGCGATGTCGGGTAGAGCAGCTTCATCCTGTTGGGCCTTCGTGATGCTGCTTGGTGTTGTGGAGTGGTTTCGCTCTGGCTGAGTCCCAGTTGGATCTGGTGGAGTCTTGAGATGGCCTTTTGATAGTTGCTCTGTTGTGCGTTTGTCATGGTATGAAAGAGGAGGACCTCCAATGTTTTAAATGCCGTCAATGAGAGCAGGAGGACATCGGCAATTGTCGGCAACGGTCTGCATCCGGCAGGTACTTCTTCCTCGCTCCTCCATCACATGTGCCGTCTGCTCTCGTCTACGACCAACCACGGCCGGCCGAAGCGTGGTGTTGTTGGCCTGCTCTTCGTATGATTTTGTCAAGGATGTAGTCGTACATCGAAGCGCACTCCTGCCTATTACTGAAAGAGGTAGGGAGCTGGCGAGCTTCATTGATTCCACTGCTTACGAATCGTTCCTATCTAGCCTCCGCCTGACATATATAACACACAAGCTATCAGCATCTTTCCCTGGGCCTGTTAAGTTGACGATCGCTTCCATGATGGCGACGACAACAGATACAGATTTACTGAAGTCTCTGCTCGCGAAGGGCCCCCCTAAGTCACTCGGAAGCAGCAGGGAGCTGACGCTGGCACTTGGGGACCTCTATATCGCTTCAACGACTCTCAAGGCGAAGCCGCTGCTGGTCTGGGAGACGGAATCTGGCTATCCTCGTTACTACATCCCGTTCGATTCGTTGCACCAGGATATCAAGGCAGCTTTTGCAACGGGCTTCTCAGAAGGAGGTCCAGATGTAAAGCTGGAAGTCGTGAACAATGTGAAGGGCGAAAATGATGCTGAAGCTGTCATTGAGCGGCTCTCCATTGGCTCGAAGTCGACGACGTGGGTGAGATTTACCGGAGGACCGCTCAAGGACTTGATCAGGTTCGAGCGCCAGGAGATCGGTGAGTTGTGTTGCCTCGATCGTCGTCAGTACGTACGGCTCAGTACCTTGACATTGACCGATATGACAGATGAATGGTTCGAGAACGGCGCGCTGTTCGTCGGGATCAAGAACCCGTACAAACGCATCGACACCAAACCTGTAGCGAGACATGTCATCGTCAAGATTGACGGGGAAGTCGTCGCCGAGACGACCGTTGCAGTACTTCTTTCTGAGACGGGTCTCAAGGAGGCATACTATTTGCCCGCGACCAGCATCAAAAGCTGGGACATGGTTGAGAAGAGTAGTTGGAGGACTGCTTGTCCGTACAAAGGAGAGGCCTGGTGAGTTGATGATCGCACCCACATGAGAAAGCTTGGTTGGGCTCTGCTAATATCTTTCTCTGTGGGATAGGTACCTCAACATCACCGTTGATGGAAAGAAGAAAGAGGACAGCATTTGGTGTACGTCGGCAACCAGCAGCATCCTTGTCCATACCGAATACAACGCTGACCCCTCCGCACCCAGACTATCCCTACCCAACCCACGAGAGCGCCGGCATCGAGGGCTTCATCAGTTTCTACAATAAAGAAGGCACGGATATTATAGTAGACGGCGTCAAGGTGTGAAGGTCCTTCTGGACGCTCCATATATGCTTTAATATAGCTTCATTATCGCACCTGGGCGAGTGGAGCAGACCATCTCATATGCCCGGACTACAGGTCTTCCGCCTAGAGGTCGTCTGCTCCTAGCACGTGGCCTTGCTGTTATAAGCGTGCCTTTGTCGACCGCCAAACCTGCACCCGTGAGTCTTCCTGCCACGATGATGGGAATAGCTGCGGACCCAGAATTTTCTTCTGCACCTTTCCAGTCTCGCCCTTTGGCAGCTCGCCATCTACTACTCTCAGCAGCGTGGGCAGCTTGTACGCCGGCAATGTCTGCCTCAGATCTTCCCGCAACCGATCGATCCTCAAGCTCGAACCATTAGAACCAGCAGTGGGCAGCACGACGGCAGCAACTCGCTGCCCGAACTCTTCATCGTCGACTCCCAGAACGCTGACTTCTCGTACGTTCGGCAGCTTCAGACACGCTTGTTCGACCTCTGGTGCGCCAATCTTGTAACCTCCTGACTTTATAATGTCCACTGAGGCCCTTCCAACGATGAAGATATAAGGACCTTCTTGGCGAGCGATATCGCCTGTCTTGAACCATCCGAGCTCGTCGTGGGCGGCTACTGTGGCCGCTTCGTCGAGAAGATATCTGAAGGGAAACGTGTAAGATGGTGGCAAAGGTATGGGAAGACAGCCCTGCTTACCCTGAAAACATCAGCGGCGACTTGATCAGGAGTTCACGCTCGCTATTGATCTTGACGTCAACGCCAGCTGTTGGACTTCCAACGCTGTTGCCAGGCAACCTGGGGAAGTCAGCATCCGCAGACACTCGGATACAGCCAGGTACTTCAGAGGAGCCGTATCGAACGAAGATGCCGGGCTTGCCATTATCCCGTAGACTGGTCCAGAAGTTTTGCACGGGTTGCTGCAGCGCGCTAGAACCACAGAGAAGGCATCGCAGAGCTCGAACACCGGCGGTGTATGCGTCCTTCTTGGCATCCGGAAGGTTTGCCAGCTCCTTGTTGTAGTGCCACATCAAGCGCAGATACATTGTCGGCACGCCAGAAAAGACCGTGATGCCACCCTCTCTGATCCGCCGCCATACCCAGGCGGGATCGAATGAGCCATGTGTTTTGAACTCGATGCAAGCGCCGCTGACCATCCACGGGAAGAAGCTTGTCCCAAGACCAGTTGCATGGTGCACTGGCAGAGTATGTAATAGCACGTCCTTGTGTGTGATGTCGTACCCTTCTACCACATTGAGTGCAGCCTCGTGGATGTAAGCACGACGCAGTACTGATCCTTTCGGTTTGCCTGTGGTACCGGAGCTTTGCAAATGAAGAGTCAGTGTGTGCCTTAAGAAGCATGGGTGTCGTTGATCGCACATACGTAAAGATGACAACTCCTGCTGTGTTGTCGTCAAGATAACGGTCGCACGAGATGACTATGTCGCGAGGCTGCAACCGGGAAGAACTTGTCATTGCGTCCGAAACGGTTAGATGTGCTAGCGGTTGACCCTGTTCTCTGCGCAGACTCAGCACACTTTGAGCGAGGCCCGTCGTCGAGCTGGACGAGAGGATCGCGATCTGCCGGGACTTATTGACGAAGTACACCACTTCCTCTGGAGGATTGGCAACGCCTAGGCAAGTTAGAATGGATCCAAAGCTTTCCTAACGAGACCGGGTACTCACTCATGGGTACGACAGCAGCGCCGATCGCCAAAGCAGCGACCATTGCAACTGCAAACTCATAACCACCAGCCGCCAGGACACCTATGTAGAGCTCATCTCCGCGCCTCAGTCTTCGGACAACGCTAGGGTCAAGCCTCTTCTCCAGGGCAGATCTTAGACTCAGAGCATCTCCTAGAAGATCCAGGTATGTCTTCTCTACGCCGAGAAGATGGTCCCGAATGGCGAGCCGACCACGATGCGCATGTCTGAGAAGCTTCGTGAAGAAGGGGCTGTTGGGCAGTACATTCTGCCCTTCGTGTGGTGGAAAGATTCTACTACGATCGGGAGACTTGATTGATGGAGGGCTAGCCATTGTTGATGTGGTCTGGACCCCACTCGTCTCTTTCCGCGGTGAATGGGATCAGCCCAGTAGATCGAAGTCCACCATGAGAAGGCATGGTGGAGAATGCGAATCCTCCATCAAGATATCTTGTTGTCTCAAGGCGGAAGGAGTGAGTTGAGCGAAGTCGGAGGTTGATTCAAGAAGTGGAAACACCGAGCTTCAACTTCTCTCTGACATCTCATCATCATCTTCTTCTTCTTGCCATCGACAAACGTGAGTTATGCTGATGAAGGCCAGCTTGGGAGAGGAGGTAGGTCTTGGTGACAGACTCGCGTTCGCATCACGCACTTCGTCAGCCATCCGGAGCGTTTCTCGACAGCCTTCGCCATGTTGCCGGAGACTTTCGACTTCAGCTGGTGATGAGGCAGCGAATATGAAGAGGTGGGTTCCAGGAACGGCGAGTGTGCAAGTTTCTTTCATTCACCTTTGATCTCCGTCCACCATGAAGGCCATCAAAGCAACCACCCTTGGCCACGCCGAGATCGTCGAAGTCCCAGAGCCTGAAGTAAAGGCCAACACAATCCTCGTGCGTCCGAGCTACGTCGGCATCAACCCCTGCGACCACATGGTCACAGATTATCTCTCTCACTGGCACCAAGACCAGATCCTAGGCTGCGACTACTCAGGAACAGTCGAAGAGGTTGGTTCTGATGTGGAGACCACACTGAAGCCGGGCGACAAAGTGTTCGGACCACTCGCCGCTGGCGCCGCCTATGACCATAGCAGAGGTGCATTTGGAGAGCTATTGCCAGCTTATGGCGACCTGTGCTTTGCGAAGCCGACCAGTATCAGCGAGGCAGGAGCAGCAAGTCTTGGAATAGCTCTCTCCACCATCGCTGTGTCGTTTTACAGCGACTTCGGACTGCCGTTACCAGATGAGAATCCAGAATCTGGGAGAGGCAAGCCATTCTTCGTCTACGGCGGGAGCACCACGACAGGGCTGCTGGCTATCCAGTTCGCGAAGCTCTCAGGCTTTCGTGTGCTTACAGTCTGCTCGCCAAAGAACTTCGAGCTTGTGAAGAGCCGGGGCGCGGATGAGGCGTACGACTACCACGATCTTGAGGACTGCGCGAAAGAGATAAAGGTCTCTGTGGGTGACTCACTGAAATACGCATACTGTTGTGTGACGAGCGTGGAGGCTCCAAAGGTAAGTTCAATGCTTCATGAATAGAGGACGGATGTTGACGTGTCCGATAGCTCTGCGCTGAAGTCCTCACTCCTACTGGTGCCAAGTTTGTGACGATAGCTGGTCCGATGCCTGAGCGAGGTGGCATCTACAGTCACTTCACCTTCGGACAGAGCGTCATGGCAGAATCGTACAAGACGTTCGCTGGGAGAACACCCCAGACGGCAGAGCGGAAGGAATTAGGACTGCGAGTGTGGAGGATGGCTGTGAAACTACTGGAAGAGGGCAAGCTGAAGCCGCCACCCCTTGAGGTGAGAGAGGGCCTTGAAGGTGCCTTGCAGGGTATTGCGGACCTCAGAGAAGGCAAGGTGAGCGGAAAGAAAATTGTAAGTCGGATGGGCTTGTGAAAGCGTGGGTTCTGATCAGCCTGAATATCCAAAATAAAGAACGCCGATGAGAAGTCCTCGACCAGCGTCAGACCGCCAAAATGGTATCTCGAACACAAAAAGCAAACCAGTCCTCCACATCACACCACTCGCTCCTCCCTCTTCCTCTCCTGCTTTTCCTCGGTAAAGAGTCTATACCTGTTCTCAGCCGCATTGAAAGCCGCAGCGCCTGCCACCAGGCCACCGACCGTCTTCACGTTCTTCATGTTCTTCTCATCACCTTCTGTGTGCGCGAATCTCCTGGCAGTCATAGCGCCAATTGCTGCCCCGGCAGCCGCTGCAAACAGACCATCGTACGACGAGTCAAAGTTGCGTTCCAAAAAGTTCCCATCTTTCCGCGAGCGGCCGCTGTACCACAAGATTCCATCATCATCCTCACTTTCGGGTCGAGCAGGTTTCGCGCTTCGAGCACGCCTGTGTCTGCTTCGATGCCGCCTTCTGCGGTCATAATCCGAGTCGCTGGAGCTGGCGCTGCTGCTAGAAGGGCTGCGTCGTCTGGATGAAGCTCCCCTGTAACTCCGCGATCGTTGAGGCCGGTATTCGTCTACAGCAAGATAGTCTTCGTTGCGGCGCGGCGGCGAACGAACGTAGTTGTCGTCGGCTTCTCCACAGTAATCTGGACCGCGATCACGTCTCGGTCCCAAGACCATTGCTCTCTCACGTTGGCGAACGTTATCGAGCTCATCATCCGGAATCTCCTGGACGCGGCGCTCGCGCACGCGCTGGCCCGTGCGAGGGTCGTTGTAGGTCACATCGACGATTGTGCTTTGGCGAGACATGGCGGTTGTCGGATGTGGTTGAGAGACGAGGCTAAGATTCGCCAACGAAGGATAAGGACGACAAGGCTGAGGCGAAGTGCTTGTCCGACCGAACCGTCCTGACCGCGTTCCTTGCTGCGATCCCTGTGTTCCGGCATTGCGAACCGCTTATTGGTCGTGCAGATACGATCATCTGTGGCGTCATCCAGGAACACAGAGTCGGTCATCTGTGGCGGCAGCGACACGTCGGGATGGATACCGACTTGCTTCCCGACACCGATTCCATTCTTGCAGCAGCCGTAAGACGGTATTGAGAAGGTTGAAGTCGAGCTGTGGGAACCCCACGTGTTGCTGCGGATCGATCACCGGACGGCATACATGCAACCAAACGGTCGTTGACAACATGGAAAAGCGTTGCGAGCTCTCCGACGGTGCACCCATTGCGAGCTCGCCGTTGATGCTCAGTATACGGTCGCAGTCCGTCCGGTAGCAGCTCGTCTGGCCGATTCTTTGTGATCGCGCTCTCACTCTCACCTCGTCCGACCTCGGCAGTAACCAGAACGCACCTTGACGCAATGGCGGCCATACGAGCGACCTCTCAATCGGCTATCTGCAGACACCTCCGACGAGACGGCGGTGAGGAAGTAGTAGTTATTCACAGAACCCACCCTTGTCGCACGCGGCAATGCGAGTAATTCACATGCGCTGGCGCCGAAAGGATTCGCGCGATCACGGAGGCGTGCGCAGGACGTCCATTCGTCAAGTTTCCGGCGTGACATGTGCACGAATGTACGACCGTGATATCAGCGATGCGTGACGCCGTGCATACCCGTGTCTTTTGTCTGCGCCTCTCTTCATGAATAACCTGCCCATCACCAAGTCGAGCAACATCTCCGCGACGACCGCTTGGTCGCCGCACAACCAGCAGCGGGCAAGATGAATTATGCCAACATGATAGAGGAGAAGGGCTTGAAGGTACTGTAGCTCGAAACTCCACCATTTCACACGCCCGCGGAGGCTAACACATGCGCAGAAAGGGTTCATTGTAGCGACCCTCGTGAGCACCATTGTTGGCACCTTTACCACATCCCTCAACTTCTACGACCGAGTACAAGAGAGGAAGGCCGCAAAGAAACAGAACCGCGTCGACGATGGCCAGAACAAGGAGATCCAGTCCCTGCGCGAGGATATCCAGAATATGCGCAAAGGCGGCAAGAAGGACTCCAGCTCCTCCCGCTCGCGCTCTCGCAGCACCGACCGCTCTCGATCTCACAGACACCGTCGCAAAAGCCGGAGACGAAGCGTAGGATATGACGACGATAGCGACGAGGACTTTCGCCGCCTAGCTGGCCGCTCACGCGCAATGATCGAGCGCGAGTATGACGAGAACTACCTCCGTCTGGGCCAGCGGTATGCGCAGGGTGATGTGGTGACGGAGAACAAGCTGCAGGCGCAGATCATCACGCTCCAGCAGGCGGTTATCAACGTTCTGCAGGATGCGTTGATGGATGGGAGGAGCTTGACGAAGGCGGATATACACCGCCTGGTGGGGGCGCAGGAGAGGGCGAGGGACGGCAGCCTGGAGGCGCTCAGAGGGATGTATGACCGGCTGCTGCCCGAGGCTGGAGACAAGAGGTTGAGGATCGAAGGGCCGCCAGAGAGGAATGAGGACATGAGGTTGGGGAGACAAATGACGTTGCCGGTGGAGAGGGAGAGGGAGGAGGTTGCATTGGCGCCGGTGAATAGGGTGAAGTCGATGCCGGTGCATGCGAGCTCGGAAGAACTGTACTGTCGATATAGCAGCGACTTGCAGGCTTCGAGGGTGGGCTTGGCGCCGGCGTTTCCTTCGAGTGGTGGGTGTAGGTGTCCCGACTGCGGAATACGGATACCGGTGTCGAAACAAGATGCGTGGACGTTCGAGGTGCGGATACCGGTCGGAGATGGGCTGGTCGAGAAGCGGATGTACGAGATGGACGCGCGCATGGTCGTCAAGAGCCACACGCCTTATGGTGATTATGCGTGCGTTCTGTGCTCGCGGGAAAGGGACATGGACTGCATTTGCAAGAGCGTGGAAGTGCTTTTGGAGCATCTAGGGCGCATACACTCTTCACAAGAGTTCGAGCACGAGAAGGACATGCATCGGGTGTGAGCGGTGATAGCGTTCTGCATTGTGGTTCAGGATACCCTTCTTAGCTTTATAGGCCAGTGGACGACCTTTGACATCGGCGCCAAACCATCTCGAGATCACGAAAACTCCAGACCCTCCTGATCCATGAACACGAAGCCAGTGATCGATTGTATAAGTCTACCACAAGCTCGCTCCGCACTCAAGTGCTCGCCCAATATCGTTCATGTCATGTGCCCGTCAACCGTGCCTTAGTCGCATCCCGCCCCAAGTTCTTCAAAACACAATCCCGCCAGCAAACGCCCGCTAAGTTCAAGTAGCCAGACAGTTTTCCCAGACGATCACTCTGGACTCATACCTTCGGGTCGTGATAAAGGAAGTTGATGTCCCGTGGCCGCTGCCGGTTCGATCGGACAAACTCCGCATCTCCTGGTGGCCCTACCACGAGCATTAGATTCAGCATTGTATGCAATTCAGCACATATAGTGGGTTACTCACGCTCCGCCTTGCTGTTCCCCGCAAGCATGCTCTGAATACTTATACACACGCTCTCCACATTATGCACCGGACTCCAACCCTGACTGTCCAGCAGATCTAGACATATGATCCCGTTGCTGTAGATGTGAGGGTGTAGCGGGATCTTGCGTTCGGGAGATGTGCAGGCGACGAAAACGACTTCGGGGGCTTCGATGGGGTAGGAAGGGGAGAAGCTGAAGCGCATGCGGTAGGTCTCGTGGGGCGGGTAGATGGGGTTGTCGATTATTGAGATGTCCATGGTCCATTCTCGGAGGTCTGGGGCGGATACGAGTGTTATGCCGGGTGGGAGGGTGCCTTGGATCTGTCTCTTGTCAGTCGGTGGTTCGACGAGCAGCAGTGGGAATGTGTACGTACCTTGCTCAATTCTTTCTGCAGCCGCTTGCTGCTCATGCCCGCCATCGTGAAGGCTTCAAGAGGGTCTTCAGGTCAGCAACGCTGAGACAGAGGTAGGTATTCGGCCGTAGACCTATCCGCCTTGCGCTGTCGTTGTGCAAGCAGGGGGTCCTAATCGCGGTTGGCCTAATAGATGACGGTGCAGGTGATGATTTGGAAGTCTGAAGCGACTGTTTGATTAGTCGTTGACTCGGAGTATGTCATGCGTGTCAAGTTGATCTCCTTGAATTCACGTGGATTCATACAGTGAAGACAGTCGACAAGCGGGCATATCCGCACTCACATGTCACATCGGCCCGCGGTCGAGATCTGCAGGGCAGGGCAGGGCAAGGGAAGTGTGGGAAGGTGGGGCGCGAGAGAGCGAGGATTGCGAGAGATTGCCTGATGGGACGCCTCAGCGGGGCAGGCGCAGAAACAGAGCTGATGAGGCTGTGTTGACTTCGTCTCCTAAACGTCGCATACACCTCTTCATATCCCGCCCTCGCCATTCTCCTCAACACATCCAGACTCACAGCACCCTTCTTGGGCATTGGAGCAGCCGTCCATTGCGACGCCACGGTCACCAGCACGACCCAACGGAGGAGAAGACAGTGGGAGGAGGTGTTTGACAGCAAGCAGTAGGCGGCCTCGAGGCTGCCAGGTGCGACAGCATGTCGTGTGAGTCCTTCCTTCGTTGTTCGGCATCCCGAATCTCTTCAATGCCTTCCATCTTCTGCTCTTCGTTGCCGCGCTCAATCCTACGTCCCATCGAAATACCTACCTTGAGCTTCCCTACCAAACCCACGCCGACAACACCTATACGCCGACAAATACCACTGACGCCGACGTGGCGCTCATCTCCTATACCACATCAGATCTTCACCACCACACTGTACCATGCACAATACGCACAAACTGAGCCAACGCTGATGGGTTAAAATACAGTCTCCAACATGCTCAACAAGCTCCATGGGCAGCCCGAATCCTATGATCGCAAGTCGAAATACCGCATGGGCCGCACCCTCGGCGCTGGCACCTATGGTATTGTCAAAGAGGCCGACAGCCCTGACGGCAAGGTGGCAGTCAAGATCATCCTAAAGAAGAACGTCAAGGGCAATGACCAGATGGTCTACGACGAGCTGGAGATGCTCAACCGCCTCCACCATCCGCACATAGTCCGCTTTGTCGATTGGTTCGAATCACGAGACAAGTACTACATTATCACGCAGCTTGCTACTGGTGGTGAACTCTTCGACCGCATCTGCGAGAAGGGCAAGTTTACGGAGAAGGACGCTTCGCAGACTATAAGACAGGTGCTGGAGGCAGTCGACTACCTGCATCAGAACGATGTAGTGCATCGCGACCTCAAGCCAGAGAACCTGCTCTACGTCACTCGCGCACCTGACTCGGAGCTTGTCCTTGCAGATTTCGGTATTGCAAAGCACCTCGACTCGCCGGATGGAGTGCTCAAGACCATGGCTGGGTCGTTCGGCTACGCAGCTCCAGAGGTCATGCTCAAGAAAGGTCATAGCAAGCCGGTCGACATGTGGTCACTCGGCGTCATTACCTACACTCTTCTCTGCGGCTACTCTCCCTTCCGCTCCGAATCCCTCGCCGACCTCATCGACGAGACAAAGCACGGCCGTGTTGTTTTCCACGAGCGCTACTGGAAGGACGTCTCATCACAGGCCAAAGCCTTCATCATGACCCTTCTCAAACCGGACCCGCACGCCCGTGCCACGAGTAGCGAAGCCCTGCAAGATCCCTGGATCAAGGGCCACGGCGCCACCAACCACGACTTGCTTCCTGAGATCAAGGCCTACATCGCACGCGCCCGCCTCAAGAGAGGTGTGGAGCTCGTCAAGCTGGCCAACCGCATCGAAGCGCTCAGGATGCAGGAGGATGAGGAGGAGGATGTGCCGCAGGAGGCGGATGTGCCCGCAGACTCGAAGAAAGCAGCTCAGGAGGCTGTAGACAGTCACCACCAGCGGCAGAGTTCTGGGGGTACGTCGGGTGGCTTGGCACCGCCGGACCAGGAGGTGTCGAGGAAGAGGAGTTTGAGCAAATTGGCCAAGAGTGCCATCTTCCGCGAGGTGGGTCAAATCAGATTTGAAGAGATGGTGTCTGTTTGCTAATCTTGATACGCAGGTCGTCCTCGCTAAAGTCAAGGAGATGAAAGCGCAGGAGGAGCAGCAGAAGACCCTCTCAGATGTCACTGGTCATGGATCCACGCCACCTGCTCCAAAGCGGTGATCGACTCGATTGGATTACCTTCGCCTGAAATACTAGATTGCGTTATGGGACCACGAAAGCGTATGAAGGAGTGAGATGCGGGATGAGGCGTACAGAGACATCGTTGGGTTTGCATATCAGTGCTGTGGATACTTTATGATACCTACTCGTTTGACCTTTCGAAAAGCTCGGCATTGACCGCTCAGTCTCGGTCCTCCTCCGCATCCTCTTACTTCGCACTCGTCTGCGCCTGGTCGTACTCCTCCTGCTTCAGCTCATCGTGCCAGCTCGTCTCTGCGGTTACCCCAATACGTCAGCACTTCTCACTCCTACATCATTCGACACTCCACCCTTGTTCCAACCGCATCAGCGGATAAAAGAAGTGATACTCACTGCCCATACTGATAGCCGTGTGCGCCATCACCGTTCCATTCGTTGCTCCGTGCCAGTGAGTTTCCCCAGCAGGCACGTGAACGACATCCCCGACCTGCAGACGTCGAGGCTCCTGGCCTTTGCTGCAGACCAGACCGTAGCCCATGGTTACCGTCAAGATCTGACCGCGTTCGTGGGTGTGCCAGTAAGTGCGAGCTCCGGGGGTGAAGCAGACGTTGTTGGCCATGCCTGGAGGAGGTCAGTGGGGATGGAGGGACGAGGGGAGTGAGTTGAAGGGAGTAGTACAGTCGTCGGCGGAGAAGATGGGGTCCATGTGCACGGTGCCTGTGAATGTCTCCGTTGGTTGACGGGAGTTGGTGTCTGGTTTGTGGGCGCCGCGGATGAGCTGCATGGTGGGCGAGTGGATGTTATGGGACTGGAGATAGGTAGCGGGTGACTGTAAAAGGTGTCCGAATTACAAGTCAAGTCCACAGAACTATACAGGTGTACGTAAATGCATCATCTTTCCCTCCTCCTCGTCTTTCGGCAATCGTGTTGCTGGGGTTGGAGAAGCTCTGGCTACCTCCGTGATCGGTCGTGGGGCTAGTCATGGGCCGTAGCCATGTTGTTCAGAGATCCAGAGAAAAGCACGTTTTTACAGTTTCTTCGCATGCATACCATGCCGCGAGGTGCAGTTGGAAGGTCCGGAAAAGGACAGGCGATGTGTTAGAAGAAGTGGCAGTCTCCGCGATCCAGACTACAAGCAGAGTAGACTTAGGACCCTCCAGGCAAGATTTTGTTTGGCGGAGAGGAATTACAAGCGAGTATTATGGTTCTCCGAGATAGCAGGACCACTATCGCCTAGCAGAAGGCTTCATAGCATACGATCGTGTCGTGGAGAAGCCAGAACCTGTGCTACGTAGCCAAGTCGTCGACAGTAAAAGCGGCCAACCAAGGGAGCCGTGTAGGGGTCTTCTCACAGACAGTGAACGCCCCTCTGACGAGAGTGATGTGGCCTTTCGGACCGCAACGTCGTCTCCTTGGAGAGGACTGTCAAGTTGGTGTCCCCTTTCATTGTGTCTTGCTGCCCTGGGTAAGGTAGCCTACCGGGCAGGCTCGGCCAAGTGGGACGTGCGGCGGAGACTTAAAAGTTCTCCGACGACTTCACTCGAGTGAATGTCAACCAGATGACCGTCTGGACCCATGCAAAAAGCACACTATTGCTCACGATGGCCTATGCGGGCCCATCAAATAGCGCAACGACCGTCTGCGAAGTGTATCGTCCACCTCTCGCAGCTGTATCGCGACTCACGATCGATCCCCCCGAATATTCCTCTCCGTGGGCGGCTGCCTCAGCGCTGCGCATGCTCCAGACTGGTTCGGCGATCAATTGCACCCCACGTAAGAGAATGCCGGGAATGGTGGTACAAGGTGTGCTTGTCGCGGTGCCTGGATAAAAGCCAGAAGCTACATGGTGCCTGAAGAGCATCGTTGAGCCTTCCGGACGGGCCACGGTCGCCACAGAGAGTTAGAAAAAGCATATGGGCGGGAAAAACTGATCTCGAGAACTCATATCTGCCAGGATACTCCGGAAAGTATGATGCGGCGTTGGCATGACTATTGGTCATCCCAACAAGCACCCAGGTGCCTGGCAAGATGTGTAGTGCGGACGCCGGCGGGTTAGTATTCGTTGGTGGTAGGTCAGGGTCACTTACATTAAATCTTTCTTTCCTCTCGCGCGTTATTCTCGAGCGGCCCTTGCTGCCATTGGTGGCGGCGGTCCGGGGGGCCTGTGCGCCATCGCGAGCGACGCCCTTTGCAAAATTCTCGGCGCCACGCTCTTTCTTGCTCTTCATACCACACGTCTATCAAAATCATAGTCAACATTTACAAGGCTATGGCATCGACAGGCGTATTACCCAAGAAGGGCGAGGGGACGAGAGATCAATCTGTCACAGTAAGCATACTCTGGCGCCCTTGACATCCGGCTCATGCCGAACACCCAGATCTCGAACAATCTGCCGAGCCAGCCCAAGGCCAGGGAGCAATCGGAGCTAGAAAGCTCCTCAAGCGCGGCCGACGGCCTAATGCATAATCAGCAAAACGTGCCAGGAGGTAGAAATACGAGAAGCGCGGAGGAAATCGAAGAGTCACAACTGGCAGAGCGGTTACAGTCCGCCCGTATTGACGCGGTTCGTCTAAACCAAATGCCCGAAGCGATGATGTCACCAGCTGATGCCATCCCAGGCGGCCGACACGGAAAGCAAATTGGCGAGTGAAATCGATATGCTCAATGATCATGTCCGGCATCTCAAATTCGAGCTGCAGAAGATATTGGAATTTGAAGAGGAGCGAATTGCCATGATAGGCAAGCTCGACGCATACGTGGCCAAATTGTTTGAATGTAAGTCATGTGCCGGAGTGCCTCAATGTCGTTGTACTGACGCTTCACAGCCGAAGACGAGGAAGTTAGGCGCAACGCACTCGAGCGAGCTATGAAAGAATTCCGCATCGCCCGTAAAGCGGCCAAGGAGGGTCGACACGCATCAGCAACTTTCGGCCCGGAGGATATCCCGGTACGATATGTCCAGGAGAATTATACAAGTGTTGCTCCCTCGCCGACGATGGCCAGCCATTCGGCCAGGCTCTCGCAATCAAGCCCGCAACAATTCTGCCCGACGGCAACACCACCTGCCGATGAAGGGCACGAGAGCCCTCGAGTCGAGGACTTCGACTCCTTGCCCTTTTAATCCCGCGGAAGGCGTGAAGAATGAGACAAGGCCTGCAATATCCTAATCGATGTCCTGGACGACGTTCAGTCCAATGGTGCAACAATTCGTTTCTCCAACTGCGCCAGAAGGTCGACAGGGTCGACGAATCTTGCAACAATGTCACGGCGGACGTTGGCGCCCTCACTGCGGACGTTGCCCCCGTCGCTGTGGACGTTTACACCCTCATAGAGGGTTGGCCTGATAGGCCGGACGGCAATCCGGAATCGCTCAAACCTGTGCTTGACAAAATGCAAGAGCAAATCGCCTCCCAGAGCACACGTCTTGAAGGTGTTGTTCGCTCCGTGAGGCAGCTCGTGCCCTTGCTGGGCAGAATGGCAGTGGTGGAAAGGAAGAATGCAGAATTGAAGCAGCGTCTCGCGAATACGGAGCAGCGTCTCACGAATGCCGCCGCAATGTACAATCTGACCATCTGAGCCTGGACGGTCGAATGAAAGCGGTCCGAGACAATTGCCAATGGCCTACGTTGATGCCTACGTCTCTGACAGTGGGTTTTGCACGGCATGGCTTTGGTGACCGATTGGTTCGATGCCTACGTCTCTGACTGCGGGTATTGACCGGCGCGGTATTGGGGAGGAAAGGAAGGCGGCTTGTGTTCATGCTCACGTCTTATGACCGTGGGTGTTGATACAGGTAGCAATGGAGGTTGATATAGACAACCAAATGGCGAATGACGATAAAACTACAAATACCGTGCTGTTGCTGTGCACCGGGACTGCTCCCCTCGCCGTCAATTCATCCATGATGCCTCTGATGAGGTCACGTCTCGCGGTGCGAACCCTCCCGCTTGACTTTGTGTCCTTCATGTGCTCACTCACCTCCAGAGGCAGGCGGGACGGTGGAGACCTGGGAGCGGCGCTGTGACGTTGAACCAGTATGTCCCTTACAAGATATCTCGGCAAGCGCGTCGCTGGGGGTGGGAGAAGCGTCATGTTCGCTTGTCGTTGTCAACGTCGTCCTCGATCAACAACATCTCCAACCGTGTATGAATCGGTAAGGTAGCATGATGAATACTCCAGCCTTTCCAAATCCGAATCCATCTCATCGGGGCGATACGCCTACGGACTGCATTGTTCAATTGACAGTCAAACATATTGATGGCATGGTCTTGACGTCATTACATTTTGCTACAACAAGACATGACTTCGAGGACGTCAATGTGATTGACTGGGCTATGAACGAATATTGTACAGCTTAATTGCTCATCAATCGAGAGACCACCTTCAACTTGCAGAAGAACTCAGCGCAATGGAGAGCAACAACAAGTTTGACCCGAACACGGACATTCCGGACTTGACGGGTAAGTGTTTGATTGCCACCACATTCTGACATATTATTGACCATCATTAGGGAAGGTTTTTGTTGTGACGGGCGGCTCAGCAGGCATAGGTTATGGCATCTGCGCACACCTGCTGCAGCACAACTGTAAGACACTGTACCTACTAGGCAAGAAAGAGGAGCACCTCTCCGAGGCGGAAGAAGGTCTTAAGAAGTACGGCGACATCTCTCGCGTCAAGCCCATCCAGATTGAACTCGAGAACCTCCATCAGACGGATTCGGTTGCCAAGCAGCTCGCCTTGGAGTTGACGCAGCTCGATGGACTGGTATTGAACGCTGGCCTGGGCGTGGGAGTTTACAACGAGACAGCCGACGGCATCGACTCGCATATGCAGGTCAATGTGTTCTCCCAACATCACCTGGCTATGATGTTGCTGCCCCTGCTGCTCAAGACTCCAGACAGCCGCTTGGTTTTGCAGTCGTCAGAGTTTCATAGGATGCTGACGTCCAACCCGTCTTTCGAGAGCTTAGCAGAAATGAACAAGGATATCGGAGCCATGCCGTTGTACGCCCGAACAAAGCTGGCTCAGGTCCTGCTGGTGCGGTACATGCACGGTCTGAAGGCAAATCCTGACAACAAGCTCGGCCTGAAGGAAGGGCAAGCGCCGTGGATCAACGCGACGCATCCGGGTGGTGTGGTGACCGACCAACAGGAGCAGGCGATCGAAGCGTACGGTACAAAGGGCAAGCTCGGTGTTAAAGCTGTGCGTCCGTTCATGAAGGACCCGATCGATGAGGGTTGCCGGAGTGCGTTGTTTGCGGCCACAGGGACGCAGATTGGGTCTCAGCCGATCGATGGCGAGTATATCGTTCCAGATTGCAAGGTGTCTGATGTCAGTAAGGAGGCCAAGGATGGGCAGCTTGCTGAGAGGCTGTGGAGGTTGACTGAGACACTATTGAAGGAGAAGCTGGGGAGCCTGGAGTATCCGACGGTGTTAGTATAGCTGGAGAGTGATGGCTAGCTTTACGGTAGTCTCATTTGAGGGCACCTCTCCCCGTTCACTTGACATTTTCGTCGCTACACGCCTGATTATGCTGCCGCGCGAGCAACATGGAAGCCGGAGACCCCATCGTTCGCCAATTGCGCTACTAGCTGCAGCTCCCAGTCGATGTAGGCTTGCATGTTGGCGTGAGCGTTGTCTGTTCCCTCGTATGGCCGTTTGTAGACATCAATCGGTTCGCTGAGCCATCGGCACTCCGTTTCCAACGACAGTCCAGCGTCAATCCAAGCTGCCGTGCCCCCAGCCAGAACGTACACCGGTCGATATGTCTCTTTCTTGGCATCAGCTATGTTCGCTTGAGCAATGTTGCCGTCCGGCGAGGTCAGGACGATTGCTCCATGCCCTGGAGCTGCCTTGGAGTCACGGGCGATCTCAGGTCCTGAAGCGAACCATGCCCCGGGAATGTGGCCTTTGCGATATGCTGTGCTTCTTGCTAGGTCGATGATCGTCGAATTGTCGAGGTGTCGAAGGTCGGCTACAGTAATGAAACCTTTCTTTGTAGTCTCGTCCGCTGACGCAGATACCTCTGGCATTGGCAGGCGGCCTGGAGCATTCTCATCCAGAACGAAGACGTCCCAGCCCATCTGATACAGCCACGACGCCGCCATCCGCGCTCTCACACCGTCATTGTCATGGAGAACGATGCGAGCTCCCCTGACCGCCACCCACTCGTCAGTAGCCTGCACAAGCTGACCACCAGGCGCATTACGCCACCCTGCAACGTGACCATGGCTGTACTCTTCCGGGTCACGCACGTCGAAGGTATACAGAGTCCGATCCAAGTCGCCATGAAAGCTGGCAAGCTGCCCATCATCGATGACACGCACCCCGACATGGTCCGCCCATGCTTTGGCGCTCGCTTGGGCCTGTGAACAAGCTGCGGCCGACGGCTTCGGGGCACGCTCGTCCTTTCCCTTCTCGAGATCCAGACCTGCTAGAGTCCAGCCTATCGTCCCGTTACGTAGTGCCACGACCTTGTTTGGGATTCCGGAGTTGATGAGAGATTGTGTCCCTACAATAGACCTCGTTCGACCGGCGCAATTGACCACAATAGTCGTGTCCGGATGTTTTGCAATCTCGCGAGCGCGGTAAACCAGCTCTCCACCGGGACAGCTCTGCCCGCGAGGGATGCTCATGGTATTGAACTCTTCGTACCGGCGGGCATCCAGCACGACCACATCCCTCTCGATTTCAATCAGACGCTTGATATCCTTCGCAGGCAAAGAGGGCGTGTGCCTAATCGCCTCAACAAGCTCCCCAAAGGCTTTGCAAGCGCTGTTGACGTCGCGGTAGACCTCCCCTATCCGGGAGTATGCATCAAGCCCGCCCTCGAGAGCTCGAACGTCTCTGTAACCAAGGGCTTCAATACGAGAGATGGAGCGGCCGACGTAGCCTTCGCCATTGTCATATACTACGATTGGGGCAGACAGCCGTGGTACCAGGGGAGGGAGTCTCTCTTCAAGCTCACTTACGGGCACGCTCACAGCCCACAGCGGGTGGCCGTCGGCGTACGGTCCTTCCTCTCGGACGTCAATGCATGCGATCTCTCCTCCTTCAACCCAATGCCGTCGAAGGTCCCCCGGTGTGATCGCGGCTGGCATCTCCTACAGAACTAATGTCTCCGAAGTGAGCAAGATACAGTCGTGAAGCTATCGGGAGCTGCAGCGTTGTCGGAGTTGCCATCGGTCAACCGAGATACATTTCGCCGATAAAGCCTGAAGCATACAGTGGGAGTGTCAGCATTTCATGAGTAGCTGGCCTTGCACATACATTGAGTCAGCGTGAAGAATGAAATCACAGCTTCATCAATCAAGGCCCGCTCTGAAGGTCCGCCAATCAATGGTTCGGTCACTTGTCTATAATCTCACTCACAGAACACCACGACCGTCAAGCTTCTGACGTGGTATTGTTGACTGATCGAGAACTCTGGCGCGTGTTTCGCGTGTCTACCGGGCCCGAGCGGTGTCAGTCAGCCAAAGGCGACAACATATCCTTCAACAGCCTTCCGCTTCCCTGGCCTGATCCAACCCGACACTTCGCGGCACTGACCATTTAATCTACGATCGCCACAGGCACTTCCGGAGAAGCGAGCTGTGCGAGAGTCTCGTCCCTGGCGAACCGAAGGCCTAAACCGGATCGAGGTCTACGTGATTCTCAGCCACGGATTGGACTCCACGGTCTTTCTTCAGCCGCGCACGGCGTTCTGCGTGCTTTTCTATTCTAAGAACACCACAGCACTCAGTCTTGACACAGAGTGGGGTTCCGAGATGGGGGCATTTATTTGGTGGGTGGCCCCTATAATCATAGACGATCCACGTTTCTTCTCAGCTACGCCATCTTCAATCCTTCTCATTGTTTCCTTTCTGTCTGTCTGCATACCAGCGACGACGAAACATGGCGGCCTCCATCCGCGAAGGCGCCGATGCGGCATACAACGCTGCCCAGAACATTTCCAACTCATTCTCGCCGGAGGTGTCGACGGCTCCCCAGCTCTCCCTCATCGCCACGCTCACGAACAACAAGCTGCCCATTGTCCTGGCCATCTTCGTCGTGTTCGTACTGAGCCAGATCCTGAAGCCCAATAAGAACATTCCCGCTGGCGCGAAACCGCTCCCTCAGCAGTTGAGCATCCCATGGGCCGGACGATTCTGGGATGTGCCATCGGAGGGCATTGCGTCGGCATGGCACTTTGGTGCTCTGCACAAGAAGCTCGTATGTCATATGAAGCGCAGAGAGGAGATGAATAGCGGTCGGCTGACAGTTTCGCCTTCTTCAGGGACCAATCTACGCCTGGAAAGTCATGGGTACCGTCCATGTCTGGATCGAGACCGACAAGATTGCCCGCGATCTCTTCGTGATGCGCCAGCGTAAATACTGCGATCGTAACGAGCTCCCGGCTGCCGTTGGAATCAGAGAGGGCAAGGAAGTGCTCCCGTTGATGGGCTTCAGCGACACTTTCAAGCGATACAAGAACTTTATGCATTTCATCATGAAGCACTCCGTGCCGAAGTCGTTCTACGGCTGGCCTGCGTCGGAGAACAAGAAGACTCTGAGGCGTCTGTTGGAGAACCCAGACCGGTGGTCTGAGCATTTGATCGTCCACTGCGCGCGAACAATTGCAGGTGTGGCCTGGGGTGACCCAGAGCACGGCAAGAAGCTTTTGACTATTGTGCCTGAGTTGCTCAAGGCTGTGTCTCCAGCTGGTACGTCTTGTGAAACTGGAAGAGAAGCCAATACTTGGTTTGAAGCTAACTCATTCATGCAGGCCCCATCATCAACAAGCTCTCCTTCCTGTCGAATCTTCCCTGGCAGATGTCCGCGTGGAAGGTCAGTGAGACTCGCCGCAATAAGGAGATGAGGGATGCATTCTACGAGGCTCTGGACGATGTCAAGGACCGATTCAGCAAAGGCAATGTTGAGGAGTGCTGGAGTTTGCTCTGGCTCACGGACAACAAGGGCGCCGAGGCGAAGAAGCTCGACTACCACGAAGCTGCACATGCCATTGGATCCAGCGCTTTCGTCGCCATTGCAACTATCGGTGGCCCGCTCCATGCCTTCTTCCTTGCCATGTGCGAGAAGCCGCACTGGCTGCCAATTCTCCAAGAGGAGATTGACCGCGTCTGTGGCGACCGTCTGCCAGTTCAGGAGGATATGCCAAACATGCCCAAGCTCCGCGCTACCGTGAAGGAGATGATCCGCTGGAGGCAGTCTACTCCACTTGGTGTGCCTCACTCCGTTTTGGAGGATGATGTCTACGAGGGCTACCACATCCCCAAGGGTGCCATTTGCCACGCCAACAACTAGTGAGTCCTTTCCAATCGCCAAGCTTATTGATCAGCTGCTGACCGCATCCAGCCTCATCTCCCGCGAGCCCAAGCAATTCCCTAAGGGCAACGAATTCGTCCCCGAGCGCTGGATCGACCCGTCTTACCCGACTTACAAGGAGCCCCTCTCCGAGTTTCCACACATTCGCGGCGACATTGCGTTTGGCTACGGCATGCGTGCGTGCCCTGGCGTCGATCTCACCAACGTCGAGCTATTCACTCTCTTCGGCTCTCTCGCCTGGTCGTTCGACATCAGCCCGAAGGGTGAGATCCCAAGATACGAGGTCAACCCGTACGTCATTACGATGACTTCGCCATTCCCGATCAACATCACCGCGCGCAGCGAGGAGAAGAAGCGCTTCATTATGGACACTGAGGATGCTGGTTACTGGTGAGTCGTGATATTACGTGTTGGCTTGTGAAACACCAACTAACTTTGTTCCAGGCTTCACGACAAGAAGGAGCCCAACCTCGGCCGCTGGGACGCGAAGCTTGTCCACGAGGATGACGGCGCGTTGTACACCTGGGAGGGCCTGACTACACCTTACCAGGCACGTGGCCAGCCCAAGGTGTATCCCTCGATCGAAACTGAAGGCCAAGATTGGTAGATTCGAAGTCTATCCTGTGTTGTTTTGAAGGCGCTGCTGTATGTAAGGATGAGCTGAAGCTTTTTCGATAGGCGTTGCATGCGTTTGAATACCGCCGGCTTACAGCGTCGGGAGACTAGAGTACCTACATGTATGGTAATGAATGCAAAGTCGCATCAGCAATCTCGTTCGTCTTCTCATGCGCAGCTTCCAGGCTATTGCACATCACATCCACTGCTCCCTCGAAATTGGATGTCGTTGCTCTTCATCGCTCCTGCCTCCCGACCAGATGCTCGCACGGGCGATGATGTCTATCGCAACTACTCGTGGCCGGACCAATCCATGGGTTTCCGCTAACGAGGCACAAGAACATCTCGACAGCAAGTGTTCTCCGCTACGTACATTGTCGCACAGTCGCGATCTACCTGCTGCGACTCGCAAAAGGGTTTTTGTGTTGAACATACTGCTATCTCCATAGTCTCGGCCGAAGCTATCGCCTTTACAAGGCTGGCCGATCTCGACGACGAACGTCTCGGAGATCTAGGATATACGGCATTGCGGCCTTCGGAGTCAATGTCGTATATGAACGTCTTGAACCTGGCAATGGCTTCCCTCTCAAGGTTTCTTCCCCTTCAACCTGAGCGGACCTCTCTCGGAAACCTGACCTGCAGACCGGTTCGCACTGGACAGCTTTTCCGTCATTGACCACGAACAGGACCGACATCATGCCTGGGCCTCTCGAGGAAGAGAAGGGGGGAAGCCAAGCAGCCACCGATGACACCCTGCTGGTGACGTGGGAAGGGGACGACGACCCGAAGAACCCCAAAAACTGGCCGCTTTCCAGGAAATGGCTCCTCACCATTCTCACATCCTGTGGTGGCCTGATCTGCCTCATGTCTTCGACCATGCTGGCTCCAGCACTTGAGACCATCTCGACTCAGATGGAAGTCTCACAAGGCAAGGCCAACATGACACTGTCCATCTTTGTTCTCGCCTTTGCCTTCGGACCTATGGTACTCGCACCAATGACTGAAGTCTTGGGGAGGCGAAACGTCTGGCTTCTATGCGCAGCCTGGTACACCATCTGGAATACAGTCTGCGGCTTTGCGGACAGCAACGGGCTTCTCCTGGCTGCAAGACTGCTTGCTGGGCTTGGTTCGAGCGCTGAGTATGCTATCGGACAGCCGGTTCTGGGAGATCTATGGCGACCGGAACAGCGAGGCATGTCCTTTGCTATAGCGACGTTCATCCCACTCTTGGGGCCTGCTCTGGGTCCGTTATTAGGTGGCGTCATCGCTGGCACCATCGGCTGGCCTTGGATCTTTTGGGTGCTCTCGATCTTTGACGCCTGCCTCATCGTCATGGCGTATTTCATGTCGCCCGAGACCTACGGCCAACTGCTCCTGCACCGCAAGGCAGTGACAATTTCCCAGCAGACTGGCATCCAGCATTGCACCGCATTCGACGTCCATGCCCAACCGCTGGCAGCCAAATTGAGGAATGCCCTGCTTCGACCTTGTCGCCTGTTAGCTCATCAGCCTATCATACAGCTGATGTCTCTGATGATGGCCTTCAATTACGGTACGCTGTACTTCGTCCTGGCATCGTATGCTTCGCTATGGACGAATAAATACGGTCAGACTGTGACAGTCTCTGGCCTCCATTACATTGCGCTTGCAATCGGCTACACAGTTGCAGCACAAGGCGGCGCCAGAATCACCGACAGGATCTGGCAACAGCTCAAGCAGAAGGCAGGTGGACAGACGGCACCAGAATCTCGAGTCTCGTTGATGATTCCTGGTATCCTGCTTATGCCAACTGGACTGCTCTGGTATGGCTGGGCTGCTCAGGCTCGGAGTCATTGGGCGGTCGTGGATGCCGGAGCAGCCGTGTTCGGATGTGGCGTCATCTTGTCAACGCAAGCGATGCAGCAATACACCATGGAGAGCTTTAAGGAGCACGTAGCATCTGCGGCGGCTGCGAGCCAGTTCTTGCGCAGCATCTTTGCCTTCTGCTTCCCTTTGTTTGCGCCGGCGCTATACAGCTCGTTGGGGTACGGAATGGGTAACACGACGCTGGCGTTGGTGTTCCTCGCCATCGGTGTGCCGGGACCATTTTCCCTCTGGTTCTTTGGTGCAAGGTTGAGAGCGAAAGGGGGACTTGTGAAGTGACACTCGAGTTGAGACCTCAAACTTGGTGGGGGATAACAATGCTTACTTGTAGGGCATGAAAGACCCGACCTCAAATCGCTATATAGAGCGTACGACCGTAGGTGTACTGCTCACGATGCCATTCCAGCCATCGACGCTACCCCATGAACGACCTCAGTGACGCTCGGGTCAGTGCCTTTCAACCGGTCGATAGTCTCTTGGTCCACATGCTTGCTAGGCTGCCCCATATACCATGTCTTATCAGCTTCAGGATCGCCATCATCCTGCAACGTCCAGCCATTGCCGAAATAAGCGAACATATCCTCCTCGTCTTCGTAGACAATGTTGAAGTCTTCAAAGCGAGGTGTCTCCAGAATCCTGATGAACTGATTCCTTGCGCCTGGCCACAGCGCTGGAGGTTTGTCCGACTGGTTGCCTTTGTACCACGCTACGCAGGGTCCCATGACTGCCGTGCGCTTCAGGTATGCTAATGAATGTCGGACAAATTGGTCGACAGCTTTGTCTTTTGGAGTGACGGAAAGGATGCGGTCGAGCTGCATCTTGTCGATGGCTTTCACCATGTATTTCGAAAATGCTTCCGCCGACTGATAGAAGTTGCCTTGTGGTAGTGGTCCAAAGGCCGACGATGGGTTGAAGTAGTTGGGCATGCTCTTGAGCATAAGCGCCATGTATGAGGGAGGAGAGCGCATGTCGGACCACTCCTCAATCATGGATCTGCCGTTGACAAGCTTGGGAAAACGAGGGAGGTGGGATTGGTCGTACCCTGTGGCTGCTATCACCATATCGATCTCGTGCTCGTTCCCATCCCCGTCCAAGATGCCCTTCTCGGTGAACGTTTTAGGCTCCTGTGTGAAGACGGTGGTCCTTGGATCCGTGAGAGCCTCCATGTAGCCATAAGCAAAGGTCTGCCGTCTACAGCCGATGTCGAAGTCTTCCGGTAGTATGCTGTCCAATAGTTCCGGTTTGTGTGCGAGCTTTTCTTTCATGTACTTGACGGTGTTGTCCTTGACCAGCTGTGACGTCTTCGAGCCGTTGATCACATACGGATACCGGCGGTAAAAGCCGTCGTCAACAGCCTTACGATACGCGAGGTACACGTCAGCGTCTGCGAGGAGAGCCTTCTGTTCTTCGCTATCTGCTGTATATCAGTATACGACACACGGCCTTGCCAGAACCTGCTTACATTTGAAGTTAGCACCTCCAGAAGCAGAGTAGGTCTGGTTCGGAGGAGGCAGGATATAAGTTTTGTTCCGAAACCAGGTATAGAGCTTCGAGACCTTGTCAACAATGTTCGGTCCTATTTGGACGCCACTACCTGTCGCGCGTCATTAGCATCTGCATTGCCGTTTACGGCAGGAGACACGAACAGCCATAGCCTATGAGTGCCACTCTCTTGCCGTCGACCGTGGTGTCCTCATTCCAGTACGCCGGGTGGACGACTTCTCCCTTGAAGTTTTCGATACCGCGGATGGACGTCAGTCTTGGGTTGCTTTGCTGTCGTTAGCAAGGCCGGAAAGACTGGCTATGCCGCTCATACCTCACAGGACCATTGAGCTCCAGGAAGACATGGACCTTGTCGTCAAACTTCCTGCTAGACTTCATGTCTTCGACGCTCAACGTCCACATCGCTTCTTCGTCGGACCATGACGCCTTCGAAATCTGATGCTGAAACCTCATGTACTTGTAGAAGCCACTCTCCTCTGTTACCTTACGGATGTATTCCAAGTTTTCTGCCGCTGGTGCATAGAGCTCCGACCAGAACCTGTTGGGTCGCCAGCTGAATTGGTAGACGATTGAAGGGATGTCTGTGAGACGTTTAGATTAGCATATCCAATTAGTGCGAGTGGTTCACACAGCAATATGGACGGTATAATCGACTTACCGCAACGACACCCGGGATACTTGCTGGTAAGCCACTTGAAAGAACATCAGTCTAGACCAACGCTCTCATTGGACCCAATACTTACAACGCCACCAACATCCTCGTTCTTCTCATACACCACGTATTCGACATCCTGTAACTGCTGCTCTGCAAAATGGAGGAAATTTATACAACATATTCCAGCCCCTAAGATGCCTATCCGAAGCTTTCTCCGCGTGCCATAGAAATCATCCCTGATCTTTGGGTCTGGTCTGCCAGCAGGGTCGGGAAAGCTATCGTGGAGATATTGCGGGATATATTCAGCTGCGTCGGGGTGCTCCAGCGGGACGTCTTGAGGGTAGTCGATCCGACCGGGAGCCATAGTGATATCGGTGCCAGTGATTCAAGTGTAGGAATACGATAGCCCGCGAAGATAGGAAGGATTGTTTTGTGACGATCAGGCTTAGCAGCACCTGGAGGAAATTGTATTGTCCTGGAGTACTGGAGTCTTCGTCAATCGTAAATTGTTCGGAACTAACAGAGTTGAATACTGATCAAAATATGAGGAGTAGGAAACAGAAGTGAATGCAACAACTGCTCGAGGAGCTGGGGCGGAACGACCCCGCCGTGACTGAGTAGACACCTCTCGGATACGAACTGCAGAGTATGTCAAAACGGTGGCTGCGGTGACTTGCCACGTGCGTCGAATCTCGTGAACATGCTGCTCATCCCTCCCGAGGGGCACAGAGAGGGCGTAGTAAGGTACTTTGCAAAGGGACATATCTATCGTAGATGGTCAGCGACAAGTATACGTGCTCGAAAGCAGGCTGTGTCGTCGAGACGGAACAGACGGCCCAACATGCATAGCCTTGCCCTGACGTTCTACGCCTGCGAGGACCGTGACAGCACAGCGAAGGGGTGGTGTTGACCTTAGGTTCGCGTTGAAATGTTGCTTGGCGTTCACGTGCGAGGCCCCACAAAAAAGTTTAGATCCTACTACGTTCTGAAGAGAACTTTTGTCTTTCGCGACCAGACTGACTCGACACTGCAACATGTCTATGATCACAGCGACGACCTGGGTGCCGCGCGGGCACGCCGCGGCCTTCCCTACCAAATATGTCTTCGACGAGGACGAGTATGCACGCATATCAAAGCTCGCAAAGCTGGAACTAGACGATGCGAAGGATGACCTGGAGACCGCAAGGCAGGCGTTGAACAAGACGACTGTCGGGCAAAGTACAGAGGACGCGAAGGAGAAAGAATCTGCAGATGAATCTTCCGACGAAGACGACGCTGGCGGGGTCGATGTGAACGATGAAGACGATGACCTCAAAGAGTACGATATGGACCACTACGACGATGAGCCGGAAGGCGGAGAAGGCGACGAGGATGAAGCAGGACCCAATGACAGCATATTTGGCAACATCAAGGGGTTGGCATACCATACCGACAACAAAGACGACCCATACATCACCATGGCCGAAAATGGCGAACAGTCGGATGATGAAGAACGGGAGGAGTTGCAGATACTGCCGACAGACAACTTGATACTGGCAGCGAGGATAGAAGACGAGGTAGCTCATCTCGAAACATACGTCTACGAGGACGAGGCCGACAACCTGTATGTCCACCACGATGTCATGTTGCCCGCGATACCGCTTTGCGTGGACTGGGTGAATGCCAAGCCAAACCATGAAGGAGAGACAGGCAATTTTGCTGCCGTGGGGACGATGGATCCAGACATTGAGATATGGGATTTGGATGTGGTCGACGGGATGTACCCTGCTGCAATCCTTGGTCAATCCTCGCAAGCTGTTGCGGAGCCTCCATCAGAACCAGTCACGAAGAAAAAGAAAAAGAAGAAAAGCAAAAAGGCAAACGACTCTTACCACGTCGACTCTGTGCTCGCCCTCGCCGCAAACAGGCAGCACAGTAACCTACTCGCCAGTGGCTCGGCGGACAAAACGATCAAGCTCTGGGATCTGAACACCTGTACAGCAGCGCAGAGCTATAGTCATCACACTGACAAGGTCTGTGCGCTGTCATGGCATCCCACACAGGCCTCCGTCCTCCTATCGGGCTCCTACGACCGGACGATTGTGGCGGCAGACATGCGTGCACCTGGCGCAGCAGTCCCAAGATGGGGTGTGGAGAGCGACGTCGAGCAAGTACGGTGGGACCCGCACAATGAGCAGACCTTCTACGTCAGTACGGAGAACGGCATTCTGCACTGTTTCGATGCCAGACAGCTTCCGTCCTCGCCTGAGCAGAGCAAGGCTACGTGGACGTTGCAGGCCCACGACCAAAGCCTATCCACCTTCGCCATCAACCCCATCGTACCTGGCTTCATCGTCACTGGATCAACAGATCGTACGGTCAAGCTATGGAACATCGCAGCATCAGACTCAGGACCGAACATGGTTGCCAGCAGAGATCTTGGAGTTGGGCGGGTATTTTCTGCTAGCTTTGCACCGGACAATGAGGTCGCTTTCAGACTATCAGTCGCTGGGAGCAAGGGAGCTGTGCAAGTGTGGGACACTAGCACGAACAGGGCTGTGCGAGAGGCTTTTGCGACGAAAGTCAAGATGCCCGAGCAGACTAGGGATGTCAAAGAAAGGATGATCGGGTTGGCGGCGGATACGGAGGAGGCGGACGAGGAGGACGAGGCGAATGAGAATGGACGTGCTGATGGTGGGTGGGAGGATATGGATGAGGACTGAGCATGCAAACGCCCTAGTAGGATATTGTACTAGCTGGTCAATCTGCAGAGACTTCCCGACTCCAAAGACTCGCAAGTTCGTTCTCGTCATCGATCTGGCATCAGACTTGAACATTATGTACGGTGAGGCTAACCCCACTGCCAGCCTAGAAAGCATTCAGCGTAGCAGCAGATTGCGGGAGGCTTTCGAGAGGCTGAACGACTGGAAGCTGATGTGTGAACCAATCTCGAAGTGGTTGCGGGAGGACGTGGTGGAGATGAAGTTCATGCTCGAGCCTTTGGCGAAGGGTGAATAGGTCAAGTTTGGGAGACGATGAGACACCAGTGCAGTGACGGATGGACTGGAGCAGCGAACGTCCCTGGTTGCCGAAATGAGGCTGAGTCACACATTGAATTGTCGAACTCGTGTTCTCGAATGTTCTCGGGAGATGCAAGCTCTGATAGGAGCAGGCCTAATTCTCGTTCGGGTGGATATTGATACGGGAAAGAGGAAAGTAGGGAACTGTCATGATATAGCACACATTATCGTGCTTGACTACTATCTGAATGTGCTGGTGCTTCAACCAAGCAACCCTGTCGAGAGCGAATGAACAAGCCAACATGCATAACAACATCTCGCGTGCAAATCATCCAACGATCCAAGTCTACGACTTTTCTTGGTGGACGTACTGCTCAACATCGCGGTCGACGCTGTTGCTGCGGTTGGTGATGCCAGTGCCCTTGACGTCGACATCGGCAACCTCGGCGTCCTCGCCGTCGAAGATACGGGCGATTTCCTCGAGAGTTGGACCGCTGTGAGTGATGTTAGCAATGACTCCTGCGGCACTATATAGTTTTGAATGACGTACCGAGTCTCTGGGAACATGAAGTACACCCAGATGAGTTCGAGAAGGACCCAGCCGGTGTAGCAAGCAAACAGCTTCCAGTTCTGACCAACCCAACCACCATTGCCAGTAATGGGAATGGGGTTGACGTAGTTGTTGATGGTAAGGGCGACCTGAACGAACAAGTTCATGATGAAAAGACCCTTTGCACGGAGCTTGAAGGGGAGGACCTCGACGGTGTAGGCGACGAGAAGGCCCGACCAGGCGAGTGCGTAAGCCACGCCGTGAAGCCAGATGAAGAGGATGTTGGCGTAACCGATGGACTGTTCGTTGAGAGCAGTGTAACGCTCACCCGTGATGGTGGCGCCGATGAGGAAGAGCAGCATGCCGAAGGTGCTATGATGTGTCAGTTGAAGCGAGTACGCGGTAGGGTCAGGAATGAGCTTACGCAGCAAGAAAGAGCGGACGACGGCCGACGCGGTCTACCAAGAACGCACAGCTGATGGAGACGATGAGCGAAAGGACCTTGTTGCCAGCGTCCAAGCCAAGCTGTGGGGTCTGGCCATCCACTCCGGCGCCCTCGTAGATTGCAGTGGCGTAGTAGCTGACCAAGGCGTTACCGGACCATTGAGAGATGAGACCAAGAGAGATGATGATAGCCAGTCGGTAGCGGTTGCCCTTGGTCTTGATGAAGTCGATGTACTTGGAGCTCTTCTGGTGCAAAAACTCCAGGCGGATAGTCTCCTTGATTTCGGCAAATTCGAACTGGACGGTGGCGTCGTTCTCGTTGCCGTCGGCGTGGTAGTGGGCAAGCATGTTGAGCGCCTCAGGGGACCTGTCCTTGGAGATGAGCCATCTCGGGGATTCTGGGACCCACCAGATGAAGGTCAACTGGATGACAGAGAAGATACCCTGAACGAGGGTAGGGGTTCTCCACGACCAGGTGCCGTTAATGTGCTGGGTGCCAAACGCCAACCAGGCGCAGATGAGCGCTCCCAAATTCCACAGGCAGTTGTAAACAGCCGTAATCCTCGCGCGGTGCTGGGGGTGGGCAATCTCAGTGACGAGGAGTGGGCAAGAAAGCTGAGCGAGGGAGTTTCCGAAACCCATGAAGAAACGAGCGCCCTCATATTGCGAAAGTCCGTGAGCAGAGGCCTAGTGGGAGCAAGACGTTAGCAAGCAGCATGTTATAAGGGCCACGGCAAAGCACTCACCTGGATGGCTGCAGCAATAACCATGATAATACAGCCGATGGTAATTGGGGTCTTGCGGCCAAAGCGGTCACTGAGGAATGGAACGACCGGCAGAGAGGCAATGGATCCGATAGAGTACATGGCAGAAACACGTCCGAGAGTCTCTTCCGTCGGGCCTTCAGCGGTTGGGCCCATAGTGATCTTCCATGAGTCCAAAATCTGAGAAGTGTTCATCAAGGATCTGCCAATATGTTAGCGAGCAGTTCAACGGCGGGTGCGAGCAACGTCGTTTACCCGTCGTAACCAGTGGTCGCGGAGCAGACACAGAGGATGGCGCAGTAGAAGTAGAGCTTGCGCATGTTCGGAGAGGCCGACCATTTCACCCTGGGGATCGCTGGGGCAGACTCTTGGGCTTCCACCACCGCACCCTGCTTGGGCCTCGAGATGTTGACCATGATGGCTATGAGTGACCGTCACTGGACGCGTCGACAGACAGTGGTATGCGAAGTGGAGGAGTAACGAGTGCTGGAGGATGTGAGATGGTGGCAGGATGTGCTGGGGTCATATATGGTGCCGCACATGGCCCAGTGAGCCGCAACCCGGTGGTTCGTGATGGATAGATCCCAGCAGTTCAGGCTAATCTTCGAGTGCGGATAGATGGGACTGGATCGGTGCCAGCAGGTGTCGCCGGTTCATTGGTGCACCCACCATGTGGCAGGCCCCACTTAGCCCCCAGACTCGTGCCAGATTAACCCCAGCCGCGGGATGGTCGTGCGAGGTACGACGGGACGTCCAGCCGTGCCACTCGTACAACCACTGCTTCTGCACATGTGATCGCGCAAGATAAGCATTAACAAGACCAGAGAGGTCAGCACGGCACGCATGCCGGTGGTCAGGCTCGCAGAAAGCCTCCTGGTGCGGCATCGTGCCTCAAGACCAGCCGTCCGCTACTGTACCGAATATTCCTTTGGGAGGGGAAAGAAGTCGAGACTAATCTCAATATTGGACTAACGCAGTCTTGGGCAATACCAGAAGAGATCTCTCAGAGATCACCTACTTTGGTGGCCGTTTGCACGGCTAAAGTGCTCCAAGGGCCCCCCCCTCGTGCGGCGAGAACAGACAGATTGCATGTGCCTGCGAGTCATCGGGAAGTCATCTGGAGTCGCTTGCAGATGACCCAAGCTCCAGTCTAACCCCAGAAAGCTAAGTTTATTTGCTGGATCTGACCAGTCGAGACCACCAAGACTTCGGTTCTGGAGCGCTTGAGTCCTTCTGGCGGCTGGTGAATGCTGGTGGCAAGGTCTGGCCCGGACTGGGTCGCCTGCATGCAAGCTGCCGACAGTGGAATCGGCTCCGTACGCTTGGATGAGAGGCTGTAATAGATCTTCTAGGCTGTCAAAGCTGGCATCCCACGAAAGTAGCCAAAGAGCCATCTTATGTGCCTTCAGTCTCGAAGAACAACGGCATCCGGTCTGCTGGTGTCCCATCCCGCGCCACCAGACTCCCAGATTGGCCGGCGGCCGCTCTGACAGTCGCTTGCTTGCCAACCGAGGTGAGTCCGCTTGGCGACCATTTCGGAGCCCTCCGTCCTCGGCCCGTTGTCGCGTGCTGCCATGACACTTCACGCTATCTAGAAGTCATGCCAGCGGCTCGATCAGGCCGTGTAATAATATGGCTGCGAGATGGCATATCTGTCGCCCGCGTCCAAGGTCCGTCATTATGCCAACCCGCAATGTAGCCCGTCATTCCGCTGACGAGTCGATCGTGCCCAACAGAAGGCGATAGCCAACCTGCGAGCCTACACCTCGCCTACTACCAACTGGTACAAATGTCCACTTACGAGGCGGGCGGCGGTGTTGATACTGCTGTTCGCTGATCGTGGTGGCGACTTGCGGGTGGTCTTAACCATTAGATCCGCCGGTCTGAAAAGCTGTATGTCTTCCAAGCAGAGAGCATTAGAGTCCTCCAGTAAAGATGGGACGACAGGCTGAGAACTCCAGATGCCGGCCAAGCAGCTCTGCCCGGCGGCAAGGCCGACCATCTCAATGAGAACCCCTTCACCGTTGCCCGCCGCGAGGCATTTGAGGAGATCGGCCTGCCAATGTCGGACCATCGCCTACCTCCAGGCTACACGGTGGAGCACCTGACGGAGCTTCCAGCCAACCTGGCGATGACCGAGCTCGGCGTCCGCCCCTGCGTAGCCTTCCTCCAGGCGCCAGCACCCTCGCCTCGTAACCGCGACCCAAACACTGCCCGGGACATTCTGCCCAAGCTGGATGCTCGAGAAGTTGCGGCCGTGTTCACAGCGCCCTTCTTCAACTTCCTACGTGAGAAAGACTTGGATCCGGCAGACCGAGAGGAGGTGCCAGGGGAGTGGTACAAAGGGTCCTGGCACAGCTGGCATGAGAGCGCGTGGCGCATGCACCAGTTCTTCGTTCCAGTGTCTCCAGCGACGGTGTTCCGAGCCGATTATGAGAAGGTGAAGAAAATGTCAGAACCAGTACCGGAGGCGTCGGCGGACATTACTTCTTCAAAGCCAGCAGCAGTGAAAAGCAAAGGTGCGTCGGCGAAGTCGTCGTCATCGCTGCAGCCGCCGCTCCCGAGGTCGTTCTACTCGATTGGTGGTGATGCGTTGGCGCAGCCGCGGTATAGGGTGTTTGGCATGACAGCCAGGATTCTGGTAGACTGCGCTCGAGTGGCATATGGCGAAGAACCTGAATATGAGCACAACAGCCATTTCGGGGACGAAGATATGATTGAGCGACTGCTCACAATCGGGCGACTGGCCCCCATCAAGAAAGAAGGCGAGGTGCTGACGAGGGACGTGATGATGAAGGCTGCGAACGCGAAGATGTGATCGTGATATATGTGATAGCTGAGGGTTGTACACGAGCTTGTACTTAGCCTGGTAGAACGCACATCTCGTATCCCAGCTCGAAAGAATTACTCCAATGGGCAGACCGCGCGACGGCTGCCTGGTCCGTATATGCGAAAGTTGAAGTCGCAGAGACTCACAGAAATAGGTGGAATCTTCATAAGCAAGGACAGCCCGGAGAGTTCGGGCTGTCGTATGAGAGGACAGCGGGGACAGGTGGAGTTGAGGCAGTGTATCGAGCAGACATGAAGCTGAGGTACGAACAAGCTTTTGCAAAGATGAGTGAGGTCGACATAAAGTATGGCATCGATGGCAACCGCAAACGTAGGGCAACCACGTTCACCTGGGGCAGCCGAACATGGAAGGAGCCATCCACCCATTCCACTACACCCGCCATCCAGCTTTTGCATTGCACCTTACGACTAGAGTGCCAAATGAAGTTACAGTAAGTCTGCAAGCAAGTAACGCTCGTAAGTTGGAGGAAGACAAAGCATGTGACAGTGTTCCGCAAGTTCTGCTTAGGCTCTCAGCCCAGTGGCATTCCCGCCAAACCATCCAAGCCGCAGCGCTAGAACAACAGGCCTAACGGAGCACAGTTCCGCTCAGCCGCGCGACCCAACACAATATCATCCCGTCATCCCTCACAAGTACCCCAGGCCCCCACCTCCCACAGCCTCCAAATCACTCCTCGCCCCCCACCCATCAATCCCCGCCCGCCCCAACACCTCAGCTCTCCTCGCACTTCCCAACTCCCAAACCCTCTTGACCACCTCCCCATCCACCACACCCCTTCCGCCACCGCCTTCGCTCTCCACAGCCCTGTACGCCCTTGGATTCAGCCCAGCGGCGTGCTCGAGCACGGAGGTGAGATGTGTTTGCAAAGAGCCGAGACGGCGGTACGTGCCTTCGTCCAGCGGGGTGATGAGAGAGAGGGAGCCAGTGTGAGAGGTGATGAGGACGTGGTAGAGGGAAGGTGCGTTAGTTTGTGTTTCTTCGGTGCTGTCGTGGCCGTTTGTTAAAGGTTGCGAGACGGGTGGGGAGAGGGTGGAGGGAAGAAGGGCCATCGAAGAGGGGAACTGGCCGAGGTGGAAGGTGCTGCGGTGGAGGAGACGGGTTCCAGAGAGAGACTTGGGGTTCTCGGGGTCGTATTGCAGGACGTGAAGGTCCATTGCGGCGTCGACGATGAGGAGGAAGAGGTTGCCGTCAAAAGGCAGGAACTCGGCACAGACGACTTCCATATGTGTACGGCTCTTACCAAGGGTAGTGAGTTTGTAAGGTTCCTGCGTGAAGCCGCCGAACCAGAGACCCTTCCAGGCGTCTGCAGCGAGCCACAGGCCGCTCCCTCCGAGCTGTTTGAGGGAGGTGGTGTAGCATTGGCAGTCGAGGAAGGCGACCGGAAGGCAAGACCCGTCCTCTTTGAGACCGCGAATCATGATCTTTTGACCTTGACCTATGCCGATGAGACCGCCAGGGAACGACTCGAGCGCTGTGACGGCGCCTCGCGTCTCCTCGCGACTAACGAGGTTGAGCTTGGCGCCGCTTTCTGCTCGGTCTGGGTCGGGGACGACATCGAGGATCTCGAAGACGTTGACAGCGCCTTTCGATGGCATGTCTTCGCCGCGCTGGGTCGCGGTCCCGACAACAATCCTTGCCTCGATATCGTGCGTTTGCTCGGATATCTCCAGAGGCATGATTTTGAGCGAGGTAATGGTCTCGAGGTTCGGCAGGGAATAGGAGTGGATGACATGTCGTGTTTTTGCTTTGAGGAGATGCAAAGTGTATTGCGGCACTTGCGGATGCAGAGAGATGCCTGCGATGGATCGTTAGCCCCCAGGTACCACCTCGAGTGGGAGTGCAGTAGCAAGGAGAGATGTGTCCTTGACATAAAACCCAGCCCACACAGAATACAGTGAGCTAGGTAGTTAGGCAAGGAATGAAAGCCGTTAATCTGGCATCGACTATAGACGTCGTTCCACGGAAGATTGATAGAAGCGGACGTATATGCTTGTGATGCGGTGTGCAGGGAGAACCGATTGGAGGATGGCATGAATGCAAGAATGGCATCACAGTGAACACGACAGGATAGTACGAAGGAGCAGGACTTACCATCATTTCCTTTTCCCCTTCCCTCCTCTTTATCCCCTTCGAGATGGAAGTCGACGTCTCTGCACGTGGCAACAACATACATCCCTCTCTCCTCGTGATAAGCGACATCTCTGACCTGCTCGGCCGGATCGCCAAAGGTCTGCTTCTGGACACACCAGCCAGTGCTGAACTCAGCATCGGCCGGTAGAGCTAATTCTTGCAGCTCTAACTTTTTTGTTTCAACGCCTTCGTCATCCGACGAAGTGGCACTTCGAAGAATTGCGAATCCACTGTCGCATCCAGGCCGATGTAGTGGGATAAGCGCTTTGACGTTATGCGCTCGCAGAGGTACCACCTTCGGCAGCGCAGCCGCTTCCTTGAGAAGGAAGCTCGGGTACGCTCCAGGCACAACGACAGCATCGAATCTTCCAACCCGAACTTGCTGTAGTGGAGCCGGACGACCGTTGCTCTCATCAGGCGTCGACCCGTCAAACTTGGGGATGTAGTCCAGCGTGACTTTCCTGAATCGTAAGACTTCCTTCCAAGATGAACCTGCAGACCAAGGCTGGTAGAGGTTGAGATCGTCCATTGCGCTGCGGACCATCAAGTATGGCTCTTTCGAGTCCTCGGTTCCAATATCTGTAATCAGTAGCTCAGTGAGCGTTTCTTTCGCGCCGACTCGCCGCTGCCGCGCGCCAGCTTCCAGTACAGGAGGTAGGTAGCACAGTGTGGGTGCGTGATAGAACTGCTGCAGGTCAGGGAGGCTGAACATGTGCAGTCCGCCTTCTTCTCCAAGCAAGCAAACGATGGTTTCGTCAGGGCAGAGAGATCCAGTGTATAGACATCCACTGAGCCACTTGCGCTCAGAGATCGCAGCTGGACTGTCCAGTGGCTCGACGTCGCCACCTTTTTCCAGTTGAAGAGCTAGTACGCTGCTGTCGTCGCGGAGCACGACTATGTAAGGATCGCTGAAGGAGACGTGGACTATTTCGAGTTCGGCGTCGGTCTCCTCGTCAGTCATGGGAATGATCTGGGCCAGGCTGAGGTCTGCAGCATCATATATCCGGAGCTCGGTGCGTCTGCATTGTACGACGCGAGTGCCTTTGGCTATTGTATTGATCTGTAGTGTCTCGCCATCATGCTCAAAGTCGGTGCCAGTGCGCTCCGTATAGCTGCTGGAGTCGCTGCCATCCACAGCCGCCGACGAAATATCGTAGACTCGAGTGATCTCGCCATTGAAGCAGAACACCATCGAATCATGCTCGACTCTCATGGGCTCAGCGCTGCCGGGTTGAGTGGATGCTGCCTTAATGCTCCAGATGTTCTTGGCTTCAGCGAAGACCTCCTTCTCCGTACGCACAGCGTTTGGTACAATCTCCTTTCTCAGCGTCGCCAGCTTGCTTCCGCTGCCTCTCCCAATGCCTGCAACAAGCTCGAGCTCGTCTTTCGAGACCGCCGAGCTCCTTCCTAAACAGACGTTGTTGATGGGTCCCAAAGATGGCAGTCGGTCCTGCAACGTAAAGCTGTAAGTTGATGAGTCTACTGATCCGTTGGCACCGGCCGAAGACGTCCGTTTTGCAGCTTCGGGGGCAGTGGCGTAGAGATCATCGTCATCCATTTCCTCATCCTCTTCATCCTCTTCGACGGGAATGTCCTGACCCAGCATTTGGGCATGCGAGTGCTTTCGGCTGAGTGTTGGCACGGATCTGGACCAAGAGAGGACAAACGAATCTCCGTCTTCGCTTCCAACAAACAGTGTGTTGCCGTTCATCAAGGTGACTGATGATGGTGCTACTTCTGGCAGTCTTCCACCGTTCTCAGTAGTTACGCGCGTGACAAGCAGTCCTGCGACGTTGCGTCCAGAAAGCCGGAAGCTGAGAACAGCCATCGTTCCGTCGTTCAGAACAACGACCAGGTCACCGCTCTTTGAGTCGAGCTTGCCAACCTCACACCCTTCTAGCTTCATGTTCAGTTCGGATTGGTCGGCCATAGCAAGGTTGCTCGCGGCCTTTGTGAACTGATTAACAGCCACCGCACTCGTCTTGCCGCTCTGATCGACGTGCACGAACTCGTTGGTACCGATAAGTAAAGCGCCACCTACGGGCAATGGCAGGGGCACAACCTTCCAGAGATCCGACGGTAGCTTTTGCGCGGTGATTAGATTTGTCGATGCTCGTTGATCTAGGTCAAGTGTGAAGACCGTGTAAGACAAACTATCTTTCCGCGCCTCGAGTAGTGCTGACGAAGGCTGCACTGGCGCAGACAAGATACCGAACGTTGGCTCGCGATATTCGTGAAGGAAAGCGAGATCGACCGGATGCGACAAATCTGGATCCAGAGCAGTGAGTGGCAGGACGAACGAAGACTTGTACGGCGTCTGCTTTGCCTCGCCTTCGTTCAACCCTGACTGCGTGCGCTTGAGCATAGCAGAAGGCGGCGCAGTGGCCATATCCTCATCATATCCATCCTCCCCTCCTTCCATCAACTCATCACCCGCTTGTCTGAATGGCAGAATAGCCAAATGTCTGGACCCAAACTTCAGCGCCGCGCATCTTGACGTCGGGTCAACGGTCAGAATGCTCTCGCACTCGCTAAGACTGGGCCCGAAAGGCTCATGAATGACATTCTCGCCCTCGTAGTAGTGTATGCTGATTGTATTCAAGCGGTAGTTGTCCGAGTCCCATTCCACCAGACTCACTTTCGCATCTTTGAAGGCGATAAGGAGAGCCTCGCCGCCGGACTTTGTGTTCTCTGCCTTGATGGCTGCGAGAGAGGTGACTGTGCCGGCAAGGGGGTATTCGCCGACGAGGACCAGTCTAGACTTGGTAGCGCTGTCATCGCTGTGATGCTTGACTGCGCGCAAGCGGAAGACCTGAAGGACACATGTCTTCACCACCACCAGGTTCCGCGATGCGGCATCGAGAAAGGGGAGGGCGACGGCGTGGGTGACGGCGGAGGGCGGGAGGAGCTGGGTGTAGCATTGCATCGTGGCGGCGGCGACCTCATCAACGTATCCTAGACATCCCCAATTCTTCCTCTCGGTGTGTTGCTGAGATGGTGTTAGTACCACATGCCAAATCTTCAAATGTGATCCGCCTTCCCAAACGGGACAACGCGTTTCTCGAGCTACCTGGTCCGAGCGTCTGCCGTCATGGTGCCGATCACCTGCACATTGGGCAAGGTTCAGCCACAGCCAACTTCGAGCTCGACCTCTCCCACTCTGCCGCCTGCTTCTACTCCTACTCCCTCTCTACAGGACGACGTTGTACTGGTGCTGTAACGATCTATGATGAGATACTGAGCGCTGACCAGAATCGACGTATTCACCCCGAGCTCCAAGCTCCAAGTCGACCGCACCCACCTGCAACGATAGCAACAACACCACCGCCAACGAGAGGATAAAGCAAATATGGCGCTCATCGAGACCTCCCTGATATGGGTCACCTACGCCATATGCCTGGCCATCCTCTTCCTCATTGCTGGCATTTTCGTCTTCATCTACCAGAAGCCGTCGGAACGGTCAATTGTAGTGACGACAGTGTGCTTCATAACCGTCTTCTCTCTCCTGGCCACCGTCCTGCTGCTGCCAGTCGACGTCGCCCTTACCTCCTCCACCACCGATCGCAAGCTAGGCAGAAAGAAGGACTGGGCGACGCCGGATAAGGTGGACCGCATTTTGCTCGATCTCAAGATCATCTACTATCTCTTGTACAGCCTGGACGCAGTCTTGTGCTTGTTGGTTGTACCATTTACATACTTCTGGTGCGAAGAGTATGACGAAGTTGCGGCAGAAGAAGGGACGCAGACGGTCGGACAGCGTCTGTGGGGAGCATTCAAGTATACTATTGCTTTCCTTCTGCTGGTCGTCATCTTGTTCCTGGTTGGGTTCTTCGTGCCAGTGGCCAGGAAGGCAAAGCATGAGGACAAGCACTTTGGCTACTTCAAGGATCTCGTTACGCAGAACCGTACGTGCTTCGCAAGTCTCGTCATTCGCCTGCTAACCTCTCTTCAGACGGCGAGCGCGCCCTGACCTTTGCCATTGGCGTACTGATCCTGATCGGGACCCTGGTCTACTGTCTCTACACTGCCCCAGGCCTTGCTCTTCTGCCAGTCAGCTTGATCAAAACCGCCCCACGCATCTCAACGCCTCAACTTGCCGCATCCACCTCTAGCCAATTGGCCCAGAACCGCGAACGCCAACGTCAACTTGAAGGCCGCAACGCTGGCCGCACGGATGGCCTCGATCCACGAGACCGCCGCGAGCTCGAGTCCCTAGTCCGCGAAGAACGCACGCTAGTCCGCCGCGAACGCCTGCAATCCGAAAACAGTGGCGAGGAGTCCAACTTCCTGGTCAAAGTCTGGCACAAGCTCGAAGCCATCTTCCGACCCCTGAAACTCCTCGGCGGCCTCCTCCTGCTCGTCATTGTCCTCATCGTCTTTGCCTCTATGCTCATCACCTGCATCGACAAGATCATGAACTCGGCCTGCGGCGCCCACTGCGGCTTCCTGCTCGGCAAGACCCAGATCTTCAATCCGATCAACTGGCTCCTCATCCTCACCTCCAAGATCTTCCCCATCGACTACATCATCTTCCTCTTTCTCGTCCTACTCTACTTCTCCGCCTCCGTGCTCGGAATCGCCAGCATCGGCATCCGCTTCCTCTGGATCACGCTGTTCAAGATCCGTCGCGGGCACACGACGCCCAATGCCATGCTCATGGCCACCGTCCTCCTGACGCTCATGGTGCTTGCGCTGAACTACAGCCTAACCCTCATCGTGGCACCACATTACGCAACCTGGGGCCCGCAGACCTATTGCGACCGGCCCTACCGCAACCCCGATGACCAGCCGGACTGCAGCAAACACCACAAAGCCGTCCGGCCCTGCTCTGAGCGGTCGGACAACCTTGTGGCGAATCAAGTCTGCACGCCTTCCGTCGTGTCCACGTTCTTGAACCGGATCACGGTCAACTTTCCTTTCCTGGGCATAGTGGACTTCTGGGCGCAGTTCGCTTTCCTCGGGATCTTCTTGATCGTCTTTGTGGTGATGTTGTTCCGCGTGCCGAGGCTGGATGAGGAGCAGTTGGATGAGGACTTGAGGGAGGCGGAGGAGGAGGGGTTGTTGGCGAGTACTGGGAGAAGATTCGGAGCAACGTGGCAGGACATCACTGGCAAGGCGAAGGGTGTGAAGAGGAGTGACTATGGTGCTACAAGCCAAGGGGAGGGATTGCAGCAGGATGGTGGGGAGCAGGGAGGTGCGAGAAGGGATTCCGACTATTGATATTGAAGATGAACGAGATCATGGCATGGTATTTTTTTGGGTGGGATGTTTTGCATTTTCGTAGCAAGGAGTATCTGGCGCAGCGCTCAGGCTATGCGCGTTTGATTTCGGCAGAACCGGGTGTTTCTCATCCCTGCCTCATCGCTAAAGCCATCTCATACCACTGAAACTCAGCCACGCCACGCCACACCGCCTGCTTCTCTTCGTATGCCCCGCTTATGCAACAATGGTGCTCGCAGTGGCACTCTCGTACTTCCATGTCGGTGGCAGCGCGCCCACGGCCTTGTAGTATCGCGACAGGCGGTGGATGCGCGACTCGATCAGAATGAGGCGGAACTTGCTGTCCTTGTCCTTGCGGTTACGCTCGAGGTGCTTGCGGACGGCAACGGCCTAATAGACAAAGTCAGTATGCGCGGGAAGAGAGCCGGGAGGAGAGGAGAGTAGAGGTGCCATACCTTCTTGATGAGCATGTAGAGGTCCTCGGGGATTTCTGGTGCGAGGCCTGTTGAGGAGAATCACTCTGTCAGTCTGTGACCAATGCAGAGGCATGAAGTTGCACGTATGCAAGTTTGTAGGTGTTCGTCTCTTGCGAGCCAGCGTAATTCTGTGCTCCTTTTTCGATCTCTTCAAACAGGAAGCAGCGTGTCCATACCGTTGCCCTTTAGGATTCTCAGAATCTTGTTACCTGCTCTCTGCCGTCAGCACTCCGCATCTTCCCTTCCAGAATGTCAGTATCATACCAGTAACAACCTTCACCTGCGCGACACCATGGCTATCCCTCAGGATCACACCAATCTGTGATGGCGTAGCGCCCTTCTTCGCGAGCTTGCAGATCTGGTCGACGACGGCGTCGGGGGTGGTCTTGAGCCAGGCGGGTGGGGTGCGGGAGTATGGGATGGCGGAGGCGCTGATGCCCTTACCGTTGCTGTGCATGCGACCCATGGTGGCGGTGTTTTTTGTCTGTTCGCGTCGGTGGATGGAGATTCGATGTTTGTCGTGCGGAAGATTTCAGGTTCGGGTGTGGGAGTGCCAAGAACTTGAGCGGCAAGCGGGACCGGCCGCGAGTCTAATATATTGAGAATTTCTTCGCGACTGCTCGTCTTCTCTTCCCTCTATTAATGGCAGCACCTGGCGCAAATAACAGCGACGACTTCTGTAATGAACGAGCTGCTAGGAATGCCAGATAGCGCTTCCATGCATACTCTCATCCCCGACTCTGAACGTCTTGCTCCCGAGCAGTTAACCCACAGCGACTGACGTTACACCCTCCGTGGCGACGAGGTCTTTGATCGTCACTTCACCCTTGCAGACTCGCTTGGCTGCCCCACGGATGCCGATTTGCAAGTGAAGGGAAGAGGCCTATGATCATAGCAAGAACATGATGTGAGTGCTCCCCTGTCCTCCCCTGACCTCACATGATGAATCTTCCGATACAATTTTATTTTCTGGTACCTCTTATGTCAGAGACTCCGGTCTCGATGATCTATATGGACTTCTGAACTTCGACCTCTGCTGCAACTCGTGGAATGAAATGTTGAGAGAAGGAAGTGCTAACTCTTTTCTCCATCTCAGTCGACCGCCATATCTTTTGCCTCCAGTTTCCTATGCCGTAGCCATTGGCTCGCTGCTCGACTTGTCAGCTGCGATCCACTCCGCCACAATACCTTTGAGCGTCAACTTTGGCATCTCCAATAGGTGTTCTAGAATGGGCGCCTTGCCGGAGCTCTCGAAACCGCTCTTGTATTCCGGCAGCAATATGCCCGCTGAGACGAGCTGGTAAGCAGAAAACACATTCTTGGTCTGCTTCCAGTCGGTCTGTGCTCCCTGCACAATCTTCTTGTCATCTGCATGAGCAGTGGCGAATTCGACATTCAGCTGGCTCTCCAGCTCTGCTATAATCTCTCTCTGGGAAGCCTCAAATGGCGACAGAAAGACTCGCTGGTTGATCCCGACCTCCGGATGCTTTAACAGAGCAACCAGGGCGGCCCCGCAATACTCAAGCGTTGTGCACGAGAAGGCGTGTGTGCCATCACGCCAGTAGTCAACCTTGCGACCATTCCCGCTGACGCCAACGTTGTATGGTGCTTTTGCGTCAATACCTAGGAAGGTTGTTTCCAATGCCCTGTTATTCCATTAGCTCTCGCCACTATTGACAATTCCAAACACATACCACTCAAGCCAGATGCTCGTAGCCAGAGCGGTCCACGAGAAATCTTCACTCTCCTTCGAGCGTAAGTACCTTTCCATCTCTCCCTTTCCTTTGAACACCGGACACAACTCCTGGTTGTTGATATCACTGTTGTCCATCCCCTAGCAACAGCGGGCCAAGGGTCAGCAAGTATCTCAGCACTGCAAACGATGGATGAGGTCTCAGAGCGCGCATTGAGCTTGATATTCACCCGGATACGGCTCTCACCCACGGAAACCTACCCATTCGCTGGGAATAAAGCGTTTGACCCCAGCTTCAACAGCTGCGTCGACGAGCTTGTACTCGTTCGCTTGAGCCAGCAACCCAATGGTCGAGACCACCACGTCCTGGCCTCGAAGGGCGCGAACCAGTTCGTCATGAGGGAAGTCGTCCGAGACCTTTCTCAGCTGGACGGTTGGCGGGTACGTGCTGCTGGAGCTGTCCCGAGCAAGAACGGTGACATTGAACGAGCCATCCTTCGTCAAGGCGTTCAAGACATGATAGCCGATGCGATCACCGCCTGCACCGAAGAGAAGGACGTTCTTGAATGGTGAAGCAGAACCCATGATGTGATTTAATGACGACTTACTAGCTTGAGGAGAACGCTACCATGGCTTTCTTATATGCTGCATGCTCTTAAGAATCGCTCACCGATCGCGATTCTCGATTATCAATTGTTTCTGGAGGCCGTGATGTCCGAAACGAACGTCGACGCCCTTCCGGACTTCGGACTTCACGGAGCGGTCAAGAGCCGAAAGACGTTCTTGGGCTCGACAGTGGTCGACACATGGGATACTCGTGTTCGGATAAGGAACGTCGTACATCTCTTCCTTCGGCTTGCCTGAGACAGGGCTTTGATCTGACCTCTACAAGCTACACTGACCCATACTTCGACCGACTCGCCCTGGGTGACAGGCACTTTGGCAAGCTTCCAGACATAACACACAAACGTATCAAGGCGTGGGAAGGCGAGAAGCAATACTTGCACCGTTGGGCGTTGCATGGCGATACAAAAATGATGGGTTGGTGGGATTCATGTTGTTACTCGGCAATGCTCAAGGAATGTAAGCTGGCGACAGGAGGTATTTGTGAGCAGCTTGACTGCAATATCCATGCTCATTGGTTGTTTATACAGTAGGCTATGGATATCTTGTGGCCGTCAGGGCCGCCATTACTCCTTCCAGCTGTCTTGCGGGTTTGCCCTGTGGTTTCGAATGACAGCTTCTCCTCTGTCATCACTAGTTCAATGGCACACAAGCAGTTGCCTTCGAATTCAGTGTCCTTCCTCGAGGTGTTTGCGATTCCCACCACGCCGCTATATTGTGTCTTGGTTTGATGGTGCACCGTAACCGTTTCGCCTCGACGCGGGTGCGCGTGTCAAGCGACATCCCCAAATGATGCTGGGATGATGCACTGTTTTAGAATGGTCGAGCTCCTCACAGCCACCACCATAACACAATTGCAACGAACTGCCAGTTGAACCCACAGAAAGGGCAGTCAGAAGAAGTTCAACAATGTCACTTCTGCGTTCACTGAGCAGGAGCGTTCCTCGTTCACAGCTGCATCAACGACACATGGTGACATCAATATCGAGTGCTCTCTCACTTCAAGTTCAAAAGCCTTCTCACATGAGTACTCTTTCCTCTCCTCCTCATACGAATACCGGATCTTCTGCAGCCCGGCTTCAGCATCTCAACAGGCACTTTGCAACTACCAGCTCACCAAACTTCAACATGGCTTCTTCCGACCCCAAGGCCCACAACAACCCTGACTTCCAGCTCCAGGAGATCTTCAATGTTAAAGACAAGGTGTGCCTAGTCACGGGAGGGGGCAGCGGTATTGGATTGATGCTCGTGCAAGCGCTCGCCGTCAATGGAGCAAAGGTCTACATCTGCGGCCGCACCGAAGAGAAGCTCCAGCAAGTGGCGGACACCTACAACCAAGGCATCTCCGGCCAGATCATCCCAATCACCTGCGACATCAGCAAGAAGAACGAGATTGCGGGCCTCTACGACCAGCTGTCCAAGAAGGAGCAACGCCTCGACATCCTCATCAACAATGCCGGAATCTCAACCAAGACGTTCCAAACCGAGGCCAGCTCAGCCGATGAGATGAAGAAGAACCTTTTCGAGAACCAAGACGCCACGTTCGAGGACTGGGATGACATTTACCGGACGAACGTCTCGCAGTGCTGGTTCATGTCGACCGCCTTCCTGCCGATGCTGGACAAGGCCACGCAGCAGCAGCACGGATGGTCCAGCACGATTATCAACATCACCTCGATCTCTGGACAGGTCAAGACCTCGCAGCACCATCCTCAGTACAACGCATCGAAGGCCGCCCAGATTCACCTCACGAGGATGTTGGCGGAAGAGATTCAAGTCAATGGGCTGAAGATCCGTGTCAACAATATCGCTCCCGGTAAGCATCATTTCCTGTCTTGTTCTTAGTTTCAACATTCTAATCACTGCGTAGGCGTGTTCCCATCGGAAATGACAGCTGGTGAGAGCGGTGCCAACCAGAAGTCTCACGTGCCCAAGGACAAGTACGAGAGCAAGGTACCAGCTGCGCGCCCAGGGAACGACAGGGACATGGCTGGGACTTTACTGTTCTGCGCAACCTGCCAGTACCTCAACGGCCAGACCATTACCGTTGACGGCGGCTACACCCTTGCCGCTGGGCGTTAGGCCAGGACCGTGGTTTGAGTGAGAAGGGGGCCTGCATTGAACCTCCGCATCGCGCAGCATGCGTTCGAGACGGTTATCCACGATGCATCATGTACTATACGGAAAGCATTGACGTGAAATGAAATCACAAGATCATCTGATGGATTAAGTTCATCGTCACGACACATTAAGTGTATATTACACCGGAAGACCTCCACAACACCCTCGCTTGGACGCTCTCGCTCGCATGGATTGCTGCCACTCAATTACCCTTCTTGTTCGCCTCAAGATGCCACGCCATCACCTTCTCGAAGATCCCCTTCCCACCACTCTCAATCACATCACCATGACAAGGAATGATGCGGTCAAAGTCCCACTTCGCGACCCGACTCACGGACTCGTTGTAGCCCTTTCGATCGCCGGAAGAAATGCCGTACCAGATGAGTCGTTTCTGCCACGTAGCTTCCCCCTGCGTGTTGTTGAGGCCCGTAAAGAGTCGACTCAGGAAGCCACTGGTGGGCGACAAACCAGTCTTGCTGAACTGCTCCGTCGCAGGCAAGTTGAACATTAGATCCGCCTCGATGAGTGTCCGCGAAGGCTTGTGGTTGAACACCAACTCCTTGTTCGCATGCGCGTCGTTGTACTCGCGATCGAACTCGGCGTCGAACGTGGGATCGATCTTCCAGCTCTCCGCATCCCCCTTCTTGAACAACCTCCACTTGTCCTGCGGAATCTTAAAGTACCCCTGCTTGTCCCGATACGCGGGCAGCGTCTCCGGCCCGATGACCACCGCGTTCGGGTACTGTTTGTGCCAGCTCTCGAGGAAGATGTGGTGCTCGCCGTCCAGCGCGGTGATGTATTTCACGTTGGTGCTCTGCAGTTGTTCCTGCATCTGCTGCTTGACGGAGGAGGTTAGGGCGGTAGGGCTGAAGACCGCTAGGGAGTCGTCTTTGAGCTTGACGATGGTGCCGCGGCCGCCGACTTTGATCCGGCCGAAGCGCAGGAAGGGCGTGCTGCAGACGAGGATGTTGGGGGTGACGCGCCGGATGACCATGACTTTCTCTGGGTCCTGCTGTAGTGGTTAGCGAAGGGTTCAATGGCTCTGTGGTTGTAGGTGCTCACGGATGGTATGAGTTTCGCTGCGCCGGATGCCATGGCTGCGGTGTTGTTGGGTTGGTGCTCTGGTTCTTTGTGATATGGTTGTGTTGGTCTGATAGTATAAAACTGCCCTTGGGACCGAGCTGCTTAAGTACTCTGGCTTCCGTACGAAAGTAGTAAGAAAACTGTCAACAGATGCTGACTGTGGAAGAGCTGACTGTGGAAGAGCTGAGAAGGAAAGAAAAGTATTTGAGATATCAAGAAGTATTTGCGAAAGAGCAACTTGACCACTGACTACAGCCACCCTAAGGTACGTATGGAGCGCAGCCGAGTATTTGTCGTGCCTTTTCAATGGTGATGGTGGTGCGATGATGTCGGCCGGGAGGTGGCGGAAGTTCTGGCGCCGACTTCCTGTTGAACCTCACCTCCTGCCAATGCCTCGGACATACCTTAGCTCTTTGTCAGCGGTAGACCACCCCTCGCACTGCATGACAGTTGGCCAGCAAGGTCAGCTTGGGTCTCGAGATGTTCACAATGCTGCCATTGAGGAAGCGGTTCTTCCAGCTGCCAGCTGCCGTGCGGACGAGTCTCTTCAGCACCGCCTCGAAGGTCACTAATCCTGAGATCTACGACGTTGTCTGCGTGGGAGGAGGGCCAGCGGGACTGTCACTCGCCTCAGCTCTGCGGTCCAACGCTTCAACGAAGGGGTTACGGATTGCTCTGATAGACTCGCAAGCATTGAGTGGCGGGGGGCCTCAGAGTCATGGCGAGGCGTACTCGAACAGATGCTCATCCCTGACGCCAGCATCTGTCAAGTTTCTAAAGCAGTGCGGAGCCTGGGAGAAGGTCGAGAAGGGCAGGGCGCAGGACTACCATGGAATGGAGGTATGGGATGGCGTGAGTGGAAGCAAGATCTCGTTCGACCCGCTGGATGCCACAAGTGGCGGTGGTCTGCTGGACGCTGTCGGAGAACTGGTACCCGGAAACAGCTTCGCTGCGAGCAGGAGGAAGTATGATGTACCGGATGCAAGCAAGGTCGCAACCATGTGCGAGAATCAGAATCTCACGAGCGCGCTTCTGGAGCACCTAAACAGTCTTGGTGGCGTGGAAATATTCGACAAGACGACGGTCGAATCAATACAGCTCGGTTCGGAGCCGCACGACGATCAGTCCCTCGATCTCTCGCAGTGGCCGATTGTTTCACTGCCCGACTCTCGCCATCTTGCCGCCCGCCTGCTGATCGGTGCAGATGGCGCAAACAGCCCTGTGAGGAACTTCGCCGGCATACCTTCCGATGGTTGGGACTATGGCCAGAACGGTGTCGTTGCTACACTACACATGGACCAAGGTTTCAGCCCGGAGGAGCTTAGAACTGCTTACCAGCGATTCCTGCCATCGGGTCCAATCGCACTGCTGCCATTACCGGGAAACAAGGCCAGCCTCGTGTGGTCTATCACCGCTTCTCTAGCCAATAAGCTCAAGTCATTGAGTCCACAAGACTTCGCCGCTATGGTCAATGTAGCCTTCCGCCTCGAGATTGCCGACCTTGACTACTTCCTCAAGCATTCAGAAACGATCGACATAGCCGATGAGCTCTCCTGGCGACTACCGAATACTCCAGCGTCCTCGACCGGTCTACCGTCGAGCCTTCCAGCTGTTGCCGCTGTCCAAGAAGGCTCGATAGCCTCTTTCCCTCTCCGTATGCGGCACGCCTCCACCTACACCGGCCATCGCGTTGCCCTCATTGGCGATGCTGCTCACACCATTCATCCGCTTGCCGGCCAGGGCCTGAACCTAGGACTTGCGGACGCTCAATCACTTGCTCAACGCATCACCTACGGTATGGGGCACGGCATGGATATTGGTAGTGCTTGGTGCTTGGACGACTACAACAGCGATCGCTGGGCGAAGAACAATGCTGTGATGGGCGTGTGCGACAAGCTGCAGAAGCTTTACTCTGTGAGCAGTGGGCCGGTGGTGTGGGGGAGGAGTCTAGGGCTAGGTTTGGTTGATCGATTAGGTCCGCTCAAGGGGAGGGTCATGGCAGCTGCTGGGAGTGCGTGAGTGACGTGAATGTGCGCTGTCGATAGCTGCTTAATTTCTTGTACTCTTCTTAAATACTGTATCAAGTCTCTCCACCGCAGTAATCGCGCTTCATCTCCCAGACGCACTGGTCATGATCCACTCACGAACGGCGATGGTTCTATCCATGAATGTCACTTTCACATGTCAATTCGGAGGGCTTAGTAAGCGCGGCAACAGCCGTCCTCGAATCTGGGGTCGGCTTCAATTGCGCCTGCGACCGAACATCATCGCACACTCTACCACGACGCGACAAACTTCACCTTCACAACGACCCACACCTCCGAGACCACCGCCGCGAAGCTCCAAACCCGGCGGCGACCGCGAAAACTACGTCCGAACCTTGCGGAACCGATAGCTTGCGACAAAGCATCTGGAGCCTCTTCGAACGAGCCGTTGCATCACATCGGAGAGACGGGAAAGCACTACACCGTATTATAAGGCATGAGAGCTTAGGCGACAAGGGAGCCAGAGGAGGCGCTCGTCACCGGCGCGATGCCGGCCTTCCTCGAGGAAGCGCCGGCGGAGGGCCCAATCATCGAAGAGCTGGAGTACAGCATCTTAAGGCAGAAGGTGGACTTGGACGTGGATTTCGCGGGACGGTCACTGAATGGCAGCACGGAGATCACGATTCAACCACTGGTTAAAGAACTGAAGACGCTGCGACTTCACTGCCGACAATGCAAGCCTACTTCGATACAGGTGGGCGGCATTGCTGCGAAATGGGAGCACGAAGACCCGTACAAGCGGTCGCGCATGCCGGAGATGTCGGATGTGCGACAGCATGACATGTTGAAAGCCAGAGTCGAGACGTCTCTGCGACCCGCGCCTGCGCCAGAGCTCTCCGTCACGCTTCCAGCGAAGGTCAAGATTCAAGAGCTGCAAGTAGATGCTGCTGCAACTGCTGGTGGAAGTGAGACAGCACCCAACGCAGAAACATCGCATACTCAAAGTGCACAGCAATCTGGACCTTCGTTCGCGCCGATTAAGGTGCTCATCGAGTTCGAGGTGGACAGCTTCCGAGACGGCATCCACTGGATCGGGCACGAAGATGGCGACCGCAGATATCCGTACATGTACTCCAAAGTCGAGCCTTGGGCAGGCAACTCCTCGTGCATATTTCCCTGCATGGATGACGCCACTTCGAGATGTAGCTGGGACATCTCTATCCGGTGCGCAAAGACACTTGGTGATGCTTTCAAGCGGACGGAGCCAAATGTACCAAATGGCCACCTTGACGAAGATACCAACATGGCAAACGGCGGTGATGCACCAACCGCGAAGGCTGAACCAGATGACAAGTACTTGATCGATCTATCTGAGGACGAGGCTGCGATGGACCTCGCCCTCGTCTGCGTCGGAGAAGCGGTAGACGACGTCGTCGATTCAGAGGACGCATCAAAGCGTACGGTCAGCTTTTCTCTCACGCAACCGGTCACGGCACGCCATGTAGGCTTTGCAATCGGGCCTTTCGAGCACGTCGATCTATCATCCACACGAGAATCTGAGCAGGAGGAGCGCCTAGGTCAGAGCGCGATGAAAGTTCATGGGTACTGCCTGCCGGGCAAGTCGAAAGACGTACAGAATACTTGCTTTCCGATGGCCCTTGCAATGGACGACATGGGTATAAGATACGGGTCGTTTCCATTCAGCAGCTATCAGATGCTCTTCATCGATGACTTCATATACGATACGGTCGCCGTGGCTGGACTCTCTTTCTGCAGCGCTCACCTTCTATTTCCCAAGGAAGTCATCAAGCCCATGTACCACAACACCAAGGCCCTTGTCCGCGCATTGGCGAATCAGTGGATGGGCGTCAACGTCATTGCGAAGGAGGCGACAGACGAATGGGTAGTTGCCGGTATTGCCGGCTTCATGACTGACGTCTACCTCCGAGAGCTGTGCGGGAACAACGAGTTCCGTTGGCAGCAGAAAGTAGCTTCCGACAAGGTCTACGAGCTGGATGTGGACCGCCCTTCCATCAGGAACCTTGGCGAGCTCTTGCATTACGACCAGACTATCCGGGACTTCATCAACATGAAGTCAGCGCTTGTCCTGTTCATCCTCGATCGCCGCCTTATGAAAGCAAGTGGATCAACTGGCGTGCAGCGCATCATCAACAAAGTCTTCCTCCAAGCAAAGACCGGCAGTCTAGTCGATGGTGAAGTATCCACGGCTGACTTCCAAAGGATCTGCGAACGGCTTGGACACAACAAGTTGGAGTCGTTCTTCCGTCAATGGGTCTTCGGTAGCGGATGTCCCATCTTCTACGTCACGCAGCGATTCAATAAGAAGAAGCTTGTGGTGGAAATGACAATCGTGCAGAAACAACTCGAGCGTATCACCAAGCCTGCATTTGAGCCGAGCAGCTTCATGCGCGAGATCAAGGAGCATGTTGGTGAAGTCTGGGCACCAGAGACCAACCCAGTCTTCACGGGGCCAATGACGATACGCATTCACGAGGCTGATGGGACCCCATACGAGCACATCGTAGAGATCAAAGAGGCCACTACCAGACTTGAGATTCCTTACAACACAAAGTACAAGCGACTCAAGCGGTCGAGACGTCAGAAAGAACGGCAGGTGGCTGAAGGTGCCACTGGTGAAGGAGGCGACGATGCACTGCTCTACTGCCTTGGCAATATCTTCGACTCCGAGGAAGAGAAGCGCGAGTGGAACCTTGTCGACTGGACCAAAGAGGACGAAGACAAGATGGGTCAAGAGCACTACGAGTGGATTCGTATGGATGCTGACTTCGAATGGGTGGGAAAGATCCATCTCGTCATGCCTCTGTACATGTACATCTCGCAGCTGCAGCAAGATCGGGACATTGTGGCGCAGTATGAGAGCATGCGGTATCTTCTCGGATCGAACCCGCACCACGTTAACTTGACCATTCTCGTCCGCACGCTGATGGATGCGAAGTACTTCTGGGGCATACGAGAGATGGCAGCCGAAGGTCTGGCCATCTGCGCGAAGGATAGGCTGGTTGATATTGGCCAGTTCCACCTCATGAAGGCTTTCCGCGAGATGTTTTGCATCGAGGGCACGAATATGCCTAAGTCCAACGACTTTTCAGATCGTCGCAACTTCATCTTGCAGTGCGCGATCCCACGTGCGATGGCCCAGCTGAGAGATGGCGAAGGCAAGGTGCCGATGGCCGTAAGGCGCTTCTTCATCGATCTGTTGAAGTTCAACGATAATTCCAACAACCAGACGGACGATGGCGACTCAACGTACTCGGACAATCACTACATCGCCACTCTGATGAATTGCCTGGCAGAATCCCTTGTCGCGTCGCATCGCGAGAAGCAGTCTGCTTACAGCTTCGATTTCGGCGAGGACGAGCCGATGGAGGATGAGCACAACCCAGATGCAGATTTTGAGCTGGTTGCCATTGCTCAGATCGAGCGTCACCGCCGCATCGACGAGTGGGAGTCTAGCTACCAGAACGTCTACTCCGTCACTGCGCTCGAGTGTCTTCAGCGTCTTACAAAGGCTGGCATCGTGAACGACAAGACTCCGGAGGTCATGAAATACGTACGGAGCGGCAACGCCGACAACGTACGTCTTGCGGCATGGAGGTGTCTGTCCGAGATTGGCGTGCTGCGCAAAATGAAGGCCACGCGGTACATGCTTCACTGCTTGTCTAAGGATCATTCGCCCAGGTTCCGGGACAGGCTTCTCGTCATCTTCGGCGAGGCGCTTGGCCACATTGCACTCGGTGATCCAGAGCCTGAGAAGGTTGTTCCCCAAGCCGCAGCTGACGGCCTGGTACTGGAGCAGGAGACAAGCAATGAGGCGAGAAAGTTGGCTGCCACAAGGAAGACTACGCCTGAGGGTGCTCTAGTTGCATTGAAGAACTCGCTGCAAGGAGAGGAGGTCTTCGCTGAGTCGCTGTGGCATGCAGCGACTTCTCCAGACCTGACGCTCGACGATGTGGCTGCTCTTTGCGACGTCGCAGCTCTCGTGTTTGAGCCTGTGCAGTCGCTCACGCTTCGTCTGCAATTACCCCGAATGTGGCGCTGCACGAATCTCGGCCAAGGCAAGCTCAAGTTCAGCGAGTACGGCCCGTACAGGCAGAAGCCCAGCACGCCCCTTGACCTGGAACAGTGGGAGAGGATGCAGGAGTTGGGTCTGAAATACACTGGTCCTGTTGCTCCCGCCGTCCAGAAGAAGCAACAACAGCAGACCACGGATGCCGCTCTGAAGATAAAGATCGCACAGGCAGAGAAAGATACTCAGACCGCCCAGGATGGCAACAACATGCCGCCGCCGCCTTCCATCACGCCCTCGACAGAGAAGCAGAGCTTCCGCCTCAGCCTTGGTGGAGCGGCCAAACGCAAGCCTAGCATGGACCAGGGTGGAAGAGCTGGCAGTCCAAAGGTGCAGAAGACCTCGAGGCAACAATCTCCTGCTGGTCCGATAGCTGCCACACCCAAGACTACTAAGGCCAGCCCAGCGCGCCGCCGGTCCTCAACTCCCAAAGCGTCCACCGGCAAGGGTAAGAAAAGCAAGATCATCATCCTGCGGCTTGGTCACAGCTCTGCTGAAGCGCACGCTATCCTCAACGCTCCTCCTCGGCCGGCATCAGCAGGAACAAAACCACCAGGTCTGCAGCCATCACCTTCCAATACCCCGCAGCTACCTTCGGCCTTCCCTGGTGTGGTCTCACCTACGAACGGAGCGAACGGCGCGAACTATCTCGGAGGTGGCATTGCCTTCTCACCACCCTCGCAGGCCATGAACCTGGGCAGCTTTAGGAGTTACGGCCCAGCGCCTGAAGCGTCGGAACCGGCTTCTGTTCTTGCAGCCTCGCCGGTGGATGTGAAGCAGGAACAACCCAAGGCGGAGTCATCCGACGATGATGAGGACGAGGTGCCGCTTGCGACGTTGGCTAGGAATCAGCCCCAGCAAGTACCTGAGATGAAGCAGCCGGCGATGGCGCCGCCTTCAGCTCCGCCTGCGCCGAAGCAGAAGTTCAAGCTGAAGCTGGGTAAGAAGCCGAGTCAAGCATCTCCCGAGTGACGGGAGACGAGAGGTGGTAGTGTGCGAGGAGGAGTGGTGCGTTTTCAAGCTGAGTGAAGTCGAAGTGAGAATTCTTTTGGCGTGAATGTGCAGGGTCGCTGCTTTGGTGAACTTAGCGAGGCGTTATGGGGACAAAATGGGATCAGAGAGCATTGGCTGTGCACCTATGCTATGAGCACTACTTATACAACGTATCCCTAATCCATTGAGAATCCAACGAGCTCCTTCTGGTATGCTCCAATGATTTCCCTACACTTGACGAGCACGCCCGCTGCGAGCGTTCTTACTTTCGTCTCCTCGTCATTGCCGCCTTCGCTCACCATCTCATTCCCGCCCACCCACCCAAAGACCATGTCAACCCATTGCTGCGTCTCCATCAATCTCTTCGGGTGGTCATTGACAACCTGCCGCTTATCCGTGTTCATCTCCAACACCGTAAGCAACGAGAACAACACAGCATGCAGCACGCTGATGTCCTGCGTAGCCTGCACCCGCAACGAGAGCAGCAAATCCCAGAACTCGCCACTCAGCTCGCTGAGGCTGAGTGTCGCAGGACCGGAAGCATGATGCAGGAGCGCAACGGTCTTGACGAAAGTAACCAGGACAAAGGGCATGGAGGAGTAGACGCTAGCGGATCCGTAGGCTGCAATCTCCTGCTGGTAGCGATTGACGAGTGGGAAGAAGTAGCTTTCTCCAAACACTTTTGCCAGAGCATTGGCGGTTGGTTTGCGCTTCGTCCGCTCGACGTCCATGCGGCTGGAGAAGGTTCGGACTTTGACTGCGTTGAGATGGGCGGTGGATTGGTCTGCGGCGTGGAGCGCGAGGGGTTTGATGAGGGCTTGTTCGACGTCGTTGCTAGCTGCCTCGAGACGCTTTGTAGTTGTGGCTGGCTGATTGTAGATACCATGCAGACGAGGAGGTAAACGCTTGCTCGGGAAGTCCGGAACGCCTTGAGACGGATTCGGTTCGTCTTCGTTCTTGAAGCCGGCAAGCTCTCTGCCGCTCAATCCTAAGGCGCTGAGCATGATGCAGCGCTGTGAGACAGAGTAGTCGCCGCTGAAGGCTTGCTTGCAGAACCACGGCGCCATGGCTTTCACGTCGCTCAGAATGACAGCAATCATTGCTTGCAGCTTCAAGCTGTCAAATTCGTCCGTCTCGAATGGATCCCGAAGATTGCACAAGATGATGCCCAGCTCGTTGGCATGATCCTTGACTTCAGAGCCAAATTCTGTCTTCCTCCGTATGAGCGAAGCAGCGTGCTTGATGCCGAGTTGGAAGCGGTCGTGGTCTTGCTCGTCGCGCAGCATAGCCATAAGATCGCGGATGTAGACTGGAGGTCTGGTCTTCTTCCTATTAACGAGAGTGGCATCTTCGTCGCTGTCTTCGGGGTCGCTGTCCGGCTGGGCGTATGGCTTCAGGTCATCCTCGTCTCCATCCTCATCGCCGTCCAGAAGTTCTGTGACTTTCTCGCCGATGACCTCAGTCTGGGCCGGTGGTCGAGGAGGGCCGAAAGTGGGCTTGCCGTTGATCTCTAGCATTTTTTCCGGTGCTTGGCCGCGACCTGCCCGTTGTCTGCGTTTGGATGGCTGTTTTGGCGTTGTGAGTAGGCTCTGTAGATCCGCGAGGCGTCCAACTTGATCTTCAACCCGCGCGAGATTCATGTACCACTTAGCTTCCTCCGTTTCCATGTCTTCAGTACCGAAACTCATCTTCATGCCTTCTTTGTCCACGAGACTAGATATCGCGGTCCCAACGACCATGCCGAGCCATCTCCCACGCGCATTAGAAGTGTCAAGCCTATTGCTCACGCCTTGCATATGACTCGAGGAGCGAGCTGTCATCAAGAGTGCCATGGGCGCCTTTCGGTGCAAGTATCCTGCTGTCAGAAGCAGTGTTTGGGCCATGGCTTCTTGCTGAATTATCGGGCCGTGAGCAATAAAGAGGAAATCGTTGAAGGCAGACATGACTCTCTCTGTCACCAATTGCAGAACGTCCAAGTCGCCGGAGACGGCTGAGAGTGCTGCGATGCATGCTCGTCGAACAGCAAAGGATTGGAGGCCTGAACGTGCTGGGTCGGTCAATGAAGATGCAATGTTCTGCTTCAGTGCCGAGTCTACCGCAGCAATAGAAGAAAGCAAGGACGCTGTTGTGGCAACCACTTTCGCCTGTTCGGCAGAACCGGGCAGTGGAGTCGCATCCTCGCTACCGTCGATAGTTGAGAGCCATCGCAGCAAGTGCTCCACGAATAATCGCTTGGAATGCGATGGCAGGTGGCAGAGCATGGAGGTGAGGACAGCTTTCTGGCCTGGCTGCGTGCGAATCTGCATCGCCAAGGGTTCGAGAAGGGCCGCCAGAAGTCTGTGCGGGTACCCAAAGTTCAATGCTTTCGCAAGGACTTGCGATGCTGGTACTGTGTCATGAGCGTCACCAACTTTGCCAACATCAGCGCTCGAAGCTAAAGTGGCAATGTTTCGACCCAGCCATGCAGCATAGTCTGCACCGCTCGTGAACTCGCGTACTGTAACGTCCAGGCCACCTTTCTCATTCACAGCATCTTCAGCCTCAGCCAGCGTCGCCAGGACTTTGCCGGAGCCCATGAGGGAGACTCCCTCCTTCCATGCCATGTCCCGTTTGGTCTGGTTTAAAACAGCTCCAGATAGATTGCGGTGTACCCGTAATAGCGTCTCATCCCCGTGTAACACATGGCCAGCGATGTTGATCAGATCTGTGAGCGCCAGAGATCTGTCCTGCCCTCCTTCCACCGAGGTCTTAGACAGCACCATTCGCAAGCGGGCAACGATGGCGTTGAGGCCAGCGACATTGCGTAAGACTTCAGCTACACTGTTTGCAGCCTGCTTGGCCAACACAGACCAGAAGTCGGGCACAGTCTGCGCTAATATAGTGTTGATAATCTGTGCCTGCAACGGTCCTGGACTGTGTATGCTGAAAGTCGGGCAAAAAGTGTTAGAGTGCAGGCTTTTGAGCACCGATCGGAGCTCGTCAAGATCAGGCTGACTCCTGAGTATATCCAAGGCATCTTGTGGACTTGATGCAAGCCGCTTGGTCTCTACTCTGGCTTGCTTCTCTGATTCCGAAGCCTTATTCGAAGGCCCAGTGTTGGAATCTGTCGACCTTTCCGCTTTGAGGTCCTCATCAGCTCGATTTTGGCTCCGCAAAGATTTCACCGCAGTGAGGAAGTCTGCCATCCTCTGCTTGGGCACATGTCCACTTCTTGTCGATGCGAATATGGATAGAAATGTCGCGAGGTTGGATCTGCCTTATAAGACCGAGACCAAGCCACGTGCTAGCGCGATAAGGTTGATTTAGAGTAAACTCTAGTTGAGCCTCCCCCGCGTCACCTTCGATGCTTCAAACGAACATCACCAACCTGACGATCTAGACAAGTAACATGGCGGCCACAATGCAGCCAGAGGCTCTGGCTCCGGCCATGAACGGCGAAGGGACAGACCGGCCAAGATGGAAGTATATGGACCGCATTCTCTCGCGGCCAGGCGGCTACACAGACGAAGACTACGACCCCGATACACCAGCGAACAACATCGAAGCAGCGAAGATATTGGTCATAGGTGCTGGAGGGCTGGGATGTGAGATACTCAAGAACTTCGCATTGTCAGGCTTCAAGAACATCGACGTGATTGACATGGATACCATCGACGTCTCCAACCTGAACCGGCAGTTCCTCTTCCGCCAGAAAGACGTGGGAAAGTCAAAAGCAAGCGTCGCAGCAGAGTTCGTGATGAAGAGAGTGCCCGGCTGCAAGATCAACGCCCACATCTGCAAGATCCAAGATATGGACGAAGATTACTACATGCAGTTCACCATCGTCGTCTGCGGGCTCGACTCCATCGAAGCCCGGCGCTGGATGAACGCCACCCTCGTCGGCATGGTCGACATGGAGAACCCAGACAGCCTCAAACCGCTCATCGACGGTGGCACCGAAGGCTTTAAAGGCCAATCGCGCGTCATCTTCCCGACAATGACCTCCTGCATCGAATGCCAGCTCGACATGCACGCCCCACGCGCCGCCGTACCCCTGTGCACTCTCGCCACCATCCCCCGCCAACCTCAACACTGCATCGAGTGGGCGCACATTATCAAATGGGATGAAGAGCGCAAAGACATCCAGCTCGACACCGACGACCCGGAACACATCACCTGGCTCTACCAGACCGCCCTCGCGCGCGCACAGGAATTTGGAATCGCCGGCGTAACGTACAGCATGACGCAGGGCGTAGTGAAGAACATCATCCCCGCCATCGCATCCACCAACGCCATCATAGCCGCCTCATGCTGCAACGAAGCGTTCAAGATCGTGACCTCCAGCGCGCCATTCTTGGGAAACCCAGAGCAGAACAACTACATGCTCTACACCGGCGACAGCGGCGTCTATACCTACACCTTCGAGCACCAGAAGAAAGACGACTGTCCCGTGTGCGGGAACCTGCCCAAAGACCTGCCGGTCAATCCGCAGTCGACGCTGGGCGAGCTGGTGGAGAGTTTCGCGGAGCGGCCGGAGAGTCAGCTGAAGAAGCCGAATATGCGGACGGAGGAGAAGACGCTGTTCTACTCTGCGCCGGAGTCGTTGCGGCAGCAGACGGAAGGGAATCTGAAGCGGAAGCTGGGCGAGATGCTGGTGGATGGGGAGGAGGTGGCTGTCAGCGACCCGGCGTTTACGATTGATTTCAGGTACAAGATCAGGTTCTCGTAGAGAAGTGGCCGGTGCTGTGGGACGGAATGAATGATGTTTTGCTTGCATAGCGACTGGCGCAAGAAGGGACACGCAGACCATTCACAGGTCTTTCGCTAAAGACGCAGATCGCATGAGACGACGCGCAGATGATGAATGGAAATGCAGACGAAACCGGCCAGCGATAGATAGTGGTGACATACAAGCCGTAAACATTAATCTACCGTCAGAAAAAGCGCAAACATAACTATTCCATCCGACCCAAAAGCAAGAGGAAAACACCATATCTACATCCATTTTGATCCCCAAACACCCAGATGATACAGATCCCAGATCCCAGATCCCATTCCTTTCAAGGATAGTCCGAATACTTATACGCCAAATTACTCGGCGCGCGCTCATGCTTCCTGTGCGTCCGTCCATCACTCCCCAACCCCGTCGACGTTCCCTGGCTACTATACGGTCGACTCCCGTACCCATCACTCTTCGCATTCCAACCCGGCGCCCGCAACCTCCTCTCCTGCTCAAAGTCATGCCACCGCTTCATCGTAATCTTACTACTGTCAAACTCGCCCTCGGCTTCATGTCCGCTCTTACCCGCCCCGCGCTCCTCGCCCATGGCCCGGCGCGTGTCGCCCCAGGAGAAGTCGTCAAAGTGCCAGTAGGCGTAGGCCGGGAGGATCAAGTTCCAGATTGGGAGGGAGAGGAGGTAAATGAACATCCAGAAGACGTAGGAGAGGCGGTGGGCGGTGATGACGATGAGGATGCCGGGGAGACCGAGGATGAGGGCGAGGAGGATGAGGGGGATGAGGGGAGCGGCTGTGTGGGTTATGGCTGCAATGATGCCGAGGACGCCTGGAAGGGGTTAGTTAATAAGGACGGAGAGGCTAGTGGAGGTGGGATGTGGAGAGGACTTACCGACGTAGAGAGTGAAGCAGATAGCGGCGGGGAGGACAACACAACCGACGAGATCGATGAAGACGACGAATTGCATGCTGAAGCAGAAGGTACCGCAGAGGTCTCGGACGAGCACGAGCTCCATCAGGTTGTGGATAGTACTGTTGATCCAGCGTCTTCGCTGACTGAGCAGGACCTTGAACTCGTCCGGGACGGTGGTCTTGCAGACGGCCTGTGGAACGAAGACCTGCTTGCGCTTGGGGAAGGTCTTGAGCATGAGCGTACTGAGGTATCGATCTTCACCGAGCAAGAGCAAGTTCTTCTTATGCAGGGTGTCGACGACATTTTCGGAGTAGTGCTCGACAATATCCGGGTTGGCCAGGATCGGGACCCAGTAGTTCTGCGCGCCTTTGGGAGTCTTGATGCGGTACATGCAGAAGCAACCAGGCAAACACGTCACACCACCAAAACAGCTCTCGAAGCTCTTCGCCAAGTGGTGCGAGATGAAGTATTCGAAGACCTGGATCATCGATACCCAGCTCTGCGTCTTGTTGGCGATCTTCGTCTCACCGCATAAGCCCATGATCTCCGGATCCTTGACCATAGCAGAGATCATGTGCGTCAAGCTGTCCGGGAAGACCTTCGTGTCCGCGTCGACCATGAGCACGATCTCGTAGAAGTCCGGACTCATGCCCGTGATCTTCCAGACACCGTTGAACATCTCATACTCGAGCTCCGTCATGCGCTCGTCGAACATGACCTTTTGCAAGAAACTCATCAAGATGATCTGGGAGTCTCGCTTGCCTCTGTTGCCAGGCTTCGATGCCTTCGCTTCAGCAGGTGTACCGCATTTGACGACAACAATCATGGGGACACGCTGTTGCTTCTCAATCGGGATGATGCTGTCATGGCCGTAGTCGTAGAAGCCAGAGTAGATCTTGGCCATGTTGTGTCGCTTGCTGCCGCTAGCCACGGCCACGTAGGAGAAAGGCTGTACTTCGTCTGGTAGAACAGCGTGGTCCTTCATCATGCTCAGGCAAGCATCTGGTGTGCTCATCTTTTCGCCTTTGCCGTGAATCATACCATCGCAGACCACAAACATGAGCTTGTGCGAGTTGGGGTAGTCGGTCATCGCAACAGAGTCCAGCGTGGTACGGATGCCTGCTGGGCCCTCGGAATAGCAAGTGACCAGACAAATGGAGTGTGCGAGAGGGAAGCCGAAAGGCTGCCATTCTGGTGGTGGCTGAGGCACGACACTCTCGTGAATGAAACCTTGCGGGCCAGACGCATCCGTATCCGTGTGCATGACGCTCGAGTACCGCTTCGATCCAGAGTAGAGCTGACTTGATCGAGTGCCAGGGGTGCCGTTGCTGTCCATGTAAGTTGGCAGTGTCACTTCAGACTGATTATTGTCGCGATACAAGCCCCTCTGGCCAGCCATGAGGTTGGTCTGTGACTGCTGGCTTGCCATGGTAGTTGGATTGGCCGATTTGCGGTTCATGGTTCTCTCCATGGCGTACGGGCTGGTGAATCTCGAGGTCGTTGGTAGGAAAGAAGACCTCTTGCTCATGCGGTCGCTGCCGTTGTTCGAGGCAGGATCCGTCATCTTTGGCGGTGGTCTGTAGATGTCGTCCGTCCAATCTTCGATCTGCTGCTTCCGCTTCTTGCTGTCACCGCCCATGCTCGTCTTGCTGGCCGCGAACTTGCGACTGATGAACCACTGAAACAGAATAGCCAAGAGGAACTTGATGGCCACAATGGACAGAATGAAGATCAGCGAGACGTAGAGCACGACCTTACTGGCTATACATCCCACCGTTGCCGTATCGATCGAACCGACTTTGATAATCTCCTGGAAGCACTGCGCGATTTGCTTGTTCGAACCACTGGCATAGGACATCGTCACATCCTTCCCTCTGACCGCTGGGTTCGTGCGGATGTCATCAAATTGGGTAGGCCAGGCCACCTGAGAGCTGTTGAACCACTTGAGCAGATCAAGGTCAAGAACATCTCCGTTGTAGACCATCAGGTTGCGGGTGGAGTTCTTGATGTCGTCCCAGGTGAAGTAGACATCGCCAGACGTTCTCAGACCGTAGAAGTTCTCGCGAGCGTTCTTCGACGTATGGCACGAGTACCCGAAGTAGTACGGGATGCTCTTGTTGGGATTGGCATTGTCGGATCCATCCTGGTTGAAGGTGTGGCACGGGAAGTACCAGGCTAGGTTGCCATCCGAATCCGTGGGCACGTCAGAGTCCGTTGCGGGCGTGATCAGGTTCTTGCAGGCACCGTTCACATTTTGGAACAGAAAACTTCCGTCTTGACCTCCGTGTGGCTCATCCATATCCCACAGAACGTTGGCACCTTGTGCAATGCCTCTTGCTAAAGGATGGTGAGAAGTTGTCAGATCGTACGCCTTGCCGTGGAAGATCATATATCCAAGACCGACGTGGTTGATCCGCAGACGAAGAGGCCCGCCCTGCGGACAGACTGTCTCCGTAAAGCCGAACGTCAGGAACCCAACGAACAACATGATCAACGCAATGATGCTGAGAAGACCCATCTTCTCGCGCCATGCCCGCTGCTGCTCCTTCTGCTTCTTGCCGATGCATCGCAAGACCGTATTGGGGCACCAGAAGGTGACAAGATGACAGTACGTGTTCCACAAGGTCGGTGTTCCAGTTGCTTCCTGGATTTTGCGCCTGCGCTCATCCTTGGCTTCCTGCTCTTGTGTGTCGCGGGTCTTTTTGCGAATCAATTTCCCTCCTTCTTTGGTGCTCTTGTTTCGGTTGAGTGGCACTCGATCCTTCTCCGCCACCGGTGCCACTCGCGCGGTGGCTTCCTTCAGCGTGGTGGCTTCAGAGGTCGAAGTGGCCATATCGTCGTCCTCCAACTGCGGGTCTACGCCCGTTGTGGATGGCATGACGTTCATGTGCTGAGCGTGTTTTCGGTAGTGATAGTCTGGGTCATCAGAGTCCATCCGCCTCCTCTCTGGTCTGACCAGACTCTTCTTGCGCGAGAAGTCCCCATTACGCTGACTAGGAGATCGATTGGCTTCCAACATGGGATCTCTGTCGCTTGTGAGTCTGACAGGTGTGGATAGAGCACTTGACGCGGGCTGGATGTTGACGTAAGGGTCAACCCGCGGGCGTTCTCGTGGTGCGTGTTTGCGTGGTGATGCAGGGCTGTGTGCCTGACCGTAGCCTGCAGAGCTCCTCCTTCTGCGCCGAGTACGCTCTTGAGGTTCGCCGTAGCCGTCTTTTGAGCGATGTGCGCTGCTTCTTCGCCTGGCGCGATGCTCGGGAGATCGTGGCGTATCTGATATGGCCTCTGCAGTGCTTCGCCTCCTGTGTCTCCCGCCTTCTACGCTTGGTTGTCGTCCAGATGAAGAGTATCGCCGGGAGCTAGGTCTCGAAGACATGATGGGGTGTCACAGGGCCGGAGGCACTGGAATGTGAAGCGGACTCCCAAGGTCTTTCCCACTCCCAACTCTCAACTTGCACACCACCTCACCCGATACTCCTCCTGCTTATGATCAAGCTTCCGAGACTCTCACGCAAGCGTCACTGATGGACGCGTAGAGCTCTCTGTCCACGAGACTTTCTTCGTGGAGCCTCTTCGCGCTTCGGGAGTACACGCGGCCTCCTGACAGCAGTGTTTCGTCCACTCGTCGTCCGTCAAGACCAGCGTGCAATTGGATATGTACAAACAAGCGAATGACTCTGAAGGCAGCTGGGGGTAGTTGGAAACGAATGTGGTGTATGGAGGATGACAAGAGAATCGCTTGTGTGATAGTGTTGCTGGGGAGGTGTCTGCGCAGGGTTCAAGGTTCGGACGATTCACGCCTGCTGTCGCCACCTTCTGCGCGCTAACATGCACAACGCTATATTTATTTATTCTACGAACCTTGGCTGATTCGCTGCTACAAGACATGGCGACGAGATCGACGACGGAGGCGAACACGGTGGTGATGTTGTCCAGACGGGACGGAAGGTCCATGGCCGGCCAGTGTCGCATACGAAAACAACGTCAACGACACCCCTCCAAAGTGGCGCTTCACAAGAACACATGTAATGGAAAAACACGGTGGTGGCAACGGAATAACAACTTGTTTTCAACGACGCACAACGCCCGAACAAGGCAACGTTGTCTGCCAAAATAGCGAACGACACGAGGCTCACAGCAAATATTGAAGGTTGCCGTTGGAGTTGATCTGACAGTGGATATTCAGACCCCAACGAAGGCGTACAAGACTAAGGTCATCATCTCACAACACGCTCGTATTGACAGCTGCAGGTGACCGTATACTGCAGTGTCTCCTGTCATCCCCACGCGTTCGACACCACTTCGTGCTCCTCTCCTCCTGCTCGCTGTGCTGGGATACGACACTCTTAAAGATGCTAGAGTTCATCGCTGCAGATACTCCCACGTTATTTACTCCGACTTCGATAGATCTTGCATCGGCGCATCCTTCAGACTTTGCCCCTGCGCCAACTCTATGCATAACAACCTCAACCAGATCTCCATCTATCCAATCAATCGCTGCAGCCAACCGAGGCATCCCGCGATCTGGTAGCCGCGTCTGCAGAGGCCGGAATTTATTTCATGCACGTTGGCAACCTCCTGGATGTCGTTAATGTTCCCCAAATCGAGGAGTAGATATTCCACCTGCCTGCGTAGTGCTAGTTCATCGAATTCCGTGTCTGTCTGTGCTTGTCGATGTTCATCTATGAGCCTCGTGCTGTCCGGACGGTGGTACAAGAGATGCTTCGAGCACATATCTCTCTTCTTCTCGCACCCAGATATCGACTTTATTGATCATATCTTACGGAGCATATTAATGTAACCTCAAGCGGACTCGAGGCGTCGTCAACGCAGGTCGTCATCGCGCGCTATTTTAGTGCCCAGGGTTCTGACTAGCAACAATAGGTGCGTCTGTCTTCACAGGAGGGGCGCGTGCGTGGTGGTGGAATGTCGATGCAAAGATGAGCATCTGCCTTTTGCTTTCTCGCTGCCATGGACTGCACATTCGATAATCTCGCTGACGTCGATCAGTGAGGCCTAAGAAAAAGGAAACACTCATTCTTCTCCTTCGAAACAACGAGCGAAACATTTACATTGATCCTCATTCCCTTGCGCATCCGCCGGCACCAACTATCCGTACTGCCGGGACCGACATTCACTTCGGATCAACGACACCTTTGCTGCGATCGATCGTTGCGGATGATATTAAGTCGCTTCTGGCATCTGTTCGCCTGGGATGACAGACGTGCGACAAAGCAGGCATCCTCTTCCCATGACACCAACATCATCCTCTCGAGCACAATGGAACGGGCAAGAGGAGCAGTTGAACGGCAGGGGGAGCGTGGGATCGGACGGTAGCCTACAGCGAACACCTCCCGAACCTACAGCCAGCGTTATGAGGAGATCGGTGCCTACAAGCCCTTCGTTCGAACAAGCCCCCCCTCCACCACCACACCATAGCCCTCCTAGGTTAAGCCTCAGAGAACCGGATGCGGGCCCCGTACGGCCATCATCTGCCAATGGTGCTGGATATAGGCTAGATTCACCCCGGATGGTCACAACTACGTCCGAACAACCTTCCGAATCGCTCGCTTTCCGGCCGCGGACAAGGGCGGATGGCAGCACGCCGCCGACACACAGCAGATCATCTTCGGCCGGCTATCCAACAATCGAAGAGGAGGGGCTGGAAGGGAACGGGACCGAACAAGAGGTGGAATCGTTGCAGTACCACGCGTTTGACGATGCGCCGAAGAAGAACAAGACTCAGAATCGCGCCTCGCATATGCCAACGCAGTCTGTGGGGTCAAGTTCATCTGGAGGCGAACATCGCGGTCCTCAGTTGACGGTACCTGGCGCGGTGCAAAGACCCACGTCGATGTATAGTCTGGGCTCGGATCCGCGTGGACGCAGCCTGTCGCCATATAGTGGGCACGGGTCACCCCAAGATTCGCCAAAGGGATATCCACGAGATGTTTCCAGGTCCGGGCGGTCGCCGTCAGGTCGGCCAACGAGCTATGTCAATCTCCTGAACGATGTACCCTACCACCAGCAGATCGCGCCGAACAGTCTAATAAGCCACAAGTCTCTGCAAGGTGCGGTGGGCAGCGCGGCCAGCTTACTGGACACGAAGAAGACGCTCGACATGTACCGCGCGAACATCAAGAAGACCACCGACATGGCCGCCCAGTACGAGTTCGCCATCTACATGGTCAACTGCTCGCAGGATCCCAGCATCTCCGCCGAAATCGACCCCGCGGAACTCATCAACGAAGCCAAGCACATCCTCCAGCGTCTCGCCGATAAAGTTTACCCCTTTGCACAGTACTATCTCGGTGACGGCTACTTCTCCGGTCTCTTCAACAAATCCAAGCCGGACCAGGACAAAGCCTTCCCGCTCTTCATCGCCGCCTCCAAACACGGGCACGCCGAAGCCGGCTTCCGAGCAGCGCTATGCTACGAGTTCGGCTGGGGCACTGCGAAATCCTACGCTAAAGCAGTCCAATTCTATCGCACAGCAGCCTCCAAGAACCATCCCGGCGCTGCCAGCCGTCTCGGCATGGCTTGCTTGCAGAACCAGATGGGTCTGTTCGGTCGGGACAAATACCGCGAAGGTCTCAAATGGCTCAAGCGTGCGCAAGAGGGCGCAGACCGGCAGTACAACGCCGCACCTTACGAGCTGGGCCTGCTGCACCTGACTGGCTTCGGCGACGACGTCTTCAAAGACGAAGTCTACGCCGCGCAGCTGTTCACGCAGTCCGCTGAGCTCGGACACATGCAGGCGAACTACCTAATGGGCCAGGCGTACGAGAACGGCATCTACGGTTGCCCCAAGGACGCAGCGCTGAGCGTGCACTTCTACAACGGCGCCGCGACGCAAGGGCACGCGGAGGCGATGTTGGCGCTCACGGCGTGGTATATGGTGGGCGCGGAGCCGGTGCTGGAGAAGGATGAGCGGGAGGCGTATGAGTGGGCGTTGAAGGCTGCTGAGACTGGTGAGTCTAGTAACAATCCTGTGACATGAACGTGATGGCAGTACTGACTGTTGGGATCCAGGTTTCGGCAAAGCAGAATACGCCGTTGGCTACTTCACCGAAATGGGCATCGGATGCCGCCGTGACCCGCTGGGAGCGAATTACTGGTACGTCCAGGCTGCGGACAAGGGGAATGAGAACGCGAAGCAGCGGCTCAAGATTATTCATGAGGCTGCTTCGGGGGTTGATACGTCGGGCATGGCTGCTTCGAAGGATGAGGGGAAGGGGAAGAAGAAGTTTATGGGGATTTTCTAGGTAGGGATGGGAGGCATCGGGTAGGAATCTTGGGACATCTTGGAGTCGGAATTGGGAGGTTTGGAGGGCTTTTGGGTGAGTGGCATCTAGCGTTGGCGTTTAGCATTTGCGTGGTGGGTAATGAGGGGTTCTATGTAGAGTGGGGCATGGGGAGGAATATCTGTATGGTCTAGCTGGCATTGAGGTTTTGACGGAGGACACTGCTTAATGCTAATGAGAGATTGACTGAGGCCGGTCTGGCATTGTGTGCAGAGACGGACCATCGACCGGGAGTGCATACCTCTTCTGGTGGCGATGCAGCTCTACTGCAGGAACCTCGCTTCTGACGACGATCACAAAGTTCCTCAGATGTCACCTCACAGGCGGGGTTGGAGACGACCCTGCAGAGAGTTACAAGATGCTACAGGTAGGTCAAAAGGTTCGCTGACTCTTTCCCACATGCGACATATCAGTCAGTCACAATGGCCCACATCAGTTCCAACTTCATCCTACTCTGTTTACTCTTTTTCATCTCACCAGGTCAAGGCCAAGCCAAGAGCAACCTAACCGTCTACACCTCCAACACTGTCCCAAAGGTTGGTTCAAACTCAACACAAGATGTCGCCAACTACACCGCACCAATGTTCCCACTGCTGGGCTTCAAGCAGTACAAGAACAACCCCATCCTGGCACCCAATCCAAAGTCCAACTGGGAGTCCGCCTACCTCTACAACCCAGCCGCCATCGTAATCGACAACAAAGTCTGGCTCCTGTACCGCGCTCAGAATGAAAGCCTCGTCTCGACCATCGGCCTCGCCTGGTGAGTCTCACGTGCCCAGATCCCCCTCCCTCATTTATGCTTGAGGGATGGAGACAGATCTTATGGCCGATGCAACAGAGCATCCACGGTCGTGTGGGCCAGTTCGTGCTTGCAGACCGGCTAGGTGATCTGTGTCTAACCCTCGACCGTTCCAATTGCCCATTTATGGCCTTAATGATTCATTTGCTAGAACATCTGCTAACGGGTTCTCCTTACGTGCGCACAGGTCCACCGACGGTTTCAACTTCACCCGCTACACCAAACCCGTCGTCCAGCCCTCCGAGCCCTACGAAACCAAAGGCACAGAAGACCCGCGAGTCGTGCGAATCAATGGGACATTCTACATGACCTATACCGGCTACGACGGCACGCTCGCGAGACTGTGCCTCGCCACCTCCACCAACATGGTAAATTGGACGAAGTACGGTCCTCTTCTGCCCAACATCACCGACGTCAACTACCGCTACGACCTCCCCATCAACGCCTACGCCCCCCGCGAAGGCTGGAGCAAGAGCGGTAAGTGTAACCGCCTTCTCCGTATTCTCGAGTGTCCTGAGCCTTGCTAACCCTTCCCCGTTGTCTTCGAACAGGCGCCATCGTGCCAGAGAAGATCCACGGACTCTACCACATGCAATTCGGCGACACCTGGCTCTACACCGCCAACTCCACGGACCTGATCCACTGGAACTACACCCGCAACGACCTCCCCTTCGCCCCGAAACTCACTGTCTGGGAGCAAGCGCTCATGGAATCCGCCGCGCCGCCCGTGAAAACCCGGGATGGGTACTGGATCAAGATCTACAACGGCGTCGGGCTCGGGCCGGGGGGTTACGTGACGGGGAGTTATAACACCGGGCAGATGTTGCTGGATATGGAGAATGTGCCGCGGGGGCCGCCGGTGGCGAGGGTGGAGACGCCTTTGCTCAGGCCGTTGACGGAGGAGGAGACGGAGGGGCAGGTGGATAATGTGTTGTTTAGTGAGGGGTTGGTGCAGTTTGGCGGGGAGTGGAAGATGTATTTTGGGCAGGGGGATCAGTTTTTGGGGGTTGCTACGGCGGCGTTGCAGCCGTGAGGAGAGTCAATCTGGGTTGGGTGCTGGTAATGTGGTGGACGCTGGAAGATGTTGCAATGCCTCAGGTAAAGTGGTGGTCACTAATTTCTCTATCATCGGAAGACTTCGTTGTCTGTGTTCTGGATCGTCTCGTGTTTGCCTACCTTATCTATATGTCAACAAAGTCTAAACACTTGGTCCGCATCCCACCTCCGGCGATGCTCACGCATAGCTTCGCCATCCATCACACCATACACATAACAATGTCCAAGTAGCCGATATGTGCCATTCACATGTGGCCGCAGCACATACGGTGTCTCGCAACCGATCAATATCACCACGAGATCCCCCTCACGCATCACCTGAGGTCCTAAACCCACATAGCCAGACGCCGTACGGAACGCGCGCCTGTTGACGCAAGCCATGCCTAGCGCGAAGAAGGACCTCATGGCCGCTGCGTCTGGTGGAGGAGTATCATCAGTGAGATCATATAGGGATGGCGGGTGTATGTCATTGTGCGCCATCCAGGCTTCGAGGTATGTCCACTCGGCCAGCTCCTGCGCGGTAGCCCGTTGGAGTGCCCAGTTCGTCTCGGCCAGCAGGACAGAAGCCACCACGATAGGAGGTAATGATGCGCTGATGAGCTTCAAGGTTTTTTCGAGCCATGTCTTGAGTTGCACGAAGTTGTAGCGAGCGTCTGTGGTAAGTGTGGGCCCAATGTCTGACTGGATCCAGTCATGCACCAGACCAGTCAATTCGAGGATGTCTGCGTCGGCGAGTGCTTCTTGAGCGCTGTTGGATGAGTCCAGGTCCGAGAGAATACCACCGTCAGCATTGAACAAGCCTTTTCCGAACGACACCGGGTCCACATCGAAGTCCCAGCGACGCTGCCAGGAAGGCACCCATGAAATCTGTTCCGCTGTGCCAAGGTCTTCGGGCGACAGGCTAACCTCCCGCAGAACGTCTGATACCCTGCAATGATCTCTCGACAGTGCAAAGCGTGAAGCGTCGCGAAGCACATTGCGCGTAGATTTGGAGTAGTCAGGCACCAGTAAGCTGTGAAATGCACAAGCAGGATTGGACAGCATGCCAAGCATGCCAAAAACACGATCCCGATCGTCAGAGCAGCACAATCTGTTGGCAAGAATAAGGCACCAGCAGAGGGGCCTGGAGAGTGGTTTTGGGCGGCGGCGAAGGCCTTCGAAGAGCACTTCGTAGAGGCGACTTAGCGTGAATAATCCGCTGCTTTGAACCGGCGCGGTCCCGCTTGAGTCGATATCTTCTATCACAAAAAGGATTTGTGAGAGTGACACGTGGCAGAGCCAACGTAGACTATGCTGTTGCTGCTCAACGCAGCTTCTTGAAAGACCCAGAGGCGGCTGCATGGCTCTTTAGCGAAAACACATTTCTTGCTTGCGCTGGATGGTTTGCTTACCTGACATATGGCAGGTCGAAGAACTCTTCGAGGCAAGTGCAGTCCGCAAGGCGTGGCACAGTCGTCCCGACGGCCGGAGATGGCGCCCCAGCATCTGGATCCGTCTCTTCGACTTCTTTCTCTCCGGTTGGGGCCAGCAGACTGTTCAGGATAGTGTTGATATCGCCCATGGCCTGGTACAAACGCACGCTGCCTGGTCCGAGGTGGATCAAGTTACCTTGTCCGAGGCTGTAGACTTTCCGCATCAGTCTGACCTGCTGCTCACGTTCTTTGGTATCTTCTTGGTTCGTGCAAAGACTGTCAATCCATAGGGTCCGGACACGGTCCGCACGTCGCATTCGTCGCAGAGCCTGTATCGCGGTCGAGGGGGCGCTTAGGCGGCAGCCGTCTATGACCATGCACGCTCGAATGGTTGAATCTCCCCAAGCGTATGAGATGGTCTCGTATGCCGGTGTTGGCTTGTCATTCAAGGATACATGGCGGAGCGTACCACGTAGAAGGCAAGATTTCCTCCTGGCGGGATGCAAGTCCAGTAAGCGGATCTCTTTGCGACTGTTGTCTAAAGGTCTGTAAGCGTATGGCGCTGGACATCTCGTGCCTGTGTGAGATGCTGATGGCAACGACATTTGAGATTCACCAGCACTGTTCGAGGAACCAGTATAATCATCCATGCTCCTGGCGTCACAGCCGCCCTGCGCAAGCCAGCGCAGGGGAAGGCTGTTCTAACTCAACAAGTGACTTCGTGCTCGACAAACGATATAGTCAATTTGCTTTCTGATGCAGTCGGCAATCGATTCAGCTGGCCACGGCATGGCAAGAAACTTCTCGCAGTCGTGCGTCTTCAGAAACACATGAGAATACTTGCACGGCGCTCCCATCGTGACAAGGCTGAGGTAATGTCCTGCACAAGGCTGTGCTTTGTGTGTCAGCCGCACGTTCGTCGCGGCATGCCTGAGTCTTCAACGTAGAATTGCCCGTGGACAACGGCCTCTAGATCGTAAGGCCACAAGTTCGTGAAACGGCAGTGCGTGATTCCCCAGGATGATTGTTAGTGGAAGGATGGAAGGATACTCCCCCATGGGGGGTCCACGCGACGTCGGGCCGGTGCAGAGGTACATGTTCCTTGGTACTTTCTCACGTGCAGAAGCGTGGCGGCTCTGGATCTCGTGGATGCGGCTGTAGGAAAAGTCTCGTTCTCTTCGCTTCCTGCTGCTGCGGCTTGGTGATAGGGTAGCAGTGTGGTGTGTAGATATATCCTCATTCTTCGAGGAGTAGAGATAATTTGACAGCCTCACGTGATATTGCCGGATTGATCAAACTCTAACGAACCTCACGCGGCCGCTCGCATTCTCGCAGACACGACCGCGCGGCTGATGGAGCAGCCTTCACAGCTCCTGCAAGAACAGTAATTATCCGAACATCCACGGCGGTCCACGGACTGAGGAACACAAAAGAGCGGGACACTGTGGACACTGCCCGCTCGCCACCGATCCCGGGAGCAAGCGAGGGGAGGGCAGTCGATCGACGACATCACCAGCCGCTTCTGCTTCTTCTTGGTCCGCTCGGCAGCGCGGCATCCGGATTCACTCCGCTACACTGACCCGTCTCTGTCACCTTATCTCACCATTGCTTCACCCAAGCCAACCCTCTTTCACGTGCCACCCTGTCCCAAGACGCCGTTTGCTCCTACAACTCGGGTCTCCATCGTCATTGCAATGACAGCGACGTGCTGAGCCACTCCATCTCACTACAAAACACACTCGCATGTCGGGCTGGCCGGTCACTTCGCTTCAGTCGGATCGAGCCATGGCTTCCAGCACTTCGGCGGCACCCACGCCTTCGCCAACGCACCATGAAGACAAGGACAATAACAGCGGGCCTACCAGCTCGCCATTGCTCTTCTTCGTTGCGCTCGGATTTGGCGTGGTATTCACAAACTTATGGTACATCCCGCCCAGTTCCTGCGCGGCTGAAAGTATACATGGCTAACACTCCGCTTCAGGATCATCGTGGGCGTAAAATACTGCTTCCGATACAATGCGCGTGCCAGGCGCGCCCAGGCGATGGGGGAGAATGCGGACCAAATCGACCTCGCAGCAATGGGCCCGCAACAGCGGAGAAGAAGGCGGGAGAAGAAGCTCATGCCGCTGGAGGAAGTGAACGAGCGGTTTCCACAGATGAAGTACAAGATATGGCGATCGACACGCGAAGCAGAAGGACTACCGGCGGCTGGAGGTGTTACAGCGCCACCGAGTCGCGCGGGCAGTATCAAGGGCGAGACAGGCACGATAGGTGGCGACACGAGGAATTCATCCGAGACGCAGCGACCGGTGACTGCACTGGAGGTTGCGCAGCAGGATCATGTCGATGCGACCACGTCGACACATCGACCGACGACGCCAGATGCGACGCAAGGTGCTGCAGATCCCAGCCACGAGACCGAGAAGGCGTCTGAGGACACATCGCGGCGGGCTGACGATGCGACCGACTCATCTGCTAGTCCATCTTCTCCGCCTCCGCTCAACCGCAATGCTTCTGTGGTGACAATAGAGGAGGAAGAAGACGAGGACGACCCAATCCGGACGGCAGCACCGCCAGAGATGCTCGCCGCACCAGGCGATACTTGTGCAATCTGCCTCGACACCCTCGAAGACGAAGACGAAGTACGCGGACTGACTTGCGGCCACGCCTTCCACGCCGCATGCGTCGATCCCTGGCTCACTGGACGCCGGGCTTGCTGCCCGCTCTGCAAAGCGGACTACTACATCCCTAAGCCTAGGGCCGACGGAACAACGGACGGTGCCGATGCCAGTGGAAGGAGAGGGCCAACTGCGCCACCTCCAGTATGGATTGGCGGTAGAGCAGGCATGGCGTTCGGACGGCCAAGGTTACTCTTCGCCAATCCACGATTCTTCGTGCAAGAAGATGCGTCAAGAGGGAGCCCATGGGCATCAACGATGTCTACCCGAGCAGCGCGACGCAGTAGGCGAGATCAGAATGACGGAACAGCGACTCAGGACTTTGCAGCAGCCCAGCCACAGGAGGGAGCCGATGGGAACAGCGGGTGGCGAAGTCGACTGCCAGCCATGCGGATGCCGCGGTTCGGCCGGCGAGGGCAGGAATCGAATGGTGAGCAGACTACAGAGCAAACCAACGACACCACACCCGGCGATCTCGAAGCTGGCGCACGAAGATGAGAAGGCACCATCAACAAACCTTGGAATGTAACACCACCATCACGACTCTACCACTCGATCTTTGGAAGGAGATAGGTACCGCACGACGACACGACACATACGACTGGAGATGACTCTTGGAGGAACATCAGCGCGATGGCTGATGCTTCCTGGCTTCTTGTAGCTAATCTTGGTGGGCCCGATGAAATTTAGCGCGCTGGTGCAACAGGCGTAGCCGGGAAAGTGAGGATTCGTTTGGCCGGCAGGATTGGTATCGCCATGGACATCTATCCCGAAGCTGAAGAGGCTGGGCAGATGTTTTGGTGATGTGTATCTAGCTTTGACATATGGCGAGATCGAAATCGTGGTTTTCATCGACTCCTCTTCACTTGATCTCATCTTCACGAACTGTGCAAGTATCAGGAGGCAGCGTCACGTGTTGTTATGGCCGGCGGCCGCTCGAAACACTTATGCCTGCTGATGTCGCTGGGGGACTGGCGGGTTGGATGCTCAAGAGATGAAGGAGGTGAGTATCTTCCATTCCGTGCATGATATCCTAAGGTCTGGTCACTACTCACAGGCACACAGCTCTTTCCAACAAACCTCTCCCCAGAACCGCACACCGATGCTCAAACGCCAACATCTCGTCCTCCCGCCGATCACCGCCTCACTCACTGCCGCTTCGCTCGACGTGCTCCTTCTCCCCATGATCCTGCAGATCCTCGATGCGATCGAAGGACTCGCCGCACTCGATGTCCTTCCCTTCCACGTTGTCGATCGAGCAGGTGCAAATGTACTGTCCCGGCCTCGCACTCTTGGACTCACTGTCACCAGACACGCCTGCAGCATTCGGCTGAGATTTCCTCGTCTCCTCGATTGTTCGCTTCTCCGCTTGCGTCGTTCCCGGCAGCGACCACGCCTCACTTGCCTTCCTCTCATGCCTTCTGCCTTCAACGCTGCCGTCACTCCCCTGCGTAGCTCAATCCCACCATCTTGGATCGTGGTCAACGACATCTTCTCCTGCACCTCCTTCACGGAACCTGACTCACGTCTGCCCCTCCCCCCTCTACGGGTCTGAATAAAACGCGCCCGCACCTTTGGAGCCGTGGCGTCCAGCAGTGTCCTTACACATGGTGGACAGGCAGCATCACTCTGCATCAGATGATCGAGATAGATCTCCAACGCGTTTGTAAGCCTGGCATCATTCTCCACGTCACGGTTTGGCCACAGCCGTTCGGCGTAGTTGCCCATGACTCTGTGGGCCACGGTGTCGATGTCGTTGTACAGCTTTCCGGGTTCGGCGGTGACGGGGTACTCCACGGGCAGCTTGTCGATCGGGAGCAGCATAAGGATGTTGAGTACCATGAAGTCTTGGAACGCTTCGCGCTCGGCGTCTGTGGTGTAGAGGTCTTGAAGGTACTGGTTGATGTCCTCGAATGCATCGTTGGCGGCTCGTAATCGTTAGGACGGTGTTGGGGGTGCCATGCTTTGGGCGCCGTGAAGGCTGAGGTGTTGGTGAGATGGTGCATGGTGAGAGGAAGAAGGATGATACTATATATGCAGTCTCTACTTCTGCGATCACAAGCAAACAACCGCTGTAGAAGGTTCATCTTGGTGCCTTGCTTTTGCTTTTGACATAAATGTCAGTAGTTGACAAAGACGAAAGCACTTCATCTTTGTGCTGCAAGCCTGCGTTTGCTGCAGCCTCCCGTCTAACGTGTCGCCATGAGACGTCCTGATCGAAACTGACGAACGGAGGCTACTGAACGATGCTTCTGGATTTACCATGCCGAATCCTTCCCGGGGTACATTTGCTCCTGGAAGCACATTGTTAGCTCCATGCACTTCTCTCACATTCCGTGTCTTCGTAAAACATACCCAACCAGGAACCTTGATATCTCGGAACCTCCCATTGCTCTCCGGCCCAGCGTCCAAAATGATTTCTAGTGTTGCCTTGACGCCGACATCGACCTCCAAGTGAGCGTGCTGAGATCCGAGATCTGTCTTCAACCACTAAGCAATGTCAGCAAATGGTCTGTTGCATGAGAAACTTAGACGTACGCCAGGAGACAGCGGGAAGACAGTAAAACCCTCATCATTCAGCTGAAGCGAGTAGTCCACCGTCAGCATGTTTACGGCCGCTTTGGACATCTTGTACGCCCAAGCTGGCAGGTGCTGCATGTACGGCGCTTTTGAGATCGATCCCATGGTGGAAGAGCTGCGTTGGGATCACACGTTAGCTGTTGTGTAGCCTTTCGACATCAATGTGGTCGAAAACGTACACGGTAATAATCTTCTTCTGCTCGCCCTTCCTCAACAGTGGCAAGAGCCCAGCGATAACATTGTGAACGGCAACGACATTGACGTCGAAGACATCCCGCAAAGTTTGCTCAGGCATTTTCTCGATACCTCCCTGGGTCAGCGGAAGGATGCCAGCATTATTGATGAGCACATCCAAGCCTTTGCCGTCCAGCATTCCAGCTACCTCGTTGGCAGCCTTGTCAATGCTAGAGCGATCGGTGACTTGGACCTGGACTGGGACGACTCTGCCGTTCGAGCTTTCGACCAGCTTCTGGAGAGCATGTGGAGGAGACGAGCGAATGGCGGCGAAGATCTTGGAAACTTGGGTTGCTGGGAGCTCGCTGAGCTGTTTGGTCAATTCCAAGCCGACTGTTGCAGGAGGTTGATGTCAGCAAGAGACCGGATGCATGTAGACGTACTAGAAGCTTACTGCCGCGGTTGGCGCCGGTAACGAAGTAGCTGGCCATGTTCTCTTGAAGATAAATCGATGGAGTGTGTGTGATATGCTTGTGAATGCCCTGTGTCTTGTATGTAGCTGCTCCCAGGACGTACTGAAGCTGCTATATACCCACTCTCCATTCCTTCGCACTCGCGCATTGCTACATTATCTCCGGTTAACTTTAAGCCCAACCAATATTGATGCCTCTCCGTTGTCCAAGTCCACAGCAGTGGGTGGAGTTGTTGATGGTCCTGATTTCTAAGCTGTGTGAGAATGGAGAGGCGTACGGATCTTCCAGCAGCAACCCGTAGAGCAGGCAGCATCTGCCATGAGGCACATACCGTTCGACGGACAGATAGATCGTCCGTCCACAGCCCTCATTCCCCCAAACGACGGATGAAGTGGCGCGACCGCCTTGTTGTGTAAATGCAGGAACCGCTCTTTCCCCCACACCACTGACCGAATTGGGCAAGTACCGGAACGTTTTGCAACACTTTGCCAGATAGAGGTAATCCTGCTTCGTCGCATGCGCTGGTGCCTCATGCGAAAGGAAGTATTGCAGAGAAGCCTGCAGGCATAGGTATACCTCCATCGTGCCATGCCAGCATCAGTGGTTTCTGTAAGCGAAAGTTAGCAGCCTTCTCGAGCTCACGCTGCATCTTCAAGCGTACCAGCCAGCCAGCAGAATTCCACCCGTCCACGGGCGAACCATCTTTTCGCCTCCATGCACACATCGTTGGATCCTCGCCACAGATACGGCCGTCTCCCACCTCATGGAACCCAGATAAGCACCCCTGCATCTCCCCCGTCCGGCGGTTTTTGAGGATATCCAAAACGCCGTGGACATTAGCCTCTTTATCCTCGAGAAAGATTCGCTAGTCCGGCTGATGCTGCGTCGGAGCCCTTTCTTGGCCGTTGACGAATCGTATAGTGATGTGGCCACGGTCGTTTTCCCTTAGGACGGTGAAGTAGTCCTCGCCGCAGACGCGACGAACCAGAATACGATCCCATGGCAAGTCGTCGTACGAGGACGTTGAGAGGAAATTGGTACACCAGAAGTCCGTCGGGAGTATCTCTGGAGCCATGAGTTGCTCCGCCTTCTCCTGATAGTCAGGATGCTCCTGTGGCCTTGTTCTGTCGAAGTCGCGCTGGGTGGACTGGTGAACGACCCATAGGTCGGGGGCCGAGATCAGCTCCTCCCGTAATGCTTTGGAACCCTCGACGACGGCTCGCCATCCCAGGCATGTATTGGCCGCAAGTATGATATCCCGAGTCGGGATTTCTAATAAGATGGCTTCGAGAAGCTCGACGGTCCCGAATAATTTCGCAGCTGCCATGTTTGCAGACATACGGATATGGAGATGCTGTGCGTTGCGGGCGACGTACGTCCTTATAAGCATGAGTCGATGACTCGCACGCACATTCGTCGTCCTGTCAGAAGTGATCACCACGCTTCTCGTTGGCCAAGGGCTGGTAAGCATCAATTGTCGTGCACTGAGAGGTCAGCAATACCCCATCCTCCTGGATCAAACCCGAAGATGGCAGAGTCGACCAAGAACATGGCGCGGTAGTCGACCGATGTCTAGCATTCGAATCTTCCATACCAGCAACCCATCAACCTTCCTCCTGCTGGCTCTTCTCTGCTGGCTCAACCTCTGTCACGTCCTTTCCGCCTCCTCGCTCTGCTGTCTCAGAACCAGCGGTTGTTGCCACACCACCCTCCCTTCCCTCCTCCTTCGAGAACAACTCCTCCCAATACCCCTCATCAAACCCATCCATCAACCCTCCATACCCCGCCTTCACCCACCCCTTCACCCCACCCTCCAACACCATAACCTGCATATCCTGATCCTGCGCCGTATTCCTCACATGCTCCAAAAACCACCCGGCGCACCTCGGCCCGCGCCCGTTGCTCGATCCGCACGTGAACACCACCCACTCCATGCCCGCTTTGTAGGCGAGTTCGTAGAGCATTCCGCGGTTCCACCAGAAGCCTTGGGCGGGGATGTTGAGGCTGCCGCGGATGGCGCCGCCGAGGTAGTCGGTGCGGCGGACGTCGATGATCAGGAGGCTGGCGATGCGCATGGAGAGGATTTGGTAGGCGCGGCGTTGGGGCATGAGGGGGGCGGTGAGAGTGGGGGCAGGGAAGGCGGCGTGCCAGGGGGGTTCGGTGAGCTCGGCCATTGTGAGTTGGGGTGGCTGTTGCTGTGGTTGCGTGACGGTGCTGTTATCGAACGAGTAGGGAAAGATGAAGTCGAAGTCAATGGGTCTTGGCGGATCATGTGCATTGCAGACAGGCGGGTCGAGGGAGATTATCAGCAGAGCAATGCTACCCAACGGAGCAAGTAATCTAAGCTTCCTAAAGATACATAACATATCTCTGTCAGACCGAATGATGTTCTCATCACAGCTCAACATGCTCAATAGGCTCATCACTCCCCCTTCCCTCCTCCTCCGTCACCACACTCGCCTCCGCCTTCTCCTTTGCCTCCCTCTTCGCCGCATCCTCCTTCGCCTGCTTGATCACTCGATCATACTCACTATCGTCCATCTCCTCAAACTCAAACTCCACACCCTCCGGCATCTGCCCCTTGAGCGCCTCCCTCATAGCTTCCGGGTTACTCTGATAGTCCTTCGGCAGCTTGACGTACGTCGGCTCAGCTGGCAAGGTCTCAGCATCTGCGATGAGGTCGTCAGGGAGTTTGGACTTGGGGCTGTCGCCCATACGGATGGCGTCGATCCAGTCTTCGATTTCGGGTTGGGTGAAGGTGGTTTTGGGGTAGTAGCGATACCAGGCTCTTTTGCCGTTGATGGCGATGAGTTCTACGCCGTTTCCGAGGGAGAGCTGTTTTCTGAGCGAGTCTGCCTCGGTGTTCGAGGCCGGTAGTTGGTAAAAGGGAAAGAGGTTGCGCTTTGCTGTTTCATGTTTGTGGTGGATCTCGCTGAGGCTTGATACAGCTTGAAGTGTTTCTGGCGAGGCTGATTCTCCTTCGACGGGTGGAAGAAGGGCGAGGATACAGGTCCCTGCTTTCGTGTTCAGGCATTTCTGTTGGAGAGACAGACTGTCGTCCAGAGCTGAGATCGGAGGGGCAACGTCAGGCACTTTGATCGGCTTCTGCGTATCTTCCCGCACAACGTTGGGGTCTGGTGACTCAGTCGGCTGGCTATCGTCTTCCATGCTCTCCATTGTTTGTGACGCCTTGTCTGTCTTTGCCTCTGATGAAGCATGAGATTTGGATGCGTCGGCAAATGAAGACGATGCCTTCGAAGCTCTACTCTTGTCCGTCTTCGAGCTACTCTTCGCCTTCTTAGGCGCAGGGTCCGGGTTTGGGGAAGCGGCCTGTGAGAGGAACTTGACAATCTTGTCCTTCTTCAACTCTCCGTCGTAAGTGACCGGGTCCTTGCCGTCGCCAGGAAGAAGAACCAGAGTAGGATACTTCTCAACGTGAAACACCTGCGTGGCCTCTTTCTCCAAGTTCCTGATCTGTGCTACTCCGATGGATCCTAAGAAGTCGATCGCAACTGCCTTCAGCAACGCACTTGTGCTTCCTTTGTCCGAGAAGAGGATCGCTTTTGGTGCATCACTCTCCTCGAGCCAATCCTGGTAGTCTGCATCCTTCAGTCGTTTGACATGGTTTGGGATCTTGTCGATCACAGCGTCCACAATGCCCTTTGCAGTTCGCTGGCCTTGATAGTCCTCCACAATGGGCTTGCCGGGCTTTTTGCCTGGTTTGACGATTTTCAGCGTAGGGAAGCCTTGAACGCCCATCGAGCCACAGAAAGGCTTGTTGGACTCTTCATCGCAATTGACGGCTGCGACTTTTGCCAGGCCAGTAAGAGATCTGGCTGCCTTTTCGAAGGCTGGTTGGAGGTTCTTGCAGTGGCCACACCTGTTCCAATCAGCAGTAGTAACGGTAGACAGACAGCTAGATAGCTTACCAAGGAGCATAAAATTCGACAATCGACTGCACGAAGGAAAAGCATCAGTCCTCGAAGCCCGTGGATGACAAGACAAACGGGCACTTACTGTGTGGTTCGACTTAGCAATCAAGCTGTCGTAGTTACTACCAGAAACTTGAAGAACAGGAGACGACTTGGTATACAAGCCATCAGCAAGGGCCGGCGGAAGGAGAAACAGCGAGGCCGCTGTAAGTGCAATGGGGAGTGATTGAACCATGGTTGTGTCAGGACTAGGAGAGCATAAGAACAGACTTCATCGCCTCACGGCAGTGATAACCCAGCTTATGTATTGTGTTGGATGGGATGTCGTTGAAAGTTGTCCTCAAATACCGACCACATGGCGTTGCATGGCGGGGTGCATGGGCCACTCACGACACTCTGGTGGGGGTTGGGGGGCTAGGCAACTTGATATCACTCCAACTTCTTTGAAAGGTTGCCTTGTGAATAACTTTGGAGTACAAATATGCAGTGAGAGGACATCCAGGAGACCACCCAACAATCTACACCATCGCCAACAACCTCACAACATGGCCACCCAACTCCCCCAGAAGCTCCGCATAGGCGAGGTACAGCGATTCGCATCCAGAGCAGTACAACTCGAGAAGTTCCGCCCAATCGTAACGTACTGGTGCGAGTACTACATCCTCCAATATGTCCTCAACCGCAACCTCCACACGACAGACGACGAGTGCCAGGGTTATGCCCTCCAACTCATGGACAAGCTCGAGCAGTACAAAGCCGACAACGCAGCCAACGATGCGATCGTGGACGATGTCGCGGCGAAAGCATACATAGAGAACTTCGCGATGGATACTTTCAACAGAGCAGACAATGCGCAGCGGGCGAACAATGTGACAAAGCAGACGGCGGATACGTTCATGGCGGCTGCGACTTTTCTAGATCTGCTGGCGATATGGGGAGAGGTGGATCGTGAGATTGCGGCAAAGAGCAAGTTTGCAAAGTTCCATGCTGCGCGGATTTTGAAGGCTTTCAAGGCTGGAGAGGACCCGAATGCGACTAATCCGGTGGCCGAAGAGGCGCCCGCACCCGCAGCGGATGAGTTCGACGACGAGCTGAATGACATGGAGCAGCAGCAGAACGGAGGAAGCGCAAGTGGATATCAGCAACCTACGGTCGAAGATGCTGGGCCGAGCGGTGCCCCGTCGAGACCGGAGAGTGCGTTTCAAGGCCAGTCACCCGCGCCGCCACCCATGCCGCTCCATCCACCGAATCAGGCCGCCTCGCCTAGCTTACCTGTACCGAGACCTGGAGATGTATCACCAATCGAACCTCACCAAAGCGATGCCAACGAGTCGGCCTCAGCAAGGCAGAACTCTGTGGGAGGAGGTTACTTTCCGGAAGTCCCAGGCCAAACGGCGGACGTAGACATGAGCGATCAAATGGACCCACCTCCCCCAGCTGCTCAATCCCCCATGAACCCGCAAGACTTCTACAACACCAACGCACTGCCGCCACCAGCAGCCCCATCAGCGCCTTCTCCCGGCTCCTTAGGCCTAGGGAGCGACAACAGGCCCAGCCGACCTTCTCCCAGCCAAATGAACGCGCAGCCACCTGCAATGCCTTTCGCGCAACCGCCTCCGGCTCCTCCAGCCCAGTCTCAGCCCCTCGCGCCTCCAGCGCCTCCACCTGCACAGTATGCACCACCCGCCGGTGGCTACAAGACGGACGACGACTCGAGCGCGGCAGCGCAGAAACACGCTCGATGGGCTATCTCTGCGCTGAATTTCGAGGACGTGAATACGGCTGTCAAGGAGCTGAGGCTTGCGCTGCAGAGTCTGGGTGCTACTTGAAGCTCCATGTAAGAGGATTCAAGGACCGTACGCAGGGCAAGCAAGGTACGGCTGAAGAATGGCTGTATGATGTGGTCGCCCCTCTGCCGCAGACAGAACACTGTTATTGTGCTCCTCCGCACAGCACTTCGAAACGACGTGCAGCACCAAACGATGACGACACCACGATCACAAACGGAACACCAGCACTACTGCCAGCCACCAAAGCTTCTCTCGGCCTACCACAACACGACACCGGCTCCATCGCCGTATTACCTAGGAGCAGGGCTTCGCAGAGGTGTCTGAGAGCACGTGCTCGACAGCGGTGGGCGTCGGTGATCCGGCGGGGAGTTCTGCCTGTTGCTGGTAGCGAGGACTAGGTGCGATAGGATCCGTGCCTCAACACAGACGAGAAGACTGAGATAAAGGATGTCGGATTGCAGAAGGGATACGGTGTGCAGCTGTCAATTAGACTTCATTCCTTCGCACCTCCGCATCCACGTTCTATCTCTACAGTAGGAGCACATCTCAAATCCCAAATCAATGCGCTCCGTAGGTTGGTTGCCCTTCAAACTCCAGTGCAGCAATATTCCGCTTTGCATCCCATCCCAGCAAGGATCCCATACAAAACCTTTTGCCACGCCCCATCTACACAAAATCAATCAATGCCCATGCCCATGCCCCTCATCCTCCTGATCCGCCGGCTTCGGATCACAACACCCCTTCCCCTTCTTCCCACACTCATCCGTACACTCCAGCAGACAAGCCTGCTCGCACACGCTGCCCGCTTTACTCGGCACCCTACTGCCCATGGTAGAGCGCTTAGCTGCGTCCGCGGGACTGCCGCCGTCTTCCGGCTGGGAACCGCTGTGGTCGTGTTCGGGATCGAGACAGAACTCGGGCTGGATCGTGGACGAGTGGATGCCGTATTCGTGCAGGCATTTCCGGATCGCTTGCACCAGCTCCATGTACCGCGCTGAGCCTTCGCCTTTGAAGTCGAAGTCCACTTGCACGTGCAGGCTGGAGACGAGCTTGGTGTCGCTGAGTTGCCAGACGTGCAGGTGGTGGGCGCTGAGGATGCCGGGGAGGGCTTCGATGTCTTCTTTGATGTGGTCGATGTCGATGTTGGAGGGCACGGCTTGCAGAAGGATGCGCGAGGCGGCTTTGACGAGCGGGATGGCGGAGCAGAGGATGATGATGGTGATGAGGAGGGAGATGGCGGGGTCGAAGTAGAAGCGCCAGGAGTAGTCCGTCAGCCAGATGAAGAGGGCGGTGGCGATGACGCCGATATTGCCCAGGGCGTCGCCCATCACATGCAAGAAGATACCGCGCATGTTGAGGTCGCCGTGGGAGTGGCCGTGCCCGCCTCCGCCTTTGCCTTCGTCTTTCGGCTGGGCGTGGTTGTGCTCGCCGTGATCGATGTCTTGCGCTTTAGCCTGGGTTGCGCCGTAGCCGGCATAGGCGTTGCCGTTCAGCAGAGGTTGCTGTTGGTGGTGGTGCGTGTCCATGGTGTCCTCTCCAAGCGCATCTTCGTCACCCTCCCATTCCTCAGAATCGCGTGGGTCCAGGCGGCTGGCGTCGATGATGGACCTGCGGAAGGCGTTTGGCGTGACTGGGATGTCTTCCACGCCCGAGAAGGCGCGTGAGTGTGACCTGCTATGCCTCCTTGACTTCCCAGAGCGCGAACCGTGCGATGCTTTTTGCGCAAGTGGTGAGCTTGCGTCAACCGCAGTTGTGTCGCTGTCTGCCGTGTTCGAGCTCTGATATCCCGCAATGCGTGTTGCTGGCAGAACATCCTCGACATTGCCAGACGGGTCGGCAAGCCTGCGGTCTTCCGGATCGCCGTGCGCATGCGCGTGTCCCTCTTCAGCGGCAGATGCCTCGTCCCCGTGACCACCATGACTGTGTCCATGCCCGCCATGCCCATGATCATGGAACAGCACCAGGCCCAGCAAGTTCGAGGCCAAACCGGCGCATCCCACGATCAACATAAACCTCGGCTGCGTGATTATCTGCGGCTCGATAAACCGCTCGATAGCGTCGAGGAAGATGGTGAAGCACAGCGCGACCAGGAAGACACCGTTGGCGAGTGCGCCCAACGTCTCTGCGCGCTGCCATCCGTATGTGTATGTCTTTGGGTTCTTTTGCTTGTTTGCTACCCGCACTGCCCACAACCCGACGCAGAGGGACATGACATCGTTGAGCATGTGGAAGGCATCGGCGATGAGGGCGAGCGAGCCGATGATATTGCCTGTGATGAGTTCGACGAAGAAGAAGACCAGGTCGATGGCAAGGAGGAGCGATATCCGCGTCGTCTTTGACAGCCCCATGGTGTTGGTGGTCGGCGTGTCGCCGTTGGTAGTGCTATCTGGAAGGTCGCGGCGTGCTGATGGTCATGTCGGTGCGCGATGAAGTATACTTCTTGCGCTGCTGGAGTTCTGAGATGTCGTTTGAAGGCGACGGGAATGACGGAATATTGAGCCCCACTTCTATTCACTTCCTTAGCGTGCTTAGTACCGCGTCCGAGCTCGGAGAGTAAAGCCGATGCATATGACAGAAGCTGTCGTTGTTTGGCAAACAACCATAGAGAAGGTAATGCAAAGTCACAACGGCACATGTGTCAGACTACATGTAACTACGCTGCACCCGTGTGGGTGAGACTCGGGAGGCGGGACCTGCGAGCTCGGAAACATGCCGTGACAATACCAGGATGCAAGCAGGATGCCATCCTCAACTCCCAGGCCCATCCTAGGACCTCTTCCCCTTCTTCCCTCCCTCCGCCAATCCTACTCCCAGCAAGAACGCCGTCCTCACAACCACCGCCTGCGCCGTAATAGCAATCCCCCCAACATCCTCCCACCTCAACTTCCCCCAACTCAACCTCACCTGCTGCCCCAACGCGTCCAAGTTACTGTATAACAGCGACAGATCGTAGATCAGCACGGCCGCCTGCAGGATCTTCCACACCTTGATGTCGTTTGTGTAGCGTAGCAGCACGACGTCGATGAAAGCGAGCATCAGCAGGGCGCCGCCGAGCTGTTGCAGGGTAAAGTCGAACAGTGGATTGTGAGGGGCAATGGTGCTGGGAACGAAGGCGTTGAGCACGAATGCTGGCGTGATGAAGTCCATGTAGGCGCCCCAGAGGCAGATTGCTGGGTCTGACCAGCGGAAGTAGAAGCGGTAGAAGGAGGGGATGTTGGAGAAGTCGGTGGAGGCCATGGTTGCGGGGGAGTTTTGCTGGTGTCCTGACAAGTACTACTGTCTCGCAAGGAGCTGTTTCGTCGGGATTATGGTAATGTGAGTGATATGGTAGATTGAACAGTGCGAAGGAGAAGAGGAAGAGGAGATTTTGACTTCCTGCAGTCAGACTCAGCTTCGTCGAGCTACTGCCATACCTACCTTGCAAGGCCTACATCAGCTCCCTCCTGCACGTCTCACACAGCCAGCCCGGTGGTCAAGAAGGTCAAAGCTGACAGCTGATGAGATACAAGTACAGAAGCAGTTCAAACTACACTGTCCTGCAGCACATGGTGGCGTATCCGACATCCCGAACATCGGCGACCTGCCGGGCAAGCTGACTGCTGCCGCCGCGAGTTCCGCCGCGAAAACCGCTACATGACGATGCAGGCGTTGTCACTTGACTCAAAGGGAGGCGCGGATGTCCAAGACCTTGCGCGAGCAGAGCTCAGAAAAAGGAAGATATGCCTAGAAGTGGGATCGGTTGAAGACGCCGACACCGCCTAGAAGGATGGGCTTGGGATAAGATACATTCCTTGCGTGAAGCTTTCTTTCGACTTCACTGCTTTCACTATTCTCTTTTGCAGCAGGGCGTATTTCACTTCGGTTCAAGGTGAGGGTTGGGACGTTTCACAAGCATTCGTTACCTGTCATTGGTGAGGTCTTGGGAAGCAATGCTTCACATCTCAACCTCCAACCAAAACCATCGCGCATCTGATGGCCGCCGACCGACCGAATGATGCATTCTCCATTACCACACTCTCTACGGTCCACGAGCCAGAGCCCGCTCACATCGACGAGCAGCGTCGGGAGTCCGACGATGAGCTTGAAGCGACCGAGCTGCGACAGATGCGAGGCGACAAGCCAGCACGTTTGTCACGAGTGATCACGCCCGGCAAGCCGCTGGTCCATTGGTACGACCCAGTGAAGAAGTTCTGGAGACATCAGATCAGGATTTCGGTGCCGCATGTCGATTGTCGTGATCACCTTGGTAAGTGAAGAGCGCATGTTGGACCCGGCTGCTGGACGTGCGCAGGCGTGTCGATATGACACGCCGAGCGACGCCGGACCTGGTGGCAGCATTGTCGTGAGTTTGCTTTGAGAAAATTGAGAATGGTGCTGATCCATGATCGAGCAGCAAACGAGCGCACGTTCCTGGGCTACTTGCGCACCTCAGTCGCCCTCTCAATGATAGGAGCCGTGATTGCGCAGCTCTACCGACTCCAGCATCGCCCGAATCCAGACGATGTCTTTGGCTACTACGTCCTGAGCAAGCCTCTAGCGGGCATATTCCAAGGCGCAGCGCTGATCGTAGTGTTGCTGGGCGGCATTCGCTTCTGGCGACAGCAGAACGCTATGGCGATTGGAAAGGTGCATGCCGGAGGCTTCGAGTTGATCGGAAGTGGCATCTTATCGCTGGTGGTGAGTCCACGGTGCTCGATCTTGAACAGGAGGTCCCTAACAATGCGCAGCTGCTATTCGGTGTCTTCATCATCCATGTGGCCCTTGATGCCTACAAAGAAGACAAGGACGAACCATGAAAAGGAGGAGAAGGAGATAGAAGTACGAAAGAGGAAGGAGAGGAGATCGAATGCATAAGGAAAAGCGTCCCGGAGAATCGGTGTTCCTACATCGACCATGCCCACCAGGTGCTCCACGGAGTCAACCCAGCCCACGTTACATCTGCATGTCAGACGAAGGCGTAAGCCGCCTCGCGAGCCTCGGTTGCGACACAGCATTGACACTGTACCGAGTGGAGGGCGCCATAGGAGATCGCGAGCACGACTCCTGATCAGCGATGGAGTTTGAAGATTGACAAGCCCGCCATCTCCACATTCTGTGATGGGGAAGTGACTGTTGTGAAGGGGCGTGATAGCGGTTCAGCGTGCCGTCGTGGCCGTTGAACGCATTCCTCGTTTGCCAAACGGTCCAGCGGCCAGGTCTTCATCAACGACGCGCACTCTTGCAAGTGCCGAAACATGCTGGGAGTCACTGAAGCGACGTGGCCGTTTGCCGTGGCGGCTACTCCTCGGGTTCGAGCATCACAGGTCTCGAATTTCAATGGCGTTCCAGTGGTAGAAATTCGCAGACGTGCTCCAGCTCATCTCACTCACGCGCCTATTTCATCGTTCAATTTCCCGTTCTCTCGATCTGCCTTCTTCGAATGGCGAGAACGTCAGCCGTGAGTCCCGATGAGGACGTGTTGGTGAACAAATTTGTAGCACTGCAAGAACCAATGGTCGCGTGATTTTGGCTTGAACAGACGAGATTCGCTCGTGCTAAACCGCGCTAGCGATCTCTTCTGGTTAGGCGCGAGTAAAATCGCCTACCGTTCAGACGACACGCCACCGCGGACTGCTTTTCCTCTTCAACCAACGCGTGTAGGTTCCGGGACGCTGCGCTCTCGCACTGGATCCACCGCCATCAGCTGTCAACTTCTATACGATCATTGGGAGCTCCATCCCGTACCGCCGCCAGCCGGTGCGCTCTCAGGCAGCCCGTGTCGAAGGGAAGTGGAGTGCGCCACCATGCCACTTCCCGGGAGGGCCTTGTCAAACGCTCAGCCCAGGAGATGCGTCTTCCCGACCCTCGGCGCCGTCTGGAAGGGTTACAGAAGGCGGGCAGAGGTCCGTTGTGGTTAGAAGCGACCTCGCACAGACATACGTGCATACGGGCTGCTGCAACGCTTGTGCTCGTGCTGACGAAAAGGCGCCATGTCTCAGATGGTGTGCAGCGATTTTCTCTACTCCTTCGAAGATCCTGTCAAGCTGTAGGGAAAGACATTAGGCAAAGTAAAGAGCAGCCTTTGCGGGGAGTAACGAGCTTCGACTCCCGGGGACTCCATCGCGACGAATAGCATGTGCTGTCACACTGCAATGGAAAGTCAGAAGCGAATCAGACCCGAAAGCGCGTTCCTGCAGGCTGCCCGCCTTGCCGCCGCCACATGGCGAGAGCTGAATTTGCGCTTCCATTTGCTAGGAATCCCCGTCAAGCCTTGCCGACTGCACGCTTCGCCGCTCTGCTACCTCCCGGTCAACGTCCACCCGGGAGCCTGTTGTGGTTGTGGAGGTACCAATGATGGCCGGAAGCGGATCTAAGGGCTCTGGCTGCGTCTGCAAGGGCAAGTGGTTGGATGCGCCGTGCATCGAGACCCGCAGCATGTGCTCCTGGCGACTGTCCACAGAATAGGCCTCATCGCTGTAACCCCAAGTAAGTGGCTTTGGACAAATCCACCATTTGCTGACTCTCGCCTGGACCGAGACTCGCGCAACGGTTTGGTGCTGTCATAGTCCTTTCTCCTCTTCACTCCTTCTCAACCGCATCGACTATCGTGCCGTACTTCGCACACTTCCACTCCTTTGGCGCTCTGTCGCATACACCCTCTTTCTGTGCACCCTCCCACAAAAAGCGCCTCTGTAACATGCCTAGGAGCCATTAGCGATTCTGGTCCGACCGCAAACATTCACTCTCCAACGAACTACCAACATGGACCTTCGAAGGCTGCAAGCAAACGTCTGAGCATTTTCACATCCTCGAGGATCGCATAAGCTTGTGAAATCAGCGCTCTATTCCTACCGAAACATCTATACCACCGAGGACCGGACACTGGACTGTTGAAGCCTTCACACGGAGTTGGGCCGTGCCTAGTGCTGAGATCAGAGCGCAGAGCTGAAGTACAACGACTATCACAATGGCGAATCAATCATTACATCTGCAAGGCGACTGCATCGCACCTTTCTTGGACGCTGCGAAGTTTCCGCTGGACGGCGGACGTACGTAACAACATGATGCCTTTCGCTGACCGGTGCTGACATTTGGCAGTCATCGATGGCCGCTTTTGCGCACCAATTCAGAGCCTTCCCGGCAGTCCTACGTGCTGTCTACCTTGTCCGGCAACACAATGGACATACTCGGACAGCTTCAACACATACATGACGGTGGCAGAATGGCTCAACGTGGTGGGACTGATGCTGCTCTCGTTCATGCTACTGTCATACCTTGTGCTACCCGCTCAGAAGACTCGAAGTCATTACCTGAGCATATGCCTTGTGGTTTCGGTGATGATGCTCGCGATCGGCTTCACCATCCCGCTCTCGACACAGCCTGAACAATGCTACAATGAGATCACGCCAAACGACATGTACTCATCCTCGAAATGCGCCTGGAGTGGAGCGTTCATCATCGCTGGAGGACTGTGCGCTGACATGTGGATCTTCATCCGGGCACTGTCGATGAACCTGCAGATATGCTGGGACATCGTACCAGGCAAGAAGTTCTTCTACGCATCACAGGCACTCGGCTGGGGCATTCCAGCTGTCCTCTTTTGCGCGACCATGACCTTGACAGGCGTCAGCTTCCGCTTCGGACGAGAATGCGATGTCAACCACGCCAACTCGATGCAGGACTTCTGGGGGCCCCTCATGGCATTCGCGGGTGCAGCAGGGATACTGCAGATCATGACTTTCGCATACTGCATTCGAGTGTACTTGAAGAACCTCCTCACGGACGACACCGACAGCTCGACCAATGCTTCCAGCTCGGGCTTGCCGTCGTACCAAGGCAGCGTGCGCACGCAGACAGCAAAAGTCGTGTGGAGGCGGCTGCAGAAGGTGCTGTGGTTGCAATGGCGCGGCATCTGCATCGTCACCATCATTCTGGTCGACGTCGTCTTCTTCGCCATTGTCTTCGTATGGTTGGATAGCCTGCAGAGCGCAGTCAACAAGGACTATCAGAAAGTAGAGCCGTGGCTGCTCTGCCTGGCTTTACATCCTGACGACAAGAATGCGTGCCTGAGTTACGTCGGCGACTGGTTGGTGAATCAGCCCACCGTGATCGCAGTGCTCTTGCTTCTGTCAATGGCTGGATTCCAGTGTTTCCTGTTCCTGGCTCGGCCTTCGCTCTTCCCTGCTTGGAAGCAGTTCTTCCAGGAGAAGTTCACTTCGCGGTCAGAGTTCGTGTCACTCGATGCGCGAAGAGACCGTCCTCGGACAAGTTCGAAGCAAGAGCTGGTCAATTATCATCGAGGCCACGAAAGCACGACCTTCGAGCTCATGCAGAAGCCCGGTCAAAACGTTGCCGTGGAAATCGACAGCAAAGGAGCCTTCTCTCCCTCAGAGACCATGGTCTCGTCACCAAGCGAGGCCTACCGCTCGCCACTGCAAATCAGTCGGATGAGCCCAAGCACTGGCACAGACATCCGCAACAGCACATCCTCATCAGTGGTCAACGGCAGGCTACCCCACGAGCTCAACAGCCACCAAACGCCAAACTTCGAAGGACCCGGCAGCCCACCAACACCCGTCGTGCGCTACGACAGTATATCAATGCACCGACAAAACTCGGACTACTTCGCCGCTCATCAGCGTTTCGGTACGCCGAACGGTGCATCACAACGACCGCCTTCGAGCCGGTCACAAAACAGCGAGCGGAGGTACAACCCACCCACATCCTCCTTCTCGGTCCCGCAAGCCCCTTCGCGGCAATCGAGTACACGCTCCGTCAGCTTCGATCCGCGGGATACGTACTCGAGGGGCGGGCTAGCGCTGAACCCGCCTTCGGAGGCTGGGGAGTCGCAGGAGGATCTGACGGGGTATCATGGGCCGCGATAGCACGGAAGGGGGAAGAGGAAGACGCTGGGCGCTTGAGACTCTCACTACGTTAATGCCTACTTACCTTATTGCCAATTCTTGGGATGAAGCGTGGCGATAGGAATGGGATGTATATATGGATGGCAGCGATGCCTGCTCATGAGGGAAATGGCTCATGAGTATGATGGGAGGATTTCCTGGAAAAAGGAAGGGTTGCCGCTTTCGAGAGGCTGTAAATTGTGAACAGTTGATGAGATGTCTAAACAAATGTGTCCTGAGTCCCTCTACATCACTTATCGCCTTAACGATGTCTTACTCAATTCAGTTGCAGTAATGAATGCATCGGGACGAATGTTGTTGACGTGTTTCGCCTTGGCTGAGCCAGGCTGCTCCTCGGACTTCACCCGAGCTTCCGTGCGTCGTAGGATGCTGCCAGGCAGTTGCAAGTGTAAGCAGCACCGACATCGTCTTCTCACCACCAACATGAATCCACGGACATTCCAGATGCGGTAGCATTCGGTTTACGGCTCATACCACTACTCATCGACTACGCGCGACCCGCCTACGCCGCCGACATGGCCGGCACCGACTTCAACTTCACCTCAGCGGCCAGGTCTCTGGCGCTGCCTATAGACGACTCCGAAGACGACCCTGCCCTCACTCGCTCAACGTCAAATCAGCAACATCGCCAGACATCACCAACATGGGCGCGACGGTCATTCTCCGACTCGGTTGACAGAAGACCGCAAACAAGGAGGGACAAATGGATGCAAGAGGCCGAGAAATGGCAACGGAGAGCAGTCAAGACATGGTACCACCTGTCGCCCATCCAAAGAGCAGGCCTGGTCGTCTTCAACATTGGTCTGATCATCTTCGCCATCCTCTTCCTCGTATACAACGAGCGCATCTTCGCCTGGCTATCGCCCGCGGCGAAGAGCTGGCGGAACTTGTCGGGAGGCTGGCTGATATTATGGTTCATGACCTTCTTCACCGCATTCCCGCCCATGATCGGCTACTCTACGTGTGTGACGATCGCTGGGTTCGTCTTTGGCATGCAGGGCTGGTTCATCGTGGCTACTGCGAACGTGGCTGGGTCGATATGTAGCTTCATTATCTCGAGGACGGTGCTGAAGGAGTTTGTTGGTCGCTTGACAGAGAAGAATACGCAGTTTGCTGCGCTGTCGCTGGTGATTAAGCACGATGGGCTGAAGCTTTTGACGATGATCCGGCTGTGTCCGCTGCCGTACAGCTTGAGCAATGGGGCCATCAGCACGATTCCGACTGTGAAATGGCAGGACTTTGGTCTGGCGACTGCGATTGCTTCGCCGAAGCTGCTGTTGCATATCTTTGTTGGCAGCCGCTTGGGCGACTTGGCAGAGAACGGTGACAAGATGGACACGAAGACCAGGATCGTGTCGTACCTCAGTATCATCATTGGAATGGTTGCTGGCATCGCGACAGGCTACTTCGTATACGTACGAACAAAAGCTCGAGCGAAGCAGCTAGAGGCGGAGGAAGCGACAGCAGCCCGCGCTGGCCCGCGGACTTCCAATGCTGGGCCTGACTACATTGATGACTCTGACGAGCAGGACGCGAGAAATGCGCTGAGACGAGGCGACGATGATATTTCGTTACATCACACTTATGAAGACGACCTCGAAGGCGGGGGCGGGTATAGGGACGAGTTCACCGACGACGAGGACGCGCAGGAGCGGGATGTCTTTGATGTTGGCGATGGCTATGAGTCTGAGGAGACGCCGACGAAGAAGTCTGAACGATAGCACGAGGCTTGATGATTGCATCGGATGTTTCGAACTATCACTAAACGCTAGACCTAGATGACGCGATGTTGGACACGCCCAGCGGAGGCGATGCAGCTACCGCAACTTGATCACGATCTTGGAAAAATGTTCCTGCCTTTCCAGCATCCTCATCGCTTCTTTTGCTTCGTCGAGGCCGAACACCTTGTCGTCGACAACCGGTCGTACGTCGTTCTTATCAATGAACTGCACCATCTCCTCGAACTGTGCTTTCGTCCCCAGCAGGATGCCTCGTACGATACAGACGGTGGTCAATGCGGCCATCATCGGCACAGGTGATTCTGCTGAGCCACCGATCATCCCAGCCGCGACCACGAGCCCTTCGGTACGAACAGCTTTGAGCGACTCGCCCAGGGTGGTGTCGCCGCCGATATCCACTACGACATCAAACCCCCGACCCTGAGGTGTCAGCTCACGAGCCGCTGGACCCCATTCTGGCGTGGTCTTGTAGTTCACCACATGCTTCGCACCCAATGCCTTCAGGCGAGCTGCCTTCGCCTCACTGGAGGTCGTGGCCACCACATTGGCCCCAGCTGTGACCGCGAACTGCAGCGCCGCTACACTGACACCGCCAGTCCCCTGCACAAGTGCCCAATCACCCGAATTGACCTTCCGCCCTTCCAGTCCGAACAGCGCATTCCAAGCCGTGAGCCCACTGCACGTAAGCGTCGCAGCCTCCTCAAAGCTCAGCGACTCCGGCGCACGAACAAGCGCCGCCTGCTCAAAATGCCCATACTGCCTCAAAGTACCATCAGCACCATGTCCAAGACCAGCGCAGATGTCGCCGAAGGTCGGGTAGCTATTAGGACCCAGATGCGGCGTCATGTGCGTTACGACTCTGTCGCCTGGGTTGAAGCTGGATACATTCGACCCGACTGCTTTGACGACGCCGGAGCCGTCGGAGCCGGGGATGAGGTTGGGGCGCATGGTGCTAGACCAGGGGGGTGGGAAGGCGTTCTGGGAGGCTTAGGTCAGGAGTGGATGTTTGATGAGGTGGACGATGGGCTTACTTTTGCGATCACGAGCTCGCGGTAGTTGAGGGAAGCTGCGTGAAGCTCGACAGCGACTTCGTTGTCACCAAGTGGTCCGATGGGAGCGCTTTGGACCAGTTTCAATGAGTCGATGCCGTTGGCCTCGGGGAGTGTCCATTGCGAATAGGATACGTTCTCTTCCGTAGCAGACATCCTCGACAGAAGGACTTGTACGCCGAGTTGTTGTGTGTCTTGCGAGAAACTCTGATAGTAAAGAAATGGTACTTGTCGGAAAAGGATATCCTTTTGCCTCTTGATATCGACAGCGAGTTGAGGGTAGATTGCAGGAACAGATGATGCTTTCAGGACCAGTGACTGAATGGAGGAAAAGAGTAGAAAAACTCTCCGTGGTGCTTCGATTAAGGTAACCTTGGAAGCTTGCACTCTTACCTTCGTGTGCATGAGCGGATTGACACAACCGCTGACAGACTCTGGATAGCTTGTCGATACAATACCTGCCGCCAACGTTGAAGCGATTGACCCTATCTTCCAACAAGCTACCTCATGCTCCAGGCCAGTCTTGCCCGACGGCAACTGATAAAGACGGAGTCGTAGAATGACTGGCAAGCAACGACGTTCCTCCTCGCCGACCTCGGACCTCCCCTCCAACCTCACCTGCAGAACATATAACGCTCGAACAACCACAATGGCTTCGAAAGACAACTCCTCCCAGAACACTCAAAAATGGCAAAGGACCACTGGTCCTCCGACAAATACTCCTCCGCAGCATCCTTCGTCCCCCAGTTAACCTCCAAAGTCATCTCATACCTCAACACGCAACCAGCCGACCGGATCCTCGACCTAGGCTGCGGCGATGGCGTCCTCACAGCGCAAATAGCCCAATCCGCTTCTCAAGGCGAGGTATTAGGACTAGACGCCTCAGCCTCTTTCATCCAAAGCGCGCAACAGACGTACGCAACCCCAAACTGCACCTTTAAACACCACGACTGCACCCAACTGGACCGGTGCCCCGAAGCCGTCGACGGGTCGTGGGACAAAGTATTTAGTAACGCGGCGATGCACTGGATTCTGCGGAACCCGGAGACTCGACAGAACTTCTTCGCCAACGTCAACAAGTCGTTGAAGCAAGACGGCAAATTCGTCTTCGAAATGGGCGGCAACGGCAACGTCGCTGAGGTGCAGGCAGCGGCCACAGCAGCGTTGCTCCATGCCGGTGTACCGCTTGCAGAAGCACGGGAAGCGAGTCCGTGGTTCTTCCCGAGCACCACTCACATCTCAGACTTGCTGTCGAACGCTGGATTTGACGTCGAGGTGTGCGAGCACGAGTACCGGTCCACGAAACTGACGGCCGAGACGGCGGGTAAGAGCGGGGGGTTGGAAGGGTGGGTGCGGTTGATGTGTGCGCAGTTCATTGATGCGGCGCCGGAGGGGAAGCGGGATGCGGTGGCGAGGGAGATTTGTGAGGTCATCGAGCCGGTGGTGACGAGGCATGAGGATGGGAGTAAGTGGATGGGGTATTGTAGGTTGAGGGCGGTGGGGAGGAAGAAGTGAGATGTGAGAAGAGAAGAGGAGGTCTGGTCTTACCGCGGGTTCGTTACCGTTCGGACTTTTGCCGTGGGTGAGGGGTGGGTCTGTAGGACTGTCGTGTAGTGTTATGATGCTCGCTAAATATGCATTGGTATCCACCAGCGCTCTCGACGTTTCTTCGTCAATCCATCAGCATTATATTTAACCACCTCGTTCGTAACCTTAATGTTTCGCTTCTCCTCCCACAGCAATGCCGCCTTTAATGCCTATCAGGCATCAAGAACTATCCTTCATCTTCCCACAGTTCGTGCACGTCCACCACTTATGCTCCATGAACGTCCTACAGCCTCTGCAACTCCACCCCAACGACTCATGCTGACCAGGCACCTGGGGAGCGGAGTAAGTCGGGCGAGGCTTCGGTCGTGGCCCTCTATTGCCGATGCCAATCCTCTCTGGCCGCTCGGTACCACAGGCGTCGCAGGCGAGGTACTGCAGCGGGTTGATGCAGGTGCAGATGTCGCAGGTCCACTGGTCTGGTGGGACGGCTGTCGGGTCGAAGGGGTCAGAGATGTCGACGTCGACGATGGGCGACAAGTCTGATTCGGAGGGCGGTGGGTGCGAAGACCCGGTGGCGGTTGTTGGGGTGGTGCGGCTTCGTGTCGGTCCAGTCATCACAACGTCCGAGAGTGAGCTTTGATCGACTGCTTTTCTCTTCTGCGGATGCTGCCTCTCGGCCTCCGGCGACATGGGCGAGACAGGGCTGAATTGCGACCCAGTGGGATTGGAAGTAGACACAGGGCTTGGCTTAGCATCCGAGCGGCTTCCGGGGATGGTGTTGCTTCGATCAGGACCGAAAGGGTTGGGCGGAGGCCACTTCATGGTGGTGTGAGTGAAGGAAGGAGACTGGGCACTCTGCTGTAGAGCCCACTTCAGCTGCTCTTCTTCGCTGGGAGGTTCTTGTTCTTGCTGCTTTCCACGGGAAGCTGGCGGCTGCTCTGTCTTGGGGTCGTATAGGCCATTCTCGGGATGCCATGCCAGCCCACCGTCGGAGGGTGGTTCGGCGAACGTGCCTTGCAGCTTCTGGTCCTCTTCCTCCTGGATGAGGTCATAGAGCGCTCCCATAATTGCCCGGTTGTTAGCATCGTCCTCCTCAGCCTTGGTCTTGAACGAGTTGTTCGCAGACTGGTCAGAGATCTTCACAGCATCCTCCCTCCCAGAGCCACAACCCTTGTTAATGGTGTTCCTGCGAGTGACCTGATCTGCGATAATCTGCCTGACGTCGCGGCCTTGGAGGTGCAGGGGCGTACCACCGAGCTTCTGGCCAGAACCTTTACTAAGGCTGTTCTTCGTTTGCCGTTTCTCCGCACTCGCTCGTGCAAGCCTGCGCATCTCGTGCGGCGGAGGCACGTGCCTGCTGTCACCAAGCCGCTTGCCGTCGGAGAGGAAGCCTTCGCCGGTGTAGCCCTTGCGAGTTAGAGTCTCCCACTCGTCTCGGAGTTCGTCCCACAGCCGGTGGAAGTTCGTGTCGTGTGGCCCATAGGCATTGTGCGACAGCTCGTGGAGCATGGTATCCACTACCTGCTCCAGCGGGAGGAAGAGGTCCGGGTTGTTGTGATACCGAAGCCGGATGCATATCTTGAAACCCCTGTTGACGTTGAGGCCAAGCAAGTTTGCCTCCGGAGGTAGGAATTCCGCCAGAATCTGAACCTTCCACCCTCGCTTTCTCATGATCGGCTTGACCAGTGAAGCGACTTTGCGGAGCATAGTGAGGGCCGCATCGCCACGCGGCAGTCCTTGCAGATGTTCGTAGCTGTTGAACAGTGGCTCCTGTTCTTTCAGCGAAGATGCGTACGACCTTTGGACACCTTGCGGGCCGCCCTTAGCGGCCGGCCGGTTCTTGTCGTTGTATCGTGGTACGGCCATTTTGCTGGATCTATCAGGGGCCGTGATAGTGAGGACACCTCAGATGCTCAGAACGTCGGAAGCGAGTCACTCCTCATGATATCGCTGTCTCAGTGCGTCAAGAGTACTCGCCTGGTATCGAATCTGGTGTCTGGACTGGTATTACGAATGGTATCGCGAGTGGCCGCGGAATAGGTTTTGGCTTAGGCTCGCTATTGTGGCGTGAGGTAGAAGGCAAAGAACGTAAGACGTGGCCGTCTGGTCGCTAGAACGCCATGGAACCCCTTACTCAGCCTCTCTCTCGCGGACTATTGCACAAGGCATCTGAAGTGGTGGTGAATAATTGACCGCTGACAGTGAAGCAAGGAGTCGCTCTGGTCTGCGTTTCCTACCGCTTCAGTGCTAGCGTCCGCACCCTACCACCTTTCGAGCAACTATATCGCCGTCGACCGACTTTCCACCATGACCACCAATTCTGCGGGCGATATAGACAGATCTCAGGCAAGACGCACGTCGCTCGATGCGTGCCTCTACTAGGTGAGTCCTTTGTTACAGGTGCGACTGTCATGCTCTTTCATGCCGGAGTTGCTGCCGCTTTAGTATCGAACTCTATCAACGCTTCGGATTTGACTTTCAACAACGTCTGCCCACCGCCGTCTCCTTCCCCTCCGTCCCTCCGTCGTTGATCAGTATGAGACCGCTCGTACATGTGCCTCTCGCAGTACCTATCCCGCCTGTTGCCGACCAAGCACCGAGGTGAACCGGACCCGCCGTCGTATAACAGAGTTGAATATTGCAGACCGATGGGAAAGTGAGCATAGCCGAAAGACACTACTTGCAAAGTCTCCGGGTCGTTCGGCGTGGATGCGCGGGATACTGCTGCTGAGCGGTGCGACCGAGGTAGACCGGAGCGGAGGGAGGGTGCGGAGCTAAGAGGACGTTGGGCGACCATGTCTCGCTCGCGAGTCTCGTTCGACGAGCGTGGGAACACTTCGCAAGATGAACAGCCGGGTTCTGAAAGTCTGGAGAGCCGCGAGGACTACTTCTCGAACGACGGCAGCGAACATGGAGGACATGATAGCCGGCGAAGGGCGTCTTTGTCTATCCAGATACCTCCGGCCCACACGAGGTCCAGCCTGGCCTTTGCAGCAATGCAGTATCTGCCGATGCCGGTCATGGTTCTGTCTAGCTCCAAGACTATCGTACTCGCGAACGAGGCCATGGGGAGGTTGTTAGGCCTTGATGCGGACAAAGCTCGCGAAGGAGCCGCCCAGGCTGGAGAAGAAGACGACGAAGAAGAGAGGAGCACGACGGATATCCTATACGGCGTGTCAATGTCTGAGCTCGGCATTGACTTGCTTCAAGGTGGCAATCCCGTCTTCGTGGCTTGGTCTGAGTTTCTGGAGACTCTGGTTGACGATGCGTCTCGGGCTCAAGCTCCCACAACTCAGTTGAACACTCACCACAGCAGAGATTTGGATACGCCTTCAACACCAACAGACAAGCCACACCGACGTTCAACATCCCAGGCATCAAGACTGAGCTACAGAAGCAGGAACAAAACGGAAGTGCACGATGCCGTGTGTGAGGTAATCTTCTCTACTCTCAGAGATTGCGAGACTGGGCTGCCGATGGTATCGCGACATGAGCATGGTAACCATGTCCAGTCACAGATCCTGGTGTCTGTTTGGGCCACCGAAGACGAACAGTACTTCACCCTGACGTTCACATCCTCGGGACACAGTCGGCCCAGCTCGGAAGCTTCAAAGACCACAAGCAGAACCGTTTCTCGCGCAACGACTCACGCGCACAGTCTTAACTCAGGGTTGAGCTCTAATTCTAGCGACAACTCCTCCAGGCAGCAGAAATCGACACGTACATCTGCGCCATCCTCAGTAATCAGCCCGCAAGTCACGAGTCCGTTGGAGTTCCCACCAAGAGGCCCACCGGCCAGATTCTCGTCCGTCTCCGCTCCTACCATGTTCTCGAAGACCAACCGTCTCAAAGATGCCATTCTCAACAGCATGAGCATTCCTGCCTATGCCATGTGGAAGGATGAATCTTTCGGCGTACCGAACAAGGCTGCCATCAAGATGATCTATCCCTGGATTGAAGATGGTGCCTACGATTCGACCGAGCAGGCGGCAGATTTCCTGTCGAAGTTCGTGCTGTACGACGAAGACTTCACCGCAGAGATACCGTTGAGCGATTTCCCGATCATGCGCCTTATGAGGGAGCAGGAACCCTTTGATTCGTACCGCATTGGGATGTATAGCGCTAAGGATGGCGCCCGGTTGCTCTACGACACTTCTGGGGAACTGCTGCTGGATGGCAAGGGCGACTTTGTTGGAGGTCTGGTGCTTTTCCAGGATGTGACAGACTTTGCGATGACGATCGACAAGCAGCAGAAGGAAAATGCGAATCAGTTCGAGGCGATCTGCAATATGGTTCCGCAGATGATATGGCGTACGACTCCAGAAGGTGATCATGACTACTATTCGGATCGGTGGTACAGCTATACTGGTCTCACGAAGGAGCAGAGTGAGGGCGAAGGATGGGTCAACGCCTTTCATCCCGACGACCTCGCTATTGCTGAACCTCGATGGAACCACAGCCTTGCTACGGGCGACGAGTATCTCACAGAGTACCGCTGCAAGAACGCGAACGGCGAGTGGAGATGGATGCTTGGCCGTGCTGTGCCAATGAGAGATGCTGACGGCAACATCGTGAAATGGTTCGGCACTTGCACTGATATCGAAGACCTGGTACAGACCAGAGAGCAAGCCAAGCAGACCCGAGCCCAGCTCGAGCGGGTCATTGAACACGCGCGCATCACTCTCTGGGCGGTCGATACCGACAAGAAGCTCGCCCTTCTCGAAGGCAAACCAATGTGGTCTCCTAAGAAGGACCTTGAGATGTACGACAAGACGAGGAAGCAGCAGATTGGCATGGACATTGAGGAGATCTTCGTCAAGCAGGGGAGACAAGCAGAAGTGTTGCTCTACATTGAGCCCATCAATGAGATCCTGGCAGGTTCCGTAGAGGATAAGACCGTCGAAGTAGAGGTCACGGCGAATAATCGGTGGTACCGGACTCGGCTATTCCCTTCTTATCGACAAGACCGAGCAGGTGGTCTCGAAGGCGATGAGTTCATCGATGGAGTTGTCGGCGTTTCGATGGAAATCACTGAATTGCGTAGAGCGGCGCAAGAGGTGGAGAAGAGAAACCGGGAGAACTCACGCCTGATGGCGCAGAGTGTGGCGGCTAAAGAAGCCAGCAAGATGAAGTCGCAGTTCTTGGCCAACATGTCTCATGAGATCCGGACGCCTATCGCTGGTGTTATCGGGATGGCGGAGCTTCTGCTGGACGATGAAGGCGGCGAACTTACAAAAGAGCAGCGGGACTGTGCGGAGAATATACAGCGGTCTGCCAATGGCTTGTTGACGGTCATCAACGACATTCTCGACTTCAGCAAGGTTGAATCCGGGCGACTGGACATCGAAGAGGTGCAGTTCGATCTTTCTGTCGTCATCCGGGACGTCAACAAGATGCTGTCTTTCGCTGCACAACGCAAGGGCCTGAATTACATCGACGACATTCAGGAGCTCAAGTCATGGAAGGTTGTTGGAGATCCAGGACGTCTGCGGCAGGTTATGACTAACCTTCTCACCAACTCGATCAAGTTCACCTCCGAAGGGAGCGTGATGATGAGGGTCAAAGTCCCACGCGAGACGCAAGAACTGCTGGAAGTCGAGTTCACAGTCGAAGATACCGGGATCGGCATCGAAGACGAAGTCAAGCAGCGCCTCTTCAAGCCCTTCTCACAAGCCGACAGCTCAACAGCTCGTCGATTCGGCGGCACAGGCTTGGGCTTGACCATCAGCAAGAACCTTGTCGAGCTTATGCGCGGTAAGATCTCGCTCGAGTCCCGACTGGGCGCAGGCACGAAAGCGACATTCTGGATCCCATTCCAGAAGGCGCCGCATCAGATGGAGCATTCTCCGGTAGTTGACATCGGAGCGATTCCTGATCGGCTGGCTTCTGAGGTATCGATTTCGAGGGCTTCGTCTGTGGACAACACCGCGCCGTCGACGCCTATTGTGGGGACGCAGCCTGGACATGCTGATGGCAGGAGCAAGAGTCTGCCAACGTTTCCTTTTGAGGAGGCGAGTCCGGAGATGAGTCTGGTGGAGAGGCAGAAGGTCAATGTGTTGGTTGTTGAGGATAATGCGATCAATCAACAGATTGCCCTCAAGACGATCAAGAAGCTCGGTTTTCCTGTGCGAGCGGTGTGGAACGGGAAAGAAGCTCTCGAATATCTGCAGCATCCGTCAGAAGAGCAGCCGGTACCTGATGTCATTCTGATGGACGTCCAGATGCCGGTGCTCGATGGGTACCGCGCGACATACACGATCCGCAACGCGAAGCCCTTTGTAACCAACCCTATCATCTCACATACGCCTATAGTCGCCATGACCGCTTCGGCGATACAAGGCGACAGGGAGAAGTGCGAGATGGCTGGCATGGACGACTACCTGTCAAAGCCGGTGAAGAAGATGAATTTGGAGAAAATGTTGACCAAGTGGGCAATAGAAGGTCGTCGAAAGAGGGCAGAGCTGGCCAACAATCCGTCGAAAGCCGAGCAGAAGTCCAAACGGCCGGATGGACCGCGCAATACCACGTCGTTCACGTCAGAGTCATCTGTGGTGAGTCCGCAGGAGCAGCTGTCCTCGGAGCTCGACAAGCTGGAATTTGCGCACAGAGCGGCATTTGAGCGGTCATCTGAGAGTGCCGGCGACATTGCAATCCGCCAACAGCAGGCAGAAGAGAAAGCAATCACGCTCCGAGACGACGTCCTGATGGAATCTGGCGAAGATCCCAAGACCCGACTGGGACGAGGTCTGAGCGATGAGAATTACCATCACGATGGCGATGAGTCTATTGCCAATGCGTTGACGACGGCGAATATGGAAAAGCACTCGCAAAGCGATCGTGTGCCTCAGATGAAGAGGCACAGCAGTGCTGCTGTGGAGACCGAAGATGCTCAGAGCGTTGCTGCGACTTTTGGTGATACTGCTAGCGGGAGTGTGGCGATTTCGAGGACGTCGACTGGGCCACCTGCTGGATTGCGCAAGCCTGCTGGGTGAAGGAGGTGACCTTGCATACCTAGTTTTCTTGGCATACCGACTATGTGAAGCAAGGAGCCAGTCCCGCGGATACTTTCTTCTCACATCTCTTCCACCATCGACTGTGGAGACTGCAACGATGCTTCGACGAATATGCATATCCAGCAGCTGAAAGACAAGCCACCGAGCTTTCTGGCGGCTTTGGTCTTCTTGACGCTGGTACCGCTATACTATGTCTCCTACCAGTACCGCTTGACTCATCCCTACGGCGGCCACGAGCCGGCAAGAGACAACGTCTTCTCATCGACAGACTTCGTCCGAGATTGGCTCAGCACCCACGTCGTCTCACCGTTCAATCCGTCCGCCCTCGCGACCTACTGCAATCGAACAGAATGGCGACCGAACCTCGTCTTCAATCTCGAGAATGCGAACGGAGGGATTGGAAATGTGCGCGGGAACACACTGGACTTCCTCTTCTTCGCAATAGAGGCTGGTGCATCTATTATACTACCAGGAAGAGCAACGCGAAGCCAAGAAGACATCAGCAACGTGTGGGCCGCTCGTGCTCCGTTCGACAGCTTCTTCGATGAGGAATGGTTCATGTACAATATGGCGCATTCTTGCCCACAGATGTCCATCTACAAGCCTGAGAAGCACCACAAGATGGTTGCACCTCTGCCAGGCAACTATCTGCCTCATAGTCGTCGCATCGACTCCGACGTTGGCAATACGAAGCAAGCGTATCTTACCCATCTCTCCGCATGGCTTGCCGACAACCCTTCATTCTCTGCCGAGAATCTCACACTGGTCAACCTTGAGCGCACCCTTTGGGACATCGACACCCGCAGTTTGCCTATGGGCTTCCGTCGCAACTTTGGTCAGCTGCTGCGGATCAACCCTACCATCCGCCGTCTCGCTGGGATCGTGGTGCTGAACCTCGCTCTCACATTCCGCCACAACATCAACCCTACAGCACCGATACCACGCCAGGCCTTCTACGGCGCTCACCTCCGCACCGAAGCCGACGCTCAAGGCGCGGGATGGCTCAACGACGCTTACTCCAACTTCTCCGCCCAAACCGACGCCTATATCGCGCAAGCCCTCCACCACAAGCTTAAAACGATTTACGTCGCCACCGGCAACTCGTCGGATCTCGAGCGCTTCCGCACCAAAGCCGCCACCCACCGCCCACCGCTCAACATCACCTCGAAATTCGACCTGCTCCCTCCGAACGAAGCCGCAGCGCTCAGAGAGCTGACCTGGGACCAGCAAGCACTGGTCGACTACGAAGTACTCCAGCGTTGTAGCGTGTTCAGCGGAATCGTCAAGAGTAGTTTTAGCTACAACGTCGCGATGACGAGGGGCCAGGTGCTGGAGGATGAGGGGAGAGTGGTGGATCCGTGGGCGGTGATGCATAGTGAAGAGGGCGTGGCGTTTGATGATGGGGTTAGCAGGATTTTGGGGCGGGATGGGTGGCATGAGCAGAGGATTCCGAGGGGGATGTGGCCTTGATGATAGGGGATGGGGATGGTTAAGGGAGGGACCTGGAGAGGCTTTAAATGTCGGTAAGTGGAACAGGTGCGAGATATTGAGAGACAGCTTTTGCAAGCGAATGCAAGTTCATTGCAGACGATCGGAAACGCAGTCATATCTTAATCCACGTAGACTCACTCAAGTAAGAAGCTCGCCTTTGTTTCAGGTGCTGCGGAGGCACTTGAACCCTGCGCCACGATCCGCAACGCAGCCCACTCTCGAACCTCACTTCATAAGCCCATTGTCTTCCTCTAAATAATTGACACACGATCTTGAACACGACCTGTAAAGACACACGATCATGCCCTTCGGATTCAAAAAAGGCGAGAAAGACGCCGACCTCGACTCGAAGAAGGCCTCGCTCTTCGGAAGCCGCAGCAACAAGTCCTCGCCAGCACCGTCCTCCGCCAACCCCTACGCCGCTGCTCCACCCCCGGCGAACGACCCTTACGCCTCCCGCAATGCCAACCCGTACGCCAATCAAGGTGGCATGAACGATCCATACGCCCCGAAGCAGCAGTCAAGACCATCGCAGCCACCAACATCCTCCTTCGGGAACCTCAGCTTGAACAACGATGCCCCTCCAGGCTACAACCGCGGCCCTTCGCCACAGCCTAACAGGTATGAGAAGTCCCCGGTGCCTCCTGGAGGCTATGGGGGAGCGCCTAGATACCAAAACTCAGGCAGCTATGGTCAGACGAGCGGCTACGGGAGTGATCCATATGGTAGTCAGCAGCAGCAGCAATCACGATATGGGCCAAGCGGGTATGGTGGAATGGGCAGGAGCAACAGCAATGACACCATGAGCACTGATGCGGGCCGCAACGCTCTGTTCGGGGATGCTGCAAATAGGGCCGCTGCCCAACCACAGCAGCCACCTTCCCAGCAACACGGCGGAGACAACTCCTACTCCAACACCGGCGGCTATGGTGCCAACGACCTCCCAGGCGGCTACGGCAGCGCTCCTGACCGCGAGTTGACGGAAGAGGAGCAGGAAGAGCAAGACGTGCTCGCAGCCAAGACCGAAATCCGCTTTATCAAACAGCAAGACGTGGCCAGCACCCGCAACGCCCGCCGCATCGCCGAGCAAGCTGAGCAGACTGGACGTGAGACCCTCGCACGTCTGGGTCAGCAAGGCGAGCGCATCCATAACACCGAGCGCAACCTGGACATGTCGAGCAACCAGAACAGACTGGCGGCCGAGAAGGCTTCCGAGCTGAAGACGCTGAATCGAAGCATGTTCGCCGTGCACGTCAGCAACCCGTTTACAGCGAAGTCAAGGGAGCAGGCTGCGAACGCTATCGCTTTGGAGAAGCACCAGGCGGAGCGCGCACAGCGGGATGCCACGACGGCAGAGGCATATGGTACTCAAGCCAGGCAGCAGCAGCACCAGCGTGATGTGAACGGGAACGTGGTTAGGAAACCCGCTGGAAGCAAGAGCCTGGCTGAGCGGGCGAAATACCAGTTTGAGGCGGACAGTGAAGACGAGGAGATGGAGAATGAGATTGATGATAACTTGTATGCTTCACCTATCATAAGCAAACCTTTCAGGGAGTTCATACGCTGATTTTGTACTACAGGGATGCCATCCACCGCGGCGCTAAAACACTGAACGCTCTCGGCAAAGCCATGGGCACGGAGATCGAGAGCCAGAATAAGCACATCGACCGCATTACGACGAAGACGGATAAGGTGGATGATCAGATTGCTCTTAACCGGGCGAGGTTGGACAGGATTCGCTGAGCTAGGGGTTTTTGCTTTAGAGCATTGGTGGAGCTTTACAACGGGACTCAGGGCACTGGAGCTTGGGAGGAGGGTCACTGGGAGGCGCTTTTGGGGTGGGCGTGGTATGCATAGGATGGATAGATATGGTGTCATGGCATGTTACGATCACTTGGCACTGCGCTGTGGGTATCATTCGTGTGTTGATGTCTTGTATTGATTGAAGGAGCTATTGCCATCGCAGTAAGCTCCCTGTCTATCCTGGCCGTTGCCAAACGCCACTCGCTTTGCTGCGCAACAAGACGTCTTCGCCGTCGACGCTCATTGCACCCCAGTCTTCACCATGTCACCGCATATCCTGTCCTCCTCCTTGTGTGCTCCGCCATAAGTTCCCATGCTACTCAAGCTCGATCGTGGCACTGTCGCAACCTTCGAGACGTAGGCGCCAGCATAGGTCCGCTAAGAAAGCGGTTAGTTGACACCTAGGAACCATGACGTGGAAAACCTTACCTCAACAAAGCTGTGACTGAGTTGCGCCCGCGTGCCATTCGTCGTCCGACATGCGAGATTGCCCACGACCAAGCTCGGTTGACATGTGCATGTTCTCCTCTTCGAGGCGCCAATTGCGCATTTCGAGCTGCTGGACGCGTTTGCGAAGCTCTTGGTTTGAGCGATGGTCGATATTCCTAGCTTCGACGTCGGTTGTGCTGCGAATGTACTTGCGTACAATTTTCGTCTGAACCCAGTTGGAGTTCCAGAATTGTGTAGCCCACGGGCCGAGCAGGACAGCGCCCAGCAGAGTGCCGACGATGCCAGGGATGATGGGGTGCATGTCGTCTTGTGGATTGTCGAAGCAAGACTCTAAGAGCATCTTGATTATGTTGAACTCGTACATGTTGGCAGTCACCCTAGCAATCAGTGAGTGGGAAAGTACGTGAATTTATGTGCGGAAGTCCTTACCACCAACGTCAATCTCATTGGTCCTTGGGCCCACATGACAGCCTTCGTGGCTCCCACATCCACATCCAGGCTGTTGTGCTCCTCTCTTAGACAGCCGTCTCAGCCTTGAGGTCCTCGTGCTTCTCCTTGAGCTCCGCGACATCCTTCGACCCTTCGACCGCCTTTGCGGTGAGGTCGTCAAGCTGATGCTTGATCTTGGTGCTCTCCGTGTGAAGATGCCTGATGCAGCCTGCGTGAAGACCGGCGATCTCTACGGTCCCCGTCCTGGTACGTGTCTGCTGGCCTTCTAGAGCGGACAACTTCGTGCTCAGCGCGCCGATGCGCTCAGAGTACTTCGTTTGCATCTGCGCAAAATCGATGCTGAGCTTGTCTCTCACGATCTGAGGGTATTCGATCTCTTCATCGATACGATGTTTGAAGTGCTCTTCGAGTCGGGCCACTTCTTGCTGGAGATCCGTCTTCGTGGCAGCCGTGTCCGAAGAAGCTTGCAATACCATCGTCTGCGTCTTGAGGAGTGCGATTTCCCGCTCAAACTTCTCCGCCGCCAGGAACAGATCGTCCGTGGTTGACGCAGCAAGCTCCGCCTTCTTCTTGAGCGTCTCGATTCCGCCGGAAGCATTCGCAAGAAGCGCTGAGAAGCTCCTGGTTTGGTCTTGCGTGGCGCGGAGTGTCGTATGGAGGAGTTCGATATTTATCTACTGGGCAGAGGCGGACGTGCGCTGGGACTGCAGAGCCTCTTGCAACGTCTGCAGCTTCTCTTCACGGTGAGCGTCACGAGCTTTGAGGTCGCTGGTGATGGCTTCCTGCTGGGCAACTCGCTCGTTGAGGGTAATGATGCTTGCATCTTTCTGGTCCAGCCGCTCATTCTGAGCAGCGATGAGCGCTTCGTGTGCAGTGATCATCGCATCTTGTCGGTCTGCCCGCTCGCCGAGACCGGTGATCATAGTCACAAGCTGCTGCGTGGTCAGGTTCGGGTCGGATGTGAATTCGATCGTGGAGGCGCTGAAATCAGAGAGCGACGACTCGTATGGAGTCATGATGGTGGCGCCGTCTTCGCTGAACGTGGTGATGTGCGACATTTTTGCTGCGCGGGGTTGAAGTTGTTTCGCAAGAGGAGGTATGAAAAAGGAGCCCTTCTCCGCCACCAAAATGTGCAGGAAAGTCCGTTCCGTCCCTCATAGCTTCAAGAGTATCGTCGATCGTCGAGAAGACCGCTCGTGGCACTTGTGTTATATGACCCTTCTCCGCCAGCAAAAGACGTGGGAAAGTCTATACCGTCGCTGAGAGCTTCATAGTATCATTGATTGTCGAGAAGACAGCTCGTCGGGGCTGCGATATGGCCCCTTCTCCGGCCCTGAGAGATGTAGGAAAGTCTGTACCGTCGCTCAGAGCTTTATACGTCCTGTCGACTGTCGAGAAGACCGCTCGTGGGGGGTTGCGGTATAGGCCCTTCTCCGGCGCCGAAAGGTGTTGGAAAGTCTATACCGTCGCTGAGAGCTTTGTGCCCTTCCGACTTTCGAGAAGACCGCTCGTGGGGGTTGCGATATAGGGCCCTTCTCCGCCAGCAAGACATGTAGAAAACTCTGTGCCGTCGCTCAGAGCTCTATGCGTCCTATCGACTGTCGAGAAGACTGTCTACGATATGGCACCCTTCTCCGCCGCCGAGACCCGCAGGAATGTCTATACCGCCTCTAAAAGCCTCGTTCGCCCTCATCGATTGTCGAGAAGACTGCTTGCGACATATGAGTTAGCGAGCCATTCTCCGCCGCCAGGGTATGCAGGAATTAACGTACCGCACCAGAGAGCTTGATGAGAACCATATCGATCCTTGAGAAGACTGTCTGCAATAGGGGACCCTTCTCCACCACGAAGACCCGCAAGAACATCTCTACCGGCCCAAAAAGCCTTATCCGTCACACCTTTCGTCGAGAAGACTGCCTCTACTCATCCGCGCCCTCTTCCTTCTCCTTGAGCATGCTCGCTGCGTCCACCAGAGCTTTGCTAGCCTCCAGGCTCGCCTCCTCTGCACTGTCCAGCTCATCACGCTTGATCAGAAGCTCTGTCGTCGCCACCTGAACAGCCATATTGTTGGTGCGCGCTTCATCGTACCCATCCAACAGCTCCTCCCACAGGTCATCCGGCAGATCCTCGTCCAAATCCCCTGCAATCTCCTCAATCTCCTGACAAGCCTGCACCACAGCCTTAGTCCTGCTCTCTGATACCCTGCTGACATCAATCGCTTTCCTGCTAGCCTTTAAAGCGGTGGCTTGAGCTTGCTTGGCCGCGGCGTGAATGTCCAGTTTCTCCTGCACGTCCGACGCCATGTCCACCAACCACTGCTTGCTGCCGTCCCCCTGCTGCTCTGCCTGTCGTGCCATTGCGCATGCCTCATACACTGCTCGGGCTAGGCCCCGCGGGAGGTCCACACGGGAAGCACGCAACCATGCGCGGAACTCACCTTTGTTACTATGCTGCTTGGGTGTTGTCGTGTCGCCATTGCTTGCCATGCTTGCTGGTGGCGTGACGCTGTGGTCCGTGGAGCTGCTGTCGGTGGCGCTGGTCGCTGATGGCGTCGACATTGCTGCTTCGAGGTCAGTGAGGTCGGGGAAAACAACAGCGCGTAACGCGTCACCGAGTCTCTTACTTGCTTTTCGTTGCGATGGTTTCTTGATCTTGTAGGATTGATGTTCTCTTCAATGGTACTCTTGCGATGGAGGCGTGAACGCCAGCTCCTTGCAAGGAAAAAAGATGTGCTTGCGAGTGACAAGCAAGAGAGTGACGGAAGTCGAAGAGCCAGGTGGAGAGTGAAGTCAAGTCGAGGGAACAACAACTTCGTCGCCCCCTGAACGACGCTAATGGAAAACAACAACAACAGCCTTCTCCAGCAGCAGAACAGGAGTTGACCGCCCTTTCATCAGATCAGCACCCGTCGTATGATCAACTGAGAGGTGATCAGACCATTGCTGCTTTCACAGTCACGAAGCCTTCCTCCGCCTCCTCGTCTTCACCCTCTCGGAGATCTCAACGACCTTCTTCTCGTCATCCTCTTCCAGCGGCCGCTTGACGCCCTTCTCAACCATCTTCTCCTCCTTCACGACATCCTGCACTACCTCTTCACCATCCTGCTCAACCTTGATCTCCACATCTTCGACCACCTCCTCCTTCTTCGCCACCAGTCTCTCCGTGAAAGCTTTCAAATTCGCCGTGAACAACACACTCTGCGCCCAGCCTGCCTCCTGACCCCACAGATCCCGGAACTTATTCCCAATCGCGTCGTACGTGTCCTTTGTCAGACTCGCATGCCTGCCTTTGCCAAACTTGTAGTCTCGCTGTACGATTTGCCATACGTGCGTATCAACAGGCACGGCCTCACCCCAGCCCAGACCCATCAGGGCCACGCAGTCCGCGACCTTGGGACCCACCCCTTGAAGCGCCAGTAACTCTGCGTGAGCAGCCCGATAGCCTTCACGACCAGACGGAGACCATTCGCCAGCGGAAGCGGTTTTGGCACCTAGGATGGGTGATTCAGGGTTTCGTAGTGAGTCGAGCCAGCCGTCCGGTTTCGAGGAGACCATCTGAGCAGTCTGGTGTAGGTACTTCGCCCGGTAGCCGAATCCTAAGGACCGCAGATTCGACTCCACATCCTTCCCAGCCAGCGCCTGCGGGGGCGGGAAGTCATGGTATGCTTCTCCATCCAAATGGCCGAGGAGAGGGCCGTAATTCACGCAGAGCTTGTGGATCATCTGCGATATCCGTATGATGTTGTTGTTGCTACTGCAGATGAAGCCGACCAACGCCTCCCATGCGTCTTGCTTGAGGATGCGTATGCCCGTGAACTTGGGTGCTTTCTTTGCGAAGTTGGCGTCCGCGGAGGACCACTGGGCGTAGAGATCAGACAGGTTTGGGGAGAGGTTGAAGTAGTGCTTGATCAGCTCGAGTGTCTCGTCGTCGGTATTCTCAGACTCCGAAGGCGGATGAGACGCTGGGGGTGTGAGCGGTGTTTGGAGTGTCGAGGGTGGTATTGAGCGGTAGTACAGATATTCCGGATCTTGGTGGAGTGACAGGATGCGGTTATGCAAGGCCATAGACCAGACGCCGGCGTCGTTCTTGCGCCATCTTCGCGGAGGTCAGTAATGCTCCCTTGTCTCGAGTTGGAGCATTACCTGAAGGACTGTCCGCAGCGGAGTGTGGTATTGATGCATAGTTCGGAGAGGCTTATGGGCAGCTTCTGCCATTCTGCGAGGTTGATGGCGCCCATAATGAAGTGGTCTGTTTCTGTCGAGGGGTGGTATTCGAAGTACAAATTGATAGAGTAGAACACGATCGCGAAGTTCACGCGTGAGGTCACATTTCTGCGCACGTGCACGCTAAGCCAATTTAGAGCAAACCTCACTTCATAAATTCACTTCGTGCTTTCATCAGAAACACATCCGTTGAACGCGTCAGAACTTTTGATATGAACCTCGCTATACTTTTCTCCCCTCAAAGCAGCACCAAGAACCTCCATCACGCCCAGTGCACCAGACACATCCTCCCCTTCCCAGGCGTGCCACACGTACACAAGATCTCCTCATTCGTCCTAGCATGTCCCAACGTGCCCTTCTTCCTACCCTCTCCCGCCCACTTCAGGATCTTGTCCGTCCTCGGCGTGGTACTGACATCGTTCATTGTAGTCGAGTCCGGTGGTCCCAGATGCGCGTTGCCCTTCTTCGCCGCATCCGCGACAACGCCACGATGCCACTCGCGACCACCTCGATGTAACCAGTCTTCGGACTTTTGGTGATCGGCGGCCTCTTCTGCATTGGAGGTAGTTCGTGTAGTCCCTACTCTCGTCTTCGCACTCGCCCTCAACATCGCGACGACAGCCAGCATCTGGTCCTTCTCCGCTTCGTCGTGAGTGCTCCCTTCCACCAACGCCACTGACTTATCGAGGAAGTGCTCTGCCTGTCCGACCGATGCCTGGGTCGATAGGACGTTGGATGCATAGACCTTCATCTCCACCTCCGCGAAGGGACTATGGATAATCTGAATACATTTGGCCCGGCAGATCTCGGGCTTTCCAGCACTGCGAGCCTGCATGGCTTCGACGAGCAGCTTCTTGCCATCTCGGTGTGCTGCCTCGATACCCGCTGCAATCGCATTGAGCTCCTTCGCACAGGTGAGTTTTCCACCCTCGCTGTCATCCAAGCTGCCATTCGCAGCCTCTAGCGCCTTGTTCACCGCATGCAGGTCAGGGACCACCTTGCCCTTGATCATCGCTTGGATCTCGGGTGAGCTGATGGTGGATGCTGACTTGGAGGATGAGGAGTTGGACCCGCGGAACGACTTGTTTCGGCCTTTGATGTCTGGTGATCCGTCCGCGGAGGTGTCGCTGGTGTGGAAGGTCCTTTGTGACGCGAGAATGGATGTTTGAAGTAGCTCGATATTGAGGAGAAGGAGCTGGAGTTGCGCTCAAGTCCTGGGCGTATTCGCTTTGGCTTCGGCGATGGTTGGGTGGGCTTCGTGTTCATCGGGAGGCGCTGGCTGGTCGAGGGTGAAGCAAAGTCGGTCACGGCGACGGTCGCGCAGTACGCCGCCAGTTCGAGATCGTCAGTGGTACCCTCGTCTTGCAACATCGGTTCCGGCAGGTCTAGGGGTGAAGGCTCCACGTCTTCGACTCTCAATGCTTCTTCTGAGGAGGCCGCCATATTGAGTGGCGTTGTTAGAGGAAACGCACTCGATCAGAGTAGTCAAGGCAGTCTGCTCGGTTCTCCAATTGTGTTAAGACTTCGCCATCGCCGTGGCCGGGTATAGTGCTGAGTACGAGCACGCAATGTCGGGAGTGTGTCGCTAAGAGCAGTAGATTGAAAACCGCCAGTCTCTGCTAGGCGGGAGCTGCGCCGTGAGGATATGTGCCAACAATCGTGAATGTGAGGTGAAGTCTGGATTCGAGGCGTAAACAAGCTTGTGTCACCGAACACGTGCTTCGGCAAAGCTCATATGAAACATGACCTCGTCCAATCGTTTTGTCTGACTTACTCGCTTCACTCGAAAGAACCGCGATCGTGAATGGAGCCGGTCGTGAATCGTCAATCTCATTTCATCAGGTCAAGTATATTCGTCTCATCCCTTGGAACGCTTCCACCTCTTCTGCAAAAGAATCCGGAATAGAGCTGAAGGGGTATCACATGCTTATCCCACACCCACCTCTCCAGGGAAGCCGCAGCATCATCCATTCGTAGCAATTCATAGGTCATTGTACCCCAGCACCGCCTTCTTAAGACCCAAATCCGCCACTGCCCAGCACCACGCTCGTCCAGCCTCGCCAGTGAACAACCCTTCTGGCGATGAGCTCTTCTCCAGCAGACCGTCCTTCTCCATCGCCTTCATCTCGTTGCCAGTAGTGTAAGTGAGAAGGTGCTCGAACTCCTTGTCCTGCAGAGCTAGAGCATTGCCTGAGATGCCTATATCGAGGTGTATCAGCCTTCACAAGTGCTCAAGACTGGGAAAAAGATCTTACCGTGACAAAGACACGGCTCCTTGGTCAACAGTCCCCTCTCCCAGATAGCTTCCCTGCCCTTCGCAACCGCCTTCTCAATCTTATCCCTTAGTGCTGGGAAGTACTCCTTGATGCTGTTCAAACTGACAATCACCCCCGGCGCGCCATGACAGACCTGCACAAGCCGGTCTTTCTCCACAGGCACGCTACTCGGAAAATTGCCACTCTCGAACTGATACGTCAACAGTACCGCCAGCTCCGTTTCCAGCTTCGGCGCATACTTCTGCGGGTTGCAGAGCACAATCTGAGTGATGATGCCGATCGCACCATGCACCGCGCCGATGTAAACCTTGCCGTGCCACTTCCAAGGCCGAGGCGAGTCGAGTATGGCGTCAATCACATCATCTTGAGTGTCGTTGAGAAGTTGCATTGTCTTAGGGTTGTCGCCGAAAGAGGCCTTGACCAGCCTTAGAAGGTAGAGGTATCCTGCACGACCGTAGAGGACTTCGTTCTCGGACTCGGGGTCTATGGCCTCGGCAGAGTAGTCGCACAGACTCGCCGCCATGTCCGCGTCTTTGCTGCTCGCTGCGCCAATGGCGAGCATACAGAGGATGTCGTCTGTAAGGCCGCATTTGCCGACTGTAGGACCGGGGTATGAGCCGATGTTGTCCTGTGCGTGCTTAAGGTAGGCTGAGCTTAGGCTTGATAGAGGTGTGTCGGCGATCGTGAGGTCGGGATAGAGCTGCTGGAGCACGAGGAAGATGTATGCGACACTTATCGGGCCTTTGAAGAGACCTCCCCCGGGCTGTATCGAAGCTGGCGGGTAGTTTGTGACGAGGCGGTTGAGAGACGCTTCCAGTTGGCGGTGAGGGTCTGGGAGGATTGTTAGAGCTGGCTCACTTGATAGCGCACATGTTGCGGGCTCTCACCTCTCCTCGCCAGCTCGGCATCGTTCTTGAAGTATCGCGGAGGCATTGTGGTAGAGGTCGTTGTGGTTTCAGGTCAGAGACGAAAGAACGATCTTACCCTGCCTCTTGCAGGCTGTGCTTGGGGTGGTAATGAGGGTGAGAGGCTAGGCAATGTTGAGTTGCCGAGCAAGCATGAATGCTCACATGTTCGACGTGTTATTGAAGTATTCGCAGAGAGCTTGAAGTTGGGCTGCAGTGTGACGTTGGAACGAACACAGAATGACTCGCGGACACGAAGCCCTCAACTTTCATGTGCCTTCATGCCTTCCTTTTCTTCCAACACCACCGAAGGAGCTATAAGCCCATCCGGAGGTCTATCTCAACAACTTTCAAGCACTGTAATGCAGTGAGGTCATGCTGGAGCACCAGCAGCCGAAAGCTGAACTTGAGTCTATCAACTCTAGATCTCCGCCAAAGGTTTGACTCATCTCCCATATCGTACCACCAAATCCACCATCTCTTCCTCCTCTACCATCTTCATGCCCCCCAAGAACAAAGCAAAAAACCATGCCTCCCTTCACCATCTCCCCCATCACCTCCCCCGCCGATCTAACCGCTGCCATCAACCTCTTCACCGAATACGCCACCTCCCTCAACATCGACCTCACCTTCCAGGACTTCGCGACTGAAATGGCGTCCATGCCCGGCAAATACGCCCCTCCACACGGAACCCTCCTGCTGGCACGGAACGACGCCGGTGAAGCGATCGGATGCGTGGGACTCCGCCCCCTATCACCCGAGGGGTGCTGCGAGATGAAGCGGCTGTATGTGAATCCTGCTGGACGAGGGACCGGGGTGGGGAAGGCGTTAGCTACGGCTGTTATTGATGAGGCGAGGAAATTGGGCTATCGCAGGATGCGGCTCGATACGCTGCCCACTATGACCTCAGCGCTGGCGTTGTACAGGAGTCTTGGGTTCGAGGAGATAGAAGCTTACTATGACACTCCGCTTGAGGGGACGGTGTTTCTTGAGTTGATATTAGATTCGGTTATCTTGTAAAATAATTTTGAGAAGACTCCCGCCTTGGGTGGCCATGAAGGAGGGTCTGGCTGCGCCGTTCAGGCCTCCATCAGCGGGCCATCCAAGCCTTTCGAATCATATTAATCTTGTACCCGCCTCAGCAACGCTGTGCAACCAGACGCCCAAGCTCCTCGCTCCACCCGCTATCCCAATCCCGAATTTCTTACTCATCAACCGGCCCCAGAGTCGGACTCATCGGCAACGCCACATCCTCCGGCTTCGGCTCCGGCCCCTTCTTCACCTTAATCACCTCTCCGTCCTTCCACTCATATACCAGCTCCTTCGGCCCGTCGAGACTCCGCCCAGAGTGCTGGTCAAACTCAGCGCAGTAAACTCTGATATGGTGGATGACACCTGGGCCCTGCAGGGCCTTCATCCTCTTCGTGACGAGCTTCTCGCACGGCGGTCTCGTCTTGCCGCCAACTTTGAAGGAATCATAGCAGATGTGGGCAAAGATGGAGAGCTTCTTGAGCTTGGGCATCTGCTGTCGCAGGTCGTCGATCCATTTGCAGTGACGGACGAGCTCGAGGACGCCGTGGCAGGAGATGTCGGTCGTATGTGTTGCCCTGAAACAGGCGTGACAGAAGAGGATGAGGTTCACTTCGAGGATCTGGATCTTCGCGACGAAGGACGGTATGTGGAATGCCTGAAAGGTGAAGTCTTGGTGATCGGTAAGGACGAGCTCCATGGCCCGGTCAGCACGGCTTTCGTACTCTGCGTTGATCTGCTTGTCTGCCAGCAGCATGTTGACGTTCGCTTTGTTGCGGATGGTGGCATGGAGGGCTACGAATGGCAGGCTGGACAAGCGGTCGAGGTCGCCTATGGTGGTAAGACCGTGCATGGCAGCAGCTAGAGGGGGCATTACACCAGTGGTGTTCGGCGCGTTGCCAGTGAGATTCATTGCCGGCGCGGGCACGGGCGCGGGCGTGAGCAGAGGCGTAGGCATATGCACAGGAATAGGCACAGGCATGGGCGCAATGGTTTGGATGCCGTCCATGTCGGATCCCACGGGTCCAGCTTGTGCGATGTTGTCCTTTTTGGAGCTCTGACGGAGGGTAATCGGTGTCTCCTTTTCGAGGAGAGCCTGGTCGTATACTTCGTTCCTAAGTTCCGCTGCCAGATCCATGAGTCTGAAAGGGACATGAAGCTGCTCGACGGTGTCGCTAAAGGCTTCATCCTCCATCGCGCTGTCTTGATCGTCGTCCGCGTCGTGAGCATCACACATCTCCTTGTCGCCATCACCTCTTATGCCGGCGGCAGCAAACGCCTCCTCGTCTGACCCCATGCCTCATGCAGCAGCTGGCAGTCAATGGGACAAGTGGTGAAAGTCAGCTAGGTAACAGCTCTCCCACTCGAAATTGAAGGAAAAAGTGTGACCAGAGTTGGAAGAAGGGTGAGATGAAACGGTCCACTCAGAGCATACTTTATGGAGAGAGAAAGAGAGCAACCGGCGGTTCATGCAAACCACAGCCTGCGGAACGGTAAGGCTACGGGTTACGTGGGAGCAGCAGTGAACAAGCTCTCTGAGCCCCTCCTCTCGCGGAGCCGCCTCACCTGCGGCGGGTGTAACATATCGTCGGGATTCGTGTGGTTCCAGGCGGGAAGACGTGGGCGTTTGCAGGCCAATTTTGGAGCAGCAATCGGCGTGTCTACTTTGGTGGGAGAACGAGATGAAGTTCGCATGCAGTCGCTGTCGATCTTATCGGCTGGCGCCGAGCATGGCCTTTTCCTCTCTTTAGGCGAGGTGCAGCTCTACAGCTCCATGTGCCTGTTTTTGAGGTGCGTTTGAAACGCAGACCTCACGATTGTACAGGACTTTGTACGTTGGCAAGGCTCATACGATGTCCGCAGCATCGTGAGATGCCACATATCGCCCACGCACGGAAGCTTTAGACAGACCACGGACGTCACTCCACCTGTGATCACTCCACTGCCGTCCAGCACACAAAAGCCCATATTCCCCTTTTTATTGCTCTGGCCACTTGTATCAACTGCCCTTCTTGTCATATTGTGTAAGCTTGACTATACAATGAAACCAACCCTCCCGACCTTCCTCCTTCTCCTCCCCTCCCTAACAGCAGCAGACAACGGCGGAGCCTTCCTCTTCTGGGACGGCCACTGCGAGCACGGCTGCATGGTCTCCTGCGGCGGCGAGATCAAATGCTCCATCGTCGGACCAGCCAAAACCAGCGTATGGCCGTGGTACGGCAAATGCATTGGGCTGGGTGGGAAGTGCGAGATCTATGGTCTGGCGTGCGGACCATCGTGCTTGGATGAGCGTGGCAGTCTTCAGGTTGGTCTTGTTATCGAAGCGTAGACAGCGTCGGAGGTATGTCGCTAATGGGAGGGTATAGCTGGCGCATGGAGAGCTCTGAGGGAGAAACGGCCTTGGTTTTGAGAGACAGCAGATGATCATTCAAACTCGCTTGCTGGCAATTCATTCAGTACACACATGCATCCAGCGACCTCCAAACAGATCAACACACCTCGCAACCCCTATGGATAGTCTACGCACCGCATATCGCTCAGTCATAACGACAAGCCACCTTTATCTCCTCTACTCCCACAACACAACTACTGAGCGCCACTCCTCGTACTCCGCTTGTTCACCTCCTCCTTCGCTTTATCCGTCCCCGAAGTCACGGCGTCCGCAACCTGATCCTTCGTCTTCTGCGCCTGGTCCTTCGCCTGCTGTGTCTTGGCGTTGACCTGCTCTTTGCTCGGTGCGGCCTTCGCACCGCCACCGATCGCGCCGACGAGGATGATGAGGAGAGTGACGGCGCCGACGGCGAGGCCACCGGCGATCTCGGGAACGAACTTGGCGGCTTCGACGGGGTCACGCTTGGCGATCTCTACGAAGAGGTTGAACTTCTCCTTGATGTAGAGGACTGGGTCGTCCATGAAGACGAGATCATCAGGCGACTTAGGTGCGTCTTCCTGCTTGGGCTTCTCAGCGTCCTCGACAGCCTTCTCAGATGCCTTCTTCGGAGCGAAGGTCTCCTTCTGGAAGGCGTCGGCGTCCTTCTCGGAGTGGCCGATGTAGATGTTGTCGAAGAGGATGTCGTTCTGCATAGTCCAGAGCTCGAAGCCGATCTGCAGCATTGTTAGTGGGTGCCTCAGTCAATACTCATCAAGATCTACTCACAGCGCCCATTGGCTCAAAGTTAGCCGGAGTCTTGTCCTCGTAATAGTCTGGGTTGGCAATCTTGCGCGGTGCCCATGGGCCTTTGTAGTCTGGGTTGTCGATCATCGGAGCAGACCACTTGCCCTTGTACTCTGGGTTCTTCATCATCGGCTTCTCCCACGGGCCACAGCCAGAGACCTCGTCGCACTTGGGGTTGGGCACCATTGGTGGGACCCAGTCACCGTCCTCCTCATCATCCCAGTCTTCGGGCTTCTCGGCCTCTGGGTCCGGGATCATGGTGGGCTCGTCCTCAAGCCAGTCGGCTGGCTTCTCGGCAGACTCATCAACAATCTCGTATGGCGCGTCCTCGTCCCAGTCATCAGGCTTGGTGGCATCTGGGTCGGGCATGGTCGGCGTGTCAACCCAGTCCTCTGGCTTGCTGTCCTTGGGGTCATCAATCTCCTTCGGTGGGTTGACAGCCGGGCTGAAGTCTTCAAGAAGGGTGCCGTTCTTGGACGACTCGCCATCGATCTTGATCTCGAAGCTCTGGTCTGGACGAACGATGAGGGTGTAAAGGGTCGTCTGCTTGGTGATGCGAGCGGATGGCGGGCTCTTCAGGTGCTTCTCCTCGTACTCGCCAGTCTTCGGGTTCTTGTGGCGGAAGATGAAGTGGACCTTGTTGGTAGAGCCGCACTTGTCGGGACCGAACATGATGATGTAGGGCGAGGCGTTGGAGAATTCATCGGACTGGAGCTTCTTGTTGTCCTGGAGGAGCTTCATGTATGCTCCACCGCACTCGAGGCCGCCCTGGAGCTTGACCTCGTACTGGACAACCAGAGTATCGTCCTTGTTCGTGATGGGCTTGTCGAACTTTGCAGAAATGGCGTGGTGAGCAGCCTTGTCCTTGAGGACCAGGCCCTTGTCTCCCTCTACGCCCCGTAGGACAGTAGGCTCCTCGACGTCCCAGGTGCCGACGAACTGCCATTCCTCCTCCGTGTTCTCCTTCTTCGCATGTGATGCCTTCCATCTTGAGCCGTCAAGGCTGTCGGTGAATTGCTCGAGGAATGGGGCCTTGAAAGTGGTGGGCTGTCTCAAAGTCAGCGAAACAGCGGTGTCCATCGGATCAAACCATACTTACAGTGAAGGTGGGCTTGTTAACAGCCGACGAGGTCACACTCTCAACCACAGACTCGACCGAGCTCGTCGCCTCAGTGGCAGCGGACTCAGCATCGTCAACAACATCAGCGCTCGCAATGGCTGCGTAGCAACCGAGTGCTAGGAGGCTGGCAGCACGCATGATTGCCAATGCTTTTCAGGACAACAGGAAAGACCAGAGACAAGAACAGAATGCCAGATGCTCGCTCCAAGAGGATGGATTGTCGAGGGAAGAAGTGAGGACGGCAATGGCAGATTTATCGTCCGGCAGAATAGTTTCGAAGAGCCACCTGTCGACTATTTCACCACAGCTCCACTAGCGCGCCCGCCTTTTGCTCCTTCTCCGCAAAACCCTCTGCCAGGCCACGTGACTAGAACGAGCGCACAAGATATGAAAGTGGATGCGGAAGCCAAGCAATTTTTAATGCCTTCCATGCCATTGATGCACGACTATGCTGTCTCACCATCGAAGCAGACCGATGCAGGTCCGCAGTACTATGGTACACGTAGAAGCAGCCCAAGCGTGCTCGCTCAATGCGTACCCATCCCATAAGCAAGCATACAGCCTGCCGTCGTTGCGACCTTGCTTGCCATGCACGTGCAGTGCTTGAAGAGACAAGCTGTGAGCCTCCGGTGGTCGTAACGACGACCCAAGAAGCTTCAGGCAAACACCGATGCACTCTCTTTCACCCATCACACCATCGCCATGCACACACCCTCTGCACACCCCTTCAAACCTTTCACAGCCCCCTCTTCCGCTGATAGATGCATCGCTCTACCAAGCATTCACGTCAAAGTACTCTTCACCAAACACCGTGACCACCACCGTACGATCGGCGAACTTCCTCCCAGCAAGCGCAGCAAGCGCCTTCTTCGCGGAACTCGAGTCCTCGTACTTGATGTAGATCTTGCCGATACCGTTGTTCTGCCTGTTTCCGGTGGTCGGACGGGGCATCTTGACCTCGAGGATCGGACCGTACTTGACACACTCTTCTTTCACATCCTCCAGGATCTCTGTTGGTACTCGTCAGTCGTGTGTCAGGGGGTGGAGAGTGTAGTCAATACGTACCATCCGCCTCGTCAGCATCCATCAACTCCTCTGGCGTGATCATGTTCATCAGGCACAAGACCCTGCCAGAGTCTGCGTCCTTATTGGTCGTGCCTGCCATCATGCTCATAGCGTTCACACTCAGCTCGCCGCTCATCTGCTGGATGCCAATACTGGCGCGCTGAACTTTGAGAATGCTGTCTCCGAGCTCCATACCGTCAAGACTCTCAACGGCGATATCGGTAGCCTCTTTGGCATTGGTATACTCGCAGAAAGCGATGCCGCGGCTTTGACCTGACGAGGTGTCTTGGACGAGAACAAAGTTCTTGAGCTCCCCGAACGACACGAGAAGTTCTTGCACCTGCTCTTCGCTGAGGTATACTGGAATGTTGGTGACTGAGACCTTATACTGGGTGTCTGGCACGGTGCTCGAGAGGACGCCGGCCGGATTCTCGGTCTCGTCGGTCACAGCTGGCACGATGTAGTCTTTCGGGCGCTTGATGGACAGCCCAGAATCGTGACCCGACTGGCCAGTGCTGGTGTCCATGGCTCCGGCATCCATGACAGTGCCGTCGAGAGCCAAGGCGTTGGTTGCGTCTTCGGGGGTCTTGAACTCGAGCAGTGCGTAGCTGCCATCCTTGCTGACCTGAGCGGAGATGCAGGGGTCAACACCGCGGGTGACATTCGTGCCATTGAGCTGCAGGTTGAAGAATTCGGCAACCTTGTCGTCAGTAGCGGACGCCGGGAGCTTGTAGACGAAGAGACGCTTGGACTGACGCGCTGTGGATGGCTTGAGTGCTGCACCGTTGGCTGAGCCACCCGGCTGGTCCATGAACGCCTTGAGCTTCGTTGGGTCCATCGGCTGCTGCCTCGGTGCGCCGGGAAGTGGGAACATGCCGGACAGCTTGGCCTGCTCTGCGGTGACGTTCTCGTATCCTGGTGGCTTGATGTCCCACTGTGTCATCCTGCGCTTCTTCTGCAAGATGGGCACGACGTCGGTGAGATCGGGCGTCGGCTCCTTGACCTTGCGTGGTGGTGATCCTCCTTCTTTCTTGACCGACTGCCTCTCCATCTGCTGCATGTCATCGCGGTCGCGGGCACGGTCTCGGTCGACGTCGCGTCGCTCTCGGTCGTCGCGCGGCCTCCTGCGATCGTCGTACGCGTCGCGGTCTCTGCGGTTGTCACGTCTGCGGCCATCGTCGTCACGCCTCGCGTCTCTGCGCGCAGACCCACGGTCCCGATCTCTGTCCCAGTCTCTGTTGTCACGCCTGCTGTCCCGCCCGCCATACCCGCCATACCTCTCCTCCCGCTCCCGCTCTCGATGGCCACGACTATGAGAATAGGAATCTAACTCACCATGGTCTCCGCGGTTGCGTGGCGGCTACGTGTAATTGGTTGGCATATTGTTCGAGCTTGCTGGGGCAGGGTTTCTTAGACGTACAGCCATGGTTGGAGCATCTCTCCTAGGCGAGCGCGAGCGATTGCGCTCCCTGCCACCGCGGTCTCCATCGCGGTCTCTCCGGCGATCATCGCGCGAAGACTGCAGCCTCCTGTCAGACATCTTTGTCAACGTGGTGGGTGAAGAGTTCAGGCTCTTACGTGGTAGTCGCGAGAAGACCCGAGCCGCCCGTCTGCTGGAGGGGTTAGTGGTGCGGCTGCGTGGTTAGAATGCTGCTGTTAGCTACCTCTGCTTGGATAGCCTCCGGTGCTCATCACACCGTCACTGAATGTCGTCGGAAAGTGGTGTGGTGTTGTTGTGTGCAGTCGATGTCGGGTCGCTGAAGTGAAGGTTGCAACCTGAGCCCTGCGGAGGAAAAAGCCAGCCAGCTCAAAAAGTCCAAGCTCGCCGAAACTCAATTTGGACGGCCAAGGGAACACTCTCACTTCACCTTCAAGTCCTCTATCCTCATGGTCGCTGTAGGTCGGCTCTGTAGCGTAAGGACGAGCAAGAACAGGGTGTGGCAGTGCTACGGACACTTGTGGAGCACCAATTGGTTGTAGCATGGAGAACAATTGCCACTCCATAGCCCATTACATGCAGTTTGAACTACACTACATACAGCAGCTTTCTTTGTATGAACAGGCACTTCGCGGCAGGGAATGCGAAGAGGCGCCGGTGCAAGCGTGCAATTCGGTGCTAAAAAGCTGATATTCGTCCTACGCTCATCTCCTACCCATCCTAAGCTCAGGCGGCCGCTCACCAGTAGTCGTGAAGCGCAGGACACTCTCCAGCGACAGGGGAGGTAACCTGGGATCAACGCCCTCCTCCTTCTCGCCACTCGGCATCACGTCGTCCATCTTCTCATCATCCTCGTCCTCGCTCTCACTATCGCCGTCCAGCTTCCTCTTCAATCCAGTAACCACGTCCTCCACCCCCTCCTCCCTCTCCTTGATCGTGAAGTCGTCCCCAAACGCGCCATCCTCCTCCAACATTGGCCCTACAATGCCCTGGCTCGTCGGACCAACGGAGTTCCATAGCGCTCTCCACTCCTCACCCTTCGTACCTCCGACGTCTGTAGTAGTGCTAGTGTGCTCTTCTACCCATTTCTCAACGCCCGGCTCCATCTTCTTCCGTAGTAATTGTTGGAGCAGCGCTTCCTGTGTGTGGCCAGGAAAGTTGGGGAGCGGGTACGCGTGCGCTTGCCGGAGGAGGGCGCCATGAGTGGTGGTGGTTTCCAGCAGTTGGGCTAGGTTGAACGAGAGGGCTTGAGCTGAGGCTTGGAGCGAGGGCCTACGGAAGGCTTACCTTTAGCCGATGTGTTGGTAATAGAGCTGTAGTAGAAGCAGAACGAAAATATGAAGCTGCAATGGGAAAGACGACCTACCATGTCGGCAGCGGTTCTTCGCGCTCAAGATTGCTGCGCAAAGACGCAATGGAGGTGGAGAGTTGGGAGAGGCGTTGGCGCAGCTGGTCGATGCTGCGGATTTGATCCTGTGCGATCGACATATTGTCTGTGGTTTTATGATGCGTTTTGCAGAATTTGAGCTTCTGACCAAGGTGAAGACGCTTTTTGGAGAAGACGGCAAGCGGCTTCTGCTTGAGGACTCTTGGCGTCCCAGTAGTTTCGCATATACCGGCCAAGGCCAACGACTTGCCGCTTGACTGTGGGTACCTAATCTTCTTCCTCCCCTCCAAACAACGCCATCTGTGCCATCGTAACCTCATCATCCCTCAACACACTGAGAACCAAGTGTCTCCTTCGTCAGATACGACTTCTTGCGTTTAATTGCCACGTCTTCCCTCCTCACATCCAGCTGTCACATGCTGTCGTAAAGCACAAGCGTTTCTATCTTGCAGTATCAGGTGACGACAAGTGAGTGTAGACGTCTTTCCTCATGTGCATCGTCTTCTGCCCTTGTTGTACTCATATCTCAGCCTCCATTGCTACTTTCCTTCCCTTTACAACAGCCGTCGTTCGTTCACAGCCATACTATTTCTAAATCTTCCTTTACTTAAGACATCAGCTATACAATCTGCACCACAAGGCAGCCAGTTGCTGGTCAACAGAAGCAGTCACATTTCACCGGATTCACCCCCGGATGACTCGGCAGGCAGTTGGCATCACGATATCTTGCACATGATTGCTTGCTATTGTCGTTATTTCGCAACAATAGGGCCCCGGTCTATTGTCACGACGACATATATCCCTGGTTGACAGCCCCCTGGAATTCTGCTCCGACCATCTATACCGACACACACCTTGCTACTTTCGTCTTAATCAGCCAAAGTCATGACGATGCAACCAACTCCCAATTCTCTCGAAAGCAAATACACCTCCAACATGCCGTCCGGACACATTAGCTACAGGCGTTCTCGACCGAGCAATCACCTGCGGGCCATCAAGACCCAACGTCCCGATATGCTCTGCGATATCCTCCACTGGGCAGTCGACGTGTACCGCTTTTCATCCTTTGAGACCTTCGACATCCACGTCTCCATTCACCCAGGTGCGGCTGCAATCCAAGTGGTCGACACCTCTGGCCAGTTCATAGGCTGGGACAAATACGTCTTCCAGGTCTGGGGTCAGGCGGACAAGACTATGGCGGTAAGGCTAGATAGCCGGGGCTGCATCAGAGTCTGGTTCAACGATCGCTGGGCTCGCTTCACAAGATTCCTAAGGTTGATCAAACCTCCCTACAGTTGGAACCTCTCTAAGGGACCTCTAACCCGAGCGGACCAAGACTTCCAGTGGTACCAACAGAGCAGGTGGTGGCTTGGGAATCGCAAGAGTTTCCTCTTTCTAAGACTGCCTCCGGAAATCAGGAATCTCATATACGGGTTCGCTCTGGGTGACAAGATCGAGCCGTACCCGACACATAGAGATCGAGGTGTTGGCTCAAACTCTCGTTCCATGATCATACGCAGAGCCAACACCGCTCTCCTTCAAGTCAGCCCCCTGGTGTACAAGGAAGTAAGCGACATGATCTACACCTTCACTCCTTTCTTCGTTGAGCACTTCGGGGTTGCAGAAAAGCTTCTGCGCAAACCTCGACCCTGCTCTCGTATTCGGCAGCTCGAGCTGGCATTAACTCATGACGATTTCTTCTGGCTGTTCGGAGGTCAGTTCGAGGATGACGGTGTCATGACCGCACCACACCAGGCTGCGACAACACTTCGGAACATGAGGCTTAGCAAGCTACGGCTTAGAATTGCTGAACCTCGCCCCGTTACCGCAGACGAGCGCTTTGATGGGGCGTGCCAGAAGACCGTGGTGGACTGGATACTGGAAGCCGCTTGGCCCACCGTACGAGGGCATCCCGTCGAGCTGGCAGGGTATGTGAAGGCGAGGCAGAAGAGGGCTTTTGAGGCTGCCTGTAAGGCGGAGAGGAAGAAGTTCGACGTTTGGCAGAAGCAAAGGATGGCGGTGGGAGATGAAGAGGGTTCGTGGGACGACTACGATGAGTGGCTGGAGCAGGTTGGGGATGACGAGGGCGGTGGCGTGATGCTGGCGGAGACGACTATGGTCATCCAAGAAGACGAGCTTTTCGCGGCTGGACGGGTGAAGATCTCGGCAGAGAGGCCATTGTGCTTGTGCAAGGTACACTGTGCTGTCGAGTGTTGGAGTGCGGATGATTGAGTGCGTAAGCGGGTGGAAGCGGTGACATCGGTAGCACTTTGCTCCGAGAGAATTGTCGAGCCTTGATGAAAGGAGATTCGAGGACTAGGTCTACAGTTATTGATACCACAAAAGTTCTGTTGTTATTCGATGTTCACAGCGCTTTTGCCGCTGGTCACGTGTCGCGCTAGTCATGCATCACTTCTCACTGCACTTCGCGAGGCAAACACGTTTATGCCACCCACTTCACAGCATGTTAAAGTGATCACTCTGGGAGGCTTACTAGTAGTTCAGGAGACGATGCTTACGACACGACGTTAGCCTTTTGAGGTTAATGACCATGGAAACATTGGCCGACTTCGAGCAGCCATTCCCGGAGCCTACCAAGGGCTGTCCTTGCCATACACGAATACAAGCGAGAGCAACAGCAACGGCGTCGACACGGGATTCGAGCCTGTGGACTCCCTTTGTACACCTGCAATAATACACATCTCGGTGGAGCTACAATCTCAGATTCGGCATGTCTCAGTCATCGCACCTCTCCCGGTACAGGCCCGCCGTACTCGCCATCACTAGCATCGCTGCTGCCACCTGTGTCTATGCTCTGTACAGCGCATGCTCGGAACCACCGGCCAGAGATATCGGTCTGCGTCGCAGTAACGCTGTTCACAGACAGAGCCGGGAAAGGCGGGATCCTGACTTGAGCATACTGGGCTCCGCGGGACCCGATGCGGACCATCCGTTAGGAAGCGTCCTCGTGACCGTTGGACTGGAACACCGCATGCTTGATATCGCTTCCGAGGGCATGCCATCAGATGCAAATTTCCGTGAACGATTCGGTGTCGACATCACAGCTACCTTCCGAAGACAGCTGAGCATTACCATAGCAAGATGCTTCTATGAGGCATGCTGGCTGGCTAAGGACGAAGAAGCTCGAGACCGCTTGCGCCGGCTGGCGCCAGAGATTGATCGGCTCTTCACTACGTTTGCAGGTGTCGACATTGGCACCATTCGCGACCAAGCGCCAGGTATTGCGCACGCTGTGTTGGGTGCTGATGAAGGACATTGCCGATCAGCTATTGATCATTTCCTAGTGGCTCCTCCGTTCACGGAGATTATCTCCGATGATTCGGATGACGACCAAGTAGCTGCAGAAACTGAGGATGGAAACTCGTTCACTGCCAGCGACCCGGAGCCGTCCCAAGGACTGAAAGGCCTGCTTTACCACATCGCTGAAGCCGAAGCGAAACGGAAAGCGTACGAGCATCGTGGTGTTCACTGCGACGGATGTCACGAGACACCGATCCGAGGAGTCCGATGGCGTTGCCTCAACTGTGCCGACTACGACCTCTGCTCTACGTGCGAACAAACTGTGCCTCACTTCCCGAACCACGTTTTTGCCAAAGTCAAGATACCGCTGCCGACAATGTCGCGAGGCTCTCGTCCTCAGGCGAACTGGTATCCAGGGTACGCAGATTCCAGCCACTATGCCTATCTGAAGTCTTCCGTCAAGAAACGTCTCGAGGAAGAATACGAATTTGACTCCACGAAATTGGATGCGCTGTACGACCAGTTTACGACTCTCTGTAACGTTGGGTTTCCCGGCGACCCTGCCCACATTGACAGAGCAATCGATTGCAATGCTTTCAGACGTGCTCTGACAAGCGAGCGATGGCAGCCACGCTTCAGACAGAACATACTTTACGACAGAATGTTCGCATTCTACGACACGGACAAAAACGATCTCATTGGCTTTGAAGAGTTCGTCAGTGGTGTGGCTTACATTCGAGGTCCAAAGCGTTTTCCGTCACTGGACCGAGCATTGCAAGGCTTTGACACCGACGGAGATGGCTATGTGGATCGGTACGACTTCATTCGCATGTTCCATGCTAAGCACGACATACAGAAGTTGCTGCTCACTGATATGATGGAGGCTCAAGAGGAAGAGCGCACCATGAACGCCGTGGAAGATCTAAGGTCGAGCCAGCCTATCAGTGCCATGTTTAGGGATGAAGACATCCCACAAGGCGAGGTCCGCACGGCCACAGGAAAGACCAGGGATCGACATGGAGACATGCAACCTCTGCCTGGCGCCAAGACGATTCTCGAAGACGATGAAGGGTGGCCGGACGACGAACAACGACGGAGAGCAACGAATACAGCCCGGCGACCGCCGCACGAAAGGATGCAAGGTCACCTGTCTCGGTTCGAGGAGATACTTAGCCAGACCGATGGACAGCAAGATGCTGTCGGCAGCAATGGACTGGTCGTGGCACACGACGAATCAAACGCAGCTATGGAAAACTTTCCCCCGACGAATGGAAGCGCTACAGGATCTTGCCCACCCCCGACCGCCGCAGAAGACGAGCCGCTGGACAAAGACGTTCTGTGGCAGATTGTCGAAGACGGCTTCCATGAGATGCTCGACCCTCTCTTCTTGGCACCAGAAACGGTCGACGGACAAGTCGTCGCAACTCGAGAAGAGAGGCAGAAATGGGCCAAGCAAGTTGAAGAAGCAGCGGCTGATCTGGAACGGATGGACCAGGAGCTGGAGTCAGGAGCAGAAATCGATCCGTTGGTGGCCACTGCTAAGGGCGCCTTGGATCGCTTTGGTGGAGCGGACAAGACGGTAAAGGAGGAGATGGTGCCGACTGATGCTGACAGCTTGTCGAAGCTGGAAGAAGAGATCTCCCAGAAGCCTCTCGAAGAGCTTCTGCAAACGAGCGGTTATGAGCTGCTTGATGGAGCAGGGCCAGAGGGTGAGGATCAGGGTGCCTCAGCAGCCTCGACTGGACATGAACCGGCGGACTCTACGATGCCACAGAACCGACCGAATGGTAGTGCAGATACCAAAGTGGTGGGCGATAGTCCCCGGCAAACATCCAACACCGCTCAGCCGGATGACCCAGATGCTGGCGCGGCGCATACCGTCGAAAAACCTCCCTCCGCAGCTCGTCTTCGCCTCTTGACCCGTCACGCACGGCTAGACCAAGAGATCGAGGCTCGAGGTGGGGTTGGAAGACAGAGGCTTGGTGAGATCGAGCATGCCATCGAGGACACAGACCTGGGAGGTTTGGTTACCTCGTGGCTGGAACTCGCAAGTTTCTGATGAGCGTCGACGCCCGCTGTACAAAACTTTATGTATTAGTAGTAATCACCACTGAACACCAGGCTTTTAATAACTCTTCACACTCCAGACTTCCACGGCCACCAGGACCAGGTGGGACAGTGATGAGGGCCAGAAAAACAACCATCAAGCACGAGCCGCTTTCCCTCCGCCCTCCTCCGGCCGAACGTCAACCACAAGTGCCGAACTCGCTTCGCACGGCTGATCTGCGCCAACTCGCATTTCAGTTCAATCTCAGCCATCTCATTCGCTTCCCCGTGGGTCTGGCTCCGCGTGCGCGCCATGTGCCCCTGCGACATTTTGCGGGGCTGCTCGATCATCTCGCCAACAGCACGGATGAATGCGTTGGGGTGCCGCAGCCAGTCTGAACTACAGACTGTTTGCAAGACTGTCTCAAATGGATGGTGGCGCAGTTATCGTGCGGATTTTGGGTACGATACCTCGATCTCGGTTACGACTTCTGACATTGTGATGTCTGGTTGCCATACACCTATTCTGTCATATGTCGCCCAAACTGACCATCTCGCCAAGGTAACTATCTCGCCAAGGGTAACCATTTCGTACCTTGCCTTACCTCCCTTCCATCGTTCCATAGCCTTATCGCAAAAGGCACCTTCGTGACTCGTCGCAATATCGCCCTCGTCGCAAAACCACATCTTGTCACGAAGTCACCGTTTTCGGATAAGCGGAACAAGGCTCGAAAGGTAAATATCCTAGCGCGGTAGGCGTAGAAGGGACGACGACGACCTTGCACGACGACGAACATAAACACAAACAAAAGAGGGCATACACCTTACGAAGGTAGAGGTGTAAGAGGTAGCGATTCGAAGGTCAAAATTCGAAGGATCTACTAAGGTACGGGATTTTATCCGACCAATTTTGGACTACCACAATCTATATTTGAGACAGTCTTGCCAACAGTCTGTGGAGGGCTGGACCTCTCCGCCGGCAGCCAGTGATCCCCGGCTCGCTATATAGATGGGGGCGAGGTAACGACATGTCATCTCACTTTCATTGTTAGCTCTGTCTTTCCATCTTTTCTCACGCGCAAAAAGAGCAGGAATAGAGGCTGAACCGTAATGGCGCCTCCAGAGATGCATTTGGTGCACAGGTCGGTGCGCTTGAAGTGGCACACAATATGGACGCTGACGCGACCGCCGTAGCCATGCTCAGGAAGGTGACATACCGGGCACCGTGAACATGCAAGCCGGAGAAGGCGACGACACAGCGTTTGGACAGGTACATATGCAGGCGTGGACATGGCTTGATGTGTAATGGGCTGACGCGACAGCCAGGCTCTGTTTCCGGTGCCAGCGGAAGACCCCAACGACCCGTCCGTTCCATGATCATTCATAACGAACAAGCAGTTGCGCTAATACCACAAGCAGGTTACAATGGCCTTCCTGGAAGAAGAACACGATCCTCGCCATCGTCTCGCTCTACTCCTTTCTCGGCAACTCCGCGCTCCTTGGTCCTTCAGTGTACATTGAAGTGTTCGCTGAGAGCTTTGGGATCACTCCCACAGTTGCAAGCGGCTTGATATCCTATCCCAATATCATGTATGGATGTGGCACGCTCCTCACCATACCGGCGTACCTCAAATTCGGCAGAAGGCCGGTCATGCTGGGCACCCTTCTTGTGTACATGGTCGGTCTCATCGGAGCGAGCAGAGCGAACGGCTACGGCGGATTGATGGCAGCCAGAATCATCCATGCCTTCGCGAGCGGAGTGTGCGAGGCTTTGCCTGTGCAGCTTGTGAACGACATCTTCTTCCGTGGGTCTTACTGAAGGTCTCGAGTCTCCCCGTACTGACTTTCAGCAGTGCATCAACGCGGCAACAAGCTCGGCTATTACACCGTATGCCTATGCTGGGGCTCGACCGGTCCGTTGTACGCTGGCTACATGCTCGCAGGCGGCTACAGCTGGCGCCTGTACTTTTACGTCGAAGCCGCCTTTGCTGCTGCGCTCTTGATCCTGGCATTCATCTTCGTCGAAGAGACGACGTACAAGCGAAATACCCCCAGCGGCCCAACCGTTCCCAATGGTTCAAACGAAAAGAAGGTCTTCGGTCAGGAAGAAGTCGAGAAAGAGGACGTGCCGAGCGACCACGTCGAAGTACAAACCCTGGTGCCTCCGAGGAAGACCTGGCTCCAGCAACTCAAACCATGGTCAGCCATCAACCACGACGAGCAATTTTTCATGACCATTGCACGGTCCTTCACATATTACGCCGTGCCCTCTGTCCTCTGGGTGGTGACCTCCTTCGGAATATACATCGGACTCGGAGCGCTGGCCTTCAACTACACCTTCCCGATCAAGATCGTGCAGCCCCCGTACAACTGGGCGCAGCAGAATGCCGGTCTTATAGCACTTGGAAACGTAATCGGTTACGGCCTAGCGGTGCCTCTCACATGGACGTCTGACCGGCTGGCGGCGTATCTCACTAAGAAGAATAATTATGTGCGTGAAGCTGAGATGCGTCTCGGCGTGCTCATACCCGCTGCGATCATTGCGCCGTGCGGATTGATTGTGTACGGCTTCACGGCAGAGAAGAACTTGCACTGGATCGGCTACTTCGCTGGAGTGGCTATGTGCGATTGGGGCAGCTACTTCTTCTTCACGTTCACTCTCGCATATGCCATTGACAGCTGTAAGTCTAGCGTCTTGCCACCGCGACACTCGAGACTGACACCTTCTAGACACTGCGAACACCTCCGAGATGCTCATCGCCATGTGCGTCGGCAAGCAACTCATCAGCTTTGCCTTCGGGATTTACCTTCTCGACTGGGTGCTGGAGAGCGGCTATGTCGTCATCGTCGCCGGCGCCTTCACTGCTGTGCTCTTCGCGAACAATCTGATGGTCATCCCCTTTATGCTGTTCGGCAAGAGGATCAGGGCTTTCTACGCGCACACTTGGCTGGCCGCAATGCACAGGAGGACTGTCAAGCAGGTCATCACGCACTGAATCAAGCTCCTGGAGATGGGTACGCTTGCAGGGAACACAGTACGTATGGCTAACACAGTTGCTTCGAATACTGCCACGATCATGTGGTGCGATTGTCTGTCGATATTCACAAGAACTATGTGTACAATTCCTTCTCGTTCTTGATCTTCAAGAACGTCTCCTCGTCGTGTCCTGGGATGACCTGACCTCTTGTGGTCCGCACGAGCTGCTTGAGCCTCTGCGTCGAGCGGAACCAGGCAGGGTGATCTCTGGCTAGCCAGCCTTGCGGGATGCCGTCACGCCACTGGCAACATCGGTCAGCGTGGTGTCTTCAGGGTGCAGGTGATCTGACTTACGTTCTCGATCACGTGGCAGTGATCACTGATGAACAGATATGTGCCGCTATCCTGGAGGTTGATTTGCATCCCGATCAAGCCGTCTGTGTGTCCTGGCAGGTGATGTAGTGTTATGCCTTGACAGAAGTCGAAAGTCCGCTCATCGAAGGTCTTCCAGTTGCTGCGACATCGTCAGTCACGACACGACCAACATACACAGGGCTTGACCTACAGATCCAGCTTAAGATAGTGTTTCAGGTACACGCCTTTTCAGGGGGTCAGCAGGTGTCTCGATGCTGTAGAAGGGTTCACAAGGTTTCAGAGCGTCACTTGTAGCATCATCGCGTCTTGGAGAGCCCTTTCACGCATCCGTGCTTACCAACATCGGCGCCCGTAGCCACAGACCAAAAGGCAGACCTCAGCTCGAGATCATGCACCCAAATTTCCACGTCCTTCCTATCCAAAAACAAGTCCAGCCCACCGGCATGATCCAGATGCAAATGGCCAATAATGATCTTCTTCACATCCTCGACCTTATGTCCCGTCGCCTCGATCTGGGCATCCAATTCGTGCTTCGGCTCATATTGCACACGAGCGAAGATGTCCGAGACCTGTGGGCCCCAGACGGTAGGGTAGTCCTTGCCGCAGCCGGTCTCCCAGAGTATGAGGCCTTCGACGGGGTGCTCGATGAGGATGCAATACATGGGAAGTTTGCGGCGTTTATTAACGAAGGGTTTGTCTTCGGTGCTTTTGAGAGAGGTGTTGCCGCCGCGGACGACGAAGCCTTCATCAGCTTCTAGCCAGCCCACTTCGAGGACCTGGTTCATGGAGTCAACGAGTCTGTTCGCATTCTCGGAAGATGCCATTTGTGATTGTACTGTTGCTGCCACTCACCCACATCTTCGTGCCCTTTGGACACACGTTGGATACATGGTTCGGGACTGCTCCCTCATCGATCTGTTTCTGAATGGCTGACGACATGTTCGCTCTTTGATACAACGTTCTGTTGCCCGTGTCTGATTGTTGGTGGCCCTGATGGTTGGAACCAGGGTACGTCCCTCCATCCTGGTCACCATCTGACTTCTTAACTAGCCTTGCTCTCTCACTTCACGATGACGATGGCCGCAACCAAAATATGAGGGGCAAGGCGGGGATAAGAGCTTCAATGGCTTCGTTCTGGTGGAAGAGGGGAGCTTCGTCGCTGGCGCCTCCGCCTGCCCGCAGCATCGACAGTCCATCTCGTCTGGCCTCGGTGGTCTCTCGCGCTCTCAGCTGACAGCTGGCCTGGTCTTTCTTTCAGCTGCACCTCACCTCACCTTCTTAATACGGTCCAGCTCGGGGATTTGCCCGCCACCCTTCGGCGTCTTCCTCCATAGATATCAGCCCGAAACGGAAGCACCAGACGAACGTGTGGGTTAGCGCGCGATTGGCGTGGGGGATCTGGATGCCAAGTCCGCCGCTCTGGTGGTCATGACAGGTCGCAGGGCGTGGTCGGCCTGGTCGTTGGCGTTCCCTTGCAGCTCACCTTCCACAACGCGACAGTATCTGCAGGTGATCGCGTGGCCACCCGTTTCCTGGACCTCTGCCCCTGCTCATCTCCAGGCCCCAAAGCGGCCAACAGCATCCCTCGGACTGAAGAGGAACGACCGCACGTGTGTGGCGTGGCTCACCAGGCCAGGATCACAGGGTCTCGTGCCTTTCTCTTGCTAATGGATTGGCGCTCGACGCGTGCGGACGCTTCCTCCGATGCTGGTATGTGTGTCATTGCTGCACTGCTACATCCTCTTTCCATCCTCGTGCTCCACACGTCCAGCATGGCCCAAGGCGCAAAGGCGTGGGATGCGCGCTTGTTTTGGAGAGCTTAGACTCCACTAGCCGTAGGCGTCGAGGCCGATGGCTTCAGCACAGCCAGGTGACTCCAGCACCTCCTCTTCTGTTTTCATTATGTCTACATCCCGTGTCCTCGACAAGGTGCAGTCTCTGATCTCTTCTTTCGCATCTCATCCTCATGTGATTCAGCATGCGCCTCGTCTGCTCTCTGCGAACATCATTCACTTTCAGCGTTGATCTTCACTCGTTCTGCTGTTCTTGCAACATTCAATAGCGATCGTTTCTTTAGTTAATACTGCGGAATTAACTGTACAACAGGATTGCAAAAGTTAACAAAAGCCTGTTTGATTTTTGATCTGCTGTTCCAATTGCAACAAACAAAAGTTCAACAACATGTCTCCGATGATGCTCGACCACACCAGCAGTGACGATTCAACGAACAAACGCAAAACGTTCAGAGTAACGCCGGCAAAACCCAACGATGTTCGACGACTGGTGGATATTGAGTTCCACGCCTTCGAAAACGAACGAGTCAATCAAGTCCTATCATACCGAGACTACAAGAAGCCGGCCCATTTCGAGCGAAGTGTTAAGATATATCAACAAGCACTGAATAGCGCGCAATCCCCTCAGGCCAACAAGAGGCGTCTGTCCGGCAGCATGGTGCACGCGGAGTCAAACAGCGACACCGTCAGCTTCAGGAAAGTGGTGGACAGCAAGACCCAAGAACTCATCTCGTTTACGAAATACGAAATGAAACAATACACCGAGGACGAGCTCGCCAGCCCTGCAGATATCGGCCACGAGGGCGAACCAAAGATGAACAGAGACTGGTTCGCTCTCAACGAGCGACTTCGCCGCGAATACATCGGCACCCAGAAACATTGCTGTAAGCTCCTAACCACCCACTCATCACCTCCTCACAGTCCTAACACCACACCAAAGACATCGGCATGCTCGCCACCGAACCCCGCCACCAACACAACGGCGCCGGCACCCTGCTCCTCGAACAAGTCCTCGCCGAAGCCGACGATGCCGGCGTCGAAACCTACCTCGAAGCTACCGATACTGCGAAACCCTTTTACGAACGACATGGGTTTGAGATCATCACGGAGTTGAGGTTTGATCCGGCGGGGTATGGGGTCAAGGGTCTTGGGGTTGAGAGGCAGACCGTGATGGTGAGGGGCGCGTTGGGACGGACTGGGGAGAGAGGCTCGGCGAGGGGGTGGGAGGATGCAGTGAAGACGAAGCGGGAATGACGATGACGTTGACGGGAGCGAATGATTCTTGATCACCTGGACTGGTCGCATGAGCAAGGCGTTTTTGCCGGATTGGGCGGTAATCTGAATATTTTGCGGTGGAGAAAGAAAGTGATACCTTGGGATACTCGTTGCCGACAGCAATGGCGCGTACGCAATCAGAGCGTTACTATGTGGCATTGACTGCAATAGCTGTATCGTACACTGTTTGTTCAACCGACCATGCGCTTGAGAGAACCTCAGAGGTCACAGTCGCTCAAGGCTCGTTATGCACTCAAGATGTCGAAGCTAGGAGGCTGAGACATGAAGAGCTAGGGATTCCAAAGCCAGGTCAGACAAGCACAAGTCGGCGTTGAGTCGTGTTTCTAGCCATGAATGGGATGGCTCAGAAGGAGACGCTGGGGGTCATCTCATCGTCGTATGCGAGTCAGGACATGTGGCCGGGCAGCAGCGCCCTCCAGCGCGCTCATCTGTATGCCGTTGACTCGACTATCACTCCAGGCGGTGGTCGGCAGCTGGAGAGGTCCAGAACCGATAGACAAGGCCGCCTTTGCCGGAAGGTGAATGTCCAGGATGAGGCCTTCGGTCAATGCGGCAGAAACCATCTTCCGGGACGTCGAGTGGCTCACCTCAGCATGCGAAGGCGCATAGGCAAGACAAACAGCGCGAAAGGCCATCCCGTTCGATAGTTTGACATCGATGAGAAGGAGCCGAGAGTGAGTGGGTGGTGAAGTCGGAGCGCTCTCCTCAATGCACCTCACCCCACGTCTAGCGAACCTCACTCTATCAAGTTACACCAGACTCTCGTGTCGCGAAAGCTCAATAAGTTGTAGAGCCTTAAAAAGGGTCTAGATACTTCATCCATAACCAAACCGGATATGCCCATAGAACTCTTGAGCTCGCGGAGAGGGCTGGAGTGAATATCCGCTGTTGTACATTTACTTTGCCGCTCGGGAGGTCAGATCCCCAAATATGTCCTCCTCTGCACTTGCATACCTGTTTGAACTTTGCCATACATCCTTGCCATCAACGAACCGCTCATCGTTCGCCGCCCAACCGCCTCTGCTGTACCTCCGTCAATGCTCTGCTTCCGCTCACGAATGCCACCGTGCCCACCAACGCCGCCACCGGCAGCGTTTGGAACAGGTTCCAGCTGAGATAGTACATGAAGAAGACGCCCTCCATCGCTACGATGCTGCCGAAGAACAGGCCATGAGCGGCAGGGTTTGCGCCAAACGCCTTTCCAGCTTGGTCGGCGTTACCACCCAGGAACAGCCATGCACCGAGTAGCACAGGCAGAGTCGCCAGGACTGCTAGAGTGAAGACGAGACTGATGATCTTCGGGGGCGACTTGGGCCCGTCTTGGAATATGTGGTGGATTTCGGGCTTGCTGGTGTATCGCTCAGCTGGGGATGGGGCAGATGGAGGTGCACTGGCATCCGTCTCGACGTTGAGAGAGAATGCTTGCTGATCGAATGGTGTCGAGGATCCAAAGGAAGCCAGGATAATCGACGCTTGGAGCGGCTTGGAGCTGGTCAACAGCTGGTATGGCAGGTCCTTCTGCGTCTGGTCATATCCTTTAGCACTTCGTTGTTTTCATTATACTGCAGATACACACCACATCGACTTTTGCCTTCCCATTCTCCTTCACGCTGAGCACGAATGACTCTTGTAGACCGGTCTCTGGGTCATTTAGGGTCAAAAACGCCTGGTGTGGTCTTGCTCCAGACTTTCCTTCTTTTGTCGTCAAGGTTATCTTGAGAGTATCCGTCGCCGAGAGCGTTACAGGTTTCGAGAGAGGCGAAGTGGGAGAGAGCCTGTGACAGTCAGATTGAAGTCTTCCAAAGTATCGCCTGTGCTGGTATACTTCTCTTTCGCACCTCCTCCAACGCCAGACCCCTTCCCTTGAATGGTGAGCGTAGCATCGTCAAATGTCCATGCAGATGCAGCGAGCGCAACAGTCGTCAAGCAGGAGAAGAGGGCGAACACGCCCTGAGCGACTCTCATCTTGGGCTATGTCGAGCGTTGTGCAATCGAGGTAGAGCAGTGTTGACACCGAGTACATTCACGGACATCATGCCACGAAGCGCCATCCCAAAAAGGGAATTAAAGCTTGGCGCAATTCACTTGCAGGCGCGTGATAATGAGCGCGAAACCTCACTTCACGCATTCACACACCTTTGTATGCCCGCATTCTCTATCGAACCTCTCCAAACCGCATGTGGAAGGATGCGCTTGTGATATCAGGTGCTCAACACCATCTGGCTGCTGACCTTCCCTCTGCGTCGCCTCATCACGTGGTCGCTAAGGCTAGTCCAGATTTGGAAAGAGCTATGATGTTTGCGCGCTTTCCTCCTCTTTCCTGAGTCCTTATTCCTTCCCAGCTCGAGGGTCGTCTGCCTGGCCTTGCTCTCCATCATCACAATCCATCGTGGACTGGGCTCTGCAAATACTTTCGACGACGCATGTGAAAGACCTCCCCTGCGTGGCCCCCTCCGTTGATGCCTACGAATCGCGTTCCCGCCGCACGACGAGTGCGTTTGAAAAACTCACCAGGACCCGGAGTCAACCTCACCTCACGCTACGATCAATCCGTCATCGCTATCACATGATGTCTGCACCCGAGGAGCCAATGGTGTCCGTGTTTCACTTTACCTCCCGCATATCGAGCGCCAAGATTCGCAAATATAAAATTGCCACCGAGAAGGGCATGGGTGGCCGGACGCCGACACCTGGGCCCTCTAACAACACCACCACTCCGTCTCCAGGACTCGGACCGGCGACCATGGCGCCAAAGAAGTCTTCCAAGATGGATCCACCACCGCCGGCCAAGAAGCGCAGAGTCACCCTCACTGTTCGCCAGCCTAGCCAGAGCCCAGATACCATTGCCGTTGCCGTTGCCAGACCTACCAGATCATCCGCTCAGAATGTCCGCTACTTGGACGATGTCATGGACGTTGATGATGAGGAGGACGGAGAAGGAGAAGTCACTGACACAGCGAGACTCCAGGCACCTCAAGCATCCCCGGCAGCGTCTTCAGACCTGTCCTCCCTTTCGTCACTTCAGCCGTTAGAAGGGGAGCCCACGCCAGCTCCACCGCCGGCAAGAAGGCAGAGCAGGGCTGCCATTGACTACGGCGCAGCATTTCTCAGCTACTACACCACGGGTCATGACGACGATGAGAAAGAAGCAGAAGCAGATGGAGAAGGTGTCGAGCGAGAAGTGCCCACGCCCGCACCCCCTAACCAACCAGTGACTGCCAGAGTAGCAGCACCGCCAGCCCAACCACCAAGTCAAGCACAAGCACAGCTACCTGTCAACGCTCCTCCACGAGCTGCTCCCCCACTGCAGGTTCCACAGATGACCACGATTTTCAGACACCACACCGGCCCACCTGGTCCCTACCCAACCTCCGCAAAGGATCCCGAGGAGCGTCGGCCACCTCCCCGCGCCGTTCAGCAAATCCCACTTCCGCCGCCGACCGTCTACCTGATGGACTCACGTCGCAGGAATGCTGGTCCAAGGCCGTCACCAACGGAAGCTAGCCTCGCCAGAGTAGTCGATGAGCTGGGTTATCATCTGACAATCTTCAACGGGGTGCCGCCGCCAGTCCGCAGGGCTCCAAGTCCGCCACCTACTCAATACACTTCCCCTTATGCGAACACCACCAACACAGGGAACACCGGCAATGCAGTCAACACCGGCAACGTAGCTCATACCGACAACGCAGCCAACGCAGTCAACTCTGCCAATCCTGCCAATCCTGCCAACACTGCCAATGTAGTCAATGCAGCCAACACCGCCAACACGGCCACGAACGATAACAAGTCGGCAGCATCTTCTGCCGTTTCGAGCAATGGTCAGAAGCGCAAGCTGGTTGAAAATCTACTTGCAGCTTTCGGTGACATTGAGGATGATGAGGAGGATGGCGGTAGCAACGATGACACCACCGCCGGCACAGCACAGGTCCCCGAGGCTCCGAACAACAGCGAAGCTCCAGTCGCCAACAGGGACGCACCTGCCACCAACGGCGAAGCTGCCACCAACGGCGAAGCTGCCGCCATCAACAAGATTCCCGACAATACTCATGCTGCTGAGTCCGAGGCGCGTCCAAACGACGTATTCTTGCCGGCTGGAGGCCGTGTCGATCAATCACTCATTCACGGCATCCAATTCATCCAGACTGTCTTGAGGAAATGGGCCTTCGAACGTCTCAGCCAGCAGTACGCTCGTCACTACTACGAAGCGCACCATCTGGCGCAGATAGAGGCCGCGAATCGTAGGCGTGGACCTGGCCGCCCACGTAAGTTTGAGGAAGCTGAAGAGCAGCGCAACCTTCCTGGGCCTTCTGTTCACATGGAGCTTGCCAACACGGAAGAAGGTCGTACCATCGAGCTTTTTCAAGAGATCATAGAGGCAGGGCTCGTGCGGGTCAATGCCAGCCTGCCGGAGGCTCTATCACGTCCCTTGCGGGTCGTCTACACTCAACTCGACCAGCTCATCAACAAGTCGAGTTCTGGGCAAGAGCCATGGCGTTTGGTGTCCTATGGCGCGCAGATCTCAGCCCACAACGAGATGCTTGAGCAGGTCAGAGAGCACGCTCAACGCGCTGCAGCAGAGACTGAGCGTCGGCGCGCCACTCATTCACGTTACACAGGGCGGACGGCCCAGCGCGGGGCACGGACCGGCTTTCAAGGACAGCTGGGCGCTCCGAGCGGTCGACCGGCGCAGCAGAATATTCAGCAGCCGCATCCCTCGAGCTACCAAGCAAGCAATCCGACACCTCTCCCGTCTCAGGCTGTCACCGGTGCTCCAAACTCGTACAGTGCTGGTCCGAACGGCACTACACGCAACTCCAATCAGCCAGGCACTGGTAACGTCCCGCTACCGGACAATCCATCTACGTACATGCGCAACAACGATCCTCGCTTCTGGGGCCAAGGAGATCCTGGGTCATTCAACGCGCCTTCGGCTTTCGCACCACCAAACAATCCAGCTGCAAGTTCCTCTCAAACCAATGGCGCTCGCGCAGCTGGGTCTGAAATCGACAGGTCGAACCTTGCAAGGAACTTGCTCTCGCGATCCGGTCAGACGATGAACTTCTCGTTCCCTACCAACACGGCTGGCTCAGGTCTGCCGAATCGTGGTCCTATGGCTCAGCCGTCATCCCCACTCAACCCATTTGCGAACAGTCCACCGCGCGCACCCAATGGGTTTGGCGCTGGCTCTCCATCAAACACACCTGCGAACGGTCCGCCACGCGCAGTCAATGGCACCGGTGCTGGGTCGCCACCGCAAGCTACCACGCCAACACCAAGCGCACCACCCATGAGTCGTGTACCTTCCGACACCATCGAAGTGGCGTCAAGGCCATCTGGCCGTCGCTCAACCAGGTCATCACCGAACGAGGCCGTACCAGACGTTCCCACTGCGATTGGCAGCTTCCGCTCCTTCACAGCCGACGGTCAGCCATCGCGCCCATCGAGTGCTGCACCAGTCAACAACTCCAACCCGACGCCCTCCCCGACACCAAGACCGTCTTCTGTTTCAACGAACGCCGGTCACGCTGCTGCTGACGCCAACAACGTTCCGGCACCCGTTAAGAAGTCCGCAGCAACCACCAAGAAATCTGCGCCAGACTCTTCGGCATCGGGATAGAATCCCGCACGCTCGAAGAACAAAGGCACCGCTGCGTCTCGCAGACGTGGCACGACTCGACCTTTCTCTACTTACACCGGCGTCATCGTCCTCACGGACTAGAGCGCTTCTTCTGTTCCACTATGTTCTCCGCATGCTCTAGCGACACTGGTTCTTCGATCATGGGTTTAGCGAGGAGTTAGGAACCGTCTAGGAAGAAAGACGTGGAGGGAGATTGTGCATTGACCTTGTTACAGTAGAATTATTGCTTGTTCAGCGTTGCTTTTTTGCATGAGCTCATGCTGTCTTGCGGTTGCAGGTATAGCAGGGGTGGTTGATCGTGGTCGGAGAGTATGCTACTCGCTCGCTCGCAGAGCTTGGTCGCAATTATCTTGTGGTATAGATAGGAAAAGGCTTCGTAGTGGTAACATGGAAATACACGATCGTTGCAATAAACATGCTCTCCTTCTTTTGTACTCCGAGTTCGATAGTTGGGAGGTTGGTTGCATGTGAAGTTGATCTTCGGCGTTGGCGTTGAAGCAAGCCCAACTTCACCTCCAAGCTATCTCGTGTCTAAAAGTCAACCACACGCCTTGATCTGCCTCGCACACATCTTACCGTAGATGAAACCGCCGCCCGCGCTGCTAAGGCCACCGCAATGGCGGAGCAGCGTATACCAGACGCTCCGCTACAGCAGCACACAACCACCACCACAGCCGCAACCCTACAAACCAGCCAGACCACCACCGACTCCCCAGCAACAACCTGATCTACCTCCCCCGAAACGAAACTTACTATCGCGTCTATTTGGCCGAAAGGACCCACCAGTCGAAGAACCAGCCGAAGAACCCGCCGTCCCAGAGCCGCCAGACCCAGCCAGGGGCATGCAAGCTTCGGAAAGGGTGGTGAGGGAGGGCGTGCTGGATCCAAGATACAAGGAGTATGCAACAAAGTATACACGGCTGATTGTGGCGATGCCGGTTGCTCTTTACTTGAGCTATGAGTTGTATAGGCGGAGGTTTTATGGGGTGGAGCAGAAGACGCCTACCGTGAAGGCGAAGAAGACGAAGACGGAGGAAGAAAGGGAGGCGGAGGGAGGATGAGATGCGGGATCTGTTGCACGGAAGAACACGTTTATAAGGATGGATGGAGCAGCCTGCGCCTGGCTGAAATGCAGAAATCAACAGAGGCAAAACATGGAGAAAGCGCTCGTAACGCCGAAGCCGAAATCACCACGCAGAGTGTCCACCATCGATCCTCAGATCAGCCGCGGTCATGAAGCTGCTCGCATCGCTGATCAAAAACACCGCCGCGCCTCTATACTGCTGCGGCACGCTCAGCTGTCCCAGCATATTCTGCGTCGGCCAATCTCTCCGCCTCTCCGGATATTTCTGGAACAACTCCTCGACCATGGCTGTGACGATGTAGCCCGGCGAGATTGTGTTGACTCGGATGCCGTGTGTGCCCCATTCCGAGGCGAGATTTCGGGCGAGCTGGATGACGCCGGCTTTGCTTGCATTGTAGGCGGGGCAGATGAGGCCCTACATGCCACGGGTTAGCTGGAGCAACGACGCAGAAGGTTGGGGAAACGCACCTTGTTCGCTACGGTACCGCTCATCGACGCAATCATCGCTATGCTGCCACCACGGCCCCACCGGATCATCTCTTTGGCCACAGCCTGCGCCGTCATGAACACGCCGGTGACATTCACCTACGATCTGGTCAGCACGCAGCTCCTCAAGCCTCCTTCAGGGGTGACTCACCTCAAACATCGTATTCGCATCCTTCGCGGTGTACTCCAACGCAGGCGTCTCCTGCTGAATCCCGGCCGCCGCAATCAACCCATCCAGTTTCCCCTGGCTCTCTGAAATACTCCGTACCACCTCATTCAGGCCCGGCACGTCCCTCACATCAATCTGCCGATAATGCAGCGTCGTGCCCAACTCTTCCGCCGCCTTCTTCTGCACACGATAGAAATCCTTACTCGGCTCTTCCAATCGATCAAGCGCGTACACTGTAGCTCCGGCCTCGAGCAATGCTTCTGCTTGGACGAGCCCGAGCCCCCGCGCTGCGCCGGTTACAAGGACGACTTTATCGTTGAGGTTGAATTCAGGCAGGCGTTTGGTGGTGCCGAGGAAGGAGCCGGATTTGACGTTGTCTTTGAGGGCGGTTGCTTCTTCGCTTGGAGGATGGGGCGGTGAGCGGTCGACGACGGGGGGGTTGCCGAGTGGTGGGTTGCGGTGGTCGTGGGATTGGAGGCGGGTTTGGAAGGAGGGGAGGAGTGCTCGACTGCTGGGGACGAGGGAAGAGCGGACGTAGCGGGAGGCTGTGGTGCGGAGGAGGGAGGTTGTGGGAGGCATGGTGGAGGGATTGATGGAGTAGTGGCGTGCTTGACTACTCCTACTTCTCAGCGACGACACCCGTAGCTTAGTAGTGTCTCAATGCACCGTTTCTCCCTCGAAAGGTATCTCACTGTCTAGGAAGCGCGATGCGGTATGGTATAGCAGAAGCAATCGAAGGAGAAGACAAAAAGTTCGCAGAGAAAACCTCCACGGCGCGCCACGCCCTCACCCACCTTAATGGCTTTCCACTGAAGCACTCGCAACGCCATCATGATCTCGAAGAGGTAACGCGGCGAGGTTTCGTGCCATGTGAGAGTTGCATGTGGTTCCTGGTGGGGAAGCTGCACGGTGGGGAGAGCTACCTTGTTCGAGCATCATGTGAATGTGAATGGCCGGGATACTGGATCAGGCAGGTCCGGTAAGAGGGGAGAACATGCGCACAGAGGTGGTCTGCTTAACCGCTGGTTCTCGCTCACGGGCAACCTGACGCCAGTCAAGTGGTCGGGAGGAAGGCATAGTTGAACATCCATCAGATGTCATATTTCAATTCTATCAGTCTATTCAGCTATAGTACAAGCCGTGGTGTCATCATCTCATTCACGGCACGTTCCCATCAACGAGCACCTGCCCATCATAAGTGCTTCCATACCCGCCGACGAAGTAGTCCGAGTCCTGCTTGGAAGGTGCAGGCGGCTGTGGCCAGTCATCGAGGCATACAGCATTGCCAGTGAGCGTGAAGTTCGCCGTGGCCAAAGGCTGACTGTCGATCATGAGCGAATAGTCGCCGGGGTAAAGCCATTTGCTGCCTGTCTCATCCACGCGTCCAAGACTGCCGAGCGTCATCTTCAAGCTTGCGGTTGAGGACGAACCGCCGGTAATACCGTGGAGGCGGGTGTAGGCGACAAGACGCTTCTTTGGGCGAGGAGCTGGACCATGCGAGCCAGCGAGGAAGCCGAGGGTGACGTAGTCACTTGTGGTGCTCCCAGTGTTTCGCACATTGACGTTGATGGTGCTGAAGGGACACTTGTCTTTGTAGTGCTCTGTGCAGTTGCTCATCAGATCGGAGATGGCGAAGGTGCTGCCGGGCGACTGGATGGAGGCCGAGAAAGTGGTGTAGTGCAGCCCAGACCCGAACTCGTAGATGGGCGTGCCGGTGTACCATTGGTAGGTCCTGCCAGGCGAGCCACTACTGCTGTTTGGGCGCAAGCTCATGTCCGTCATGGGGATGAGGGAGATGTAGTCCGCTGGGTACTGCGTCGTCGGCAAACGTCCGGCTGGTGCGTTTTTGCCAGTGATAGTGTCGACGAGAGCTTCGCCGCCGCTCTGGCCTGGGTAGCCGCCCCAGATTAATGCGGAAATGTTGGGGTTGTTCGCGATAGGTGAGCTGTCGAGCTGTCCGCCACCCATTTGCATGACAACCATTGGCTTGCCGTAGCCAGCGAGCTGGCCGATCATATCAAGCTGAGCGCCAGTCCAGGCAATGCTGGTCCTGTCGTTCCCTTCGGATTCGACGCTGTTGTCGATGCCCCCCGCGTATATGATGACGTCGGCTTTGGGTGCCCAGTTCCAGACCGGGAGCCATGAGTCGGTGGTCGGATCGCCTTGGCCGCCTGGTACGCTGGCTGTGTAGACCTTCGCGCCAGTCTGATTGAGCGCCCAGGTAGGCGAGTGGAGGTACGGAGCCACTCCTGCGTAGTTGCCTTGCATCTGCGTGGTAGCGTCTGCCCAGCCGCCGACGATCAAGACAGTCATGTTGCTTGTGATCTGCATTGGCAGGGTGCCATCATTCTTCAGGAGAGTGATGCCTTCCGCTGCGGCTTTGTAAGCCAATCTCTGCGAAGAGTTGGTGTTGACGTCCGCGCCGGATAGGCTGCGGTAAGGCACTCTGTCGCCATCGAAGTAGCCAAGGCGAATGAGGGCAGAGTACTGACGGATCAGCGCTTGATCTAAAGTAGACTCAGTGATCAAACCCTCCTGGAGAGCCGATGGCAAATGGTGCTGGTAGACGGTCCCGCAGTTCAGATCAGTGCCGGCGTTCAATGCAGCCGCGACACTGGCCTCGCGGGTCGATCGGTAGTTGTGAGGCATGAAGATGTTCTGAATCGAGTCGCAGTCGCTCGTGACATACTGCTGCTCGTTCGTCCAGCCCCAGTGTTCCCTCAAAATCGTTTGCAGCAAGTATGGGTCGGCACACGTCGGTACACCATTCAGTGCATTGTATGAGCACATGAATGAGCCAACGTTCGAGTCCCTTGCACAGCTCTGGAATGGAGGCATGTAGTACTCCGCCAGATCTTGAGAATTCACGTGGGCGTCCCACTGGTATCTGAAGTTGCCGTTCCAGCTCTCCATGTCGTAGGCCACAAAGTGTTTGCAGGTAGCCACTACCCGCTTGTACTTAGGGTTCAAACCACCTTGCAACCCGAGGATCAAGGAATGAACGTAGCTGGAAAGGTGGAAGGGGTCCTCGCCGGGGGTTTCTTGTCCTCTGCCCCATCTTGGATCTTTAAAGGGGTTAATATTTGGCGTCCAGTAGTCCAGGCCAGCCCTGTCATCGTTGTTGAATGCTCGAGATTCGGTACTGATGACCGTCGCAACGTCCTGGATCAGCTGGTCGTCGAAGGCCGCGCCCATCAGGATGGGCTGTGGGAAGGAGGTCGCGACACTGAATGGCCCATGATCCGAGAAGTTGACACCGGGGCTCTCTGCAATCCCGTGCAAAGCTTCCTGCCACCAGGTGTATGCTGGGAGTCCTAACCGCGGAACTCCAGGGCTGACATGGCCAGTGTTGTTGAGCTTCTCGTCGACAGTGAAGGCGGCGATGAGCGCTCTCGCTCTAGTGAGCGGATCTTGGGACAGATCGCAGACTGTGTTGTTCCTCAAAGGTCCTTGTGAGCAGTCCGGAAACCCACGGCCTGTCAGCTGCGCGGCCCCAAGCCCTGCAACGGCAAGCAGAACAGCTCCAGTAGTCGAAGGCATGATGGCTGGCGGAAAGAAAGAGCATCAGCACTGGACAGACTTACATAGCACTTTTATTTGTTGTTATGCATTTTTCCGGGCATAAACTTCATGACGATGCCAATCACTTGCCTGTGTCGATCAGCAGTTGGCTCGGTGGGTCAGGCACATAACCGACCAGGCCGACGTCGTCTCCAGTGGAACTTCTTGCTGGACAAGACATCGTCTTACCCTCGATGACGAAGCACGACGGGGTTGTTCGTAGGACGACCCATCAAAGAACAGAGTACCAGGCGGTGCTTCCCCCGACAAGGTGACGTTGAAGTTCGGATGGATCGGCAGCCTCCGCACCGCCCTCTTCTCCAGCTGGGGACATCCACACGTGCTTCTTTCGATGCGGCACTTCAGCTCAGCTTCAACGGCCACGGAGATGTCAGCTAGGGCACAGCTAGGGGTCGCTCAACGCAACGCAGACACCACGACTGTTGTACCTCCCGTCCCAGCTGCCATCCGTCTCTGTGCCGTGAGCCGTGCCGGAGACAAGCTCCTGGTTGGAAATCTTGAGACATCAGGCAAAATGCAATGCCGTACAAGCCCCACAGCGAAAAAGCTTGTGACTGACGGGTCTGGAGAACCCTGCACTTCATGCGACTGCATTTACCCGGCCACGCTTACAGAGTGCAGTCCAATCAAGCAGACTCTACGAGGTCCAAGTCTCCGGATCTGCTCGCGACATGGTATGGGTTGGGACCGCTCCACCTGGTCGTGCATACGGATTCTCGAGCGGGCTCCCAAGACTGTTGGTTGCAACGGGATACGGCACATGTCACGAGCTGTGAAGTCTTTGTCCAGACGCTGAGCTGGCGGACGAGAAGGGTCCCCCAATGCGAGCTGAGACGTTGTCAGTGTGCCGTGCTGCGTGCACGATATCTGGCCTGTCTGGACTATCTTGTAAGTGCTGGCGAAGCTTGAAAGCAGCCGGTCACGACGCATCGCCTTCGGCGCGCACCATCCAAACATCAGTGCAGCTTGGAACAAGGTATCCAGAAGGCGGAGACCTTTGCGATGCTGACCTCTGGCTGTTAGCATGGAGGAGCTGCTGCGAAATGCCTAAGTGCCTTTCTCACAGTGCCACGAGCACAGCAGGACTTTTGCAACTATACTGCCAGGACTGCCATCCATTTTGACAAAATACATGGAGGCTGGTTCTCCGTTGATGCGCTGCAGGGCAAACGACCAGCAGGATCTGCTGTGGCCGACAGCGGCTAGCTAGACCTAGCTCTCTACCACGCCTGGCCCGTCCTCAAAGCGCATGGGTTGCGACGCTTTAGCCGGTAAGAGATAGAATCCCATTCCATTGGCTCAATCTCACTGCCTATCAAACGAATTAGCCAGCAGACGCGATGGTACAGATCGCATGTTATAACACCCAAGCTTCGCACATTCCCCACGTCCCAAGGTCCCAAGACTACCGTCTCTTCTTTCGACCCACAGCCAAGAACATCTCTCGTTGGCCAGTGAAGCAAGGCAAACACCATGGCGCCCACGGGAACAGCCTCGCAGTTCGACCAGGCTGCCTTGGAGCGCCGTTTGGCGCTTCAGGGTAAGGCTGGTCCTGCGGCGTTGGTGCAGAATGCACGAGTGTTTGGGATTGCGTGCTTTGCGTGTCTGGGTGGACTGTTGTATGGGTACAACCAGGGCGTCTTTTCGGGCGTGCTGGTTATGCCGGCTTTCGATGAGCGTACGATGATGTCGAGCTTGTAAATTTGGTTCACTTGCTGACTATGATACTAGATATGGGAGTATGGACAGACAACGGGTCGAAGAAAGGCTGGCTCACCTCTATCCTCGAACTTGGAGCTTGGATCGGTACACTCTACTCTGGCTTCCTGGCTGAGATCATCTCACGAAAGTACTGCATTCTGTTGAACACCGGCATCTTCATCATCGGAGTCGTAATCCAGACTACAGCCGTAACGTCCTCCGCGCACAGCTCCATTCTCGGCGGTCGGTTCATCACTGGTATGGGTGTCGGCAGTCTGTCCATGACTGTACCAATGTACAACGCTGAAGTCGCACCACCTGAAGTCCGCGGTGCTCTTGTTGGTCTCCAACAGCTTGCCATCACGACCGGTATCATGATTAGTTTCTGGATCGACTATGGCACTCAATACATCGGTGGCACCGGCGACGGACAAACCGACGCAGCTTGGTTGGTCCCATTGTGCCTCCAGCTGGCTCCCGCTCTCTTGCTCGGCGGCGGAATTATGTTCATGCCCTTCTCTCCCAGGTGGCTCGTCCACCACGGCCGAGAGGAAGAAGCGCGCAGAACCCTCGCCAGACTCCGAGGCCTTTCCACCGACAGTGAGCTTATCGAACTAGAGTTCACCGAAATCAAGGCACAGTCTCTCTTCGAAAAGCGCACCACCGCCGAGCACTTTCCACACCTCGCAGACGGCTCCGCCAGCTCGACCATCAAGCTCCAGTTCGTCGCCATCGGCTCCCTCTTCAAGACCCGTCCAATGTTCCGCCGTGTCGTCCTCGCCACCGTCACCATGTTCTTCCAGCAGTGGACCGGAATCAACGCCGTGCTATACTACGCTCCTACTATCTTCAGCCAGCTTGGTCTCAGCGGCAACACCACCTCCCTTCTCGCCACCGGCGTCGTCGGTATCGCCATGTGGCTCGCCACCATCCCCGCCGTCATGTACGTCGACAAGCTCGGTCGCAAGCCGATTCTGATCGTTGGTGCCATTGGGATGGCGACGTGCCACATCATCATCTCCGTCATCTTCGCCAAGAACGAGAATCAGTGGGACACCCACTCTGCTGCTGGCTGGGCGGCCGTCGCCATGGTTTGGCTTTTTGTCGTGCACTTTGGATACTCCTGGGGACCTTGTGCGTGGATCATCATCTCGGAGATCTGGCCCATCTCGCAACGTCCGTACGGCATTGCGCTCGGTGCCAGCAGTAACTGGATGAATAACGTGAGACTCTTTCTGTCGCATAACAAGAGTGCCCAGCTAATGTCGTCCTAGTTCATCGTCGGCCAAGTCACAGTCGACATGCTCGACTCCATGAAATACGGCACCTACATCTTCTTCGGCCTCCTCACTTATGGTGGCGCTGCGTTCATCTACTTCTTCTTCCCGGAGACCAAGAACCTCTCCCGTACGTCTCTCTTGAGCACCACGCTCTTCTTGCACCAACATCAAAACACTTGCTGACAATTTCTCAACAGTCGAGGAGATGGACATCCTCTTCGGCTCCGTTGGTGCCGCGCAGGCTGATGCCGAGCGTATGCGTGAGATCAACAGGGAGGTTGGGCTTGAGGATGCTGTGCGTGGCAACAGCGTTAACTACGATGAGAAGCCGACGTTGGAGGAGAAGCAGAGGGATGCTAGGGATGGTGACAGTGACTAGATCGGACAACACAAGGCACAACAGATGGTCTCGCTACTTGCGATGTCAATCAGATGAGTGTAGACAGTCACACGCAATGGCAATGTCGTTCCAGACAGCACTTTACTCTCACATGAGCGTTTCCCACCCCAAGCTGAAGCGTACAATGGGTTGGCATCAGCTGATCTTCGTTAGTGTTCCACTTTCTTGGTGAATTCGAAGAGCTCTTGTTACCTCACATCATTCATGGAGTCGTCGCAGAACAGTAGGAGCACTGAGGCGCTATTCACGCTTGGTTTCCACGGAACGCTGTAACTTGCTCAATCGACCGCAATCTCGACGCCAAGTCGACCATAACGGCTCAACAGGAGGACAAGAGCAATTTACCAGAAGAACAAAGCGGCCAGCGACCTTGATGGGCTCACCTGAACAAGAGACTGCCTCTTCTCTCACCACAGCCAACATTGTTAAACTATCGATTGACTGTATCGATAATCCAATTACCCCATTGATTCATCCGAGGACTATCCAGCATGTGCAACGGCCAGTCTACACGAACGAGCGAAGGCGGCGTCATTGCCATCCTCAAAGCACCCTCAACAAAATCGAGGCCACCCTTGCACCGAGAATGGTCGATGCGGTTACAAGGCGACCACAGTACGGGAGGAACATCCGCATGCATCGACGGCTTTGACGAAGGTGTCGACGGTTCTCCGATTAATGGCCACCTTGTCATCCAGTAGGTTCATCAATCGATCACCATCGTTTCATGAATTGCAATCGAGATATTTGCTGACCAAACTCACAGTCGCGACGGAGACCTGCGCTCCCTCCCATCTTCAACTGAGGAAAGCTCAATACTGCATCGAATCACTTTGCCGAAGAGCTTTAAGGCCGGTACACCTTTCCTCCTGCACTCGAAGCTCGATCTCGGTGTCGGTGGCGATGGGATTATCGGACGGAGAGTGTCGCTGCTGACTGGCGGTGGGGTGTTGGGGGAGGGGATTGCTGGGTTTAATTGAGAACTTGTGTTCGGTGGCAACCTCATCTAGGCCAGTCAAACGATTCTTGCGAGGAAGGCATGGGTCGGCAAGGGTGTTCGGTGCTCCTGTATGTTGGTATTATGATAAGTTCAATCATCAGACTTGTTGGTCGAGCTTCGTAGCGGTGTTGGAAGACTGCGGAACAGACTGCAAAGCTGTCGATGGCGTTGAAGAAACACGTTTCTCACTCCTCTTGTTTGTATTGTTGTCATCCTTTCTTGTAATGTACTGTGGTATGGTAGTACTGATTCTTAGCTTAAGTGCAAGCCTGGGTTCATGTGATCGACTCAGCCTCCACCATGCGGACGTCGTCCGTTGAGCTGCGGTCCAAGACTCTGCTCAGCCCTCTCGCGATCTTCAAAATGAAAAGAAAGACAATATTCGTCTCACAGCTGTAATGGGGAAGAGTAGAAACAAGAATATCTACCGCTAAAACCAACGTCAACGTCTCTAACCCGCCCTCAATATGGCAAATAACCCAGCTTCCACGATTACATCAGAGACAAACGCCCTCCTCAAGGAGCACAGCACCCAGCAACCAACAACAATCACCGGCAAACCCCTCAAATACCACCACGACAACTCCGTCGGCATAATGAACAGCGAAAGCGGAGGTTTCACAGGCGGCCCACCCAACCTCTTACCACCAGCGTTCACAGACGACAGCCTCGTCCGCATTCCCATCAGGATGAGCGATATCTACGGCACCGAAGTTCAAGTGCCGAAGAAGAAGAACGGCTTCTTTCGCAGGAGATCTAGTGTGGCCGACGAGATAAAGGTAGTAATGATGTCGCGGGGCGAGTATTTGAAGTATTGGGTGAAGGGGGAGGATGGGAAGTTCGCGGGTTTGGTGGTAGAGCCTGTGGAAGGAAGGCAGATGTGGTTTGAAAAACAACTTCAGTTGAACCAGAAGTGGGTCGAGGAGGACCCGTCGTTAGGGAAGCGTAGGTAGAGCTACTGAAGCAGTCAACGCACGCCCTGTACGTGCCTGTGCTCACAAGGTCTACACGATGTCTCGCTTTTGGAGATATGGCGTGTGCTAGCTGCCACTCCGTGCGGCCAAAACGAGGTCCCACTGGACTGGTTGCAGGTGGCCTTAAGTCAGACTGACCTCAAGCGCATTCTGCGGAGCGAAAGTCCAGTAGATGAACAGCGGACAGAACGTCTCAGGCCCTCCTTCGTCACCGCTTGAGCCGTGGACACTGGATACCCTTAGCGCATTGGCGCAATGGGCGCCCTGAAGCAGCCAGACATCCAATTCTGTCTGCACACTGGGTTGACGTCGCGGTCAAAGGGTGTGGTGGTAAGACCATCTTCCGTGCCATTCGCCTGTTCCGTGGTAGCCTGCGTTCCGGCCATCGAAGCTCTTTGTCATCACCTTGCAATCGCCTGCAATTTCATCGCCACGGAGCAGGTTGGAAATTCGGATTAGTGGTGATTTTGAGCGCAGCGTCTTGCCGCAAGCGTTGGACCAAAGCCGGCAACACTTCTTCCAGCGACAAGGCGCATCTGAGTCCCTCCTTGCCAGTCCCGTTTGCAGGAACATCTTCCATGAACAGCTCCTCCCCTCTCACGCCTCCCATGTTTACAATGGCGATTGGCATTTTCTCCTCCTTGGCCTTCTTTGCCAAACGCCAGGCAGAATAGGTGGCGAGCGAGGATCCAAGTACCAACATGCGATCAGCGCTATCGATCGCCGACTCTACTGCGAGTTTGACCGGGTTCGTGATCGACTCTCCAAACATGATAACAGCTGGCTTCAGTACACCAGCCGTCGATGTACGAGACCACGCTCCGTCGGAATCTGACTCGACTCGCTTTCCTTCAGGAGGATCTTTGAGACACTTCGGACACGGAGGATAGCGGAACGTGGAATACTCCACACCGGGAACATCCACATCGCCATCAGGATTCGTCTTCAGGCCACGCCGTCTCCGCTCCTCTGGGTTCTCTGTCGTCAAAGCACCAGACTCCAGCATTTCATTGAGGAAGGCAGCCCATGTAGGATTCAAGGAAGACAGATCCTTCTGAAACTCCTCTCGGCTATACTCCGTGCGGCAGCTGAGGCATACGCAGTTCCTGAGATAGCCATGTATCTCTAGCGTTCTCAAATTCGGATGGGCCTTGGTATGGAATGAGTCGACGTTTTGTGTGATGACGGTAGAGACGACGCCCATTTCTCCCAAGCTGGCAACGGCTTCGTGTGCTATGTTAGGCCGACTGCGGTGTAAGTTTGTCCATCCCAAGAATGATCGAGCCCAGTATCGCTTCCGGGCCTCATGGTTTGCGCAGAACTCGTGGAAATAGATCGGTCTATAAGTCTTGTTTAGAGTGTACGTTCCATGGCTGCCACGATAGTCCGCGAGGCCAGATGCTACCGAGATGCCTGCGCCGGAGAGTACCACGGTATTGCCACTGCGGGATGGAGGTGCAGTGAGGAAGTCATGGAGAGCGGCGACGGCGCCTTGGAGTGTTGATGCTGATCCTGGTTTGACGGTTGGACTTGGTAGAGGCGCAGTGTAGGGTATTCTCATAAACGACATGGGCTGCGCAACTCGAGATCAGAACACTGAAGAACTCAACCAGGAGTTGAAGTCAAACCAAAGTCTTGCGTTCATCGAGAGACGCCACAGAGCCTAGCCACGGGCCGGGCTGGTCCGCATTGTGCGTCACTAGCGCGAAAAGGCTATACTCAATCTTTACTGATCAATTATTTCTCTTTCGCGAAAACCCTGACTCATATGCTCAGAAACCAACTGAAAGAATGTCGGAGAACGGAGTGCTCAATGGCACGCATACTCCGGAGACCCCAAAGCCAGCCCATGCAAGCCTTGCATTGACCGAGTACACGATTAACCCGTCACCGCCCAGTTCGACACCTCGAGAAAAGACTGAGCATGCTGGTGTGCCAGCTGATTACTTGCTGCCCACGGGCTATCCCGATGTATGCAATCGTCAATGGTCGTTCGTTGGAATAGGACACTAAAGGCGTACCTATAGTACCTCCGCCTAATCCTAACCGCCAAAGTCTACGATGTTGTTGAGACGACGCCGTTAACACATGCAATCAACTTGAGCAACCGATTAGAAAGCAATGTCTTGCTCAAGAGAGAAGACCTGCTGCCTGTCTTTTCATTCAAGCTCCGGGGTGCCTACAACAAGATGGCCCATCTCACGCCTACTGAGAAGTGGAAAGGGGTCGTCGCATGCTCAGCCGGTAGGCACATGAAATCGCCCATCCTGATGGTACTGGACTGACAGAATGCAAGGAAATCATGCACAGGGGGTTGCATACTCAGCCCAGAAGCTGAAAATACCAGCCACGATCACAATGCCCATTGGCACCCCAGCGATCAAGCACACTAACGTGTCACGCTTAGGCGGCAGCGTCGTGCTCCACGGACCGGACTTCGACGCTGCAAAGGCAGAATGCAATCGCTTGCAGCAACTGCACGGCCTGACTAACATTCCACCTTTCGACGACCCATACGTGATCGCGGGCCAAGGCACGATCGGCGCAGAGATCCTTCGACAAGCAGACCTCAGCAAGCTCGAAGCCATCTTCTGCTGTGTCGGCGGCGGCGGTCTGATTTCAGGCGTCGGTGTCTACGTGAAGCGTATTGCGCCTCATGTGAAAATCATCGGTGTCGAGACCTACGACGCAAACGCCTTGGTTCAGTCGCTCAAGGCCGGCAAAAGGGTGACGCTCAAAGACGTCGGTCTTTTCGCTGATGGCGCTGCCGTAAAGACCGTTGGCGAAGAGACGTTCCGCATATGTACGGAAGTTGTTGACGAGATCATTCAAGTCGATACCGACGACATCTGCGCCGCCATCAAGGACGTTTTTGAGGACACGCGATCAATTCTCGAGCCCGCTGGAGCATTATCCCTAGCAGGCCTGAAGAAGTACGTTGCTGCCAGCCCATCTCAGGACACCAAAAGGCAACTCGTCGCCATCGCCTCCGGCGCCAACATGAACTTCGACCGCTTACGCTTCGTCGCCGAGCGCGCCGCCATCGGTGAGAAGAAGGAAGCCCTGCTCTCAGTCACCATTCCCGAACAACCAGGAAGCTTCGCCAAGCTCGTGGGCATGGTCAACCCGTTCAGCGTCACGGAGTTCTGCTATCGATACTCGAGCCCGCTTGAAGCGAACGTCTTGATCGGCATCAACTTCACCGCCTCAACGAGGGCGCGAGACTTGACTGCACTCATCACACGATTACACGAAGATGGCATGACAGCACGGGATCTAAGCGGCGACGAGCTCGCCAAATCGCACATCCGATACCTGGTCGGTGGCCGCAGCAACGCCGAAGACGAACGTCTCTTCTCGTTCGAGTTCCCAGAGAGGGGAGGAGCGTTGTACAAGTTCTTGACGCTGCTGCAGCCGGGCTTCAACATCAGCTTGTTCCATTACCGGAACTACGGTGGCGATGTCGGAAAAGTGCTTGCTGGGATCCAATGCCCGCCTGGCGAGGAGGAGGGTTTGCAGCAGTTCTTGACCAACATTGGATATAGGTACTCTGAGGAGACGGAGAATCCTACTTACCAGATGTTTATGCGGGAGTAAGGCAATATCGTTCAAGGGCATGGAGTCCTGGCGTGACAACTGATAAAGAATGGGACAGCGATATAACTCTTAAAGTTGCAATGGGCCGTACTCGTGTAAAACCTGCCGTGCGTCTCTGAATGCAGCTCGAAGGATGAATAAAATGTGAGCTATTGAGGAATGATGCTGTAGAGTGGTAAACCGACTAGAGCCGAGCAGAATTATACCGTCAGTCTCCTCAAGACCTCCGTTGCAGCGTCTTCCTCATCACAGCCGGTCTTACGCACGTTGCTCTGCCCTGCTCATCAACATCAAACACAAACTCCTGTATCCCCATATTCCCATAAAATGTCCCACCAGCAGTCAGCCAGTCGAAATTCGCACCCTGCCCTGTAAACGGCCCAATCACACCGACCTTCTTCGCAGCTTCAGGATCCGTGTACGTCGATGTCTGCGGGTTGGCAGTGGCCTGGAACGCCACTTGTCCCTGCACCAAACCGCCGTCGACGCCCATGGGAATGGAGGGAAGCAGACGTGGTTTCGTCGACTCAAACCACCCCGCTAGCACATCGGTGCCATTTGAGATCCACTTCTCAAGAGTCAGCCCGTTGGCTGGGACGGCTGTGGCATTGGTGTTGTTAAACGAGATGACAACTGTGGAGTCGAGCTCAGGGTCATTGGACTTGTAGGTGCCGAAAAAGTTCAGCATTGCTTCGGTGGCGGCTTGGGCCTCCAGGGCTGGCAGGACAGCGTTAATAATGTAGTCGAGCGCGACGTTCTGGGCGGTGCTTCGAGTGGTGCTGTCGATGATGCTGGCGCCTTGATAGCCGTCTAGAAAGCTGAAGCCGGCGTTGTAGTCGGGTATGAGGACCAGGTTGCCGCCTATGCAGTGGTCAGTACTTAAAAGAACGAAGTTAAACTGATCACACGCATACCATAGTTTCCCGAGTCTCCACTCTTAGTGTAAAGGTCTGTTACCTTGCCTGTATCCGGATGAATGTAGCGGTAAATCTCCCAGGGCGCCCCAACTGACGCTGTGAGCGAAGCGGTATGGCTGCTCGGCTTCATCCTACGGAAAGACATGTCAGTAATCGTCCCCAAGATTGCATCACTTCTACTAGCGAGCACACATACCACTTCCTCGTTGCCTCTGCTTCCAGCAACGTAGCATTTAGCAAAGCCGTGCCGAACTTTGCAAGGTCGTTGATTGTCGAGAGAAGACCACCAGATGGTACTGTAAGATCAAAATCTAGATCAAATCCCTCCAAAATCACAGACCTGGCAAGCTTCGCAGATTCAGTCGGAGAGAATGCGCTGGACGAGGACATGCCGAGAGGTCCGAAAATCAAGTCCTCGTATAGGGAAACAGTGCGCTTCCCCAGGAGGTGCTTGATCGCGAGTCCTAGCAGTACAAATCCATTATTCGTGTAACTCGGAGTCGTCCAGGGCCCGACGAACATGGGCGGCTGTGACCGGGCGCTTTCGATGAACTGAGCTTCGTCGCAACTACCGGTGACACACGGTCCCACGACACTCAAAGGGAGCGGCGGGAAGCCGAGAGTCGTAGGATCAACACCAAACGCCTCGCTTGAGACAAGGAGGTCGAGAGCTGGGAGGCCTTGTCTGGCGACACCGCTGATTTGGTTGGCTAGCGACCAAGGCGTGATCTTGTCCCATGGCGTCGAGTAGACCGGGTCATACTTTCCGGACGTCTCGTTTGCACCAAGACCCGGGATGATCTTGCTGAGTGGGCGGTTCCATTGCTCTTCGCTCAGTTCCAGGAGACCGACGAGGACGGTGAAAAGCTTAGAGACAGAAGCTACGCGATAGATTGTGTCGCCGTCGACATCGTTCGTTCCGTTGCGAAGTTTCTTGATCTGAGCTGAGGTGTGGTGATACTGTAGCTGGGACGCTTCCGGGTCGTGGATGGAGAAGAGGCCAGCTGACCATGTAACCTCCTTCAAGGTAGCAGCTTCCGGCGGAGTGTTGTTGCCATTGAGGTAAAGGTCAAGAGTGTTGGTGAGGTTTTGCCATGCTGCGCGGACTAGACTGTTGTCGCTCGTTAGGTCGCGTGGAGGAGGATAGGTTGGTCCATTGAAATCCGCAAGTGTAGGAGTGCTCAGAGCACTTATAAGTGTGAGACCGTAGATGGAAAGACGCATAGTGTTGTGATCGTTATTTGAGTATTGGGCTACTAACCTTTGGACGTTGACCACCATATATACTCAACCCCATGGCTGTGTAAAATGAGCACACAACAAGTGACGTCCTTCGACTTCCTCAAACGGCTCGACGGGACGCTTGAGGGCTCAGCTGAAGGGCCATAGCGCCGTGGCACATGGCTTGGATGTCTTTGATTATTCAGGAAGACAACATGGCCTGGATGGCGTAGATCAAGGAGATAGATCCGTATCATCTTGCCCGACGGACCTCATGGCGTGGAAAGAGCTCTATTGCGCATGGCATGCGGCGATGTCGCCCTTCGCCTGACTGTATTTTCATCATTAGCAGCTGCTTTCGATGAACAGAGGTCAACGAGGAGCAGTCTCACGAAGACGCACATGTCGTAGCAGCGGCGCATCGAGCTGTAAGGAGTTTAGACCTCCAAGTCGGCACGGTCTTTTCTCGCCAAGAGAAACAACACCACTCTCACAGCCCGAGCCGTCGCACTGGTCGCACTCACTTCGCAGATCAACTGCAAGGTCTATCTCGCCTTTCTTTTATGTTTAGAACAGTTGCAGGTTAGTCAAGACATTGGCGATTGGTAAGATGCTTGACCGCGCAGCAGACAGCCATGTCCGACTCAGCAGTTGGCCCAGGCAACATCCCTAGTCCGCCATATGGCGAATGACACACGAGAAGCGTCGATTGATGCACCGGAGAGCTCTCAAAAGGACCCAACTACCCCAACAGCCACGGAGCATGCTCGACCAAGTACCCTCCTGGTCCTCTGGAACGACTGGAAATACCGCCACGGCCGCCTCGTAGACGAGAGCTCAGGATCAATCCTCTACGACTTTGACAACAAGTATACACAACTAGTCTTCCGAAGACTTGACTCCGTCGAAGGAGACCAAATCGGCACCGCAAGCTTCCACTTCATCTCCACCTCTGCCATAGACGTGCGCATCCACTCCACCTCCTTCTCCCTCAAGCACAGGGACTGGAAACATCGGGACCAGCAATGGCTCTCCCCAGCCTTCGGGAATCAAACCATGACGTGGTCCAAAGCCAACCCATGGACGTCCTCGTCCATCACTCTGTTGGATGAAGCGCAGTTGCCTGTGGCCAAGTTCAGTCCTGGCGGCGCTGTGACGCTGAAACAACCGAGCAAGATCGAGTTCATGGGCGAGCGGAGCATCAGTCAGGAAATGCTGGATGAGCTTGTCGTTACTGGAGTGGCGTTGATGAGGGATCTGATTAATCAGACCCAGGCCTCCGCAGGTGCCAAAGCTGGTGCGGCTGAAGCGACGGGCGATGTGTAGCGCTTGGATGAGCGGTGTTCGCCGCGGGTCTGCCGTTTAGCCAGCGAAGTCTCGGCTCTGATGTTGCACTTTCTTTCTTTGGGTCTCTTCAGACATCCTGCAAAGACTTGCTCGACCGCAGCCGTCAGGCTCTTGTCACCACGGATCTTGAATTACCAATCATGCTTCACCCTCCACTCATCACCCGCGCTCAGTCCCACCCCCCTCAGATTGCACCCGTGATGTCCCCACTTCTCCGCCATCACATCCTGCCCGAACTTCATCCACATCTCAATAGCCTTCTCGAAGCCAGCCGGGTCTCTGTAGTAAGGCTCGCCCTGTCCGCCTTCTTGCGAAGCCTGCCATGTATTCCGGTCGCCGTTGTTTTTGCTGACCGACATACTATTCAGGCGATCTCTCAACTTCTCCCACTCATGCGAGCCCCTCTCGTCTTCGGGAAGAAGGTGTGCTGGTTCCGTTTCACCCTCCTTCGCTGGCCGTCGGCGGTAGAGTCGCAGGAGATCGCCTAACGTGTCCGCAATGTCGTAGACAAGTCCCACGTGGCCGGGCTTTTGTATCAGTCCGTTCATAGTCAGCCGCTCATGCATGTCGCAATCCGTGCCATAGAACGGGATCATCACATCCCAACCGCCGACTTTCTCAAACGCGTATCGGTTGACGAGAGCCAGACGGTCGTAGGCGTAGAATCTGATTGCCCAGGTCCCTTTGTGGTTCTGCTTGTCGATCAGATAGCCGTCTTCCACTGTCTTGCGCATGTCCTCGACACAGCGCATATACAAGCTCTTGTAACCTCCCTCGTCGGGTACATCATCCCAATCTTCCCGGCTGAGCGCGACGACATCCATGTGGCCCCAGAAGTAGTAGTCCCAGTTGTTCTCAATGGCAGTATGCAGGAAGAAGTTCTGCAGCTGCGCAAAAGTCAACAGCGTTGGCGTGCTGATCACCTTCACCCCGAAGACCTCCGTCAACCGTCGGTAGTCCAGATAGAAGGGATTCTGCAATGTCAGGTTGCCATTGCGATTCGCATTCATCGTTCCCGTGTTCTCAATCACATAGACGTCTTCCGGCGGCCATCCTGCCGTGAGATACGACACGACCGTCTGCTGAAGCAGCAGCCAGTTGCGCGTGAAGCCTATAAGCAGCGGAGTGTACTCTCGCACGTGCTGTGTCGGCGGCGCATTCCAAGACGGGATTGGGGGCAGATCTGTCGGTTCGCGGGCGTCGACCGCCAGAGGGAAGTTGTCGACGATCGGAGGCGCTGGCGTGGGTGTTGGCTTGTATATCGGATGCGGTTTGGGTTTGTCCGGTTTCTTCTTGTCTGTTTTGTCGCTGGAAGGCTGAATGTACGAAAGGACTCGCTTGGAAGGGACTGCTGCGTAGAGGAAGATGGTGACGAACAGCCCGACGAGGACGACGGCAGAGATGACTTTGAAGCGACCAGACCTGCTTGCTGCCATCTTTGTATCGCGACACTGGCGCCGGCGCAAAGCGAGGGGTGGTGGTGGTGAAGGGGGAGAGACACCAGGCAGAACTTACAGTGAAACTCTAAATGAGGCGTAGCTGCTCCTGCGTCCTTGGCGAGCTACGAGAGACCAGGTCGAAGACCGAGTCGTGACGGCCGGGAAGCCGGATGTTTTACTGCTTTATCCGCCTTCAAGTGGTGAGCTGCAAATGAAACAGGTTTGCGGAAAGCAATTTCAACGGGCGTGGAGAAAACGTGGCTTGCGATGTGGCGTCGGCATCAAGCGATTTGGTCGAGAACATTGCAGCTCAAGAGACAATCCAAGTGGTTCATCAATGGGTTCTGAATACGAGCAACCTTGAAGACATTTCGAGGCCTTGTTGGCCTTGAACTATATCTACCGTTCATTTCAATCGTCTACGGACGGCCACCAATTACCTTGCCCAGGCGACGCATTCGCCTGCTTGACAGCAGTCTGCCTCGTGATGACCTCGCTAAGACTATCAATACGTCGATCAATCCGTATTCTACGAGGGAGCGCGGAGGCTGAGTTCGACATCAATCGTCCAGGACCGCGGATAAGCCCCTTGCTAGACGGAGCTTGTGTGTGCCTCCGAAGCTTTGCAATCAGCAGCCCGGGATATTGTCGACTCCAATGGCTGGCCGTGGAGGTCTGGCTGTGTGCCGGCAGTGAGGCCCACCGGAGGCAGAGTTGAGATGGCCGCTGGACTAGCTCTTCTCACCAGAGCCATGTACACTCTATACAGGCCGACTCGCTTATCTTTCCTCTCCTACAGGGTATGGCTAGGGGAGGTTGGCGACGAACTTCTTTGCTCGTGTCGTCTCTACAAGCACGCCAAGCCTTTCGGCCTTGTTGCCTCAGCCGTTCTTCTCCAACGTCTCATCACAACCGGAGCCACCATTCCAACATCACGAATTAGAACAATCCATAGCAGCCGGCCCTTGACAATGGCAGACATCACCACCAGCGAAGGCTGGCTCACGACTCCCGACGGCCAGAAGCTGTACACCAAGACATGGAGTCCTCCATCTACCGTCAAGGCACGTCTGGTCTACCTCCACGGCTTCTCGGATCATTGCAACGCCTACACCTATCTATACACCTCGCTGGCCCAACGAGGCATCAAAGTGTACTCGTACGACCAGCGAGGATGGGGTCGCTCAGTGCATACTCCGAAGCAGAAAGGCCTTACTGGCCCCACTCAGCAAGTCATGGACGACATCACATCTTTCATCAAACACCTTCCGAGCAATGAGAGCGACATCCCCCTCTTCCTCATGGGCCACAGCATGGGAGGCGGCGAGACGATAGTCTACGCTGCTACGGGACCTTCAGAGGTTGCGGGCCAGATCAGAGGCTTCCTACTGGAATCGCCACTCATCAGCCTGTTCTCGAAACCGTGGAAGCCGACCGTTTTCTTTGGGAGCCTGGCAAGCAAAGTCCTGCCCCATATGCCTATGCTGCAGAAGCTAGATGCCAGCCTGATGAGCCGCGATCCTGAGGTATGCAAAGCCTGGGCTGAGGACGAGCTGTGCCACGATTACGGCACCCTAGAAGGGCTGGCCGGTATGCTGGAGCGTGGTGCAAGTGTTGAGCAAGGCCGCACAGTCTTAGCCGAAGGTAGAGGAGACGGCGGCAAAACCCGACTATGGATTGGTCATGGGACTGGAGACAAGGTCTGCGACTATCAAGCGAGCAAGCGTTGGTTCGACAGCCTGAAGGTTGAAGACAAGCAATTACAACCATATGATGGTTGGTACCATAGGCTCCACGAAGAGCTCGGCGAAGACAAGGAACGATATGCAGATGATGTTGCTCGATGGATCCTTGAGCGCAGTGGATCCCTCGGAGAGACTGGCAAATCAAAGCTTTGATTTGCTGACTTCGACTGGACGCGTAGTGGAATTTCAAGCGTGAGGAGTTCTAGGGCGTTGCGTCTGCTATGTCTGACCTAGCTTCCTCTGAAGAGCCTCCCGCAGCGTGATCTTCATGACCTTCATAGTCTGGTTGTATGGAAAGCTTTCGAGCCCGAGCTCTTCCAACGTCACAACATCCTGGAGCGCATGTTCTGAGCCGAGCTTATCCACCACCACCCTCTTCAAGTCTTCAGATGGTTTGTCTCGTACGACAGCCACTGGCACTTCACCATACCGTGGGTCCGGCATGCCAAAGACAGACGCCTGCACCCCTTCCCTCGAGTTGAGGACCGATTCGATGACTGCTGGAGACAAAGAGATCCCGACCTTCTTGATGATGTCCTTGATCCGGCCGATCATGAAGACGGCGCCCTTCTCAGTCATGAACGCTCTGTCCCCGGTCTTGAGCCAATTTCCGTGAGAGTCTTGATACGAAGCTTCCGGCTGTTCACCACCCAGGTATCCTGGAACCATCGAGAACCCTCCCAAGTGTAGCTCGCCCTCCTCGCCACGGCCGACAATATTGCCATTTTGATCGCAAATACGGACATTCGTGCCTTGGGCTGGTACTCCGACTGACAGTATGCCATGGTGCTCAGGAACATCATCATGGAGCGTATCAGGACCCCAACCCAGGACTCCAACCCCTTCCGTCATGCCATGGCCAGTATCAACATGAGTGTGCGGGAACATCGAGCGTGCCTTCACAAGTACATCGGTCGTCACCATGTCACCACCAATCGCCACGCGACGAAGCGAAGACAGATCTCGATACTTGAACGTTGGATCTTGTGCGAACATCTGCACTTGTACGGGAATGCAGATCAAGAACTCCGCCTTGCACTTCTCGACAGCATCTAGCGTTGTGCTCGTGGAGAAGGTCGCAGCTGGCATAATGATGTGCCTTCCAGTCCCGAGCGCGATGGTGCTGATCATATAGCTGATCGAGCGGAAGTTGACGGACTGCACCAGGATCCCATTCGGCAGGTCTCTCACTGCCGCCAGGTTGACCGAAGCGTTTAGGACGTTCGTAGCGCTCAAAGGACAGCCTTTCGGTCGACCAGTCGAAGTACCGCTGGTGAAGAGAATGACTGCTGGTCGGTCACCATGCTTCTCGATCCCAGCATCTTGCTTCGTGACGGATGCTTCCTGCTCGTCCGTGAGCTCTGCGACACCGAGACTTTCGAATGACCTCCAGCCGTCTCGCTCGGTCTCGGAGCACACGACTCTCAAAATAGTGTCAAGACCACATTCTCCCAACGCCTCATCCAACGCCTCATCCAACGCCTCAGCACCGGCCTCATCACCCACCACCACAACATCCGGATTGAGCCGCTTAAGATAATCATCCAACTGCTCCCTCCTCCCCTTCATCACCAACCCAAAATCCAACGGCACAAGCGTGATCTGCAACACCGCAGCAATCCACAGCATGAGCTCCGACTCAACACCGTTACTGATAAACGTCGCAACAGTTGGTCCGCGCTGCACCCCTGCGGCTGTCATACCCGCCGAAACCGACAAGGCGGCACGTTTGACATCGGCGTGCGTCCAGCATAACCACGGATCGTTGGAACGAGTCTTTGGGTTGCGGATGAGTTTCGCGAGATGGTTGGGAGCTTGATGCATAGATGTAATAGCAGCTGAGTCTGCGTGTGCGTCCGCTGCTGAGTTTAGCATGTGCCATAGTGATTGCGGACGCGGGAGGGGATCGTTGTAGACCTCCGCAAGGGGTACCATGGTTTGTGTAATTGATAGAACGACTGAAATGTCGTGTAGTTTGGACCCGATGGATGTCGATCAGAGGTGAAGTGGAGGGTGGGTATACATGTATTAGCCGTCGTTTACGTATCTGGATTCAGCTTGCGGCATTTGTGCTAGACATGCGGTGCTCGCAGCTCACAAACTTCAGCCCATGCGCCAGGACAGTCATTCACAGGGCTTCTGATGGAATCAAGGCCCGGCTGGTGAGACTTGGGGCTACGCGTGAATGTGAGACGCTCAGCTACACTGTTGTGAATGACAAAACCTTCAGCCGTTGGACCGAATTCTTCTCACATCGCCGAGGAGAAAGGAGACTTAAAGGCATGGAACTGAAGGTGAGGTCTCGACTCTCTTTATAATCTCAGCAACTACCTAATCTCCATGCACCTCTATTCAGCTATCTCAGCAAATGCACAACAAGCTCTCCATCCTCACTCTCATCATCTGCTCCTTGCAATGCATGCTGGGTATTCGTAAGCAATCATTCGTCCTTCGCTCCGCCGCTCATCAAGGCACTCACTATAGTATCTTGCAATAGTGCTACCGTAAATGCTGTCGTACTGCTCGTCCCCTGTGGAGGGCCACTTGTTCAACCTCCCTTAGCAAAGCTCATGCCATATTGCGCCGCGTTCTCCGGCGCTATGCAGTCGTAAAGTGCTCGCTCAACCCATAGATCAGCCAGCACGTGCTAGCCAATGCCGTTTTCTCCCCCCATTGATCATTCCTCAGACAGTGTACTTCGCCTTCGCCCTGCTGCTGCCCGAGTGCGCCGAGTCAGCGTGCCCACTGAACTCGACCTGCTCCTGTGCCGGCAGCGCAAGCACCTCCTTGAAGTTCTTCCCGATCCGCTCCAGCCTCTTGCGCGGCTCATCCTTATCAGCAGCGGCATCGGCGTTCTTGCCCTTCGGTGGCTGGCCGGCCGTCCTGGTCCAGAGCCCAACACGCCAGAAGGCCTTGCGGATGTTGATGACCACGCCCATGACCTCGTTGTCCTGCTCCTCCTCGAGCATCTCACCGATGGCGGCGAGCATGATGTTCAGCCAGGTCTCGTCGCTGGCCTTGCTGTTCTTGAAGGTGTAGTGCCAGCGGCCGCCGTGCTTGTTCTGTGAGTCCTCCCATTCCGGACGCACACCTTGCTTGAAGAGGTGGTAGTCGGACTTCTGTGCGAGCTCTGAGGCTGGCGTGATGTTGTTCTGGGAGGTGTGAAGTTAGCTTCAAGTATGCTGTGAGCCACTTGATATAGCTTACGTAGATGCCCCAGAACTCCTCAACGCTGTTAAAGCTGATGACCTCCTTGAGCAGCTCGCTCCAGTCCTGCTTGCCGGTCGGGGGCTTGGTGAACCACAGGGTCCAGGTGTGCTGCAGCTGGTGCTTGACGTTGAAGTTGGACGGGTCGTCGAAGACGGTCACAATCTTCTCGCCGTCGTCAAACTTGTCGCTGCCGTTGGTGACGTCCGTCATGGCGCCGTTGGGGGACACTGGGATGGTGTCGAGTGGCACAGGCTCGCTCTTGTTGGCCGGAGTTGGTCCTTGCGAGGCGACTTCGGCCATGTCGGTGGTTCACGTGGGGTTGGTCTGGTAATGAGTGGTAGATAAGTTAGTGTGCGCCTTTTGCAAGGTATGAAAAGACGAGTGGGTTGTTGGGAGAAGTGGATGAGGTATTGAGGCAGTAGAGGAAGGAATGGTGAACATTCGCAAGTCTCCCGAGTCCAACAAATCGCAGGCGCCAAACCCAAGGCTTCCAAATCGGTACTAGGGGCTTGGCAGAGCTTGAACACCTTCCCATGCTGCATCACTTCTCTCCTCTCAAATACACATCAACCGACTTCATGCGAGCGTCTGGTATGATGCAAGGTTACATTCCATTCCCAAAAGGCCACGTCGACGATATCTCGGCCAAGTGGCACGTACCTCGTCCTGGACGCTTCTGGGAGCGTGGCCACCACCCTATCACCACCACAAAAACTGCATCATGCCTCGCGCATAAGCAGAAACACTTATAGATCCCATATGGCTCAACTTGCCGACCCGCGAGGCCAATCGATTCTCCAGCCACTCCATGCCGACAATGTCGCTTTGTTCCCCAGCATTCCAGCTCCATCGTCAGACAATGCCTCTTTGTCTGGTCTTACCAGCCATGGCACTGCCCGGCACTTGCCCTAACATCTGGAGCAACATACACCCCGCAAACGGAAGATGACGACGTCAAGGACTGTCTGGACATGCGGTCGAGACTCTGATGGCCGAGTACAAGATTTCTTTTCCCTGCCTCATTGTACCTGTTCTGCTCGTCTTCTGTCCTCTCGTACTTCTCATATATCTCCACCACTACTACACTTATGCTTCATCGATCGAACTAGAGATATGTGCGGAAGCCAAGTCCAAGTCGGGCGCCCAGCGCCACCATTTGCTCGTACCGCGGTTGTTGATGGTCGTCTAAAGGGTAAGTCAAAGCTCTTCCTTATACGGGTCTTGATAGTATGCTTAAAGTCTTACAGAAGTCACACTCTCCGCATACACCGAAGCCAACCACTGGGTCATCCTGGTCTTCTTCCCTAAAGCCTGGTCCTTCATCTGCCCTACCGAGATCAAGGCCTTCTCAGGTCGACTGGAGGAGTTTCTCTACTCGCGATCCTGCGCCGTCGTCTTCGCGTCGACCGACTCAGAACATTGCTTGAAAGCATGGAACGGGACGTCAGATATGGAGGGCGGTCTCGGCGGCGTGCACATCCCGCTGATCAGCGACTGTGATCACAGGATGAGCCGCGACTATGGCGTCCTGATCAAAGAGCAAGGCGTTTCCCAGCGAGCTCTATTCATCATCGACCCGAAAGGCATCGTCAGATCAATCACCGTCAACGACGCAGACGTCGGCCGCAGCGTGGACGAAACGCTGCGCGTGCTCGACGCTCTCGCCTTCAAAGACGAGTTCGGCGAAGGCTGCCCCATCGACTGGAAGAAAGGCGACAAAGGCATCGAGATCGCGAGCAAGAACCGCGTGGAGGGCAGCGTCGAGCTGAAGAAGTCCTGGTCAGAATGGGCTCGCCCCAAACTCAACCGGGCTTGGTCCGCTGCGAGTCAGAAGAGCATCTCCTCGCATACTTCGCACAGCAACACCCCGCTCCCCGCCAGCCGTCGACGCGCCGAATCCAACGAACTGCTGCCATCCGTCACCAGCGGCGGCAGCGGTCACGCCTCGCAATTGTCGAGCGGGCAGGCGTCGCCCATGATGCACAACGGCCCGATGAGCCCGTTCTTCAGTCCGACCAGCGTTGCGAACAACGGCATGCAGTCTCAGATGGATAAGGCGCTATCGCAGCAGCGGTTCGAGAATATGCAGGCGGCGATGCAGAATCAAAATATGAATCTGGGGCAGGGTATTGGGTTGGCGAATTAGGGTGGTAATTTCGGCGACGAATGTGGTTGATATGGTAGTCGGTTCTGGTTGTCTTTTCGAGAATATGGTTAGCATGGTATACCATTTGGATGGCTCTACATTCTCGTCCAGTTCTCCTCCTACCTAATTCCAATCTACCCTACCCAAAACCATCCCCTAACTCTGATTGGCCGGCTCCACCCGCCGCTAGCCCATGTTCAAAAAGGCATTCACCTCCAGTGGGCCTGACTCCTGAGCGCCTCCACAAAGACAACCTCATCCGCAAGCAGCGGTACAAACATGGAGTAACGAGGCGAGCTATCAGTGTCCTGTCTGAAGCCATGTCGGTCTTCACAACCTTCTTCTCGCAACCACGCCTGGTCTTCAGCACCGCAATCCTCCTCCGTCTTGGACTTCTCCTATACGGACGATGGCAAGACGCCAATGGCCCAGTCAAATACACCGACATCGACTACTTCGTCTTCACAGACGCCGCGCGTTTCGTAGCACAAGGCCGCTCTCCCTACGACCGGGCAACGTACCGGTACACACCACTTCTGGCCTGGCTTTTGCTTCCGACTGCCTGGCAGACGAAGGGCGTCCCGCACCATCTCTGGTTTGACTTTGGCAAGGCATTGTTTGCTACTGGTGACATTGTAACTGGATGGCTCATCATGCGTATCCTTGTCCGGAAGCAAGGCATGCGCAGTGAGCAAGCGATGAAGTATGCAAGTCTGTGGCTGCTCAATCCAATGGTGGCCAATATTAGCACGAGAGGAAGCTCTGAGGGTCTGCTTGCTGTTTTAGTCATTGGGCTGCTGTGGGCGGTCCTCGAGAACAGGATCGCTCTTGCTGGCATACTGTTGGGACTGAGCGTGCACTTCAAGATCTACCCGTTCATTTACGCAGCAAGCATCTGGTGGTGGCTCGGAAGCGAGGATGCTGGCACGACACCATCCACAGATCTGCTGTCGAGGCTGAAGTCCTTTTGCACAAGAGACAGGGTCACATTGGCTGCGTACAGCTTAACGTCCTTCATGGTTCTAAACGTTGCTATGTACTCTTTGTACGTCACCATTCACCTCCTTGACCTCCTCTCAACCCAGCTGACTGTGTATAGCTATGGCATGCCATTCATCGAGCACAGCTACACATACCACTTCACGCGCATCGATCACCGGCATAACTTCTCAGTGTACAACACCGTACTGCACCTCAACAGTGTCCATGGTGACAGCTCGCCTTTCAAGATCGAGTCCTTTGCTTTCGCACCCCAGGTGTTGCTCAGCCTGGGTGCATTGCCATCCCAGCTTGCGAAGAAAGACCTGCCGAGCACGATGCTTGCGCAGACGTTCGCTTTCGTCACCTTCAACAAGGTGTGCACTAGCCAAGTGAGTCGTGAGGACCCGGCAGGAATATGAAACCGGCTGATGGGTTGTAGTACTTCTTGTGGTACATGGTCTTTCTACCATTCTACCTTCCCGGGTCTTCGATGCTTCGAAAACCGTCTCTGGGCATTACTGCCTTAGCTCTCTGGGTTGTCGGCCAAGCTGCGTGGCTCCAGCAAGCTTATGGGCTCGAGTTTCTCGGCCACTCCACTTTTGTGCCTGGCCTATGGCTCGCGAGTATGTTGTTCTTTGGCATCAACTGCTGGATCCTCGGCATCATTGTCCAGGATATCGGGGTTCAGCCGGGATCCAGTGCAAGTCCAGAGGTCTCAAAGCAGAAGAAGTCGAGGTGAAAGCCATCTACTTCAACTCCCTACCGCTTTCACACAACCCATGGCAGCACCTGCCGCGACACCGCCTAGCGTCATCATCTGCATGCCGTTCTTGAGACATATCCATCGGTCGAGCTCGCCTAGCAGTGAAGTTTTCGCCCAGCCGAACGCAAACAATGCCAAAGCCATTACCAGAATGCTGACGACGAACGCTTCGTGCATGCTTGCGAAGAAGAGGTATGGCACGAGCGGCACCAGCCCACCGAAGAAATACCCAAGCGAGATCGTCAAACCGGACGTGTACGCCTTGGAGGGCGCATGATCGGCTTCGATCAACTGGTGATGGAACCGCATCAAGAAGTCGACCATCTGCTCTGGCTCGTCCATGAGTCCCGTAGTCATGCTATTTAGCGTCTGCTCGGAGAAGTCATACTGCTCGAAGGCTGATCGGACCATCTTAGCAGCTCTGTCGTGGTCGCTCGAAACGATGGTTCTGACTTCTGACAGAGCGGCATTGTACGCTTCTGCTTCGCTCTTTGCGCCAAGGTAGCCACCGAGCCCCATGCTGATGCCGCCGGCGATGAGTTCTGCCAGTCCGCCATAAATCACAATGTTGGTGTCTCCGAGCGCTGAGAGTCCGGCTGTGAGTGCAAAGGGAACGGTCAAGCCATCTGACAGTCCAATTGTGGCGTCGGAGATGATTCGAGGGTTGATCCGGAACTGTGAGCTCTGCTGCGTTGAGGGTGACAGCTTTTCGTGGATGAAGCCGCCATCTATCGATCGTTCTTCGAGATGTTTGGGACTGCTCGGCGGCACTGCAGTGTAACCAGATCTTGGGAAGAGGATGTTTCTGATGAATAGAAGTGCCATTGTATTCCATGCAACGATCTCGTGGTCGTCAAGGTCCTCTGCCCTTTGCTGCAAGTTTCTCGAAAAACCCTCTCTTCAAGTCCAGCTATGCAATGTTGCATTTATCCATCAACCGACGAGCGAGAGCTCTTCAGTTAATGCTGACCGTCTGATCGTCGATGCCTGCAGTAGTGTGGTGGTGTCACATGCAAGTCTTCATTAGCGCAGGACATGTTCTATGCACGTGGGCAGCTCATTGGGGCCAAGCAAAGCTTCGATAGCTGGTGGTTCTTCGATCCACTCTTCGATCTACAACATATTTGATGAATAGTCCTCCAGATGCAGAGGACGGGTGTCACGGCAATGCTGTGGTGCTTTGGGACGCAGGGCGAGCGTGACCTATAGTCTGAAAGATGTGTCAAATAACTTACACGCGCGACAGCAATCGATCGTCACATTGGAAATTGGATAGCAACCGATTCTGCAAGATGTTCTATATTGTAGTCGTTATGACCTGTTGAGAAACTCGGTTGCATTCTATGTCTGTATGAACACCGGCAGCTATAGACATCACCTAAGCATTGCCCTTGACATTAACACTATAACCCTTCGGCGGATGCTGCCCATCCGGAATCACAACGTCGTCGGTGTAATACGAGCTCGACCCACTGTTCGCCCACGCTTTCTTAATTGCCGGCAACACCGTGCGTCCAGTCTCGGGCGATACAATATTCAGATTCGGCGCCGGGTACGCTGCCTTCTGAAAGTTGTCATTGAATGGCCCAGCGAACGACGAGTTATAGAAGATCGTTGGCTTGAGCCCAGTAGCAGCGTGGTGCGGACGGACCATGTCCCCAGTGGATTGTGCAACGAAGGAGAAGACGTTTGCCCCTACGTCCCAGCGGCCGAGGGTGTGGAGGTTCCAATTGGTTTCTACAGTGGAGAGCTCGGAGTAGTGGTTCTGTTGGGAATGTGAGCAGGATGCGGCTGTTTGGAGGGGTATTGTAGGCTTACGTAGAAATTGTCGTCCGTTGTGCCGCGGGCAGTGTTTGGCACAGCTCCCCCGAGAAGAATGCTGAAGACTTTGTTGGCTCGTTGATAGGTGTGGTTTTCGTCGAAGGTGAGAAGGATGAGAGTGCGCTCCATGAAGTAGTCGTTGTTCAGCAGTGGCGTGAGGAAGGAACGGGCCCCTAGAAGAGTCAGTAATTTGCTTGCCACTTCTTCAACCGTTTTTCAGGATTTGGCCTGCTTACAAGACCCTGCAACGGTAACAGAAGAATCATGACCATCGTTGGTCATGTTTGGCGTGATGAACATCCATTGAGGCAGCTTCTCGTGCTTCAGATCTTCGTAGAAGATGGTGAAGTTCTTCTGGTAGCTCAATCGTTTGCCGTCTGTATTTCGGTTGTAAAGGACCGGGGGGTTGTGCTTGCGAACATAATCGTTGGCTTTCGTCTCCTGGTTGACATAGGAATCCCCCTGGAACCCGGTGTACGGCATGTCCTCCTGGTACGAACCCCAAGAGATGCGCTTATCTTCGAGAAGAGCAGTCACAGCCGAGACATTGCCATCGATCTGGTTAAAGTCGTCATTGTCCATGCCGAAGTTATCTCCGCCATGGCTAGCGCAGTAGTTCGGCTCAGAGGGATGGGTGACACCAAAGTAGTTGGACAATGTGATTCCTTGCGAGGCCAACCACGAGAGGTTTGGGTCACCGGCGGCCTTATCGTAGTCCGTGTTTTCCAGCCAGACGGTGATGAACCGGTCGAAGGCCTTGCCCTTGACGCTGCTTGTCTTGTGTGTTGTCGCAGGCTGGGCGATCGCCCCAGCAATGGCGAGCGAAGTGAGAGTGATGTACTTCATTATGACATGCGGATGACACGAGAACGAGAGACAGTGATTGAAGGAATGTAAGATAGGTAGCCAAAAGGATGCTGCTCACCTTCGCCCTGCGTCCGTTGCTTCAAGGCTATATAGCCACCACCACAAAGATCAACCTCTACCCACGTGGGTTGTGCAAGACCGACTGAACGCCACGACCCTGGCCGTGCTGAAGACTCTCGTGATGCCGCGTCAACCGAGGGAGGAGGTGCAAAGACTGTGTCCGCGCCCTGTGGTGGCTTGCCATTGGGCAGACAAGGAGGGATAAAATCCCGACAAGCCTTCGCTAGGAGCTTGATCATGCAGAGCGCAATGCAGGGTCGCAGGACGGTGGTGCTCTGGGAGTAAAGACACGGAGACGAGGTGAAGTGTGCTTGAAAAACAAGCTTTCATTGGCCGTGTTGGCAGACTCTTGCACAGAATGCGACCTGCAGACATCGTAGATCTTACCGCGAATGGCAGGTCCATCTATGCAAGGTTCCAGGTGGACCCGAGACATCAGTTCATCCGGCATTAAGGCTTCAAGGTACCTGGTGACATCAATCGCCACACCGAGCGCGATGCGGCGACCATTGTGGACCACGGCATCGCGCCAGACTATCCACGGGTTCCTACGTCTTAATGGTTTGGCTTCCAACTGAAAGGACTCGCCGACTTCGTGGTGGCAGCATCTTAGCTATCGTGGTCATGGAGCAACGCATGGACGAGGAGCAGTACCCCGGCGAGCACAGCGTAACTCCAGACGGCAAGGCTGAAGAGGAAGGGCTGCTGGGCGGATGGAGGGATGGAAACACGAGACGTGATGAGGAAGAACTGTCTATTTCAAAGCGATCCTGCTTCAGCCTGGCTTTTTTTCCTGTGGTACTCATCCTGGTCGCCGCCGTCCTCGGGAGTGTGTTGACTTTCAGTTTGCGAGCCTTGACGGGAGAAGGTTCTCGAGCAACAAACACCATCACGACCAAAGATTATGCTCTGGAGCCTAGGTGGGACGACCAGAGCCCGCCACAGCGCAGAGAGTATAACTGGATAGTACGGGATCATATGCACTCCCCAAATGGCATTCTCAGGCCTATGATACTGGTGAATAGCCAATTTCCTGGACCTATGATCGAAGCGAACGAAGGAGACACGATCGTCGTTCATGTCCACAATGAGGCCGTCAATGCCACATCTATACATTGGCATGGTATATACCAAATGGGAACCCCATATATGGACGGCACTGTGGGAGTAACGCAGTGTCCCATCGCTCCTGGTGCATCTTTCACGTATGAGTTCACTATATCTGGCCAAAGCGGCACGTACTGGTGGCATGCTCATCAGAGCGTACAGTCATCTGATGGCCTTCACGGTCCGCTCATCATCCACGGTCGGGAGGAGAAGAAGCTGCAAAAGCTCGAATATGCTTCTGATCGGGTTGTGATGCTATCCGACCACTATCATGACCTGTCCTCGGCTTTACTTTGGCAGTACCTCAAGCCGGACATGGAGAACATTGAACCAGTCCCAGATGGCGGCCTGATCAATGGCAGATCCATCGTCAACTGTGAGGATTTTCCAGAACGGAAGTGCAATAATCGCTCTGCTCATGTTGGGATACCGAGCTTCGACCTTCAGCCTAACCAGCAGCACCGCTTGCGTCTGATCAACGTTGGCGCATTTGCCGAGTTCCAGCTCCAAGTCGACGAGCACGAGCTTGCGGTCACAGAAGTGGACGGCACGGATGTTGTCCCTGCTGCATATCATCGGCTTCACATCAGCCCAGCGCAAAGGTATAGCGTTGTGATCAACACGAACAACACCAAGGCTTCTGCGTTCTGGCTCCGCGCCCGCATGGTCACGAAGTGTTTCACGGATCCTCCAGATAACCTGCAGCCCGAGATTCGAGCAGTCGTTCGCTACGATCACGATGGAGCTGATGGTACTAAAATCCCAACGTCCATAGACTGGGACGAGGCGCTGGATCTGGAGTGTCGGGACATGAACGTCACTGAACTGATACCGGTCAAGGCTCTCGCTGCTCCACGACAAGCGGATGCATTCTTTTACCTTCGGTCAAACTTCGAGATCGGAGCGTACAGGCTGAGCCGCGGATTCTTCAACAGCAGCTCCTGGCGTCCTAATGTCCATTCTCCGTCCCTGCTACGAGCAATCGATGGCTTGTCGAGCAACAATGCCTCATTCACAGAAACTTCTACAGAGAACGGATCAGCATTCGTCAACGACGCTGCCTTTGACGTCTCCCGAGAGTTGACCATCCAAACCACTGGCGTCCGGACAATTGACATCCTCGTCTCAAATTTCGACGATGGCAACCATCCACTACATCTTCACGGATACGAATACTTCGTCCTTGCCCAAGGCCACGGCTATCCGCCACTCACCCACGTTGGCGCCGAAATCACATCTCAGAATCTTGCACCACTATACAACAGCTTGGACCTCTCCAATCCACTCCGTCGAGATACAGCGTCTGTCGAAGCCTTCGGATGGATCTTACTTCGTGTCGTGGCAGACAATCCTGGTGCTTGGGCTTTCCACTGTCACCTTAGCTGGCATTCTGAGGCTGGCCTCATGATGCAGCTCCTCACTCGGGCCGATGAGTTGGCCGAGATGGAGGTCCCTGAAGCTCATCGACAATTGTGCAGAGCTGCTGGCATCGAGAAGGGCACGGGGCCAGGAGATGCTGAGTATGAGGATCTCGCGAAGTAGACACTCACGCTGCACGCTGCGTAGTGTTCACACCCGCCCCGACGCCCCTCGCCTCCACTACGGGGATATGCCAACAGGCGCGCTGGCCTCTGGTCTTTGTTCGGATTCGACATCAATGCTTGCCAATCTTGGGACCGCGCACAATGTGCCATTGTATCGACTCCCATCTCAACAATGCCACAAAGCGCTCCAGACAAAGCCCTCGCTCACCCAAAATTCACATATGAATACACCCCCAATGTCGCCCCCGGCAACCCCCTCCCCCCTAAAGCAAACCCCGGCAACCAACCAACCCACACAACACCACCAGCATGTCGCAACCACCACAGCGCCCTCGGCACCGCCCCACCACCATCCCCAACACCTCCTCCTTCTTCCCTCGCCGCGAGATCGCCCGAAACTTCCCAGCAAAGGACATGGACAAAACCCCCAAGTCGCTCAAAACCTCGCTCCGCTTCCAACTCGCCTTCGTCTCCATCGGCCGCAAACTCCAAGCCTCCCCCATCCCCTCCCTCTGGCCCACTCGCCTGCGCATCCCAGAGCACCCTCCCGTCGTGCGCAAGGGCACAGCAGCCGCGCTAGACCACCCGGGCCTCTTGTTACCGAGCAGACGAGCAGTGAGAGATACCCGCGCCATCCCCGTCGATACCTTAGCCATCGAGGCTCTAGACGACTTCACGCCCAACCTCTGCCTCGACATCCGCGTCCCCGTGCATAAGCTAGCAGCCGCGTTGATCTCGCACGTCGAATCCCAGGCCCTGCTACCAGGCTGGTCCGGCCAAATCGTCGCCGTCGCGTGCATGGTCTTCGCCTACCACGCCCTTCTCCACGTCCACAACTCGCCCGCCGACGGCAAGACCTTCGCGTTCCTCGCCGCCTTCGGCATCGAGCGCGACGCCGCGCGGTCGGGGTATAACGCCCTCTGGCTCTTTCGCGAGGAGCTAAGAGACGTTGTTCAGTTTGGCGGGGGGAGGGTGGAGGGATTGCGGTTGCCGAGGAATAGGATGGGGGGGACGAGTGTTTTGGTTAGGAGGGAGAAGATGGGGTTACCGTATGATTTGAGCCATTATCAAGCGCAGGGGAGGGAGAGGAGGAAGGAAGTTGGAAGGAGTCCGTTGAGGCAGGCTGAAGGGTGTGGAGATGAGGAGGAAGGTGAGGACGAGGATGCAGTTGAGATGGAGGAGCTAAGGGAGCTGGTGGGGCTGTTTTGGGCGATGAAGGCGAGGGTGGAGCCGAGCGAGGTGCCGTTGCCCGAGTCTCCTGATGGAAAATAGAATCGAGTCACCTTGTTCAACGCGTGATGGAATCGTTCCTGTATTTTGTGTTGAGAATACCTACCACACCGTACGCCTTCGCTATTGTAGTCTCACAATCCACTTCGAGTGGCCACAGTAGCCGGCCATGAGGCAAGCATTCCCTCCATCCCATGCTCTCCAAACCAATGAGATCCAATGTTGATTAAACGTAGCTACGCCAATGTCGGGGTATAAGTCGGGTATCGGAGAAGTAATGTGTCGTTCCGCTGCGAAGTACTCAGTTGCCGCCGCCGCCTCCAAGCTTGCCGGTAGCGCCCAGGTAGGCGAGGATGATGATGATGATGACGACGATGATGGCGACTGCAGTACCAAATCAGCACAACATCCCACACAATCACAACGAGGAGAAAGACGAATCAACTCACCGCAAATCCCCAAGCAAATCCACTTCTTCTTCCTCGCCGCCCTAGCACTATTGACCGCCTTCCCGACCTCCGTATTTCCAGCAACAAGATTCGTATGCGTATCCTCGACCTTGCTCTCGATATTCTGCACCATCGGCTCCTGCATCACGACAATCGCGTCCAAGTCCTGGAACAGCTGCTGCAGCTCCATCATCGTCCGCTCAATCTGCTGGATCGCATCGTGGCGCTGCTGCACGTTGCGCAGCGTACTCTGCGCCTGACCTCTCCGATCAGAGTTCATCAGCGCCTGCTGGAAGATCTGCGTGTCCCCGCCGTCCATCGTCGCCTCCCGGATCTCCGCTTCGCTGGCTTCCGGGTTGACGATCAAGTACTGCCTCCGCTGCTGCTCCTGTACTTCCTTGCGGAAGTCGCTCTCCTGCCGCTGGTACGAGTTGATGGCCTTGCGTATCCGGCGGTCCAGCGCGTCGACCTGAGCTTTGTTGCGGGGTTCTTGTGCGGCGGGCTGGGACTTGATGCGCTTGACGCGGTCGGCGAGGCCACGGTAGCCGCTCATGATGTCGGCGCTCATGCCGTCGATCTCCTTGTTGGAGGTGCCATTGCCGGAGGTGAAGCCGCGTTGCAGGCGCTGCAGGTCGGGCAGGCGGTTCTCGAGGTCGTCGATGGCGCGGCCGACTTGACGGCATTCGTTGAGGATGGCATTGGGGTCGGCGGGCTGCATAGGGGCAGCGTTTTGGGAGTAGGGGGGTGCGTTGAGGGGTTGCATTTCGACGTCGTGGTCGGCGCCTGGGGGGTGTTAGTGGGGATGTCAGGCTCGGGTAGTATGTGCAGACTGTACCATATGAGTTGTAGCCCTGCTGGTTATATCCTTGCTGGCCGTAGCTCTGCTGGTTGTCATATGGATTTGACTGGCCGTAGCCGCTCTGGTAGTTGTACTGCTCGGGCGCCATTGTCAGCTTGTTGTTGCTGGCCATTGAACCTCCTACGATCGAGCTCTCTTTTCACGACCGCACCGTATGCTGCCGCCTTCGCGCTCGTATGATATTGGTGGCGAACTTACTGCCATTTCTAGGAGCCTTGCTGGCCGTCGTCCTGAGGCAGAGCGGGATGCTGTTTACTCTCCTGAATGCCTGGCGCCTTCGCTAACGTCTCAATGTGTGCGGCAAGCAATGCTCTTCTGATGGTATGGTGGATGTGTCGAGGAGGTATACTCGAGGCAATTGGTATCGTTCAGCAGATGTGCGAGACAGTGGAAGTGATCCTGTCAGACGCTGACATTATAGCCTTTGACGCTGCGACGCGAGACCCTTTCGAGCTCGACCGCTCGACCCTGACAGTCCAATTTTAGCACGGACGCTGAGCTGAGCCTGCCACGAGCCTGCCTTTACGCGAATGCACCAATGGCAACACGTCAAGCCGAGAGGCGCTGTTGGATCTCTTGGTCATACAGAGGCGATCTAATGGCATTGCTGCGTGCATGTATACGTACGATTGCGAAGCGGACGCATAACGGGCTCCATCTTGCGCCTTCTACGGCCGCATACCGTTGAAATGCAGATGCCTGCCTGCGCCGCAGCTGCATAATACCGTTCTCAAGCACCAACATACTACCGGTGCGTGAAGACCATAATCGATGCTGAAAGGTCAAGCGCGGGACAGTAGAAGCGGTCCAGCTGGCATATCTGGCAGTCTTCTCTGGGACCCAAATGCCACACCACGCCCGTGGGCAGGCCCTTCTTGTCTATGAGAACATCCTTCACACCTCTCGCTCTGACCTGGTGGGCCATTTTCACTGTCCCTCGCTTGAAGGTATACCCAGTTCTCAGACGCAGATGCATTGACAGGCAACGAAAGGTCTTCAAGTACTGGGCGACGAGGGACCACCGATGGCGTATGGTCTTTAGACTTAGGAAGTTAGGCGAGAGTGAGCGAAGACCAGCTCAATGACCGATTCACATTTGTGCCATATACTGGGTGAAACGTGCCAAAGAGGTTGTATTGACAGGCTCCAATGGGTCCGCCCTTCGCCGCACGATGTAGACTCCGAAGTTATATGAACTCAGACTGGGAGGCAAGGCCATCGCGAGGCAATGTTACGTCGCATCTCCATCTCTCAGAGCGCCTTGTTCAAGAGACCGGCCTCTTTGAAAGGACTCATGGGTAAGGTACTAACAAGTTAAGGGCAGCAGAAGATGTGAAGGTGGCAGCGCCTTGTGATGGAAGTCGTGTCCATACTGTCGACTGCGAGGCTTCAAGACCAGTGTTGTCCCCGTAACAGAGTCGAGGGATGATGTCTCGGACTGGGCGTGGAGGAGGTAGTAGGAAGGACGAGTCTCTCCGGTAGCGCCGAGAGGTTTCGCATTCATGATACTGCCACGAGATAGCATATGGGTGGAAGTGTGAGAGCAGATGCTCGAGTTCTGGATGTTCTGGACAGAGCCTCGAGCACGTGACTCTCGTCGAAACAGCTAGAAGCGTCCAAGCTCCTTCAGCCTCTGAGATTTTATAGCAAGCCCAAACACCATCAACACACAACCACAACCACAACCATTCCACCCACTACAACAACTTGATACCCGGCCGCAGGTCACCTTCGATACCACACACACACACCATCTGAATTGACAACGTAAGTATTGTAATCCTCTGATTCGACTCCCAGCCACCGTTGCCAGAGCAATTGCTTCAAGGCTGCGACCACATTCGAGAACATCACTGACCTCCCTACAGCCTCTACAGCACACCCACATACACCACACGACACCGCCATCATGAGCGAGACGTTCGAGTTCCAGGCCGAGATCTCTCAGCTGCTCTCCCTCATCATCAACACGGTCTACTCAAACAAGGAGATCTTCCTGCGAGAACTCATCTCCAACTGCTCCGACGCCCTCGACAAGATCCGCTATGAGGCCCTCTCAAACCCAAGCGCGCTCGATTCGGGCAAGGACCTGCGCATCGACATCATCCCGAGCAAAGACAACAAGACCATCGTCATCCGCGACACCGGCATTGGCATGACCAAGGCTGACCTCGTCAACAATCTCGGAACCATCGCCCGCTCGGGTACCAAGCAGTTCATGGAGGCGCTCACCGCTGGTGCAGACGTGTCCATGATCGGGCAGTTCGGTGTTGGTTTCTACTCCGCATACCTCGTCGCCGACAAGGTGACCGTCATCTCCAAGCACAACGATGACGAGCAATACATCTGGGAGTCGAGCGCCGGTGGCACCTTCAGCGTCAAGCAGGACACTGAGGGCGAGCAGCTCGGACGTGGCACCAAGATGATCCTGCAGCTCAAGGACGAGCAGACTGACTACCTCAACGAGAGCAAGATCAAGGAGGTCGTCAAGAAGCACTCCGAGTTCATTTCCTACCCCATCTACCTTCACGTGCTCAAGGAGACCGAGACGGAGGTACCTGATGAGGAGGCTGAGGAGAGCAAGGAAGAGGGTGATGACAACAAGCCCAAGGTGGAGGAAGTCGAAGACGAGGACGAGGAGAAGAAAGAGAAGAAGACCAAGAAGGTCAAGGAGAGCAAGATCGAGGAGGAGGAGCTCAACAAGACCAAGCCCATCTGGACCCGCAACCCTCAGGACATCTCCCAAGAGGAGTACGGCTCTTTCTACAAGTCGCTTTCCAACGACTGGGAAGACCACCTCGCCGTGAAGCACTTCTCCGTCGAGGGTCAGCTCGAGTTCCGCGCTATCCTTTTCGTGCCCAAGCGCGCACCCTTCGACCTCTTCGAGACCAAGAAGACGAAGAACAACATCAAGTTGTATGTGCGCCGTGTGTTCATCACTGACGATGCGACCGACCTCATCCCCGAATGGCTGTCGTTCGTGAAGGGTGTCGTCGACTCTGAGGACCTGCCGCTCAACCTGTCCCGTGAGACCCTACAGCAAAACAAGATCATGAAGGTCATCAAGAAGAACATTGTCAAGAAGACACTCGAGCTGTTCAACGAGATTGCCGAAGACAAGGAGAACTTCGACAAGTTCTACACCGCCTTCAACAAGAACATCAAGCTTGGCATCCACGAGGACAGCCAGAACCGCCAGGCGCTGGCCAAGCTGCTGCGGTTCAACAGCACCAAGACTGGTAGTGAGGAGAACACTTCGCTTCAGGACTACGCCACCCGCATGCAGGAGCACCAGAAGCAGATGTACTACATCACCGGCGAGAGCATCAAGGCCGTTGAGAAGTCGCCCTTCCTCGACGCCCTCAAGGCCAAGAACTTTGAAGTTCTGTTCCTTGTCGACCCCATTGATGAGTACGCCTTCACGCAGCTCAAGGAGTTCGACGGCAAGAAGCTCGTCGACATCACCAAGGACTTCGAGCTCGAGGAGACCGACGAGGAGAAGAAGAAGCGTGAGGAGGAAGAGAAGGAGTACGAGTCGCTGGCCAAGTCGCTGAAGAACGTGCTCGGCGAGAAGGTCGAGAAGGTGGTGGTGTCGCACAAGCTCGTCGGCTCGCCTTGCGCCATCCGTACCGGCCAGTTCGGCTGGTCCGCCAACATGGAGCGCATCATGAAGGCGCAGGCCCTGCGCGACACCTCCATGTCCAGCTACATGAGCAGCAAGAAGACGTTTGAGATCTCGCCCAAGAGCCCGATCATCAAGGAGCTGAAGAAGAAGGTCGAGAGCGACGGCGAGAGCGACCGCACCGTCAAGAGCATCACCACGCTGCTCTACGAGACCTCGCTGCTGGTGTCCGGCTTCACTATCGAAGAGCCGGCCGACTACGCGGAGCGCATCCACAAGCTCGTCTCGCTTGGTCTGAACGTGGACGAGGAGGTCGAGACGTCGGAGGAGGCGGCCAAGGAGGACGGGCCTGCAGCTGAGGCGACGGGCGAGAGCGCCATGGAGGAGGTCGACTAGATGGTGTCTGTCTACTCTTGAGCGTTTGATCTTGTGCATGGTTGCTGGCTGAGGCGGAGCGAGGCGTTGACTTCGATGCTGTGCTACATACACCGTCGAAGAAGCTGTTTCGACTGTCGATTTGAGGGACGATGGTTCACGGTTACAATGGCTGAAAAGTTGCATGAATCGAGGAGTGTAACTATAGGTATCTCATGTGACTTGAATCAAGAAAGTTCTCCAAAATCTCCTCTCCCTTCGCTTCAATGTCATGGTTGATAGTGGTCTATCTCACGAGCAAAACGGTAGAGAATCCCTCTTTCTCAGCAACCCTTCAAAGCAGCACGAGATCGCTCTCCAGGCCTCTCGTCCCAGAGCTCGCAGCAGCAAACTGAAGCTTTTCCAACTAACCGCTACCGCTCCTCCCTTCTCCGCGCACCGCACGCGCAGCGCACCTGCCTCCAGAATCTGAACATTAGCTAGCGTCTCCCCTCCTCCGCCCAATCACAGCTTTGGAAATTCAGGCGGCCCTTCTCCAGTGTAGGGACTGAAACCACGAGGGTACTACGCTGATCCTGCAAACCTACGAGATGTTGGAGAAGGGAAGGGGGAATTGCAGCTGATCTCCAGCCAGAGCAAGACTTTCACCAGTCTGTACCCATTCAAGCAGGACCGGCCAACTCGTTCGAGGATAGGAGGGTAGGTACTACTGCACAGTAACAGCATCCACGAACGGCCGTCCCCTCTTCTGGAACACCGTCACCACATTCCCTCCCCTCAGCAGCTCAACCTGCACCGTCTTGTTGGTCGCTCCATCAAACGAAACGGTATGATTCCGCAACCAGTTCACACCCACCTCCACAGTCCCACGCCCTCCACCAGTAACCGTCAACCCCGATCTACCCGCCTGGCTGTCCGACCTCCGCACATCAGCAATCTCGACCCATCCCCCCTCGCCCAGCGTCACGCCACCATGCTCAATGGTGCCGTTCATACCAGTCGCCCGTCCTTCGAAGCCACCGATGAATGTCCCGACAAGACCGTCTTCCAACTCATACCGCGGTCCGCGGTTCGGTGCGATCCAGATCTGTATCTCGCTGACAGCAGTGGTGTAGTGCAGTTTATCGCTCAACGTGACCTGCAGGAAGTCCGTCTCGATCTCGAAGCCAGATTCAGGCGTGCTCTTGTTGGCAGCAGTAACGGTAGCCGGGTCCGCGAAGAGTACAGTGTTCAGCGCGTTGGGCACGCAGTCCCGCCACGGCTTCTCGAAGACCACGACTCGATTTCTGCTGTCTGTGACTTTGATGCCGTCCGGACAATCGACGACGCCGCCTCGTTCGCGGTCTGCGAAGATGGCGAGGCTGAGACTGCGCATCTTCCGGGGCCGGGGGAGGGTGATGTTGATACTGCTGTATGGCACCGTGCTTTGGTTGTGCGTCCAGCGATTATCCGGCGTCGTATCATACCACAGCAGACCGTCGTTCATCTTCCAGGCTGGATAGGGGGCGTTGTCGCCATCGACGTTGAGATTCCAGTCGGCTGTGACTGCTGGAAGGCCGTGGGGTGCTACGGGTGATTAGTCGAGCTACTTGCGAAGGGGGAGAAGGGCGCATACAGTTGGGGTTAGCTAGGATGTTCTGCCACTGCGGTTGTTGAGCTAATCGCTGGGCGGCTTCGGCTGTATTGAATGGTAGTGTAACATTGACCGCCTGGAAGTCCATCTGGTGGTGGAACTTCGTGCCGTTGGAATAGATACTGAAGCCTGCAGAGCAGTCGCCGTAGTGTGTTCCATCCTGATCCCACACCATGCTTAGCAGAGTACCATGATATGGAAGGTTCTCCACCGCGAAATGCGTCCAGTCGCTCGGTACAAGCGGCTTGAGCACGAGCGTGTCGCCGAACGTCGGAATAACTCCTAGCAAATTGGTAAAGATGTTGTCGAAGTACGTAGAGTGCAGGTAGTGTTCTGAGTGATTCGAAGTGTCTCCAGACCTAGCGCAGGTAAAGGGTTAGCAGGTGTCTCGAAAGTCGTGCAAGAAAGCAAAAGGTCTCAAGACACCACATGCAGTATGATCGTGTCTCGGAGAACACTTTGACCCATGAGTACTCACCACATGTTGATAGTTGGGAAGTGTGACTCGGCTGTGTACGGTACACCATCCTTGTAGTTGGTGAGAACATATTTTTCCAGCTCTTGATTGAAGAACTCAGACGTGGCAACGTCACTCAAGCCTTCCCTGGCAAGACGTGCGAGCGTCTGCAAGTACACTGAGGTCGAGAAGGGCCAGCTTTGCCCGTTCCAGACGCAACAATTGGTGGAGTTCTTGAAAGCGGTGTAGTATGGATTTGTCTGCTCGAGAGTCGTCGGTCCGAACTCGGTCAAGAAATGCTCTGGCGTCAAGCCTGCCTCCAGTCCACGAATGTAGGTGTCGTTGGTACCGACATCGAACCGATACGGATACATGCCAATCAGCTCGCGGCCTTCGCATCGCAGATTCGTCCCTTGAACAACGTCAATCCAGTAGTTGAGCTCTTGGCTGTAGAGATGCTCTTCCATTCGTTCGTAAAGGTCGTTGCCATAGGCTCGCCAGGTATCAGAAAGTGCGGTGCTATAATAAGGGTCAGCATAGATGGCTTTGCCGATGCCACGCAAGAGACTCACTCGCCAGCCATCGATGCCACGTCAGCTATAGCCCAAGCTCCGGCAACCATGTAGGCGTTGAAATCAGGCCGGTAAGTTTCCGGACCAAGCCAAATGAGGTCGTAGTCATTGCCTACAAAATTTATATGAAAGCCGTCAGCCTGATATCCTTGCTGTATTGGGAGGGAGGATACGCTGCCGGCTGCTATCTCCTAGACCTGTCCGAAGGCTTTACTAGGCGAAACGCCCGTTGAGGGTCATTTGGGCCGGCAAGCTCTCGGAGACTTTCAGGTCTAAGACACAGTAGCGACATGTTCCACCTATGTTTACTTACCGCCGCCCATGCTCGAACTCAGGCCAAAGTCATTCCACTCCTGCATGGGACCGCCTCCTGGACCGCCAGTCAGGTAGCCAGGCAGACTGTACTCTTGAGCGTCCTGTAGCGGGTTACGATGGTAGAGCCCAGTCCTGTTGTCGCGTGTGGTATTCCAGAGGTGGTAGATGGACACCATCCCATCTAACTGCGATACCAGAAACGGGATGTCGCCTGTGGCTTGCGCATGCTCCAGGATACCGCGGTGGACATAATGAGTGTACGTGATGTAGGACAGTTTCTCGATTCCGCCGCGAGTATAGGCTTCGATCAGGTTCTTCGCATAGTCCTGGTCTCGTAGCCAGCGGAGCTAGAAAGATGTGAAAAGTCATAAGCTGCTTGCAACTCGGCAACTCGAATGGGTGTCTCCGGAGGCACTCCTCACCTCAACTATGTGGTGGGCTGCAGAGTCTGGAATAGTCTATACTTGGTGTGCGAGATCAGCAATTGCCCATGTGCAGTACCAACGTGATCATGGTGCTCTGAAGGGCTTCTGACCTGGAACTTGCTCGCCCAGCTGACCGGATGAATGAACTCCGTCTCGATACTGCGCAAGGTCAGTCGACCCGCCTGATCATTGCCATACTCTGCAAGGACTCACAATCCATGTCCTTCGTGCGCCCACTTGAGGTGTCGCTTGATGACGCTTGCCCGGTAGTAATAGACATCCTGCATCGACTTGTCCGGCACATCGATGAACGGGATGTTGTCGAGATACCACTGGTGATCGTCAAGCCCATCGAGGTAAGACTCATGATTCAGGATACTGGTCGTCTGCAGATGTGCATCCGGTGGTGGATACGGTCGAGGATTGGACGCAAAACTCCAGGATAGCAAGGAAAGAAGAACTGTAGACTGACGAAACGAGACCATCATGACTTACTGCGGTGTACGGGGAGTGCCTCAGAGGCTCGTCCTACCCTGACAACATGATATAGTCTCTCGTTCCCATAGTGTTGCGATGATGACACGGAGAATCTCAGAATGCGAAGCGGGGACGATCGACATGAACATTGAAGTGGTCACAATTGCTTCCGGTGGGCGTCGGAAGTCTATTCGTTCGTATGTTGATCGTCGACTGTAGTAGCATGAAGGCTCCGGCGGAAAGGCCATGCTGGTGCATTGTTGCTATTGGGCCAGTGTACATGCTGGACATGAAACCACTGCCAGATTGGACGCGTGAGCATAGCTCAGCCATACAATACACTAAGGTATGCATGAGATTCGAAGGTCAACTGCAACGTTCACCAGGTTTTGAGCAGTAGGTTTGCAGGAGTATGTAATGTTGTATACTGGCTGTTCTATTCAGCTTCCAAACAGACAACACGAAAGGTGAGGGTGACTCGGACTTACCTCCATTCCGCAAGCAACCGAACCACATCCGAAAACCCGACACGTGAACAAAACTGGCAGGGATGGTTGCGTGATTGCGCTCTGGGAGACGCAAGCTCGATTGCAAGCAGATATTGAAACTATTACTACTGTACATGGCGCGCAAGTCTGCAGCTGCCGTGGGTATCATTGTGCTTCCATCCCGTCCATATGACCATATGACCAGGATCCCCTAAACTCCCAATAGCAGCCCACAAAACCCAAATGCAGAACCAAGCCAAATCCAAGATAATGTACAGGTCATCAAATGCCCATGTGGGGGGCTATTATTGCGAAAGCGGTCGTCCGGCGTGTGCTGGCCGGCAGCTAGGATGTGACCAAGGTGTTGAAGTGAAGTCGGTGAGGTGGTTGCGTCGCAATCGCGCCCGAGTCGGTGTGGAGAATGTCTTGCTGGCATGGTGGAGCAAGTCATGTGCACAGTGAATGCACTCATGACTCCGTCGCTGGAGGATGGTTTGCAAGATGCAGGCGCCTCGCGTGGGATTGGTGTGGGGCCAAGCAGCGTCTCCCAAACTCAGACTCGTCGATGCGGTTCGAGGCCGCCCAAGTCGTGCCGCAGGTGTGTAGGCGGAAGGAGATGTCGGCAATTCCTCGAATGTACGAGCTGTTGTGGTGTTCTTGTCCAGTCTTCGTTGCTCACAAGGAAATGTATTGAGCCGTCATTGGCTTCGATCAAGGCCATCGTTCGTCCAGAAGTTGCAATAGAAGGTGAAAGGCATTCGGTTGGTTGTCAGTGGCGACGGAGGTTCGCTCACTTTGGTGTTGGGGGTAATGGCCGAGTGGGTGGCGGGCCCGGGCAAGGTGGGAAGGCGACGGCAGGCATTGTGGTGGTGGTGGTTGCTTGACACGTGAAGAGTGTTGGTTGGTTAACGTAGTCTGATTGGTGTGGAAGTGTGTCGAAGACGTGTGGTGCGGTCGATCAGTGATGTGTCGGTGGTGTGATATAGTGAAAAGCAGACAGTCGGGAGGCAGACAAGATTATATACACCACGAGGCCAGCACACCCCATCAGACGATCGCAACCAGGATCCTTGGATGATGCAAGACCAGGCAACACGCTAACCCTAGACCGCCGCGCATCATGTCAGGCGGTGTGTGCCTGACAAGGAGTGAGTTGTCCGGTCGAAGAGCTAAAATTGTTTGACAAGGCTGAGAGGCTTTGAGCACGGGGCCAGGGCAAGACACGCATGACTACATTTTCTGATCATCCTGAGCCGTGTCGTCCGGGGTGTAAGCGCAGCTACAGGCTAGGTTTCAAGCAATCAATTCTCTCGTTCCGCTTGTTGCCTACTTCTCGCACGCCATACCAGCTTCCCTCGGGATGCTCTCGAGCGGCAACATCGGTGTGAGCGACGAGGCGTTGTCTGACAAGCCGTCGGCGGAGTCGCGGCAGCCAGCCATAACCGGCTGATTAGTGTTCAGTCGAACGGTGAGCCGTACGATTCGTACTTCGTATACAATTGAGTTTCCCGCCAAGAGCCGCGGGCGAACGAGTCCAAGAGCTTCCGCAGGTCTTCTGCTGCAGGCGGACAGGGGTGCATGAGCAACCACTCGCAGCAGGCACCCGCTTGTTTCAAGACACACCGACCACGAGCATTTTCCGCTCGCTCGCCGAGGTGGCAAATTGGGAAGTGTGCACAGAGCGTTGCCGCACCGACTGTCGTGTCTTCATCTCGCATCGCGCGCACGGTGCCTGGGGTATGGCGCTTTAGAACGTCGCTAGAAGAACGAGCATGACTCCATTTTGGACAACCTGCTGACGCTGACATCGCCGAGACCTTCCATCCCGCGGACTGCCCATATCGGTTGCCGGTCTTCCTGCTTCCAACCAGGTCACAAGGCATGACATGCCGTGGAGCCGTGCAAGACACGCAATGGTGCATCGGACTGTATCGGCTGGCCGGCAGACATCGAACCATGACGGTAGATTTGGGCGCTCGAAGCGGCAGAGGCGCAAATGCAATGCCCAATCCCACTTCTGCGAGCAAACTCAATTCCGGTCTGGCCCACGCAACGGGTGCAGCACACGTGGCCGCACCGACCACTCCTGTCTGTGACTGCAGATGAAATTACCGTTGCTTCTCCTGCTCCTATACATCGCATAAAGTATGTGTGTACCGACTACCACAGATACACACGTGTTGCAGGACCTCCTTGAAACGACAGCTGTCCCTGCGAGTCGGTCTGCTTCACCTCGCCCCTCGGTTTGATCGCTCGCAAATCTGTCTCAGACAGATCAGCAGGGGTCAGTGAAAGGAGGCGCATTGATGTGCGTCTAGCATCGAAGCTCATGAAGATCCCGCCGATGCGCCGATTCTTGCCACAACGCGAGCGGGATGCCGAGTTTCGAAACGTTCAGTCATCACGAAGGTGTTTCGTATGGCGATGGTATGGGTGATCGATGTTCTGCCAACAAGCACGCAATCAAGGGGGAGTGTACGTATCACCTCGTGAACGCTGACGAGTCCGCGCGAGCATTGGTGAAAGTCAATGGTTTGACCGTTCGAGTCAATCGATTTGCAGAGTCTATTTCCAGCTGCCAGGCGTTTCCGGTTGTTCCAAATAGGAATGTGCTTTTCCTTGACTTCCCGCCAGTGTGGACGAACTGATGAAGAGGCCGTGGGATGTCATGCATGACATATATTGGGTGCATGCTCAATATATTGCTCGCTCGCGTGTTGGCTCACACAATTATAATTAGCATGCTAGGACGCGCACAAGAAATGGTCAGACGCTGAGGCGAAGAGAGAGTGCTTCTGAAGCTCACGCATATGCGAGGCAAGAGGTGGAAGGCAATTGTGGTTGACACTGTACTATGGGCGGTACGGAAGCGGCCAGATCTGGCTGCTGTCGGAACGATGGCAGCCGCAGTGATTACACAGCTGCGTACTCAGCCGTCGCATCGCGTCGTATCTTGCTGTGAGGTTAGCCTCATGCACAACAGCTGCACATGCATGGCAAATTGCTGACGCCCTCCCACGTGGAATCTTTCCGCCGGCTGGGCGGTCCTGTTGCACGCTGACAGCCACGAGCACCCTGGCAGCTGGGGGCGAGATATCGCTAATGGCGCAATTCGCAGAGCGGCCTGGACTCCTTCATGGAATGGTGGATTATCTGCTCATGTTGGTGGCCTGATCGTGTCGGGAAACAGCCTCAGCCATCGTCGAGCTCGTCCAACCCTGCCTCCTGCGCGGCCTGCGTGCTAACCCACTGCTCCATCATTTGGCTGCCTCCCAGAGGCGCACTCGCTGCACCGGAGGCTGCTTTCTTGCCCTTTCTCTTCACCACAAGGCACAAGATCCGGCCGTAGATGCTAAAGCCGTCGTACGAAGTGTTCATTCCCAGCTTCTTCTTGTCGTCTGCATTTGTCTCTTCGTCGTCTCCAACTTCAGCGGATTCGGACTGCTTCGTAGATCGTTTGCGCTTTTTAGTCCTCTGCGCGCGCTGCGTTTGGAAGAAGTCCTCGTCGCTCGAGCTGACGAACAGAGCATCATCCTCTTCATCACCTGCTCCTCTTCTCCCTTTGCCTGCGCTACCAGCCTCCGGAATATCCTTCAACTCAGCAACATCATCATTCTCTTCTTGTAGAACCGCCGGCGCCTGCTCGTCGTCTTCAACGTGTATCGCGTTTTCGGCGCTGTTGTTGAGCCAGCCCGAGAGCTTGTTGCCTGTGCTCTTCAGCTTCGGCTTGTCGCTGAAGGTCTTCTGCTTGGTGAGTAGCGAATGCCTGGTCGAAAGCTCGGTCAAGAAGATGGTGACTTCAAAGTCCTCGCCGACAACCACATCTTTGATGCCCTTCTTCTTCTTGCCGCCTTTCTTTTTGGCGTTCTCGTTCTCTTCTCTTAGCTTGGGTAGTACTTTCGGTCGTACTGCCTCGATGATGCGCGGGAGGACATTGTCGCGGGTGGAGAGCAACCAGCCGGACTCTGATGGCCGGTCTAGGTAGATGCGCACTTCCAGGACAGAATACTTGGTTATGCGCAGATAGCGTCTGATTGGCGACATATTGTCGATGTAGGAAGGGATGTGAAGTAGTTGCATGCAAGATGGAGGAAATAGTGGGCACGAGTCATGTTTGCATCTCAAGCTTTACCCCACAACGCGTCGCGTGTCACTCAAAGCAGTCGCGACTGGTCTGATCATGAATCTCGACTAACTACACCTTCGACTTGCAACATACAACACCGACACCATCATCGAGTCAAAATGTTGGCGGCGTCAGCAGCACCGCGCATCGATCCGAAGAAGCGAGCAGTGCTCGACCACCGGAAACAACAATTCGCAAAGGCACAATGGGTTGAGCAAGACTACAAGCATCGCATGAATTTCTACACGGTCCCACCCACAGGAGACGTCACGCTCGAGCAGTTCGAAGAATGGGGCATCGCGCGTCTGAAAGTGCTTGCCGAACTTGAGGCATGCCAGTTCAGGAACAAGTCGCCAGCGGAGACCGAGGAGTACATGCGGCCAGTCATGGAGAAGCACTTGCGTCTGAGCAGCAACCGGAGTAGAAGCTCAGAGCTGGCGATGGAGAGGAAGAAAGACCACTACTCACACTGGACTCTTCGACTGGCTTTCAGCGGGACGGCTGACCTACGGCAGCGGTTTGCACGACTTGAGACGCAGCTGTTCAAGCTTCGGATGCAGCAGGATGATGGTGTGGAGAAGAAAGCGTTCATTGACTCGCTCCCGATGAGCTGGGAGACTGTGGGTGACGAAGAGAAGAGTCGGTGGCTGGATGAGCTGAAGGCGGCCACCAGTGTGTCGAAGACAGATGAAGAAAGCTGGTTCAAGGTCGACTGGGAGAAGGTGCCAGAGCTGGTTGAAAGGCGGCAGGTCTTGATGAAGAGAGGAACAGCCTACGTTCACGTTCGGGAGCAAGTGAACATGGTGGTAAGCGAATTCTCGCGTACTCTTGAATCTGGTCTGGAGCTAGCGGCACGCTTCCTACCACGGATGGATGAAGACAATCGCTTGTCGCCCATACTACACCATCTGTCGCAGTCGTTCGTTGCTCCCGACGCAGGCTACAGTGAAGCTTCAAGCATCAGCGACATGGCAAGTATCAACGCGGGCAGTATTGATGCACTGAGCGAGAACTTCCCACTGTGTATGCGCAACTTACACCGGGAGTTGAGGAAGAATAGCCATCTGAAGCATTTCGGCCGGCTACAGTACACACTGTTCTTGAAGGGCATTGGACTGAGTCTCCAAGAGTGCATCGTCTTTTGGAGAAAGAGCTTCAAGCTCATCGCTGACGGTAACAAGCTATGGGATCTCTGCTTTACGATCCATGCACTGACATTGTGTACAGACAAGTTCAAGTCCGAATACCTGTACAACATCCGACACAGCTACGGGGATGTGGGCGGTGACGCGAACCGCCGCGGAAAAGGCTATACGCCATACTCCTGCCAAAAGCTTCTCACCGAGGCGCTACCGTCAAGCGGCCAAAATCATGGATGCCCGTACCGAACATACACTCCCGACAATCTGAGCACCCTCCTCCAGAGTGTGGGTGTCAGCGACCAGAAGCTGCTCCGAGAAGTCCGTGACGATGTCGGCAAGCAGAGGTACCACATTGCGTGCAACAAGGTCTTTGAATCTGCGCATAAGCCGGAGCTGAAGAAGGTGGGATTTGCTCCTCGTTGTGTAATACTCCCTTTGTACTGACATTACGCAGGTACAGGATCAGAAACTGTGGCCGGCGAGCGAGCTGGACACTATTCTGCACCCGAACACGTACTTCAAGAGGAGTTTCCTACTGAAGAATTTGGGGAAGGTGCAGAGTGGCGACATTGGGGTGGATGGGCCGACGCAACAGAGTACAGAGTGATATCGATGCGGTTATATTTTGGATTGAGCATGGCGTCGGGGCGCGGGCCTTGGTGAGCATTCTTCGGCGTTGTGGTTCTTCATTGCACTAGGTGCCACTACAGACTATACTGCTGATACCGCTCTATACCAATTTCATGACCAGCGATTCCGTCTCACATCTCCTAGGACGGCAAGACAACATTCCGCCGAAATGAGGCATTGCCCGAGTTCCACAGAAGCCACCTTGAAAGCTGAGACAAAGGCTACCATACCTGCTGGGCCCTTTTCTCCTCCGCAGTGGCTGTTTCTTCCCACGGCCCCGTACGCGGGTAGCGACGGCGTGGAGCAAGTACCACAAAAGTGGCTTGTTGTTGGTCGACACAGTTCGTGCAATGGACCCGCTTACCACGTCTCTGAAAGCCACAGCGTGATGCAATGGTCAGTGGCAGCAGCTCATGGCAGGTTCACCATGCCCGAGATGCCCTCCCAGACGCTGGCACAACATTCTTGAAAGAAAGCAATAGGCACGACAAGAGCCCATCGGAAGATCTGTGGAAAAGTCGGTCAAGACCTCGACAGTCTACTTATGGCCTCTGTATTCGCCCACCAAAGCATCCTTTCCCACCCACTGAGTTGCGATCACTACGATGTACGCACAACTAGCCGTCTGCTCACTCCTCAGCACCGTGGCGTTCGCCGCACGAGCTCCAGTCGACAACGGCATCAAATTCCCCTTCTCGAGGAACCACAAAACCGTGACGAACGACGATGGCACCGTCAACCCGGAATGGTACTTTGGTGAATTGAAGCACACAGTAGGGAAGTATGGTATGAAAGTCAAACTCCCGGGCAAGGCTGGGGAGGTCGTTAGGAGAGGGACAAGGTGATTCTGCTTCGTTTAACCCCAATTGTGATTGTCCTGGAGTTGCTTGTGCTGAAGACTGGTATCCAGCTCGATCCCGGACGCTTTCGAGCCTCTCAAGGACCAAGGCAACGATTTGCTCTACTACGGCATCGCTACCGTGGGCGCTGAGAACGACAAGCCGCAGGCATTCACCACTGACTTTGACACTGGTTCTGCCGATTTCTTCGTGCCGGGGCCTACCTGTGGCACGGCTCAGGGGTGTGTTGGGAAGATCAAGTACGATAGAGGCGGTGTCGATGTAAGTCAGCGAATTATGGGAGATTGTGATAGCGCCTGACCTGAAGGCGTTGCTATCAGGAAGGCAACACGACTGCCGTTACGTACGGCTCTGGCATGATCATGGGGGAGAACTACTTCGACAGCGTAGACGTCGCCGGCTTGACGGCCGAGAACACGAACGTCATCTCGTTGACGAGTGCACAAGGGTTCTCAACGTAAGTGCTTCCGCAGACAACCTCTTGCTCACCCATCCCTGCCTGTCCAAACAACTTAACCACATGATCGGTCTTTCTAAGCACTGGGCTGACCACACCCTCGCACCAGCTCCAAATCCGCCGCCCGCATGGGCATGGCCTTCTCCACCATCGCCCGCTCCAAACAACCCACCTGGTTCGAGAACCTCATCACGCAGAAAGTCATCTCCAACCCCGACTTCAGCTTCTTCCTCGGCGGCCGCGCCTCCGACCGCTTCCGCGGCCCGGTCACCAAGATCCCGCTGAGCGCTGAGACGTACTGGCAAGTCGCCGTCGACACCGTGCTGGTCAACGGCAAGAAGGCTCCTGCTTTCGATCCCACGGTCGGGAATGCTGCGATCGATACCGGGACGACGCTGGTCATTGCGCCGACGTTGGCGACGGCGAGTATTTACAGTCGTGTGCCCGGGGCGTTCCCGGTACCGGTGAGTGGGACGAATTTGCTGGTTTATGCGTATCCGTGCAAGCAGACGCCGAATGTGGCGTTTCAGTTTGGAGGGAAGGGGCGGAAGTTTGCGACTAATAAGAAGGACTTTAGTTTGGGGACTATTACCACGAATTTTGCGGAGTTTATTGGGGATGATGGGATGGCTAGACGGCTTGCTGATACGCAGTATTGTCTTGGGTCGGTTGCTGGGGCTGATATCAACCCGGGGTTGAACCTGTATGTTGTGGTAAGTGGACCTTTCTCATACAGTCGCCTCTAGGGTTTGGGAGGTTACGTTGCTGACGGATGTGGCCAGGGTGATACGTTCTTGAAGAACTGGTACTCGATCTACAGTTACAACAACGACGGCGGCAAGCCGAGCGTGAGCTTCGCGAAGGCTTCGGTCTCGATTCCTTCGTAGGCCCTGCGGCCGGCTCCAGCGGTCAAAGCGTGTGGGTCGACTGGTCATGAAGGTGATGCTTTTGAATGCAACGGGCATCCCATCAATTGAACGACTTACGATAGTATCGTTAGCGTCTTTTGCATTGAGTACAGATCGCAACGAAGCTTAGATACTCCAGCATGAGATAATGCTTTTCAAACTGTTCCCTCTCTTCTCAACTGCCTTCGAGACGCCCTTAAAATTTTGATGACTGGCTGTCCGTTTGGCAGGGAGCCAGCCTCACCACAACAGTAGCCAGCCAGACGAGGCCAGGTATCGCGAACATATCGCTACGAAAGTGGAAGTGCGGAACCAGGATGGAGAGAGGGTGTTAGGAACAGAATGCCGAAGAAGGGAGAAGAGGAGATTGATGCGTAAAAACCGACTGTCCTGCTCGTGACATCACCCACAGTGAAACTTCACAACCGAAGAGTGATACAATGAAGGCCAATTCATCGAAGTCCTCGCCGGCTGAACCTTGGGGTCTTTTATAAATACTATATTGTTGTTTCTACAACCTCACTTTCAATAAGAAAAACCAGCTATTGGCTAAGCTTGTTGTTCTTACCTTGCAAATCTCGCAGAACCTCGTATCTCGGATAAAGTCCATCGAGTGAGTTGGTTAGCAATGATCCAGTCCCATCTTGTTTGGCGTAAGTGGCTGTAGAGTTGATCAGTGGTCGAATTGGCAACTTGACTACAAGGTTTCTTTTTGCTAATGGATTCTTCGTCGATTACAGGTAGTGTTAGGGTGTTGAGTGATGTGGTCTGGCGCTGATGCTTAACGGGTTGGATGTGCTGCAGACGTTCGTGATGAGGATCCAGCAGGCCATGTCTCAGCAGCACAGAGAGGCACGAACACCCGGAAAATCTGTTGATGATGGTACATCGTGGTCTTCCTTCCTCTCCGGGTAGCACATGGACTGCAATGACGGCTGGGAATCACAACATACATGTACCAGTGATCCGGCGGCCACGAGGCCGAAGTAATGTAGCACAAGCGCCTTGCGGACCATGAAGAGTGTGTGTGCCATTCACCGACGTGGCATTGAGACTGCCGTAGGTCGTGTGACGGCCTTGTCATGGGGGCCGGTACTGCTCGAGATGAGGTGAGGTCGGCTCGTGAATGCCAAGCCGATCGGCTTCGCTGGTGGTCGGGTGTTTTTGCAGACGAACTCAATTCATCTGCCTCTGCCTCCTCACTCTGTTTCGCGTCACAACAACCACCCGTCCCATCTCCATACACATCACGGCTCGCGCTCATCACCGACTCGACATTCCTCGACCACAAGGCCGCGCGCAAGACTTGCCCATAGCTTCCTTCATCACTTCGCGTGCTCGGCGTCTTCCTTGACTGCTTCTTGGAGCTTGCTCATATCCTTGCCTACACGTTTGAGCCTGCGCTGATATACAGCGACCACTGCTGCCACCTCCATCTACTCGACCCTTTCTCTCTTCGCCCTGCTCGCCCGCCACCATGGCCACCGAGCAAGTCCCCATCAACGGCAACTACGCTCCGCACTCTGGCTACAATGGCTTAGAGCAGCACCCCAACAGCTACGCCTACAGCGCCAACGGCAGCTCATCTTCACAAGCCACCGTCACTCAAGCAGCCCCTGCCTCGTCCACACCCGCCGCCGCTACCTCCGCGTCCTCCGCTGCTCCCAACCAACAAGACGTCTCGAAAGATGAGGTTGGCTGGTTCTTCGTCGAGCAATACTACACCACCCTGAGCCGCAGCCCCGAGAAGCTCTACCTCTTCTACAGCAAGCGCTCACAGCATGTGTCGGGTCAGGAGACGGACAAGGTGTCTGTCTGCGTTGGTCAGAGAGCCATCCATGACCGGATAAAGGAGCATGATTTCCAGGACTGCAAAGTGCGCGTGACCAACGTCGACTCGCAGGCTTCCGACAACAACATCGTCATCCAGGTCATTGGCGAGATCTCCAACAAGTCGCAGCCGCATAAGAAGTTCACGCAGACCTTCGTCCTCGCCCCGCAAGTCAAGGGTTACTTCGTGCTGAACGACGTCTTCCGCTATCTCATCGAAGAAGAGGACGAGCCTGAGCAGGTCGACACCAGCGCAGAAGAGGTGCAGCAGGCCCCAGCGGTCCCCACGGGTGGCTACCAAGAGCCAGCACCAACTGCCTCAGAGACGCCTGCTCAGCCCGAAGGGTTGACAAGCTCGACTGACCCAGCTGCCGTTGAGCACGATGCTCAGCAGGTCGACAAGGAGATTGAGAGCAAGGTCGCGGCCGACGAAGCTGCCGAGTCCACCGAGCCGAAGGTCAACGGCCACGCGACTGCTGAGGAGGAAGTCAAGGAAGCAGAAGACGCGCCAGCTGTTGCTCCCGCTCCCGTTGACGAGCCTGTGGCCACTGAGGATGTGCCATCAGCCGCTCCCGAGCCAGTTGCCCAGCCTGAGAAGCCTGCCGCACCCGCCCCAACTCCTTCACCGCCTAAGCAAGCCCCAGCCCAGCCCGCCGCGCCGCCAAAGCCAGCAGCGCCAAAGACATGGGCATCTCTCGCAGCATCTGCCAACCGCGTCGCAACACCAGCCACTCCCTCTTCAGCATCTTCGTCTACCTCTCAAAGCAAGCCGACGCCGAAACCAGCTCCTGCAGCCCAACCGGCCGCTGCCGCTGCACCGACACCGCAACCTCCCGCACCAGCTCAAGCCGCCCAGCGTGAGGCTTCACCCGCACAGGGTAGCGACGAGTGGACGGCAGTTGGCAGCAGCCACAACCGCAACCAGTCTCGTCAGGCCAACGCTCAGCCTGAGGGACCACAGCACCGCGGCTACATCAAGAACGTGCACGAAGGCGTTGATAGGAACGCGCTGAGGGCACGTCTGGAGACTTTCGGGGAGCTGCTCTGGTTCGACGTTGCGGACCACAAGGTAAGTTCATGGCCCCCGACCACTCCTTCTGATTTCACTGTACTGACAAGAGCAGAACTGCGCCTTCGTGGACTTCAAGACTCTCGAAGGCTACAACGCTGCCATTGCGGCGAACCCACACGTCATCAGCGATGAGAACTTGTACGTCGAGAAGCGCAAGTTCCTTCCTGGCGCCACCGCCTACAACGGTCGTGGTCGTGGCCGCGGAGGTGTTGGTCAGGGACCACCACGTGGAGGCTTCCAGGGTCGTGGCGGGTACCAGGGACCGAGGGGTGGACGTGGTGGTGGGCCAGGCGGCGCTCCTCGTGGACGTGGCAGCTCGATCGCTACCTAGGATCGCCAGGACCACGTGCAGCCTTTGAGGCGATGGCGTGACGTCGAAGAACCGAACGACTACACTTACACCCATGTGTTACACTACGAACCATTCGAAAAGCAATCCCAGAAGCAACGGAAGGAGGCTGCGAAAAAAAGTCACTGCTGCGTCACCGCAATCGGCCGGGTTTTTGCATAGCGTGGGTACCCCTTCACTTCTTCTTTGCCTTCTTTTGTCGCGGCTTGAGCGGATGGCAGGCGGCATGGCTGGCGATTGTGCTTGATGTTCTTCTGCTGTGTGTTATATATGGCTGGTATGAGGTTGTTGTGTTTGAAAGCGCGGACGACGAGTGGGGAGATATTCAAAGGGAGAGAGGATGCAGCGAAGAAGGGTGGAGCGAAGGATGTGCATACGGGTGTCTCAAATAGCTGGACAATGATTCAAGACAAATCTTGCTATACCGCTGCTTGCTAATGTCGTTGCTGTCGTCGGTGATGTGATTGGTTGGTCCTGGAATGGCATGCAGGTGGCATTTGGATCAAGGTACGGCGTGACGCTACGTACCCTTCTGCCCTGACGTCTACCACTGTTCGACTGAGTTAACGTGCTGCTACTGGTGTCCATGTCCACTTCATGAGGTCCTTTATTGCAGCATTGGCACAATCACTCCTCCTTCCACCGCACTGGATCGCGTCTTGGACGGGCGATAAGCCCCACGCCGTCTCCACTCCTCCACCTCCGGAACGAGGGGTGTCATAGATCACCATCGCCGTCGGACCTCGACACTCATCCGTGAACAGCATCAAGCATTCGGAGGCATCGAAGGCATCCACCGGAGTCTTGGGAAAGCAGTCGAACTGTAACCGCCTGCTCGAGCCGCCCATACCGCCAGCTATCGGTCAACAACAAAGAGCTCTCCTTGCCCAGCTTACCGCATCTTGAATCAATGCATCATACACCATGAGCGCGCCACAGGACTCGCCGCAACACCGTACGGTCAGAGGGAAGAGAGTCGCGACAGGCCAACCACCCTACACCAACCCAGGCCACTCGGGGCCCACGACGTTCTTTCTGAAGAGCGAGAAGGACATCGAGGCTGGCGCGCAGCAGCAGCGAGGACGCAAGATGTCCCGCGCCTCAGCATCGACACAAGACGAGAACACTTCGCCCACGCCCAGCGGGAGCATGAGCGGCGACAGCAGCTTCGGCGTCCAGAGCCTCGAAGACACCATCAACCCGCCTCCCTACCACGACTCCCGCTCCCTCTCCCGCACCGACAGCAACATCAGCGACGCCAGCTTCGACCCGAGCGCCGACCCCACCCCTCTCTCCAGCCGCAAGCGCAAAGCAGGCAACCCCGTCCACCCACGCATCGCAGCCGCCGGCCAACGCATCATCTCCTCCGACCACCTCTCCTCCCCCACCCAAGCGCCGCGGAATGGATCACCCGTATCGCTGCGCTCAATCGACTCGCCGGTACATTCCCGTCTACGGCGTGGTTCGGCGGCGAGTTCGTTGAATCTGAGTCAGCCCATTACGCCGTTGAAGATGAGCCCGCAGCCCGCGTCTGCGATGCCGAGTACGCCGCGCTCCGGGTCGCCGAAGTCTTTCCGGTTGAGTGATGGGGAGGTTAGTGAGGCGGATAGTCAGGCTGTGCAGTCATCGTGCGGGGATGAAGAAGAGGGGGATAGTGAAGTGGTTGGGGCGGGAGCGATGCCGCAGCTTGTGATGCCGAGTATTGCTATGCCTTCGAGACGGCCTTTCACGGAGAGGGGAAGGCTGATGGGAAGGCTGAAAGTCATGGCCATTGGGCAGAGGGGAGTGGGTAAGACGAGTCTGATACAGAGCATGTGTCGGGCGTGCGAGGACGTGGTGCACGTGGATTCGATGGCTACGGGTCCGTATGGTATGCCGGAGTCCCTTTGCGATGAGAGCGCTTGTACTGGGACTAGGAAGATCGAAGAGATTGGTGCTTCCACACGGCCGTACCCGTCTTGGTGGACGGATTTCGAAACCAGGCGGATGTTGTTGAAGCGGAAGAGTATGGGCGAAGGCGTGCTGGAGCGGAATATCACGTTTGTTGACACGCCTGGCTTTCACGAGGGTCATCATGTGAAGCAGGTGCTTGAGCACTTCAAGTCTTCATTATCGAGGATGACGACCATGGGGAAGATGGGGGACAGTGAGTTGATTGGTATGTTGAGCGGGGAGGGTGGGGTGCAGACTGATGCTGTGATCTATGTCTTCGAGCCGCAGGTGGATGCGAAGGAGGCAGCAGACGCCGAGAACAGCGAGCTGGATCTACTGCGCTATCTGTGCAAGTGGACGAACGTGATACCAGTCATCGGACGCGCGGACGAGGTCGACGCAGCTACGATTGAGGAGCGGAAGAAGCAGCTTCTCGCCATGTTCGAGCAGCTCGATGACAAGCCCTTCCTCAACGAACTCCTTTCCACCTTCTCCAAGGAGCACCCTGCAGAGCCCTTCGCCATCTCCTCCGCCCTAGCAGACGACAGCGAAACCATCGATGCCAGCGTTCTCATGTCCTCCTCTTACCTCCAACCCCTCATCCCCAGCGAACTCGACGTTTTCGTCTCCGCCCTCTTCGAACCCAACAACACCGCCCGCCTCCGCCATTTCTCCGCCACCAAATTCCTCCTCTGGCGGCAAGAGAATCTAGGCTCGCTATTCCAAAACCACCTCCTCCTCGCCAGCCCAGAAATCCCCGACGAAACGAGCAAAGTCCTCGTCCCTCACGGCGACTCAAGCTACTTCCGCTCCGCCTCTCCAACCACGGACTCCGACAACGCTGCCGGAAGAGGCCCATCACCTTACGCCCGTGCCCTTGCCAACGCCTCTCCTAGCGAACCGTTCCGCCAACTTCGTCTGGCGAAGTGGGCGCAGGATCTGCAGCGCAGCTTGGACAACGAGCGGAGAAGGGTGCAACAGCGTTTCTACCCGAACTCCTCTGGTAGCAGCGCTGATAGCGATGAGAAGCACTCACCCACCCTCCCCCTCACAACCACCTCCTCCCAACCGCGCGGCGCTAAAGGTCGTCTCGGCGGCCCCGTCGCCATCATCGACCCCCGCGACCCTCTCGGTCTCCTAGCTTTCGGCCAGGTTTTCAGGCGAAGAGGGTACGTGGTCATGCGAGTCGCAGCTGGTGCGGGGGTTGTAGGGGCGGTTTGCTGGTGGGTGCTGAGGAATTGGACGGATGTGCAGGAGTGGTTGGGGTTTGGTGGGCAGGGGGAGGTGTGGAGTGTGAGTGCTGTGCCGGCGCCGAGTGCGGGGGTGGAGGGGTGGAGGGAGTGGGCTGGGTTGAGGTGAGGGATGTATGGTTGTGGTGTTGTTTGGTGGCGGGATGGGTGTGGTTGCGATGCATGTGTGCGGAGCAACGGGGGCGTTTGCTCGGGCGGTATACCACTCTGATCTCTGCAGGCGTTTGTTTAGCTCAGCTCATGCATGCACGATATTACTTCTCGTTCTCGAAATCTACGTGAGCGGTGGCTTTCATCTGCCCCTGCTTCTGCTTCTTTATTTGTTGTCCCAATCGGGAAGGCACTTGGGCCGACTTCACGCCGAAAGGTCTCCAACGTCTTTTCTCGACGACAACTTCAAGTACTGAACGACTTATTGCCAATCATCTCTCATCCATCCTTCGCAAATGCTCCGACGCCTGACTTCCAGCACGCTCCGACGCGGATACTCAATCATGGCGGAAGCCGGCTCTCAGACGCCGATGGAGGACGCGATGAGGCGGAAGGTAAGCCATTCCCCCGTGGCCATTGGAATATATCACTGATAGGTGGAATGAAAAGATTATAGAAGCACTAGCACCAGCCTCCCTCGAAGTCTTCAACGATTCAGACGCTCATGCGCATCACAAGGCGATGCGAGGGAGTACTTCAAGGGAGACGCATTTTAGGTACCGATTCAACCATTACCTCTTCGACAATTTACGGTTCTGACTACGGAGTACTCTAGGGTCTTCATAACATCCGATGCCTTCAAATCGAAGATGCAGCCCGCGCGCCACCGAATGGTGTACGCTTTACTCAAGGACGAGATGGCGACGGAGGGGGGGATTCATGCTTTGCAACTACGGACGCGGACGGTTGAGGAGGACGAGAGGGCGAAGGCGAAGGAGGCTGCGTAGGGGTTTGAGATTGAACTGGTGCTCACGTGATCACTGGAGAAGGCCGTGAAGCCGCACCTGGCTGGTGGCACGGTATGCATGTCTGAGGTATATCTACAGGGTATCGAGGGCTGATGAAAGGCGCTCAAACAGGTCGTGCCAGTGCTAGACATCCGGCGGGTATGTCGGGTTCTGTGATGTTGTATTCAGCATTGAAGACGTGGTGGTGAACGTGAAAACGCCTACCTTAACATGCGCGCCCGACGGAGCAGAATTGAGAAAGCTCAGGTAGCAGTTCCAGCCTGGCAGCGCCGTCAGCATTATCGTTCACACCCAGCATTCGATTCCACTCACCCAGCGACACCAGATTCACCATCAGAACCTGGTACTGCAACGGGACGTATTTGAAATTCGTAAACTGCGCCACGGGCCACACCATCCAATTCTTCTGCAGCGCGTTGAAATAGCTGTCCTCCAGCTTCTTCTTCGGATCACTGCCCTCCATGATCGCCATACTGCTGAGGAAGAGGAACAGGTTCGTACTAGCGAACACCGTCTGATCTGTCGCGACCCGCGCCACGATCTGGAGGTTCGGTCGGCCGGGCAGTACTATCTTGCGCTGCAGGAACTGATACCAGAGGGTGGCGCCGGGGCCGAAGACGGCGCCGCCATAGATGGCCATGCGCGCCGTACGTGCGAGGTTGTGTTCTTTGAGGCCGCGTTTCTCGATCGCTTGTTGGGCCATGGTGTCGCCGGTTGCGAAGAGGACGGCGGTGGTGATGGATTGGGTGAGGACGGGGCGGGCGGCGAGGCGGGCTTGGTACCTGTGGTTTCGTTAGTTTGGTGTGTTATGAGTGGCTTGGAATGCAGCATACCATCGTAATACGCCGGCCATTGTGGGTGTGGGTGTTGCGATAAGGAAGCTCCTGGTGGCTTAGGGAGTGGTTGTGAGGGCGATGGATGGCCCGGTGTACAGATCCAGCTGTGATCGCAAGCCCATAGAGATGCTCGGGGGATGTCAATGTGTCGTGTATGCGCTGTCGAAGGGTTGTTGTGAGCTGTTGTGCTCTGAAGATAAGAAGACTCTCTCCTTCCATTGAAGAGGCTCAAATCAAGATCGACGTCACTCGGCCCAAGCTCCGTGCTAAGCTTTACGGCGCTTCGGGAGTGGCCGCGCGTGGGATGATCGATGAAGTCAAGCGTTTGCCTTCTTGACTAACTACACCTCTATCTCGTCTCCACCATCAAACGCAGTGATGGCAGACACCATGGACGGTGATTCTTCGTCTGGTGATGGCAACGGGGCAGCCATCTTCTCACTTCTGGACACGGATCTGTACAAGCTCACAATGCAATGTGCCATCCTCAAATACTTCGACAAGGTTCACATCGCCTATGGCTTTACCAATCGCACGCCTCATATGAAGTTGACAGTCGGCGCCTTCAAGTGGCTCCAGAATCAAGTCAACCGGCTTGGTGAGATCACTGTGACCTCTGAGGAAATCGAATGGCTGAAGAAGACATGTCCCTACTTCAGCAAGGACTATCTCGACTACCTGCAGAAGTTCAAGTTGAAGCCCAGCGAGCATGTTCAGCTGTCATGTCAAACCGAGTCCAAAGCCGAGGATGATGAGACGCCGTGCACCATCTCCTTGTAAGTGGACACGGCCTTCGAGACGAGATCAAGCACCACGTAACGTTCTGCTGCTTCGCTGATCTGTTCTTGTGTTCGTGACACTCGCTGACTTTGCGTTCGAGATCTGTCCGAGGTCTGTGGGTTGAGACCATTCTTTACGAGATCCCGCTCCTCGCTCTCATATCGGAAGCATACTTCAAGTTCGTCGACCGTGACTGGAACCGAGATGGACAGGTCGCGAACGCCCAAGACAAGGCGTACAAGTTGCTCAAGAACGGATGTGTCTTCAGCGAGTTCGGTAAGTGACTGGCTTTCCGGAAGACCTTCAATGCCATACGGCACTTCCAAGGGCTTCAAATCGTTATTGCTCTTCCAGAACAATTCGCTGATCTTTCGCTCTAGGCACCAGACGGCGTCGTGACTACAAAGCACACGAGCAGGTCATGCAAGGCTTGACAATCGCTCAAAGGGAGGCGAGTCTCGACTTCAAAGACTGGACTGGCAAATTCACTGGCACTTCCAACGTCCACTTCGCCATGAAGTTCGGTGTTGCGCCCATTGGAACGGTTGCGCACGAGTGGTTCATGGGTATTGCAGCGATTACGCAAGACTATGCCAACGCCAACGAGCTTGCAATGCAGTACTGGACCGGTACCTTCGGACGTGGCGTGCTTTCCATCGCTCTGACTGACACATTCGGCACTCCCGCATTTCTCAAAGCGTTCGCTAAGCCAGCTGCAAAGAGTGGAAGTGCTGAGGAAGGCAACTCCAAAGAAGATCCCACCTACGCCCAAATCTTCACCGGAACCCGGCAGGACTCTGGCGACCCGCTCGAGTTTGTCAAGACGATCTCGAAATTCTACCAGAGCCAAGGCATCACCGACAAAAAGGTCGTCGTCTTCTCGGACAGTCTAAACGTCGAGAAATGCATCACGTATCGCGAAGCGACGATAGCGGCTGGTCTAACACCCTCTTTCGGTGTTGGGACCTTCTTCACCAACGACTTCATGCATGCGAGCAACAAGGATGAAAAGAGCGTTCCGCTCAACATTGTCATCAAGCTTAGTGAGGCGGAGGGCGTCCCGGCAGTGAAGCTGAGTGACAACAAGGGGAAGAATATGGGGTCTGACGAGTTGGTCCAGAAGGTGAAGAATCTGGTAAGTGCTTTGCAACACCAAAGAGTGCCGATCGTTGTTTCAGGGCTGTCGGATTCCTCTGTTCGGTATATGTGTGTACTGACCAGCTACACAGGTTGGCTACACGGAGACAGAGTGGCGCGAAGGCGACGAGGCGCATCGTTGGGACAAGTGAGCGTTCCCAGAGCACGAGACCAGCATAACGACTGCATGATGATACATTTGATACCCAAGATCGCATAACATCGGCCAGCGAGGCGTTGGAAAGGCTAAAATTCAACACATTCAGGGCCGCTGAGAACTTCGAGATAGACACAATGCGGCGCCATGCCTTCAGATGACGTCCTTCATTGCGACTAAGCTACCGCAATGCTCATTCAACATCATCCTCCGAAACCAAATCCTGAAAGCCATACTTCATCCTCATATACCGATCCCACTTCATCTCCCACTCCGGTCGCCTGCACCGATAAGCCTCGTCCTTCTGAATCGTCACAACAGAGCATTCGGCCCACGTAAACCCATCATGATAAGTATACGCCATCCAGTCGAACGGTTCATAGAGCTCGCTACTCTCCACAACAGCAGCAGTGACGTCGTAGATGTCTCGAATCGTGATACCGCCTCGGATGTAGATTGTGCAATGGACTGGTGCGGCGTCCGAGAGCTCCAAAGGCTCCCTTGGTGATGGGTCGAGGAACTTGCGGACCTGGGGAGGTTCTATAAAGACGTTGTGCCATTCTCCTGCTGTTCGGGTTGACCTTGCGAGAGGCTTTCGTGAAAAATGAACCATGATACCCTCGAGCAATTCGACAGTGCTGGTTACTGGATATGCTGCCGTCATTACGTTCCGTGTAATGGAATCTACGGGTCACAAACATGTAAGAGAAACGTACAATGGTTGAGTAGAAGATGAGAGAGTTGGGAGTCAAGGCAACAAAGTTTCGTGCTTACCAAGACCATTAGCTATATTCGCTGATAGTTCAATCACCGTAGTCCAGGTCTCAGCAACTCGGAAAGCAGGCCTTTGTCAAATCTGTGTCCTCGAAGGACTGGGTCGCACGCCTGAGTAACGATAGTCAAACCCAGGACCACATAGTGAAAACTCCATCTTGTGCAGCGTGCACGAATTCCTGTCTCGATCCTTCCCGCACCATAGCACCATCTCGATGACTGTGACCAGCTGCATGGACGTCTTTCTGCTCCCCAATGTGCTGCTATCCATCCTTGAGAGGGAAGGGCCGACCATCACAGTACCCGGCATGATACCCCCCCTCATGCGCCGAGATAGGGTACTTGGCCTTCGCATACGCATACCACTTAGATTTCTCGCCATTCACCCATTCAGAAACTCGATCTTGGCAGCATCTGCTGTGGGGTGAGAGGGATCCGAGGTTTTTGATGGTATCGGTGCTGGAGCGGACGGTGTCGACGTAGATATAGGTGGTCGAACACATTTCGGATTTCCCCCACCAAGAATCGCGTGCACAGGTCTCGATCACGCCACATGGTAAGAAGTATGGAACAGAAGTTTCTTCCTTGATCAGTGACGCAAAGCTCATCTGCCACGTGGCGTGGCGCAGACGTGGACCCCTTTCATGTGATAGCGTTTCATATGCCAGCTTTCCATATGCCAGCATCATGCAATGTAGCAGCGTGCGAGCCATGTGAGCCATGTAAGAGACCTTCTCTATTTTGGAAGCAGAGCGCCCGCCGGCTCGAAATATTATCAACACCATGAGACTTGCCTTTTAAGTAGCCGGGCGTAAAAAGTAGTGTGCTCTACTTACCGCCCGAATACTACATAACCCAGCACTCACCTGGAGCACATCAAGGATCCAGTTCTCAGAACACTCACCTCTATCCAGCTGGAAGCTCCACAAAGCGAGAAACCGCAGCAAACTCTGGCTTGCCGTCCTTTGTTCCCATCCCTCTGAGCGTAATGCAGTCTGGGAAAGGCTCTGCTGCCGGTGACCAAAAGACAGCTTACTCCTCGTCCTCCTCGTCGTAGTCGCCCTTGTCGTAATCGTCCTCGTCGAAGTAATACCCTTGGTCGTAATCGTAGTCTCCATCCTGGTAGTGATGCCCCTCGTAGTCTTCCTCCTCGAACCCGTACTCTCCCCTGTCCCACCCGTCCTCCTCCCTCTTCTCCTCCGGATGCGCACGACGTATGTAAATGTCCCACTTCGCCTTCCCATAGCGGCGGCGTGCCCGGTCGCTCAACCTCTTTGGCCCATACGGCCTCTTTTGCACAGCATTGAAGTAAACATCCGCCTTCAAATTCCCCGGCCCCGCCATCGGCCTCGTATTGTACCGCGCCTCTGATCCGACAACAGCAGCAAAAGCATCGTAGAGATCCCGGATGTAGACGGTGCACCAGCACTTGCGGTGCTTGGAGCGGCGGACCTGCATCGTCATGGCTTGCACCGGTGGGATAGCGGCGTACTGGTCGAGGTAGTCGCTTTAGTGCGCCTTCTTGTTGTCCGAAAGGTGTTGGATGATGATATGGTGCTGCGCTCCTGCCATGCCATTCTTGTTGACGATGAAGTGCGTGCAGTCGTATTGGGGAAAGCATGGGAACACTGGGACGCGGACGTTGAGATCGTACAGCAACCTGCCTGAGTCGTCGTGGCAGTTCTTCACCTCGAAACGCTTGTTGACCCACGGCGCAGTCTTGTCGAGCGGTGCGGCCGGTCCATGCAGTTCGCGAACGCTGGGTGACTCTCTGATGACGTTGTACCTAGAGTGATGGGAAGAAGGGTCAGCAGATGTCTCGACAAGTGGAACAACAGTGGTGATGTCTCGGAGCACCCCGTGGTCCTGAGACCCATAGGCCTTTTGGAGAACCCTCCCACTCATCAGTCTGACGTACCAGATTCTGGCGGGGCGCGTGAGGCGTATGACGTCTTTGCGAGATAGGCGAAGCATGAACTGCTCGACCAGTTCGAAGGTGTTGAAGGCGGCGCAGGCGGCAGGGGTGTCTGCAGGATCGTTCGTGAGGCTCTTAGCCAGATCCAAGGTGTCGAACATCGCGGTGGCGTGGTCCATGAGGTCGTTCATGTTCTCTTCGACAAGATCGGAAATACCAGTCCCAGCTACCTTTTGTGAGCTGCGCTGCATGCTGTCCGACATCGAGGTTAAAAGTTCACCTCCGTCGAATTCCCGTGTCGTGAGGATTAAAAGTAAGGTGGCTTTCGCCTGAGCCGCGAAGATATATGTGATCGCCACGTGACGCGGAGCAGCCTAGCAGGCCTGTTCAGTCGATCCTCCCGGTGAATTATTCTTCACAATTCACTGCTTTGTACAATTCACTGCTCTTCACCAATCACGCCAGCGTACGCCCTTTCCACGTGACAGTGTTTCATGTGAAAGCGCTGCGCGAAGTCTTGACCATACCATCCCTTTGCTCGTAATTTCCCCTCCATCGATGTCCGATCTGGTAAGGAGAAACCGAGAGTTCAAGTGATACAGTCGAAACCATACCGTGAGACTCGCCTTGGACGCAGTGCGTTGATGATCATTAGAAACCTCTACTTACCAGCCATGTCTGTCTCAAAGTCCTCAATCCACGCTCTATGCACCCGAGTGAATCAAGTCGCAATGCATTCGCGACTTCCCGGCCCCGGACGTTAGAGCGCATGACACCGACGACTCCCACCATGGTCAAACGCTCCTCTTCTCGTTGAGCACATCAGCCCATGTGGAAGCTTCCGGGACACTGACTCTCTGCGCTGTAATACGCGCCTTCCACATACACCTTGGCCTTGGTCTTCTTCGTGTATGAGTCGGTGATGGGATAGCGCCTGGTCACCTGAAGCATATCGAAGTAGCAGACCACTCCGACGTTCTCGCAGGGCTCCGGCTCAGACTTATTGTAAAGCATATCCGTATCAATGATCGCGGCGGCAACCTTGTACAGATCCTTCATCGTGAGCCCTCCCGGATTGTACAATGTACAGCAGATATTGTCGTCGCCAAGCCCGTTGGCGGACATTGTCACAGCTCGGATCGGTGTTGTGGTTGGCAGCCGATTTGAGGCGTCAGTTGGCGACATTGCCACGAGCTCACTCGAATATTTACCGTCGTTCGAATCTTCACCGTAGTCCGAATCTTCACCGTCCTGATACAAGTCGTATTCCGTGATTCCGTTCAGCACGAGTCTGTGCTTTGTTGTGATGAAGCCGATGCCCGGGACTCTTAACGTCTCGTACTTGAATTCGTGGAAATCTTCGAAGCCGCTTGGAGATGTGATGCCGACGTCAAGCTCGTAGAGTAGAGTGGCCGCCTCATCATGGTAGTCGCGCACCTCCAGATCGTTGTGAATCCACGGTGCGAGCTTGTCCAACGGAGCCGCTGCGCCGTAGAGTTCGCGCCGCACGCGAGGCGACTCCTTACTGACGTTATAGCAGATCTTTGCAGTTCGTGTGAGATGGTAGATGTCTTTGCGCGGGAGGCGTAGCATGATGTGCTCGACGAGCTCGAAGGTGCTGAAGAATGCGTCTGCCGCAGACGTGACCATGGTGTCGGTCGCAGTTCCGCCGAAGACATCGTGCGCCGCGGACATGGTTGCGGAGTCGATGTTGATGCTTCGGCAAGCTCTGACAGCAAATGTATTCTTCACCTAAAGCGCGAAGTTGTACCCAGCAGCCACGTGGTCCGCCAATTGGAATGACGTCAAGAACCATGTGAAAGAACGAAACGAATGCCTGGCGAAGAAGGCTACAGTGAAAAAATCCGCTTCTCCATTTCGTCAAGTATGCTCTGCTCTACTGCTACTCCAAAGACGGAGCGGAGCTCCAGGGTATCATTACACCGCCCACCCGCCAGACGGTCTGGTGAGTAATAGAGCAGCGAGGTCCTCGTCTATTCACATCTCCACCCTTCCTGCCTTGCTCGTTCGTAGCCGTAGTCGCTCGCCTGTCGCGTATCCAAGCAAAGGCCTTCCCCAGCACGCCAGCAACCCCATCCGTCTCGCACATCATCCCCTATCACTAGGCAGCACGCAGCACCGCACCCCATCGCTGAAGAAACTCCAACAGCCACTACGCCCCGACGAGCAACGACCCGGCGCGATCTACGATGCCGGCGTCTTCTCCTCACTCCCGCTCTTCTCATGGCTGCCACTGCCGCTGCCGTGGCCGAACATGCTCCGATGCTTCTTCTCGTCCTTCTTCTTGTCCTCCTTCTTGTCCTCCTTCTTCTCCCGCTTAGCGGTCGCCTCGGCCATGAGTTGCTCAAAGGCCATGTAATCGCCTTCTTCGTCTGGGTCGCGCTCGGCCTAGCATGTAAATCAGCAACGTCCCACACAAGTGAGTAGGGAGGAAATAAAACCCACCTTCGCGAATATCTCTCCAACAATAACTAACGCCTGCGCCCTCTCCACCCTCTTCTGCACCTTGACCCCCTTCTCGAAAATCACCTCATCACACACATCACGTAACACACTCTGAATCTCAAACTTGCTCCCCCGCCACGCCGCCGCCAGAATCTTCCCCGTCACCCGCTTCTCCATCTCCGCCTTCTTCTCGTCCGTCCAGTCCTCCCCTCCCTTTTCCTCCGCCTGCGCCATGGCTTCGATCTCCATCTGCGCTTGGATGGCGGTGGACACCGTGCCCCACGTGTCCTTGACCATGGATCCCTTATCCTTGAGCCGGGACCAGAAGCCGCTGACGCCGCCAATGATGGGTTTCTGGCTCTTCAAGAAAGTCGTGGCGCGGGTGAGGTACGTCTGCCCGATCGCGTGCAGGATTTCCAGACCAAATGATTCCATTTTGAGGTTCTCGACTTCCAGGCGCATCTTCTCGCGGAAAGCGATGGTGACGTCGGGGCCCTTGTCGGTCTCGGTCCAGACGGAGATGCGGTCGATGAGTTTGCGGGAGAGGGTGTTGATGCGTTCGGTGCGGACGCGGAGGCGCTCGGCTTCGAAGGCGGCGAGTTCTTCTCTCTGCTCTTTGGAGAGGGCTTTCTTCTTCTCCTTTTCGCGCAGGCGCTTCTCTTCTTCCGTCATGCCGGCGGCGGCTGCGGCGGCGTCTTCTTCGGTGCGGTCGGTGATGGCCAGGCGGGTGGGGACGCCTTGGGGGCGTGGGGTGGAGGTGCCTGATGCTGAGGGAGGTTGAGAGTCGCGGATGGGAATCTCGGTGGTCGCGCCGGCCGCTGCGGGCTGTTCGGGGACATGCTCTGCCTGTGCTGGTGGAGGCTGAGGTGCACCAGTCGTGCTCTGTGCGGTCTGCTCTTGCGCATGGGTAGATGCATTCGCTGCCGCTTCCGCTCCAGTCTGCTCCTGCTCCTCCATATCCTTCATCGAGATTTCCATGCTCTTTGTCAGGTCCTTCATCATGCTGATCTCGCCAATCCAGTCTACGAACGCCTCACCGCCGAAGATAAGCGCAAAGAACTCCGCCGGGTCCTCGAAGCCCGAGTCCGGCTTTGCGCTCTCCTTGCCAAACTTGTCATATTGTTTTCGAAGCTCGGTGTTACTAAGGACCTGGTACGCTTCGCCTACAACCTGGAATTTGCTGTCTGCCTCGGGGTCGTCGGGGTTCTTGTCTGGATGTACATCAGCAGTGTTGGATGGTGGTATGGTAACTGTAACGCGCACCTGGATGTAGTTGAATGGCCTTCTTCCTGTAGGCCTTCTTGATCTCTATCTCTGTTGCTGTAGGCTGCACGCCCAAGGCGTCATAGTAGGTGGTATCCACGACCATCCTGTCGGCGACTCAAGGATGTAGAAGCAGGCTTGTTGCAAGGCTGGTCGGTGGAGTGCAGTAGGATAAAAAGAGAAGAGGAAACACTTATTAGAAGTGTCGTGTTTGGCGAGAGTCGTCGCAATAGAGGCTTAGGCTGAGGATTAGGCGGATGACACTGAAAAGTTGGCTTGACGCTTTGTTTCACAGGGCTGACGCCAGCGAGCAACGACGGCGAAGCATGTGATAGAGCCTTGTTACTTCTGTCCTCGATATCGAACAGTCAAACTAAACTCCTGATTTCTTACGCAACGATGGAGCCCCTTCACCGTATCGACATGCCTCATACTCATTGACACAGTCTTCGAAAACATCTCGACCTCCTCTTGGCAGGCATCTTGAGGCTCTGGGCTGTGTCTTCGGGTCATTGAAGCGGATCGACAAGACGATTTTGGGTTGCCGACTCTCACTCGACTCCAATGCTACCACTTCCTCTTCTCTGCCATGCGCTGGCGGTGTTCCGCTCATCTGCGCTTGTATTCTCTCCCTTCTGTGTACCATAGACTCCCTTTCCTGACTGCCCGCCGCCCATTCTCCGCTGTTCGATCCACAATGGCCCCATTGCAGCGATCCGCCTTGTTCGAAGCGCTACTCCAGCACGATCAAGACCACCCCGCCATCGTCCACTCGCTGTCCGGCCGTTCATTTACCTACGGTTCCTTATTGCAAGATGTCGTGGGCGCAAAGGACCGATTACTCGCACAGACGAGCAGAGACGAGCAGAGCATTGTCGGCGAGCGCGTGGCCTTCTTGATCGAGAACAGCTACGACTATGTAGGTGCGCTGCATCCTTCTCCCAGTCGCGATCGATCCAAAACATTGAATCAGTTTGCCGATTACTCTTGACGAACGCGGACGAGCTGACAATGGCCTCCAGTCACCCTCCTCGCCATTCTCGCCTCCAATGCCATAGCCGTACCGCTAGCTCCATACTTCCCTGCGTCGGAGCTACGATATATCATAAATCACAGCGATGCGCTCGCTCTCCAGTACTCCTCGAGATATCAATCCCTGGCCTCCGAGGTGCTCAAAGATGGACTTGAGAAGACACCGGTCAGCGCACAGGTCGACAAGATCACTCAGGGTTCTAGCTCTCAAGACAGCATTGAGCTGGTTGGAGGCAGCTATACGGCTGAAGGTGGAATGATGTTGTACACATCGGGAACCACCGCGAGGCCCAAAGGTGTGCTCCTCCACCACATGGTTCTGATTGCGCAAGCGAGAAGCCTTCTGCAGGCTTGGGACTACTCGAAGAACGACCGACTGTTGCACGTTTTACCACTTCACCACATCCACGGGACTGTCAACGCGCTACTTGCACCTTTACTAGCAGGCAGCACGATCGAGATGATGTTCCCTTTTACTACCGATAATGTCTGGTCACGCTTCGCGGAGCCTTTCCTACCTAATGGTGGAACGAAGCCTCCAGTCACGTTCTTCACTGTCGTTCCAACGATATGGGCTCGGCTACAGCAGTCTTTTCCAGCACTGTCTCCAGAAATGCAGACAGCTGCGAAGGAAGCTATACAGCGAAAACACCTACGTCTCAATATCTCAGGCTCGGCGGCCCTTCCCACACCCACCAAGAAAGCCTGGACAGACCTCTCGAACGGCAACGTTCTGCTGGAACGCTTCGGGATGACCGAAGTTGGCATGGCCCTCTCTTGCGGTCTACACGACTCTGACCGCATCGACGGCGCAGTGGGCTGGCCTCTCCCTTCCGTCGAAGCCCGTCTCGTCGACTCCGACACCGACGAAGTCATCCCACCCTCCGCCGCTCTCGAAATCGACGCCGCAGCCAACGGCAAGCCCGAACGATCAGGCGAGATCCAACTCCGTGGCCCCACAATCTTCAAAGGCTACTGGCGCAACGCCGAGGCGACCGCCAAAGAGTTCACATCCGATAACTGGTTCAAGACAGGCGACATCGCCGTCCGCCGACACGTCCCTGGAGCCGGTCAAGGCGCTTCCGGCGACTGGGCACAAGGACCCGCCTTCTTCATCCTCGGCCGCAAATCAGCAGACATAATTAAAACCGGCGGCGAGAAAGTCTCCGCCCTCGAAATCGAGCGCGAACTCCTCTCCCTGCCCGAGATCGCTGAATGCGCCGTCGTCGGCCTCTCCTCAGAAACGTGGGGTCAGAAAGTCGCTGCGGTCGTCATGCTTACCGCCGAGGGCAAGAAGGCGGGTAAAGGTGGCAAAGGCTGGGGCGCAATGGATATGCGACGTGCGTTGAAGGGGAAGTTGGTGGCGTACAAGATCCCGCAGGATCTGGTGGTGGTGGAGGAGATTCCGAGGAATGCGATGGGGAAGGTTAATAAGAAGGATTTGGTGGGCAGGGTTTTTGGGGATGGGGAGAGGATTAGACGGAGGAGTGTTTTGGTGAGTGAGGAGAGGAGGAGGGAGAAGGGGGAGGTAGAGAAAAAGCAGGTCAATGGGGTGGACGGGAATGGACATGCGAAGTGAGGTCGTTTAATGGTGTATGAGTATATTATCGACAGATCGAGGGCGTATATCTAGACTTCTGTGTAGCAATACCATGGCAACGACTACGAAAGCCTGAGTATCTCGTAGTGCAAGTATCTCTTAGTGCGAGCGCTTTGTACCCTCACGTGTTGCATTCGAACACGGCAGGATCTCGCGCAACACAGCAGGTCGACTTGTCCCTCGTTCTGCGTTGTAAATTGAATACGTGCTACGAGCTGGTCATGAGCCCTCTTCACCGGACTGCTGCGGTACGGTACTTGTTGTGCGAGGCGAGGCCGCCAAGCGCCTGGAGGACGTCAGCTAGCTGGAGGGGTTCATGTACTCTTGTAGACAGCCTCACTTTCTTGATTTGAGACTTGTCTTCTCCTTTCTCCAACACACAAGATTCAAAAGACCCAAACCATTTTCATACCACCAGACATCAAGCAAAGCAGGCGTCTGGAGCCCTATCTACTCGCCAGCTGCACCGGTGTTCTGGAGTAACAGTAGGAGGTAGCACGGTCATCATCGATCACCCCACCGACAGCCTTGTGCTACCTGACGGCAAGGCAAGGCTGAGCTGAACCTCCCATCCTCCTCCCTCTCCTCTCCTCTCGTCTTCAAAACCCGGACTGGACATGGACGAGGTTTCTTTCCAACACGACTTACAAACTCTTAGAAAACGCGTCTCTGAACTGTCGAGCAAGCACGGGTACCCTGGCCTGAGATCTCCTGGTAGCACCGCTACGGCTACGGCTTCTCCACCTGCCTTCAACCCCAACAGCAGCGTAGAACCACAGAAACCGGAAGCAGGAACAATGTTACTCCAATTCCCCGCCTCCACCACTACCACCACTACTACGACAGCTTCAGCTCGATCCTCCGACCCGGAACCGGAAGTGGAAGTCAGACCGTTGGCGCCGGATCTGGGGGATTGTAGCCAAGGGTCTTGCCAGTGTGCGTTTTTTGTCGAGCCGCTGCTGGAAGGGGAGGCGTGTGGGGTTTGTGGGCGGGGGAGGAAGAGGACGAGGCCGCTGGTGGCGGGGGCGTGGGGAGTACCTGGTGGGGAGGGTCCGGGTCGTGGTGGATCGTCGACTCGGAATGGGAATGAGGGTAGTCCAGGAAACAGCCATGTTGCGGTCCCGGACTACCAGACGCAGCTGATGCAGGCCAATGATCCACAGAACCAGCTCGTGCCTGAGTTGGGGAACGGCGCCGTTTTTCGCTCTGAAGCGGCATCTGGCGATTTGGCCAGCCGCGAGGAGCGCTTTCGGAAGGACTATGAGATGCAGCTGATGTTACTTGAGCAGCAGAACAAGAAACAACTGCTCAAGCAGAGAGCGCAGGCAGAGAAGAATGAGATCGCCGCCGGTTCGCCCGAAAGCGGTAGCTCTACGGCGCGCAGCGATGGCGCAAGTCAGGCGTTGAAGGAGTGTAACGAGCGGTGCAGGCAGCTTGAGGAGGCGAACAAGAAGAAGATGAAGGACAGATTGTCGAATCCTGCCACACACTCCGCAGGCGCTGCTGCTCCTTCTCCGAACGGCCACAACAGCGTTCATGCACATGGGACCAGTCAAAACAAGCAACCCACGACCCAGGAGCAGTTCCAACGGCAAAAGATGCTCGAGTGGCATGAAAAGCAGCGGTCGCTCATTGCGAGGCAGGGACGAGACGGGGAGACGAGCGTCCCTCAGCCGCCGAAGCCTACTCTGGCTCAGGGCGGCAACCACGCGCTGCAGGACTTCCAGATGCAGCTTATGCTACTCGAGCAGCAGAACAATAAACGCTTGGCTATGGCGAGGGCTGAGGAAGAGAAGAAGAAGGGGGCTACTGACGCTCATTCCAACGATGCAGCTTTTGCTCCTAAGGCTCCTGACGGCGAGCCTGGTGTCCTGGATAACTTCGACTTCGACTCGTTCCTCAACGGCCCTGATGAACAACCGCCGCAGACCGATCAGACGCAGCGGATCATGCGTGAGGAGCAAAGTGAGGGGCGATTGGAGTCGGCGGGACAGGAGGGAGACAAGGAAGAGGTTACCATCACTGACTATAACGATGCATTCGGTCCTTGGACTGATGATGGCACTTCGGGTGTCCCGCATAACCTCGACTTCGAGGCGTTCCTCCACACTCCGCAGGCGCCGTTCGACTATCCGACACGGCTCAGGTTGCTTGAGCAGTACAGCCAGAAGCGGCTGGAGATGATGGGAGAGAATTGGGACAAGAAGGACTCTGCTACCGCCGAGTCCCACGATGCTCGTGAACCTCGAAAGACTCCTGAGGCCGACCAGGATCCCCTGGACAAATCAGACTTTCAATCGTTTCTCAATCAACTCGGGAATTCAAAGCAAGACTATCAGCTGCAGTTGCGGTTGCTTGAACAGCAGAACAAGAAGCGATTGGCGATGGCGAGACAGAAGTGGGACAAGAAAGAAAGCACTGTCACTCCTTCCCACGGTACACCGGACGCTTCTCAAGCGAGATTAGAGGAACAGGAAAAGGAAGACACTACTGTCATTCCTTCCCACGACGTACCTCTGGCTTCCTGGGCCGGCGAACCGGGCCTTTTGGATAACTTCGACTTCGATTCATTCCTCAACAGCCCCAACGATGTGCTACCAGCGCCTCAAGACTACCAGATACAGCTGATGTTACTTGAGCAGCAGAACAAGAAGCGGCTGGAAAAGGCGAGACAGGAGCAGGAGCATGCAGTCACCGCCACCCATACCGAAATGGCCGGGGCTGAGCAGCCCGTCAGCGAGAAGTCGACCGCTCCCTACAACTCGAGCCACCCAGTCCAGGACCACGCTTTACAACCCATGTTGCTCGAGCAGCAGAACCAGAGACGGCTCAGCATGGCCAGACAGCAGCAAGCGCTACCAGGTGCCAACTCTGGTGGCGTCGCACCTCAGCAACCCTCCGATGTGACATGTTGTGGCTATCATCCGGGCGCGCCTCATCATTGCCACGGCATTCGCACCTCTGCGCGGCAGGACTATGAGGTGCAGCTGATGTTGCTCGAGCAGCAGAACAAGGCACGGCTTCTTAAGGCAAGACAGGTACAAGATGAAATGTGCAAGTCGCCTGCAGCAACTCACTCCGAAGGTGTCGGATCTCAGCAGCCTCCATTTGGAAACCCAGGTCCCTTGGACTCCTTCGACTTCGATACGTCCAACGGCAAGCCGAAGGGCACGACGCAATACCAGCTTCCGAATGATGTAGGTGGAACGGCCGCGAGTCAGAGCGACAGCAATGGCAACACTGCCCTGCAGGACTACCAAATGGGGATGCATCTGCTTGAGCAGCAAGATAAAAAGCGGCTACTTCTCGCAGAACAAGAGCAAGACCAAATGGCCAAAGTGGCTGCAGCCACCCATGCCTGTGGCATTGATGCTGCTGAGGAGGCCCACAACGACCCCTTCATGCAGCAGCTAAACGACGTAGCTCGCCGCACGAAGGCTATGGAGCAGTGGATCAACCACCAACGCGAGTCGGTCCGTCAACGCTACTATTCCAGTGATCCACTGGCGGAAGGCAACTGGGGACCTAAAGGCTCTTCGCCACCAGAGGCAGAAATGAGTGCCCGCATGGATGATCTTGAGGCGTGTTTGGACGATATCAACGATCGCGTGGCCGGCATCGAGGAGGAAGGGCGTGAGGTACTGGATAGGCTTGAGGCACTGGAGGAACGAGCGAACGACCATCAATGCGCCTCGGTTGAGCCCGCGGACTACCAAGTGATGAGTGACCTTGGTGATAGGGTCGAGAAGCTACAGCACAGGATGGATCATATCCACACCATCACCAAGATGGTCGAGAAGCCCATTCCGAAGCTTGAGCAGCTGAGCGAGACTAAGCTCCGGGCTGATGTGGATCAGAAGGTTGTAGGGTTGGAGGGGAGACTACTGGAGAAGATCGACGAGCTGGAGGATAGGCTGGAAAAGTTGGACCCCGATCGATTCACGCCTGCCTCGAGCGCTGCCGGCACTGAAAGCGACAATGTGGGCACGCACGAGCAGCGTGGCCGTCCGAGCACAGCACCAACGTCGCAGGCTGCGGAGCCCGTCCTTGAGCTCCACTCTGAGGGCAAGCAAGTCCAGCCGCAGGTCCCTATTCCCGTCCCGTCCCAGCCTTGGCCGTTGACATACCCATATGGCGCTGTGTCCTACACTCCCTACTGGAACACTGCCGAGGTGGAGATGCGCTCCAGCATCGAGCGCCTTCACCAGCAAAACTGCTTTGTGTCTGAGCGCAACGACAGGCTCGACAGGGAGAACGACAGATTGTTCCGCTTGCTCAGCGATCTGTCGCGCTCCGTCCAGCCGCCGCAAGTACAGCTTCAGCAACTCAGCGACGCTGATTCTGCAAAACCGCGCTTGCCCACTGCGCAAGGTCACTACATCAGCCCGGGCGGCGTGGATTTCCGCGACCGCGAGATCGCGCGTCAAGATGAGCAGCTGAAGATTGCGCACGAAAGCCTCAAGGCTAGCGAAGAGGCCGCAGCGCAGACAGACGCAGAGCTCGCCAAACTACAAGAAACCGCCAGGTCTTTGAGACAAGGCATGATGTACCGCGTTGAAACCGGCGTCGAGCTCCGCGAGCAGCTTGCCAAAGCCAACAAATGCATCGAACTCTACGGCCAGCAGGCAAGCGAACAGCATGTCGAGATTGGCCATCTCGAGAAATCGCTCAGGCGCCTGGAGAAAGAGTATCATGCAAAAGAGCGAGACTTGGAGTACTGGTACTACGTTGCAGAGAACCGTGCTGATCGTGACGCGGAGCGTGAGGCTGAACTGACGAAGGTGAAGGAGTTTTGCGAGCAGAAGGATGTGGTGATCCAGAAGCAGCAGCAGAACATTGAGTGGGCGGGGCAGCTTTTGGTTCAGAGGGATCGGGAGTTGGAGGGTCTGCATTTGAGGGTGAAGAGGGCGGAGGAGGATGCTGCGGAGGCGAGGAAGGGGATGAGGAAGAAGAGCGCTTTGTTGCGGGAGAGCGAGAATGAGGTTGCGAGGTTGGGGTTTAGGGGTGAGGGGATGGGGAGGGCTCAGCAGCGCTATGAGGAAATGCAACCCTCCATTGGCGGGTCAGACATGTGGTTGGGTCGTGGGTCTGATCGACACGTCCGCATGGACGACATCGTCGAGGTGACTGAGCAGACGCCTCCGCCGCCGCCTCGACCGCGACCATCTCTTCCTCGACGCACGTCTGAGGCAGATGATGAGGCTCGGGAAGATAGACGTCGCAGTCCGGTGTGGGGTGAAGAGGGCGATTACTCGCAACAGAGGTCCAACCCCTCCATCTCTGCCCAAGCCAGCGATGCACCCAATCCCACTGAGAAGAAACGACGCAGCAAGACCGGTGGACGGCACAGACGCTCATCGCACCGTCAATACCCCGAACTGGATAAGCGATCCACGAGCCCATACTCGACAGCCACCACGCGAGGCTGGGACTCTGAACATCGGGGAGACAGACAGTCATACTACACCACACCACCCATGCATGCGGTGCAAGACCTCGATGACATGTCCACCTGTCCACCACTCCCAGCGCCAGTCACGGCACGCCGCATGGCTTCGGAGGCGGACCTGCGCCCGCGCCATGGCAGTCGTGGAACACAGAAACGTAACGCTCTCTCCAAGCACAGCTCGATGATGGAGCTGCCGCCGCCGCAGCAGCAGCATTCACTGCAGGCATATGTAGAGACGGAGGCTGAAAGCGGAGGGGAGGAGTTCGGGGGCGTCTAGAACGAATGATGGGCACCGCCGGGACGCATGTGATGGTTGCTGATGATGAATGATGAAATGAATTGATCTGTTTGCTTTTCTGCCAATAATGCGGAGTTGGGTATCTATGCGGGTGCATCGTCCTATCGGTCGAAATGAACCACCTATCGGCGCAGGATTGTATGTGGGATGGTGTAATGTCGTAGCTCTTCGTCCTCACCCCCCTGCACGCCCGCCGCACCTGACGTGGCCGCTTCATGCCTGGTCATTAACCTGCGGCCGGTCTCGGCAGGGGGGGACGGGTCTGGCTGTGGTGGATTGCGCGATGGCCCGCATTGATGGATGGAGTTTGCTGCTTTGCTGGCTCCGCTGGCAGCCAGGATGACGTCCGTCATGCAGGGCGGAGCTGTGGTGAATTTAGCGGCGGGTTTCACGAAAGCCGGGGTTAATAAGTGAAGTGCATTGCTGCTTGTACGAGAACTAAATTGACTTTCTGATCTGACACCGCTACTTCGTCGTCTCTCACCTCTCTCTCTCTCTCTGAACACAACGACTACACACAACCATGTCGGCTTTCCTGGACGAGCCTACGCGGGGCAGCCGCCATCGTTCGAGAACGCCGCACGACGACCATGACGACTACCCGCCACCACCGTACCGGGCACGAGACAAACGAGGCGGTGACCGGAGCAATCCGAGCGGGTCACATGATAGTGACGACGATGACTATGGTCGACGAAGGGATACCAAACCGAGTATGAACGAGAAGAAGTCGAGGCGGAGGCGGGACGACGACGACTCACCGCCTATTCCGAAGCCGCCGATCGGGAGGGACAGGGAGAAGGATGATTCGAGGAGCAGAGACCGAGAGCGATCACGACGGCATGCGGACACGAATGGGTATGATGACCCGCCGCCGTCCAGGAGGCGGAAAGACTATGATGACGACGAGAAGCCGTCAAGAAGGCGGAGGGATTACGACGATGATGACAAGCCGCCGAGGAGGAAAGATGATCTGAGGGACTATGCGAGGGAGAATGATGAGAAGCGGAAGCCGACTAAGAGTAGTCGATACTACGACGACGATGACGATGATCCGCCGCCAAGGTCATCGCGGAGGAACCGGGACAGCGGATACCGGGATGAAGATAGAGGGTACAAGTCTGAGGACTATAGAAGGAAGCAGAGGGATGATTACGACAAGTACGACCGACGAGACCGCGATAGAGATCGAGCGAGGGACAGCCCAAGAGAAAAGGACCGCGATCGGGACCGAGACCGGCGGAGGACGGCGGAGAAGGAGAGGGCCAGGAGCGCGGACTACGACCGCGACCGGCGTAGGGGGTCTGGACGAGACAGGGACAGGTACGCCGACCGCGACCGCGATCGATACGGCGGATATGGCGACAAAGACCGCGAAAAGGCTGCCAAGAAGAAGGGCGTCGACATGAACCAGATGATGGAGACGGGGAAGAAGTCCTGGGATAAGGCTGCGCCCATGGCGAAGCCTTTGATCGGGGCGTTGGCGAAAGCGTACCTGGAGAAGGGGCGGTAAAATCGACAGTTTTGCACAATTATTTAACAGTTGGGGAGTATTCTTTTGCACAGAACAGAAGGCGTTTGGGTTGGCGTTGGGCGGGAGATACTCCATTCAGTTGTTCTGCTGAGATCGGTCTTTAGTATGTGGATATTTGGTTTCGATAGTGCTACATATTCATACGAACACCGAGGGTGGCGGCTTTCTTGCCTTCCGCGCTGGGTATCTTCACTTCACCGCTTTACTCATGATAACATAATCTGCCTTGACGACCTTCCTCCTCGTCATGCGATCCTCCGGCGAGACGACATCCACTCCATACCCCCTCCCCTCATACCACCGCCGCACCGTCTCGTTCGCCACAAAACACGTCAACATCACCTTCTCCACCCCCGTTGCCCTCGCCACGTCCTCCGCGACTTGCATTAAATGCCCTCCAAGCCCGCATTGCCGCAGTTCGGGTAGGAGGTGGATCTCGTATACATACACCACCGGCACCGCCGGCGAGGAGTCGTGGGTGAGCATGAAGCTGAGGAAGCCTTTCACCTCTCCTTCCACCGCCGAATCGCCATCGCGGTCTGCGAGGGTGGTGGACCGGACGAGAAGATATCGCATCTCCTCCTCCCGCATTTCGCGTAGCTTTCGCCGGGAATGCCAGCCGAAACTGCTGGGTTCGTAGTGTGACCGGCTGGTTAGGGAGATGAGGTCGAAGCATTGATTCAATTCGCCCTTGGTGAGGCTGGCGGAGGATTTGAAGGTTATGGAGAGTTGAGGTGATGGTGGTGCTAGGTGGGAGGGTTTTATGTATTTCTCCTGGAAGGCTGAGGCAGAGAGGGCGTTGAGGGAGGTGATGAGTTCGTCGCTGTCCTTTGTTGCTGGAGAAGAACCTTCGGTTGTGGCTTCAGCGGTATTGAGGCCGTTGGCTTTTCTTTTCGCCATAGTCGTCGATGGGAGTCCTGGTGGTCTTTCAATCACGCCGTCTGTCTGTAACGCGCCGGGTGTCGTTGTTCAGTTTTTGCTCGTGTCCACACCTTCATGTATGGCTGTCAGCACGGGTGACTTGCGGCGTTCCATGTTGACGGACCAGAACATTATGATAGCCCATTCATTGGTGGAACGGTCATAAAACGTTGTATTATTCATAGGTGCAGTCTTCTGGAGGCGAGGTCTGGAGTCTTTCTGAGCACGAGCCAAGCGGTTTCCAACCTCACGTCAACGTCACGATCTCTTCTCTTCTCTTCCTTTATTCATCCCGTTTAAGCGTCTTATGAAATAATAACTGCGAGACCGAATGAGCTTCAGAAATAATGGGATGAATCTACTCACACGTGGCTATGCGACGATAGCATCCGGCAAGTCGTTGAGGGGCAAAGGACCGGTTCTGACATTGGAGCATGTATGCGTTAACCCCCTTGAGCATACTCTACGCGACGACGGCTGATATGAGATGCAACAGTTCGTCCAGCGGAAGCGAGCACTATCATTATGGAAGGACATCATGAGGGCGGTCCATAGTACGCCACCTAATGCATGCGTCTCTCCGAAGCATTTACTGAATACGTCTGCAGAAATACCACCGTCGCCCACACGAGAAGAGATGCGAGACTTCGCCAGGACGGAATATGAGAGGTACAGGGAGGTTCATGACTTGGTGAGCCACTCTTAGGCAATGCTGTTTGATGGTGTTGGGGGCTGACTTCAAGCTCAGGATCATATACGGTACTTGATCTCGGTGAGTAAATGCATAACTCCCTCGTGACCCGAACGAATACTGATAGGTTGATGGTAGACCGGCAAGACTCAATTAGACAGTATGAGCCGCTACGTAGAGCAGATTGCCAGATGACACAACCACTCAGAATCGCCTTCTCCCGTAACGGCATGCCCGACAACTCTTCGTTACAGACATCAAAGCTCTTTCCGCGCCTACGAGTACAGGAGACTGTGTCAAGCCGTTGGCAGCGGAAGCGCCCTGCTCGGTCAGAGTGAGCTGTGTAAGGAATCTTCTCACAGACAATGACCGCCCGCTGACGAAAGTGATGTGGCCTTTTCCGTAAGACTCTCGTCTTGGAGAAGACTGCCAGATACATCTGCGCCGGTTGGCCGCTTTCACTGTCTCTTGATTGTCTGCCACTCTCTAATGGCCATCCTCAGGAACAATCGGCCTTATTCTCTCGTTATGTCTTCAATGCTATATTCTCCAGTACAGATCCAGGACCCTCGACTGCCGTCTTGTTAGCTCAGAAGAATACTCCGAGAATGGCAATCAACACTGTACTTACTCCTTCACCTCACTAATGCTGGCCTTCCAGCGATCATCACCGAAGGCGGGAAAGTTGATATCCGTGGTCATCTCTACGGCGACCCAGCACTTTTGCGGATCCAGTAACGTCCTGAGCACGTCCTTGATGCCTTCTATGAGGCCTCCGATAGTAACACCAGTCGTAACACGCAGAGAGCAGCAGGCAATCGGCGAAAGACAGATGAAATCTCGTGAGTGGAACTGTATGGTGGTCTCGGATTCAGTGGGTTTTTCATAGTCCTGCTGGCGCTCGAAACGCCCGACAGCCGCGAACACACCGATATAGACGACAGATAGGGGCGGCTCGCTTATCTGCTGCAGACGCAGTTCTTCGAAGTCTCTGAATGGGGGTGTTGCACCACATCTGCCGGATCCCAGAGCCACGTCGTTCAACTCCTCGAGCCACATCGATGGCAACTCCGTTACGTCCACATGGAACTGGGCAGAAGGCTCTGCAACGCCGAAGATCGGATGCAGCATTACCCAAGCGCGCATGCTCATCTGCATGTAGGCAAGGTCATCTCCGACAAATGCGCCGATCATAACGCAGGGACGCAGTGTTTGGGTGTCGTAATCGGAGCTGCTGTTGTCTACTGGTCCTGGTACTATCTCCGATACTACCACCTTCAGGCAGCGAGCCCTCCGAATAACAGTTGATCCTGTGACCACCTTTTGCAAATGCTTGGACACGTTTTGAGCGGCGCGGATGTCTTTTGGCGGAAGGTGTGCGATGATGTGCTCCGCCAGCTCTCATACGTGGCAAACACTGCTTGCGCAGCCGCCATGACCTGAACGTTGTCGAGGGAGGTGGTTTGAAAAGTCGTCAGGTCGTGGAGCACTGCGACCACGTTCGAAGCGGTCGTGAGAAGTCGCTCGATGGTCACTGAAGTGATGCAATGAAGCGGAGTGGACCAAGAGAGTGAGGTCGTGGATGTTTTCAGAAGAGCACGGACTCGTTGTCACATGAAAGAGAACTCGTCTCGAAACTTCTTCACTGCCCTATCCGAAACCCCTCGCCTCCTACAATCTCAGCTTTCATAACAAGGGGGTAGCAACTCTTCCTTGCTGCTCGGGAAGTCGTACGCCGCTCAGATTGAACAGCAACGGAAGAGCGCGCACTCTGCCATCGGAATACACGCATCAACAACCTTCACCCAACGAGCTGCGGCCTCTACGACCTCACCGGCCGCCTTCCTGCCGCCCTCACCGACTACCACGATGTCAGCCGCCGCTCGCGTATTCGACACCTACGAGCTCTCGAAAACATCCTCAGCAAACTTCCGGCACGAGATATCCCAGAGGTGCAAACAGTGGCGACATCTTGGCGACAGCTGATCAAGGAGTCATTGCCGATCCGCAAGGCTCGTTGCCTCACTGTTGTGACAAGCTCCGACCCCGAGGCGGCTTCGATCACGTACGAGAACGCCAGCGACGAAAAACAAATGCTCACCTATTACATCGAGACGCATCCGTCGACTTCATCACAATACCATCAGGTCCACATGCGCGCACCTGTGAAGGTCCACCCAGCCCTCCGCACATCAAAGGACCCTCATGTCAAGCACACCGACCTAAGCTTCGTTATCACGGATTTGCTGCACAGTGGATTGGACGAGTGCTTGCTATACATCACCGCTCCCCGCCTCTTGGTCGTCTACTTATTTGTTGTCGAAGAGCTACCGATCGCCGCCTGCGACATAATGGCTGTATGCTCTCTCCAAGTACCAACCAGAATCACTTTCAAAGACCTGATTGAAGGTATGCGGCTCCTCACCAATGGTGTGCCTGCGCAAATGCGTTTCAGGGTCGTCCTTGCGGGCTATATCAACTTTTCAGCTGATTTTGAGGGGAAGAAAAGGGTCAGGGATCTCCATGCAGCGTTGACGCAGTAAGATCAGGGCATCGGATGGATGTAAAACATCCTACACTGCGACACTGGGTTTCCCAGACGCCAGGGGTGCATACGAAAAGGCTCGAACAAAGCGATGCGAGGTGTGACAATGGATGCTGGAGGGCATGAAGTGACCTTGTCAGCAAGAGAAGGGTGGAACGTTACTCCAATTACGTCCTTGTCTCTAAAAGCACTCCATGAACCATGACTACTCTAGCAGAAACAGAACATCGTGCACTAACTCCTTGACTCTGTTGGCGTTCGATGTGTCCTCCGCTCGTTGCGAGATCAGTGCGGAATGCCCAACTCGTGAGAACATGCTGTACGCCGCTGACACAATTCATTGCGGCCAGCTATCATCAAAGCAGTCCGCCCGATGCCATGGTAATTCTTCCCAAAGGTGACTGTCCCAGTCCATGTACGTGTCCCCCATCGTCTCCCTCGTCTTTCGCTGAATCCAATACTCCGGACCCGGCATCTCCTCGCACCTCAGTTCTAAGCCAACAGGTACAATATCATGACCGGCGTATGTCATGTCCTTCTTGAGCAGAGCTGCGCCGTCCACGAGATCCTCGACCTTGACCCCCGTTGGAACTCGAAGAGAGCATGCAGCACGCGGCTCGTTGTCTTCGTCTTCCCCGTTAATGCCCGGTATCTTCAGATAGACTATGCTGACGGGAGCATCACAGATGAACTCGTTTTCTCCGGCATCAATAGCAGAGATGAAGGTGATGTCGAACCCACTGATAAATCGATTCACGAATGGGCTTATGCGAGGCGTCTTCCGCAAAGCATCAATGGTCGCATTGATCTTGGTCGTTGCACCTGTGCCGTAGTCTCCGTAGTGGCCCATCGACAGTACCTGCACGTGGCGATTAGGTCGGGGGAGAGTTCGTAGTCGTGGTCCATTTCGACAATCCGCAGGCAGAGGGTTCCAGGATCTGGAGGTGGTTTTTGAACGACGTCTCGCCAACGTCGACAGACGCCCCTGACGCGAAAGATGTCGCGCTGCGGTAGCTGCCTGATGATGTTCTCGGCGAGCTCATAGACGCCGCAAACTCTCAACGCAGCAGACATCTTTTCTGGGGACTCTGGGTTGCGGAGAACACGGCTGACTGGTGCGGGTAAAGATCCTGAGAGAGGCTGGGTGGTGTGTTGGTGCTCTGTAGAAGGTGATGTGAAGTGCTCCATGGCAAAGAGTCCGTTCAGGCTTTTGGTGACGAGTCTAGTCGGTTGGTTAAGATCAGGGAGGAGGAGATCCTGGTAAGGTAGGGGAGCGTGAGGTGTACTCGCACGCGGTGAAGAGCGACGGTGTGCTGATGCTTAGCTGAAAGCGATGCTCAAAGTCCTCAAAGTGTAGACCCTGCGAAAGCCTTATCGTGAATTATCTGGTGTAGTGGTTGAGGTCTGTGGCTGGGAGAGCCCGAGAGGATAGCACAGCGCGAGATGTCCTTGAGGCTGGTGAAGAGCAAGCGCATGATGGCGCGGGCCTGACGTGGATGTTCGGGTTCTCGACGAGAGCGGGCTTCGTTGGAAAAGTTATGGGGGTAGAGCTGCTCAGATATCGTGGAAGTCCTGGTTGAAGAGGGAGTTGCTGGATACTTGGATCGAGAGGTTGTACGGGGGCACGACAGGTGTTGAAGTAGTGCTGTGCCGATGGTGACGACCACGATGTCCTCGAAGGAGAATGTGTGGCGAAGATGCGGTGACGGACCTGTTAGGTTGGTCAGAGTGTGCGCCTTGAGAGACTGACGATGAGGTGAGAATTCTCCAGAGTAAATGACACCAATGAACGGCGAAAGCACGGACCAAAAGTCAAGTGCGAGAGCAATGAGGATGAGGAGCACGTGAAGGCACAAGATATACCAAGAAAGAGAACGACCCATATGTTTTGGCGGCTATGTACATGCATCATGATACACAGTTCCCGCTCCAAGACCCAAACACCATTCGTCGAAAGGAGCGCCGGCGAGAGGAGTGCCGGTAACCCACCAAAGGAAGCACGCACGCAGTGCTGTTGTTGTCTGCCTCATCTCTCCTTCGTCAGGCCCATGCAGCGAGTCGGTGGTGAGATTGAAGGTCACTCGAAGCTTGGAGCTTACGAGGGGATGACGTAGAGGCCGATCGCTGGGAAGAGGAGGTCAGCAGTGATCAGATCTGGAGGCAGTGGGCTGAACTCACGGTAAGGATTGAAATCCTGGAAGTAGTTGAGATATGAGTCGCCAACTGCAGACATCTCGAAGCTCACGGTCTGGCCTGCTGCGCAGCCCTCACGCTCGCTGATGGCGACAGCGGTGCCGGGCGTCAGCGTGAACTCCTTGAGGACGTCATCGACCTTGGGTGCGTTATTGTACGCGGTCTCCTTGGAGGCAACGCCGCTGAGGTAGGACACCTTGAACTTGCCCTCGCCGCCGAACTCGTATGCGGAAGTCTCCAGCTGGTCATGCTCAGGAAGAGAGAAGTACAAGTGGCAAGTCTTGTCTGCCAAGTTCTCCGGGAAATCGAAGTTGACTGGAGACGATGTCAGTGAGTGCAATTGCATTCGAGAACGGGGGAGATAGAGGCGACTCACAAATGGACGAAACGCTTGGCGAAACGGTGCCATTGAGGTAATTTCCGAGAGCCTTGTCAGGGTTGGCGGAGTCGACGCGAACGATGAGGTGGGCGAACTCGAAGCTCTCTGGAAGATCGAGAGGGCACTTCTTGGGCATCGGTGGTGGAGGTGGCGGTGCCACACATGAAGACGTGCAAGGCGCAGTGACTGTCGACGTGTGAGGCGACGGTGCCATGCTGGACGTCGTGCAAGGTGCGGTGACAGTCGACGTGGTCGTCATCGTCAGAGGGGTCGTGGAGGTCGACTTGGAGTACGATGTGGTGGCTGGCTTGGAGGACGACGTGGTGGGGCATCCGGAGTAGCAGCTGTCAGCCAGGAGCCAGATTGGCACGCACTTGGGCTCGTTCTCCAGTGGCTCAGAATAGAGATTCCAGGCCTTTGAAGCGGGGAATGGTCAGTGAATGTCTCAGGACAATGGAGAACTTTTGCTCACCCCATTATCTTCGGTCGGGCACGAGAAGAAGGTCGACTCGCCGTTGTGCGAAATCGTGCCGTTGCATGAAATTTCGAAGCCGAGAGTTGGTGCCGCCCCAGCGTCGCACTGGAGTTGAGTTGTGGGAGGAGTCAAGATACCTTGAGGTAGACCCAGGGGTTAGTATGATGTGACATGAGGAAGGGTAAGTGAGGTGGAGGAAGACTGACATCCTCTGCCCTGGTCATCGGTCAAACCACCGTTGTTAATGCACACATGGGCTGCGGGCTCTTGTCCTCCGATGCGGAGCTGCCCATCGCCCAGGGTACCGACGACGCCGCCTGGGCCACCGTATGCTGTGATGCCGAAGCAGCTGATGTGATGAGGTCAGTCGAGGTGGAGATGAGGTGAGGGTAAGTGACGGTGTCGACGTACCAGCCTGCCTCACGGGAGACGAGTGCTTGGGTGCCCACGGCGAGGGTGAGTGCTGCCAGTGTCGACTTCATCTTGACTGGTGTGTGGGGGATGGTTGTGTGGTTGTTGTGTGGTTAAGCTGTTGGTTCTGTAAGGTGGTCAGTGACGGTGACGATGAGGATGAGGACAGTGAGGTGTTCTCGAGTACTCACATTGCTGCTGGGTAGTGGATGGTGATGATGTTGGTTGGTGTTGTGTGATGCTTGCTGGAGATGCTTGTTGAGATGGTTGTGAGGAAGAAAGGAAGAAGAAGAAGAAGAGAAGAGGAAGAAGAGTAGAAGTAGACGAGCCATGGTGGTCCCGGCGTCGAGTGCTCGACGTCGTAGCTGCTCGGAATGGGAGTCCCTCTCATCTTCCAGACGCATGTTGAGAGCATCGAGGGCTACCATTCGCCGGAGCTGCTGGAAGCCATCCTCGATATGGACCGATCGGCTGAGGCTCATGCACGGATTGAGGGCGAGGTCAAAGAGCCACGTCGTCCTGGGAGACACCAGTTCTGCTCTGACAACCAGCCGCTGATGATGGACGATCAAGCCTGTCTCACCCACACTCGCGGGGTTCATTGTATACAGACATTTCGCGTGTGCAATGCATGCAATGTGCCTTGCATCAGGCGAACGATTGATCGGGTCGATGGTTGTTTCACACTCTGCAGAACATTAATTGATGTTGTGAACTCTCTGCAACCATCTGTAAACACATGTCGGTTGTATTCTGTTGGAAATCGAATACTCGAAGCATTTTCGACCTTTTCTGTCATTCTGCGACTGGGTTGGAGACGAGGTGTGGTTGCCTCGAAGTACCCGAAAGTTTGGTGATCTGCAGCGCCAGAATGCCGCCGTTTCACTTGGCGTCGTCCCAATAGGGCAGTTGTCGACGTCGCGGATGGTCTGTAGTGATGCTATTGTCACTTTTTGGATCAATGTGAATCATGGGTTGTTGTGAGAAGTGTCCAGCCTTCAGATGAACTGCAGAAGAAGCGCTAAATGCGACAGCGAGGATCATCTGATTTCATCGACCGGGCATAGAAGACGTCGGTGAGCTGGCTCAAGAACGCATCGCCGTTCGATTGTGAAGAAATGAGCATTTGCAAGTCCTTACCGTAGGTGCACGTCAGCTGCTCAGTGCTGAAGATTTGCGTAAGCCGAAGCCGGTGAGGTAGAAGCATCCCAGTGCGATTACTGCGGTCCATTGCTCTCAGTGTGAACAGCTCAGAGCAACTCTGAGTCAACCGATTCCTCCTGCTAGAAGTCTGGTGGCTGAACTTCTGCCCACAGCATCTCAGCCAGGAAACAAACGCTAGGAGTGCGAGTTGCATCCAGAGGACATGTTATCGGTCGAGCAAGGAAGCAGAGCCCATAACAGCTGTATCCGCCTCAAGTAAGCCTGTCTCGATGAGGTCAAGTGGGCGAGGCTCAGTGAAGCAAATAGAACCTGACCTTGTGAGCCGTGAAGAAGTGTGTTAAAGAGTACTCACCGAGTCAGAAGGTCGACGCTGTACAAAATTAGTGCTTGGAGTGAAGTGAATCGTGAAGCATGTGAGCCCCTGTCAAAGTGAGCCTAAAGTGAAGCTCGTTTGTGCGGATTGGAAGGGTGGTCTTTTCTCGCAAAATGCTGCATCCGGCCAGCTGGTATGACTGCGTTTGATGCGTTGGCGAATTTATGCATGGCATGTATATATACACATATTAAGCTGCTAAAAGTCAGCTAAACTGATCCAAGTACGCGGAGCCAGAATACGGCCAATGAGTGTGCAAAGTGGATATCAAGGACAGGTGACAAGTAAAGCTGTACAGGCGTTCGTTGTCACTGCGCCAACGTACCGTAGATCTCACCACCCCTACTGCTCCGTCGTATCCATCTTCCCACCCGTAAGCTTCTCCGCAATCCTCCGCACCCTGCTCTGCGTAACACCCTCCGTTCCACCCTCGGCAACATCGACAGCATAGCTAGTCTTCCCAGCATCGCCCTGCGCCGCTCTGTTAAGCATATCCTGCACCGTCGCCGGTCTGCCGTGCGCCCACATGCTAGTGACTTCCGAGCTCCATTTGCCGCCGTCGTCGAATTCTCCATACCCTTGTGCTGGCCTGCCACGGTCTCCCACGAATTGGCGTGGCTGCTCGGGTGTGCCAAACTCGGAGTCAATGGCGCTATCGAGTTGCTGGGGTGTGACGATGAAGTGTCGTGCGTTCATGTACAGGGTGTGTAAATTGTCCATCCTGTTCGCGCGCTTGGCGGAGGTGTGCAAGGTGAGGTTGCGCGCTTTATGGGCCAGTCGTGCGTCTCGTGTGGGATCTTCCAGTGGTCCGTGGAGGAGTTTATGCACGTTCAGACCGGTGGAAGAGGTGGTCAAGCGTTCGTCTTCGCGCTCAGGCATTCGGACTAACGCTTCTCGCTCTGCTTGCTTTGCTGCAACCCGTTCGCGCAGCGTAGTTTCTGTCCTCGTCTTGCGTTCTCGTAGAGTCTTGACACCTTCTCGCAAGTTCTGCCTTCGCGATGCAGCCATCTTTTGCCGCCATGCCTCTCGAGTTCCTCGTGGATGGCGCGGTTGGCTTGTGGGAGCTGGTGCGGCCTTTGCAATCTCCTCATCAGCCGCCCGATCCTTGCCTTCTGATCTGGCGAAGACATCTCGAGGAACTGGCAGCCGGCCCTTGATGAATGGCCGATATGGTGATGTTTGCTGCGGCGGTTCTGGTACTTCAATGTAGCGAGGATGTTCAGGGCCAACGGCTAGTCTTCGCTGAGCCGTTGAGAAAGCTCGACATTCTGGACATCGCCACGCTCGTAGGGACGTCGAAAAAGCTGTTCGTGGAGGCATGTCGCTTGATGGCAGGTACACTGGACCGTATGCTAATGTCGAGACGTTCTCAAGGAGTCGAGCATTGCTGCGGAGCCGGCTCGGGGGTGAGATTATCTTATCTCGATCTTCAAGTCTTGGCATAAATTCTGGACTTCGTCTCTTGCATTTGCGACAGCACCTCCACACCACATCATCCTGGAAATCTATCAGCAACCATGGGCACCGGCAAGAAGGAGAAGACGCGGCGTGCCCGTGAGGGCAAAGGCCCCGGCTCTGGCGACGGCATGAATAATGTCAAGACGAAGGGCGAGAACTTCTACCGGAGCGCGAAAAAAGTGAAGACTCTGAACATGTTCAAGTCTGGCGATCCCACTCGAAATGCGCGAGGAGACATCGTTCAGGCCGCTGCATACCAATCGACCAAAACGGCACCAGCTCGAGTGGAGCCAAACCGGAAGTGGTTTACGAACACGAGAGTGATCAGTCAGGATGCGCTGAGCGCTTTTCGAGGGGCGGTGGAGGCGCAGAGCAAAGATCCCTACTCTTACCTGCTTAAACGGAACAAGCTGCCGATGAGCTTGATCAACGATGGCAAGGACAAAGAGAGGAAGGATGGGCTGGTTCAACATCAGGCGAAGATTCGGATCGAGACTGAGAAGTTTGGCGACACGTTCGGTCCTAAAGCGCAAAGAAAGAGGCCCCGATTAGCCGTCAGCTCGGTAGAAGATTTTGCCGGCCGGACACAACAGGACTACGACCAGTATAAGGAGAAGAGACTCGAAGATGTGCGCCTGTCCGGCGCTGTGGGCAATGAGGACGAGCAGAATCGAGTTGAGGAGGTCGACGACGGCGAGATCACCACAGCCCGGGAAGCTGTCTTCTCCAAAGGCCAGAGCAAACGAATATGGAACGAACTCTACAAGGTCATTGACAGCTCCGATGTTGTCATCCACGTCCTTGATGCTCGGGATCCGCTTGGAACAAGATGTCGGAGCGTTGAGAAGTACATTCGGGAAGAGGCACCACATAAGCACCTGCTGTTCTTGCTGAACAAGTGCGACTTGGTGCCTACAAGCGTTGCGGTACGTGTTTCTCTCTACTTATTCTTCTCACTACTGTCCTGCCCCCTTGCGCAATGACGGTCTCGCTACATGCAGAACGAGACGATGCCACTGTTTATGTCAAGGTCTGTTCCAGCCTTCACGGCTTTCAGTGGATGCAAACCTGTTACGACTTTGGCAGATTGAACCCAGTCCGCTCGCCGACCCCCTGCCGTCTTGGTATGGTCATAGAGATGGACACTTTTGTCTCGTTTGAGTAGCGATCTTGATTTCGACCTGAAGGAGAGCTTAGTAATGAGACACACATATCTGACATTCTGATTTGGAACTTCTTGTGCATGGCTTGAATTCCACTAACTGTGCATTCAGGCTCGATGGGTCAAGATTCTCAGCAGAGATCATCCAACACTGGCGTTCCATGCATCCTTAACCAACTCCTTCGGCAAAGGCACGCTCATCAGTACACTACGACAGTTTTCCTCACTCCACAGCAGCCGGAAGCAAATCTCGGTTGGCTTCATCGGCTACCCCAACACCGGCAAATCCTCCATCATCAATACTCTCCGCAAGAAGAAAGTCTGCACCACAGCACCTATTCCCGGTGAGACGAAAGTATGGCAATACATCACCCTCATGAAACGCATCTACCTCATCGACTGTCCCGGCATCGTACCTCCCAGCATGGGCGACACACCCGAAGACATTCTTTTGAGAGGTGTTGTGCGAGTCGAGAACGTCGAGAATCCTGCCCAGTACATCCCAGCCGTGCTGGCTCGGTGTCAAGCGAAGCATTTGGAACGAACATACGACATCAAGCTCTCCCCTGCCTCTACCTTGCTCACCGCTTCTGCTGCCGAAGACGTCGACAACACCGTCGGCACGCCTGCGACCGACAAGGAGCGGACGGCAGAAGCCATCCGCTTCCTCGATACCCTCGCGAGAAAAGGTGGCCGCCTACTGAAGGGTGGTGAGGCCGATCTAGATGGCGTGGCGAAGATGGTGCTGAACGACTTCTTGCGGGGCAAGGTGCCGTGGTTTGTCCCTCCCCCGACGGCGCCGGGTGACGAGGTTGTGCTTGTCCCTAAAGATGGCGAGAGTAGAGATGAGATGCTTGGTATCACGCATGGGAAGAGGAAGCGTGAGGCGGAGGATACGGGCACGGAGGCAAATGATGAGGTTGAGGTTGTTGAAGACGAGGACGACGATGATGATGACGATGAGGATGCTGAAGATGGCTTTGAAGGCTTTGGCGAAGATGATGACGATGATGAGGACAGTGCCTCTGAAGATGGTGTGGAGGATGTGGCTGGAGGCGTCGAGCTCGTTGATGAGGATAGCGATGATGATGTCGACGAGTAGGCTTTTAATTCACGATAATTTGAGTCCCCAAGGACTCGCTTCGCACACATCAACGTCCCAATTCAATCAGTTACAGTGCAGTGTCGGCCACAGGTCCACATCCGCAGATGAGGAAATCCATTCCACTCCCGTCCTGGTGCATCGATCATGTCTCGGAGATGTCCAGTAACGTCGTGAGCGTCCAATCGCATATCGCATACCGCATTCCATCGTACATCTACATGGCAGGTACATCATAGCAGACACACCATTATCTACATTCAACCCTCCCCGTGCCCCTCCGCCCCGACATCACCATTTAACCGTATCTCCCTCGCCTCCACGACCCGCTCAAACCCAATCTTCACGAACCGTCCCAGCTGGCTCCAGAAGTGACATCCCGCCTCATGCTCTCGTATCCGGTCCAGCAGCATTGCAATCTGCTCTCGCACCTCGAGCCGCGGATGGAACAGCCCAAGCGCGAGCGTGAAAAGACCGCTCGGCTGTCCCGACGTGCCTATTGCGCCGGCATTTCTGCTACTATCCGCGGCTGAAGATCCGGTCAGGATTGTGGAGAGTAATTGGCTGATTTCGGCATCTGACTGAACAGCAGCGCAGATGGCGAGATAGATGTTGGAGCTGGCTTCTGGGTTCATGCGCAGCTTGCTCAGCTTGTCGTGTAGATGCTGTAGATCCAGCTCTTTGACGGGTTGGCGGACGTAGTAGGCTGCGAGGTCCTGGATGAAATAGTAGTAGCTCCTTGTGTTCCTCCAGCCTTCAAGCCTCGTGGCATTGGCTGCGAGTTCTGCGTTCTTCGCATGTGAGTGCGGCCAGACGTAGCCGTGCCCAGTGACTTCGGGTGGTAGCTCGAAGCCACCTGCTGTAGACGTTTTGGACGGGCTGTCGAGGCGTGGTGAGCCGATGCTGAGGCTCGGTGAATTTGTTGTGATACTGGGGTGGATGTACAGGCTGGTGGCACCGTAGACGACCTCCTCGAACGCAGCCGCGATGCGGATGAACTTGAGTATCCACCGCCTGAACTTCGCGCGTATAGCGTTTTCGCCGTGGCGCTCGTTGATGGCCGCGATCACGTTATTCATAAAGGTTGCATCTCCCGTGATGTCACCGCTCATGTTGCTAGCGGGAGTAGCGTTGCCGCCCAGACCAGCGCTCATCGAAGCTCCCACTGCCACGATCGAGGAGATCCCACCGGTTCCGCCAGGGTTGCCAAGCTTGTCAGATGTGTGGTGAGCACCCGCACCATTTGAATGGAAGAAAGCAACACCCTCAGTAAGCGGTGCTTGCTCGATGCGATTGCTGATGCGCATCTTGCCGGTGGAGATATCGCAAAGGACATCCCACCACTCCGTCTTGTGTGCAAAGGCTGGGTTGGTGACGCCAGCGATAAATCCGGGCACTTTGAGGAGGTCGTCAATCTTCGTCAAGTCAGTATAAGGGAAGGCATGTCTCGTAAAACCTCGCAGCAAGCCTCCGGATGCAAGAGAGCAGGCGCCTAAGACTGCCTCTGCTACCTCAGAAGAAGGAAGGTTGTGGCCGAGGAAGATGATTCGTTTCTGCGTGAGAAGTGCGTTGAGTAGAACGATGATAGGGTGAGTAAGGGGGCCGGAAGTAGTAAGGTGAGGATGCGTTGGCGAGAATGGTGTAGGTGCGGTAGCATGAGGAGTGGCGAAAGTTGTGATCAGCTTGACCATGCTGAAGTCGCCGACCGTCTCTGGCGACAGGGCAACAGGGACCTTGACTGGTACGGGAACGTTGGCATATTTGACAATGCTCTCGAACTCGTGCGTGTCCCTTGGAAGACCATACCGGTTCCGAGTGTGGAGCTGAGAAGTTGGTGACTGGCTTGGATGTGTGCCATCCTTCTCTTTGGATGCCATACGTTGCGCAATGAGTGCTTCAAATTTGGAGAGGAAGAGGTCTTTGGCCTCGCTCGACTGCAAGATAGACTTCTCGTAAATCGAGAGCTTTGGCACGAGGGAGAGATCCATGCTGTTAACGGCTTCGTAAAGGCTGGCCAGTGTTTCGACGACAGGATTGGCGAAGTACTCCCCTAGGGCCAGCAGTAGTAGTGGCTTGTAAATGTGCAGGAACGAATGGCGAGTGCAGATGGCCATTGCTTTTACTACAGCGCCTCGTTTGACGGTCTTGTCTTGCTTCATGTTGACAAGGTTGAGGACGTAGACCAGTGGTGGACCGTCGATATCATCCGGCTCGTTGTCGCTCTCGTCTCCTGACGAGCTGCTGCCTTCTGCATCTGAGTCGTCCTCTGCCCCTCCACCTGCTTGCCCGTTCGCCTCAGCTCTCCGCCGCTTTTTCTTCTTTCTACCGCCCTGCTCCTCATCCTCCTCCACAGCACCATCCTTGTGCAGGAAGAAGATCGTCCAGTCTTGAGCTCGCACGTGTGCTCCATCTGGCAACATCAACTCGGCCAACATGTGTTCGTCCCCACCCACTGGCCCAGGGTACTGATGCTCCATGACACTTCCACGATCGATGTCGAAGCTCGCGACGAGGATATACTCGACATGCTTCTCTGTTCTGTCCGACGGGTACTGCGACTTCACCGATCGTTGTCTGGGTCGTGTCCTGGCAGGCATACGGGTCTGGCGTAGTTGGCCATTGGAGGCGGCGTTCTGTATGAATGGCCCGGGAGAGTCATTACTCTGCGCAGAAGAGGGTTGTGAAGCGGATGACTGTTGGTGCTGGTGTGCTGTGTAGTGGTTGCTCCCTTCATGTGATCCAGAGCCAGTCCGAGAGGAGTGGGAGGGCTGGCGGACATGGGTGCTTCGACTCGCTCCGCTGGCTGATGTCCCTGTCGAGTTGGTGTTTGGTCGATGAGGCAGGACTGCTGCCATTGTACGGGTCACTGGACGGCGTTCTGCATAAGGTGCATCGTTGTGCTGCATCCCCCGTCTCCCCTCTTTCATGTGATCGCACAGATCGGACCCTGATCTACGCTAGCGTATGAGCTAAAATAGCTAAGCTTTCTGTTTGTTTACCAAAGACAACCTCACTTCACAGCATATCCGATCGTCTAGAAGAAGTATAGCAGACAGCATGGTATGTTGTGGGTGATCGAACGAGGATGTACACCGCTAATAGACACAGGCCAACTCGCTCCGACCCACCCCGCTCTCCTTCGATTCGGGACGTCAGTCGCCCTTCAAGCGACAGAACAGCGCGTCCCCAGCAACGGTACGAGCGACGACACCAACGCAGTCACCGACCAAGCCCAATGGCAGCCTGTCGCCAACGAAGGTTGGCTCATTATCCCCCGAAAAAGCGAGCCCATTTGTTCGACGCCCATCGCAGATCAGCCAGACATCAGAGCGACCAACAAGTCCATTCGCACGCCCATCAAGCAGTCTGAGCATCCCAGCATCGCCATCAAGGCAGAGCAGTCGGACAAGCAATACGGAAGAAGTCGCCCCTCCGTCGCCGCGCACCACAGCATCACCAGAAGAGGAAGAGCCCATACGCACACCATCTGGCGCAACACCTCGCGCTGCACCTAGCCCATCGCCCTTCGATGGCCCGGCTCCAGACTCGCCGTCACGCAATGTTCCGTCTCAAGCCAATCTTCGTCCGACTTTCCAGCGCACAGTCACGTCTTCCACAACCTCCACAGTCAAGCCGCTCAACTTTGGGAACACGAATGCCGCGCCAGCTCCGAAGCCCGCAAGACTGCCAACTAAGTCGAATAGCACGGCCTACAAGAACGTCCCACATACTCTTCTCCACAGCATGCGCGAATCCTTCGAAGTGCTAGACCCCAACAGCACCAATACCATAACTTCCGCGGAAGTCAGCTCGATGTTGGATCAGATGGGCATGTCTTCCAGGCCTGCGGACCTCTGCGACTTTTTCCCGCCCAACGCACCCTCCAATCTCAACTTGGCGCGATATTTGGATATGCTGTCCGCACCACTTGCAGAGCTCTCGCCGCCTGATGAGCTGAAGGCGGCATTTGAGGCATTCGATGTAGATGACAGTGGGCAGATCGACGTGACGGAGCTGAGGAGGGCTTTGTTGAATACTGCACCCGAGCCTGGAGAGGAGGTCATTGATCTTAGTGAGAGGGAAGTCGATTCGGTGATAGGAGAGTTCGTGGGCAGAAGGGCGTTTGGGGCAAAGGGCATGAATGCTGCGAAAGGAAAGGGTGAGGTGTTCAGGTGGAGGGAGTTTATGGGCGCTGTGACCGGTGGCGGGGCTGGAGAGGCGGATGGTAGGGAGGGTGTAACGGCTGCTTGAATGTTCATATAACCATCACAGCGTTGGTAGGTTGCAGTAATTGTAGACGTTCGCATTTGATTCGTCTTGCAGCTGTGTTCTGAACTCCACTGTCCAGCCTTACTCGAGCATCGGCCTTTGGGAACCCAACCATCCAAACTGAGCAATCACCTTCCACGTCGACTGCTCCCTTTGCTGCCATCTCTACCTTGACACCTTCTTGAGTGCTCACCAGTTCACCACAACCTGCGCCACAATCTCCATCACCACACAAGAGCGTGCCTCAGTCTGGCGCTTCCAGGCATCCATCACCTCCAGCAAGTCTCCAATCTTGACACCGGACGGAACGTACACCGGAACATGCTCCATGGTCGGCGAGTCGAGCTCAAAGCCCACGTTGGGAACCCTGGTGGAGCGCAGGTGACAGGCCTTGATTCCTACCATGCTGCAGGGTGGAACGGTGACGAATTGGTCGCGGTGTCTCTCAAGCGTGACCCTTTGGCCGGGTTGGAAGACGTCGTGGATGTTAAAGGTCTTGACTTCGCTGGAGTACTCTGATGCAGTTTCGACGCGGAGGAAGGGTTGGATGCTGAGGTTGGCCGTGATATAGCAGGGCGTTCAGCATCTGGAAGCTTCTGCCCACAGCTTGCCGTTGTCGTGAATCGTGGTTGTGCTTGGGTGGAGGACCGTGGTGTTGTTCGTCTGTTGGGATCAGCACTACACTCTCATGCTTGTTGCAGACTGCACGTACTGTCCCAGTGGCGATGCTAGCTTCTCCTGATGCCGCCATTGCTGCTGGGAAAGATGTAAGCGAGACTGTGGGTGTGGAAACGTCCTTGAAGGAGAAGACTCAGAAGAGGAGACGAGCGGAAGTCTAGAAAGCAAACGATTTGGTTTGACTGAGAAAGAGCCATCGGTTTGCATTGGCGTCATCTCGCATACAGTATGCTGATTTCTACAGGTCAGTGTTTGCGGTTGAGACCTGCATGCCGATACCTCAGATGGAGAACTTGGGTGATAGTGAGTCGAGTAGGAAAGCAGCATATGCAAGAAGCGACCGGACAAAAGCCTGTGGAACATCGCATTCTGCCTTCTGTGATGTTTGGGCGTGGTACATAGCTTGTTTGATAGAAAACCCGACCCTGCTGTCTCCCAAGCATGGTGGAGGTCTCTTTGACCCGGCGCCAGCCACCGCTGAACAGGCATACGCAGAGCAGTACGTTCCTGCACTGCTACGTGGGGATCGATGGCTGCGTTTTCCAAGCCATACACCTGTTCACTCACCATCAATCAAAATCATCCTGGTCCTCCCCCAACACCGTCGTGTGGATCCAGGCATGATCGCTTCCACCAACCCAAGCCACCTCTCCGATCAGTCCATCACAATGCTTGCCCTCCTTCTTGAGCTCATCCTGCAAAGTGCCACTGTACCACACCACATCCTTGACCTTCACCCCAGTCGGAACGTACACCATGCAGTGCAGGTCAGCTTCATTGCCGGCGCCGTCGCAGAAATCTGCCTTGACAGTCACCGCACTGCAGCGTGGGCTAGTCACGAACTCTTCGAGCACGCCGTTGATCTCGCCCGGAACCGTCTCTTTCTCCTGATCGAGCTGAAAGTGTCTAAGTCCCCCGGGACAAGCGGCAAGGTATATCCAGGAGAGCGCCGGGTTGTACGCAAGCTTGGAGGTGGTGTAGCACGGCTCGCAGCACGCAGTGCGATCTGCGAGGAACCTGCTATCCGGTTCATCTGTGTGTGCAGTCGTCGTGGTTGGCGTAAGTGTACTGGCGAGACGAGCTTGTTTGCTGTTCTGTATCATGGTTCTCCAGTGTTTGCACACCTTCTTTGCTTGCTGCATGTCGGCAGGCGAAAGACTGCAGATAATCTCGATGAGGATGAGGTCCAGACCTAGGGCCTTGTCGCGGAGTTCGTTGGCCTTTTTGCCTGGCTGATCGATGATGTCTGTTCTGGTGGCGGCATCACATATCGTAGCCTGGGCGACACCTTCGCTGTCTACCGCCATGGTTGCGGTGCTTGTTGGGTATACAGACCAAGAAGTTTGCAGTACGAACCAAGGAGAAGGTGAAAAGCAAGAAGGCTGCGGGTAAGGCTAGAGAAGGAGCTCGGGCCATGATCTGAAATCAGTCAACGGACAAACACATATTCTACGAAGCTGCTGGGGGCTCACCAGAATAAGCGGTGTACAGGAAAGGCACTCATTGGAGCACCACCATCTCAACAGGCGCCTCCGGAACTCATCAACACGGCCCAATTTCATGGTCGTCACGCCAGAACGCACTCTGCGGGCTCACGCCAGCGCCTCCCACTCAGCCTTCAATTTGTCCGCCCACAACGATCCACCACTGCCGTACACTACCACGCGATCCTCCCCTCGATCTCCGCATTCCTGAAATCCGCCCGCGGGCCGTACTGTCGCTGCTCCAATAACGTAAATGCCACAGCAACGAGGTCTCCGATTCGAACCCCTTCTTGCGGTAAATCACACATTCGGTGGAATGTTCATCACCACCTAGTTGGCAACGCATGCGCATGCCAACGACACGGCAGCGTGGCTGAGTAGCAAAGTCGTTTTGGCAGCTGGGAAGACGCGTTGCAAAATGGTTCTGGCACTTGGCGAATGTGGGCCTCGTGTAGACAGTGAGGGCTTTTTGGAACAATCTTGTCAGTTTTGTGATCTTCAAAGACTCTTCTCGCATCTGGACAATGCTGAACGACCTTTCTCCAGTGCTGTCATCTTGAACAACATTCTGGATGACGGGATGGAAAAGCATGTCTGCAGGCACATCGTAACGAGGAAGACTTGCGCGGCCACGTTGCTGTGTCTGTTGCCATTGGATAAATTTGCTCTCTGCCTGGATCGGAAGCATGACCATAGCTTTGCGGATCGCTGGACTGGAGACGATGAGCTGGTTGAATGTCCTGGAGACCTTTCTTGCCATTTTGATGTCGTAGGGATGGAGGTGGATGATGATGTGCTCGAGCACTTCTAGCGTTCCAAGAGCCTTTGCTTGGGCAGGGCCATCGTTCGACAACACTTGCCCCAGCTGCTGAGCCAGGAGGAGTCCGGTGGAGAGCTCTTGTAGGTGGTCGTTCATGGTCGGGTAGATGAGCACATCTCGTCTGTATTGTGCTGATGGAGTAAACATAGGCCTTCTTGTCTTTGCTGTGGTATGCATGTTCCAGAGAGGTAAACGATTCTTCGTGGCAGCCTGCGTATGTCTCAACGCAGTGCATGTTCTGGCCATTTCGCTGGCTGAAACCTGGCTCGCGAACACCTCGCGGCATCTTGATCTGCGACCTTCCAAGGCTGCAAGTTTAGCAGCCTGTACGCTTCGAGGAGTATCAGTAGTGCGCTACCAGGCCGAAAAGACCAACCATCGGTGCGGGCCCATATGTGCCGATGGTGCTCTGCAGCAACTTTGCTACATCTGCAAGGTCCCTGATCCGGACTCCACTCCTGACATATACCACGCAATGAACCACGCCGGGGTCGCGGGTGGAACTCCCTTCTTCACTGACGTATGTCGTAGCGCGCACTCCGGTCGCGCAGTACGGTAGACATGTTGCAAACGACGCTTCAGAGTCAGGGCCATGCGGGACCTCGAACTGGAACATTCCGTGAATGTGTGCCACAATTCTGAGGCTCGGATGCAGATGTAGCCCCAGGCCCGCGGGGACATGGTACCTGGGCAGGCTGGTCTCCGCGTGCACCTGCATCCATCGTGCCCACTTATCTTTCGAGATAAATGGTGCTAACACCCTCCTCTTGCAAACTTTCTTCGAGGTGCGTATCATCTCGTCCCACGCCGTCGACACTCGTCTGGAGGTCTCGATGGTCGCGGGGTCAAGTTCGGCGATTATGATTTCCAGCAGTTCTGAGATCCCCAGTGCAGATGTTGCGGCCATCGAGAGCGTTGCAAGCTGTTCGGTCAGGTCTTTCGAGTGCGATCTCACCGTATAGTCCGCGCCCCAGCAGTACCGTTGAGGTAGGATAGCGCGAACGACCTACCTTGTGCATTGTTGTACTGGACAGCAAACCGCACTCCGGTGCGCGTTGTGTGTACGACGCTGTCCTGCGACGCACTGCAGTGCCTTGGCTTCACCACCGCGTCATGAGACGAATGAGCAGAATGCTCCTCCAGTTATGCGCATGCGATTGGGCTGATGTCCTCGAGGCCTCGAGTGCCTCGAATACCTCGAGAGAAGTACTCCAAGTGCATCTGCATCCTGCGAGGGCTGCGTGCCGCGTGCGCGCACCTTGTTAGTCAGGTGGTTGCTCGATACTCCGTTGCATCTTGACGGGAGCTGAGTGCGTCTCACAAAGCTCATCCACTACATGCCAATCATTCTTCTTCATGTCAGGATGTTGGCTAGCAGCGATCGAGACGCAACGAGGAACGCGTGATGTTGGGAGAGCTCTGCCAGAGAAGGAGGAAGAGATACGTTCACGTGGCATTCACCGCCTTTCCCGATTTGGTCACTTTTGGCTTCGTCTCAACCTTACCTCCTACGCCTACACGAATTTGCATACACAGAATACCTCTCATACAAGCTGGACACGTGCTCCCGCCCATCTTCTGCGTTTTGTCCCGCGTACACTGTGTTATTCACCTCGTGCCTATGCCTTCCCTCAAAACAGATTGAGCCGGTCTCCGCCATCCCCCAGGGAGTGCTTGTATTCGACGGCACCAACATGGGATATGTAACAAGGCTGCAAAAGAAACGTACTTGTTGCAGCCTCCTTTGCTAACCGACCTGGTCACGACATGATGTCTGCTGCGAGAAGCACCCAGGCCGACAGGTAAACTGCTCTCAATGTATCCGCACTACTGTTCACTTACAGAAGCTGGGTATCAAGAGAGGATCCAGCCTTGCCATTGGAATTCGAGTCTACAGCATCGGCCGAAGTCGACAGCAAAAGACAACTCAGACGTTCGAAAGGTGGAAGCCTTCCTCGACGCGGAGGAGAGTTCAGAAGACTCGGGCGCTCGCCTCCTGGTCTACTCATCTATTGAAGGTCGCAACACTGCAAAATGCTGGCGAAAGAGAGGACCCTCGAGGGAGAAGAATACAGTCGTGGTCTGCTCGTTCATTTGACTACGGTCCGTCACGAATCGGCGACGGCCTACAAAAGGTCTCAGACAACGTCCTCCAGCTACCTCTCTAGGTATGGTATATCAACCTGCATCCTGGGTCTTTTCTTCTTAGCCTTGGCACTCGAACGCTCGACTTCGGCATATCGGCGCTAAAATGAGCGAACAAAAGAAAAAACCCCCCACAACAGGAGGAGAGAAGAAACTAGGCGTACAGATTTGCTTCTATTTATTCCTAGCGCAGGATCGACACAAGAGGGTGAGGATCTGGAGGCATTTAAGGAACTTTCGAGGTGCAGGCGGATTAGGGGGGGGGGGAATGGTTTTGATCCCATTAAGCAAAGGTTTTTGTGCTGTGAACACCCGTTCCCTCAATGGGTACTAGAGATGGAAGGACTTTTTGTCAAAACCATATATGTGTTACCAGCTCAAGCCGAGATTGGGCCGGAGACTGTCACATGCTTGCGGTTGCTGACGACATCACTTCAACTTTGCGGCGGTTATGGGCTTGTGGAGCAACATGTCGTTCACGAGGAGGAGGTCGGGTTCATGGTTCTTGTCTACGATGGTTCTTATGGAAGAGCAGTTCTACGTCTACAAAGTGCTTGCGCCATCGACGCCATCTACGCCGTTCGTCTAAGGCCACTGGCAAGGTCGCCTCAACCCATTGGACCGAACCTCTTCCGCCGTCACTCCCTTAGCTTCCATGCGGAACCTTGTCCACGCTACATGAGCGATTCCACCTCCCGGACCGGCAGCAAAGCACCGAAAGCCGCCAGGCGGCAGTGCCAGCGTTCTGCTATAACGACTTTCCCAGCGCTCACAGGCACAGGTTGATTGATTGCATACTACCCGAGACATCATACCGGCTCAGAACGCTGAGCAATATCATTAGCCCTAAGAGGGCCTTTCGAAAGGTACAAAGGTTGGAGTTACAACAAGACCAGTCTTACTGCGATGTCTCATACCAAGGTCCTTTTCAGGAAATGCTGAAGCTGATGGCATCTTGATCTGACGCTGACATCGTTGCTGGATGGTAAGTGTGTATAGTTGTGGATGATGGATGTAGTAGCAGTCCATAGTGATCGAGCAGTTCTCTTCCCGCGTAAGGCCTCACTATCATGCCAATTATTCCATTTCCTTGACATCGAACAGAAGTCTTGTTTAGAAGCATCGACACACGCGATACCACCATGTCAATAGCGTCGTCCAGCTGCCGCGCCGCACGTGCATTGAAGCTGACCGCAAGCGTTTATGTCAGCCGTATCACCTTTTAAGGCTCGACAATCATTCTTCATATAAACTGGGACTCAGCGCATTCTTTTGCCGGCGTTCGTCTCAAGCATCTCTCATCAGTCATGGCTCGACCGAAACTCACATTCTACCTGGATCTCCAGAGTCCGTACGCTTATCTTGCATACTACTTCACAAGAGTAAGTAAAGAAATCGGAGCAACAGCTTGATACAGTTCTACTGACGATGAGCATGGCAGCATTCTCAAACATTCTCGGACTGTGATATAACCTATGTACCCGTCCTCATGATCGGTTTGGTGAAAGCTGGCGTATCGAATCCACCCTGGAACATACCGAGTAAGCCTCATCTACAGACAATATCCTGCAATATCAATCTGACCTGAAAGCGCAGACAGAGTAGACTATCTGTGGAAGGACATTGCACGCTGCGCTGCAGAGGCCAGCGTACCCTGGCGAGCTGGTCTTCCTGCGGACTACCCTCTTGCGCGGACATCAGAGGTAAGCAGTCGTCTATTATGCTCTGGGAATAGCCTCTGATACTGCCTTAGGTCCAGCGTGTAATCGCCGCGTGTAGCGAGCTATATCCTGACCATCAGCCTGCCTTGCTCGATGCGCTGTATCATGCTTTCTGGATCGAGAAGCAGGGTGTCCAGTCGCTGAAGACATTCCAGCCCATCATCGAAGGTGTCCTTGGTGAAAGCCGAGCAGCAGAAGTAGTTCAGCGGGTATGCTTGTCTTGCCGCTCTCCGACTAATCTCTCAAGCTGACAGAGGCGTGTCTCGCACTCCCAGAGCCTTGAGCAGGATATCCAGAGGATTGTGAGAGCGAACACAGAAGAGGCGACAGCGAGCGGAGCGGTCGGTTTGCCTTGGTTCGTCGCAACGGACGTCTCAGGCAAGAAAGAGGAGTTCTGGGGGTTTGATCGGCTGCAGACTCACGTTGTCCGCTTCCTTGAGCTGGAGGATGCGTCGGCGCGTCTGTGATCGAGCGTCTCAGGCGTAACCAACGAGATGGGAGCTTGATTGACGACCTCGACGTACGCGGTATGCTGAACAATAGTCCCGCCGAAGACAATCATCCACGCCCAATCTTTGCTTTACACTCTCCGAGCCGAAGAACACCATACAGTCGGGGTCGCTTTGGATTTAGCCACGCTATGTTGTACCATGGTACCATAGTCGCTCACCATCCCGTCGGCAGTTCTGATTGTGGTGCTGCCTCTCTTTTAACCTTTGAGAGAGGCCTTGTATACGTGTATTCTGCACGCCTTGAGATCGATTAGAAGACTTGCTGTGCTGTCGCTATTGCCGCGCGCTCTCTCGAGCATCTCATGCCAACATTGTAATCCGCCGCGCTGTCAAGAAGAGCCATCCAAGCCGTCCTGCAGGAACAGCGCATGGCTTTCCCAGGTACCAAAGTCTGCAGACGGGCGAATGCGACTGGAAAGAGTTTTCCCCTTCTAACTTCAATAGTCGAAATGCGCTACAATTCCCATTCGTCAACCAACAAAAAATGATCTCCACAAGCGACTCCAGAACCATGATTTTCCACCACCCCCGCCACGAACCGCGTGGATCTTCCCAACAAGCCGTCGGCACCGTTGGAGCCAGCCTCTTACGCTGCGCCATGTGGAGCGTAGGGCTGCCTACTGGGACTGCATTGATCGACAGGCGAAAGTTTGTCCAACTTGCTACTCCACCACCGCCGACGACGGGCGAGACGGGGAGTTTGCCGGCAGCTGCCAGCTCTTGAACCGACCCGCAGACTCTGCGTTGTTGAGAGCGAGCGAGCGAGCCCGCGTCGCGATGGAAAGGCTCGAGGTAGGGTATTTGATGATGGGTTTCCTGCTTCACGTGTTCTCTTCCTCTTCCTCTCCTACCACAGCAGTTCTTGTAAACCAGTCGCTCTCTTTGAAGCAAAACACTCACTCGTCTATACCACGATCGTAGCAACGATCACCTCCACTCTTTCAACCTAAACTACAAGAACACACTCTCTACAAGTCAACGCGACAACCACCAAACTCCAAGCACAATGGACTTCAAAACCACCTCCATCATCGCCCTCGGCTTCCTCCTCGCCCTCCTGGCCCTCTCCACCCTCGCCCTCGCCGCCGACAACATGGCCTACGCCCACAGTCACGCCAACTCGGAGCTCCAGATCCACTATCTCCGCTGGAACGCCACGGCCGAAGCCCAATACAGCTACTGGCTCGAAATGGACTACACGCCCTCCCGCTTCACTCTCTCGCGGGAAGCCGCTATGATCGCCAGCGGCGTCATCTGCACCATCGCCGGCGCTGTCGCTGTCACCACCGCTTGCTTTGTGCGCAAGGAGAAGGTTAAGGCGTGCGGACTTTCGCTGTGGCTCGTCAGCTTGGTCTTCGCGGCCGTTGGCTTCGCCGCTGCGCTCGCTGGGGCTGTGTATGCGTGGTACCCTGTCATGCAGTGGAACATCAACTTCCTCAAGTCGCTGCCGGTGCCGTCCAAGGTCTCCGGCGCGGAGAAGACGATCACGTACCGCGCGCCGTTTGCTTTCACCCCGGAGGTCTGGAACTGCTATCTCGCGCCGTACGTTGCTGGCTCCGAGAGCGGACGTCTGCAGTCGTTGTGCAACGAGGCGAAGGCGGCGAAGAGCCTCACCATCCCCGTTGTCATTCTCGCCGCTGCTCTGTTCGGCATTGCTGCGTGGAGCTGGTGGACCGCTGTCTCGACTGCTGTAGTCGAGCCCAAGGCGGAGGGCAAGGATGTCGAGGAGGTCAGCGTTGCGAGCAAGGAATAGATCGTCTGTGACGATTGAGGCTGGATGCTGCGATGTGCAGCTTGCCTGCTTGCAGCGAGGCAATGCAAAGGCAATGCAATGATGATGACTCGACTACACACACTCTCTTGGACAGATGCCGCTTGTCGGCTGACATGATACACATGGAATATGACGCAGAATTGGGACACTGCTTGGACAGACAGATAGATATCAATGAATTGAATATGGCGTTTGCTCTTTGACAATATTCTGATCATCTTTCACATTCTAATCAGTAGGATGACAACAGCAAAATGAAGTATCGAAGACCTACAACTTCTGTATCATTATAGACTCTAAATGTCTAAGAACTCTGCCTTACTTCAGAAGCAGTGGGTATAACATCCTACATCGCCCAGCCCTCCCAATTGCAACCATCGGTACCGCTTCTATCCCAAAAGCCGGGTCCAGCCTTCGTGCGTGCCAGCGCCACTGATCATTACACATGCACTCATTACCCAATGCCGCCTATTCCATCAACATCACCCCCTCGACCCTTACGAATCCTTTACTGTGCTCGTGTTGGACATCGTGTCACAGCACCGCCCTCCTGCCCCTCCCCACTTCCTCCCCCAGCTCCACCTCCTCACTCCCCAAACCCGACCCACCCCCAAACTCCGCCTGCCGGATCCTCTCCTTCAACGCCACCACCCCGCGCTCCGCAAAGTCTTTCCGACAAAACTTGCACATCCGCAACGCACACCAACTACACGAGAAATGCTCATTATCGTCATCGATATGACACACCGAGCACTCCACCGGCGCTGCTTTGTTCTTCGACGGCAGCAGCCGGACGTGGCCGCGGTAGCACTTCAGCTGTGTGAAGGTAAGGGGGCGGGTGTAGGCGAAGCCGGACGGTTTGAAGGTGTGGCCGCGGCGGCGGTCAGCGGAGTAGGCGCTGGTGGGCGCGGTGGAGGACGGGCGGGACGCGAGGCGGGATGCTGAGCGGGAGGAGGGGCGGGTGGTGTTGGTGAAGGAAGCGTTGGTCCAGGCGGAGGTTTCGGTGGAGCGTTGGGTGCTTTCGGCGCGGCGGCGGGAGGTGCTGAGGCCGTTGAGGAAGGAGGAGGCGGATTGGAGGGATTTGGCTTCCTGGTTGGCGGTTAGTTGGGTGATGGAAGAGTGACGGTGAGGGAAATGACGTACGTTGAAGATGTCAAGTCCAGTGCTTTTGCGGCGTGCTTTGACCACGTCAATCTTCTCTGGCTCAGGAAGCTCGGGTGTGTCCATTCGGTCCTTCAGGCCATACTTGTGCGGGCTGTCTTCTGGCAATGGTGAGGGCGCGGGTATGGAGGGTGACAGTGTCAGCCCGCGATGAGGCGGAGGAACTGGTGCACTACTGGGCTTGCCGTCTGTGTCATCATCGAGGTCTTCGACGAAAGAAGTGCTAGTCTCCACTCGCGATCCTCTTCGACTGTCAACTCTGCTGTCGCGGATGGTGGTTGAAGCACTCATCGGGCGGCTAGCGTTCTCGGTCGTTATGGTGGCCATGGAAGTAGATTGTGCTGCGTGAGGCATGTCGTCTGTCCTAGCCTTCGTCGGTGACAATTCATGAATGCCCATGAACGGATCCACCGGGCTTTCTTCATCATCATTCCGATTCGAGCCATCGAAGGCGTTAGGTGATACTTGTTGAGTGACTTGCAGCACTGTGCTCGCAGTGAGCTCCCGGGGTAGTGGCGACTTCGAGTCGATGCGCTTGCAGAGGTTCGTCGAGCTCTTCCGTAGCATGCGTACCGGTCTTCTCACGACGCTGTGCGTACTGGCGTCATCGGGCCCCGGCGAGCCTGTGATGCTCGAAGGCTTGTTGCCCATCTTCGGCTGTGGCGGCGACTGCTGTGGTCTATTGGATCGGTGCTGTGCGACCTGCTGCGTTATCGTGGGGCGCGTGCCTGTGTCTGTGTGACCATGCGAGATCTGATGTTTCAATTGGTCAATAGGGAGTGAGGTCAAGCCATTGGTCCGCGTGAGAGTGAGGTCGGCTGGTCGATTGTCGCGGTTGAGGAGGGGAGAGGAACGTGGCGAGCATGCCGCTGTCGATGCTTGGGAAGTGGCAGTCTCATGTGTTCGTTGCGGAGCATGGAAAGTGGTGTCTGGTGTTTGTGAAGCTTTAGATCCTGCCTCGAATTCTGGTGCACGTAGTGTCAGCTTCCCATTGTCGAATCGTGGTTGCTTGGAAACAAGTGACCTGGGAAAAGAGGGAAGACTTGCCTTTGTTTGAGGAGTGCTCGTTCCGCGAGATCTCGACTGCTCGTCGGCTCCTGCCTCTGCCTCTCTCTTCGTACTCGAGCTCACCATCCCCGTCAAGTGGCGAAAGTGAATCACGTGGCGAGTCGGTGGATGACTTTTTGATCACGAGCGAAAGGAGATCCAGGCGAGCAGAGTTGCGTTTGCTGCCGGATGCTGAACGAGGGACTGATAGCAGAGACATGTTGAATATTGAGCGGAACGCTGGACTGGACACAATTTGAACAAAAGAAAGACATGGTCGCTGGGCCTGTAAGCCTATTGATACTTCCCTCCGAGAAATGAGAATGGGCGCATGCTGGGAAGACGCTGATTCTCTAGCTGTGACACGATCAATTTGATTGCAGTATCAGCTGACAGTCGGCGTACGAGACGTGCAGCAGTTCGCAGACGCGGTGGAGCAATGAGAGGCAAGGAAAGGCCAGGCATCTTGCTGACAGTGGTGGTTTGGCAGGGGACGAAAAGTCGTCTTTCTGCTTCTCGGAGGATCGCGAAACGCTGCATGGATGTGTTTCAGGCCATGGCCTTGCAACCAAGCCACATCGCAAGGCTTCTGAGGCACGGCCGGTGGATCGGCTTCAATCCTTGGGTGGAAGCAATTTCGTCGCCGCCGACCCGGTACATGTCGGGAGCCACAAGAAGGTGCCGGAAGATCGTTTGTGCATCGGGGCGGATTCCCCGGTGTCACAACCGGGTGCCTTAGACGCGACGGTGGGGACCTGCGGACAGCGCTGAGATCGAGAGTACTGCTGTACCAAGATAGCACCGTCGATGAAGGTATCTGCGGTCATACAGCAATGCTGTGTCAAGAACAAGGAACGGTGCGGTGGTATAGAAGAGAGAAGGTGTTGGAGGAGGGCTGATGCTCACGTTGGCCCAAGCGCCCATGCAAGACGACATCACCATTTCACCACAACTCCATAGAGCTCGATCTGTACGTATGCCCAGTGTACCATTTTCTTTCAGCCATTGGACCTTGCAGCCTTCGTCGGCTCTCGATCAAGCCTTGCGGAGTTCGTAAAACACATATTACACCAGGAGTACACTTCTCTAAGTGCGAAAGTCGACGAAATCGCATGAAAAGATAGAGCACGCGACGACACCACACCTCCAACTCATTCTCCCACCATGTCCGTCCCGGGCAACATCAACACCGCTCCACCCCCCTCCTCCTTCGACGACGATCCCGACTTCTACGAGGAATCCCGCTGGAACAAGCTCCGCCGCCGCATCGTCGAAGAACCCCTCATCCCCCTCGGCTGCGCCCTAACATGCTGGGCCCTCTACGAAGCCACCCGCTCTATCCGCACCGGCGACAAGGAGCGCACGAACCGCATGTTCCGGCGCCGTATCTACGCGCAAGGGTTCACGCTGGCGGCCATGTTCGTAGGGAGTATCTATTGGGAAGGTGATCGGAAGAAGCGGAAGGAGTTCTCGGGGTTGGTGGACGAGAAGAAGAAGAAGGAGAAGCATGAGGCGTGGATTCGGGAGTTGGAGATAAGGGATCAGGAGGAAGAGGAGTTGAGGAGGGTGAGGGACAGGGTGAGGGAGGGGCAGGCGAAGGCGAGGGAGAAGGTGGTGGAGAAGGCGGAGGGGACGGCGAAGCAGGTAAATGAGAAAGCCAATGAGGTGAACGAGAAGGCGAAGGGGGTTGCGAGTGAGGCGGTAAAAGCGAAGGATAAGGCGGTGGAGAAGGTGCAGGAGAGTGTGAGGAGTTCTCTCGAAGACAGTGAGCGACGAGGGCCGATATTGAGTGCTGCGGCAGATCTGTGGCAAGGCAGGAGATGATGTGGTTGATGACTGCACGAAAGCTTGTCCGTTCTCAATGTATCTGTGTCGATAAAGTCCTTGAAACCCAAACATTGATCCGGGTCACACATGTCGTGCTGTTTTGAAGCTGATCGTAGTCAGTCAGTGAGCTCGTTTGCCAGTTCAACGGAGTTGCGCCCCTGAACGTCGTTTGCAGCCAGAGCGGCGCTTCTCACCACCACTAGCATTGGTCCTGGCGCTGCATTGCGACTGGTCTAGCACCTTTGCACCTTCGCAGCTTGGAGAACCAAGACTGAGCTCATTACCGCTGCGTGCCACGAGGCCCAGAAGTTATGCCCTCCTGCCCCATTGCTTTCGACCGCCAGTGTCTCTGAGATATAACGAAATAAGCACCCGCCCAGATTCATCCCACACTTCGAAGAATCCGTACATATCGAGGTAATTGCCATCCGCCCTCGTCATTCGGATCCATAAACCTGATCGCAAGCATCGAGTCCACATGGCCGCGCTCGTGCGTTATGTCCCGCAACACGTCATGCACATCCTGGAATCGCACGCCTTTCTCATTATGAACCTTGCAGCCTTTCGCGCTCAAGGCACTGACAAGGGGACCGGAAGACTCGGACGGCCAGAAAGTCAAGTGCATTGTTGTGCATGGCGGTGTGACGACTAAGACCGAGAGCATGTTCAGCTCCCACGTACGCCGGAATCCGGAGGAGTATTCGTTGTAGGCCCAGGGTGTGAATGATGCTGCAAGGAGTGGGTGGAACTTGAGGTGCTGCTCGGTGTAGTAGATGCTCTGATGGCCTTCAGGGTGAGTCCATGGTTGCGCCACTGCGACTTTTGTGATGGCAGACGAGTTTTCGATGAGCTTGAGCCATGTTGAGCATACTCGTTTGGTCTTTAGGAGGGTAAGAGGCTCCAGGTGCAGGAGAACGGCTTCGAGGAGCTCGTAGGTACCGAGGGTCTTGGTGCAGGCCGCCATATTGCTTCACGGCAGGACAATATCGTTGCGAGCCGGTAGTTCTGTAGCAGCCCACATGTACGCCTCAATGTCTATGAAGAGAGCTGTAGCAAGGCAAGTCACAGATTTTAAGACTGAACACCTTTGTAGTACCTACTTAGTGAATGTAGCTTTGGAGGATCAAACATGCACAGCGCTGTTGTTTCAGAATCTGTGACAGTTTCTTGATTGCAATTATACGGACGAAGCCTTCAGCAGACAATCTCTCGATGGCGCACACAAAGAGTGGTAAAGTAGCATGACGTGTGGTACCTATAGAGAAGACCCTCACGGCCACGAGCGCTAGAAACGAATGCAAACCGGAGGTTCATCTCTGTGGACCTCAACAGAACGAATGTCTCATGTCGCCTCACCAGTTTCAACTTTCTCCTTCAGCATCCTGTCCATCACCGCATAGCCAAGAGTCGATGTATCAACATCCAGACCCGGAAGCGCCGCGTCGAGCTGCTGAGCGAGATCGAGGATACCCCATAACGGGTTCGGAAGCTGGGCGATGTGAGCCATGAGTGTGCGGTGGTGCTCTGCGAGAGCGACGTATTCCCCCTGCACTCTGGCGGTCAGGATATCCAGTTGACTGGAGCATGCAAATTCCCCGTGGCCCAGCTCCTCGCACAGCAAAGCCAGACGGTTCAGAATTTGGCAATACACCCCGAAGGCCGCATGTGGTGCTGCTGGCTCCTCGCTCTCAATGAGCGACCGCGTGATCAGCGAAAACTCCCTCCAAGGTTTCGCCGCGGTAGCCGCGATTGGCTGCGCTTGGAAGTGGAAATTGAAGCGCTTGGTGCTGTCGAAGCCGCGGATAGATCGTATTCTTCACCAGATCGATGATCTCCTCTCTCACAGTGGTACATGTTTGCATGAGGGCTAGAGCATGACCAAAGCTTTGTAGTGTGCGGCGAGGCCGGGGTTCCGAGACAAATACCAACTGTCGGTATATCATAAGGCGTATTTCGGTAGGGAGGTTGAGCAAGTGACAGCTGCCACCACTTGGGGTTGCAGAGTGGTATGTTGCAGGGCGATAGCAGCGCCTGACCGCTGATTGTGCATTCGTCAGGGTAGGCCGGCGCTGCTCCACCGTCGTTTTGTGTGCGACTGAGAATTGCAGCCGCCGGCGGATGGACTGCGTTGGATCGAAATCCATGTTGTGTGGTTTGTGTGTTACGAGCGTCGTTGAGAGATAGTTGCCGGTAGAGAGATAGTGGTTGGTAGAAATGCTGAGCGCCAACAGCAAAATATAGGAGAGATCTTGAGAATATTTGTGCTGTGGAGGACGTCAGCTGGTTCCACGGTACGGCAACACAGTCATTCACAGTCATTCACCGTTGACGATGGCGAGTCGGCCAAACAACGACGCATTCGAGGCCATCACGACCGACCATGTTCAACAGGCAAGCGTCTTGAAGGGCGAGGATCATTCCATGCTTCTTGCTCTTCTCGCACTGGATTCCGCCTGCCGCGTATCTCAGGGACACTCCGCTCACAGTAGGCGCAATACTTACCTCGGAGAGCAGCGGCACTTTTCTTGAGCCGTAACTAATGAAAAACTCGTCCGAGAGCAGCGCAGGCAGATCGGCGGTGCGTAAGACTATGGTTGAGCTCGCTCAATTAGCACCTGTTCAGTATACGGCACATGGAAGACGAGCGTCATACTCACCTGGAAGAAATGTAATGCGAACTCTTGCAGTGATGACCTCGCGAGGTGCAGCAGTAATAGTTCCTCGTTCATGTGCCTCGTGAATGAGAGAAAATAGGAGTATTTGACTGAATAGATACCGTTTAGAGTCGCCGTGTCCTGCCCAGAGATGGTATTACCTGCCGTCGGCCCCCTGCAGGTGGCGGTGACACTCGCAACACCGTCCAAGATCATGAGAATCAACCATTTCACATTATCCGACGATATTCATACTCACAATGATGTGCTCAGCCACTCAGAGCCTTTTTGTTTCTGGAGAGACACTTTGCTCCTATGTCATAGGGATTTCTCCGGCCTCTTGCGCACGCAATAGCCTGGTGTAGACGGCGTAGCCCAGATTAGACATATTAAAATCCGCATCATGTCGCTTCTTAGCCTCGCCATGGTCGCAGAGATCTCAGGGACAATGTGTGTATGTGGTGGTGCTCAGATAGCCTTCATCTGCATTGCGCCGCTCGAGACTGTGTGCCGAGCCCCTCAATCCCCTGATGCTGAGTTGTCCTGTGCTTCCTGCATCAGACGGCCCATGACGGCGTACCCTAGATGAGAGGTATCCACACCGACGTCCGGAAGGGCCTCTTCGAGGGAAGGAAGCAGACTCACAGCGGAATGCGAAGCTTCCACTCCCCTCTCATAGTTGTACAACTTCTCCATCTGTTCCGGATAGTCATCCCAAGATTCGCACTTCGTCATGTCAGGTTCTGCCGCATGATCCCAAAGTGGGCAGCCATGATTCCTGGGATATTGTTCGGCACATCTGTCGACGTCTAGAGCCAGTCGCGAATGAAGCCGCCTGATAGCCCCCATGTCACCTCGAACCCGAGCTTCAACGAATCTATCCTCAGCTTCGTCCACGTCGAAAGGCGTATAGCCATACTCTCTGATCTCGTAAAGCCGACCGAACACTTCGTCAAGCACTTCGAAGTATTTCCCGAGTACGTTGTGTGAGAGAACCGGCATGTCGCTTTCCATGAGCTTCCTAGTGTCAACGCAGAGGCTCATCCATACCTGCGAATCTTTGTTCGAAGAGTCGTCGGCCTCAGACCTGGAGGGGATTTTGCCTTGGAATTTCCGGAACGAGCGGAGAGGGTCAATTGGGAATGCAGCGGCTTGAAGTTCGGGGATTGCGTCGTGGCTCAAGACCGTGGACCAGAGGAGACCATTCGCGCCGACGGGGCTTTCGTAATATTCGAGTTTGACATCCAGATGTTTCAATTGGCTTGGAGAGATAAGGGCAACCTGGTAACGTAAAGATTAGCAAGCTACCCCATCATGAAAACGCACAGAATGTCTATCAAGACTTACCAGTGCATAGAGTGTTCTCTGGACGTCACAGATCATATTCAGGCTCGCATGGATAGTGATTGACAGTCTGCGAATGCCCGTGAGTTTGGGGAGTGCCAAGGCATTCTCATGAGCCAGGCTTAGACTTCTGTGGCTTATAAAGCCTTCGTCGATGAAGATACCTCCAGAGCCAATCGTATCCACTGAATAGGTCCTGACCTCGTTCATGAAGGAAACAGCCTCCTCCCAGACACCTTTGCAGGTCTTTGCAAGTTCGATCAATGATGTGAAGGTCCTGGGCCATGGTTTCTTCTCGCGTAGCTCATTACTTCCAGCCATCAACCACTCGTAAATCAGCTGTCGAAGCTCTGGTGGAAGATCGAGAAGGTAGCAGTGTCCGCTGGCGTCCGGGAGAAGATACCTCGCTGTCGGTGTTGGCCAGTCGAAACGCTTCCACTTCGTGAGTCGCTTCAGATCGACGGGTTTTGGTGTTTTCCGCGACCCAAGAACGTAAGATATGCCGTTCTGTGCCATGGTCACCTTGTTGTTGGCCGCCCTTCCGAGAAGGCGTCCTGGATTGCGGCTTTGGCCTAACGGGCACTTCCGCGGTGGAGGTGAAGAACTCTGTTGCCCGCTGAGCTTCGAGCCGAATTTCGACGCGCCCTCAATTGCGATGCCTGTTCACGTGTCAGACAATAGCCATCACTGTAGAACAGTGCCAGAAATGCTTACTTCTTCTGCTTGGTGCAAAGGTGGCGACTCAGGGACTTGGTCGTCTAGCTTCGAAGTACGGTGACCTGAGTATGTTTGCCGTGGTATGTCGTCACTAGCGTTGCGAAGCGTTGCTAGCTCGCAGGTGCGACTTGGACGGTGTAATGACGTCTTGCGTGCAAGCCAACCGTGGTATACGCACCCGGTTGTGGTGGTGGGAGGAAGAAGGTGAGTTTGAGAGGTGTTGCGAAAGCTGAAAAGTCACTTCGTATTTCGAACCGTGCGCTTGACCTGGTGGACCGAGCTCAGAATTAACACCCAATCGAGTAGTGAAACATGGTCGACCATATGGTGACATCTTCATGTGATATGTGACGTCATGTGAGGTTGAAAGGTTGATCGCGGTGACGGCCCCTAGAGGTGAATGGAGGGTACTGCATAACCAGATGGCACTTAGCTCAGATGCTGCTCAACATGATGTGATACAGCAACCTCGTCTCCTTCGAAAGCATCGCAAAACGGGCATTTCACTGTCTCTGAGCCTTCCTTGATCTCTTGCGGCTCTGGAGGACATTCCGGTGGTAGGTAGTCTGCAAGTGTTCGCGGCGGAGGAAGCTGCGAATCTTCGTCCAGAGATCGCGGCCGTCTCCCTCCTCGCTCTCGACTATCTAGTATCAGATTCGTGGTCGACGTAGAACCTACAGGGGCAGGAAGGCCTCCTGTAGCCATCCTCTGCACCCTTCCAACTTTGCCATCTTGTAGCCTGACCTTGATGCCGCGCGGGTGTTCGCCCCTAGTAAGCAGATCTTTCACTGTGCCTTGGACCTCTCGTCCCGTCGGTTGATCGGCCTTGAGCACTATTGATACCGCCGCTCCTGGCACGACTTGGGCTGTCGTGGGAACGTTTGCTCCGCGCGAGTTTCTGGGTTGCGCCTGACCACCACGGTTTGGTCGAGGGCGCTGCTGACGGTTCATCTTGACGAGTGTTCCCTCAAGTCTTCATCTTCAGACTGTCGAGTGGTGTGCAATGACAGCGCATGTGAAGCGAGTGCTGGGGGTCAGAACATGACTCGCGCTACATCGTCCCGTACCGGCCGTCGGCCGCCGAGTCACTTCCGCATTCTCTCAAATTGCTTCCTCTTTCTGACAGCTCCGCAGCAGACATGACTTGACGCTTCACACATCATTCGACGGGCTGCACAGCGCTCGAGGATTCACCATATCACCATACGAAACTCGCTATTGTTCTTCCACCATGGCGTCCGCCGTTCAGTCAGCGGTGCGACTGCCTTCACCAGAGCCTGGCGATCCAGCGCCAGAGTCGTATACCCGCAAACGATCTCCAGTCTCAAGGTCCCCTTCCCCTCGTCGCGAGGCACCGCCACTTCGCCGACGTTCGCGCTCACCAGCTCGTGCTAACGGGCCCCTACCTCGCGATGTCGATCGGTCACGCGCAATGGAGCGAGCGAGGCAGCTGGAGATGCGGCAGAAGGATGAAGCAGAGCCGGAGAAGCCGCTCACTGCAGAGGAAAAGCAAGCTGCAGCGAAGGCAGAGTACGAAAAGCTGCTCAATATGCGGTCTGGTGGCACCTACATCCCACCAGCACGGCTGCGAGCGCTACAAGCGCAGATCACCGACAAGACCTCGAAGGAGTATCAGCGCATGGCTTGGGAGGCCTTGAAGAAGTCTATCAACGGTTTGATCAACAAGGTCAACTCCTCAAACATCAAGCACATTGTGCCGGAGCTTTTCAACGAGAATCTGGTGAGAGGACGAGGCTTGTTCTGCCGCAGTATCATGAAAGCGCAGTCTGCCAGCTTGCCATTTACACCGATCTTCGCAGCCATGGCCGCCATCGTCAACACCAAGCTACCGCAAGTTGGAGAGCTCCTCATCAACCGGCTGATCATCCAATTTCGAAAGGCCTTCAAGCGAAACGACAAGAGCGTGTGCCACAGCAGTACAACCTTCATCGCGCATTTGATCAACCAGCAAGTTGCGCACGAGATGCTGGCTGCGCAAATGCTGTTGCTGTTGCTGCACAAGCCGACAGACGACAGTGTCGAGATTGCTGTGGGCTTGATGAAAGAGGTTGGACAGCACATCGAAGAGATGAACTCGCAGATCGCTTTGGCAGTGTATGATCAGTTCAGGAGTATTTTGCATGAAGGCGACATCGACAAGCGAGTGCAGTACATGATCGAAGTACTTTTCCAGATACGCAAAGACAAGTACAAGGATCATCAAGCAGTCAAGGAGGAACTGGACTTGGTCGAGGAAGAGGACCAGATCACGCATCGACCAGGCCTGGATGACCAAGTGGTCAATGAAGATGGACTCAACATCTTCAAATTTGACCAAGATTGGGAGGCCAACGAAGAAGCGTACAAGAAGCTGAAGGCAGAGATCTTGGGCGAAGCATCAGGAAGCGAGGACGAAGACGACGAAGACGCCGAAGAGGAGAGCAGCGACGAAGAAGAAGACCAGACAGAGAAAGCAATGGAGATCAAGGATCAGTCCAATACTGACCTCGTCAACCTCAGGCGTTCGATCTACTTGACGATTATGTCCTCTGGAGGATTCGAGGAAGCATGCCATAAGCTCATGCGCATCAACCTTCCGACTGGCCGCGAGGACGAACTGCCGTCGATGATCATCGAATGCTGCAGCCAAGAGCGAACCTACAACAAGTTCTTCGGTCTCATCGGTGAGCGCTTCTGCAAGCTCAACAGGCTGTGGAAAGACTTGTTCGAAGAGATGTTCACCAAATACTACGAAACCATCCATCGGTACGAGACCAACCGCCTTCGCATCATCGCCCAGTTCTTTGGGCATCTCTTGTCATCAGACGCGCTGGGCTGGCATGTGTTCAACGTGGTTAAGCTCAACGAGGAAGACACTACCTCATCCTCGCGCATCTTCATCAAGATCTTGATCGAAGACCTGGCCCAAGGCGTTGGCATGAAGTCTCTTGCAGAGCGCTTCAGGGATGATGACCTTCAACCTGCTCTTACCGGCATGTTCCCAACAGACAACCCAAAGAACACCCGTTTCAGCATCAACTTCTTCACAGCTATCGGCATGGGTGTTCTGACGGAGGGCATGAGAGAGTTCTTGAAAAACATGCCCAAGCCGGCACCGCCCGCATTGCCTGCCGCCAAAGAGACCACGCCTAGCAGTCGTGGAAGGAGTGAGAGCGTTTCCAGCTACAGCTCTTATTCCAGCCACTCTTCCAGGTCGGAATCCAGATCACGTACATCGCCACGACGAGCGAGAGGCCGGAGCTATAAAAAATCACCAACACCAAAGAAAGGGCGTGGAAGACACGTCTCTGACTCGCGGTCACGCAGTCCTCCGAGAAGGCGCAACAGATCGCTGTCTTACGACTCCCAGTCACCACCACCAAAGACAAGCAAGCGGCGTTCACCTAGCGTGTCCCGGTCACCGCCTCGCAGAGCTGGCAGACGAAAGGATGACGATTCTCTATCACGATCGCCCCCACGCAAGCGCAGGACTTATTCGTCCTCCCGGTCTCGCTCGCCACCTGGCCGTACGAACGGTAAGCGTCGGTCCTACTCCGACTCGCGTTCGCCGCCACCAGGGCGAGGACGGTCTCCGACACGGTCAGTTTCACCACCACGCCGCAACGGCAAGGCCCCGGCTCGCACCACCAGACGTCGCTCGAGGAGCTATAGCAGCTCGCCCTCTCCCTCTCCGGGTCCTCCACGCAAGGCTCGCCCGATGTCTAGATCACCTTCGCCTTCTGTGTCGCGATCGCCTCCGCGCAAAGCTGCGCCTGCGAAGAGACGGAGAGGCAGGTCCGCGTCTGATTCCTCGCGCTCGAGGTCACCTCCGCCCAAGAAGTCTACTAAGGCAGCGGATAGACCCAGAGCAGCGGCTAAGGCCGCGCCAATAGCGGAGAAGCAACCAGTGGAGGAGGAGGACGACAGCAACATCCACCCATCGCGCAGAGGCTTGATGACTGGAGGTCGTGGTGGAAGGGCTAGGGCTAGTGACTTCATGTGAACATTCACCACTGACGCTAGTACTTTGGCTGTTAAGGCTCTGGTAGAGAATCAAATTGAACATCATTCAGCTGACCGAGAGCCGCTTTCATTCTTCCGAACTACAAGATTGTCCTGCTATGACGTTTTGCGAGCGACGGTCACATGGAAAGGCATTGTCAAGCTCGCCCCTTTCGCTGTCTCTTCCACAGCTTTGCGCACGAGGTCCGAAAACGACCGCCTCGACATCGACTCAGGCAATCCCATACCCGGTGGCAACGGCATTGGAGCCTCCGGAATCATGCGAATCAAATCTGGGAACGTTAGCAAACGCGGATCATACGCTTGGAAGGGTTGAGTACCTTTCCACACCAAAAGATAATTATCCGTCGTCGCTCTCGCCAGCTCCTTCTTCGCCTCCGTCACTTCATGCGCCACAATCTCGCAACCGCGCTCACGCAACGTCTCGGGCATGTTATGCAGCCAGTCGGCATGCAAGTGAGTCTGGTACTTCATAATCACCTCCATCATCTTGGTGATCGTCGTCGCGGCATCAGCATTCACACTTTCGTCCGGGACGTTGCAGGCCAGTTTCAAAGCGTCGTTCTCGTCCCATTGGAGGTAGCCGCCTGGTTTGAGCATCTTCAGTGCGTTTACAAGCATGGGATCGACTTTGTTGTTCACGATGGTGCTGTTTAGAGCGCGGATGTGGACGATGTCGAAGGCTTCCACGTATTCTGATGGGAGGTCGGAGAAGGCGTTCCAGGTGTGCAATTTCAGGTTGGAAGGGAGCCAGGCGGCATGCGGGAAGTTGGAGGAGGTGATATCGAAGCCGTCGAGTTGGACGCTTTCTTGAGATGGAAACAGGCGGGTGAGCTCGAGGAGCCAGGCGCTGCAAGCATGGGGTTAGTGGATCACCTGTGGTACTGCGAAGGAGTATGAACGCACGCATTGCCTGCTCCAATATCTGCTACTCTCAGCGGCTTACCACCACTTGTGTCGATCCTGGGATGAAGAGCATAGGCCAGCTGAAACTGCCAGATCCAATGCTGGACGTGCAACCTATTCGATTCGCTCAGTCGTCATGTCTTCGCATCTTCAAGTCGTATATCTGCGCTTACCTAGCTGACGTCTCAAAATCCTGCGCGATCCAAAATTCGTCCCTCTCCTTGTCCCAGTCAGGGGCTTTGCCTTCAGACGCCATTGCTGTGTAGATTCGTTCCGTTGAAGATCGATGACTTGACGATGCTACACTGAGTAAATACGGAGCACGTACAACCTCCGTAAGGTGTTTAGTGATCTGTAGCCAGCTGGCGCATTGGGTTGGCTGCAGTCAGCTTATGTAGTGGATGCTTTACCGCCATTGTTGGCCCCGGGCACGGAAGCATCCAGGATGCCGTCCCAGCAGGATGCCTTATGGGTTCGCATTCGCATCTTGAGTCGAATCCGGGCAAACAAACGAGCACGGAGGTTTGTATGTTGCACGAGGAACATATTGGAGAAAAGAAGATTTAGTAGTGGAATCGGTGCAGAAGGCTCACAAACTTTTGCATTGCTAACAAGAGTTCCAGTCTGGCTATCCGCAAAAGACCTTCGTATGCTGTTCGCGCTTCCACACACCAAACGTTCCCAATCACCCAAGCTTGCTCCTGACAAAGCTCAAAGCCGCCTGGCCGTACTCTTGTCCGTATCCCTGGTGCGTTTGAGCGTTGTTGCCATTGCAGCAGTAAGGATCGGAGGCATCGCAGTATGATTTGATGGCCGAGTTGAAGTTGCCGCAGTACTGGCCAGCTGGACGGGCATCGAACTGGTTGCTGTTAGTGCGTGCTTGTGAAGGAATTGCTGGATCAAGCGGAGACTTACTCCGCCTGCCGCACAAGACCCGACGTTGTATGGAGCACCGGCCCTGAAACGGGGATCGCCCATGAAGATGGCCGCTTTGATGTTGTATCTCGCAATCGAGCACGTAGAACTCAAGCCTTGGTTCGGGTCGCCTCCACCGCAAAGAGCGTTGTCGAAGATCTCAGAGCCTTGAGAATAGCCGACGAGGACCAACTTTGAATTCGGGCATCTCGAGGCGTAAGAACTGACTTGGTTGCACACATTTTGCGTGCCTGTGGCGACGGACTGCGAGTAAGTTGGATTGCTGCCCGAAGCTGGGTACTGTTAACAGCGAAACGTTAGCAGGTATCAGAAAGTAGAGGGGATCGGAACTTCAGACTCACATTGAGCACCTCTGCAGTGCTTCCAGGGTAGGCGTTCAGGATCACTTCAATGGTTAGCCAGGGCTTCTCCTCGAGCATATGATCGTCGTACAGTTGACGACCGTGCCAGCACTTCCATAGCCAGGAGGAGCAGTCGTCTCGCGTGCACCTTTGACAATAGTCAGCACCATCTTCGATATCTTCTGATAGATCTGGTTACCGAAGATGTGAATCTGAGGACAGCTCTGGCGAGCCTCAAGGTCGGCATCGATTGGAGATGCAGAGGCAGTGCATGCTGCAAGCAGGGAGAGAAGAGCAGTCTTGGTGAGCATTTTGTTGGTTGTCTTGAGCAGTGAGTCTTTTGTTGATCGATCACGTTTGGAGACTTGGATTGGTGTCTTTATACTAATACCGTCTCTCAGGTGTTCAGCCGATCGGCTCCATTAACTTATCACGCACCGCAATACAATCCCTGCTGACCACCTGCCATGCAACCTTCATGCTTCACCCAGTGCTTGACTCGCTTGACTGCACAGGCTGTAAGTCTTGCACTCATCCCTGTTGAAACCCGACTTGCCCCGGTGGAGCGGAATCTGGGGAAGAATCCACTGTAGGACCAGACTCCGCAGTATAGAGTGCCTTTACTGCGCTACGTGTTCTCGCTCATGGTAGTGTGAGCGTGAGGTGTGACGCAGGACGTAGTGAAACTTTGGAGCATTTAGCCATGGGGGACGGCTTTACCCGGCATGCTACGCCGACAATTAACCAGATTGCCGGGAGGCTTGAATATGGTCTAGGGCTCGAATAAGGTACGGTAGTACAGCGTTCGGATTCTGCATCAAAGGTCAGCAGACAGTAGCACCGGTAAATTGGTTTGACGTACTTCGGTCAGAGGGAAATGGCCTAGACCTTCCATAGCCTCAAACACAGCGCCTGGAATCTTGTCTGCTGTTGCTTTGCTCGCTTCCACGGTGCAGGAGTAGTCGTACTCGCCCGTAAGCATATACACCGGACATGCTTTCGTGTCGATGGTCTCCACTCGCCCGCGGCCATCCCATCCACGGAAGTAGAACTTTAGGTCTCCAGAGAATATGCCGTAGCCCTGCGAGCTATACTGCCACCATATTTGCCGCTTAAAGTACTCTGGTGAAGTCGGCGCACACATTCCGCATACTCTCTCCGGATCGAGCAACGAGGCATCGGAGCCTCCGATCTCGTAAATGGGCTGGGAAAAGGCGAGATGCTCACAGCCTTCGCATGGAATCGACCCGTGAACATCCAGCTCTCGAGCTTTGATAGCCGCAGCGATGCACACCTTACAGGCTCATTAGCAAACGACTTGGTCATATATGACAGATATTCGACTCACGTGGCCAGCCATAGACGCTCCGCATACGATGGTATTTCGTAGTCCAAGTCTCTTTACGACCTTCCAGATAGATTCCAGATACGAGTCCTCAGTAAGAGCGTAGCCCTGCGGCACCTGGCGAGACCCAAGACTGGACCTTCCGTGAGCTGGGAGGTCGAAAGCATACATCGTACAGCGGTCCTGAAGCTGCTTGTTGTTCATAAGCGAGTGATACTGTCGGGAGTCCGAGCCTGCTGTATGGAGGAACAGTATAGTTTGCGGTCCAGATCCTGCAAACTCGTAGAACAGTTTGACCTTTCCATATTCTTGGTGGTCAATCCAGACGTACTTGCCAGTCACGGAGTCATCTTCATTCACTTCTTCTGAGGGCGGCTCGCGCAAGGTAGGTCCGCTCTCTTTTGCATGGAAGGAGTCTCGCGACCGATCCAAGACGTTACGCCAGACGCGTGCATACCGTCCAAAGGCCTCCTTGTTCCCACCAACTTCAATGCCCTCGTTGTGACCGAGGACTCTTAGCATACCTGCAAGACCTTTTAGCTAAGGCGAGAAGACATGGATAGACCCTTACTAACCCCAGTATGACTGATAAGGTCTTTCCAGCTTCGCAGCGAAGAATGCTTGCCAGTGTTCTGGCCTTGCTTGGACAGCGAATTTACCTTCACTGGCTGGGCCAATACTGAATGAAGCAGCACCATCTTCGACTTTCACCAATACTGCGGCTTCAACGTTCTCCGAGGAAGCAATGGCGAATGTAAAGTTAGCTCTAGACGCAGATGCCTGGAAGTCGGGATCATTCTTCAAGCGGGCCTCGATTGTAGGGAAGGCATTCTGTAGGAGTGATTGGATCTGCGACATAATGGCTTTCGTCTCTCAGAGGTGCCGTGTCTTTTACTAGACTGAGGCTAAATAGTGATTTGGAAGTGGCGATGACATTGACAACACTTACGATGCACTCGTCGACAGCGAAGTCGTCCGATCTCGAGCGGGGTTTTCAAGACAACAACCGAGTAACGCCAGACTCGCAATCCAAGAGCGACAGGACCAGCAAGTTGCTGTATGGACTTTCATAGAACTATATTTCCATATCGCGCTGTGCTGTGACGAAGAGGCGCTGACGAGAGGAAAGGCCAACTTGGACTAACTGACATTGGAGGCGAAACTTTTCGCCGTCTGGCCTGGTCGAGCATCTATCGCGTTCGCTGGCACAAGTAGGGAAGCGTCAGATGATGGTTGCTCTTGGAGCTATCCCAGCGAGTCGTAGTGGTGCATTTTCCAGCGCTTACGTGTAGGCGATTTGGAAATGGGCGATTTCCTTAAGTCCATGATGTTCCTCCACGAGACCCGGCCAAGACGCCCCGGGTACGGCGAAGCTATACACGCACCATTGCACGTCTCCAAGCTGATTGAAGCTCCATGCGATGTAGTGAGACGATGTGTGGTTGAGTTGGGAGGACGGACGGACGTGTTGTTATCGCGGTTCTCCTTGTCTGCACGGACCCGTGTTCCCCAAAACATTTATCATTTATCGGGGGGCTCCTCTTCTTTGACTACATGTACAGTCATCGGTTGTGCCATCAAGCGAGATATTGGCATTGCAACTGATCACCACGGGTGTTAGATGGCGGTGAAAGCGGCAGGGTTTGGACTGTTCTGGTTTAACAGTGCTAACAATTGAATGCAACTAGAAACACCATCGAGCATGCCCTTAAGGCTCCATCAGCGACAGAAGTTCCCATAAATCACCTATTGCGCGTCAAAAGCGAGCAGCAAGAGCAATCACGGCACTAACAAAAGGGATGATGATTCTCCCCCAATGCAGTTTTTGCCATCTTCGCAACAACTTCTCGAGCCTTTCATGCTCATCTCTTGCCAGGTCATTGGTCTTATCCTTGTCGAGCCTGTCCCTCATGACCCTGATGTCGCCGTTGATGGGGAAGATGTACACAACCTCGTACCACGCAGCTTGGATCATCACCAGCCCACTGACAAGGTAGAACTTGAATCTAGAGGCGGCGTCCTCCTCTGGAAGTAGGGCAGTGGCTACGCTCGTAAGAACGAGGAATGCCATCAAGATCCGGCTGCTTGGCTGGAGATATCTTTCGCCCCGAGTGATTGTCTCATCGAATTGACTGATCATGAGTCGTGACGAAGAACCCGGACAGAATATGATCGGAATGACCCAGAGCGACAGGCACGATGCCAGCCCTGAGTTTACGTGAGCAAGATGAAGCGGTATAGTTATGCTCGGATCTTTGGGAATACTGACCTGCAATGAAAGTAAGTCCCAGGATGAGACTTCCTTGTAGTAGAGGAATACCAGCTTGCAGCGACTCCATCCGATCGGACTGAATACTAAGCATTGCCTTCGGATCTGATCTTGATCATTCAACTGACGCAGAAGCAAGAAGCGTGTATTTAATGCTCTACATCGGACATTCGGTACATCCAACTCGACGTCATTTTGAGGTCCAGAAAGTCAATGATCAACTCCGAGGAGGTACAACAGGAACTTCGGGCATACCAAAGCCCGCCATTAGAAAACAACAAGTCCGACTGCATGCGTTCATTATATAAGTTGATCGCACGCTGTCCCTCAGGATAAAATAAGACACCGAATCGATTCTAGACATTTCAGACACCACTAAAACGTCAGGCTTAAAAAACATACCACATGGCAACATACGCAGTCCTGGGATCAACAGGAACAGTCGGCGGCAGTGTGATTGAGGAACTTCTGAAGTCGCCTGCTCGACATATCTATGCCTACGCAAGATCGACGAAGAAACTCTTCACCCTCCACCCTGACTGGGAGAAGTCACCGAACCTCGACGCCTACGAAGGTACACTGCAAGATATCGAAACCTTGGCCGACTGCATCTCAGGCACCAAAGCAGTCTTCATGTGCGCAGCAACGGCAGAAAACCAACCAGGATGCGATGTTGCACGACAGCAAGCGAAAAGCGTCGTCAAAGCACTAGACGAGCTTCGCATTCGAGAGCCACAGGCACAACTACCGCAGCTCGTTGTCCTGTCCTCTTCAACTCTGGAACCACATCTCACGAGGGACCTGCCAGCTCTCTTCCATTGGCTTCTCGTCCGTGCCGGATCTCACATCTACGCTGATCTTGAGCTTGCGGAGCAGTTCCTTCGGTCCAGGGACGACATCAAGCAGGTCTACATCAAGCCTGGTGGGCTAGTGCAAGATATACCGCATGGTCATCAACTGAGTACCGAGCGGCAGCAGACGTTTCTCAGTTTCGTCGATCTCGCCGCAGGCATGGTGGAGGTGGCTGAAGCTGGTGATCAGTACGATCTGAAGAACATCAGCGTCATACCGGCAACAGAGGGGACGAGGATTGAGTGGGGAGTGCCTTACTACTTGTTCAAAGGACTCTTGATCCATTGGCTGCCTGGCCTCTATCCGTATATCTCCAACTGGTTGCCGTAGATCGGCTGCCGTAATTCTATACCGGGAACCACCCGTCGAAAACGGCCCACCAAGACTCCGAGTCGATCGATGCATGCTCGTCGTCTTCCCAGCTTCAGATATCCAGAAACGATACTCTCATCGACTCTCCTCACTCAGATGTACTACGATCTTATCCTCCAAGCCATAGAGTTGATTGCAGTTCTCCAGCCAGTGGAAAAGACAGCTTCCGCAAGGACTCATGGCATCGAACGGATTGATCTCAACCAGCTGTGCTTCTGGAGCTCCTTTCTTCACCACCACGTCCATCGTGAAGCCGTGAAGCCGCAGCCCGTCGAAGGTGCCTCCTGCCTTGGCTGCAGCCGCAATGACTGGCACAACTTGAAGAGCGCTCTTGACCGCATTCTCCGCGACTACCAGCATGATTTGTCGATCCTGAATGAGAAAAGGCTTGTGCCAGACGTATTGGCTTATGGCACTTACCTTGAAGTCATTATCAGCCTTCAACGGAGGTGGCACAAAGACGCGGAAATCAACTCCCTCCGTTACTTCGGGGTCCAAAGGACGTAAAAAGACGATCAAGCCTTCGTCGCACGCAAGAGCTTCATCAATCTGTCTCTTGGCACGCATTGAGGTGCAGACGAGTGTTACCAGCTGTTCCACTGTTGCTACCGGTCCCCAGTGGGGAGAGTCCTTTGGCGAAGCATCTGGTAGTCTGATGAAGTACCGACGATCGCCCGAAGCGTCAAAGTCGCGCGGCAGGTGTCTTTGATCGTGCGGATGGACATCATGTCGTCCATGATGGTTCCAATGGAGACCGATCTGGCATTGTAGTGGCGCATAGCTTGCTTGTCGATCTCATGCAAGAGGAATGATGGGAGCCTCAGCGTGTGACAGTCCGGCGGAGGGATCCGCTGTGAAGTGGTCATTGCAGCGGCGTATGGTGGATAAGCGTAGAGGTGGCGCTGCGGATCGGTGTGAGTGGATCTGCTTGCTGCGGTGCCCATCGCGGTGGTGATTTCCGTGAGCGAATGGTCATGGGTGTTGTATCGCGGTGCGGCTTGCGATGATTCCTGTTGGACGTGCTTACGTACGTCGAGGTGGTATGTCGAAGGTATGTCGAAGGTATGTCGAAGGTTCACGTCAGTTGTGGCTAGTCGGAGGAGTGTGTGTATGGCATGGCGATTGCAGTTGAGAAGATTGTTGCACTGTCCCATTATTCTTGTTCGACCTGAGTCATCGTTTAGTGCCTGGCATGTGATTGCATGTGATACGTATCGTGAACTATTGCAAGACGGCCTGATCTGAGAGATTACTGCCGAAGGATTCCGCAGGTCCTTCACTTGTTTTCAACGAGACAGCGCAGGGCTCCTGCCGCCACCCGGGCCTACAAAATGGCTGCCCGACGGTCTTAATCTCTACCCGTCTGGTTCGTGTAATCAATCGAGCTTTCTGAGGTAGGCAACCGGGCCATCATACACATGCCTCGCCTTAAACATGTACCAAAACCCGCTAAAGATGACTATCGCCTTTTCGAGCAGAAGAGACACCGTCAGCCAATATTCTGGACAGTGTGCAAGTAAGGACATACCCCAAAGATCACCACGGCAAAGTTCATCCATGGCAGCGTGAGAGCCGGCTCCGGATACGGCGGGAAGAAGCTGAAGATGAATACGATAGGCAGGAAGCATAAGGCGAAGACGTTCGTCGCGATGCCAAACCAGCCTTGTCCTGGAGGATACTTTGACGGAAGAAGCGGCTGCTTGGTCAATTTCCGCCAGAGCAAGCATGATATGCAGATCATGTAGGACAGCATGAGGGCTACTGTGCCGACGGAGTTGATGATATTCTGGCATGGCGGTCAACTGCAAGCCTTTGCGGTGAGAGAAGGTGAAGATACTTACGAAGGCAACAGTGCTGCCAATATTGATCAAGGACAGCAGCGCGGAAAAGAAGAACGAGAAGACGATCGCATTGATGGGGAGTTGGAAGCGAGGGTTCACCTGCATCGCCGTCAGCTTGCTGCTTCTGAAGAGTCTAGTATTCCGCATACGTGTGCAAGCCAACTCGAGAACGGCATTCCTCGGTCTCGAGCGAAGGCGAAGAGTTGCCGCGAGGTCGTCGCCATCATGGTCGTGGAACAGAAGATGATCACGATGATCACCACCGCGCACATAGCACTAGCGCCTGCATGCGATCCTGTCACGTTGAAGAATACCTGAATATAGCCGAAGCCTGTGGGTGTCGAATAGGCTAGATATGTCTGGTTAGCAAAGGATACAACAACCGTAGTGCGCACCCAGTGTACCTTTCAAGAAATCGCCAACAACGTAGCAGTACGCGATCATCATGGCGAGACCCAATCCTCCGTTGGCGAGTGTCGAGTACATCATGGCTCGCGGCAGTGTATAGCTTGCATCCGTGAGCTCTTCGGCCATATGTGCCGCTATAACATGCACGTCAGTAATAGATCTGAATTGTTTACGATTTTGACTGACCTGCGTCTGCCCCGAGCAGAGGAATGACACCGAAAAGTATCCCGACGAGAGTGGAGACGCCCTGATTGTCCCAGCCCCCATCAAAAAACATAGTCCAGACTTCCTTAGATGGTGACTTCTTCCCCAGCACAAGCAGCGGTATCAGCACACAAAAGAAGCCGCAAATATGGAAGATCAGGAACAGGACCTCCATGAATGGCAGTTGCTTTGCCAGGAAGACATTAAACAGGCATCCGAAAGAGACCACAGCAATGACGAGTAAGGTGCCGTGCCATCGTTCGAAGACGTAGTCGGGGTAGTTGAGGACGAGCAGCCCCTGGATCTGCACTCCCGCTTGAAATGCTGTGGAAATGACAGCAATCTGCCACCCCAGTGTGCTAAGCCTGACATTGGCCGGAAGTGATCAGCTTCAAGTATGACGGGCTCAAGCGGGAAAGATGCGCTATCGTAATAATGCTCTCTACCACTTACCATCCCACAAAGTAGCTGAGAATCTTTTGATATTGCTGCGGAGCAAACTCAGACACCTGTTTCGTCTTAGCATGGTTCGAGGCCGGCATTTCGTGGCAGTTGGGTATACCCAGTGGTATTGACCTCCAGAAGTCGGTGCCCTGCTGCCTGCAGATTGGAACAGTCAGACAGCCGTTTGGGACAGTCGCAGGTAATCCTTACTCACCCATCTCGGCCATACTGCTATACACCGCAAGAAAGCCGATCCAACAGACGATGTAGATGTAAAGAGTCCCAGCAACACCGCCATTGAAAATCGAAATGACGGATGCGCCGAGAGCGATTTCCCACGAAGCCATGAGGATGATGCTGAAGGAAACCATGGGAAAGAGGTTAAAGATGCGCTGCATTTGCTGCACCTTGCCCATGCGTAACATATCGTGAATGTCGGCTTCTGTGCCGACCTTGTCCGTGACAACAGCCTCGCCATGGGAGATGAGTTCGACGACCGTCGGGGCGTTCGTGGTTGACAGCGGTTTTTCCATGATTGTCTCGGTCTTGGTGGTACAATGGGAGAGGACGAGGAACAATACCTTAAGAGTGAGTGAAAGAGGCTAATTCACTTGCAGCTCGTACTACATGGGTTTGATGAACGAGCGGTACCTTTCGCTCTCTCGCTGAGGTGGCATGCATGAAACACATGCAGAGACTGGGTTGGTCCGACGCCCCGTCGCTTGTGGCGGTCGTCGGGTTGGAGCATATGCGAGCAATGCAGACCTGCTTGTAGATAAACAGGGTCAGCTACAGACAACCACTCGGCTTTGCGACGAGAAACAACACTTTTGTGGTATCTCCGTTACAGTGTTTCGTCGGAATGGTGATTCTGAAGTACAAAAGACACCTTTCGTAAGGGTGAGCTCGAGACAGGGGTCTGATTTACCTACCCATGCATTTCTCCGCAGCCACAAGACGCCAGCGATGCACGGCATAAGCGAATCTTGGTCTTCCGCATGAAGGGAGATTCAAACTCATGCCTTTTGGAGTGGTGGTATCGCAGTCGAGGGCTACAACAGCTCGCTGCCTATCGCCTTATGGGAGGCGATTCCAGGGCGGTTACTCGGAGGGACTCCAGTTATCGCATGGCGTCGCTCAGCGTATCCCTACCAGACAAGGCGTTCCAATGGATGCTGACAGCAGGAATTATCGACAGGAGCAGGTAGTCTGAAGTGGATATTATGCGATTGAGGTTGTGGAAATACTCCAGGAACCCAGACATCTGACCTGATCATCGAAATCGTCCTTTACCTCAGGAAGCTTAGACACCAAGCACCCAATTCTCAATTGACGTTCCGTGCAATACTGATCGATAGGGCACTCGGTCAGCATCTCTCGTCCTAACATGTGGGACGTCGACTTACGCCTCAGAGTAGTTCCACAACCTCGCATTATCGTCCTTCTCGTTGAGCCACGTCTCTGCTTTCGGCGACCGTTTTCCAACCGGCTCGAAGTAGCTTCCCTGGAACTTCGGCGCTTCTGAACTCGTGGCGCAGAAGAGCGTGTTGTAGGAGCCTTCCAATGGCGTGGTCTTAGCAAGCAAAGCCACGCTGAGCTGAGAGACCTTGCCAATGAATGTCCCGTTAGCCTGCTGTAGGTTGGATTTGATGATGCCTGGGTGGACCGAGTATGCGGTGACGCCTGTTAAGGAATTCCTTGGTCAGCCTCAACAGTCGAGCGCGATCAAAGATGTCAACAAGGGAGGAGTCCACCAACCCTGAGAGCTGTACCGATCGTTGAGCTCCTTTGCGCTTCGGATTGCAGCTTGCTTCGAATGAGAGTATCGCTTTCTGTTGTCTGTGAGTGAGTGAACAGAAGCATTGACTCGTTCGTTGCGCACTCACTGCAGCTCTAACATTCCTTTTGTCTTGGTCATGTTGACATCGTCCCACAAGATCTTCTTCGGCCCAAGCGCAAACGCCATATCGCTGGAGACGTTGACAACTCTTGCTCTGTCTTGCCGTCCTGACTGGGCAGCGGCCCTCAAAAGAAGCGGCAGAAGGTAGTATGTCATGAGGAACGGTGACAGGTAGTTGACTTGCCATTGACGCTCGTACCCATCTTTTGTTAGTTGGTATGGGGTGGCCATGACTTTGGTGCTGTTAGCGGTTTGCAATGAGGCTAGATTCGGGTGTCACTTACCACCAGCGTTATGGACTAGGATGTCAAGCTTCTCTTCCAACAAAGCGAATGCTTTCGCCGTGGCCTTTACCGACGCTAAGTCTTGCAAATCCAGTTCGAGAAAGCGCAGGTCGAGTCTCTGGCCAGGATTTGACTTGCGCATCTGGTCGATGGCTTGCCTGACACGCTGCTCCGACCGGCTTGCGATGCAGACTCGCGCATTGCGAAGAGCAAGCTGTTGTGCGGTCTGGAGTCCAATTCCGGAGTTGCCTGGCACAAGTGCTCAGTACCATATCTGACTGACGGATCGAGCATGTTGCTACTCACCACCAGTAACGATCACGACATATCCAGTCAAGTCGGGGATGTCTTTCTCAGTGAACGATGCAGTCTTGTCGCAAGATCGATTGCTCATGATGTTGATTGTAAAGCTAGCGTGCAGAAGAGAGCGGTTCGTCCTTGACGATTGATGTTGTGGGTGCGTCGACTGTCGATATCTGTAGGTGAAAATTACTGCCCGTCCATCGCTTCAACCATGAGGCTTTATGTATGCCTTCCAGGTCTTGTGCTGCATCCCAAGAGCACTGCCATCGGAGAGATAGACTTGCGCATATCGTCGTCCGTTTTTGCCAAGCCCTGTTGTGGTCCATGGAGTCCGCGGATGCAGCTAAAGACAGCCACGAACTCGTTATCTCCGGCTTTCACTTTGCACAACCACCTGCCTGTTTCAATGCAGCTCGGACAATCTTCAGCCTCTGCAGGTCTCCAGGGCAGTAGCGTGAGTGCTGGCGGGCCAAGCAAATGGACCAGTCATATGGTAAGTCAGCACCGCGTTCGCGATTACTGTAGCTATCAACGGAAGAGCTAATGGTCGTCTTAATCAGTTGCTGCAAGCGAGGAGTCTCGAGCGTTAATGCCAGCATGTTCAGGAGAGTATGCATATGCCTATTCTTCGGGGTTGGCGCCTCGTACATACGCCTCCCATAGGTCCTATTCCGACACCTAATCAGCCACGACCAGGACACAAAAGAAACAGGAAAACATACCCAATCTATCATCTCAGGAGTGTTCCAGAAAGATTCCAGACCTTCAAGTGTTGAAGAAGCAAAGTCGGACTGCAGGAACTGCTCGTGCGCCATCTCGAAGCTTGCGTCGCCGGATCCGCTGGAGCTTTCGAGTACGTCTGCGCAGAAATATTCGTTCAGTTGCGCGGTTGTTGATGCATTGTGTATGTGGAAAGCCCACTTACCTTGTCCAAGAAGTGTGTTGGTATCAGCAGATGGCGCGGAGACTTCTACCCGTGGAGGAACCGCCTGCTGGGACTCGACCGTCTGGGAGAACTTGTTCAACATAGCTGTGGTGACGCCGAATGCCTGTCGACACTCTTTCGACAGGTGCCGTAGCTCGTCCAAGAAGTCGTGAGCGCTACGAAGCGTTTCGAGCAACTCCGCTTGGCTAAACCTGGAGACGCTGCTATGTTGTTCTTCGTATGATTGAGCGGGCTGCGACGCAGCGCAAGAACTGAGCTCGAGACAGATGATGATGGCTGCCATCAAGAAGTCAGTCTGCGCAAGTGAGGTCTCAAGCCATCTGCTTCGGTGAAGAGCATCACCAGAACGCATCTCTATCCGAATATCGGCTTGGTGTCTCAAAATAGCCATTGCTGCCTCGATGCATGTGATCCTCGAGAAGTTGTAAGTTGGATCTTGGTAGGACTTGACCATGTGATGGCGGTGCAGCAAGCATAGCGACTTCAGATATATAAGTTCCAGGTTGTAGCGCCGGATCATCAGATATGGACTACCGGTGATGCTGCTGTGAAAGCTGGTCATTTGCAGTCGAGGCGATATGGTTTCTCGTGCGGCGGCAAGGCGCCTGTGTAGTGCCATGATGCCCTCGTACGACTCGGTGCGAGCCAGAGTGACTCGGTTGTAGATTGCTCGGAATACAGTGGTCATCCTTGTCTTGGTGATTGTGTACAGAATCTGGAGCAACGAAGAGATCAGGTCAGCGAAATGGTCCAACAAAATAGCAGGGGCAGAATCTGCTTGCCGCCGTGACCTCCGTCTCAGGTCGAGAGGGCGGAAGTTGAGTGGACTCAGGGCCAAAGTCTTCATCGAGCAGATTTCGAGGCAAACGAGCGTCGCACTGTGGATCTTGGATCATTGGAGGAAGCCCAAGTTGATACGAGGTAAGTGAGTCCAGCTGGTTCATGCAGGCCCAGATTCGCCGACGTATCTCTCCTTCAAATACCGTAAACTGAGCGTAACCCTCAGGGTCACGATGGTAGCCCATCCGCATGGCAAGGCGGAGCGCCACCCCAGCCAGAAGCCAAACGCTTAGGTGGGCATCGCGGCGGCGTATGAACTCGTTCTGAATGTTCAACAACAGTGCTGGAATGGTATAAGGTCCAGGCGCAGTGCAGTGATTTGCCATAAGGAGGCAGTCTGTCGATCGTCTCTGAAAGAGCTCCATAACCTCTTCGGGCGTCCCAAGCTCATCGGGTAAAGGGTCCTGCGCACGTTGGTAGAGGAAAGCTGATATTGTCAAGATTGAGAACAGCAAGCCCACCCAGGTGGGCGAATACTCATGAGGCTCAATCCAGAAATGTTGGTACTGGGCGACATATTAGCTTCACAGACTATCTGCGCTGTAAGACTCTCCCATACCTCCCGCTCAAAAGTCGGCATATGTAAGACCACTAGAAACAGCATCAGCATTGCAGACAGAAGGCGGTCGGAGACTACACAAACCAATTGAGTACTCAGCAGAATTGAAGTACCTGTGAATAAGCCTGTTGCAAACGTTTCGTGATGGAAGGTCGGCCAGCACGTCTTGGAGGTCTTTAGCGCCTCTCACGCCTTCGAGCAGCATGGACATCCTGCTCTGGTTGGTGTCCACTCCATAAGGCGGCGATTCTTCGGCAGACTGATCGATCTGCTCTCTGAGGTCTGCAATCTGCAACGTGACGATCGCCGTTAGTTCGTACACTCTTCTGCGTGGCAAGGCATGCTCATACCTCATTGCAGACCGACGTCCAATGGTCACCAGACACGTAGATCGTTTCATCGCTGTTGTTCACGACGCTGCCTGGCTTAATCTGAGAAGATTCGGACCCAGAGGAATGTATCGATTCGAAAGGGTCCAAAGGTTGGAGATGCTCTTCACCAACAGAGCCGGAGCGAACATGACTCTGTTGCCTTTCCGGATTGGTTGCTGACGGCTGATTGGAAGGACTCTGCGAGACGACAGTGCTCATGAGCCGCTCCAACCTGCGAAGGCGTGCTCCGACCTCGTTGGCCTGGTGGCCGGACTGTCGACTCCGCGGAAGAGATGCATAGACGCAGTCGGTGTCCCGCGCAACACAGTTGCTGCATGGTTCTTTACGATCACATTTCAACCTAGTTTTTGCCTTAGCCTCCGCCACAGATGATTCAGTATTGCCGTACTCACTTTCTCTGTCGGCAAGAGCCGCAGGATAAGATTCTTCGCTGCATGTCTTGAGGTTATGGCCACAACTCTCTCGAAGATACTAACGTGCAGCTACGTATGCATACCAAAAGAAGGCCATATATCACGGACAGACTGCCGCCCACCTACCTGCACGACGATGCACGCCATGACACACCATGAGCCGTCTCCTCGCCAAGCGACTATGCATCTCGCGGTCTTGGTTTCAGCTGCCAGTCCAGCCAGTCCATTGGGAAGCTAAACGACATTGCGTAGGCCATCGGCGCCGGCGTTGCATGACATGCCGTTGACCATTGACGTGCGATTGCGTTGCCGTGTCTTGAAGGTGGCAGTGCATGCTTACATATATGGAGTGAAGTGATGAAGTCAAAGAAACGTGGGCTTAAATCCGCCAGAGCGCGTTCGCGCTAGCCGGGCTTCTCCTGGAGCATGGCGATGCATGCTTACATGCACGGAGCGTGGAGGGATAACACATCCTTTAATTAAACTGGCTTGCTAACGTGACTTAGTTTACATCTTTACGACTGCAACTGAGTAGGCATTACTACCAGTAGACTCTACGTAGTAAAGCTAATAGTATAGCCAAGATCCCAAGTGACTGCTTTACAATATCTCCGTTTAGCGGGCTTGACTCTCCCCTTACGATAGAAACCCTCCAGTCTTTCCAAGTAGCATGCTTTGTCGCTTCAAAAATTCGATATGCCTACGATCGGCTTCCTTTGTAAGATCCATTCTGGAGGGTTCGAGCTTCTGGTCTCGGCCACGATCAAGGAAACCGTTGAGATTGTCGTTGTCCGGGTCGTGGAGCTGATGTTCCCACCATTCATGCTGGTTGGATGTTTCTCGGAGTGTTTGCATAATAAGGACCTCAACAGCGCACCATGCCCTCGTGAGGTATCGATTGTCAACGAGGCTGATCATTGCATCGCACTGCGCAACGACCATGGGCAAAGAGTTGATACCTCTTTCTCTCCTTCCGGCCTCGAGGTCCTCCTGGTCTATACAAGCGATGTCCTGGATCGAAGGTCAGTATGAAGCTACTCGAGTCTTGGTGTCAATGATGACAACTACCCACCAGCCAAATGTAGACATTCTCTCGTTGCACCTCATTGTGACGTTCTAATAGCTCATTAATGGCAAGAATCATGCGGTTGTACTGAGTCTTGTTTGGGTCATCAGGGTTGGTGCTCTTTGGATCTGTGTCTCTTCCAATCCACCTGTAGGAGAAGAAGACCACGAAAGGCTTCTCGTTTGTGATTGCCGAGATCTCTCTGAACGTCTTACTAAGGCTGCAATGCATCCCAAAGTGCGGAAGTTCGCCGTGCTTCTCGAAGTCTTCTAAGCCAACCAAGCGTAGTCTGTCGAATCGTTGTCGCTTGGCTATTCCATCGTTTGTCTTGTCGTCTAATAGCTCTTCGTATTCTTTCCTCAATGCCTGGGGAGTCTCAGTCTTCCCCAGGTTGATGATTGGTCTGAAGTGCCCATGGAAGACCTCGCGGGAGTGTTTCCAAAGCAAGGCGAGACTGTAATGACGTTCCACTTCATCTGGGTCGTCAAGTTGTCGACTTAACCCACCCCGAAGAATCTTTGCGGCCTCTTTGTCGTTACCATAGACGGCATAGTCGAGGGCACTATAGCCCTGCTCGTCGTAGCAGGTAAGATCCACTCGTACCTTGATCATAGTCTGGAGATGTTGCCTGTGCTCCGCAGAGAGTTCCTTGCTCAAAGCGATGGCGGGAGTACATTCTCCTCGAGAGCGCGTGAAGTTGAACTGAGCTTTCGCTCCTTCTCGGTCTCCGCTTGCCAGTAAGGCATTGCCGTAGAAGAATCGGGACATCGCCCTGACCGTCGGGTCCGGGTTGTCTTTAGTCATCTCCATGCCCAGCTTGCCCCATTTGACAGCCTCTTCAAACTGTCCATCCGCCGCATAGGGCAGCGAGAGTCTCGATACGCCAATCGACTCCCACATCTTCAGCTTGCCCATCAACTTGTCTTCTGGAGCTAGCCTCTTCTGAATACTCTTTGACCTATTAACACGATCTTGCAGCAGGTATATTGACTTATGGAGCTTGGCCTTGTCGCCTTTATCACTTTGCTGCATATACAGCTGATACATTGTCATGCCAAGGTTGCCTGCGGCACGGCAGGCGTTTGCTTCAAGCTCCAAAGTCAAGTTGACTGCTTGATCGTACTGCTTCTGGAATGTGGCGTTTGCTTCCTCGATCTTGTCCATATGCCTGTAGTTTACCCCCAGCTCTCCCAACACAGAGAGCGCCATGATTTTGTCTATGCGATCAGAGTTGAGTGCTTCCTGGGAAGCTTTGACAGCCTCTTCATATCGCCCATGGCGACGTGTAACTTCCGCAAGCTTGATCATGATACCCAGCTGGCAGTAAGGACCATCCGGAAAATCCTTGCTCTTGCAAAGACGTTCCGCATCTCTAAGAGCATTCTCCGTCAACTCCCATTCGGCTCTCTCGTAATGCTCATTGGCTTTGGTTATGAGAGCTTTGTATCGCTGAAGTGTATTCGCCATAGCGACCTCGTACAGTCTCTAAGGCTCGTGAAACTTCTGCCGCCGAGTCATGCGAGCGGATACTGTGCTGCCATGTCTTGAAGTGGCAGATAGTGCTTAGCACGCATGTACGAAGTGATGAAGTCAAGAAACGCGAGATCTCAAATTTCAGAGCACGTTCGCGCTAGAACTAGCCGGGCTTTGCTTTTTTGGGGGCAACGTCCTGTCCAGGTGTTATGTTGCCATAATTATCGATACTACACGGGATTGACTTCGAACGAGCACTGTAAGATCCGAACAAGTAAGCCTCGCTATGGGGGTATAATGCTGCAAGCAGAAAGACGCTGTAACCGCTTATCCCATCGTTAACGTCCAGCAAATGCATCATCTACAAGCAATGAAGCCACCCTTACATCTGCAACAGAACAGGATCGAGCATCATCCGATCCTCCTCGTCATCTCTGTACACTGGAGGCGCATGCGCACCACCACCATTCTGAAAGGAGGGCTCGTCGGCACGACTGAAGCCCGTCTCCGTCGGCTGGAACATGGGCTCATCGTTCATGTCCTCATCTACACCGCCAATCCAGAACTTGTCTCCCCGTACAAACGCAAAGTCGGACTCTGTCCAGCCGTGCTTCGCCCTCATGTGCTGCTCCAGGTCGTACTCGCGATAGAAGCGTACAACGCAATGAGGGTCCAAACAGGCGAGGTGTCGGTTTTCCGAGTAGGCGTGGCCGGTAAGTTGGGACAATGGAGCATTGCTTGCATCGGCGGTCTCGACTGGCTGGTCAAGCTCCATCGGCGAGTCGGCCGTCTCTGTGGCTACAGACTTCGCCTTCTTGGGCTTGCTGGGTTTCTGCCGGAGAGGTGGCAGGTCGAGATGCTGAGTTCGCACATGCCCTATCAGACTGGCTTTCGAAGTGAAGCCCATCCCGCAGCCTACCCCATTCCAGCCTGGTATTTTCTCGCTCGAAATTTGATCACTAAGGTCTGCTTGCCCGCAAACGAACGGCTTTTGCTTGGAATGCACTGATTGAACATGCACTGCCAGGTTGCCTCTCTTGGTAAAGCTTCGATCGCATCCTGGATGGGTGCATGGGAATGCCTGCTTTCGCTGATCAAGCGTGTTGCCGTGAGCGATCTCCATGTGAGCTGTGAGATCGCGGTTCGAACGACACGGCTTTGAACAGATGGTACAAGTCGGCGGGTGCACTTCTTTGATGTGCGCTTGCAGCTCGGCATGTGTACGAAATCCAAGGCGGTCAGAATCGGTCATAGGGGTGCCAACGCCATCGTCCGCGGCAGGTCCTGGCTCTCGGCAGTCGTCACAGAAGTAGATGTTGCCGCCGTGCTCGCGCCTTTCGTGCACCTTGAGCTTGGTGATAGAGGCAAAGGCCTTTCCGCACTCATCTGCCAGTTCGTCGCCTTCATCCGTGGTGTGAACCACAATCCGAGTACAGACAAATGCGAGCTCGTTAAGATGGTCCTTCTTGATGTGGCGCTGCAGAACGTCTATACTGCGGAAGACCTGGCCGCAGTCATCGCACCGAATCGCCTCGTTTTTCACGTGAATAGCCAGATGCCGTTTCAGTCTGCTGGATGTCGTGAATGCTTTGCCGCACTCGTGCTCGACTCCGTCATCGGTGATTCGCACGATGTAGCTGCAGATGTGGTCCGCCACGTTACTGTGCTTGTGTTGCATATGGGCCTTTAGATGTTCGCTCTTGAAGAAGGCTTTGTCGCAGCCCTCTTCGCCGCAGACAAACGGTCGCTCGCCGGTGTGGGTACGTTCATGGGCCTCCAGTTTCACGGGTCGATCATAGGCTTTGCCGCAATCTCCGAACGAGCAGATGTACTTCTTTAGGCGGCGGTAGGTAGAGCCACCAGCTGTGACGGTCGTGCCGGCGGCGGAGGTGGCATCCTCGGTGTAGGTGGTTGAGGAGGGAGGGGGCGTGCTGGAGGAGCCATCTCGCCGTGCTTTCTTCGATAGTGAGCTCGCCTCGCCGTCTGTGGTCCTCTTCCTCGCCATCGTAGAGTGTCCCTCCCGCGCCAGTGAGGACAGTGAGGTGCGGTGTTGTTGAAAGGCTTCCGTCAAGTCCAGGAAACTTTTTTGTGGGTCGGACTCTTGGCTCTCGGTCTCAGCCGCCGCTAGCTCCGGACCTGCATATCACGCGCTAGCGAGACAGATCTTTTGAGAGCTGCTGTTCACGATCACGTCCTCACATTCACCAATCTTCATCCCTTCCGGCGTTCGTGGATACCGCAAAGAGGTCCCGCGCATCCCACAGCATAACGTGGGAAGTTTGCGCGGCTCTACGCTCATAGAAGATGTCGGACTATGGCGGCGGCGACGATGACATGGGGATGGAGTATGGCGCGGGAGAGTTAGTTGTCGCTACCATGTCCAACGCGAGGACATGATACTGATGTGTGATGCGCAGGGACAACATGGACAACCTGATCGAAGAGGAGAACTTCGTCGAAGACTACGACGCGAACGGCGGCATGGACGTGGACGACTTTTCTGCCGTGGACCGTCAAAACCAGCTTGACAGCACAGACTACCAGAATAACGTCGTAGAGAGCGGGGATGTGGAGGCGCAGACGAGGGCGAAAGCGCTGAATACGGTGAAGGGGATCAAGGACAGAAAGATCCCGACAGACAAGAGGACGACCACGCCGTATATGACCAAGTATGAGCGGGCGCGGGTGCTGGGGACGAGGGCGTTGCAGATAAGGTATGCGCCTGCTGCGAGAAGAGAACGATGGCATTTTCGCATTTTAGGCGGGACAAGAAGAGCAAGGCTGACATGTGACCTAGCATGAACGCACCAGTACTCGTGGACGTCGAAGGCGAGACAGACCCGCTGCAGATTGCCATCAAGGAGTTGCGGGAGAAGAAGATACCCCTGGTCGTGAGGAGATATTTGCCGGATGGATGGTATGATCACGCACGCGCGCTTTGCAGCCAACCTCTCTGACAAGCTTGCTACAGGTACGAAGACTGGACATGCGAAGAACTGCTCTAGTCATGCCGCATCTGGGACATCAATTTCGAAGTCATTCCGAATTTTTTCAACAAGAGCGCGGCGTCCGGAGTATCTGAGATGTGTCTGAACCACATCTGACCTGTTTCTGCACCCTGCACCAACTCATTCACGTGCTTCTAAGGCTGTCCATACTTTTTTTACCTCTCATATCATGTCGGAAGTGTCTCCTAGCCTCTTGTGTTCATGCGGCGAAACGGAAGTGCTTTCCACTTATGATCGACCCTGCTTACCTACCCCGCCGATGTCATCGTGCGGTTACCAGGAATTGCAATGCCTTCTCGAGCAAAAACTTCCTCTATGTTTCGCATAATCAACTCACTCTTCAAAAGACCTTCCACGACTTTGATCAGATCAAGCATAACACTTCCAACTACCTTCAAGATGTCGATCGAAACGGACGCAACGATTGCCGACTTCGGCGGGAAGCTGCTCAAACTCAAGCACTCCGCCAAATCCACCAACTGCGAGATGAAGTTCAACCTCTTCATCCCCGGCAGCGCCTCCTCCTCCAAGCCAGCACCCGTCCTCTTCTACCTCGCCGGTCTGACATGCACCGGTGACAATGGCGCAGAGAAAGGTTTCTTCCAGAACAAAGCATCCGAGAAGGGCATCGCAGTCGTGTTCCCCGACACCTCTCCCCGCGGGCTGAAGATCGAGGGTGAAGACGACAGCTACGACTTCGGCAGCGGCGCGGGCTTCTACGTTGACGCCACAAAAGAGCCCTACAGCAACGGCTACAAGATGTACAGCTACATCACCGATGAGCTGCCCAAGGCCATCTTCTCGCAGTTCAAAGAGCTGGATAGCAGCCGGGTGAGCATCACAGGCCACAGCATGGGCGGCCACGGCGCCTTGACGCTCTTCCTCAAGAACCCAGGCAAATACAAGTCAGTATCCGCCTTCGCGCCCATCACGAACCCGAGCAAGTGCCCCTGGGGCGAGAAGGCTTTCTCGGGCTACTTCGGCGAGAACGATAAGCAGCGCTGGAGCGAGCACGATGCAACAGAGCTGCTGCCGAAATACCCAGACAACACGGATATCCTGATCGACGTTGGCACGGGCGACAACTTCTATAAGCAGGGCCAGCTACTGCCGGAGAACTTCGAGAAGGCGGCGAAAGATGCTGGGAAGAATGTGAAGGTGAATTATCGGGAGGGCTATGATCACAGCTATTTCTTCATCAGCACGTTTGCGGGAGATCATGTGGAGCATGCGGCGAAGTATTTGTTGAAGTAGTAGGTTTGCCCTGTCTCTTCTTCATGGTGTGGGTGAGTTGTTGAGAGGGATGAGAGGTGGTCGATGTGGGTGAGGTTCGTAGGCTGACGAGGCTAGGAAAAGCGAAGACTCTAGGACCACGTCGAGATTGTGAGGTTGTCGACGAGCCATACCACGCAGTTGACGGTGTAGGTACACATTGCTGTACACAGAAACATTTCAAGCGATCGAGTGGTTAGTTCGTTCGCAGCTTTTCAACCGATGTTCCACCCAGCTTTGTGACCAAGCTACAACCACTCTGTAAAGACCACCAAAACATCAACGTCTTGACCACTCCTTTGATACCAATCTTTTCCCGGAAATTGAGTTCTCACCACGAAGAGCCCATTCCGCAGTGTTGTACTTTCTGGCTTCGTTGGCGATGTCTGGGTTGGGGATGTATGCGGGTGTTGATTGGAATGATTGAGGTGTGAGTACACATGTTTTCGAGGACATAGCCGTTCTGCTTAATAGGTTCAAGAACCCGCAAGTCACACCGTCCTCTTGTGCACGCCACTCAAGTTGGCTGCAGCTGGCTGATTAGAGTCATATTAAAGTAGGTAGACTAATGAGGAGACAATCTAGTTAAACCCACCAGCTCTTACTCAAAATATCATCTAGTAAATCAAAGGGTATAACCTGGCCCAACCACAGCTACAACTTCGCGCTCCCGTCGCAAATCCGCTGCCAATCCTTCTCGCTGAACTTCGTGTAGCTGTCCGATCCCGGCTGCAGCCAGAACATCTCGTCCTCCCCAAGCTTCGTCGGATCCACGCCTTCGTTCCGCAGAGCGACCTTCTGATGCTTCAGCGTGCCCGTCACCTCGACCTCCTTTCTCAGTCTCAAGAAAAGCGGCACCGCGTACCGTGGCAAGCCTTTCCTTGCGTGACTGAGTAGATCCGCCGCCAATGAATCGCTCAGCTTTTGCTCGCCCGCGACGACGATAGCTGCGCAGCCGGCGCGGCCGTCGTGGTTGGGGAGCTCGACGCCGTAGACGTTGGCTTCGTGGATGGAGGGGTGCTCACCCATGACTTCGGAGACTTCTGCTGTGCTGACGTTTTCGGACTTCCAGCGGAATGTGTCGCCAATCTACTCAGTGGTCAGCAGTTGTCTCGAGACGCGGTTTGAAGTTCGAGTGGACTTACCCTATCGGAGAAGAACATCCTTCCCTCAGCATCTCGCCTCAACAAATCCCCGGTCCGATAATACGCATCCCCTTTCTTAAACACATCCCGCACAATCTTGCTCATCGACGCCTGCTCGTTGCCAAAATACCCTTGATACTTCTCTTCAATGTTGGCCGGATCGAGCGGATGCAGAACCTCCCCCGGCACGCCCGGCTCACACTTCACGCAAAACCCTGTCTTCGGGTCTCGATACGGCTGGTCCGTCTCATGGTCATGCTTCACGATATGCCACATCTGCAGCAGATTCCTCACGATGACGCCTTGCCTTCCTATCGTGGCCCGCGTGAAGTCGTTCTGGCTGTGGATGTAGCATACTGACGTGCCCTCAGTGGCGCCGTAGAATTCGATGACCGTGGGAATGTTGAAGCGGTCTTTCAGCTTCTGCCAGACATCGGGGCGCATGCCATTGCCGTAGGCGAAGCGGAGCTTGTGTGCGCGGTCGTAGGGGGTGGGCGGGCTGTTGACGAGATAGCGGCACATTTCGCCGATGTAGTGGATGCCGTCGGACTTCGTTTCAGAGATCCAGCGCATGAAGTGGCGTTGGGAGAACTTTTTGCCCATGACGGACTACGGGGAGGTTAGCTGGAGGTGTGGAAGGGTGGGCTTGTAGGAGGGGCTCACAGTGCATCCAGGTCCTAGGACTTGAAGTATACCAAGGACGCTTCCGCTGGAGTGGTAGAGTGGCAGGCAGGTGAAGTATCGATCCGTGGGTTTGAGGCCGAGTAGCTGAGACATGAATTTGCTAGAAGATAGACATTTGCTCCAGGCAACTTTGGCGGCCTTGGGGAGGCCTGTCGTGCCAGAGGTGTAGATCAGAAGACAGGTGTCGTTCTGGGTCACGCCTGATCGTGCCTCGTCCGGCGCTCGGTATGGGCTCTGTCGGTATATCTGTTGCTCGATTTCCTGGTCGATCACAACGGACTCAATACCCCGGCCTTTCTCGTCTGAGCCCAGACCGGACAATGTACTTTCGTTCAGCGCCTCCTGTATCTCTGGATCGACGAACAGTAGTCGTGTTGTAGAGATCCTAACACTATGGACGAACGCCTTGTCGCGTAGATTGTAATTGATGAACACCGGTATGGCCCCAAGTGACCAAAGAGCAAACCACAGCCAGATGAACTGCGGCTTGTTTGTAAAGTCCATCGCAATCAGCTCTTGCTTCTGCACGCCATGCGCGTTCTTCAACCAAGCCGCCCATCGAAGCACATTCTCGTATGCCTCTGCGTACGTCCATTCTGTTTTCTGGTCCGGCTTCTCAGGGTCGTGCGGGATCAAGAGAAATGTTCTCTGCGCGACTTTGGCATCTTTCGCGTGCTTCTCAAAGACGTAGAACGCGTTGACACGCTCTTGCTTTTCGAGCCGCTTCATCCATATCCGGGCACTGATTGCCTTCCCGACGGCCCACAAGTCGTTGGAGATGCCATACTTTGCGTTCAAGTATGCGAGAGACGCTACGCTCGACGATGCGATCAAGCTATTTGGGACGTCTGTATCGTAACAATCAGCTGGATGTTTCCATTATTGAGGATATGCGGCGTGGTACCGGCCAGGCTAGGCATGTTGCACGATCTCGCTTGCCGCCCTGGTGTTCTGTGATCGTGGTGGTACGAGGAGCAACACACACTTGGAGGAAACGAGGCAGCCTCTACTTGTTCCAGCACGCTCCCTCGGTCATCATTTACGCTCGCAATCGCGCCGCACCCTAAACATGCATCTTACGAGGGGTGACGATCTTCCAACCCAACTGAACACGACCTGCCAAACAGCCGAGGCTCCCTTGCTTCGCCCAGTCGGGGATTAAATTGACAACGGTCCGTCTGGTCGACGACAAGGACGTTTGTCGACTGCGGGCAGCCGCAGCTGATCTTTTGCTGTCTCGATTCCATCTGTCCTACAACGGGCACTCTTCGCGCCCAGAAACGGCTGCTCGCAGCACAATCGCAGTGTTTCGAACCAGACTTGAGAATGGTGGTCGTGGCTCTCATGAGCCGAATAATTCTATTCGAAGCTCCATGGCGGGCGAGATAGCTGTGAAGAGCTCCAAGGCGCGCTATCAGTGAGGAGTATGCCTATCGCAGTAGCGGCCTGGATGCCGTGTCTGTCTAGTAATGGTAGGTCGTCGGTAAGTTGACGAACAGTCTCGTCCTTTTCGTATCCATTTCCGCCTTTGGCACCGTCGAAGCCAACCTAAAGAAGATTTGTGCTACTGTTGCTCTTGAGTGTACCGGAGGAGCGCAATCATGGCATCCAAAGACTGGCAAACCATAGCTCAGGGGATGCAAGACCACCGAGCGCGTACCATAGCAGCGGTTGAGCCAGCTGTGCCCGACGTACCCGATGATCTGCCATTGAACGTTACACAGATACCAAAGAAGCTCCTGCCAGAGGAGACTATCGCAATCACAGAGTTGACAGCCGAACAACTTCTCCCTCAGTTGGCTTCCGGCAGACTGACGGCTACCCAAGTAACGAAAGCCTTCCTCCAACGTGCCGGCCTGGCAAGCAAACTTGTGAACTGCTGTACTGAACTCCTCCCCGAACGTGCTCTGGAGCGGGCCAAGTATCTCGATGACTACTTCTCCGAGCACAAGACGCCCGTCGGCCCACTGCATGGCCTCCTGATCAGCGTAAAGGAGCATATAGGCATGAAAGGTCTCGACCTCAACGCTGGCTTCGTATCTTGGGTTGGCCGCATTGCACCAGACGACGCCGTCATTCTGAAATTCCTCTGGAAAGCTGGATGTGTCTTCTACGTGCGTACCACGCAGCCGCAGACGCTCATGCATCTGGAGACATCGAATAACATCTACGGTGTTACGGTCAATCCCTACAACACTAAGTTGACATCTGGCGGTAGCAGTGGCGGCGAGGGAGCTCTACTTGGCCTGCGAGGCAGTTGTTTAGGTATAGGCAGTGATATAGGCGGCTCGATCAGAAGTCCAGCCGCTAACAATGGCCTCTTCGGACTACGGCCTACGTCTTTCCGGTTACCCTTTGCGGGTTGGATGGCTACGATGATGGGTGAGGAGCAAGTCATTCCGGTCATTGGGCCTCTAAGTACGAGCCTCGAAGGCATTCAGATCTTCATGAAAACCGTCCTGGACCAGGAGCCATCGAAGATCGATCCTTCGCTCGTTCCGATGCCCTGGAAGACAGAGTCTCAACTCCGCCATAAAGATGGCAAGCGAAAGCTCCGCGTTGGTGTTCTCAGTGACGACGGCATCGTCAAACCCCACCCTCCAATCCTACGCGGCATCAACACGCTCGTCGAGAAGCTCAAAACTCACCCGGACATTGAAGTTGTTGACTTCCCGCCATACAAACCGGACGAAGCATGGCGCATCATCGCCTCCCTCTACTTCGGCGACGGCGCCTCGGAAGAGAAGGAAGCCATTGCCGCTTCAGGCGAGCCGTGGCGGCCGATGAGCGACTTCATAATCAAGAAGAACCCGTTTGTAAAGGAGCTTACTGTGCCGGAGGTTTGGGACCTGACCATTGAGCGGGAAGCGTATAAGGCTGCTTTCGCCCGTCATTGGAATAGCGTGGGCACTGGGTTGCCTGGACCGGATGAGAAGGATTCCAGCACGTTTGCCGGCCCGCTATCTGAGGAGAGTGAGGAGAAGCTGGTGGATGTTGTTTTGTGTCCTGTGAGTGTGCTCTCGCGCAGCCGTCCATCCGTTCTTAGATGCGTGGGACATTTGCTGACCACGGCTCCGCTTTTCAGGTCGGCCCCTCATGTGCTCCGCTGCTCGAGACAGCGCGGTACTGGGGCTACACAGCGCAGTGGAACCTGGTTGATTATCCTTGTCTGGTGTTTCCAACGGGGTTGCAGTGCAGTGAGGTTGATAAAGTGGACTCAGACTATCACCCGAGAAACGAGAAGGATAAGTACAATCATGAGCTTTGTAAGAATCTTCGTCTCACATTGAGGTCGATTGCTGACTTAGACTAGACGAACCGAAGTCCTATACTGATGCGCCTATATCACTGCAGCTGGTTGGGCGGCGCTACCACGATGAGAAGGTCATTGAGGCATACGAGATGATTGCAGAGGCAGCTGGTTTGCCTTTCTCGTAGCTGACGATATATCAACCCCAAGATTGACGCTCGAATCGCTTTCCCCACCCCCCAAACACCTCAAACATTATTACTCCCCCGCTGACTCCCAGCAACCAAAAACGCCAACTCCAGCGCCTGCTTCTCGTTCAACCGCGGATCACAAAACGTCTCATACCGCTCCCCCAGATCCTCATCTTGCAACCCCTGGCTCCCACCCGTACACTCCGTAACCGCGTCACCCGTCAATTCCAAATGCACCCCACCTAGAAACGATCCGCACTCTTGATGAATCCTCAACGCGGCTGAAAGCTCCGAGAAAATCGCCGCGAACGACCGCGTCTTTACGCCGGTAGTCGTGGACCGTGTGTTTCCGTGCATCGGGTCGCACTGCCAGACTACTACGTGCCCGGTCTCGCGCACTGCGTTGATGTGTTTTGGCAGGAGCTCGGAGACTTTGGCCTCGCCGTAGCGGGTTATGAGGGTGACTTTTCCTGTTTCTTTGCCCGGGTTCACGATGTCGAGGAGTTGAGTGAGGTCTTCTGTGGTGGTCGTGGGACCGACTTTGATGCCGATGGGGTTCTCGATGCCGCGGAAGTATTCGATGTGAGCGTGGTCGGGTTGGCGGGTGCGGTCGCCGACCCAGAGGAAGTGGGCGCTGGTGTTGTAGTATCCTGTGGTTTCTGGTTCTTGGATGGAGGGATTGGTGAGGGCACCGCCGGTGAGGGGGGAGACTTTGGGGGGTTTTGCGGGCTTCATTTTGGGAGGGACGTTGCGGTTTGATGGGTGTTTTAGTTTGCGTGTTAGAGATTCTTCGTATGCCAGTAGTAGCCCCTCATGGCTGGTGTAGAGGTCGACAGTTTGGAGCTGTCCGGCTGTGTCTGCGCCAATCGTCCGCATGAAGCGAAGAGACTCGCTGATGCTCTCAACAATGGTTGTGTATTTCTTCTGCATCTCAGGATCCTGTACATGGCCCAATCCCCAATCCAATGGCTTGTGGAGATCGGCGATTCCTGAGCTCAACTGCGCTCGAACATAGTTCAACGTCGCCGCTGAGTGAAAGTACGCTTGCACCAGCCTATCGGGATCAATAGCCCTATGCTCAACATCATACCCATTCAGGATATCGCCACGAAAGCTCGGAATCTCCTTGCCATCCACCATCTCCATGGGCGAGCTTCGGGGTTTCGCATACTGTCCTGCCATCCGCGCTATGCGCACCACGGGCTTGTTGCCACCCCAGATGAGGACGAGGGACATCTGGAGCAGCAGCTTGATTTTAGCATCAATGGCTTCATCGTTGCAGTAATCGAATAGCTCCGCGCAGTCGCCACCCTGGAGTAAGAAGGCTTTTCCCAGTGCGACATCTTCCAGTGACCGCCTCAGCCTCCAGATTTCCGTGGGCGTGACGATGGGTGGTAAGTGTTGTAGTTTTCCTACAGACTTGCCGACTGCGGCTTGATCTTCGTAGTGGACGGGTTGTTTGATTGGTTTCGACCGCCAGGATGATGGCTCCCAGCTGGTGTGCTTGCCTCCGTTCGACATGCCGTCGAGTTGGTGTTGCTGTCCGTTCATGGTCTCAAGTGTCTGGATCAGGTAAACGTGAATGAAGAGAATAAGAGATTCTGGGCCAAGATCCTATACTAGATAATCCAGATCTTACAATCACATCCCGACCGCATCGAGTCTCAGTCTATGAAACCACATGCAAGGTACAGTGGTCTCGAACGAATGACTCGTTCAAGCAGAATTTAGACACCAGCCCTACAGATCCCACGCCAAGACATCGATATACCAGACCTCATCCTTCCTCCCGCCCCCCAACCGCAGCCAAACAAACCACTGTACACTCAACATGGCAGAACCACAACCACCAGATGTCGTCGAGGGCGCCGACCCTCCGGAGTCCATCCCTGCCACCGCCGACGACCGCGCTGCCGCCAAAGCCATGGACTCCCTCGATGCCCGCGGCGAAGACGTCGAAGCTCCTACTACAGCCAAGAAAGAAGTCGACGTCAAAGCTCTGACTGACGCGATGAAGCTGCTGGAGACCTCGTCAGGTGCGGGAGCATCGACGCAGAAGAAGGCGCAGGAGCAGAAGAAGAAGGAAGAAGAGGTCAAGAAACCTTTGATCAAAGTGGACCAGGGGGATGTGGCGTTGTTGGTCGAGCAGCTGGACGTTAATAAGGTGAAGGCGACGGAAATCTTGAGGGCACACGAGGCGGATGCGGTGGCGGCGATGAAGGCGTGGGTTACTGCTGCTGTTTGACGGCATGGGTTTATGTATGGATGGGCGTGTGTCAGAATGAAACCAGACCAACGCAGTCTGTGGAACTACGGAACGCAGCAGTCTTTCCAACTTTCTCGGCCAGCCTGGAACTTGGTGGGGCCGAGTCGCAGGGTCGAAGGAAGGGCCAACTTGAACAATTTGGTCCATTTCTGGACTGGACATCGATCAGATATACGAAGCACGCTGGCGGCAGACCCAACAGAGCCTGAGATGGCCCGAGATTCATCGACGTCACTGCATTCCCGATATCTTACGTGATGTGCGCTCAGGCAGATGCTGCAAGATCAGACGGCAAGAACGGCTTTCACCCTCGTCCACAGGAGACATCAACCAGCATTTGGTCAAGCTTGCAACAACGAAGCCTGTGGCCTCTGCGAGGATGGATTGATAAGACGATTCAACGTCCCGGAGGCTTCTTCAGCGACTGTCCTGCACTTGATAGCACTACAAGCATAGCATGTTTGATCGATCTCGACTTTTCTCGTGTTTTCCTTGTTGCCCTTTCATGGCAGTCCTGAACCCGTCACCAGAATAAAACATGATTTGAGTGGAGATTCAGCTTCCAGAAAGCCATGTGAGCTTACCTCACGGGTTAGAAGAGTCAAAAACGAATGCCTCGAAGTTTTTGAAGTAGAAGATACGAAATCGATCAATCCTAGATATCCCTCAAACACTCCTACGATCCAATCTGTACCATGCCCCCCAGGGTACCCTTCAACGCCATCCCATCTCGAGCGAAACACAATCTACTTCCCCCCATTCCAGAACGTCAACCTCCGAGTTTTCGTCTTATCCTTGCCCGGCAGATCAAGCTTCCGAACGCGATTCATAGGCGCGGTCTGCTGCACAATCATACCCGGTCCCTTCAGATACGCCGGCGTCACCGGCGAACTTCCCTCTTCGCCGCTGTTCTCCTTGTCCATTACCGAGACATCCTTGATTGGCGTGAAGTCTTCTTCAGCTTCTTCGGCCCTCTTTCCGGGCGATTCAGCAACGAGTTTGAGGGAGGAGCGGCCAAATGAGCTGGCGCGGCCAGAACTGCTCTTCCGGTCGCGGACGATGTTGCCACCGATGTTCAGCAGCGCAGACGGCTCCATGCTCTTGCGTCTGCGTCGGCCGCCTCGTGGGATCTCAGCGACATCGACGGCGTACGCTTCGTCCGACTCGTCCATGCGAGCACCTTCGTTGTCGCAGTCGCTGACCCAGCGGCTGTTGACGCAGTGAACGATCGGACCAGAACCTTTCTCCTCGGCTGTCTTGTTGTTGAGGCGGACTCGCTGGAGGGTAGTCGGCGAGCCGTCTTTGAAGATAACGTGGGTGACCCGCTCGCTCCATGCTTTAGTTGTTTTTGCTCCAAGGCGGTGCAGGAGCGCAACGAAGGGTGCTGAGGCAGATGCGCCTTCAAGTGTGAAGACTTCGACGAGAGCGACGACACTGCGGAGTGGTTCTGCTGGGTGAGGAGTCATTGGCTCTTGTGCTGGTGTCGTGGCCGGTGCTTTCAGCGGTGTCTTGATGGGAGTGTGTGAAGCTCGAGGAGTGCTGCCTTTCAGTGCAGCTTTCCGTAGGGAGTCAGACTTCTGTGCGGTAGCTGGACGCTTGCGAGGTGATGTCTTCGTCGGCGTCCGGAAGCGAACAGGTCCTGCCAGGGTCTTCGCTTGGTCTGCGTAGCCATTGCGTAGATTCATACGTGGATACCGCTCACCTGGCGCGGCGACTGGTGTTGCAACTGGTGTGGACTCCACCTCTGGAATGACAGAATCAACCTCAGCCTTCTCCGGCGCTTCTTCAGCTTTCGAAGTCTCAATGACCGAGGGCTTGGGATTCAAAGCAGTCACGCGCCCAGAAGTCGCCCGATGGAAGGTCTCTCGGCGCTTCGCAGGCTTCTCTGCAGGCGTTTGAAACCGCGCTGGTGCAGCGACCGTTTGCGCATGACTACCGTCGTACTGCCGTGGAGCAGCCTTCGGTGTGGCAACAACATCCGCAGCCTTCGGCTCCTCGAGCACATTCGGCTTCGGATTAAACGTAGTCACTCGTCCCGAAGTCGCCCTGTGGAACGTCTCGCGCCTCTTCGCAGGCTTTTCCGTCGGGTCACGGAATCTCGCAGGTGCAGCCACGGTCTGAGCATGATCCTCATAGTCCTGCCTCGGTGCACGGCGAGGAAACCGCTCCTTCGGCGTGGCCACCGACGTCTCCGCATGCTCTTCGTAGTCCTGCCTCGGCGCAAGTCGAGGAAAGCGCTCCTTAGGCTTAGCCACCGGCGTCTTAGCTGGTGATTGTACCGTAGGGATTGCAGTTGACGGAGCACGACTCATGCTTGGCCTGCTCTTGACTGGTGTGGTAGCCGTAGAACCAGCGCGAGATCTAGACCACCAGTGATCCGAGAATGGGTTGACGACCCTTGGCATGCTGGCGCCATCTGAGGTGTTTGGTCGACTGCCGGCTTTGAAAGGTGTCTGATGGCTGATCGCAGGCAAAGACTTGCGCCTTGCGTCGAACGCAAAGGTTGGCAGGGCGTAGTGCGGCAATTCTTCATCAGCAATCGCTTCCTCTGCAGGTGGCTCTTCTTCGGGTCGTGGTCTCGTCTGCGTTTGAGCAAGATCGAGGTCAAACATGTCTGTATCGTCTGTCGACGAGTTCGCGCTATCATCTTCATCCCCAGGTATAGCAGCAGCTGCGGTGGTTTCTTCAAGACCAGCCTCCTCCATTTCATCTTCTGCTGCCTGCGTTTCGGCCGGTGAGCTGGGAGTAGCCTCTGCACCGGCATGCTCTTCGGCTTCTTGCTCTAGTTGTGCCAAATCTGCCAAGTTCAAAGCTTCCGTCGGCTCAGTGAGCGCAGCCATATCAATGTAGTCGCTCAAGTTCATGGTCTGGCGCCGGGACTCACGCTCTTGGGTGGCTACATCTAGCTCAGCGGGCATCGAAGCATCGACGTCGATCTCCATGGCTTTTCGACCAGCGGTATTGTCCTCATCATCGGCTTGCGACGGTGGTGCACCCTCGTATGCCTGTTCCTCGTTTGAAGTTGCAGACGCTGCGTTGCGAGCACCGCTGAACAGATCATCGAAATTGACAGTAATGGCAGTATCCTGCTTAGAAGGGTTTTGCCAGTCAACCGCTTTGATGGCGGACGCCGGTGCTGGTGCCTCATGATCACTGAGTGACTCGTTCCCATCTTCCGTCTCGTTGGCAGCATCGTCCGACATCTCGTGGTCATCCAGTCCAAGTCCAAGTGCTGATCGGTTGATGATAACCGTATCTTCCGTCTCGAACGAGTCGCTAGGTGTAATGGAGTTAGATCCTTCCTCGTCTTCGATATCTTCTTCAGCCTCATCTTCTTCCTGAAGGCTAGCATCATCCACAAGCATAGTTTCATCAGGATCTTGCTCGATCTGAGCAGGGGCGATGAAACCCTCTTCTTCAATGCCATGCGAAGTGATCATCTGGCCAGGCTCATCATTTTCTTCAGCGTCCGTGATCGACTCAGGTGGCGACTGGAGTTGCAACGGTGCGTCAGAAGCAGTCGCTGGGGTGGACGGCACCGATGGCTCGACCTCGTGCTCGTCTTCTGGCTCGTCCATGGGAATAATATTCTCGTCGACAACAAAAGATGGCTCGTCTTCCTCCTCCGCGATAGACTCTTCTTGCATCGGAAACGCTGGAGCGCCCTCACGCAGGTCGCGGAATACCATCGCCCTGCTGCCACCTCTCGCGACAGTCATGGGCCTAACCTCAGAGGATGGAGGAACCGGCTTGCAGTATGGCTTCTGAGTCTGTGGCGTACCTTTCTGGGATCCAAGCACAGCATAGCGGCGAGCGGGAGTTTGCAGGCGTTGCTCCTCTTCGTACTTGCGGATGGTGCGTTGAACTGAGGAGAGGTAGCGGGCTTCTGCATCTGCGCTTCCTCGCTTCAAGGGCGTCTTAGGCCCACACAGCTCGTCCTCAGAGGCTCCTTCATCGGTGTTTTCGGCTTCGTCTTGAGCGGAAACAGATGCAGTGTCGTTCATCTCTTCGTCCTTCTCCGGACCTTCCTGGTCGAAGCTTCGCAGCGTGGAGTCATTTGGAGTAGTTGGCCTGGAGCTCAGAGATGCCTCGCTCTCCTCCTTTGCAGACTGCTGCTTCCTCGTCTGCGCTGGCGTGGGCTTGGTTTTCGCTGGAGTACTTGCGAGCACCGCAACATCATCGTCCTCGTCGAAAGCCGCTTCCAAGTCTGGGAGTTCAGCGTTCTCGTCTGAGACTGTCCTTTTCCTTGTAGTTGCATTGGTCTGCACAGGAGCTTTCGCCGGTGCAGCCGTGACCACTCGCTTTCCGTTTCTAGTCGTACGCGTAGCAGGCTTAGACACTTGCGTGATCTTCTTAGGACTCAACGGTTGTGCCTTGGCTGCTGTCGCTCGAGTGCCACGGGTCGCCTTCGGTGCAGGTGCTGGTAGAACAGGTGCTTTCTCGACAGGTTCGGCTCCTCTCTTGCCTCTCACGGAGCCGGCCTTGGTGGAATTCGCGGGTTTCGGTTCTTCCACTGCAGACTTTACTTCATTCATCGCAGGTGCAGCTCTTTTCCCGCGCAGCGTGCTGGCCTTCGTAGCTCTTGTCGCTCTCGGCTGCTCGACTTCCTCCTCTACTGTCTCCTCTTCAAGCGGTGCAGCGGCCTTCCTGCCCCTCACAGAACCCGCCTTTGTCGCCTTGGCCGGCTTCGCGTCCTCAACGTCCTCCTTCGCAGTCGCTGCATCCTTCTTCGGCCGACCAGGTCCCCTTTTCCCGCCCTTCGCAGGCTGCTCCTCCGCATCCACCTCAACCTCCAGTTGCCTCCCCTTTGCAGCTCTTCCATTGCTTAAAGTCTCCGGTTTCGCAGCAGTCTTCGTAGCGGCCTTCGCAGCAGTCGCCTTCCGAACCGGCTTCTTCTTGAGCATCGTCTCGTGATCCGAGGCCAGCTCGTCGTCTTCGGGGTCCTTTTGGACCATTCGTCGTGTGGCTACCATGTCTGCTAAAGTACTGTCGTCGTTTGCATGACAGAGAAAGGACGAAGTTCTGGTGTTTCTGGGAAGGAAAGAGCGTGTTTACTCTTGTCAACATTGGGAAGGCGCTAGTGGCTTATCGACTGCGGGGATGTTCGAGCTTAATTTCTGGTCACGTGGTCGACTTGGAAAGTCAATGGAATAGATCGACTCTTGCTCGTAATGTGGAGAAAGAGATTGGTCGTAGATGCTGTACAGTTTTGATACATAGCGCTATGCCATCAAATTAGCAGTAGGCGACTTCTCGTCCCCCCATACGAACGACGTCTGCTCCATCGAGCGCGGCGAGATCCTCACTAGTGAGATCGCATGCGTGTTGCATGACAGCTTCGCATGGCGGCAAAGGTGCGTGATCGTCGGACGTCCGTGGCAGTCAAGTCGTTGAGCGGCGCGATCGTGTCCTTCTGACCAACCCGGCAAGATCCTACTCACCACACCCGACACAACACCATCCCCCCAACCCTCCTCTCCGCGCACTCCCTCACCTCCATCACCCCCAAGTCCGTACTCACAGCCATACACTCCCCCACCTGCGTCAACGGCTTGATCTCCCCCTTCGCCGCCGCGTGACCCCTCGTCAATCCTCCCAAATCTCTCGCGTTCAGCCATATTCGCTTCGTAGGCTTCGACAGCATCGTCGCTTTCCGTAGGACTGGCATGTTGTCCCAGTACTTTAGTCCCAGCCATAATCTTCGTGACGCGCGATTTGCTTGCGTAACTACGCCTTCGCTCTCCAGATCCCAGGGATCTTGTTGCGTAGGTGGTGGAGGTGGGTTGAAAGGTTGGTTTGGTATAGGAACACCCATGGGGTTGATTGTGAGGCCGTCTCGGGCGAGGTCGCGGGTCGTGCGCAGGCTGTTCTGGGGTCCAGCGAAGTAGCGAAGCGTAGGGGCTGAGAAGCCTTCTCGGAGGATGCGCTCGCGCAGCTTCATTGCTTGCTGATTTCGGTGGTCACGCCGGGCGCCTGCTCTATTCCGCTCATCCGCGTTGGGGTTGTCACTTTGATATTCGTAATCGTAGTTGTCGGGGTACCATCTCTGCACTTCCTCTTGTGCACTGTTGAGAAGGGTGGCGTGGTTTTGGAGGAAGGAGATTGACATCTCGTCCATGCCTTCATCTTGTAACTGCTCCAAACGCTTGTTTCCGTGGCGCATGAGGAAGTTGGCGGCTACATTACTCCATCCTTCATGTTCAAGTTGGGCTGCGCTTTTTAATCGCTCCTCCATTGCGAATGTGATGGCTTCATCATTAAATCCCTCCTCTCGTAGTATCGCCGCTGTCACCGGTCCCGGTCCATCGACGACTCTCTGCAATGCGCTCTCCGGGCTGTGCATGCTCCCGTCTCCATGTTGATGTGGATGCGATGATATGTTGTTGCTATCCCTCATGCCTGGAGGAAAGCATGACGCGGGTGGTGAAGGCCCGCCGAGTTTGACCTGGGAGAGGAAGCCCTGCTTGTGGAGGAGCAGCGAGAGTGAGAGATGCAGTTTCGAGTACGGTATTGATGTGAGGCCGAGTCGTGCGAGCGAGGCGTTCTGGAGGTGCGAGCAGACGTGGGAGAGGTTGACGAGGGACATGTTGGTGGAGTGGCCCGGAGGCCGGGTGGTTGGTAGAGATACACTCTAGTTGGAGCGTATTGTTGACCGTAATGAGATCAGTCCGGGTGCTCAATATGAATCCAATGACCGGGGGATTGCGGTCAGTATTCCTGTCCGTCTCGTTGTCAATCGAAGGGCCATCCTCGATGCACGTCTCGGAAGTGTCTTTCTCGCCGCACCTTCCTCTCCCAAACTGCCCCAATTGCCTCTTCTGATTGGAAGGTGAATTTAGTCACGTGCGCTGTTAACCGCCATCCAAGATTGCCCGGTGGAGCTTGAGCTGCACCACCAGCGCGTGGCAGCAGGATGGCGACCAGAAATAGCTGCAGCAGATGCTCTATGCGCTGCTATTCGAGTTGGCCTATAAGTCGCTCGCCCTCGTGGTCACCGTCTGGGTCGCCCAGTTCCTGACCTCGCAGTATTTGGAAGCCCTGGTCGAGTTCACCCGGATCTACATCAACGTGATCGATCTGTTGTATGCTGATAGACAGGCACCGTTGAGGGCATAGGATAATCAAAAGGGCATATACTGAAGGACAACCTCTGCCGGGAAGAACAAGATGCCTGCTGGACCGGGCGATACTCACCTGGTCACGCTGTAGGTTGGGGACAGACTCATTAGAACAACGAGAGCATGCTGACGGAACGGATAGCTTCACCGATGCACATTACTACTTCTCAGCTCCCTCGTTGAAACCACAACATCACCGCTTCAGCAGAGGCTCCTATCTTTACCTCTATCACAACGCTTCGGAGAACAGGACGAAAATCGAGATAGCGAACCACGCCGGTACCGCGGATCAAGATGCGTTCTCTGGTTCTTTCGATCATCTGTCACGAGTGACATACTCGTACAAGCAGCCAACACTGTTTTCAGTGACGATCGATGGGGGGAGTATACAAGGTCACGACCAATGGCACCTGCCCAGCTACAACGAGAGGAACCAGCAGAAGTATCTGTACAAGATAAATATGCTAGATCTGTATTTATGGACCGAGAAGGATGCGTCGACGTTCTTAGGCCACTTGAAGAGCGTCGTCCCAGCCGAGAAGTTGGAGATCAAAGATGCTCCCGCAAAGCTGCAGACACCTGCGGAGCACAGAGATTCCATGAGTCCTGTCGTGCAGCAATTGGAGAAGACGGCGATCGGTGCCCAGTTCCCTCCGCGAGCTGAGAGTACGACTTCATCTCATTCAATACCTGGCCCTCCTTTAGGTCTGCAGACGTCCTCTACACCAGCTCAGCCTACTCCGATGGCATATAACCCTGCCGCGCCAGCCGCACCGGAGCCCATCGCTTACCGCGAGAAGACGCCTCCACCTCTAGATTCAGACGCCGGCAACGGCTTGACAAATCCTGGCCAATACAGCTCTTATCCACAGCAGCAGTATGCGAATGTCCCTAACACCTTCCAGAGCTCAGGTCAACCAACGCCTCAGCAGTCGTTCTTCTCTGGTCCTCCTGGCCAGCCAGCCCGTCACTCAAGTATGAGCTTCCCAGGCCCACCCTCCCAAGGTACGCCACCTCAACGCACCGCATCTGGCATTGGGTCTTTGCCGCCTCCGCCTCCGCCGCCAGGTAGTGGTCCTTCGCCACAGCCGTACAACCCATCCTTCGCTCCTCCACCAGGTAACGGCCTCCCACAAGCAACGTCACCACCACCCACTCAGACGAGCTTTAACCGGCAGTCCTCATATGGTGGCCTACCTGGACAAACACAGTACGCCAGCTATCCCTCGTCAACTCCCTCATTCGGTCCCTCCGCTCTCGCCTCCCCTGGTCTCCCAGGCACACCCGGCTACCAGCAACACAACGGCCCACCCACTCCCTCCGCGCCGCCTGCTTACTCTTCTGGTCCGCAGCAATATCAGCCCGGCCAGCAGCAACAGTTCGGCTACAGCAGCTACTCCTACTCCCAACAACAACCCGCGGACAGTAGCGCTGGACCCGGGACGTACGGTATTCACGGGCAAGTGTATCGCCCTACGGAGCAGGAGGCGCTGGCGCATGGGAAGCCTGCGGGGCCGCAGAGGCAGCAGAGCAGTGAAACTAGGAATAGGTTGGAGGGGAGGGTGACGCAGGTAGAAGCCGGGGTGGGCAAGTTTATGAAGCGGTTGGATAAGCTGTGGTAGATTCTAAGGCTGGGCCATCAGGGGATGCCGTGGTCCAGATGGATGAGGGACTAGGTCATAATGTAGATACGATTGGTCAGACGAAGAATGATTGGCTACCAACAAGATCACACTACCTTATGTTCGTGTACCCGGTCATACCAATGTGATACCACAGTGACACCAGGTCATACCGGCCTGCAGGTGGGAGAAGTCCTCCGATCTTCGACCTCGTGAACACCTCTCCACTCATTGGCTCCAAAGCATCTCGCGCTAGTGAATGTTCACTGACCCCGAACTAGCCATTGCTAACCCCATCTCTCACCCTTCACTGATCCCGGCAAAACCCCGACCTCGCGCTCCCCGCCCAAAAACTTAGAAGGAGAAGCGGCCCACAGCGTCCAGGCCGAAGAACCTGGCTCCAAAGCCCGCCAAGACCAGCGACCTGGCTGAGGTGCCTCCTCCGAGACGCGAAGTGCTCGATTATGAGCCGAATCTTGACGATTCTCGATTTTGGAGAAGAGGCAACAACGTCCGGGACAAGTTTTGGACTTCGAGAGGAGGTGGGTGAGGGCGTCTTGTCGATTGATGCCGCTTCTCGAAGAGCGATAGGGTTTGTAGAAGGAACGACGGCGACTTCGAACTCAGGACGAAATGACATTAGCTAGCGGCGGCTGTTTCCAGCCAATGAGCGATCGTGGATCGTCTGCGTGAGATGATGTTGCGCTCTTCTCGTGGCCTCTCCGTGGCTGAAGCAGCTCAATTTACCAGATCTGTAGATCTGCAGAGGTGCAACTTTCCTTGTGACAATGCTTTTTGGTACTGCTATTGTTCGAAAAGATCTATATCTGCTTGATCTCCTTTCCTACCCCCTCAGGCCTCTCAGCCTCCCACTCATCCCTCAGCACGGCGTACAGCGTATCCGTCAATATGATGAGTAAAGCCAAGTTCCAGACCAGCGTAATGGCGTAGAAGAAGTTGGCGTTACCTGAGCCGGCGTAGATCCAGAGATGGTGGAACGCTGGACCGAGCAGCATGCAGTAGAGTAGGGCTGCGATTGCTGGGAAAGTGTAGCGGTGGGTCGAGGACACTGCAAATCAGTTGTCAGCGGCATCGAAGCGTATCGGAGATGTCAGAACGTACACTCAAAGACATGCCCAAGCAGACAAACAGAACTCAACCAAGCGCCCACAGCCCCGACATTAGCGTATGGCTCAAACACCGCAATCGCTCCCATCATCAACACTACCGCTGCCAACGGCTGCTTGCGTAGTCGCAGCGCCAAGGGCACACTGTAGGACAGCATATGTAGCCAGAAGACGCCGAGGAAGAACGAGCGGAATGCGTCGAACATTTCGATGAAGAAGTACCACCAGAGGCCTGGGTTGGGTGTGAGGTCCGGGAGCTGGAGGGGCGTGAGGTAGACGGAGGGGATAAATTGGAGGGAAGGGAGGAGGAGGGCGGAGAGACCGAGGAGGAGGGTGAGGGTCGCGAAGAAGACGAGGGTAAGTTGGACTGCGAAGGGGAGGGCGGAGGGCAGGGTTCGCTGGTCCAGGGTGGCCTTTGCATTCGCCTTCTGGTCGTTGGTGGACTCTGTGGACGTCGCTTCTTGCTGGCAGAGGCGGCCGTAGCACAGTAGGCCGATCGGTGGCAGCAAGAAAGCCGGATGCAGGCTCAAGTAGCTAGCGACTGCCAGTGCGAAGGCTGACGTGGGCGTCCGTGCCTCGCATGCGTGTTTGACGCTGAGCAGAACGAAGAAGGTCGTGAAGACCGTGGTTGGTCGGCCAAGGCAAGTCAAAAGGGTCAATGGGTTGAAGAGGTAGCTACGGTCGTTAGCTTGAGACTCCCATCTCGGTTGAGGGATCCACCTACACAGCCGCCACAGATACTGGCTTCCATGTCCGTTCCGCTCTCGGCGACTTGTATACCAGAGAAACAGGTGCCGCGCCAGATGCAGCGATGTGGTACAGTGTGTCTGCGGAGAGGACATCAAGGGCCGTGTAGACCAGGATGCTGGCCAGGCTGCCGATCAAGGTACTTGGACTGGGTAGGAAAGAGAAGAACGAGAGCAAGAGCGGCGCCTACAGCATGTTCAGTACTTTTCACTCAAGCAGCTTCATGGTCTTGCTAACCTGGTGGAAGATGCCGCCATCGTACGGATCGAGTCCTCGTTCGTAGAGGAACAAGCCTTCCTGCACTGCACCCGCTCAGCTACTGCCCATGCTTGACCATACTGTGTTCATGCTAGAATACTGTGCATATCACGTACATCTCTTGAAGCTGTTTACTGGCGTCGAGATCTCTACTCGTCCAGCTAGAAGTTCGTGAAGTCCTGGGAAGGTCACCGCAAGGAGGATGCGCAGAGCAGCGGCCGAGGTGTAGAGGACTGTCTTCGGGTGGTCATTGTAGACCTTTGTGATCGCTTCCATGGCCTTGTGTCCTTTGCCCGCATCATGTGTCTGCCTTTGTCGTCTCGCCTTCAACTCTGCTTCGTGTAGTGTGTCAACTCACTCCCGCGGTGAAGCTTCCTATTTGGGACTGGCACGCCTGAGCGAAATCTTGGCGATCATCTGAAAATCTAGGCCTCTGCGACTCTTGCAACTTCTCTTTACAACCAACAAAGCTCACCACAATGGGCCGAGAAAAGAAGAGAGGCACGTCGGGGGCGACGAAGAACTACCTCACCCGCTCTCAGGCGGTGCGCAAACTGCAGATCTCCCTCGCCGACTTCAGACGACTATGCATTTTCAAGGGCATCTACCCACGCGAACCTCGATCGAAGAAGCGAGTGTCGAAATCTTCAACGCCCAGCACGACCTTCTACTACGCCAAAGACATCCAGTACCTCCTCCACGAACCGCTCCTCAACAAGTTCCGCGACCAAAAGGCGCTTGCGAAGAAGATTTCTAAGGCATTGGGTCGTAACGAAGTCAGCGATGCCTCCAGATTGGAACGGAACCTCAAGCCGCGCATGCGACTGGATCACATCATCAAGGAGAGGTACCCAACATTCGTGGACGCCTTGAGAGATCTCGACGACGCTCTATCCATGCTCTTTCTGTTCGCCAACCTTCCTTCGACTGCTGAGGTCCCGGCAAATATAATTGCTAAGTGTCAGAGACTCACGCTGGAGTTCGAGCACTACCTCATCCGCACGCACAGCCTTCGAAAGAGCTTTCTGTCAATCAAGGGTATCTACTACCAGGCGACCATTCAAGGCCAGGATATATTATGGCTTGTGCCGTACCGATTCGTGCAAAGAACCGGCGCGGATGTGGACTACAGGATTATGGCGACCTTTGTGGAGTTCTACACCACGCTGCTAGGGTTTGTGAACTTTAGACTATACACGAGCATTGGTCTGGTCTACCCGCCTACATTCGATCTGAAATCAGAGGAGCAGGGAGCTGAGCTTGGTGCTTTCCAGCTTGAGGCGCAGAACGGCGAAGAACAACAGCCGGCTGATAATGAGGTGGACGCAGAGACGAACGAGAAGGCTCAGGCTGAGGCAGACCGACTGCTATCATTACCAGCAGAGCCGCAGCGCGATGAGGAAGAACAGGCGGAGGCTGATGTCGAGGACATAGAAGCGAACCAAGCAAGTGCTCTGGATCAGTTCGCCTCAATCGATGAGAAGGCGGACACGCTATTACAGCCGTCAGCAACCGCTGACTCGGCGACGGCCGGCAAGCTTTTCGAAACCTTCACGGTGTTCCTGTCGAGAGAAACACCTCGGCATTCACTGGAGTTCATCCTGAAAGCCTTCGGCTGCAAGCGTGTGGGCTGGGACAGCAGCTTAGGGGAGCCGGGAGCGTACTGCGCCGAGGACGACAAGCGCATCACGCATCAGATAGTCGACCGGCCTGATCTGCCCTTACCATCTCCGCCACTTACCGACGGCGAGACTGACATGGACGTGGACGAGGTGGACGGTGTAGTGACGAAGAGGGCTAACGAGCGTGTGCCCGGCAGGATCTATGTCCAGCCGCAGTGGGTTTGGGACTCTATCAACGCCGGGCAGCTGCAACGGCCGGATCTCTATGCGCCTGGTGCCACCTTGCCACCTCATCTGAGTCCGTGGGTCAAGCCGAAGAAGGGCGACTACGATCCTACTCTCTCACTTGCGGCGCAGGAGACCGCCGCTGAAGCGGAGATGGAGGACGAGGAGGATATAGTGGATGAGGGCAGTGGAGGAGAGGAAGTTGAGGGTGTACGTGGCGATGGCGAGGCGAGAGAGATGGAAGAGGAGCTGGACAAGGAAGAAGATGGCGGTATGGATGTCAACCTGGCAGGTTCTGAGGACGAGTCCGAAGGTGAGGTAGAAGTCAGCGGTGGCGCCGATGCAGACGAAGACGACGAATGGGGCGGCATCTCCGGCGACGAAGCCGAAGACGTAGGCGATTCTGCCGCTCGGCAAGCGCAGGCGGAACTCGAGGCTGAGGCGCTGGGTAAGGCGCCAGTACAGGCTGGCACTACCGAGAAGGAGAAGCGCAAGAGGGAGCGGGAGGTCGCACAGGCGAAGCGGGCACGAGAAGAGCGCGAACAGCAGGAACAGGTTGAGCGGCAGAAGATGATGATGCCGAGACGGAAGAGGAAGGTGTACGAGAAGATGGTATACTCGAATGCGCGGAAGGACGAGGAGGCGGAGAAGCTGAGGGCGAAGAGGAGGAAGATCGAACGTGGTGGTGCTGCGAAGAGCTGATGATGGGACGACTCATGTCAATCATCTATGTCTGGACGGAATAGGAAGGCATTAAGATCGACAAACTGGCCGCATACAGTAGCTCCGACTTCGGCGATATTCGGTCAATGACTTCCACTTTCACGACATCAATCATTCACTTTTTCTCAACCCGCGTCTTCCTCTGAGCTTTGGTGATACACTGCTTTTCATTCGTCGGCGTCGTTTCGTTGTGTTTACCCTGGCCGTGTCGGCGTCAGAACATCAATATGGAATTCCAAAAACTCATATCAACACAAGAAATCAAAAAGCACAACCACACTCAAGACTGCTGGATCGTAATCGAAGACGCAGTATGGGACGTGACCGCCTTCGCCCCCGAGCATCCGGGCGGCGCAAACTGTACCTCTCCATCACCAATAACCACCACAATTGATCACTGACCCAAAGATCTAGTTCTTTTGAAATACGGCGGCCACGATGCAACGAAAGGCTATTCGGAATACCACAGCCCTTCCGTGGTGAAGGACAATCTACCGCTCGAATGTTTCAAAGGCAATCTCGACCGCTCAACGATCGATTCGTCTTGGGCACCGGTGGTGGCGGAGAATGCGGCCCTGAAGGTCGAGGAGGGCGAGAAGACGCCGTTGAGTAGTATTATCAATGCGTGCGTTATCCACTCCTCTAGCACAGGCCGTGAGTGCTGATACATCGTAGTTACGATTTCGAAGAGGCCGCGCAGAAGCATGCGTCGAAGAAGACTTTCGCCTTCTACTCTACTGCCGCGACGGATTGCTGGTCTCGAGATATGAATCAGGAAATGTATAAACGAATCTGGTTCCGGCCGCGGGTGATGAAGGATGTGACGAACATTGACACCTCGACGACTATGCTGGGTATACCGCTCGCCGTGCCGCTCTTCATTTGTCCCACGGGTTTAGCCAAAATGATCCACCCAGACGGCGAGAAAGCATTGGCGAGAGCGGCGAAGTCGACCGGCATCCTCGAGATTGTAAGTATGAACATACCAACCTTGAAACGCAACTTGCTAAAGCAGTCCCACCAGCTCTCAACCTCCGCCTCCCACCCCCTCCCCGACATCCTCTCCGAAGCCCCCAACCACCCCTTCCTCTTCCAACTCTACATGAACAAAGACCGCCAAAAGTCCGCGTCTCTGATCAAACAAGTATCCGCCAACCCCCAAATCCGCGCCATCTTCCTCACGGTCGACGCCGCCGGTCGCGGCAAGCGCGAATCCGACGAACGTCTCGCCGTGGACGAAATCGTGATAAACCCCGTCACTGGCCAGCGCGCGGAGACGGACAAGAAGGGTGGCGGGCTGACGCGAATGATGGGGAGTTATATCGATCAGAGCCTGACGTGGGAGGATATCAAGTGGATTCGTACTTTGACTGATCTGCCGATCGTGCTGAAAGGGATCACGAACGCTGAGGATGCGAAGATGGCGATGCAGTATGGTGTCGAGGGGATTATTCTGAGCAACCATGGTGGAAGGAACTTGGACTATGCGCCGCCGGCGATTTTGCTGTTGCTGGAGATGCATAAGTGCTGTCCTGATGTGTTTGAGCGGATGGAAGTGTTTGTTGATGGCGGGATCAGGAGAGGCGGGGATATTGTTAAGGCGATGTGTTTGGGAGCCAAGGCGGTGGGCATTGGGAGAACGTTTTTGTACTCGTTGAATTATGGGACGGAGGGGGCGGAGCATCTTGTTGAAAGTGAGTTGATCGACTGTTTGAGTGAGTGAGGAAGACGCTAACATCTTTAATGTAGTCCTAAAGGATGAGATGGAGAGCGTGATGAAGCTGATTGGTGTAAAGAATTTGTCTGAAGTTCATCCGGGTCTCGTCAACACACTCGATGTGGACCATCTGGTACCTTCGACGCCCGACCACCCATATGCTAAATGGCGGCCACAGCCTCGACTATAAGTGCAATCAAGGAGTCGAACGGCCTTGCTCCTCCAAGACATCCCGACACCTCCCACATGGCTGATCAGCGTCTGCGGCGGTGTACTTCCAGCAACGAACACACTTGTGATGATCTGGCGGCATCACGACCACCTTCCCGAGCTCTTCCTGTCCAGTGATGCGGAACTCCTGCTCATCCTTCCACGATTTCTCGGGATCAGCAGGATACTGTGCACCCGCGTGTAGAGACGCCTGGCTGACCACCAGAAGATCCGCCAGCTCACCGTTGCGCTCCCACTGTCCAATGTGGTTCCGAGCCGCGGAGTACGTAGTCGCAGGTAGATGCACGTCAACTCTGCACGCAAGGCCGCTGCGCAGGTTGCCGGCCTGCCTTGCATCTTCCTGCACAAGCTTGACGGCCATACTTAGAGATTTGAATATATCCAATCCTTTCTCCACATTCTCAGCATCGTCTGGAGCCGCGGGCTCTACACTCGTCCATACTCGTCTCAGCGGATGCAAGTGATCCTGCATTCCTGCCGGGCGATGCTCCCATACTTCTTCGACCAGGTGCGGTGTGATAGGTCCAAGCATTCTCAGCAACCCATCGAAGATGGTTTTGAGCACCGCTTGCGTCCGCGACCGCACTTCTCTCGAACCGGCGTACATGGCGTCCTTGATGACTTCGAAGTAGAACGCTGATAGGTCTGCGCTGATGAAGACATTGATGTCGTTCACTGCTTTGTAAAACTTGTACTTGTCGTTCGCCTGCCAAACCTCGCGTTCAGTCTTGGCAAGTTGGTGGAGAACTGCTCGGTCTGCGAAGGTGAGGGTGCTGGTATGCTTATCTAGTGTGGAGGTATGCGAGTCATAGTCCGCCAATACACCCAACAGGAACTTGAAGGTGACTCTATACTTCTGTAAAGCCTGTTGTACGCTCTGGAGCACTGGTGCGGAGATGCTAACATCTCTCGTGTAGTCGCTGCCTGCAACCCAGAGGCGTAGCGCATCTGGTCCCATGGCATCGTACTTCGGCGTCTGGTCATTCGCAGGCGCAGTATCGGCAATTTTGCCTTTACCTCGTTGCTTCCGCGGCTTGATGGGAGGCAGAAGTGAGCCGTCGAGTATCTGGTCAGGAGAGATAACATTGCCGAGACTCTTGCTCATCTTCCTGCCATCCGCGTCAAGGGCGAACCCATGGGTGATAAGGGTGGAGAAAGGCGCGGTCGAGAGGTCACCATCTTTGGCGTCCCGAGTGGCAACATGGGTGAGCAAACTGCTCTGGAACCAGCCACGGTGCTGGTCGGTGCCTTCGAGGTAGACATCGCTGATCGGCATTCCTTCTCTTGCCAGGCCGTTGAGCGTTGTCCAAGTAGTGCCTGAGTCGAACCACACATCCATGGTGTCTTTGCCTCTGACCCAAGGACCTCCGGTCAGAGATGAGTGAAGCCAGGCAAGGTCGTCAAGTGGGTCAGAGAACCAAGCATCCGTGCCTTTCTGCTTCATAGTCTCAACGATATGCTCGATACTCTCGTCACTGATGCACACCTCCCCAGTGTCCCGATGGTAAAGCGCCGGGATCGGCACGCCCCAGGCTCGTTGCCGCGAGATACACCACTGACTTCTCCCTTCCACAAAGCTCTTCAGCCTCGTCTTGCCGCTTTCAGGAATAAATGAGACGTCTTCCAAGGCGAGCATGGCGCGGTGCTTGATGGCCGAGACGTCCGCGAACCATTGAGCAGTCGCTCTTACGATTACAGGCTGCTTCGTCCGCCAGTCGATCGGGTTTTTGTGCACGAACTCATGTGTCGCGAGAACAAGCGAGCCCTGATGAGCATGGTGCCACCAGGAATCTTTCTGTAAGTGGTCCTTCGGGTTGCTGAGGATATCAATAACAGCCTTCACGCCGTCCGTCTGCACGTCCAAGCCGTTCAGCAGATCACTGCCACGGAAGGCTTCTCCAGTGAAGTTGCCATCATCGTCCACCGGTGCCAGAACGCCTCCATCGTACTCCTTTTGCCAAGCTTGGTAGTCTTCCATGCCATGACCAGGCGCCATGTGGACAATTCCGGTGCCGGAGCTGGACGTCACGAAGCTTGCTTCGAGAATTTCCGACTCGGTGCGTTGGAAAGGATTGTACAGAGATGCTCTCGCGTCGTGAAGCTCCTTGCCTAGTAGGTTTCCAACCACCACCTTAGCAGTAGTGCCCTCGGGCAGGAATGTTAATACGTGTTCGACCCGATCTTGCGCTATGAGAAGCAAATCATGCGTATTCTCCTTTTCACCGGGAAGAAAGAAGGCGACGACGGAGTAAAGCAGCTCTGCATTGACGGCAATAGCCTGGTTCGCAGGCAATGTCCATGGCGTGGTGGTCCAGATCAAAGCACTGAGGGTAAAGTCATCGCGGTCTTTCTGTTCTAGCTCGGGATGCTGCTCTAGTACCGTAGGAAAGCTTGTAAATGGCATTTTGACAAAAGCTGCGGTGCACTTGTGGTTGTCATCATACTCCAGCTCGGCTTCAGCAAGCGCAGTGCGTGATGAAGGTGACCAGTAGACCGGTCTGTGATCGCGAGAGACAAGACCTACCTTTGACTTAGCATCTTCGCTGGGTCTTGAGCGTGACATATCTCCTACCTCTGCGGACCATCTCTTTGAAGACGTTCAACTGCTCGACCTCAAAGTCCAGGTCCATGGTCTTGTATGGTGTATCCCACTCGCCCATCACACCCCATCCTCGAAAGCTGGCCCTTTGCTTCTCAATCGTCTCGCTCGCTAGCTTCCTGGCCACGCTCCTGATGCCTGATGCACTCATGTCGGCGCCAGTAGCTACGGCTGCCTCCTCCTGCTTCGGCGCATCTTTCAGCACACTCGCTTGCTCTGTCTGCGTCTTCTGCGCTTGCAGAGCCTTGAGCTCAATCGGTAGGCCATGGCAATCCCAGCCAGGCCGGTAGTGTACCCGCTTGCCTTTCGCCAGCTGCCATCTCAGAACCAGGTCTTTGAGGACCTTGTTCAGCGCATGCCCAACATGCACCGGCCCGTTGGCGTAAGGCGGGCCATCGTGGAGGATGAACTCGTTGTTCACCTTGTTAGACTGTCCTCTGTCCACATGAGCCGGCCTCTTGGCTCGTTGCCAGGCATATAGATCATCGGCGCATCGTTTTCGGTACTGCTCGAGCTGTTCCGCGGTTGGTCGCGCTGGGAAGGCTGAGCGTGGGAGCGCAAGAGTCTCGGACCATTTGATACCGGAGGCGTTCTGTGCAGCGGCTCTTAGTATTCGTGTCGGCGACAACAGGGGCATGCTCGAGCCCAAAGGAGCGGATGAGCGTTCGATGGACGCGAGACGTGATGTTCAAGCATTCAATCCCAGAAGTTTTTGGCTTACTAGCGGCACTCTTTTGGTCTCCATCTTCATGTCTCGAGCTCCTCCAATATCCTTCTTGCTATTAACCAACAAGACCTATCGAATGTCGGGGCTCAATTTTGTATATATGTAGGGTCTTTGTATATACAGTCATATCATCCAGCCGTCTCAGGCGTCCAACGGACGACAAGATGACTCAATCCTCCAACACCACCTCGGTCTATACGTCTACATGTATCCTTCAGGCGACCATTATACTTACACTCTACAGCCTCGCCTCCCTCGGCTCACTCTCCACCTCCCTAAAGCGCCTGAAATACTCCAACGCCTCCGGATTCAACACCGTCGCGCTCGCCTTCACCTCCTTCCCACCCATCAACTGCTTCACCGGCGTCTCGACTTTCTTCCCATTAATCGTCGTAGGAATGTCCGGCACTTCTAGTACGAATTTTGGCACGTGTCTCGAGCTCAATGCGCCTCTGATGGCAGCTTTGATCTTGTTCCGTAAGTCTGGTGTGAGGCTGCGGCCGGGTATCATGACGAGGAAGAGGAAGACCTGCTCGTCGGTGTCTTGGGGTCGTCGGCGGCCGACGCAGAGGGAGTTGGAGATTTGCGTGTTGAAGGGAGCGGCTTCGACAATAGCGTAGATTTCGCCGGATCCAAAACGAATGCCTGATGGGTCTTGTTGGATGTTAGCAAGGCATTCTCAGTCCACGAGTCTAGGGAGATCTTACTCAATACGCCATCACTTCTTCCGTGCATGATCAAACCTCCAGTCTTCGGGTTTCGACTCAGCCAATCATGCTGCGCCCACACATCGATGTTGTCGAATCGCTCAAAGTAGCTCTCCAGATACCGCTTGTTCCCTTCATCGCCCCAGAAGAAGCAGGGCATGCTCGGGAATGGCTTCCGCACGATCATCTCGCCGGCTTCACCACTACCTAGTATGCTGTCACCAGTGTTCGGGTCTGCGATATCGACGTCCATGCCGAGACCGAACAGTTGCATCTCGCCTGCATGTATGGGCGCCGTCGAGTCCGCAGCGATCAAAGAAGTACAGGTATCAGTTCCACCAGCCGTATTGCAAAGATGGATATGCTGCGGCATAGACCTGTAAAACCACTTATACTGCTCCGCCGACAGCGTCGCGCCAGTGGTGTACACAATCCGTAAGCTGTTGAGGTCAAACTCATCCTTCGGCACCGCCTTGCTCATCTCCACTTCCAGCAGATACCGCGGACTCGTGCCAAAGTACGTCACGCGGTATTTCTGGATCATCCGTAGAAGCAGCTTAGTGTCCGGATACATGGGTGAGCCGTTGTAGACGATCGTTTTCGCGCCGCAGGCGAAGTAGCCGCACATCACGTTGAAGACGACCCAAGAGGTGGAGGAGTACTGCAGGATGACATCTTTGGGTGTGGTGGAGTTGTGCACGACGGCGATTTTCTTGAGCTGGATGATGATGCCGTGGTGATGGACGATGCACTTCGGCGCGCCAGTCGTCCCGCTCGAGTAGCAAATGACCAGCGGGTGGTTGAACGGCACCTTTTCAAACCTCAACGGATCATCTGGGTTGGCCTTTTGCAGAAAGTCTTGGACCGTAGGAAAGGCCTCCTGCTCCGACACAACAGGACAAACATACGTCTCGGGCTTCGGACTGAGCCTCGACAAGATCTCCTTCACCTTCCCCACAGTACTCACCGTCTTGCCCTTGTATACCGTATCGCTGTCCGCGAACAGAATACTCGGCGTGACCTGCTGCAGCCTTGACACGCACCCCTCCACGCCCAGGTCCGGCGATATGGACGTGAAGATCGCTCCAATCGTAGCAGTGGCATGATAGATAACCATAGCCCACACCCCAGTAGCAACAAGCGCAGCGACGCGATCCCCCTTCTTAATCCCAGATCGCCGCAGCGCAGACGACAGGAGCCGTACCTTCTCCCGGAACTGATGCCAGGTCAAGAGCTCTCCATCCTCCTTATCCAGATCCATGCCCTCTGTGATCCCAACGAGCGCAACAGCGTCCGGATCCGGGTTCGAAAAAAGAGCATTCTCAGCGTAATTAAAGTCGTTCAGTCCAGGGAAAAAATCCGGGTTCCTCGACATCGGCACCGTGTCATCGTAGGCCTTTTTCATGCCCTCTGGTAAGTCCGGTTTCAGGCCTAGCCAGCCGTAGAGGTCGATCCAGAATTCCTGCGGATGCTGGACGCTCCATTGTTGGAGTTCGACGGATGTTTTGAGGTTGGCGTTGAACTTTTGGTTGATGTGGCGGCGGTAGGAGGAGATGGGCATCTGGTCTGGATTTTGAGGGGTCCATACTTTTTCTGGTGTTTTGTGAGGGTCGTTCATTGTGGGGATGTTCTATGGTGGCGGTATGGCGAAGAATAGATGGCATGGAGGTGTTTGGATGCATGTTGCATGCATGTTGTCGGTCAGCCGAGGTCGGACCTCTTTCGCCCGAGGAGGAGCGCAGCGCAGGTGGTTTGAATCGATCTTGGGTATCTCATGCTATCAACACATCCTATGTCCAATGCTCCGTCATTATCACTACGTTTGTTACACATCTCACGTCATATCTTCCCACCTCGCCCGTCTCGCCATCCTGCCAAAACTGTCCATGTACGGCTCCGACTCAAGAGGACCCTCCAACCACGGCAGATACCCATCCGCACAGCCACTGAACGTCACTTTCTTCTGCTTTCCCATGTAGAAGTGGTCGAAGTGTTTGTGCATCGCGTCCTTCAAGTTCTTCACATCGCCCTTCGGATGCAGTGCTCCCCATGGCCGGGTACACGTTGAGCCCACACAGGCCTTCAGAGTGAGCAGAAGCGCATCGATCCGGGACACCAGTCGGTTGATATCGTAGCCAGAGACTTCCAGCGGTTGCACACGGCCTTCAGCGAGCAAGTTGTCCATCTGGTAAGGATCGTTCTTCATGTCGTACAGCTCATGTTCGTTGGAGCACCAGACGGTGTACGTGAGATCGTGGTGGTCGTCAATGAGGCGGACAGATTTCCAGGTGTTGTTTGGACCCATCATGCCAGTCAGACCAGGGCTGGGAACTAACGCACTCCCATTCGGGGTGTGGATGCCTTCGAAGATTGCCGGGCCCCAGAATTCGACGTTGACATGTTCGCTGCTTCGAGGGGAGGTGTCCTGCATGTCGGTGGTAACTGGGATCGGCTCGCCATCAAAGTCATCACGCAGTGGGATGCCGGCAAGCTTGAAGAGAGTCGGGACAATATCTGTGTGCGTTGTAGCGTATGAGACAGTCTTGCCCTTCTCGACGCCAGGACCACGAACGAAGAACGGGATGTTGATGTCCGTTTCCAGATTGCAAGTCTTTCCTGGTGGGAGTCTATGCTGGCCGATGTGATAGCCGTTGTCAGTCGTGTAGATGAGGTAGGTGTTCTCCCGTATATCAGGATGCTCATCCAACCACCCCACTATCGACTCGATCAAATCGTCGACAGCCTGCAGTGCCTGGATTCGAGCACGATAGAACCCGTCGTTGTAGCTGACGACGGTCTCATTCTGCTTCTCAAGAGACCTGATGAAGCCGCCACCACTGTATACGTCAGGATTGAAGTTTGGCGTGCGAGGAACCTTCAGATCCGGATACAGGTGCTTGTGGCGATCAGCAGGAACGGGATCGTAGAAAGCTACACCACCATCTTCAGCGTGCAGTGTCTCAGCGTGGGGACCGACAGGAGCGACACCGAGGAAGAATGGTGCTTCCCTAACCAAAGCGTCATTCAGGAACCCAACCGCACTCGAAGCGATGATGTCAGTCGAGTACTCTCCCGGATTTTGTTGCGGTTCCTCCTGATCCCGCTGCGTCGTCGAGTTATAGTAGACGTACGTTCCAGGGTCAATTAGGAAGTTCGTGCCCGTCCAGCCCTTTGGATACGGCTGATTGTACGTTGCCGTCGAGTGGCCGTTCATCAGCTTGCCAGTGTAGTACGTGTGATAGCCGGCTTCCTGAAGCCAGACCGGCAAGTACTGTTCGTTCCAGCCTTCAGTCACGAACTTGGTATAACCACCATACGGCAGGCTGTAGAAACGAAATCATTAGCAAGCGTTCCAACCAATAGGTAACTTCTCGTATGGCAGACTTACGAGACGTCTGTCACATTCGTGTTATGAGCAGCTTTCCCAGTCAACAAGGAAACCCTCGACGGACAGCAAATCGATATGGTGCAGTAATGTCGAGAGTAGAAGCTTCCTTCAGCCGCAAAATGCTTCTGCACTGCCGGCTGATAGTCGATCGAGTTCATGTGCAAGTCCTGGTCGTCGGTCATGATGAAAATGAAGTTGGGCTGGTTGGTCAGCCCTGAATTCGCAGACATCGTCGCAGGCCTCGAGACAGGACTGATGTTGTTTGCATAGCTGTCCAAGAGGTATCGGTAGATCGAGAAGTCGCAGAGTTTGGTGAACAGGTGGAACAGGAGCAAGAGCGGCCACCACATGATTGCCATCTTGAACGATGAGTGTCGAGGTTTCTTCTGTTGGATATGGTGCGGATTCTGACCATGATATAGGCCTGCTTCGACCTGCTTATTATATAGATTTTCCATCTTGTCGCCTTCCCATGTGAGTTCGTCCATAGTCAGCAAGGCTTCGGAACTCTACTGAACACAGCCAATTCAGAGGCTCTCATAGCAAACTTCAGCCCACTGATTACTCTAGCACTAGCAATCGAGGATGAATGTCATTAGAATACCAATGATCGGGCGGATGTTGAGAGTCTTCGAGAGAACAGTCTTGATTCCTGGAGTCCTTCTGAGCACGGAGCACGCCATCCAAGGATCCATCGCGTGAAGTCCACGGTGTCTTGGCATTCACCTCGTCTCTTCGTCCGAACATTTTAAACTAATAAACCATATCATTCCGAGTCAAGGGCACGCTGAATAACTAAACGCCAGAACAGTCCCGTTCGAGAGTCCCACAAAGCATGCAAGGAGGCACTGTGAGCTCATCTATCCAACGGTTATCGCGGAGCTTGGCGTGCAGCAAATCGACTGGAAGGATGGCGGCGCTCTAGGTCTGCTGCACGGCATACAGCTACAGCATATCCAGCTGCACCTCATCCTGACAGCCAAGGACGTTTGAACGACTGCCGTATGCGTACCAAGGCTGTGATGCTAGCCGGGAGACTTGTGGACCTGGCCGACGTGCTGGTTGCAGCTGGCTCGAGCATGCATGCGTTGGCAGAGCTGCTGAAGGCCTTGGAACGCCCTCCCTATAGAAGTCGTGGTGGGTAGCACGTACTTGTACTATTCCCATCAGCTTCTGCCCTGCATTTGCACGTGTTCTATAGAACTTCTGCTGCGTGTTGCTCTCACGTTTCTGAAGCCCATCGCTCCTTCCCTCAAGCCAAACCCCCCCTTGCTTTTCCAACCTCACCTCACACCTCACTACTTCTTATCATCTCACTCGCGACCTTTGCTACCCAAACGCCCAAGCACGAAAGACAGCGCCAAAATGTCGTTCATGTCGAAGCTCGCCGACAAGCTCGGTGACGTGATGAAGGAGAAGCTCACTACCAAGGACGACAAAGGACATAACGAGCACAGTAAGAACATAAAACCTGAAGGCGTTGTCCTGACATGTGACCGCATGAGACTCACACAATCCCAGGCAAACCACACGGAAGCTCCCACGACCAGCACTACGGCGACAGCTCATACGCCTCCCACCAGAGCTACGAACAACCTCACTACGAACAGCAGTCCCACTACGAGCAACAATCCCACTACGGCGCACCGCCACCATCCGACAACCTCCCACCCGGCTGGATCAAACAATGGGACCCCGCCAGCCAGCGCTACTACTACGTCGAGCAAGCGACCGGCCGCACGCAATGGGAGCCTCCGTACGGTGCGTCTTCAGGTCATAGGTACGGTCACGATGAGCATGGCCAGCAGCATGGCATGTTCGAGGGCGGCCACGGGTACGGCGAACACGAGAGGGGCCATGGAGGTGGCGAATACGATCCCCATGGCGGACATGGCTACGGCACCTACCCTCCGGGCCAGCACGTGCAGAAGGACAGCCACGGCAACGTGATCGCTGCGGGGGTTGGTGGAGCGGCGGTGGGAGCTATCGGTGGTGCTATGTTGGCGCATGAGATGGGTGCGTAATCCTCTACCCTTCAAAACTCTACTACCATGCTCACCATGATATGAAATACAGGCGAAGAAAGCTCCGACGAAGAAGGCCACGCCACCACCACCGCGGCTCCCGAAGCACACCCAGCCCCACCCCCGGAAGTCCCAGAAGACGTCTCCAGCAGCGACGAGGAAGAAGTCGAAGAGGCGCAGGAGGATGTCGACGAAGCGCAGGAGGAGGTAGCGGAAGCGAGCAGCGAGAGCGATCGGGAATCGGCGCAGGAGGAGTTGGAGGAGGCGCAGGAGGAGCTAGATGAGGCCGAGGAAGAGGCGTATGACGACTGATGCATCTTGAGCCGGCAGTGGCTTGCAAGAAGAGGATGCGGTTGAGCTTTGTGTGCTTTCTGTTGTGGAATGTGCTATCATCGAGTGTGACCCGAAAGGTCTGGTCAGAAGAAAGCCGTCGATAGCAAAGTCGAATGCACTACCATCTGACTGATCAGCACTGCCCTCATATTACTCGAAAAATGCCAAGGGAGGCCTTGCAGCCAAATTGTAACAGTGGAGAAGCAGGATTAGGTGATCCAAAGAGAACATCGATTGCAGTCTACACCCAGCTATCTCATTCAAAGAGACCTATGCAAATGCCTCACCTCAGCCTACCTCCAGCAATATCCCAGCTTGAAGGATAAAATGACCGGGAAGGCAGAACATCCAAAGGCGGCCTGAAGAACGCAGCAAAAGCAAGCCTGAGCACCTCACCGCATCACATCGACATCTCCATATCGACTCATTCCTCTGTGCATTCAGGTGTCCCCCTTGTATCAGGTCCCGTAATGATCGTGTACCCATGCCTTTACCTCCTTGAGTGGGTCCACGGCTTTGGTGATCTCGACGCTTTTCACTCATGCGGTCCGGTAGAAGGAGGCTTCCAGGTTGATGCTTCGGGTGTCCGATATGCACCGTGACCTCGCTTCAAAGTAGAGCGCTTGCTGGCGGTCATCATCGCACGACTGTGGTTTCATCTCCTTTCGAGCGCACTCATGGTGTCCGTCCTCGGCAATGATTGTGTGATCTTCATCTCGCCCATTCATAGGGCCTCCGTTCGTCCATCAAGTCGGAACCCACAGCTTGCGTCCACCTCTGCCGGTGTACCCACTGCCTCGTGGGCGAATGAATGAGTTCGGGTCGATCTGACTGGGCATGGCTGGCTCCATACGTGCTTGAGGCGCGAAGCCACCGCGTCCTGGTCCAGCAAAGTTCCCACGACCACGAGGACCGCCGCGGAAGTTGCCGCGCACATTTCCACGAGGCGCAAATTGGGAAGCGACTTGGCCGGGGAGGTAGTTTGGGCGAGGCGAGTGCGGCGCAACCTTGGGTATGTTCGTGTTCGTCGTCTGCATGGTGGCCGAGTTGCGACGACCGAAGACATCTGGGTCGATCACGTTCTGCTGTGGCTGTTGCTTCGGCATCATGGCGGCTGGTGCCTTTGGTGGCGACCTGTTGGGAGAGGTAGCTTGGTTTCCGTAGCCCTTGTTCTGTCCGTTCGTCGCCGTCTGAGTGGGGTTCTCGCGCTGCAGCACCATCTGCCTGTTCTTGAAGTCTCGGTCCTCCCTGCTGATCGCATCACGCAACTGCTCGAGGCGCTTAGTCTTTATCTCAAAGCCTTTCGCATAGTTGACCTTGCTGGGATCATTGCAGAGGAAGATGAACGACTCGAGCGCGGCGACTGGGTTCTCCTCTTGGTGGATGCGCCAGAGGATGTAGTTGAACAGTGGCTGAAGACGCTGCGGCACCGTATCGCTGGTTGCACCGCTTGGTTCGATCACTGCGGACGCAGGCTTCACCGGGGAAGAGAGGGGCTTGGCGGGACTTGTGGGTGGCGAGTCTGCGCTGATGCTGGAGCGCTGGGAGAGCATCGAGGAGGGTGAGAGTGAGCGGCTGCCATTGGATGCCATTGAGCTTGCCGGTGTCTTGCGCGTGACATCCGCCAGAGTCAACTTGCTCATATCCTCATCCGCGGCTGTGTCAACCTCTGCTTCCGGCTCTTGTTCGAAGTCGTCGAGTGCGTCCGTCTCTGAGAAGAGAGTCCGAGGCACCGCAAACTTCTCGACATCCGACCACTTCTCAAACCAGTCTTCTGCGCCTTGCAGTGCGATCAGGTTCGCCTGCCTCGAGGTCGCATCGTCCAGCCAGCGCAGCGTCTCGCACACATCCTCGCCGTGTCTGTTCTGGGCGCCCTTCTGCTTGCTTAGCTGTTCCAGTGCTGTTCACGTTGTCAGCGCATACTCCCATACCCCATATGTCTACTGTGTCGCCTACCGTGAAGCGGCACAAAGAGCCTGATCTGCCCATTATTTACCCACTGCCGAATACCATTCCTCGTGCTCTTCTTCACGCCCGCCACCAGCGCGCTGTCGTCGACGATGCAGTTGAAGATCTTCCTTTCTGCCGGGCCGGTTGGGCGCATATGCGGCGAGGCGCCGTGCTGCGAGTTCGGACGTAGTCTGCCGCCGCGCATGTTGCCGGCTTGTTGTGACGTCTGCGAGCGAGAGTGAGATTGTTGTGTGCGCGCGCTTACCAGTAAGCGAATGAAAGATTGGTGAAGTGTGGGAAGCAAGCTTAATAATGGGGTTTGCGCGGTTGGTAGGAGAGACAAACCATGTGTGGGGAGTTGTTTGGTGTGTGTGAAGTTGGGATTGTTGGTGGAACTGAATGCTATTCACTGCATTGTCAGTTCAAGGTGCGGCTGGCGTCGCTCGTGGAAGGCTCGTAGGAGTCATGCTCCTGCTGCAGGTGTCGTCGATATGTGACTCGATAGTGAAGGCACGGGCAGCAAACATGGTCGGCAGGTGAATGGCAACATTGAAGAAAGGTCGGAGGAATGACGAGCGCCGGTATGACCACTTTGGTGGGGTTTTCTTAGCGCAAGTCCGAATGCGGCAGTTGCGGAAGATGCCGTGAAAACATATGAAAGAGGCAGGACAATTTCGCCCACCAACTTCTGATATGCCCACCATCCTGATATCAGGCGCCGCCAATGGGCTCGGGGCTGCCTTCGTGGAGGCATACAGGTCGCAGCCAGAGACCAGAATCATCGCCATTGACAGAAGTCCGCTGAAAACTCCTCACGACAATGTACACTGCCATACCGTCGACATAGCGGATGAAGACTCGGTCAATGCCTTCGCTCAAGACATCAAAGGTCACCCTATAGATCTGGTAATCCACTCCGCCGGCATCCGAGGTCTCGTACCGAGCGCGGAAGACCGGCATCCAAACAATGTCGCCGCCTGCGAGACGATGGAGGTAATGGACGCAGCAACCATGACCAGGACCTTCCAAATCAACGCACTGGGAACATTTCAACTCTTTCGAGCCATCCTGTCTAATCTCAAGGCAGCCTCCAATTCAAAAGTCATCGTCATGTCATCCCGGATGGGCTCAATCGGCAACAATCAAGTACCCAACAAGGACGCCGGCAGCGCCTACGCCTACCGAGCTTCCAAGGCGGCGCTGAATACCATTGTCCGCTCGTTTGCGGCGGATGTGCCGGAGGTCTGCTTCATTCTCTGCCATCCAGGCCGAGTCGAGACCAAGCTGGTGCGATGCAAAGAGGAAGGCGCCATCACCGCGGAGGAGAGCGTGCAGTCCCTCCTCCCACTTATCGAGCGATGGCGCAAAGACGACAGTGGCAAGTTCTACGACCGCTTTGGCGAGACGATACAGTGGTAGACATCAACGACAGTGGTAGGCAGCAACTACAGCAATAGACATAGAAATAGAAACAGTGGCACAGTATTTGGTTTGGAGATGATGGCATTTCATCCCGCCGAGGAAGCGATAGCAAAACCCCGTGAACGACTCGTTAAAAACCCTCACGCTAATGCACGTGAGGGAAAAGAGTTCGTTATAGGACAGTATCAATGTCCATTGGCGAGCCGACGTAGTAGTCATCGGCCACACCGCGCTTGGCTGCCTGTGGTGTCGTGGTTGTTCGACTACAGGCAAGCTGATGGTGCCAGAGAACCATGCGTTTGATGTTATCAACCGTCATGGATCCGCGGCGGGCTTTGAGCCGGAGCTGTTGACTTCGCTCGACGGCAGCCTGTTCTGCTATATACCGCGCTGAATCGTTCTTCAGGGGTGAGAATGGGTGTTGCCCTGATTGTTGTGTAAGCATGTATATACTGGATGATTGGGCGGGAGGAGCTTACATTCAGGAAATAGCATGAACGGGTCATCTTCGACGTCCTCATTGAACGGAAGTGATGGTCGAGGTGCTTGGAAGCCAGACCTCTTTAGTGGTGGTGGTGGTAGCGGCGTCTCCTGTTTGCCGTCCAAGTGGAGGGCTGACAGGCGGAGAGCCAGGGGAGTGAACGGTGTCTTGCTCCTGCTCAAAGTCAGCGACGAGTTCAAAAGGGAAGAGCAGTGGCTGTAGTACCTAGGTCTGCGTTGCGCAGGCTTGTGTGTGGGAGTGCTTTGAGGCATCTCCGAGTGGGTGGCAGCCATGATGAGGCGTGCTCTGTGGCTGCGTTAGCATCAAACCGCCTTGTCTGGCGGAGAAGAGGCAGGACTTACTTGTTTGTTTGTGTGTTTCGCGAGAGGACTCCGCGAGAACCAAGATCGCTGATGGGCGTGATGGCTGGGGTGGAGAGTCTTGACGAGGCTGTGTTTGTTCACCGAGGGACTCCGCGAAAACCAAGAGCGTTGATAGACGTAATGGCTGGGATAGAGAGTCGATCGGTGAGGAGAAAGGAAGAGAGAGGAAAGTGCGAGGGGGAAGGGCTTTTATGCACCAAAAATCACCACTGTGTGGGACCTGTCTTTCTGCCCAGAACGAATAGAAGATGCGAAGATGTTACGGTGGATACACATAGCGATAGAAGACGAGTCCGCGCACTCCCGTGGACTGTTGGGGTGGTAGCTTTTCGAGGAGGAGAGATGATCCAGAATAGGAGATCTTGAGCGTCGAAGCTATGAGAAAACGGAAGGCGTGGTATACCGGTAACGAATCGAAGCGCTGCTGGGATATGCAAGTAGAAGTGTCCACTGCACCGCGCCACTCCAGTGCCATAGCCAGGGCATCCAGTGGGCGGACGAATGTGACTTCTACCGCTCATGCCGTGGTAACGCTCGTTGACACGAAGACGTATTCGGGTGTAGAAGAGCGAGGTGGCATCTCTACAGGGCAAGAGGAACCGCTGGATTTCGTCTTGTTCGGTAGCGCTTCTGGAGCCAGGCAGGGCGACAGCGCGGTCAATCATGGGAGGGACGTATGGAACGGCCACCAGTCTCGTATTTTGCGGTGTGGACACCTGCAGTGCCTCATTCTTCTCGAGCTCGCCGGCTTGTCTTTATATGCACTTGCAAACACACAGCGCGCGATGGTACGCAATGGCGCGCGCGCGCCTGATACTTGGTGCCGATTCCACCCGGAGGCTCAGGAGTGGTAGAAATAAGGTCCTGGACCCTTGAATCTTAACTCTCCACCCGTTCCCGAACTCAAAACCGACCACTCCTTGGCATCGAACATCACCTTCACATCGAAGGGGCAGTCCTCTTCCGGGCATGTTATCCCTCCTCGCCCCAGTCCGACGACAGACCCCATAGCTCGAGCAACGACTGAACGCGATAGCCACTCGCCCAGCCCATATCATGCTCGATGCCTCTGAGCTGACTGACCACACTGCGTCGCCACATCCAAGTTTCATCGCTGACGTCTTCATGATTCGTTCCACCGAGTACAAGGCCAGCTGACCACAAGGGCTGGACAGAGTGGACCCTGGCTCCCTCGTCGCTGCGGCCGAGACCGATGGCTACGATTTCTTTGGCGTGCTCACGTGACTGCTGGAGAATGGAGGAGTAGGACGCATGTCGTGCTGCTAAGCTGTTACCGGGGACGACGTTGCCGAAGCCAGGTCGAGTAGCAGATGGCGCAGTAGCGGTTGTGACGTGAGGCTTGTTGTGAAGGAGTTGAATTCGAGCGAAGTGCCACCACTGCGCTGATGATGCGCACAGGGGTCGCGGATACCACTTCTCCTCGATCTCTGTATGAGTCTGAGGAGAGAGTACAGCGGTGGGGTGGAAGCTATCGGGCAAGCCATCATGCCAGGCTCGGAGATGACTGTCCAGCTTCTCCCAGTACTCCAACAATTCTCGCTGGCGCATCCCAAGGCCAAAAGGCGATAACCCTTCCGGCACCGCATCACCAGCAGCTATGAAATTGACGAGCTTTGCCATGAGCCATACGAGTCCATTGCTGACCATATCATCCGACATCGCGTTATCCGGATGGTAGTCAGGCTGCTGTGAATTACTGGGGCAGATGAAGCCGTCAGACGTAATCTTGAGACCAGCGCCGCGCCACAAATCTAGATCAAACGTATCAAGCCGAGTGTGTGTGTTATTGATGAACGCAGACAGCATATCCTGACGAGCGAAGCACCAGAAGACAGCTTTGCGGCCGGGAGAGAACCAGCGGCGTGTCAAGTCAGCGTTACTGCTCACGTGCGATGCTGGTGTTCGTGAATAATTGGGCGATGGTGGCTGGGTGAGGTGCATCATTCGGTCGTTGGCGATGTCGAACAAACTCTTAGCTCCATCTAAATGCCTACTCCACTCAGGCGTAGAAGCATCAAGAAACTCGTAAACACAGAGGATCGCCGTCGCAGCAACGAGCTCATCGGAGTCGGGCGTAGGTAGCGGTTGGCGCTGAGCGGCGGTGATGCTACTTGGTGAAGCATGCTCAGGGAAGGAAGAGGTGAGAGGTCGAACGCCGCCCGCAAGTGCTTGTCGCAACAGTGATACAGCTAAGTCGTAGTACTCTCTAGCCTTGTTGTACCAGTCTGTGTCTGCCATCTCTGGGTCCGGCCACGATTCAATCTTGCTCCGCCGTGATGGCTCGACTTGTCCGCCCATAACTGGCCTTCTGCCGCCTACTCGTGCCAGGCTCTTCGCCGATAAGGCCACGCACGAGTACATTAGAAGCGGGCATTTTACGGACAGGACCGGAACAGCAGTTGCGAAGAACAAGTTCAGGTCGAAGAGGTCCATCCATAACCCGCATCGCTCTGAGAAGTCGCGGAGTAGAAATCCTAGTTCAGGGCTCTCGACAGCTTGTCTTCGATCGAAGTGGCGTTCATCCGGTCCTTTCGCAGCACGTAAGCTAGGCCGTCGATATGAAGAGCTGTACGATGCTGTACGTACATGTTCGGGAGTCCGATCGGGCTGTGGATTTGTGGCAAGAGTTGGGCTGGTTGCGAGCTCAGAGTGCAGCCGGGGGTCTATATTGCCGCTGCCTGAAGCTGGGTTAAGGATGTGGTCGAGATTACGGCTTGCATTTGCTTGAACGCTCTGTGGACTGGCGCCAGAGAGCTGCTGGTCCTGTTGGCCCATGGGCGCAGGTGGTGGAGCGTAGCTGTACTGGTCTCTACTCGCAACAGCACTCAGAGCTTCCAAACCCTGCGTTGCATATGCTGGATAGGCTGCCTGAGCCAGTTGTCTCGCCAGCTCGTATTCCTCATCGTTCGCAGCCGCCTGGTTGGCTTTGGCGCCAGCAGGCGTGTGAAAGCTGTTGTCCACCTCTCCCATATATTGCCCGTTCTCTTCATCCTCATACGGATTGTTGGTGTGCACAAAGGTAAGATCTTTCGGCACATCCACCCACGTCGTCGCCTTTGCGAACGTCTCCCTGTAGCCGTAGAAGTTCTTCAGACTGCCTTCGCCATGGTCAGCCCCATTCATCGACGGGTTCTGCTGATGGCGAAAGGTGACGCCGGAAGCGGGTAGGCATTCTCGGTTTGCCTTCGTGCATTGCGCGCACACTGGGGTCTCCTCGGAGCATTTGAGCTGCTCGTCCACACGGTCAGTACGAGAGATAAGAGAAGGACGTGTGCAGCGAAAGACTTGCCTTCCTTGCTCTGCACGTCAGGCTGTGGTGGAAAGTCAGCCGACATCTTCACGTGCACGGTTCCAGGACGACGGCGATACTTACCAACCCGTGCGAGATCGCCGCACCATCTTTCTAGCTTACCTAGACTGGTCATCAGTCTGCGGTGTTATGCCGCTGTTCAACGTGTTCTGCGTGTGAAGTTTCTGTGCATGTAGCTACCAGAATCAAAGGTCTCCGCACATCATTTTGGGTTCTTAGCGCGGGACAAATCGGTGGCATGCATATGACATTCACCTCACTTTCAGACGACTTCGATTCAACTTGCTCGGTTGGCTGGATTATCACGCCCTCTGCCACGCAGGTACCCAAGGCTGCATACCCACATCATCAAGCACCAGAACTTTAACATCCTCCTCAAGCCTGCTCCTATCCCTAGTAAGCAGCTCCTTTTCCAGCTTCATCATCATTTCCAACTCCCTCAGCATGCCGTCGACCAGCGTCTCGCAGCCCTTCAACACCACAGCAAGCCCAGAGCTCGAGTCGCTTGTATCACTCGGCGGTGGAAGCACGCGTAGGTTTCGCTGTACAGATCTCAGCTTCAGCGCCAACGAAGCATGAGCAGTCCTCCAGTCGTCGGGTAAGGGTTGAAGGAACGTCCCAGCCTCTGGAGCTTCAGCTTCGTTCATCCACAGCTCGAACATGCTGACCATGTCTGCATGGCGGCTGCCATCACCGATTAGAGAAGTCAGATCGCTGTAGACCAGACTCAGTATCTGCAGATTTTCCACAAGCATGCTAGGATCTCGACACCACGTTTCTAGAGCAGACAGGTTTGCCGTCCGTTGCTGAACCAGCTCGGTCGCTCTGATACCTTCGTAGTCTTTCCGTAGTTTCGTATGTTTCTTGCCGAGCTTCCGTCTGGCGCTTGCGGTGTACTCTTGCATACATTTACTCGAGGCTTGGTGCATTAGCGATAGCTGAAGTAGTTCAATCTGTTGCTTCGCCACGTCGAATGTCATGTCCATGCTACTTTCAGGAGCTGACGTCGGTTTCGGAGCTTTACCTGAGGGTACAGGAGGCTTCGGCAAAGCAGCCTTAGCAGGCGAATAGTGCTGTTGGTATGTACTGAATGCCGGTCGAGCTGGAGGAGGCATCATTTGTGATGTTGGCCTGGGACGTCCTGTCCCGTTAGCTCGAGGCGGCGACACCTGCTCTCCGCCCACTTGCGAGCTCGGCCGCGGCCGTGAGGTGACTGAAGATATTGAGGATCGTGGCGATGGTGGAGGAGCTGCTGCGTCTGCCACTTGGTCTGCATTCGATGGGGCTCTTGCTTTGACCATGGAAGACCTCTTTCCAGCAATAGACGTGCCCCCGGCGCTCGCCAGCGCAGAACTAATCGTGCGACTGTGTGATTGACTCGTTCTATTGCTGGTTGTTCGGGACGGTATCGCAGGTCCGCCTGCTCGCGGTGATTGCGGCAGTCTCGTTGACCCTGTACGCTGTAGACTAGACCCAGATGTTGTCTGTTGTTGGGGTGCAGGGGGCGCAGCGCCTGTCAAAGCCGCCAAAGACTGCGCTCTGGCTGCCTCCAAGTCTTCTTCCGTATCCTCACGTGTGACGCTCGTAGTCTCGCTTCCGCTCTGAGCCTTGGAATGTGTCCTCGCATACATGCTCGCTCCTCTAGGTGGAACCATTGAGGTAGGCCGTGAAAGCCGAGACGGCGGTGGCATAGCCTTCCTGTCTTCATCTATCCCTCTCCTACCCGACCGCTCGCTGGAATCGCGGGTGCTTCCAGAAGACGGTCTCGACTTGCAGTCTTCATCTTCCTCCCTAATACCAAGCTCGACCTTGTCATCGCTAGAGCATTTGCGATTGAATTGCGGAAGCAGACTCCTTCTCTTCAACTTGTTCGTAGCTGCTGCATCGGCTGCTGACGTCTGCTGGGCTGAAACATTCGAGGAGGACTCCTGCGAGGTCTTAGCATACGGCATACTGAGACTGTGCTCTGTACTCACTTCGATCATGGAGACCGGCCGACTTCTGGCTGTATTGCCTGCAGGACGCCGTACCGATGGCAGGCGACTGACAGACGCCATGGTCTATCAATGGTATCTGCACGACCTATTGAAGACGGACATGTGAAATGTGGACAGGTTTGTTGATCTGTTGTTTGCTGTTGCCCCTTTGGGAAGCCGAGGACCATCTCGTCTCCTGAAGCTACATGAACCACCTGCGATACCCCTCTTCCCTTCTTTCGAACACAAGCACACTTCTAATGAGTCAAAGAGGTTGGCATGGCGTAAGAACAACCAGGGATATGGGTGTGCGAGCTGTCAGCTATGTACCTTCAGTATACTTTCTATGGGCCGTCAACAGCCGCGACAACCCATCGCCGTTGCAGCCAGGGTGTCACAACAGACCACACCGCCATCAGGTGCCTGCCAATGGCCGGCCATGGGATAGGGCAGCAGACTGTAGGCACTGCTGCAATACGATGCAAGTATGTCCGAAAGTGTTTGGTCTTCATTCCTTCTCGACAACCAGAACCATTTTCCCGCATTCACCACTGTTCCGTTTACACATCCTAGATTTTCTTATCTATGCGTTTTCCCCCCAGATGTCCCTCCTTGTCTGCAGCCGCTTCTGAAAGCAGAAAACACACCCGACTGATCGAAAAGGGCTACAGCTCCTGCTGAGTCCATCTAGAGCCTGACAGACAAGGTTACTTTCTGTGGCCGATCTGCTGTCATTACTCCGTCGATAAGCTCACAGCATATCGGCATAGCTTCTTGAAAGTATTGATCGAGCTCATCGCTGATCACAATGCCGGTACGAACAGAACCGGATCTGGACACATCACATAGAGACCTGGAAGTCCAACTGCAGTACCTACGAGATGATCCCCTCTACGACACGGTCAAACCAATTCAAGTCACGCCAAACTTCTTAGACCGCGAGGGGAGGAGTAACGTACGACTCGAATCCGGTCCACCAGAGATCCTGAACGATGTGCGCGGTCGCGAGCACGAATTCAACCTCGACGCGAATGGCTTCTGCTACGTGCACTCTCCGACCGCATTTAAAGACTGGACATCCCAACCACAGATCGCAAAGCAATATCTCCCAGATCTGGAGGAGCTACTGAGACGCGAAGTGGATGGCTGCGACGAGATCGTCTTCTACGACACCCGTATCCGACAGGAAGGCGATGATGGCGCTCGCGTGCTCGGCTTGAGCTACAATCCCTTCGCTCGACAAGTGCATGTCGACAACACGGAGCGGAGCGTCCTGGAGAAGGTGCACAACTACGCCGACCTCAAAGCGGATTATTACCTCAGTGGTCGCGTGAGGATCATCAATATCTGGCGGCCAGTAAAGCATCCTGTCTACGATTGCGGGCTAGCGATTGCGGACGGCGGGAAGCTCAAGGAGGGCGACGTGATCGAATGTGATCGTGTCCGCCATGACACTGGCAAGTACTGGGACACGATGGGCGTTGTGAAGTACCGACCGGGCTACGACTGGTACTACTGCTCTCTACAGGACGAGGCAGACGTGCTGCTCTTCAAGAACTACGATAGCGCGACCAACGTGCCGGCTCGAAGCTGCTTGCACACCGCCTTTGATGTCCCGCCATCAGAAATCCTACCAAACACACCAACCCGCGAGAGCATAGAGGTCCGAGCGTTCATCTTCACGCATCCCAAAGGCCTCCGGAGACCTTCAGGGATCTCAGCACCGCACCCACTGGCTGTGCAGCTCGAGCAAGGCAACCTGCGCCTCGTTGACGAGCACAGCATTACCGACCATTTGCGCACAGACATTGATGAAGCGAACGAGGTCAAGGATGCAGTATTACTGCTTCGAAGGCAGGAGATTCGTCGGCTCGAGAAAGAGTGTCAGGGGCTGGTGGCAGAACGAGCGCAACGACAACAGCAACTGGAGGATGCTGGAGCTCAACTACTGCAAGCGCAGCAGCAGATATCGATGCAGGCTGAGCATGCTGATGCTCTTGAACGGAAGGTTCGAGAACTCGAAGCAAATCTCGCACTGCAGCCATGATCAGTCTAATGGCACACCTTCTGGCTGGCTGGCAGAGTAGCGCACTCGCATATTTTACCAATGAGAAACGGACGGCAGACATGAACGTCGCACCGCTTGGGGCACAACACAGTCTATGGCGTTTTGAGCTGGATTGGGAAAGCCGGAGGACAACTCGTTTGAGAGGATAGTAGGTCATCTGTAATGGAGGAGTTGGGAGTCGAGATTGGCATCCTTGCGAGCTTTTATGAGCAATGGGTAGTTTCGCTTTGACTGCTAAGCAGCAGCAGTGAATTACTCCAGGACACGCGAGACACGTGTTCGCAATCACCATCAACAACCCATCAACGCGCCCTCGTTACCGCACTCAACGCGTCCTCCCCTCCCTCCTCAAAAACTCCTTCTCCATCAAATTAAACCCCTTCACCGCCTCCCCATACCGCTCAAACGTCCCCTTCCGATAGCCCTCCGCAACCTTCTTCACAAACTTCTCCTCATCCCAGCGCTTCCCGATCAAATCCTCAAACTTCTCCCCTTCCTTTCTCTCACAGCCCCACACCGCCTTATACGCCGACCCCAGCGCACACGCGTTCCCGCCGATATCGAGCTTGTAGATCCCTTCCACGCTTCCCAAGACTTCGGCGCAGATGTTGGCGATGGCGGGGTTGGCGCTGCCGCCGCCGACGAGGTAGACGCGGCGGGGTTGCGGGGGGAGGGTGGCGCCGGTTTTGGGGTCCTTTTCGGAGTGCACGAGGGCTTGTGAGCGGAGGCGGAGGGAGAGCATCTGGGATTCGATGATGTTGCGGGCGTCGTCTGAGATGAAGTCGTTGGAGACTTCGGTCAAGGCGTTGGATGAAGGGTTGTAGGACATGCGGTACTGGCCGGCTGGGAGGTTCGGGATGGTCTCGTGCAGCGGGAAGAAGAGGCCCAGACGCATGTCGTCGGAGTCTTGCTTCTGGGACACGGGAGGGGTGGACATGGCGACGTCGTTGAATTTGTCCCAGGTGTAGGATTCGTCGCCGTTGACTTGGTCGCGGATCTGTTCGCGCGCGAGGCCGCCGTTCTTGTAGCAGAGCATGAACATGTAGAGGCCCTTTGTGCAGGGGTGGTTCATGAAGTGGTAGGCTGGATCGGGCTTGTATTCCGGGGTGCTCATGAGGAAGGTTGTGCTTGTTCCCAGTGATACCATTGCGTCTGAGGCACGTAGTGGTAAGGCCAATATAGTCGCTGGGTTATCTCCAGTGTTGGGGATGATCACACAATCCTGGTTGAATCCGTATCGAGTGGCGAAGTAGTTGCTGATGGTACCTAAGCCGGCTCCTCCATCTTCAGGGACATCGCCGAGTTTGCTCTTCAGCTCTGCAGCTTTGTCTTTACCGCCGGCTGCCAGCGCAATGAGCTGGTCGTGCCATTTCCCTTGGTGGATATCCCAGAGATTCGTGCCGGTGACATCGCTGATATCGATCGGTGCTACTCTGCCCAGGAAGACAGATGCAAGGAAGGACGACACCAAGGATATATGGGCTGTCTTCTCGTAATGGTCGGGATATTTAGTCCGGTACCGCATGATCTGAGGTCCACTGAAGCGATGATGCGCAGCACTGCCAGTGACCTGAGCCAACTTCTCCGGGTCACCAAGCTCTGCGTCGAAAGCATCACATTGCTTCTGCGTGCTCGAGTCCTGCCAGTTGGGACTCATGTCGTGTGCAAAAGCATCCTTGAGCTGGTCTGACAATGACTTGCCAGCATCCAGGTTAACCATGAGGTGCTCTGCATCCTTCTTCCAGAAAACGGTGCCGTGCTGCATGCCAGCACCAGATACTCCCATGATCTGGCCGAAGTCAAGGCCGGCCTGAGATAGACGATCCAATACCAGGTTGATGGCATCTAGCCACATTGCTGGTGGTGCGAATACCTCGCCCTCTGCAGGGTTGGTAAGGACACCCTTTTTGATTCCATACTTGGTGCTGAGATCGGCGTCAAAGTCAACTTTGGCTTCGTGGACGAGCTTGAGGTTTGAGTCTACGACAATGCCTTCGCAACGTTTTAGCTTCGGTACATGGGACGTGTGCTGAGTTGCATACCTTTGAGTTGCTGTGTAGACAGGTCGAAGCCCTGGGAAGCATAACATTAGACTTTGAGCAACCTAGATGCCAGGAGATGTACATACCATATACAGCGGTCCACTGCTCGCCATCTTTGCGTAGTACGTCGTGTGAGTTTTCTAGTGTGCGTGCATTCGAGCGCCTTTACTTTCTTCTTCTAAGCATTGACACTCCCAACCAATCTTGCCAAAATGGCATCAACATGGCCACATGTTCTGCAAGGCTTGAGTAGTGCCTTCAACGTGGGGCTCCTGAATCAGAGCTCTTTCTTGCTGCTTCCATCCCGGCTAAATTCCGCAGAGGTCGAGAACGTTGCACGTGAAAGACGCCAGCAGCACGTCACTCAGGTCATTCGAACACACTCTGTTGGTGAATAGCCTCGTTATCGAATAGCGTTCATAAAGATAAGATGGAAGAATTAAAAGACAGAACCGCCTACGTCAAAGCCACCATGGCCGACGGCGTTGCCATCCTCGAAGGCACCACAACCTGGTGTACGCAATGTAAGGCCATCAAACCGTTTGTCGATCAGGTAGGCACCCACTGCGATCCTCTCTATCCTCCAAACATTTCTGAACATTCACAAGATGGTGCAAAAGTACCCAGACGCCCGCTTCTACCAGTACGACACCGAGCAGGCGGAGGACATCGCTCAGGAGCTGGGAGTCAACGTCATGCCATCTTTCCACATCTTCAAGGACGGCGATGTCATGCAGAGTGTGACGGGAGCGAAAGGGGCGGCGCTGGAGAAGGCTATCAAGGAGAATTACGATGGCAAGGTGGTGGACGCATAGACAGGGGGTCCAGGGCGTGCGAAGCCCTGAGCTTGGGCCATATTCACTTCGATTGCACAGGCCAACGAGACCTGACTATTCTTCCTATCTCTTGTCTTCTCGTTCCCCTCAATCACCATTATTCGACGTTGGCTCACTCGGGAGTCATCAAGTGTATGAGATGGCGCTTGCGAGCCGCATTTCATGAGCGATGCAATGCAGACGCCTCTTGTTGTCCAACTGCCTACCTATGACGGTCGAGGGACAATCAAAACTGTACCACAGTTGTCCTCCAAGATGATCAAACGATCAAATACCAGTACTCAAAGGTGTCAAGATGGCAGGTTACGCCTCGGGACGATGCTCGACCGATCTCGGCCTGTTGCGGGTGCCCAAGAATCGGTCAGCTTTGGTTGAATCTTTGCCAGCAGAACATCGTCGAAGACTGTCCTCTGAAGTAGCACATCTGGTGTTACAAAGAGCAGAACATCAGGAAAGCAAAAATGGCCGAAGACGACATACCAACCTACACCATAATCCAAGCCGACGGCCTCTACCCCGATGACAACCTCGAAAGAACCCTCTTCGCCCCCCGACCCGGACAGAAATACAAGCTCAACTACGTCCAAACGAACCTCTACACCAGCATGGCCACGGAGATGAAACCCTGGTCCGACATCCCAGAAGACCTTCGTAACCAAGTCGACGGCATCGAAGTCCTCAAAATGCCTTTCACCGCTGAAGACGTCGCGCTGTTCCCACAGCTCAAAGTCATCGTCCGCATGGGCGTCGGGTATGACAAACTCGACCGCGTTGCGCTGGCGAAACGCAACGTCACGGTCTGTAATGTACCCGATTACGGCACGGAGGAGATTGCCGACCACGCCATTGCACTCACGCTTTCCATGCGTCGCGGCATCTTGATTCATAACGAACGACAGCGCGCCACTCCGCCTGCGCCTTGGGTGATCATTCCCACGCCTCTGGTAGCGCGGCTGCGGGACTCGACGTTCGGGATCCTAGGCCTTGGGCGCATCGGAACGGCTGCGGCGCTGAGAGCGAAGGCTCTTGGGTTTAAGGTGCTGTTCTATGATCCGTATCTGCCGAACGGGGCGGATAAGAGTCTCGGGGTGGAGCGGACGAAAGACATCAAGGAGCTGTTCCGCCGTTCGAATGTACTAAGTCTGCATACGCCATGTACGCGCGAGACGAGAGGAATGGTAGATTACGATCTTCTCTCCCTCTTACCGCCAGGAGCTGTCCTGGTCAACACCTCCCGTGGCGAGGTACTGCAACTCGACGGCGTAGAGAAGTGTCTCAAGGAAGGCTCGCTAGCCGGCGCAGGACTGGATGTGCTTCCCGAGGAGCCCATAAACGAGGACAAAGTGCACCCGCTTATCCAAGCGTACCGGAGAAAAGAGGACTGGTTGGAGGGTAGGATGGTGATAACGTGCCATTCAGCGTTCTACAGCCCAGAGAGCTTCATCGATATACGGCAGAAGAGCGCGGAGACAATGCGGGATGTTCTAATAGATGGATTAAAGTCTAATGTCATCACGCCTGACATGGAATGAAAATTACTCTATCAACGTCTCTAACTTTCCAGCCTCTAAAACGCCATTTAGACCTTCTCCGCTTGTTGCTTCTGCACCTTCTTCTCCTTCCTCGCCGCCGGGCTCGCCACCCGCTTCAACTTCTTGCCCCCGATCAAGTACAGGTACGAACAGATAAACACCACCGCAATATTAAAAGCACAGAATGCCCAGAAGATCCCGTAATCCCTCCACACATACCGATAATACACATTAAACGACGCTCCGAACTCATCACCATTAGCGTACTGGCAGAAGCCACAGAGCCCTCCGTCGAGCGAGGTGACGTAGCCGCCGGCTTGTTGTGTGTAAGGTCCTGCGTAGCTCTGACACGTCTCGCCGGGCGGAGGTCGGAATTGGGCGAGTTCGCTCTGGTCGCATTGGACGGGGACGTCGTGGACGACGAGGGCGAGCATGCCTTCGAGGAGGTACTTGAAGGGGGAGAGCCAGTACATCCAGCTCTGCCAGAAGCTGTTTCGTAAAGTTAGCATGTGGACGGTCTCCGAGATCAAAAGAGTACTTACTTGGGCAATGCGGCGTATGGCACGACGACTCCGCAGAAGGAGACCACGAAAAGGAAGAACAGCGGCACCAGCAGCGACGCCAGAAGCTCGTTCGGCGCGAAGGATGCGATGGCTTGTCCGAAGCTGACGTAGAAGACTTCGAAGACGCAGACGAAGAGCCACATGGAAGCGGAGGGGTATGTGCCTCGTGGGAACCAGATGGCCCAGTACCAGCACGCCCAGTAGAGCGTCCCGGCCACGAATGACCACGGGCTTTTCATAGTTAGCATAGCCAGAGGAGTAGAGAGTAGTATATGGGCACTTACTATTCCGGAATGATAGCCGCGCAAGTAAAAGCAAACCAGCTGTAAATCTTCGAATTCCTCTCCCTAAACTCATACAACGACCTTAGCTCCAAGAACTTAGGCTGCAACTGCTGAATGAGCGGCGGACTGATCGTCAACGTCATGAAAATGCTAAAGAGGCGCGACTGCATATCAATCTGCGAGTTGCCCAGATGCCAGAACGTAAAAGTGTTGAATAGCCCAGTGAAGATGTGCAGCATGAACTTCCCGACCAGATAGTCTTGCGAGCGCCAGTAAGCGACGAAGTTCCGGTGCGTGACGGTGTACACTTGGGTCATCAGGGGCATGGCGAACTCGCGGTCGTCCTTGATCGTGCCGTCGGTGGTGGCGTTGCGGCGTTTCTCGACCATCGAGTGGATTTCGTCGGTGCGTGCTTGCTTCTCTTGACTACCGTCCCAGATGTCGGCGAAATCGGGACCGTCGTAGTCGGGGTCGCCCGCGCCGATGGACTCGAGCATGTATTCTGCTGGGTTGGCTTTGGCAGGACACTTCTTGGCGCCGTTCTGCTCGAAGTACTCGATGAGGTGGCGGGAGTCGCGGCCAAGCTCGCCGTGGAAAACAGTACGTCCACCGCTCTTCAGGAGTAGTAGCTCGTCGAACTCCTCGAAGAGTACAGCGGATGGCTGATGGATCGTGCACAGGATGGCTTGTCCTGCGTCCGCGAGTTTGCGCAGGAATCTCACGATGTTGAAGGCAGCTTGAGAATCCAGGCCACTCGTCGGCTCGTCCAAGAACATCAGGAGCTCTGGTTTACTAGCCAGCTCAACTCCAATGGTCAGACGTTTTCGCTGTTCCTGATTAAGACCGACGCCAATTTTTCCGATGGTGGCGCCAGCGATGGACTCCATCTCCAAAAGCTTGATGATAGTCTCGCAGTACTCGTACTTCTCCTGCAGCGGCACTTCTTTGGGCTGTCGGAGCTTTGCACTGAACCGCAGAGCCTCCCGTACGGTCGCGGTCGGCTCGTGAACGTCCATCTGCTCGGCGAAACCAGAAGCACGCTGGAAGGACTTGGGCAAAGGCCTGCCGTCTACCAAAAAGTCTCCTTGAACCACGCCAAAGTTGATGCGCTGCGCGAGTGTGTTGAGAAGGGTTGTCTTGCCGGCACCTGGATTTCATAAAAATGTCAGCGTCTTTCCGCATGTGGCAGCTACAAGGGATCACTCACCGCTGGCGCCCATCAATGCCGTCAGCTTCCCGGGACGAACGTAGCCTTGCACATCCCGAAGCAGCTGCCGTTCGTTGCCTTCGTAGGGAATCGTATAGTTGACGTTCTGCCACGTGAAGATCGTCTCATTCTTCGCCACCGCGGTAGCCTTCTCATCTGTATCAGAACCACTGGACTCTCCCCTCGACTTCTCTGCGTCGTCGACTGGAAGCCCGTCAGAGCTAGTCTCGCTCTTGTTCTTCTCGAGATCGTTTGATCCGCCGCCGGTTTCGATAGCCTTCTCGACCGAATGTGGCACTTGGCCGCGCTTGTAGATGGTGACACTGCCGCCACCCTTATTGGGCTTCTGGAGCTCCATGCCGATGGCAGTCAAAGCGACGAAGAAGATAAAGAAGGCGCAGATGAAGCCGAAGTTTCTCCAGAGATGGGAGCGGGAGTAGTTGTAGGCAACCTGGATATAGTCTGCGCCATCGACAGTAGTCCGACCTGGTTGACTGCCTTGGATCGTGCACGACTGATACTGCGGTGCCGCGCCAGGACCCTGAGGTACCAAGTATGGCGGCTGGCATTGGATGGTAAGTCCGGAGAACTCGTTTGACATGAGCGCTTCGAAGCCGTATTGGACGGGATTGATCCACCTCAACCAAGAAAACCAAGGATGCATCTTGCTCGGTGGGATTAGGTAGCCGGTATACACAATCAGTGCCTGGATAGCCACACCCGTGACCCTTGTAGCTCCATCCAGACTTCCAGACAACGATCCAATAGCCCTGAAGAAGGCATACATAGTCATAGTTAGTATCCAGAGCATAAGTAGCGAGATGAAGAACTGGCTGGCGGTCCGCGAGAGGTTAGCCATGAAGTAGACCACGATGTCGAAGATGGCCACCTGGACCAGCACCAGAGGAGCATCGACGACCGTCTGTGCGATGGCGAAGGCTGCTGGTCGATAGAACTGGAAGGCTTTGTGCTTCAGGAGGATGGGTCGGCTTTCGAAGGCGGATGTGAGCTCGGCCAAGGCGAGGAGGGCGTTCTGGGAGAGTTAGCTTCTCTAAGGTGGTGAAGGGGTTGAAAGGATCAGACTTACGAAAAGCAGCATGAAGAAGATGACACCACCTCTCGGGAAGACTCCCTCAGCAGTATCGGGCAAGTTGTAGAATCTGCGAAACATTAGCTCTGATCCCATATCGAACATCAGGGGACCTACAGTGAGCCAACAATCAAGGCCTGGAACAAGATACCTCCCCACTTGCCACCCAGACTCTGCTTGTCTCCAATCATGACCAAGAACTGCCTGTGCGTGCAAGCCATGACCTGCCGGTAGAAAGGTATGGTGTAGTTCTTCTTCGTTGTCGCCTTGCCCTGCTCAGCTTGCCTCTCCTCACACTGAGCTTGCATCTCGCGCTCGAACTCGTCAATCTCCTCCAAGTTCCGCTGATGCTGCTCCGACTTCAGGAAGATTTGGCCGAATTCGGCTCCGTTGCGTGGCACCTCCCAGCCGTCCTTCACATGTCTGGCGTTCTTATCTGTGACAGAAGTGAGGAAGTCGGCGCTGGTCCAGCGCTCGGGCTGTACGAATCCTAGGTCCTTGAAGTACTTTACTGCGTTGTCGGCAGCGCCGAAGTAGGCACACTGACCCTCGTCAATGAGGAGGACCTTGTCGAAGCGCTCGTAGAGCAGCTCGCCGGCTTGGTAAAGGGCAACCGCTGTCGAGATGTGGGCCATGTTGGTCAGAGATCGGAGGGAGCTGACGTATTCCAGCGCCGTGCTGGCGTCAAGTCCGCGGGTAGAGTTGTCCCACGCCTGTATACTAGCCTTGGTAATCATGGCTTCGGCGATGGAGACACGTTTCTTCTCGCCTCCTGACACACCTCGCACCACCTCGTTACCGACCTTTGTCCCAAGAGTGTGCTCGATCCAAAACAGCTTGACGATCGACTTCAGGAAGCTTGCGACATACTCATTTTCGCTCTCGCCTTCGTTCCTGCTTTCCTTGCCAGGAGTCTTGGTTTTGAGTGCAAACCTCAGTGTGTTCTTGACAGAAAGAGTGGCGTAGTGCAGGTCGTCCTCCGGGTTGTAGACAACTTCACCACGGTACTTCTTCAACATAGTCTTTGCGTCTGTACCGCCATAGAGCACGTCACCCTCGATGGATTCGTATCCGAAGCGCTGGTTACCAATGATTTTGAGGAAGGTCGAGCAGCCGGAGCCAGGTCGTCCGAGAACCAAGCACATCTCACCAGGTCTGATCACTCCGGAGAAGTCGTTGATGATTGTCTTGATCGGTGGCTTTCCCGCCGCCTTCTTCGGGCCCTTCGTCACGAGATTGAGTAGAAGCCGCGGTAGTCCAAGGAAGACATCGCCAAAGGTAGGCTGCAGAGCAGCACCCAGCCCCATGCCCTTCACCGTGAGATGCTTGAAGACAACACCAACATGCCTCGTCTTCTCCTCCTCGGACTGGGCCTGCCTCGTCTTGCCAAACATGCGAGACATCAAACGATCGATCTCGGCTTGTTCGTCCGGATCAGTTGCCTGGGTGGTTGTGCGGCTTATAGCATTGTCGACGCTTGTGTTCCGCCGAGAAAGCTGAGCCATGACATCGTCTTCGGTGACCTTGCGTTTACTTGGTGTTGTTTCCAACTTGGGCCGCTTGGTAGCTCCATTCGTGGCTGTGAGTCCTTCCTCGTCTACGAGCGATGCGTGTGGCGAAGGCTGCTCGACCTCTTCGGTAGGATGAAACTGGTAGTTTGGATGGTGTGAATCCTCAGCTGGTTCATAGTGGAGATAGGTGGCAGTGTCGCCACTTGGGTCCATAGGCCCAGATTGTGTAGGTGCATCGAGGCCGCGTCCAGCACTACCAGCAACGCCGGTCTCAGCTGGCTCTACACTCTCCCCATGGCTCTCCAGTCTGTTCTCAGGCTCAGGCCGTCCAGAAAATACGGACCCTCGTTGTGTCATCGGAGTGTTCGGCCAGCCTCCAGGTATCTCGCCATCCGAAGGCGTGGGCTTCTCGTTATCCGCCATATTCGCCACACTGCTGTCAAGGCGAATGTGGACAGTCGTGGGCTCCAACTTGGGGCGAGAGAGGCTAAGTTATCATGACAGCCTCAAAGTTTACGGATGACAGCTGGAACGCGAATGCTACGGACATTTCTCAAAGCCCGTTCGAGACACGGACGGCGGACGGTTGAACAGCACCTCCATGCTCTGAACTTTCGTTGACGCGCCGTATCGAGCATCGCGTTTGGGTGCGAAGTGACGACACGACTTCCCAATCTCAATGCTTGGCTCGGCCCCGGCATCTCCCGCATCCGAGTCTTTTCTCTCTCTCAGCAAGGCGTAGACGTTTGCCTTTTGCTGACAACGGAGTTCAAGATGGCAAACAAAAGCCGGCCCGTTGACTCTGGGAAACCCACTATCACGACGCTTTTTATCCACAATTGACCTCCCGAGTTGGAAAGCAAATCTACCCCCTCGGAAGCCAGCGTTCCAGGCTCCGAGATGCCATGCTGACATAGCCCCATACCAAGGCTCTGAGAAGAACAGCACCATCCGGGAAGAACTCGTTGCTTCACAGTCGCTCATATGGCTTCCAGTACGGCGCGTTGGTACTTCCTGCATCCCACAGCGATATGGCGCTCGCCCAGTGATCTAACATCCTCGTGGCAAGCCTGTCAAGCACTTCCGACGCGAGACGCCAACCCTATAACATTCCTCACTTCTGGCTCCGGCAGGTCTCGATTGGACTCCTGCTCGATTTCCGCGAGAAGATACCAACCGATGTTGGAGTGTCGTACAGCGTTACACTCGGCCATCAACACAACAATGCCGCAGTCACGCGTACATGCTACGCAGTACGATCTGGCACCACCCCAATGTCTCATACATACCAGGCAGCGACCGGCTTCCACACCTTCTGCACCACGTCGTGCAGTCCGCAGGTCCAAGATCGCCTCGTAGTTGGTGCTACCGGCCGTCCAATGTCCGGATTTGCTGTGTCACTGCCCCTCTCATGCCCCTATGACCAAGGTCAGCCAGGTAGGTGCACGTATTCCTTGACTCAACCATGACCTTTTTCCGGCCATGCATCGTTCCATTATACCTGTGGTCAGCAGTGATCGTACTCATCGCCACTTCAACCTCCACATACAAATTCGTCGCTCCTCGCACGCTGTTTGCTCCAAGTCAGCAGTTCCTCCATTGCACTCACCACAGCAAACCGCCACAGCTTTTGGGCCAGCCTATCTGCAGCGTACTCCCGATTCTTCTTGCAAAGCTCAATTTCCAGAAATCCTCGGAAACGCACCCAACATGCCCACCACCACCAAAACCAACCCAAACTACCCTCGCACCCCCGCCACCCCCAACAAGAAAAAAGTCCGCATCGACCCCGTCGGAAAAACCGCCTCCGACTGCACCTGGCAGCGTCGCACCCCCTTAGAAGCGTCCTCGGGAAAGGACAAACGCTCCTCTCGTTGCGAGAGACCTCCCACACCGCAGCGCCGCCGCTCCAACGCCGGGATCATAGCCGCGGTAGGCCTTTCAGCGCTGGCGGCGGCCCAGCAGCAGCAGGCAGATTCGAATCGGGAGCGGCGGGCGAGGGGGAAGAGTCCGGGGAGGCAGCGAGAAAGGTATCCGCAGCAGCCGGTTCCGAGGTCGCCGAGGAGGAGGGAGGGAGGGCAGCAGGGTGGGAGGGAGAAGAGGCAGGAGGGGGGTCGGGGGCAGAAGGAGGGACGAGGGGAAGACGAGGTAGCGAGGGTGGTGAGAAGGAGGAAGTATACTGTGTATTTGTAGTGGACATTGTTGTACGTCTCCGAGGCCTGGGTCAGGCGAGGGAGGTCTCTGGAGTGTGTAGGAATGTTTCGGTTTGGCTGTGGTTTTGACGAATGTCGATGGTGTTGGGTGTTTTGATCGAGCTTTGCCGATTCGATTTGGTGACAACTCACAATGATCTTACTGTCGGGTAGATAGCTATCTTGGCGAATTTATTGTTAGGAGTTACAAGTCAGTCTTGTGAATGTGCAGGGTAGATTGCCCTGAGAATGAGATGTTGAGAAAATGTGTTCAAGTATGTACCTACCTTCGCAAGCTTACCATATTTGAAGCTCACCGCAATCGCCATTGCAGTATTGACAAGCAGCCCTTGTACATGTTTTTATCGGTCATCGTCTACTAGCTGCTTCCTGCGTCGCCTGGAGGAATTGCTGACAGTGAGATCTGTCGCCTGCCAGCCTGCTGTGCTGTCGCGAGCCAGAGATCGCTTTGCAAGAACTTGGGAGAGCTGATCGGTGATCTGCCGGTCCTTGCTCAAACACTGCATCGCCGGGCAGCTGACCGCGATCACAAGGCGACTGTGCTGCCACAAGCACCCGATGGCCGTCCGGCAGGGAGGAAGTCGTGTGATCTGGAAAGCTCTCCAACAGCCGAACATCACTTATCGCGGCCGTTGAAGCTATGATATGCCACTCGCCCACCCCGAAAACGAAGCCAAACGCTTCTGGCAGTTGCACACCCACGTGGCTCTCACTGACCACCAACAGGCCGAAGACATGAGACAACAGTGGGCACGGCAAACGGCTGATCCGGAAGGTAGATTTTCACCTCGGTCTCGACACATCGCATCCTCCCGCCGCTGCCAGATCGTGGAGATGAGCTTGGCCCGGTCGTTCCTGCAGTAGCCTCGCCTCAAGGAGCATAGTACCAGGAACATCAGGGGCGCAACCGAGCGATCCCGGGTTGGAGTGCAATCATCGTTAATCAATTTTGGACCAATGGCCGGCGCTGCAGGGGATTTGGGTCGTTTGACTTGATTAAAAGATGATGCCGCGGGTTAGCTGGCTGTGGTGATCGTAGGGGTGGTTGTTGGGGGTGGTGGCGCGTAGGGGAGCGGTTTCAGATGGGTAGAGCTGTGGCTGTAGTCCAATGGAGACGCGGCGCGCTTGTTTGGGCGTTGGAACACGTGAAGACCCATCCTCCATAGCCGCAGGAATGTCGAGTTGAGCGAGAGAGTGGTGGTCGGTGACGAGTGTGTAGGGCGAGAACCCGGCCGTGTGGGTTTTCTGCGACGAGTGGCTTGCTGAAGGGCGGCGCTGTGCTCGCTTCACCCGGTCACATCCCAGCCAACGTGGCTCCGGCTGGCGTGAGCGTCCAGAACATCTAGTCGAAACGGGCAAACTCAGATTCATCTTTGCGGGTTGTCTCACCTCGTCGACTTCACTTTCGAATACCCACATTCCTTCGACACCGACTCACCAAGACATCAACCACGTCGTCAACGAACTCGACATCCATTCCTTCGAACAGTGCGACTGCCAGACGAACACCGCATGGTCGCATCCACATGAACTGAGCCATGGCGTCGTCATCAGATTCTCGCGTGTCTTCAGAGGTAAGTGCGACTGAGGCAGCGTCTTTGCGCGACCTCTTCATGCCAATGGCAGGCGTGATCCACGCTGTTGGAGCTTGTGCCTCCCACCATCAGCACCACCCATTGTTCATTGCACGACTAACACATCTCCACCCACAGCATGACGAAGACCAAGGCCCAACCCGCCTCTCCGCCCTCTACCAATACCACAACGCCCCCGAAGTCGCTCCCGCCCACGGCCTCGAGTACGATGACACAGTCTATCCAGTCTCAGACAAGTACCCGGTAGTACGAGAAGCGAAATTCGTCCATGGACACCACCGATATACCGGCAAACATGCGTTCGTCGTCAACGACAACCGACCGCCCCGGATAATATTCGGCATGAAAGTCAAGACCTTCCTCGTGGTAGCGGTGATTATGTGTCTGGTGGTCGTGGGCGCGGCGGTGGGAGGTGCGGTGGGAGGCAAGGACCTGCATCAAGGCGAGGCGGCGCCCGGGACGTATGGAGACATGTCTGGGTAAGCTTTTGATCGATATATGCTTATCTGCATTCCTCATGCACGTGCTAATGAGTACGGTAGCACGAAGCCGGAATCATCGACAGCTTCGCCAACTACAGCAGCTACGGCTGCGCCGACGTACTCGGCATCGAGACCGACGTACACGCCTTTAGCAGGCTGTTCAGCTTCGGCGGATAACACCACCTACACTTCAAGTTTCGCCGAGTCCTCAGATTCCAACGCCGGACTCTCGTTCACGATGTACTGCAACCTCCAATCACCCCTCAACACCTCCCCCGCCCAACAACTAGCCGCCGCGTACGTGTACAGCTTCGCCGACTGCGCCGACTTATGCGCAAGTCTCGACTCGCAATCGAATAGCAGCAGCTGTACAATCGCCGCCTACCAGCCGACCTCGCCACGACCGGCGAATTGCTGGGTCGGCTCATCGAGTGGTGAGGTCGACATCAGCTCTCTGAAGGATGAGGACGGGACTGAAGTGGCGATTCTGGTGCAGCAGCGATAGCCTGCTGCGCAGTGTTTCTTTATTTGCTATGTTGTTCAGCGACAGTCTTTATCACGGGTTTCACGAACGCGGGTATCAGACCTCCGGGAGAGCGAGCATGGTGTTATCGGGGCGCAGGCGTCACTCATTGTTGGTCTGGAATGGAAGGTGAGGAAGAGGGTACCAGGGGGTGCCGCAGGGCAGGATTTGGACGCTCGCTCGCTCCAGCGACGGAGCAAATGTATATGTATATGGAGCAGAGAGTGGCGAGGAAGGAATATACCCAATCAGTAATGTTAGCCCAAGTGCATGGCATGGAAAGGAAATTCAATGAATGATACCAAATCACCTCATATCACATTTTGCCTGTGTTGCGATTGTTGAAGACATGCTGAATGGTGTTGCTTTTATCTCATAGCGCTCGCATCCCCCTCACATCTCCCTATCCCACAAGCGGCTCCGTCCCCTTAGGCAACTTGACCTTAAAAACCAACGCCTGATTCAGCAAATCAAACCCGCTCTCATCCTGATATTCAAACTTGCCGAAATTCATATACCCATCTTGATTAATGAAGTCATTATCACTGAAACTGATGAGATAGTACTCGTCCTCTCCCTCGGCAGGCAACAACGCCATACTCTCCCACTTCTCATTCAACAGCCCTTTGTTCTGGGCTCCACCATTATGCACCCCAAACCTCCTTAGCTGACTATTAACGTTAAAGTCAAGCCAAGAGCAGTACTCCGCCGGCTCGATATCTTTCCGCAGCACACCCTCTCGAGAGGCGATCTGGCAGGTGCTGCAATCATGCTCCTTACCCTTAACATTCGTCGCCGAGGAGATGTCGATCACGTCAACATGTCGGTAAAGACTCTCCGTCTCGTCCTGCCCAGCACCAGCGTCTGAGTCCCGCGCGAGGATGAGGAATTGCGTCGGGCTGATGTAGTGGATCTCGCTCTGGCGGGCTACATCGCTGTCCTCGTCTGAAGGGTCGACGAGGGGCAGGTGCACGACGTATTCGGCCTCGTACGAAGGGGTGGGGGTGGAGATGTCGTAGACCAGGAAGCGAGTGTTGCGTTCGGTTTCGAGGCCGCCGTCTTGGTTTGTGGCGGATTGGAGGAGGACGTAGAGTTTGGTTCCTTCCGGGTTGGTGGTGAGGCCTTCGAAGCCTTGGTTGTTGTTGCGACCGGTGGGGTTTTCTTCGGGACTGGGTTCGAGGTCGGGGTTATAGATCGGCGGGCTGTCGGCACTGAAAGAGACTTTCTTGTGGCGCCGAGGGAGGATGGCGTTCGGGGGCTGGATGGCGTTGATCATCTTGCCTTTGCTGTCGAATTGGTAGATGTAGGGACCGTATTCGTCGCTGACCCGGAAAGAGCCGTCGGCGCCAAGAAAAAGGCCTTCAGGGTCGAGAGTGACGCGGTTTCCGCCGTTGCCTGGGCCGCCAAAACCGTTGCCGGTGTAATTGGCGCTTGGGAGGGCAAAGGGGACTTCGGAGAAGTGCTTGTACGGGCCCGTGATGTCGGGGTCGAGTCCGGTGGTTGGAGTTCCTTCGAAGTCGGCCAGAAGAATGGTGTCTAGGTACTTCATGTCGAGGTTTGGTCCGCAGGGGCGCTTGAGAGTCGGCTCCTCTACGTTGAGGGTGATCGAGATCTTCTGGATGCGGTTTTGGAAGTTGATCGTGCCATTGGTGTTCCACCCGCGGTCAGGCAGTGCGTAGGCCACACCCTGGTAATTCTGGCCTACTTTCTTCCATGAGCTCTTGTCCACAGCAAGGGAGCTACCGAGGCCGCCCAGAGTGTCGCCGTATTTGTCACGGTCGTTGGGTGGTAGGAAGCCATAGCCTGCGAGCTCTTCGTAGACGTATGTCTCGCCGTTGCAGGTGGTCGTATTCACAGCAGCAGTATGTTTGTGAGAGCTAGGCGCTGCCGCCGCAGAAGAGACGAGTACCGGGAGAAGGAGATTGCTCTTGAACAACATCTTGACGAAGGTGGAAGAATGAAGAGGGTTCAGGACTGTAGGAAGTGCATACCACCTTCTGTTATACTACCTCATGCCCCACGCGTATCTGCCACAATGCCGGGATTTATTTCTGAACGAAGATCCAATGCTGTCATGTATGAACAGTACCTGCAGGAGAGCGGCACATGGTGCTCGACTGCTCCATCGCCGGCGCGGGCGTGGACGTCGATCTCCTCCGCGTGCTTTCATCCGGAGTCATGATTTGACGAGACACCAGCACTTCACTTCCTTCATCACTTTGGGAGAAGAGACGCTCTTTGTGGTCGATCGTGACTCCGCGGGCTGTCGGGTCGTGCAAGACGTATCACGGGTGTAACGGCGGTGATGTGGTGAGGTGAGGTGGAGTTGGAAGGCCGCTTGGACTTCACCTCGCTCCATCGAGGCACGTGAGGTCCTGCTTCATCTGGTTTCCACTCTCAAGTCACTCTACAGACACAATGTCGAATCAACAGCCCAGCGGGTAAGTAAAGTCAATATCAAGACGCATACACACGTTCTACCAGCTCACACCCTGCAGAGTCTGGGCAACAGCCAACCGCCAACGACAATCACAATCCGCCTCACGAACACCCCAAAACCGCTCCAACACTGCCTCGCCAAACCCGCAAGGAGCGCCTTCACAACCTCCCATGCCCGATGGAGGGCGCACGCTACAGCCCGCGAGCAATGTGTGGACGCAAAGAAGCAGCAGTGCGGGAGGAAGTAATGGGCAGATGGGAGGAGATGCTGGACTGCAGAATGATACGGGCGCTGGGAGTTTCAATGCAGCAGAGATGAAGGCTTTTCTGGCTAAGGATCTTGGGTCAACTGCGGTGTACAAGCCTGCGGAGGCTGCGGGAGGTGCAAGGACGGGTAGTGCTTGGGGATCTAAGCGTGAGTACCATTGCTGAGTGTCTGGCATTGGAGATGTGCCGATGAGCAGGTGACTGACTTCTCCTGCAGCGGGTGTCATGGCCAATGGACAGCCCTTCTTCACTCAGCTGGCGAAGCAGATTGCTACTCTGGAGGGCGGTGGCTGATTCGTCCCTACACCTTTGCTGGAACTCCTGATGCGAAGAACTTAGCGGCATGATACCCACTCTTTGACCATCACCTTCTCGCCGCTGCAAGAACGCGCGTGTGACATGCCGTCAGTCTGTTTAACAAGGGCCGTACACCGATGTGTCGACTCAGGTACGTGAATCTGGGACGTTCCACTAGCTTCGCCCAAGAGAATTTATCAACCTCAAATCTCTCTTCGCATCCTTCTTCACCACCCCTTCCTCGCACACCCGCCGCCGCCGCCATGGCCGAAACCACCGATGAGCTCGTGTCCAGCCTAGGCACCTTGAGTGTAGACGACAAAAGCACCCAGCCTGCGGAGCCAACATCCCTCCGTGCCAACTTCCCACTACCACGTGAACTACGCGATCATATCTATGGCTATCTGCTCTCGCACGAGCACGTCCACGAGAAGCCATGGTACACCCATCCAAGCGAGCGCCGCGGCAAGGTAAGTAAAACAAAAGCTCATCGACTGGTGCATCACAAACTCACGTGTAGCTTACGGGACCGCAGTTCTCTCAGGACAGTGGACGTCACCAGAGCGATGCGAGGACGTACCAGTTCCATCCCAACATCCTGTCCGTCAACAAGGCAGTACGTCAGGAAGCTTTCGACGTATTCGTCAAGAACCGATTTGTGGTTGTGTCTTTCAAATGGAAGCTGGCTTCCCATGCCTTACACTGCTCCGGGATGCCGATCGTCACCGAGAACCAATCTCACGTCGCGAATTCAAGCATTTCGTGCTTCGGGTACACCTCAAAGCACCTCCGGCCTACAAGACTACGAAGGACAAGATCCAGTCGTGCCTGATGCTCGGGAGCGATTTGCCTGCGCTACACAAGGTGCTCCAATATGTGCACTACATGAATGATTCGACAGCCGTGATGGTCATTGACCTGGCCGATCGCATCAGTCTATCGACGGTCGCTGACAGCAAGACGATTCTTCCTACCCTTACTTGCCGATTTGAAGTTGCTGGACCCACCCGGCTTAACGGTGATCAGCTTTCATCGATTCTCGCTGGGTTCAAAGAGGTGGTGCACGGAAATCAGCAGGTGAACTTTTTGAACGTGCCGGAATCGCACTCCGAACTGGTCGCGGCTGTGAAGAGGGTCATGGCTCCACCAGCCGTCTGGGTGGACGCGATGGCTTGGAAGATGCATGAATCTCTCACGGCCTTCAAGGCTTCGGGGGACAGGCTGGCTCGATCTGGCTGCAACATGCAGGCATCGGCAAAGTATCGCCTCATCTGTTCGATCCTCGATGCATCATTCGTCTTCCACGCGCCTCCAGAAGGGTACATTTCCGAGTTCGGACATGCTGCGACCGCACTCTTCGTTCTCATGCTTAGCGCGACCGTCACGGATGGTTTCCTCTGTCTAAGACGCGGGCAGGGAGAACAGAGAGTAGTTCGCCATGCCCACGTATTGCGCCTCATGCTTGCACAGCTCTACGACAACTCTTTTCCTGACGTTATGCGCAACACTCTCATGTCAATTTTGACGGGCAATAGTCAAGCGTTGCACATGGTGCACTGGTTCTTCACCCTCCAGGCATTCCTAATCCCGAATCGCGACGTCCTGAATGAGGGAGGATCGCACACCATAGTGGACATGCACGCACTTCGAAAGTTCTTCTCTAACTCAGAGCACTTCCAGCGCGACTTGGAAGTAGTCAGCACGACTCTGAGCAATCCGAAGGTAAGACACCCTTGCAGCTACCTCAAGACTACGCTGACACTTTCTAGAACCGCGACAGCTACTTTGCAAGGTCGGAGGGCACCTTCGCACACTTGTCAGAGATGTGCTCTCTGGAAGACCTTCCCACGCAGATCCTCGACATTTGTCTTCCACCTGAGTTCAAGAAGCCAGAAGGGATGGAGGGATTCATCAACAAGACCAGTCTGGCTGCGATATGGGCGTTCGATCCCAAGACGGCAGCAGAGCTGGAAGGTGTGGACGTCCCTGAGCAAGACTCTTGAGCAAGCCTCTTGGGCAAGACTCTGGGGCAAGATGGAAGTAGCACATCAAGCGATGGAGTTCGAAGCGCAAAGACACGAAGAGGGGTGGTCACAGGCTGTTTAGCGAGTGCTTCAACCGTGAATCCAAGCTGTGGTCGAAAGAAAGTCTTTGTTGTCAAGATAGCGGGACGCTAGTTTAGTAACAAAGGCACGATGAGTGACATTCAACGAAGAGTATCACACTGTCCTACCGCTAATTCGAGAGTCAGTAACCAGCACATTACCCTCATGCCAAGCCCACACGGCCAGCAAAGAAGCGCAACAGCAGTCCAGCCTGTATCAACTCCCGCTCCAGGACGACGCTGTGCATCAGGCGCAAGACGTGCCCGCATTCAGAAGCCTTCAAGCAGAGCCCGTGGCCGTCCGCGACTGTCCAGAGGCGTGGCCACCCTGCTCGATGGCCAAGTTTACATCACTCCCGCGCCGGAAGCAAGGGACAATGACCCTCCGCCAAACCCTTCCCACACCAATCCTCTTCGAACCGACACTAGTCTGCACGCCTGCAGTGACTCCAGCCTCGCATTTGTCGCATCATCTGGCCTGCAGACTTCAAGTGACACCGATGCCATCGCCTTGAACTTGATGGACTACTTCCTCTTCTCCGAGCCCAACTGGTTGCCCGAGCTGTTGTACTGTAGACTCCATGCAGCTTGCTTCCTTGCGGCAAGCAGAGTGACCGGCCTGTCGAACACGGCTGAGCAGATCGCAGATGCTCTTGGGCCGGACAGCGTATTTGTTAGCGAGACGGCGGCGCTGATGGCTGTGGATGAAGAGGAGGCTGAGGCGATTCGGCAGTCGATCAGCTTGGATCGGCAAGAGGTGGAGGATGGGTATCGGCTGCTGTATGAGCGGAGGAACAAGCTTGCGGTGGCGATGGGACGGTATGCGGCTGAGGTAGAGAAGTTGCCGACACCGCATTCATCCTTCCGGGCAGATGAAGAGGTGGAAAAGTCGGTGGACGTGGTGGAAGAGAACTTTGATGTCTTCGAAGAGTAATTCTGGTGGCTTGATACCTCTCAATGTATATGATGAAACTGCCCAGGGGACACTAGTAACTCCGGCTTTGGATAACAAGCCACGTGCCATCATATCATCATAGCATGGCGAAGGCCGAATCGTTGCATGTCTCTGTCCCTTCCGCAGGATTGAGTGGCAGTAGAAAGCCCAGAGGCACATCAAGAAGCTTGCCGCACGGGTTCTCCAAGGCTGTGATGATTGTGTCAATCTGTTCATGGAAAGCATTTGCATCTTGCTGTGGAGCCTGATGAATGCCGGAGTGAATGTAAAGAAGCGCTGGGTACTCTTCATCCAGACGAGCCATCAGCTCTTCATCTGTCCCAAGCTCCAGCTTACACACCTTCCGGTCATGGAAAGCAACCAACAAGGGACCATAGCTCGTTGCCAGGATGTCGTAGTAGATAATCATGTCTCGCAGCTCCTGAGAGGAAGGGAGCTGGAAGTCATCAAACAGATCGCATCCGAGACTTGAGGCGTCACCGACCATCTCGTCGTCGTGGATGGAGGGCGTCTGGAACTCAATCTCGAGCGGCGTTACGGGCGTCAATGCACTTGAGCCTGTGGTATCGCTTTGACTGCCCTGTCTCTTTGCGAGAGCATACCCTCGCGGTGTGAGGCCGGTCTCCCGCTTGAAGAGGCGATGGAAGTGGTGCTTCGTCAACCCAGCCTCTTTTGCCAGTCGATCCAGTCCTGGGAGAGGCGCATCGTGCGGTAAGCCATCCAGCAAGTCGCAGGCCTTCTGAACCTTCTCAGCCTCTGGTCGATACACCGGAAGCAACGGCTTGCATCGCTTGCAGGCTCGATAGCCAGCGGCTTCTGCGCAAACAGCGTCGTCGAAGAACTCCACGTTGGCACGTCGAGGCAGTCGTGCTCCGCAGGACGCTCGGCAGAAGATTTTGGTACTCTTCACGCCATAGATGAAGTCGGCGGATGTCGAGCGGGCGACGATCTGGGACCAGCGTGGACCGTCCGCCATGCCTGCCAGAGGAACTCAGCAGAAGGAAGCATTGCTAGGACAAGGACAAGGAAGATCCGAGCTACATGCTAAGTCTCGAAGATGAAGTCGTCTGGTATGAAGTGGACTCACGCTCAGGTGGAGAAGTTGATGTCGATGTGACCAATCACCGCAGAGCAGTATCCATGCAGCAGATCAGCTCTTCCGACCTCACGTTCGCCTAAGTATACAAGAAAGGCTCTGGCCGCCGCCGTATCGATCGCAGACTGTGTCGCAAGGTAGGTAATGATGGCTCATGATGTCCTCTACCGAATTCTAGAGCGATTTTCAGTCTTCACACTCCTTCCCTCTGGACCACTCCATCCCTGCTACCATCAAACATGACACAGTTGTGGCTATTGCTGTTGACGGCGTACTCCGTTCTAGGCCAGCAGATTAGGTCCGTACCGGAGATCCATCCCAGGGTCCAGACGCATGCATGCTCAATTCATGAGGGATGCCATTGACAATCAACCTCAATCGTGCTGGATGCCACCTGGCGGAACCTCGAGGACATCAAGACTGGCGCATCATGCTTGACCGACGACCTTCAGCTGAATAAGACAATCTGTCCCACAGCCCAGCAATGTGGCCGGAGATACGCTCTCCAGGTGCGGATTACCAATCCACCGGAGTGCAAGCTGACGAGGGCTCTGTGACTTTGCACATGTATCAGAAGTATCAAGGAGAACTGGTAGCGGTGGGTCCTCAGGTCTATCTCTTGGATGAGAAGGGACACGATTACGAAATGTTGCATTTGCTAAGCCAGGAGATCAGCTTCGAGGTAGACGTCTCTAACCTCCCATGCGGCATGAACGGCGGCATGTACCTCGCCGAGATGGAGCCGTCCGGCGGCCGCGGTCCTCTTAATCCTGCTGGCGCAAGTCTTGGCACAGGGTATTGCGACTCTCAGTGTTACACAAGCTATGCTTTTGTCAATGGTGTAGCCAATGTTGATGGCAGTGGCACTTGTTGCAATGAGATGGATCTGTGGGAGGCCAATTCCAAAGCCAATCAGCTGACGCCTCATCCATGCAGCATCACGGGCTTCTACGCTTGCGAGGAAAAGGAGTGTGGTGATGGCAAGAAGGGTGTTTGTGACAAGGTAGGCTGTAGTTTCAATCCGTATGCACTGGGTGCTCAGGATTTCTACGGTGTGCATGGCAAGGCGGACACCTCGAAGCCATTTCGGGTCATTACAAGGTTTATCACTGATGATGGCACGAAACGTAGGAACCTAGTGGAGATTCGAAGGATGTATGTGCAAGACGGCAAGGCTTTACCAAACGCCGAGGTCACGCTCCGCCGTGAGAATTACAACCCTATCATCCCTTCATACTGTCAAGCTACCGACGCCGACTCGTTTGCGCGCCATGAGGGCCTCGATAGCATTGGGGGAGCACTACGACGTGGCATGGTCCTCGTCATGGGTATATGGAATGAAGGTACGGACAATCTAAACTGGCTGGATGCTGGTGACGCTGGCCCTTGCAACCGGATGGGAGGCAGTCCAACTGCGATCAAGAAGAATTATCCTAAGACATCCGTCACATTCAGCGACATCAGATGGGGCGGCTTCGGAACCACGTGCTAGGTGCAAGGCTGTTGCCGTGCCGGCATTGTTACAACTCAGCTTTGTGCCAGAGGTCCGAGGTCAAGACAAGGATTTGATCATTCAGGCCGTTTTGGTAATAGATCCTTCGAACAATGGCAGAGCCATGCAGCATTGCTAGTTTACGACAAAGAATACCGGCCGTTTCTGGCAATGGATATGGGCTGCTTTGTACCGCCTCCGCGTCCCAACACCATCGCTACCGCCGTCGAGTCTACCGACCAGGATCCACTCAGACGAGATCTCAGCAGTGCAACCGACCAAAAGAATAGAGCATAGCTCAAGATGGCTTTCACCGAGAGCTCAGCATCACCTCGGACCACCTCGAACCACTCCGGCGTCTGCGTCGCTTGCATGGGCGAGATCGAGGGCGAGGCAAAGCTCGTCGCCGGCTCTCCAATATGCGAAGATTGCATACGCACAGGAATCATCCCTCAGTTCTACGATGCGTTGAAAACGGAGCTGAAACATCCGGTGAAATGGGGAACGGACGAGCTCCAGCCGGGCGCCTTTTATGAGTACTTCGATGACTGGGACAGCTTCTTCAAGACCTGGCTGTCGAAGGACAGCGAGTACAAGAAGCTGCGGAGTAAGCGGCTGTATTGTCGCGAGTGCGGTTCATACATTCGCGAAAAGCCGTACTCTCCGCACACCGAGGACAACTTGACTGCCGAATGCAAGAAATGCGGAACCATCATATGCGGAGCGTGCGGCTCCGACGGGCACAGCGCCAACAACTGCCCGAAGAAGGACGAACCAGAGGAGGATGCGCTGGCGGGAGTGGCAAATGCTAAGAGATGTCCTAAGTGCGATACAGCGTTTTACCTCCACGACGGTTGCAATGAGGTCACTTGTTTGGCATGCAAAGCCGTATGGTGCTGGTGCTGCATGAAACTCCAACCCCGTCGAGACCATTGGGCTCCTGGACAGCCATGTCCAAAGTGGAATCAGGCCGGCGACGAGGACGCTCAGTGGCTTGATCCCGACGACGATTCAGAAGAAGAAGTAGAAGAAGAAGCACTGAGCCCCGAAGTCGAGATCCCTCCAGAGGTGACTGACTTCGTCCCGGCGACGCTTGACCACCCGCTGGTGATGGACTTTCTGTCAGAACTGGCCTTTTTGGACCTCTTCAACCACGAAGACGTCACGTCACGCGAGGCTCTCCAGGCCCACCGAGCTCTGCTAGGCCTGCCAGGGATCGATCCAGAGCGGCGCGGACGAACGCCACAAGAGCGGCAGGAGCGCGCTTTCGGAGCGGTGACAACCTTTGGCGAACATGCCAACGCAACCATGGACGAGATCCTGCGCGAAGAGGATAAGTATCTCGCGATGGACAGACATGGCGTACCGATAGTTGATTATGCCTCTCTTCTCCGAGCGCTGATCCACAACACGCCTTGACTGCACGACCGCGAGCTCATGCAGGAAAACCTCGAGCTGGCCGTGAACGACCATATCGCCATCATACGCTCATACCCGAGGGTTTTTCAGAGCAGGGAGTTGTTGGACGTGAACTTTTTTCTCTTCGTCATCGCGGAGGTGCACCTTCGCGTCATGCCTGAGCGGCTGCTTGTCGCGGCTTCGGATCGTCACCGTTTCCGTATTCATATGATGTGGGAGCCTGAGGACGCCGGAGAGGATGCTGAAGCTGAGACGCCTGCTGGAGATGTCGCTTGATGTCGCAAGATTTCATGTAATAATACAAGCTTGGTGTATATCTGTATAGTTCGTGTCAATTCATACCCTGCCACATTGTTGTCCCCCCGCCTATCGTCCCACAAGCCTCATAAGCATGCTCTGTATGCTCTCAAAAGCGGTCCGCAACGGAGCACCCTGCCCGCCGCGTTGTCGTCTCACTGTCCACCAAGCCAAATATACAGCCAGAGGAAGCAGTGCACTTCCCACCAACCCTCTCGCCAACACCTTTCCCTGACTCTCCACAGCCTTCGCGACCTCCGAATATCTCTGGTTGCTGAAGCTGACCCGACTATACTGCGTCTCAAACCCAGAGCTCGGGACCTTGTCCGACAGGAACTCCTCGATCCTTTTCCGGAGCAGATACCATCTTGAACGCACGCCAGCATGCATCTCCCAGTAGTTGCCCATGGCGAGGTCATTGATCATGTGTGCGTCGGGAACCCGCTCACGGTTATACGATTCTAGGGCTGCCTGTTGGCCGGTTTCGGTGGTAGGGTGGGAGTCGAAATGTTCGAAGAGGACACGAACATCTTCAAGACCGGCGTTCATACCCTGGCCGTAGAAGGGAACCATGGCGTGAGCGGCGTCGCCGAGTATGACGCCAGAGGATGCGTAGTGGTGAGGTGAGCACTTGATGTTGATTAAAGGGAGATGTGGATTCTGCTCGAATTGTCTGCGAAGGTCTGGCCCTACTAGCTCAGCGGCGCCTGGGAAATTGGTTCTAAAGAATGAATCGACTTGCTCAGGATTCTTCTCTAGGTCGGCGAACGTTGCCGATGGGGCGAAGAGGGTGCAAGTGAAGGTCCGATCCGTCGAAGGAATGCCAATAAACATTTTATCGCTGCCAGGCCAGATATGGAGGTGATTTGGACTTGTTCGAAAGCGATCCTTTGCAGAAGGCGTTCTGCCGGTTGCCGTTTCCGAGCTCCACGGTGGGATAGTGAATTCGCACCAGAGCGTGTCGATGTACGACTGCTCGTAATCCATGCGGACGGCCTTCATCATGTGGTATCTGACGCCGCTGTGTGCGCCATCGCAGCCCAGCATGAGATCGAAGGAAACTTCAAGTTCTTGCGGTCGTTCGTTGGACTTTTCGGATGCAGTACGCCGCTCGAACCACGCTTTCTTCTTCCTGAAGTCGGCGCCAGTGAGCTTGTGATGGAACAGCAGCTTGACATTTGGTAGTCCTTCCAGCTGATCCAGCAGCACTTTGTTAAGAGCACCACGATCTACTGCTCTCTGGTAACGTCCGTGGACGTCATACAGTTGGCTCTCTTCAGTGAGAGAGCCTTTTGAGTCCTCGCCATGGATCATCCGGCCGTACATTGCTATTGTTTCGGACAATACAGTCTCGAGCAGACCGTCAGCGCCAGACTGCCGCATGGAATTGATGCCTCGTTCTGATAGGGCAAGATTGATCGATTTGGTGAAGTTGAGTGGCGTTGTCGAGTCATCTCGGAGGTCTGTAGGAGATCAGACAGTGTTCGCATCTTGATTCTGGTCCTGCATACCTCCTCTGAGGTCGTACACCTCTACGTCCCATCCTCGTTTTGCAGCATACAGAGCGGCAAGAGCACCCACCGGTCCCGCGCCTACGACGAGGCACTTTGTCATTTGTTTTGCCATGTTGAGTCCTCAGATTAGGACGTTTTGAACAGTGTTGTTGTGTGTTAAAGAGGAGAAGATGCCAACTGATTACGTGTGTCCTTGAATGTCTAATCGTGGATGAGTCGATATATTGATTGAAAAGCCTCGACGCCGTCACCACTTGCAGTGCACCTACACATGCATTGTTCCAACGCCACACCGTCCGGCAGGATCCGTATCGTGGCGTTGCGAATCTCTAAACTCCCGGCTGCCGAACGCTCGAGTCAGTGAATGTTGAATTGAATCGTAGGGCGTGAATATTGATTGCTCTTTCATAGGCGCACACTATCCACCGCTGTGGAAGAGATTTGCTGAAGGCCGGAGACAGCGCGCAGTCGCGTACATCACCCGCGACACCCACAACCGCCAGGCAATCCACCTCCAACTGACCATAACCGCGAACATGGACCAAGCACCAGCAAAAGAGGTGACGATCGAAAAGAAGCGCAAATGCGAGGGCGGCGACTGCGACAACGATGCCGGCTCGCTTCAGTGCCCTACATGTCAGAAGCTGGGCAAGGAGTCGTACTTCTGCAGTCAAGATTGCTTCAAGAGGAATTGGGTAGGTCAGTTCGACCTGCTAGGCATACGGTCACTTCAATTCCTAGTACAGAGGCTAATTTGAGATGTTGACAGGGCACGCACAAAGCCCTCCATAAGCAGCAGAACAGTATGCTCTCCTCCATCTTCCCGCCGAAAGTTGTCTCACAGCCGGATGCAGATGGCCACTACAACCCGTTCCCCTCCTACTCCTTCACTGGTGGTCTGAGACCTGTGTACCCGCTGAGTCCGAGAAGGGCGGTGCCGGAGAAGATACGGCATCCCGACTATGCAGGCAGCGGTATACCGTACAGCGAGCAGGTGAGTGGGACATGGAGTGGATACATGAAGTTGGACACCGCTGATGTGCAAGCAGAAATTTGTGGGCAGGCGTAACGTGACGATCTTGAACAAGGAGGAGCAAGAGGGTATGCGCAAGGTCTGCCGGCTGGCGAGAGAGGTGTTGGATATTGCTGCAGCCATGTCCAAGCCTGGAGTCACAACGGATGAGATCGACAAGGCGGTTCACGAAGCATGCTTAGAACGAGATGTAAGTCTAGAACACACCACAAATTAAAGAAACAGCACTGACATGATCGCAGTCCTACCCCTCGCCCCTCAACTACTGCCACTTCCCCAAATCCGTTTGCACCAGCGTCAACGAAGTCATCTGCCACGGCATCCCGGACCACCGCCCACTCCAGGACGGCGACATCCTCAACATCGACGTCACACTCTACCACGGCGGCTACCACGGCGACCTGAACGAAACCTACTACGTCGGCCCCTCCGCTGCTCAGGACCCAGACAACGTCCGCGTCGTCGAAGCCTCTCGCGCCTGCCTTGACGAATCAATCAAGCTCGTCAAGCCCGGCGCCCTCTTCCGCGACTACGGCAACACCATCGAGAAAGTCGCCAAATCCTACAACTGCCAAGTCGTAAAAACATACTGCGGCCACGGCATCAATCAGCTTTTCCACACCACGCCCAACGTACCGCATTACGCCAAGAACAAAGCGATCGGAGAGGCGAAGCCCGGGATGTGCTTCACGATTGAGCCGATGATTACGCTGGGGAGCTACAAGGATAAGACTTGGCCGGATGACTGGACGAGTGTGACGGTAGATGGGAAGAAGACGGCGCAGTTTGAGCATACGCTGTTGGTAACGGAGACGGGGGTGGAGGTGCTGACGGCAAGGTTTGAGAATTCGCCTGGTGGGAAGGTTGAGATGCCGAAGGCGAATGAGACGAATGGTACGAATGGGGAGGTCAAGTCGTAGAGCAGATATGTAGAGATCATGAGCGACGACTCATGCAGAAACTACGGTCTCGAGTCCCGACGTTCGAGACTGACTTGAGTATCGTCTAGACCGCTTCGCATCTGCCATATCTGCCAAGCGAGGTGGGGAGATGAAATCTGGCGAAGTCCAGTGACGTCCGGTCCCAAACAAAATCCCGCTTGCCAGCTGCCTGCATTTCCCACGAAACAGCTTGCCTGTCTACCAACCTCACCTCGAGTCCTTGAACCTCTTCCTGCACATATAGAACCGACACCAGCGACGAGTCGGGACTCCCTTGGAAGCGTAACGGCGGTCTTTTGGTCTCAACAGCGAATTGTCGACTGGTCCCAACAAAACCTCTAGCTTGCGATTAGGACACGAGACCACTGCGGACAGCAACAAGTCGCATAGGAACACTAACTATACCAGCGCTCCCTCCAGCAAGCAGCGACAGCCTGCGCAACACCGAGCCTACCCTCTCCAACCACTTCTCACAGCGCCAGGCCCGGTGCTAATCCACCGCAATCATGTCGGGCGAAGCATGGTACATCACCCTTCCCCCTCCCTCATCCCCCAAACTACCTTGCTAATGATTACATGCGCCAGGCTCTTCCTCCTCTCCGTCCTTCTCAACGCCGTCAACCTCTTCCTGCAAGTCTTCTTCACGATCATGTACTCGGACCTCGAATGCGACTACATCAACCCCATCGACCTGTGCAACCGCTTGAACATGTACATTGTCCCCGAAGCCGGCGTGCACGCGTTCCTGACGGCGCTGTTCTTGATTAATGGGTATTGGCTGCCGTTGCTGCTGAATTTGCCATTGGTGGCTTGGAATGGGAAGAAGTGAGTTTGTACCCTTACACAATCTTTAAATCGCGGTAGGCACATATGAAAAGGGTCCAAGGGCTCGTGGGGAGCAGAGATGTTGCAGTATGTGCAAGAATGGGTGTGCTAACATTGCGCCTCATCTAGGATCTTCGAAAACCAGCACCTCCTCGACGCCACCGAGATCTTCCGCAAACTGAACGTGCACAAGAAGGAGTCCTTCATCAAACTCGGCTTCCACCTGCTCATGTTCTTCTTCTACCTCTACAGCATGATCGTGGCATTGATCCGGGACGAGTCGGCATAGAGAGATGGCTCGGACTCGCGGTCTGTCACGAGGGATTGGCGACTTGAGAGAGTGGAGATGATCATGGTTCGGTAGACCTCTGTCTGGGAGGTTGGGAGAGGGGGAGTCGTGGGGGATATGGATAGATTGGTGGGCCTAGCGATTGTGGCAATGGCGTAGAGAAGGATCCGGAAGTGAAGGGGGGGAGTCGAGGGTGGGCGGTCTTCAGCAGCGCTGTTGACTATCGCGTGCATAGAGGAGGATGTTATGTCTGTCATGATACCCTTCAATCGTAGCGGAATGATTATTTTTCTTGGTCATGTGCGGTGCTTCATGATTATCTGACGCTACAACTACCTGCACCAACCGGAATCAAGCAAAGGTCTACACCGGCACACGTGGTCGTGCTTCATTCTTGATTTATTCACTTCTATCAGTACTCCATACATACCTAGTCATCCTGTTGTGTCCCATATCTGCCAAGCACCGCGAATATCGAGCTCGGTTAGATGTTCTAGCGTGGCGCAAGGGCAAGGGCGGATCGAGCTCTGGCCAAGGAGCATCGAGCAATCCGCCGGGCTTCCCTGCACAACATCTCCTCCACGCCGCATCGACCCTTTGTCCCACCCGCACCAGCACCAGCAGCACCACCGCGACGGCCACCGCCACCCTCCCATCCAAGACACGCTGCTGCTCGTGCCGCCAGTCACGCTCGCGCTCACGTGGTCAACACGGTATGCACACATCAACATCCTATACCGCTCCCCGTTTGCACTCTATCCATCCACTGCCCAACAAAGAATGCAACCGGAACACCACCATCGGGAACCATTGGGCCGCGACCTCCCCCTCAGCCGCAGCTTCACGTGGCATCATTCGCTTCTCGCGCGAGCTGAACCACGTCGCACGAACCGAAGTTGAGATGACATCTCGAAGCCTGACTGGCAGCGACACCCTTCCTCCCCTTCCATTCTCTTCGCGCAGTGGGACCGACGAGGAGATTGCGCGGTCGCTGACAATGTGACTAGGGCGAGCCGGGGCACGATAATAGCAGCATCCTATCTACGACAACCTACCGGTCGGTCCGGGGGGTGCCAGCGCATCGTACAGTTCTCGCTTTCTCCGACTCGAGTTAGAGAGTGAGGAGCGTGGGTGTCGCGTTTAATCTGCGACTGTGCTGTGGACGGTGAACGGGTACTAAAGTTCTGTCACTGGGGTCTTGCGAGCGACACGTCCTTCGACACCATCACTACACCACTGGACGAGCACGCGCAAATCGACAGCGATACCCGCCATCATGTCGGCGCCCTACGAAGTCAGGATGAACGATAACGGCAGGAACAAGAAGCAGTCGATGGCAGAGCTGAAGCTTAGGAGGCTCACGGAGCTTAACCAGAGGCTGCAGGAGGATCTGAACCGAAGAAGGATACCAGTGTCGGAGGCGGCGATGGAGTATGGTTACGCACCTTTGAGTACCATAAATGATGCGTGCTGATGTGTCTGCCAGTCTGATCGCCTTCACCGACAAGGAGCCGAAAGACTTCATGGTGCCCAGTCGTTGGGGCACGGTGAGTCTACCTACTCACTGTACAAGGCTGACAAGGACAATGGCTGATGATGGAACCAGATCGACAAGCGCGAAGACCCATACGCCCCTCAACAATCCAACGGCTGCTGCACAATGATGTGAACGGCATACCATACCACCTCGCCTCGCCATACCTTCCATCACAGCGAAAAGCTTCCTCAGTGTGTGTGTTCATAGCAGCGGCGTTACGCATTGGGCGGGATCGTGTCGATTTCTTCTTCCACAGCGGTGGCGAATGTCACCCATTTCCAGCGAGAGCGGTGGTGCATGGGGAGGAGAAGAAGAAGAAGAAGAAGAGTCGGCCAAGAAGCAACCTCTGGTCACTGGTGAAGCGGATACGTTCGGCTTGCGTGGTCCATAGAGGTTAGGGAGCGCTGTTGTATCATATTTGGAATAGGCTTGGTTGCCTTATTTCTTTCCTTTGCATCGAATGCTCCGAGCCTGCTGACTCTCGTAGATTGATCATTCGGTATTTGTAACGTCAGGTTATGCTGCTGGGAGCTAAGCCGAGGTGGACATCCAGTCAGTAAGTCTCCCGACGGGCGTATACAACTCTTCCAGCCCTATGAGCGACACATTTGGAATTCGTTGCGTTTCTTAGTCCGCACATATATACATGAGGTTGTCTCGACGCGAGAGTAAGTGTTGCCATTTCTTTTACTCTGATCATGACGGAAGATACCTCGCATTCAACACTTCTCAGAGAATGTTTCCAACTCACCTTCTCCAATAAAACCTCGCAAGAAGCAACTCCCAGCGCAACCATCACTCCCACCCTTTCAACCCAAGCCACCGAACCCCCATCCACCATGTCCCCCCGCTACCCCTCCCTCGACATCGCCTCTGCCTGGATCTCCCTCATCTTGCCCCTCCCCGGCCACGAAACCAGCTTCAACCGATGGTACAGCGACGACCACTTCTACGCCGGCGGCATGTGTCTCCCCGGCATCTTCGCCGGTCGGCGATGGATCGCTCCACAAGCCCTGCGTTCCTTGAATTACGCTTCAGACCCGGCTATGGCGGAAGGTGGAAGTTTCCTGCATCTGAATCTTTTCAGTAGTCATCAGTCGGATGAGGCGTATAGGGCTTTGGGGCAGACGCTGCAAGTGCTGGGCGAGGAGGGAAGGATGTACGGCGATAGTATTGAGAGGAGGCATTTGTATTCCGCCATCACGCCTTATGAGGGAGTAGTGTATCGGGATGGGGAAGGGTTTGGAGAGGGGCCGATGGACATTCACGCCCTGGATTATCCTTTTCAGGGTGTGGTGGTTGAGATCGTGGAGGCTAAGAGTGGTGAGGGGAGGGTGGAGTTGGTGCGGTGGTTGAAGGGGGAGTTTGTACCTCGGAGGCTTGAAGGGAGTGATGTGGTGATGTGTTTGGTTTTTCGGCATGAGGATCTGCCGGAGGGTGTGAGGAGTCCACGGTTGCCGGGGAAGTGTCCTACGGGGGATAAGAGGGTGGTGTTGTTGTGGTTTGTGGAGGGTGATCCGAAGGTGTGTTTGGAGCGGGATTTTGGTGGACATGTGGAGGAGGTCAAGGAGAAGGCGTTGGGTGAGGTGGTGTTTTTAGGACCGTTCGTTCCTACTGTGCCCGGGACGAATAGGTATGTTGATGAACTGACATGATTAGCGATATCATGGGATGCAAAAGTATAGTGTCTCTGACGTAGAGCAGCTCTTTGCATTCCCGGAAAATTGTGTGCGCTCGAAAGCGAACGACGCCGCAAGCGATTTGCGAATCAAGGTGAGTACATAAAGCATGACTTACTCTTGCAAGGACAGTTGGAAATGGGACGATGCATCGGTGTATCCTCCATTTCTAATAGCTCGTCGAGGAGAGTGCCACGGTATCCAACACAACCAGCACAAAGTACACGGCGTGCTTTCATCCGCATCAACATATCCATCCATCCCCAGTCACCAGTCCGAGAACATCCTTCAAGCTTTGTTGTCGCTTACGACATGATCGTTCTAATGTCGGGGTGGGTGTGATAGCCCTGGGACAGACTCATGGCTGTGCCCATGGTTAACCGAGGCTCTCAGACCGATGGTGACACTCTTTCCTTCTTGAGTATCTCCAGGCACTCAGCACGAGAAACGAAGCTGCCATCCATCATGTTCTTAGCATATGCCTTAGAGGCAGGAATGCCTTCTGAGGCCACTCGCTTGATCTAGACTTTCCGTTAGCAGAAGATAAGAATACCAGGGGGAACCGAAAGTAACCAAGACTTACCAGACCCAAACCTATCTTCACTTGCGGGTTGTGCTCCTGCAGAAAAGTCCAGTACGATTTCACATTGCGCACCTCCGGAGAATCGGCATCGCGGATCTCGCTCGTGGCTTTGATGGTGAGCTCGAACAGTTCGCGCAAGAATTCGATGGACGGAAGGACGATGAACGTGTCCATGTTCTGGATCTGAGCGAGCAGGGCCATAGCAGCCGAGAAGTAGGAGTCGCCGATGATGACACCTGACATGCCCTCCGCTTCCATGATACGTGCCGTGAGGAAGCTGTATGCAACCTTCTCGCGGTAGGTCAGGCTGCTTCCGCTTTCTCTCGGTATCCCACCTCTTTCGGCGCGTTGGGCGTCAGCGGCAGTTGGCATGGCTTCGAAGCGCCTTGACACCAGGGATTGGAAAAGCTTTCGCCGGATGTCGCTCATGACCAGCTCCCTGCCAGTAAGAGAGCACACTCTACACTCGCACACGAAGCGGTGAACGCGCATGAGACCTTGGTGCCTCTCTGCTCGGGGACCGTCCAGATGTTCGCCACGGTAGGTGATGAAAATTTCTTCGCCCTTGTTGATCTTCCTTGTAGCAACGAGCGTCGTCTCGGCCACGCCGCCGAAACCGCCCATCTCAGCATTTGGAACACAGGAGTGGTTGAGCCGTGCCATCTTCAGGTAGATGACGCTGTCTCCCTTCTCGGACTTCGCATTCGTAAGGTAGATTCGCACGATCTTCGAGCCATTTATCGTGGTGTCGTCGCGAAGCTGAATGATCTCCTGTTTTTCGGCTGGGCTGAGTGCGAGAAAGGCTTGCTGAACTTCTGCTTCCGCTTGCTTCTCTCTATGATCTCGTCTCCAGAAGCCGACGATCTTCATCCGGCCATCTTCGCGCATGATAAGGTCGCCGGCCTTGATGTTCACAGTCGCGAACATGCCTTTGCCTTTGCCCGGCGAATCCTTGACTTCGTAGAGCTTAGGCATGGTAGTGGAAGCCGGTCAGACTGACAAAGATGGATGAGAATCTGTTGATGTGATAGGAGAACAGGTTGCAGTAACGTCAGAAGAAGCCAAACAAGTGAAACATCACAAACGAGTGAGGTTTATGCTTCGACAATGGTCTGGAAACTTCCAATCCGCTAGCAGCATGCTGTGTAACAGTGGTGTTTGGCATGTGACAATGAAAGGACGACACCTCGAGCCGACCTCACCTCGTTCCCGAGCTGGTTTTTGCGAGAGGCGACCTTCCATACCTGTGGGAACGTTCCAGCAAAGAAGATAAGTCCAAGAAAGCTCACCTACATCCCCCTGTGTTGACATCCATCGGTCATCAGAACTGGTTGGAATACTGAAGTTCAACTTTTCATCTTCCATTCATCTCCCATTGTCTAGTTAGAAGAAAAAACAGAGTATGACTTACACATCCTTTGGGGCTATTACCGTCGCAGCCTTGATCGCTTGCTCTTCCGCAGAACAAAGCTCCCAATCTTGTGTCTACGTACCCAGCCCAACCACACCCTCCATCCGGATAGATTCGTGTCCCCTGGCCACTCTGTTGTTCACGCATTCTGCTCTGGTTCGGTATCCACGCTCCCCAAGATCACCCACTGGAGCTTGCTGAAAGATCTCCAAGACCCAGGAACCCACTACTATCCGTCGACGTGCTGGAGCCGCAGACGGACGAGGATGTGTTGCCCACATCATTTTTCTCAGTCTGACAGGAAGAGCCTGCACCAGATGAGCAACCGCCGAGGAATTCTGCACGAACCAGAAAGGTCAGTCTCGTGCTCTCTTAGATTGGGGCTGGCATGGAAGGACTAACGACATGAAGAGCTAGAAGAGGCACTCGTCTCGTTACCACTGGCAGCCCCAGCGCCGGTGCAGCCCAACAAGCCGCAATCGGTGTCGGTACTGGAGGTCTGTCGACGTTCGACGCTCAAGATGTCCAGCGAGCGCGTGATGAGTTCGGCTGGACGAAGGCTGCCTCCCAATAGCGAGGTGCGTTTGAAGATTGGTGAGCTTTCCACGAGCGGGCTGGTGGCGAGCAGGATCGCGCAGACTGCGGTTTGGAAGAACAGCATGGTTGAGGCGGGTGGTTGGTGGCGATAGAACTGCGATGGAGAGGAATCTTTCGCAGCGAGCGAGGTGCGGGCTCTATGAAGTGTTTGCAGTCCACGGCCTAGCCTGTAGGTTGCCCACCGGTATCTTCGGAACGAGGTGTGCTGTTCATTGTTGCACAGCACGAAAAGCTGTCATCATGAAGTCTGCAAGCTTTGGTCCGTGGAACTGCCTTGGAAGTCTAGAGCCCACAAGTCGTGACATGCGTTCCAATGGCATGCAAAGCAAGAGACAGCGAAAACGGCATGTTGGGAGGGTTTGCACGGAGGGAGGTTGGTGGACTTGGACATCTTCTCTCGAAGTCGATTTGCATTCGAAGTGGCCACCTCGCTCTTCTCGGTTGATTGCCATGGTTCGTGAGAAGATCATTCTTCTTACAGGCTGCAACCAGTATCGGTCACTTGCCTGGTAGTAGAGCAGCTACTGGAGCATTGTCGGGAGAAGAGAACCCGCGGCAATATGGAGACTTGGCAACATACGCGGTGCTTGCATGAATTGCTCATGCACAACGCCTCCCATATCCAGTCTCAGCTCCAGCCCTGCAGATTGGCGTTCGCCTCTCTTCCACAGCTCAAGAAGGTACCGAGAGGCATTTTTGTGCAAATGACAGCCTGCAGGGCAAGCCAGCACATGCAGAGCCCTCGGGATAGCCATTAGCAATCGCGTTACTTCCAGATTTGAAGCCTTGTTTGGCTTTCTTGATAGCAAGAAAAATCCGAAGGTTTTTCACCACAGCGTTCCCGCGCGGAGGTCTGCTGTTTCCAGTATTGGACGGAGCAGGTCCTGCGCAAGTGTAAACCATATCGTAGCTCCCAAGACACAGAAGCCTTTCCGTCCATGCCGGACGCAAGAGAGACTTCTTCAAGAAGCACCCATCCAGCGGACTGTCATGGAAACCGTATGTTGCTTTTCGCCTTTGAGAACTGTCGCGATTGTCTCGCCGCCGGGCTGCCGGCTGGTGTCCACACCTTGAAACTTAGGCAGTGATGCCATGATGAGGCCCAGATAGCTCTTGGAGCAGAGCATGTGTTGGGTAGCACCGCTGAGACCGGGTGGACTCCTCGGGTCGCACGCTCCGGGGCATTTTAAGTCGCAAGGATGTTGAGGAACAATAACGTCAGATAGGATGAAGTCGAGGCGAGGAGGACTGTTGCCCGGAATCTGCCGAGAGGTTGCCCCATCTGAGATGGGGGCGATTTGAGATCTTTTGGGACTACTTCCTGCCTTTCCACCTTTAGTAGAGCCTCGTCCAACGACAAAACATGTATTATGATTGGTAACAAAGAGCAATAAATCCGCGCATATTCTATGAAAGGAGTTCTGGGGCTACAAAGACCAGATCAGGGAGGAAAGGTCATGCGAGGCCGTACTTGTGGCATGAATGGGAAGCGAACTTGGGAAGGACCGAATGGAAATGGAAAGCTGCCAAATCATTGACTTGTTGCTTGTTCTCTTACTGGCCTTGTAGCACGCCTTGTTTTTGCATCTGCAGCGTGCTCTACCAGGACGACGTCAGGTTCGACCAGCCCAACGAATCTCTCAGATCAAGCTGCTCAGCCAACATGAGCCTTGCCCAACAACGACATTGAATCGAGCAGCATACAGCGCCTCTGAAGACCTCGACAGGTGAGGCTCAAACCGACGAAGATTTGTTCTTCTTGACGCCGCTCCTCTCTTTTCGAACAATGGCCAGACATTCTTCCTGTGACAGGAACATGTTCTTAGCAGAGTCCCAAGCGAATGCCACATGATCTGGAATGCCTTCCCTACGTGCATTCTCGACCTAGAATTGATGTTAGAAATTACAAGCTGAGGAGGTCATCGCAAGACTTACCATCTTCTTCCCAGGTAGCAGGTGTCGATTGCGCTTCTTGAGGAGCGACCAGAAAGCTTCCATGTGCTGAAGTTCTTCGGAACCGTTCTTCCGCACTGCTCTCACCCTCTCGAGAGTGAGTTCGAAGCATTCGTGCACCAGCTTCACAGCCCGAAGGACGGTGAACGACTCCACGTTGATCTGCGCCAACAGGGCTTGAGCTGCCGACAGATACGCGTCCGCGAGGGTCAAGCCGTTCATGCCCTCCGCTTCCATGATCCTAGCAGTGAGGAATCCATACGCTGACGTCTCACGATAGGAAAGCACGCCTTGCCCCTCGTCCACAGCACCTCGCTTCCCGCCGGCGTTCTCACCAGTGACCAGCTTCCCTAGGTCGTCACGCGTCGGTCCCGATCCTGCGCGCTTCCGCGAGAGTGCAACATACAGCGACCGCCTCGCGTCGCTTAACCACAAATCCATCCCCGTCAAATTGCAGACCACGCAGTCGCACTGGAAGCCGTAGGTACTATTGAAGAATTCTTGCCTGGTCGCTCTCGCGCCATTCGCATGCCATCCGCAGTAGCTGACGAAGACTTCTTCCCCCTTCTTGATGTCCCGTATAGCGATCAGCTTCGTCTCTTTCTCGTTGTGCATTTCCGCAAGCTCGCAGTTCGGCCGACACGAGTGGTTGACCCGGCTCATTTTGAGGTACACGACGGAGTCTGTAGCTGCTGGGCCGCTGCTGAAGGCGTTGGAGCGGTAGATCCGCATAAGCTTGGAGGGGTACTTGTCGGTCGGGCCTTCGTGAAGCTGCATGAACTGCATCCGGCGGGCAGGGCTTAGAGCCTTGAAGACTATCTCGATCTGGCGGTCGTCGACGTGGAACATGAAGTTAGGAATCTTCATGCGTGCTTCGTCGTGCATGATGATGTCGCCAGGCCGGATGTTGACTCTGGCGAAGACACCCATGCCTTTGCCGGGAGAAGCCTTGATGTCGTAGACGCTCGCCATGGTCGTGAGAATGAGAGTGACCTGTGGTCACATGGAAGCTATGTGAACTAAGGCCAAAAGAGAGGAATCTGGGTGGTGACAAGTTGGTCGTGACATATCCGACCCAAACGGGCGAAGAGGTAGGGTCTTGGAGTGCACGCTTCGTCGTTTGCTCGTTTGCACCTAGAAAGTTCGAGCGGCCCAACAGCGGCTTGTGTTACATGGCTGTTTGCATGCATGAAGTGACGTCTCGGAAGGTTGACTTGACCTCGTCCCCGACAACACGAGAATGAGTAGTTTGAGGAACTCGATTAACGATGTGTTTAAGATTGCGTAGAAAGCCTGAGGTTATAACATTGTCACTTACATGCTCAATGGCAAAGAAATGCCTTGACTACCGCCCTTGGCTACCCTCCACCACAATTTGTCCACCAGGTCCGCGTAGGAGAGTGTGAGTACTCACCTCTGCAAAGCCTCCTTTCACCTTCCTAGAGCTCATAGCATCCATCCTATGCCCGCCTCCGGGCATGCTCTTTCCACGCCATCGTGCTGGACACTCCTGTCCTCAAGCGATTGCGGTACGCACGAGGTTGAACCACGCTCGGGATAACACATCCTTCCATTTTGCCCGTCCTTCAACCTAGGAATACTCTCGCCTAGCCCGATCCTCCTGCGCCCCTTGCAGTGGTTTCACGCAGTCCTGAGCCTCGGATTCCTCGACCTGGACGCGATCCTTGGTCTTGCCAGGAGCACGGGTTGCGTCTTGCAGAGTCGGGTCCCATGGATGGAACGAAGTCTTGCTCCTTGGTCGTGCTCGGTCCCGCAGGTTGCCTCGTATCCTTACCTGGACATTCCGAAAGGAGATCAAACCTGCATCAAGGTCTTGTCCATCCTCATCCTGCCCACCTACAAATTTCGTCTCAGCCTACGCCTGAGCGCCTGTGAGCCCGAGATGTAGTTGATCACGGTGTGCCGTGGCGTGCGCTGATGAGGTCCGGTTCCCCACGCCAGCAGGGCTCCAGAATAGAGACTTTGGTGTCTCCTATAGAACTAGCATTAGGCTAAATGCTCTGTAGGACACACGATCACTTGCTTTGAGCAACTGTGGGCATTGGAACGCCGTTTTGGCTTTTACTCATTGTCCAGCGTGCTGCAGCAATACATAACCTCCGACGATAGTCACGTGCAAGCATCCCAGCAGTGTTATTTCCGCCGGCCGCGCGCAGCAGTGGCACTAATTCGGGCCTGCCGCGCGATCGACGCATCCTTGCAGACGAACGACCGCTGGGTTGGGTTGGGTCAGAGGGCGGGAGGTCGGTGGTGCAAAGACAGCTTCCCTACAGCGACCGTTACATCGTTTGGGAGGCTGCAGGCTGCAACAGATGTCATAGCACTCCTGAACGCTTGGAACATGGCGCCATCGTTGCGCGCTCGGCACTGCTGCATCTGGGGAACGGCCGTGAGGTGTGATTTGGGAATAGGTTTAGATAGACACCACCCAATCACATCTTCTCCTCTCGCCGGCGGATGATTGATGAGGTCGCTGGCGGGGCTGTGGACTCTTCCCTACACTCTACTGATGATACAGAGGAGGTTGCGTTGTTGCGCCTGCTGGACGGCTGGATGGCAGCGCCTAAGCCCCGTTTCCAACCTCAATCGGACGCACATGGAATCTTCGTTCATCCTACGAATGGAAGATCGTTGATTGAGGCTGAGACCTCGCCGCCGCTGGCGTGGGGAAAGCCGGCGCAGGCAAATCTGTTACGCAGACCCCATCAGCTTCGGCGCGGGGGGTGGGTAACGTGGGAGGTGTGATGCGCAATTCTGCTTTCTTCCTGCTCTCGCCTCGGAGGCGGAGGCGAGGCTCCCCAGCTAGCTCGTTACCATCGCTCCAGCGGCAGAGCAATTTGGCAGTTGAGTGGGTAGTCGAGGTAGTGCTCGTTAGCCTGCGGCGTGAGCTCGGGTCCACTCTTTTTCTTCGACGGTGGCAGACACCCGGCACTCGACATCTGACCGCACCCCCCTCCCTCCCTTCCTCCTCCCTCCTCCCTCACTGTCGCTACCGCCGCCAACACCCCCTCGGCCCTCCCCGAGCACCGGACAGCAGACGATCCAGCGGGCGGGAGAGCGCATGAAGCGTCGTTGACTCAAGGCCGCTTGCCCGGCATCACGATAGCGCGGAACCTTACGAGGGAGTTCAAAGCCTGCTCGATGATCGATAACTGCATCGCCAGCGCCCACAACCTCCACCACGCGCGGTGGAGGCCGTCGTATCCCAAGTGACTCGGCCCATCTCCTTTACCGAACCAAAACAACGCCCGCGAAGCCCAATACACATTACCCCACCATGAACGACACCGGAGACTTCGACCCAATGGCGCATCTGCCGAACGAGTTGGACGATTTGGACAATCTCTTCGAGTTTGGAGACATTGATCTGAACAACATACCCGATGCGGATGCGTTCGGCAACCAGATGTCGCAGCAGCAGCACCACCACCCGACCACTCATCCCAACACTCCATTCCAGGACATGAGCCAGCCTCCGCCAATCCAAGGCACGTGTGCACATGATTTTGGCGGGCATGAGCAATTTTCGATGGCGCAAAACATGATACAAGTCCAACAGCAGCAACAGAACACGATGCCATACAATGCTGAGCCGATGTACCAGCCTTCTATGCCGCCACTTTACAACCAGCAAATGCCAGGCTATCCGATGCATACCCAACCTGGATATCCACCGAACCAGCAGGTTGTGCCACCGACACCGAACAGTTATGAAATGCATGGCTTGGCGGGTCGGTTCATGCAGCAGCAGCAGCAGCAGCATCAACAATTGGATCCGCAGCAGCGTGCCATCCTGGAGCAGAGGTATGGCTTAAGAAAAGAGGACGCCATTGCGTTCACACCAATGGTATCGCCCGCTGGAACACCGCAGTACAATCTGCTTCCAGAGTTCACCACCCCCGGTGCCTACTTCTCACCACTCACATCGCCGATGCTACATGCTCAGAATCAGCAACACCATTACCAGCTTCAGCAACATCAGCAAGGGTACCTAACCAATCCGAGCACCGCTCCAAGCTCCAACACCAACTCACCAATCGACCCGCAAATGGACGTCGACATGGGCAACGCCACTTCACTCCCGAGCTCGACGGGACCACAGCCCCGAAAATCCACCAGGAGGAAGATCGCGACAACGAGAGGCGCCGTAGCACCCAAGTCGACCCAGCCTACGGCTAAGAAGTCGCAGAAGCGGAAGTCGTCAGCGCAACTACAACAACAGCCGGAGACTCAGTCAGAGGATCTGAGCTTGCGCGCTGTTCAATCTCAGCCAATATCGGCTATCAGGCGCATGCCGACACAAATTGACAGCTCGGAAGCAGAGAGTATCAGCCCTGAACCGCTGAGCGAGAACGTAATGGGACCGCCGCCCCGACCTGGATCCAAAACTCAGTCACCCGCTATCAGTGGAAGGCAACAGTCTGCCGGTGCAAAGGCCGTATCTTCTGCTGCTACGCCGAAGTCATTGCTGACTATGCGGCCTGGGCAGCATGCTGCGAACGGACAAAATAGTGTAGAATCAATATCACAGTCAGGGGTACAGGATCCCGGAGGGTTGGACGATCTTGCACTTCCGGAGGCTGCATCAGGCCAGCACTCACAAAGACCTTCTGTGGCTCAGATCAACACGGATGTGGACGAGGACGAGACCACACCACGCATCTCTGCGCGAAAGACGCCCAAGCTTGGTCCGTCGAGCACTCCTGCCTCTGCGTCGGTCCCTCAGTCGCCAGTTCCCATGTCTCCCATGACTGGAAGCACACCTTCTGCGATTCTTAGAGATAGGAAGGACGGTAAGGGCGCGAAAGGTAGCAAGAAGCGAAGTGGGAGCGTGAGTGCGAACGGATCGAAGATGGTCTCGCCTGCTCTGGTCCCCAAGATTAGTCCGAGCATCAAACCTCTTCTTCCCGAAGGCAGTAAGCGTCATCCCTCCAGACATCCATAATCCTAATACTGACATAAAACAGCTCCCCTGCACTCTGCGACCCAGGCCATGCTCCTCGCTTCCAAATCCAACTACCAGAACCTCGTCGAAGGCAACCGCCTCCCCGGCGTCAACTACCCAGACTCCCTTTCCACCGGCCTAACATCCAAACGCACCTCCCACAAAGTCGCCGAGCAAGGCCGCCGCAACCGCATCAACGACGCACTCAAGGAAATGCAAGCACTCATCCCCAAACGAACGGCCCAATCCCCTGGTTCGAAGGATACGGCCGCTGCAGAAGCGGACATGAGTCCTGATGTAGGCGATGACGGGAAAGACGAGGGCGGCGTGAAGAGCAGTGCTAGTAAGGCTGCGACGGTGGAGTTGGCGAACGAGTATATCAAGAGGATGCAGAAGGATTATGCGAATCAGAGCGCGATGATTGAGCGGTTGCAAAGGGAACGGGAGGAGTTGGTTCGGAGGCTGAAGACGGGTAGTGGGACGGAGGCGAGGAGCTCGAGTGAGGAGGCGGGTGAGTGTTGAGGTGTTAACGGAATTGGGGAGGCGAGTTGCCTTTGTTCCGTTTTGGAGGGATTGGAGCAGTGCAAAGAAGCACTACCCTGGGACCGGATGTAATGCCGGAACGATAATGTATTGAGGGTTTTGCGAGGTGTTGCAAGGATGGGACATGCTGTGCTAGGCGGCTGTCGTTCGAAATGGATGCTTTCGGCTGGCGAGCGAGCGAGCGATATGACTGAGACGGCTGGCTGTAGATACCCGTTCGACTATGATACGTCGATTACACAAGAATATTGAAGATTCTCCAAGACCTGTGGAGAGCTTCGGAACGGATCCTGTACAGGCTTCGACACAGACCCGCTCGATATAAGTGCTCTCCTATTGGGACTTTTCGAGCATCTGATCGTGCTGTGTTCGATGATATGCCCTGCCAGGTAACATCACGTGACTATTTTCGCCATGCATCCGCATTCGGAAGGAAGCTCTTGGCATAGCATATCTCAAAGGCAGAGCAGCATCGAACATAGTACCAACACATCGACCACTACAATCTCCACGACCTCCGATCCATCTGATTCCGAGGCCCACTGGGGCATTTCCGATCAACTCTCGCGCCCACCGCACCCTCGCCGTCCATCACAGCCATGATGCTCTCAAGACCAACCCGCCATGTCCTCCCTCGCTTCCTCCACGCCCGCACAGTCCGACCTCGCACACATACCATACGAAGCGCAGCGCCTCTACAGCCCTCCCCAGTACTCCGCCGATCACAGCGATCCTACAGCACCCTCCTCGCCCGCACCACAACCCCACAACGACGACAACCCTCCTCCTCCTCCCTCCTCAACGCCTTCCAGAACCTTAGCCTCGATCGCTCGCGAACTACACAGGCAGTGGTCGCGCGACAACAGATAAGAGGCATGAAAGTGCGCAGCTCGGTGAAGAAGCTGTGTGACGGGTGCAAGAGCGTGAAGCGGAAGGGGGGAAAGTATGTTTATATTATTTGTAGTAAGAATCCTAAGCATAAGCAGAGGTGAGTTAGTATCCCTTAGAGGTAGTTGTGTAGACGAGGGAGAAGGGAGACTGTGTGGGTGCTGACTGTTTGGCAGGCAAGGATGATTGATGCTGCGATGTTTGTACGATCATTGAGGAGGGCATGGCAGCATAGCGGACGGCGCATTGAAGACCGTGGAGGCACGTTATGAGGTTGAGTGAGGGCCAAGAGCTGGACGGTATATACATGTGCATACAAAAAGATACCCGGCCCATGCCTGCGCTTGACGTGGTGACAACGACTTTTTCGCAGCATCTTCAAGAAGCTCACGTCGCTGAACGAGGGCCGACAATGTCGGTATGATCTAAAGTTCTTCGTGTCATTCTCTCCGTCGCTCCCCGCCAGTTGGTCGATGAGAAGGGTACGCTGCTGGTGGAATCAACGCTCTCGCATCCGACATACGCACGTACGTATACGCTTCTTATCTGCCCGAGGCGGCCGACCAACATCTGGCCCGGTTGCAAGCATATAGCCGTCTGGCCGCTCCTTGTCACACTGCTGGACTTGTCGTCGTTGCAGCGGCCGCAAACAGGTAATCAAAGACCAAGAGTGACCCTCGGACTCCAAAGCTCGGTATTTGGAGTCTGAATTGAGCACAGCCAACAGGTCTTGAGCTTACCGAACCCACTCAACTGCGTCTCCAAGACTGATGAATGCAACCCTCTTCCACCGCTGGGACCCTGAGAACTGCACCTCGCAATCCTAACAAGCTTCCGGAGATATGGCGTAGCTGAACCTGCTCGAATGGAAGTGGGGTCGTCAGAGGTGAGGGGCACTGTTGCTCGGTACGCATGGGCAAACAGTATATAATTCTGTGAGACCCTACCTCGGTCTGATTCTTTGCGAGAGCATTGATACCGACAAACAAAAAAGTGAGTCTTGCTCTCTGGAAGCTTTCGACGTCGAATACTGACCATACCAAACGACAGTACTAAGAGAACAACACCACAACAGCAACCATGCCCGGCGCAACCACCACCGTTGTCTATCCCAAGGGATGTAGCTTCAACATGGTTCGTACATACATGCCCTCTCTCACCAGCAGAGCTCTCACTGACAACGTTCGAAAATCAGGACTACTACCTCTCCACCCACATGCCCCTCGTGGCAGATACCTGGGGCTCCTACGGCCTCAAGTCCTGGAAAGTCATCAAGATGGGCGAGGACTCTCCTTACTCCGTCCAGGCGACGCTGGAGTGGGGCTCCATGGAAGACTTCCAGAAGGCGGCTTCCAGCGAGACGGCGGCGAAGGTTATGGGTGATGTGCCGAACTTCACGGACGGCAGCCCGACGCTGATGAGCGGGGATGTTGTTGGGACGAGCTAGGTTGGCTATGTGGACGGGAGGCTTGGAAGCGAGAATCCGTAAGAGAAAGGGTCGAATATCTGACGAGGTTGATACTGTTGTACAGACGATACTTTTGCTCGGCCGTTGTACCGTTCATATCTTCGCTTCTGGCCGTGTCCCACCTCCGACAGTGTTAGATACAAAGCTGTCTTCCACTTCTTGCCAAAATGTTGTTGGCTGCGGTGCTTTTGAATCCAATTGCTTCATCATGTGCTTGCTGTCCGTTGTCAGCAAGTGCGCCATTCAGAAGCATCCATCCGGTTTTGGCTTACACAACTTCCTGATGTTCCGGAGCTTCACCATGATCATCCATGGCCTCCCGATCGATGTATCGAGCAAACAGCATTACCTCTTTCGGGGCCTTTGGCCTCGTGAAGACGGCGTAAGTGAGCACGCCAGGCTCGTTCTCCTTCACCCATCCAGCGAAATCACTGCGACGGTCAGCCTTGGAACGCAGCTGAAAACATCCGAACGTACGACAGCAGGTTCACAATGGCATCACGGTCCTTGCACATAAGCTGACTCAGACTGACCAGCGCAGGTCCGGATGTCGTGGCATCAACATCCCTCGCAACAAAGCCAGCAGCAGGATACCATGCCGTATGCTCTGCGGGCTTTCCGTAAAGCTTCTCGTCCTCGACGGCTTGGCGATAGGGTTGGAAGTACTTTGGATCGTTGAGTTGATCCGAGAATGCTTGCTTGGTTGTGTAAATCTCAAGCCCACAGATGGAGAAGTCGTTCTCGTCAGCAAGCTTTGAGGACTTGCTGTATGACCATGTGGAACAGTTCGCAGCTGGTGATCGATAGTACTCTCGTGCGGATCTTCGAAGCATATCAAGACACTGAGGATATTAGCTGGGTGGTTGAAATAGGATGTTGGATTGACTGACTCTTGTTTGCTTGTCCTGCGTAGCGGGATGCAGCATGCAAAGCAGTGCTATGGTTCCGTCTCCCATGCTTCGACATGAAGTTGTACGGACCAAACGCTCTGAACAGCATGACTTGCATCTAAACATCGACACTGCAAGAGCTCCCCATTAGCCTGCACCTACAACTACCTCGGTCCTCCCCACATCCAAGAAATGACAGCCTGAAGATTTAGATTGCTCGATTCTCTTCAAGTCTCGGATCAACACGCCTCCCCACCGTCTGCCGCCGAGTAGTTGAACAGCGCATCCAGGTCCACTCGACGATAGTACGACATATGCCCAAAGCTTGTCCAGTATTGACAAAGCGTATCGTGAGACACCATGATCAGCTGCGATGGCATCCATTCGTCTATTTCCACTAAGTCAGTCCAGCTCATCAATGAACAATCAGTCGTACTCACCCATCTGGAAACCATGGTGAGCGATATGCCCCGCAGATCTCACGATCCTCGCACCCCGGAACACCTCCTCGTCTGCAATCCGCACCAATCCGGCATGTCCAATGTCCGGCGCAATGAACGTATGCTCGCCTCGTGGTATGTTGATATCGCCAGTCAATTTGATAGCTTCGATCCTTCCAGTTGGAGCATCTTCGCGGTCGCTGTCGGCTTGCGTAGACCAGTCTTCGTCTGGATTAGAGGCCAACACAGGCCGATCGTTTCCTTGGAAGTAGCCTTGGAGCGGGTCTATGCCTTCGGGAAGTGGCCCTGCCTCATCCTTGGTGAGCTGTCGTACGACGATGAACTCGCAGCCATGCCCGCTGTAATCGCCACAGTAGATCCCTTGCCACGGCTTTTCCGCTGTCGGCATGTAGCAAGATCTAGGAAGTGTAGCGTAGGTCGAGATGTCCTCCGGCATCCGTATGCTCATGCCACCATCGCCGTTCGTCGATACAGTAGTCGTGAGAGTACGTCCGGTCAGGCCAAGTGCTGCCGCAAGACCATTTGGAGAAGTGAAGTCAAGCAGTCGCGGGCTGGAGCGACGTCCGTTGTATTCAACCCACTTTCGCAGTCTGAAGTTGCTCTCACTGACCTCGCTGAGTGCATTTGGTCGATGTCCAGCCGACTCGTATGAGTCTTGCGTGGAGTTGCGCGCTCGTGTTGTCGCTGGGAAGCGTAGAGGGGGCCACGCTCTGATCCCGTCAAACATCGCAGCCTCAGGGATCGCGCGGCATAGCATGAATGAGCTGAACAAGCCGGACTCAGCGTGCATTTCCATGATCACCTCCTTGCTATACTTCGACGGTTGGCCATAGCCCCTATCGCTGGGAAAGTTGTTTGGCTGATCGTCGGTCTTCTGGCTGTCTGCACCCAGTCTGAGTACCGGTCGTTCCAAGTTGAGTCCAACGTACGGATCAAAGCTATGGATGATGACATCGAGGTCCTTCTCCCATCGCTGGAGCGTATGAGATGTCCGAGATGCGACGATTGCATGTGCTACAATCGCCCCTTCATTTCCATCGTAGCGGCAAATGACGAGCTTGCCATTTGGGAACGTGTCTGCGAACCAGATCTGATTGCGTAGAAGAAACCAGTATGGATGGTGCGCAACGTATAGCTCGCGGAACGATTTAAGCGGCCTGGAATCCAAGATTGGCGTAGGAGAGTGCTCGTTGACATGCGGTTGCCAGATCCGATCGTCGTAGCTCTGCGTGCGTAAGGCGTTGCACGTTTGAGCAACTCTTGCCAGGCTGAACGGATTCAGGAAGGATAAGATGTGTTGAACTAGTTCGGCAGGTAGCCTCAGCAATGGAGGAACCTCTTCGGCCATCTTCACTGGACTCGCGGTGTCCAAGAGAGTCGTCCAGGGCGCAAAGATCAGTATATCCGATGATCAAGGATGACTTAGCTAATCCTCGGGACTCGCATGTACATGCAGCCAAGGTCTGTTTGAGGCCGAGAGAGGGATGTACTGAGTACCAAAGAACCAGGATACCAGGTCTCAAGCAAAGTATCACGGCAAAGGTTATCGTCGTCGTTGTGTCACGGAAAGTTTAGCAAATTCTTGCACAATGAGTTGTCATTGATGTCTTTCCCGAGCGCCGACCACGATAGGAAGGTGTGAAGAAAAAGCTTGAACACCTCGGTCTCGCCGTGATCGGTCTGGACCAGATCGAAGACACATGTGTTTGCGACCACTGTCCAGAGATGGCTAGTCGAGCGAAATGCGTCGGGGAGGCGGTCTTCGTTGGACCGTAGAACAAGTGATGGACAAGGATGTGAAGCGGAAGGAACCTGCAGGGCTGAAGACGGCATGAGACAACCGAGGCCAGCGTCAGCAGCGACCGACGAAGGTTCCTCGAAGAACGGTCCGCTAACTGTTGACATTGATTCAAACGCTGAGGCAAACCTTCGCCCAAATGATCACCCGTAGGCTCAATTGATGCACGACCGCGATGCTACATGCTACCTCACTCAACCCAACCATAACTCCACGCTCAAAATCCGCTTTCACCAAATGCAATACACTGCACACCACATCAACCCCACGGAGACTGCTGCTGCTGGCCACCAGTCGCCTGTCCAGGCCGTGGAAATACAGGTACGGTCTCCAAGCCCTCTAATCCTCCCATCGTCGCCTGCGGTCCGTGTTGCCAGCCAGCACCTGTTTGCTGGTTCACAAAAGCAGACTGTCGGAAGGGATTCGTACTGCCTGTGGGCTGTACTTGCAGCGCGTTGGGAGTAGCACTTTGCTGGGGCGTGATGTTGCGAGCGAAGGGGTTCGTGCCGGTGGGCTGAGCCTGCATTGTTTGGGGCTGCTGTTGCTGTTGTTGGGGTTGAGGCCAAGCTGTCTGGGACTGTTGTCCGAAGGGACTTCCAGAGACGGGAGGAGTGCCCATGTTACGTCCGAAAGGGTTGGTAGGCTGCCTCTGCATTCCCTGGTTGGCCTGGCCGTCGAACGCCATTGATGCTGCGCCAGTCGGCATGGTAGATTGGCGAAAAGGGTTGGTTTGTTGTTGTGGTTGTTGTGGCTGTTGTGGTTGTTGTGGTGACTGCATCTGAACAGGACTGGAGTACTGATTTTGATCTTGTCCGAAGGCGTCCCCACCGACGAACTGTTGCTGAGGTTGGGGTCCATAGCCTCCGAACCCAGCTCCTGTGAATTGGGTGCTAAGGGGTTGTGGTTGGTTCTGCTGCTGAGGTGGCTGCTGAGGCGCCTGTTGCTGTTGCATCTGCAGAAACGGGTTCGTGCCGGTAGGCTGGTAGCCATTTACACCGGTCGGCTGACCTTGCTGGAAGCCGGTCTGCTGAGGTGGTTGCTGGAATCCAAAGGGCTGCTGCTGTTGTTGAGGGGGGAAAGCATCGGGCTGAGGCTGTTGCTGAAAGTGAGGCACGTTTTGTGCCATGGGCTGCTGATTCTGCTCGATTGACTCGAAGAAGTCGATCAGGTCCGGTGCTGGGCCCTTGGGCGGCTGACTAGGAGCCGCAGGTTCAGCGGCTTTCGACGGCCCAGCAGTAGTCGGAGCAGCTGCAGGCTGTGGTTTGGATTGTGGTTGTGCTGGCTTCTGTACAGGCCTCCCTGTCCTCTTTGCATCCTGCTCTGCTATGTACTGCCTCCGATTGGTTTCGAAGTCCGTGTCGTCCAAGTATTCTTGCAATGACTTTGCTAAGCTCGTCGGCGCATGCTTGATCTTTGGTATCTCCAGCCTCGTGGCATGCTCAAATTGCCGTGCCACGCTCAAATATTGCACCACCTCATCTGTCTGCTTGCAGAACCTCTTGTATATCTTAATCGCCCGCTCGGCGTCTGGTCGTGACATCTCAAAGTAATGGCTGAGAACGTTCATCATCGCCTCGTTTTGTACATGGTACAGGTCCAGTAGGTCCCTCGTCAACAGCCGGAACGCGGTCAAAGATATCTCGTTTTCCATATCATTCGACAGCAGGTCGCACTTCACGAGAGCACCGACCTGCTTCTGTAAGACCTCCGTCTCCCGCAACAGGCCTTTGTCTACTGTCAAGCCCTTGACTCGAGCTTCTCCCGCTCTTACATAGTCGCACTTGCTGGCACCGAACGCTTCCGCACGCGCGAGCAGATAGTCGGAGTAACGTCTTATGTTGTGCCCCTGCAAGAGAGAGGTGTTAGAAACGTCTCAGCCTGCAAGAGGCCGGTCTTGAGCACTTGCCTGTGTCTGGACGTCGGTGAAGTGGTTTATAGCCAGCTTGTTCCTGGGTGACACCGACAGATAGCCAAGTGTAGCATCTCTTGCGCCCTCCTTGACCATCAGGTGGATGATGATCAGTGCCTTGAAGGCCACCTGCCATGTCGAGTCCCGCAACCGAAGGGTGAGCGTCCGGAAGACCTCAGCGACACCAGCCTCGCCGGACTGCGTCGCGAGTAGTATGGCTTCGACATACTTGGACTTGGGCGGCGCAAGCTTGACCTTGGTGCCGCCTTTGACCGCTTTCTCAAAGTTCATGGACATCCTGACGAGTATGGTCTGGCCGAGGACGTCTGTCATCGAAGTTGGCGCATGTCGAGCATGTGATTGCGGAACATGGCGGACAAAGCAACAAGCAAATAGTTAGGCGTCTGGGGTGCTGGCGGTGATGTGTACAACCTTGTGCTGATCTGCCGTCGCTCGGGCTACACAATCTGAGAGCTCTGGAAGATGACGGCGGCTTGGCAGGTTGGAATGCTCGTGGCAGACCCAAATTACGACAGGGGGCATTCTTACTGCAATTGTCGATGTATCAAAGACTTGAGGTTCGAGAAACCGATCCAAAGCAACTCGCACAGGCGGCATGATTCTGGGAAGCCATGCTAGATCGATAGGAGAATTGCGCTCAGCAGCAGCAGGAGCAACTACCATGGATCAACATGATACTGCCTCAGTCTATGGCTCCGGGCAGAAGATGATATGTGAGAAGTCAAGGGGCCCGTGGTGTAGTGAAAACCATGTGATTGTATGCTATATATAACCGTCTTGAGATTCGGGTCACGCAAGCAGAGGCGAGTGTACAGACAAAAACACGCCCTCGGAAGACCTCCATATCGAAAAGCTGGGTCAGAGATGCCATCTTCGCGTCCATTGTGTAACAAGGTAGGATGTGCTGAACGCAGATATCATGCTGCCTCCAGTCCTAGCACTCTCGCCGCTTGAGCCCACGAAGGGAGAGCTTGAGTGCCGGTGCTGGAGGACGGCTCATCTGCTACACGCTAGGCTTTCATCATCTATAGACTTGTCAGTGAGGTTGCGATATCGCAGTGGGGACCAGCACATACTTGTTTTTGACATGGAGGGTCATTGAAGAATTCAAAAAGGATTGCGGTCGAGGAGAAGAGATATCGCGTTTCGGCGCGTTACTAAGCAACGCTAGGCCAGATTTGTCTTCCACGACTCCACGACCTCCAGACTGTCCTCCAATCATTCATCTCTTCACTCACAAGGAACTACACATTGAAGGCCTTGATGCCGTTGCGAGGTCGCCCTTTGAACGCGACTATCAGACAAGCATCATGGAGCTACAGATCTCTCCGACAGTCCAGTAAAGCTCCTTGCTGCACTGCCATTGGACCTGGACTTCGAACAACGCAATGGAGTCGCCAATACCACACGAGCCCGCGGCTTCGTCAGCAACCCAGCCATTCCATCGATAATCCTGTACTCGAGGATTTCAAGAAGACATTGAGCTTCCCGCAATCAACATGCAGCTTACGGGACCTTGCGCAAAAGGGACAGGGGCTTGCAGACGAGCAGATCGTTCTGCACGGCTACCTAGGGACCCGCAGAGATGCTTCGAAGTCACTCACGTTCGCTGAACTTCACGATGCCGGCCTGAAGCACACTGTCCAGCTTGTTTCGACTCCGGTCAAAGGCGTCGACGGGAGCGATTCGCCACATCAGAAGTTACGCTCTCTCGAAACGCACACGCCTGTAGCTGTTGATGGTACAGTCGTGTCGCGGAAGGCCCCTACAGCGAGCAATGCGACCGAAGGCTCAAGGAACATCATCACGAGCGTAGAGATCAAGGTCGACAACTTGGTCCCGCTGAACGAATTCCCGAAGGACATCATCATGCTGCCCGACACCGTTTTTTCATCCGAACAACGGCATCTGCAGCTGCGCAACGACAACGGCCTTCGGGATGCCCTGGCGTTCCGGAGCAAGGCCGCCAGAGTGATACGAGATGAGCTCTGTGGCAAGCAGGACTTCACCGAGATCGAAACGCCGTTGCTCTTCAAGTCTACACCAGAAGGTGCTCGCGAGTTCCTGATTCCTACTCGTGATCCAGGGATGGCGTATGCTTTACCGCAGAGCCCACAGCAGTACAAGCAGATACTGATGGCGAGTGGCATACCGCGCTATATGCAGATTGCAAGATGCTTTCGCGATGAGGATCTGCGGGCGGATCGGCAGCCCGAGTTTACGCAAGTTGATCTGGAGATGGGCTTTGCAAGTGGTGAAGACGTTATGGCCATCGTCGAGTCGAGCATCAGGCGGATATGGGCGGACTGTTTAGGCATCGACGATCTACCAGAGAAATTCGCTCGCATGACATACGAGGAGGCAATGGCAAAGTACGGGTCGGACAAGCCAGATCTCAGATTTGGATCGCATCTGCACAGGATCGAGTACATGCTCCCTGTTGATTTGATCAAGAAGATCGGCCCGCTCGACGATCCTGCTGTTGAGGTTATGAAGCTTTCGTCCTTCGAAGATCCACAGGAGACCAGGAGATTCGTGTCGGCGTTCATGGACTCGTCCGAAGCGCCGCCTTTCGTCCAAAATCCGGAAGGCCAGCCCGGCATCTTCGTGTACGATGTGCGAAAGCCGCTATCAGGTCTACAGCCCTTCGGCTTCGAAGCAGCGGAGCAATTGGAAGAGATGCTCGAGCTTGACAACGGCGACCTTGTGGTTCTCCAGGCCCGTAAGAACGTCCCGTTCTCTGGCGGCTCAACATCAATCGGCAATCTTCGTCTGGCGATGCAGAAGTTTGCAGAGAAGCAAGAAGTACTACCTCGACGAACCGGCTTCCACTTCACCTGGATCACTGACTTCCCCCTGTTCTCACCGACCGACGATGCAGAGCCCGGTCAAGGCGGCGCAGCTGGCATTTCTTCCACGCATCACCCATTCACCGCTCCGAAGACACCCGAGGATGTCGATCTCCTGCTTACGGACCCTTTGGCCGTGAAAGCCGACCACTATGACCTCGTTGTCAACGGTGTAGAGCTGGGCGGAGGCAGCCGGCGGATCCACAACGCCAAAATGCAAGAGCTTATTATGCGTGACATCCTGAAGATGAGCGATGAGCGAATGAAAGATTTCGCTCACCTGATCGAGGTGCTGCGGGCAGGCTGTCCACCGCACGCTGGCATTGCTCTAGGCTTCGATCGGCTCGTCGCGGTGATGCTGGGTAAGGACAGTGTGAGGGATGTTATTGCGTTTCCAAAGAGCGGAAGAGGAGAAGATCTGCTTGTGAAGAGTCCGACGAAGATGACGGAGGAGCAGATGCGAACATATCATCTGAAGCTTCGCGATGGGAAGTGAATTGGTTTGAGGGCTCGTAGTTAGATCTTCTGGCACGACTGTCTTATTATTTACATGATTAATATCCTGTAGCAATATCTATAGTTCCGGCGCAATGCGGTCGCAAGTCTAAAATCCAACAACTCCCATCTGTCATCACCACTACATCTAAGCACTCGTCATCATCGGCCTTTCCTAGGCGAGACAGTCACTTTCTTCGCCCCATCATCCTCCATCCCATACCTCAACGCCAACACTCCAAGCCTATACCACCCAACAAGAACCCGTTAGCACACACCCAAGTAGCTCAAAGGCCACTGCCCCTGGTCAAGGCGTTACTCACGCAGTAAAGAAAACATTCCCCCAAACCCCAATATCCATCGCCACCGTCCGATGGCTCGGCAGCCTCCAATGCCCATATGCTCCAATCCCCGTTGTCACATGATGGAACATCGTCAGCAGAATCACCGCGCGAGCGTAAGGCTTCTTGCCCTTCTCTGAGGCGGCGCCGGTGAAAGCTGAGCCGACTAGGGAGGAGGGTAAGGGAACTGCGTCGGAGAGGACGAGGAGGAGCGCGGCGAGGGTTATGAGACCCCAGGCATCGGTCCACGTTGTGTAGAGCTCGAGGTCTGAGCAAAGTTAGTGGGGATGGGAAGGGAGGGGGTTAAGGAGGGTACCATTGGCTTCGAGGAGGCTGTCGACTGGGGGGCGGAACCAGGAGATTACCGCGGAAGGGTTGATGATGCGCATGGTGCCTCTAAGGGCATACCAGAAGCTGCATCCGTAGACATAGGCATGATATGTCTTCAGTAAGGGTCAGCTCTCATTCTATGCTCTTGGGACGAGGGACTTACATCTACAAGAGACATGGTTGCTAGTCTCGAAATTGACAAGCTATTTGATGCCCAAAATTTGCTGGCTGCTTGTGATTATTGAGAACCCTAGATCTGCTTCCTGAAGAAGGTCAATCGTGCATGTATTCGGGAGTTGTGAGTTGAAGTTAATGGGCGGTGGGTGCTACGGAACCAAGCAATGACGTTGAAAGCGTCTCATCGCTTGCTGGGAAATAGCGTGGCTGGGCTGCTATCGTACTACAGTGTGCTATGTACAACGCCAACGTGGTAACAGAGGAACCTACAAGAATGTCGTAGTCATACAAACGTCCTGAAGAATGAGTGAATAGATCCGGCATGTGCTTCTCATAAGTCGTAATCGTTCATACATGGTATTCATACTGTACCTTACTGTACCTTACTGTATCTCATGCTCAAGCAAATACACAGACCATCATTAACACCGACCTCCCTTTCCGCAGCCAGCAATCCTCCCCTACTCACCTCATCCTCTCCTCCGCCGCCTGAACTTCAACGCATCATCATCATCGTCATCATCAATCGTAATCGTCTGCCGTGTCGACGGCGCCCGCTGACTCTGCCTCGCCTTCTTCGCCGGTGGACCACTCTGCTCCGTCGCAGGCCTCTTACCAGCTGCACGGCGCTGGCTTTCCGTGCCGAAAGTCTGACTGGGCGTGGAGTTCATCGCAGCCTCGTTCGCATTCGCAGTCTCTTCTAGAGCTTCGTCCCGAGCATGGCCAGCAATCTCATCGGGCAAAATCGCACCGACACTGTCTTGGTCCTCGCGGCGAGACTCCTTCAGTCGTCGCTGGAAGCGGCGGGAGGTGCCCGTATTATCCTCCAGATCGATGCGCTGGGACTGGCTTGCAACTTGCGATTGAGATTGCGACTGGCTCTTCGACTTGCCTTTGCTCTTCGCCGTTGAGTTGCTGAGCCAGTACTCTTCTCCGATGCCGTGAGCCTTCTTTGGAACCTCCTCAAGCGCGACGATGACTCGCGGAAGCCTGGGCGCATTGCCGTCTCCCTGACCCTGAGGCCGGAACTTCTTGAAATTCTTGCGACCATTCCACGCTGGGTCCCACCGATCGCCCTGTCCGGTATTGGCGTCGGCTGCACTGCGACGAGCGGGTCGCTCACGCATCGGCACGTCCATCTCCTCAATCACAGCAAGGTTCTTCATGGCTGCGATATCGAGGCCGTCCAATGCTTCCCGTGTCTGCTCTTCCATCTTACGGCGCTCTTCGTCCTCTTTTTTGCGACGGGCTTGGATCTCAGCCATGACGTCCATCTCCTTTGCTTTCTTCTTGGCCTTCGCCTTCTGCTCCGCATCCTTGCGATCTGCTTGCGCCAGCGCACGGGTGTCCGCATCATCGTGGCCAGCTGCAAGCTTGCGTCGCTTCATGGTGTTGTGTCCTGTCAAAATTCTGTCGTACATGTTCTCCTCTTCGTCCTTCAACGAGGGCGCCGGTCGTTTCCGAGACGACTGCTGCGTCGGCGCGGCCTGGGACGGTTCGTCGACATCCATATCTTGCACATCTGCAGCTTGGCTGGGCTCCGCTTGGTCGAAAGACTGGTCTGGAGACTGAGAGGCAGGCTTCGAGAACTGGCTCGGGTCGAAATCATCGTCGAAGCCTTTAAGACGAGACTGCGTAATGATCCGTCTGTTGCGCTTTCTTGCGGTGGCAGCCCTTTCGCTGGGAGACGTTTCGAGCGTTGCTCGTGAGTTCTCTTGGGCCTGTTCATCGGTGGGTTGTGAATTGCCAGCCATGGCGTCTCCTCTTGATCGCTCTGGTCGATGTTGTGTTGTTTCGCGAACTGGGGCAGAGTGTGAAGGCTCCTCTGGTGCCTTGCCGCCTCCACGTGAATGTTCATGATTTCTAGAGGCCTGCAGTGATGTCCGAGGTGCTTGGCTCCCTTCACGCGAGGCGTTATCACGTCCAGCCAAACTCTGAGAGGCGTCGGGAACCTCCTGCTTTATTTTACTAGTGTCAAGCGTCAAGATCACATCCAGCAATTCACCCTGCTCGATCGAGCGTTGGTCGAGAGCCACATCGAGCGCTCGCATGATCTCTCTGCCCGCCATTTCCCGGTCACCAATACGAACAACAATCACGCCTCCTTTGCCAGGCTGCTGACTTAGCTTGAATTGACCCGACCGCTTGTTACCGGCTATCTCGCTGATGAAAGCTACCATGTCCTCAACCTTGGTTGTTTCTGGGTCGAGCTCGAACAGAAAAGCCTTCCCGCCACCTGCAGTGATCACTGAAAGCAGCGAATCGTACTGCGCCTGCGAGAGAAACACAAAGATCAGGTTCTGGAACACCTCTGCGCGTTCGGCGTTTGGTTTTAGATACTCGTCCTCTCGCGCAATGGGCTCGGACGACACTGGAACGATATGAATCATCTCGTCCGGCCAGTTGGAGTCGAAGTCCTGCTCCAGCTTGCCCTCAGACTCTGGGCCACTTCGCTTCACAGCAGAAGCGAGAGCATCCACGTATGATTCGGTCACAAGCCATCTTCCTTGCAGCAGCGCTTGCAGATTCCCGGGCGTGTTGCGTTTCTTGGCAATGCAATGTGTAGTAACATTCGTGATGTACTCTGCAGCAAGCTTCACATCAGCATTCTGAAACCTCTCACGCTGTGTCGCCAACGCGCCGTCTCTCGACTTCTTGCCCAGATGAGTCAAAGACAGCACGACCGGTTTCCAGACCAGGTGGAAAAGGTGTTCATAGTTGCCCAGCCTGATCGTGAACTCCACCTCACTCTGCCCGCCGCTTAGGTCCTTCTCCTCGCCTTTGATCTTGTCCTCGTTGATTGTCGTTCCGATCTTGCTGCCATCTTTGAGCCTCAGCTGCGACTTGGCGTAGATGTTTGTGATGTCTTCGGGCGGGCTTGCGAGTACTTCCAGGGTCAAGTGTTTCCGCGAGACTGACTTGTGGTCGATATGCCGTATGCGCTCCCCATTCTCGGCTTGTCCAGTTGTGCGTCCGAGGAGGTGTGTGGTTCCTGGTCGCAGCCATAGGCGTTTGCCGCCGAAGTGGTCACCGTCGCAGCTGAGGACCCACATGTTGGAAGGTCGAGGGCGGCATGAGGTGCAGGACGATCTTGAGGAAAGTTGCAATATCTTGAAGCTGAGAGTCGCGGTTAGGCAGCATGACGTTGGAAACACGCTAAGGCGCGACACACGTGACGAGGAACAAGCTTTTCTTCTCGAACTGCAACATTCGACGTCCTCAAAATACTCGACTTCAAGAAATTCATGACCTACAGCATGCTTTCTTGCCATTTGTGGGCGGCAAAGCTGCGCACCTGATCGGAAAATCGCCTGAACGTTCTTCACAATGTTGGCATCGTAATGGAACGACCGCAGCACCTAAACCCCTGCACATGTACCTATTGCTTTGTCCGCAGCAGTAGCTGAGCCTTGCGGCCCGGACGCAGAACAGTGAGTAGATGACACACGTACCATTCTCTTGAACTCATCCGTCGAGTAATATTTCCTTTCAATACTTCTTCCTACAACTAGTCTTTCTCCTTGCAGTGGCTTTGCCCTCGAGGATCATACCCTAGCTTTACAGAGAACCACGAAGCATACGACACCCAGACACGGCTGCGCAGGATCCTGAAGTCCGCGAAAGCTCTACACCGTGCCAGACGTCGAACACGCCGAGCTCGCCGCCCACTCTGGAGCAGCCCGGGTCGTACGTTCATTGATCAAGTGGCGAGCGGCTCCGGCTCCAGCTCGATCTTGGAAAGCACTATATGGATCCTCTTTCGATCGCTGCGAGCTCTATCGCGGTACTCGGCGCCATAGCGGGCACTGAGAGGGGGATAAACAAGCTACTATCCTCTCGCCACGCACCTGACGATGTAACGGCGCTGTCGAACGAAGTAACCGCGCTGCGAAGCCTCCTCTTGATGGTGCAGTCAACACTTCTTCAGATGCAAGGCGGGCACACCTACCGACAGCACGAAGCGGACCTGTGTCTACTTCTCGGCAACGTCGAGCAAAGCGTTCGTGACTTGGACAGTAAAATTGAGTACCATCTGAGAGCAAGCGAAGGAGTCGACGAGCACGGCCGCCCAAAGGTTTCGAAACGAGCATGGCTTATGGCCGCGTCTAAGATTGAGCATCTGCGTCAAAATATCCGCGACGCGCGCGACAACCTCACGGCTGCCTTGATGGTTCTGGGTCCACAAACGACTAGGTAAGCCTTCGTGTGCTGATTAGACTCCACGGGACGAGGTTCTTCATGCTCAGGATAGGTCTGTTACGTCCGTCTGCATGGGCTGTACCCTATCACTATGTTGGCTTGTCAATCAGGACGAAGCGCGGCCTCATTTCTCTTCCTCTCGTACTCTTGATCCACCACTATTTAGTACCGTTCATTCCGGAATGAAACTCGTTTGTTGACGCTCTTCTCTACTAGGGACGTGTTCGGGACCATCGCCATTCAGACACAAGACTTTCGAACTCTCTCGTCGGAGCATATGTTGGATGCTGGATCGCGCGCGCCAACACGGCAACGTCCTCCTGAGCAAGTACAATCGCTAGCCAATCAAGTCGAGAGATTTTGTATCGCCGAGGATGACGAAGATGAGAACAGCTCCCCAACGCCAGGGTGTGCAGCCCCTCTCAAGTCATTCGAGCGATCATGCATCTGGTCCATCTAGTGGTTTGGAGGATTCTTCTAGCGGTACGGAGACGACCACCCCAGACCAGGCCACTACCTGACGAGAAGTCGTAGCAGTCAACACGACTATCGCCCTTCAGCGCTGTCCAAGACTGTGCAGATGCCAGTGTCATCGGCAATCCTACTTTCGAACACCTAGGTCGCTTCAGGATGTCTTTGGCCGGCTGCTCTTCAGCTACACAAGCCTTATCTGGACCAAACAATGTGACTACCCACCATGTCGGAGTCCATCTTCCAAGTCACAAATTACTTACTACTTCCCGCGATGGGTGGCTTCTCGGGCAATGATGCTATCCAGCACTTCTGGGGATCTGGCTGGACCTGGTGCATCGCTACATCTGAAAGTGCCGGTCATCGCTCGAGATTTGACGGTGTTCTATGCAGTCGAACAGGGCAATCTTCACTTTGTCAAGCAGGCACTCTCAGTGAGGCGAGCGTCACCGCAAACAATAAGTGGTTCTGGTAAAACATTGCTGCACGTGAGTCCAAGTCAGGCGACCGAGAAGATTTGTCCGAACTTTGTGGCTATCAAGTGTGCGTTGAGCGTATCTAATATCGTCTTCTTAGTGGGCAGCTGGAAAGGCTGAATGGGGGATCTACGAATTGCTCTGCAGTGTCGGTTTCGATGAGGCCTGGGAAGACGAAGACCAAATGTCACCACTGGACCACCTTCTACAACTATGGCCTAAATCCCCACGGCTGGCAGAGAGCATTGGGAGTACAGTAGACACCACGCGTTTTACGTCCCTTCATGAGGCGGTTGTATTCCAGGCGAATCGAAGCTCTTCCCTCACAGAATTTATGGAGCATAATTATGCTGATGTCAACGTTGGCGACAAAACAGGCATGACGCCGTTACACTGGGCTACAAGAAGGGGCGATCTGGCTGGAGTCAATCTTCTCTTGAGCTGGAAAGCAGATCCGAACAGACAGGACACTCGTGGCTGCACTGCGCTGCATTATGCCTGCCGCAAGAGAGTTCCCATGATTGCAAAGGCACTCCTTAATGCAGGAAGCCAAGTCGGCATGACTGACAACGACGGGAGGCCTCCTCATTTCTCCCTGCAAGATACCAAGGATGATATGCTGGACACGCTTCTCAAACATGGCGCAAACATCAACCACTTCTCCCACTTATGGGGCACTGCACTCCACTATGCAGCGTTCATGGGGAGAGCGGGAGTGTGTAGCTTGTTCGTGGAGAGAGGTCTTGATATCAACGCTAGCGCCCCCAATGGATGGAAGCCTATTGATCACGCGGTATTTGAGAACAGTGTGGGATGTGTTTCTGCACTTCTGAGTGCCGCAGAATGGGCAAAGGTGAGTGGACGCCGTGTATACAAACCTCGAGTTGATATCCTTTTTCAAGAATAGCTGCTGTGAAGCGCCTCGCAGTACCATGCAGCGAGAGGCTCGCCGCTGACGAGAACATACAGCGCTCGATCGACTGGTCAGCGGGCCCAAATGGTAGGAATGTTCTGCACCACGCAGCGATCTATGCTGGGGTTGGCGTCTTTGACGTTCTTGCTGCTACAGAGCTTGTCGGTCTAGATCCCCTGGCCGCAAACAAGAACGGTGAGCCCCCTGCAGTCAACTTCTGCAGACATCGAGACGCGAATTGTGCCATTATCCGAGACGATCCTGCAACAGAGAAGGCGGCATGGTGGAATCTGATGGAGTCAGCATGCCGGCGCAACAATGTGGATCCTTTCGATATACCGGAGTACTGCGAGTACCGACGAGAGCTCAAAGCCTTGAACGGGAGCAATGTTGAAATTGGAGAAGGAGGTGGTGATGGAGACGAAGATGATGACGAAGAGTTCGTGGACGCACCGACCAGCATAGTAGAAGCAGAGGCAGTACAGTAGCACGACAATGGAAAGCTCGTGATGCTTAAGAGCTCCATTCCTGGCCTGGTCGCCTTAAAGGACCAGCATGAACTGCATCCCTCTCCTCTCTGAGGCGCCAGAGGCATATTGGTCATCGCGAGAGGAGCATCCCACTTCGGCGAAACCCATCATGGCCCAGGACCAACAGTGAACCTGAACGAGGCCTTCTCACCTGTTGTCACTTTGAAAGTCCGCGGATGGGCAGCGGCACAGCAGCCTGAGACCGCTTGGTCGCGCAGCTACTTGTTTGGAGCAATCCAGAAGTGGGAACAGAACATGAATGGAAGCAGACAGTCGGGTTGAAAGCATTGCCAGCACAACTTCAAGCTAAAGTATCATCATGCACAAGGGTATCTCGCTGCTCGTATCACATCATCACATCCCATAGTAAAGCATCCCTTGTCCATAGAACGCCTCGCTCTGCCCACTGATCCTTCATCATATGCCATTCGTACCCTGACGCCCTGTGAACGCAAGCAAGTTGAAAGCAGGTGGTCTTGTGTGTGTGAAACATTACTGACCAGTCACGATACTCGTGCAAGCATTGACCTGGCGCGAGCACAGCCACTGATATCCTCGCCGACGCCAGCAACTGCCGTCAGCTCTGCGATCAGCAACACCATGTCACACCACTTCACTCATCAATAGCACCCAGTCCCTGTCCTCCCTCCTCAGCGACTTGAGTCGACGGCGTACGGCTGCGACCACGAGCAGCAGGGCCTGGTGGAGCAAGACTGCCGGCGCGAGAGGCTGGCTTCGCCGAAGCTGCGCGTGAGACTGCGCGAGAAGCTGATTTCTTGGAGCCGACACGAGAGCTTGGGCGGGAGGAGGTGGCGGTGGTGTCTGGAGCAAGAGTGAGAGAGTCCGTGGTTGGTATCTCGGCGTCTTCGGTGGTCTCCTGGATATCGGGCACGTTGGTGGTGCTAGTTGGAAGCGCGCCAGCCTCTTCGCCGGCAGCGGCATCAGCCATGTCGACATCCTCATCGGCCTTCACGCCCGTGGTGCCATTCGCCACCGCAGCGAACCCTTCCTCGTCCTGGTCTTCATAGCCCTCGATAAGCTTATCGGTGATGAACTCCCACTCCTCTCGCGTCACTTTCGATACACTCAGTCGAGCCGCCTTCATCTCCTGCATATTCGCCAGCTTGCCTCCCTCCATGGTGTACTTCTGGAGCTCCTTGAGGGTCACTGGCTTCGTGAGCTTCTTGCGGAACTCCACATGCACCATGAACCAGCGCGGATTAGCCTCCGTGCCACGCGTCTTCGCATTCTTGACATAGTAGGCGTTGTTCTCATCGAACGCGCCCGGATCAGCCTCCGCCTCCTTGACGATCTCTACATGATATTAGCTGTGAACGACAACGACTACACGGTCAGCACTCACCCATGATTCCGACGATGCCTGGCAGCCTGCCCTTCTTCCCGCCGCTAGCGTAGAAGAACGCAAGGTCGCCCAGCTTCATCTCCTTCATGTTCTTGCAAGCCGTTGCGTTGCGCACGCCATCCCACGGCTCAGGACCGCCCTTCTCGCGAAGATCGTCGATCGTGAACTTCGCGTTGTACTGAATAACAAGTCAGCATGGCTGTGCGCAACGAGAGGGGAGGACATGTTACGTACCTCGCTCCCATCCCCCAAGGTCTCGAGCCTATCCTCCTGCTCCGCCTTCATCAGCCAATAGTTCCTGTCGGTGGAGACGTCCTGCTCTTCCTCATCCTCTTCGACCACCTCCTCAGCAGCGTCTTCATTGGAAGCAGCAGCCGCGGCGACAGTCTTCTTGGCCTTGTCTTTACCCTTGGCTTTGGGAGGCCTGCCCGGTCCGCGCTTCTTAGGAGATGATATCTGCTTACTTGTGCCGTCCTCAGCACCCTCAGCCTCGTCGACGAGCTCCTCTTCAAGCTGCTCAGCAGCCGCATCGTCGTCTGCCGCGATCTTGGTAGTCTCTCCTCCCTTCGGCGGCCTGCCACGCTTCTTCGGTGGGGCCTTCTCAGCGACCGCGACAGCAGGCGCATTCTTAGCTGGGCGACCGCGCTTCTTTGGTGGCGTCGGCGCAACGTCTTCAACTTCTTCAACTGGCGCCTTCGATGGGCGTCCACGCTTCTTCGGCGGTTCCGGCGCGTCTTCCTCTTCCTCTTCTTCCTCTTCGACCGGCGCCTTCGCCGGCCTGCCGCGCTTCTTGCCGGTCGCTGTCGCTACGGTCTGTCAGCTTCTATGCGATCAATATGGCAAAAGTGGACTCACTCGTCGGCGCAGCTGGTGCCGTCTTCTTCGAGGTAGTAGCAGCCTTCTTCGCACGCGGCGCCGATGTATTCGGCACGGCGGCAGTCGCGCGACGTGAGCGTCCAGCTGCTGCTGTCGTTTCGAACTCCTTGCCTCTGCTGTTTGTCACAGTGGCCGGCATCTCTGGCGCGGCGGCTGCGGCTTTCGCAGGCGTCGCTTTCGCTTTAGTGCCTTTCTTCGGCGGCATCGTTGCGGTGGTGGTGGTTGTAACGAGGTTGCGACGATGTTTTGAGTGTTATGAAGTTGTGGTGGGTGTGAAGGTTGGAAGAGAGAGGGAACAGGACTGAAGTTGTTGTTGCTGGTGACACGAGAGGTCGCGCCGCGTGACGTCCTGAAACCTTAAATTACCACCAAACAAGGAAGGAGGCGTCCAATAAATGACGGTGAAGCGATATTGAAGCAGTGAAGTGTGAGAACGCGGTGGTCAAGACAAGACACATTGAAATGAGATAACCAATACCGTCTTCTTTTTCCCGTACAAGTGAATTCAACCGACTCACCAGTGAAGGCGACTAACGAACTGTCCACGATGCGTTGGAGGGGCAGTGAACGAGAATGCCACAGTGAACTAGTATGTGGGTGAGTGACAGATGCTTGTCTACAAGTTTTGCAGAGAGCACATGTAATGTTAAAGAATCAACCTCCTTGCTTCAGAGCTCCGGCTTTGGTTGACAGACAGCATTAACCGTCCTTTCCATAGGTATCTATGGCCTAGCTCTGATACCGCTCCTGGTCATGTCTTCGTAGCACAAACCTGCCGGCCTTGGTGCTTCCCAGCATCCTCCAAGTCCCTCTCACATCACGCTCCCCCTGCGCGGAAAGCTCACATTCTCCACGGCCGGCGAATCGCAAAACCAGCTGACCTTGTCGCCCGCTCCAGCATTGATCAGCCCACAAGGTAGCTTGCTGCCCTCCTCCGTCTCGAAGATCTTCTTGAGCACTTCCTGCTTGCCACCTCCCGTCGCCACGAAGCCAATCTTCGCGCCATGAAGCACGACAGGAAGACTGAGAGTGATGCGCTTGGATGGCGGCTTTGGGGAGTCTGAGATGGAATAGACCCAGGCATCCTGCTCTCTCAGAAGTGGGTGATCCGGGAAGAGCGAGCAGGTGTGGCCGTCCGGGCCGCAGCCGAGAAGTATCAGATCGAACAGCGGGAGCTTAACAGAGTCGCGAGCAGCGAAGATGCTGACCAGAAGCTTCTCATACTGATCTGCGACCTCCTGCTCGTTCTCCAGATTCTGCTCCTCGATCGGATAGACCTTCGGCTGGCCCATGTCAGAGGGGATTTTGTCGAGCAGTTCCTCCTTCACGAGCTTGTGGTTCGAGTCCTCGTGGTCCAGTGGCACGCATCGCTCGTCGGCGTAGAAGACTTCCCATTTCGGGAACTCGACCGTGTCCCCTTCGCCACTTGAAGGTGCAAGAAGGGCTTTGGCAAGAGTCTTTGGAAGTGAGCCTCCAGATACTGCGACCCGGAAGACGCCGTGGCGCTTCAGTGCTTCGTTCTGCTGCTCGAGGACATATTTCCGGAGATTCGGTGCGAGCTCGTCGTCGATGGACTGGAAGGAGTAGAGATTCGGTGGTCGGCCCATGGTTGCGGTTGTTTGATGTTGTTTCTCGTAGCTCGTGCGTCTTCGTTCACTCAGTCATGCCAGTGTGATCACAGTCGCTGCCAGTAGTGCCAGGAGGAGTCGCATGGGTCGCACGCACGATCCGGAACTTATCAAATGCTGACCGACGGAAGTGCAAGCGTGAAGGTCGGAGCGATGACGAGCGGTTACGATAGGCGCCTTTTGACAGCTCCCAAACATAATCATTTTGGATTTCTGGCGGCTTCCAACGGGTGGGGCCTTTCCCAAGACCTGCTTCGGGCGTGCTGCATCTCGCGCTCCAACTGCACTGCACGATCCTGAGACGGCCGATGAGCGGAACTACTTGCGTGCATCGCAGCTTGTCCGTGACTTGCATGAAGCAGGCTGGTGTGCGAGGAGCTCGAAGTGAATGCTCATGCGAGGTGATGGCATCCCGCTGAAAGCTTGAAAAACGGGACCCGCTGCAGTGCCACCAACGCTGCACCGAGATCGAGGACGTCCGGCCAGCCACGTGCGGAAGAAGGATAGCATTCACCGAAACAGGCCCTGTGGCTCTCAACCCTGAGGCATACTCGAGGACAGGCGGACCGGGACCCGATCGAGTTATAGCAGGAGCACACACAACGACCATGGCCAAACCAAAGCAGCACACCCGCCCGCCGAAGAAGCCAAAAGCCAAAGCCGTTGATCCGGAGACAGCGGATGACTACCAGGAACTGGCCGACAAGGAGGAAGAAGCCGGAGGCAAACATCGAGTGGGTGACCCAGCCAAGTCAAGTCGAGCCTTCGTTCGAGCACTGGAGATCTACGACAAAGGCTTGCAGAGGCATCCTACGAACTTCGACCTGGCTTACAACAAGGCGAGACTGGAGTTCGAGGTGACCCAGCATCCTGCTCTTGCGGAGCATGTTGGCCTGCCATTGATAGAGCTACTTGGCCAGACCTTGGAATCGCATCGATATGCGCTGCGGTTGAACGAGGAGAACCCGGACACGCTGTTTAATACGTCTCAGGTCTTGACCAGTCTGGCTGAAGAGCTCTCTGAGGATGGACAGTCTCAGAATGCCATCCCGTTACTTCAGGAGTCGTTGGAACTGCTTTCTGGCTGTCTGTCACGGCAGGAAATGATGCTCGAGCAGCAGCAGGTGGATTTTCAAGACTTTGAGGATGGTGGTGTTCCTATTGATCCGGATGAGAAGCCAGCATCTACCAATGGATCGGATGCGTCAGAGCAGACTGCTATTGTAGAGGCACCGATCACAGCAAGCGACCTACTTGATACAGTCCATGCTTCGCTATCAGCCCTGACAACGCTGGTACCCCTGGTCGACCAGTCGGCTGTGCAGACTTACGGCGACATGGCTCACTCGCTCACGGAGAAGAGAGCCGCAAGTTACATCTCCCTACTTCCAGAAGACCTGCAAGACGCAGCTCGGTTCTCGATCGGATTGGACCGGGCAATCTTCATCGCCGCCTTCGCCGATGCACAGTTCAGCTTTGTAGCGATTGAGATGGCGACTTACCTACAGCGGCTGGATACTTTCGATCTCCCAGGCAAGGAGCAGTCAGCCCACGCCCTTTGCGCGGAAGCTGAGGCACGCACGGAACTCTCGCTATCTATCATTGACCGCTTCCAAGGACCAGCCGATGCGGCAGCACAGACGTGCTGGAACCAGCTGAAGACCGCACAAGATCTATACAGCGCCGCTCTGAAATTAGACGACGAAGATGCCAAAGACCGAAAGCCGAAAGTCTACGGATCGAAAGGCGACGTCGAGCTGCTACGGCATCGCCTAGCTTCCGCACCAGGCACAACACTGTCTGAAGGTATACAGCGCAGTGCAAAAACTCTTATACAGAACGCCCAGAAATTCTACAAAGGCGGTGCCCAGCTGGCAAAATCGGATGGAGACGACGAGCTGGAAGTCAAAGCAAAGCAGAGATGGGCGATCGCGGCTGATATCGGTGCGCTGATGTACGGGATTGAGGTGACGGAAGCGCCTTTTCAAGGCAGCTCTCAGAGCGCTCGCGGGGACGTGATCGAAGCGTTGGAGGCGGTCGTCGATGAGGGGTTAGTGGAGATGTCGTTAGGAGAGGAGGTTATGAGGAGGATGAGGGGATGAGATGATGATCTGGACTGTGTGAGATTGAGATGGAGCTCGAACCGACCGCCCGTGGCTCGCATTCATCTTGGCATCGCTGAAGAGGTTCGCATTTCTATCGAACCGACTTCCATCACAAGACTTTCACCGAAGAAGTGTCCACTCTGCGGTACCGCATCCATTCGAGGCTCTATTGATCCCACCATGCCCAAGTGCAGCTTGCAAGCGCCTGCAAGGCGGTCGGGCATAGGACATGCCACTATGGCAAAGTTTGAACAGTCTTGCTCCTGTCATCAGTATCTGCGCAGAGCTGGTGGGCGAAGTCATCCGGCAAGCTGCAGACGCATGATCTACCGTGGACAAAGGGCTGCCGTCCGCCTTGGTGTTGCCCAGGACAGTTTGCCACGATAGGCAGCATTTCTAGGATTCTGGTGAGCAAACAGCATGGCTACCATATAATGGAGTGCGATTCTCCATCCAAGACCTTCATTTCACCTCCAAAAACTCCTCTTCTACCTGGTCCTTCCCACCTCACGGCCATCATGGCAGAGCATCTCGGCCAAAGTAAGTCGTCCAGTCTAATGCCGTCAGCGTCAAGCTAACAGTTCCTCACGAAAGGCGCATCAGCAGATCCCGCCAACACAAGCTCCATGCGCGCCCACCAAAGCAAGACGCTCGAAGAAGTCCGCGAAGCACTCCACCAGAACAAGGCATCGCAGCAACGGCATCAACAGCGGCTAAAAAGCCTCGCGGACGAGCTCGCACGCATCTTGGCGGCGGAAGACCAACTCCGAAAAGACAGGGACGAATTTGAAGAGCGAAAGCGATTCCACCAGCAGATACGATCAATTCTCGAGACCGCTTTCCTAGTCCCAATGGAACAGCGGGCCATTCCTCACGAAGGTCTCCTTCGGCAGGAGAGCGAGTTGGATGGGAGAAGGAGGGAGCTGGATCGAGAAGGGGGACTCGCGCTGGACAGTGAGGAATTGTTGTCTCTGAAAGGAGAGATATTGGATGGGGAGAAGAGGGAGTTGGTTGCGGAAGAGAGGAAGTTGGTTGCTGCGGAGAAGGGGCGTCTAATTGAGGGTTCAGACGAGACGGAGACTTGAAAGAGAAAGAGATGGAGTCGTTCGGAGAACGTGGACAAGTGTAGCGTGCTCGGCGATGAAGTCAGAATGTCTTGCAGCTGCGCTTTACAAGAACATACAGTACTCCTACAAGACAAGACGTTCCCAATATTCTCACAGCGATACCACCTCTCCCCTCACTCTTAACTCCACCCACTCAAATTCTCCACCTTAGGCGCCGGCCCCGGAGCACGCACAATACACCACACCACCTCCTCATCCCCCTCATTGACCTCCTGATGCTCCGCCCACGCAGGTATCAGCGCGTAATCCCCTGGTGCCAGCTTCTGCTTGTTCTTCCCGCCCTCGCTCACAATCGTCCCGTGGCCGGAGAAAGCGAATACCACCGTGTCTTGGTCGCCGTGGTGGTGTACTGCTGAGGAGGAGTGGGGTTTTGCGATCATGCGTGAGGCGCAGATTTGGTCTGTGAGGTTCACGAGGGCGTTTTGGCGGATCATGCCGTCGGTTTGGCCGCCGGACTGGGCGAGGGAGGAGGCGGGGATGATGGTTACTGGTCTGGTGTCGGGCATGGTTGTGGTGGAATGTGTGTTTCGATCGGAGTGTTGCTCGAGGGTAGATAGGAGAAATAGCACAGTGAGGAAAAGAGGAGATGGTCTTGAGCTCGGAGAAGAGGATGGTTGTGACGTAGTATGACATTTGAGCTTGCTGCTCGAAGGAGAGACGAAGTCTGCCAGACCTGGCGTTGACTTACATGTTTGGTGTACACATAGAAGCACTCACCAATGCTGCCATCTTCTCCGAAAAAGGCCCTTGTTCTTCTGGACGCCTTCTGAGAGTGGCCAAGGCGCGGATGCTGTCCGCCTCCTACAGAAGCCAGGGCATCGCAACCGCGGATTAGGCAGTCCCGCCCTGCTCTTCAGTCCTCAAGACCAGCATTGTCGTTGCTCTAACCAACTGGCCCAATTCACCGGCCTAAGCAGATGGACTTGCTCTGGGTTGAATCAGTCGTGGTCCAGCAGCAAGGACAACATGATCGGAGATGTCTTGGCTTTCACATGCTCGGCGTCTGCAAGCTAAACGTCATCCCTCGGTCCTCGGCGATGAATGCAACCAATCGACTTCAGCTCCTGGCGGCTGACTTCGATCAGCGCAACACAGACGCGCATGTGATCGTGTTCGGGGAGCCGCAGAGTCTGGGGGTAATGCCGACTTTCACATGCTCCTGGCGGAGTCGTGTGCGCGCCGTGCGGTGGACAACGTGACCTGGTGATCAGACTAGAGCGTAAGAGTCGCCTTCTTTGTTGTCTTCCTTCTCTCTCTCCATACTCTTCCTCCGCATCTCCACAAACCTCATCAGTCCCATTCTCCTATCCTCAACATGGCCAAAACATTCAGCGCGAGCGACGTAGCCTCGCACAACAAGCCCACCGATCTGTACCTCATTGTCGACGAGGACGTCTACGATCTTAGCAAGTTCCAGGAAGAGCATCCTGGCGGCAAGAAGAGTGAGCAACATCGCCCACTACGCATCACAACGGCAGTGTGGTTTAACAGAACCTTTAGTCCTTCAGCGAGTAGCTGGCAAGGACGCTTCAAAGCAGTTTTGGAAATATCACAATGATAAGTTACCCGAAGAGCGCGTGGCGGACGTGCCCATTGGAGCCAATGCTGACCATTCATTACAGGCCATCTTGAAGAAGTACAAACCGCAGCTCCAAGTCGGCTCCCTGGACACCAAAGCTCAGCCCGCCGCTCCTCCATCTCCTCCAGCGACTCCACCTCCCCAGAAGAAAGAGAAGGCTGAGCCTGTACCGGAGGCTGGCACGGCATCCGTCGTCCCAACTCAAGATGTGGAAGAGGAGGAAGCAATGGATGCATACGGCTCCATGATCCCATACGCCGATCCTTCTTGGTACCAGAGCTACCACACACCCTACTTCAACCAGACACACGCCGCGCTGCGAGATGAGGTGCGGCAGTGGATGGAGGATGAGATTATGCCCAACGTGACTGAATGGGATGAAGCGAAGAAGGTGCCAGACAGTGTGTACAAGGCCATGGGCGAGAAAGGCTATCTCGCTGGCCTGCTGGGTGTGCACAACTACCCCACGCATCTCACAGACGCCAGAGTCAAGTCTGTGCCTCCGGAGAAGTGGGATCTGTTCCACGAGATGCTGCTCACGGACGAGCTGTCCCGGTCTGGCTCTGGTGGCTTCGTCTGGAACGTGATTGGTGGCTTTGGCATTGGCTGTCCTCCGGTTGTGAAGCACGGCAAGCCTGCGTTGGTGAAGCGCATCCTGCCGGAGATCTTGAGCGGCGACAAGCGGATATGTCTTGCAATCACAGAGCCAGATGTAAGAGGTGATCATCTTGAGCGATCTGAGTCCGATACTGACAAATCTTATAGGCCGGGAGCGATGTTGCAAACCTGACCTGCGAAGCCAAGCTCACCGAAGACGGCAAGCACTATATTGTCAATGGCGAGAAGAAGTGGATTACGGTATGTTTGCAAGCTGTTGGGATGGCCACCGAAGACTGATGTGTCCATCGCAGAACGGCATCTGGTGTGACTACTTCACCGTAGCCGTCCGCACGTCCGACAAGGGCATGAACGGTATCTCGGTCCTCCTCATCGAGCGTTCGCACGGCGGCGTCAGCACCCGCAGGATGGACTGCCAGGGCGTCTGGTCAAGCGGAACCACCTACATCACCTTCGAGGACACCAAAGTCGTAAGTCCCCCTCCCCAACAACCTCTCCCCAAACCACTAACCACCCTCCCAACCAGCCCGTCGAGAACCTCATCGGCAAAGAGAATCAAGGCTTCAAAGTGATAATGACGAATTTCAACCACGAGCGCATCGGCATCATCATCCAATGCATCCGCTTCAGCCGCGTCTGCTACGAAGAGAGCGTCAAATACGCCAACAAGCGCCGCACCTTCGGGCAGAAGTTGATCAACCACCAAGTCATCCGCATGAAACTCGCGCACATGGCTCGGCAGATCGAAGCGTCGTATTCGTGGCTCGAGAGCTTGATCTTTCAGTGTCAGAAGATGAATGATACGGAGGCGATGTTGAAGCTGGGGGGTGCGATTGCTGGGTTGAAGGCGCAGAGTACTGTGACGTGCGTACCATCCCCCTTCTCTTTTTGGGGCTTATTACTGACGATTGTACCTACAGCTTCGAGTTCTGCGCCAGAGAAGCCAGTCAGATCTTCGGCGGGCTGTCGTATAGTCGCGGTGGACAGGGTGCGAAGGTTGAGAGGCTGTATCGTGACGTCCGAGCCTATGCGATTCCGGGTGGGAGTGAGGAGATTATGTTGGATTTGAGCATACGGCAGGCGATGAGGGTGCACAAGGCATTGGGGATGAAGTTATAGGAGTGGTTGGGCGAGATTGGTGCTTGCAGTTCTTGGACGTAAACTTATAAGCATTTGACACATCAGTCAATCAAAGGAGCTCAAGCGTGGTGTGCTTTGTTAAGCTCACCCCGGCTTTTTCGGCTCTGCATTAATACTTATAGAACACTGTATACATGAACGGCAGAAGGACGGGCATATTCCCCTGCCCTGCCCTGCAAATGCCCACTCATCCTCCCATGCCCTCTTTCTCACTGCCGCACCCCCAAATGCCCCGTACTCAAATTCCGCTTCCTCCTCTTCGGCCGCGGCAGCGCATCTCTCACATTAAACATATCCCTCGGGCTCTGCGTCCGCCTTATCACCCGCGGAGTCCTCGTCGGCGACCTCGCAGAGATCCTGACGGCGGATCCTGGTTGTCGGGCGCTATCTCTCCTCGATACTGGCACATCTGGCGACGTAGCGCGTCGGACTTCGGGCGAGACGGATCGGTCGGTTGCTGGGGTCATGAGCAGGGAGAAGGGAGTGACGATTGGGTGTTTTGATTTTGTGGGGCTGTCGAACACGGTTCGTGCTGAGGGTCGTGGTGAGGAGGGGGCGGAGTGGGATTTCAGGAGCCATGGTTTGGATTCCATGTCTGAGTCGTCTTCGACTGGATCTTGTGGTGGCGTGCGTGAGGTGGCGGAGTCGTTGTCGTTTGCCTGCTTGTCTGAGTCGTCGTCTAGGTCGAGGCTGAATTTGGCGCGGCGGTCGCTGGACGATGAGTCGGATGACTGCTGGTGGCTGGAATGGGTTTCAACATCTGGAGCAGTCTCTGTCTTCGCTCTCCTGTGGCCTTTCGTGACGCTCCGACTGGTCGACCGTGCATTGAGACCAGGCATGCTCTGTGTACTGCCAAGCCGCCGCAGTTTGGCAGCATGCCCGAGTCGCAAGCGGCGCAGATCGCTCTGGCTCTCACTGAAATGGCATGCCTCCGTCACATCTCTGTACGCCCGCTCGAGGGCGCGTTCAATCTTCATATGGTTCTTGATCATCGGTAGGTACGGCTCGATGATCTGCTCGCCGATCCTCCTCGATGCTTCCATGAAGTCTGGTGTCGGATTGGAGAGTACCTTGAGGGTGCCTTTGATCGTCCATTCGGGACTAATGGTGATGTCGCCAGAGTATGGTTGATCGAGGATTCCCGCAAGGGCTTTACCATATCTTCCAAACTTAGGCAAGATGTAAGTGGACTGTTGGAAAGCGGCGAGCCATAGACGGTCCACTGCTTTCCCGAGCGTCCCTTCGCCGAGTCTCCTCCCTACATGCGTATGTCAGCACAAAGTCTTCAGATAAGCATCGAGTACCCACTTGACTGCGATGCTATCAGAACATGCGGATTGTTCTGCGCGACTATGAAATAGCTGCAGTTCCATTCTTTCGCCAGTTGTCGTAGTGGGATGTCGCTCTGGAAAGAGCCGTCAAAATGGTGTACACCATCTGCGCGAGGATGAACTTCTTTCGTGATCGGGTCTTTTTCATATAACCGGCCTGCTTTGAACGCCAATGGTAGCGCACAAGACGCCACAACTGCCGACCAGATGACTACGTTTGCGGAATTGGCGTAGTTCAGAATCTGGTTTGCCCCGCCGTCTACTTCTGGGCTCGATACCGTGATGTTGAGGATCTGTGCCGTGGCGGAATTAGACCACAGTATCGTTGGGAGCAATCGTAGCAATGTTGACTCACCTTGCCAGTCTTGCTGTAGGCTTCCAGAAAGGTCATGTCGCCCAAATGGCCCTTCATAACACGCTTGAGATTGGAGCTATCGAAGAAGGCGCCCCTCCAACAGGCTGCAATGCCTCGCGCAAGCAACCAGGTCGGCTCGTGAGCTCCTACAAACACTGCTAGATCCCCGTGACAAAACTCTTCCAGTACTTTCGGAAGCTCTTCGTCGCTTCTGGAGCATATATGTTAGCGGCTGGCGTTCTGACGGTCTCATGCCGTTGTCTTGATGACGTCGTACCTCGTGCATAGTATAGCACACACTATTGCACCGGCGGAAGAGCCCGAAATCACTCGAGGCAGTCTGTCGATGTCACGCAGCGCCTTGATGATACCGATGTGGCTCATACCCATGGTGCCGCCTCCGGAGCAGCAGAGAGCGGTATTACCATAAATGCTGCATCACTCATCAGCACATTTCCAGTGGAATGATTTCCTCGTGGTCGTAGTGCACCTACACTCTCGCCTGTTTCAAAGCTTCGAGGATTTCATGCTTATCGGGCTCGTCGTCTTCGCCTAGGCAGGCCATCGTGAGCAAATCGAATGCGTTGATGACTGCCCTTTGATAGCGCCCAATTGTTGGCTCGGTTGGAACTCCAGGATGGTCGTACAACTCTGGATTGCATAATCCACCCACGTTGCGCGAATCCAGCGTGCGGATCAATTCTATGAGTTCGGGTATATCGTGTCGATGCACAGCATTCTCTAGTCGCTGGGAGCGCTCAAGGACAAGTCCGGCATCAAAGAGACCCTTCCGTCGCTGGGCTTCTTCTTCCGACGCAATTTCAAGCTCATAGAGCTGCTTATCGATGCGCCGCCTTTCCTTGGGAGTCCGTGCAGCAGCGCGATCTTCTAGTAGTCGGCATCGTCTGGCAAGCTTGCGCGAGTCGTCTAGATCGATATCCTCGATGTCCCTTGGAAGCCAGTTAGACAGGGTCGCCACCGACCTGAGCTTTTGTGAAATGTCTATTGAAAGCACATGAATGGTAGTCTGGACGCATGGTCGCGCCATGCTGGGTGCATCACCGAGTCTGTGATGATCGCACTGTTGGCTCGACGGCGCCTGTGGTGGATCCTGATTGTGGCACTTCTGAGGTTCCTTTCCAGGTGTGTCTCGCGTGAATACGTAGGCGGAAACGGAAGGGAGCGTTGGAAGGAGGTCGAATAGCATCTCGGTAGTGACGTAAGTCGGAAGGCTCCATCCGCAAGGCCTCAGCAATTGCACACTTGAACGTATTGTTGACTGAATGACACGTTGCAAGCGCACACCGAGTTGGGTAACCGTTGCATCTGCGCTCTGGCAGATTGGAGTCGATAGAAAGCAAAGGTCTGTTTAGGACGGTACTGACCGCTCTGAGGTCACGCGCAAAGCACTATAAGAAAAGTAGGCTAAGTAGAGAACTAGAACTAGTGCCCTGATCGTGTGCCTACCTTAAACTTATTAAGCGTACCAGGCAGTGACAATTCAGCCAGCGGTCAGCAAGCAAGAATGATGATGTGTTCGTGAGGTCAGTCGCCGTTGTGCGACGAAACACACAGAAGTGTACGCAAGTGCTGTTGGTCTGCTCCTACCACACACATTTCCGAGATCGAGTGTCTCGTGAATATACCCAGATGACCTACCGCGCTTATTGGCCACCACGGATCGACCTTGCAGCTGCCGTGCGACTCGTCAGCGTACACCCGAGCCAGATCTTTAAGGCTTCTTGAGTTAACAGAGCCGAGCGATGCCAGATCTCATCAGAGTCGTCTTCTTCTAGGCCCCTAGCCTCGGACGATGTGGTGACCATACGGGATTTCTTGATGACTGCTGGGTCGTACTGAAAACGTCTGTCCGTGGTGCTTTGTCGTCTGCAGTTGCTCGGAGTGAGTGCGATGACGGCGCAGGCGAGGGTCAGGCTGTCATCTGAGGCAGTCACTCGCAGCCGCAGAGCCTTGAGAACCAATGGCTGGCTCCACTTGTGCCTGGCTGCCGGCCACGGTTCCAGTTCCGCCGTTAGCGTGGAAGATGAAGTCGGAAAGTTTGACATGTGAAAGTCGGCGGGGTGGGGAGGAAGAAGAAAAAACCGGGAAGCCAAGCAAAGAAAGTGCTGGGACAGTCACGTGCTGGGCTCATGAACTTCGGACGGAACATGAACTCATTGGCTCGTACATCGTCATCCATCATGCTATCATGGAACAGACGTCCACCACGACTGCTATACCGCTCCACTACCCCTCGCCTGCACAACCAGTAGGCTGGCCCCGACACCGCTCCCCAGAACAGCATCAGCCATCGAGCCCAGACAGCTCGCATCGCCGGTACCCTGATGCACACCTCTACCTGCAATGACAATGTCCCCGCCATTCCTGGGGTTCTGGCCAACTTCCGCTGCAATCCGAGCAACAGCATCCTGTACCGGTGTTGATGACGCTGCGGCCGTGTCAAAGATCACTCTATTCTGAAGCTCAGCAGCCAAGGACCGCTGGATTGTAGCAAAGAGCGCAGTGTCGTCTTCAGATGAGAACGTCCTTTGGAGGTCCGGTTGCACACCCTTTGGCGACACGGACTGCTCAGTATGCTCTGCGCTCCCACTTGAGGGAAAGTGCGCAATGGTGGCAGTGACCTCCGGGTTCTCGGCGAGCTGCAGAAGCAGCCTGAGTGCAACTCGTCCATCTGCACCACCAAAGTACGGCAGAAAAATATGGTGACTTCGATCGGACTTTGGGAGTGCTGTTAAGTGCTCGCGATGGCCGCTCCGCATGCTCCGAGCACTTACACGTCTTGTCAGTTCGTGTGGTCTCTGCTTGAGACTTCCGCTGAAACCCTTGTTGATAAAGACTGCAGTGTTGCAACGGGCGCTATTCAGTGCTTTCCCGACAAAGTTCGAGTAAGAATCGCTGGCCAGCTTCTGCTGCTCACTGTCCTTGGAGATGGTTTGCGCTTCACTCATGCTGCCTGTTTCGCTCCATGGCAGAACGAGTAAATCCGAACCCTCTTCGGCCGCTCTTGAGACGAGGTGTTCGGCGTAAGAGTTCTCTGGGACGATTGACACCTCGCCAGACACTGCTAGGTTGTACAGCTGACCCAAGACTCTGAACGTGTTTAGTACTGGATCGAAGGCGCTATACTCGTCAACTTCGGCCACTTTCATCACTGTTGAGCTACGCTCTGTGAGCTCGACAAGACGAACTCCATGGACTTCGACCGGCCTTTTCCTCTCGTTAATCAAAATGGGAGGATCTACTTGCCCACCATTCTCTTGAGTGGTAAGTTGAGGGTGCCTGCGAATGGGAACATCCGGCTGCCTGCCTCCGAGGAGCGAAAGGAAGGCCAGCATGGTCGGCATGTTATCCAAGCGAAGGTAGATTACAAGGCTCTTAACCCTTGATGACTCCAGCTTCTCCTTTGTGATTCCGTCCTCTTCCAATCCCGTGCCGGCGTCATTCAACGGAGCTCCAGTATCCCAATCGATCTCGCCTCGCTTCCATGCCTCAAGCTTTCGTTGATACCAAGGTGGATACAGCGCTGCTGTGAGAGGCGTTGTAGCAAAGGTAGTGACCAGAGCCATGACCACGAAGATGGTGAACGTCCTGGTGCTCAGGATCTTCGCCTGAAGCCCGATATTGAGCACGATCAGCTCGACGAGACCTTTGCAAGACATCAGAGCGCCAATGCTGAACGACTCTCTCCAGACCAGCCCGTTCAATCGAGCAGCTAGCGAGCAGCCTACGAATTTGGCGCAGAAGGCGACGCATATTACGCCGATGACATATGCCCAAGTGATGCCGGTGTCCAGCAGTCCCAGGTTGGTTGAAAGACCAGAGAGAGTGAAGTACAGCGGTAGGAACAAAGCACCGACCAAATCTTCTACTTTCTCCGTGACTTTGATTGCGAACCCGCCTTGATGTGGGCAGATCAAGCCCATCATGAACGCTCCGAAGATGGGATGTACACCAATCACACCAGTGAAGAATGCGCTGCCCAGGGCTAGTAGCAACGTCAGAGCAATAACGCCTTGACTGGGTCCATCCTGGAGAGCTCTCGTTCGCTGTAGGACCCATACAAAGGCTGGTCGGACGGCGAAGGCGAGGAACAGCGCATATCCAAGGCAAGTGAGCAGGACCCAGAGAGCTGTCAGACCGCTCCCAGCATTCACCAGCGCCACGCATAAAGCCAGAAGGATCCAGCCGATTACATCGTTTCCCACGCCAGCGGAGAGCACAATGACACCCACAGGCGTCGACAGCAGTTTCAGCTCGGTCAGGATACGGCAGAGGACCGGGAATGCTGTAATCGCCATGGCAATACCGATGAACAGCATGTAGGTCCCGAAGGCGATCGGCTCAAGGCCTTCCTCGTCCCTGAATTCGTGGTACAGACCCCAAGATATCGCACATCCGAGTCCGAATGGTAAGGCCATGCCCGCGACTCCCACACTGATCGCAAGCTTCCAGTTGCTGACGAAGTATCGCAAGTCGACTTCCAGCCCCACAATGAACAGGAACAGCACCAGACCAAGATTTGCGACCAAGCTGAGGTTTGGGATCGATTCGGTTGGAAAGATGGCATCTGTGAAGCCTGGGATACGGCCCATGATCGAAGGCCCGAGGATGACGCCTCCTATCACTTCAGCAATTACACGAGGTTGTCGGAGGAGGGATAGCGGGTAGTGTAGGAGACGGCAGAATATGATGATGATGCCGGCCTGTTGAGGGTTAGCAGGAGTATGATTTGAGCGGTACAGAGCAAGCAGACAGACCTGTATGATGAAAAGAATGACAGGGCTATTAGGACTATAATCTGTCGGGTTCATTCCGTCCAAAATTCCCCCCTGCTCCGGCGCTCTGGCAGTACTTGCAGCGGTTGCGCTGGTGGTCGTCAGAGTCGTCGTGACCACATCGGTCACCGTCGTCGTTAACGTCGCCATGATTATGAGGTCCGCCTCTCGGCGTATACAGCCTGGAGGTTCGTTCAAGCTTGTAGATGGTGCAGATGTCAAGGAGAAGTCAAATTGCAGGACGCAGAGATGGTGAAGTCGACGAAAGGACAGGGATGTGGATAGCCAAGGGTGAGACTGGACATGAGCTTGTCACGCACCCCATATCGCGGCTTGGACGAGATGGTAGTCGTAGAAGCACGACATCGAGAGATGCGAGATGCGAGGGTCTAGACCTCGTCTCCTTGGCCCGCCTCACCGTCTCGCTCAGCATTCCTGTGGCTTTCCCCAGACGACCTCCACATCATTATTTGCAAACTCTTACTTCGTGACTTGAGAAGCTGAGACGGATGCTGCGTCCCCAATTGATATCTCGTGATCAGCATGTGGATGGAGGGCTTCCTGCAGCTATACCGCTCTTAGCGCTGGTGAAACTGGAAAGGGTCTTCTTGCGGCGCTCGTGGCGCAATCACGAAAATCCTCCCGGCTCATGTTGACGGTCCTAGCCTTTGAACTTGCCGGCGCAGACACGAGGAGACAGACTTTGGAAGTTCGGGGCTTGAGCGCATTTTCACTGCCTTTCTTTGAGCAAGACGGCCTTGTGCACTCCGTACGATAAGCTCATGTCATCAATCCGACGCTGGACTAGGTGGCAACGACTCATTCGCCCACCTGACAGGCTCCTCACCAAGGACAAAATCCAGCCTGCCACCGTTGGCGAAGACATCCTCCCAAGTGACCCAGCTCTGGTCCCAGGCTTTTTCGTTGACCTTCAAATTTTGCACGTAGTACGCTGTCTCCCTGTTTCCTCCCTTCGATGTGATAGTCAACGTCTTTCCGCCTTCGAGATCAACCACTAGATGCTCGAACCACGGCGAGCCGATGAGAAACGTCGTCTGGCCAGTAATAGGATACAACCCGATCATATTCCACAAGAGCCATGTCTGCATGGCTCCCGCGTCGCTATTTCCTGGCAGACCACTCTTACCGGCGTTGTAGTACGACAACGCTGCATGTCTGGAGTATTTGACTGAAAGATCCTGTCTGCCAGCGAAATTGAACAGGTACGGTGTGGTGAATGCTGGCTCATTGCCTGGATTAAAGATTGTGCTGCCGTATGCCTCGTTTTCCTCTCGAATGTCGGGCTTGAAGAAGGTCTCCAGGCGCTCTACGAACGTCTCAGGCCCCCCAGAAAGAGAGATGAGATGGTAGATGTCGTGGTGGGCGTTGAACGAGTACGACCATGGTACCTGGATTGCGGCAGTTGTCAGCAAGCTTTCTGGGGCTGGAGCGAAGTTGATACTCACATCTTCATAATACGGAGAGTCCCAGTAGCAGTCCCCACATTGCAGTGGATCGTATGGGTACTCGAAGCTGTTGTTCTTGAATCCTGCTTCCTTTGCGTATCTCGGAACCATGAAGCCAGAAAAGCCCAAACTCTTCTGCTTCGGGTTCCAATGATTTCTCCAATTTCGCGAACGCTCGATGTACTTCTTATGGTCCTTCTTCAACCCCAGCCCTTGAGCGACCTGCGAGACGCTGAAGTCGTTGACAGCGTACTCGACAGCTCTCGAAACCGCTCTGGTGAAGTTGGGAGCAATATAACCGAACTCTTTCCAATCCGGCAGCGCTCCTCTGCCCTCTTTTGTGCTTGCATCGGGAGCGACTGGATCATGGTTGTTCGGCGGTGTGACTTCGGCATCCCTCTTCACGGCAGCATATCCATCATCCCAGTTGACCTGCCCTCGGACACCCTTGACGTAGGCGTCAGCAAGCACGTTATCAGCGTTGCTACCGCCCTGCGTCTTGCCGTTGAAGTTTGAGGACCGCGCATCTGGTAGCCAGCCTTCGTGTCGCCAGGTGTCGATCAGCGAGCGAATGATCTCTTCGTACGCTGTTGGTTGGAGAACTTGCCACAGCGATGTGGAGCAGCGGAACAGGTCCCAGAATGTGAAAAAGTCATCGTAATACGGCTCTGTTGAATCCCAAAGTGGGTTCTCTCCGGTGCGGTTGGATGGCAGCAAGTTCATGCCGTAAAGGTACGAGTATAGCTGGGAAAGGACCGTCGTGTTGGTTTCGGTTGTGGTGACTTTTTGGAACAGCTGTTGATTCCATTTGGCTTGTGCCTTCTTGACAAGAGCTTGAATCTTGGTGCCTTTGGGTATCTCGGCTGCTACGTTGTTGCAGGCTTTCTCCGTTGAGATGAAGGATATGCCCACTCGAGATGTCACATTCTTGGCATCGAAAGTGAAGACGCCGCCTTGTCTGTACGTTCCGTTTGTTAAAGAGGTTTGGTCATACGTGGTCAAGCTCTCGTTATGGCCGGTAAAAGTCCGCATTCGTTTTGGTCTCTGATTGAAGTGGCCGCAAAAGTAGATTGTCCAGTCTGGCGCAATGTTCCACCCGTTGTTATATATGCCGCTTCCAGTATACCCGTCCTTGGTAAGCTCAAAACTGCCGCCGGCGTAGCCTTGACCCCAGCCCAAGCCCCGAAAGGATGGCAGAACATGCGAGACGTCGACTACAATCGAGTTCTCCCCAGCAGGGAAGCTGTATTTGTACATCCCCGCATGAGCGGTAGCCGCAAGTTCGACATCGATCCCGTTCGCCAAAGATGACTTGTAGTATCCGACTTCAGCTGTGTCGTTGATAGTGCGGTTCTGACCTAGGTCCAAGAGGGGGTTCTTGAAATTTCCGGACAGGGGCATCTGATTGACGACGCCATACTTGGGAGCTCCTCCGGTGCCAGACTCGTGCATCATTGAGAAGCCCCAGATTTGGCCAGAAGGTAGGTAGCCGCTGTAGGCGTCCGTTGTGCCGTCCTCGACGTCCGGTCCGAGTTTGACCATTGAATGTGGTTCGGGCACGACGCCGGGGAACATGTTGCCGCCGTTTTCGGTTCCGAGGCTGGGTGGTCAGTAGTGTAGTGGAGGAGAAGGGCTGGAGTGCTTACAATAAATTGACATATTGGGTGTAGTCTTTTGCCTTTCCTGCTGCAGCTGTTGATAGGAAGCTGCTATATAGTAAAAAGAAGAACCGCATGGCTTTGGTCAAGGAAACGGACAGATGAGAGCATCAAAAGTGGTCGTATAGATGTCCTGGTAAGAGGCAAGAAAAGCAGGATTTATTCACCGCCAACGTTGTGGACAGAGTGAAGGGACGTAGGAATTATTACTGTCGTGAACGAAACGAAGTGCACGGCGACCGAAACGATCGTCGTTCGGTGTTGAAGACCACGGGTTGCGGCCAACGGGCGTTATTGGCCGGCGGAGGGGCAAAACTCATAACCCGAGGTCTCTATACAAACAAACCCCTCAAGACAAGCCGCCTTAGAAGGGAGAGATAGAAGATCGTTGTGAGATCGATGGAAGACAAAAGAGATCGTTGTAGGGTCGATGTGGGACAAAAAGATTGTTGTAGATGCCTGTGACATCTGGGAGCTCCCCATCACTGCGGAGACTGTTAGAGATTTTTCTAGCAGCCAATGAGGATGTGTATACTGACGGGAATCGAACCCTGGTCTCCCGCGTTTCTTGTCACGATTGATGACACTGGAAAGGTATTAGTTGATGATCAGATGCTGAGAGGACGAGGGGATCACGTGCAGCGGAAATCATCCAGTCGGTTGTTAGCTTTGACCAATCTCATTGGAAGAAGGAGAAGCGTACGACCACTAGACTGCGGCGAACAGTTAGCAGCTAATCAAATTGAGTGGACTGTTGATGTGAACGCACCCAATGAGGAATGAGGACATCATGTGATGTGATGAAAGCAGGTTTTCAAATTGCCGTATATCATAGCTATGTGATAGCTGAGTCAGCGTTGTTCATATGGACAGGACGGCAGACTTGCGATCACAGTTCTACATTGACATTACGCTGTCGACCTTGGGTCGGTCTTCGATGGATCGGAACCGTCGAGGCTTGGGGAAAGAACCACAGTCTCCTGGGAAAGGGAATTGTTTCGAGATCTGGCAACGATGGATATCGTGCCATGGGCCATCGACTCGCCGCGGTCTTAACAACTTTATTTCAATCCTTCTTCACCAAGCCGTCCGTCTCTTTCAACCGCACGCTGCGTATCAGCCTTCTGCGTACGTTGCCTCCGCATAGCTGTCCCCGTTTGCTTGCTTGTCTTTCCACAATCTTGCCAAAGCCTGCCATCACAGAGTTCATTCAAAGGTAATCCTCCACACATTCACGGAGAATTGTCTCCATATCAACTCCGAAGGAGGAGGTGAGGTCCACATTACGCGAGCTCGCGCGTCTAATCCTGCCCCGCGTTCCAGCCTAACCCAATCCAGACGGCTTTCGTGTAGCATAGACGGCTGGCTTCCTTCCACCAACGGCACCGAAAGACCTCCTTCCTCACTTCACCTTGCATACTGCTTCGACAACGCAGTGGAACGTACAGCCGGTCGCATGTGCCTACATCCAGCCAAGGATTGAAAGACCGAGTCGACCGTTCACGACCACACTTCGCGAAACACCGACCTCTTCCGCCCTCCTTCGACGCCGCTCCATTCACTCCTTCAGCGTCCATTGCTGCTCGTGGGAGAACAACAACTTTTCAGCAACCGCAATAACTTCTCGCCATCAATTGCACCATTTTGTCGACATCTACTGAACCTCCGGCCTCGAGCCAGCCAACACCGTCAAGATGAAAGCGGCACCTCTGTTAGTCGCCTGGCACGACGAGAACGCCCCAATCTACTCAGCCCACTTCGAGCCCCATGGCAAAGGCAGGTTGGCGACTGCAGGCGGCGACAACCATGTCCGGGTAGGCACCCCACGGTAAACAGAACCACGCACTCCAAGCTGATAACTGTCTCAGATATGGAAGGTCGAGACCAATGGAGACGAAAGGAAGGTCACTTACTTGTCCACTTTGAAAAGACATACACAAGCTGTCAATGTCGTCCGGTGGTGTCCAAGGGGTATTTATAAGCTATCTTTCTCGAACTGGGTTCTACTGACCCCTCCCAGGCGAGCTACTTGCAACAGCTGGAGACGACGGCAATGTCCTGGTGTGGACGCCCGCTGATGGTTCTGCCCAGACGAGCTTCGGAGAAGATGCACAAGAGGATGTAGAATTCTGGCGGGTCAAGACAATGTGCCGGTCGAACAGCGGAAGCGAAATCTACGACTTAGCATGGTCTCCTGATGGCACATATTTCGTGACGGGCAGCATGGACAATGTTGCGACGATATACAACGCCAGCAATGGTTAGCACCAGATTCCCTCAAGAAGCGTACGGGGATGGCCCACTAACATCACGCAGGCCATACTGTACGACAAATAGCAGAGCACAACCACTACGTCCAGGGCGTTGCTTGGGACCCACTCAACGAATTTGTGGCTACGCAGTCCTCAGACCGATCAGTACACATCTACACCCTCAAGACGAAAGACGGCCAATTCTCCTTAGATCCACACAATAGAGTCACCAAGATGGACCTACCTGGCCGCCGAATATCGTCCAACAGCCCAGCTCCACCAGATCTCACCAACCACCGAGCTTCCTTCATGCAGGACGCTTTCGCCGATGCGGTAGGCTCGCCGCGGCCTTCAGCTCCGGACACTCCTCAGTCTCTGGCTCTACCAATGAACCCACCACCAACCTCACACAGCCGAAGATCATCCTTCGGATCTCAAGCTGGTCAAAGTCACAGACGATCGGTCTCACCCAGCCCATCGACCATGCCGCTCCCCGCAGTCATGCCTTCTGCCTCACCCAGCTTATCCGGTGGTCTTGGCCCTGGATTCAGGAACGCTCCAATCTACGCCAATGAAACATTTACCTCCTTCTTCCGCCGGCTGACATTCACCCCCGACGGAAGCCTCCTTCTCACTCCAGCCGGTCAATACAAGACTTTCGGTCCCGGTGGCGACCACACCAAGGACGATACTATCAACACAGTCTACATCTACACCCGAGCCGGCCTGAATAAGCCTCCCGTCGCCTATCTACCTGGGCACAAGAAGCCTTCAATAGCAGTGCGCTGCTCACCAATCTACTACAGTCTCCGGGGCAGTAGCAGCGAGACCAAGGAAATCGCAATCGATACAAGGCATCCAGACGAAGATATTCCATCGTTGCCGGGACCAGCAATGCCAGCCAAGCCACCCACCTCACACTCCAGCATGGATCCTCCACCTCTCAAATCGGCTCCTTCGCCGTCCCCAGGCGTGGCTTCGATGGCATCGCCACGGCAGCCAGTCGATTCGGAAGCATCCACACCGGCACCGCCAGCGGGACCCACACCAGCATTCAGCTTACCTTACCGGATCATCTACGCTGTCGCGACGCAAGATGCTGTCCATGTGTATGACACCCAGCAACAGAAGCCTTTGTGTGTCGTCAGCAATCTGCATTACTCTACCTTCACCGACCTGACATGGTCTGGCGATGGCAACACACTGCTTATGACATCTTCTGACGGATTCTGCTCTGCGCTTACTTTCGCACCCGGTGAGCTTGGGAGCGTACACCACCCGCCTGCTGGTACAAGGCATACACCTACGCCCATTGCAGTGGCCCAGGCCAATTCGGCTGCCCCATCACCACAAGCGACGCCAACCGCAGCCGGCCACGAAAAGCAACCCTCTTTGACCTCGGTTCCCCGACAAGCGTCGATTACCAGCAATGCATTGCCAGGCGGACCATCGCCGTTGCCGTTCTCAACGGACCGACAACAACGACCTGCCTCACCCGCCCGCAGCATGTCCGCATCGAGCATGGGCACGGAAAGCAGCTTCGCACGTGTGCCTGACCAAAACGCACATCCCGGCAACAACCCAACACCACAAATGAGTGCGATGCCGCCAGTCGCTGCAGGTGGTATGCCACTCTTTACCCCGCCGCAGACACCTGGTCACCATGCGAATGGATCCACTAACAGCGTGCCAGGCTTGGTTCCAGCTGGAATGAAGCGGGAGAGCAACGTCAGTGTCGAGTCTGCAGCTACTGCTGCCAGCAATGTCGCAGCAGGAGTCAAGCGCGAGAGCGTTGCTTCTGGGACAGGTGAAGATGTGGAAGAGAGGGCGAAGAAGAGGAGGATAGCGCCGACTCTTGTGTCCGGCGGAGATGCCTCAGCGGGATCCACTGTACCGACTGAGCGTCCTGGGCCGCCGTCTGGTACCGGAGGCGAGTGAAGGATGTTTTCATTGCATTTGTCGATCGAATAGTACTTTAAGCAGGGTGTTGGGACGGGATACCACCACGGAGGATACAGCATATGCCGCGGTCAGCGAGTGTTCAGCGCATGCCCAGTCATGCTATCGTGTCCAAGCAAGCCAGATAGTAGACTGCTTATTCAATGATTTTTGAAGACAACCCGAAAGCTCTCCATCAGCATTATCGTCCGCAAGATCGTGCTTGCTTCTGAGCTTCGTCCAACAACCTTCCTCTTTCGTTCTAGCGCTCTGTTCCTCCTTCCGCTTTCTGACGACCTCAGTTCTCGGTCACACTTCACGATTGGCCTCCTCAAGCATGACGACTCCACCTCCCACCAGGACTTTGCGCCTACATCTCTCGTCGCTGACACCCACTCCAGCGGCATCACCATGGCCGATAGGACCTCCGACGCAGGTACGGCATACTAACACCACTTAGGCTGCTCGATCATGACATTCAAGCTTCGCCTTATCTAGCTTTCAGATCTGCAATGAGTATATTACGGTAGGCAAGTCCTTTCCCTCCGACGTCTCTTCATTCTTACTCTATCTTCCCTCTGTCTTATCACTGCGCGGCGCTCGACCAAGAGCTGGAAGACCGCCCAAGATGCGCACATTCTCCTTCCTCACGCTTTTGAGCGCTGTCAGCTCTGTGACGTCCCTCTCCATCCCGCCTTACACTGGTACAAGCATCAAAGGCATACCATTCCCTTCACTCGTAGACGTCGACCTCGAGGAGCTCGTCACCGGCCTCGAAAGCGGCCTCTTCACCTCGGTCGATCTGGTCAATGCTTACGAGCAGCGTATCCTAGAAGTCAACAGCACGCTACACGTTGTCACGGAGCTTAATCCAGATGCGAGAGCTATTGCGAAGCAAGCGGACGCCCTGCGAGGCAATGGAACGATCCTGAGCCCGCTTCATGGGATTCCAATCTTGATCAAGAACAACATCGCCACTGATGATTTGATGAACAACACTGCTGGCTCTTTTGCGTTGCTGGGCGCGAAAGTGCCGCGGGACTCGACTATTGCTGCGAAGTTGAGGAAGGCTGGTGCGATTATCTTGGGCAAGACGAACTTGAGTCAGTGGGCGAACTTCAGGTCGTTCAATAGTAGTAACGGGTGGTCGGCGTATGGCGGGCAGACTTTCGGTGCTGTGAGTTTAGCCTCTGGCCTGAATCGATGCGTATGGAAACTGACATTTAATAGTACTACCCTGGTCAAGACCCCAGCGGCTCCTCATCTGGTTCTGGTGTATCAAGCTCGATTGGCCTTGCGCTTGCTGCGCTTGGATCAGAGACTTCTGGGTCCATTCTCAGTCCAGCTGATGTCAACAATTTGGTCGGTATCAAGCCCACTGTGGGTCTCGTGAGTCGATACCTCGTCATTCCAATTTCAGAGCACCAAGACACCGTCGGTCCTATGGCGAGATCGGTCAAGGACGCAGCGTACGTGCTTCAAGCCATCGCTGGCGAGGATAAGAACGACAACTACACCTCTGCCATCCCCGGACCCATTCCCGACTACGTCTCTGCTTGCGATTACAGCGCGTTCTCCGGTGCCAGAATCGGCGTTGCGAGGAACGTCCTCGACATCTGGGGCAGGTACACGGACAAGCCTGTCATCGATGCGTTCAATTCAGCAGTGCAACAGATCGAAGGCGCCGGCGCAACGATCGTTGATGCCAACTTCACCGCTTTCGAGCAATGGCAGAGTGACGGCAACGGAACGCTCGTGCTCAACGCGGATTTCTTGACGAATGCTGCGACTTACTTCTCCGAACTCTCCGTGAACCCGAATGGCATCGAGAACGTTGCAGATCTTCAGCAATTCACGCACGACTTCCCAGCGGAGAAATGGCCGAAGCGCGATACGCTGCAGTGGAAGACGGCGCTGAAGCAGTTCAACAACACTTCTCCCAAGTTCTGGCCCGCGTATCAAGCGAACCTCTTCTATGGAGGTGAAGGCGGAATCCTCGGGGCATTGAAGCGCACAAATACTTCTGCTGTACTCTTGCCTACCCAGCTGAGTCCATCAATCCCAGCGCTCGTTGGAAGTCCCGTCGTCACTGTGCCAATGGGCTTCTACCCAAGCAACTGGACCGTAGCGATGAACGAGTTCGGCAATCTGGTCTCCACGGGCCCGAATCTGCCTTTCGGATTGTCTTTCATGGGACCAAAGTTCTCCGAGGCAGATCTGATCGGATATGCGTATGCTTATGAGCAGCGGACGATGCATCGGAATCAGATCTCGCCGTATCTGGTGCCGAATATTGAGATTGCGAATGTGGTGAAGACATGACTGCATGGACGGGGGGAAACGGGTATGTGTACAAAGGACTGGGTAGATAGATGTGACTTGTTCGAGGAGTGGCCGAGGGTGTTGAACGAAAGAGGAACGCCGACAAGGAAGGGCTGGTGGCAGGGTCTAAGGGAGAGAGGGGCAGATATTGTTGACAAAATGGCGATGGAGAAGACATAGCATGGCGAATAGGTAATCTATAGTGATGTGAAATGATAGACTGTCTCGACGTCGTTGCAATGAACTTGACCCTGAACGCGCACGGACATTGTGGGCTCCTTCCGCATTCGCAGAAGTGAATGCATCTTGACTTCTCCATTTCTGGTCCCACACCACGTGAACCCGATCCAAGACGTGTGATCGTTTTCACAGCCGACACCACCACAATGTCCACCCACAGCGTCCCAGGCATAACGTCACCAACTCAGAAAGCACCAACAACGAACACCAAGCCGAACCGGCTTCCAGCACCGACTCTGTTCGTCGGCCCACCGTCTAGGAATGCTTCTCAACTCTCTGTCGCTCGACCTGGCATATCCCGCGAAAAGTCCACTAGAGCGCGAAACCACAATACAGACGCAGATGGAGAAGGCAGCGACAGCAGAGACCTCCCTACCCTCCGCAAACCAAGCGAGAGGAGCATCGATGCAAAATGGCGGGAGATGCAGAGTACGCTGAACGAGGTGGAACTCACAGCACAAAGCTCTACCCACGTCTTCGGTGAGAGCCACGCCAAAGCGCTCGATGAGCTGCGGAATGCCCAGATAGCGCTGGCGAAAGCTTGGGGCAGAGGGAACGATACACAAGCCAGTACGGCAGGGAATGACAGTCTGGAGCCGGACATCCATCGTTTCAAGGGCGCGGAAGATCTAGCGTCGGAGAGGAAGGCTGCAGCTCCTACTTCCCGAAGACGAGCGGATACGGGGGCTTCTGCTTCAACGGTTCTTAGCGACGAGAGTCAGCTTACAGAGGACAGCGCGAGGAGCGGACGGAGTCATTTGGAGGACGAAACGGCGCAGGATATCAAGCTCGCGAGTGAGAGGAGGGCAGCGAACGAGGCGTACTTCAAGAAGGTGGATCAGGGGGTGAAGGAGGTGGTGGAGAAGCTGGAGAAGGTCGCGGAGGCGATGAGGGGGGTGGAGGGGGAGAGCAGGAGTTTGTGGAGTCAGAGTGAGCGGAGCTCGAGTGGGAGTGAGGAGGGCAAGAGGGTGTCTACTGCGCCATTGCCTGGTGGGTGAGGGAGTCGGAGGCTAAGGAACACAGAACGATCGATATCCCCTAAAGCGAGGACGACTGCTGGCGACATTGGGTTCTATGAGCAACTAGGCACAACTGCACCGGCCACGCTTACCACCGGCCTTACTAGCCGATCAGGACATGGCTACACCTTGCCCTCGCCTGTCGGCCGCATCATCGGACACACACGCTGCGCGGTCACAGCCTACAGCGGCGTTCGATTAAGGACTTGAGCGGTTGACTCAACAGGTTAGGAGACGTCCTGGTCGAAAAGAGGATGCCACCAGGAGCTGTACCAAGGGATTGCGAACGCAAAGGACGGCGCAGTGGAGTGTACGACTGAACTTCTTGCATTCATCACCTCTGCCGGCGGTAGACTAGAGTAAAGCAGACAGATAGTGGAGTAGTTCAGATATTGCCAAGACCGATGGACATTAGCGCCAAATCGCGTCCTTGTCGTGTAAAGCACCCCTCGAGCTCTCTTGTCACCAAACTTGCGCCAACCTCCAACCTTCCTTCTTCACTCGCTGGTCCCCATTTGCCACTCCACCACCACACGATTCATCTGAATGAGCGTCGATTGGACAACGAAGCGCCAAATCGCCGCTTTTTCACAAACACAAAGGTCCTTGGGCAGGAGGATCCACGCGCTGCAAGTGTAGCTGCCTGCTGTCCAGCTCTATAAAACTTCTGCTTCTGGGTCATCATGTGAGTAGACTTCTAACCGCCAGCAACTGCGCACTACGGCGTCCAAGCCACCAACCAGCAGGCGTCCTCTGAGCGAAACCGCGAACGAAGCTGGAGGCGCGAAAGCTCACACCTCTTATAGGGAGTCCTTCAACGACATCTACCTCGACCTTTCCAAAGAGCCCGGCAAGTGCAGATTCGCAGACTCTGGCCTCGGCTGGCGACCACACAACGGCGAAACCTTCACTCTCGACAAGGCGGAATTCATAAACGCACAGTGGAGCAGAGCAGCGCGGGGTTATGAAGTGAAGATCTTTGCGCGCAACGCTGGGGTGGTGCAGCTGGACGGCTTCAAGCAGGATGATTTCGACACTCTATCAAAGTGCTTCAAGGTCTGGTATGGCGTCGAGCTGGCACAGAAAGAGCATGCGCTGCGAGGCTGGAACTGGGGCAAGAGCGAGATGGGTCGCAACGAGCTCACGTTCAACGTGCGAAATCAGCCCGCCTTCGAGATTCCGTTCACTGAGATCTCCAACACGAACCTGGTGGGAAAGAACGAGGTGTCCGTGGAGTTCTCATTAGCAGCCGGCGCGGACGATACGGGAACCAACGGACATCTGGGTGGCGCACGAGGCAAGGGCAAGAAGATGGGTGGCGCGGTGGACCAAATGACGGAAATCAGGTTCTACATCCCAGGCACCGAGACGCGGAAAGGCAAAGCTGAGGACGACGAAGAGGGAGCGGCCAGCGGCGAGGAGACAGAGAAGCAACAGAATGCGGCCAACCTCTTCTGGGAGCAGCTCACGGACAAGGCTGAGATTGGCGAAGTTGCCGGAGACACATTCGCCACGTTCTTGGACATCCTACACCTTACACCTCGCGGGAGATTCGACATTGACCTTTATGAGAAGTCATTTCGTCTCCGCGGTAAGACGTACGACTACAAGATCACATACGAGAACGCAAAGCGGTTCTTCTTCCTTCCGAAGCCGGACGACGTCCACCAGCTGCTCTGTGTTGGTCTGGATCCGCCGCTTCGCCAAGGTCAGACCCGCTATCCATTCCTGGTCATGCAGTTCAAGAAGGACGAGGACACCAGCATCGAGCTCAACATGACCGAGGAGGATCTCAACCAGAAGTTTGGTGGCAAGCTGCAATCGTCGTACGAAGGAGAAGTCGGCACGGTCATTGCAAAGATTTTCAAAGGCTTGACCGGCAAGCGGTTGACTCAGCCGTCGCAGGACTTCAGGAGTCATCACGGCATGGCAGGAATCAAGTGCAGTATCAAGGCAAACGAGGGCAACCTCTTCTGCCTCGACAAGGCGTTCATCTTCGTGCCAAAGCCAGCAACATACATTTCGTTCGACCACATCGCGGTGGTGACGATGAGCAGAGTCGGTGGGGCTGTTAGCGCCAGTCGCACCTTCGATATCACCGTCACTCTGAAGAGCGGCGCAGGCGAACATCAATTCTCGAACATCAACCGTGAGGAGCAACAACCGCTAGAGAACTTCCTAAAGATCAAGGGCATCAAGACGAAGAACGAGATGGACGGTGATGGCTCGATGCTGGCGGCTGCGCTCTCGGCTGATCCTGATCTCGCTAGCAGCGATGAAGAGGAGGTCGTCAGGCAGGACCGCGGCTCGGCGGATGAGGACGATGAGAGTGTGGATGAGGACTTCCAGGCTGATTCGGATAGTGATCCTGCGGAAGAGTACGATTCGGATGCCAAGTCGTCGGGCGGTGGGAGTGATGCCGAGGACGGCGAGGGTGGTGCAGAGCCCATGGATGAGGACAGCGCGAGTGATACGGAGGCGAAGGTGGAACGGCCGAAGAAGAAGACCAAGACGGGGAAGTAGAGGTGGACGGATTTGTGCGTGGTGTAGGATATGTGACAGCTCGAAAGGCGCAGTGCGGACACAGCAGAGCTGCACGCTTTAGTGGCAGTGATTTGGCTCTACTTAGTAGACGTGCCCGAAGGGCATGTCATCGGCCGAGCCTGCCGAACAGAGAACAGAATAGATAGCCACAAAATGGGCAAGATCTTGGCTCGTATCCAGCTCACCCGTCCCTTCGCGTCTTCATCGCCCGCTCCTATGCCTTTTCGACCTTTTCCATCAGCACTGGCGTGGGCGGTTTCGCTTCGTCAATCAACTGAACAGGCAAATCGTGCCAGCGCAATGCCTGTAGCAGATCATGCAGAGTCCTGAGTAAGCATCCTCCTTCGAAAGCTTATTAAACTTCCGACTAGAGACATGCTTTCGGCATTCCACGCGTTTCCTGCAGTATTGGGAGTACCTTTCTTTTTTCTTTTTTGTCTTGCTGTTAGGAGCTGAGCAGGTCGGTAGTGAGCGTAGTTTGAGCATAGAGCATCTGCCGGAGTATTGAGCATGACTTCGACTTACAGCGGGCGTTTGTATTTCTAGATCATCTCTTGAGAAGCAGTATGGCTTCCAAGCGGGAGAACGCGGATGAGGACAATGGAGACAACGGCCCGATTGGGCACACCGACGACGATGCTGCTGCTGGACATTCATCGTCTGGGAGTGATGACAGGACCAAGGAAGCGCAAGCACCTGCTAAGCCTGAGCCGAAGAAGGACGAGCAGAAGAAGCCTTCGAAGTTGAAGGTAGCATGGGATAAACTGGGCCTAGATGTGTGAGTGTAGGCTCCATCATCATGCTCGACGTTCCTGACTCTGGCAAACAGAATGACCCTCAAGATGATGTTCAAAGGCTCAGTACCGCCAACAGTCGCCATCGCCATGTATCAGTCTCCTCGTGTGGCGGAGGTATACACAACACTGGGCTATCTCGTCGCCATCGCATCGATTCTCGGATTCGCCATTATGCCGCGAGGGAAATTCATCCAGCATATGACGCTGAACGTCATCTCTATCTGCTTCGCGGCCGGCCTGAACCTGCTGGCATTGTACTGCGCTACCCAGGCTCGCATCAATACGACACCTGCCGGACAACCACCGAGCGTATACAACTCGTCTCAGAGCGCGGTGTGCGCTGTTTGGCTTATTGGGCAGGTGTATCTGATCAACGTGGTACGAGCGGCGAGACCGCAGTTCCAGTTCCCTGCGATTTTGTGCTCGATCTTCTGTATCGTTGCTTTGACATGTTAGTCGTCCCTAACCAGCTTCGGAATCATTGGTTCCAAGGAGAACTTCGCTGATGTCAACTTAGATGGTACCCAGTTCCCAGACATGCCAACTGCCACTTCGTTCATGCAACGACTGATCGAAGCATTCTTGTCCGGATTCGCGTTGGCAACAGCGACCCACTTCTTCATCTTCCCAACGAGCTCTCGTCTGGTGGTGTTCAAGGAGTTGGCGGGCTATTTGCAACTGCTCAACGGTGTTGTGAAGACGCAGACGGCATACATGACGACTCTAGAAACCCATGACCCTCTGAAGCAGCAGGCCGAAGGGGCGGAATCAGACAAGAAGAAGCACAAGAAGAAAAAGGAGATCGCAGGGCAGTCTGGCTATATTTGGGGCACTCCCGCATCCGTGAAGATGGAAGAGCTGATGAACAAGCTGATTGAACTTCACACCAAACTCCACGGCGACATCACTCCCGCGAAACGCGAATTCGCCTTCGGAAAATTGGAGTCCCATGACTTGACAGAGCTGTGGAAGCTCGGTCGATCTATCTTCTTGCCTGTGTTGGGGCTCGCGTCCATGATCAATATTCTCGAGCGTCAGGCCGAGCTTTGTGGGTGGAAGAGTGGCGATGAAGTCTCGCAAGAGGTAGATGAGAATCGATATCGTCAGATTGAGAACGTTCATGAAGCGATGAAGTTCTTGCACAAGCCGTTCGCGCAGATGACTGCAACGCTGGACGGCGCCTTTCAACACATTCTCTTGGTACTAGAGCTAGTCAAGCCGCCGAAGAAGAAGCAGGAGGATGAGGAAAGCAAAGGGGATGAGGCACCAAAGCCTGGATCTACCGGGTTCGCAGAGACGTACAAGAAGAAGATGGATGAGTTCTACAACTCCAAGAAGAGATCGCTTGAGGATTTCTGCGCTCAAAACGACATCCAATTACCGCCCGACTTCTGGGAGGCGTCTTTCATCCATCCCCATACACTGACTGCGGAACAAGAGCACAGACGTGAGCGCCACCAGCGACAACTCTTCTTTGTGCTGTACCTGGAGTATCTACTCTGGCGAGTCGCGAAAGCTGTGCTCAACTTGGTCCTTTTTGTCGACAAGAGGAAGCAAGAAGGCGCCTTCAAGCGGTCGAAACTCATTTTCCCCGGCAGCAAGACGATCTACAAGTGGATTCTATCAACCTTCGGCCAAGAGGACATGAGTCAAGAAGACTCGTTCACGACAGACATGGACTCTGGAGGCAACGAGTCGTTGTATCTCGGCCAAGGGTTCAGCAAGATGAAGGATCCCGAGCACGAACCGCCTCGTAATGCTTTTGAGAAGCTTGGAGAGAAGGCCCGGAACATACCACGGTTTTTCAGGAGCGATTCGTCTGCATTTGGGTTTAGAGTGGTTGCTGCCACGATGACGCTGGGGATTGTGTGTTATTTGCGAGATACGCAGTCGTTCTTTCTTGATAATCGATTGCTTTGGGTGAGTGCTCGGCCGTTGGTTAAGCCTATTGGATTGCGCTGACGATGTGACAGTCGTTGATCATGATCGCCATCTCCATGAACCGGTAAGTTGAGCCAACTCGGCGGCATATGATACCGCTTGCTGATTGTGCAATCCTACAGAACCGCAGGCCAGAGCAGCTTCAACTTCGCCATGCGCATCCTAGGCACAGCAGTCGCCAGTAAGTCCTGTCCTGCACACCGACTGTAACGACCACGCTGACGCACAACCAGTGACCGCCTCATATGTCATCTGGTACATCGTCGACGGCAAGACCCCCGGCGTCATCATCTTCCTCTGGCTCTGGATGGCCATCGCTTTCTACCCGATCTTCAAAGCGCCGAAGTTTATCATTGTTGCCGTGCTGAGCATCGTTACATCCGTCCTGATCGTTGGCTATGAACTGCAGGTGCGCGTGCTTGGTGTGGAAGTGGCGACGTCGAATGGACAGCCGGCGTATCCGCTGTATATTCTTGCGCCGTATCGGTTGGCGGCAGTGACTTGTGGTATTTTGGTGTCGGTTGGTGGATTCCTGTCTTGCTGGTTCTGAGAATATGCTGATTATGGTTGCAGTATATCTGGACTATCTTCCCCTTCCCGATTTCTGAGAGCACGGAGCTGCGCAAAGACCTAGCTGCGTCGTTGAATTTGATGTGCATATTCTATGAGAACGTGCATGAGACTGTACGATCGAGAGTCACTGGCAAAGCTGGGAGCATCACTAAGAAAGGTATTTAACATACTGAGACTAGCCACCCGAAGTGATGCCAACTGACCGCGCCTTCATTCGCAGGTACTCATGCATACAACCTCGAGAAGGCGAGGACGACTATCTTCTCGAAGCTCGTTTTCGTTCTCGAGAACCTGAAGACGAATTCAGCATTCTCGTCTTTCCAGCTCCGGGTCGGTGGGCGCTTCCCCCACGAGGAATACGAGGAGTGAGCGACATCAAAGCCAATCGGTTGTTGGACGTCTTTAACTAATTCATCTAGGTTGATGTCCTGCATGCGCCGGTTGTTACTCTGGGTATCCCTAGCCTCCTACGCTTCTTCCGACTTCGACCAAGTAGAGGAGGCAGACGCTGAGCGGTCACTATGGGCTGCCGAGTTTCGTGAGTCCCCTGCCAGTCTCGCTGTTTGTGTCAAACACAAGCTAACCCAGCCTACTTTCTCCTCTCAGGCAAAGTCATCGGCAACTCGGCCAACACCAGCAACCAAATCACCTCCCTCCTCTCCCTACTCGCCTCCAGCCTCAGCAACGGCCAGCCCCTCCCGCCCTACCTCCGAATGCCCGAGAGTTTCCAGCTGGTCCGGAGGCTCGAGCATGTCAACCCGGACATCGTGAGCGTGCGCCACGTCGCGGAGCCGGAGTATAGTGCTTTTGCGGTGATGCAGGTGACTTCGCAGTGTATCAACACCGATGTGTTGAAGTTGGTGAAGTAAGTGCGCTATGATTTACGTTGAGATGGGACAGATGCTGATGTCCGGGCAGGCATGTGAAGAATTTGGTCGGGGAGATTGATTTCTCGTATCGGGCTGTTAAGTCTTCTTCGGCGAGCTCGTTCAACTCTTCTGATGAGGAGGAGGATGCGAAGAGTAAGGCGGAGTGAAGGCTGACGAAGCAATGGCTGGCTGGGTTCGTCCAGAAAGTATCTAGAGTCGAAGGACGATGCGGCGCGATATGGCATCATCGCCTAAATGCCACATCTAGGAGGTGCTCGAAGTCCAGCCGAGCGACCAAATCTCTGGGCCAGTATGGAGTGCCATGCTGCGCTGCAAGATACTCTCGACCTGCGCGGGATACCGAGATGCCTGTTAGCCCATTATCTCAGAGCTGTCGAGCCCGTGGTACATCACTTCTGGCTCGCTTTTGCGAAATAGCCCGTGATGCTATTTTTTTGGCCAGCGTCTATCGCAGGCTTTTTCTTCTTCGTAGGTGAGCTGTCCTCGTTCTTCTTTGGCGCCTTTTCGCCGATTCTCATTATGCGCATGAGCTCTTCAAACTCATCGACATTGACAATGCCACCAGAAGCTTGAACGTGTCCTCGAGCAAAATCAGCTCCGAGACGATCGATCAGGGGTGCCTTTTCGCTGGTAACTGTCCCATTTGACTCATCTTCCAGCGGATCTTTCAGGCTCGCATAATGCTTCAGGCTCTGGATGATATCGACAGCCGGCTCGCGAGCCCGCGCTGACCGTGGTATCCGACATGAGAAGTTGACTTTGCCTTCCAGATAACCTTCATTGGCAACCATGACAACCTCGAGCAACTTACTCGAGAGGTGACCAGCCCAGCGTGTGGCGATGACCGGATGGACCTGGCATTCACTCTTGATCCGGAAGACGGCTATCTTTCCGTCGAGTGAGAATTTGGGTGCTGTATGCGTGCAGCGCTCGACTTCGGCACTGACTTCTTGTCTTGCTTCCAGGAGACGGGGGTTCTTTAGCACGGAAGATGGATCGGTCGTTTCGCAGAGAGCGTTCCAGGCTGAGACGACGTCGTAGGAGGCTGCTCGTCTGGGAGCATTGATCGCGGATACGACGTCGTTGAGAGTCTTCTTCGTGTACTTTTTCAGACACGCTTTCATGTCCGGGAAAGGTGGTTCCCATTTGAGCGTATTGCCCAGGTCACCATGGGTTCCGACTACGCAGAGCCAGTCGCACCGCTCCTGGACGCCAGGATGGAGTGGTTCGCAGAGTAGATACGTTAGAAGGGAAGACGTTGCGACAGGTGGCGAATGGCAAGCATTGACAAAGGCCGCGCCTTCTGGGAAGTCGGCTTCATTCGCAAAATGATGGTCGATGATGATCGACTTGTGCTCGCCGTCGATCAGAGGAGGACCTGACCGACTGCCTTGGTCCAGGACAAAGATGAACTGCGGCTTGTGCGACGCCATCTTTACCCTCTCCGGCTCGCTGTGGACGGTGTTGCCTTTCGTCAAGAGATGCACATGGATTAGTTCTGGAGGCACCCCGAGAAGGCGTAGTGTGTGCTGTAAGATCGCTCCAGACGAGAGGCCGTCGGCGTCCTTATCCGGGACGATGAGGGTAGTTGCTTTGGCCCTTGCGCATTCGAGAATGAATTCTTGTACTATCTTGATCTGTGAGCTTGGGGCGGGCCATTGTATGGATCCGTCTTGCTCTTTGACGGAGGGCGTTAGATGGTAGTCGGGTACAGTTGGGCGGGGCTTCTTTGATGCCGGTTCTGCGTTCGTCGGTGGGTTGCTGCGTTTCATAGAGGCTGATATGTGTAGATGCCGTCGCCTTGCAGGGAGGCGGATCGGTTTTCCTCGTTGTCGGACAGCTTGGTTGAGTAGCCCAGAGATGTAGTTGTTGCAACCCAGACGTTTGATCACATCGAGAATGGGCATTCAGGACTTGCTATACCAGTGTCTGTTTGGACGAAGCAAAGTGAGACCTCTGGAGCATATTCACATCGTAATCCGGAGCGAGTGACGTATAGTTCTAGCGGACCGATTTGGTGAGCTTGTCACGTGGCTGCACGGTCGCAGCTTCCGCCTGGAAGCCTCTTCCACACACCACGACATGTTGTACCTCCCGGATCGAAAAAGCGTATATCAACATTCACCCGGCTGCAGTCAAGAGCCAGACGAGCCGAGTGCGAGCAGCGAGGCTGAAGAAGCTGTTTCGCATTGAGGCTAACTCTGCAGCACGAAGCTCTCTCGCATCCGCCATCCAGAGCCTCTCTCCCACCACTTCCATTCGCGGGGCTCTGCCACGCTACCTACCACTTCCCCCCAGCGCAATCTCCTGCGACCTTCTGACATTGTCCGCTCCACGCTTGGGTTGGAAGGCTGTCGCAGTCGGATCACCGTCCCGGACATCAACCACCTTTCACCCACCGGAGATCTTCAAGGCTGCATCCGCGCACGCACGTAGTTCCTCCTTCTTGGTTCCGGGCCCGGCAAAGAGCTTCAGAGCCAGAGCCTCAACGCCGTCGCCAGAACTTCAGCGCGCGCGAACATCAACGGTTCCCCTACAGTCCTGCGCACTCTTCAAACTTACTCGGTCGCTCCGTCGCCTCCAGTCGCGGCTGAGAACGCAAAGCCCAGACCGCTGCCCCCGCGACGCAGCTGGATGAACGACGGTTGGTCCGAAATGCTCTGGTATGTTCTCAGTTGCGAGACGCTGCGTCGCTATGCTGTTAAGTGCGGCCTGTGATGTTGCGCTTGTTGTCACCGCGGATCGCTCTTGTTCTCTGCTGTACTATTGCTCTTTTTGCGCGTTAATCCTAGTCATTATCTCGACTGTACTATGGCATGGCATTAACGCAAAATTGAAGGCACGTACTGACTATACCTGAAGGACCGGCAAAGGCGCATACGCAAAGCTGTCAAGCTTCCCGGCCACCTATGCCATAGCATGAACAGGTCGCTCTTTGACTTGAGAGTATAAAAAACCGCGCTCGTCGGCTACAGCCGTGAGTGGAAAGGAGGGTGTTCGAGGTACTGCAGAGACACTCTTATGTTGAATGCGCCTGGATGAACACGACTCCCGCTCTTTACGATCCGAACGACTTGTTATACGACACCAGATCGCCTATACTGGAGGCTTTCCATCCCGAACTGACGCCGCGCGACGAACCATATCCCGCGCCCTCACCATCACCCGTGCTCGAGAAAGCACGGCTCTACGCTCCTGACACTGAAGTGCTGATACGCGCTTTGGGACCTAACAATCCAGAGCTTCATCGCATTCCGTTACCGGAGAAGCACCTAGGTACGCCAACCCAGTGAAATGGACGCTTTTCCGGGCCAGCGTGGCTTACCATGCGGAGCTCTGGAAGGTTTCCAGCTCAACGTCGAAGTAACGAACTCTTGCTGATCCTCCTTGTGTAGACAGCACTGCGATGACAGATCCTAGCGAGGGTACGGACCCGATACAGCTCGTCAAGCTTGCTTTGACAGACACAGAGTACACCGGTCAAAGTGGCAGCGATCTGGACGCTAGAGATTTGGCCGCAAAGGCGACTGCTGCCGTGAATGCCCAGGAGGCCGTCTCAACAAGCGAAAGGGACACCCTTCGGCATGATCTAGAAGCCAGACACGATTCTGCTCAGGAGAGGGTCCCGCAGCTATCCAACGATCAGCGACAACAACTGTCAGGCCGACATTCACCGTCATTGAGATTACAGACTTCCAGAGACCACTTTCCCTCAGAGACTATTACCACCTCACCCACGTTGAGCAAGCACATCATTACCACGGCAGAGGCCAACTTTGGCACACTGCCTGCTTATCATGCTAGCTTCCCGACCAAGGACGGAACTACAACATCACCACAGAGCGAAAAGCTTCCGGGGTTACAGCAGGTCATTCATGGACAATTGAGACCAGGCCGTCCGCTGGAGGAGCTCGCAGAAGTCGCAACTGCACAGGACCCGCGCGTCCCTATGCGACAGCATAGCCAGTCGTTTGGCTCGACGACGGCGCCGTCACCGATGATGTCGTACCACTATGGCAGCGCTGCTTATACGGCGGCATCGCCCTACTATCCACGGGGCAGCGCGAGATCACCCACCAGTACCATCAGCGACCAGATGTACATGTCACCGACTCAATGGCCTGGCGCAGCTTACTACAACGATCGGAGATCAGAACCATCGGGTGAGATGCACCCACCAATGATGCCACCCTCGCTGCCATCTGCCTCGTCTGGCGAGAGCCATGCGACGACCAGCTCCTCTATCGACGACTACAGCACTGCGCAAACCACGCCAGGAGAAGGACCTGAGTCGATGAGGCCGATATTACCACCTCCACCAGGAATGGCACAGAGTGCGTTCATGGTTGGCCAGGGCTTTACGTGTGACTACCCTGGCTGTACCGCAGCGCCGTTCCAGACGCAGTATCTCCTCAGGTATGATTTTCGGAACTTGCCGGTGTTGGGACTTTGCTGACACGACTCCAGCTCACATCGCAACGTGCACAGTCAGGTCAGAAACCATTACTGCCCTGTCAAAGAATGCCCCCGCAGCGAAGGCGGCAAAGGGTTCAAGCGTAAGAATGAGATGATCAGACATGGTCTTGTCCACGAATCACCGGGCTACGTCTGCCCATTCTGTCCGGACAAGGAGCATAAGTATCCTAGACCGGACAACCTACAGAGGTACGTTAGGTCTTGAGAACATGGAGTGCCCTCTGACGTGACATGATCGCTTACTGTCCCGCAGGCACGTTCGTGTCCATCACACCGACAAGGACAAGGATGACGCGCAGCTGCGAGAAGTCCTGGCACAGCGACGAGAGGGCGTGGGAAAGACGCGGAGGCGTAGGGCGAATACTGCTGGATCTGCTAGTTGAAGTTGTCATACCCGGAGGACCGAATGCGTTTTGACGATGGCTTGACATCGCTCAGCCATGGCGTTGGCGGGATACTGTACTCAAATGGCACGAGGTCGGGCGTTGTCACGTTCACGTGTATGAGTTTCAGACGCGTCGCGTTATCGCGCTGTGGCATTCTCGATAATGTTGCACCATCGAGCCACCTGTAGTACATCCTCTTTGTTGTCTCGTGGGAAGACAAGAAGCCCACCGTCCGCCTGCTCTCGTGCGCGGAGAAAGCAGCCACTGCGGCGGCGGCGTAGGCAGGCTCGGGAGCTTCGAGCATGCAGTCCAGCAGCCTGAAGGTCTGGGCTAGCCACGTGGATTGGAACTTGGGGGGGATGATTGACTTTTGCCGACGGGACGCAGTACCATGGCACCCCGGTGTGAGAGAGCCTCATCTGAACCGCTGGCGCTTCTCAGCTGAGTCGTCGGAGAGAGCCTCACGTAAACGTCGAAAGACAGCATCACGCACTGCCATCCGGAAGCAGCACCTCGCGCTTCCAGTGGATGTGGATGGACAGGATCGGGATGGGATCTTCCAGCTCCTCTACTGTCGCTGTCCCGGAATGGGTCGGTTGCTGATGCTGCTGACCTGAGCCCTGCATTGACACGCCCCGCTTGGCGGAGCGACTAGGAGACGCGGGACGAACGCAATCGCGTGGCGTGATTCTAGAACGGAGACGAGCGTCTGGTCGACTAGAACTAGGTAGGTACTGTGCATGCAGCGTCTGTCAAAACGCGGATGGGCGCCCACGTTTGGATTGTTCCGTCTGGTTCTTTCTTCTCGTTCCTGAAGCGATTGAAGTGAGATTTGTGTTCGGTGTGGTATTTGGAAGTGAGAGTGAACGGTTCCGAGACTCCAGAGACGAGCAGGAATTCGAGACCGACGAGATCCTTGGCTCCGCTGCCACGCGACTGTCGATCCAGAGGCTTGGGCTGCTACTCCACCTTGGGTCTTGAGGGGTTGTCGTACAAGGGAGTGCTGTTGTTGTCTTCCTGACGCTCCGTCTGACGTTCTGTTCCTAGAGCAGAAGCAGTGCGACACACGACCTTATCATCAGACGATTTCCTGGCCGAGTGACGATACGCTGAGCGCAGGAGCTCTCCGCGGAATTGGTACTGGAATAGCGGAACTGGACTGACGATAGCGTGACATCCCACGACGATAGGACGGAAGAAACGTTTTGGCAGCGATATAGCAAACGGCGAGCCTGGGCGCTTGCCTCACTTTCTCATTTGCAATGGCAATGACACCGTTCGCTCTTTCCCTGCTGGGAGTAGAGCAATCATCTGGACAGCGGCGACAGCGAGACGTGGCAGATGGCGACGCAGAGGTTCCAACAGAAGTTCAGCCTGCGCCGGAAGTCCGTCCCGCCCGGCCATCTAGGAACAGAGCGACGAGCTACTACAACGCATTCCAAACCGTGTGCTCGACTGCGAATGATGAGCCACCAACTTACGAGTATGCTGCACGTCAACGACTACCCCAGCGGCATCCGGACTATCTCCGGGAGACTCTGCCTGGGTATTCGTGCTCTGTAGAGGCATCTGCCATCGTGCTGCTCCAACTGGAGTCCATGAGCCCGCTCCACGATCCAAGCGAGAGCGAGTGGCGAGAAGCCTACCTGGTGGTGCAAGGGACTCTGCTCAGTTTCTACAGAGCAAAGGAAAAAGGACCTGGCAAACTGCTCAGGAGCTACACTTTGCAGCATGCTGAGGTCGGGTTGGCTCTGGACACGCAGCATGAGGTGCTCGTTCCGCAGACACGGCTAGCACGTTTGGTGCCTTCTTCGGCACGACGGAAAGCTATGCAGAAGGATCCGGACATGTTCAGGATTGTCCGGCAGCACTCGCTACGGCTGCGAGTTGAGACTGATCAGATTGTCATTGCGCATGCCTCTGAGGAGCACATCCATGGCCTGGTCCACGCCATTAGTGCTGGGATTGATATTGCTCAGGCGATTGATGAGCGAAGCCTTCCACGACTATGCACTGTGCCTCGGTGGAGGAGAAGACAGCGCGCAAGCCAGACTGGTGATATCACTGATCCGGCTGTTGTTGCTGAGCAGGAGCGGATTCTGAGGGACATGTACCCGGCGTTCGCGGAGCAGAACCCAGAGACGAGACCGAGCTTCGAGCGGACAGTGACCAACGCAACGCAAGCAACAATTCCAACTGCCCAGACACCAGCCCGAGAAGAAGACGAACTAGATCTCGCAGCAATCCGCGAGGACGCAGCAGGCACCAGCGACGACCCGAGCAGACGCCCTCCCATGTCCCGCAACGTCACCTCCTCCACCATCAACTCCACCTACTCCGCCGACATGCTCTACGCCACCCTACCCACCAACTTCACCAGCGCCGGCAAATGGGCGCCCCCGCACTCCCGCACCCCGTCCCAAATCCAACGCTACATCCGCCGCTGCATGCCCATCCTCCCCGCCGACGCCGTCCGCGCCTCCGACATCCTCATCTGCCACGGCCAGCGCGTGAAAATCAACTGGCGCATGGAGCTGCTCGAGGAATGGGAACTCCAGCCACCGACGTATAAATCCCACCATTTCAACCATAGCGAGGACCAAGAGCAAGACCAGACTCTCGACCTCACCCGCACGCACTCGTGCTCGCAGAACTCTGCCTCTGAATCCACGCCGAACCCGCACGCTTCAACCTCCGACCTCGGCAGCGACGACCACATCACGCGTTGCGACGAAACAGAGACAAGTACACGCCTCGCGCCGCTCGATCGGTCGAAATCCGCAGTCTTGGACAAAGGGACGTCGTCGGCCACGCGCCAGACGTCTTCGCCGAAGCCCGCCGCGGCGCCGCAGCGACATCACCACCCGGGACAGGATGTTCATGGTGTGGTGTTTTGCTTTTAGGGTGCGCCGGATGGGGTTTGTGCAACGTGGGCGCTGGAACGAGGTGGTGCGTGTTTGTTGGGCTGGATGCAGCTTTTTGTCTCTCGTGTGTCTGTTTTTCTAGCGTTGGCGCTGGGTACGATCGCTCCCTCCCTCGGAAAGGGTGGTAGATGTTTATGAGTGATGTGCAATCTCTGCTTTGGAACCTTGGCATGAATTGATGATATGGAACAGATATTTGGACAGATAGGATAACATCTACAGTGTAACATTGCGTCTACTCATTGCTATCATCAGCCTTGTTCGATAGTTAAACTGCACCTGGTTGTGACCCGAAGCGTGCCTTTGATGCATCAATAGTAGTCGAGCTTGTGTTGTTATATGTGTTACCCGCAGTGTTGGATGAGGATTGATATATCGATATTTCGAAGCATAATCGCTCGTGACCACATAAAAACTAAGCCATTCAAAGACGATAGGATATCTCTCCCCCAAACGCCATCGCTAGCCCAAAAACCACAGAGTGAAAAACGATCCAAGACAACGATCAGCACTTGATCTGTCCCTCAACCCAACCCTCACAATCCAACCCAAACCCCGACCCCCGCCGCAGCCAGCACACCCAACCACCCCCCTAGCCTTCTAGAGGAAGCACCCCCATTCGAGACAACCACATTCGCCTCGACAAACGTCGGCCCACAAACCATATCCACCTGCTGCGCCGCCGCCGCATAAACCCCGCTCAAAGGCTGTCCGCCATCGCCGGCATAGTCCGCGAACACGCCCATAGTCCGCCGCAAACACCTATCGCAGCTCGGCTGCGTGCCGCCCGGCAGCGCGACGCCGAGGGGGAGGTAGTAGATATAACTGCTCGTCGGCGCGCTGGCGTTGGTCACGGCGGAAGCGAAGCAGTATCCTTTTTCGTTCTCCGGGGTGCGGAGGGTAGGGTCCGTGAGGCACCCGGCGTGGTAGAGGGGGGTATAGGCGAGGAAGCCGTTGTAGGCTTGTGTGACGGTGGGGTTTTGGAGGCTGAGGTCGGGCCCGCAGGTGGAGGGGGATTGGATTTGGGTTGCGAGGGAGGACATGAGGGAGGCGCAGGCGCGGAAGGGGACGGAGCAGGTGGCGGTGAGGGTGGTGGTGAGGTCGGGGAGGGAGCGGGTGGTGGTGAAGAAGGAGTTGGAGGTCTAAGCGGTTTGTTAGGATGGTGGTCTGTTTTGTTTTTGGCTTGTTGGGTGATATGAGCTTACCTGCAGGAGGAGGGAGAAGGGTAGGCATTCCTGGAACGTCGCGTTGTTGAGGAAGTCGTTGAAGAAAGCCGGACAGCTCGTCGTAGTGAAGTTGTTTCCCAGACTCGTGTCGAATGGATGCGGCAGGTCGGCCTGATCGATCTGATCGTCAACCAAAAGCTGACTGTCTTCCGACTTCGACGATCCATGCCTCGCAGCATCCTTCCTCCTCACCTCCAACCTCGCCTTCACCGGCGGCGGCTGCCTCCGATCAAACACCAACTCCCTCGCCCTCCGTCCATGCCCATGCCCACTCCCTGCCTCGACACCCTCACAACAGAGCAGCAAGCTCAACAGCACGAAAACAACCCAGTTCTGCATCGACGTCCATGGTCCAGAAACCCTTCCCTTCCGCGGGATCGAAGAGGAAGTAATGTTTTGATATGTCCTCTCAGCCCGCCGTATTCGGACGACCCGCGGGCTTGGATGGTGGTACAAGGCGCTGTTGGGAGCATTCCAACCGGGTTGCGACGACGGCGCTCGTGACACGGCGGCATCGGGTGGGGCGGGTGTCATTGCGCGTTGTTGTCGTTGCTGTGGGAGGTGGGACGACACATGACAGGTGCTCTGTGTCGATGTCGCTGCCAGTGTGTTTGATTGTTGAAAGTGTTGTCGTAGTAGCAAGACACCAGAGGATACTCGTCCAGTTGCTCCAGTAAATGATCCGATAATATCCCCCGTCGATCTCTCAAATGCAGATGGATGCAGATCCCTCCAGTCTAGACTCCGAAATCCCTTGCGTCGTTCTCTTCTCCAGGAGGATGAGTTCGGGCCGGTGTATCGTATGTTGATCTTCCCACGTCTCCCCAAAGAACCGTTGCGTCGTCGATCACCACCCAAAAGCAAGAAGAAACGAGCGACTTGAACAATAGAGTGAGAGATGAAACGAAGACTCGCAGCAGAACGGCGAAAAGACAAAAGTAGCACAGTAGTAGGAAAAACAGTCACTCACTAGTCTGCGCATGTCTCCAAGCTCTCCGGTTCGTGCTGCGTGTGCATGGGGTGGAATTGGGTGGCGCGATCTATTGAGAGACTTCCGCTTTGGGACGATGCGTGTTCAGGCACGGGGCAGCTGCTATTCGATAGCTTCCGCATAGCTTCGATGGGAAAGGGCCCACGGGGAGGAGTTCCGAGGGATCGCAGAGCTGGAGCTGCGAGCTGTTGTGCAGATGTCTTTCATGCATGCAAAAGGCGGTATGCTAGATCTTTTAGCCGTTGCGGAGATTCATGCGGTGTGGTGCATACACCTCAGCTCCCTCCGCAGTAGTGTAGATGGGTGTGTTGATCTCGAGCCGGCAGAGCTTCCAGAAGCAGAACCGTTAGAGTATTGATCTTGACGACAGGGATGAATAGGCGGGAGTGTGGCTTGAGGTTGGGCTTCTCGGCGGGCTGAAAGCTAATTGGTGATTTTAGTGTTCCGGCCAATGGTGTGTATAACGCGGGTGTCGGACATCGGAAGAGACAGTATTGACAACGTTCGAGACCGTCTTGGACTCGCTGTGAGTAAATACAAGGTGACAAGACAACATCTCAAGTCCAGTCGTTGCTTTGACGAATGTCCACATTGTCAACACACCACAACAACGAATAGGCGGATCATCGACGCGGCTCATCGTATTCGAGAAGCGTAATTTGAGGCATCCTTCCAATGCCTTCGCGCTCGCCGTCATCCTCTTCTGCCTGCTGCCTGCTATGCATGAATGGCCATAGGAGGAGGATTCGACCGCATGCTTTCATCTTGTGATTTGTCTTGCTGATGCATCCTGTGCGGTTCTGACCAGAGTCGGAAGTAGCATCAACAAGCAGGCTGTCTGGAGAGGCCAGTCGTTGCTTACGACGAATGTCCACATCAACGTGCCACAGCGACGGTCAGACTAATTAGCTACGCCTCGTAGGAAGAAGAGTGTGATTTGCTCCTGCTGATAGCCACCCGCTTTCGCAGCGATGCGATGCTCTGCTGCCTGATATGAATGGCCACGGGAGGAAGATTTGATCTGGTCTTTGTTATCTGGTTGTCTCATTGCACCTCTATCTCGTGACTGTTCTGACCAGAAGGACGGCTTTGCGGACCGTACAAGAGTACATGTACCTGATCCGAGCAAATCAGCCATCATCCCAGCTGTCCCGCCCACCACGTCGCTCGACCACACTCGAAGCATAAGGTAGCCATTGCGTGAACGCATGAACGAACGCCTTGCTAGATCCATCACCATACCATTCTGTTGACCCAAGACGCCCTCAAATCATTTCTGATCGCCGCATGAAATCGTAACCACACACTCCACCTCACGCACTGCCATTAACCTTCCTCTGCTTCACCGTCAACCCCTCCGTCACCTTCTTCTCTCCCTCCCCCTGCTGCGCCGCCGGTCCCAAATCCAACGCACTAGCCTTCCCACCCCCCTCCCCTCCCTGCCCACCCTGCGGACTTCCGGGACTCATACCCCCCAACTCCGGACTCTTCACCTCCCCCCTCTGCACCTCCCTCCGCAGCGCCTCCAGCTCCTTCTCCATCCGCCGCCCGAAGACGTCAATATAGTACGTCGCGCCGTTCCAGCCCGCCCACGTGAAAACCACCATCAGAAACCCCGCGCTCGCCCAGCGGTACCAGAACCACAGCGGGCAGGGGAGCATGGTGAGCATGGCGTAGCTATACTGGATCCCCATGAAAGCCGGCTCTTGCGCGGAGTCTGGGAGGGAGAGGACGAGTTTTCCCAAGAAGTTGCCGGAGTAGGATTTGCGCAGCCAGGTGAAGGAGGTGGGGCGGCCGGCGGCGATTTTGCTCCGTTTGCGGACGGTGATGAGGGTGTGGTAGGAGAGTTGCCAGAGGGCGTAGGGGGCCGTGGCCCAGATGATCATGTCGGTGAGAGTGTAGTGTTCCGGGGCGGAGGGGGGTGAGAATTTGATAGAGTAGATGGCCGGGAAGGTGGTGGCTTGCTGGGCCGGGGTGAGGAGGTGGACGAGGACGTGGAGGGTGGCGCAGGGCATGATGTGAATGAAGAGGCTGTTTGCCAATGTCAGTGGGGAGTTATGCTTCAGGGAGGGGAGGGACGTACGATGTCACTTTGTCCAGGGAGTGAAAGACCAGGCTGTTGCGCCACATGGCAATGGCGACGGCGTTGTTGCCCATGGCGAGGCAGTATGTGCTGATGAAGAGGCGTTTGGATTGCGGGAAGAACCAGATGGAGAGGATCATCAGGAGGTTGACGAAGTAGCAGAGGTCTGCAAGGAAGTAGTGGAAGCCGATCTTGTGGTAGTTGTACCATCGGATGGGCATGAAGTACCTACAGAGTGACCAACAGTCAGCTTGGTTCGCTGCAGCACGAATGCAGATATTGAATGGACATACGCCAGTTGTACAGTGTACCAGTAGTGGAAGTACTCCGGCCAACCACCTATCAGGTAACCAGAGATGAAGATGTTCAGGACGGCCGTCACGAACGAGATCTTCTCCTTCATCGTGACTGTCTTTGCGGCGTTCCATCTCTTGTTGACCCGGTCTACGGTATCCCGCATGCGCTTTTGATACTTGTCCAGTTGCTCTTCAGGCGCAGGCACCTTCTTCCTCCATTCGCCGACGATGTTCTTGCCGGATATGGCGCGAGAGGCCAGCTTCGCACGTTGCCGCCGCAGCTTCTCCGCGTTGTCGTGGATGGCATTCTGCATCTTCTCCAGCCGTTGCGGGAGGGCGAAGTTCTCGAGGATGTCGAACATGGTCAGTCGGTCGACGGGTGGGAAGGAGTCTTGCCCAAAGCCCTCAAAACCAGATGAGACATCGGAGGAGCTGGTGGTGCGCGAGAGGCCGGGTGTAGAAGGGGTGTCCATGCCACTGTAGGAGGAGGAGTTGACGGAGAGGTAGTCGTTGGGGTATGCGCCGCTGTCTATGGGTGTGCTGTCTGTGTCGCCGTTCGTCTTCAAGGCCGAAGGAGGCGGTTTGAGGCCAGCCTCTTTAGCAACAGCCAGCTGGTCCACCTCTGGACTGGAGGCGGACTTCTGTCTTGCTGGTCCATCGACGTCGTCCATCCTTGCGTAGGCTTCCAGCTCTTCTTCGGGGATCAGGTCAAGGTAGCTCGATCGATGGCCGGCGTACCAAGGTCGTCGAAGTTGCGGACTATTGCCGAATACAGTGGGCGAAGAGTAGGAGACTGGCATGGTCTGTTAGTACTTGCTACATAGAGACTGCTGCTGGATGGAAGACTTGCCAGATGAACGCTTTCTTTGCGATCGAGTCTGCTCAGCCTAACGCCGCATGCCACTTTAGCGAGTCTGCATTGCACGTCCGTCTGTCAGCTCTTCTCGTCTCGTGACTGTGAATTGCTACTTGGAAGGCGAGTGCCAGACATTTCCAACTCGTGTCCTGAAGCTGGCAGCTGGTTGGTCGCTACGTCACTCGCCGGCGAATCTTCGGTCTACGCGTCCGACGCGCTTGCCCCTCCGCCAAACACTTTCAGATGATCGACCAGCAGTAGTTCGCCCACTTCGACCACACCAACACCTTCGTCGAGCGCAAGACCGGCAAGATGGGCAAGCTCATCGCCCTCGAGCTCAACAATTTCAAGTCCTACAAGGGCCGTACGTACCCCCTCCCATCCTGCTCATACCACAGCTAACGACGTGACCAGACCATGTCCTTAACTTCGGCGATAGCTACTTCACCTCCATCATCGGCCCCAATGGCTCCGGCAAGTCCAACTCCATGGACGCCATCTCCTTCGTCCTCGGCATCAAGTCTTCGCATTTGCGATCCACCCATCTCCGCGAGCTGGTCTACCGCGGGCGCGTCCTGAAGCACTCCAAGATCAACGCCGACGGAACGGCAACCGATGATGTAAATGGAGACGCCAACGGCGATGCTGAGGCAGGCGCGTCAGACGACGAGGATGCTGAAACGCAGGCCAGCACTCAGCGCAACGATCCTGCGACAGGGTGGGTCATGGCTGTCTACGAGGACGATGCCGGCGAGGAGCAACGATGGAAGCGGAGCATCACCTCGTCCGGCTCCAGCGAGTACCGCATCAACAACCGCGTCGTCACCGCGAAGCAATACAATGAGGCGCTGGAAGCGGAGAACATCCTTATCAAAGCGCGCAACTTTTTGGTCTTCCAGGGCGACGTCGAATCCATAGCAAACTCGAACCCTATCGAGAAGACGCGTCTCATCGAGCAGATCAGTGGCTCAGTGGAGTACAAGGAGGAGTACGAGCGATTGAAGGTGGAGAAGCAGAACGCGGACGAAGAGCAGGAGTACCGCCTGAAGCAGCGTCGCGCGATCAACGGTGAGATTCGGCAGTTCAAGGAGCAGAAGGATGAGCTGGACAAATACGAGGGGATGCGCGAGGAGAAAGACCAAGCTGTTGTCACTCATGTCCTCTGGAAGCTGTTTCACTTCCAACGAACCATCGAAGACAGCACTGCTGAAATCCAGAAGCATCAGCAGGAACTGAAGGAATTCCGCCGGACTGTCAAGAAGCACGAAGACAAACTTGCCGCAGCGCAGAAGGAGCACGCTGAGATCGGACGTAATGTCAGTCGTGCCGAGCGAGACATCAAGCGCAAAGAGAAAGAAATCCAAGAAAAGGAGAACGCGCTTGTTCCGATCGATGAGAAGCTGGACATCTCCAACAAGAATCTCTTGGCGCATCAGAGGAAGATTGCCGAGTTCACCAAGGAGCGAGAGTCGCAGGAGCAGACCGAGAAGCAACTTTCGAGCAATCTGAAGAAGACGGAAAAGGCTCAAAAGCATTGGGAGGACCAATTTAAAGCCCAGCAGCAGCAGGCTGGACGAGAGCTGAGCGATCAAGATCTGCAAGAGTACCAACGTCTGCGTGGCGAGGTGTACAAGCGATCTGGACAGGACCAGATCCAGGTCGACCAGCTGGCACGCCAACTGAAAACGGATGAAGAGACCGTCAACAGCCTCAAGTCAAAGGTCGACAGCACACAAACTCAAGTCAACGCTCTGGAAGCAGAAGTCGGCGGTCTGCAGGAGCGCAGAGGAGAGCACACTGCGGCCATCAAGTCTACCACGAAGGACATCGCGGCGAAGAAGAAAGCTGTCAACGCTCTCGCTAGCGAACGGGAGCGCACCAGACAGAAACATGACGAGCTGGACGAGAAGCTGCTCACGGTACTCCACAAGCTTAATGATGCTCAAAGCGCCCAGCGCGAGTCTCGCAGGGAGCAGCAGCAGCGTGAGATGGTCAGCCAACTTAAGCGTCTCTTCCCTGGTGTCAAGGGTATGGTGCACCAGCTGTGCCGCCCCAAGCAGAAGAAGTATGAGACTGCCATCAGCACTGCGATGGGCCGTCACTGGGACGATGTCGTCGTGGACTCGCAGAAGACGGCGCAGAGCTGCATGGACCACTTGAAGGAGCAGCGGCTGAGCAGGATAACTTTCGTGCCTCTCGATACGATCATCCACGAACAGCGAAATGCGAACCTGCGCGGTATTGCTCAGGGTGTGCGTCTGGCCATTGACACTATCGACTACGATAGCAACTACGAGCGCGCTATGACTTATGCGTGCGGCAATGCTCTGATCACCGACACCCTCGCTACCGCCCGCCAGCTCTGCTACGAGCGTGGCGTCAACGCGAAGGCCGTCACCTTGGATGGCACGGTCATCCACAAAGGCGGCAACATGACTGGTGGCGAAGATCCGACCGACCGTAAGCGTCGCTTCGAGGAAGCAGACGTCGACAATTTGCGAGCACTGGCGGACAAGTTTAAAGCTGATATCGAGGCACTGCCGAAGGGGCATAAAGAGCGCGTCGAGGAAGAGCAGCTGCAGAGCGAGCTGAACGGGCTCGAGGCGAAGATGAAGTACGCGCAGGATGAAGTCAAGGCTCTTGATCGGAATATCGAGTCGAAGACGAAGGAGCTGCAGCATGTGCAGAGGCAGTTGAGGGAGGTGCAGCCCAAGTACGAGGATCAAGCTGGTGGTGTCGAGACTCTGAGGCAGCAGTTGAACGAAAGCAAGGGCAGCATTGAAGATGTGGAGGATGATGTATTTGCTGCGTTCTGCCAGCGGCTGGGATACGATAGCATTCGCGACTACGACAGGCAGCAGGGATCTATGCAAGAGGAGAAGATCCAGAAGGAGAATGAGTTCCGGGTGCAATGTTCGCGTCTAGAGAACTCTCTGCAGTTCGAGACACAGCGGCTGGTGAGCACGAGGAAGAGGATTGCGGATGAGCAGAAGAGGATGGAACGGGATCAGCAGCTTGTAGAAGAGCTGGAGGCGCAGAAGGAGGAGTTGGGTGGTGAGCTTGATGAACTCAATGCCGACGTCGAGCAATTGAACGAGCAGCTGGCAGAGGTCAGGCAGGAGTACGATCAGCGAGCAGAGAAGGTTAGCGAGGCGAGGAGGGAGGTACAGAAGAGACAGAAGTCGGTCGATGCAACGCTGAAGGCTGTTGCGGAAGCAGAGGGCGAGGCGCAGGCAGCTTCAACGAAACGCTACACTACTCTTCGCCAATGCAAGGTCGAGAACATCGACCTCCCCCTCGAAGAAGGCAGCCGCAAGCTCGACTCCCTCCCCCTCGGCGAGGGTCTCCTAGGCGAAGACGAGGACGCCATGGACGTCGACGGCGAGGAAGCCGGCCAAACCAACGACTACGGCATTTACCTCGACTTCACCTCCCTGGACGACGACCTCCAAGAAGACACGACGGACGAAATGGAGACCACGCTCCTCGACAAAATCGCCTCCCTCACCACCACCCTCGACAAAATGGCCCCCAACATGCGCTCCGCCGAGCGCCTCACCACCACTCACGACCGCCTGACCGCTACGGAGCGCGACTTCAACGCCTCCCGCTCCGCCGCGCGCGCCGCGACCAAAGCCTTCGAGCGCGTCCGCAAGCAGCGCGCCGACCTCTTCAACCGCGCGTACACGCACATCGCCGAGCAGATCGGCACCATCTACAAAGAACTGACCAAAACCCTCTCCTTCCCCCTCGGCGGGCAAGCGCACATGAGCCTCGAAGACGACGACGAGCCCTACCTCGCCGGCGTCAAGTACCACGCCATGCCGCCCCTAAAACGGTTCCGCGACATGGAGCACTTGTCGGGTGGGGAGAAAACCATGGCCGCGCTCGCGCTGCTCTTCGCGGTCCACACGTACGCGCCGTCCCCGTTCTTCGTCCTGGATGAGGTGGACGCGGCGCTGGATAATGCCAACACGGCGCAGCTGGCCAACTACGTAAGGGAGCACGCGGGGCCGGGGATGCAGTTTGTGGTTATTAGTTTGAAGACGGGGTTGTTTCAAAATTCGGAGACGTTGGTCGGGGTGATGCGGGATCAGGGGGTTAATTCTTCGAGGGTGCTGACGCTTGATGTGAGTATTTCTTCTTCTCTTGGCTTTATGGGGTTGGGTGTGGTTGCTAATGTGGTTTTGGCAGTTGCGGAAGTATCAGGCTGTTGCTTGAGCGTGACGATGGAAAGGGAAAATGGGAAGGAGGAGATAGGTGCTGGCGTTCTGTGCGCTTCTTACGGGAAGAATATCGCTGTGCCGCGCAGAATGGACGTCGTAGTGGCTTCACAGCTTTACTTGCTTCGAGACGTCCATACCGTGGAGCCTGGCGCTTTCTATGGGAAAGCTCGCTGTGGCATGCAAACATCGACGCCTCCGCTTTGCGGTCTTGCTTTGACAATCTACAGAGTGGCGCGTACATGAACTGCTCCCACCATTCCACCTCACTCCCTGCCGCTGCCGGGCTATCCACTCACTCCACCCTCCCCTCCCTCCGCTCCCGCCACTCCTTCTCCAACATCCCAAACTGCACATCATCCCACCACCGTCCCGCATGCCACCAAATCTCCCTCGCCGTCCCCTCAAGCTTAAACCCCAACTTCTCGTAAAGCTTCCTCGCTCCGGTATTATACTGGAACGCTTTAATACCCACACGATGCAAGCCTGCGTCGAGAAACGCCCATTGTAGCGCCCACTCGATCGCTTCACTCCCGTAGCCCTTTCCCTGGTAATCGGGCAGCAGTCCGAGACCCATGTCTGTGTGCCGGTGGTGGGCGTTTTCCGGCTCCAGGGGTTCGAGGCAGATGACGCCGATGGGTTTGGGTGCGTCGTTTTCGCCTTCGCCGGGAAGACAGATGGCGCAGCCGAGGATGCATTTCTCGGTGTAGTGCTCGAAGTGCTTTTTGGTTTCCCGTGTGGATTGCGGTTTTTTGAGCGCGAGTTGAGAGTTGATGAAGCCTTGGGGTTCGGACTCGAGGGTGTGGATGAAGGGTTCGTCGGTGGATTCGAGGGCGCGGTAGATGAGGCGTGAGGAGTGGAAGGGGTTGGGTTGGTTTTGAGACATGGTGCTAAAGAGTGGACGGGGATAGAGAGGAGGAACCATTGCAGACCTACCTTACGCTTGATATAGGGACCGGGAGGATGCAGTCGGGCTATGACTGTCCGGTCTGCGGCACGGGGCCTCGTATGACTTATCGTGCAACGCGCCGGAAGAGCGGGTTGGAGAGGGAGATGTACAGACGGTGAGTTGCTGCTTTAAGCAGGAGACAAAGGCGTTGAAGGGAGTCATTGGTGCTGCGGTTGGGAGCTCTCTGTCGATCACCGTCCGTCGTTCCAAACGAACATGTCGATATCACCTCCCCCATCATCGTCGAGATGGGCGGAGAATGACGGGGAGAATGTCGCTGCTCGACATAGTGGTGCCCGAGAACCGGATGGACGCAGGGAATTAAAGATGAGCACTGTTGGAGCTGGTGATGTTGCTGGTTGGTAGCAAAGCTCACCCCGACCAAAGCAGTACTAACACAAGTCACAACAGCAGGACAGCAGACCTCCTTTCCACCAGGAGACTACCAAGTCGACGAGAACCTCTTCTACTCAGCACCCAGCGAACCGCTCGACGGCACAGCATCTGCCAACGCCCCGGACAGCCCGCAAGAAGCCGCAGCCTACGAAGAGCCGGCACCAGAAGACCTGCTCCCACCTCCCGACTTCAAGCCCTTCTTTACCGTGATCGAAGATCCTGACACTGGCGAGCATGTGCATCCGACGGTGCACTACATCTTCTCCGACGACGATCCCGAAATCTTGACTTCGGCTGCGTTGGATTGTATTGATCAACACCAAGACGGTACGCAGCAGGCGGAGGAGGAAGAGGAGCGCTATGTGATTGTCGATATGGCTGCGGATGGGAAGACAGCAGCTTCAACCACATCGCTGAGTCCACATTGGCAGGCCGTCACGACGGCCGTTACGCAGGCGCCGAGCTGGGGGAATGATGCAGTGCAGGCTGATAGGAGGCTGATGTTGAAGGTTTCTGGGCAGGAGATGCAGACATATCACGGGAAGAGCTCTAAGCAACGGAAGACTTCGAAAGATATCGACGCGCTGGTTAAGACCTTCAGTGACCGGCTAGATGGCTTGGACAAGGTGGTTGGAAGGTGGGAGGATATGCCTGATGACTACCTCACGACTTAATGAACTTTTATCGATCACGATGGATGAGGTCCACAGTCAGCCCGCGGTGGTATTAGTCTCAGATACTCTCTCGCCCCAGCGCAAAAGCATTCGGAATGCTTGCTCAAGATCCACCCCCTCCAACCACCGCGGCCATCCCAGATCCGCCTCCAATAATCTCCGGATCCTCCGCAAAGAAATTCTGCGCCGTACGACTCAAGCCTGGATCCTCATCCAAGACCACTACCACAAACACGGCGGGCTCGCAGGTATCGTTGAACTCATAATGGATCGATCCCATCCGCAAAGTGGCAGCAGTGTTAGGAGGGCGAGGGAGAGGCGAAGGGTATGCATGGTCGGGCTGACGAGACGAGGGGGTTTCGGGGGTAGAGATATATGTTCGCTGGTGCCAGGGCCGTCGAAGTTGGAGGGCGGATGAGGGGGATGTTATAGCAAGTACGCAGCTGCTCTACCGGGCCGTCGAAATCGCGAGCGCTGGCAAGGCAAGCGGGGCCAAAAACGCTGTGCACCGTACCGTGGCTGCTGAACCGTGGGAGCTGCTGTTTATGAGAGTAACGCAGCAGTTCGCTTCATCTCCTAGATATCTCGGCCGTAGAATAGCGATGCCTTGTAATGGGATTTGTTTTGGTCGAGGCGCCTACTGCTCCTCCTGTGCAGTGCTCCGTTAGAGAGGGTTTCGGAGCAACGTACTTGTCGATAGCGTAGGAGTATCTTTCAGTCTTCGAGAACGTGCTCGGTGTCTGTGTTGTCTCTTAGACTCATAAAGTGACGGATGTCCAGGCCGCACGTGCGTCAATCTACGTCCACAGGTCGTCCTCAGAACATTTCCAGTACGACCCAACTACAACTACACAGAAGCACATTTGGGGGCCAAACATCACAAGCAATACCAGACGCACCACACATATTTCAAACGGGCCCTCAGGCCCAAAAGAAGTATCCATTCCTCTCAACTATAGTGTCCCTCCAATATGCACACCGCATGGTTCATACAAGTATCTACACCAAGGTATCTCTTCCCCCTCACCCCATTCCTTCCCATCCCATCCCAAAATGCTAAAAACGCTTATCGCTGCGGTCGTGACGCGCGCTGAGAACGCCCAATGCCAAAATTCGTATGCACAAAAGAAAGCTTGCGGACCAAAGCTCGTCCGCTAGGAAAGAAGGCTGAGTGTTGGATGTGTGAGCGCAGCGACCAGATGGATTATTTGCCCAGAATGAGTACTGGGGGTGTCCATGGAAGTGCCGTGTGCGGTGACACAGCGGCGCTGTGCTCGGTGTGGTGTATGAAGGTGTAGTTGTGTAGTTGTGTGTTGTATGTTGTAAGTCGGAGGCCCGTCTCCGGAGCGTTGGGCTTAGAGAGACAAAATATGCGTCGCCTTCCCATGGTACTGCTGCAGTCCCAAACCAACTTGGCGCATTCGCGATGCACCCTGGCCAGGCTTGACCTTATGCTGCGTCTTCTCGCCCTTCGCAGCATACTTCGCGCACATCTTCTGATAAAGCTTCTCCTTGCGACGTTGGCGCTTGAACTCGACGCCCTTGACGATGTCGATGGCGCCCCGCTTGGGCACCTCAGTGGAGACGCCGGTGTCGGTTTCGTCCTCGTTGTGGCCCCAGTGCGCCATCTTGCTGAGCGTGATGGGACCGCCGCGCGGGAGGGATGCGGTGTGCGTGGGCTGAGGACGTCCGGCGAGGCCGTGCGGTACGGTGGAGAAGGGCACGCCGCGGTCCTCTGTAGGCGAGTTGGGTGGCGACGTTGTCTTCGTAGGTGCGGGCGACTTGGCGCGACGCGGTGATTGTGCGAAGAGCTTGCGTGGCGGTGGAGAGCGTGGGCGTTTGGGAGGCGGCGGGGACCGAGCGACGGAGGTGCGCTTTGGTGGCGGAGAGTGGTGTTGGCGTGCAGGCGGCGGTGGTGAACGATTGATGCTGGTTCTGCCACGCTTCTGAGGTGGGGAGAATTTCTTGAAAGGCGCCTGATCCAATTCCTCCAGTGCGCCATGCATCATATCATCCTCCTCACTCTCCTGCACCTCATCCACATCATCATCGTCTTCCTCGTCCATCTCAGGATCGGATGTCGGGAAGGAAGGGTCGATATCCTGTGGACGAGATGGCCGCTTGGCGGCATCCTTGGCCTTCTTTCGGTTGATGTACGCCTGCTCGATGGGTCGGTCCTCATCGAGCGTGCCGCACACAAAGTCGGTTGAGTCTGGCAGCTCCGGTGACGGCGCCCTCTTGATGGAGATTGCTTGAGTATGAGTCGACCTGTTTGTCTTCCGAAGAGCGGTCCTTGATGATCGTGGCGACAGATGTGCCGAGCTGGCTGAGTTCATGGACGAGCCGAGCTCAACCTGCTCAGAGTTTACGATAGCCAGGCGGTCGAGGTGTTCAACAGAGGTCGCAGCTGTCGATGCGCCTCCAGGCTTCCACCACTCATAGTCGCTGTCATCATCCCTCTCCGACTCCGAGCTGGCGAAACCTCCCTCATCATCAGAATGGAAACCCTCATCAGACTCATCATCGTCTTCATCAACCGCCTCCAGCTCCTCTTCCAGGTCCTCTTCGTTCTCTCCATCTTCTTCCAGCACTTCCTCCTCCACTTCTTCGCACGTCTTGCGAATGATGTTCTCCTTCTGTAATGTATCGTCCACGGTCAAGCGTGTGCGGTGACAGGTCGACTCCTGGCACCACTCTTCAGGTTCGTCCTCGCTGGTCGCGAACTCGTGGAAGCGAGTAGCCTCGTTGCCACTCGATCCATTCGAGTCGATAGAGTAACATCGCGTCTTCGCCGGACCATCTTCTTCCGGGGCAGGTACGACAGGAGCGGTCTTGCGTACAGCCTTCGGAGATGCATGCGTGACAGTGCTGTCAGAGCCACGGTGCTTCGTTTTGCTTGCCGACCTTCGTGGTGGTGGCGGTGGGCTGACGGTGCGTCTCCCTTGACCCTTCTCAGCTGACTTTGACTCGGCACTCGCTCTCGTCGGACAGGCGAACTTGAGCATGCATTTCCGCTTTGGTGGCGTCGTCTGTTCAGGCTCTGTGGGCTGAGAGGTCGGTGGTGGAGCCGGCTTGGCTTCTGGTTTGCTTCGGCACGCGAAGGTGATGCAGCGCTTCCGGCCAAGGTTGGCTTCGACGGCCTGCTCCTGGCCTTCCTGCTTCGGCGCAGGCGCAACGGCATCGTCGAGGCCCATGATCTTTACTCTCTGTTCAAGCGGCTTCTGTTGTTCCAGCGCAGGAGTGTGGATAGGGTCCAATGGCGGGCTGACAGCAGGACTCGGCATGCTATGGCCGTCATCGCTGGTGAGCTCGGTCACGGAGGTGGCGCTCTGTGTACTCCGTGTCGACTGTGTACTCATAGCCCTTCCCGGCTGCATGCGCTCCTCATCTGTATGCTCCGTCTCGGAATGTAGTTGTCGCGTCAAAAGAGACTCCCTTCTTTGCATCGACGGATGCGCTCTTAGGTGATCGAACTTCAACTTCGAAGGCGACCACTTGAGTTCGTCTGGCGGCTCGTCGACCTCTGCGAGCATCTCCTCGCTGTGATCCATACCAGCATCGGCCGCGGGTGGCGCTGCTTGCATTGTGTTCTTGGCGTCCATGTTCGATGCTGTGGCGGGGATCGGATCGGTGTGGTGTATGTCTGTATTGTACTGTTGTATCTTGTATCCTCAAATAAGCGCGAGCGCGCCGTAAGAGTCGACCCAGAGGGTCAGCCTGTGCTATAAGCGGAAGGCGTCCATGGCGAATGGGTGTGGTGCGAGGTAATCGCTGGAATCAAGAGCAAGCAAAACCTGCTACCGGTGTTGACTTGGTGTTATAGGCGCAGTCGTATGATTTCGAATGGTCCTGGTAGAAGATGCTGGTAGTCGTCGGCGAGAGTGAAAGTTCGGAAGCGTCTCGTCTGCAGATTTGCAGATCACGTTGTGGCGCAGGGCAAAGGTGAGGCGTGGATTGCTAAGCGGCGGGCCTCGCAAGCAGATTCGTCTTCGGATGGCGACTGCTGGTGGTTTACACGTCGCTGTTGGTGTTGCGTGGTCGTGTTGGTGGTGGTGGTGGTGGTGAGCAGGAAGGAGTGTCGCGATGGAGCAGGATGTCGAGGGTGGGCGAGTGGAGACTGTTGGGCGTGCTGGGTGGTGGACGCAGATTGAGGAGATCCACAGGCAAAACTTCGCCTAGCCGATGCAACCACTCTGTTTCCCTGGTACAAGTACAAGTACAAGCGGGCGCGTACCTCGATTTGCTAACGGCAACCCAAACAATTGCTCATCTCATCTGCAAATGCGGTGAACAGCGGCTCCGTCCGGCTCGCGCATGAATGCATGAACCGAGACTGTTTTCCTTGTGCGACGACCATGGCATAATCAACACGCGGCCATCTATAGAACAGAATACTAGACGTCACGAACACCACAGGCCAAGATTGCGTCTCTTTCGCGTGTCAGCATCTCCCGTCGCTGCCGTCTCGTCTTCAGGTTTTCTTCGCCCGCATGACGTCGGACACGGCTTGCCGTTTTGGCTTCTCTTCTCGGCCAACATCAGACCGTGCTGTGCGCGGATTTCCACCAATATCCCATCTCCAATCACCCAGTACCTCCTAGCTGCAGCTAACCTCTGCCGTACTTTCGTACCACCACTTTCTCAAACTCTGCACAGAAGAAGCGCTAGCTAGCCCGGTCTGAAAATCCCTCACTCGTAGGTCACGTGCATGCTCAAACACTGTTTCAGACGCCCAAAAGGCCCACCACCTAATGCAACGCTTTTGTACCGGACTTTCTGACCGCTTGGAGACGTTGCTATCCTTCATTTTACGTGCATTGGTCGGTCAGGACTGTCGGTATGCTGACAGCGAATTTTCCAACGTCAACAACCTCCTCAGGCCGTGTTCCATTACGGCCACCACCGGCATTGAAACCCTCCCAACATCTCCCGAACAAATGACAATGCCTACCTAGGTAAAACACCGAGGCCTCGAAGTACACAGGTACTTACCTAACCTATGCGTTCCTCTCGCCAGCGCGGAAAGCCCTGGCAGCCCACTCGACACGATCCTGCAGGGCCTCGCGACGTGCTTCCAGGAAAGCTGGCAAAAGGCAAGGATTTTCAGTAACCGCTGCTCGCGTGGGGTGTTCGCCAGATGACTTGCAGACCTCACCTCGGGATAGTTAAGGACGAGCAGCTCCACCAGCTCTTTCATCCTGCTGCCTTCCCTGCTATGCCATGTGAGCTCCTCAGCTCCTTCGGGTGGGGAGAGGTATGCGTAGCTCTGCTGACATCGTCACGACGAGAAGGACGAGAAGCCGGTCTTGACTGCCGCGTGGTAGAGGATGCAGTAGCTGTTGAACTCCCCAGGAGAGCTTGTTGTAAGAGAGGAGACGGACCTACGTCCTCGTGCATGGCACACGTACCTGCTTGTGCATGCAGTGACACCGTGGCCAGCGCCAGCGTCGGAGTATAACATTGGTCTTACATACCAGTCCGAGAAGGGTAGGTGAAGGCCGTTCCTCGTTGCACTCGGTAAGGTGTCATGTCTCCGAGCTTTTCACAAGCCAAAGCCATCTTGCTCAGGATGTATTGGCCATGGGAAGAATTCCCCTCACATTCGACCACAGATGGTGAGATGAAGAGGATCCGCAATATTCCCCAGACTTTGTTGCGCAGTAACAGGTGGGTTGTATACCCGTAGTCCGGTCAATTGTCGCGGCGTACACTTCAACAGATGCCCTGCAGACTCTCCTCAACTGAAGACACCAATCGGGTGCTTAATACTATCGTGCGTGACCCTGTGGGATGAATGTTTTGCCTTTTTCCTTTTGCACGTTCTTGCGATCTTGCTCAAATGATTTATGCTTTCAGTATGGGTGAACGTGTCACTGAGATGAAATGCATGGAAGGAGGTATCTCACACACTGGTCGTTCATCCTCGCGCCAGTCACGCAGGCTTGAGTGGAGGCCACGGCTACTACGGTGTCTGGTCATGTATCCGACAGCTACCGGGTCGATATGTGTCGGGTAGAAGGCAATTGTGGAAGCCATCACTACCTGTCCACAGCTGTACCAACGTATTTTACAAGCGGAAGAAAAGAATACGAGCCGATCTCAAAATACCGCTTTCCATTCATATCGTTCATGCAACCATGCAAACCCTTTCCAGAACTCCCCACATCATCCCCATATAATCTCGCACTGGAATCAATCAATCCCCAACTCCGCTCGCTCATGCAAATGCAATCCCCGTCACAAGCTCACCATCATTCAAACTCCACCCTATTCCCCCCTCCCCTCGCAGCCTGCAACCTCGCCCTCTCCGCCCTTCGCCTCCGCCTATTGTCCGCAAACGCACTCACATCCGTCCCCGTCCCCGCATCTCCCGGCGACCCGAACCCGCTCTCATTCACCCCTGGCGGCGATCCCAGCCCTTGCGACGCAGGCGAGATCGAATGCTGCGGCACCGGAGGAGGCGGCGCTGCGTTCGCGGGAGGTAAGTTGAGCTCTGACTCCCGGCGCTGCGAAGCCCCGACGCTGCTGTTCATAGCCGGCGGTGGGGGCACGTTGGTGATGGGTTGGTCGCTTGAGGCGCGGATGGGGCCGTTGCGGCGATATCTCGGCCCTGAGGGGGCGGGATCGTCTTCGACGCCTGAGCTGAAGCTCGAGCCGCGGCGGCGGCGGTTGCGGCGTTCTTGTCTCCGCGCTGAGCGTTCGGCGGCGGCTTCTTCCTCGTTCAGGCGGCGGAGCGTCACGGTGCGGCCGTCGTTGGCCATTTTCAGCTTCATGCTGGCCATGGGCTCGGTGCTGGCGGTGCCGGTCGCGGTGGATGGGCCTGCGACGTTGCTGGCGGAGGCGGAGGTGGCGCTACCGCGTTTGTTGAGGCGGGCGCGGGAGCCCGAGGGTCGGGTGGGCGAGAGAGAGGAGGCGGGGGCAGTGATATTTGTGGCCGGTGGATCCCTACCGTAGGCGGAAGATTGGTTGGCGCGGGTGTTTTCGGTGACGAGGCGGGAGGGGTCGGGGTTGATGGCGCCTTCCGGCATTTGAGCGGAACCGAACTGTGGCGGGTCGTAGCCATCTGGTCTGACCGAGTTTGGAGGCGGGCCGGGAGGAGGTGGAGGGAGGGTGTAGCCTTGCTGATTGTGGACGTCGTGTCTGCTTCCGCCGTAACGACTACCTGTATTCATCGTGCCCGCTTCGGCAGGTAACGGCGGATGCGAAGTGTCTGGCCGCAGGTTTGACCGGCTGTCAGGCGCCTGCATGTTCATATCCGGGCCCGTCAAGTGCGTGCCGCTCATGCTCTGCTGCCTTTGGCTCGCATCTTGCGGACCTGGATAATTGCTGGAGAGCCTGCGGTTGTAGTCCTCTTCCATCTCCAGCTGTTGCCGTCTCATCATATCCGCGTTCGCAGCGTCTTTCCGCGCCCTTCGTGCCCTGTTCCACTCCCTGAATCCCGCAAGCGGGCCGAATTCAGCTATACTCTCTCGTAGCGTCGGATCATAATCTCCTCGACTCTCGTACGATAGCTCTGTGTTGCTGGCGTCCTGCTGTCTAGGAGGCCGAGAAGGTGTCCTCCCAGGGGTGTTGGGCTGGACACCTCTCATGTTCACTCCTGGAGTCTCAGGCGAGCCCGGTGCTTGACCAGCTTCCACGCGCGAGATATCTGTCCTACTCACTTCGTTGTGCGCACCGCGGCGTGGTGGTGTGTAGCTGCCGTCATCAGAGTAGTCATCGTCTCGCCGTCTTCGTCTGTTGAAAAGAGACTTTGCACCTTCAAAAGCCGCGAATGCGCCAGCTCCTCCCAATATCCGATTGCGCCAAGTGTGCCTTTCTGGCTCGCTATGTTTCTCGTCCTCCCACGACTCTTTCGATATCCGGCTTTGCGATCCCATCCTGCTTTGCGACCCCATCCTGCTTTGCGACCCCATCCTGCTTTGCGACCCCATCCTGCTTTGCGATCCCATCCTGCTTCGTGAGCCTCCTGGTCGTGTGTTTCTGGAATACCCCGCTGCACCTACTGGAGGACCTGGACCTACGGATGACTGGTCATGAGGTGGTGACCCGATCGGTCCTGACCGCGCAGCCGGCGGCGGTCCATTATATGGCCCTGGTGCTGCTGGTGGAGGTCTCGATGAGTTCCGCTCATTTCGGTCGCTCCGGCTGTCGTTGCTCTCCTCATATTCGCCTTCGCGCTTACGATCTCGCCTTTTCTTCCACCACCCCAACGCTCCCAGCGCTCCGGCACCAGCAAGAGCGTTCCTACCCCAATGGCTTTCCTTCTTTTGAGGAGGTGGTCTGCTGTCCTGTCGGGACCCTGAGACGTAGCTGCTACCATAGTCGGAGTAGTAGTCTGAGGGGGCCCCTCCAGGACCGGGACCCGCTGCACTTCGACGAGGTTTGTCGCGATAGTCCAGCGCAAGGTATAAGAAAACCAGGAAGGACACGGTCAAGGCGTAGAGGATGAACAGGACCTTCGGACTGCCGTACAAGGTTAAGCCCAGCGCAACCTGCACAATCCCGAGGATCGCAATTGCTCGGCCCTGCAGCTTGTGTATCCATACGCTCAGCGGCAGTTTATCAGGATACGTGCTGCGTCTTCTTTCCCGCCGGAACATGCAACTTCCGTAGAGAAACTGCCATATGAGCAAGACATATATCGCCAGGCCTATCCCATGATGGGGATTGCTCAGACTCCGCTCGGGTCCAACCGCAAACCATCCCAGTATCAGAACGACAGTCGCCAGAAAGACGGTCAGGATCTGGAGATACACATGCAGCTTGAAACTCCATCTTGCACCCGGCCACCTCTTTCCGTATTTCGCCAGGAATATCGCAGTCGGTACAATTCCCAGGAATGTGATTGCTGCCAGCACTCCGTGTCCCAATATCAGCTTGTAGTATCCGGGCAGATCTCTGAACCTGTTTCCCATGCCATTGTAGCGCATCGTCTCGAAGTTGAGGCCGACGAGATTCGGGAGGAGGAAGGAGTTGCGGTCGCTGTCCCAGGTGCCATCGCCGACTGTCATGGTGTTGGAGCTGTATTGGGAGCTACCCGCAGGCGACAGATTGGACGTCATCGTTGTTGTTGCCGGCGGCCGCCGTGGAAAGTGTGGACTGCGCTCAATGCGCTCGCTTTGGTTGTTGGACGCTCATCCACGCATTGCGGTCGCAGTACTTGTTGGATCGCTCGCAGGTCGTACAGTCCGTGGCGGTGCGATGCGTTGTCGTTGGTCAGCGGGGCAGAAGTGTGGTTGATTCGTATCGGCAGTGATATCGTTTGCAATGAACTCAGTCCCTCCGAATGAATGCTGCCAATATTAAATGAACGTCGAGCGGCATGTGTCTGCTTGCTTTCCAACTTTCCAGAATCTCTCACGACATTGATGCAGCTCGCCGGCCACAGCTCGAATCTGAGCCGATCGGATCCCTGCATCATCTCCACAGCAACGACGCACTAATGCAGATGACAGACAAATCACGAGAATAGAACGACTTTCTTCTCGAAGTCAACCTGCTTCATCTTGGAAACATCAGGCAGGCTTGCATATTTTCGTGTGCTGAGCCCAGAAGTTGGTGAAGTAGATCTTGATCCGACTGGAATGCGGGCCAGGTCATATCCTGTGGCTTTTCATCAAGCTAGGAAACGGAACATTACATTGCCAGATTCCACCGCAGGCCAGAGAAGCCGTATATGTATTTCGAAGAAACACATGACGATGCATACACTTGTCGCATCGTTGCATTGCAGAGGCGGCCCATTGGGCGACATCGCTATGGTTGGGCGAGGAAGACGTATGTCACTTGATTGATTGACTAATTGATTGACTGATTGATTGAAATGATTGATTGAATTGATTGATTGAATTGATTGAGACCGCAGTACATCCAGCACTGCTCAAGTTAAAATGCCACGATCAAGAAGCGACTGGCATGAACGGGAGCCGACGATTGGTATACTCATCCGTGTGATAGATGGGTCAACCTTGACATTGCTGTGAATTCGAAGGCTCCTGCTACATCTTCGGTCCTCGGTCTTCACACAGGTCTCAGGTAGCGGTCAGCAAGAGTTCAACCACATGATCATGTGAATGCCCAGGCTGAGCTACGGAAGCTGTCGAGCTCGTCCAACGGAAGGTGTAAAGCCGCGCATGCCGCTCAGCATGTCCTGCAGCGCGACCACACTACCCTCCACCACCCGCATATCTGAAGTGGTCAGCCGATCGCGCGAGTCGTACCGCCGGTATAGGCTCGGAAGCAACCGAAGTAGCGTATAGCATGTTATGGTGTCCTGCTTCAGATGATGTTGGATAGCTACCTTATAGATTATCTCGCAGCAAATCTGCTCTCATTCAGCACTGTCAATGTTCAGACCATTTCAATGTGCTGCTAAGGGTTTCGGCAGTGCGCTGTACGAAGACTAAGGAGGAACTGTCAGCTGCTTCCAACGTCCACTCCTAATCCTACTCAGCTTGACGAGATGGATTCTGGTGATGGACTTCTTGGATGACCAAGAGGAGCTCCGTACGCAGGGCGCTACTGCTGCAGACCACAAGCAGCGTGGGGGTTGGTCCCTTCATGCTGTCACCTCGCAGCTCCGCAGTATCTGAAAAGTCTACGATGCCGTAACTTTTACGATCTGGTGGCACAGCACCCATAGCTATGCTCGAGCGCATATGCGTCGTAGGTCAAGAATGGCTGGTGAAGTCGGTCACATGTGAAGGTGAGGTCGGCCTTGGTCGGATGACTGGGTTGGGTTGGTGTTGTTGTCGGATCTGCTCTCTTGGCCCAGGTCGGGCTGTTCCCCGGGCTGCTCGGCAACTAGAGGTGAAGTCGTGCAGAAGCGCGTTGAGGGTCGCCAACGTAATTTGGACTGCACGCTAGAGCCGACGGTGGCGTCGATTGCAACAGAACACCTGACAGAATGGTGGTACAAGACATCTTCCAGTGGTCCATACGGTTGCTGAGTCCAAGATATGGCCGTGGCGAAGAGCTTGCTCACCGCTGCGAGCTGGTATGTCAGAGTGCACCTGTAGCATTCCCTCGTTACACAACAGAGGAAGAAGGTCAAGCGTCGGCGTCTGATAGCGCCATCGTTGTGCATGAGCGGAGTAGGCTAGTAATTTCAGAGGTGGGGTGGAGACCTCATTGGTCTGTGAAGAGATATCATGGCGGGCCCAGATGTTATCTCTGTCTTCGCGTCGCGACGTTTGCCTTTGCTGGTGACGATGGCAGCGACCAACACGACTCGGTGCGTGAGGTGGATGTGTTTGGCATGAAGCGTGAGATGAGGTAGAAGTAGGTAAGGCAACCACGCCTCACTCAAGGCCTGGACTGCCCGCGAACGCGGGGGTCCCAGTGCGGCGGGACGATGATGATATTGGAGAGGGAGAGAGGCTGACCGAAGATACACAGTGTAGTCGCATACTGGATCATACACCTCCATCACACGCCCTCCCACTCCTACGCCCTCATCGGCCCTCGAATAGCCGCTCCGAACGCGCGCAGTTACACCAGGCCGCATCTCGTGATACATAGACTCGTAGAAGTGTCTCAGAGGCGCCACCACCGCATCCACCCACCACACTCCTTTGTCGAAGAAAGAGAGTACCCGTCCTCATGTATGGTTATAAGGCTCACGCATTAAGATGGACTCGGAGGATGGCCAGGTATTCGTGAAGGCACGTACAAGCGGGCGTCTGTTACACAAATCCAAGCCAAGCCCATATCTGACGTACATATCTTACAGAACCTCGCCTACTTCGTCCGCACACATGAACGAGCCCTTGCAAACGCGCTGCAGTTACAGCAGCGGAATAAGAATGGCCAGCAGCAGGCTTCTGGCTCCTCGAGCGATGCCACCACAATCTCCCTCTCGGACGCCTTATCGAGGCCTTTCCTCCCCTTCACCACGGCCAGCGTTAGGCCTGCGAAGCTGACCCTCACCCCCCACCACCTCTTCTACCTACTCAGCAAGTTCGAAGATCTCGGCGTGGATGTCGGTCCCATGAATGTACGCCTGGAGAACCTCCAGTATGACGCTGGGCCTGCCAACTATGTGTCCTTTCTGGGCCACGCACCAAAGTCAAGAGGCAAACAATCAGATGCCGAGTCGATGAAATCGGTGTCAAGCGTACGAAGCGTCATGTCAAGCATGTCGTCCATGCTGTCAAATCTCGGTCTATCGAACAGCGCGGCAAGGGCCGAGAAACAGATGGCTCAACATCGTGACGACATCAAGTATCTCTACTCTTGCTTCACCAAGATTCCCGCCTTGAAGCTGTCGCCAGACCATAGAGCGAGGTTGATATCAGGCTATGAAGAGTTCCCGTTCGACACTGCTGTCCCGCTGTTCGCGTTCAAGAATGTCAGTGCGCTGGAGATATGTGATCTCGATTTCAGGCAGTTTTATGGCTGGGACCGACTGTCCGAACAGTTGCGCAGCCTGACAGTCAAACGTGCCAATGTTGACGATCCGATCGACCTTCTGCAGCACATTGTGCTTGATGACACTGAGAGGCGTCGGAAGCGCTCGTTCAAGACGCCATTGCCGACCACGCCATCAACGCCAGGCGCGCCGTGGCCGGGCTATAGTCCCAAGCCAAAGCATGCGGAGCTTGCAAGGACCTTTTCTGCGCCCAACTCGCCCTACACTGATCAGAGGCGCGGCTCCAAGGGCAGCCCATTGAGCGTCACCCCCGACCGCAAAGGATCAGTTGAAGGCAAGCAGCCTGCGACACCATCACAGCGACAACGCAGCATATCGCCGCCAAGGGTACTCGGGTCGAGGCATGGCTCCTTGCGCCAGCATGCACGGAGTGGCTCACTTAGATATCGACGTTCCTCCGGGAGCTCTGGCTCAGACACGCATGAGATGCCACCCTCAAGACACAGCTCGACCGACATGCTGATTCTGGGTATACTACCATCGTCGAAGTGGCGGATGCTGCGGCATCTCAGTCTTGCCGAGAACGGATTGACCTCACTGGCAGTGTCAAGTCTGTCGCCTGTTGCGAACACGCTGCAGTCACTCGATCTTTCCGGCAACCTCTTCTCTGATGTACCGGACGCGCTTGCCTCGCTCACTCATCTCAGAGCTTTGAATTTGAGCAATTGCATGATCGATAGTCTGCAATCACTTTCGAGGAGTCCTCTGCCGGCTATCACAACGCTCAATCTGCGGTCCAACCGTCTGTCGAACCTGGCAGGCATTGAGCGCCTGCCTTCTTTGGAGAGAGTGGACGTCCGCGACAACAGGCTACGCGACCCCATGGAGCTGGCTCGCTTAGCTGGTCTTCCAGAGGTGATTGATATCTACGTGATCAAGAACCCGTTCGAGCGCACTCACCCGGACTACAGGGTCACCATCTTCAATGCTTTTCGATCTACGCCTGGGCATACCGAGGACGTCACCATCGACACATTCAAGCCTCTTTCACACGAGAAGAAGTACCTGGTCGATCGCGCACCTGAGCCGGTCAACGTTCCCGTCGTCAAGCCCCCTCCTGAGGTGGAGGAAGAGCCTCAAGCTGTCGTCGGTGGTGCACCGACGGAAGATGAACTTCGGGCGCTTGAAGATCTACCTCAAGAGGCACGGCACCAGCGACAAGGCCATCGTCGCACTACCAGCGACCTTGGGCCTATGGCCAACCGGCGGAAGAAGAAGGCTCCACGACGAAGGATTGTAGAGCTTTCACAGCAAGAGACACCGCAAACATTGACAATGCAGCAGCCGGCGCCGGAGCTGACACAAGCACCCAAGACGCCGACCGATAGCGAACCTCCCACCACACCAGGCGACACGCCCTACCATACCGCTCCGACCCGGCAAGTGGAGGCGCAGCTCTCTCGCCAGCGCCCGACACTGGATATTGCCTTTGACTCACCGACACCTGCACCCAAGATTCGTGATCCTTCTGACGATGACGATGAGCTGTCTCTACAAGACTTGGGTCAATCCGATGTGTATCGACAGAAGATGGAAGCTCTCAAGAGCGACTTGGGTCCAAATTGGTTGGCCGCAATGAACGAGGATCGACTGGCGGAGCAGCGCGATCAACGAAGAAGCTTCAGTCCGGCTTCAAGGACGTCGACGATCAAAGCGACCGGGAAGCCAGGCAATGAGAGGGGTGTCAGTACGGGAGGACGAACACTTGGCTGAGGCGACCATCACCACATCGGCCTTTCTGAGGGCATTAGCGAAGGCGTTTGGGCAATCTCCTCTCCTTTCTGGGTTTCTTTGGCAACAGCCTGTGGATGACGGGATGCGGGCAGGGGGAGATGATTGATGTTCTGCTTCTCGCGTCCCAGGGAAGGGATGACAGCATTGTAATCGGGCGGATTGGGAAGGCTTCGTGAGCGTTTTGTTTTGCTTTGGTATCATGCGCGAGCAATTCTAGCGTGCGAGCGAGGCGTTGAGTGGATGGTCTTGGGCTGGACATCTGTGGTATTGGTAGATATGTGTGCTACGATCTCGTACTTTGCGATAACATCTGCATTTCTGGTATCACTCAATTGACATGAAATTGTAGTCAGCAGTGTAAGCTTAGTCTAGATCTGTACCCAGGAATAGGCGATGAATAGAGGAAGAATTAGGAGGACTTTGCAAGGATTCACGGCTTCTCGAAGCGCTGGGCGGCTGTTGTTTGCGTGGACGCTCGCCGCGCACGGACTCGCTCCTTCCCCAAAGGCTTGACGAAACGTTCCCGGTCAACTGCAACCTCGCAACCTCACGACACTCCTCATATCACCGCGTGAGAGCACCAGACTGCACCAGCGTCGGCAGTCAACCACACCTAGCGAAGGTATGTGAATCAGCAGTCCCCGCGTGTCGTGGCCGTCGCTGACCTGGCGCTTCAAGCGGTGAAAATACTGCACCACCAACAATCCAAACGCGAGCAGAAACGCGCACCGCGCGCATCGACAACATCACTGCATATTCGGTTGTATCTGAAGAGTCAAAGAACCCCCAGCAAGAGAAGAAGCAGAAAGGAGACCGAGCAGCAACGAGCGAAGCATACCGGTACTCCCGCAACTTGGACAGGAGAGGTGGCACCAGATCCCGTCATCACTTAGGGATCTTGCAAGAGGCGAATTCATTGACATCAGCATCACGAGGGGCGTGGCGCACTGGTACAAGAGCAGAAGATCCGGTGAAGGCGCGCTTTTTGGGCCTTGTGCTCACTCGCCAAACGTTCGGTAAGTCTCTCGTTTTACGATCTTCGCGTGGCATACACCCGCAGGCGGCGCTGCAGGTAGAGAAGGGAGAGTGGAGTTCACAACAGGGCAGAGAGAGGCGTTGTCAGATGAAAGAGCACAAATCAGTCACGTGCTGGATGAGCACGAGCGACTTACCGTAGCAGGCCGACAGTCTCTTTCAGCAACCTTTTCAGTTTACACGTCCTCCGTACTGACCTGTAGGAGCTTTACAGACATTTCCGGAGCATAGTTGGCTTCTAGGATTGGCCAGCTCCGAAGCAGAAAACACCATTACCCACCCACCGACTGCCGATCATGGCAGACCAAAGTGATGTGGACCTCGACTCCATCATCGACCGACTCCTTGAGGTTCGAGGCAGCAGGCCTGGCAAGCAGGTTCAGCTGCTCGAAGCAGAGATAAGATTCCTGTGCACCAAGGCTCGCGAGATCTTCATTTCTCAGCCAATCCTGTTGGAGCTCGAGGCTCCTATCAAGGTTAGTATATCTGAGCTGACTTCCACACCTACGCTTTGCTGACACACTTCTCAGATCTGCGGCGACATCCACGGCCAGTACTATGACCTCTTGCGCCTGTTCGAGTACGGCGGCTTCCCACCAGAGGCAAACTACCTCTTCCTCGGCGACTACGTCGATCGTGGCAAGCAGTCGCTCGAGACTATCTGCCTGCTGCTCGCGTACAAGATCAAGTACCCGGAGAACTTCTTCGTTCTGCGCGGCAACCACGAGTGTGCATCGATCAACCGCATCTACGGATTCTACGATGAGTGTAAGAGGCGCTACAACATCAAGCTATGGAAGACATTTACGGACTGCTTCAACTGCTTGCCTATTGCGGCAATCATCGACGAGAAGATCTTTACGATGCACGGCGGCTTGAGCCCTGACCTCAACTCCATGGAGCAGATCAGGCGTGTCATGCGTCCGACGGATGTCAGTACCTTCAACCATTGTAATTGAGCTTCACTGACTTTCACAGATTCCCGACTGCGGTCTGCTCTGCGACTTGCTCTGGTCCGATCCCGACAAGGACATCACCGGCTGGAGCGAGAACGACCGCGGCGTTAGCTTCACCTTCGGACCGGACGTCGTCTCACGCTTCCTGCAGAAGCACGACATGGACCTCATCTGCCGCGCACATCAGGTCGTGGAAGACGGGTACGAGTTCTTCTCCAAGCGCCAGCTCGTCACGCTCTTCTCTGCGCCCAACTACTGCGGTGAGTTCGACAACGCGGGAGCCATGATGAGTGTGGACGAGAGCCTCCTGTGCTCCTTCCAGATTCTGAAGCCGGCGGAGAAGAAGCAGAAGTAAGTCTGCACCAACCCTGACCATAACCAAGCAGGACGGATATTGACTGCATCACAGCAGGTTTGGCAGGAGATAAGGCACTCGCTTTTCGCACGGACAACAGACGATCGAGCAGACAAATTGGGTGATTCATTGATGATGGCTGAGCTCGGGCGGGTGGAAGGAAGGGAAGTCACTCGCGTTCTTCCGCTGTTGGCTTGGAGTGGATGAGATGCGACACGGGCACGGCAGACATCGGATCGTTGTGCACAAGCGGGATGCGGGTTTCCTGGAGGATTGTGTAAGATGGCTCGCATGCATTCGGGAAACTATCCTTGCGCTACCTTACGTACTGAAGAGATTCATTCGGAATGCTTCGTCGGCATTTATTGCGTGTTGCTTCTATGGAGATGTGTCGATTGTGACAACTGATTGTGCTGATCAAGGAGTCCCCGAATGTGGCACGGCCAGATCATCTTCGCCACATCAGCAGCCCCTCTCCTAAACCTTGCCCTTCCTCATATCCCCTTGCAACATCTCCGAAGCCTTCAGCTCACCCCTCAAAGTCTCCTTCTCCTTCTTCAGCAACAGATGCAACGCCTGAAACTCCTCCCGACACAAGTCCTGCTCCTTCTTAAGCTCCTCGATGTCCTCCTCCCTTTGCTTCATCCTAGCCTCGATCTGGTTGTTCACCGTCTCAACCATCTTCCGTCCATCTTCAATGCACTCCTTGGCCTTCCTTTGTCGATCGTCATTCCTGATGACGGCCGTGCCGGCGGTCATGTTGATCGTGTCCTCGTTGATGTCGTTGCGCTTGCGGCTGACCCACGCGCGATCCCGGGCTATTTGGTCGATGTAGTTTTGGAGCTTGGCGTTGGTTTCGCTGAGTTGGTCCAAGGCGTTGGCGAGTTCTTTGAGGGTGTCTTTGGTTGTGTGGTCGAGGGTTGTTTCGGCCAGGTGTTTCATGTCGTGGAGAAGATCCATTGTTGCTGCTAGGTCGGGGCTTGCTGACATGGCTGGGAGAGAGAAGTGTTAGCAGGTGATGGCAGCAGACGGGTAACATGAGCACACACCTTCTCCGGCGGTCTGACTCTGGTGGAGGTCTTCCTCAATCGTGACAGGTGCTCGAAGAAGAAGACTGCAGTGGAGAAAGGATGTTTAAATGATACCGCGTGCTTCCTGCATGTGAACTTTTGTTGCTGCATGTGAATCGTTGAACATTGCTTGCTATAATGGCAAACGGTCTTGTGACCTCGAGGGGGTACGAAAGTGTTCTTCGTGTCACATGATACTTGCTCTGAGGTGGGTGTGTGTAGTGAACTGTATGGCAGAAAGCAATACCACAGCTGTGGGCGGTGCAAGTTCGTCGCCGGGCCATGTGAGCAATCACTCACATGCATTTCGCTGGGGCAGCCTTCGGCTTTGGACGAGGACGACGAAAGAGTAGTGTAGGCAGGCAAGCAAGCGACAAGGACAGCGCCCTCTCCAAGACAAAAGGCACCCGAAAAGGCCACACTATTCTCGTGGGCAAGCTTTTCGTGTCTGTGAGAAGATCCGTCACACGGCTCGCGTTGACCAGGTAGGCCGCTTTCACTGTCCCTCGCTTTGGCAGGCACCCATCCCATTCAGATGAATTTCGCCAAGTTTTGAAGGCCCAAGTCTTTCTTCGACCGTGGAGAATTCTTGTAGATGCCCAACCGTCACTCCCAGCGCCGGGATCACGTAGTTTAGGACAATATTACATGACGTCTCGTGATCGAATTCCCAGAGTACAATGCAAGACGAGGACGCACCACGTCGGTCAGAAGCCGCTGTTGTTGTCTTGATCGAACGTGACCATATACGCGAGATCCAAAGTCGAAGTCGAGACCTGAAACATGGCCCAACGCCTGTCTGAGCGATCTCAGCCTATCGAGCTTCCAGAAGCGACACCAGCCGCCGCATTGTTTTCACGCGTCTTTCGGGACTTGACGGCGCCAGCAGCCACGTCGGCGCGGCCAGAAGCTCTCCAAGGCCATGCAATGCAGCATGATTTCAATGTTGTTCTCATCGCCGCATCCGGGAAGCGTGTTAGGTCGCATGAAGCAGACCCAGATCAAAACAGACCACATGTGACACGTGCAGCTGCTCAGGGTCTTACCTCTTCTCCATCATTCCTCCTGGACTGTATCGCGTGGTCACTTCAGTACATGTTAGCATTTTTTGCATGCGAAGCGGAAGTGCAGTTGGAGTCGTCAGATTGTCTTCGAAGATCGGCTTCGTCAAAAGCGGCTCCTCCCGAGCCTAAACTTATCGGCCTCCTTCCTCGTTGCGACCCAGCAACGCCGACACACAAACACCGACCACCTCACTCGCACGCAACGGCATACTACACGCTCACGATCACACGACATTCATTCGCAGCGCTCACGGCGATGAGAGGAGGTGCTTGTGGTGACCGGTTGTCTTGCGGCCGACCCGACTGTCTGGACGGCCATTGAAGCGCAACGAGACAGCACCACGCCACCTGGCTTCGACAGCACAAGGGGGCGTATACCTTGTGCGACGTTCACTACATTCATAACACCTCAACATCGTCAAACGAGCCTACCCAGCGACCGCCCGGTATACCTTCATTCGAACAGCGACCAGCCATGGACATGCAAGACGACCAAGCCGAGCAACAAACACCCACACTCATGTCACCACCTCGGAGTAAGACTCCACCAACCATAACCGGCAAGCGACAGCATAGCGACCGAAATGCGAGCAGATCGCTTCGAAGTGGCAGTGAACCGGTCAATGCGACAGCGTTGAACAAAGCACTACAGCAGGTGGAAGACACATCAAGACCCCGGTCTATCACACCCAATGGCAGCCCGAGTAGGAAACGGCAGAAAGTGCAAGCTGGTGCAGGCGGCGGGAGCGACAGGTTTATCCCCAATCGCTCCGGGCAAGATTTACATGCAAGCTACAACCTCCTGCACGAGGACGGCTCACCCGCAACGCCGTCTAAAAGCCACAAAAAGGTTCACTCAAGCGAGCTGAATTTCCAGAGAAGAGATGCGAACCGGACATACTCCAGCTTGCTGCGATCTGAGATGTTTGACAGCGAAGTGCCTCAAGCTGTACCGCAATCACAAGAAGGGCCTGGTTCAAGGTCTAAGACACCTCCCAGCAACGGATCGATACTATCAGGACCGAATTTGACACCTTCGACACCCCACAAAAACCTCTTCTCATACGGTGCGAACCCGACACAGTCACTCACACCACGATCAACCTCAAGAAGCGAGCGAGGGCCGAACGTCAATGCGCGATCAGAGATATACAGCCTTTCGCCTGTGAAGCACTCTTCTCAGACGATGCTACTGTCTCCGCGAAAGACTCCCAGAGCAGTGAGCAAGGTACCATATAAGGTGCTGGACGCACCAGAACTCCAGGACGACTTCTACCTGAACTTGGTGGACTGGGGTCCCAATGATATCCTCGCAGTTGGCCTGTTGGACAGCGTCTACCTGTGGTCACGGGAAACCGGCATTGTAAAACAGCTCTGCAAGCTCGACAACGATCCCATCACGAGTGTGAGCTGGATACAGCGAGGCTCGCACCTTGCGATCGGGACAAGCAAAGGGCTGCTCTACATTTACGACACAGTCGCGGAGCGAAAGCTTCGGATGATGGCAGGACACAGCGCTCGGATAAGCTCTTTGGCGTGGAACGCACACGTCCTGTCGACTGGCTCCCGCGATCGTTCGATCCTCCACAGAGACGTGCGGACACCTTCGCCCTACTTCCGGAAACTAACAGGACACAAACAAGAAGTATGCGGCCTGAAGTGGAACGGTGAAACACAGCAGCTCGCCAGTGGCGGCAATGACAACAAGATCTTCGTTTGGGATCGAATGGAAGAACGATGGCAGTACAGGTGGGGTGAGCAAGAAGGTGGGCACAAAGCTGCCGTCAAGGCCATAGCGTGGAGTCCACATCAGCGAGGACTGTTGGCTTCAGGAGGTGGTACAGCTGACCGATGCATCAAATTCTGGGACACGCTCTCAGAAGATCAAGCCACAAGCTCGAACGGCCTCCCGACAAATCTCCTTCCCAACCAGAGTGACTCTGCCTTGGACCACTCACGGACGCCTTTATCCGACACCGAACAATCGAACCCACACCTCATCCGTTCCCATGACACCGGCAGTCAAGTCTGTAACTTGCTGTTCTCAACAACGACCTCTGAGATCGTGAGCACGCATGGGTACAGCCAGCATGCCATCAACATCTGGAAGTACCCTTCTATGCAGCAAGTCGTCAGCCTGACCGGTCACACGTATCGTGTGCTCTACCTCAGCATGAGTCCTGACGGCTCTACTATTGTGACAGGGGCTGGTGACGAGACGTTGCGCTTCTGGGATGTCTTCAGCAAGCGCGAGAAGTCTGGTCGCGGAGGCATTGTGGGCGAATGGGGCGTCATTCGGTAGTCGATTGCGGTTGGCGACGGGGTTTTGCTTGGGGGATGAACGAATCTTGACGACCTTGATGAAATCTTGCTGTGCATGTACTCGGGAAGCGCGGCGCTGGGACATGCATCAATACCACCCCTTTGGGCGTGCAATGGAGTAGCGTTACTGGAGAAGCAGATTCAGTGTACAGAATGGATCACTTGTTGGTCTTTCGACATGAAATGTGTCATCTCGCTGCCTCTTCCTTGGCCTCAGCAAGCGACCGTGAGAGCGGCTAATCGGGCATATCTGGCAGTCTCTCCCAGACCCATTGCAAGCGAAGAGTTCCACATCGCTCTCGTTGGTAGGCTGTCGTGGTCTGCGAGAAGATGGCTCCTTTACTGCTTCCGAGCGGAGCCGACTTCGGCCCTAGCGGATAAAGTCTTGACTTCACCTTACTCCCTTTGCCCAACAGCATCTCATGCTTCCCTTTGTACGGGCAACATTGTTGACGAGCATACGAATCCGATCCTTGACCATCAATTCCACGTCTGAGACGCTCCAGAAGCGATTCTACTCTCCATTGACTACCAGCAGGATGAGTACGCCGCAGTATCTGACCGGCGACAAAGCTGGCATAAATGATTTTATAGATAAGTTCGATGTATGGCTATGCCGTTGTATGACAGTATAAAGGTAAGTGAGCTGAGTGAATGTAGGTGTTTCTGTTCGATTGTGATGGTAAGCCTCCTCCCCTTACTACGACGGCTTTACTCTAGCAGACGGGTCTATAAAAGAAGATTAACATCATCCACTCCTCCTTCGGTATCGTTGACAGCGTGCTGCGACAGGTGTCCTATGGTCAGGCGATCATTTGTTCCCGCGTATACCGGAGACGATCGACATGCTGCGAAGTAAAGGTATGCCACCATGCTGAGCATCATGCTGTAGTCGTGCTGATGGGAGCCCAGGCAAGCAATTGGTCTTCGTAACCAACAACAGCACAAAGTCTCGAGCAGATTACAAGAAGAAGTTTGACAAGATGGGCATCAGTGCTCAAGAAGTAGGTTCTGACCGCCCAGGCTGCTTGTCAGCGTCGCTAAAGGATCGCAGGAAGAGGTCTTCGGCTCCAGCTACAGCGCAGCAATCTACATCTCCCGTATCCTCAAACTCCAACCCCCCAAGGACAAAGTCTTCGTGCTCGGCGAGACCGGTGTAGAGCAAGAACTCCAATCCGAGAATGTCCGCTACTGCGGCGGCACCGACAAATCGCTGCTCCGAGACATCACCCCGGAAGACTACTCCAGTATCGCCGACGGCAGCGCACTAGACGATGAAGTCGCCGTCGTCCTTACCGGCCTGGACTTCCATCCCAGCTACCTTAAATACTCCCTCGGCATGGCATACCTCAATCGCGGAGCCAAGTTCCTGGCTACGAACATCGACTCCTCGCTACCAAGCGCTGGCTCGCTCTTCCCGGGTGCTGGCTCGACAAGTGCACCATTGATCACCGCCACGAAGAAGGAGCCGTTGGCGTTGGGCAAGCCGAGCCAGGCGATGATGGATGCGATTGAGGGCAAGTTCCAATTCGATCGGAAGAAGGCTTGTATGATTGGAGATCGGCTCAACACGGATATCCAGTTCGGTATTGAAGGGAAGCTGGGTGGGACGTTATGTGTGTTGACGGGCGTGAGCAAAAAGGAGGAGTTCCTGGGCAGGGGAGCAGAGGTTGTGCCGAGTGCTTATGTGGACCAGCTGGGCGATTTGCTTGGGTAGGAGGTTCTCCTTGCCGTCGAGTGAACAAGAGTGCTACCACTCTCACCACAGCAGCACCTTAGATTCTAAAGAACGGCTCTTGGGCAGCAGCCATTGCCCTCTTATCCTCGTCTGAGAGTCATTGGCAGTGCCAGTTCGGTGACCACAATCACATGTTCGTCGTCGGGGAACACGACCGTGACTCTTAGCCGTCGGCCTCTTCTCTTCTCCTGGATCGATTGCCGGCCGATACAATTACAACGCTCATCATAGCAGCACTTGGGGTCTCGGAGAACAAGCTCCACCTTGAGCGGCCAGCCCCCTGTCGCTCGAACCTGCGTCGACGCTCAGAGTACACTGTCGCTACTCGTCAGATGTTGAAGAAGACGCTCTAGGCGGTAGCAGTGGGCTTCTTCTCTCGATTTTAACATCCGCTCATGATGCATCGTCGCTCTCTTCGGCAACATTTTCGACGCTCGAGAACGGATCCACGGGCCGCACAACTGTTCTTTTCGTGGGACTGCTACTCACAATATCACCTCAGTCCTCCTCCTAACGCACCAAGATCCGGAAAGGATGCTTCGGCCGTATTCTCCTCGCCGGTTACACTACGCGAAGCTCTTCGATTCATGCGTCCAACAGTACCACTTCGGGCCTCTGAGAAGCTTACGTCTTGAAGTTGTCGTCCGGTAGACCAGCTTGCGCTACATTTTCAACGTGCGTACTGTGCCTTTCTGCCATGTCTGTTCAATTTAAGGGGCGTTATGGCTCTTGAGGTCTGTCTCGGCGTGACCACAACTGTACCATGTCATGATCATGCGCAAGTTGGAAATCCAAATTGTCGGTCATGCCATACCTAGGTAGCTTTTTTGACCGGAAGTGCATCTCTCCGCAACGGTTCCCGGTATGTCTTCGGTGCTACTGGTACTTGGCGTGGGATCATCAGCACTGACTAACCTGATTACTGGGCTGTCCTCCACTCAGCCCTGCGAGATCCCCGGTTGACTTGTTTCGACAAGCTCAACCACCTCTGTTTCGCGTCGCGCGATGGGTTGGATTCGCCAGTCGCTCATTTCTGCAGGCCGAAGGAACAAGGTTACCTACTATAGGGATCACGACAACGAATGTCTCCGTGGACGGCGGACTGCTCTCTCCCACGCGGCACTTCTTCAGCCCCATCCTACTAATGAGCGCACACATGCACCTGTGGCTCGAAGCACGTGTGCCGCGCTGGTAGGGGCGGCATGAGCTGCTTCGTAGAGCTAGCCCTGCACGAGATGGAGCTCGAGCGATCTAGATGCTTCTCCCCAACTGAACTGAGCAGGCGACATCTCACCAAATGGCCAAGGACTCTTACTGTGGCATCAATACCATTCGAGCCATGACAGTCCGATGATGTGCCGGCGGAGAGGAAGGAGGCGAGACGAAGCTACACTTACTACGAAAGGACCAATTAACACTGCTTTCTCACGAATGCCTTGCCGGACGACCCAGTCCTGTAATTCCAGCAACTTGGCAGCGGATCGGCGGGCTAGCCACTTGATGGCGTTGATTTACATACAGCAGTCTCCTTCCGGCCTCGGGTTCGCAAACTGATTCAACCCCTCTTCGACCAAAAACGCAGAACACAACAACGATGCCAGCGAACAAGGCCACCACCAGCACAGACAAAGTCTACCGATTCGTCGCGGACCCTTGCCACAAGGAGAACCTCTCTGGACGAGTGACGACTGCTTGTGTGAACTGTCGAAGAAAGAAGATGAAGTGTTCTGGAGACACCCCATGTGGTACCTGCATGGAGAGAGGTCTCCAGTGCGAAGGTTTTGTGGCAAGGAGGAAGCCGTCCAGGAACCCGGGCGCTCGCAGAGCTCACAGTTCACCCATGCAGGAATCACTAAGACGCCCGTCAGTACCGGAGGGCAGCAACAACAAGCGTCTCGCTCGACACTCTGTCGCTTCTGGGTGTACGGAGAATTTGGCCTATCTGAACACGGCCCTTCCGGAGGCTGGGCCTTTACACAGCAACAGGTCCAGCTTGTCTGGGTGCCAAACGAGGACGCTTGATCAGGCATGCTTCTTCCCGCCGCAGTCAACCTGGAGTCACCATCAATCCGCTCCAGTCTCTCCGGCTCCTCTGCAGTACCGAGCATTCAATACACCATCCGAGTACTCGAGAAACGCATATCCATCTCCAGAAAACGAAAGTCGCGCATCCCAACTGTTCTCAGCCGCCAAAGTCTTGGAGACACAGGCACAAGCGCTTCGGCAACTTACACTACAGGCAGGAGACGCTGGGTCAGGAGAAGCAAGGCGGCAGAGCGATAGTTGGCTGCAATTTTCCAATGTCACCATGGTGTCGGGCACCCTGATGCCGTACCAGCAACCAGACTTCAGTAGTTCGGTGCTGCCATATGACGGAGCGGATCCAGGAGGCGGGCTCGCGGTGGCAACGGAGCATTACAGCCCTTGGTCTAGCCTTGATCCTTCCTTTGGGGCCACGTATTCCACTCAGAATGTCGCTGCTTATACGCTACAATCGCTTCCAAGATTCTCGAGCACGCAATGGCCGATCGGTCACGGCTCGACTCACAGCACTTTGCCTCTTGCTACAGTGGCAGGAGAACAGGCGGTTCCCGACGCAGCTGTCGATTTCCAGGCCTTTCTTCTTTCGCAGATCGCCCTGGAGAGAGAGCCATCTCAAGAGAATGTGTATGGTGGCACGATTCCTTGGGAAAGCTTCAACGCAATGTGAGTGGGAAGCCGTCGGGCGCGGTCTTGGGCCGCAAGCAAGAGACAGGGAAAGGGGCCACACGGACACGTCTGGCAGTCTGAGCAACCTTATCACAGATAAGGATCGTCCAGTGAAAAGAGTAACGTGGCCCTTTTGATGCAACCTCAACTCGGAGAAGAAGGCTCACTCTGGCCTTGTGGGCAGCTTTCACCGTTAACAGCTCTAGGTCGCCATGGTGTGAGTGGCGTTGCGGGAAGCAGCTGCTGGCAAGATCTACTGCTCTTGCAGGGGAGGTGTCACATGCAGAACGATCCACAGCCAGTGCTTCACGAAGCATCTTGGTAATCAGCTTAGTTGCATCGCAAAACGCAGGGCCAATAGAAGTACCGACCACAAACGTATCCACTGCCTCACCAAAGTTGCCAGACCTCCGCGCAACCATAGCGTCCATACCAGCATACATAGAAGCATGGCCAAGTAGACCGTCTTATTCGAGAAACAGTAGTGCACCGGCATATACGTCGGAGGCACTGGCGTGGATCTAGTTCGGCCCTTTGCATCATGTAAGAGCTTATTGATAGACGTGGTTGGAGGTAAAACGGCCGCTCACACAGGCCGCGACATGTGGTCGGTAGGTACACTTTTGGCCATCAAAAGCGCACCAAGCAGCAAGCGAATAATGGATTGAGGTAGCAATTACTCTCACTCTGTCACGCCTTCCCTTGTCCCCGACCTGCCTTAGCCGGCGCCGGTTTCCTTGGCTTCTTCTTCTTTGGCTGCTCGAACTCACTAGCCTCATCGTCGGACGAAGCCACTGACGTTCGCTTGGAGGACTTGCCCTTCTTGGACTTGCTACCCTTCTGAGTCGTCTCCACAGCTGCGTCCTGTTCAATAGCAGCGCCGTCCGGTAGGTGTGCACCTTCACCCTCCTGGGCAGACTCCCCACGAGTCAACTTAGCCTTCTCAGCCATGCGGCTCAGCGCACTTCCCATCCGTTTCGAGCTCTCAGCAGCTCTTCTCCTCGGAGCGAAGGCCTCACCTCTAGCCGTGCTCTTGGTAGCACCAGCGGCACCAATCCCAACACCACCGTCAAAGAACGCAGTGATGTTGGCCTGTGTACCTTCGTCCGCACGTCTGTTCATATCCTTAATCACCGGGACCAGCACTTCGTCGGTCCTCTCTTGGCTCCAGCCGATGGTGGCCATCAGGAAGCTGCGCAAGGCATCAAGATCCGGCACGCCCCATTGGAACTGCTCAGGGTCGGCGTCGATGTCCGGGAACTTGTAGGCGGCTTGGACCCTTGTGTCGGGAAACGCAGCAGGTGGAAAGAGCTTCGTAGCGGTGCGGCGGAACTTCTTGCGGAAAGCGTTGCCGGCGTCGTCGGCTTTGGTGATGGTGTTCAGCTGTACACCGTTCAGCCAGTCCTTGAATTCCACAAGCGACGGAAACTCGCTGATGATCTCAAGGGCAGTCACCGGACCAATGCCAGGCAGACCTTCGGTATAGTCAGACCCCAGCAGCTGCGCGACTGAGATCATCTTGTCGCGGGTGAGGTCAAATTCCTTCTCCAGGTCTGAAGTAAGGTAGCATTCAACGAACTTCGCTTGATTGAACATGTTCTTGTAGATCCTTGTGCCACCGAACAGGAAGCAGTCAGAATCGTCGGTGACAATACCATCGACAAGACCCAGCTTCACCAGCTCAGCGCACTGTGCTTCTGCTTCCATTGGTGCGGTAACGTAGGGCAGGCCGAAGAGACGAAGGAGCTGCTGACACTCTTGAACCATAATGTGCGTGACTTCGTCAGCGTCGCGGCGGTCCTTCTTCTGCTGGTTGCGCAGCTGCTTGAGCTCCTTCTCATAGTCCGCGATATTCTGTGCTTGAGTTTTGTTGTTCAGAGAGCTCGCAAAGCGCGCATGTTCTTCTGCTTCCAAGGTCAGGCCACGCAAAAGCTCCTCATCCTCCGGGTCCGAAAAGTCATCGTATTCTTCGACATCCTCTGGTAGAGTGTCTTGATGGACCATACCGGAGGCCGGCACCGGAGCATCCATCTCATCAGCGGCTGATGCAGGCGTTGCAGTGTCCTTGTCCGGGGAATGCCGGTCAGCCATATCGACGTCTTCAAATTCGACAGATGGCGATCGTGATGGCTGTTTCTGCACGGGCTGACTTGCGGATTGTCTCGAAGGGTATGCTTCTACAGCGTGGGCGTTCACAGGATCAATGATAGGTGACCGAGACGCCTGCCGATCTGTTGTCTTCGATCGGGCGTCATCTGCCTTTGAATTTGACGCTGGTCGCTCAGCAGCGGCTTCTCCATCCTCACTCTCGCTCCACTCAAGCATTTCCTCGTCCTCGGAATCCTGCCGTTGGTCGTCTGTGGTTGCAGGAAGAGGCTGTGCCGGCTCGCCGCCATTTGCAACTTTTGGCGGAACTTCTGGTTCTGATGGCTGAGATGCTTCGTCGTCGCTATCGTCCATATCAAACGGCATTGCCTTTCCGGCGCTCAACGGTACAGGCTGATCCTCCGCGACATCTGGAGCCTGTGGAGGCTCCACGCGAGCCTTTTCCGCAACGTCGCCCATCCGAAGATCTGGGTCAAACATTGCAGTGCTTTCGTCAGGCGGAGTCTGCTCGTCCTCTGCTTCTAGATCGATCACCTCGCCATTCTTGAACACTCTCTGTTCCTCTTCGGCATCAAGGTCAATGACCTCATTCGTATCATGCCTGCGGAGACCACCCTCATCCCTCCTTTGAAACTGGAACTGCTGATTGAACTCCTTTGCCCGCTCTCGATCCTCGTTCTCTAAAGCTCTCTGCTTCGAGATATCCTCATCCAGGCTACCAGAGAACCAAGGTGGCAACGGCTCAGCTTTCTTCTTCTCTCGCCCCTCAAGCTCTGGGTTTTCAAAGCCTCCCGCCGTCTCCTCGGTTCTCGCCTGCATTTTCTTCTTTCCCAGCAGGGAAGAGCCGAGATCTAGCTTCTCGAAAGGCAGCGGACCAGAGAAGCCGGCATTCTTCGCAACCTGTGTAGCTTGGTCCGCAGGCTTCGGCCCGGCTGGCTTGCGCCGTGCTGGAGGGCTGACTTTCCGCTTTGTTCTGCGACTCTCAGCCAAAGCAGCTTGGAAGTCCATTGTATCATCTTCATTCTCGCTCTGGCTCTTAGGACTCTCAGATCTTGGTGCTGGGACACCGAAAGAAGTGACCTCGTGGCTGTCGGGAGCGGAATCGTATGCACGCTTGTTGACGATGTTGGCAATAGCTCGGCCGCTACCCTTAGGCACAGGCCGGGCTTCAGGGACAGCGGATTGGTTGAAGACTTCGAGCATGTCGTCTTCTTCAGCATCAGACGCCTGATCATCAGCGGCATCCGCACTTTGGTCTGCATCTTGTTCGTTGCTCTCGAGAGACAATGCAATGGCTCGATTCAGCTCCTCGTCCTCATCTGCACCGTTCTCTTCGCCGAATAGCTCGGCATTTCCGTCGACCTCCTCCCACTCTTCCGCTTCATCTTCATTGGGCTCGTCCGGAACGAACAATGAATTTGGGTCGGCGTCCTTCTTTGGCTTCGGCTTTCTCTTCGCAGTAGACTGTCTAGACTTGTAAAATGCCTGCCTTTGCTTCGCGTGGTCATCAGATTGGTTGAGGTCCGCTGTTGGCCTTTTAGGTAGCCTGTTCAAGCCTTCAATAGGCACGTCTTCGAAATCATTATCGTCCTCCCACTCATCTTCGTCTTGCTTCAACGCAACAGCCGGCTTGTCAAGGTCAATCGCTGTCTCCTGCTTGGTGCCCTCATCACTGATGACACCAAGCGCCCATCCGCCTTCCACGCCGTCGTTTTTGACCAGCACATACTCTCGACCTTTCTCACCGGCAACCCTTCCCCTGCCGTTGAAAAGAGCATCGCCACCTTCGTTGATGTGCATCAATCGTTGCGTCAGCTCGTTACGTTCTGTCACTCGCTCGATCTGGAACCTCGAGAACTCCATCCGATCCGGAAACATGCTGTCGAGTTGGTCCTTGCTGTGGCCCATACGCAGTCGACTGCGCAACCTGGCCGCGTTCAGAATGTTGTACCTATCCGAAGCGGGCAGTGACATGAAGAAGCTGGAATCGTAGTCTATCTTCGAAAAGTCGTATACGTTGATGTCCTCGCCAGTCTCGAACTGCTTGGCGTACGTCTGTAGTTCTTCCAGAGACATGACCCTGGGATCGTTTGGTGCTCCCATCTCGCTCAAACTGACGTCCAGCTCCGGAAGATGATATTGATCCTTCTTCCTGAACTTGCGACTCTGCTGCCGCTCCTGCTGCGTCATGAGGTTCTCGTCGGCGTACACCAACCCTTCGTCTGGCACTTCCTCCTCTTGCTCCTTGCGATCTCTATCGTCCTTCCTCTTCTGCTCATCCTCTTCGGCCCTCCTCTGCATCTGCACCGCCAGCAGTCGCCCAGCTGTCCTGACCGCATCCTCGCGCCTGCCTTCCCGTCTCTTCTTGCGGTTGCTGAGCGTCTGCCTCTTGAGCGCGGGCGCGCCACCATCGAACACGAAGACTGGTTTGATGCCAAAGAAGAGAAGTTTGCAGATACGTCGGAAGAAACCTACGACATGGCTGTTGCGCAGTGCGTTGCCTTCCTTGTCTCGGACGGCCTTCAAGAATTGGTAGATCCAGATACTCGCATCGACGGCCAGCCGTTTTCGGTTGAGCGTTTCGAGCTTGATGGGCCTGGCGCATGGGTGCAAGATCTGCCAGAGGCCGGTGACACCCATCTCGCCGTCGTCTGAGTGGACGGGAGTGGTGGTGCTGCCTCTGGCGGGCTTAGGTGAAGAAGTTCTTGTATGACTCGTGCTTGAGACGGAGGAAGCGGGATGACTTCACCTACTGAACTATTGAAACGCGGTGTCATGTGACCTGAACGCCGAGATCGGAAGGTGCAACAAGCTCTCCTAAACATTTCTTGGAGCTTCAGCAACATCTTCCAATGGCTGCGAGAACCCTACGGATAGGCCTGATACCAGGCGACGGTATCGGTGGGCATAAGGCAAACTGTATGCGCGCATACCATTTCACTGACACATCGCAGGCCGAGAAGTCATACCAGCAGGACGACGTATCCTCGAAGCCCTACCTCCTTCGCTTGGTCTGAAGTTCTCCTTCGTGGATCTCGATGCAGGTTTCGAGACATTCAAGAACACTGGCGTCGCTCTGCCGGATAAGACGGTGGATACTCTGAAGAACGAGTGCGATGGGGCGCTTTTCGGTGCTGTGAGGTGAGTACGTTCGATTGAACCGAGTGCGTAAGGACGCATGTAGAGTGGTAGACTGTACCAGATTGATGGCTGACACTACTCACCACCAGCTCGCCTTCGACGCCTACCAAGGGCTACAGCAGTCCTATTGTGGCGCTGCGCAAGCGGCTTGACCTCTACGCCAATGTACGACCTGTGAAGTCCGTCGCGCCTACGGCTGCCTTCCCAGACCCGATAGATCTAGTCATTGTTCGCGAGAATACCGAAGATCTATACGTCAAGGAGGAGAAGACATACGACGGTCCCAATGGGAAGGTCGCGGAAGCGATCAAGCGCATCTCTGAGCGCGCGTCTTCAAGAATAGCCACAATGGCAGGCGAGATCGCACTACGAAGACGGCGTGTAAGGAATTCTACGGATGGCGTGTCAGGAAAGCAGGCGATGGTCACCATCACGCACAAGAGCAACGTACTGTCGCAGACCGATGGACTCTTTCGTCAAACAGCCCGGACAGCACTGGAGCAATCTCGATTCAGCGACGCCGGCATCAAGATCGAGGAGCAGATTGTTGATTCCATGGTGTACAAAATGTTTCGTCAGCCTGCCGACTACGATGTTATCGTAGCCCCAAACCTCTACGGTGACATCCTGTCAGATGGTGCAGCAGCACTCGTCGGCTCCCTCGGCCTCGTTCCCTCGGCGAACGTAGGCGATGGCTTTGCGATTGGAGAGCCTTGCCATGGGTCCGCGCCAGACATTCAGGGTCAGAACATCGCCAACCCGATCGCTACGCTAAGAAGTGTGGGTCTCATGCTGGAGTTCTTGGGGCAGGAGGAAGCTGCGGCGAAGATCTACCAGGCGGTTGATGAGAATCTGTCGGAAGGGAAGTACCTCAGTCCGGACATGGGCGGCAAAGCGAAGACAACCGAGGTGTTGGAAGATGTGATCAAGCGGTTCTAGGCTGATTGCGGTCATCGTTCTCTCGGTATCCGGTCAGGCAACATGAGCAGAAGCCTTTCAGAATAAGCATGAGAGCTTTTCGAGTTGAGGAGAAGCACAGTACAACTTCTGTAACCTTTACTCTCACCGCTATCGGCTCTTGGTGTTCTCTCTTACATTGCAGACAAGTAGTAGTACAACAAGTGATCACGTTCAATGTCTTCCAAATCGCGCACCTATTCACCACCCCACCGTCATTAGCCCGAGCTCAAACTCTCCCCAGATCCGGGCGGCTTTACTTCCACTTCACTTCGTCTCACCTCTACTATACCACAACATACATGTACCGAACTCGGTCAGTATCATGAGACTTCCCTGCGCAAGACTAGATGGTCGGAGAGACGAGGTCCAGATGAGGCCACGGTGAACTTGAAGCGTACAACATCACGAGCCTTTCGTTCCAACGACAACAGCCGCCTGCAAGGCCCTCAAGATGCCCCGTCTGTTCCCACGCCTGACGGCCACCCGGCTCCAAGCAACCACCTACCTTCTCGGCATAGCCCTCTTCAGTATCGCCTTCCTCGTCTTCCTCAACAGCAGCATCTCGTTCGTTGTTACGGATGTCATTGGGCAAAAGAAGGGCGTGGGAGATGCAGTAGGGACACTCGGCTTTGCGGATGAGCTACTGGCACTCGTTGCGTGTCCGATTTGGGGCCTACTCAGTGATCGGATTGGCGTACGCATTGTGGCGGTCGTTGGCTACTGCATTGTGGGTTTGAGCTTGATCTGCTTGGTGCAGAGTCAGAACGTCTACCCCGACCTGCTGGTGGCAAGGCTGGGCTTCAGCATTGGAGGTGCGGCCTGCTCTACGATGGTAACCGCAGTGCTGCCCGCTATGGTAGCGAAGAGGATGACCAAAGAGGACGATGAGCCCAATATCCAGGAGCGAGCGCTAGCGAATGGATACGCGGGAAGGCTGCAAGAAGAGGAGAGGGCGGCTAGGAGAGACAGCATCGGTCATGGTGCCACTCCCAGTGTGAGCAGTGAGCTCACCATCACTCCAAACCGATATGTTTCCCGGTCTCAGACAAGACGACAGGCCAGCGGATCGGGGAGCGATCAAAAGAAGGACACAGACGAAGAAAGCTATGCCGGTACATCGCAGCTGGCGGGCTTCGTGGGCTTCTTCACTGGTGCAGGCGCTCTCCTCGCTCTCGTCATCTTCCTCCCGCTACCGGCGCACTTCCAGGACGAAGGTCGCAGTCCAGCTCAAAGCTTGCAGATCAGCTTCTATATTGTCGCTGCCATTGCGTTCTGCGTCGCGATCTTCATTTTCTTCGGACTCCGCAACCTGCCTGGGGAAGAAGAGAAGAGCATCAATCACCTCTGCGACAGACCGTACGACGAGAGTACCAAGTTGGACTCCCAAGGCAACCTCCACACGACACTGATACCGACGCCTTCGTACTTAGAACTTGTTAAAGACGCTTTCCTGCTCGGTCTGACGGACTCAACAATCTTCTTGGGCTACCTCGGCGGCTTTGTCGCTCGCGCCTCCTCAGTTGCGATCAGCCTCTTCATCCCATTCTTCGTCAATGCGTACTTCACTCGGACAGGCAAATGTCGCTCGAACCCAGACAACCTTCCTGACATCAAGGAGAACTGCCAGAAAGCGTACCTTCTCGCCTCAGCGCTCTCTGGCATAGCAGAAACAGCAGCGCTGCTCTGTGCACCCATCTTCGGCTGGCTCGGGGGCAGAGTTGCGAAAGGAGCGAGCGAGTGGCCTTTGCTTGGTGCCGCCGCGGTTGGTGTGGGAGGTTACGTTGCGTTCGGGATGCTCAGGAACCCAGATCCGTTCCATGGCGATGGAGGTCAGTGGGCGTTCATTGCAGTTATCCTCATAGGCATCAGCCAGATTGGCTCGATCGTCTGCTCACTTAGTCTGCTCGGCCGTGGTATCAACGAAGGCGGTGACAGCAGAGCGCAGCCAGCGGACACCGCACCCCAAGAACGGTTTGGCGCTATGGAAGGCTCGGAAGCTGCGCCATTGCTCCCAGGAGCACCTGAAGAGAAGGCCAAGAAGGACCGCTCCCGGCTCAAAGGCTCGATTGCAGGCATGTACAGCTTCGTCGGTGGAGCAGGAATCCTGCTGTTAACCAAGCTCGGGGGTGCGCTGTCGGACTCGTGGACGGCGGGAGCGCCATTCTTCATGATGGCGATCTTCAATGCCGTACTGCTGGTCGCTGTGGTCGGCGTTGCTGTCGGAAAGGCTGCATTGCGGCGGGAGGAGGCCAGAGACCGGGGCTGAGTGGGTTAGCTGGATTAATGCAGAGTATGTTTACCATTTCATCAGCTGCTCGCCCTTCATAAGCTTGTTCGCTATCTTACATGTACGGGCGTGTGTGTTGACTGTGCGTGCAGCCGTTCTCTGCTCCGCTTTGCGCAAGCCCGATCACGTGGACGCCAAGAGCCTCCTGCCGTTCTTGTCCTCCCAGCATGATCAATGCATACCGCCATGTCAGGCATCAATACCCTACCGCGGATCGCCACAGGGTCATACCGGCACTGAAAAGTAAAGCGTCCGGCACGAGAAATCAGTCGGCGTTGCTGCTACCAGATACCGCCAAAAGGGCAAAAAGGCAAAACGACAATGTACCCCTCCTGGCCAGAGTCGAATCGCCGACCTTGGATTAACAGAAGAGTTCATCTTGCACGCAATTGAACAGATTTCGCTATTGTACAGGACTAATCTCCCAGACTTTAAGCGGCTAATGGGCTCTCGCCCCTAAGATACTCTCAGTCTGTTAGCGTGGCAAACCAACTTCACCATTGCTGGATTAGAAGGCACCATCCATTACTGGACCCACGAAGACACAGAATGTTGAAAATTATTATATCCTTTGAATTCTTGGCCGAGTTTCTGCCGAGCCCACGTAACATTTGATATCACATGCATAGAAGCTCCATGCTCTTCAACTTTCTGGCGATGACGATTTCTACTGGAAGCTTCCACAACTCACTGGTGAGTTCTCCGATGTCTGAAACGCACCTATCAAGCACGCAAATAGCCTCACATCACTCTTCGACGGCCGAGAAGAGCGCTCACTTAGCACCCACACTTACACACAACTACGCTCTCCCAAATCTCGCCCTTGCAACACGACTATCTTCTCCACCTTACAATCCACTCTCCACATAACACCGTGGCTAGCAGCAGCATGAACCTTGTGCCCGTCTTCGAGACGGCCGACACCACCCCACGCCGCTATTTCACATGCTTCGAGGAAGAGTACGATGTCATCGAAGACTGGGTGGCCCAGCACAAGCTCACATACAACCACTTCTTCGCTTCCTACACCAACTACACTATCAAGGCCGCTCAGAGGTACTCCAACCTCAAGCAAGCGCAGCTTCTCGAACGGTTTCCGGTAGTGGAATTCGCGATGATGTCCCCTCTTCTCGACTTCGTGACGGAGAAGGGCGAACGCGTCAGCAACTCCATCGACATCAAGAATGCGCTGGTCGACTACGCGGTCATCTACGAAGCGGGCCCTACGTACGGCGAGGTGGACATCAAGAACAAGGAGGCCAGTAAGTTGCTTCTCCAAAACCAAAACTATTCCAAAGGTCATTTACTAACACATCTAGTTTTCAACAGCCAATGAGGAGATGGAGAAGGCGCAGAGACGTCTTGCGAAGCACGTGTTCTCCGTCGACCAGATGAGCGATTTCCAAACCAAATTCCCTCTGGGCTCTTCGGCGGGGAGAAGGAGAAGGCGAAAAAGGCGAAGAAGACAATGAGGCACAAGACCAACAAGACCATTGTGCGGATGGAGGGGGTGGATCTTGGATGCGGCGAGGATGGGGACGAGGCGAAGGAGGATGAGGCGTGAGCTTCTCGAAGGCCGGAAGTGGTGCTGATGGGTGTGTTATTGTGCTTTGCGTGCTGGTTCGGCAAGGAGAGCAGGGCTAAAGCTGCCGCTCACTGGGCTAGCTTCTCCAAGGCTGGAAGTGGTGCTGATTCGGGCGCCACTAAGTTTTGCGTAGTAGCTATCGGCAAGGAGAACACGGTCGAAGCTGCCACTCAATGGACGTTCTCACACATGATGACAGTGTGTCGACGAGAGTGATGTGGCCTGTTCAGGAGCAATTGCGTCTAGGAGAAGCTTGCCACACATGCCCAATGGGCCGCTTGCCTTGCGCCAGTACAGCATTTAACCTCAACATACGCCTTCAACACCCCCTCAAACCGGCTCCAGCCATGCCATTTATAGTCATTAGTCATCATCCCCCCAAGCGAGCGAACAAAGCCACCGTAGCAACAATCACAGCAAGAAACGCCCTACGCAATACCCAACCCAACCTTCGCCTCCCCACCATCCATCCTGCCCCTCTCCCGCATCCGCCTCCCTTCCATCAGACCCCTCAAACCACGCTTCTGCAACCCCACCACAGCGCTAAACGAACCATTCCAGACTTCGTTGGCTCCATTGGCGCGATTGAAACTGCTCGGACTCAAATTGCCTTCCAGATCACTCATGCTCGTATCCGTAGCCGCGCTGTTCGGAACGTCGTCCTCAGAGTCTTCTGCCAGTCGCTGGCCAGGACGCAGAGTATTGCGAGTCGATCGCCCGTTCGCCATATCGGTATCTATCCGGAGTGCAGATGAGGTGCGGGTATTACCGTTGACCATGAGGCTGTCGAGACCGGCCAAGCTGGCTGTGCGTAGTGGAATGGTGCTTTCTCTGTTGTTGCCTGCCACAGGTGCGAACTGCACTCCGTCACCGCCACCCGCTGCCATCGCCGCGGCGTTGAAGATGGCGGCTGCGTTGCGGCCGTCGAGTGATTCGTGCAGACACTCAACAACAGCCTCAAGGAGTCCGTCGATCTGGTACGGACGTGCGAGTTGTAGTAGCGAGCAGAATACTTGCGGCGTCGCGAGAGGATGGGGTGGTTGAGGTAGGGTAGAAGTATAGAGGTAGTGCAGCAATGCATGCAGCGTCTGCGCCGTATGAGGCAGGTAAAACAGCCGGGGACGTGATGAAGGTGGGGCTGATCGGACGTCTGGCATTTCGGAGTGGTGGTTTGCCGTCACTGTGGTGGCAGCAGAATTGACCGATGGTGTTATGGTAATACTAGAGTTTCGCGAGGGGTGACCGGCTCCAGTAGGCCTCAAAGTGGCTGCATCGGTGTCTGAAGACAATGCCAGCGATTCTCTAAGGAGATTGGTGAAATGCACACCCCATCGGCGCGCGATAAGTCTGGAGTTGACGGGAATGCGCGTACCATCAATGGCAAGGAACTCCATGTCGGCCAACTCGCGGACGTTCATTGTCAACGAGCCAAGCTCTTCGGCTGCTGGCGTTAACACTCTGCCGGCTGCAGAAATGTCACGACCGACATGTAACGACGTAGCGCTCGCTGACAGATATCCAGAGGATGGTTCAGTTTTCCGCGGGTTGTCGTACAAGCCAAAAGCCTCGAGCTCTACAAGGCATATGTTGCTGAAGTTGATTCTGCGGTTGTTGTAGTCGTCGACAAGACTTCGCTTGCGGTTGCCGAGAATGACGAAGGCGTTGCGTCTGCCCCAGAGCACACCCCTGTTCCAGCTGCCTTGACTGAAGATGCTACCTCCGGCATCGATGCGACCCCAAGTCAGCGTACGGAGATCCAAAGCCCAGAGGGCGTACTCTTGTTTGGAGGACGTCAGAAAAGTCCCAGACACGACAAAGTGGTTTGCGATGATACCACCGCTCGGGAAGCGCAGTCCGGGAGGGGACACGGTGGTCTGCATTGCCTTCTCCGTCAGTGTGCCGTCCGTCAGGCGCACTTGGAGCTCGAGCTTGACATCGAGGAAGTTGTAGTTTGAGTAGATCAGGAGTGGCGCGCCTGAGCCAATACTGCCGGGCTCGTCGTCCTCATCTTCCACGTCGTTCCGTGCATGTGGACCGGCTCCGATTTGAGCCGCGCTCATGGTAGTGAGAGGAGTGACCACGCTACGATAGGCACCGCAACTGCGGCCCATGCCCGTCGTGCCGGTCCATTTGAGGCTCCTAAGATTGAAGACACTGACTTGTTCAATGTAATGGTTTGCACTGTCTTGTCCACCCACCACCACCATCTCCGCGCCGCCTGTACCATCCAGTGCGACCCCGAGTGAGCCCTGATTGGGGTTGCTTCCTGACGGATTGTGGTGAACAGCCGACATGGGTGCGCTCGCCGACGTGAAAACGGCCGAGGATGGTAGTACAGCGGCACAGTGAGCGTAGCGTCCCTGAGGAGCATCGGGCGTGTGGATCCTCATCCAAATTTTGGTGCGCGCGTCGTAGATGTGAACATCGGACATCACGATGACCTCCGGCGTACCCTCAGGGGCCGGCTCTGCCGTGGGCTGAGATGGCGACATGCCACCGTAGCATACTAGTTTATTGTCACCGAGTGCACAGACACTGTGGAAATACCGAGGAGCGGGTATTTCGCCCTTCGCCTCGACCTTCGTCCAATGCCGTGACAGCAGATCCAGCTCGTACAAGTTTGACGTGAGCTGCGGCTTGGACCTAGAAAGTCGCCGCCCGCCAAAGACGTAGAGCTTATCTCCAAGTATGGTCGTCGTCGCGCCTACCAGCGGATGTGGCTCTTTGCCAGTGGTGCGATGGACATTACAGACCAGGCCAGACAGATGCGCTGGGTTCGTTCTTGGCGTACTTTGAGACGAAGTGGTGGCTGTCTGCGAGTTCGCGGCATTTTGGTTGGGCGTGTGGGAGCTCGCATCCTCCTCTGTGTGAATAGACTCCGCTTCAGAAGCCGACTCGTACTCTTCCAGACGTCCCACCAGGCTGGTGGAGCTGCTGTGTGCGCTCGAGAGATATGCCTGCGTTTCCAGATTGAGACGGTCGGGTGAAGTGGCGGAATTGTTGGGGTTCATAGTGCTTGTGCGACTTGATTCTGGAGTCGGGAGTGGTGTATCCAGATCAGATAATGCTGTGAGATCGGCGAAGGTATCCAAGAAGACGGATTGTGTCAAGTGGACGCGCGGTGGCGCGCCCGGCTGCTTGACTACGGGTTGCGCCCAGTCAGGTATCTTTATCTCAACATGACGCGGCCGGTTACGGCCTTTGTCCGCGGAGAGTGAAGGAGCCGGGGACGTAGACTGGTTTCGCGACGGGTCGCTGTCGTTCGAAAGCCAAATCGAGACGGAACCGGACCTGGATGCCGAAGGTAACGGGACTATGGACGCATAGTCTGGAATGACAATGGGTACGTGTTTGGGCCTGTTGCTGGCCGCTTGAGTGCGCGGTGGACTGGCCGATGGCTCATAAGCTGCTGTATGCGACTTTGACGCGCTGAGTGTCGGCGTTGAGCCCGGACGCTCCTCGAGTGAGGTCTTCTGAGCAGACTTGACAGGGGAGGATTCCGCTCTCGCACGCTTGTTGGCTTCAGTGACCTTGGACGAGAGTGACTTCTGATGCTTCTTCGGAGGTCTGTCCTTCTTCGGCGATGGCGACTTGTTTGAAGCGGATCCCTTGCTTGCGATAGAAGGCTCTTCGACTGGCTTGCGCGACTTCCTCAGGCTGGCAAAACTTCCCCCTTCGCCAATTAACCCAGTAGCACCTGGCAGGACACCTAGAGGAAACGCCATGATGTGGTCAGCAGGAAGCGCGTGTGGTCGTGGTGGTAGTACTGGGTGGTTGAGGCACAGAACGCAAAGGGGAGGTGGGCTGGAAGGGCAAGCGCAAACACACGGTGAATCAAGGCAGATTGGTCGACTTTAACTTTCTTTCAAACGCATCGCATGCACTCCTCGCGTGCGGCCAGCTGCGGACATGTGTCGTGGTCGGATGCGAATTGAAAGCCATCCCAGTCCGTTCATCATCCGTTGTGCATGTATCCGCTGCGTAACCACAGCGGTGGATAGCCCTCTCACCTCCCACAACTCACACCACGTCGGACGCAACACTCTCAAACGGGGGAGAAGTTCTCACCTTTCTTGATATGTTGATACCGTAGACTGTGCAATTGCGTATATCACCCCTCCAAAGATCCAGTGCTATTAGGACGAAAGTACACAATGCTTGCAATTTCAGATGCAAGGCGGCATGCGGTTGCTGGCTTGGCTGTGATTCCAGATGCAAGGGAGGAGACGGCCCGAGTTCGGGACGACATGATCCCTGCAGCTCGCACGTGCGGAAGAGCCTCGCCTGGATATAGCTTTTTCAAAAGCTAAATTGTATACGAGAAGGTGAATGTGGTTTGAGTCTTCTAGATAAACCTACGCGATCCAAGACTTGGTCTGTCAACAAAACGTACCGTCAGTCTCGGCAGAGCACCAAATGGCCCCTTCGCACCAAGCGACTGTTGCTCTTCTCCGCCCCACGATGTGCATCGCCCGTTTTCAAGACGCGCCTCCATGACACGCCTCCATCTCACGAGGCTATTGCCACGCTGGGAGAAATGGCTGCCGATTATGCCTCTGCCCTGCTGTACACGGGTGGCTTCGTCTCGTCATGCAATGTCTATTCTTAATGGAGTAGGTGTACTGCAAAGGTCTGAATCCTCAAGCGCTCGACTGCCCGGAGTCTTCCTGCACAGTGGTCTCGATGGCTAGTTGCGACCACCCTGGATGCTCAATCATGCGCGGTCGGCCTCAGACCGCCTCTTGGACCATCTGAGCCCGTACCAAGGGCCCCATAGACAGCGCTCGGCACGAGCTTAGGATTGAGATGGCTTATCAAATAGAGCTCAACGAGCCCTCCGTCTTGGTTCGAAGAGTTAGACCACGAACTTTGGTCGTCTTTGACTCGTCTCCCTCTCAACCTCTGGCTCGACCCTCTCTTTAGTCCTCCTGCTCTCCTTCACATCGCCCGGCCCACCACCCTCTCTAAGTCGTGCCGCCTCCCTCTCCTTCCTCTTCTCCGCCTTCCGCTTCCACCCCTCAATCACCGTATCTGTCTCCTCCAACTCCTTCACCATCTCCTCCCACTCCCGCTCCGTCTGCTCATCACCCGTCCCAAGCGCCTTCCTCACATCTACCTCCTCCCCATTCTTCACCTTCTGCACTACCTCCCGTAGCAGACCCAGCTTAGCTTCCGTCTGGCGCGTATACTTGAGCATGTCATTGCGCAGTGCGAGAATCTGAATAGCATTGCTGCCGGCGAGAAGCCCGAGGAGGATGAAGATGGTGTATGGGTTCCAGTCTCGAGGGCGAGTGCATACCCGGCTTAGAAATCCAGGCCGCGGCGGTGTTGTAGCAGACTCTTCCAGGGATGGTTGCTGCCGGCGCAGCGGTTTGGGTACCAGGCTGGACCAGAAGGAGGGGGTTGCGACTCGAGGGAGCGCGGATTCATTGGCTGGAGCTGAGTAGAAGCGTTTTATGGCAGGTTGCTGTCGCTTCAGACAGGTCGCGCAGATGTTCTGCATGGGCCGAAGTGCTCGTGAGGGCGCCATTGATGTGGTGATGTCTGTCGCGGGTTGTGCTGCCGGTCTCGACGATCTGCAGCTAAGATTGAGTTTTCGGCAATCGGACGCAGTTGCCCCGTCAACCTGAGCGAGAAACGCGACGCCCATCTTCGAGACCTCATCCGGCTCAATGCATCTGGAGAATAGGACAAGGTGGACGGTGGAGCCATCCGAGGAGGAGATATGGGAGCATCAACTATTCCGGAGTGTGTGAGAAAGGACTTTGAGGCCGGAACGGCCTCGACGAGATCCGTGGCTACGCTACAGACATTGCTCGGCCTGGTCGATGCCACGCCAGGAGCTGCAACGAGAGACCCCATCGGGCCCAGAGCGGGCAGTAAGACAGACACAATTCCCGTGCGCAATGGAAGAGCTCCACCAGGAAAGCCAAAGCCAGCGCGACCGGTCCCAGCATCGGAGGAGAGAACGAAAGGCTTGTCGGGGCGCGAGAAATACGCGCTCGCCACAGAGACGATCAATACATGCTTGAAACTCCTGAACGACACTTTGAGGTCTTCGAAAGCTGCGGCGGAATCGAAGCACTCGGTGAAAGCGTTTCAGTCACCGGCTAGTAGGCCTAAGAAGCCGCTACAGCCAGTGTCGGGCAACATCACGCCAGCGCCGTCGCCGCCGAAAAGACGCAAGGCAAGTGAAGCATCAATCGCGCAAATCGCCTCTCCAGCAGAAGTTGACCGGAAAGAAAATGCGAGGGCACTGGCAAATTGCGCTCGATTATCTACCGCCTACCTGCGTAGTGTGGACACCAAAGCCCTGGGTGTAAGACCACTCCCGAAGTTTCAAATGGAGTCGGGCATGCTAGCACTTTCAAACAGCCTCGTTGGACTCGGAATGTATGATCTGGCCGTGAATGAGCTGAGCTTGGTGAAGCGGAGCCTGGAGCACACTCAGAGACCACCTGGAGGCAAAGTAGACGTCAAAGTAGCCGAGACCGCCAAACAGCCGTTGGTGAGCCTGTTACAATTGGCGCTGCCCAACGATGCTCTGCTTGAGGACGATGCGATTTCTCTGGCTCTTTCGTACTACCAAACTGCTCTGAAGCTTCTTTCAAGCCAACGGAGGCCGCGCGGAATCGAACGGATACCGGAGTACCTCTCGCTTGAGGGCCCCAATGGCTACATTGCGGTACTCCGGCGCCAGTCTACATTGGACGGCAATGCCACAAAGGTGAACAAATCGCTGGAAAACATAGCAAGTGTGCTGCTCGGCATCTGCCCTTCTGTTGCGTCGGCGGGGGATGAGGCCGCCGTGGATGTGCGAGCCTCGCCTTCTCCGGAAGCAGTTTTCAAGGTCCAGACACTCGCATTGCAGATCCGAGCGATTGTTTTGAACAGCAGTGGCCAGTACAACGAAGTGGAGAGAGAGTTGATCGGCCCTCTAGCCAAATGCATGACGGCATTTGCCAGGCGGTTTCGCGGCGACGCCGTTACAGCGAGCGATGTCATGGTGGAGAGTTACAAGAAAATCACTTCGGGTCTACCAACGAGAACAGGCCTTCCACTATACAGTATACACAGTCAACTGTACCATCATGCAGACAAGGCTGAGCTGTACGAAGACGCTTTGCAATGGGCAGAGCAGTTGGCCAACGACTGCCAGGAGCTGGAAGCAAACCACGCAAGACATATCGCTGCTGTCGCTGGCAAGGCTGCCATCGAAGCACACCTCCGCCTGCCAGATGCTCGCATAAGTATGGAAAAAGCAGCACGCCTTCTCGCTGGCAAGATCAACGGCGGTAGCAGAGAGTACGAAACTCTGGTGCGCAGTCTCGCCCGGTTGACTTTACTACGCTCGGCTCCATTATGCTCGCAGCAACTGTTGGCCGCAGCCGCCAGATTCGCACAGCGCTACGCACGCTCATATCCAGATTCCTGCATTCACGACCTCCAATCCATCATGGACAGCGCCTTGAGGAGTAGCAAGACGAGCGACGACATGCTCTCTTGGATCAGTCTAGATGCTGCGACCATTTACATTCAGGCTGGAGTACTGAGAGCGGTAGCTACCTGTGCTACAGAACGACCACTCGCGGAGGCCTGGTCTGTTGATGCTGCAGCTATCTCCTTGAGTCGAGTACTTCGAGGCCTCGTTCTGAAGTCTGTACGAAGCGATGGTGACATCAAAAAGATTCCAGGCATCAATGAGGACGTATTGGAGCCGGCGCAGAGAGGTGCGATGCTGGAATGGCAACTGCACTATGCTGTTGAGCTCGCTTCAAGGACAAAGTACCACCATGCTTTGAGAAAACTTCTTCCGGACCTCCTTCGGGTTCTGTCCAGCGTGTACGATGTTTCGACCTACCCCATCCGACGAGCCAGAGTTGTCTTCGTGGTGCTTGGCCTCCACGAGTGTCATCAGAGCTTGCTGTCGGAACAAGTACGCCAATCCTGGTGCGAAAACGTTCCCAGTGATCTATCCCAGCTCGGAGAAGACGCCGGATTGGAGCCTTATGCTCATGACATTGTCGCGAGGAGCCAGGTGGCCCAACTGTTCTCGAAAGGTAGACCAACGTTCGAGGAGCTCAACCCTGCTTTGCAGTCCTGGCAGAACATTGTCGATCGTCGTGCAGATGGAAGAGCTGTGTCTGGTATGGTCGATGACCCGGTCTCACTGCAGGAACAGCTTCGCTCCATTGCTGCATATTTCAGGATGCTTGGAGATGATGCGGCGACACTGGCAGTGTTACAATTACTTGTGAGGCTCCATCGCTTGACTAGCACAGGTTCTGCGGTTTCTGTTTCTTCCTGCGTGGAGCTAGCGGAGCAGTGGTTGCGACTTGGCTACTCCGAACACGCTGGCAGTGTACTTGCTCAATCCGAGACTCGATTGCAAGATCTCAAAGAGGCCAACCTTGAAAGACTCCACCATCGGCTCGCCCACGCAGAACATCTCCAGGCGATGGCCGATACGGAGAAGTGTGCGACTGTGCTCGACGAGGCAAGAAGTCTCAGAAAGGAGCTGCCTCCAGCACGCATCTCGACGGAGCAAAGCCGCGCCTTCGAGTCGCTCCATGCCCAAGCTTGGTTGGTGCAGTCGAAGAACTGCCTAGCGGCAGGCTCACTGCACGACGCATTGGCGGCCGCGAAGCAGTCAGTGAGAGTGTTGAACAGCGTTTGGTCGTCTCTGGAGCGAATGGAAGACGGACCTCGACAACACCACCGCCCTGAGGCACCTGAACCAAGCGAAGCGAGCATGGACGGCCTTGCCCAGGGTGTCAGTAAGCTGGATCTCAAAGCCGCTGCCACGAAGAAGAAGCAGTCCAGTGTGTCAAATCTCAGAGGAGCGGCCTTCTGGCCTATTGTACCTCTGATTGTAAGGTCGCTACAGCATCTCTCGGACATGTACGCTCATCATGGGCTCTTCATCGAAGCCGACCATTACTCTGAAAGGGCGGTCTCCATTACCAAGTCCATGGGATCGAACACACTCTTGTCCCGAGCTCAGAGCCACCGAAGCCAACTGTTGACATTGGCCGGCCAATTAGAACAAGCCGAACTTTGTCTTGAAATGAACGACACTTCTTCGGCAGACCAAGTGTCGTTGGGTCAAGTGGAACGTCTTTGTGCCAAAGCAACCTTGCGGAGGAAGGAAGGCTCTCTGGAAGTGGCGTTCGACCTGTACGAGCAAGCAGAACAAGTCTTGCAAAAGCTGCAGTCCGACAGCCATATACGGGAGCTTGAATCCTGCCTCGATCCAAGCACCAATGGTGTGGAGCATCAATTTCAGTCTCTCGCATTAGCCGATGAAAAGCAGCACGGTCGCACGGATCCCTCCAGCAATGCTCATGCGAAAGGCAATCATGGGAGGAAGATCGTCAAACAGCCTGCAAGTGCAACGAAGAATGCAAAGGCGCCGCGCAAGGCATGCGCGAACCCACAAACAGCAGCTGTCGTGATGGCTGCCCATCGCTCTCCGATATCAAAGCTCCAGAAACTTGCCCTCAACAATAAAGCTCTCGTCGCTTTGCAGCTTGGCCGTGGTGTGGAATCCAAAGACAGTTGGTCATCTTCACCAGGGCTCGAGCAGTCTGGCCGCGTACGACATCAGATCCTCTTCAGATCAGCGCTCGATAATTTGGACATGGATGTGACATTAAATATTCTCCAGGAGTCCACTCTGTCTATACCGACTGGAAAGATTGTCGCTGGCAACACAAACGCAGTGAGCGCCCCTCGGCCCAAACAACCAGCTCAGGCAAAGGCAAATGCAACGGTGAAATCATCCAGGTCAGCGCGACCTATCGAGGAGCCGCTTGACGTGACCAGCAGTAGTATCGCGTGTCTTCTCGATGCCGCAAGAAGCTGTTTGTTGGAAGAGCTTTCTTTGAGTTATCATCTGTCCAGTACAGCGCAGACCCACGCAGACTTCTCAAGCCTGTCAAGTGTGACGTTGCTCGAATCCGCTATCTCCACTAATCAGTCCGGGGATGCTTTCCAGTCAATCCAGCAGGCGCTGCACATCGACGTACCGAGAGTCAAGGCTTTGCAGTACGAACAGGGAGCTGTCGAGATCGAACGGGGCGAGAGCAAAACCTCTGATCCGCTTGCATGGCCGAAGCAATTGTGTCTGGGAGCACCAGGCCAGGTCACAGCTCAAGAGTTCCAAGCGGAGTACATCGACATCATCCCTTCGTCCTGGACTGTGGTTTCACTATGCTTGAGCGAGGATTGCAGCGAGCTATACGCTGCACGATACCATTCCAAGCAAACACCGTTGGTATTAAAGCTTCCCTTCTCACGGCACAAGCCCGACGATGTCGATGATGATGCTTTTGACTTCGAGCAAGGCAGATCAGAGCTTCAAGAAATCATTGACCTGTCGAACTACTCCTGCAACAATCCAGGCAAGCTGGACGCCAAAGGCGCGAAGACGAAGTGGTGGAACCAGCGCGAAACGCTCGACAAGCGTCTGCATGAGCTGCTGATCAACATGGAGAACATCTGGTTCGGCGGCTTCAAGGGTTTATTCTCGCAACACAGGAGCCAACAAGATCTTCTTGAGCGGTTTCGAAAGTCGTTTGACCAATTGCTGGCCAAGCACCTCCCGTCACGGCAATCGAAACCAAGAGCGCAGTACATGGCCCTTGACGACCAGATACTTGAGCTCTTCATAGGCTTGGGCCATGACGACGGCACCATCGACCTTGAGGAGCCTCTCGCGGATCTGCTATACTTTGTCGTTGACCTACTCCAATTCCAGGGCGAGCGCAATGCTTATGATGAGATCGACTTTGACAGTATGGTCGTCGAGGTCCTAGATACGCTCCGAGCGTATCATGAGGCAAGCAACAGCCAGTCTGAAACGTCGCCTCATCTTGTGCTTGTGCTTGACCGACGGTTGCAAGCGTTCCCATGGGAGAGCATGCCGTGTTTGCAGGAGTCGAGCGTGAGTAGGGTCGGCAGCATGCTGTCGCTCCGTCAAAGCCTTCTCGCCATGAGAGCAAGGCGGGAAGCCAAGGCAATGCAAGGTGAAACGCAAGACTGCTACGTCGTCGAACGGAAGTCTGGCACATATATTCTCAACCCTTCCTCGGACCTCACTGGCACGCAAGCAACATTGCAGCCAGCACTGGCCAGTCTTAGTGAGAAGGGCGACTCTTCGTGGAAAGCGATCGTGAACGAAGAGCCAAGTGAGCAAACATTCAGCTCAGCATTGATGGAGTCTTCGATGCTGCTGTACTTCGGTCACGGGGCGGGATCTCAATACATCCGTCCGAGGACCATCAAGCGGCTCGACCGATGCAGCGAAGTTGTCTGGCTTATGGGATGCTCGTCAGGCACGGTGCAGGAATATGGCGATTTGGAGCCATCCGCAGTTCCGTTATCTTATCTGCTGGCTGGCGGATGTACCGATGATTCTGAAGACATTCCCAGCAGGTGCGTGGCGGTCGTCGCAACCCTATGGGACGTAACGGACAAGGACATTGACCGATTCTCGCTTGCGATGGGTGAAGTTTGGGGTCTGTGGCCAGCATCAGAGCAAGCGAAGCTTCCAGCCAAGACTCCGCGGAAGCGACAGATTCTTGCTGCTCCTTACACGCCAGACCAAGTTCCAAAGACGCCAAAGACGCCAAAGGTGCGGAAGACGCCTGCACCAGCCAAAACACCAGCCAGGAGTCAAAGTCGCCTACGGAAGGGTGGCAGCGGGAAGTGTAGCTTGGTGGAAGCAGTTGCTCGAAGTCGGGAATCCTGCTACTTGCGATACCTGAATGGAGCGGCTCCCGTGGTCTATGGTATTCCTGTATATCTCGGAGACTAGATAGAGCATCTTGCTTGGCCGTCCAGCCGGCCGGTATATGATCCTTGAAGCAAGGTTGTAATGGCATTTCAAGAGTCTTTATACCTGACGCATGTCGCGCATGTACCGCTCGCCTGAATATTATATAAGGCGGGACCGCTTTATTACCGCAGCCTGAAAGTTGGAAGTCCTGAAGAGTATTCGGACGATCACTGGGCTGCAACTCATGCGTAAGAGCAGGGCAGCCGTTCGACAGGAGTAGTGTCAGAGATGAGCGGCGATCAGAGCTCTGCCTTGCCTTTCCATGTTGCAATGCCTGTACGCTGCTGAAGTCAGCTGCTAGAATTCAGCCACAAGTCCGTCCTGACCGTCCATGGATCGTTCTGTCCACTTCAGACTTAGGAGCATGTGACGAATCACGTTGCAGAAGTTTCCGCTTCACTTGCGTTGTGGACTGTTCTGAGTATCCCTGCCGTCCTTCATGCTCTCACAACGCAATGCCCTCTCCTTCAATCATATGGTTTGCCGAAATTCCTGAGTGTTTCTGCCGTCTTTCCCGTTCTACAACGTTCACCTCTCCTCTTCTGCTTCCGCAACCGCCGCATCGTAGTGGTACGGCTCGATTTCTGGCAGCCCCAGAAAGGCTGCCTGCCGGCGGCCGTCCTGACTACGACCTGGGCGCGTCGGTACGTCCTCGACCTTGCCCAGGTCAAGCGCTCGCAGCCCCGGTGCCTTCTTTGCCTTGTTGTAGTTGGCGTAGAGGATGGGGGTCCGGACCGGCTCTCTGCCGTCGCAGAGGGCTGGGAGAATGTGACACTCGTAAGCTTGCAGCGCGAAGTACAAGAAGTTGGTCAGAATCGCTGTCTGTCACTTTTTCTGTACCTCGCGCTGCTCCTCCTGCCCCTCCCCGAAGCCTTTGCCCCAGATGCCCTCGAAGTCGACGACGTTGTCTCCGAAATGGAAGCACAATTTCGAGATATAGAGCGGCGCCTGAATAAACTTCTTCGAGAGGAGGTGCTTCCTCCCTGCGTCCGTTGCAGCCTCCCATGCCTGCCAACCAACAGCCAACATCTGTTATTTCTGTGCTCTGAAGGCATGTCCATATCTGAATGCCATCTGTCGGGGGAGGATCAGGCGCAGCATCATCATCCGGAGGTACGTGAGTGTGTGGTCCTGCACGGTTGACTGGTAGTCTACGAGCTGCTTTTTGTAGCTGTACTCGTTGGATTTGTTGACATTTGGGTTGTCTTGGATCTGACGGACTTGTGTGCACTCATGTTTCCAGATGTTCTGAGTGTCCCCGTATTGTGACGCGGTTTATCAGATGGCTAGCACACCTGTCAGATGTGGAAGGTGCCTCGTTGCTTACGGCGTGATTGATGAGGTCGACGTCCACGCGAACGGACCGAATGATGTACAATTCGCCGATGCGCTCAACCTTATCGCCTGTATGGCGGCCGAGGTGGCCTATGTCGGCGAGGTGGGTGGTCCCAGGGCGGCGGAAGGGGGCGTTGCCGTACTCGGTTTGGCGCTGCTTGTTGTTGACTTCCAGCTCGAGAGCTTCTGCGAGCGCCTCTCCAAATCTCCCACCCTCCCACACCTCAAACTTGTTGTCTTTCTTGTGCGGCTTGACCATGTCATTGATAGCACCCATGACCAACGGTCCCAACCTCGACCGACCTCTAGTAGTGCCGGTGGGCCCACCATCCACAAGTACGATTGCGTTCTGTACGACTGTGTTCTGTCATCGGGTGGCCACGGCTTCCGCAGCGCAGCAAGTTCGTTGAATGCAGTGCGGTCCATGATTGTGTCGTGCTTTTGTGTGGTGTGTGCTTCCGTCGAATGTTTCGTGGTGTTGGTCTCCAGCAACGGATGGATGAGTTGATATATTCCTCGAGAAGTAGATGGACAAGTGTGATATTGGCGGTTTTAGAAGGTGATTGGTCAATGGGGGGAAATATTAAAGATCACATTACCCAGTGCACGTGATTATCTCCCGTGCAGCCAACTTCCAGGCAGCTGACAATTGGAGAGGGCCACCTAAGAGATCTGAGACGGTATACGGTTGGGCTGGGGAAGGACTCTCGCACATCCAACTGCACCTAGATGACACACAACTCTCGTTGGCGGTTCATCACTATACGCGAGAAGATCCATGAGGCCATTTCGATTGTGCTGAGCAGGTCTCTCTATCCGCAGCTTTGTAGCCTCCCCGCGCCTGTGCTCGTTGGCGGCAGACGATAGCAGTTGGTGTGGACAATGTTCCAGGCTGTCGAGTGGGGATAGAGTTTGGACTGGAGAGAGAAAAGGTAGCTCTTTGTCGGACGAGTTGGAGTTACCAGTCGTCAACGTCCGCTGGATGTACCTAGGTGGTCAATCTCTCCCCGGAATGACCTGCATAATGTGACATATGAAAGATCACATCACCTCGATGCACGTGAAGATATTGCTGCTTTCTGCGTAGCCAAGCAAGTGACAATAAGAGAGTCCGGTGGGCCAGATCAGGTATTGTACGCCGTTAAGGAAGTCTTCTCTTACAACAATTGCTCTCCAAGTGGACGTGTGGCTGTCGTTGGCGGGTTGTCACTGCTCGGGGGAAGTCAAAAGGTCACTCCCATCCTACTGAGCGGTGAACCCACTTTCACCGTCGGCAGCTCGATAGCTTCCACTTGCTCGAGCGTGTAAGCGGAAGACCGTTGCGGTTGTTGTTGCCAGTCTACCGGGCCTTTTGATGCTCGTTGCAGGCTCGGTTCTGGCCACTCCGGGGAGAGTTTGACTTTAACTCAAGTAGGTTGGCAACTGGAACGCTCGCACGTGGAACAAGAAAGAGCTACGAACCATTGGGTCGGTCGAGAATCCAGTCTGTATTCCCCATCAATCACGTGCCATCAAACCGTGGTGCTTCACGAGTTTCCACGTTTGTTGAAGCCACAGCAGCTCAGAGCATCGGGCGATGGAAATGGTTTAGCAATTTGCAAGTGTGGCACTTGTGGCAAGTGAGCGCTTGCAATTGGGAAATCGTTGGACCGGAATCGAGATCCAGCGAATGATCGGTCAAGCCGGACTCAGGCCGTAGCCAAGCACTACGAGCTCCTGTGGCGCAATTCTAGATCGCAGTTGTCATCTTCGATCAGCCATGGGATGCGCGGCGGGCTGTTCCTACCTTTTTGAAACTCGACTGCCTGGTGCCGAACGACCGTTCCTGAGACCGATTGCTACCAGTTCTCGATCGTCTTTGTAAGTATGTATACGTTGCCGCCCTGGAGCGCGGGTGACCACGAATACCTTCTCATTCCGCCTGTTTGACATTTACTTAACAAAAGCAAACATTCTCCTATGCTGTTTCTCCTGTCATCGTAATGCTCTCTCAAACACCAACGCACACCCACCCACAAGCGTGCTACTTCAGCATTCTCCCACAACACCACGACCATTACTCTGCCGAGACACCCTCTGGATCACCCACAATCGGCCCCGAAAGCGATCCAAACCACCCACTACTGGCGTACAGAGAAACACAACCTCTGAGCGCACCTTCGTCTCCAGCAACCATATCTCTCCTCCAGATGCAAACGGCAGCGGCCCACGGCCAGTCGATCAGGCCTCGACCGGTCCCAGTCCAAAATGTCCTCCACGTTACCAGCGACGACTCGACATCATCTGACGACTCGGTAACATCGAGCCACTCCACCTCTTCCTTTGAGTTGGCAAGATGTTCAAGATGCCAAAGAACACCGAGCATCGATGTCAAGACTGGCAAGAACAACATGGTCCAGTATGGACTCAATCTGTGGTACTGCAATCGGTGTGCATCGATGGTGGGCTTGATCAACCGTTGAAGGCCGATACGGCGGAAGGAAGATTTCATTACATTTACCAGGGCTCGAAGGTGCCTACAACGACTGCTATTGTAATACCGCCAGTTGCCCCTCCGAGACCACCTTGCTCCACAGCACGACAAGTGGTACAGAGATACAGAACCTCCCAGCAAGCTTTCACCAGTCTTGCACGACGCTGTCGCCAGGCTGCAGAGAATATGACAGGCGGCATTTGAGGGCAAGTGGAGGGACCGATTGCCGTACAATGTCGAGACGGGGCAGGCTCACTACTCTCCATTGTACGGAGGTCACGACGGAGGGACGATAGAAGATGCAGGATCCCCAGCACTGCTTCACTTGAGAGACGGTCATGATTTATGTTGGAGAAAATACACGATACCCAATGCTGCGTGGCGTTATGAGCGATTTGATGAACAGCGGTACCGTGTGCATAGTACGATATACTCGCACCACTTTCTACATTACAACCATCTTGACATTTCACGCACACACGTAGAAGATGTTCTTTGCGCTGGCGGAGCCTCCTCCGCCGAATCACCGTCGATGGAAAAGGTGATGTGCTGTGCCCAAAACGATGGGAGTCTCTGGTAAGAAGAAAACAAACAACAGCAACGGCCCAACCATCTCGTTTTCATCACGCGGCATGTGATCTTCCAACGGCGGGAATAGGATCCTGCTGCTCCTGTCGTCAACCACGATTCACTCACGAAAACGCGATCAATCTTGTGATTCGTACCGTCCCTTAGGTTTCACGCTTATGCAAATGCCAAAAATGCCATACATTCCAATAGACCGGCAGCATCTGTAGCACATCGTCGTTCAAGCTGGTCGTCCTTACCGGGCCCACGACCTTGAAAGTGGACTGCTTGACTGCCACAGCGTGCACAGCGTGCTTACGCGTGCCGTCCACGAGGCGTCATCAACCAGATGGAATGGCTGTGACAGTGGAGTTGCATCTCGTGGATCCATGTTGTTCCTCGAGCAGCATCCACAACATCGAGCGATGGCAGACGTGGAGTTGACGGCTGCTTGGAGCTATCGCGATGCAAAACTCTCTCTGTCGCTGACATCCTTGACACGATTCGATATCGCCGATTCCATCGTTGGCGCCAGATCGCGGAGCCGGAGCTGGTCCTTTCAGCCACGACGGCTCAAGGTGGTCCACTCGGCCCGAGCCTTATCATGAGTGCACTTCACGTGCTCGGACAGAAAATTTCCGATCTTCAATGAACTGGTGAGGCATGGTGAAAACGGCCGCTGAATAATGGTATACTGGACCTCCCGTTCCGGCATGTCCTCAGCGACAGCCCGATACACGACAGCTTCAGCCATGCCGCAAGAACAGCCCCCCAACAGCTGGACCCATGAGCTCGGCCACCAGCTCGCCGAAGAGACGCCAGAGGTGTGTGAGACGTACAGTAGCAGTGGCACGACAAGGTGCGATTACGACTACGGTAAGCGATGCTGACAGTTCCCAATTAGAATGAATTGCTGTCCCTACACGAGCTTCTTAGCGCCCATGCGGAGACAACCCAGCTACTGCTGGAGTCTCCTTACTGCTTTCCCTTATACCTTTCCATTGCTCGAACCTATCAGACCCTGGGATACCCGGATCTGGCCGCTGGAGCAGCGTACAAGGCGCTTCTATTGTCAGATGCGATACGAGACGACAGCGATGAGTACCACGAACAAGCGACTGAGGCTTTTGAGGTGGTGCTGGAGAACTCCTCCTTTCCGGATACAGCTCGCGTGCCCTCAGCGCAGGAGAAAGATGAGTGCAACCAGACCGTAACAATCCTTGAGTCGTTCTATTTACCATTAACGTAAGCAAAGCGAACTGCAGGCTGTAGCCAGAGGGCGCAGACCGTACGGGCAACAATGACTGACCGCGTAAAGATACAATGCCCTTGCTGGCAATCTTCTGCGCTGCGGCTGCCTCAGGTCTGCGTACAGCTACAGCAAGCAAGCGGCGAAGTTATACCCGCATGACTCTCGTTTCAATAAGATCATGAGTGACGCTCGCCAGAAAGTGCCGCAAGCCTCTCCTGACTCCTGCGAGCTTGATAACCCATTGACTTGGCCTGATCAAGGCTATGTGCGACGTGAGCAGTACCCGTGGAACACTTTCGAGCCGGATCGATTTAGCCAACTCGGCCAATTGAACGCTATGATGAGTGAAGTCGCCCCCAGATTGGAAGTCCTGGCCGTCGACCTGCCTGCGGTATCAATAGCAGCGACTGCTTTTTCAAAAGTGGAGACGGTCAAGCAACTCGGCATCTTCGCCAAAGAGGATATCAAGCCTGGCGAAACCGTGCTCGTTGAAACGTCATTACTAGCAGCGAACAACAAACTCCAGGATGCCTTGTGTGATGCCTGCTCTGCCGACCTGCCCGGAATTGGCACGCCCGAATTCGAAAACACGGTGCCTTGCGATGAATGCGAAGTCGTTTTCTGCAGTCAGGAGTGTTGTGAGAGAGCTGCAGATTCATATCATCCGGCACTGTGTGGGATGGACGTGGAGACCATTGCCAAAGACGTCCCTCCCACGGAAGCTGCTAACTCATTATACTCGCTGTTGCTGCTGCGAGCCTTGGCTATGGCAGAGACGAGGCAGTGCCATCCACTGTCACTCGACGAGGTCAAATACATCTGGGCCGAGTTTCACAATCTATCGCTGGAGGAAGCCTGGTCGAAAGATGTGGAGTCACCGTTCCGCGGTCTTCCGCAGATGCTGCCGTTCAGCTTTGAATACAACATCCGCCTGCCCTTCCACATGCTCGAGAAGATGGACATCGACATCTTCCGAAATCCGCAGTACGATGTCTGGGTTTTCAACAGTTTGTACGCAAAATTCCGAGGCACGGCTTCAGCTCGCTTGTCAGGACTAGGAGGAAGGGCCATCAGAGGTCCGGAGGTGAGCGCGGTGCATCCGATGTGGTGTATGGCGAACCACTCTTGCGATCCTAACGTGAGCTGGGAGTGGGGTGGAAGTATTCGGTTCTGGGCTCGCGAGGAGAGAGTAGACTGGCAGAGGGATGAAGAGGTAACCAGAAGAAGTGAAGCTGGTATACGGAAAGGAGACGAGCTGCTCAACCATTATTGTGATATCGAACTAGGGGTCAAAGATCGGCGAGAATGGGCGAATGGGTCACTAGGAGGAGATTGTCGCTGTGCTAGATGTCTCTGGGAAGCTCGGGAAATGGAGAATGGCCACTAAAGATGAGCAAGGATGTTTTGCTACACAACTGTTCCGCCAAGCCGTCGCGTCCAGGCACTGCCCGTGGTCCCGGCTCCTGCTCTGACCAACCATCCAGTCTGGCAATCGTCTGGAACTATCTAGCTGTCGCCAGGACATGTGTCAATGTCAGGCAGGTTGAGGTCGCCGATGGTCTCGACGGTCAGACCAGCGTCAGCGCCACAATCGGCTATATCCATCATCAGCATTGGAATGAACGGTAACTGCGGGCTATTCACTGGACTCACCGATGGTATAGAAACTCACGGCGCACCCGCCGTTCAGCCCGGCTGAGAGGAAGTTGTTATAGACGTCGCTGTTTCCAGCCTCGCAGTCGGTTGGCGGGGTCTCGTTTGCGTTCGGGTCATCGCTCAGCCTGCCAGAATGGTCAGCACCTCGTGAATGTTCACGGACAGTGAGAGGTGGAAGGAAGGAAGGCAAATCCATACCAAGCAGCACAGCGGTCTGGCGTACCACTCGCAGGCTTCGAGGCGCAGTGAAACGTGATTGGAGTCGAGAGACAACTGCCTGATACAGTGAAACCTTGTTGGAAGGTGTTGCAAGGCGCGTAGTTGCCGGGATTCGCGCCTTCATAGATGATGTCGCCATCGCTGTCGATGAGAGTGAAGCCCTGTTGGAACACGACCTGGGCGCCGCCGTTGGGGATTGTCGACTCGAAATGGGTGGATGCCCAGACGCCGTAGAAGGTGGCACCCGGGAGAGCACCTTGCCGGGCTGTGATGTTGGCAGGGGCAGCCGCAGCAATTGCCGCAGCGGCGGACATTGTTGCAAGGGATTTGAACAACATTGTGAGAGTTTGGAGAAGGATTGCAATGATGTTGGAGGTCTAGAAATGGTTGTGAGAGGGAAGAATACTTGCGAACACAGCCCTCCCTTTATCCCTCGCCGTCGGCAACAATTCCAGCAAGGGCACCGCCGTTTTCAGTCTTGCTTCTGCTCAGCCTCGCTGTCCTCTCCGCTGGCATACCCCATGACATGATCGTCTCAGACGAACGAAAACTCTATCGACCTGCCTTCGAATGGCGGCCACGGTCGGCGACAACCCAGTCTGCATGAGATGTAACGTGGGGACTGGAGAGTGGGAGGTGGTCCCTTCGCGTGCCGCTACCTTAGTGTAGGAGCGCCGTCTCGAGCATAACGTTCCCGCGTTGAAGCATTCTGGCGGCTGTAGCTAATGGACTGTCGGCTCCACATGGGAGTGTACTGGGACCTGGAGATACAAGACGATCAGTCCATTCATTGGACTTTGTAGCCATTGAGGATGGGGGCATCATAGATGCTGGCTGTTGATGCCCGTAGCCACGATCTGCAAGCGCTGCTGTGTCCTTCTCTCCGAGTTACTGATCAACCACATGCAACTGTATTGGAAAACGACGTTGTCTGGGGATCAACCCATGTGTGAGGTACAGAAGATCGACAACAGCTAAAGTCAGTTGTCGGCCGTAAGCGTTGCAAAGGCGACTAAAGAGGTCCACACGTGTCGATAGATGGCGACGATAGCCCAATGAGTGGTGCCGATACCCGGATTCGTCGATTATGGGTTTGTTTTCTGAATCCTTTCGGGAATAACAACTTGTCGTAGGAGGCTTGAGGGAGGCTCAGGAGAGCAGTTGTTGCTTGGTATGAGCGTTGGAGTCAATTGTTACGTCCGTAGCAATCCAGAGACCGTTGAAGTCAAATTTGAATGGCTCCGCTTCCCCACTCGAACGTGAACTCTTAGATGCTGTGTAGATGCACGACGTCGGAGGCTGTGGAGGATTAAGATCGAACGTCGTCGGCGCGGGTTCAAGTCTGGTCACTCTGGGGAAGTTTGACTGTCAATGTTGGCCATTGGTATGCTTATGAGCTACCTGCCGCCGGTTTTTTCTTTGAGGACCGTCATTGGTGCCGAACACCAGCAACAGACCCTCTCCATCCGATGCTCACCCAACAAACACCTCAAGAGATACTTCGTTGCTCCACCCGGCCTTCAGATCCATCTGCCTCCATGCCCTCTCCACATCGATCTGCAAAACTCCGGCATCGCTGTCGTTGTCGCCAATATCCTCCATCTTGGTAACGCAGTGCGCCGGAATGGGCTGGCCGAAAATGATAACCATGAATCCGTCGATAGACACGCTCTTAAGATTGCTCATCCATATCCCAAGCACTCCTAGTGCCTTGAGCGAGGTCCAGATTCGCAGCCGACCGTTCGTCTCAACGTACATGTCACATCCGGTCACTGCCGCCGAGCCGGTCATCTTGCCCAACAGCCCCAGCATGGCCACTTTGACTTCATGTCCCTTCGGCTTGAAGGAGCGTACAGCATAGGCGGAAAGGATGTCCCAGCCTCTTGTGTCGAGCTCGAGTTCCACCATAGCGTGTTTCGATTTTCGCGACACAACCCCGCTGAATCGACCGGCGCAGAACGAGCCGACGACATACTCTCCTTTCTCGGTTCCCGGAAACTCGTCCACCAGCACAAACTCCCTCAACGTCTGCGGGCACACATTGAAGCACCCTAGTATGCCCGTTCCTGTTTCCTGCCTGCCGACAAAAGTTCCGACCTTCAACATTGCCTTGGCGTCGTATGCATTGTATACGTCTATTGCCCTGCCCACACGATGCGGACGCAAGATCGCCGTCTTGCCCCTGATCGTCTGAGCGGTCATCTGGCGGATCAGTTTGATATCGTGCTCGCCAGGCTTGTCTGTGAAGTAAATTGGCCCTCCGGAGACACACCGCGCAGCGGCATGGAATGATGCCCACTCATGCGAAGTCTGGAACATATCCCAGTCCGGTAGGACGTTGAGATGCTGCGTCAAGACGCTGTTGTGAGCGTTGCAGAAGATATGCCAGGCGTGGCTGGCTTCGACTTCTGGGAAGAAATCGTCCGAGTTTCTCACAAGTAAACGAGGTTTGTTCTGAGGTAGCTGGGAATGGAAGAGAGCTTGCGGAAACTGCGACATGCAACTGATGGCTCTGCTGCTGAAGTGGCGAAGATGTGCAAGGGTCCAGGCATCTTGATACTCGATCATCATTTCTCGACGGTCTGGAGCGTGGAGAAGCAGGTCCAGGAAGAATTGAGCGTCAGTTTTGACGCTGTCGATGCCTGATGCAGACAGAAAGGCATAGAAGTCGTCGTACATCTGTTTGGCATCCCGAGCGTCGACAACAGTGAATTCACCGCCAGCAACACCTGGCTCTTTCTCCACCACTTTGGTGCGGTAGGTCTTCGCTATCTCGCCGTGAGGGTCGATGCCACCCCAGTAACCTAGTATGGCGTGCCAGACAGCTATGTGGTTAATATTCGGATGCCTCTGCCTTATGGCTGTTGTTGTCGACTTCATGCCATCTGGGAAGCCAGAACTGTTGGCTTCGAATCTGCTCCATCCGCGCTGGAACTGGCTCTGTCCGGAAGCCAGCGACTGCCAGTTGTCATCAATAATGAGATTCGTGACGTTGATGTCGTGCCTTGCGAGCTCGTCGAGAGCAGTGTATATCTTCTCCGCCGTCAAATCCTGTCCCAGTCCATTCCAAGTGCAGTACGTAAGCCCATCGTACCATTCCTCCAACCACTCCGGCCTCACCTTGTCATCTGTCAAAGTCTTGATCTGTTTCGTGTCCAACTCAAGCTCTGATGAAGTCCCATATTGAGAAATCACTTTGCGAGCGTGGTACATGACAGCTGCCTCCGCACGCTCGAACTCTTCGGCGACAGCAACAATTACCGTGCTGGTCCCTTCTCCCTCTCTATCATTCCTTCCTTTGATCTCCACGTTGCCATCGCCATCGTTGATGAAGGTCGTCAGGACGTCCTGAACACCACTGATACCTAAGCAGACAACATGCAAGCCATCGCTTCGGAGGAAGCTCAGCAATACACCGTCTTTGTCCAGTTGCAGGCTATCTCCGGAACCCTGGCGTGGTGCGAGCCATGGACTCCACAATCGGACCAGTGCGAACCATCTCTCGCCATCCTTGATCTTGCCCAGCCGGTGGTGAGAGTAGCCAGAATCCGGGCCTTTGGCGGGAGCAATGTTGCAAGTCAAGCTCCACAGTGCTGTTTTTGTCGTCTCAGGCTCCTCTGGAGTGATATTGATATCGGAGCTGGTGTTCCTGAAGTAGTCCTGAAGGTTTTGTTGCCTCGAAGTAAAGTTGTTTGCTGAAGCATAGTGCAACGATCCATCCGAGATGCCAGTCTCATCCTTGACCCATCGCCATTCTGCTCCAGCATTCAAGCGGTATTTGAGGGTGAATGATATTGCACCAAGCTGCTTCAAACGGCACGGAATCGAGCCTGTGAACCAGTGCTTGACGTGCTCCGTCGAGGAGCTGAAAGAGGCAACTTTGGGACCGGTGGTACTGGATGCAGATTGAAGTGGAAATGCTTCCCAATCCTTGCCGCCGTGGATACTGTGCCAGATAACAACTTCCGGTGCTGTGGAGTCCTTGATGGGCTTGTGCTCAAGAAGAACTACGAAGTCTATGGTGCCAGAACCATCAGTTGGCACTGTCGTAGCTGTACCTAGGGAAGGCGAGCATGCAACCCGCACATCCATATCGTCGTCGTCTGTTGAACTCACGGGCGGTGCTGCCTGTTGCGGGGGCATTTGTTCAGGAAGTAAATCGGCCATTGTAGGGTCGACAGGACGCGGTGGGTAGACTCGTTGCCCAGTCGTAGTATCGCAGTCTACTTGAAGGGTAAGCGCCGTCGACTGAAAACGAATAATGAGATGGGGAGAGAGCGATACAGCCAAAGGAGATTTGGTTCTGTTTAGTCCTTTTGATCACCATTGCGTCCAAAGTTTCAATTAAGACGCCCGTTGTCAAATAAAATGTAACTCACGAGACGCATCGAGGATTTTCAAGTTAGCAATGCGTTCGTCAAAGATACGAAGCGCTATCCTTTCATCTCTCGTGATGGCCGGTCTACGTCAATACGTCAGCAAAGCATGCTGAAGAGAACCCTTCGCTACACCTTCCACAACTCACAACTTCCTCATTCGGCAACTACCTCCACCGCCAGCACAGAATTTACACATTTACCCAGAAACACCGACTCTTGCAATGCTGGACGCCATTTGCACCCTTCCGCTCGGCGCTGACCTCTTCACTCAAGCCATTCACCCTATTGAGCCTCTGGTCGCCGTCGGCCTCAGCAGTGGTCATGTCGCAACGCTCAGACTTCCCCCGGTAGAACTGTCCTCCAACGCCAATGGTGACAACTCAAGCAGCGACGAGGACAGCGAGCCAGCGCCAAAGCGCAGAAGAGGGAGCGATGGTACCGGTGTAGTGGACACAGTATGGCGCACGCGCAGACACCAGGGGAGCTGTCGCACTCTAAGCTACAGCATCGATGGACGGAGTCTATACTCAGCCGGGACCGATGGCATCGTCAAGGCCGCGGATGCGGAGACGGGTAAGGTTACAGGAAAAGTGGCCATCCCTACCCTTCGTGCCGGAAGACACGAGGAAGATCCGCCCACCGTGCTGCACGCCTTGAGCCCGCAGACACTTCTTCTCGCTACAGACTCAGGTGCTCTTCACCTGTACGACCTCCGGGATCCTGCCCCGTCTGTCCCAGCTTCGGACAAGACCGCCTTCATCAACACCAAACCAGCGCAAACGCACTATCCTCACCAAGACTACATCTCTTCTCTCACCCCTCTACCGCCGTCAAGCACGTCCACGAGCGGCTACAGCAAGCAATGGCTAACGACCGGGGGCACAACACTAGCCCTCACAGACCTGAGGCGCGGCGTCCTGGTTAAAAGCGAGGATCAAGAAGAACTGCTTCTCTCCTCTATCTACGTCAGTGGTCTGCCGACGAAGCGGAGCTCTGGAGGAAGCGGGGAGAAAGCACTGATTGGCGGGGCTGACGGTGTGCTTACACTGTGGGAGAAGGGCCAGTGGGACGATCAGGACGAGCGAATCACAGTTTCGAAGGAGAAAGAGACACTGGATTGCCTGTCAGTCTTTCCGGATGGTGTAGGTGGAATTGGCAAGAAGGTTGCAGTAGGCCTGGGCGATGGAAAAGTTCGATTCGTACGTTTAGGGCAGAATCAAGTGGTTGGCGAGGTCATGCACGATGAAGTCGAGGGAGTGGTAGGATTAGGATTCGACGTGGGTGGAAGGATGATCAGTGGTGGTGGGAGCACGGTCAAAGTATGGCAAGAGCACGTTGATGATGATGAGGAGGAGGGTGAAGAAGACGAGGTAGCGAACGCTGAAGTCGAAGGGGGAGTGGAGAAGCGCGCTACGGACAGCGACGAAAGTGACAGCGATTCCGACGGTCAGGAAAGTAGTGATGAGGAGGTCGAGAAGACGAGGAAGAGGCGTAAGAAGCGGAAACGGGGCAAAGGTCCAGCACCCTCGAGCTCGTTCAGCTTTGCTGGTTTGGACTAGGCGACCATGTTCTCTAGGCTACCTTGAAGATACCCACTGACGGCGTCCGTCACCAAAGCGTTAACACATCGAGCACCAGAACGTTCAACAATGATACTGCATTACCAGCGTGTCGATCTCTTCGAATACGATTGGTTCTTTCTGGCCAATCCACTGTCTCAGCTCCAGCTTTCCGTCGTCTTCATGTCGAAACCTGGCACAGATGACCCTGGTGGTCTCTTCGGTTTCGCCACAGGCCACCATGAACATAATTCGTGCAGCTTCTGGAACCTGTTCCGACATTAACGTTTTTCCGGGCACCACACCACGCTGTTGCAGGTGGTGTCGCGCACTTTGTTCCTCTGCGTCCACAATGACCGAGATGAACCACGCCGCGCTTTCGCTATGTCCCAGACCCTCCCTGCGGCGAGCGGTCAGGAGCATTCTCAATGCCCGGCGGCGAATGCTCGTGTTTCGGCATTTGAACGCGATGTGTGCGAGTGCTGGAAGGGCGGTTGGTTCCAAGCCGAACGAAGCATGCCGCATGTCTCCGGGAGCGTACGGCGGGACCGGTCCGGACACGCCTTTTGGCATGCTCGTTGCTGTCAAGGCAAGGAAGCGCTCGATGACATCGAGAGTAGTTGCGAAGGTCGAGTCGGAGCCAGGCGTGTCCCAGTCTGCCTCACATGGAGAACAGCAATGTTGAAGGGTATCGAAAGCGACTAGATATTGAAGACGAAGAGTTGCCCCGAAAATGTATGTCTCTGGATCGGAGTGCTGCAAGGTAGAGTCCGTGAGGAAGTCGAAAGCCAGCATCCAGCGCTTGAACCCGCCTTCGAGACCCTGTATACGAGCTTGCAAGGCACAATCAGGGACGATAGTCCGGCTCAGGCAGTGTTTGATCATAAAGGCCGTGGCCGGGTGAAGGCGACTCCTGTCCTCTGAAGTGATGAGTTCGTCGGCGAGCTGGACCAACTCATTACGCGCCTCTTCACTGGCTTCGAGAAGGATGTTCAGGTGCTCCTTGGCTTCGCTCAGCGACTCGAAGGCAGCTGGAATCGTGGGATCGAGTGTCCTTCTCGAATGGAAATGACTGTCCTGATCCAGGCCCATTGGTGTCCCTGTGACGCTGGCGCTGCTTTCGATCGCAGAGAAAAGGTGAGAAAATTCCTCTATAGCGTCGCCAGAGAATGCACTCAGTCTCTGAAGCGGAACAATCTTGCGTGCGAAATTAAGATGGGCCAGGGCATTTTGGAACTTTGCGCGTCCGATCTCAAACAGCAGGAAGAGAATAGCGCAAAGCAAGACCGGCTCAAGGCATGCATTGCCGTTTACGGCTTTGTGGATGTACCGTCTCAAGGCGGATGTCGCCTTTCCGAACTGCACCATGGCAAGATCTACGTTCCTGGTGCTGGCTGTGGGCGGCTCCATTGCCTTGTGCATGGAGATGGCGACACTTTTCTGGACAGTGGCACAGGCTGTGATCGCCAGCATCACAGCGGGCTCGATGGTGGAGAACTGCAGGGCAAGCTGGACCCATTCTCGGACTGGCGTTGCTCGATAGACGGCTCTAGCACCGAAGGTCCTCCAGTAGCTCATGCAGTTTCGTTCGTGCTCGGTCATGGAGAAGTCTGGCGACGTCTCCTTCGGGCGAAGTACCGAAACTGGACTTGGGGACGAGCCGGAGGTTGAAGGCGAAGAGCCATCCGGAGAAGGGAGCAAGCGGCGCCTTGAACTCGTCGACGTTCCATTTTCGGGCGGAAGCTCGTAGCCATCACATGTGCGGCCTGTGGAGGCACACTTATGACAATTCGGTCGGCCCTCGTCGCATTTGATCTTCCTGATCCTGCAACGATCATCAGTAACGGTAGGTTGCTCGTGATGGTGTCAATCATACCGACAGGTCCTGCATCCGCGCCTACTGGGCTTGGAGGTGACCACCCGCTTCCGTGGCGCTGTTGTTCTTGGAGCTGTCATTATCCTGCTTCAACATGTTGCTCGCCAATTCTGAGAAGGAGAAGAAGTATTGGTCTTCCATCGAGCCTCCGGGTCCAAACACGAGTCGAGGGACGAGGAAGGCTAGGAATCGTTAAAGAGCATCGCAGTTCCGTTCTATTTGCGGACAGCGACTCACTTGGTTGTAGCGTCCAGCCCCGGGTGGTTACTGGACTGCCGCGTAATTCTGAGCTCGGTCCCTCATTCCTCGTCTTGACATCGCATCTCTTCTATCTCCTCTTCGCGGCGAATCGCCGCGCTCTCAAACATCGCGCACATCATCATCCCAACGCTCTGCTCTGGTTACGGCTCCCATAACGATAGCCATCGCATCGTTCATTCGCTTCCGGTGCGCGTGCTAAGAGAGTGTACCCAAAGCCTGCACATTCACCTCCAGCGCACGGGCCACATAATGCAACATAACGTCAAACTCATGGCTCTTTAGCAAGTCCCAGGAGGTCTCAGCAGCTGAAAACCTCGGTGACCGACAAATCAGCGTCCAATGAACTGCACAGACAGCTGGCGCTGGCGCCATCGTGGATATACGACACCCTTGCTCCACGCGCTGCTCCAGGAGAAATATCTCCATGGAGCAATGCATGGCCGCCGCAGCAGGTTGGGAGGAACCACTCGCTCGATGTCCAACGAATGGAAGCTGCCTTGCCGTGGAGCGCAGTTGCTTTTGCCTTGTCGTGTATGGGAACGGTAGGAAGGGTCGCCGAGTTATATGAGGCCGGTCACTTCCCAGTAATGTAAAGTCTCATCTATCCAGTCGCTCGCTCATACGTCTGTCGTTACCTTGTTGACCATAGAGAAGCCTTTCTCCGTACTCCCCGGTTGCAGAAACAGCTCAAAGAGCGCAATCAGAACAGCACCCCGTTCGTCACGATGGACAAAATCAGTGAGACTGGCATGGTCATGATCGTACGCCACGCATTCAAACGGTTTGACTGGGACTCATTTCTTCCAGATTATCGTTGCCACAGCAGCCGGTGTACTGTTATGTTGGGCGACCTGGCATCGCTTCTACGGCAATCAAGAGGAACACCGAGCACTGCAAGCGGATCAGGCAGTCTACATGCGAGAAGTACGGCTGAGAACACTGGGTGATATTGAAGCGATGACAAAGCCTTATCGACAACACCGACGACCGCCGCCGGTAGAGTACGACTGAGAGCTTGTTAGTAGGCGGAAAGTGTACAGTCTGCGTTCAGGACCATACGGTGTGATGTAAGAATGGCCTACCCTTACAGAACACTGGACCCTTGCCTAATGAGGCCTGGCAGCTCCAAGTCTCCTCCGGCGTACGAACAACGGAGATCTCGGTCTTGAAGCAACCATTACAGTATCGGCAGTGTCGCGCATAGCTGGAACGAAAGCATAACGATAGATGGAAGACCTGCCGGGCAGCATGACTTCGAATTCGCGATGAAAAGGGCAAATCTCGTGCTTATTGAGCATGCGTTGATCTCCTTCATCAGCAAGACGGCAGAAAGAAGCTGGTTCATGGGTGCAACATAGAGGTGTAGTTGAGCAAAAACAGCCAGTGGAGGACGTCTTCAACCTTCAAGATTACCACCAGCTTTCACTTTCTCTTCACAGAACTTCTTCAGGTCGTTGCACCACATCTTGAACTTCCCTTCAAGAGTCTTCTGATACATCCATTTGACAATATGCACCAACACACCAGCTTGGTTCTCCCACGTCCGCACCTCGCACTCATTGTCACCTAGCACAATGACCTCGTGAAACCGCTCCGCCCTGAGACCTTTCGAGATGAGGCCACCGTCGCTCCGCCACCCAATTCGGTAGACTTTGCTCGGATCGCTGGTGTAGCTGCCATCCTTTTCCACCGTCTCCTGAGGTATGTAGGCTGAGTCCGAGCTGGGTGTAGAAATATCAGACACTTTCAATTGTGTAGCGTTCTGAGACTGAGGTTTGTTCGAGTCCATGATTACGTGGAAGACGAAGCTCGTCCCGAGCTCTAGCTTCTGAGAGCCAGCAAGACTGTCCGGTTGCTGCGCTATCGTAACTTTGGGGCAGAAGCTATTCCATTTGCCGTAGTTGCTGACATCGAGTACAGTGTCGAAGACGACTGAAGCGTGTGCGTAGATTCGGGTTGAGGCGGCCAGTGTCATCAAAGATTCTTCGCGAGGAACGAAGGGCGTCGTGAGTCCGCTTGCCGGAGGCCATGTTGCACTTGTATCGGAAGCCATGTGTTTTGAGCACGGAGCACTGGGCTGTGAATACTATGGGAGCGGTAGGTAAACAGGGTGCTTGATACATTCACAAGTCCATCAACACTATACCCGATCAGGAAGGAGCATCTTCGTGAGCGAGTAGGCATAAACGTAAGACGACATCCGAAAGTCGAGAACGTCTATCTCGATGCTCTCTTCATACGCACGAAGTATGTACTTGCTATCGTTGCCTATTCCTGACAAGAAGGACGTGATGCATGCGAACGGCGTATGCAATGGTGCTCTACAGCCGCGCAGGCCAGCTTCCTGGACAATCTCCTTGCTCAGGATATCGTGACCGCCACACCGCTCCCGAGGAGTGAGCCACTGCTACTGTACAGGGGGCACAGACTCGTCTCGCCTTGATTAAAATCGTCTGCTGGCTCCCAGTGCTGCAAGACAGAAAGCAGGACAAGGGCCGTGTCAACCATGATGACCTTAGAATCTCCTGCGGAGAACGCAAAGGTCACGTCTTGCTCCTAAGGAATGGTTCCCACCCACAAGGAACACCGTTTATCGCAAGGTAAAGCTCCCTAGCTATGCTCTCCAGCTGCTCGGTCTGCCGGCTTCTCCCACCCGAATACAGCTGCATTGATCGCGCCAACAACAGCACGTCTACCAGCTCGGGCACGATGTGTGTCTCGCTGTCCTCCTTGCGGTCTAGCTCAGCTTTGCCTCCTCCAATGTCCAGTTTCCAGCCGAGCATTTCGAAGAGCGAAGTAATCATTGAGGTGCACCTCGTACGCTGGTTCTGCCGCGCATAATGATGGATGAGCCCGACATGCAGGTACATGCCTGCTTTACGAGGCAGAGGCTTGTATAGGTCTGGATCGTAAGTGCCTTTGATGCTTTTCAGAAGGACGTCGGCTTTCGAGACTCCCTGTGATCCGGCTGAGCCATTCTTGATCGCCATGCCCAATTGATTTGCGCGGCTTTCGAGATCTTCTCGATTCTTCCGCTTGTCTTCGGACTCCCTCTCTTCTACGGCGCACAGCTTGCAGTTGCATCGGAAGTGCCATGTCGACTCCAGCATCCCTCTTCTTTCGGCTACGTCAGCATCAGTCTGCGCATACGATTGTACCAGCTCCTCGCCCTTCTTGATTGGTCTAGTCGCACGAATGACAATCGCATCTCCGACGAAGACTTTTCTGGTGTTTGGAACGCACGAGTGATTCATCATGGACGTCTTCAAGAATAGTCCAGTGTTATCGCCGAGATGGCCTTCCTGCTGGAACTCGGCTGTAAAGCCGAATGGTCTGGTCTGGGCTTGCTTCGATGGTGTAGGTATGCCGAAGGTGTTTGATTCAATGATGGAGCGGACTTGAAAAGCATCCACTACATTCATGTCGTCCACGTGAACCTTCATTGCGCCAAGTCCGGCATAATCTCCGACCAGTTGCGTGACCTCTTCGATAGTGGATGGGTTCTGCAGCACCTTCTGCATAACCTGATCCCACAATGCCACCGTAGATGAAGCCATAGATAGCTTGCCGTGATTGTACTCCCAAGCTGCGAACCAATTCTTGTCCTTCTCGAAAAGCGAGCTGAATGCTTTCTCGCACAGGACAAGGTCCCCTGTCTTCAAGTCCTGTGTAGCGAACAGGCCTCTGCCGCCAACCGGCGCTTCCTTGACTTCAACTGGTTCAGTGTAGTCGGCAATGTCTGCGCGGGGCGCCTGCGGTGACAACTTGCCAACCAACTTGTCGAATTCATACTTGCCAGATTTCTTCTCTGCGAGGCGAGCCTGTACTCTCTGCATCTCTCGGTTGCCTTCTGCATCGTTCTTGTCCAGTTTGATGAGCTTACTCAAGCAGTCTTGAGCCTTCCCATACTCTCTGAGGTTGTAGCTGGCACTGGCGGCTCGGTAGTGCGCTTTGCCGTCGAGGGTGTTCATAGAAGAATCAGAACCGTCCGACACAGCCTTTGTAGCAGCATCCACAGCTTCGTCGTACCTTCCAAGATCGAGGTCCACTCTAGCGAGGTTCCGTGCGAGGTCGAGTATGAGCCTCTGCTCGTCTGCGCCTGCAACAACAGATCCATTCCGATAGGCGTCCCGAGCCTGCCACAGTTTCTTTTGACCCAACAGTTCGTTTCCTGTCTGCTTCCACTGTGATGCTGTTTTGGCCTCCTTCCCTTTCGGTCCGCCTACCTTCAGGTCGTGATTTCCCAGCACAATGTCCGTAGGGTGATCAATGCGGATCGTTGCAGTGCCGTCACGCCGCAGTGTAAGGTACGGTTCTTTAATAACAATTGTTCTTCGTTCCGGTAACATGTGGTCTTCCAGAGCAGTGTCTACATGATGGAGTTCAATGTTTTCGACATCTCCATTGTCATCTTTGATCGCACTGATAAGAGCTGTGCCTTCACGAGCGACAGGACTTACTCGTTGGATAAGTAGAGCGCGTCCACGATGATGTGTCTCTTGTGTGAGATCTGAGAGCTTGACCGTCTTGAGGTCTTTGAGAGGTAAGACACACGGTGGATAAGGCTCAATGATCGGAACGAAATGCCTGCTCTCCTTCAGGGCATGGCCTTCCTTCGTTGCATTTTCGATTTTCGAGAATATGGCGTCTGCTCCAGCAGCCGACCGTTTCTGACCGCATCGAGACGACGCAGATGCAACCCGCTCGTTCTCATCTTGCATAGACAGGAGGGTCGCAACATCAGGTGCTTTCGATGCGCTGGCTTTCGGCGTTCCGTCGAGCCCGGCAAAGATATCAGGTTTCTCGCTTTGCAACGCACTCGCCAGTTGACGTATCCAGACATTATCGCTTCCGGACAGTATCTTATCTCCATACTTCTCCGCAGTCTCTGGTGGCATTGATTTCAGCTCGAAGTTCCTTTTGAGTAGGTCGAGTATTTGCCGCCGCTCTGGCTCGCCGACACCAGCCATGTTCAGTCGACCAGTCCTACACCACACAGTTAAAGAAAGGCTACGGGTAGTCAGAAGTCGGCTACGGCTTCGCAAATATCTTCTCAGGTCGGTGAAAATGTTTCGAGTCTGTTTTTATGGGGAGGTGGAGTTAATTTACGGACAGCGGTTACTCTAGCGGGCCGCTACCCGAGAGTATCCGATCGACTGGGATGCGCCCCGATCTCGCCCGTTACTGCAATGCCGAGTCGTGCGCAATGCATGCTCCAACGGCCACAACATAGTTTAGCCAGGACCACTGACAAACCAGCTGCACCGCACGGAGAACAATGATCTGTAATGATACATTTGTGGTTGGCTACTGTACAAGGAGTAAGTATACAATTACTAAGTTCGACACTACGCTCTCAATCCATCATCAGCTGGCTCAGAGGAACCCAGGTGAAATGGCCGTGTCTGCCCTGCCTTCCTTGCACCATCGTCCAAGGTAGGCGGGTGAACCCACCATTGCTCGGTCAGCTTGGCACCTTCAGGCGTCTCAGCAGCCCAGGCATCGCCTTGCGAACCAGAGAAATCGCGAGCACTGAATAGTCTGGGCCCGGGCTGGCTTTTAGTCTTGGGCAGCGTGTCCTTCCACACCTCCTCGACTACTCGCTGGGTATGCTTTGAAGCGCGACCGGGTATCTGGCTTTCGGAAATTTCGGTGCATCTTCCCTCATCATCCTTGATGAAATGTCTTGCGGGTTTAACTTCAATATCCATGATTGGCAGTATTCGGTGATGGACGTGGTGTTCGTGGATGTCGCGCGTCCGTTGCTCATGTACTATCTCATGTACATCGCGTCTGACGGTGTTGTGAACCACCGCGGGGGCCATGCGCTCGTGGATGGTGGTGTCTTCGGTGTGGTCTAGGTCCAACACACCGTCGACACCAAGTTTTCGCTCGAGATCTGCTGACGAAATGTCACGTCGTGGCTGCGCAGCTCCGTAATCGTTTTCGTCGTGGGATGGCACGCTTGGGAGAGGTTTTTCGAGACTCCTCCTAGGAATCTTGTGTTGGGTAGGACTTTGGGGTGGTGTCACTAGTCCTGTGCTATCCATACTGTTTCGAAAGGAACCCCCAAGATCCATTTGAGAGAGCGCCGGAGCAAGGGCATCTGCATCGTCGTCTTTGTTTGTGTCTGTGTTGTCCAGGACACTGTCTCTGTTGGGGACCATGCGTATCGTGGGCGAGTTTGGCATGCTGTCTGTCGATCGTCGATTCCTCGTGTTGTCGTTTGGAACAGGCTTCCGGGGGATAGCAGTCGTCTGATGGTGATGATTCTGCATGTCTGCAATCTTAGACTTGAGCTTGTGCATTTCGTGTGTATTTTGCCGTCACGAAATACGCGGGACAACAAAACTCATGACGAAAATGTCCGGAGACCGCAACGCCTGTAGTCGTTCATTTCTCCCCCTGAACGGAAAGCTCCATCGAGCAGCAAACGAACGGCAAGACGTCATCTCTGGTCATGTGTGGCTGTAGTGTTCCACGAACGACCTGTGCAACGGACCGGATATTCTATGGTCCAACCAAAAGTAAACTGCGTAGTCTGAACCCCTCCATTCCAGACGCGGGCCAGACTGTGGCGAACGCGAGAATCGGCAAGCCACGATGTCATCAAAACGGCCGATGCGGCTGGAGCTTTGCAGTAGCGCAGGAGCGCAGGAGCGGTTCACTGATCTCCAGCACATCAGGTCCAACTGCCCGGGTCGCCTTGTAGATCCAACCCCCAGAGTCGTTCGTCAGAATCGGACACGGCTTCTTGGGCTCTCGCAGAATGCACAACGATAACAAACGGTCCGTACACAGAGGTCGAAACACCGCCGTCAGGACTAAGCTCACCTGCGGCCTCTCCATTGGCAACGGTTCACTGCGGACGTGGTTGGGGTTCAGAGTTCGTGACGACGAGGCGTGTCCGAGGAGGTAGTGATACCTCGCGTTCCAGGCCCGCGGGGACATGCCGCACATGCGCGATGATGCTGTCCGCTACGCGTCCCATTCGTCTAGACGCTCTCCGAGCCAGTCTCGCGGATTTGTCGAGCTCTGTTCGAAGCGCTACCTAGCCACGAGCTCTCGAGAGGGCCATGATCTACGCGATCCTGAAGCCATCGCTCCACCCTGTGGCTCGTCGATTCGATTCGCGAACTCCACAGGGACCTCTTCCTGTGGCTTCTGTGGTTCAGCGGGCTTCTACAGACCACAGCCGGTGACGCCGGCATTCATTCTGGGCTGTTGGCCCGGTGAGTAGTGCAGAGGTATGACGACGGAAGGATCTCTCAGACCTTGGAGGGGCCGAGTAGCCTGAGGGGTGAGGTATGGACGTCATCCTACGTGTCAAGCAGATGTAGGTATAAAGACATCTCCTAGTACCGTTGTTATTCTCAAACCACATCCATTCCAAACTCAAATCGCAACATACACTTTTCTCAAATTACAACAAGCATCAATCACCAATATGGACGCCGCCAAAGCATCCGTCAAGAAGTTCATGTCCAGCTCTGGTCACCACGACACATCTGTTCACGAGAAGGTTGCCCCTGCAGTGCAGCAAGAGACAATCAACCGTGAGCAGCATGAGCGACAAACCACCGCCGTCGACAAGGAGGTTCACCAGGACCACTACCACACCACAGTGCAGCCAGTGAAGGATTCGGAAGTCCTTCCTGAGCAGCACCATCACAACATGATGCCAACCGAGCACCGTTCGTTCGAGCACGACAACTCTGACAGCGTGAAGCGGTCGCTTGATACCGAGCAAGCCAAGTACTACGACACAACATCCCAAGTGGAGGGTCGCCATACCACCACTGCCGAGCCCACCGTGGCTGGGGAGCACGTACACCACCATGTGCATGAGACCATTCAGCCTGTGGTTCAGAAGCGTACGTGTCATCGACCGTCGACGAGATTTCTCGAGCTAATATTCTGTTTACAGAGACCGTTGAGCCTCACGTCATGCACACAACTGTTCCGGTTCATGAGGTTCATCACAATGAGTCCAAGCACCACGCGTCCAGCGCTCTCCCCGCCGTCTCCATGGACGATTTCAAGAAGTCCGGCGGTGCTCTGACTGGTCGTGACGAGCGCCACGACAGGTTTGATGGCTGCCCACCTGAGCAAATCTCCGGCAACACTGGAGGACACTCCAGCTCCACCACATCGAGCGCCGTGCCACCGACCACCGGTAGCAGCACCAGCCGTGATTTGAACGGCACCACCAGCAACTCGAGCAGCATGGCCCCGAATACCATTACCGACACTAAGTCTAGTAGTTCTGGGTAAGTTGGCCGCCACGATGGACTGTCAATGGATTTGCTAAAGATTGATGCAGCGGACCCTTCAACAGCCACAAGCACGACCCAAGTCTGTCACAGTCTACGTCCAACAGCTCCGGGCATCAGCACCCAACCCCTGCTTCCTACGGCAACGACATGCACACCGAGAATACCAGTTCCACTTCACAGAGCAAGCCCAGTATGATGGACAAGCTCAACCCGAAGATGGATGCTGATGGTGATGGAAAGTCGGGCATGATGAGCTAGATTAGCTTTTACCTTGAAAAGCAGTGTCTGCATTGCTCGGGCCACTTGGCTCATGTAGCAGTATGATAGTTTTGATATTATGATATCCACGACACTTGTACTATACTGTTTCCACACTCTGTGACGTTGCTATCTTTCTTTGATTAGGTCATGTCCATACGCCCATGGCAAGATAAAGATAAATGCGAAAATCTTGGTAGGCAAGGGAAAACTGACACATGTAGACATGACATGTTATATTACAACATTACTCTTTTGTCGTAGTATCTCATATAATATCATCAAACCGGAGACTTCTCAACACTCCAAACCTCCACCACCTCCTCCTTCTTGTGCATCGACCTATACCACTGGGTCACACTGCCCACTAGAAACGCCCAGGAGCCCCAAAGGTAGCTGTATCCAAACTGCTGCTGCGCCCAGAAAACCTGCTCCTGCAAGCCAAAGCAGGCACATAGGATAAACCCGAACGCGCCCACCAAATTCCAGAAGTTGATCTGGAATCCCAAAGAGCGCAACGGCAGTCGCCACCAGCTGTCGCGGGAATGCCGTTGAGTTTTGATGATCAGGAGGAATGAAGCGATAACGAATCCAGATGCTGCGAGGAGCTGGGGGTAGCGGATGCAGCGTGCGATTGTTCCGCTCTTGAGGATTGTGACGAGCGAGGCGATGGAGGTCGCGCAGTACAGGGCTGAGCTGCAGAGGAAGATCGTGCTAGCGAAGATGCCTAGTTCGAGATATCGGGATCGGGATAGCTTGGGGGTGACGGAGGGCTCGGTAGGCTTTTCGGACTGGTGGTTGTGGTTGGAGTTGTCCGTCTCGGTGTAAGCTGGAGGGGTGCTGTTTTCGTCGTGTTGTTCGGAGTCGCTGATATTGAGAGACATCGCACGAGTCTCTGATGTGCCATCCATCGCGGGGACATCCTCCTCCGTAGATTTCTCCTCAGACTTGTCACCGTCGCCAGTCTGACATTCCGTGACCCCCTGCATCTTCGAAGCAAAGCCCGGTTCCTTGCCATGATCCAGCTCCCATGCTTCCAGAAAGGCGAAAATGCTTCCAACCAAGAAAAGTGTACAGCTGAGGACACTCAGGATTCCTTCGACGTAAATACATCCTTCAGGTAGCCGCAGCCTCAGCCCGGGGATGAGCGGTAGTGTCGAGAGGACGGCATTGCAGACGAGGACCAAGCAACCAATAGTAGAGACGATGGCGACTCGAAGCATATGGGTTCGCCTGTCGCGTGAGGTGGCGCTGTCCAGTGAAGGGGGTGTGTCGATGTGAACATGGTCTGGTACCGGACGGAAGAGACGAGCAGCATTCTTTCTTATATGAAGTACTTGCGTATTGAGAATGTTGACTCACCTTCCCCAGCATGGTCAGCAGAAAGTCATGTTGAATACTGGATGACACGCGTGTTCCGCTGGTGGAGAGGGATTGCGAGGCCTGTGTATAGGAACCATCTTGAAGCAGTCACCATTTCCATGGTGCCAACACCCACCATAACACCAAATGCCTCAATACCGGAGAAGTGCGAAGGCGTTTTGGCCACTCGTTGTGGATGAGAATAGTGTTATAGACAAATCGGAGATGAACTTTGATGGAGCCATGGACTGTTATACCGAATCGAGCATGTTGGGGTGGCACAGCCGAAAATTTCTTCGAACAACTCCGTGGTATTTGATGGCGTGCTCATATTTGTTGCGCAGGTTTCCGTAAATGTCGAAACGAGAATACGTGTTCTTGCAATCGATACCATGGGCGCCGTCACCACGAAGTATATTAAAGGCCGCCACCTGCGGCCTCACGAGGACGGTCAGGCCGGGTCACGTGTGTTCATACATCATATCTCATACGTCCTCATTTCCTGACCCCCTTCTCCTCCTCCATACCCTCTCTCAAAATCCGAATCTGCTTCTTTAGTTCCCGCCACAGCACGTAGCTGTTCAGATCTTCATCCTTTTCATCCATCTGCTTCACCAGCCAGACAAAATCGTACAGGCCTTTGAACACCCTCCATCCTTGCCTATCACACGAGCCGCCGCTCGCAGGCTTCCCATGCGCCTCCATGCATTCCAGACACAGTTCATCCGCGAAAGAATCAGACTCGCGAGCAAGCGCCAGCAACGACGCGACCATGGCCTCCTGCAGGTAAGCGAACGAGAAGCCGCCAGTAATCTTCGCCACGGCGTCACAGATCTTATCCGGGAACTCGATCTCGTCGTTGTCGGAGAGCTTGCGCTGCCAGTACTGCATGTACAACACACGCTCTGCTTCGGTAGGATTGTTGAAGAGATATTTGCGGTCAAAGCGAGATGGACGCTTCGCGATGCCCGGGTCGAGTCGGTCAAGATGGTTGGTCGAGCCGACCATCAGAATGCCGTCATTTTTCTGAATCCCATCGACAGCATTCAAAAAGTAGCTTCTGACTTCATCAGTCACCACTGAATCGAGGTCTTCGAAGATGAGATAGCACGGCGCTTCCCTGCGGGCACGTTTGAAGATCTGGTCGATGCTGTATTCCGGACCTGCGAAACTTGCCAGCGTCTTGACATATAACGTGGGAACGGGCTGCTTGCGGTTGTACAGCGTGTGCATCATTGCTTTGATCGATACTGTTTTCCCGTTTCCTGGGGGGCCATAGTAAATTATACCACCTTGAAGGGTAAGACTGTTAGCATATCTCTAATCAATGAGCTTCAGTGCTCCGACCTACGCTTCCACGGAACTCTGAGTTTCTGGTAGGTGTCTTGGCTGTCGAAGAAAGTGTTGACATCGTCAATGATGGAGTCCTTCATCTTCTTGTCGAGAATGACATCGTCCCAGCTGGCTGACCGCACGCTATCGTACAGCTCCGGGCTCTTCTGCCACCAGCCTTGGTCGAACACCCAGACTTCTTCATGCAAGCTGTTACTCCATTGACCGGCTTCCAGCAGGAGTTGATTCGTAGCCTCGACAGAGGGCGAGAGCAAGAACTGAGTGTAGGTCTCACTGAACGCATCGAGTGCATCACGGCCCTCTACCACGTACATCACGAACTCTTTGCCCTGCCAGTCCAACAGATACTTCGAGTATTTCGGCTGAGTCGCGAGCACGCCTCTCCCGCCGCTCAAACGATTAGCTGGCGCAATATACGTGGTCTGGCTCAAGCGATCCTGCTCTTTGTCCATGGGCGCGAGGCCGATCTTGCCTGCCGCTGCATAGCCGAGGAGGTTTGTGTTATAGACAGATATAACGGTCAGGTGGAGCTGAGGATACTCTTTGTGAAGAGCTTCGACGATGATGGCGTCGGTGTTGACGCGCTGTCCGGAGGAGTGCTTGAGCCAGCGGTCGTGGGTTGCATTTTGAGAGGGCGGTGTCGGCTTGGGCCTTGTTGCGTTTGTTCCTGCGGTCATTGTGGGAGGAGGGGATGTGAACAGATGAGTGATGAGGTGTAATGAGGCTCGTGGAGGTGTCAAGACGAAGTAAAGGCAAGAGCAAGTCAAGGCAAAGCTGCTGCCTATTCGGAAAGGTGGTGTTGCAGGAGACGAGACGGAAGTGGCTATATGTCGTCCGACGGTTCAAAACACAGCGATATGGATGCAAGCTGTAGACTCTCGTTCAAAACAAGGTTGCACGAAGCAGCAAGCTACCTCCTACCGATGAATAGACGTGCTGGTAGACTCTGGTGATGGTCAAGACGTGTAGCAACACGCGCTCGTGCCAGCCCAGCTTCTGCGGTCTGCGGGGAGAGCTCACATCCTTGTCAACAACTTGTCCCTGACAAGTGACAACCAGCTCGACTCTTCGCTATTTTCATCTGACCAAGATCTCACCCAAGCATCGATGCCCGTACAGTACCTGGCCGGTACCTCGTACTTCCGAGAGCCATAAGCTGATTGCATAGCGAAGCATAAGTGAGCACATGTAGGGTAGGTGAAGGATTCTCGTACGAGTCAACAGGGGAGACGAGGCATATCGTGCGATTCTACAGCTCGAAAGCCGGATTTTGACGGCGGATTTACCATATATCGTAAGAATAAAGAGACTCGGCGATACCCTTTCTTTGGATCCTACTTAACATCAGAAACTGCACACAGTCATTCAGTAAACGAATCGACGGTCAGAAAGATCAATCCTATCAACATGAACCAAGTCCCTCTTGCGTGAGCTGTGCCGCCTCCCTTTTGACACTGAAGACTTCCTGACGACCGTCTAGTCACAAAACTGCCCTTGTCACGGGCGCCGGAGGCGGTTTGGGCAGAGCGATCGCCGAACAGTTCCTGCTCGAAGGCGCCAATGTCGTGATCTGTGACATCAACCAGGAGCTGCTTAATGACTTCAAAGAGAAAGTCTCGGCTGGTTATCCGGAGTGCACACTCGTCCTCGAGACCGACATCACTAAAGAGGATGCTCTTGACGAGATTTTCGAGAAGGCGGAGAAGATGTTCAAGAAGATCGATTTCGTTGTCAACTCGGCCGGGATGATGGATCGCTTCGACCCAGTCGGTGAGATGGAGAAGACGATGTGGGATCGTGTTCTTGCTTTGAACTTGACGGCGCCGGCGATGGTGACGAAGCGGGCGGTCAACTCGATGGTGAAGAATGAGGTCAAGGGAGCCATCGTTAACATTGCTTCTGTTGCGGCATTCCGAGGTTTTACTTCTGGGGCGGCGTACACCGTCAGCAAGCATGGTCTGTTGGTGAGTCTAATCCAACATGCTTGACGAGTTGAATCCAAGCGACGGCTAACCCAATGGTGGCACTGAAAGGGCTTGACCAAGAACACAGCAGTCTTCTACGGCCCGAAAGGCATTAGGTGCAACGCAATCATGGCAGGTGCTATGGAAACCAACATCTCTAAATCCTTCCAGCAGACGGGTATCAATATGGAAGGCTACGGACTCATGCGGCAGACCTGTAAGCTGCTTCCGAGCACAGAGAGTGCTATCCAATGGCGGCCGCTCATGCTGACGATGACAATGCAGTCCCGGAAGAGACGTTCGTTTCTGTTGAGGTTGAGAAGGTGGCCAAGCTGGTAACGTATCTCTGCTCCGACAGCGGGTCGATTGTCAACGGAGCGTGTTGGACGGCTGACGGAGGCGTGACGGCGAACTGAGCGAGATTGGTACCAGGTTACAGTGGTAAGTAACGGATCAATATGGAAACTTTAGAGCCATCATTCTATAGTACTCGTACAGGCATTACTATTACCACGTGCATCACCAGACAAGGCTACAATGGCATTAATGGACAGCCATTTGCTCTCCCCCCAGCACTCCTTACGCAACCACCAAACGTGTCCTCCTGACCTCGTCCCAACCCAGTTCAAGCACTCGAAGCACTGCACTCCGGATACCCCAAGTTCGCCAACCAAGCGCCAGAGTTGAACTCGGCATAGGTGGACTTGATTTGGCCCTGCGGGTTGATGTAGAAGTTGTCGATGCCCTTCACCGGCGTAACATCGTTACCCGCGCCGGACGTCGAGACCCATCGCCAGCTGATGGCGTTGCAGCTCCAGAAGATATCGAGAGTCTCCAGAATGAGCGGCGGCTGCGCGGTGGAGCCGGCGATGAGGTCGGCTTTGCTGGCGAAGGTCACGCTGCCTTCCTGTAACGGGAGTTAGCTGCCCGGCTGTTTGTAGGAAAGCAGGCAAGCGTACGGGAATTCCAGCGAGCTGGTTGATTGAGTCGGAGGTATCCGTGAAGTCGTTAGAGAGGAGCGCATTGGCTGTTGTCTCGAAGTTGGAGGCCTTGGGGTTGGCCAAGAGGTAGTTGAAGCCGTTGACAATGGCTGTGGCCTGGAAGGGAAGGATGCAGCCGATGATGGGTGTCGCCTTAAAGGCTGATGAGGCGCTGGTCGGGCGCCCGAACTTGAACGTTCGTTCCTCAAGAGCATGCTCTTCTGGCACTGCGACTGGTGAAGCGAAGGCGACAGCGGTGAGGCCCAGGGAGAGGAAGGATGAAGTGAACTTCATGTTGAACTAGACGAATATGATGTTTTGAACGAGTGTGGTAAGAAAGCGAGTGTGATGTTGAAAGTGGAAGGGCTGATGGAACAACAAATTGCAGCGAGACAGCGAGGTATCTATACTTGCGCGACCGCCCCCGAGACCGTCCACTCGTGAAGCCTATACTGTTGCATTGTTAGTTTTGGGCACTCCAGCGTGGTCCAGAATGGTAGTGAGACGAAATGCTATCCAGATGAAGATTGAGTTTAACCTAAGCTCATTCGAAGCAGCCGAGTGCAGCACTAAGCTTCAAGCCATCAAGCATTCCGAGGCTCCTTAAAACAAGCAGGAGTCATACACAGCTTGGGATTGTCTTGAGTAAGTCAGCTTCTCACGGTGCTGAGATGTGCTTACCCTGTTTCGAGTGGTGAGATAGCGAAATGCCACAACCAGGGCTTCGATGGATATGTTGGAGCGCCTTTGTGAGTCGTGCCGTCTGGTCGCCATCATGTTGCCCGTCCAAAACACATTTGGGACGCGCTTCTGACCGTTGACAAGATGAGATACCGAAACGCACGGCGAGCTGGACGGTAGTCTGGACGAGGCCAGCGGAAGGTTCTTCTTCGGACACCATTCCAAATAGATGTTCGGAGGCCAACATGCGTAAAACGGTGCTTTAGCTTCAACCTTTCGATACAACAAGCATCGGCAAGGACAAATCTACGGTTGGTCGGGCTTGACTCTGAAGTGCGTTGTCCGACCCCTTTCGCCGACAGCTTATGCACCACTCCCAGCCTGAAGAGCTCGGATGACTTTCAGCGAGCTGTTTCGCGTCTGTTGCAGTCGAGTTTCATCTGCGCTTGAGGTTTTCCAGACGGAGGCGTTCTCATCCGAGTCGGTCATAGTCGAGCACAGTCGGCATAGGCTTCGACGTGCAATACCGTGATCATTTCATCGACTACTGGACTGTGATCAGCTGCAGTCTGACAAAATACAGTCAAGAGATCGCGCCATCGGCGGCATGCCTGTCGAAGGGTCGTATTCAACATGCGAGAATTCGAAATCGCAGGGGATCGAGTCTCCAAGGCTCACCAAAGAGCAGGTGCAGTCCAGTTGTCGGCTTTGTGGGCGGCGACGCCCGTCATGTAAGCACATGATGAGACTTGCTGCGAGCAGATCTATTTCGAGATGCTACCTAGGTAGAGAATCGTGAAGTGGAGGAGGAAGAGGAAAATCATAGGATCGTCCATCATAGGATCGTCAAATTAGAGTTTCTGCCAACCCTTTTAGGAAGCTGCTCTGTCCCTGCAGATACATGTAGCTACACCTGTCCTCCGCAAGCACGAATGCGTGTTCATGATCGAACGGCTACATGTCGCGCAATGTAGTCAGGCGCTCTCTACGGCTTCGGCCATACACATGTCCACAATGCCACCTACGCCAGGCGCCAGATGCTACCACGAAGCGGACATTTTCCCGGACTTCGATGAAACGACAGAGTAGCAACCTCCTCGACACACTGGAAAGCAGAGGACTCATCAACCAGATCGCCGGCGACCGCAATGCTCTCCATAGTCTTCTGCAGAGCAAGAAGCTCAGCTTCTACGCTGGCATTGATCCCACAGCTCCGTCCCTCCACCTAGGTCACCTTCTCCCACTCATGGTCCTCTTCTGGACCGCAATACATGGCCACAACGCAGTATCGCTGGTCGGTGGCGCAACCGCAAGGGTAGGCGACCCTAGCGGTCGGCTTACATCGCGCGCGGATACTGCTGGTGAGGTACAGAGAACGAACTTCAAGAGCATGTTCAGCCAAGTGGGGAGTCTATGGAAAACGGCCTTGCTTTACGCGGAAAGAAGTGGTAATGAGAAGGAGAAGATGGGCCAGCAGACTTTGCTAGACAATGCGCAATGGCTGGACGGACTGACTGTCCTGGACTTCTTGAAGATGCTGGGAAGTGGGATGAGGTTGGGTACAATGCTCGGACGGGATACGTGAGTGAGTTCCAACAGCGATTGTGGCACTGCGTAGGCATGGAAGCTGACGAAGACTCTCCCAGGGTCAAGAACAAAATGGAAAAAGGCGACGGCATGTCTTTCGCCGAGTTCACCTATCCACTTCTTCAAGGCTGGGACTGGTGGCATATGTACTCCAAGATGGGCGTGCAGATCCAGGTCGGGGGTAGTGACCAGTATGGGAACATAATTGCTGGGATGGATGCAGTCAAGCACATTGCTCAGGCTTCAGCTCCTGACGGCGAACAGCCGCAATGGTTAGATACAGAGGGCAGGATGCGAAGTGAAGACGCGCCAATGGGCCTTACTGTCCCACTTCTGACCACATCGGCTGGCGAGAAGTTCGGAAAGAGTGCTGGAAATGCGGTTTGGCTGGACGGAAGCATGACCTCGCCATTCGATTTATACGGGGTCAGTAACGGTCGTATGCTCGAACAAGACGGTGGGAATGCTAACGCGTGACGCAGTTCCTTCTTCGCTCCGCGGACGCTGACGTGGAGCGGTACTTGAAACTCTTCACGTTCGTCCCATTAATAACAATAGCGGAAGTGATGAGAGCACACTCGACAGACCCAGGAAAGCGGAAAGCGCAGCACCTACTTGCTCGCGAAGTCCTGGCTCTCGTGCACGGCAACGAAGTCGCCATGAAGACCCAGCAAGAACACCACGCCATGCGAAATCCTACCCTTGCAAGCTCTGGGCCCTATTCTGGTACAGAAAGTGGCAGCGTTGTAATTCCCACTTCTGAAGTCATCGGTCAGTCTTGGGCGAGGGTACTAGCAACGGCTGGTCTTGCAGCCTCGCGTTCGGAAGGCACCAGGATGCTGAAGAGCGGTGCTGTGTACACTGCATCAAATAGCGGCAAAGGAGCAACTTTGCAGTTCAATGCCGTCAACGACCCGAGAGTTGTCGTGGGCCGCGGAGATTTGGTCGATGGAAAGCTGTTGCTTAGGATCGGGAAGTGGAAGGTTAGGGTGGTCGAGGTTGTTGATGATAAAATTCGATAAAATTCCATAATCAGCATGAAAGCAACTTCTCACCTTCATGCACCCAGCTTCTTCAAACTTGTGGTTGGGAGATTTTGGATTGCTGTATCGCTATCTTAACGAGCACAGCCATTTTTCCTGCCGCTAAACGCCGAAGCGTATGCAGCGATCAAGGATCAGAGAATACTCTGTACCTTAAAATAACATTCGCTCCACACCACTCATCCTCAGCTCAGTCCCCGCGTCTAGAACTTGTTGAACTGCTTCACAGCCTTGCCCGTACGTGGCAGCACACGCAGCACATTGAATCGCACCTGGTTATGACATGTCAGCGTTCGTACCTCATTTGACTGTCTTCCCTTTCCATGTCCTCTGATGTCTGGCACTTACAGTCTTGCTCAACGGCCGGCACTGTCCCACAGTCACTCTGTCACCCTCCTCCACACGGAACGCTGGGCTGACGTGCGCTGCGAGGTTGTTGTGGCGCTTCTCGTAACGGGAGTACTTGGGGATGAAGTGGAGGTATTCGCGGCGGACGACGATGGTGCGGTGCATCTTGGTGCTGACGACGGTGCCGGTGAGGATACGACCGCGGATGGAGACCATGCCGGTAAAGGGGCACTTCTTGTCTGCGATCAGATGTGTTAGAGATCTTTTTCACGTCCATGCCTGTTGTCTTGTGCGCTCCCATATCTCAAGCAACCCCTCCCAAACGAAGACCGTGGGCGGCGACATACCAATGTACTTTCCCTCAATCGCCTGCTTGGGCGTCCTGAAGCCCAGTCCGACGTCCTTGAACCATCTCCTGCCGCCCTTGCCGACCTTCGTGGACTTTGCTGCTTTGCTGCCGCGCTTGTGGTTGGTGAAGATGTGTGGCTGCTTCTGGTAGGCGCGCTCGCTCTGGACTGCCAATTCGGTGGCCATGATTGCGGTGCTGAGCAATCTGGTGTTGTCGTGGGAAGTTGTGAGCCGGCGGCGATGAAGTAGTTGTTCGACGTGAAGCCCGCCTCGAATTTGTGCGGGAGTCTTGGCGGTGCGAAGTCCGCCAAGGTCGGAAGTCGCCGAAGGAAGAAAGTAATACCGGGGCCGGTTTGTTTACGTGTTGACCTGTAAGAGCGCCCCGCAAACGACTTCATCTCTCGAAGACATCTACATGCGCCACGACGGACTAACGACTGTATACCAAGTGGACCACCATGGCGGCCGCGGAGGACAAAGAGAATGTCGCGCCCTTCACGTCCAGCGACCCACTGCAGAAACGAAGCGGCAGCTCGTCACCGAAGAAGGCTGCTAGGAAAGGACGAAGCAAAAGTATCGGACCAGGAGGACTTGACGAGCCAGAAGCACCAAAACAGGACAGACAGGATGCGAAAACCAGGCGCAAATCTACCTACGTCCCAGCGACCAAGTCTATCTTGTCTACAGAGCAGGAGAAAGCTGAGCGACAGGCGGCGCGTCGCAAGACTCTAGCCAACAGACGCGTTTCTTTTGCGCCAGAGGCGACACTGCACACATGGGATGTCATCGAGTTCATGCGCGATCAGACAACATCCACAGAGTCATCCGAGGGCACGCGACGGGCCTCAAACTTCACGAGATCTTCGAATGGTGGCTCGCCCTCGAAGCGAACAACGAACGTCGGCTCGGACCCGCCGTCTACGCCACCAGAACAGGAAGATGAGCCGGATATCATACCAGCGTCGCCAGCACATCAGCGCGATTTGCACCAGAAGAAGATAAGGCGAAGCTCTGGAGCATCTTCTCAGGTCGACTCTAGCCCCAGCGAAGGGTCGTCTCCCAGCGGCGTTATTGTCAGCAGCGATGCGTCGGAAAGCGAGGACGAAGATGATGCACTGGGCTCTGACGACGACACTGGTACTGCTATGAGCCTGGACATGGTCGACGAGAATACTACGCAGTCCAACTTGGGGAGCGAGTTCAGCACCGGCTCGGTGGCTAGCTTAGACGCTCGTCTTAGGCTGGCGGCTGAACAGGCAGGAACTCGAGGCATCGAATACGATGAGTATGGAGATGCATCAATGGAACTCGCTGGGGAGGAGGTCACCAACGCATTCAAGCCGTGGATGAATCAGCACCAGGAGCCTATAGGTTCTGCTTCCCTGGACCAGGAAAATGTGAACCCGTTCTCGCCTGCTTTCAAGGCCCAGCTTGTCTCAGGGAGGGTAAGCCGTCCATCTACCGTACATGAGGAGGATACTGGCGATCTGAGCATGGACGTCACTCGAGCAGTAGGTGGCATTCGTGGTGCTGAACAGGAGCAAGATTCTCCGAGCTCTCAATTTGGCGACGGTACGATGGACCTGACGCAAGCGGTCGGAAAGATCCAAGGTCCACAAGCCGGCCAAAAGAGACGCCGATCGACAGCTGAGACAGGTTCGCCTCTGGTGACGGGGCCTGCAAGCCAAGCCAAGCGGCGACGCTCGTCAGTTGCACGCTCGTCGATGGGCGATGATACCATGGACCTGACTATGGCTGTTGGTGGTATCCAAAACGGTGGCTCTCCTGCCAAAGTGGAGCGTCGGAAGAGCGTTGTGCGCCGGCGATCCTCTGGCATTGCGTCGGAAGCGGACGATGGGACGATGGATCTGACGCAGGCTGTTGGTAGCATCAAGCCCGCCAGCAAGGCAGAGCATACAGCATCCAGCTTTGATGAAAATGAAGAACTTACTATGGAGCTGACGACTGTACTGGGTGGCATCAAAGCGGGAGAAAAGGTAGCTGCCGGCGAGAGACCGGCCACGCCACAGGAATCACAGTCACCAATCCGGAATGCTGCGAACACTACTCCTAAAGACCAAGAACGCTTCAGGGATGCATCGGACAGTGGGGCGAAGAAGCATTTAACACCGCTCTTCCAGAAACAGGTCATCCACTCAGTAGCGAAGCACTCTCCCGGCAGCAAGACAGTTTCTTCGGCCTCTCCCAACGTCCGGACGAGGGCGAGCGTGGCCTTTGCTGAGTCTCCAGCACCGTTCGGAGCGGCTGATGCACCGTCTGCTCCTATCAGTAAGACCACAACGCCGAAATCCTCACCGCCGAAAGCAGCAACTCCATCATTGAGCGCAAGCAAGTCTCCTGTACGCGCGACAGCCAACAAAAGCCCAGTCCGAGAGCGACCACGTACTACTCCAGATAGCGCGCTACGACAGCAATTGGATGAACAACTCCAGGATCCTGGAGCGTCGCCTTCTGCACTCAAAGTCCAACGAAGCTCTCCCATCAAGGCTGTGTCAACGCCAGACAAGGCCCAGGAGAGCTCGCAAGACGGCCGACGCTTGGCCGACTCCATCAAACTACTTTCCACGCCACGGAAGGAAGTCTTGAAGAGTCTCACGCCTAGGAAGCAAGCTCAAAGTCCGCCGAAGGCCGCCACACCTCGACCCAGGCCGACCCCGAAGAGCAGCAATGCCTCTCAGAAGTCGCCCGCGAAACAGCTGAACGAGGACATGAAGAGACTCCAGGACAATCGCGCGCAAGTCGAGAAAGTGCAGCTTCAAAAGTTCTTGGACTTGGCTAGTATTCGCTTCATGGATCTCACGACGACCAAACGAAGGATGACTACTGCCCCGACGCCTTCTAAAGCTCGTAAAGCGGATGAGGTCGAAGATCAACGTGAGGTCTCTTTGGAGTCAGCCGTAGTGGCTGGCTCTTGTACCGTTCCGGAGCTGGAGATGTACGAGCATGCATGTCATGAACTCAAGCGCTACATCTCCGACGGCAAACGCGTAATCAAAGAGCTCGACGTCGAGACTGCAAAGTCGACGCCACCTTTGTTGCAGGCATACCTGGCAGCCAGCCCAGGCAGAAAGGGTGCGTTGGATTCCCAGATGCGCGAGATCAAAACGCAAGCTCGACTTCGAAGTAAAGAGCTCTGGTATGCCTGGCGAAGCCAACTGCTCGAGGATTTGATGAGAGGCTTGCAGGGGATTGGTGAAGGCTTGATCAGGGATGACGAGGGTCTAAGTCATGCCGAGGAGATTCTGGAAAAGATCGTACCGGGATTGGCGCAGCAGTACGTAGCTTTGAAGGACGAGGCCGCTCGATTGGAGGAGGAGAGCGCTGCTACCAATGAAGAAGAAAGAGAAGAGCTGGAACACGCGAGGGAGCGACTGGGGAACGTCAGCGAAGAGGCCGATGAGAAAAGGAAGATGCTGGCAGACTTGCAGAAAGAGATGCAGGAACAAGAAACGACGGCCAACGATCTGGAGGAGAACCGCGCGGAGTTCGCGGCGGCTATCCAAGAAGCTGAGAGGGTGAAGGAGAGCTGCCGAAGCGTCTCTACCGCTGAGATCACCGCGCTGAAGGGCAAGTCATCTGTTTCATTCCTCCTACTCCGAGTCATCTCACTGACTCCATCCCAGACTCCATCGCCACGCTCGAGCGCACACATGGCTACACTATTCTCTCCGCGTCCTCCTCGCCACCCACCATCACCCTCTCCTACCGCTCCCAGCTCAAACTCTTCTTGCATCCTCTCGCTTTTCGCCTTCCGGACAAAACCAGTCGCGCCCGGCCTAATGCGCCTATTAGCTTGCACTACACAGGGGCTGCTCCGTTGACGACGACGCTGCGCTTCTTTCTGCAGCTGCTGCAGGCGAGCTTGCAAGCGCTGCCGCAATGCGAGACGCGGGTGCCAGACTTGCTGAAGCTCGTCAGCAATGGCTGGGACGCAGCATGCGAAGTCGCAGAGGCCGAAAGGAGGGTTGGGCTAGGGGCGTTGACAGAGGCTAAGATCCTCTCTGACGAACGGATGTGCGTGGTGAGCACGATCTTGCTGCCCAAAGTGCGGAGTAAGGTCAGGATCACCTTTGAGGTTTCGGCTGCAGTTGGTGGAGATCAGGATGGGTTGGCGTTGAGCACAACCGTGGAGCCTCATGTGGAAGTTGTGTACGGGGAGAAGTACAATGAGAAGAAGATGACCGAATTCGTGGCGAAAGCGATTGAGAGCCGGCTCGAAGGGTGGGACGGCGTGGTCAGGAGCTTGAGGGAACGACTTATCGCAAGAGGAGCGAAGGGCGGGAAGAAGTGACTGGCTAGGGTTCACTCTTCGGCAGGTGGATTTTGGATTATTGCTGGATGACGACTTGATACCCTTTTCTGTTGAATACCTGTCAATTGTTACCATGCCTAAGTCAAAGCTTTCCAACATTGCGGACGAGTCGAGACAGATTGATGCCCATGCTACGAGTCTCCAGAGTTTCAATGTTACACAACGTCTGATACCGTCAGGTGGGAATCGAGATCTATCGTCGCCGATCCTCATCAGACATCTGGTTGCGCGATTCATCGCTGCCGAGCTGTCAACATGCGAGAAAAAGAGTGAGGGTACCAGATCCTCGTGTGCCACACAGAAAAGGTGAGATGAAGTCAACCTCATCCAAGGTCCGAGCTTCATTGAGACCGCACCTCCTCCTGTGCTCCTCCTTCGCTTTAACTCTGCTCCTCAATCTCCTTGTCAACACAGCGGCTCATCTCGGAACGCTTGAAACAACACATGTTGCACCGGGTGTGCTTCACGGCTATCCACATCCTCGTATACGAGTTGCTCAGTCTAAGAGAGGGCCACTGAGAGGTTCGTCGCAGCAGCTAACGCAAGCCAGCTCAACGTGCAGCTCCGGTGCGGGCAGCATGGAAGAGACTCCACCCTTGCGCATGCAGCACCGATATTGCTTTGCGGCATGAGGTGCTGGACTAGGGACCGCGAGGGCCGCCGCTGGTCCCACATCGGTTCGGGTCGTACACATCACCAGCTGGTCACCTGACTTTTGTGTGACGGATCTCCCACCCCATTGGCTCTGACAACGCATCCAGCTTCTGCCCGCCTCGCTGTCTCAGACAGTTGGTATAGGTCGGCCAACGATGCTATACCCACTTGGCGATGACGTCCAAGGCTGATTGAACCTGCTGTCACGCAGACCGAGCAAGTCTGCAAAGGTTGGTTGAAGCTTTCCGATTTTCCTGTGCCTCTTTGCCACGTTCGATCCGCTATCAGCGTCGTGGTATAGCATACCCGGGCGTAGCACGCCTCTTCCTTAGCTTTCGCAGTCTAAAGATGCTTACCGAATACTTCCCCGCATGCTAGACTCTGCTGTCTTTCTTTCATACAATGGATTACGTCCCTCCCATTCACCGGCTGTCTAACGAACTGCTCAAACACATATTGGACCAGATCGAGCCGGATCCAGAACGGACAGTTCCCATCGATGACCGCCGCTTCATCTCCGTGGAGAGCCTCGAGATCCCGCCGCCGTCTTCGGACTCGATCAGAGACATTGGGAGGTTTAGAGAAACATGTCGCCGCTTTGCAGAAGTCGGCGCGCCCTTACTCTTCACTCTTGTCAAGGTGAGGTTTTCTGAAGATGGGCTCGATAAGCTGGAAACGTTCGCAGGCTGGAGTCATCTGGCACGGCATGTCAAAAAGTTCAGCTACCTCATGCCCTACTTCTACTCCAATGGTACGGTACTCCTCCATTCCCCAAGAGAGGCTACCTGCAGCTAACAGACATGTAGAGGAGGACCTGCGCGCTGTTGTGTCCCGGAACGGAACAATCAGAGCGAACGTGACCAGCCTACAGCGCAAGGCAAGTGAGCAGCAGAAGATCATTCGCTCCGGAGACGACGTGCGCATCCTGAAGAAGGCTTTCAGCAGTTTCAAGACACTACAGTTCGTCAAGTTACTACCTGTGGCGGAAGAAGAGGATCGACGGTTTCGGGAGTATGTGCAAATCCACGGCAGTGTCAGGGACTTCATCAACCACTACTGGGCTCCTGCGATTATTCATGGTTCAAGAACGATCGGAGCCGCATTGCTGGCAGCTGATGCCCCTTGGTCTCGCCTATATCTGCCAGTGGAAAGTGTGGAGAGCGTCGAGTTTCTTGCACTTCGGACACAGCCGACTTTGTCCATATTGGCCGCTCGTTTGACGTGCCTCACCCTGGTTTTCGACGAAGGCAATGATTTAGGGGAGGACATGACTGAGCTTTCCGAACTGTTCAAGACGGTTTTCACCAGCGCGAAGAATATGCAGGCAGTGCACATTGGCTTTCCAAGAAGTCGGCCTGTAAGCCTGCCGCTTGAAGCTGTGTTCCATAACGTAACATGGGACAAGGTACGGAGTCTGCTCCCCTCGGCATAACGGCCTGCTAATCTCATCAACTTAGCTCGTCGCACTCGGAGTCGCAGGCTGGGACCTAACGGCCGAAGAGATCATCAACCTCGCACTTCGCCACCGCGAGAAGCTAAAAGGTCTTCGGCTGAGGGACGTGCACTTGAAAGAGGGCGGGATGTGGAAAGACGTACTCCGAAGTCTCAAGCATTCTATGCCGCGCCTGCAATGGGTCAGCCTAAGGCGGATAGGCTACGTGCCGCAGTTTGAAGAATCAGATCCAGGAGGCGCCGAGGTTCCGGAGGACCAACCTTGGGCCCTGAGCGACAGCGACAGCGAATCTGAGGATGATGAAGACAGCACGATTGCGGGACCGAGCGAGCAAGGCCATTATACGAATGGGTACCATACCAACTCAAACAGCTTCACGACAAGCAATGGGCATGTCCATGACCACGACCACGACGACATCGATTCAGCGGTTGGTACGGACGACGAGCACGAACCCGAAGACAACGCTACAGAATTTCCCAACCTCGACTCGCCTACCAGTGCAACCGCACCACTCTTCGCCTACGAAATGGCTCACAACCCCGACCTGCCGAATGGGGACATCGACGACGACGGGTTCTCCGTCAGCAACGCCAAACGGAAGCTGTGGGAGCAGTGGGTCGTCGGTCAGACTTCCAGGCACGTTGCGCGGTGAACACCATCCTAATGGCCTACGGCAATGTCAAGCATAGATCAGCCATCGCCGCAGCACTTCAAGACCAGCGTACTCACCCGCTGCTTGCCGGCCGCTCATAGAGCAACGATTACCTCTGAGACAGTGGCTCTTCGGTGGATGCAAGACGCTTTCACTAATTCGCACCAACCGCCGCCTCGAGACCACGCTCTTCGCCACACTCGCGGACGCATAAACGACGTCCACCGCCCATCAATCCGATAGCCACTGGAGTAAAGCGACCTCACTTCATCCTCGCCAGACGCCAATTGGCCAGAACAAGCACGACGCTAGCTGGCGTTCAGTGTCGATGCCACGGATACCAGGTATGACGCGAGGATGTCGCTGGCAAGGAAGTTTCGACGACCTCACTTCACTCTCACTTCACCCTCTCCCCCCCCTCACCAGCCGCCTCGCGATTGGCTGCACCGCTGGCGACGCTAGCGGGCGTCCGCCTTCAGTGCCAAGGATACCAGGTATGACGTGAGTATGTCGCTGGCGACGACCTCACTTCATCGCGCCTCGTGAGTTTGGGGCGGCGCTAGCTGGTGTTCTGTAGGCACGCTGGGAAGGGCAGGAGGATGAGGTTTCGCCTTTTGAGGCTTGAAGGCTGGCGGAGCAGCGACCTTCATCGCTACTATGGTGCGTGGGATGCGAGGGATTAGAAAGCGAACGGCTGCAGAATCGTCTCGGGTCCGCGTTGCGCACTGTGAGGGGGTGCAGGCAAACATTGGAGCATCGCTATAGTGACCACAATAGCACACGCAGACATTAAGTGAATGAGCGGGGAGTACCGCATGGACAGACAATAGCGACACATCACATGGTATCATTTCGCATATCTACCTTACTTTCCCATCGATCTCGTTTCAATATCATGCCATGCATGCATTCACAGTACCAATCAATCTCACCCGCCGTATCCACACCCAAACGCCCGCCAAACCCATGCCCAGCACACAGCGCAGCACACAGCACAGCGATGAGAGAAACCAGCAGCAGTAGAAAGAGAAGTAAAAGTCTCACCCAATCGCACCGAACCAGCGCTCATCGAGCCCGGGTAGACATCGCTCGTCGTGGCCGCCGAGCTTGCCGTGCGCGCTGCCCTTGCCGGAGTTAGGTGAGTTGCTGAAAGAAGCGCGCTTGGAGTCCATACGAATGGCGCCGGTGTTGATGTCGATGTCAGAGGTGGAGGTGGCGGAGAGACCGGTGTGAGCAGTAGCAGCTGCAGCTGCAGCGAGGGTGTTGCCCGCTTTGCCACGTAGAGCTTTGGTGGCTTCCTGTAGAGACAAGGGTGGTTAGCGAAGGGATGATAAGGGTGGGTTGTGCAAGGCCGTGATGGTCCCCGTTCACCGCGTGGCTCGCAATCATGCCGGCAAACATATTTGGCCCGCGTTCATTTTCCAGCTCATAGAAGTGATCAATTCGCCACGACCAAACAAGTCCACATCTTTGCCGCCGCCGCCCAGCCATGCCCATCAGCCACAAAGGACAAAAAGAGAGAAAGAAGAGAAAAAGACCCACCTAAGCGTCCTGATCCAACCCCAAATCCTCCTCCGCCGGCACCACACGCAACGTATTCGTATGCCCCATCCCGCCGCGCCACCCTTGCACACAAATCACCGCCTCGCCTTTCTTCAGGATGCCCAGCTGGATCGCGTTCATGATGCCCCACTTGAGGCGCTTGTCGACGTCCTCCTGCCACGGGACGGTCTTGAAGGACTCCGGCTTGGCCTCGGGGTAGAGGAAGGGGTAGACGCCGCGGTAGAGGTGCGAGTAGCGCGAGGCGCGGGCGTTGCGCGTGACCATGATGATGGGGCAGACGGGGCGGTATTTGGAGATGAGGCGGGCGGAGTTGCCGCTGGGTTCGCGTTAGTACAGTTTCTAGGAGGGAGATGGACCTACCACTTACCTGGTGGTCAAGACAAGGATGGCACCGGCGTTCTGCTCCAAGCTCGCGCTGACGGCGGACATGGCGCAGGTCTCGGTGGTCGGTACTGGACGTGGGGCGAGCTGGCGCAGCTCGTCAAAGGCGTTGACGTAGGGGATGGCGACTTCTGCGAGCAAGCAGGTCTCGTGCATCATCGAAACAGCCTCCTTCGGGTAGTTGCCCTTGGCCGTCTCACCACTCAACATCACACAATCGGCACCGTCGAGGACAGCATTGCCAACGTCGCTCACCTCAGCACGAGTCGGGCGAGGGTTGTAAGTCATGCTCTCCAGCATTTGAGTGGCGCAGATCACAGGCTTGCCGGCAAGGTTACACTTGGTGATCATCATCTTCTGTGCGATGAAGACCTGCGCTGGTGGAATCTCAATACCCAGATCACCACGGGCCACCATGACACCGTCAGTGACCTCGAGAATCTCGTCGAAGTTGTTAACTCCCTGCTGGTTCTCGATCTTGGCGATGATCTGGATGTCTTTGCCGGAGTCGCCGAGGACGTCACGAATGTGCAGAATGTCCTCCTTCCTGCGAATGAACGACGCGAACACCATGTCGACGTTGTTCTTGACGCCGAACTTCAAGTCCGCCTGGTCCTTCTCGCTGAGCGCTGGGAGATCGACATCGGTCTTGGGAAGGTTGACACCCTTCTTGGAGGAGATCTTGCCGTTGTTGACAGCCTTGCAGCGCAGGGTCTTGTCGTCGACGACCTCGAGGACTTCGAAGGCGAGGACGCCGTCGTCGACGTAGATGGTGCGGCCCTTCTCAATGACCTTGGTAATGTTCTTGTAGTCGACGTACATGTTCTTGTTGTCGCTAGCGGTGGCATACTTGTCGTCGGTGGTGATGTTCATCTCCGTGCCAGCGCTGATCGGGATGTCCTCGTCGCCGGGAGTGTTGCCAGTGCGGATCTCCGGGCCCTTGGTGTCGAGGGCGATAGCGACAGGGCGACCGGCCAGCTCTTTCTCGGCCTTGCGGGCGTTATCGATGACGGACTGGTGGTAGTCATAGCTGCCGTGGGAGAAGTTCATGCGGACGACGTTGCAGCCGGCCTTGCGGAGCATGTTGATCTTCTCTGCCGAGTTTGTCTTGGGCCCTATGTGCGGGTACGTGGTTAGCATGAGCTTCTTTCGTGAGTACTGCTGGAGATGGACATACCAATGGTGCAGATGATGCTGGTGCGCCTGTAGACGCGCGCGGGCGTGTACTCGGTGTCGAGGTTGGCGATCCATTCGGTGCGCGTCTTGCCGTACGTCTGGTGGGCGTATGCGTCACCCATCTTGTCTGTCTTCTGGAGGTTGTTCCTGGTATGAAGCTCTCAGCTCGCCTGTCAGCCGCTCCTTCTTTCTCGGGCTCACGTGCAGTGAGGCACAGAAGGGTGGGTAGTAGAGAGTCAAATAGCGGAGAAGGGAGGTCGAACAAGTGGTGTGAAGTTATTGGTACGACGTGAGAAGACTACTCGAGTCGGTGAAAGAGCTGGATGCGTTGAAGGGAGTTTTTTGTGAATCTCAGCCAGCTTTCCAGCCCCACCTCCCTCCCTCGTGGCTGGCCTCAACGCCCTCATTGCATCCCACTTCTCCTGGACCACTCTAAAAGCAATACCGATACGCTTACTTCTGCTATTACGTCGCTCATTAAGAGACGGGGAGAATGGGGCCAGCTTCTTGAATATCGTTATCCACTCAATTGAAGACCTGTCAATCCATCAACCTCGAGCTCTCATTCGCATCAAAATAGCCTTTCTGGACCCTGCTGATTGCCGATAAGATCTCGGCTGCATCCGTATACCAAGCATCACACGACGACTCCACCCTCCAACCTCATCGCCGCTCCTCCTCCGCCATCCCATCCAGCATCCTCCAGCAGCACACTATCCCCAGCGCGCAAGGGGAAGCACCCACCCGCTCCCTGCGCAAACCACATAACCCGGCGCATCGCGCCCCCTTCACCACCACCACCTCCCCCATCACACAACAGCAACCATGGTCCTCGGCCGCCTCGCCCACTACACCTTCGACGCCGTCCTCATCTCCGCCTTCCTCGCCGGCGTCAAGCGCTCCACCGGCCTCACGTAAGTCCCCTTCTCCCCTCAATCAAAACAAACATCTCGTGTTTATAATGATCCCAATACCGCAGCCCTAGCATCAAACCCGACTCCTTCAGCGAGACGCCCAATCTGCGCAAGTGGGTGGAGAACTACCTCTGGGTGGGCGAGACGATTATGGATCAGAGCGTCGCGTTGATGAGTTCGAGTGGGTACTTTGAGCGGAGGAGATGATCATGTATGGAGGGAGGAGGGAGAGGGAGAGGACTGTTATTCGGGTAGGGGTTGAACAGACTCGCGTGGGGATATGGACGACGATGTACTGCAATAAGAGGACGGGATGCACGGCGTTGTCGGCAGGATCATTTGATGGAGGGAGGACAGTTACGGATTCCGCTTGGCTACGAGGGAGAGCAGGCGTTTTGAGGGGTCTGAGGCGTGGCGTGTCAATCGGCCGAACTCCTCACTCAGATGCTGCTTCGAGGCGGGTGGAATGCTTATTGAAGCGAGAACGTCTGAGAAGCGCCTTCAAAGTACTTCTGTGTATCATGGTCTCGTCTCATCTCGTTCTCAAATTCAAGCGCCCATCGTTCCAACGTATCCAGCCGTCAGGGTGACTTGCCCAGCCATCACAGGTACTAGTCTCTAAAGACTGCTCTGCCTCTTCTTCGCCAACTTCTCGCGAATCGCCGTACTCGACAACTTACTCTCAAACCCCTCCTGCACCTCCCCTCCCTCCTCCGCATCCAGCACATCCACCTCAAAAACCTCCAACGGCGCCCACCCCTTCTCCTTCCTCTTCTCATTCACCGCATCCCCTCCCTTCCTCGTCTCCGCCGAAATCACCAGCGCCGAAATCTGCTCCTCCGTAATCGTCGGGCCGAACGGATCCTGAATCTCCGTGCACTTCACCACAAACTCCACCGGATACGCCGTTCCCCAGACCTTCCCATTCGGACCGGGATCGTTTCGCTTGAACAGCTGTCTCTGCGCGAAGGAACCGGGTGTCTGGAAATCCACGAGCGCGTTGACGAAAGCCATGACGGATTCGAAGCGGGAGTCCCATGCTTCGAGCACTTCGGCGTATTTCTTGTTCACGAGCAGTTGGTCGCCTGTGATGCCGATGGTGGCGGTTTGCTGCTCGGCGGTTCCCAGGCGGAGCTGATCGCACGCGAAGATGGTCATGGTTAGGAGGAGCTTGTGGCCGAGGTGGATGTGGTCAAAGGTGCCGCCTACGGCGACGTGGGAGTGTTTGATGTGAGATTCGGTGGTGGAGGATGTTGAGGTCTCGTTGCCGGCGCTCTGATTGCTCGAGCGGTTCGAGTCGTTGATGAGGACTGGGCCACTCCGGACTCTGTCGAAGGACTCGCCGCTGCCTTTTGCGGCGACGAATGCTTGCACCATCTTCTCGCCTGATTCTGACTCGACGCCGAAAGCGTACTGCCAGGATCTCTGTGACCGTGCCAGATTCAACATTCCAATGACGGGGCCATACGGTGCTCCTTCTTGCGTCTTTAGTAGGTCTTCATTCGAAATGTCCGGCGACCAGGCAATCAGCAAGACGCGAACGTCAACCCCATCCTGGTCTTCGATGTTAACATGTTCCTTGGCCGCGATAGTGCATATCAGCTTGTAGACAGCTGCCAGCAGTGTCTGCGTCTCATCGTAAAGATCCGCTCGGGGCGTCTGGGCCTGGTTGACAAGGTGAGGGCAAGCTAAGGCGATCTCGAGGACTGCTGCTTTGGATGACTCCGAGGAGTGGGAGGCAACTTCTTTCAGTACTTGACTGAGGGTGTCCCCGAAGGCGGCTTTCAGTGCCGGCGCATTTGGAGGTGAGGGAGCCGGTGGGAGGAGTAGCAGGAAAGGTGATGGGTCCTTGGAGGCCATGGTAGCGAGGCGTGCAACCATTGTGCTCACATGTTAGGGCGATGAGGACCTGGTTGAAGCAAGATGTCCGTGAGCGATGGCCAGTTTGGAAGCTTGAATCGTCTTTTGACAACTAAATGTTAGGTTAGGAAGAGTGGTGGTCATGTTGGTTGCTACACCTCGGTTGGTCAAGCTACCTGAGACAGGCTATCCACCATCATGACCAGAATAGTCGCTGTCACATGCTCCGAACAAGTGAGACAACCCCCCTCCAGTATACTTTCACAGACCTATGCCACCGGCGCAGCATGACTTCTGAGCGAAGTCCGAACCGATTCATCTGGTCGCATGACACTGTGTAGGCAGCATTCCTCAAGACCATGGAGAGGTAGGCCAAGGACATTTACTTTTCCTGCAGTGGGATACAAACTCACCATGTCAAACACCAGATCCCTCTTCTCCCGGGGCGGCTCTCGCAAAAATGACCGCCTCTCCAGCTCCAGCCACGAGCTGCCGCGCTGGAGGACTCCTTCGCCTATGGCCGCCTCTGTCATCCCTCCGCCCATCGTCCAAAGCACCTACGCGCTTCCGCAAAGACATGCGGCGCAACCCGTGGTCATGAGAAAGCCTACGCCTCAGCAAGACCGGCAGAGCGAGCTAGAAGCAGATCTACAGTACCTCCTCGACGCGCAAGCAGATGGCCTACTGGGAGGACTGGAGTCCGGCGTCTCCGGCTTGATTGATGATCGGGCGTCGAACGGGAGCACAACACCTACTGCGCAAAGTGTACGGAGCACCTCTGCAAGAACTAGCGTTCGACGGAAACCTGGTGTTAGAAGCGCGAGGAAGGGCATCCACAACTCTATTGTCGCGCTGTCTACGGTCAAAGCAGAGGAATTGGAGGATATTGACGATGAGGTACGCTCGCGAGATCAGACGATTGAGAAGATCGATGGATGGCAGGAGAAGAGGCAACGACTGCGGGAAGCGTCTAAGAATCTAGACTCCAACGAGGACACCGTGCGCAGTCAGAGGCTACGGCAGGAAGCAGATGTGTTGCAGGAGGAGATCAACCACGTGGAGCTACAGCTGGCGGACATGAAGGCACGTCAAAGAAAGCTGTTGCGAGAGGTCGCGGCTGCTGAGAACGCGGTTCAGGCGAAGATGGCATCGTATACGTCAAGTCTGCGGCTGCTGGAGGAGGAAGTGCAGCAATACCTCTCGACGAATCCAGGAACCCCAACACCCCAGCGAAAGTCAGACGCTCAATCTGCGACGGTATGGCAGCTACCTCCCAAGCGCCGGACCCTCGACATGGCCAAGCAGTACTGGAGCGACGAGCGGAGCATGTCCGAGCAGCAGCGTGAGAGCGTGAGACTTGAGAAGACAGCTCTCGACGAAGGCGCAGTGATGTGGAAAGAAGCGGTGATTTCGATTTCGGATTTCGAACGTACTCTGCGCATGGATATGGCCAAACAAGCCGAAGAGCGTACGGCTCCCGGACTCTCGGCTAGCAGCTCGCCGTTGCAGCACGATCAACGCTGTAGCCACGAGGTGCTGGAACAAATGGACCGGCTCATCTCCGCTCTGCAAAAGAAGTTCGAGCTAGCAAGAGAGCGTAATTGGAATCTCCTTATCGCCGCCATCGGTGCTGAGATAGACGCTCTTAAGCAAGGTAGACTGCTCTTGGGAGGTGAAAGCGCATCAGAGGAGCCTTCAGACGAGCAGCCTGATGCAGCGCAGAGCGCGTCTCCTGATCATGATCTCGATCTCGGTTCGGAAGATGAGTTGCAGGCATCAGCGCAGAGCTCCGCGACGGCCAGGAGGCACACCAGCAATGGCGTGGCTCCAGAAGATGATCCCGACCCTGAGCTACTGTTCTCCAGGCATGACTTGGACTCGGAGTGATGCTGTTCGCGACTCCTCAGCCTAGATCCTAGCATCGTAACCAATATCATCGTTCAACTATCAACTTCATTGGCGACCCATGTCTTGATCTTCTCCTGCAGAGCTTGCATCACTCCCGGCTCGTGCCAGAAGTGACCAGCTCCCTCAATCTCTTCCCACGTGAAGCTCGACTTCGGAGAAGCGGACAGCTTTTCTGCCCATGCCTTCAGACGCTTGCTGGCCGTTAACACGTCGGATGAGCCGAAGAGCGCCAAAGTAGGGTTCTTGATAAACAAGTCACCAGCATGGGTGTCTGCCTCCGAACGCTTGCGTAAGCCAGCGAATACTGAGGGCGGTCCAGGGGGTAGAAGTAGGCTGGTGAAAGGTAGCAGGACGGGCGATATGACCAGGTATCTCACAGTCAGAGCAGGGGCAGGAGAACGTGGTGAAGCCGCTACAGGATTTGATGTGGTCTCGACTTTGACGCCGTTCTTCGCTGGCAAGCTCGACCCTCTCATATGCGCTTTGATGCGTCTAGGAGTCTCAATGCTTTTTCGAACAATGTCGTTGCTTCGCCTAGAATCTCGACTGCGTCGTCGTGACGATGGATCGCTCTCTTCTCCTCCAAACACGATCGGCGATGCACCCACGCGCTTGCGGGGGCTTGTGGCCACGTCGTTGGGATCGAGCTGACGTCCTCGTTGTGGTGTCGCGGGGCTCTCGGCTTCCTGCAAAGCATTCCTGTTCTGCTCTGCCATGGTCTTAGCGCGGAGCACTATCTCTGCTGCTGCGGTGCCGGTTTGGGCGTCCTCAAAGCGTCGAATAATGCTTTGGACGGGCGGCAAACGAGCGAGAATTAGCGAGCCGTAAGAGTAGCCACCCAATATGAGTTGGACTGCTGTAGTGTTGTTGAGTGTAGTGGAAATAGTGGAAGTGCCCTTGCCGCTCATATCTGTGATGGATTGAATGGGCTCAAGTTGATCCGAATCCGGCGTAATCGCCAGCCCACGGAGGTAGTTGATCATGAAGCCAGCCAAGGAGACATAGTCGTCTTGCTCTGCCTTGCCTGACCATGTAGTATGGCCACCGGACTCGCCTGCTCCTCTGCAGCTATTGTCAGCGCAAGCAATTTGGATTTCGTTGTTCACGAATACGATACCGAAAGTTGAATGTGCCCACCACATATCCTTCGCCTAACAGAGTCTCTGCAACAGAAAGCACAACAGGGTCGTCATAGCAGCCCCCAAGCGGGGCATATGGGTGCGCGACAATCGCTCCTCGACGTCGCGAATGTCTCTCATCCTGAGGCTGAAGACGGGCTCCGAAAGTTTTGGGATGGTAGACGCGACATTGTAGAGGCAGGTCATCGGCGAGCGAAGGAACGGTGAACGCGTAAAAAGGCTCTGGGTCCGGCATGCTTTGTTAGAAGTCTCATGTTCATGTTCACCCGGTACTGGGCTCAACTCTAGTGGCTCGTGTGCTGCGTGTCCCGCACAGGGTTGTTGAGATTTGTATATGGCAAGAGGAAGAGTAGATATGAGAGATCGCGCTTGCCAAGCGAAGTCGCTTGTGAGACAACGACTACGTGCACATCCATTGCCAGCAGGACAAAAATTCGATGGCCCAGGAAATCGTCGCTCTCTCATGAGATGATGGTGTTTATACAGTCTCGAAGCGAGCAGTCATGATACAACAAGCTTGTCCCAAATCTCCGTCCCTCCTCACGCGAAGCATGCAGCCTCACGCTCGCGCAGTACGCATGCTATTTTCCAAAGACCTCCAAGAACGAGAACTCTGTTCAGTACATCCAAGGGATATGATTAAAGCGCAGCCAACGCAACAACCCCAGCGCCCACCGCACCAACCGCACCAACCCACGACCTGCCAGTCATCTCTGCGGCTCCGCCCTCACTCGTGGGCGTAGGCGTGACCGTCGTCGTCTCTTTGACAGTCTGCTTGGCGTTCTTCTCGGTCGTCTTCTTGTCCTTCTTGTCCTTTCTGGTAGCGGTAACATCAACTGCTTGGTACGAGATATCGCTCGCAGCGACCGTTGCTTGGGTCTGCCGAACTTGTCCACCATCGTGAGCATTCTGGTTGCATGTCACGGGTGTGTTTGTTAGTGGGCAATCGATCACGACGGTGCTGTGCTGGGTTAGAACAGTTCAAGGCCAGGACAGCTGGGTTGGAGGCATACCCTGAAGTGGCGCCTGAAGTCGAGGACGTCCATCTGGCCAGATCCGTGCCTTCGGTCAAAGTCATCTTAGGTGCAATATCGCAGTCTGGCTGGGCGGTTGGGCAGTGGAGGACGTATGTCGTTCGGTTGTTGTCGGGGTCCTGAGCTGGTCAGTGGATGCCAATGCGTTCGGCATGGACGGTGAAACTTACGATAGCAAAGATGGAAGCCTGTGGGACACCAGTGATGGTTTTGTATGGTATCTGTGAGATCATCTTAGCATTGCTCATATCACTCCTCGTCCCTTGCCTCCAAATCCATCTACACGCTAAGGTATCTCCTAACTCTCAAACCGTCGCGTTGCCAGCATAGCAACGCGTACTCATGCAACAGAGTAGCTCAAGACTGATTTTGAGGTCTTTCGAAGCACGACGCGAAAATAAAGCGACATACCCATAAGCTACGCGTCCCCGTCCCTCCTGAGAAGTTGATCTTCTGCGCGGCCACCAAGCCCACCAAAGCCAGCAAAGAGATAATCGACTTCATAGTCGAGACTTCCCAACCTTTCCAATTCCGATTAGATGCTTAAAAGAATACCAGAAAGTGTGACTTCGATGAAGAAGTGATGTTGTTTCTTCCACTCCTTCGGAAACCGGGATGAGTTGGGACGTGCGACGGCAGGAAGCGAGGACACGGGCCGAATGCATATGAGTAGACCTCTAGCTGCAACAAGTACAGCAGCGGGACGACGGCAACTGACAACAGCGCATTGGAGGAGCATTCAAGGCTACAGCAATGCTACGATACCGCGATTCGAACCCATCAAACGCCACGCTTACATCACAAAAACGCATCGTCGTCCATGCCTGGCCCTTTTCGTCGCTCTGCCATATACACCAGATACTCATACCACATCATCATCATAACTTGATCCCCCAAACCCCTCTCCCAGCACTCACGCCCAGCCAATCCCCTCCCTGGCCCGTCAGCGCACTCTGCGGCGCCCACGAAACATTCGCGACCTCGTACTCGCACCGCCAGCTCGCTGCAGGGCCTTTCGACTGCACCTCGGCGCCTTGCGCAGCGCTGTTGCCGTTCAGAGCAGGGACTGCGGGCTGGTTGCTGGAGTTGAGGAGGTCCCAGACGAGGACTAAGCTGTCGTCGGCGCCGGAGGCGAGCATGCCTCTTCGGCTGGGGTTCCATTCGATGGTGTTGAGGCTAGCTTGGTGGCCGCGGAGTTCTAGCAGAGCGGCGCCGGGTTGTCGGACGTCGAGAATGCGGATGAGGTTGCTGTCGGAGGCGAAGGTGGCGAGGAGGTGGGCGTCGTGCGGTGAGGCTGCTAGTCTTAGTAGAGGAGGCGCAGGTACGCCTGGTGTTTTGGAGGGAGAGGATGAGCTAGGTGATGATGCTAGAGACAAATTCAGCGAAATGCTGAAACTCGTCAGTCTCGGAGTTACTCACATTTGTCAGCCTTCTCTGCGGGCTCGTAGATGATGGTCGAGTGCTCCAGACTTCTCAAGTCGAACATCCTCACACTGCCATCTGCCCCACATGAAACGAATACATCCACTGAGCCTGCGCAGAACCGCACATCGAAGACCTCCTTGTCGTGAGCGATGAGCTGCGTCTTCGCTGTCAAGGTAGGAATGTCCCAGATTGTGCAAGTGGTGTCGATTGATGAGGTGATGATGAGCTTGGGAGAAAGGGTGTTCCAATCCAGCGAGGTCAAAGGCGCGGTATGTTCAGGAGTCTTGCTATTCGAGAGCAACGCCAGGGGCTGCAGTTTCTGCGGCGGCTGTTCTCTCGTGTTCGATGTTGCGCTTCGATTGATACTGTTCCCGGGAAGTTGGGATGAAGATTGCTGCGGCAGACTCCATAATCGTAGATGATCACCGCTCGTCGCTAACAGATCCGTACTCTGCTTCTGCGAGCTTGGCGGCTCCCATAGTATCCTCGTCACGGGGTATGCGCAGGTCGCCTCTGCCACCTTCGTATACTCCAACCCATATGGCACGCCTCCGGGCGACGTCACCTCTTGAGGTGTGATGTGTGTGTCCAGGATTTGTATGAAATTGTGCGGATCTTCAAGGTAGCTTCCCACTGCCATTTTCCCTGCCCCACTGCCGCCATTCAGCAATGGCCATTTGCACCAGTCATATGCGTAGGTCGGGAAAGGTGCAAGGTAATTCGAATTCGTGGGAGCGTCAGAATAGCTCAGTAGCGTCGTTGTGCCAGCCGCACCATCGTTGGCGTCCGAGACCGCTCGTGATCGAATATCGGTGAGGTTCAGAGGACTGTGGGAAGGACCAGTAGGAGTTTGAGTGTGTGAGAGATTGTATGCTTTCGGATTCGAGGTGATTGGTGTCTGTGTAGGGGTTTGGTTGAAAGGGATATATCTCTGCGCGCCATCCATTCCTGAAGGACTACTTCGCGAGTGGCTATGCATGGTACCTTGCCGAGAAGGAGGTTGGGTATATTGTTGCGCATTCGTATGTATGTGCATTGTCGGGACGGTGTTAGGTGCAGAGTAGGTGGAGGAAGGGTTCGGTCGCTGTGCACCGCCAGCGGGTTGTAAAGCGCCGGGTACGTTCGACAAACCTGCGTTCGAAGGGACTACGCCGAATGCTGAAGAATGGGAGTTCTGTGGTGTGGCTTGCTGGACATTGAATGCTGGTCCTGCGGAGTAGGGCGGTTGTTCGTATGACTGCTGCTGCTGCTGCTGCTGAGGGGTATAGGTCTGCTGCAAGGGTGGTGCGTTCGAAGGTATGCGGAAGTCTTCCGACTGTCTCTGCGTATGTGTTCTCCGTGGAGTATTGAAGGGCTGGTCGGTCGTCACTGGCGCCGACATTGGCGGCGCTGTCGACGGATCGAGGCCGAGTCTGCTGTTGGAGTGGAGCTGGTTGTTGGCCATGTCTCCTTGGCCCTGGCCGCTTCTTCCGTAGGCTATCGAGTCATTGGCGTTGACGAAGGTGTCCGTACCTGCGTTGGTCGTTCCGGAGGCTATTGTGCGGAGTCTTGCGATCAGTTCTCATCGTTTGACCGTTGGACAGCCTGATTAGCACCAACCTAAACTTTGGAGATTGGGGGCGGCGATGGCTCCTGCTCCTGCGGATTGAACAATGCCGGCTGCGAGATTGGGGAGGTTCTGGTTGTTCCGGTGAGAGTGAAAAGGCATTTTGTATCGAAAAGCATTCTTCAATGTGCGACAGGACGTTCGAATAGCCTCATATCTTGTCTTGTTTCACAGCATGCCCGCCCTCACTCAGCGCTGCGGCAAGCCCATGCTCCGATGCTCGGACCCTGCAGACAAAATGAGTCCTCTTCGAACTTCAGCCTCTTCTTCGAGAACTTCATTCTGTTCACATGCAGCATGAAAATCACCATGTGCCGGTGACAGCGCTCGCCTTCTACAATGACAGTGTGCTACTTGCGGGACAAGGTAACTACCTGCATGCGTACCAAATCGCGGACAAAACACTGGTCGCAACGCAATTGGTCTTCAAAAGGCAGGCCATACATGGGATCATTCTGAACGAGGAGGTTCCCTCGACAGGATTGATCGTTTCCTCGACAGGACTTCTCTGCGGCGGGTCACTATGTCGACGCTTCGACGTGAGATGGAGCGGCTCCAAGCTCGACGTTGTGCTTCACGAGGTCCTTGATGTCCAGGACTGGATCCTGGATGCATCTTTTGCTCACGCCTCAAGGACTGTGGCAGTAGTCACTGCTCACAATGCATTGTGGCTGAACGCATTCCGAGATGCCAATGAGGATGGCCGAAGTACCTCTCATGAACGTCTCATACCCGGGTCTAATTGCATCCTGTACTCGGCCCATGTCAAATGGCTGAGTCCTTCCACATGTCTCATTGCTGCCGGCACAGCGTTCGGCGATATCATTCTATGGTCTGCCACCCTCGAAGCATTCTCAGGCAAGTGGTCCGCAGAGAGCCAGATTCATTTCACTTTCCCTGCTCACGCTGGTTCTGTCTTCGGTGTTCAAATCTCACCATGGGTCTTCCTCCCCGGTTCAAGAGAGCAGCAGAGGCTACTGGCGAGCTGTAGCGATGATCGTAACATCAAGCTCTGGGGTGTCTCCGATTTGTCTGCCAGGAGCCCAGCCCTTACGCAGATCCAGCACGAGACTGGGTTCAACGCAAAGCCTGAACAAGCCAACAGTACGGCTCCTCCACTGATGGCTAAGGTCATGGGACATATCTCTCGAATATGGCACATACGGTTTGGTCTTGTGGGAGCAGACTCCGCCTTGAAAACGATCCGGTCTTTTGGAGAAGATGCGTCTTGCATTCAGTGGGATCTAACAGCTGAATTTGGGAGCGACCCTTTGCCGTATGCCCTGAAGCAAGCCAACCTTGCCACAGCTCATGCCGGCAAAAACATCTGGACGATCGCCTCTACGGCTGCTGGGATGCTCGCGACTGGTGGTGCTGATGGTGCTATTGCGCTCTACAACGCTGGCCAGACCTCTCAATGCTCTCGATCGCTACTTGAAGCCTTGGACAATGATGATACCTTGAAATCGTACGGCTTCGTTGGCCATGATACTCTGGTATCCACAACATGGCAAGGACGAATACTGCTGTTGGACCTGTCCTCTACAGGAGACATGAAGGTCTCCTCAATCTCCGAGCCAGTCCCTGGACTTCGAGGGTACTCGATCGTTGAAAGTGTCGCTGATGCTGCATTCCTGGCAGGTATGGACGGCTGCGTCTATGCGTACGGATCGGTCACTAAGCAGCTGTCGAAAGTTGCGGAGACTAAGAGAAAGACGGCTGGATTGTTCGCCTGCCGTGATGTCTCCGACACAGTCTACCTGCTCATCACGACCGTAGGTGAGACTTCAGCCAGGCTGCTTTCGCTCGACGCCTGCAATGGAAGTGTTGCGGACGTGCCGGCTACAGATGCAACACTTGCCCTTCCTGTCGGCTTCATCGTCACAGGCTTTACCTTCTATGCGACGGGAGACGAACGCTATGCCATACTCGGAGCGAGAAATGGCTCCATGGCTGTCTTTGCTCTCAGTGGGGGGTCGCCGGATTTTGTTCCGCCGGTCCACGTGTTCGACGAACTGCATAGCAGAGAGGCAGTAACGTCTCTTCGCTGCGTCACCACCGCCGCCGATGAAGGACAGACCTACGTCCTCTCCACCGGGCGTGATGGCACCTTTGCCATACACCGTATGCTCTTCCATCCCACGGGCGTCGAGATCCGCCTCTTGCACCAGCTCCTACTGCCCTTCGGACCCAACATCGAGGCCCTACATATCACCCCCGAAAACGATGTCTGGGTCTGGGGCTTCAAAAGCAAGCACTTCACCGTCTACTCCATCTCCGCCCAGCGCGAAATCATGACCGTCGACTGCGGCGGGGCGCACCGCAACTGGACCTTCCAACCCACCGCGTCCGGCGGCACGTTCATCTGGACCAAAGCATCACAAGTCTACCGCGAAACCCAAACGTCCCTCCCCTACGACCTCCTCAACACCGGCAACCACGGCCGCGAGATCAAAGCCCTCGCCATCACCCCTCCATCCACCGCACGCCAGATCCTCGCCACAGGCGCCGAAGACACGGATATCAAACTTTTCACCCTCGCCAACACCAACGAGTTCGAATGCATCCACACGCTCCGCAAACACAACACCGGCATCCAGGACCTGCAATGGTCTTCCAACGGACACTACCTCTTCTCCTCCGGCGGCTTCGAGGAGTTCTTCGTCTGGCGTGTCGAAGCGGGATTGCCGTTTGTTGATCTCGGCGTCGTGTGCGAGTCGAAGCATCCGAGGAGCGGGAGGTCGGATTTGCGGGTTATGGGGTTCGAGGTGAGCGAGGAGCGGGAGGGGTTTGTGGTGCGGATGGCGTATTCGGATTCCACGGTCAAAATCTGGCGTTACGCGGGTAGGACGTGGAGTCTCCTCGCCTCAGCAGACTATCTAATCGCCTGTCTGACGAACATCATTCCCCTTCCAAGCCAAGGTGACGACTTCCTAACCACAGCGACGGACGGCCATATCACGCACTGGTCCCCGCAACCCCACCTCCGCTGGACGTCCAGACATCGCGTCCACCAGAACGCCATCCTCGCCACAACCTCCTTTACCCTCCCAGACGGCGATCGGTTAGTGGTTACAGGCGGCGACGACAACGCCATCGCCTTCTCCCTCTTCACCTCCGACAATCAACTCCACACCTCTATCCTCCGCCGCGCGCACGCGGCTGCTGTAACCGGTCTCGCGCTTATACCCACCAACGACACAACGGCGGAGTTCCGGTTGGTGTCAGTGAGTATAGACCAGCGCCTCAAACTGTGGTCTATCTCGATCTCAGTCAAAGCTCAGCTCGCCGGCACGGCAGGAGGCACGGTAGAAGGAGAATGGATGGAAGTGAAAAAGCTACAAGACGTCTTCACAGCGGTGGCGGACGTCTCGGGGGTCGAGGTGTGTAGACTCCCCGGCGGGGGGACGGGGGTCCTGGGTGCCGGGGTGGGGATGGGGGTGTGGCGGGTGCCGCCGTCATTGCTACTGTAGAGGACGGCGGCATCGTACATGTACATGTACCTCCTTAGAAGCGCGGCGCGGTGGACGGCATAGACTGTACAGTGGAGCAGGATAAGATGATTTGAACAGTTCGATATTCTTCTTATTCACCCCCCTCATCACCACCCAAACATCTACCTTTCAGGTTACTTCTTCTACCCAACCCAAATCCCCCAATCCCCAATGCATGCACATGGTATCACCACCCACCCACCCACCACGTCCCCATTCCCAGTCCCAAAAGAACACTAGACACTAAACACCAAAAGCCGCCGCCGCCGCCTTAATAAACTCATGAACCCCGGTGAGAACGCCTCGCCAAAACCAAAAAACGAAAGCCCCATGTCCCATGAACCCATCCCAAGCGGTCGTCAAAAAAGTCCCGTCGGCTCCCAGTACGGGGGCACAGTACCCCCGTGACCCGTGCAATATGCATACCGTCATGCATCACATCAATAACGCCGTCAATCCAGTTATGATATTCTTGAATTTTGCCGCGCACTCCCTCCCCTCCAAGCTATTGCGAGTGCGCGATGTGTGTGGTGTAAGACATAGGAGAAAGTCCTTCCAGTGAGTGCCGTGGAGTAAAAGTGGTAATGATAATGTCCGAATCGTAATGATGTTGTAGGAAGAATCGAAAGTGCCGCTAAGCCACAGAAGCGCCGGAGCTAGATCGTGGTCGAGATGGTGTGGTGTGTCGTACGCTCCGCAGTCGCAGGTCGGGGAGGTGAGGTGTCGTGTCTCATTGCTGCCTCTGTTCCCGACCCTGGTCTTGCGCCGCATTATTCGGCCCGCCCTCGCCTCGTCTCCTCACCCACTCTCTCGCCCCCGACTGCCGGCCCTCCGCAGCCTTCTGCGCATCGGGATCCCCGCGCTCGCTTCTCCGTCCCCCTTTCCCGCCCTTCGCATCCTCACCACCCGGCGATAACCGCCCAATGTCGTACGCGAGCGCCTCGATGATGTTCTTGCGGAACTCGGCGTCTTCCTTCATGTCCTCGGCGTTGAGCTGGAAGCGCTGCTTCTTCTCCATGTCCTTGCGGCGCAGCGAGTTGATCTCTTGCACGATGTGTGCCAGGACGCCCTCGGGGCATTTGGCGCGCGGGACGGCGTGTTCGGTCTGGTTGCGCACGTAGCGGCGGGTGACGTCGACGCAGCCTTCGGCGCTGAAGGCGATGCAGTAGGACATTTTCTTGCCCCAGCCTGGGATTAGAGTTAGTGGCTGCATGTGGTGGCAAACTTTGAAGCGCAAAACATACCTTTGGCGTAGAGGAGGGGCGCATCCCACGCTTCTTCGCAGCAGTCGACGTGCACCCATCGTTTGCGGTGGACGCTGTAGATTTCCGTCCAGACGTGGTCTTCTGCGTTCCAGATCCATCGTACTCTCCCGCCCATGGCTCGGCAGAGCATGCTGAAGCAGTTTGCCCACTCGCCGCATCGGCCTTTTCTTGTTTGCAGCAGAACGAATGCGTCGTTATATCGTGGGAAGCGCTCGAAAGACTGGCACTGCATGTTGGCGCACTTGTACAGCTCCACGCGACCTGCACCTCGGGCATGTTCATCCGGTAAAGGATGCGCCATGCCGTGCGCAACAGTCGGTGACCGGCAGGTAGAGCATCGGGGGTTGTTGATCCATTCGAAGAAGTCGCGCTTGAACCACTTCAGCAATGCGCGGATGACGCAGTCTTGGTAGCCCCATGCCGCTTTCGTGTTTGGTCCCAATGATTGAGCTTCTGCCTCGAACAGGTCCGACTCTTCTTGCGCCTCGTTGTATATGCGCTCCAATGGCACGACGGATAGCGCTTCGTCGAGTAGTCCAGGGTTCTCCCACTTGCACGGTGTAGCCGAGAGCGTGAGCAGCATGTTCCGAAAGCGGAAGGACTTCGGATCGGCTGGGGGTGTAGGTACGATGGGCAGGTATTTGAGCGACGAATATGAGGGAGGCGGTGGAAGTGGTGGTTCGGATTGTGGTGGTTGTGGGGCGGCTCTCGAGGGTAAGGGTGGAGGGGCATGGCTCGATGCGTCGGTGGCTGGCTGGGAAGGCGGTTGTTGCTGCTGCGGGTCGACGACGACTCGCCGTCTCTGCGATCCCGGTCGACTGCTCAGCTGGTTCATGCGCTTGGTGGAGAGGGTTCGGCGGAATTGGGATGTCAGGTCGGCGGCCCAGGTCTCGGGCAATGGCTGCTGCGAGGATTGCGATCTCGGGACGGGCTTTCGGCGAGGCACGCCATTGTTGTCTGCCATATTTGCGATTCTGGCGTGCGGTGGTGGTCGGCCGTATGAGAGGGTGTGGGCGGCAGGTGGAAGAGGGACGGCGGAGGTATTGTGCGAAAGTCTTCGGGCGCTGTTCTGGGGTTGGCGCAGCTCGGATGCACAGCCTGCACAAGCCTTCGGGTTCCTGCTCTGCCCGCCTCGATGTCGTCGTCGCGCACTGTCAACCGGTCGCGATACTCGACAAACTCGCTCACGGCGACGGCGGTAGAGGTGTAGTGGGCAGATTCTGGCGTCTCGGAGGGGTGGAGGAGGAGTATAACGGGGTGGATGAGGGTTGGCCTCTGCATCCACGCGTCTTGCCCTCGAGCTGACGAGTTCAGACGACGCTAGCACTGAATCTGGCCTGCCGCGCAAGCAGGCGAGGCAGTCCAACCGCGACGACGCTGCAGGCGACCGTTGGTTCTCGTCCTACTACAACTTCCTCCTGGTTTGCCTCTGAGCATATGAGGAGAGACTCGTAACAATTCTCGCTCTCGCCTTGCGTGTCTTCTACCACGTCTCTACGAGAGTCTGACAAAATGAGCGCCACACATTCGCAACCTGCCAAGCCATGGAATCTGTGGAGCAGCAGCCTCCAAGGTTTTGCTTCTCCATCTTTGCCCTTCGCAAATCGACATCCATTGGGTCCACCTGCTGTTCTCTTGCTTCCTCGACAGCATATCCCATCCTACACGATCCCCTCGCCTGTCGGACACTCCACCGCTGTCTCTCGTCCGCGGGCTCGAGGCGGGCTCCGTTCGACTGACTCGTAGACATCTCCTTTGCCACTGTGCTGACTGCCACGCGGCTGCATTGATCATCCACGACGATCTCGGGGAACACGCTGGCCAGACTTTCAAAGGCGCCAGGGATTAACGTTGATCAACAACAGCATCTCATGCTCTCACTGATATGATGAAACTCGTCCCTCCACGGTCTCTGGTCAAATCCAAAGGAGAGACCCGTTGAGCCGCGTTAGGTGCCAGGCGGTCAAGCAAAGCTACCCTGGGCTGTTGTCTAGACCACATCGACCGGTGAGAGCCTTACTTCTGCCTTGCCCGCCTTGCCTACGAATCATATCAGTCGCATTATAAGTAGCCAAACCCGCAAGCCAACGTCGCCTGGTCGCCTTGCTGACTCGACACTACACTGGTGCACTGGGAAATGAGTTTGATACAAACACAATTGTGTCTTCCCGTCACGGCGAGCAACGTCGAGTCTTGAGCTCGTGAACGGTAGGTATCAGCCAAGGTGTACAGTAAGTCCTCGCGTATCTACATCTACTGTCCACAGCACTGCCCGACACGTTCACCATCTATGCATATACTTCATTCACCACATCTACTGTCCAAAATACTACCAGGCGAACGTTCCACGGTCGGACGCAGCAACAGAACCCACCGCCGTCAGACCTCCGCGACTGAGACAAACTTGAGGACCGGCACAAGCCTCGCCAGAACGCCCAGCCGCCCAGAGACTCCATGCACAGTCCACAGTGTCTAGTTACGCCGCTGCGAACGCTCCTGTAGCAACGCAGCCTCCTGGCCTGGCGGAACGCCCGGCCACCTGCATACACCAGCCGCAGTCCACAAGAGCTAAGGCCACTGCCGTGACAGGACCCATGCAAGCAGAGGCTCCGACAGAGCGTCTGGCCGTCCACAGGCCTGCTGACAACGCTCATACTGCTGACACAGAGGCACAATACTCGGCGAGCGTCCTTGCCTACGGGATAGCAATGCCGAATACCGAAGTGCGATCTACAGCCGCTACGACGGACCCCTTCAAGCTCCCATCGACACCGCTAATCGCCTAGTACCGGAGAGATCGAGGAGGCCGGTAGAGGTGACAGCGGCTACACACAGACTAAAGCGGATCAGGAGTTTGACCACGAACGTTGAGATTGGACCTTCGGTTTTGGCTTCTGAGAAACGTGAGGATTATATAGTCAACATCACGATGACTTCTTAGCAGGAGGCAAGATCGCTGTTGCATAATAACTCAGATCTCAGGGTTGGTTGAAAAAGATAAGAGGCCTTAGAACACCCGGCCCATTCTCAAAGCCACCTGGCTTTGCGGGTCGCCACAACTCATACCACACTCCCAGCCTCCTTTTGTACGATTCCCAAAGACGAGATGTTCACGTGGATATTTTTGTTCCGAAAAGCTGCGAGGCGAGACACCCCGACCGGCGGGGTATTATTTGTAACGCCTGTAAGACCTCAGAGTCCCGCGGATCTCATCTCGCCGGCGTCCAATAGCCCGGAAGGCATCGTCCAAATCGCTCCATTGTCATCGGTCCACCATCCAAAGAACTCGCAACCGCCAATTGCACAGCTGAAGAACAATCCTCGGGGATGGTCGACATCGTCCTCTCCTGCTACCTGGAGCCGGCTAGGCAGAGTGTTCAAGCATTCGCAGGCAGGGTTCTCAAGATGGATGCCAGCCATATCTGCAAAGCACGAGAACTTTTTGCGCTTGCCACATTCGACTCGCTTGCAGACGTAGTAAGGTCGTCCTGCATTGCCGTTGGCGTTCCAGGGGCTGCAGACTTTTCTTGTTGTGGGATGCCGACAGTCGAGACATGTTGGCGGACCTCTCTTCTCCAAATACGGGTGCTCGGAACGCGGATCCATGGTGGGTGTTGGAGTGTTGCTGAGGGTGGTGGCGGTGGTCGAAGCTGAAGACAATGGGGAAGGGGGAGGCATGGGAAGGTATGTAAAGACAGCGCATCTTCGAGGGGCCAGCTGCAGCGGGAGCTACAGGCGCCTGTGCGAACCAGACTTGGGAGCGCTTGTACCATTGGACGAAGCTACCCTTGCGCGAACACACCGGTCACGCTGTCTTGTGATCCCAGGTAGCTTGGTGCGCTTCTTGCACAGCGTTGCCTTGTCACTGATCCTCTCTCGGCAACGCCTCAGAACATGATCTGCCTTTGATGGATCGTGCGCTTCCTCCCACGCTTCGAAGGGATTGGTAAAATTCCGCTATGGACGGGTCTCTTATCATAAAGAGCTTCACCACGCCAATTCCTCGTTCGACACCGTCCTCGGTACTCGCCTGCTTGACGTCACCAGCCTCGTCGAGCACACTCACAACGCAGCCCACCTTTCCGTCAGCGCTGACAGTGCGTCGACACTTCCGCGACAGGCCAGGAGGACTGTCGTACCACGAAATTACGTGGCTGTTCGCAGCACGATCGAGCATATTCGCATCGTGAGCAGTGAGGTCTCGTACCTCGCCAGCAACCAAGGATGGGGTGGATATCGAGAGAGGTGAGAGCTGCTTGTGGCCCTGTTGGGATCACCAGATGTCCTTGGAGCTACGGTGGGGGTAGCCAGCGGGTTGGATCTGCACATGGTCGGCCGATGCAGAGCTTTTTCAGACGGGCAGAGTGGCCGTGTACCGTCGAGAGCAGTACAGCCATGCTATCGCGAAGGGCATTGCTTGTGGAGCGGTTGTGATAGTCTGCAATCCGAACCGCGCATGGCGTTGCAGAAAGCGACGTCGCATACTCGATGGCATCGGCGGTTTGTCTTGAGTCGGGCAAGTAGTATTCTCCGATGTGCAGTCTACACGTCGGGTGCGACTCACGCAGCGCTCGAAGCAAGCGGCGCGGGAACTGGCGAGTAGAGGCCCATGTCAAGTCTTGCAGGGCCTTAGCAGATCGGAGCAGTCGTACAAGTGCACTGTCATCAACATTGGCGTGAGGGGCCTCATTGCGGTGCGGACATTCTAGTCTCCGTGGGTCTCCAGCAACTGCCCTGGGCCCTGAGCATCGCGTACCACGATTAGCGGAGAGTAAGTGAGCAAAATAGGGCAAAGCTTATGTAGGGCAACGTTGATCTAAGCTCTCTGTAGTTGTGGCGGCAAATGGCATCGCAGGATGGTGCGTACGTAGGGATGACCCCAGTGCCTTGGTGACGCTGATGGAAAGGTTCTAACGATGGAAAGGTTTGGATCAGGCTTACCTCGTCGGTCTCGCACCTCAAGTTCTCGGAGATTGAAAGGGGATTGTCGTCGTAGAAGGAGTTGCATCCATTTTTCGGCCTCAGCTTCGAGTACATCCCCTGGCTGGACTGTCAGCCTGAGGGTGTGGAAGAGCTGAGTGTTTGCTGCTTGCTCGTGTTGCTTGCTAGCGAGCGCGAAAGCAGCAAGACCCGTTGTATCTAGGTGTTGCACGATCGCGCATAGCAGCTCGAAAGGGAGGTCGTCGAAGGTGGCCATGTTGCCGGATCGACTAAATGGCCCTCGCGACCTGTCTTCTTCGCGCAGACGATGGCTAGGCCCCGGCTTTGATACAGGTAGGCCTATTTGTCAAGTTGGCGAAAAGTCAAAGCGGTCGTGAAGTAGGTGAGGCTTTCGAAGTGATGGTCGTCTCACCGACAGGTAGTCACCCCTGTGTTGCTGTTGTGTAACCATGATCCACCCATGCCTGATGCTGAGTCTCCAGCATGTCGCCAGCTCTGACCACGCGACGTATGCCACCCCCTCAAGTCATTCGCAAAGAAATATACTCATAGTGCTCACAACAACCAGCATACTAACCTCCGAACAGAGGCATCGCTGGTCACCCACAATGGCAGACGACGGCCAAACCCATCTCATTGGCTCAAGCTCCCAGTCTCGAGGCTGAACGACGGTTTCCACGACGCCGAAAGATCGCAAAGAATACCCTATGCAAACCCTGATCTCAGCTGACTGTGAAGTCTATTCAGTAGTCTACTCAAGGTGTTGCAGAGCTTAGAGAAAACACGTATATAAATCCAAGCAACAATCGATCAAGCTCTCCAAGCATTTCCCACCCAAGCCCCGTACCTGCAGCTTTCATCGCCACCATAACGATGGGTTCACTCTCAGACACGAAACTGAACGTCACAATCATAGGCGCAGGCATAGCCGGCCTCGCAACCGCCGTAGCCCTCGCCCAGAAAAACCACAACGTCACGGTCCTAGAATCCAAACCCGCCCTCAACGTAAGTACCACACCATCGATCCGCCGTGACAACGACCCCTGACCGCCGTGCAGGAATTCGGCGCCAGCATAGGCATAACAGCCAACGGCGTCCGCCCCCTCAAAGCCTGGGGTCTCACGTCCGCGTTCTCCAAAGTGGTGACGAAAAACGGCTTCCTAGACTTCCGCGACGGCTTGACGGGAGAATTGCTCGGACATCTACCGCACAACAAAAACAGCGCGGCGGTGATCGGGTACGGAGAGGAGATCTGGAATATCAATCGCCGGGACTTACAGGACGTTCTAGCTGCGGCCGCGGAGGAGGCTGGGGCGAGGTTGGTGTTTGGGAAGGAGTTTGAGAGGATTGATCTTGAGACGGGGAGCGTGGTGCTGAAGGGTGGAGAGACGGTGGAAGGGGATGTGGTTGTCGGGGCTGATGGGATCGCGTCGGGTGTGCGGAGAGAGATTCCGGCGTTGAAGGGTGTGGAGGCGATTCCGAGGGGGAGTGGGTGTTATCGGTGTACGGTGCCCAAGGAGAAGATGCGTGGGAATGCGAAGCTGGAGTGGTTGTTGGAGTCGGGGGATGAGTATGGGTTTCTGGGGCCTGGGAGGTATCTTCTCAGCTGGCCGCTGCCGCCTCACAGGGCGTATGATGTGGTGCTTGGGCCCGTCCCTGACGCTGAGGTGCCACCTGGTCGTTGGGGAATGAAGGGAGATCCAGAGGTGGCGAGGGCAGATTTTGCGGACTTCTGCCCCACCGTCGTGGAGTTGTTGGAGCATATCGATACTTGCGTCAAGTGGAGGATCGCTGAGCTGCCACCATTGGAGACGTGTCGCAGCGAGAGTGGGAGAGTGGTGATTATCGGAGACGCGTACCATGCGATGCTACCGCACGCAGCAAGCGGCGGCAACTCCGCCCTCGAGGACGCCGCCTGCCTCGCCAAATGCCTCGACTGGGCCGCCCGCACCTCTCGCCCGGTGTCCAGCGCCACGGAGGCCTTCCAAGCAGTCCGGCAGCCGCGCTTGCATCGAATGCAGATTGCGTGCCACGACGCGGTTGAGCTTCTCGATGGAAAAGAGGACTTCATCCCCGTTCGAAAGCAAATGCTCGCAGCCGCGACAAAGGCTTACGATGCGGATCTTGCGCTGTCGGAGGCGGAGAGGCGCGCGCGGCCGAAGGAGGATGCGGATATGCAGGCGAAGTTCCCAACGGAGCCGTATTTGCAGTGGCTGTATGGGTATGATGCTATTGCAATTGCGAGGGGGCATTTGGCGAAGCTGTAGCGTTTTGAGTAGGAGCTGTGATGAAGGAAGTGTGCCTATAGATGGAAAGTTGAATGTCAACGCGAAGACTTATGGTCTACGAGAAGCACTCCGTGTCTGGGATCTGGAATCTTGTGCAAAAGCATTCTTGCCTTCTGCTGAAGGCGAAGTCCTCAGGATGTCGAAGGATGGTCCTCATGTTTCTCACAGGCCAGTATCGAAGATCCTCTCTGAATGTCCACGGTCAAAGTCCAGACCCACCTTCTCATATGCGCTTGTCCATGCCAGTAAGAGGAATTGATCAGTCAGCGTCAGGTACAAGGAGCTGAAGTCGCCGTAATGAGGTCTTGGTATAGCAAAGCAGCCGTAAGTTTGGAAGCGGGCAGCGCCACACATGCCCTGGGCTAAGAATAGCATGTGATTGTCGTTGCAGGCAGGGCAGGGTCCATTTCCGATTCCCTTGCTGTTCGCCGAGTCCGTCGAGTTAGAGGAGACTCGTAATTGCCTGTCGCCGCATTCACCATGTTCGTGGACTCCACCCTAGGCGGCGCAAGCAAATTACGACGTACCCTCATAGGACTATGCAGTCTCTGAAGAGTCCACGTCCTCAGCTTGCGAAGCGGCCGCCGCAAGGCTTGCTGCTTGCTCCAGAACGTTGCAGTCAGCAACTCCCAAATTACTTGAGACGGCCAGAGGTGGTGTATCAGCATCCAGCACGGCAGGCCTTGCAGTCGGTTGCAGGAACAGCGCTTCCGAGGCTTCCTATGGTGGTATTCCAAGGTGATGAGCCGGGTAAGAGCTAACAGGACTGGGTGCTTGGCCGCTGAGAGGCGTAATCAGCCACGAGGGCCATTGAAGGCGGAGTAGCCAGCCCTGCTGCACGCACGTTGCACATCCAACATTTGTTGTCTTTTATATCTTACCCCTTCGCTCTGCGGTGGGTATTGGACATCTTTGTGATTCACGATACCATATTACTGTCGTTATAGCATTGCATACGAAGAGTAACTCAACCCAAACACATCACAGCAGCAGCGAGCTTGACAACATGGGCAAAGGAGGTAAGCAATACAAACGCGGTCCAGTACAACAACCACCACCAACTAACACCACCCCTCCCAGGCCGCATCGCCTGCATCTTCACTCCCTGGGTCCTCACCGTCGCCAGCTTGATTTGCATCATCATCATCGAGATCGCCGGCTGGAACAAGTCCCTCCTCAGCGACTACTACTTCATCAAAGCCAACTTCAGCGACCTCTCCGTCTCGGGAGCAGGCGACCTCGCAAACACCACCACCCTCACCGCCGCCCTCCAACAAGCACAGCAAAGCAACACCCTCGAAGACGTCTACGAAGTCCACCTCTGGAACTACTGCACCACCGACGAAGATGGCTCCAACGTCGAGTGCTCCGACCGCCACGCAAACTTCTACTTCGACCTCGTCTCCATCTGGGGCCTAAACAGCACCGCCGCCGCGGCCTCCTCCACCTCCACCTCCTCCCGCCCCAGCGCACAAAACAACCCCATCCAGAATGCCGCCGACAACCTACAAGACAAAACCGAAGGCCTCGAGCGCGAGCTGCTCGGCGACGCGGGAGAAAAAGCCTACACGGCGTACAAGAAAGTCGCCAAAGCCATGTTCATCCTCTACGCCGTGGCCTTCTGGACCGAACTCGCCACGCTCGCGCTCTCGCTCTTCGCCATCTGCTCCCGCTGGGGCAGCCTGTTCACCTGGCTCTTCTCGTTCGTCAGCTCAGTCATCACGCTCGCGGCCGTCGCGACGACGACGGGCGTCTACCTCGCGCTGCTGGGAGCGCTGCGCGGTCTCCTAGACCCATACGACGTGAAGCTGCAGCTCGGCAGCAAAGCATTCACGGTCGCCTGGCTCGGCGTGGCGTTCTCGTGGGCCGCGACGTTGTTCTGGCTCTTCAGCATTTGCTGCTGTTCGGGAGCGAGTAACCCACACCACAAGAGCAACAAAGGCGGGCTCTGGAACGCCGAGCCCAAGGGACAAGGGTATGGTGATTACCGCGGCAGGGGTCTGAAGGTGGAGAAGACGGGCGGGTATGAGAGGGTCAATAGCCCGTTCTTGGGCCACGCGGAGCAAGGGCATGGGGATCGCGTGCCGTTGCAGCAGTATCCGCAGCAGCAGACGGGGTATACGCAGGGGGCGTATGAGCCGTTTAGGCATAACTGAATGTTTGAGGATGTGCGTGGGCATGTAGATGGGACATAGCGATGGCGTTGGTTTTTTGATGAGTACGATACCACAATGGCATGGATGATGCGTATGGATACATGTGTCTTCTGATCTCACCTTCAACTACGCCTTTCCTTGCTCCGAGTTCTCCAGCGGCCGCTCGACAATGACCACTTCGAGCGGCTCGTTCGCATCGTTCGAGTCGCCCTGCAGAGCGACCATGCCCAGTATAGGCCGGTACTTGAACGTGCACCACCATTTCTTCTCCTTCTTCTTCCTCTCCACGACCCCATTAACCTTCTCCTCCTCTTCTCCTGCGCTCGGGATGTCCTTCATATCTGGCTTGACATCCTCCCTCGGCAGATCTTCCAGCTTAGGCCTGTAGTCCACCACATCGTCCTCGTCATCCTCCTCAGCTTTGATGTCCGCTCCACGCAGCTTGACTACTTTTCCGTCTTCGAACCGCGTAACGACCTGCTCCTGGGCATTGCTGATCCGACTGCCAGCGCCACTATCAATCTTTCTCCGCTTTCGAGCATTTTCGTCCTCGGCCTCATCATTGGGTTCTTCCTTGATCCCACGCTTAGGTTTTCGCCGCTTCTTGACCACCGCCTGCGCCCGGCCTTCCTCCGGCAAATCCTCGCTGACGTTTAGCATGCACACGAACGAGCTTCCGTAGAGCCATATGCGCTCTCTCCTCTCGTTGACGTCCCACACGGCGCCCATCACACGATCTCTGATCTTGGTGAAGTCTTCTGGTAGAGCTGCGGTGGGGTTCCGTCGACTCCAGTCGCTCAGTCGACCAGCGAGGACGTCGAACTCGAACATCTGGTGCTTTGCAGTCATCACGAAGAGTTTGTGTTGTCCGTGGGGTAGTTCATGCGAGTGCGCGTGCGGGTTACTTCGTGTCGAATGCACGCCTGGGTTGCCGTTGGCCAGGTGGTTGCTGCTCTGGTCTTCACGCGGCGGCCGGAAGGTCAAGATCAAAGCCGGCGAGTCGAGCCTTGGTAGTAGATGGCCGGAGGGATTGCCGGTCCAGTGTTGTCCGTAAAAAATAGGCGTTAAATCGTCGTCTTCCGAGCTATCTGAGCTCGAGTGTGCATCTGAGCCCGCATCCGACGAGCGTTTGTCCGAGTCCTTCTCCGCAAGGTCGATAGCAGGAGCTGACGTGTCCTCGTGGCCCTCGAGCACCCAAGAGTCCAGATGGCCGGCCCTGTCGCTGGCTACCAGTACAGACCCATCGGCAGCAAAGGCGAGCTGGGTGATGGTACGATCGAAGTCCGTCAACACGGAGCGCGTATGCGTACGGTGCCGACGGTCCAGCTCAACAATCTTTGGCAAGACCTGCAAATACTTAGGCCTGTCCGGATCACTGGCAATGCGTGCCAGGAAGACCTCTGATTGAGGTGAAACGGCAGCTAGCCACTTGCCGTTCTCCGAAATCCTCAACACATGGGCGCCAGACTTCGCCAACTCATTCGGCAGGTGAAGCTTCCTGACGGCGAGAGTGTCACTGTCCGCACGCCTTCGAAGCTGGAATAACTTGACTTCCGCGCTTGTCGCAGCAGCCAGTACGCTGCCATCTGCAGAAACGGAGACACTGCGGATGTTGGCCGTGGTGTTCAGATTGATTCTCGCTACGAGTTTTCGAGGACTCGGCGAATGGAGCAGCTTGTCGGCCGTCTCGTGTTTCGAGACTCGCCATATGGTGATGGACTTCTCCCACCAGCTGACGAGTAGCCTCGCTCTCGGTGCACTTGCTACTGGTGGGTGTTGTGGAAGCATTGGCAGGGCCCGCACATTCTCTTTTCCGTACTCTCGCAACGGTGTGACCATGGGTATAGCATCGCTCCCTCCAGAGACAATCATGCTCAAGGTTTTGCTATCAAAAGCAGCCATAGCTTTGACCTCTCCACTGTGAGTTCGTTTGTGGCCCACCTTACCCCAGCTCGCTCGCCCGTCGTTGTTCGATTGTCGAAGTACCGCGATCTTGCCGTTGATGCTGCCGGACATGACCGTCCTGCCATGACTGCTCGCAACCAAATCCAGGCAATCCGAGTCGTGGCACGCTATCCGCTGCGTCATCGAGTATGTCTTGCCGTCCCAGAATTTGACCTCTCCATTCGAGTCTCCAGACACAATGTCGCCGTTCGGAAGGCATCGCACCTGCCAGACCAGACCGGTCTTCGGCGCGCCCGGCACACTGACCCCCAAACTCATCGCTCTGAGCATGTTGCTATTCCTGGTATCGTAGACTCGAATCATGCTGTCCGCAAAACCTGCCACCACCCGGTCACGGTTCTGGTAGGTAATGCACATGCATCGTGCCTTCTTGCCCGCCACGCGCGCCAGGAAGCGCTTGAACTGCAAGTCATTGTCTGCTGTCGAGAGCAATGCGATTGTGCCATCACCGCATCCAGCCACCAGATCCTGCCCTTGCGGCTCTTCACTCGAATCCTTCTGCGGTCTCCATCTCGGCTGCGCAGCCAGACACCACACTTCGCTGAAGTTGCCAGTCGACTGCCTTTTGGGCTTCCCAGTCGCGAGATCCCATTCGGTCACCGACGGCGAGGAAGCGATGCTAAAAAGGCGCTGTTGGCCGGGGATATATTGGCCGTCTGCATCCTTCTCATCCGGATCTTGTGTCCACGCCAGCCCATCGATGTTCGTGTTGTTGCCAGGAAACACAGCTTCTTGCACCCAGAGTCCACGCCGGGGGTTCCATATCTCTACGTTGCCATTTGTTCGTCCGACTGCAAGTTTGAGTGCCGGCAATGGTCCAGTATATCCGCTGTCGCTGTTCCTGGAGAAGGCGAGTGCGCTGATCGCTGATGTCGGGTACGGTACAAACCGCGCTCGGTGGACGTCCATTGAGAATATCTAATGCCTGACTTGCGGTTATATTGTCGCATGGCCTGCCATAAAAGAGCAAGTCCTCTTGAGAGTGATTTTGCTTTCCAAGCTTCGTTCTCTCCAAAAATTCTGGCCGAGATCGGGCTAGCGACTAGCTGCATCTCGGGCCGAGCACGTCGCGTCCCGCGCGAGCTAGTCTTTAATAGGAAGGAAGGCTTCTAGAACATTTGTCGAGGGCCTCTCCGTAACACAGCGTGAGACAACAAGCAACAGCCGATGTTCCACAGCAGGCTGCACGAGAAGTGCTCGAGCACATGGAAGAGGTGTGGCACGTGAGGAATTGAGATTGATCGTATGCTTGTCAAACATAGTATGTATTTGAACACGGGGTATCTGAGTCGCTGGTGAAAACCATCTTTCTATTAGCTACACGCCTCTCCGCTTGCAATATTGTGCAAGCTGAGCGATTCCCGATCCCTCAGCAACCTCTTACATTTCTGAGCCAGGTAGGTGATGCTGATGCTTTTGATTCCCTTCCCTTCCCCGCCTCCCTGTACCTTGAATTCATAGCCGTGCCGGCGATGAATGAGACCGACGCATGCTGAAATGGCTTCAACGCTTGCAATGCTATGCTGAAGTATGATGTCGATGACTACGAGATTAGTGACGTTGCGCTTCACCCTGTCAATATGCTGGATGCACCCAAGCTGATGTACTTGCAGCGAGGCCGTCTGCTTGTTCATGAGACGAACTGCGGCTGCGGCATATACTGGGACGCGAAGTGCGTGTGCGGGTACTGGTGCTGTTCGGCGCTCGGTGGTGGCGTCGAGGCATTCGGCACCATCGGTACCAGGGCGTTGTTTGTACTGCAGTGGAACTTGTCGGGCGTGATCGGCGGGGTGAGGACACCTGCTGGATACATCGGGAAGCCTGGCTTCTGTGGGGTCTGAGGGTACGTGACGCCGGCTGCGATCTTGGAGACGTCGAGATGCTGGAGCTCGTTGGCTGGGGTCTGGTTGATCTGAGCGGCGACAGCCCTCTGCTGATGGAAGAACAGCTCCAGTCTTTGCGATACTGACGATAAGTGGGGTGCTGCGTACTTCCTGTACAGGGGTGCCGATGGCTGAGCAAGGTGATTGGAGAGGCCAAGCACGACGTTGTTGTCAATCTCAGCCGCCCACGAGCCGTGGTTTGCCTGGGCGCGGCTGAGGATGCACCTTGCAAGCCCCAACAGCGACCGCGCCATGACCGATGGAAGCACCGAGATGAACTCCTTGTGATACAAGGCGAGCTCCGATAGGTAGAAGGTCATGTGTTGAACCTCGGGATCAAAGGCGACGTCGGACATGGCGAGATCGATGAAGCTTGGGACGGTGGGGTGGCCAACGATCCAGTTGAGAGTCTGCAGTACATGCCACTCCATCTGGGTGAACATGTCGTCGTCGTAGAGTGAGCAGCACATCGACTTGAGTTCTCGGATGGTGGGAACCTTCTCCTTGTGGTCTCCATACTTGGCCGCGATGAGGAGAGCCGCGCAGCCGACGAGCTGGTAGTGTCTCTTGTACACCACACGTCTCGAGCAGTAGCGGTCCAGAATGTTCACAGCGAGGTGGAGAGTCTCGGGCAGCAGCTGGAACGCATGGTGCGCCTCGAGGAGGAAGTCCAGAAGGAAGGGTCTCATAAACCACTGAATCTCCGTCTGGATTTCGATCGACGCGACGTCAGGCATGGTCTCCCCCTGGATGGAGTCAGTTTCGAACACCAAGACAGCGAAAACTTCATCACTCACCTCCATGAACAGCATGTGGTCCAGAACGTCTTCTTGGTACTCATCGGCAGTCATTTGCGAGAGTTCCTCAGCGAGAGCGTTCTGACGGAGCTTCCCGATTGCCTTCTTCCTCTCACGATCCGCAGCTGCTCTGGCGAACATGCCGTCGTCGTCATCGTGGTTCTCGACGAAGTAAGACTTGCAGTAACCGTAGGAAGGAAACTGTGGCTGAGGCTGAGACTGGAATTGCTGAGGTTGGAAGTCCATTTTCGTTGCTGTGAGGGGTTGTTGTGAGGTGTTAAAAGAAAGGATGTCAGGTCTCCAGGATTGACAGATGTCGGTGAGTGTCGAGGTTGGATGTTATTAGTAAGGAGAGTGTCGAGTCCGAAAGGTCGACGTAATTAATGAATGTGACGCTCGTTGATCGAGCAAGTAAAGGATTGTCAATTAGTTGGTGGTGCAAAGGAGTGAATGGTCCAAGACAGGTCGCTCGGCCGGTGATCGAGTGATGTCTGTCTGTTATAGACTAATTTCCTGGAGCACCTGATGAACGATTTCGTTAGCGGTCTGTCGCGTGCGTTACTGAAGATGTAAGGCCGGATGAAATGAAGCATACCTTGGGAATTAGATTACAGTGTTGTATGGACTGAGGCGTGTGTACGCGAGCGTTCGCTGACCACGGGCTCCTTGCAAGCCACGGAGAGGGGACCGATTGGGCGTGAGGCTTCGGCAGATTAGACTGTCGTCACCTTGGTATGCCGGGTACTCTGCAGAGAACGATCTAACGTTCCCGCCGTTGCTGGTGTGGTCGGTAGGTTCCGAAAGTGAGGGTCTCTCGGGGGATCCCTTGAAGAAGCTGGGGAATGTTCAGCACTGATTCTCCGACACGGTGCCTCATCAGACAAGGGCGCCAGTAAAGTGAGACTCACCTTGATTGCTGAGTGTGGTCGAGGCGGACGAGAGCTCGTTTGGGTGATGTGAACACTGTTCGGGGCGAAAAGCAAGAACGCTCAAAGCTATGGAGAAGTCAAGTCAGCACGCTGAACTTCAAGCACGTAACAACTACTCGCGACGGCTGCTCGCAATGGCTCTGGCTTCTGGCGTTGGCGAGTTTCCCAAGGGCTGGTAACCAGTGCTGATCGAGTCCGGTCCAGTGATGGCCAGGGTTTTCGCGTGTCTGGCGGGTTGGCAATCTTGACAGGAATCTGCTATGGCCTCCAGGTGTTCGGTGGAATGCAGCCAGAATGTTCGAGCCCGAAGACGTCCAGTCCACTGGTATAAGGCTATTGGTCGTATGGACAACGTGCCGTAGCTGATGTCCACGGTAGAATGCCTTGGAGTGGTGTCGAAAGTGGAGTGAAGAGTTTTCAAGTCCAGACTGTGAAGTGACGAGAGCGATATGGTGGCGTGGTGGGGGTGGTTGCCAGTTGCCAGTCGCGGCTGCCTCTTGTATATATCAAGCAGGCCAATGAGAACACTGCTCTGTTCTGGATCGTTTTCGAAGGAAGGAGCGATGGCGATGCCCATCGTTTTCGACTTCACCTCTTCATCGTTCTTCAATCTTCACATGTTTCGATAGTGGTTGGTGCCGCTGTTCATGTCCCCTGGAATGCTGGAATGCCAATGCCATGTAGCCCGGATCTTGCCAGTCTCTCTTCGTTCCACGTCCAATTGCACCCACAGCAGCGTCTGCCACAAACTCGCTTACCTTTTGAAATTCAACAACAACGATGTGCTCGGACACGCGGAGGATAGGTACGTGGTACAGTTGGTACAGTCGCGGAGGGGTCGGTGTTCGGAAATGAGGGCGAGGGTCCGGTCGAGATACTCTACGATCAACGAAGAGGAGAGTTCGACGGATTGAGGGTGACGGCTCGGTAGTCTGGAGGATCGAAGAAGACCAAACGGATCTCGAAGAGCTTCACGTTGGTCACGATACCTTCGCCGGGAGTGAGGGAATGATGCTGGGCCAAGACTGGACCCAGGGGAGAGATTGCTGGAGGCAGGAGAGACTTGCAAAGACCGATTGGACTTTGGCAAATGCTGCTCCTGTTTATTCAATGCTCCATGGCAATGGATGAGGAAGTGGTCGAGGAGAGGACGGACACACACGAGGAGGAGAAGGGTGAAGTTTCGAAAGACACGTCCAGCACAGCTTGGCTGGTTTGGTGCATCCTAGGAACGGGACACTGTCGACGCTAAGATGCCTCTGCGCTAGCTCCGACTGGGAGCACCCATGCACATCATTTGGCGTCTCTCTGCTGAGCCGGCTGCGATACGTTCCACCGCTATCATCGCCCAAAAATGAATGCGGCGCCTTCTTCGCGTGTCAGCTCGAAAGCTGCGAGTGCCTGCAGATCCAACCTGGCTTTGCCACGGCGAGCTACTATCGCGTGTCTGGAGCAGTTTCCAATTTGGTCTACGAATTGTTCACGTTTGGGATTGACATGAGGTGCTACTGTCTCTCCTTCTTCCACACTGAGGGCGTCCGTCTCGTGGCAGAGCCCTCGAACGTGCCTGACGCTCGCTACGTGGTGTCTCGACGTGGCAGAGCTGGAACAGTACAAACTCCCACAAGCCCACCGAGGCGTCGCAGCGAATCAAGTCCCATGAGAGGTCTCAAGTCCGTATGCAGCTAACGCTCCCGCGAAAGCCTCAAGGCCAGTGGAGCAACGCACAAGAACCGTCTACCCTTGCACCATGCTGCAGGCTATCCGAATCTTGGGGCACCTTGTCCTGCAGCAGAAGCGAAAGCCATCTCACCTCCGGCCGGTCCACTTGGATTGATATGCAAGCTCTTAAGCAACGCTACAGAGTTGGAGACGCGTTGTGCAGCGTTAACGCCGCCGCGGAGGCGCTCGGCACTGACATTGTAATGCGTCTCGTTAACAAGGCTCATGCAATTGGCACTGAAGCGACCTCGTAAGCGCTCCTCCCAATGACCGGATTCTCGAGATGGGTAACTGCATGACGGCAGCTATGTACGTCAATTTGCAGCTCTCACGAGTCTCCGGCTGTTTCCATTCAGCATCACCTGCTGCATATCGCCGTCTATCCGGTCTGTACACGGTCGATCCAACACGCACGACAGCAGCCTTCCGTTACACTATACCGTGCTCCCGATATATGACCTTCCTTCGGTCCATCGGGCGGTATGCAGCGGAGCGGGCACGAAACGTCGAGTTTCAGTTGTAATTGTGGTTCCGATGGGCCCCCAGAGCCCTTGACGTGCAGCCACCCGGTCTGTCAGGTGTCTCCCTTGCGCGAAGCACGGTATATAGATCTGGGCGACACCCGACTCGACGTTGAGCTGCCCGCAGTCGGCGATTGTGCAATTGTTGCTTACGGGGCCGGCAAGGAATTTCCAGTGCTGTGTCCCATGCTCTCAGACCTTAGCCTAGCCTTTGCGGCGCGGCTATTACAGAGTGCGCCATCACGAACACGAAGAGGAGCATCTCCAAACACGCGTGTCGCGTGCTGTGGGTCAGGAGGGGATGATGTCCGCTTGAATAGTGGCTGGCATCCAACAATGCGTCGACATACAGGAGACTTCGTTACTTCTTCGCAGACCTTGCTGGAGCAGTAGCATCGGCCCCATTGTCCTGCTACCTTCTTCTCAGGGCTTGATAGTCCCTCTTTTGATCAAGACCCTCAAACGGTCTGGATCTCAAGGGTCGCGAATCCTAATCCTGCGGCCACGGCCTGATGAAGCTAACGTGTTGGTGGCAGATCAGATCTACTTCCGCCGAGCACCTCCGCCGGTAACATCGCGACATTGTGTCATTTCTCGTTTGAGAGTTTAGCCCTGCCCCCTCTCACCACCAAATCACCGCTTCCGCAGCGCTTCACCGAACGCAACGCGGCGGTGCCGTTGAGATCGTCAATCAGCAGAAAGGAGAGTGGCTTATGGTCGTTCGTGGCGCTGATTACGCTCTCAGTCTATCTCCGACTGTGCCTTCTTCCCCCTCACGCTATGCTCCTCTCTGCAACTGCAACTGTAGCAGCTCGCCTCTGCTTCTTCCTCCCGCTGCTGCAGTTACGTACCACCACCCCACCTGCTGCTACCGGCGGCAGCCACCGGTCCGCAACTCTCCTCGCAAAGCTCAGGGTTTCCTCACTGGTAAGGACGTATCCCATAGGCGGTCTCGCACAAGATCCCAGTAGCTGTAAGATCGAATATATCACTGTGCCTCTCACGCGTCTTTACCCTGCCGTCCTGACCGGCCCCTCTCGCCCCTCCATCCCCCGCCCCCAACGATCACCATCTGGCAAAAGTCAGTCGCGTGTCCCTCAATTTCAATCAAACGCGACGTACTCCAACACGCGCCAAAGGCAAATATTAGTTGCAGTTCCGGCGCAAGCCACGGTGGCTGGGCCTCTTTTCGCTGTCCAACTTTCTCGTGCCTCGCTGCCATGAATTCGACACGGCCAAGGCTGTCTAGGAATCCGTCTTTGCCGTCTGATAACGGCTGTGCCTGCAGGCAATGCAAGCGAGGAGAAGGAAGTCACCGGTCAAAGTCAAAAGATACACGCTTTGCATTCGTGCTTGCTCAAGAAGGAAGGACATTGGATTCATTGGTATGCAGGCTATGTAAAGAATGCCTTCTTGGGCCGCTTGTCACCACCGCTGATCTCTTTCCCACTGTTACCGTTCGATGGAGGCCTGCCGCGTTTCCTTTTCGCGGTGCTCGCTGACACTGGGTTCAAGAAGCTCTTTGACGGTCGTTCAGCTGTGTCATCATCGGATGACTTCACAATCTCCTTGATCGTCTGTCTTGACAAGCAGCCATCAATATGCTCGTTGAACGCTCGCTCATCAGCCTGCTGAGGTACAGAGCAGATGGGACATATCCACTGCTCTATAGCCGGTCGATCTGACTGTGCTCCTTCCTCACCCTTCGTACGTTCTTCTTCCAGAATAGATCTCCACGCGAAACCGTTGCCATATCGCCTATAGTCTGACGGCCCACCATCTGGGTTGTAGCTTAGAATCTCTTTACTGGCAGCGTCGACATCCTGCGACAGTCGCTCTAGTTCTGCTTCGTCATCCAAGCGCTCCTGCCTTGCTGCATCTTCGAACTCGTCGTCAGGCCAGATCTGCCAGCCGTCTTCGTCAACTTTGGCAGAATGAGCGTCGTCACTGGACGCTTCTCGCAAAACTCCAGACGTTGGCTGTCTTGCCCGCCCGAAGAAATCCACGTCACCTTTCTTCATGCTAACAAGATGAGTGCATCTGAGACCCATCAGGCGCAACTTCATGCCAGGCATCTCCTTTTCCAGCTTGGTGAACATCGGAAGACTGAAGTGATATAGGTCATCCGCCGTATAGACAGCTTTGGGTGGCTGCACCTGTCTGCTGAAGACCTCGTACGTGTGTAGTTTGATCTTCAACACCAAAGTTCGCCCCTTGAACTGCGTGCGCTGCAAGTCCTTTTCAAGCTCGTCTGCGGTCCATCGTAGCTTGTCTCGTAGTTCCTTGGGATCGCTCATGTCGTGGAAGGTGCTCTCAGTGCCTACACTTTTGCGTTCGAACTCTTCAGCTGGCCTGATGTCGGTTCTTCCCAGACCCAGATAGACACCCATGAGAAACTCGAAGGCTTTCTCACCGAAGAGTCGCTGCAGATAGTGTCGTTGCGGGTACAGGTCGCCGCATGTTTTGATGCCGATGGCGTCTAGTTCTCGCTCAAACACCCGGCCAACGCCGTTCACCTTACGGGTGGGCAGGTCTCGCATGAATGATAAGATGGTCGTCCGATCCGATAGAAGTCTGAACTGACCATTTGGCTTGTTCTTGTTACTGCATATCTTCGCAAGCTTCGCGTTCGCTGCTATTCCAGCTGATATCGTGACTTTACACTCCTCATAGACTTGCGCTCGCATCTGAGCGACTGCTTCTTCCGGATCCATATCGTGGTCCTTGCAGTACTGTGTGATGTTGAGGTACGCCTCGTCGATGCTGGAGGATTCAAACCGCGGATCGTACAGCTCCAGAATCGCCCGAACCTCCTTCGCTTTGGCCGTGTACTTTTCAAAGTTGAGTGGCAAGCGGATCAAATCCGGACACAGCTTCTGTGCAACAAAGCCAGCCATGCCGCTCCTGCACCCAAACTTTCGCGCGTGATAGTTGCATGTTGTGAGGACGCCCTGTCCGACAGCGAACGGCAAGTCTTTCAACTCCGGCCTGTCCAACTCTTCGACAGCCGCGTAGAATGCATCGCAATCCACATGGACTACCGCCTGGCTGAGGTCTCGGCCATACTCCAGCTCCGCGATGTACTCGTCTGCCTTCTTGAGTTCCTTCTTCAGCCCGCCTTGCTCCTCTACCCTCTGAAGCTCCCGCTTCTTGGCCAGGATGCGATTGATCTTGACCGTGAGGGTCTTGTCTTTCGTCTCCTCATTGTTGAAGAACTTGCTGCCCCTCGAAGCGTTGTAGATGACCTCGGAGACCTTCTTCTGATCCACGCCATCTTGGCCAGACTTCGTAAGAGACGGTCCCAAAAGAGAGTATTTCAAGGTGTGGTGCTGGCTGCCGGGTGGTGCACCATCTGCTATCACCGGTACGGTGACCATCTGTTCGTCGATTCCGCTCTCTTCCCCTGCCATCCCGTCATCTTGTCTTGGAAACAGAGTTCGTATTCGAGTGAGGTAGTAACTTGTAGCACGCTCGAGTCGCGACGGCACGTGACAGTCTCAAGACTTGCTCGGCCCGCTGCAGGTTAACAGGGATAGGCCTTCGGCGAGATGCATCATCTGTTTGAGGACGACAACAACAACCACCACTCAGTGGATACATTGACCGATCGATTACGCTGGGAATACTGTCGCTGCAAGAAGGAGGAGTGAAAGGGGACAGAATTATTGCGGAAGACTGAGCTTGGACAACAACATCAACAGCAGCGCATTACGACATTCACATGAAAGGCGACGACAGTAATCAGGCTGTCGTGACGACAACACTCTACTCTACCTCGAGATACTTGGTGGGCGGTGAATTACTGCAACAGCAACGACACCACACAGCTATGCGTGAACGATAACACCCATGTCGACTGAGCGATCGCTTAACACGAACCGTCCGCTGAAGCCATCTCTTGCCTCAAACCGTACCGCACGAACACCAAATGCGCCCCGAGTCGCCGCGACGAGCAATACGACCACATCTGCAAAAGCTCCGGCGGCAAGATCAATACCGACGTTGAGGTCAGAGCCGCCTACACCGAGGGTCAAGCAGACAAGCACCCCTGTCAACAATGCATTCTCGAACGGCAATGTCACACCTCGTTCGTCGGCGAGGTCTTCCAGAGTGGACAGTACGAACTCGTCGCCCACGCACACCGATACTACGCCGGGTGCTCAGCGGCCCAAGTCAGCATTTGTAGCTTCGCAGTCAGCGAACGGGAAGGGTGGTCTGGGGATGAGCTTGGGTGGCCAAAGCAAGACATTCGTTGGCAGACCGAAGAGCTTGGTCAGCGACAATGGCAGTAGTATGCGATCAGCTCCGCCTACAGTTCGATCGCCTGGGGATGGAGCACTGGATGATGAGCGCTTCTTTCACGCCAGCGATGCGCCGAAACAACAAGAGACAGCTCCGAAGAAGCCGGAGGCCAGAAAGCCAGCCGCCTTCTTCTACGCTGATGGCAAGAAAGAGCTAGACCAGCCGTCTCCAATGCTGTCCGCAGTATCAGAGCAAAGATCTACCGGCCCCTGGATCAGATCTGAGCTTGTGCCGAGCCCTCCTAAAAGCCCACCTATGCTTTCACCAGGACTCAGCAGTCTATCGAGCATATCGCCGTTCTTTGGACCTGCGCCGTCGCAAGGCTCGTCACAACGACCAGGTGCTCCAAAGGAGAACATCCACCTGTCGTATCGGAAAGGAGTATCGCAGATTTTTGGCTCAAAACCAGCTCCAAGCCCTCGCTCTACTGCCTCGAGTGCAGACATTGGACCCGTCACCCCTGGCTTGGAGCGCACAATAAGCCAAGAATCTGCATCTGGCTTCCTCCACCACCGAAAGTCACCGAGTCTCTCTTCAATAGAATCTGGCAACTCTGGCCCATCACGACGACGTTCCGCAACTACTGCAGACCCCGAGTTGAGCTCTTCGCCGCTCGTCAACGAGGTCAGAGCGGCGACTGTTCCACGTGTGGCGAAGCCTCCCAGCGAGCTACCTTCAATAGACACGTCGCTTGACCCTACAGGTGTACTATCACCGAACGCTCTTAGCCCCACCAAGGCCATCTCCGATTTTGCAGCAGATGCTCGAAGAGAACGCAAGGTCTTGGACCTGGAGATCTCAAACAGCTCGCTACTCGCCATCAATTCGAGTCTAGAACGGGAGGTGCGGCGGCAGAAGGCAGAGCTGAAACGCTTCCGGCGTCTGTCAAGAGCTGGCAGATTCTCGAAGGCACCAGGTGAAGGCGCCGCTGCCAGGGTCTCAGATGGCCTGTCAATTGTTGGAGAGGAAGATGAGAATGACGAGCAAATGTTCGGGCCGCCGTCGGGTCTTACAGAGCTGTACGATGATATCAGTGACGATGACGACCTAAGCCTCGCCAGCTCCAGCGAGCCTATGAGTCCGTCATCACGATCGACTCGCGAAAACAACCGGTTGGCGAGAGATGAGAGGCATCTGCAGGTGGATCTGGCGAAGCACAAAGAGCTGCTCGTGCAGAGCCAGGCGATGAACCAGAGCATCAAGCGGTGTACGTACGCTACGGAAGACATGATACGTGAAGGCAAGAAGGCGCTTGAGTATCATGTGCGCGTGTCGGACGTGAGGATGGGTGGCAGGGTGCTTAGTGTCCATCTAGACGGCGAGGAGCAGAGTCAGGAGATCGAGGTGGAAGACGTAAATCAAGATGACGATATCGACCACACGACCTTCCTCGCCGTCTGGGGCGGCGTCGGCAGACCTAGCTTCGAGAGCAGCGAAGGCGGTGACAGGGACTCCGGCATCGAAGTCGATCGACCGCCTCCGCAGAGGTCCTTACCGCTGCGGCAGAAGGCTGGGAACACGAACGATATGGGCAGGCCTCCTGGCAGCAATGGCTCGAATGTCACCGCAGGAGCAGCTTCTGTGGGCTCGTAGCACGGGAAGCGGATGTCGATACCTGAGCGGTGGAGACCTTGGACGAGTTTGAGGTCGCGGTAGGGAGGTGAGGGAGTCTAAGATGACAGGATTGATGGCAGTGCGGCTTTGAGCTTTTGGTTAGAGGCAAGATACCCCTTTCGTTTGTATGCTGTACGAGTAGACGTCAGCTTAATGCTGCGAATTACCACTTCAATGGTATATCAGTTCCATGTTATCTGTTGCATCGTGATTCGGTTGCACAGTTTTCGGAGTGATGAGAAGTCGTGTTGAATGGCAGGCTACGTACCTAGCAGAAGCAGTGGTAGTTAGGTTTTGCCTTCTCCGTAACACCATCACCTGCTATAAAGCCTCTTACTATGCGATGCTGCTCTTGCTGTCTTGGAGAACCATACTACCTGCGTATTGCTCCTCGCTTGTCATCCGCTGAATGATATTTCAACTAGAGGCGCTTGAGCAGCCGAGGCGACTTGACTTTGAACATGAGTTGACTTCAAGCAATGCATCACACCCGCACGACAATCCGACATGCCATCCCGCGATGCCCACATCCCATACTAAATCCAGACGATGCGATTGATGCCAGAACACAAAAGCATATCGACAGATACGCGGCTTTGAACAGAAGTTCTAGCAAGATCAACTTCCTACCCCAACCCTAAACAACAACAGCAACAGCAACGATGGGCAACAACCAAAGCCACCTCTCAGTCTACCGCGGGGCCTACCTCGCCGGCTGGCGCGCAGCAGGTCGAAGATCCATGGAGGCCGCCGCCTTCACCGTCATCCTATTTGCAGTACAAATCTGGAGGCGCGGACCACTCATCTTTCCCTCGCCACGCAAATCCATCCCCAAACTTAGCAACGAGGAGATCTCGCATCTCCCCTACCCACCTGACGCGTTGCCCGGAGCCCGGGATGTCTCAACCCCCTACGGCTCCATCAGGGTCTACGAATGGGGTCCCGAGGGTGGGCGGAAAGTGCTGTTTATCCACGGCATCAGTACGCCTTGCATCGCGTTCGCAGGCATGGCGAACCAACTCGTCGAGCAGCGAGGGTGTCGCGTGATGCTGTTCGATCTGTTCGGGCGCGGATATAGTGATGCGCCGAACCCCGAGGTGTACAGGCAGGATCTGGGGCTTTGGACTAGCCAGATCATGCTCGTGCTTTCGTCGTCGAAACTCAGCTGGACTGGGGGAGGGGAGAGGTTCTCGCTGGTTGGGTACAGTATGGGTGGAGGCATTGCTGGGAGCTTTACTTCCTACTTCCCGGAGCTGGTTGAAAGTCTGGTACTAATAGCTCCTGGGGGTTTGTTAAGGCCGAGCAGGATCAGCACGTCAAGCAAGCTATTATACAGTGGATGGTTACCAGGATGGATGATGAACTACTTCGTCGGCCGTCGGTTACGAGGCAGCAGTGGGGGCCATCCTGCCACAGGCGGCAAGGGAGAGTCTACTGCAAACCCGCCTGATGCAGCGGAATCAGAGGTTCCAGGCCACCCAGCCAACGCGAAAGACTCCGACGCAGCAATGATACCGGGCAGGCCTGGACTATCGATCGCGAAGGCCGTCGCGTGGGAGACCGACGAGCATGCCGGATTTTTACCGTCTTTCATATCGTCGATAAAGTATGCGCCGGTCTCCCGAGAGCATCAGCGCTGGAAACGGCTGGGGATGCGGTGTGAGGCGCGAAGAGCGTCTACCGAACCGGAGAAGATCTCAGGGCTGGAGGAGGGCAAGGTGCTTGTGTTGCTCGGGAAGCAGGACTCGGTCATTGTGGCAGATGAGACCGAGAAAGACGCAAAGGAGGCATTGGGGAAGGAGAATCTGAAGGTGGTGAGGTTGGAAGGTGGACATGATGTTCCCGTTGTGAATAGCAAGGGGTGTGTGGAGGCTATGCTTGAGTTCTGGGATGATAGTCCAGTGTAAATCAGGCCTGAAGGGTATGTACAAGGCTGCTAGATACAAGTAGGTACAAATAGATACAAGAGATGACTCCAGGAAAGCGAGGAACTGCGGAAGAGGGCCACCGGTCATATGTGCCATGCACTCTTTTCCTAGATCTAAATGCACTCGAGAAGGCCACATCACTCTCGTCGGCAGGGGTTTCTTGTTTGTGAGAAGATCCACCACATGACCTAATCTGACCTGGACATCTGGTCGGCCGCTTGAACATGTAGACATAGGGAATTTGTCCAGGGAGGCCTGTCGACAGTGAAGGCGGCCTGCTAATCTAGATCAGAGTGAGAGCCATGTAAGGGACCCTCTCACAAACGATGAGCGCCCGCTGACGACAGTGATGTGGCCTTTTTGGTCGAGTTCCTGTCATGGAGAAGACTGCCAGATATGCCCGTTTGGCCTCTTTCACTGTCAGTCAAACACAGAAGCCAAGTCACCAGATCAGAGCTTCGAAACGAAACCACTGTTGTCCATCTGCCGCAAGTTAGCCCACTGTCCAGTACGGCCAGAAGCACGAGCCAGACTCACCTTGACAAGGTACTCCTTACTAATTTCCTTCACGCTCGTCGTCCCCGCCAAACTCATACACAACCGTATCTCATCCGTCAACAACTTCAACATCAGCTCCACCCCCGCCTGTCCCTTATACGCCAACCCCCACAGCGCCGGCCTCCCCACCCAAACGAAATCCGCACCCAGCGCCAGCGCCTTGAAGACATCCGTCCCATGCCTGATCCCGCCATCCACATGCACGGGAATCTTCCCCTGCACGGCCTCCACAACCTCCGGCAGTGCATCAATCGTCGCCATCGCCCCGTTCAGTTGTCTTCCGCCGTGGTTCGAGACTACGATCCCATCGACCCCGTGATGCACCGCCAATAAAGCGTCTTCTCCAGTCGCGATGCCCTTGAGCCAGACCTCCATCTCCGGCCCGCACTCCTGCTTCAACCACCCAATGTCCCGCTCCCAGCACAACGTCGGGTTCGGCGCGTGCGAGTGGAACGTGATCGGCCCTGAGGGAGGAACTCGCCTGTTTCCTTCGGTGTAGCCTGCTCGTGAAGCTTTCCTCTGCATCTTGGGCCTCATCCCCTCCCTCTTCCCGCTATCGCCCTCCCCATCCACCGCCTCAGGCGGCACCGGACTCTCCTCCTCCGCGAAATTCTTCACCTTCAAATGCGACGGCAACTTGAACTGATTCCTAATCTCCATGTTCCTCCTTCCCAAGAACGGGGTATCCACCGTCAAGAACACCGCTTTAAACCCAGCTTTCTTCGCTCTTTGGATCAATTTCCGACTATGCTCCCGCTCCTCGAACAGATACAACTGCAGGACGTTCGGATTCCCCTCGCTCGCCTCCGCGACCTCCTCGAGACTCTGCGTAGCAAAGCTACTCAACCCCATCGCTACCTTCGCCTTCTTGCACGCGCGTGCTGTCCCTAGTTCCCCGTCGCTATGCGCAAGGCGCTGCATTGCCGTCGGTGCTACACCAAGCGGTACACTGTTTATATGGCCGAACAACGGCACAGAGGAGTCGATACGGCTGACATCTCGAAGCACGCGCGGGCGGATGCGGTATTTGGAGTAGGCGGTGGTGTTTTCGCGGAGCGTGGTGTTGGAGTCGGAGCCCTCGTTGTAGTAGTCGCGGGTTTGTTTGTCCATCATGGTGCGCGCGTGGGCTTCGAGCTCTTCGAGGGTGAGGCAGTTGAGGTCGTGTTCCGGGTGGACGGTGGCCATTTTGACTGTGATTCGAGGGGAGGCGGTGTTATACTGGTGTATTGATGCTGGTTGTGGATGTTATGGGAGAGGACGATGGGACGGCAAAGAAGCGCTCGATTGCAATGAGAGAGATGTAGATATACAGAAAAAACAACAATACCTTACTGATCAAATAAACAGCAATCAATGTTAAGTAGCTCTATGACGCCTGTAACGCGGAGAAGAGGCTCCGCGCGAATGGATGCTGTCAAAGATGGTTCGCCATTGCGTGTGGGGAACGGCCATGGGGAATAAGAACATATCACAAGCAACGACCTTTCTCAAAGCCACGGAGACGAGAAAACATACTGAACACACTGTTGATACACCCATCTATACCACAGCGCTATGAGAACATCGATGCGACCGCCATGCGATGCTTCCATCCCATATGCACAACCGCTGCGCAAGCAGCCGCCTCAATACCATATCCAGCCCTATCACTCTTCTCAAGAAGAGGCCATGCTCCCGCCAAACTCCACGCCTGATGCCGCTGAAAAAAACCCACGCCGCCGCCGCCATGTCTCCACCGTCCACCCGCCCGCCATGCCACCACATCCACTGTGCAGTGACGAAAAGGGTTAGTACTTACTCGGAGAAGAATGCGCTCACTTCGCTGGATCCTGAGCAGCAGCGGGTGCAGGAGCAGCGCCGCCGCGAGAACCACCGAAGCCGAAGATGCCGCTCGCTGGCTTTTGGTCGACTGGCTTTCTGTAGAACGCACAAACACGCGGTATCAGCATCATCAACACAAATAAGGGGATACTTGCCCATTAAGCAAACAGCTCGCACTCACCTAAGCCTGCCGAACCCCAGATCCAGATCGAGGATGATCTTCAACGCATTCCGACTCCTCACAAACGGCAACGGGGACTGGGCGCCCGGCAGCCCAGCACCCACTGGCGGAGTCGGCTCCTCCATCTTACTCTCGCCCGGCAACGGCAGCAGGTTCTGCAGCACCTCGTACCCGGCGAGCGTGAAACCGAACTGCGGCGACGAACGCAAGATCCGCGCCGGTCCACCCTTGAAGAACGCACGGAATCCCTCCTCGGCCCAGACCTTCTTCGCTGCGTCGCGGAGGCCGGTGTACTGCGTCTCGCCCTTGCGCGCTTCGACCTGGAGACGGGTCTTGATGACGTCGCAGGGAGTGGTGAGGTAGGCGGCGGGCATACCGGCGATGGCGCCCGCGGTGAGGAGCTGGATGACGCCGAGCTTCTTCGTTGGGGACTCGCCGAAGAAGTCGCGCTTCAGGTGGGAATAGGTTGGAAAGTAGATGGCGCTGAATGGCACGTCGCGGAGTAAGCAGGCTGAGGCGCCCTTGTAGAGTCCGGCGAGACCGAGGTTGCGCACAATCCACATGGCAGTGCGTTTGGTGAATTCTTCTCCTTCGCGAGAGGCGGCACGGGCGGCTTCACCTTGGATTTGTAAACGGATCTTGACGATCTCGAGCGGGTTGGTGAAGATGACTTGGCAGGCGCCGGCAGAGCCACCAGCGAGGATCTCGGCGCGCCAGTCGATGGCGCCAGTCTTGATGTCGGTGAATTTGCCGCGGACCAGGTCGTTTACAGTAAGCTTGATGGCCTTCTCTGGTGCGACACCGACGAGCTGGGGCAGCACACCGCCGTAGAGCCCACGCACGCCTTCGTTGCGGAGGACTTTCTGAAAGCAATCTATGCTGTTCTTGTAGAGGAGCTGTCCGACTCTTGCCTTGCGCTGGTTCTGCATGCGCGTCTTGACCAGGTCGATGGGGTAGACCATAAAAGCGCCGAATGCACCTGCGAGGGAACCAAGCGCGAAGTGGTGGGCGCTAACCAGCACATCGTGGATCCAGCTCTCAGACTCGGCGTGCGCTCTCTGTGCGTGGTTGGCGATGGCTTGCTGGGCGGATTGCTGGATGTTGACCTGAGCGTGCCAGGAGGCGTCTAGTACTCGCGCGAAGTCTGCCAGACCGAGGCGGCCGGAGGGCTGATCGAGAGATGTGAAGTGGAAGAGGATGTCCGCCTCCATAGGTGTGAATAGGGTGAAGCGGGTGATGCGCGCTGCTTCGTTGAGGAAGTCCACGCGCGTGATTTGGTCGTCGGGCGATTTGGCGATTGCGTTGCGCACTACGAGCTCGACCAGGTCCATCTCCCTAATGATGTTCAGGAAGGCACGCACGTTCGCATAGCTGATTTTGGACCCTGAGCTGATGTTGCACAGGGTAGGCAGGTTCTGGAGAACATGGTCGGACAACTTGTGCGATGCTGTCTCCATGATGATGCGCTGGAAGTCTTGCGGGTCGATGTAGCCGTCGCCGTTCTTGTCGTAAGCGAGGAACGCCTGGCGCACCCGCTCTCCCTGCAGACCGCGCAACATCTGCGTGAACTGTGGGTATGTCATGGCATGCCTGTTCTTCTTGCCGCCGACATACAGCTTGGCCCAGTCGCTATCCCAGTCAAAGGGCATGCCTGTCTTGTTCTGCGCGTACACCTCTTTAAACACATCAAAGTCCACCAACCCAGTCTCCGAGTCGGCGAAGAGGCGGAATGCTATCTCGTACTCTGCGTCGGGCTTCGCAAGCAGGTTGTTGAAAACGGTCCAGTCTTGTAGGTTGACGCGGCTCTCGCGACGGCGGTCGGCGATCTGGAACAGCACATTGTACTGGTCGCGCTTGATCTTGTGCTGTTTTGGTGTTGGCTTGGGTATCTCATCATCTTCGCAAAGCTAGGGGGCCGGGTAGGAAAAGGTGTAGAGCTAGAATCAGGCGTAAGTGAAGGGGTGTACTCACGTAGTCTTCCTCAACTGGCGCAATGGCGTCCACAAACTCTTTCTGGGTCATGTACTCCTCCCCTGTCTCTTCATCCTTGATGGCATGCTTGCTGAACTCGGCCCTGATCTGCTGGGAGGCAGGCGGCTCCGACTCGCTGCCGATCAAGCTCTCCTTCACACCTTCGGCGATGCTGGTGTCTTTGATCTTCTCTGCCGCCTGTTGCGCGACTTCGGTCACCTTTTCCGTTACGGAAGCCATGATGGCGAGCTTGTGACACTGCAGCTTTATCGTTCGCGGTCAATGGTGCTGGCGATCGAGGGCTGATGACTACTGGCAACGGCCAGGAGTCCGGGAGTGCGGAGGTCTGTGGTGTAGTGCACGGGAGTGCTCCACCTAGGGGAAATTAGGGATGCGGTGTGGTGTAGCGGTGGGAGATGTTAGTAGTGAGAACAATGGAGGCGTTCAGGCGACGCGCAGGAGTATCATTGTGAGGTGGAGAGCAGGATGGTGGTACACGCGAAAATGAAGTGAGGTCTTCCGATTTGGAAGATGTCTTTTCTCGTCGAAGCTCCTAAAAATTTAGAGTTGCGGCGGCTAGAACTAGTCCAGTGCCGCGAAGCGGAGAGAACGGAAGTGGCTAAATTGGGACAGCTCTTCAAAACACCTCCACTCGAACATGAAGTATAAAGGAACATTGAATACATGTTGTTCGGTCGCAGGAATTGATTCAATGCATTGGCATTTATCGTGGGCGGTATTCCTCAGGCGCTTGGTCTCGGGCGAATGCGCAGGATCAGCCGTGCAGCATAGAACGAAGACAACGAACAGACGACGAAATAGTTTGTTATATGAGCACGTCTGATCAGGTTGTGGACTTCGAACCGTTCATCATCTTCCAGGTTCGTTTGCAACTAGCAATCTGAAAGCCAAGGGAATACATCGGAGAAACTCCGGTCACGCAGATTAATTTTGACATGAGGTCGATATAAGCAACACAAGGTTGAGCACCACGAGGAACGGATGCGGGGAAAATCGTCGAGAGCCGGGGTATCTGGCAGGCACGGAGAAGTGCGTTCCTGGATGCCGTTTGTAGGGGCGGTCATGGAGACGATGTGTTGGACCAAGGGGGGGTAAAAAGTGGTGTGAACCAACTCCCACGTCTCTAGCGACCTCGAACGTATCATTGTGGGCACCATCGAGAGGCATTGTGGTTGTGGTATAGAGGAGTAGATGTCTGTGTTAATTGATGTTGGGACGCGATTTTGCGGCGACATGCAAGTGGCTTTCGCTAGCGCGAAGACTGATATCTTGGATCTGCAAGCGGCCTGCCTCTCGCCATCCACTGGTTCCACTCTGCCATTTCCCTGCTGCTGCCTCCTTCTGCCGTTGACCCATATTCCAAACGACGAACTGTAATGAACTGATACCATCCAGCGATACAAAGCAGACGACTTCGCACAGCTCGCATCGACTTTGCACATCACCTGGTCTTGGCGCGTGTTTCGTCGCAAGCTTCACCTTCCAGAATACACAGACGATTTATCACCTGGGATCATCACCGCTGTAGGCAACCCTTGGCATCACGAGTGAATCCAGCACATGAAAGTGGTGCTGGGCTGTACGCATGGCCAGCAAGCGCAAGTTCGACACCTTCGACCCCAACAAGTCCGACTCCGACGACCTCGACTACGGCGCAACATCCTCTCCCGCGAAGTCGAAGCCTCGCGCGCGTTCTCAAAAGCCGAAGAGTGGTGCACGCAAGCCGACGAAGCGTCGACGCGAGACTTACAACGACAGCGACATCGAGGCCGATAGCAACGAGGTCACCGAGGATGACTCGTTCGGACAGCCAAGCGAGGAGGAAGAAGTAGCACTAGAGACAAATCCACGAACGGGTCGAAGCGTGCGCTCGGTTGCGAAGAAGCCGATCAAATATGAGGAGCAGAGCGAGGACGACATAGAAGCAGACGACAGCGATAGGCGCCCACAGAAGGCGACATCCAAACGCGCTGGTCGGGCTAACAGTCCTGTGAAGAAAGAGAAGTCATCGCTTGTCATCAAGCTCAAGCTACCATCACAAAATATGTCAGGCGCCGGATCAAGAAGGTCTGCACGCGCGGGCAGCAGCAGGCCCACCACCAAGCGTGGTTCTACGCCCCAAGCTCAGAGTGCATTCGCGACGCGTAGGAGCAGTCGCATTTCGCACAGTGAGGAGCAGCCTTTGGTCGCTCTTACGGATTCGGGAAGGCATGAGCAAGTAACAAGAGCGAGTTCGAGCACGCCTCCGCCAGCACGGCCAACACGAGCCAGCAAAGGTCTTAAGAAGCCACCTAGTGCGATCATGGAGGCGTCACAAGAGGGCACAGACGCTGGGCCTGCTCCGGTTGAGGGTGAAGAGATCGTCATGTCGCAGCCAGGACTGGCGGTGGAAGCTGGAGTGACAGAGGTCGAGCGCACATCACCAGGCGTAGAGCATGCTGAGGCAGTTGGCTCGGAGATTCAAATGGAGATGTACGACGAGGAAGGTGAAGAGCAGGTGGTTCAGGAATCTATGGACGACGATGAAGAGGATGAAGCACCAGTCACCAAAGGACGATCCTTGCGACAGCCCCGCAAAGCCTCCAGTCCGCCAACGTCTCAACCAGCTGGCACCCGTCGCTCGATGCGTGCCAAGAAGACTGGCGCAGAACCTAGCAGTGACTTCGAGCCAGAGGGTGAAGGGGATGCCGATGTTGAGGACGAAGAGATGTCTGAAGATGACCTGCTCAAACCACCGCGTGGAGGTCGCAGTAGCAATGACGAAAGCACAGGTGGTAGCAGACAGCCCGGTCGTAGATCGGGTCGGCTGGGTCGTAAGGCTGCTTCCCAACGCAGTCAGTCGAGACGCCTCAAGTCCGACGAAGACAACGACGAGCTTGACCCTGAAGAGATCGCGGACGAAGCTGCCGATCTCGAGGAAGACAATCAGCGGAGAAGGCGCGAGCGGAGGCGACCAGCGCGCCAGGCTGATATTGCATTCGAGCCGAATTTGCGGAATCGAGGCGCGAGGCCCGACTATCGCATTCTACGACCTGAGCTGCTGGCGCAGATGGATGAAGAAGATGCACCAGCTGCACCTATGGCTACACCCAACCGTAACCGACGAACCGGCGGCGGAGGGACTTATCGCAGCCTCTTCTCCACCTTCGGACCTTTCGGTGGCGCTGGCGGACCTACTCCCGTCTTTGGCGGACCAGACGGTCAAGGTGCGACTGGCGGTGTCGACTCGGACAGCAGTGACGACGAGCAAGGCGGTGTCAAAGGTGGGCAGGGTATTGGTGGTACTGTGGGCATGACTCCAACCTCTGCCATGCCGCCGAGACCTTACAATGCCTTGACCTCAAACAAGTCAGATGCCATTCAAGGAGCTGGCGGCGGACCACCTGGACTTGGGAAGGTCAGCGACAAGAAGGCATTGGCGGATGCTGACCCGCTGGGTGTGGACACGAACGTTACGTTTAATGGAGTCGGAGGGTTAGAGGATCACATCAATCAGCTCAAGGAGATGGTGTCGCTCCCTTTGCTATACCCGGAAGTCTTCCAGCAGTTCCACGTCACTCCGCCTCGAGGTGTGCTCTTCCACGGCCCACCTGGTACCGGTAAAACGCTTCTTGCTAGAGCACTAGCATCAAGCGTCAGCTCGGGTGGCAAGAAAGTCACCTTCTACATGCGCAAGGGCGCAGACGCTCTGAGCAAGTGGGTCGGTGAGGCTGAGAAGCAGCTTCGTCTTCTGTTCGAAGAGGCGAGGAAGAATCAGCCTAGTATCATCTTCTTCGACGAGATCGATGGACTTGCGCCGGTGCGGTCGAGCAAGCAGGAGCAGATCCATGCCTCCATTGTCGCTACACTGCTGGCTTTGATGGATGGCATGGATGGCCGAGGTCAAGTCATTGTCATTGGAGCTACCAATCGACCTGACTCTGTCGACCCTGCACTACGTCGACCCGGCAGATTCGATCGAGAGTTCTACTTCCCGCTACCAGACGTCAAGGGCCGTCGTTCCATCATTGACATCCACACCAAGGGATGGGAGCCAGCTCTAAAGCCCGACTTCAAGGACCAACTCGCCGAGCTGACCCGTGGTTACGGTGGTGCGGATCTAAGAGCGTTGTGCACCGAGGCTGCTTTGAACGCTGTGCAAGGCACGTACCCCCAAATCTACGCGAGCGACAAGAAGCTCCAAATCGACCCCAGCAAGATCCGCGTTCTGGCCAAGGACTTCATGATCTCGGTCAACAAGATCGTGCCTTCCTCCGACCGCTCGGCGGCTTCAGGTGCTTCGGCTTTGAAGAAGGACATCGAGCCTTTGCTACGCAAGCCGCTGCAAGATGTCACAGACCGGGTCGACAAGGCCATTCCGAGGAAGCGCAAGGCTACGGCTCTCGAGGAGGCGATGTACGATGATCGTGACGATGAGACTGGTTTCGAGCGGGAGAACCTTTTGCGGCAGTTCGAGTCGTCGCGTGTCTTCCGGCCACGGCTGTTGATCAAGGGCGCGCAGGGGATGGGGCAGCAGTATCTTGGTGCAGCGCTGTTGAGCAAGCTTGAGGGACTGCATGTGCAGAACTTTGATATGGCGACGTTGATGAAGGATTCTTCACGGGTAAGCCCACGATTCCATATCAACGTGTGTTCAAGCTGACCAGTTTGCAGTCTCCCGAGGCAGCTATTGTCCAGCAATTCGAAGAAGTCAAGCGCCACAAACCGGGTGTCATTTACATCCCCAACGTCGACATCTGGTACCGCACTTTGGGCGACGCTGCAATCCGTACCTTCACCGGTCTGCTGCGGAGCATCCCGCCCACTGAGCCTATCTTGCTGCTCGGTGTTATGGAGAAGCCGATTGATGAGGACAAGCGGACGAAAGCCATGAATGCGAAGACGGAAGCCAGCATGCTCCGCGATCTCTTTGGGTATTCGCTAAAGAATCAGTACGATCTTAGCCGACCCGACCAGCCTGCGCGTGATGAGTACTTCAATGCTGTGATTGACTACATCCGCAAGGCGCCTTCGGAGTTCCCGTCGCAAGAGAATAGGAAGAGGAGAAAGTTGGACGAGCTGCCAGTGGTCGTTGCCCAGGAACCAACTACACGAGAACCCAGCAAAGCAGAGCAGAAAGCGCAGAAGAAGAAGGACCACCAGACGTTGAACCTGCTCAAACTGCAGATTCAGCCTGTAATGGACCAGATCAAGCGCATGTACCGTCGGTTCCGCGCGCCCACGGTCGAAGAACGGGACATTGCCTATCTCTTCGACGAACAGAACCCGCAGGTCCTCACCACGAACCTGAACGAGGAGCAGATGCAGCAGCAGCAGATCTTCCGCCCCTACGAGGTCGATCGGGACGAGAAGGGCGTTGCGGGGCTACGCGAGGTGGCTTCTGGCAAGTTCTTCTATAATTTGGAGATCGTGACTGTGGAGAAACGCTTGTCGAACGGTTACTACAAGCGACCGAAGGACTTTCTGGCGGATATCAAGCGACTCGCGAAGGATGCGAAGGCGTCGGGAGACCAGGGCAGGACGCTCAGCGCGAATGAGATGCTGGCGAATGTGGAAGTCGACATGGCAATGCTGGAGCAGCAGCAGCCTGCTCTCGTCGCGGAGTGTGAAGCGGTGTATGAGCGGGACTTGGAGCGCGAGCGGCAAAGGGTTGCTAAGGCGCGAGATGCGGAGCGCAGGGGCGAGGATGTGCTCACGGTGGTGCCGAACGTGCCGCCGCAGCAGGCTTCAAAGACTACGACGGAGAGTTCAGGGCCGGTGGTGCTGGGGCAGCAGATCCCAGGCGTGCGGCCGCCGCTTCTGCCGGTCACGCCTAGTAGGCTACACCCCATGTCGAATCCGTGGAGCACGACGAACGGCAGCCATCCTTCACACCAAACGAATGGATCGACCGTGCCTTCACGCCCTCGCGAGGACTCCGAAATGCTCGACAGCCCCGACCTGCAAGAGCAAGGAAGCCAGCACTACCAGCGCTCGGCCGCATCCCCAGAACAGCACAACACGCAAAGCGAGTTCACGCAACGCTCCGCCCACACCCGCGTCGCCCCCGGCTCGCAGCTCGACCAATACCGCAACAGCGCCTCGACCACTACGTCCGGGCAGAAGACTTCGGACAAGAGCGGACGCAGCAGTGGGCCGTATTCGGTGAACACGCAATTCTCCAACGGCGTGCGACCGGACGACCATCCGCGTTTCTCGCAGCTCGCGGAAGCCAGAGGAGGGAGTCAGTTACCCGACACGCAGGAGCAGAATTTCTCAAGCCAGCACTCGCATTCCCAGCTCTCGCAGCAGATGCCACCACCACAGTCGGGTCAGCAGCACAGCCAAAGCCAACCGCACGCTCCGCACGGCTCAAGCGAGGGCGGGAAGCACAGCTCCATCAACAACCTCCTCAACGCTCCCGCCCCTGCCCCCCCGACGACCACAGCCACCACCTCCGCCGCCGCCGCAGGCTCTGCAAGCACCAACCACCTGATCCTCGACGAACCGACCCTCCAATCCTTCCACGCCGAACTTGTCCAACGCTCCTCCGGCTTGTCCGTCGAGCAGCTCGAGCAGGTGAACGCGGGCATGATGGAGATGGTGTGGCAGGGGAGGGGGAATTGGAACAGGAATGCTGTGCTGAGGATGGTGGTGGAGGCGTTTAATGAGGTTGTCGCGGATGTGGAGGCGGTGCAGGCGGTGCTGGGGCCGAGTCAGCCGGAGGATGTCGGGGGGGAGGGGGAGGAGGGGGAGGAGTAGGTTGGAGCCTTTCTGGATGATGGAGCTGGAAAGATGCAAGGGTGGGTGTGGAGGTTTTGTTGGACGTCTGTTGTGTGAGCGAGATGCCCATGCGTTGTTGGGGCGTGTATTGTATAGCCACAGCTACGCGCGAAGGGATGCGCTGCTTGAGTAGAGGTACTTAGAGCGATTCAACGAAGAACTTTGAACAACACTCTGTTCCGACTTTCATTCCTCTATAAAGGCTGGAAAGGAAGTAGAATTTGGCAGCAGTACATTCCGCTCACAAACGCCTCGCTATCACCGCGTCTACGCGCAGCTTCCCCAAACCCAAGACACCACCCCTACAGTACCAGCCGCCCGGGCTCCTTCTCCAGCGCCATCTTCAGCCTCTCCAAATACTCCGTCGCCCTTTCCTCCTCCCCCCGCCCGGCAAGCACAGAGAACACATTATCCCCCGCACTCACGCCCAACGCGCTCGCGATTTGTCCGCGCCCGACCTCCTTACTCTTCGCGGCTTTCGGCGCGAGCAAGTCGATGATATCCGCCTTCTTCGCTTTCCTCGCCGGTCTGGTCGGAGGGAGCGGGGAAATGCCACTGATCTGCGGGAAGAACCTCCCCCGGGAGCTGCGAGGGATTTTGTCGAGGCCAAGGACGGAGTTGAATAGTTCGTCTGCTGACGGCGCAGCGCCTTTGCGGGCTGGGAGGTCGGAGTTGGCGAGTTCGGAGGCGCGGGCGATGAAAGTCGAGAGGGGGAGGAAGATGTCTAGCGTACTCTGGACGCGTTTCTGGGTGGCGATAACGGCGCTGAGGCTTATGGGGACCGCGATCTCGGTCTCGGAGGGTAGTTCGATGTCGGGTTTTGATGCGGGGACTTCGCCTTTTTGTGCGGGCTGGTCGGGTTGCGTGGGCTGCGCGGCGACGGTGTGCGTGAGGTCGAGGTGGGAGAGTTTGGTGAGGCGGGCGGAGAGGGCGGAGGGGTAGTCTTTGTTGATCTGGCCTAGGTAGGCGAGCACGTCGCCCTTGAGGAGGCGGCCGTTGGGGCCGGTGGCTGGGATGGAGGAGGGGTCGGAGATGTTCTTTTCGTGGAGCAGTTGTTGGACGGCGGGAAAGAGAGGGTATTTGTAGTGTTTCTGCGTTCGGTCGGCGGCGGGTTTGGTGGGTGCGGACTCGGCGTAGGGCTTTTCCATCTCCTTGGGGTCGGAAACGCCGGGGTCGATCTCTCTGCTGCCGCCAGTGGAGGAGGCTTCTTGCTTTGGAGAGGCGGAGTCGGTTTTGCGGTCTTCTGCTGGCTGCTTCTCCTCCTTCCCTGAGCTTGCGGATGCACTGCTGTCGTCCGCTGGCATTTCCAGACTGCTGAGATCGTCTCCCTCCTCTGCCATGACCGCTATCCGCTGTCCGACTTTTACACCCTTTGCGCCGTCAGGCTGGGTGATCTTAAAGAGCTTTCCTTCATCTTGCGCCTCAACATCCATGGTCGCTTTGTCCGTCTCGATCTCGAGGATGACATCGCCAGCTGAGTAGGAATCGCCCTCTTTGACCCGCCATGTTGCAATGTTTCCTTCGGTCATGGTGGGTGAGAGGGCTGGCATGGTGTAGTTCTGAGCGGCGCGTTGTCTCGAGGAGACATGGAGGCCTGGAAATGCATTAGTATGTCTCTACTCGTCTCAAGGCTGGGTTGAAGCATACGCCGGCGTGTGCTTTGTCGGGGTGCATATCTGCTCGCAAGCCGCGCCGATAGTCTCGCGGTGTTGACGACTCCCGCCATACTGTTCTGCGAACGATTGTCAGTGGTAGGAAGTTACAATGGCAGCATGGAAAGGTAGGAGTAGATTGTTGGGAGGTGGGTGGGTGAGCGCTCAATCACCCCCGAGATTCTCCGCAGCTTTCCATTGAGCTCCTATGTATAGAAGGACATTATTTTCATGTGAATCCACCTTCACTTCTATGCATCACCAATAACCAAGAGGGCTGGAAAACACACTGCCCTCATCAACAACAAGATGACAGTCCCACTGGACCTCCTCCTCCGCCTCCCTCCCGCCCTCCGAAGCCACGCGTTTACAGCATCCCTCCCTCGCTCCTCGACAACACAACAACTCTCCCCCCTCCGCCGTTCCTTCCACCAAGCCACCCGCCTCCTCCGCTCAAATGCCCGCCGCACCCAAACCCCTCCAACCCGCCGTCCACCACCCACAACCTCCCGCACCACCAACACCCCCTCCAAACCTCCCCCCCGACCCCCCGTTCCCATCGAACTCCTCACCCACCTTCGCACCCGCCCCTCCCTCCTCCTCTACCGCGCCCCCTCCCACACCTCCCTCCAAATAACCACCACCGTCCTGGGTCTCCTGTTCATCTACCCCACCTTCGAGTACTGCCGCCTCTCCGCCTCCCGCGCGAAAGACGTCGAGCACCGCCTCCCGTGGACGATCCGCGGACTCGTGCTCGTCTGCGGCATGCTCTTCGCGGCGGTAGCGGGACGGTGTCTGAGTATGCCGAGGAAGATGGTGCGGACGATTGAGCTCGTGGCCAGGGAGGCGGAAGGCGCCGCGCAGGTGCGCGCGCATCCAGAGTTGAGCGTGAGGTTTCACATGAGGCACCCGGTGCCGTTTCTGAGACGGGAGGGGTTAGTGTTGGAGACGCCGTTGAAGGGCGCGAGGATGGATGGTGATGTGGCGAGTCATGAGGAGGTGCAATATCTCAATGTGCCTTTGGCGCAGGCGGTGCAGTCCACGGAGCAGTGGGAGGCGGAGTCAGGGCGGGATATGAAGGTGAAGAAGGGTGCGTGGGGGACGATCAGGCAGGATATGGGGAGGATCTTTTGGAACGAGGGGTTCGCGCATGTGACGATACCGGAGAAGGATGGGGCTGGAGAGGGGGTGTGGAAGCTGGATCTAAACGGGTGTGCGGTGTTGGCGCATGGAATGGTGCTAAGGGATGTCATGGAGGTGGATGTCTTGAAGATTGGATTGGTGGCTGGGTTGAAGAGGTGGTTGAGAGGGAAGTTTGGTGGAGTGGCAGCGGGGAGGTAGGTTAACGGGCGCTGGCTCGGCCTTGCAAATGGAGAGCCTTTGCGATGTGTCTTAATCCGCGGAAGAGCAGATGGAAATTGTGAGGTTATTCTGGCGGACTAGTACCAGCGCACGCGGAAGCAGAACTCTCCTCAGACTTCTAATCTAGAGGAATCGCCGTCCCCCATTCAGCCTCCCACGTCTGCCGGAATGTCCAATCGAGTCAGACAGCCGCACTCGTCTGGTCCCGCTGTTCAAGAACATTAGTATATGCTATGCGCCAGCGTCTCGCCAAACACTCACCGGCAGCGGCGTAAACCGCAAATACGGCTTCACGACCGTCATCCTCGGGAACAGCTTCTCAGCGTCCGGCGACTTCACGCTCGGGTGCACGATCACATCGTCGCCCTATCCAACCCGTTAGCCAAAGCCCCCACATCATATACACTACCAACTGCTTCACACATACCGGCAGCCAATTTATAGGCGTAGTAACCTTGTGCTTGTCGCCCGTCTGCAGGGAGTCCACAATACGCAGAACCTCGGCGGTGTTGCGGCCGGTGCTCGCGGGGTAGGAGAGGATGGTGCGGATGGTCTTCTTGGGGTCGATGATGAAGACGCTGCGGATGGTGAAGGCGATGCCCTTTTCGTTGACGTTGGTGGCGTCTTGGTGGTCGATCCTGCGCAGCGTCCTATCAGCAACTCGCCCTCATTCTCAAAATGGGCTGCGCGCGCAATTGGCGGGCTGGGGTTGGAGGTATACGCACATATCGTACATCAACGCCACCTTCCTCTCTTTGTCCCCGATGATCGGGAACTTCAGCTTGCTCCCGGAGATCTCGTCAATGTCCTTGATCCACCCGCCATGGCTCTCGATCGTGTTTGCGCTCAGGCCGATGAGCTTGACGTTGCGCTTCGAGAACTCGGGCTCGAGCTTTGCGAAGGCTCCCAGCTCGGTCGTGCACACTGGGGTGTAGTCTTCGGGGTGGGAGAAGAGGATGCACCAGCTATCGCCTGCAAGGAAGGCAAAAGTGTCAGTAGATGTTGCAGAATGCTAGGATTTGGCGCGTGAGAAAATTGCCTATAAACTGGTGAAAGTCGATGTCGCCGGATGTCGTCTGTTATAGGTCAAAGGCGTTAGCATTCTTCCTTCCTGTAAAGTACGTATATGGGAGAGCAGCGTCGGTGTATTGGGCCGGGACGTTGTCGAAGTCCTTCAAGGACCTACCTCAGCGCTGAAGTTTGGCGCAGTGTATCCGAGGCGGAGGGGACCGGTAGATTGTTCAGATGCCATGGTCGCGATGCTGTAGTAGTAGTGGCGCTAGAGGGTTAGGGTGGTGGAGGTGTTGTTGTTAGACGAGAGTGGGTAGAAAGACACAAATTTGTAGAAAGTCAATCTGACGTGCGAGCTGCCCACATGCCTGCCCCTCCTTTGTAATCAACAGCTGGGCGATTTCTGATCGACTTTCCCTTTCTAGCCTTCCAGTCTAGAACACCAAAATAGAGGTCGCACACGCGAGGGACGTTGGTGGATGACCAGGGATATATCAGCAATATCAGCACGCCCTACGACAGTCCAACGCAAATGGAATCAAGTTGCACACGCTGCAGCATGGCACGCCTGGCAATCGACTCAGCCGTCACCGGACAAGACGGGAGCATGTCATCTGTTGACCATTGTCCCTTGGGTGTAAAGAAGCGATCAGGAGGTGATTGAGGAAAGGGACACAGATGACACCCAAGCAAGTGACAGTGATCACGTGCCGAACGCCGGGATTACAAAACATCCAACACGCGGAACTTGAACACGCTTTCACCTCGGCCGCCAGTCGGTTCGTAAAGCACATGGAATAATCACAACATGTGAGTGGAGCGTCCATTGAGAGACCTTTGGGTGCTCTTCCAACCGCTTCAACACTCGCAAAACCTTTAGGATGGCAAATAAGAAGGTAGCCATTGTAGTTGGATCGAGCCGTAAGCACGCTTTTGCACTCGCCGACAGCCCACAACTGACTTGCTGCTGTCTCCAGGCGGCATTGGCAGACAGATTGCCATAGATTTGGCGGAAGATGGTTATGCTGGTGAGGCTTGCTGAGAGATGATGAGATGATGAAAGGCTGTAGCTGAGCTGGCGCGTAGTCGTCGTGGCCGGCAAGACAACTTCAGACGCATCGAAATGTTGTCCATTTCCTCCAGATCCGAATAGCCAGAGATCGACCATCAACACAGTAGTGGGTAGACAATGGCTCGTTCCGACAGGGGCGGCTACTTACCGAGCTCTGACAGGTCCGCGAGATCAACGAGGCCGGCGGCGAAGCACTAGCACTCCAAGTCGACGTCCGGGATTTCCAGAACATTGAGGACATGGTATCCCAGACCATCAAGAAGTACGGCCAGCTAGACGTCCTCGTCTACAACAGCGGTGCGATCTGGTGGGCGACGGTCGAGAACACGCCGATGAAGCGCTTCCAGCTCATGCAGCGGGTTAATCCGGAAGGCCTCTACGGCACTGTACAAGCATGCTTGCCACATCTGTACAAGAATGGTGAGGATGGAAAGGGAAGGGGGAGGATTGTTGTGATTAGTCCGCCGATCTATAGCCGCTTTTTGAAGGGCAAGACTGCTTATGCTATGGGAAAGGTGAGAGTCAACTTATGTGCTTCGAGATGTACTGCTACTGATTGGCGTCTAGTTTGGCATGTCGGCCCTTACCATGGGCATGGCTGTTGACTTTGAACGAGAGGGAAGGTCGAATCTCGCAATAACAAGTCTCTGGCCTGCGGCGGCAAGTAGGCCTCAAGTCTTTGCCCTTAACGATATAGCTAACAGACGACAGGCCATCGAGTCAGCAGCGACTCAAAACCCACAAACAGATCGCGCAGAACTTCGCAAGCCCACCATCTTCTCAGACGCAGTCCTAGCCATCATCAACTCGCCCACCCAGGACGTCAACGGCCGCTGCGTGCTCGATGAGGACTTTCTGCGGGAGCATGAGGGCCTGACTGACTTTGAAAAGTACTCGCTGGTTCCCGGAAGTCAACCACGCCGGATTATGCCAAAGAAGTTTCCTACGCTGTTGGTTGAGGAGCAGGACGATGAGGGCAGGAGGATGGATAGCGCTGCGTTACCCAGGACGACCAAGTTATGATTGAGTCTAGGGCGCTTCCCGAGGCCGTGTTGTTGGTAACGGAGTAAGCCGAACGATCTAGACTTCGAGAGCAGGAGGTCGCAAAGCTCTGCAATTGCGCACAACGACGACTACGGTACCGAAGACGATGGCTGTGATCTTGCGCATGAAGATACCTCCGTCTAAATGGTGAGGACTATTTTGCTTTCCTGTGTCTTTCATCCGAGTCTCAGCTGTTGGGAGTGCTCGTCTCCATGACTTACATTCTAGAGCGGTCGAGATTCGAAATGAGTGTCTACCAGCATTCCAGTGCCAACGCGTTGTCAACACAGTCTCCTTGCCAATCGAACAGCTTCAGAACTACTGACTATCTCGGCGTGCCGAGACATATCATCTTTACACCATTCAACACATTCGCTGCTAAACTCGACGCTCGCTCTACCAAAATACTGTGTGAACACAAACCAGGACTTTCCCACACAGCAAGATCGCGGACTATCACTGAACACCGCAAGCTGATCAAAGGCTCACACGAGGAGCATGAGGCGCTTCGGCGTCGTCGCCCTCCTGGGCGCAGGTCTACTGGAGATTGCGTATGCGCAAATAACGTCCACAACGCTGGCCGCATCCACGACCTACAACCCAACCGTGTCGTGGTCACCGGCTCCCGTCTGTTCGCAGGGCAGCGACCCACCGGGCAGCAATGGGGGTGTCTACCAAGATGAGTTCGGGAACTTCTACGAAATGGCTTGCGGCCCCATGTGGTCAAGCACGAGTTACTACGATGTTATCGGTGGAAATCCTACTTGGGTCGGGACTACTGGGCAGGGTATTGGGAGTTGCTTTTTTGGATGCAGCAATCGTCCTGGATGGTACGTTATAGTGCTCATCTTTTTCTGGGCCGCTATTGACGGTTTACAGCATGGGATTCACGTACACTGGCAGCGTTGTTGGCACGAGCTACAACTGGCAGGGTTCATCGGGAAGATGCTACCACTTCATGAACAATACTCAGGGAACGCTCCAAGGCAATGGCCTCTCCCTTGGCGGACAGACCGTCTACGGTGCCGCGTACCTCATCCAGGCTGCTCCTGGAACGTTGTGTCCATACTACGACGGACAGACCTTCACGGACAACTGGGGCGTCGCCTACGTCATCCAATGCGGCTATCAAGCAGCGACAACTGCTGGTGCCGGAGTTCAAAAGAGTGTAACAGTGGTACAGAACATCCAGAGCTGTCTGTCCGCTTGCGATGCCGCGGGTACAGCTAATTGCAACCATGTTGCATACAGCTACGCCGCTTCTGCCGAGCCTTCTTCCTACAGGACCTCTCATGCCTTTGGCTCTTGTACCTTCTTCACTGGATCTCCGACGCCGACTGGCGGTGGGATGGCGAGATATGCATATGCGGCGCAGACGACCGTTGCGTCCACAACGACATCGTCTAGTAGTGGGACTACTTTGAGCACGTTGACTTCAAGTTCCTCGTCCAGCAGCACGAGTTCATCGACATCCAGCAGCAGTAGCACGTCGACGGCGACGACTCTCACGGTTCAGAATGGAGTCACATACACGCTCACCGGTCCAACACAAACACAAACAGCCACAGCGACGAACACTCAAACGGCGACGAACACCCAGACTCAAAGCGTTTCAGTTACGATCTCGGGTCCGACACAAACTAACACCCAAACGGCGACCAACACCCAAACCCAAAGCATTTCGGTCACCATTTCCGGGCCAACTCAGACGGCGACCGCCACGACCACACAACGTTCGTTCTCCTTCCCTCGCGCTGATCTTGAGCATTGGATGGCGGTGCTAACATACTCTAGCTACCACCATCGTTTCGAGTGTCACCAACACGCAAACCCAGAGCGTTTCAGTCACAGTTTCGGGACCTACTCAGACCAACACGCAAACTCAAAGCGTCTCAGTCACGAATACGCAAACGCAAAGCGTCTCGGTCACGGTTTCTGGCCCTACGCAGACCGCAACGAACACGCAGACTCAAAGTGTGTCGATTACAGTTTCCGGGCCCACACAAACAGCCACAGCGACCACTACACAGCGTTCGTTCTCCCATGCACTTGTTGAAGGAGGCTCTTCGAAGCGAGTTGCTAACCTTTCGCAGCGACCACGATTGCTACGACCGTCGTTTCAAGCGTCATCGAATATGTCACGAGCACGTATCAAACGACCGCTTATTTCACGACCACCGCAGTGTCGACGGCACTAGGTACGTGGAAAAGAGCCTGCTGATTTAATTTGAAGCTGAGAGAAATCAAGGTTCTACTATCACGGCAACTTCAACCTTCGTTTCAACGTACATGTAAGGCGAATGCTTGAGTCCCTTCTCAAGGTTGGATACTGATTGTCCTCTCAGGACCACCGCAGTGAGCACTTACGTGACGACCCAGCCCGCTAGCACTGTCGAGCGGACGACAACTCAACCTGGTGAGATTGAAGACCTCTCGTCCGCCTTCCTGAGTCAACCACTGGCTAACGAATCCAAGGAACTACTGCTGTGAGCACGTACATCACCACCGAGCCAGGTTCCACCATCTACCAGACAACGACGCAGCCCGGTGAGCCTCAAAGCACTCTGCTCTGCTCTGAATTCAGTCGATTGCTAACGTTGCCCAGGTTCTACTGTGACAAGCCTTGTCGTCAGCACTTACGTTACCACATATCAGACAACGCAGCAGATCACGACGACTGCACCTGGTCAGCCTCCCTCGGCATTCCATTCTTCATGTCAATAGCTAACAATGTCCAGGCTCGACCGTAACGGCTACTACGTCCTATCCAGTCACAACAACGGTAGTTTCGAGCTACTATGTCACCACAACTCAGCCTGGAAGCACCATCGTTCAAACTACGACCCAGCTGGGTAAGCTCCATCATGAAAAATTGTATGTCTAGTGTATTCTGACAGCATGAAGGCTCGACGATCACCGCTACGACTTCGTATCCAGTTACGACGACGCAGCCTGGTAGCACGATTGTGCAAACTACGACGCAGCCTGGCTCGACTATCGTTAGCACTGCTCCTGGTAAGCTCATCCATTCCATATAACCCCCAGTGGCCATGGTCCTTCGTGGCTACGCACACAGCTTTCAGGGGTTCAATCCCAAGTCCCGATTTGCCGTCCTTTGATGAGCAGCCAAGATCCATACAGTGGCTTCGATCTGACAACCTCGCAGGTTCCACCGTCGTAAGCACCTACGTTTCGACTTATGTGACTACTCGGGCCGGTAAGTAGCGATCTCGAATCACCGCTGGGGTTGACGATGAGGCTAACACGTCTCTTCAAGGGAGCACTGTGACCGTGGTTAGCTCATACGTGAGCACATACGTTACCACCGCTCCAGGCACCACAATCAGCGTCACGCCTTCGCAATCCGCAGGCACACAGACCCAAACTCAGACTGAAGCCAGTATGACGACGACCTGTTACATCATGAACGGTCAAACGCAATGCATGGTATCGACATCCTCCACCAGCTCGAGTTCGGGAAGCTCATCCTCGAGTAGTAATCCCGGATCGACCACATCGTCGTCGTCCTCTCAGGTCTCCAGTAGCCCATCGTCTTCGTCCATCAGCTCAACGGTCTCTTCTTCTACTTCTTCAGCGGCCAGTACGTCAGGTACGGGCCCGTCGAGTTCATTTACTTCTAGCAGCTCAATCTCGACATCATCGGTGGGTGTCCTTGACACAATCTGAAGCATGTTCCGCAAGGCTGATAGATTGCAGACGTTCGCAACTTTTGTGTCGACCACTTCCACCTCGTCCACCGCCTCCTCAACTGTCTCACCGAGCTCATCGTCAGCCACCTCGTCGCCCTCTTCCTCGACATCCTCATCCCAAGCTCAAAGCTCGACCTACTCAACGACGACCACTCTCTCAATTCAGACCTCATCCACCACCAGCTCTTCTTCCGCAGCTGCCTCAACATCGCAATCACTCGCGTGCGACCAAAGCCAAGCCCAGTACGGATATACGGATCCATCGACAGGCTCTCAATACCAGGTCCAATGCAACACGACATACTCCGGTGGTGTATGTCGGCAGGAGCAAACGCCCGACATGGGCTCTTGCATCACGGCTTGCTCGAACAATCCAAGCTGTGAGGGCGCTGGATATGACTCCACCACTGGCACATGCTATGAATACTGTAGTACGGTCGCTGGTAGCGGAACATACAATCCCAACGTTCAATATGCGCAGTTGTCGAAGCGAGCTGTCGTTGTCAACGGGCAGACGTCACTTTACCAGGTCACGACGTCTTACACCACGGCTACCACGGCTACTACTTTGAGCAGTTCTGGCGGAAGCAGTTCTTCATCAATGATGAGTTCGTGGTCGTCCGGCTCATCGGCAGCAGGCTTCTCCACGACGGCTTCAAGCAGCATGTTCAGCTCTGCGTCTTCAGCAAGCTCATCTTCGCCTGCGACCCCTAGCACCATAAGCTACACCCCTACCGCCACCACGACCACGACAACATCATCATCATCATCAAGCAGTTCGAGCTCGGCGGCTCAAATCACAACGAGGTCGTCCTCAGCATCAACATCTGCAAACACTTCTTCGACTTTGTTCTCCACGACCACAACTTCCTCATCATCATCAGCCTCGACATGTCCGCCGCCGCAAACTGTAACGGTTACGATGACGCCGCCGCCTGCAGTAACTGTCACAGTGACCGCCGCGAGCTGATGAAGCGATGCTGCTGGTTTGATGGGAGGAATTATGTTCTTGGGCAAGGCAACGACGTTACGAGCGACGGCGCAGCGGTCTGTTAATGGATTTTTGTGAATGGAGATGTGATAATAGTTAGCAGTAGTACACGTATGATATCTTCGACGACCAGACTTCCCGTACGGCACCAACGCTGTGTAGAAACGAGCGTTCTCCCGATGTCGTTAGTATAGTGCTGTGTAAAGTGCAAATGTATGGTACTGATCGCCAATACAACCAGCCCTTAGAGGCGGCCTTCGCGATTGGAGGATGGAGGTGGGGTGGAGGGAGGATAGAGGGAGGATGGAGACAGGATGGAGACAGGATGGAGGGTGAGTGAAGGAAAGGGCGGTGCTCGCTTGCTAGGTACGTCCCTGCAGCACCTACCGAGCTCATCAACATAATGGTGATGTGCTGCGAACACCCTGGCCTGCCTGAGTTATGCACCATGCGCAACATTTCATACCATTCGTCAGCCCTCCACCTCCAAAGCACGTCCAGCCTCTACGTCAGGCATCCACCCCTTCGGCCTCTCAGCCCCTCTCACGGTCAACCCATACAGCGCCTTCTCAACCTTCTCCACACTCGCCCGCATCACATCGGCCTTCTTATCAACATCCTTGGCAAACGGTCCATATCCGGCATCCAAGCTCTCCAGCGCCGAACGCAGGTCCCGCATATCCGTGAGCAGATTGCGTTGCGAAACATTTCCGCCCTCTGCGGGAGAAGAAATGGCAGGCAGAGCTTGGTTAGTAGCCATGAACGTAATGGCGAACTTCATCAGCTCGCCAGTCATGTCGTAGATTCCGAGGATGTAGTCTTCCATGCTCAGCTCGATGCCAGGCCCCTCGGCATCTAGTTTCTTGACCTGCGCTGCCGCTTCATCGTACGGCAGGATCCGGGCGTTGGTCAAGTAATGCTCGAACGAGGCTGCTTCGAAATACTCCTGGCATCCGCCGCTGATCTGACGAGCATAGCGATGAGCATTCAGGCCTTGGAGGTCGGCGGAGACGGACGCGAATTGCTTGGAGATGGTTTCGTAGTATTGGGCATTGCCTTTGATCACGTTCTGTGGGAGTGGCGCCTGCAGTTGGCGGACGCTATGTGGTTGGTTGTCAGCGAATCCGGGGAACCTTGAAGAAGGGGATGCAGAGTGATGGATGTGGCGTTGGGGATATGGGCTTACCGATGGAGTGTGAAGATTCTATAGGAGTGTTAGTGAGGTGCTCCGCGGAAGGTGGAGAGTGGGAGGAGTGCTCACATCTTCTTGGAAGCTGCAGTGATGTCCCGGCTAGCTTTGATGATTCTCTCCCGGCGGTCATGGTGTTCGTCCAGCTCGGAGCGGAAGTATTCGAACGATGGGAGGTACAGAGAGGTGGAGGGGGCTGTTCCGGATGCTTCTTCAGAGGCCATCGTTGCGTGTGTTCGCTTGGGCCCCATCAGCACCGGGTACCATCGGGTGAAGGAGTGGCCCTGGCTTGTCGTGTTGATCGAGTGTTGGCAGGTGAGGTTCGATCTTCGGTTAAGCAAAGTCCGAGGAGAGTCAAACGACTTCTCTCCTCCACATCCCGAAGACTCACGTTGCAACACCTCGATAATAAACTTCTTGCAGCAGTCAGGCTCTCAGGTTCGGACGGCACGAAGAAGCTGAATTGAATGCCTCTAATGTTCATCATGGCATGGATTGGATGGGTTCACAAGCCCACGGTGCTCCTGCCTGTCATGTATAGGTAACACATCGGATCCATCGACCAAGGCTCGTGAAGCGCACGGAAGCAAACGAGTTGTTGCTTGGCTGACATGGACAAGCCTTACAACCACCATCTTCTTGCCTTGGGAAGCGGCAAGTATGTACATTCGTACACCGTCCAGTTTACCGTCAGCCCGGCCTGCCAACGGCCCAGCGATACATATAGGAGGTACCTTCGTACAGCACAGCGGGACAGAACCACTCCGTTCTTGAAACAGCTTTCCTGGCTCATCAAAACGTGGAAGGACAAGCCTCGCACCGTTACATTGTGTTGCCGACTGCCGAGCGCTTGTAACTGCTTCTACAGAAAGACAAAACTCAATTGGCAGCGGTAGAGCCGCGGAGCGGAAGACCGCACATGGCCTCAGCACGAAGGATTCACACCGCAGGTGGAGGGACGGGTCACGGCAAGCAATATCAGCCAATGACGTACTAACTCATCTCGCACCAGGTCAAGCAACAGCTTCTGCGAACCGATATGAGTGGCTGACTTGAGCGACAACCCTGTGACCGACGAGGATGCGCTGTGGAGATCTCTTTGGGACTCCGCTTGGAGAGCACGAGGTCGAGCTGCAGGGATGGTCGCCAGGCCGCTGATCAGAATGTATTTGAACGTTTCATCGCCCGACTGGACAACGTGGTTTTGTTTCCTTCGACAGCTGGAGTTTCTTCCCACTACCATTGTCTGATCGCAACAATGGGGTACCAAGTCGGTAACATCTATGTAATCGCCGGCGTCGCAGTCGTCGGCGGTGGTCTGTTCGGTATGCTATGAGCGGTCCAAGCCATACTCCATGGTGGTAGGCTAATATGCATCCTAGGTTTCGACATCTCTTCTATGAGCGCCATCCTCGGCACCCAGGCCTACAAATGCTACTTCAACCAAGGAGACACCGTTGACGGCAACTGCCAAGGTCCTACTACAGGCACACAAGGCGGCATCACGGCAGCCATGCCTGGTGGTTCCTGGGTCGGTGCGCTTGTCTCTGGCTTCATCTCTGACATGTTCGGACGCAAGAAAGCTATCATGATCGGCTGCGTCATCTGGGTCATCGGATCGACAATCATCTGTGCTTCGCAAAACATCGGCATGCTCATCGCTGGACGTATCATCAACGGCTTCTGCGTGGGTATAGAGTCTGCTCAAGTGCCGGTCTACATCTCCGAAATTGCACCACCGACCAAGCGAGGCCGTCTGGTCGCCTTGCAGCAGTGGGCTATCACCTGGGGTATCCTGATCTTGTATTACATCTCGTATGGCGCCTCGTTCGTCGGTGGTGGCACTCCCCAGACGTACAGCACGGCAGTCTTCCGCATCCCATGGGGTATCCAGATGGTCCCTGCTGTCTTGCTTTTCATCGCCATGCTGTTCCTGCCCGAGTCTCCGCGATGGCTCGCTCGGTTCGTTCCTCTGCTATCCTTCATTCTGACCGTCTGCTAACAGCTCAATACAGAAAGGACCGCTGGGAAGAGTGCCACAAGGTCCTCACGCTAGTCCATGGCCACGGCGACCCCGACAGCCCCTTCGTCCTTTACGAGCTCAACGACATCCGCGACATGTGCCAATTCGAAGCCCGCAATAGCGACGCAACCTACTGGGAGCTCTTCCAGCCCAAGATGATCAACCGCACGCACATCGGCATGTTCACACAGATCTGGTCCCAGCTCACCGGCATGAACGTGATGATGTACTACATCACCTACGTCTTCGGCATGGCAGGCTACTCCGGCAACGCCAACCTCCTCGCCTCATCCATCCAGTACATCATCAACGTCATTATGACTGTGCCCGCGCTCATCTGGCTCGACCGCTGGGGACGCCGGAACACTATGATCGTCGGCGCGTTCCTCATGATGGTCTGGATGTTCACCAACGCCGGCATCATGGGCGGGCAGGGCAAGGTCGTCGAAGGCGGCGTCCACAATATCCCGGAGGAATCCATGAAACTCACCGGCAGCGCCGCGAAGGGCTTGATCGCCTGCACCTATCTCTTCGTTGCCTCCTACGCGCCGACCTGGGGTCCTTGTTCATGGGTCTACCCGCCAGAGCTCTACCCGCTGCGTGTGCGTGGCAAGGCTGTAGCGTTAGCGACGAGCTCGAACTGGGCTTTCAACACGGCGCTGGGAGCCTTTGTGCCGCCGGCGTTCGCCAATATCCGGTACCAGGTGTACATCATCTTTGGCATCTTCAACTTGGCTATGCTTATCCACGTCATTATCCTTTTCCCGGAGACGGCCGGGAAGACTTTGGAAGACAGTAAGCCTCCCTCCTTTCCACTTCATCAAGTTTCCAAGCAGAGACTAACTTTTGTGTCAGCCGCCGCGATGTTCGAGTCCACCGGCCCAGACAGCCTGCCCTACATCGGTACCAAGGCCTGGAAGACCAAGGTCGAGTACCAAAGCATGGCGCGCAAGGAGAAGGGCGAGGTGACGAAGGATAAGTTGGAGGCGATGGAGCATGAGGAGCATAGCCCTGAGCCGGCGGAGAAGGTTTAGCGGTTGTGACTGCGAGAGCTACGGCTACATGTGTGGATCGGTTAAGCTTGGGGATATGTTGATAGTACTCGGTCGTTGGCGCTCTGAATAGAGGTACTCGATCTTTGTCTCTATTCCTCATGATTTGCCGACCCGTCACCGTCAAACATCCGTTTCAAAATCAAGTTGCTCTAAGTTATAAATCACAATTAGAACTGTCATCTACTAGTATCCTGTCGACCTAAGCGTTGGTAATCGCTTTGCGCAGAGGTCGAAGATGGGACCAGCGGAGAGGAAAACCTTTAGTGGTATTGTTGCTCGCAATTGCCCCGCGACCCGCGACTGCCATCGTCGCCTCGCAGACTGTTGTTCTTTTCAAGAGATCTCTTCGACATGGACATGTCCAATGCAAAATGTAGGTCGCGGCCTTGCGGGATCATCAGTGCTTGGTGACACCGCAGTCGACCCACGTCTCGTCAATACGAAGAATCCACACGATGTCGCTTCCTGCAAGGCCCTGGCAATCCCATGAGCCATCGGCAGGCCAGCTTTGCGAGACCATCATCTGCATATTCTGAGAACAGTCGTGACAATGCGGCCTCTGGACCAAGATGAAGCGCTTGGTGGCGCTCTACTAGCCTCCAGATTGTCGAGAGCATCCATGCGCCGATCGCATTTCCGAGATGTCTCACCACGATGCCGGAGAGCACCCGTCACAACGACCGGGTTCTTGGGCCAGCTACTTAACGTCCTCTTCGACGCCGCACTGCTTTGGTGCAGAGCTCACTGATATCTTGATCCGCCTCGAAGCAACCACAACGCGTCATAATCGATATGCGGTATACCCTGCGGCCGCACAAGACCCTGCCACGTGGGAGACGTTGGGCAGAAGCAATTCGAAGCACAGTGGATCTCCCTGCTCTCAATTTCTTCCACGGCTTCATTCCAACCCCATCGCCAACGCTGCAGTGTTCTCAAACCCCCCCGAGTCACGACAGCAAGAACACGAGTCAACCGTACCCCCATTCTTCCGCCGCCCGACCCTATCGGAATCGACCGACATGCTTGAACTTCAGCCCTTGCTTGACGCCAGGCGCGGCCTTGCGGCGCTGGTGTAACGTGCGATCTGGGTTGGTCTTCGTAGGCGGTGCGACCGCACTTAGGGGAGTCAAATGGTTTGGCTGGTCTTTTCATCATCGCGTTCTCTTCTCGTGCTTTTCGTGTCTTCGGCGTAGCGCAAGGACAGGTGAGGAAGCGTTATCCTGTCATTACTCTCGTTCATCTTCGTCTTCACTCCTCTCACATGGCCATGCCGGCGCGACCTTCCCGTCTTTGAGGCCGCACTTGTGACCCCTCCCACCGGGTACTGACACCTGGACACCCTCCCACTGACCACCATCACCGGGCCATGGGCGCCGCGTGAGCGCATGCAACAACTCGAAACGTGGACGAAAGAACACAGCCAACGCCACACCTCGAGCCGATAGTCAAGATGCGATACCCACCCATCTCAGTGATCCTGCAATGGCCAACACCAAACTACGATAGCCCCGAGACGCGAGGGCCAGCTCTTCTCATCGTCAACATCATCTTCATGATCTTGGTCGTTGCTGCCGTTGCTGGGCGGTTCTACGCGAGGACATACTATAAGAAATGGTTCGGCATTGACGATGTCATGTGCGTGTTCGCGCTGGTGAGTTAGATGACATCCAATGGGTGGGGAGTTGGCTGATGTGGGTAGATCTTCACTCTGGCGACAGCAGTGGTGGTGATTCTGGCGAATGAGAAGTTTGGCTGGAATAGGCATATCTATGATATCCGTGAGCAACACCTTTGCACGCAGGTTTAAAGTCCAGCTGACAGTTTTCAAGCATTCGACTGGATCGAACGAGCCAACATCATCGCCTTCATCGCCAAACTCACCTTCACCTTCGCCGCGACCTTCATCCGCCTCTCACTCATATGCTTCTACTACCGCCTGGTCAAGGACAGTGGCATCCGATGGTTCAACTGGGTGCTGCATGCCAGCGTGCTCTGGACACTCGCTGTTGGCATCACGTTCATTTGCTTGGGTATATGGCTCTGCTCGTATGTTCTCCACCCCGACTCACAGCAGCTCTGGCTTCACTGACACGCAAACAGACCAGTCGAGTCCTATTGGATCTTCCCGCAAATGGATGGCGCGACCTGCATCGACGAGGGCAAGACCATGCTCGGCGCAGGAGTGGTCAATACTGTGTCTGATCTCTGGGTCACGATAGTGCCTATCCCGCTCATCATGCAGCTCAGGATGCCGCTGAAGCAGCGCATGGGTGTGTGCGTGTTGCTATGTCTCGGCATGATCGTCACGATTGCTGGTGCGCTGCGGACGTACTTCACCTGGAAGAGCTTGATGGATAGCTGGGACGAGACCTGGCACGCTTACTCGTTGTGGATTTGCGCAGCGGTCGAGTTGGACATAGGCCTAGTAAGCACTCCTCACACCCCACCAAGAGCCTGATCTAACGAGTGGAAAGATCTGCTCCTGCGCCCCAGCCTGGAAATCCCTCCTCGCCCGCCACATCGCCGAACTCACCTCCAAACTCTCCTCCCTGCGCACTCCAAACGCCTCTTCCAACGACCCTTCAGCGACCACCCCACCGCCCTCCCGCTTCAACCCTCTGCGCAGCATACCCTGGTTCCAACACACCCGCTTCGACTTTGAGAGAACGAAGCGATCGCGTCTCGACGCTTCTGACGAAATCGCGCTGCAGCAAGTGGAGAAAAGCGGCAGAGTGAGTGAGATGCCGCTCGACGACGACGGGCATGAGGAGAGGAGGTATGGGGCGAGGACGAAGACTCCGCCGCCGCTGCAGATTTCTTTGCGGCAGAGTTTGGATCAGCGGAGTGTGCGGTTGTCGCATGAGGAAGGCAATGGGTCGAGGGAGAGGAGGTAGCGGTGAGGGGTGTAGGATTGACGTTAAGGGCTGAGATTTGTATACTGGAGGTTCATTTCAGGTTTTATCTATGGGCGGCTTTTAGCGATGATATGATACGATCGATACCCCAGCACGATACGGCAGTCGGACTCTCCACGGCAGTAATGAGACACATTCTAGCGAAGAGATATACAAACCAGCAGTCATTTCGAGGCAGACACGGAGTATTCGCCCTATAATCGATGCCTTGAAGGAACAACGACACCTTATGCCGTGAAATAAAATAGTGAGACGACATGAAGAATCTCACAGTTCTCTGCCGAGTAGGAAGCAGGAAGTGGCGTGGTCGCGTGGCTCAGATACAAAGGCAAATAGATTGCCTTGCCTTTATTCCTGCCTGGCGTGCTCCAAGGACCAAGGGAAGACTACTGTAGAGACCGTCTCTCTTGGAAGGTATTGGCGTCTGGGGCCGCAAGTTGATGGAGCTGACGGTGTTATTGATTACAGGACTCGGGATGGTTTTATTGATCTGACTCAGCGTCTCCCAACGTCGAGGTGTCGGTGAGCGTGGACTGATCAAACCCGAAGCCGGGTCGTTGCAGAGTCCAGACCGCGCCGTATCTCCTGATGGCTTTTCTGGTATGCGGATAGGAGAGCTGGAATGTTGCTGAGAGTTTGTGGAGGTGCGACTAGCTGCTTGGCCACGACCGCATGCGGTCTACATTTGCCGACAACTCTGAGTTCCTTGACTCTCTGCATCTCGAAACTTGTTTGCTCGACGCTTGAAGATCGCCGTGGTCTTTTGGCAGATGGATGTGCACCGCCCAGTGGGGGGACATTCAGGCTTTATGCCATTGTCCGACGATGGAAGCGGCTCAGAGGGTCGGGATTGCTGGTCTTGACGTGCTCGATCTCGCGCGATGTGGGCTTCCGCACCCACTCTGGAGCTGATTGCCCGGGGCCATCTCCTTCAGCTGCGAGGCGCTCTCTCACAGCAGCTGAGATGACAGGTGACAGATCAGATAGCCTGCATGCGCCCACCCCTCAAAGCCCTATCCGGACCCGAAGTTAAGGTATGGGCAAGCGAGAAAAGGCGCCACGAGCAACTCTCTTGCTCCTGAATCTCCGGCCGTCTGGACCTCACGAGCTTCCGACACGAACACCGTGCGACCCAGACTGGTCCTAACGATCTCCAAGCAGCCACAGCCGTAGCGACAGACGAAGCAAAACGGTCAATGTTTCGAGTTAATCTTTCCGCTTCGGCGATGAGGCTCAGATGCCTTGCCTGCAACTAACCTAGCGCATCTCACTGCGTCGCCTGCAATTGGCTGACGGGCACAGCTTACCGGACTCTTGGGGCGCCAGGAATAGAGCGTGCGTGGTGCCACGAGCGCGACAGAACAGACCTCGCCCTCTGCACGATAGCCGAAGGCACGTCTCTCTCTCCCAATGACAGACCTGCTTGGGGCGCGATGCAGCCCTGTATTGGTGGCGCAGACGTGCCGTTGATGCTTGGGGGTGTCACCGAATCTCCAGATGGTGCACAGGATGCTTCAACTAAAAGCTCCAGGGGTGTGAGAGGACGGCACGGGGACCGCGATATATTGCGGCTCTTCAGCCGATTTCTCGGTGGTGATGTTCAGGTGATGATACCGGGGACCTTTCGTTTTTTTTCTTCTTCTTATTATCCTACTGTCGCTCTCCGTCGGGGCGTTCTGGTTCACCAGCTATTCGCTCGCTGAACACCACATTCACTTTTAATCGTTAATACACAATATGTCTTTCTTGTTGAATTCGTTGGTGCTGGGGCTCGCTGTTGTTGGGGTGTCGGCTCAACGACCAGGTGGTCCTCCAGGTGGTACCGGCGGCTCTCCAGCATACACACTCTACCAGGCACCTCTTCCCATCCCCGAAGTCATTCAACCGGACTTTTCGATCACCACCAAGGATGGACGGACGGTGCAGAGCTACTCGATCACCATCGAGCAGTTCACCAAGCAGATCTACCCTGATCTCGGCGCGGCAACGATGGTTGGGTATAACGGGCAAGCACCTGGGCCGATGTTCAGGATTGATCGGGGCGTCGAGACGGTCGTGAGGGTGTTGAACAAGGGCCCGCGCAATGCTGCTGTCCATCTTCATGGGTCGTACAACCATGCTCCGTGGGATGGGTGGGCGAACGATGACATGGCTCCGAATCAATGGAAGGTACGTAGTTTCTAGTCAATCCATCTCGGGTTATATTTTTACTGACTCGAGAAGGATTACTACTACCCTAACCTGGAGTCTGGACGCTCGATATGGTACCATGACCACACCGACGAGATCACTGCAGTCAACGCCTACTTCGGCCAGGCTGGAACCTACATCATCCACGACCCTGCCGAGGACGCTCTTGCTCTGCCCGCTGGCGACTACGACGTGCCGCTCGCTCTGTCGGACAAAACCTACGATGCTAATGGCGACCTTGTCTCTCCCGCAGGCAACACCTTCAACTTCTTCGGCGATACCATCCACGTCAACGGCCAGCCATGGCCATACATGAACGTCGAGCCACGCAAGTACCGTTTCCGATTGTACGACATGTCGTTGAGCCGTGCATACGACCTCCGCATCCAGAACCCAGCTGGCAACTCGGTGCCATTCAAGGTCATTGCCTCCGACTCAGGTCTCTTCGGTAGCCCGGTCTCCACCAGCAACCTCGTGATGTCCATGGGCGAGCGCTACGAGATCGTCGTCGACTTTGCCAACTTCAAAGGCAAGAAGTTGACCATGCTCAACGGCTTCACCGCCGCAGCAACGACCAGCTTCGCCAACACGGACAAAGTCATGCAATTCGTCGTCGGCAACACCGTCAGCGACACCTCCAACAACGGCGCCGTCCCCGGCACGCTAAACCCCAACGTCGACTGGCCCGCTCCCCGCACCACCGTCGACCACACCTTTTCCTTCCAGCTCGGCGGTGGCGGTGCCCAGTGGACAATCAACGGCGTTCCCTTTTCCGACGCTAACAACCGCGTCCTCGCCAAACCCCCACAAGGCGCCGTGGAACTCTGGGAGCTCCGCCACGCCGGCGGCCCCGCCGTCCACCCCGTGCACATCCACCTGGTGAACCTGCAAGTCGTCTCGCGCACCGGCGGGCGCGGCAGCGTCCTCCCCTACGAAAGCGCCGGCCTCAAAGACACCGTCCTCCTCGAGCCGGGCGAGACGGTGCGCGTGCTCGCCTTCTACGGGCCCTGGGACGGACTGTTCATGTTCCACTGCCACAACCTGATCCACGAGGACAACGCGATGATGGCGGCCTTCAACGTCACTTTGCTCGAAGAACTCGGGTACCCGAATACGCAAGGCTACGCCGACCCGGAGGATTCGCGATTTGCAGCGAAATCGTATAAAGCGGCGCAGTTCAAGCCCGCGGCGATCAAGAAGGCGGTGAAGAAGCTGGCGGCGATGAATCCGTACAAGGACGCTTCGGCGCTGGCGAGTAAGGCCGAGGCGCATTATGCGGCGACGCCTTTTGCGGGGGAGAAGAGGACGGTAGCGGCGCCGGTGGTGGCGAGGGCGACGGCTGCTTTTGTTGCGTGAGCGGTTCATCTCTGCATCTTGTGCTGGTGGTGTTTCGTATGGTTCAAGGGTTGGGATATAGTATTCGGTGTTGGCATGGCATTATTGGGACGGCTTTGCTTTGCTGCTGGGCATTATTCTCGGGCACGATGAATATCTACTACAGGTCACATGACAGCTATTGGTAATTTGCTAAATGCCAATGTGTAATTCTAGTGGTGACGAGTCTGGGATAGAGCGGTCCAGATTCAACATCGTATCATCTAGATCAATTCTCTTCCATTCTGATGTTGTGCAGAAGTACGGAGTACCTCAAGTGAAGTGCCTGGCAACGCCAAATAAACGTGACTATGGAAAGGAGAAGAGGCTACGACAAGCGTTTGAACGTTCTGTCTTCCTTTCTCCGTGGCGCAAGCGAGACAACATGGAATAGAGTAGGAGTGCAGTGGTAGGGGATCATATTTGGCAGGAGCACCACGGCACGGCAGACCTGAGCTCCCTTCTCGATGGCCGAGACTGGTGGGTGAGCACAACAGGGGGCTGCATAGCAAGCGATGGTGTCGGGGAGAAGTATGTTACCCTTTACGCATTCGCGGCAGCTCTCCAATATCAGGACAAGGTGCAAAAGGTATAAGGGAATTATATAAGAGGCGGTCTCATCATGGACACGACACTGACTGCGCATGAGAGAACCGTTCTCCGAGACAGCAACTTCTCAAAGACTGGTATCCTCACGCTCAATACTAGGTTACAGACTCCCCCCGAGCTAGAGAACACGCTAGATCGCAACCAAGTCCCAGGTCATCACCGAACCCACTCCTCCAATCCCACCACCCCTCACCCCACCGGCCCCTGCCTAGTCAAGAACGTAACATTATCCAAAAAACCCCCCACCACATCCCCAAACGCACTCGCCTCCCCCCGCACCAACCGCTCCATCTGCTCCCGCAGCACCCTCGAATCCACCTCCACCTCCAGCTCGTACGTCCCGGCGCCCTGCCCGGGCATGTCGACTTTCGTCAGGTCGATGGAGTAGGCGAGGTGGCGGTAGGAGACGCGGTCTTTGATGCGGTCGGGGCCGCGGTCCGTGGCGCTTTCGGCGGCGATGAGGGTGGTAGGGTCGATGTCCGGACGGTCGAGGTTCACTTCCAGGGCGAGGGAGATGCGGGTGTCGTAGTTGTATTGCGGGTTGTAGATGTGCAGGTCGGAGATGGGCATTTTCACTATCCGGCCGAGGATCTGGCCGGCGCGGATGGCGGGGCAGTGGTGGGTGGAGGGTCTGTCGCGCGTGGCGCGGGTGATGCGGAGGCGCGGGGGGCGGGTGTGGGTGTTGCGGCGTTGGATGGAGGTGGGGAGGGCGGCGAGGCCGGTGGCGGAGAGGGGGTGGTAGAAGTCGGCTTCGTAGGTGTGGTCGTAGGTCATTCTCACGCGGCCGTCTGCCATTGACTCAGCGGTGGCGGCGTTGAGGTATTTGTTCATGGCACTGTGCTCGGCTTCGGTCATTCTACTCTCGAAGTGGTAGTCGGAGTTGGTGGCGGGGTCGAGGACGGTGGTGCTTAGAACGGGAAGGCGGAGGCGGTCGTCGCTGCCGGCCTTCTTGAGGACGCCGACCTAAGATGGTGAGGTTAGCCTCTCGATCGTAACGAATGGATTCAACGTGGCAGGTGGTATGATCGCATCTTGCCAGAGTGTTAGTAGATAAGGAGAACTCACCCTTGCCTCAACCTCGATCGTGCCCTCCTTCGGATGCATCCCCACGTCTTGAAGCCCACTGAACTGCTCAAACAGCCAATCCTGCACACACTTGAGCATCGGCGGATATGGGGTGTTCCATCGAAACGACTTTTCCCACTTTCCAAGAATGGCAGAAGCGCCAATGAGGTCGTGGTCGAGGGGCGGATGCTGCTGCCAGGGCTTCGTCTCCGAAATCGGGACAGTGCCGTTAGGTTGCTGAGAGGCGCCACGTGGTGTGATCGCGCGCTCGAGAGTCGGCGCATGACCGTTCGCTTGCGCGTCCCCGTGCTTGAATCGTGGGTTGTGCTTTGAGAGAACGGCCCAAGGGGGCCTTTGGGTGTATTTCCGGGTCATGGTTCGCTTGGCAGGTGGTTCTTGCGCTGGTTCGGGTGCTGGGCGCTTCAGCTGCTTCTCCGCCGGAGGAACCATGTTGGTGGCTTCTGAGGTGTGATGTGGAAGGTTTGGGGGATTCGGGGGCGCGGAGACGACGCTTTGTTTGCCAGCACCGTTAGCGTCCAGAACTTCGTTAGAGGGCTCACGCGGCCTTGGCGGCACGTGATTTATGAGATCCTGCACACTGCTTCTCTGAGAGTGTGGACGCGGCATTACTTGCGTTTTCGGAGAGACTGACAGGCTCCTCTCGCGCTCCTGAGTGAACTGCTGGGTGAGATATTGTGTGGAATGGCGCTGGAGGTCGGCAGGTGAAGGGCGATGGAAGGTGTTGGGCGACTCCACGAGATTGCTAATGGCTGCCGGCGATTGTGCGGTGAATGCATTCCCCTGCGACGTGCCGGAGAATGTGCGGCTATGGACCGGACTGCTCATGTCTAGGTAGCTGCTGGAGTGCTGGGGAAGAAGTGGTGGGGGCGGACCGTGCGGTGTTCTCGGTTGCGCCTGGGTGTATGGTGATTGTTGGTATGCGCCTGATTGTTGATACATGCCTGCGCTTGGTGGTTGATTGGGCGGCTGAGACATGACTGCCTGTGGGCTCTGTCGGACGGATCCTGGTGTATGGCGGTGCTGACTGTGATGCGACGACGGCGTCGGAGAGGCAGAGGTGGACTGGTGTGGCAGTGGGATGCTCGCGCTCGAAGGCGACTGTTGAACCGGGTAGCCATAGCTAGCGGTAGGGGGTCTTCCGCCGGGCGTTGTTGCGGAGAAGCCGTCCTGCGATCGGTATCGGTAGTCGGGAGGACCTTGTCCAGGGGTGTGTAGTTGCGGGAAACCTTGGCTGCCAGACGACCTTGCAGTGGGTAGAGATGGAGGAGGACCATACCCGGGCAGCGGCACTTGTGGATGCGCGTGCGGATGCGCATAGCCTTGTGCATGGTGTCCGTTGACAGCTGGTGTTGTCCCAGATGGCTGACTATTCCTCTTTGCCTCCGGCGACGTGTTCTTTCTCGGACTGCTCTCCTCCTCGCCGCCATCGTTCATCAACGCCGAGAGATTCATCCTGCCTTCGCAGCTCTTCCGCGACCCAGCACACAATCGCTTCCGTCCTGTGCTGGTGCCGCGAGGCTACGACCCGATGCGCTCTTCGGTCCTATACATCTGCGCACAAGACAAGCAGCTCAGCGAAGAGCTCCTCTCTCACGCCTGGCTGCGCTCTTTCCCACTGCGCTGCGTTTGATCGACGTCTAGGCGTGTTCTCCAGTAGAGTGCGCGGGTCGCGGCGGACCTCAGAACGGGCTCGCGACTGTCCTTCTACTCGTCACGCGCCAGGATGGCAGAATCAGGGCGATGTGGTACAAGAAGTGTTGATGTGTATACAGATCGCAAGGTGTCACAAGAACATGAGGTGGTCTTCAAAGCGTGGCCAGACAACAGCTCGGCGCGGGCTCGGGAGTCATCTACAGTGGCCTGTTTGCGCTGGGTGCATATGCGGTGGTGGGTTCATGTGTTGATGCTGTATAAACGGTCTCTACTCCAGCGACATACCGTCCTAGCATTTGCGACCTGAAGCGTAGACATATTGATGGATAATGATTTATGCCCGTCCAGACGGAATGCATGCCAAGCCTCTCGGAGCGGGAGTGTTTGGCAGAACTAACGCGCAATGATGCTCGCGCCTGGAAGCTGTTCACTTGCACATGCTCGCTGCTGATTCTTCCGCCATCAACACCACCTCATCTCTTTTCATCTTCTCACGTGTTCTCATACATCGCCTTCTCACGGTCCTTCCTGCCGCCTACACTTTCATCCAAGCGGCACCTTCTCGTCGACGCCACCCTCTTCCGACCGACAGCTCCGTGTTTGTCACCAGCGAGCGACACCACCTCACCCCATCACTCTTCGCATCAGGACTCGGCAAAGGCTGGAGTCAAGGCTGTGGTAGATACTCCTGCAGGGTGAAGAAGAGGGAGGAGTAGCAAGATGGTGGCTCTCACATCCGCCGCCGGCCTGGTGGGCTTCTTGTCCGAGCCGGATTCGACGCTGCAGGCCTTTGCGCTCGAGAGGCTCAACGACGACATCGACAGCGTATGGACGGAGGTGTCTGGTTCCATCGGGCAGATGTACGTTGCAACATCCGTGCTTTGACTGGCAAGATGATGCGCACGTCCACGTGACAATGTGCGACTGGAGAGGACTCAAGCTGACAGATATGTGTTTACAGAGAAGCCTTGTACGAAGACAGCTCTTTTTCCCACCGGGAATTGGCTGCTCTCGTCGTCTCCAAGGTTTACTACCAACTGCAGGAATACAACTTGTCGATGGAGTTCGCGCTCAACGCTGGAAAGCACTTCAACATCGACCAGGGCGGCGAATATGAGCAGACCATTCTCACAAAATGCATCGACACCTACATCGCTCTTTGCGCCCTCCACAACCCGACGTCGCCAATGTCCAAAGACCGCCGGCAATCCAACGACTTTGACTACAAGCAGACTGCTGATGGACCCGCCAACGCCACTGCCAGCATGTCTTCGCCCATCACGCCCTTCTCGCAGTCTGCACTTCCTTCAAAGTCGCTGTTGTCTCGCGACGAGGACAATTCGTGGGAGCCGTCTGCACCCGGAGGTGGCAATGCCGGCGTGCCCGGAGCTCATCCGCATCCGCTCACGCTCACCAGCCACGTGAAGAAGAGTCTGCAGAATGTGGTCCGGTCGCTCTTCGAGAGCTGCTACAAGGAAGGAGCTTACCGGCAAGTGGTCGGCATTGCGGTTGAGGCTCGCAACATGGACATTCTTCGAGAGGCGATTCTGCGCGCAAGCCAGGACGAGAAGAGCAAGGGCAAGAAGGCTGCGGTTGCTGGTGCAGGCCAGATGGAAGATCTCATGGACTACGTTCTTGACATCTGCATGAACGTCGTGCAGGAGCGCGGGCTGCGGAATGAGATCTTGCAGTTGATTCTGGACCTGCTCAACGATATCCCGAGCCCAGACTACTTCGCCATCGCACGCTGCGTTGTGTACCTTGATCAGCACACCATGGCCTCAGATATGCTGAAGAAGTTGATCCAGAAGGGTGATGGACGGTCGCTGTCGATTGCATACCAGCTTTCTTTCGATCTCTACGAGAACGGCACTCAGGAATTTCTGCAAAAGGTTATGGAAGAGCTGCCAGAGACGGAGGACACCGAGAAGACCGTCCTACCTCCAAACATGGGACAAACGCGGGCGCCTGCCACCGACAGCGATGCAACAGCGAACGAGGAGGACAATGACAACTCTGCGGAGTCGGAACAACTCCTCTCGGAGCTACAAGATAATGCAGGATCCACATCAACTGTTGTCGCATCAAGAACAAAACCGCAACCTCAGTCTGAGGACGAGAAGAAAGCGGTCACTTCGGTGAAGACGATCATGCGTGGCACGAAGAGCATTGAGCTTAATCTCGAGTTCCTGTTCAGGAGTAGCAAGTCCGACAAGGCCATCCTCAACAAGATCCGGGACTCACTCGAGGCGCGGAACAGCATCTTCCACACTTCGGTCACCTTCGCAAATGCGTTCATGTATGCCGGCACCACCATCGACACTTTCTTCCGGGACAACCTGGAGTGGCTCGGCAAGGCGGTCAACTGGAGCAAGTTCACGGCCACTGCTGCGCTTGGGGTGATTCACAGGGGCAATCTAGGACAAGGTCAGAAATTGCTGGAGCCTTATCTGCCGAAAGGACCACACGACTCGAGCACTGGAAGCTCATACAGCCAAGGCGGTTCGCTCTACGCTTTGGGTCTGATCTACACCAACCACGGCACCCACGTTCTGGACTACCTCCGCCGCTCGTTCAAGTCGACAAGTGAGGAAGTCGTTCAGCATGGTGGTGCTTTGGGTATCGGTGTCGCGGGCATGGCTACTGGGAACGAGGACATCTACGATGAGCTGAAGAACGTCCTCTACTCGGACTCTGCCATCAACGGTGAGGCCGTTGGTCTCTCCATGGGTCTGGTCATGCTGGGCACGGGCAACGTCAAGGCTCTTGAGGATATGATTCAGTACGCACACGATACACAACACGAGAAGATCGTTCGTGGGCTGGCGATGGGAATGGCACTCATTATGTACGCGCGCCAAGAAGCTGCGGATGAGCTCATTAACGGTCTGCTCGACGACGCCGACCCAGCTCTCCGTTATGGTGGTATTCTCACTGTCGCTCTTGCGTATTGTGGCAGCGGTAGCAACAAGGCCGTTCGCAAGCTCTTGCACGTCGCTGTCAGCGATGTCAGCGATGACGTCCGAAGGATAGCCGTCATGAGCTTGGGATTCGTCCTCTTCCGCAAGCCTGGCTCCGTCCCACGCATGGTCGAGCTGCTCTCAGAGTCTTATAACCCACACGTAAGGTACGGCGCCACCATGGCCCTCGGCATCGCCTGCGCCGGCACTGGCTTGGACGAGGCCATCGACCTCCTCGAGCCAATGATGAAGGACTCTGTCGACTTCGTCCGCCAAGGTGCACTCATTTCGCTCGCTATGATCATGGTGCAGCAGAATGAGGCCATGAACCCCAAGGTCACTCAAATCCGGAAGCAATTGCAGAAGATGGTCGGTGACCGCCACGAAGACGCCATGGCGAAGTTCGGCTGCGCCATCGCGCTCGGTATCATTGACGCTGGCGGTCGCAACTGCACGATTGGTCTCCAAACACAGACCGGCAACTTGAACATGGAGGCTATCGTCGGTATGGCTGTGTTCACGCAGTACTGGTACTGGTTCCCGTTCACTCACTTCCTGTCTCTGTCCTTCACGCCGACACATATCACTGGTGTTGATGGCGACCTGGAGATACCGAGCTTCAAGTTCCACAGCAACACTCGTCCGAGCATGTTCGACTACCCGCCTGAACAGGAAGTCAAGACCGAAGAGGCGCCCGAGAAGGTCAAGACTGCGGTGTTGTCGACCACTGCGCAAGCCAAGCGGAGACAGGCAGCCAAAGCGCGTAGAGAGCGTGGCGAGAGCATGGAAGTTGACCCGACACCCACGACACCCAAGCCTGACGGAGCCGACGTCGATAAGATGGACGAAGACACGAATGTCGTCGAGACCGGCAAGGAAGGCGAAGAGAAAGCCGATGGTGAGACCAGCGCACCAGGCTCGACGAAGAAGAAGGCGGAGAAGGAGAAGGTGGGCTATGAGCTGGAGAACATGTCGAGAGTGCTGCCGGGCCAGATCCGGTACGTCAGCTTCCCTGGCGAGGGGAGGTATCAGCCGGTCAAGAAGGTAAGGCACACATCTACCCTGAGGAAAGATGGACTTTGCTAACATACGTTCACACAGCCCACCGGCGGCCCCATCCTCCTCTTCGACACCCAGCCCGACGAGCCCAAATCCTTGCTCGAGCTCAAGGCGAAGAAGAAGACGGCGCCTCCCGCTCCTACCGCCAACGGCAACACTGTCGGTCCCGCCCCAGGTGCGGGCAACGCTGATCAAGGCGCCGCTGGTGCCCGCGCTGCCGCCGGTGTGTTGACGACTGTGGACGAGGACGATGAGGGTGGAGAGGAGGCGCCGTGTCCGGAGGCTTTTGATGTGGAGGACGATGAGGAGATGGAGGGGTAGTATGCTATCTGTCGGGTGGGGTAGGTATGTTAAGGTAGTTAGAGAGGAGGGGCGACGAGGTAGAGGAGAGTGGAGAGACTGTATAATTAGATGGGGATGTGTGTGAGATAAGTAGATCGTTGAAGCAGTTCACTGATGTCTTGTTGTCTTGTTGTCTTTTGCTTTCTTGACGTCGTGCTGGCCTTGTTGCTGCTCTATGCCACTCCAAGTTGGTCTCCATCCCCATGAGAAGTTCTTCGCGTATTTGCAGGACTTCCTGTCATACATGTACTCAAGGCCGTCATTTGCACATGCCATTTGCACATGCTGAGAGCGAACTGGCTTTCTTCCCCACAAACGCCACCAGGCGCTAGCGAAGTCCGCCCCACATTGAACATGACCTGGAGCTTCGTCACTTCAACTTGGACTTGAACCTCTGTCGTCGAATAGTACAACGCCTTCGTTGACACATCGCCGACGACCTTCATCGATGACACGAAGTCCATGAAACCAGAACATTAGTCGACGATGAAGGACAGCCTAAGCAAATCGCTCTACGAGCGCGAGATCTCCGAACTGCCCCTCCGCACCAAGAGCCACCGCAAGCTCTACGGCGACCGCCGACTCGTCGAGAACCTGGACATTGTGAACGAGCTCGACGGCCACTCCGGATGTGTCAACGCGCTCTCCTGGAGCAAGTCGGGGGAGCTGCTGGCGAGTGGAAGCGATGACCAGCACTTGAACATCCACCAGTACCAGCCTCATGATGCGGATAGTCAGTTCAAGCTGGCGACGAGCGTGGCGACGGGACATATGGCGAATATCTTCAGTGTGAAGTTCATGCCTCACTCTAATGATAGGACTGTGATTACGGCGGCCGGGGATCATGAAGTTAGGGTCTTTGATCTCGAGTACGCTGGACAGGCGAGGGAGGCTTCGAGAGCGTCTGCGATGGCTTCTGAGGGCAGGAGGGGAAGGAGGCATAATGTTTATGATGGGGTGAGGTATTTGAGTGACGGTGACACGGACGCGAGGGTGTATCGCAGTCACGGGGATCGGGTGAAGAGGATCGTGACGGAGTCGAGCCCGCATCTGTTCCTCACGTGCTCCGAGGATGGAGAGGTGCGGCAGTGGGATTTAAGGCAGCCGAGTTCGGCATACCCGCCTCCGAGGGGTGGACGGTTCAGCAATACGACGGACAATTCGCTGCCGCCGCCGTTGATCTCGTATAAGCGGTATCAGCTAGACCTTAACAGCATTTCCTGCTCGGCGTCGCAGCCGCATTATATTGCGCTGGGTGGTGCGCATCTGCATGCCTTCTTGCATGATCGTCGGATGGCTGGACGGGATCGGATGCAGGAGGCTGGCAAGCCGCTTGGTTCTCCCAATGGCCGGTCTGGGGATGAAGAGGAGTTGATGGGTCAAGCGACGCAGTGCGTGAGGAAGTTTGCGCCGAAAGGGCAGAAGAAGATGAGTCGAAGGGATAATGGGCACATTACTGCGCTGAAGATCGGTGATGCGAGGCCGAATGAGATGATTGCCAGTTGGAGCGGGGATCATATCTACAGCTTTGATCTGGTGAACAGTCAAGAGGCTGGCGGGGAGGGTGACGCGATAGCCGAGAAGAACGGTGAGGGTAAAAGGGTGAAGGAGGGGAAGGATCGGAAGAGGAAGAGGCAGGCGAGCGCGAGCCAGACGTCTTTAAGCCAGGGTGCCGGAAGGCCGAAGTCAAGACCGCGGACCGGACAGAGCAATGAGGCCGCGCTGCGAGTTCGATATCAGAACGGTCAGAGCGAGGACATACCACTCTCCGCCTCGTCGCGCCACCGAAACCGCCCCCTGACGGAACAAGAGCGCAACGCCCAACGCATCGCCAAAGCGAGCTCCAACGTCCGCTCCTCCCTCTTTGGCACCACTTCCTCCCAGCAACGCGAAGCCCGCTACACCAACACCCTCAGCCACTGCGCCGCCATCTTCACCGACCTCGACGAAGAGATGCGCGACTGGCGCTACCCCGTCGACCCCTCGGCGGAAATGGTCGTCGTGCAGCAAACGCTCCGCCAGAACCGCGAGAGCACACGGCGGTTCGTCCAAGCCGCTGGCACGATCGCGAGGGTGATGGGAGGCAGGCTCCAGACACCTTCCGCCAACCAGCCGCTTCTCGCGGCTTTCAGCGCGATCGAGACGCGCGGCTCCGATCGCCCGTTGAACCAACGCGAGCAGTTCGGGTATGATTTCCTGAAAGCCACTCTTCTCTGGCTGGACTCCGGGCTCGGCGCTTTAGTCGAGGGTTTCACGCGCCCGGCGGAGATGCTGCCGGACGTCAAAGCGGCGAAGCGCCTGCCCATTCCCGCGGAGGAAGCGGGGGTAGAAGCGATCGATGAGTTCCTGATCCCTTACCTGTTGCGAATGGCGAGCGAGCAGCCTGTGACGGATTTGGACGCGAATCGCTTCGAAGTGGACGAGAATACGCAGTTGTTCGCGACCGAAAAAGCTGCGGTCCTCGCGTTCGCTGCGGCGGTTAAGATACCTTTCGCCGACCTCTCGTCTGCTGTCGTACTGGCCGAGCAGGAGCACAGCGAAGGCGAAGAGCGCGTGCAAGCCCAAGACCGAGGCGCGGCTGTGCGGTTCTGGGGCGAAAAGGTGGCGAGGGGGGTGCTGTTGAATGCGGCGGAGGGGGTGAATTTCGTGTTTGTTAGTCGGGCTTTTGGCGGGCCGGGGAGGGTTGTGAGGGAGGTTGCGCAGGAAGAGGAGGCGATGGAGAGGGTTAGTGAGGGGGATGAGGAGGAGGTTGAAGTGGGGAGTGTGGAGGTTGGTGGGGAGGAAGTTGGGGTTGGGGAGATTGCTGAAGGTATTAGGGAGGCTAGGGAGAGGGAGAGGGAGAGGGAGGGTGGGGGTGTCGGGGAGGAAGAGGAGGAGGAGGAGGAGGAGATGATACTTGAGGAAGAGGACGACGATAGTGATGACAGCGATAACGATGATGAGAACGACGACAACGACGATGAAGACGTAGACATGGACTCTCCGACCGACGACGACTCCGATACCTCCTCCCTCTCCGAAGAAGACGGCGTGCCCAACGTCGGCATCCCGCGCTTCCTCCGCGCCACCGCTTCTACGAGATCGAAGTTACGCTATTCCGTCAACGCGGGGATTCCATGTCACTCCGCCGTGCGTTCCTACCGCGGGCACTGCAATGTGAAGACGGTGAAGGATGTGAACTACTTCGGTCTGGACGACGAGTACGTCGTGAGCGGAAGCGATGATGGGAATTTCTTCGTCTGGGACGCGAAGACGGGGGAGTTGGTGAATGTGCTGGAGGGGGACGGGGAGGTGGTTAATGTGGTGCAGGGGCATCCGTGACTTCTCTCCAATTTCTTTGGTTTTTGACGCTGTTACTAATTCTCATACAGGTACGAAACGATGATGGCAGTCAGCGGCATCGACCACACCATCAAGATCTTCTCCCCCGACGCCCGCGCGCGCGACTCCGCCCGCCTCGGCCGCGGCATCACCGCGCACGATAGTAGCGAGTTCTCCTCGCTAGCCTGGCCGGCGCGTTTGGGCCGCCGTCGCGCCTCGCGCCGCAGCGAAACCACTACTGCAAATGGCGAGCAGAACGGCGCTGTGACGTCCGAGCCCGCCGTCCCTGTCCCGGCTCGTGATAGGGAAGGCCCGGATGGCGATGAAGATGAGACGTATGTCGCAGAGAACGGGCTGCGGAGCAGGAGGCGCATGGCGGATGCGTATCGGATTATGAACCAGAATGATGTGCAGCGGCAGGGCGGGAACCAGGATGTTTTCTTGACGGTGAGTGATCTGCACGATACCTTCGGCGTGTCTTTGTTTGAAGTCGAGATGTTCCTGCGGCGGGGGCTGTGAGTGGATGGGGATGGTGAGGTACATACATACACCTCCGCGTTGCGTCTGGAGGGTTGGGGGGGGGGGGGGGGGGGGGGGGGGTGGGGGGGGGGGGGGGGGGGGGGGGGGGGTGTGGGTGGCGTCCGCTGGGGTGGGGGGGGGGGGGTTGGTTGGGGGGGGTGGGGGTTGGGG